CCACCAGCAGATAAAAGCACTGTACATTACAAAATCGGTCAGCAGAACCAGCTACCTCGTTACCATCATTCGTCCCCCCCCCCCCCCCCCCCCCCCAATTCCAATACCACAGTCTGGTTCATGTCCGTGGAAGCTGTCCTTGGAAGCTGTCCCGCACGACCGGTGCCTTCTCGCTGTTGACGAGCAGGCCTGGCGTCCGAGCTTGCGGATGAGCTGTGAGTACAAGACAGTCCGCTCGGAAAACTCACACGTCGTCGCACGGCAGGGTCTTCTCATTCGCTCAATCGGCGGAGGTTGTACGCCTCTCCCGTGCGAAGAAGCATCGCAACAGCGCGCGGGAAGGCAGATGAAGTATCAAGATGCGTCTGCTGTCGGAGACAACAACAACCGACAGGAAAACAGTGAGGCGAGAAGACGAGATGGAGATGAGAGATGACTGCAAGGTACCTATGGAAGGCCCCCACAGCCGCCGAAAATGACCGCATCCAGAGTACGCTCTTTCCAGCCTGAACTTCTTCCCTCCACCCACCAGACACTCAGCCCATCCTTCCCATTTCAACTCAACACCATCTCATTCCACCTACCCTCCTCCCACCACCCTCTCCCCAAGCACACGCTCACCCCATCATCTCCTCAATCACCTCCGTCGCCTCATTCAGATCACGACCCATCTTGAAGATCAGCTTCTGATACGCCACATCCTTCTTCTGCAACACCTGCATTGCCTGCAAATGCTGCGCACCCAACTTCTCCACCACTTGGTCATGAGCCTGGTTCGTCTCCTCGACAGCCTCATCATGCTCCTTCTGCAAAACAATCTTCTGGTTCTGCAGCTGCTTGATCTCCACATGCAGAGGATCAGTGCGCTTCTGCAATATCTCGCCGACACGGCGCTCCAGGAAATCCCGCTGACCGCTCACCCTTGCAATCTCCAGATCAAGCAACACATTCTCACGCCTCCCAGCCTGGTACCTCGTCTTCTCTTTCTCCAAGTCGTTGCTCATGAGGTCGTAGAGGTCCTTGTGCAGATCCCTGTCGACAACAACAGCATCCAGCCGGTTGTTGAGCGTCGTGATCTGCTCCTCTGCAGTCCTGATCTGGCCGTTCAGGGCGAAACAGTGGTCGTTGGCTTGGCGGACAAACTGAATCTCTCGCTCTTCCGCGGCATGCTGATCTGCCTCTCGCTGGTTTGATAAATCCTCCTCGCGGTGGAGCCCTGCGCTTAGGTTGTCCTTCGTAGTGTCGTGAGCGCGCCGTTCTCCATCATACAGCCTCTCATACGTCTCCTTCGCGCCAGTCGTGGTGGACACTTCCTTGGTAAGCGCAACAATACGTTCCTGGGCAAAGCCCAACTCTTCCTGCGCCTTGTCCAGGCGCTTCTCAATCTTGTTGTAGAAGTCAATGTTCTCCCGACCGAACGTCTTGAGGCTCTCGTTAGACTTGTCAACGGCGTTGATCTGTTCTTGCAGCCTTTCGCCACGTGTGCGGAGACCGTCTCGCTCCAGAGTTATGCGGTTGACGGCTTGTTGGCGTGCGTTGCTTTCTCCTCTGACATTCCCCAGCTCCACCGACAGGCCGTCGCGCTCATCGCGCATGCCCTTGAGCTCCCCACACAACTCTTCCGTCTCCGACTTCAACCGCTCTGCGGCCTGCGACCTCTCATCCCTCAACTCCTGACGCAGACCTTCGATGTCCTTGCGTGCCTCGTCACGGGCATCCTTCAGGTCCCTCTCGTGCTCTGCAGCGGCCTTGTCGACCTTGTCCAGCTCGAGCCCAACAAGTCTCTTCGCATTCTCCTGCGCTGCATGCACTGCCTCTTGAAGATCGGCCACCTCCCTTCCGTGCTGGTTGATTGCTCTCTCCTGGTCGCGAAGGCGGTTCTCATTGGCAAGCTTCGCAGCGATAGCCTCACGAGCAGCTTCACGAGCCTCTGAGAGCCGCTCCGCGCCGCCGAGAAGCTCCGACTGCAGTCGCTCGTGCGTCTTCTGCCGATTGACTTGCTCCTTCTGCAAGGCGTCCCTCTGCTGCTTGATGTCGTGAATCTGGACATCTCCTCGATTGACATCGCCACGCAAAGACTCCACCTCCACCTCCAACTTGATGACTTTATCCTCCGTCAATCTCGCGTCCTTGGCGACCTGTTGCCGCTTCTCCCTCTCCAGACGAACGACCTCATCCTTCATGTTCCTTACCTCAGTGAGTTGGCTCTCGTACGTGCTTTGGAGACGGTCACGAAGCAAGTTCTGGTTCTCGGTCCATGCTGAGATGTCTTTCTGGTGTTTGTCTCGAAGGGTCTCCAAGTCTCGACCGTGCTGCTGCTTGACAGCCTCCTCAATCTGCCGGAGGCCGTCAATCTCCTCGCGCGACGCTCGGACGGTGGCGTCGTGGTGCTTCTTGTCACTGGCACGGCCGCTCTCTGCGGCGGAGAGGAGTTGATCCTGCTGCGCACGGAGGAGGCGGACAGCTTCGTTGTGCTGGCCGGTGATCTTGCTGACGAGTTCCCGCTGTTCACCTGCGCCCTCCAATACCAGCTTCTGGCTCTTCTGGCGCTCAGAGGTCAGCTCGCTCTCCTTTGCCTCCAGTCGGCGCAACGCAGCGTCCAGGTTGTTCACAATCGTCTGCTTGCTGTCGCGTAGATCCGAAACATCATCCTCCAGACTGGTCATCTGGCTCTCGACATCATCCAGTTCGCTCTGCTTGTCCTCTACTTGACCTTTCATCCGCTCGAGCGCTGTCTTCGTGTCTTCCAGAGTCTTGTCGGTGGTTTGCTGCAGTTTGGTGGCTGTGTCGAGCTGACTCTGCAGTGTATTGTTTTCCGTCGCGCGGGCTGCGGACTGCTGGTTTATCGCATGCTCGCGACCGATGGCGTCGTCGCGGGCCTTCTCCGCCTTGGCTTGGGCTCTGAGCGCGTCCTTTGCGACTCGCTTCTGATTCCTACAGGACGAGAGGTCAGCGCGGCGTTCTCCGATATGAGAATGAAGTTGATGGGCTCTGCGGCACCATAGGGGTGCGTGTGGCTGTGCAGAAGATGGAGAGGTGACTTACTTCAATTCCTCCTGCAGTCTTCCAGTCTCATCCGTCTTGCTCTTCAACTGCACCTCATATTGGTCACGCTGGACATCCACTGCGTCTTGCCACTCTTCGAGGGCGTTGCTGAGACGGGCCTCTTCGTCGTAATTGCGCTTGGGCTCTGCCTCCAGCTGGGCGACCTGCTGCAGCAAGTATGATACGAGAGCGCCCTCAGCACGGTCACTCAGCTTCTCCACGCCCCGAATGATACTGACGCCCTTGCTGACGGTGTGGACGGCTTGTTGGGCTTGAGGGTGTCTCGGAGGGATTGCGAGATTTTTAAGACGAGCTTCGAGATCGCCGAGCTTTTCCTCGGCCTCATCCTCAACCTGTGGGTAGCAAACGCGATCAGCAGGCTTCTCGAAGACGTGGACAGGCTGAGAAGATCTCAACGCGCCGCATCACACTACACCACACCGCGGAGAAGAAGCACAAAAGCTCCATCCGAGAGGGCGTCTCCGTCTGGCCGACAGAGGTGAAGATGCCACACGTCTTATCATGGACCTTCATCTCACGGCGGAGAGCTCGCATAAAGGGGTGAGTTACCTCTGATACGATCTCAGGATACCTCGCGTCGTAGAGAGCACACACCGCAGTGTAGGTGTGCGGATATGCAGCTATCAAGTCGCCTTCAGGTCCATGCCATCTGTCCCAGGCTTTCTTCGTGCGTGAGCCGGCGACGGCGGGCACCACAGTCCCCATCGTGAGTCGTCGGGAGTGTTTGGTGCTCGGATGGGAGGGCGGTGTCGAAAGGTGGTAGAGGAAGGAGGAGAGGTGAAATTGAACGTTGTGACGGGATTTTGTAGGAAGCAGGACACCTTGGCATGCGATGTGTTGAATGTGAATGAAAGTGAATGTGAGGGGAAAGAAACTTCTGGCATTCACCAAGTGGCACGTTCACCGACCGGCACATTCACCAACCGACATGCAGCGAGCGCGCCACGGCTGCAAGCGCCGCACATCCAGGCAAACGGGACAGGACCTCTGGAAGCCAATTGATCTGCAGGTTGCCGTTGGGGTGGAGATGAGACAGCACCGTGAGAGTGGTAAGGGTGGAGTGGGCAGACAGGCCAGGCGAGCGTGTCGTGGTACATGAGCCCGTCATGCGTCTGACTTGCGAATGATTGCCTCCAGCCATGTGCATAGCGGCTGTGTCTTCCATGCTGTTGGAGTGAGACTATGAGACAATTACACGCAGTTGAGGTGAAGTCAAGAAGAAAGGAGGTCGAGTGGTTCCTGCGGTCTTCGGCACGGCCCTCTCCGTCTCCACTCCACAACTCCACAGGCAAGACGACCATAAGGATGAGCTTGTTGGTATCAGAGGACAGAGACAGAAAAGTCACGGTAACGGGTGCGTATCCGCCACAGAAACAGAGGCCCAAAGAAGCAAGGTGAATGAAGATAGAGGTAGCTGTTGTAGTTCTCCTCGCAACGCCACCACCAATAGCACAAGATCAACCACATCATCCCACCCCGTGGCACTCTGCCCAGGAGACACCCGTCCAGCAACGACAAGGTGTTCGGCCTGCTTCAGAGTCCCAATCCGCTCAATCATCGAGATCCAGATCCACCAAGACCTCATCGAAACAGTGCATCCCATTAATCATCCTGAACATCGTCTTCAAATCCTCCACCATTTCGTCGACGCTGGCGACTTTGCCGGGCTGCGGTGGCTCGTCGTCCATATCATCGTCGGAATCGAAGACGTGGCCGGCCGGAGCGTTCTGCTCAATCTCATCAATCACTTGCATGCGACGGCGGAGGTCTTCCACCCTGATCTTGGCGTCTTCGTGCCTCTTCATGATCCGCAACTCTGCATTGATGTTTCTGAGGAATGGCGAGGTCGTCAGAACGTCTTGCTGCATTGTACTCCACTTGAACGACGACTCCTTGTAGTGGCTGGTTGCCGTATCGCCAGGATCAGCGTGGCAAAACCCTCGACCATGACCGGTATCAGCCTGAGCCAGCGCAGTGTACAGCGTCTCGGCCAGCATGGGCTGCTGATCGCGCCATGCAAGGTAGATGATGTCACCCTTGTCGACGATCGTGAAATCGCCGCCCAGCTGAGATGCGAAGACACGGCAGATGGCATCGAATAAGCCCATGAGGTAGTTCGAAGATCGATGGGCGTAGTGGTCTTGCAGGCGTTCGACGCAATCCTTTGAATACCCCACTTCCTACAACCACAAGAGCGTCAGCAAGCTATCCACGTTTCAGTGTGTTCGAAAGGGTTGTTGATGTGAGATTCGGGTGGAAAGGGACGAGACTCACCCGCATGGGCTGGCGCATCGGCAGATCCATCTCCGCCGCGGTGTAGTTGGCCCACAGCCTCTTCATCGCAGCTCTCATCTCCCTGTACTTGGTCCTGTGCTTCGTGTTCAGCATGTAGGCACGATCTCCATTCTTCATGTCCTGCAACGTCGCCCACTTCTTCTTCTTGTACTGGTCGATTAGCAGGGCAGCTTGCGGGTCTCTCTTCTCCACGTAGTCATCAGCATACTGCAAGATCTGCTCGAGCTGGTTCGGACTTGGCGCTTGGTTGGTGACGCGATCGACCAGTTCCAGCATGTAGATGCCAGGCTGCAGATGGGCGCGCCGGTGTAGGTAGTCGAGCGCGTCTTTGACTCGTGCGTCTTGCGTCTGCTTGAGCTGGAGGTTTCCTATGAAAGCAGAGGAGTCAGCATCAGACGCAGCCCATTACTTGTACAAGCACCAGGGCCGTCGGCGGAGATCTGCAATGAGACGTTGCAAGTTTGTGGTCAGAGTGGTGCCAGACGGCGCGAGCAAGGCGGCCATCTCCAAGATCCAAATACTGACGAGAGCTTTCGTGTAGCCGTTGGGACGTCGTGCACTGTTGGAGAGGATGGACGAGCGAAGGTTGAGCGAGCACCTTCTCCGCTGTTTGAAGGACCAGCCATGGCCGGCAAGCGGGGTTGAAGTACACAAGCCGGTTTGGACGGTCGAGACGGTAACACGCATCGTGGCTGTCTCCAGAGGTTGTGTCCAAGAGCATGTCTCCCGAAGCTGTCTGCAAGCAGAAGCCATCTCCGAAATCCAAAGCTCCCATATGGTCATATGATGGTTGCAACGAATGGATCCACGCATCGCTGAAGAGGGGAGGACTTACCATGGATTATGACGTCTAGAAGCGCATCATCCGTCGTCGCCAGCATGTAAATGAACTCGCGATACGCATCATGCTTCCGAATGGCTTTGATTTGTGAGAAATGCGCATACCGGTCGAGCACCTTCTTCGCGAGATGGTGAAATCCGCGCTTCCGTGGCTTGATGAACGGGCTCTCGGCTGTGGCCAGTGTTGAGTAGGCGGTCGGTGGTGGTGCAGAAGTTGTCTGAGGGGCGGTGGGAACGAGTGTGGGTGGGAAGGTCGTAGGAGTTCGAAACGTCGCGGCGATGCGGCGGTTCGCTGGCGCTGCGGTTTGGTTCGCTGGTGCTATGTTTGAACGGCCTTTTGATGTAGCCAGGCTGGCTTTTAGATTCGCGAGGGCGCTCGAAGCAGAAACCAGGGGCGCCATTGCGCGGGCAGGAGAGTGCCGTATTCCCACCCAAATTTCGTCAAGATGTTGCAGTGGCGAGTAGTGTTTGGAGATGTGAAGTTCCAGAAGGCAGAGCGTCAGGTCTGTGCAGAGAACAAAGCCCGCGCGACGGCAGGGGCCCGAGTGAATGCAAGTTTCCGCCACTAGCGCGAAACGTGCGGGTGAGATCTTGACAAACACTCCACAGGCCTTCTTCCTTCCTTTGCAATCGTCAAACCTCTCCCACAGTCCGAAGCAACATGGATCCGCCAAAGGAGCCGTCATCAGATCTTCCGGAGATGCCGGTTCCGGAAGATGCAGCATGGCAGACGGGGTTGGCATCGCGATCGAGGTTCAAAGGGGTGATGGGCCGATTCCGAGAGAAGCGAGCAGCAGATCTAAAGGCCGCTGAAGAGAAAGCAATCGAGCAGGAGGCAGCCAAGCAGACGGCCCTCTCGAACCCGCAAACCACCAGCACGACCTCAAATCAGCTGCAGTCCCAGCCTGAAACCACACAGGAAGGCGGAGAACCGACACGCACCCGGCTTGAGACTGCAGGCCACGCTTTCGACGCCCTGAACCTCGACGTGGGCGCAGACGACACCTCAGACGACAATGCCGGCGAACTTCCAACCTCCTCCACAGGCGTCTTCGGCATGGCTTCCCAGGTTGCTAGCAATTTCGTTGGGAACATCTTGAATCTGGGACGCGGCCACCCGTCCAGCGAAGGCAACGAACAGCCAGACAAAGCACCAAAGCTCCAACCGGATAGTACGCCCAAGATGTCGAAAAGCGCGATCCACAACATGTAAGTATCAACCTCCCGGATACAGCAGATTGTGCTTTACGGCTCTGTGACCCCTCCCGCTCGTTCGAGCAATGGAGACGACGGCTAACTTATCGGCGCTGCAGGTACAAGGACGACACCATGTACACCGACTTCGAGTTCGTCAATCCCGACGGAACAGAGCTGACCGAAGACGAGATGGCACCGATCGTTCCTTTCTGGGCGGGTCTCCGCAAGGGTGTCCCGAACAAGAATACGGTTCTCAAGCATCTGTGGGAGTGGACGCAGGAGCCGAAGAATAGTTACTGCGTGGGAGCCTACACCAAGTACAAGAGACAGTGCACGCGCAGGGCCCAGCAGAGCGAGGAGGAAGCTTGCGACGACTGCGCCAGGACAGGAAACCCGTGTATCGTCGCCGGTCGGAGAGGTGGGGAGCTGAAGGTCTTGCCGCAGCAGGACGAGTCGGCGCGAGAGGAGGCGGACCTAATGGAGGTGGATTCTTGAAGGGCGGAAAAGCATGAGCAGCGAATCGGTCGTCTTTCGGTGGCGGACAACGTGCTTGTACCAGGATGCAGCTGGCACATCACAGCATGATCATTCTGGCTCATCCATAGCTTTCGAATGCTTGTCTTCCCACACATTTCATCCTATCCATGCCATCTTGTTGCCGCCTTGTGCCCTTTGCGCTGTCGCATGCTGTCCGGGCCTCACAGACCAGCCAGTTCTCTTACTGCCCGCATTGCTGCTCGCAAGCATGATCTCCGGCCACGAGAGGCAGGCTCCAGTCGTATGGGCTGTGACAATGTGTCCTGGCGCTGGCGGAGAAGCTGAGGCGATTATGTTGCCCTTCCACTCAGAAGACCGCAGGAGCTGGTTTGCCCAATTCCTCGCTCTGGCTATGTCATTCGCAGACATGTAGAGTCACAAATAACATGGATTGCAGCTCTGTGATGGTGTTGACAAATACGTGAAGAGTTCAAAGTGCATTGAAGAGTGAGGTGGACTCGACTCAACTCCGCATCTCCGCGAGGCTTGGCATTTGCTTTTCTACAACACTACGGGCACCACTCCACCCCACCCCATCAAAACCCGGTCAATAGCTTCGTAATCACATACGCCCACAACACGTACTTCACTACCGCCGGATACTCTCTCTCCGCCCGAAAAGCCGCATTCTCCTTCTCCAACCGCTTCTCTTCCCTCCGCAGCCGCCCATTCTCCCCTTTCAACCTCTCATTATCTGCCTTCAACCTAGCAATCACCCCTCGCCAACCGTCAACCTCGTCCATCATAGGCCCCATCGCATCATACACCTCTCCCTGCATCACTGCCGCCTCGTTGGCCTTGACCGTCATATACTTGTAGATCTTGGCATGGCCTTCCCTCTCCTTCAACTCCTTCTCCAGCTCGGCGATCCTCAACTTCTGCTCTTCGAGCACTCCCAGGTCCTTCTCTGCCATCCTCCCATCCACCGTACCACTACCACCTTCATCTCCACCGCCATCATGTCCCCGCACGTCCTCTTTCCCTCCGTTTGCCATTGTCTCCGCTCGGTAGGTTTTTGATAGTGTTTCGGATCGCTGTACGTTGATATGGTTTTGAGGAAGCGCGCGAGAGGTTTTGATCGGATACACAGTGAGAACGAATGAGATTTGCAGAGATTTTGACGACGGGTTTTTCGCCTGACCTCACTTCATGATAGCAAGTCAGACAAAAAAAGTTCAAACTTGTCACCTCTTCCACAAACTTCCCACCCACATCGGCCACCAAAGAACAGCAAGATGCCTCAACAAGAGCCGTGGTTGGACGACCCAGACATGGCAGACGACCCAGTTTGGCAGCTGGCTTTAGCAGCACTCAAGGAAGGCCAGGAGACGCTGGACTGGGATGCAGAGCAGGATCGTCTCGAAGCTCAATACAAGGAAGAAGCTCTTCGTGAAGCCGCTGAAGCCAAAGCAGCTGCTGCCCGTGAGGCCGAAGCCCAAGAAGCCGCTGTCCGTGAGGCCAAGGCCAAAGCCCAAGAAGCCGCTGTCCGTGAAACTGTCACCAAAGATGCCGCCAACGACGAAGCCGGAGACACCTCACGAGTCGCCACCCGAGAGGGCGCGAGCCAAGAAGCCACTGGCGCACCTCTCGCCTCAGCAGCAACCGCCGCACCAGAGCGAGAAGCGAGCGCAGGAGACATCATTGCGGATCGGGAGGCAATGAGGGCCAAGACTGCGTTGTACGAGAAGTAAGTCGAACGCCCTTCAGCTGCTGATCGAGACAATGACTAACACGCAGCAGGTACAGGGAAGAGACCGATCCCGAGTTCCTCATCTTCAGAACACCGGACGGCGATGAGTTGCACAAGGAAGACATGACAGACGTCATATGTTTCTTCACTCGTTTCAGCCGCTATCGAAGCAACACCAATGGCCTGAAGACACTCTGGGACTTGGTGCAAGCTGGTTCCCGGCTCTACTGCGTGGCTGCATACACAAAGTATTTCGAACCTTCCGAGCGTAAGAATGGTCAGGGCAAGGATGAGGCGTGCGACAGATGCGCTGCGGTTTTGTACCCGTGCGTGGTGAGACGTGGAGGCAAGTTCATTCTCCTCCCGCCGATGGAGATCGAAGAAGAAGAGATGGAGAAGGAGGCCGAAGAACAGGATGCGGAGATGCAGGAGGCAGACGAGGAAGACCCGATGGACACTGCGTGAGGTGTCTCCAGTAGCGAGAGCGGTGGTGGTGGTGGTGTTGAACGGCGGATTGTTGGACTTTCGACGGCGGAGAAGACAGCTGAGCGGCAGCATGGGTATTGAGAGAGCCACAGCTGCAGTCTCTTCATAGCCCTGATATGGTTGTCTTGTCCCAGTCTCCGATTTGTCGACCTCTCGTTGTGACCGTGACGTCCGCGTGGGGCTGTGCTATGCCATAGAAGAGTGATTGAACCAGCCCGCGCCCTCCTCTCCCCCTCCCCTTTAGTGAGCCATAGCAGGCCTTCTCCGGGTTATGGATTCCAGTGACCGTCGTCAGCTTGTGCCATGCTGTTGTTTTGTGCGCTGGAGAGCCTCATGACCAAGCATCCTGGCCCCTCGCTCCACCACCGATACTGCCGCCATCCATCCTACCAGCCGTCCGGGTCTGCCTTAGTCTTGAGACCTTCTCGCCCTCTCCCCAGAGTCTCAATGTACTGTGGTGTTGCTGAAAGAGTTTGAGCGACGTGGAGAGGTTGGAGAACGCCAGCGTCCGGGACGGCGAGTGGCTCCCCTTTGAAGACGGCCAGATTGGAGGCGACGTCGATATTAGGCGGATTCCATCATATACCGCAGAGTGTGGTCCAGAACAAATACAGAGTCGAGTGTAGGTGTGGGCAGATGATGGACTCGACTTCACTCCGCAGATTCTCCGCTTCTCCGCAAGGCTTGGCTTGGACATGCTGATACCACGACATGCAATGAGTGTAAGAAGTGCTGAGCAGGTTCTCATCGCGAGTCTGATCATGAGTTCATACAAACTTGGTTACCAAACAACATTACATACGCATCGCAAAGCGCCATCTCCAAAGGTTCCTTCAATGTTCGTCGCAACCTCGTACATCCATACTGTTTTGTCGTGCAAGCATCTCCTAAACATGATCTCGCATCCCATGAGCAAATGTTGCCCACCAAACGCTTTTTGCGAGCCAGAGAAGATCTTCCGTACCGTACCACCACCATCAGAACTCCTCCACCACCAACATCCTCAAAATTCCACCAAGTCCTCCTCCTCACCTACATACGAGATAGTCACAAAAACACGAGCGACAGCTCCACTCTGGGCGGACGGACTGGGCTGCGTCTCCCCTTTAGGCGATTGACACAACCAGGGGGTAGGAGGAAGCCGTTTTTGCCAGCTTTTCCAAAAGCATTCCGCAGCGTGTTGTAAGGTGCCCGAGGTAGAAGAGTAGTAAGTGGATAGCACCATTTATTACCACCACCACGCCCTCAATCAAAATTCTGAAGAAGCCATTCTACTCACCTCGACCGTGCGATCATTTTGTCTTATTCAAAGTTCCAAACAAAAATGGGTTGAGAAAGTTGTCCTCCAACTCAACTCACCTGCGAGAAATTCGCAAATTTTGACCAAGTCCGGCACCCCGCATATCCCATCTTCCACCAATCCCCGACTCTGCAGACACCAGCAACACACCCGGAAGATGTCTGCATACCAGGATGATATGCACAAGGCAAACAGATGCGAGCTGACGGCAGAGTCGGAGTTGCGTTGTTTTGCGAAAGGTTGGTCAAAGACCCCCAGCCCAGCAGAGACGTTGCATCCAAGATCCTGCTCTTCTCCCGCTCCTCCTCTGAGCACATACGGTCCCAAATCTCGTATCGCCCGGCCTACGAATAGATGCTCCTTGCACATACTCCATATCGCTTCTTACTCCTCTGGCGGGCTCGTTCACAAAGCCGGTTTCCGGACGTCGCAAAATGTAGTAGGATTGTGATGGATTTAGTGAGAGAATCGCCAGTCTGCTTGCGTTGATCATGGTCCCATCACAGATTGCCTCATCTCCCAAGGCTTGACCCGTTGCGCGCGCGTATGCAGAGCGTCGTTACGTATGCCTTCGGAGCTAGAGCGCAGAGAACAAGCAGACAGGTGCCCAGAAGTACAACACCAGCGAGTGCGAGCCTGTGAGCGGTTGCGAAGTCACGCCGCGAGCGAAGGCTGAAGAATTGAAAGCGGCGAGTGTCGATTCGGCGAGGTAGAAGTCTTTCGATAGTACTTGGAGGGCACCACGACCGCTGTCCAGATGGCGACGGAGGAAACACATTGTAGGTGTCTGGCGTAGTTAGATCAAGGATCAAGAGCCCCCACTTCTCCACAAGGCTTGGCCGAGACACCCTTAGACAACATCTCTACTATCTCCTTGAACACAACTTCTAACAACATGCAAAGGCGTTGCGGCAAGAAGATCCTGCATCGACATCCCTTGTGACATTTATCATAAGCTCATGTTACTCAGAATACCACACCGAACAGCTTGATAATACAGCAAAGCAAATGACCTTCTCTCTAGAGGCAGTTCCAAGTCCGATCCCGCGACTCCATCCTGCTTTGGCTTCCTACGATCTCTTCGTACTCAACTCGTTCCGTATACGCGTTTCTTGATGGCCCATCACAAGCACGACAAGGCCTTCCATCGCAAACCAACACAGTCCCTCCAACCCGCACACCAACACTATCAAAACCTTTCTTCCCAGCCACCCACTCATCCACTGATTCAAACACCTACTTCGCCGGCGGCGTCCACCCCGCGGGGATCGGCTTAGTAGTAGTAACACGTTGAGTGGCACCCTTCTTCGGATCGTTGCAGCTAGCGGTACTGGTCTCATCGGCAAACGTGACAGTGTAGACCGTTTGGGAGGTGGTGGTGTAGGTGACAATGCTCTGTACACCATTGTTAGCATGTATTCGTTTACTCCACATCAGATGTCATACCGTTGTAACAGCAGGCTCATACTCATAAACCACCGGACACTGACACCTCTGTGTGAACGTCCAGTACTTGGCACAATTCCCCTTGTTATCATAGCAGGTCCCCTTTCCCCACCCAGTCTCAGCAGCGCCGGTAGAGCTGGTCGCAGCAATATGCGTGGCAATATAGAGGTCCTTGTCGCACGCTCTCCACGAGTCCTGCACTGGAATGGTGCACGTTGCTCTGGTCCCGGAGATGGTGCAGAACCCGTTGTCACTCTTGTACGGGAATTGGCCGGGTGCAGTCTCCGTGGGGGTCGTAGTACCAACCAGCACATGCACATCATTGATAGTCCAGCCGCTGTCAGTACTATACACCACGGTCAGGGTGCCGTCCTGGATCCCAGCACAGACACTGCCAAAGGCGACTTGTTTCGCGCCGTAGACGAGAGGATCGCAGACAGTCGCCACAAAGACATCCCGGCGTGAAAGGGTTGCGTCCAGCTCAAGGGGTGATGCCAGGGTGGGGAGGACAAAGAGGGCGCCTGCTAGGGCGAGGAGGGTTGCTGGAGAGTGCATGATGGGTGGGATTGAGAGTGGGTTTGAGAGTGGGACCAAGGATGTGATTGTGGATGAGATAGAGGGTGGGATTGTAGATTGGTTGAGAGGAAGATGAACAACGCAAGAGTCGCAGCTAGGGAATTGACTGGCTGATTTATACTTGCTTCACTTACTCTACCATCAAGCCAGTATTTGATCACGCCTCCAGCAATCAGCTGAGCTCGTCAATCAGCTGAGCTTGTATATCACCTGTGTCTGTGAATCGGCCTGTCTAGAGCGGCGGGTCAACCGACAGCATCCTCCGTCCACAGCCAGAAGAAGCAGACAAGATCCCGTGTTGCGTTCCATGCCTTTCGATGTTAACGCCACAAGCGAAGGCTGTGGGCTATCCGTGCCGCCCTACCTCGATATATGTGTTCATCAGCGGTGCGGGCTCCGGCTGCGGTCATGGTCTGATGCTCATCCCGAGTCTGGAGGTCCATCCCCCGGACGCTGCAAGCGTGTGACTGAGTGGAAATACCGCTTCCAAGACCTGAGGGATAATGCGGGAGCGTGTCTGGACCATAGCGTTTGCCAATAGACCATTGCTAGTGACATATCCCGCACATCGAACAGCATTGTCTGCCGTTCTGTGGCGTCTCGTGGATGCGGGGCAAGCGCGAAGAGAGGATGTTACTTGACCGGCCACATGGATGCTGCCACCACGGCACGTGTATTGGACGTCGGGGGGATGCCGCAACGTGGTCTCGCCTTAAAGAGAGCCCTATCATCCCAGCAACACAAGCTTGGCATTACCCACGTGTCCCAGGTCCTAGTGCAGATCCAGATCAGCTCAGCGCAGCGGGATCGACCACGGGCCCGAAGACTTGGTCTAGTCTGCAAACCGCCCATCCGGATTGGGACAACTCACATGCATGTAGACAAATCTTATAGCTGCTTATTATGTGTTAGCCGCAGGCAGTCAGGTTAAGGTTTAGCGCCAAGCTATTGGATCCCCAACATTTCCAACAGTCTGGGATTCACCCTCTACAGGAGTCGATCGAGGTACATGTACGCTGCATTCTAGCCTCACAGAAACCCTCACAGGGGTGCATGATGTCTCGAAAGCTGATCATTTCCCTCAATACCTGAATTTCTTTTTGGCATCTACACCCAATCCTCGATGCCCAGCGCGGGAAAGGAGCGAGCCCTCAACGCAAGCGGAACCCCACCAAACTCTGGGGCAATGGATGGAGGGTCCGAGACAATCTTCTCGCCTCGACGCTTAGAACTATTATGTCCTCCAAGTCGCACTTGCATGCAAGCGGTCGAGGGTTCCCGCCATGCGAAGAACCTCTCCTCACTCAAGGTAGGTGGCACCATCTTTCCATAGTGCAAGTCCGCCTGCCAGGCATTGCAGTTAGCGGTCTGCCCTAGAATCAGATGTGAGTTGCCAGCAGCATCACATCCTGGCTATCCTCTGCCCCACCTCCACCACATCCACCACGTCCACCCCCCACTGCCTCATCCATCCCCTCACCCATCTCACCCCCACCCCCTCCAACTGCGTCAGCCTCACACTCCTCTCTTGCACCTCCCTCGTCGAGAACACCGGCCTCTTCGCACCCTCCCACTAAATCTCTTGAAAGAACCCAATTAGTTTCACGGCAGGCACACGCTCAACATCCTCCCTCTCAGCCGCTTTAACAAGCTCACGCAACCATTCCGCACACGGCACCACCTTCATCCCACTCTTCTCAATCAGGCTCCCCACCACATCCTCACAATACGACTTCCGTGGGTTGACGAAATGCAGGACGTTGCACGACCTCCCTTCATCTTTGTGTGATGGTAAGTGTGACGGCACCACCGCCTCCACCAACACCTCCCCCTGCACATCCACCGGAATCCAATCCATACAATCCATTACACCCAAAAACTCCACCCGTGAAAAGTCCTGACACAGGCCGCGCGACTGCATCGTTTTGAGTTGCTTTTGAGAATCACCTCCACTCCCGTTCAGACACACCACCTTGTCGACCGCAGAAGATCGGATCAAAGCATCCAAGAAGTACGAGCTGAGGGAACCAGTCGATCCGGTCAAGACTCCAACATTCCTGGATGATGACTTCTTGTCGACCTGCTTCTCCATTCGATCAATCCTCCTAGTATAGTCGTTAAGCAATCGCTGCATCTGACCCAGTGAGTCATCACCTTCCTCACCTCCCACACCCTCCCCCTGCATCAGCATCTTCGCCATCGCACTCGCAGTAGGACGCTGATAGATTGCTCGCGGAGTAAGCTTGCAGCCCTGCTCTTTACCCACCTCCCGAAGACTAGCCGTGACAAACCGCAGCAGCTTCATCGCCTGCAGCGAGTCCATCCCACGTCCAAACACGTTCTCATCCACTTCAATCTGCCCGCCGTTAAAGAAATTCATCGAGAGAACGTCGGACAAAGACCCAGCCAAACTCTCCGCACTGCCAAAGTCCAACGAACACACACTGTTCTGATCGGCCGACTGATACACCTGCTCAATCGTCTTCGACAATGCAGCCGCGGTTGGCGCTCGCCGGATCTCGCCCTTCGGAGAGCGCAGAAAGGTGTCACCATCTAGCAGCCTGGTATGTGATGCATGAAGCTGTGCGTGCGCTGATAGTGCTCGATTCGCCCGCTCGACAGCCGTCCAACTTCTTGGAGAAATGCACCCACTGACCCTCACAGCGGATTTGGCGTCACCGACGAAGCGGAACTCAGCTGGTATCCGGAAGCCTTCAGCCTGACCCTCGGAACCTTCATCCTTCCCGCTGGCCGGCTCGGTGATGTGTACGGTCACAAAAACATGTACATGTTGGATTTCTGTGGTACGCCGTCTGGTCGGTCGTTCCAGGGCATCGGATGTGCACTGCTCGTCCCCAATGCGCTGGCCATCGTGGGCAAAACGTACGGAGCCAGTCCAAAGAAGAACATGGTCTTTGCACTCTTCGGCGCAGCAGCACCAACGGGCTGGGTCGCAGGAGCAGTTTTCTCATCCATCCTAGCCCAGCTGGGGTGGTGGCCTTGGGCATTCTTCGCTCTGGCAATCACCTGCATCTTCGTGATGGGCGCTGCTTTCGCCATCTTTCCAAAAGACGAGGTCCAGCCAAGCAGTATAAAGACTTTGACGCTCTGGGACGCGCAACCGGCGTCAGCGGCCTGGTGCTATTCAACTTCGCATGGAATCAAGCAGCAGTCGTGGGCTGGTCCACCGTCTACACCTACGTCCTGCTCATCGTTGGCATCTTACTACTAGCAGCCTTTGCCGTTGTCGAGATCAAAATTTCATTGTACCCTCTTGTACCCCTCCGCGGCTTCAAGGGCGAAGCAGCGTTGGCGCTGGGTGTGATTGCGGCCGGCTGGGGTTCCTTCGGCATCTGGGTCTTCTACCTCTGGAGACTCATTGAAAACCTGCGTGGATAATCTGCCCTCGCTGCGAGTGCACAAAACTCCCCCGTCGCAGTCTCCGGTCTCCTCGCTGCCGTGACGACCGGCTTCCTGCTCTCCTGCGTCAAGGTCCCCTACGTCCTCCTACTGGCCACCCTCTTCTTCCTGACTGGCCAGATCCTCATCGCCACCGTTCCAGTCGAGCAGACATACTTCGTCTCCATCATCGTCATGCCATGGAGTATGGACTTGAGCTTTCCTAGCGGCACCATCATCTTGAGCAAAGGTACTCCAGCGCACGATCAATGGATTGCGGCATCGCTCATCAACACCACCGTCAACCACAGCATCTCGTTGGGGCTGGGTATTGCCAGAACCATCATCCGGGACGTGAGTGAGTCTGGTGGGAGCACATTGGATGGATACCGCGGCGCATGGTATTTCGGGATCGGGTAGGATGGTAAGACTGAACCCTGCTTGTCTCAGACAGACGCTGACTTCGCTCGTAGGTCTCGCTGTTGCCATTGCAGTGTACTTTTGTTTGGAAGTCCAGGTAGATTTCGAAATGCATGGGATCTCTGTGTCGAGTGACTTTCCGCTTGTCAGGGCTGCAAAGGAATGACATGACAATGCAGGTATATTCCTCATGCACTGCTGCCCTCGCCATCACTTCATTGCTCCATTCTTGGTTCGAGTCATTGTCTGATACTGCCAGGTCATGCCGCATGTCTGGCGCAGGTCAGATCGTCCAGTTCCATGGATAGTAGCACGTGGATCCACCTCGCGCGCGGCGATCTGTCGTTCGAGCTTATTTGGTCATGACGGTCCTGCATCCGTTTGAACGACAAACCCGCCAGGTGTGGAAGTCTGGCGCGCTGGAGTGTTGTCGGACAGAGTGGAATGAGCTATACTCTTTGCGAGGGTGTCGCCTATCAGACGGCGCTTCGACCGGCAAAGAAGAGAGGGTTAATGGTTATAGAGAAAGAGAAGGTGGAGTACGCAAAGTGGGGTGTCACGTGCTTTGATCATCTAGATTAGATTTAGATGAGCGAGCACCGCATACGTCACCACTGTTGACTTCGCCCGCTCCAGAGCAGGAAGCGGCCAACACCGATCGACTCTTGCCACTCCAAACTTCTCATACACCTGCTGCGCCTGCACATCCCTCTCAAAAGGACCACCCCCCCTTCACTTCGACACCTACGCACACAACAACACTTCACCTTCAATTCCATACCACAAAACAACAACATGCCCGACCCTAACATCCCCTCCGAGCCCCCTCCATCCTACGACCAGGTCGCGGGCGGTTCATCCTCATCACGACCTGCGGCTTCTTCCAGCCTCCAGGTACCCGGTCAGAATGAAGGCGGCATGCCATCTTCACATCGACGGAGTATGGAGGACGAGCTGCGACCACTGCCAAAGGGCGTAAGTGAATCATCTCACACTCAATTATATCCATACTGACGCGACATGCAGTGGGTAAGGCAGTACGATTCAGAGCAACACCACCAATTCTTCGTCGACACAAACAAAGAGCCCCCGCGCTCCACCTGGGTCCACCCCTACGACGACGAAGAATACCTCTCCACCCTGCCCGGCCCCGAACGCGAGCGTGTCGAACAAGAGAGTCTACACCGCGGACACCCTCCATCCAAAGAGGACGTGATAGCATCCCACACCGACGACGAGGAAGACCATCACGGTGAACTGCCACCCCGCGGAGAAGGAAAAGGCAAAGAGAAAGAATCCAAGTTCGGCCGCAAGTTAAAGGACAAGCTCACCGGCACCACGCACGAACAACGCGAGCAGTCGAGGCAACAGCGGGCGGAATACGAGCAGAAGCTGTACGAGCGACATCTCCAACTACGTCATGCCATGGCCGAGGCTGCAAGAACCGGACAGCCGCAGTTGATGGGCAAGGACCGCGACGGCAAGGACATCTACATCGAACCGCCGAGGTACCGTGGTGGGTATGGCGGAGGCGGGTACGGGTATAGCCCATACGGTGGGATGGGCGGAGGTGGTGGAATCTACGACACACCTAATGCGAGGTACATCCGTCCTGCGAATCCGTACGGGCGGCCGATGGGACGTGGGTATGGTGGTGGCTATGGGTTGCCGCTCGCGATGGGAGGAGGGTTGATGGGGGGTATGATGCTTGGGGGTATGATGGGTGGGGGTGGATTTGGCGGTGGCGATGGAGGTGGTGGAGGTGGCGAGTAATGAAATACACGATGACTTCGAGCGGTTCAGTGATGCGTGATACCTATTGCGATGGCGTGAACGCGAGCTACGCGGTGCATGAGTTATGAGTTAGTCAAGTTAATCAACATTGAGAAATCAAGCCCTCCCCTCCGTGACCCCCAAATTCGTCTCCCCAATCTCCTCCCCCCTCGCCTTCGCCACCAACCCATCCAACCAATCCTGATGCCCAAGCAACATCCGATTCGGCTTCTTCCCTCTCAGCTCGACCGCAGGCTTCCCAATCTGACTCTCCTGCGTCAGAATCCTCACTCTCCCGCCCTCCAAGTCCTGCACCAGCCACGCGTGATACCCGCTCACCTCCTCCCCTAACGCAAAACTCCACGCAATGCGTCCTGCTTGTCCATCCTTAGGGGGTACGGATTCCTCGACCGGGCATGTAAGGACGGGGAAGCCAAAGGTGGAGAACTTGAACGTGTCGCCTTGTTTAAGGTGTGGACCCGAGGAAGGGGGCGTGATATCCGAGACGTTGCGATAGTAGGTGGGCCATTGGGTGATGTCTGCTAGTAAGGGCCAGATCTGGGAGGCGGAGAGGTTGGCGGCGATGGTTTCGTTGGAGACGAAGTTGTCGGTTGTGCCTGGGAGGAATTTGGAAGGCCAGATGATGGCCGGTTGGGTGGACATTGTGTCGTATGCGATGGTGTCTGAGTGTTTCTTTCTATTTTGGATATCACAGAAGAGTGGAAGGTGTAGATGTAATGTTGACCTACCTCTTGGGGGCTGTTATGAATGATGTGCGGTGTTGCATCATGCTACGTTGAGTTTCCGGGTCGTCATTGAGGGGAGCAGGGGGAGGTGCAGCTTCATGTTCGCGTCGACGCGGTCAATGGCTTCGTTCCACCACATCTTCTCGACAGGATACAGCAGTCTATTCCAGCCATCTCGACGCGTGTGAGAAATGCGAACGGGCTTCCGGACAATTGTCCTCATCACCACGCCCGCACAAGAGCTCGCCGTGCCTGAAGATGCCCGCTTTCGTGCAGGATGATTGCATCATGACTCTCCCGTCGTCTGGGCTGATGGTGGACATCCATACACACCTACATAAGTGAGCTCTCTTCACTACCATCATGTTCCGTTTCTCTGCATCCCGTCTCTGTTCACGCAGCTCTCCGTTGCAGATCCAGCTCCCCAACTTCACTCGGTCCTTCACCACCACCACCACATTCAAGATGCCCGAGCCATTGAAGCAGTCCGAGATCGACAAGGGCCAGGACCCCAGCGTCACCAAGCAGTGGGACGACGATGTCTCCCTCGACCAGAAGATGGAGGACTTTGGCAAGATTGCCGACGGACTGGGGATCAGCATGATGGGCACATTGAGGAACGGTGTGGGCGTAAGTTGACCCGGAAAGACACGACATTCGAGCCCCTACTAACAAAAATTACTAGCCCGTCGGCCGCGCCATGGCCGTCGCCAAACGCAGCGGCCCCGACTTCCTCTTCCTCGCCAACGCCCACTCGCAAAAGTTCGATGACATCGAGAAGAACAAAGTCACCAACGTCTACTTCCACGACAGCACCACCCAAGACTGGATCTCCATCACGGGCGAGACGGTCGTGAGCAACAACGAGGACCCGCGGATCAAGAAGATCTGGACCGAAGGGGTGAAGGCGTGGTTCGGTGATCTCGGAGATGGCAAGCACAACGGACAGCCAGAGGACCCGAGGATGAAGTTGATCGAGGTCAAGGCGAACATGATCAACTACTGGCAGCACACGGTCGGGAAGGAGGGCTTCGGGCAGGAGATCAAGGAGGCTATCCAGCAGGGCAAGGTCGCGAATACTGGGTCGTTGCGCCGTATGGATGGTAAGGAGATTGAGCAGGCGAGGTCGAAGTTTGGCGAGATGAGCTCCAGTTCGTGATTTGACCCGCGACCTCTCGACTGGCAGATTGCTGAGTGTCGAGCAGAATTGTGAGTATTCGATGTAGCATTGTATTTCTAAATGAGAGAAAGGTGCTGTCATATGATCAACTATTCCATGCTTGTGCAGAACAATCAGGTTGTATCATTCATCTTCCTTTGCGTGCATTCATCCAGCCTTAGTAGACCATATTCGTAGTCACTCTCGAGGCCTTCTACCTGTATAAAATCTTTCAATCAGCTATATGTGCACTCGACGCTGATCGCAGCGTCCAGACACTCGGGCCTTCGGCTTCCCACAGATCTGGACTTTCCAGACCCCTGTGCCGTCCAAACCTTCTTTTGCAACCTCGTGGCGATTTCTTCACCCCACTGCAGCTCCTCGACATGGTTTCCTACGCGCGTACGTCTTCACGGCTATACCACCGCTCCCGATGTCTTTTGGTTGCTCGGAAAGGAAGACCGCAGTTGTTGGGTAATGCCCTTCGAGTGTGAGGTATCTACTGCAAACCTCGACTGAATGACGACACGGTGGCCTACCCTCCAACTCTCACACTCGGCAATGGACCACCCAGCACAACTCACAGCGCGATGTAGTTCTCGAGATCAATCACCCCCATTGTCGACATCCGAACGGGCACGAGCACTGGAGATATCGCGATACTTTCAAGCGGCCGGCATCAAAGGGAGTCATGCCGCAAATCAGCACAACCAAGGCGTGCGCCATCCACCGGATTCCACTCTGATGGCGCTCGCCCAGCTCGGCTGCTATCGATTGGACACTAAATGGGCCTATGTCTCCCTCCTCGATTGCGACTCTCAGTTCATCATCAGCGAGGCTACCAAATCCATTTCCTTGTCGAGTCCCGGCAAGCACGACCCGGACGATGGCCTCATGCTCGGCTTTACGCGAAACCCACTGAGTTACGGCGTGTGTCCTGAAACCATCGAGATCTTCACTGCAGACGCCAACGACGACCGTGCAATCACGACCAAGAACATCACCGCCGACAAGACGCGGTACCTGGTCCGTGACTTCACCGCTGATGAGGAGTTCCGCAACAAGCCATATGTGGTGGGCGCGCCGTACATGCGCAGCTACGCCGAAGTCCCTTTGACGAGCTCTTCCGGCTACGTCCTGGGCTCATATTGTGTCGTCGACAACAAGCCTCGCGATTTTGGCGACGCCGAAGTCACCATTCTGGGGGATATCGCAGCCACCATCATGGACCATCTCGACCTGATCAAAAGCAAGTTTGAGCGGAACCGTGCAGAGAGGCTTGTCTGCGGCCTGTCATCCTACTTGGAACATGGCTCAAACAACCAAGCACCCCACCCCGGTTCTTTAGCAGCTGCGCCGATCGCCACAGCACGCCCGAGACAAGTCACGGCCCCGAAATCTGGTGCATCGTCGTCGGCGGCAAAGTCTGACCTCGACTCTGCCGTGTCGTCTAGCGCGATAAGAGCGACAACAAGACAAGGTTCTCATCCTTCAACACCAGCCACGAGTCCCATTCGAACGGAGTCGAGTACATCTGACTACTTTTCACAGTCTGCAGAGAAGCTACCGGCGCAGGAGGAGAACCAACCATCTCCACCAGACTTGGAATCTCCACCAGACTTGGAACAGCCATCTCCACCCGACGTAGGCGCTGCCGCCAATGCCAACAACACGTTTGCGAAAGCTGGAGAGCTTCTACGGCAAGCTTTGGACCTCGAAGGCCTGGCATTCCTCGACGCCGGCGTCCACGATGGCACACAGAGTGGAGTCGGTCGCCAAAGACGCAGAAATTCCGTCCATGAGGATGGTGGGATAAGCTGTGGTCTGCTCAGCTACTCCGGCTCGGATAGAGAAGATCCAGACGATTCATCCATGTCGAGTCGGTATGCCAACTTCAGCCACAAGTTATTGTATCAAATGCTCGACGATCACCCTTTTGGCAATGTGTTCTGCTTCGACCAGATCGGCGAGATTTGCACTGGCACGGGCGGTCTCGAGTCCAAGTACATCAGACGATCCAGCGTCATCGCCAGAGGACTCACTGAGGACGCCACTCCTAGTGCCAGTGTTGCCGAGCAGTTATCCGCTTATGCGACACCCGGAAGCTCCATCATCTTCCTTCCGCTCTGGGACTTCCAACAGGGCAGGTGGTTTGCGGCTGCAATAGGATGGACTAACAATTCCGCTCGTGTGCTGGAAAGTACTGATCTCAGCTACTTGACGGCTTTTGGTAATTCCATCATGGCAGAAGTGCTCAATCAGCAGGCCACGGCACTGTCTGCGGCCAAGTCCGACTTCATCGCGTCTGTATCGCATGAGCTACGTTCTCCTCTTCATGGTATCCTGGCCAGCATCGAGCTTCTTCGAGATACGATGGATGTCACTCCAGAAGCAGCCGCAATGCTGGATAATGCGAATGCGTGCGGGAGTATGCTTCTGGACACCATGAACCATCTTCTTGATTTTGCCAAGTAAGTCCGCTTCCATTCACTTGACTAATGACTGCAGCTGACGGCACTAGAATCAACCGCCTGACGACGAGCTCCAACACTACCACCGATGGCAACGACAATGCAAGACTGGCGACAGTCAACATCAGCGGTCTGGTGGAAGAGGTAGTTGAGGGTATGTATTGTGGCAGTCTAGGTCAAGCGAAGCACGACGAGGGAGAGCAGCTGCATATTACCGACACAAAGACACTGGAGAATGCTTCAAAGGTTGTCGTGCTCCTCGACATCGACCCATCGGCCAACACCATTGTTCGGACCGAGAAGGGTGCCTGGAAACGCATCGTCATGAATCTTTACGGGAACGCTTTCAAGTATACGAGTGCAGGGCACATCTTGGTGCAGGTCAAGCTCGTCAAAACACCCGGAGCGGATGAGTCGGCGGACGACTTCACGCCCTACTTCACACTGCGGGTCAGCGATACTGGCAGGGGCATGTCTCCCGACTTCCTGAAGCACAAGCTGTTTACTCCATTCATGCAGGAGAACAATCTCTCCCCTGGCACTGGTCTGGGCCTGTACATTGTCCAGCAGCTGGCTCAAAGTCTTGATGGCACTGTCGAAGTCGAGAGCGAGCTGAATGTCGGAACCACTGTTTCGTTGCGCATACCGCTTGGTGTGAAGACCCAGCTACAGTCGACCGCTCAAGAATCTCGTGCTTCATTGGATCCTGAACGAAGGCTCCTGCACTCCCCGCTTGCTCTGGTGTTTCCGAACAAGGATGGCATTGATCCAGATCGAACACCTGGAGCCAGCAGCGTTCAGCCAGACAACTCGACTGCGCTCAAAACGCTGAGCAACATCATCGAGCAATGGCTGGGAATGGAGGTTCACCATCCAGCCTCTACTACCGACAAACCACAAATTGGCGGGCACGAACTCAGTCTCATCAGCACCAACGGTGATCCAGCTTTGCCGTGGACGTTGAAGTTGCAGAGGACAGCAAACGGCGCTGGACCGTCGAATGAAGATTCCTCTGTCGTGGAAAGGAGGCTTTGCCATCCCTTTGGTCCTCGTAAACTGTCAAAAGCTCTGCTCCAGATTCTGGATCCCACTGCGTCTCCTCGGACGTCACCTGAACGAGATCACACCATACACGACAATGAAACTAAAGCCGGCCGTACACTCCTTCCGAATCGGCCACCAACACCCAAGCTCAACACAGCCAAGACAGATTCAAAGCTCATCAGCAATGGGCCCAGCCATAACATGGATGGTGAATCGCGCCCTGACTCCCGCCATGCTACAGGCCGCCATACGCGCCGCATCAACACCGAGCCCCAGCCCTCATGGGAACACAACCGCTACAACCACCTTCTCCTGGTAGACGACAACCCCATCAACCTCCGCGTGCTCGCCTCCTGCGTGAAGAAGCAAGGCTGTACCTTCAAGCAAGCGACCAACGGACAAGAAGCACTGGACATGTACAAGGAGGCACCGCAGAGTTTTGACCTCATCTTTATGGATCTATCAATGCCGGTGATGGACGGCTGTACCTCCGCGCGGATGATTCGGGCATTTGAGAAGGAGATGGAGGTGGGAAGGTCGTACATTGTTGCTCTGACTGCGCTGGGGTCGGATGTTTCGAAGCAGCAGGCTTTTACGAGTGGGATCGATGCGTTTATGACGAAGCCGATTTCGTTGAAGGATATTCGGGAGTTGCTTGCTGAGTGAGAGATGCAATAACGACTTGATACAACTTTTACAGGACGAATCGGAGGCGCTGTATTGGACCCGGCACTCACGTCGTACTCTCCTCATCCCAGAAGACCAGACATCGAACCTCCCTAGAAGCGACAAAGCAGCAAATCAGCAAATACCCACAGCTACACATCAACCACAACTTACATGCTATTCCGCGGCGGTCCATGATCCAGCTGGGATTGGAATGCAGTGTGCGGGGTCTGCCTCGCCCTGCCATCGGTCTTCGAATCGAACTGCTTGAAGAGGTACGCTTCTGTGGGATCGAGCTGCGAGGCGTAGTACCATTGGTGTCCCTCCCTCGCGAGGACTTGGGCGGTTTCGAATCTGCAACATCATCAGTCATCGCCTCTCGGTGCGATAAGGAAAGCAACCCACCCTCTGCCCTTTGGATACGCCTTCCCGAACGCAGCATCCTTGTCCTCCGGGAACAGCGCCAACACACCGACGAGGTCGTCCGGCTGCACAGTAGCGGCATCCAGCAGCGCCAGTGGTTCCCTCGTCACTGGCCGCACAAGAGGTCGCCAGACATTCGCAATAGCCCAGCGGCTGTTTTTGCGCTTCTCAAGATCTTCAACTGGGACGTTATTCTCCAGCACTGTCATGGCGCCATCAACACTATTATCGCAGTGCGCGAAGATAGTTGGACCTGGAGCGGAGACAGTGTCGCTGTCCTTCAAGTTCTCTGCCTGCTCCTTGACCGCGCTGGCGAGATGCCGGCGGATGAGGTGGGAGAAGCATAGCACATCAGAAGCGCCAGTTCTATTCAAATGTGAGCTTTTACCAGATGATGTCTCGATGAGATTATGCTCACGCCTTTTTCACTGCGGCAATAGTCTCAGGAAAAACGACATCCTTGATGTGCTCCGGCGTGTCTTCAACATCCGTCTCCGACCACTCCCCCTTCAAGACCGTGAAGCCGTTCTTATCAAGCGTGAAGTCTTCTTCTTTACCCCGCAAGTCGTTGATTGTCATCGGCTTGGTGTCGAACTTTCGCCGCTGATACCCCGCCGTGCCTGGGTAGAAGACGCGGTCATTGTCGGTGTGGAAGTAATTTATGATGGTTTTCGTCGCCATGTTGTTGGTGGCAAGTGCATACTGCAGCCCCGCGTGTTTATGTACTTGGTCATGAGAAGGGTGGCTTGGCGAGAAGACCCCGAGGTTGTGTACCCGAGGGTATACCACTCTTAACAATTCTACGGACTCAACGCCGCACCAGCAGAATTCTTCCGTGGTGCACCATTACCCAACAGATACCCATCCGTCTGCTTTTCGATATCCGGCCTTCTGTCCTTCGACTCCTGCGTCTCCACCAGCTCCGCCACCTCATCATCCTCCGCCACGAACTGATAGCTGCGACACTCCGTGTTCGACCACATCCGCGTGATCTGTGCCCCGGACTCGTCCACATTCCCGACAATATAATGCGCAAACGACCCATGGCTCACAAGCGCAATGTTCTTCTCCGGACGCTCCCTCAAAATCCTCCGCAACAACCTCGCCCGCTCAATCAAGGCTTCGGCATTGACGTCGAAAACTCCGATATTGCGGTTCCAGTACGGATGAACGTCCAGCTGCTTCATGTCCACCAAATCGCCAAACGCCTCACTGATGACTTCTTGCGTTGAGCCGGTGTCCATTTGCTCGTTGCTGGCTTCTTGGGCATGCGGGATCAGCAGGATCTTCAGTCCGCGGTCCACTGCCGGCTGGAAAGCGATCTGGCAGGTTTGAATGGTGCGGCACATGGGGCTCGCGGCGAGGAGGTCGATAGAGTCGTGGTGGGGGAACTTCGAGCATAATTCCTGGGCCTGCCCTTTACCTTCTTCGGTGAGGAAGGGGTCGTGGATGCCCTCGCCGTATTTGCCGACGTTCTGCTGTTCGTTAGTGTTGTTCTTGGAGAGGAGCTTTCGGAGGACTCACGTGGTAACCCTGTGCATGGCGCACGATGTGAATGGTAGGTGGCATGTTTTTCCAGTGCGATTGTTACTTGGAAGTTTGGAATTGCAACCGTGTCAAATATATGCGAACGTAAGCACGCTGAAAGAGCACGAACTGCGCCATTGAGCGTACGCAGCGCATGCCATTTTCTGGTGTCCACGACCCGCGGGGTTGCAAGTTTGGGCACCATCCATCATCGGGGAAACTCTGTCAAGCTCTCCAACGAGATCGATAGAGATATCCGCGGAAAGCTTAATCCACGTCGTCATGTAAGTCTGGACCTGCAGGGCCTGCGAGGCTGGAGAAGAGCCCCGCTTGGCTGAGGATCAGCAACAACCCCGAGGATTTCCGTGATGTTGGGGTCAATATTTCTGTCCTCTAATCGTTGGTCTTCTTCTATTGCGCGTACGAAGTCAGACGATAATTCATCCAAGAACAAGACTGTTCAACCCGCAGCCAGTACATGGTTATCCTTGTGTTTTTTGATCTCCAATGGCTCGAAGCTGTGGCAATGGTCGTTGAGCTAGGCGGAAGAAAAAATGAAGAATGCAGAGACAAACGGTCTCCACCGCGAGAAGTCTGAAGTTGAGTAGATGTTGTCTTACTAATACAATCACTTCAGTATGTCGTCTTTTCCAGTCACCGCAACGTTCTGCCGAGGCTGTCCTATTGTGCCATTCGGCGTCTTTTGGGAGACCACGTCTAAGGATCTTGTGAATAGCCTTCTTCGTTAAGAAGACAACGGAAGAGAAGGAGGAAGAGATTGACGAAATGATGGGAAGGAACGGACAACGCGCCTTCCTCGCGTAAGTTCTTGGCGCACTGTGGACATTGACACAGGCGTTTTCATAGACTGATACTATCTACCTCTACACACTGCAAGATGAAAGCAACCTACTGAATCTCCCTCACGATCTGGTCCGCCACCGCCTGCACGCCCGTCAACATCTTCGCCGCATCCCTCGCAATGACCTTGTCGAAGTCTTTGCCATGGAACTTGCTGTTCCGCGGGACGGTGTACGCCTTCTCATAGTCCTTCACCAGCTTGTTGTTTCCCAGCCTCGTCACCACATCCGTGAGCAGGAACATGATCTCCTGGAGCTTGTTGCCGAATGGACACAGAGGCTGCTCTTCTCTTGGAATGCTCTTGTCAAGGTCCGCGTAGTCGAACGCTTGCTCGACCAATACTTTCGCCGCCCACAGTCGAGCCATTGACAGGCGCTGCGCCTGGATCTCGTATTCGCAGAGGCTGGAGGGTATGTCAGCTGGCAGACACTACACTATCCACACCAGACTCACCCAATCTCCTCGCTGAGCGGCTTCGGCTCTCTCGCCGCATCATTCAGAAACCGCTGCATCGTCCCGGCGCCTGGAGTTGGCGGCGGACTTCCAGGCCTACTTCCAAGATGCGGTGTCTGTGATCTGCTCCCAGGATGAGGCGTTTGTGCTCTACTTCCCGGCTGCGGAGTGTGCGATCTCGAAACCACCGGCGACGGACCAGCGCTTTGGTAGAAATCCTCCGGAAACGAACCAACCGCAGAAGGCTTTCGACCTAGAAGATCTCTCCCTTGCAAGAATTTGGGATCGGAGAATGGGCTATTTGTTCGAGGAGGGACATGGCCGTTCCTCAACTGCAGGACAGGCGTCACAGGCTCGGTGGTACGACGTCGCTCGACGGGTGCTTCCTCGCTGTTCGGGCGGGAAGACGCAGTTTGTGCGGCCATAGTCAATCCTTGTGCTGCGAGAGCGAGCTCAGAGGATGTCCTTGTGATCTGAGGCCGAGCGGTCATTGGGGTCGCAGAGGAATCGTCGTTCGGAGACCATGATTCGCCTGGTTCGCGAAGGAAGTATCCAAGTGGTTTGGACATAGAGTGTGATGGCACGTGATGCAGAACAGTAAGTCAATTGGTAAGGACATTGTGCTGTATTTCCTTTTAATCACTTGGGCAGGCCGCCGTTTGCTATTCACTGCGTCGCCCGACTATATTTTTGCTCTTTGCAAGCGTTGGGAAGATTCGACACATTGTGTGACTGAAAGATGATTCCGAGTATGCCTCAACTAAGAGCACATGCTTGCTTACCGTCAATAGTCATGCTTCACGGATTCTATGCGGTCGTGAATGCTGCGGACTATACATTCTCCGTTCATGGTCGGCACAACAGAATCACACTCGCATCAACATGAGATATACAAACTACAGCTACCTGGCACAGAACAGCATCCACAGCTACAATGTCACCCAAGATCCTTCTCGATATCCAGGCACACTCGTTCTCCCGGGTTCACGCTCTCACTCTCCTTCTCCAATTCTACCCCATCCACATCCCCGACCTCAAGACGGATCTCCTGCAACCCCTCCGCCTTGTCAATCTCCTCCCAGTTCTCCACCCTCTCCTTGATCTCACTCATATCCCCATCCGTTTCAATCAGATCATTTCTCGCCCTGAACGCAATGTCGTTCCCGTTTCTTTGAAACTTCAAATACACTGGATGCTCTTTCGCGTCCTCCCGGAATCCCTTCGCCGCCTCGCGCGCCCACATGATGGACGAGTTCTGCGCGCTGGAAAGCATGGGCGGCACATCAGCTGGCCAGTTGGGGTCTTTATACAAGCTGGTAAGCACCCCACCCGCACGCTCGAGGATCATCGTATGAGCAAATGCAAGCCGGAGTTGGCGGTAGGCGTGCAGCTCTTCCGCAGTATACTCGCCCGGCTCAAAGGAGGGGCGGGTCGGGCTCTCTTCGTCGCTCTTACGCGGTGGTGGGGCGATCGGAATATCACCATGCCTAGAACTGATCTGGCTTGCAGAATCCGCTTTGACCGCATCAGGCTTGATGGTCGGGAGGCGTTGCTTGCGCAAGCTTTCTGGCGACGGGCGGCCTCCGGGTGCGTGACGGGCGCTGGCGAAGGCCATGCCGCTTTTGACTGCGTTGTTGGGGTCAGCGAAGTCATTCTCGGCGCCGCCCAGCGTGTTCGTTCTGGTTCTCTTATGGTAGCCACGCGGCGGGGGTTCTGGTGCCATGGAAGCATTGCCTGGTCGAAGCAGAGTGCCATCACGAGCCTTCAGTCGATTCTCATCAGGGATGTTGTTGCGAGATTTCTTTTCCTCTGGAGGAGACAGCTGCGGGAAGGGATATGCGCTGTTCGCTTCCCCAGGAATATTCCTCGCAAAGTCCTTCTGCGCTACCCCGGCTACTGACAAACCCGAGTTTCTATTCGAACGCGCCTCAGGACTCTCGCCCGAAACAAAACTGTTGGGTATGCCGCCAGAAGGGCTCCGATCGTGCAGACTCCATTGCGTGCCCTTCGAGCCGTGCTTTCGGTGGATGTATCTCGGTCCGCTGCCACCTGGCGTAGCTGACCTCTCGGGGATGGTTGGCAGAGTAAAGCTGGTCTGACGTGAAAGATCAAGGCTGGAGGATGCTATCGACACGGACCCCTGCGAGGACGTGGAGCCCTGCCGCTGCCTGGTACTCGTGGGTGATGAGTGCAGGGATTGCTGGCTGCGAGAAGAACCAGGCTTCTTGTATTGGAGCATTTGGAGGTCGTCATCGGAGTCGGACTCGATAGCGACATCATCATCGTCCTCGTTGTGGGTAGGTTCCGATTGGGGGGGTGGTGTAGTGGGCCACTTCTCCCAGCCTGTCTCCTCGTCGCGATTTCTCTGGCGTTCCTCCTCTGCCTTCTTCGCCGCCTTGTCTTGCTGACGGTCCTTGCGGTCCTTGAAGGCTTTGTACGGTGATTTGGGCATTTCGACGTCAGGTGGCCCGAAACAGATGATGATGTTGATCGAAGAGAAGCAGGAACTTGAGGTGATTGTTGCGCATTACATGCGGGGTGGTGTTTGCCAACCTGGTGCAATGAGTCTGAATATCGAGTCACTGGTGGCTGACGGCACACTTCCATACCCCAACGGAACGTACACAGTGACTGAAATCACGCCCTTGGGGAACTTCGCAGAAGAAACTGACATGCTAAAGGGTGCCTGTGAGATTAAGTGATTCAGCTGCAACAACCGCCAACCCACGAGACCCTCACTTACGGTCGTGATATCTTGCCATCATTTTATTGAGCTGGACACCATATACAGTATTCACCACGTCTACCTGCCTTTAAACACAGGCTTCCGCTTCTCGCCAAACGCCCTCAGCGCCTCGATTCGGTCCTCAGTCGGCAGAGTCAGCTCGTAAGCCTTATTCTCACTTTCCTCGCCCTTCTCCCATCCATCAATCGCCTGCATCGCTGCTCCGATCGCAACAGGCCCGCCCTCGCAGATATCCCTCGCCATGCTCACGGCAGTCCCCATCACCTTGCCTCTCGCAGCACCCGGTATCTTCTGCTCCTCTTCTGTAATCTCCACCAGCCGGTCTGCGAGTCCGATGAAGTATGCTTCCGGGCCTGTCACCCTGCGCCCAGTCAGGATAAGGTCGCGCGCTCTTGTCGGCCCGATGAGGGCAGGTAGACGGTATGTCCCACCGGCGCCTGGGATGATGGCTAGACGAGTCTCTGGGAGGGCGACAGTCGCTGTCGAGGCAAGCACACGGAACTGCGTGCAGAGTCCAAGCTCAAGGCCTCCGCCGAATGCAGTGGAGTTGATTGCGGAGATGGTAGGGATTGGGAGCTGTGCCAGGCGGGCGAAGGTGTTGCGGAGAGTCTTCAGGAAGGCGTGGACTCTGGAATATATAATGAGCATCTAGACATACACGGAGTGATTAATGCCATACTCTTCCTGGTTCATGCCCTTTCTCTCTTTCAAATCTGCACCCGCGCAAAAGGCGTCGTCCGACTCACTCGCCAGAATCAAAGCCCGCGTGCTGCCCTTCCCGCCCTCACGATGCAGTCCCTCGACAACACCATTCAACTCGGACAGCAGCTGGGTGGAGAGAGCATTCCTCGCCGCGGGTCTGTTCAATGACAGCACGGTAATGCTTCCCGCATGAGGCGCCGGCACGCTCGAGATCTTGATGGAAGACGACAACGCGCTGTATGCGCGCACATCCTGCTTCAGCCATAAACCATATCGAGCGGCGGGACGCTGCACAAGACGGAGCATGACAGCGATGTCTTTACCCGGCTTCTTCGACAAGTGAAGTCCACCTTCTGCCACACACTCCAAGCCACGCCTCGGCACATCCGCACTCCCCTGCAGAAGATCGACTCCCCGGCCCGTCGTCTGGAAACGGGCCTCATCATCCCTCCCTCCAATCACTCCTCGCAGACCACAAACGTTCCTCTATCTCCCATCCTAAGAGCAAGGAATCTGACGACATCTCCAGCCGCTACGGTGGCACCGATTCTGCATATTGACACCATGGAGCGATGACTGGTTGAGCATTCGTAGATCGACACCTACACCACCTGCAGCCAACTGTATCTGGAAGGTCGATTGGTCCGGCCAAACACAGTTCGAGGCAGCTGCAATATCAACAATCTGACCCACATGGAGGCCATCCACGACCAGGTACAAAACCTAACGACGTCCGGCTGGACTTCTATCCCACCTTCACTTCGGTCATACAGCATCGACAACATGCCTTCCTTCCGCAGTGTGTCGAACTTTGCAGTTGCAGCACTGGGCTCTGCGCAGGCCGTACTAGGTCTGCAAAGCCATGTCCTCCGTGATAGTGCTCTCAGCGGCCAGTCTGCTTCATGCAGCAACAACGGTCCATTGTCGTGCCACAACAAGACTGAGGTAGCGAATTTGTGCTGCTTCGACTATCCCGGTGGCTCCATCTTGCAGACGCAGTTCTGGGATGTCGACCCTGCTACGGGTCCTGACGACAGCTGGACTGTTCAGTAAGACTTCTATACCTCCACTTCAGACAATTACTGACTGCTTTCTTCAGCGGCCTCTGGCCCGACAACTGTGACGGCACCTACGAGCAGTACTGCGATGAAAGCCGCCAGTACACCAACATCTCAGACATCCTCAAGGCCGATGGCTACACGGATCTCCTCAGCTACATGAACACCTACTGGACCTCCAACTCCGGCAGTGCTGAATCCTTCTGGGAGCACGAATGGGGCAAGCACGGCACCTGCATGTCTACCTTTGACACAAAGTGCTACATGGACTACCAGCCCACGGACGAGATACCAGACTTTTTCCAGCGGACCGTCGACCTCTTCAAGACGCTCCCATCGTATGATTGGCTCAAAGACGCGGGCATTGTGCCGAGCACAACCAAGACATATTCGTACGCCCAAATCCAGAAAGCGCTAAAGAAGGGCCACGGCAAGAAGGTCTATCTCGGCTGCACCAGCGATGGCCAGCTGGATGAGATCTGGTACTTCTTCTACGTCCGTGGTAGCATCCAAACAGGCGACTACGTCTCGGCAAACACGCTCACAGACTCTTCATGCCCGAAGAGCGGTATCAAGTACCTCCCCAAAGGCAGCAAAGCCTCTCCCACAGCTACGACCACGACCACCGCCCCGACTTCCACCTCCACTGGCGGCCCATTCGAGGGTAAAGGCTACCTGAACGTTATCACCTCTGGCAACAAGAAAGGCTGCATCATCTCCGGCGGGACGTGGTATACGACAGGTACTTGTGCTGGCTTCACCACTACAAGCACCGACGACGGCTTCACGCTTACGTCGTCCAAGGGCCTGTGCGCGGTGCAGGATGGCAAGTTGACGTGTTCGTCGAGCGTCACCGACGGGTCGGTGTTCACGGCTGATGGGAGTGACTTGGTGTACGATGGTGCGAGCACGTTCCATGCTGATGCTGTGCCTTCTGGGAGCACGCAGGGTGCCGTGTATACCAGTGCGGATGGGCATGAAGTGGAGTTGAGCATTGAGTGGCAGAATATTTAGGTGGTGATATGTCCTTAGATTTTAGACTAAGACTCCCACTTTCTACCACACATCTTGACGCCATCGCTATCACGTGCTTCCAGCCGTTAACATCGCTTTTCACTTGTGATATTCTAAGGAGGCAATTGTTCTTAAGGTTTAGGCTACGGGTCTTGCCGGTGCTTGATTTGGCTTCAATCTCACTTCCCTACTCGTCTCTCTCGATCCCCTCGACTATTGAACTAATGTGAAGTGAGATGGTCGTACAGAGGCAGTACTAGAGAACCATGCTACACACGTCTCACTTACAGCTACATACTATCACTGAGCACCTCCCCAGTGTGATTGGAAATCTACACCTACCGCCCGCTACTCCCTCGTCTGCATCATGAACCTATGCTCAGCAGCAGCAATCGGATCACATCCCACATCCGCCATCATGTCCCGGTGGTCACTCTCCTCAACACCCTCCTTCACCTCTTCCGCCGCCAGCCTCGCCTTGTGCAAAGCCTCGATGTGCCACGGCTTCCGGAACTCCCCGACTGTCACCGAGTTTAGCCCTTTGATGGCATGCTCCAGCAACAGAGCGCTAGCGTAGGCGTCACGCATCTGCATGTACTCGAACTGCTCCTCTTCGGCCAGGTTCGAGAGCCCGGGAGGCATCAGCTGGCCGCGCCCTTTCGCAGAGAGAGCATTTTGAAGGTTACCAGAGGCTCCTTGCGGCCTATACAACCAGCTTGCCTCAGTCGGCACCGCAGTACTTCTAGGCACATTCTGAATCTCAGGACCTGGACCGAGCATGCTGCTGTCGTCCGTCGTATTATGGCTGCTCGGGCCTGTGGTGTCGCTGCTGGCAAACGTCGGCCATGTCGCGCTCTTTTTCGAGGGAGCAGCACCTCTCAAAAACCCCTCAACATCCGACCCTAGCGGCGGGTCCTGTGACGCCGATGAAGCAGAGCGAGAAGCAGGCTTCAAAGCATCTCCAAGTGCATTGAGCTTTGAAGCAACCTGCTTCCATGGGGACTTCTTTTTCTCGGGAGCCTCTGGGACTTCAGGTGGCTCCGGAGTGATGTCGGTGTCGCGTAGGTAGGGTGGGGACATCTCAATCTGAGGAGGGGGTTCTGGTCTTGATCCCATGGCTGCATCTAACCTGGTAGGTACTCTGACTACGTTCGATGGCGGAAATATAGGAGCACCGCTATCACCAGGCCGCCTCACATGGTATCTCGCGGGTTGCGACCGGCTGCCCTCGCCGCTACCACTCTGGACATCGGTAGACATACGAGGAGGCTCCCGATGCGGTAGCGGTGGCGGTGCAGGCAATGGCTTACGTGCGGTCGCTGTCGGTCCTGAGCTGGAGAAGCCGGTCAAGGATGAGGCTGTGTTGGTTGTTGGTCGCTGTCCTACCGTGGGTGCTGTCCTCTGCGCTTCTTGGGACCTTGGGTCGACTGGTCGATCGTTACCCCGGTCTCTACGATCTTCGGTTGCTCGAACCTTCTGCCGACGTGTGTCTGACATCTTCTAAACAGTTCGAAGAGTGAGTGGCTATACCACTTGAGATATTGGTCAGTGTGGTATGATGTATAGATGCTAATTGATGAAGCAAAGTATAGTATGGTAAAGATATGCTGGAGGGTGACAAGGTGAGTTGCACCACCTCTTATACAAATGGTGGCTCCATTGATTGCTAACAATAGGTCGACTGATGCTGTGATTGCTCTCTGAGTAACACGGGTAGATCAGGGTCAGCCTTGGTTTGCTGCGGTATGTTCTGGTGAATGCTGCTTCTCCATCTATCACTCATCTGAAATTACGGAGGGAGACGACGGTGAACACTGGACGAACAACAACCCTTCCCGGCTTTGGCACATCATTCGGCTCATGGAACACAGACGAGGCACGGCTCTGGATCTGGACGCAGCAGCAGAGTGGAGAAATGGGATGAAGAGGTACAAGAACGCATCAGCTCATTCTCCAAGCCCGCGCTCGCCCCTCTTCCACTGAACTGGCATTTGGCTATATACACAGAACGTACCACGCATGCATGTCACTCCGCACTGGCAACATCACGACGAACACGCTGCACGAACTCCACCCTTGCACTACCCTCTGGGATAACCTCCGTCAGTCACGGACTCTAGCCCGCTTCTGGTGCAACGGCCATGCCACTACGTCTTCGAGCATCTGGCTGCTCTACACAATTCGGCGAACAGCACTCACCGCCTCCTTTGGTGCTGCCCTCTCGCTCTCCTCGACGGCGTTGACGCCCGCTCGAAGTCTTCATCAAATGAATACCTCCCACCTCTCTGGCTCGGATTAGCGTTCTCGCCAGCAGCAGCACCCGCCTGGAACAAACTGGACGGCGAACCACCCGACGCCCATGCGCCCTCACTCATTGTTGACCGACGGGTCGCATTTTGGTTTCTGCCCCTCCCATCACCGCCGAAGGGATCAGCGTTAGAGTCGTCGCCAGACTGTGTGGTGCTCGCATTCTGAGATGCAGCTTCTGAGCTAAACGAGCGCATCCGTATCTGTGGGCGTCCATCAAGGGAACCGGTCAAGCGCCTTGCCGGAGACCTCACCAGCCCTGATGACTCTCTCTCCGCTGGGTGATCGGCCTGTTCAGGAGTTGACGGCCGAGGCTCTTCACGTGGCTGGTCAGGAAGTACCGGCATAGGATCGACGATTCCATATCGAAAATCGATGCTGTGGTATGCAGGAGGTGGGCCAGGCGGCCGCGGCTGCTCTGCAGATATCTCTATCAGATTCTGCTGGATTCGTTGAAGAGCCAAATCTTCGGCCCGACGCCTCTCCAGGCGTCTCTCTTCGGATTGCTGGCGTGACACGGAACGAGCACTGGAAGTGTCTGCGGCGGGTCGCTCACCATCGGAAGTGCGACCTCGTGAGCGATGGTTTCTCGATGAACCACCACCCGATGGATCCATTGTAAAAATGTCTTGGGTCGATGTGAGACTCTCTTGCACAAGCTGGACTGGATCTGAGGTGCTCGAGTGGATGCTTGAAGTCTTTTCACGTGCAGAAGAATCGAATCAGAGTGTAGTTGAGTGTTCGGAGACTAAGCTGGTCTACTCATACGGCAGTCCTGATATAGAGACGCTCGTTTGTCTCCTGCAGACCGACCGTGCCCTTGATTGCTATATGACTAACCCCAGACTCACAGAGGCGGTTGAGCTATGAGCTGTTGCTCGTTGAGCCTGCGGTATGTTTGCCTCCCCCATCGCCCTCACACACCTGGATACTGACAACGCAGAGCGTCGAAGCAGGCCAAGGTCGAGGATCCAGATCCACAAACTGTCTACTGTGATCAATCGACATCGACTCGCGGTGTCAGACCCTTGTCTTGGCCAAAGAGCACGGAAGTATGATCTGGCTTTGTACATTCAGAGGACCAGAACACTGCATTGAGACTTCTACAAACATGGCCAGCCGAGATGGAGAGTCATACCAACACTCAAAAGCTTTTGAAACCACAACAACCATCACTCCGGACTCAGATCACGCATTCCATGCACGCCGGCCATCGGATCAGCAAAAGCAACTCCTGCTCGTCCAATGTTTGCTTCGACCTCCTCCGGCCCCGCCGCTCTGATATCTCTCCCCTCCTTCTTATACTTCCGTGCCAGCGGATGGTCTTCCAGATCATCTTTGATACACATTGCAGCCACCACCGTCGCACTCATACGCTGGGCGTAGTCTCTCTTGAAGAGCTCGGTGGGCCAGCGCTCGGAGGTGGCAATGATTCGATCAGCGGCACGTTCAATCGCAACTGCATCAGCGTATACCCGACACATCTTGTCGAATGTCTTGGGATCGCTAGGATAGCGAGATAGACCTTCCATGTCATCTGGAGCAGGGCTGCGGCGCCAGGAGTATGTAGGAGGGTCCAAATTGAACACGTCAAGCCGTTCAGTCTGAACATGCTCATGGTATCGCGCCGGCTGCATATCCAGCTGATGCTCATTGTGGAGCGTTGATCTGCGCCAGTCTTGTCGGGACGTTCCTGGTATTTTTATGGGAGCAGTGGTGGAGGAGCCGGTATCAGGCGCTGTTGGCAGGTTTGGCAGTTCTTTATGCTCTGTTCCGGCGGTGCCTCTAACGGCGTCTCGTCGCTGTAGTGAGGTCGACCGTGGACGCTCAGATGTCTCGGTATTGGCCGGCATGGGCTGACTCATCCTTTCCATGCTGCTGCTGTTGCCAATGTCAGCTGCCGGCCTTCAGGGATGAATGTCCACTCACAGGTCGCTCGACGGGCGCGGCTGCGGCCCCTTATCCTTGGGATGGCCCATCAAGCTGGATGCCGTATCCTTTGCGTCGCTCTGCAAACCTCCGCTGCCGCTCTTCGGGAGTAAGCTGGAAGGAGTTTTGCTGGTTATGAAACTCAGGAAGCTGAGAATGCAACTTTGCTACAGGCATTCCCAGTCGACGGGCTTCCTTCACTAGTTGTTGCTCACGTCGGAGCTCTTCCAGCTCTTCGTCCTGCTGTAGCAAACCTCTGCTTTGCTGTCTTCGAATGAGGGTGTCACTTGTGGTACCGCGGTGAGCTGGCGGTGCGATTTGTGGTCTCTTGCCATCCCGGTTGCTCGTGACACTTCTCGTTGCGTCAAGGGTGTCGGCAGTACCACCAACTATCCGTGCTTCGTCTGTACACTCAACGCCCTCCTCGATCGAGGCCAAGTCCTCATCGTCAGGCGCCGTCGGCGGACGGTCCCCAGCAAGATACCTTTCATGATTATCGTCATGTACTTTCCGCTGCCTTGTTACATCGTGGACTTAAAAGAAGTCGATGCAGGCTGGCTTGGCTGGTCTGACTGCTTATGCGGTCTGGACAGTGTCTTCCCCTTGTGTGGGCTGAGTGTGGACAAGAACTTCATCATGTCGGCTTGTCTTCGAGAGTGGGAACCGTCGTACTGCTTGAGAGTACTTACAGTTCAGTGGGTGGACAATCGAGCTTCACAGGCTTTGACGTGAAGGTCAGTACTGCAAGGCTAAGGAATATATTCGAGCAAGGCCAGCGCTCTTTCTCTGCGCACATTTTATTGTTCGAACTCTGTATGACTGGACACTGACTGATCACCGGCTATATTCACCTACACCATGACGCAGCGTGGATGAACGGTGCAAACCCACTACGGTCTCTCGCTTGCAGGTAGGCAATTCTCCGAAGAGCAAGGCAACGGCGCTAAAGCATGGAGGCGCCTCCGATTGGTTGGTATTGCTCAGGCGATCGATTTACACAGTGCGCGCAACTGATCAGTTTTCATGGCCATTTGTTGCTTCTAGCGGAAGACAGCTATCTTGCGTACATCATGAGTGGTATAAGGTGGTGTCATCATCGATTCACCCGATAGAAGGATGAGCGTCTCCCAAAGGCACAAACAAGCCGCAGAGCATATATTTCCGCTCGAGATCGAAATGCTCCGAAGAACATCCAGTACACTCTCAACAAGCTCAACCACTGACAGCTGGTATATCACGCCAGTACTGCCTTCCGAAATCTTCACCGCACGTAAGACCACCAAACCATGTCGGACGTCGATGCACAAACTATCAACAGAGGCTGTAGGAAACGCAGCGCTGTGTATGATCGCTACGATGTCGTCGCCAATGCTACAACTCTCATTCGTCTGGCCACCATCCAACGACAGCTGGATCTCCTATCAAAAGAACTCTCTGAATCACTCCCACATTCCAATCTACTAGAGCCTCCCTTCAAGGACGGCATAGAGGCCTGCTGGGTACATATCAACGATCTCGTACAGCGACTTTACAAACACGACGTTCAGAGGATGATGGAGGGGATAAAATCTCAAATGAATCCCCCGCCGCCCTGTCCGTGGCAACTGGCCCTTGACAATATTGGTCGTGGCTTAGCTGCGCAGGCTGATGAAGAGGTCAAGAGGCTAGCAGGCGGTGGCATGCGACTGAGTAGTTGGGATGTATTCTCTTGATTTTTCGAATTCAATGCTTCATTATTAAGATTCCTGAAGGATAGATGGGCCAGCTGTATTTGCTCTCTAGTGCTCAAGCGCCTGGAACGGACACAATTGCTCTTTAGGGTAGTGCTCGGGATCGCGACATAGTATGACGCGTGTCTGCCATAGCACAAACAAGCCGCAGAGCATCTATGTCCGCTCGAGGTCTAAATGCTCCGAATAAAATTATTACTCGCTCCTAATGCAGTACCTCACTAAGATCTGCCTGTACGATTACCAAATCGTGTCGGACCCCTTTATCAACACAATCGACAGAGGCGGTCGAGATCTCAGCATCCAACTATATGGCCGCCACCACGTCGTCGCCAACGCAGTAACTCTCATCCGTCTAGCCACCCTACAATTGCTGGACTGTAACAATTGCTGGACTGTTGACCTCTTTGGCCACAAGCCACCATTCAACCTGTCTGAGGAGGCGCTAAAGCACGCGGTGGATACGTGCTGGATACAGATCCAAGATCTTGCAGAGAAGCTCCATCGAGATCCAGTTCAGGAGACAATGGAGGAGGTCACATCAGCGCTGAATCCTATAGTACGCTGCCCATGGTAATTGGCGCTAAACCACATTGGCCGTGACATAGCTACGAAAGCGGAAGATGAGATCAAGGCGCTGGGTAGGCAATGGCAAGCGGCTGGTGAGAGGCCTTGACGTAGAGCAGTGAACGGTATGTGTGATATGTACTTAGAAGTGTTTACATGCCGCTACCACCAAGTATGCTTCTAACCTTCCAGACTCAACGTTTCGTTGCGAAGGTCTCAGTATGACAGGATCCGTTTGCTCACGAATAGCGTGCCACTGATACGCATGGTCTACATAGCGGTACTGGGGTCGCATTCCTAAAGTCAAACACCCGCGGTCATAGCACAACCACAGGAGCTTAGGGCTGTGTAGCTTGTGCACCATTTACTATTGCTGGTGTGCACAGGCGGCAAGCACGTACGTATATATGTGCCGTATTCCATGGAGTTGGCCTCTCGCATTCACTGCTTCCTATACATAAGCATAGATACGCATATATCTTTGCCCCTTTCCTACCATGACCGAGACTACACACTCCGAATAAACCCTCTTTCCCTCCAACCTCTTCCATCAACCCAGCATCTCCTTGGACTGACGAAATGTCTTCGCTTGGAGCTAAGCGTCCTGAAGCTGGGCCAGATGAGGGTTCCGATGTCATCGTCGTGAAGACTGCTCTACAACTCCTTGAAGACTTTCAAAGGACTACGACTGCGGGTTTACAGCCTCCACTTCATCGATATGGTACCCGCCCTGTGCAGACCGAGCGTAGCCAAGACGAGTCAGTACTAGAGAACGATTGCGACCGCTCTCAGTCATCGGAGGAACAAGATCCATCAACCGCTTCCGGAGAAGAGTCTGAGGCCGAGCAACAATTGAGAGATGTTATACTAGAGGATCATCGCACTGGCGCGAGGAATCTGTCTCGAGCGGGGACTCCAGAGTTGCTCCGAGACTTCTGTCGACCTCACGATGCACAGATTGAAACGTCAGTAAGGCTTTTCCGGTCGCCTACGATTCTGTGCCAACCTCTCAGAGCAGGACCAGACGTGGCGGCCACGACCGAATGATTTCAATGGCTCATGCTCAAATCCGTCTAGCACTGATTCAAAAGTTGATCAACGACCTGCTCCACAGCATGACGTTTCCCAGAATCCCCAAGACGGGAGCTCAGGCAGGAAGGGACCAAATCCGAACACCTTGGACGACCGATGAACAGACGCAGGATGTACTGGCCAAAACATGGATGGACTTGGGTGAGATTATAGGCCCGATTCATACCAGCAACGACTCCAAGGTGATGGAATACCTGACCTCCAGGAAAGTGGTGCACTCGTCATCGATGATTGCATGCGAAGAGATTGCGTTCGAGCTGGCGGAAGTGTTAGAAAGGAATGCCGGCAGATGACTGAGTTCTGGCAGCCTGATGGTGAAGACTATCAAGAGTTGCCCATGAACAGGTAGAGCACCTGTTGCATGTCGTTAGACCGGAGATCAGATAGTGTATAGTCCGTAGACAGGTAGCGGGTATGGTTTGCCCACACGTCTGTGTCACTGTGTCTGTTGCTTACTTCTGCTTCTAAGTCGGGACATTGATTGGTATAATGTCTGACTCTTTCCATGGGGCCCGTTGATGACCGCCCAGGCTGACAAAATCCTGGGAGAATGACACAGCGCTTTACGAAGGGACACTTCGAGGCGGGTGACAAGCTGCTATCATGGTAGCGCTGACCCTCCTTTCGTGCTTTTAGCTGTGTGTACGTAGGTAGATATGTAGCAGGTCATGTCAGACTCACAACCTCAAAGTTCCCTAACGCTCCATGGAAACTCAACGTCATCATCGAGAGAGCGTCTCGTATCATATTCTCACTCCCCACGCCACACTACCCGTCAATCCACCACCCTCAACATGCGATACGCCTCATGCCCCACGGCCTTCCTCACCACCGCCATCGAATTCTGCTTCTTCTTCTCCTTCTCCACCACCACCTCCCCATCCTCTCCCACCTTCTCCACAACCTCTTCCTCCTCCTCCTCCCCAAACCCACCACCATCCAAAAACACCTTCAGCATCCCCTGACTGTACCCACTCACTAACGCTGTCCCTTCTTCACTCGCAGTCACCGGCTTTGGCGCAGCGTCATCCCCCGCCATCGCTCGTTCGTACTCGGTCAAGCCATTCTGCTGATAACCCGCTCGCCCACCGGCAAGGTTCCAGAAGATGAGACGCGGCATCTCATACCCAGCCTCCTTGAACTTCTTCTGGATGCGCTCGTACGAAGTACTCCACCTGTCTTCACGCCCATGCCCCCCTGCTTCGTCAAACTGCATGTCGGAGAACACAAACACCTGCTTCACCATTTGCTCTTGCGTGAGTTTGTGCTCGACGGCCATCGGCAGGATGAGCTCTTCGAACACCGCCACGAAATCAGTGTTGCCGCCCCAGTCCGCGCGAGAGATGTACGTGACCTTCTGTTCGAAAGTGCGCTTATCGTCTTTGCCACCCGCTTGGATGATCTGCGGACGCTTCGAAAAAGTGATCATGGCGCCGCCGAACGGCGGTTCGGTGACTTCAGCCAGGAGAAGAGCCAGACCAATGGAGGAGTCCATCGGAGTTGTGCCGTCGGCAAAGCGCGGACCACTCATCGAGCCAGACACATCACAAACAGCGATTGAAGATTCAAGAGTCCCGGAATCTTTAATGCGCTGGACGAGGGTGTTCCATTGAGCGTCGACGGTGCGAGCTTGGATATCGCGGAGCTTCTCCTCTACCATAGAATCCGCTCCGTGTTGCTTCGTGGTCATTCCCATGAAACTGTTAGGCATCACCACGTTGACGAGAGTACTGGGTAGCAGAGTCGCGCCTGAGATCTTCTTCTTGCCCGACGCCACGTTCTCGATATACTGGTCAAAATGGTCAAAGTCCTTCCTGGCGAAGAGTCGCGTGTACTGCTTCATCGCCAAAGAAGGCACTCGCTCATATTTGATGTTGGAGAATGTCTCGTCTGTAATGTCACGCTCAACGATGCTTAGGTGCTTTCGCAACGGCGACAGGGTCTTGGACTGGTAAGCGATGCGAGCATACTTCAGGTACAGCTCTCGGTCGTCGGGATCGACGCCTTCGGGACAGACACTGTCGAAAGGATGGAGCAGCTCAGCAATGGTGGAGACGATGCATGTATGCTGATCGTGGGCGCCTTTGTGGGTAGGTGCCCATTTGCCGGCCAAGCTGATGAGTTTAACCTCCGCTTTCATTCCGGACTGCAGTCGAGCGAGGTCTGTCTTCAGCTGGTCGGCGAAGAGGCGAGCGACGGTGAGGTGAAGTGCTTGATATAACTTGCCGTTCTGCAACTTCTCCACAGCACGATCATGCCTTTCGGAAGTCACAGCCTTCTTGCGTCCTGCAGTCCAGTCCCGCTTGTACTTCTTCTCGGTCGGCTTCTCCACGTTTAGCACGGCCTTGGGACTGCCATCAACTTTCAGCTGGTCGGCGGCAGCAAGAGTGAGGATGTTGAGCAAGTCCTTCCAGTAGCCGTGCGAGACGCCATACTTGACATCAAACTCCGTCAGCTTGTCATCCTCGTCCAACTTCAGCTTCTTCTTCTGTGGCTCTCCCTCGAGCTTGTGGTCTCCGTCGTCTTCACCTTCGACCATCTCAAAGTCACTGTCCACATCCTCCTTCTTGACCATCTCACCCTCCCCACCAAGCTCATTCTTCGCCTCCTTCGACGGTGCCTTCTTCGCTATCAGTGGTCTCACCAGCCACACCAGATTCTCCACAAGCGTGAGCGGATGCTCCTGTGCCAGCCAGCCAACCGCACGATAGAAGGTCGTTCTGCTGCTCTTTCCGAGATGAATGGAGCGCGAATTCCAGATGATCTTCAGCGTGGCTTCGGCGTCATCTGCCCAGGCGTGCTCCAGGACCTGCTTCAGTCTGTCGGCCGAAATCACATCCTCCAGCTCGAAGAACAGGTCAACCAGAGCCTCGCCAGAAGTCTTGTAAGCCATATCGGCATTCTCGGTGAGCATCTTGCCATCCCGAGAGTCAAGAGACGGGACAGCAGCCTTGTGCTTTACGAGGTTGTCAATGAAGGGTGCATTAATCTTCGCAGCAGCGATCTCGGCCCATGACTTGGTGTCGTTCGTGGGATCAGACTGTGGCGTGGCAGACGGTTTGACGTTTTCCTCAGCAGAGGCAGCGTCTTTCATACCCTCCGTTTCAGATGGTGTGACTTTCTCATCGGCAGGGCTGGTGTCGTCGGTGGGACCGGGCTGTAGCGTTTCAGACGGCTTTACGCTCTCCTCGGCAGCACAGGCTTCTTGCTTCGCTCGGATGGGAAGTGGATGGGCTGCAGGTGGGAGCAGAGTCCGGATGTGGGCGCGGAAGTCGTCTTTGCTGATGTGAAGTTCTGAAATATGTGGCAGAAAGACGGGGAAGGTGGTATTGATGAGGGAGTGCTGCTCCGTGGTGGCCGCGGCGGGCTTCTTTTCGTCGGCCATGTTGTCTGGGGTGATGCCCCGTGGCTCCTTGGCCTCACAGATGTGAAGTCAAGGTGGATGGGATGGTATTCTGCAAACCTGGAATGTGAGAAAAAGTCAAACGTTAGGGAAGGGGCGGTGAAGCTCCCAGCAACGACTGTCAGATGGCAAGAGCGGCTGCTGCACACCCGGGAAAGAGAAGCAATGAGATACAGAAGTCGAACATCAAATCTAGCAACAGCAAAGAACACTGAAATAGACAAAAGAAGAGACTTGGAGTCATAAGAGGAGTCAGAAATATCTTCGCACCGGTGTACGCTTTAGGCAACCGACGCAGTGAGCAAGAGCAAGAGTTGGCAAGGGCAAGCTGCTGCAGCATTCATTCGGCAACACGCTTACTTACTGCATTGCACAATACATGCTCCATATGATTGCCGACGACGGACTGGACGCCTTGAATTAGATAAGATCGTGAGGCTGGCCTGGATAAGCCCCATTCGACTGGGAATAGTCGGGCACGTGAATCTCTGGCCCGTTTGCGACGTTGGAGATGCGGACTTCTAATGACATCAGCATATGTGACGCCTAGCAGGTGTATGATGGTGTAAAATAAGGTAAGGTATGCGATGAAGAGGAGGAGGAGGAGGAGGAGGAGGAGATGACCCGAACGGGTTTTCTCGACGCTCGGACCATACCGCCGTGGACCCTGTAGTGATGCTGCGAATGCGAGGTGCAGGTCGCCCTTGCCATACTTCTTCCAACTCCATCCAACCTCACCTCTACTCTCTCTCTCTCCCCCTCCTCCTCTCTCTGTCAAGGCAAAGCATAATTCCACATCCCATCCACACACCAGCGTCGGATGGCGCGTCGTGTCGCAACATGATGCTGCTTGTGACTAGTCAGGACGAATTGTGCCGTCTTGGCTTCAGGCAATTACAATGGTGGGAGCGGCCCAGACTCCCAATGGCTTTGGAGGACTCGAATGGCTCCAGGCAACCATCAAGTTCAACTTCAAGATGGTCCATTGACAGTGGTAGGTACTTCATCCCATCGCAATGTATTCTCTTCACTTTCCATCGCTTTTGTGCGCTCTTGCCAGCCTCACCGCTGCTTCTCCCCGCCCCGACTATGCCGTGAAGGAGTCCCATTTCGTGCCTGAGGGATGGCGAGCAGTTGGAGACGCTCCCAAGGATAGTCCCATACAGCTTCATATCGGACTAAAACAAGCCAACGACTACGCCATCGAGAGCCATTTGCTTGAGATCTCAGACCCGAACCATCACCGGTATCAGCAGTATCTCAGTCCAGATGAGATCGCAGGCTTGACCCGGGCATCAACGGAGACGCAAGACCTTGTCAAAGCATGGCTCGAAGATCATGGCATCCAACGGCATACCTTGGACGACTCTCACAGCGACTGGATTGTCGTCGATGTCACCATCGGCATGGCTGAAGAACTCCTCCGCGCGAAGTACTCCTCCTTCGCCTCTCTGGACGGCGACGCCACTCTCTATCGGACGCACGAGTTCTCACTACCGCCTCACTTGCACAAGCATATCGACGTCATCCAACCCACTACTTCCTTCTTCCGTGCAGAACCGAAAACACCAACCATTGACGTCCTTGGTAACGACACCGACTACGGTTTCCTTCAAAAAAGAGCTGCCAGTGGGATCCCCGAAGAATGCGAGGAGTTTTCGGTGAACCCAACCTGCATCCGCAAACTCTATGGAGCATATGATGTATGAACACCAGATTCCTATCGCGCTGCTTTCAACTAACACTGTACCCCCACAGTACAAGCCTCAGCTACCCGAGAAGAACGGGATTGGCATCGTAAGTCGTCAATCTTCTTCTATCCTCATTTCACACTAACGACGCACCAGACAAACTTCCTGAATCATTCCAGCCATAGAGGAGACATGACCAAATTCTTGAAAAAGTACCGCCCCGAAGCTGTTGCTGCGGCAAAAGAATTCGACATCGTGCTCATTGGCGATGCGGCCGACAATCAAGGCCCATACGACCCAGACGACTACAGCTCTCAGGTTCGCAACGCAGAGGGAAACCTTGACTCCCAGCTTGTAGTCAGTACCTCTTGGCCGACTCCATTTACTGCATACAACACTGCTAGGTAGATGGCTTTTCGTTACTAAATTGGTCCCACCACTCCGTGGCATCGATGCTGATAGTGAGACAGTCTATCGTCGGATGGGGATGTCGAGCCTTTTGTGAGTCGCCCCTTCAACCCATAGCAGATGCGTCCGCTGACCACGTGCAAGATCCGATGGCTCAATTACATGCGGACTCAAAAAGACATCCCAAAAGTCATCTCCATCTCATACGGTGACAACGAACCGGACGTACCAGAAGCCTATGGCCGCCGAGTCTGCCGGGGCTTCGCAGAGCTGGGGGCACGTGGTGTCTCGATATTCGCCTCTTCCGGAGACAATGGTGTAAAGTCTCGGGAGGGCAAATGCTTGAAAGGGAGATTTGTAGCTCACTTCCCTGCCTCATGCCCGTGGGTTACGGCTGTAGGAGGGACGACAGGTGCGTAATACCATATGTTCGATTTGAGGCATACAGGCTGATTTCCTTCAGACTTCCGGCCAGAGCATGCAATGTAAGGATCTTTGGCTCTGATGAAACACCCGTCGTACTAATGCAGTTTCGTCGCAGGGACGTCTCTGGCGGCGGCTTCTCGGTATGCTCGATCGAATGATGCTAAATATCAACCATTGCCAGCTGAGCTTACCATGTCGCAGAACTATTTCAAGCGCCCGGGCTACCAAGATGGCGCCGTCGATACTTACATCACAGACCTCAAAGGCAAGCACAGTGGACTGTTCAACGCCGCCGGTCGGGGCTATCCGGACGTGTCGGCGCAGGGAGAAGGCGTTCGCACGACTCAAGCGGGCTCGACTTACTCGACTACGGGCACGAGCGCAAGTGCTCCGATCTTCGTAAGCTTAGCTGCCTCTTGGGAGTGATAGAACACGTATTGACCCGCACACCAGGCTGCCGTGATTGCGTTGGTGAACGATGCGCTGATCGCCAAAGGCAAACCACCGCTCGGCTTCCTCAATCCACGGCTCTACGCTGGAGGGTACAAGGCCCTGACGGATGTCGTGGGCGGACACAACGGAGGTCAGACAAATGCGCACCCTCCACGATGTCTTTTTGTGAACTGACCATGAACAGCTTGTGATGACGGAAAACCCGGGTTTACGGCGGTGAAGGGTTGGGACGCTGGTACGCTTCATTTTACACCATTTCGCCTGGAAACCGCGATGCTAACACCATTGTCACAGTGACCGGCTGGGGCACGCCGGACTTCAAGAAGCTCAAGGCAGCGGCGTTGAAGCAGTAAACTGGCGATTCTCATCATGATCTGCCCTCGTATGGGAATTTCTTTACATACTCCGCTAGAATCTCCAAAGAGATGTTGCTCCCGCCGCACACCACAACGACGACGTTAAATGCGGGTTGGAGATTGGGTAACAGCGTAGCTAAGCTACCATCATAGATCGGCGTCAAACAGACACCACAAGCAACCTCAACCAACAACCTCTGCTCCTCTGCTATCCTCCGGCACGCTTCCACTGCTGCTGTGTCTGACGCTACGCTCGACACCACCATATCTCGCAGGCCGTACTGCAAGGCTTTCGAGCTTACTGTCCGCGCTCCGAGACTGGTGGCGATACTCGTGATGCCGGGGAGGGTGACGAGTTCCTTCTTCTTGATGGCTTGATTGAGCGAGTCGGCGCCGAATGTCTCCATGGCGATGACTTTGGTCCGCGAGGAGAGGCCGGCTGAGTCGATTCCCTGGCAGATGCCGTTCATTAGGCCACCACCTCCTACGCTGCAGATTATGGCGTCAGGTAAGCTTCCTGGATTATTCTCGGCACCGTTCACTCCGTTTCCAGCTTCATCTCGTGTGAGTGGATAATGCCTCCCAACACCTTCCAACTGCTCCAAAATCTCCCCCACCATCGTCGCATTCCCCTCCCAAATCTCCTCCGCATCAAACGGCGGCACATACACCGCCCCCTCCCCCGCCTCCGCCATCAATACCTCCCTCAAATGCCGATCCGCCTCCGCCCACGACTCCCCCGTCTGCACGACATCCTCCGCCCCAGCTGCCCGCAGCTTCTCCACCATAAACGCCGACGTGCTCAAAGGGACGACAATGGTCGCAGGGCATTTGAGAGTGACGGCGGCGTGGACGCACGCTAGGCCCGCATTGCCGCCGGAGGAGCAGTAGAAGTGGACGGGATCTTGGTGGCGATGTAGGGCGGCGAGCATGAAGTTGCCGATGCCGCGGGATTTGAAGGACCCGGAGGGTTGGAGGTTTTCGAGTTTGAGGAAGATGTTGCTGGAGACTTTGTGAGCTTGTACTTGGGAGGGGGATGTTGGGGTAATTGGTTGGGGGATGAACCATTCTGCTATTTCGGAAAGTCGTTGTGACTTGATCAATGGTGTTTCGATCCACGGGATCTTTTCGGCTGTTGTGGCCATGTCTTCTGGATACGATGTTGTCTTGTCGATTGGTGTAGCTGTCTTGTGCGTCAAGCGAGATACCTGGACGACCCTTCTTTGCATATATACTGGCAATGCCAACGATGATCTTCCATTCTTTCCTCACCGGCCATCGGAAGCGATGTCCCAATTAGGAAGGTTAACAAGACGCTCGGGCCAGGTGAGGTCACTGGTATGGCTGAGCTCCAACCTCACCTGCCTTCGTTCTGCAACGAACATGTGACAAGATGACGACAACAAACTCCCTACACGAGCTCAAGCAGCTCATACGAGCCTGCCCCGTCATCGACAATCACGCGCACAACCTTCTCCGCCCCCACGGCCAAAAGACTAGCGACCTCCTCACAATCACCACTGAAGCGTCCGGCGAGGCTCTTGAAGATACTCCAACCTCGTTAGCACACCTTCGAGCTGTACGACAGTTGCGGAAGCTGTACGACCTTCCCGCCGATGCAGATTGGGCGGCAATCTTGAAGAAGCGAGCTGAGCTGCTTGACGGTGACGCGGATGCCCTGTACAAGAAGTGCTTCGAGGGCACACAAACTATCCTGGTCGACGACGGCCTCGCAACAGCAGATGCAGTCGAGCCATACTCCTTCCACGACAAATACACCCTCTCGCCCTGCAAGCGCATCGTGCGGATCGAAACCGTAGCAGCAGACATCCTCTCCGCGCTCTATCAGCAGAACAAGCTGCCAGCCGGCGTTGCCTTAGCAGACGAAGAAGCATGCAGTCTGGCCTGGTTGGCGTTCATCACGGCTTTCGAGGAAGCCGTAGCCGCTCTCCTTGGAGACTCAGAGGTTGTCGGCTTCAAAAGCGTCATCTGCTACAGAACTGGACTGGACATTCGCCCGCGACGAGACGTGGAGATCACAGAAGATGGCCTGCGGAGTTTCAGAAGACATTACCTGCCGGAATGTGTGAGTCGCAATTTCCGGGTTGAGGCGAAGGGCATGAACGACGCTCTCGTGATCAGCACCTGCAAGCTCATCGCAGCTGGATATCGACAGCAAGGCGTTGCGAAGCCGCTGCAGTTCCATACTGGGCTGGGTGACAACGACATCAATTTACTGGACGCCAACCCGGCATGTCTCCAGCCACTGATCGCTCACTTCCCGACAGTGCCTGTGGTGCTTCTACATTCCAGCTACCCGTACACCCGCGAGGCTGGATATCTGGCCACAGTATATAAGAACTGCTACCTCGACATTGGCGAGGTCTTTCCGATGGTGTCTCGAGACGGGCAAGAGAAGATCGTTCGACAAGCGCTCGAGCTTACGCCATGGAGCAAGTTGCTGTTGAGTACCGATGGCCACTTCTTCCCGGATACTTACTGGCTGGCGAACGTGCAGGGACGAGAGGCTATCGAGAGGGTGATGTGCGAGTATGTGGAGAAGGAGGATTTGGAGGTGAAAGATGCGATGAAGGCGGTGAAGGATGTGTTCTTTGAGAATTCGAATAAGCTTTATGACTTACGGCTGAAGATGGAGGATGGAGGCAAGGAGCTACCTAACAGACCTAAGGAGGATCAAGCGAGTGCAGAAGAAGTAAGTCCAACAGATTCTTCGGGGTTGTCTTCCAATGCGTCACACTCTCAGCCGTTGCCAAAGGCTGACGGATTGCTATTCAGGACACTGCTCAAACTTAATCTACATCTCACATCCGCACACGCTCTGCCCTGCACATGAGTATTGACGATGACCTAGGCTTCCGGAAGTAGCCATGGTATGGCCCTCCAACCTACATCCCGCTACGCAAAGGCCTACCGGGAAGTCTTCCTACCTTTCACAAGAACGAACCCGCTCATTCATTACGTCTTTGTGCAATGGCTGGATTACATGGCCACATTGCGCACGCGGTGCTTGCCTATCTCCGAGTTCTCGAAAATGCTGAAGGTTGACAGCACCATCCGCATGACCTACGGTAACCTGGGCACTCTTCAGAATGACCACATGTCGTCTGTTTGCAATCCGGTCGGCTCGATATCCGTGGAGCCAGATATTACACTGGCAAGCTTGAGGCGCATGCAGTCCATCGGGCCCGTCAAGAATTCTGCAACAGTCATGGCAAGGTTCACCGACGATGCTGGGTTGTCGTTGGGACCCTGCCCAAGAGCACAGCTCGGAGAACTTGTCAGCGAATTCCAGAGAGATCGCGGTGTTGCTTTCTTGGTCGGCTTCGAGATTGAAGTGACATTCTGCAAGCGTCTATGGCCTTCCGAGCTGGATCAAGCGGCCTTCGCACCTCTGGACACAGCACACGCCTGGGGCACCTTTACCGACGAGCAGTACATGACATCCTTCGAATTGATGCTCAACGTTACTAGGGAACTCCGCAACACCGGAATCGAGGTCCAGCAAATGCACTCAGAGGCTGGCGATGGGCAGTACGAATTCGTGCTCCCTCCGCTTCCACCTGTCGAAGCCGTCGACACTCTCATCCAAGCGCGTCAATGCATCCAGCAGGTCGCAGCAAGCAGAGGGCTGAGAGCTACCTGTCATCCACAGCCTTTCCCAGGTATCGGTACAGCTGCTCATGCACACATCAGCTTCAACCGCAGCACGGAAGCCACTGATAGGGAGGATGTTGATTTGGATAGGACGCAAATGTCCTTTATGGCCTCCGTACTCGAACACCTGCCCTCTCTGTGCGCGATCACGATGCCACAAGCCGTGAGCTATGGCAGAGTCTTAGACGACTCGTGGACGGGTGGGACTTGGGTGGCGTGGGGTACGGAGAATAGGGAGGTCCCGCTTCGCAAGTCAGACAAGCTGAGGTGGGAGGTGCGGTGCTTGGACGGATGCGCTAATATGTATCTGGCTCTGACGGCCATCTTTGCCGCTGGACTGGCAGGTGTTAGAAGTGGGAAGGAGGTGGCGATGAAAGATTGCCTGAGTATGTCCTCCCTCTTCAGCGTGAGAAGAATACCGACTAACACGCACCAGAAAACCCGACACAACTCTCACCTGCGGAGAAGGAAGATCTCGGTATCACGAAGAAACTGCCCACCACGATTGCGGAAGCTGTCGAAGCCGCGGAGAACGACTCCGAGCTCGAGCGAGCGATGCCTGATGGCATGTTGAAGCACTTTCTCGCCATGAAGAAGGACGAGCAGAAGATGCTGAATGAGATGGACGATGGCGCGAGGCGGGTTTGGTTGATGGAGAGATATTGAAGGAGACTGTCCTTCGCCAAGCCGAACTCTTGGCACGAAGGCTTCGGTCGACCTCACCTCATCAAACACACGGACTGCTTGCCTCTTCTCCTGGTCACGAACGGCTACACCGCCACTACATGTACCCTACATATCACATCGGGACCAGTACGCCTGCTTATCGACCGTTCGGAGGGTTCCAAGCTGATTATGCAAACGCTCGAGCATAGCGGCTGCCGTTTCGTCTCGCACGACCTCACCTCATGGAGAACTGTCTTTGAACATCTGCTCTTGCTACCTTGTCTTTGACATACCCATCGGATTTCCACACGTACATGCTGCTGAGACGCTGTTCAATACCTCACATGTTGGAGAACGGCTTCATCGCTGCTACACTTACTGTCCATGGCCTTTCGACCTCTCAATCGTATTGATGATGGTCCTGCGGCTGCTATTCCTGGATCCTACAACCTCACCTCACGAGAACGGACTCTCATCCATTGTGAACTACATTGTTAAGGCAAGTCACTTCTCTATTGTCTCATCCACGACACCATACTTACATTGTCCACGATTATCTTTCTACCAAACCTCATTTCAAGTGACTTCCCCTCATTGTCCATACCATCCTATTGTGAGCGCAAGTATGACTTCTGAGCGATTTCTGCTCAACGATCAGTTTCTTTTCTCTCCAGCGACATAACCACTTTCTTCTCCAGCCTCCAAACAAGTTCAAAGCACTTCTTCTTCCGCTGTACCAGCACCACCACCACTCTGCAGGCAGAGTCAGCAACAGCAACAACAACAATGACACCATCGGAAGAACTTGCGGCGTCCCGTGTTCGCGTCGGTCGGCTGCTGGCAGCTGACGGCGATCACGGGTACGGAGTGAAGGCTTGGTGGGTCGGCACCTTCCTCGACGACGAAGAGATGTTCACGCCATTCGAGAACATGTAAGTTACCCTCCTCGCTCGCTGTGCTGGCGGCAGTACCCCCTCGTCAGTCGAGAAGCAGCAGTATGGGCCTGGTCCAAACCTGCTTCTCCTCTCATCATCCCCTACTGCCGCCACTACACCGATTGCTACAGCCCCGTACCACTTCTTTTATCTTCGAGAACCAGCTAACATTAATCAGGTTTGACATACCAACACCACCACCATCATCGCCCTCTCCGGCCGTCGCCGCCCCCGCCTCCACCACACCAACACCACCACCACCACCACCACCATCACCAACCCATCCCTCTTCGCCCTCCTCCTCCGCACCAACAATCACGCCTTCGCTGGCCCAGCTGGCAGCCCACATCAATCAGCTGCCAAAGCTCAAGGGCGGCCTCCCGTCGCGCAACAAGCTGCGCAAAGATGACGTTCTCCGCGGTGAGGTCAACCGCAAGACGGGTTATCTGCGGCTGCAGCAGCGCGGCGGGAGGTTGCGAGGCAGGAGAGGCGACCGGCGGTTGTTCGACGAGAAGATGTGGGCCCGGCTGTGCGACAGTCAGAAGCAAGAAGAAGAAGAGGGTGAAGCTGAAGTTGAAGCTGAAGAAGTAGTAGAAGGAGAAGAAGAAGAAGTGGCCGTGACTGACGAAGACAGCGCCCTGGGAAGGCGGCTGCAGAGAGAAGAGAGGGGTCTCCGTTCTCGACGGTAGACGGGGGGTGCTACGGCGGGTGTGGTGGTGTCGACGGGGTGTTTGGGCGGCAGAGAGGAGGGCTGAAATTTCATGAATGCTTTCTACGAGAAAGGGCTACTATACCTCAAGAATCCTTGTCCCTCCGCAGAGGTAGCAATACTGGACCGTCTCCGTTCCATCGCGCACGTTGGTGCACAACTGACACTCCGTTGGCACATCAGAGTTGTCGTAGTCCGCCTCAGCTTTTGCCGCAATGAGTGCATCCGCAAGTTTGACGAGGCAAGAGCAGCAGTACATCTTCTCCAGACAGTTGCACTTTGGGCAATTCCTTCGAGACCAGGAAACGCAGGGGTTGCACAGGGTCGCAAAGGCGCCATTGTCAAAGGCCGCCTGCTGCTCTGCTGTTATGGAAGCGAGGGTGGCGTTGTAGCATTCGTTGCACGTCTTCACCACCGGGCCAGTGTGTCCCGCAGCCTGGCATTCTCTCACTTCTTTGCAGTGTTCAGTAACGCTCAGATTGGTCACGCTGTACAGGTCAGTGCAGGCCGGGGCATCGTCACCCTCCTCCATGTTGTTGAAGGTCGACTTTCCGGTGAAAGGGACCTTAGGCTTACCCTTAGCCTTTGGCGGCGGCGACTGGACTTCCGGCTCTTCATCCACGTCCATCACGTCCTCGTCCACAGCCATGGCATCTTCTGCCTCCTCGTTAGCTGCAGACTCTTGCATTGGCTCAGAAGGAGCACTTACCTGCGACGCTGCGTCCGGCATTGACGAATCATCACCTCTGTTGCTGTCTTTCGCTGGAGAGGATGAAGTTCGGAGCTTGACCTTCTTTCCTGACGGCTTGCGAGTTGTCGAAGGACTAGCAACCGCTGACGGCGCAGGAGAATCCTGAGGAGTAGCGCTGCGAAGACGGGCGCCTCGTCCAGTGGTTGACAGAGCATCGCGACTCTCTGGAACTGGCAGACCGAAGCCGTTGTTGCGTCGGGCCTGCTCCAGTCGCGCATCTTCCTGCTCTGCGTCGACTTCTTTCCAGCCTCTCCAGCTGGAAGAACGGCGGGTAGACGGGCCAGCACCGCCAGGACTCTGTGTCATTCCTGCCGCTCCTTGGGTGAGAAACTGCTGCACCATCGTCTCATCGACATCTTCGCGAGCCACCCATTGATCCTCCGAAGGACCGTATCCTCGCCAGCGGATGAGAAACTCCTCCTGTCCGTTGACGAATCTGGTATTCCGGATCCTCTCGACGTAGAATTGGCGGTCCTGCCGCATTTCACTTGATCTCTTGGGAGGCATGTCGACGGATGAAGGTGGTGGTTGTTGTGGAGATGCGTGTTGCGATGTTTAGCTACCGGAGCTAGTATTGTTTGCAGTGTGTGGTATTTCTGGTTGTTAGCATGAGGGTGTGGCTTTCCACCAGTATATACAATGCATATTGTTGTGTATAAAGAAACTATAATCGGACCAGCGAAACAAAGGAAGGGGAAGAAGCATGGTGTCCATCGCAAAGAGAAGATAAAGGAAACCTGCACACAATGGGCATTGTTGGAGACTTGGGCGAGGTGGTTGAGGAAGATGGCCTACTTCAGGAAGGGTGGTGAGCAAGAGCGCAATGGAAGAGGGAGGTTCAAGTCTCGCCGTAAGATTGAGCTAGAGGTGGAAATTGGATGAAGTGGGACAGATGCGCAGCCTCACCTAGAGTGCCCTGCAAATGGCCGGAGCCCGTCGGGCCTTCCGCCGGAGCCACGGCATCGTTCATCAGTGCCTATTGACCTCCACCCTTCTTACCATGTCTCCACCCAGACACGCTATCTCGGCCAAAATCGCATCCCGATTGACCTCCGCCTGGGCTTTCTCCTTGTCCGCCGACTTCAGCGGCGTCGTAGAGTAAGACAGATGCAGAGTCCAGGGTCGAGAAGAGGTCTGCGGGTTCCAGAGTCCTGCGATAGCCGCTCGCTCATTCCCGCCGGAGAAGAACAGGATTGCAGAGCCGTACAGTCGCCCGAGCTCGTTGGTAAAGCCTGACATTGGGTCGAACCCGACCATCACCTCGTCGTCCACGTGGTCTATCTCCAGGTTCTTGAATGCCGCCTGTTTCGAAGACGACTTCCGCTTCTTGCCGGCAAGCTCAGGGTCGAGATGTAAGACAAAATCAAAGTCGCTCAGGGGAGACAAGAACAAAGAAGCTGGCTCCAACTGTAGCTGTCTCTCTTCAATCTCCGCACGAGCCGCCTTCGCCAATGCAGACATGCGACCGGCGACAACTTTGGAAGGCCTCCCATCTGTCCATGTCGTGCCTTCGGCATCGACGTTCGAGGCAGCGAATAGGACGACACGATTCAGCGCAGGATCCAGCTTCCGCCACGCCTCAAACTTGGTTGCAATGGATTGTCTCTCAGCTTGCTTCAAATCACCACCCTCGCTGAAGTCGACGATAAGTGGGTCATTTCGCCAATCCCACCTCGTAAGCCAGTTGAGGGTACGGTAGAAACCAGCCTGGACGCTGGAAGGCGCCTGCCAAGGCCATGGCTGTACGAACGTTCTTGCGGCGATGAGCTCGATAATTTCTTCAGGGATGTGGTTGAAGAGCAGGTGAGAGTCGAACCACTGTTTGAGCAGTCTTATGGTCCCACTCAATGCTGGATAGCGACTGCACAGCCCCGCGAAGGCTTGGGTGTGCGCCGGAGCCTTGATGTAGTCTCGCTTATACATTGCCAGTCCCACCGCAGCAGTGTCCTTTGCGCTGGGCTCAACCGTCTTGTCTTTGAGCATCCTTTCGAGAAGCGTCTGCTCTCTATCGTGGTGAATGCGAATGCGGAAGGCTGCACCAGAATCGTAGATGACGTCCAGAAATGCCTGGTTGAGCATATCATTGCCCTCGTTCTCCAAACCAATGCGAGGCGTGGCGCTGGTAAGAGACCCCGAAATCAAATCACTGAGTTTGAGCAGGAAAGCGACCTTCGTTCGTTGTATTGCAATCAGATCGTCAGGCCATCGAGCCGAGCCTTCGAACTGGAGAACGACGTTTGCGGGTTTCGGCCGTCGTGTTCTCATCGGTACGTCGTTGGCAGCAGATCGTAACTGTGCATCGGCCGGGCTCAGCTGGCGGATGGTCAAAGGTAAGCCGTCCAAACCTCGGACGTCAGCCTCGAACTGCTTGAAAGCATCCTGGATGGGAGAGAATGAAGCAGCGGTGCTGCCATGCGGCAGTTTCTTCTTGAGCCCATCACCAGCGAAAGTCAGACCATCAGCGGCTGGCCCTCCGAAATGCCATCGCAACAGATAGCGAACAATCTGCTCAAGCACAGACTCCCCAGCGTTCCAGACGACAGTCTCGGAGATGGTGCCATCCTTGAACCGTCGAAGCTCAGCCTTATCTCCCCAGAACTTGCGGAATGCGGCCGCTTGTCCCTTGTGTTCAGCAGAGGGGCCATGGTCGACAGTACGGTTGACTGTGTCCGGATTGATGGCAAAGCCGATTCTCAGCTTCCGTGAGGTGGTTGAGCCTGGAGTAGAATTATCAAGAGCCCACGACTCGGCCGAGTGAGGTATGATGTCGATGCGCCGGATTCTGTCGCCCAGCCCTTGCAACAGGACACTGTAGAGCCGCCTGCATGATTGTTGAGCGTCATCTGCATGCTTTGACGATAATTCGAGTGTGGTGGAGTCGGCCAGCTCTGCAACATGATCGTACTGATACAGAGCATTGTCCACTCGTTGAACGAACGCCGCCTCAAAGCCATCATAGTTCGGGTCATTGAGCATCTTCAGAGTCGTTCTGGCCTCCTCTCGCAGCTTCTTGTACGACCAAGGCGACATCTTGTAGAGCATGTTGTGAGAGCGCACTGCATCCCAAACCACCGGCAGATCGCTGTCAGGATGGCCAGGAAGAGTGCCTTCTGGTCCCGCGATCAGAGGTTGCTTGCTCAGATCCCGCACAGCCAAAACTTGCAATGTCGCCTTCAAAAGCTGGTAAGAGCTATATCTGTCGCTGAGGAGAGATCTGCCACCAGGCCCGCCGCCCTGTAGCAACAAGGCTACCAGTGTGCTCCACTCGAAAGAGCCAAAGCCCCCTGCGTGGAGATCGGAGGCAATACCCCGCTGGCGAAGCCATGTCCCTCCGAGTAGGCAGGTGTCGCGGAAGGCATCGCACGTTTTCGAAGCGGTGTTCAGCAGCTTGAGGTATGGCATCGCCAGCATCTCCGCCCGGAGAGATGAGTTGTAGAATGGCGTTGGCGGGGTAGGTAACTCCTTGGACGCTGCGCCATTGGTGGCTGCGGTCTGGTCTCGGACGCAGTTCTTGCTGGGAAGTAGCTTCTCTAAACTAAATGTGTCTTCAGTGATACAAGGTATGATATTGACCCGCCACCTCGCTTTGGCCGTAGCTTCGTTGCGTCCACGTTTAGACTCAGCCACCAGGACAGGCTTCAAAGGATCGGCGCCAAAGTTTTCGTAGCGGACGTGAATGTCTTCTTGATGCACTGACTTCAACCCACTAGCAAGACAGGCAAGGTAGTACGCTCTCTTGTAGAAGTACCGGTGGTTGAGGTAGTCCTTGTCCTGGAAGAGAGTCGAAGGCATACTGACTACCATGTCGATCTCCAGAGACTTGCCGCGACTAGCAAGCTTCAAAGGATGACTTCCGGCCACATTGACACCCGCAGGTTTGGCATATGCCAGTTTGTACTTTGCATCCTTTGGTGGCCGCGGAGACGGAAACGGTATGGCAACGCCGTGTGTCTTGCGCAAATCCTTCTCTGCCCCAGTGACAGAAAGCGGGTCCTTGTCGGGCAGCTTGTCGATTGTCTGCTTGATCTTGTGCAATGCCGCTTCTGCTTCGTTCTCCCTTTTGCCATGTCGAGGTCGCATCTGTTCCAGCAGCTCGTCCACTTGCAGCTTGAACAGCGAGCTCTTGAACGTTCCTGTCGCATATGCGCCGCTGCTCGTTGGTCGACTGCCAGATGCGATTCCATTCGATGTCCCAGTGGTGTTCTTCAGATCTCTGGCCGCAGTACGTCCTGCGCTAGGCCTCGTTTCTTCCTCATGCTCATTCTCGTCTTCACCATCCTGGTCGTCGCCATCCATAGAGCCGTCGCTTCCCTCTCGCTCGGATGCCTCCCCATCTACTCCATAGCCGACGATGCCATTCTCGGCTGCATCCTGTTCTTCCTCCTCGCTTCCGAAAGACGCAAAAGACGCCTCATCTTCGTCATCAGAGCTGACATGTTCCAGCTTCCGCCTCTTCGCCGCAGACGCCGCCATCGTTTCCGTGATATATTCGGAAGCGTAATCGGTCTTTCCAAAATTTCGAAGATGTCGCACTTAAGCTTTCGCGCCATGAGCGGTCCATCCCACGTGGCGCGCTAGTGCTTGTGCCGATCGCGGAGGTGCAGCAACAAAATGTTGTACGACGAAGTGACTCGATGATTTCGGCCTTGACTGCAATCTATCCGTGGGATCTGGTGTGTTATCTGAATAGGCGTTGGCAACATTGATCGCGCTTACAATTACACCACCACAATGCCCGGACTTCTACCCTTCAACGAGACGTTAGGAGAGACAATACCACCGAACACGCCACATGTGAGTACATTACGGTATGGAACACGATCAATGCTGACCCTTCTAATCAGGCGGTGAGTGTGTCGCTTCCAACATGGCGGTCGAACATAGGATACGAAGAAGGAGAGAGCTGGGTGGTCGACAAGATGCAATGTGGCTATCCGAGGTAACAGTCGTCAATACGCTTACAACTGTTGGATGAATACTGACCGACAACCAGATTCTTCATACACAAGTCGATCGAGAAGCTTGCGAGCAGTATCATCAAGCAACACGGGGATACCGCTACAGACAAGGCTATGCTTCTGCCTTCCCACCGGTGCGCAAGCCGATGCTCAGTGTTCCTTAAGTCTCAGAACCCGGATATTGATCCCTCCCGTATCCGCCACCTTGACTTCGTCCCTCGACAGGATCATCACGATTCTCACAGCAGCTTCGTCCAGCCTCGGGTCTCAGCCGTAATCTACCCGCGCGATCTATGGCCGACGGCAAAAGCCTTCTGGCAGCACACTGGCGAAGGCATCTCCAGCAGACGGGCTGATTTCTGTCAGCGTGCTTTCGACGAAGGACAGCTGGTGGAAGCAAGTTCTGCTCGCGATTCGCCACCGCGTGTAACGAAAGGTCCAAGACGGTATCAGCGGGTCTCCGTCGATTTGAAGAACAGCGCAGTCGTGAATGGCAACGGAGCCGCTATGGACGGCGTGCCACCTCCAGACTCTGCTCAGTTTGTCGAAGAAAGGTTCGGCCGCAATCTTGGCACTGGCCTGGCCAACCAAGCCAAGCTGGCCGTCCGCAAACGCATCGCCGGCAGCCTGACGAGCGCAATCGAGCTACCAGACTCGTTGAGTCACGCTGAAGACTTGATGAGGACGCGCAGTCGGGATGTTCCTGGCTTCTCCACTGATGATGTCTGGCTGTATCCAATGGGAATGAACGCCATCTTCCACGCCCACGAGACGCTAAAATCCACCCTTCGAGAAGCCAAGAGTGTCATGTACGGCTTTCCATACGTCGACACGCTCAAAGTCTTGGAGAAGTTTGGGCCTGGGGCCATCTTTTACGGCCACGGAAGCAGCCATGATCTGGATGATCTAGAGTCGAGGCTAGAAGGAGGCGAGAAGATCTTGTCTCTGTTCTGCGAATTCCCCGGCAACCCTCTACTACGCACCCCCGACATCAAGCGCATACGAGCACTAGCCGACAAATACGACTTCGCCGTCGTCGTCGACGAGACCATCGGCAACTTCCTAAACGTGCACGTCCTACCCTTCGCAGACGTCCTCGTGAGCAGCTTAACGAAAATCTTCAGCGGCGACTGTAACGTCATGGGCGGCTGTATGGTCCTCAATTCCCACTCAAAATACTATTCACGGATACGAAGCCACCTGGAAGCGGAGTACGAAGACACGATGTTCGAAGAAGACAGCATCTACCTCGAGCGCAACAGCCGGGACTTTGTCGACCGCATTCAGCGGGTGAACGTGAACGCGGAAGTCATCGCTGACGTTCTGCGTGCTCATCCCAGAGTTAAGCAGGTCAATTATCCAAAGTACAGCGAGTCGAGGCACTTTTACGACGAATGTCGCTTGCCGGACGGGGGGTACGGAGGCCTGCTGAGCGCCACGTTCCACGAAGTTGAGGACGCGAAAATCTTCTACGACCACCTCGATACGCAAAAGGGACCCAGTCTGGGCACGAACTTCACCCTCAGCTCGCCTTTTGTTCTGCTTGCGCATTATGGCGAGCTTGAGTGGGCGGCGCAGTATGGCTGTGAAGTTAGCTTGATCCGGTTCAGTGTTGGGTTGGAGGACACGGAGAAGTTGAAGGAGGTTTTTGAGACGGCTCTAGCTGCTATTCCGAGCCAGTGATGGGTGAGAGTGAATGTGCGGTAGAGCTCGGAATTGTACCTTGTGAAAGCAGCGACAGTGAAGAGCAAATTCGGGCACAGCACGTTCAGCTCTTGAACGCACGCATTTCCCAATGCCCACCAACGCCTTCGCTCAAAACCCGTGGTGAAACATGCTCCAACGCCGGCGCAATCCCCTTAGTGTGTTTCAAGCCCCCATCTCCAGCGTAGTCTGGCCCCTCTCCGGATCACTCATCCGATTCACCTTGACATCATCCCCATAACTCACACTGTCCATACTCTGCGGCGTAATCAGCACAAACTGCCTCCCGACCGCCTTGCGTGCCGCAGCGATCATCATCCGCATGCTCGTCGCGCGGTTCACGTTGTCCATGAACACGTCGAACTCGTCAAGACAGCGGATCGGACTTCCCATCGCATCCCAGATGGACAGCAGCAAGCAGATCGTGCTGAAGCTCTTCTCGCCGCCGGAGAGGGTTTTGGTGGCGCGGCCGGCGTCGGAGGATTTGCTGAGGTCAGGCTCGACTTTGATGTCGAGTTCTTTGTTCGTGTGGTCCATGATGCAGCGGCCGCGGAAGTTGCGTTCGGAGAGGAGGTATTGGAAGTTGGTCCGGGCGCGTGAGGAAATGATACGGCGGAATTTCTTCCAGCGGTCGTGGCGATCATTGAGGGTTCCCTTGAGTTCCTGTGTGCCATACGTTATTAGCGGGCTGCATTAGGTTTGGGAGACGAGAGTTGAACGTACCTTTGCAAACACCTCCATCTCCTTCAACCCAGCCGCTGCCTCTTCATACTCGGTCCTGCGCTCGAGGGCAGCGATGTTGAGCTCCTCTTGAGTACCACCAGCTTCTTCATGTAGTCGCCTGCGGTCGTCCAGCAGCTTGTCCAGACGAGCGTCCAGCTTCGCGGCAGTCATGCCCTCCGGCACTTCGACACGTCGAGAGACCTGTTTGGCCTGCTCAACGAATGCTGCCACGTGGTTCTTGTGAGTATCGAGTCGCCCTTCTGCCTCCGTTTGCTCTTTGTGCGCTTGATCGATAAGCTGGATGGCAAGGTTCTTCTCTTGCAATGCCTTTTGTCGTTTGGTAGCAAGATCGTCTACTCGCCTCTCGGCGCGCTCGACGTTCTTTTGCGCGGTTGCGAGCTCACTGGTTGCCCCGTCAAGAGCGGCCTTGATTCCGCGGGCGTCATTGTTGAGATCATCCATCGCATTGATGATGTCTTGGAACGAGCTCCCCTGGCTGTCAGACTCTACCTTCGCGTCACGAAGCTGCCGTTCCAGCTCCTGTAGCTTCCCATCCTCTGGTCGGTTTCTGTCGATGAGAGCCTGCTGCTGCTCGATCTCATCCTCGGCCTGCTGGTACTGCACTTTAAGCTGCTGCTCGCGTCCCTTGAATTTCCTGATGTTGGCGCTCGCAGCTTTGTGGGCCTCCTCGAGTCGGCGCTTGGCCTCGCGGGCATCGTCCCTTTCACGCATCGCCTGCGCGCGGGCTTCATGCTGCATGCGGATCTGATCTTGTATGTCCGTAGTCATGCGTGATGGTCCTTGGAAGGCGGGGACGTCTGATGCTTTTGAGGCGCCTCTTTGCGACCACTCATATCTGATTGCAGCTCCTCTTTCAGCTGCCCTCGCTAAGGTAACCCTCACATTGTGTGGTTTCGCGCCTTTGAACATGAACGCGTGAGCTTGCGCGGGTTCCGGAATCAATGCCATCTGCTCGGCAGCCTGGTTGATGATGATGGAGTTCCTCACCAGGTCATTGTCAATGTCCAAGATGCGCAGCATTGTATCGATGTCCTCCGCCGGCTCTTTGCCAGTAACGTCAAGCCGAGCAGGGTGACCGATCATGATAGGCGCTCTGCAATTCATCCTATTCATGAGTTGCGAGAGCAGGTTCTGATCTTCTTTAGACGTCACGATGAACGCCTCCAAGTTCCCGCCCATGGTCTTCTCGATAGGCGAGGTCCATTCCGGCTTCAAGATCCGAATGTGCTTGCCCATGGGACCCACTGGCTTCGTTCGGAATCGCGTCTCGTTGTTGATAGCGCGAACCAGGTTCTCCATCCGCGGACGGAATGCGCTCCACTGTTGACCTTGGCTATTCTGGAGCCTCTTTAATCTCCCATCAGCCTCCTCAACAGCTTGCATGCACCTCTGGAATGGTTCCTGGCCCACTTTGGCCGCCTGAGCAGCCGCTGTCTCTCGCTCCTGAAGCGCAGCGAGACCGTTCAGGTGCTCTTCGTATTCCTGCTTCTTCGCTTCGGCTTCTTCCCGGAGCTCCTCCAGTCTGTTCATGCGTGCGAGATGCTCATCCCCTTCGGCTCCCGCAAGAATGTCCTTTTCCTTCTGGATGTCGGCTTCCAGTCTGCTCATCACTTTCTTGATATTCTTCATCTCCTCCCTGCAGTTGCGTTCTTGAGCTTTGATGTCGCTCATGCTGGTCTTGTTGGCCTCCATTTTGACCTTCGCTGCGTCGCAGGCTTCCTGCAGTGGCTGGAGCTGTTCCTGCAGATCATGCTGTGTGCGCTTGGCCGACTCGAAGGACTGGTTCTGGCCTTCATAAACGCCATCGACGGTCCCGGCAGCATCGGTCTTCTCCTGCACGTTCTCCCTCGCTTCCCGCACTGCCTGCTCGTACCCTTCAAGCATCTGCTCTTGCTCTTCCACCTGAGCCCAGGCATGCTGCCATCGTATACGCTCGATCTTTTCCGACATAGACTGCGTTTTCTCCAGTCGTTTCTTCCGCACCTCGGCCTCCTCCATCTTCTCCTTCAGAATGGAGATGTCTTGTTCTCTGGTGCGGCACTTTTCCTCAATATTGTCGAGATTCTCCTCCATGAGCTTGTAATCCGCGTCAAGCACCTCCAGCTGTGTACCGCGGATGAAAAACTTGTACTTGTCACCCGGCGAGCTGTTCGACAGGAACTGCCGAGCCATGTCTTGGGTGAGGACGTTGATCGGGTTGTCGAGCTGGAACGCGTAGAAGTCGAGAATATCGTCGAGGTCGGCCTTCTTGGTACTGATCACCTTGTCGTGCTCATTCTTGAGTTTGAAGCCACTGGTGCCGGCTCGTGTGAAGTGGCGCTCGACAGTGATACTTCGACCATACAGGTCCGGCTTGTAGGACCCATCACCCTGGTTCTTGATCTTGACCGCAAGAGTCGCGCTGTCTGTCCCCTCCTTGATGAGACTCTTCAAGCTCGCACCACGGTTCGTTGCTGTGGCCTTCCCGCCCAAGCACATGGTGAGTGCTGTGAGCACCGCACTTTTACCGCTCCCATTGTGCCCGATGATGAAGTTGATGAGTGGCCCCAGCTTGATGCGTAGCTTGGAGTGACACATGAAGTTACGGCAGAAGACCTCCTCGATGACACCCTGCTCAGAGGCTCGATTGTCTCTGTGCTGGCGATGTTCCTTCTGAACCACTTGCGTCGCTCGCAGGTCCAGAAGCTCGTCATCTTCCTCGTCGTCGCTGACCGTGCCGCTGCGGCTGCCTCCAGGGATCTCATCGTCGTCGTCGTCGTCGGATACCGTGGAGCCTCCATTCTGCTGTGCCAGAGCGATGCGGGAGCGTTTGTTGCCGTGTTGGAGGCGGGAGCTTGCCGATTCGATCTCCACCTCGCCGTCGATGTCTGTGGCTTCTCGCGACCGTTTGCGAGGCGCCATCGTGTCGGTGGTGGCTGCGTGAGGTGTTCAGAAGTGAGTAGAAGGTTGGATGATCGGAAGTCGCGACGCGAAAACAACGCGCCTTAATCACGACACCTCAGGCAGCTATCGGCAAAATGCGGGGAAGGTGAAGTCTGAAGTCCAGCCGAACTTCGGGCAAGATTACAGTATGTACTTGGGTGACTTGGCCGATGATAAGAGCAACAATGTAGACTCAGGTATCGGTCGCTTTTCCTCTCTTCCACCTCCTTCCTACAGCATCATTCCCTTTTTCAATCTCCTGACGAAAAAATCAAGACCATGGGCTTCCTCCACTCCCTCCGGGTCGCCGTCTGGGGCGAACCACCCCCAACCAAGGAAGAACGCAACCTCCTGTTCAAAATCGATTGGTTTATCCTATCCTACGTCTGCTTGATGTATTGGGTCAACTATCTGGACAGAGCGAATCTAAACAATGCCTACGTCTCCGGCGCAGAAGAAGACCTGGGCTTCCAAGGCACTCAGTTGAACCAGATCAACACCATCTTCTACGGCGGCTACCTGCTAGGCCAAATACCGAACAACCTCATCCTCCAGAAGGTCCCTCCTCGGATATGGCTACCTACGACGTGTCTATGCTGGGGTCTTCTGACTCTCGGGACGGGCTTCGTGCATCATCCGTGGGAGATCATGGTCATTCGGTTCTTCCAGGGCTTCTTTGAGGCCTCTTGCTTCGTCGGCGTCCAGTGGATCTTGGGATCTTGGTATAAGCCGTCTGAGATTGGCAAACGCACCGCAATCTTCGTATGTTCTCCTTCATCCTGACTCTTCGACGACCTACTGACAGAGATACAAGACCTCCTCAGGCCTGGCAGGCACCATGTTCTCCGGCTTCCTGCAAGGCGCCATCTACACCAACCTCGACGGCAATTCCGGTCTCGCCGGCTGGCGGTGGCTGTTCATCATAGACTTCCTCATCACCCTCCCCATCGCGCTCTACGGCTTCCTCTTCTTCCCCGACACGCCCACCTCCACCCGCGCCGGCTACCTCACCCCCACCGAGCGCACCCTCGCCGTCGAACGCCTCCCCGAAGTCGACAAAGAGCGCGGCGTCCTCGGCCTGTCCCTCTTCAAGCGCGTCGTGCTCAGCTGGCACTGGTGGGCCTTTGTGCTCCTCTGGATCGCAAACTCCAACACGGAAATGTACAGCTCCAACGCCATCTTCCAGCTCTACCTCACCTCCACCGAAGACTACCCCGTGAGTCAGGTGAACTATATCCCGACCTCTGTCTCCGGGATGGGAATCGTCGCCACCTTAGCTCTAGGCTGGTACTCCGACTGGAACCCCCGCCGCCGCTGGCACGTCGGCATCTTCCTCTCCATCACCGCCATAATCAGCGGCTCGCTTATGCTCAACCCACCATCCCGCGCTGCCCGCTTCGCCGCCTTGATCCTCAACGGCTGTCAATTCGCCGGACAAACGGTAATGTTCGCCTGGGCCAACGACATGATACGGCGGGACGACGCCAAACGCAGCGTAGTCATCGCGTGCATGAATATGTTCTCCGTGGCGGTGTATCTATGGTGGAGTCTGATCTTCTACAATGCCACGCAGGCGCCGGACTGGTATAAAGGGGATTGTGCGATGATTGCGATGGGCTGCTTTTTGTTGGTTACTACGATTGCGACGTATTTGCTGCAAATGAGGCAGGAGAAGCAGGAGGGGATGACAGTGACGAGTTATAGAGGGGGGGAGAAGGGTGATCAGGTGGACTTTTGATAGTTCTCGAGCAATAAGACCGCTGTCAACCTCACCTCATCCGCTGCAATAGCAGCGTTTTTCTCTGTGGTCAGGAGAAGCCTGCACGGCCAGTCGAGCCTCGACCTCGATCCCCAAAAGCCTGACATCGATCGAAGCGGGCGGTCGCCCTGCGCCTCTTTTCCAGCTTCGCGACAGCTTTTCATGCCTCTAAGAAGGACGCGGATGTTTCAACCGGAAAAATTGAACCTCAGCTAGCGCGGTCCACTTTCTGACCAATCAGAGTATGGGGAATACTAGGCTGAAATTCTGCTCGGAAATGAACTTCCGCTTCTCATCCTACCCATGCCTTTTGCTCTGGCACGACACTAATCCTTCCTATCCCAGCCAACGCCATGCTAATACCTTGATCCTGTCCTAGCTCAGTCCTCAAGGCAGATACGCACCCCCAGCCATAACCAGATTCATTTGCGTAAACCGGACATTGTACACCGGACTCTTCTTCGTCGGGAATGCAGAGATCTGGTCCGGACTAACCACGACATCCTTCTTCGCCTTCCCAGTACCCGTCTTCGTGACCGCACCAGTCCCAACACCGTTCGTTGCGCCGTCGATCTTCGTGCCTGCGCCTCCTTCGCCGACGACTTTGCCGTTGGACTCTTTGTTCGGCTGTACGTCCCAGACCCGCACTGTGCCGTCTGCGCCCCCGGAGACGAGGACGGAGCTTTCGACGCTCCAGTCGAGGGACCAAATCCCACCTCGTCCGTGTCCGCGCATGCGCTTGGTGAGGCGGCCCGTCGCTAGGCTCCAGAGGATGATCTCACCGCGGTCATCTGCGCTTGCGACTACGTGTCCGTTGGGCGCGCAAGCCAGGGCAGTGACATTGCCGACGTGACCTGTGAACAATCGCACAGCGCTGCCACGGGTGATGTCCCACATCCGTACCGTCCTGTCGCTGCCTCCAGAGCCTGTGAATACGTATGCGCCGTTCGGGTGCCATGCTACGCTCTCGACGTCGGAATCGTGACCAACCATCAAGCGGAGAGGGGCGATCTGTGGTGTACTCCATAATCGTGCTGAGCGGTCGGCAGAGCAGGAGACGAAGTAGTGGCCGTGCGGGCAGAATCGTACGTCCCATACAGGGCTTTGATGGCCACGGTAGACGACCAGGTTGGTCCATGTGTCGAGAGACCAGAGGCGGATGGTAGCGTCAGCGGAAGCTGAAAGGAGGAAGCGGGGCTGTGAGTCTAATGAGTTGTCTAACGATGTGTGGCCATTTGTTTGCGCTTGTGGTAAGGCGACTGACGGGGAAAACGAGAGGCAATACACAGGACCTGAGTGGCCGACTAGACGCCGAGAAGAAGATGGTTGGAAAGTAGGCGGATCGGAGGGTGAGGTGAGTGCGCGGTTGTCCAGCGACCACACCCGAATATAGGACTCTGCGGTACCAGCAGCTACGAGCGTGTTGTCGCCGGAGAACTCGATGCAATTGATGCTGTCGAAGGTGTTGTGGAATGTGAACATTGTCACGCTGAGGCCAGGACCAACTCCGCCTGTCCTGCCTTCGACGCGGAACCGGTCGCGGTTTTCTTTGACCTTCTGCACCTCCATTGCAACGTCTCGTGCAGTCGATGGAGGGAAGGGAAGTGCTTCGCGGGAAGGCACGTCATCCATTGGCTCATTTTTGATGCGCTGCTCGAACTCGTCTACCAGAGAGTTCTGACCGGCTGCCGGAGGATGCACGCCATCCTGCTCTTGAAGCTCTGCCTTTACGTCTTCCATCATGTCAGGCTCCATCGGCATCGGTCCGAGGGCGAGCTTCGAGAGTACGCTGGGCGCTGACTGGCTGACGTTGGCGGAGCCGGGGTTGTGGCCAGGGATTCCCTCGTCCTCTGCGGGATAGTCTCGCTCGCCGTTGCGCTCTGCCAGTAGCCGTTGCAGACCTCGCTGGCCTCCAGCTGCTTGCCGATCAGGTGTGCGAACGTCGAGAAAGTTCTGGATGAGATTGACAATGACCGTGCCACCCTCCTTTTCGTGGTCTTCCAGAAACATGATGAGGTTCGTGAAAGCCAGGCGACTTATCGTTAGACGGTATTTGTTTGTTCGGAAAAGCTGCGCCAGTTCATTCTGTTGGAGATGCTCAGGTTCAGTGATAGGCCCCAGCACCCGCAGATCGTCCTCGTGCTCGCTGGCGAACAACTCCTGGAAGGCTTCGAAGAAGTCTTTGCTTTCGCGAGGGTAGAAATCGCCGACGAGATTGAGGAACGCGTGGACGAAGACAGGCCATAGTATCCGCTTGAGCTCCGGCTTGTAGATGTCTAGCGAGTTCTCGATCCAGTTGTGGAGGAGTGCGAAAGACGTTCTGTACATCTTGCCACCGGTCTCCTCTACCCGTGAAGTGATGAGTTGGCCATTTGGATCGGTATGCGCGCTTTCCTTTCTCAGCATCGCCTCTGTTCGGCTGTAGCCCTTCTTCGCGAGGTATTCCAGCACCTGCGGGTTCAAGTTAGTACCCAGCGCATGTCTGTGCTGTGTTGGCAGGAGAAGTAGTAAGACAGCGAAAAAGATAATATCCAAGTCGCAGTCCAGAGCGGCAGATCGAGCGCAGTTGAAGATTGATTTCACGTACGATCTGGTTGAGGTTCTGATTTGACCCGCCGCCTTGTCCTGGGCCGGGTGTTGTCGCGGGCGTCTGCATACCGCCAGCACTTGGTGGACCAGCGCTTGCCGTCCGCGCGGGCGGAGGCTGGTGCGCCATGGTGATAAGAGGTTTTGCGGCAAGAGCGGGTCGGTGTTCGTGGTGTTCCGTCGTCAGGCGAGGTCGAAAGGTGAAGGCAAGAAGTGGCAGTTCGAATTGAGAAGCTGAACTGAGAGCTGCGCACGCCGTGATGATAGCTCCTGTGGACTGCCCGACGCACGGACCCCTGAAGATGGGCCTTGCAGCCACCTGCTCGACTTCACCTGTGATCAACCAACACTTCTGTGCAGCACGACGAGCTCATAGACGTTAGTGAAGTCACCATGGCTTCGCAGACTATATCACCTGCCGATCGCATCCGCGACCTCTCAGCCATCAACGCCGAGGTTGCGGAACTGCTGCAGTCTGCCGGCCACGCGATCAACTCGCTCACTGACAGGCCATTGATAACTGGCGACGGCGATGCGCACATGCAGAATGGTAGTGAAGCAGCCTCAATCGACAAGCGAAAACAGGCATTCGCAGAGAACACGCAGGGCTACTACACACATCTACAGGCCATCGTCGCGCGCCTGAGAAGGCAGGCGTATGCGTTGGAGGAAGCTGGGATCATTGCGCCCGAAGCGTCTTCACTAGCTGGCAGTGCGCAGCAGAGGCAGAGTATGTCCAGCCAAGGACAGCAAAGAGGGCAGGCTACAGCTGCATCGGTACAGGAGACGGAGCGCATCACGAACGGTGGGCTGGGCAATCTGGATGTCGGGTGGTTGAACAGCAGAGGCAATAAGGTGGGCGTCGAGAAGGAGAGCGAGTTGATAGATGAGGCGAAGAAGCTGTTGGAGGAGAGTCTGAAAGAAGACGGTGAGGTGGTCGCGTAGACGCGTCGAGGTCGCTCCTTCCTTCCGCAACAGCAAGAGCTGTCCCAGGCAGAACCCATTTCAGGACTTTTCACTCTCACACCTCACTTCTTCCATACCACAACAACATAGTGGCGTCTGAAGCCGTTCAGACTCACGTTGTAAGTCAAGTCGATGGTCACTACCAATCAGTCAAGCTAATAGCTTTACAGGTGGACATCCACCTCGCCAGCCGGGGTACTCACACGGCCCGTGGCGTAGCGCAACAAACTCTCCCTGCGAGCGGAACTGGATAGGCCCATCTTCCTCACCGCACACTCACAGCATGCCGATGCCTGACAGAAGAGTCATCCCAGCAACGCACCGTCAGGCCGCAGGAACCTCTGACGCACCCATCGAGATTGACTGTTCTCAACGGCCGAAGTTTCACATGGCACCTGTCACGCCAACACACAGCAGCGCAACGATGCAAGCAACTCAAGGAGAGCGCGGAACGCCCAAGCGGTGGATGGTTGAGTCTCCAGTCGATGAGCCGGCTTCGAAAGCCCGGCGGAGGGACGACGGGTCATCAGAGGCGACTGTCTTTGAGTAAGCACTTTTTCCAGCTTCACGTACGCCAGAGTATCTGATTTACGCAGTGCAACACAACCAATTGTTGTAGTCCAAGTGGGCAAGCATCCGCACCGTCAAGCGTCGATGAATATTCACGAGCACATCCTGAAGGCTTCCTCCCAGTTCTTTGCTGCTGCTGTGAAGGACCAGTGGACGAAAAGCCTTCCCAGGATCGTTGAGCTTCCGGAGGAAGAGCCGAAGGTGTTCGCAATATACACAACCTGGCGTTACTGTCGGAAGATTGCTATTGCTGACGTTGGACCCAACCTCAAGACTTTGCAGAGATGGGATCTCCTGGTGAACGCTTATCTCCTCGGAGAAAGGTATATGGACTCGCTGCTCAAAGACACAATCGTTGACATGATGGACGAGAGCCTTCAAGCCCTAGCCGACGGAGAACGCCGCGGCCCTCTACCAGCAACTGTGGCAGACCTCTACAATGGCACTGCTTCTACGTCGAGATGCCGTGCGCTGCTTGCGGAGTATACCGCCGACTTTGCGTTCCCAGATCCGTTCGAAGCTGCGCGAAAGTCTTCGGACCTGGTGTTCGATGTCGCCAAGCTGTTGGTGGAAAGGCGAGGCTTGCCGGCGAAAAGGTTCTCCAGGAAGACTAACAACCCGAGCCATTACCACGAGCATGAAGGAGGCGTGAAGAACTGCCACTTGACGAGAGTTGTGCACCCATGGCCATGAGCGAGCGCCGCTTCTCCCATCTGCTGAAGGCTCTGGCTGGCTTTAGCTGTCGCTGTGGTGGCGTTTTGCAATTTCCTGGCTTCGAGGAGGAGATTGCTGTGGATGATGTCTTGGAAGTTGGTTTCTAGAAATCTAGGCATACTGTACTACCTTTGCCGCCTGTCTTGCCTAACATCCCTTGCCTCTTTTCTCATACATGTATGTCCTCATTCAACCGGCTTTCTTCTATGGCACAACATCAGTCGACCTACGCTTGCACCCACCATGGTGCCAGTGCCTACCCGCGACTCCAAAGTGCCCGAGGCTCACGGATTCGAGTACGTATAACTGTCTTGATATTCCATCACCAGCTAACAGTTCACAGCGCCAGCCTGGGACTCACGACGATCAACGTCGGCATGCCATCCGTCCGATTCTACGGCCACCAACCCTTACTTCAGTCTTCGGAGTTCTTCAGGATCCGAAGTAAGTCTCAATGGCAGACCGGTCAAGCCGTCGATCTCCCGGACGTCGGTGCGCACACCTTCAACACCTACGGCAACTGGCTCTATTCGCGAAATCTTCCAACCATCGTCGACGTGCCCGGGGACCTTCCACCAGCTTGTGGGTTCGAATGGAACGTGCTGGCGTCCGCCTACATTCTCGGCGAGATGTTACTTGACGCAGCCTTCCGAGACACAGTCATCGACAGCCTCCAGCGAAAGCAATGCCGATGTGGCAAGAAGGAGCTGTGTCTCGGCACCCACATGGCAGCCGAGAAGCTCTTCGCCGGCACAGCAGAGAGCTCCATGGCCAGGAAGTGGGCCATCGATGTCGCGGCGCGCAGCATGGCGATGGGTGACGTCGAGGCCAGCCTTCTCTCAAAGAACCTCATTGATGCAGCTCAGGCGTGGCTGAATGCGCCGCAGCGCCATCGTGAGGATGTGTGCTTCGAATACCACTGCCATGGAGAGGTGGAGGAGTGCTACATGGATAACGAGCGGTGCTACCTGCCCGATGAACTCCATTTGATGATGAAGCGGCCCGAGTTGTTCGAGGATCGTGAGAAGGTGAGATCGTGGATCAGGCGTAGATAGAATTATCAGGACGCTGTTCTGCAGAGCCGTGGGCCCTTCTCTTCGTGGTAAGACGGTGGTGAAAGTGTCGACCTCTGGGTCTGGGGTACTCTGTATTCGCGGGTTATCACCCAAAGGAGCCGGTCTTCATGACGGATTGCGAGATGATGGTGGCGGATCCGGAGATATGTCTCTCGTGGTTCCCAGCGCATATCCTCTAAAACTCATCACTCCTATCCACAAGCGGCAAATCCCTCCTCCTACACACCCCATCGAAACTCTCCATAAGCCTCTCAATCCCTTCGCGATCAACTCCACCCACAGCCCACGAACCAAGCACGCTGCGAATCATCTCTACGCTCTGTCTCGCCTTCAGCACGTCCCTGTTGCCTTTGACCGGCACTAGACTATGACCATCCACATTCTCCCAGAAAAGCGTCTCGACTTCAACTCCTCCAGAAACGAGGTCGACCTCGCCGACGACATACCAGAACCAGAGCTCGCCGGTCTCGTTTCCCAGGCACGTCGTCGTCCACGTGGCTAACTGAATCCGTCGAAGGTGTCGGATGTTGTCCGCGTTCAAGCTGCGCAGCCAGCGCTTCGTCAGCGGGCGGTCTGTCCTGTTACCTAAGCCCATGTGGAAGGTGTTGAGGCTGTAGAAGAGGGGCAGGGTTTCTTCGCGGAGCTGGCGGTTGGTCTTGGTGATGCCGGGTTGGGTGGCGGGCGGGTAGTTTTGGAAGTCGGGAGCGTGGTGGAGTTTGGGAGTAACAGATACAATGGGCTCCAGGAGGGCGTATCCGTAAACTTGATCCCGCAGCTCGCGTGGGAGGGAGAGAATAGTTGGGGATGTCGGAGTCACGGCCATGCTGATTTGACTGCTTTTTGAGGTCTTACAGTCTGGGAGGATACCGCGAGCTCGCAAGATATACGTTCTTCAAGAGTCACTCTGATCACTAGCTGCTGTGCGAATGGTGCGCTTTATACACACGTACGGATACTGATGCCTGTAGAGAAGAGAGAGAGGTGTCGTGTCGTCCCGGGATGCAGCAGCCTGGCCTCTATCCCTGCTGCTGATCTTCTGGCCCCCAAATATAACGCCTCCTACCTCGTCGCAACGTGGATTCCAAAGCCTGGTGTAGATGTTGGTTCAGCCCGTGGCTCCATCGAGTATGTTGCGTGGAGAAAGCGTTCGACAGACCAGGCTCACGCTTCCCATCATTCCCGACACCCAAATGCCTCCATCTAGAAGTCAGTCATTTTATAGCCGTGCAAGCACTTATCCGGCGAGCCGTCACCGTTGCAATGCACCGTAGGCTCCGCCAACTGCGCCGGGATGTTGTAGTAGCACGCCGGCGTAACGCCGTCGCTCTGCATCGCCTCATAATCGGGCATCCTGTCTTCCAAGTGGGCCTTGTTACACTGGACGGCGGCGGAGTAGTAATTCTCCAACTGCCGAACCGGTTAGTTGTGTAGCACGAATGTGGAGGTTGGACAGGTGACTTACGTTGAACCCGTAGTCGTCTCTCAGTTTGTCCCGGACGTCTTGGGCGGCTGGAACCCACTGACACGTAGTTAGTAAGGGCGGAAGTGTAGGGGAAGAAGACGGTGTCGTTAGAGGGACTCACGTCACAATTGCCTGTAACACCTTCATTTCCCAATTGGGCGCACAAGCCTCCGTGATTGGCGCGGAAGAGCTGCATGCAGTAGAAATTGCCGTCGGCGAGCGGGTCCATCCACAGCGGGTCAGCTGGATGAGAAGTCAGCACGGATGATGAGCATAGAAAAGGTAGCCGCAACGACTTACGTCCAACCAGTGGATTTTCGTTCAGGCAGTCGTCCTCATCCGACACGTATTTATTCTGTATAGCCAAGACCTGCAATCCACCCGACTGTAGCGCTAGGTCGACAAGCTTCGACCGGAAAACGGAGTAGGTAGAATCGAGATTTCCTTGAAAGGCGTCGGCAGATTCGGCGAGCAAGAACTTGCCGTCCGCGAAGAAGCCTGCGATATAGCTATCCTCGGGGAGGTCCCCCATGTCCGGGTCAGTCGGTAGAGCGTCGTAATTGCCCCCCCTCCCCATAGCCCGCGCTCCGAGGTCTTTCATCTGTTGTAGACACTGTTCGAACATTAGGGACAATTGGTCGCTGAGGACGACGTCGTCGACTTGGCCATTTTCTTCCGCAAAAGCCGAAACCATTGAAAAGCTAGAGGCGGCAGTCCAAAGACTAGCACCGAGGGCGTTTGTGACTCTTGTAGTGTCCCCGCCTTGTTGTATTAGTGTGTCAGACGCTTTAATCCGCCCTGCTAGTCTGGACAACTCGGCAGCGTCGGGTGTCTGTCCCGTACGAACACCTTGCCTGATTAGATTCCTTTGGGCAGCTAGAGCAGCCGCTCTCGTTGCTGAGGCTGCTACGCCGATCTCAGCGGCCGCTACGCCGACAACGCCTGCTAAACTGCCGGCCATGAAGAGGCCGGCGCTGAGCAGGTTGGCCAGCACTGTCAGTTGATTGTTGGCAGTGTTTGCGGGAGCCGAGAAGTCTGCGGCAATGCGATCCTACGCAACCGATCAGTCTCGAGTCCCAAGGAGAGCGCCAGAGAATTTTCATATACTCAAGAACTGCGTGGACTTACGATCTTGAGGATGTCTCCGATTACGTTATCCTGTAGAGCTGTGTGTGAAGCCTGAAATGATCAGCGTATGCCTTCTTGAACGACAAGTGTCTCTCAACTTACATCGAGCTTGTTATGGAAGCCAACAACCGCTGTCAAGATCCAGTAGTGTGCGCCGAAGCCGTTCGCTGCCATTTGGTCGCAGTCGAGCTTCAGATCACAAGTGCCACCAGTCACGCCGCAGCCACCAATGGCGGTGCTTCCTATGCTAGGGTCAACATAACTGACAAGGTTGAAGACCCAGTTGTCGCCGCCGTTCTCTGACTCTTCTCTCGTCCAGTAATCGAGGACGCCGGAGACGTTTTTGTCCTCCCATAGTGCAACTAGCGCCTTTGGGTCGCTCTGGTCGAGAGGGGGGTGGCACCACTCTACATCCGTGGGACTGGGACCCTACATAAGTATCAGTCTATGCATTGCACGCAGGCGAGCATCTCTGTACTGACCATAGGTGCCGTGACAGTGGAGACCGGAGTCATTTCCTCGTTTTCACACTAGGAGTCGTCAGCAGCCATCGACCGCGATCAAAAGAAGCCTCTGCCTACAGTGAGAGTGTTCCAGCCATCAGTGCCAGTGCTGGTACCAATACCGGCCATCATGCCGTCGTCACAGGTGCATTCGACTCCAGCTGTGAGGGTGAGGTCGGACATTGTCGTCCCCGAGAAGGAATTGAGGCTGCAACTCCTGTCCTGCCGTTTTTGGGCAAGAGGAGTAGTTGCCGGCGCGGTGGTCAAAGTCACTTGCGAGAGGGTGGTTGTAGCCTCTGCTCTTGCGTCTCGACGGTACGGGTGGTTCCGGAGAGGATTGGCGGCCGTTAGGCCTGCGAAAACGAAGGTGAAAGCCTTCAAAGCCTTCGCGGACGCGTGAGGAGGCATGATGAGCGAGATACCGTGCGACTAGACCAAGAGGAAGACGCTTCCTGTGTGCTGCTGAAGGACCGGATGGCATCGACAACTCACTGCTTCTTGTACCTACAATATGCTCGTTGGTCTTGCTACTCGCACTTGGGCTGGTTATCTCCAGCAATCCCTCACAACTCCTTCGGTGTCGGTCTCGTGCTTCAACATGGGGGGGTTGAACTCCTTCTGTCAGCGCCAGGGGTAGAATTGGGCGATAAGGTAGAGTACAGTGGGACGGGGAAGGGCAGTGTCACAGTGTATACCCAGATGGGTACGTTGTCGTGCGATTCAAAGGGGAATCATGGAATCCTCTGTGTAGCAACCAAGCGCATCTCAAACAACGAACAGAGGTGAGGTCTGCGGAGAGTGGAGCAACGGTGCCGTCGATGGATCCTTGAGCACCCCAGGGCCCCCACCCCCTCGGAAATAGCACCCCCACCCTCCTGACGCCATTGCCGCTATGCCCTCCCGACTCCCGCCCTGGCCGCGCCGAGCCGTGTCAGAGTGGTGTTCTTCGAGCTCCTCCCTTCCTCCATGATCCACGTTGTGATAAGAGCCAGCCAAAGCCTCGCACCGCCGGAAGACTTCCGCAGACGCTGGGCAAATATGATTCGCTTGATGAATTGCACCCTCCAGCATGAATCCTCTTCGGCACTCGATATAAATAAATGGGAGCTGTGGGAGTCAGCTCGATCCTTTGCCAGTGCCGTATCAGCACGCAAAATGGCCCACTTCCACCACAATTGATAAGGTAGCTTTCTGCGAACTTATCCTACGGAACGAGAGGGTGCCGAACAAGGACGCTGATAAAATCATTCGGAAGCCAGACAACGACGCTACTGCATACGATAATCCAGATCACGAGTTTCAATAAGCTTCAACGGATTCACAGCTGTTTCCACGGAAGCAGGCAATGCAGTGAAGCAAGATCGCAATCAACTGGCTGGTCGTGCAATCAAATGACTGGTTTGGATGAACGCGATGGATCCTTCTCAGACCTCTCAAGGTAGGACAGGAGTAGGTCCCATGCATACCGAAAGAGATACTGCCCCCACTCGGTCATCCCCAGTACCGCAAACGATTGACGTAGGAGGTCGACGATTGCATACCGCCTGGCTGCAGCAAGAGTTACTTCGAAACGCTCCGGCGGTACGAGAGAATGTTATCGCCGCTCTGGCCAAAATGCCTTTCATCAAGCAGTTCAATAAGGAGATGGTGCTGGGCACTGCGCCAGCATACACTCACGCACCACCTCTTAAACTGTTCCCCCAGCTACCACTAACACCGCACGCCCAGCCTGACGTACCACCATTTCATTATGAGAATGTTGGCGAAGAGACCGACATCCGACTCCTGCGTATCTTACCCGCACGTGATGGCGACACCAATTTGATCGAGTGCGAGATGCAAGGCTTCAAGAAATCCGACATTCCCAGCTACGACTGCCTTTCGTACAGCTGGGGCGAGGACAGAGCGTCGGAGTTCACGATCATCGTCAACGGCGCTGACGAGATTGCAGATGTCTCCGGAGATTGGTGATGTCTTTGCGCAGCTTCTGAAATGGGTGAGTAGCAGACGCTCATGACAGAGCGCGGGTTCATCGGTCTGGGTCCAAAAGGTAGTGTTCCTGACGATTAGGTACATGTGGTGAAAGGCTCCCGGGTGCCGTTAGTGATTCGCCATCTACTCGACCGCAACAACTTTGTTGGTGAAGCGTACGTGCATGGAATCATGGGCGGAGAGGCCTGGTGCACTCATCTTACGCTGATCGGGAACCAAAGTAAGGCAGCCTCAGGAAACCGGGCCAATATCGTTGGGTAGACCTCGCGTTGGGCTCAGGAGATCTTTGAGGCTGCGTCCAGGGTTTCCTCCATAAACCAAGGTCTGGCAGTGGCTCGGGAGCCATCATATCTCGTACCCGCTTTTTTGTCTCTTCGCTACACTCTAGGATGGGATTGTCCTCTCCGTCACAGAACTCGGCGAACCGTTCTACGAGCCACGCGAGCCCGCCGGGGATATATTGCAGTCCAACAAGACCTCCTCTCTCATTGAGAATAGAGCGCAATACATCTTCAGCCTTCTCCACTCTGTTCTCTGTTAGGATAGCCCTCCACTCTGGCGTCAGGTGTCCAAACTGTTTTTCTATTTCCTCAACGGTCAGCCAAGCACCTATGCCTCTTTCAACATAGACAAAGAGCTGGATGTCGCCCGTGTGGAAGTCGAAGTGACACGTCAAGCGAAGATTCCAGAACTTGACTCCTGGGCGGCATTCCTGGCCTCCGTAGCCACTGAGCACTAGAAGTTGGAGGCGGCGAATGCTGTCGTTGCCAATTGATGCAGCCCAGCGGTATGCGAGCGCACGGTTTCCATTTTTCTTGTAGAGGTCGGCCGCAAATATACTGCCACCATAGAAGACGTCCAGAGTCTCGTCCCTTATCTGCTTGTTGACTCTGCAGAGTGGTGGTTCAGATGTGTGGTTGCGCTCGATCATAGTGCCGTAGGGGGAGGCTCGTGTCACCGCTGCGAGCGGTTGATGCAGAGCATAAAACCAAACCTCGTCGCGGAGCTCGCGTGGCAGATCGAGCAAACCTTTGGGCAGATGGGAAGCCATGGTGGGGAAGCCTCGTCTGTGTTGGCAAACCTGATATTCGTCGCGACCGGCAAGCGTATATACACTCGCACTGACGTTCCGAAGAGAAGAACAATTTGAGGACTTCAGGTGCTTTTACAAAAGAGGCACAACGCGGAATACCGTGGAGGACCGAGAAGCACGATGAAGCACGAAGGAACGGAGTTTTGAAGGCAACCATGCTCAATAATACCCGCCGTGATCGATGATGTTCCACCGCTTCCCTCGCTAAGATAGTCGGAAATCTGGTCTCGGAGCTCTCGATCAAGACCTAGCAAGCCTTTGGGCAACCGGGTCGTGAACATTCTGGCGGGGCGAGTGTTAGGTTCAACAGCGAATCGTCAGGCACTGGATCTTCTTTGGTACGTGATATTTCGAAGAAGAGCAGGAAGAAGTCTTATATCCATGTGCCGGCGCAGCAGAACCTCCTTTGCACGACGGGACCATGCATACTCCACCTGCGCCCTCCCCTTCCATCCCTACATCTGCGCGACGACGCCCGTGCATTGTACACCTGTATACCTCCGGCGACTTCTCAAGCCCGGGAATGAACATCACCTAGAGCAGCAGGGCTTCCGGTGACGCCGACTCCTCTAGCTATCATTATCATCGAGACCGCTATCGTACCGTTTCAAAGGATTATTCCAATCTTTGCAGACGACATCAAAACGCTCCATAAGTATAGTGAGCCCTTCAGCGCTCCGCTCAACTCCACGAATAAAAGCGGTCTCGATCTCGCGCCTGAAGAACTCCTCTGCAGCCAGTCGTACGCCTTTCCTAACACGTTCGCGATGTGGCTGCTTGGTGTCTGCCGCCTTGTACGCGGAGATCGTCAGGCTACCGTCCTGTAGGTCGAAGAACCCGTTAATCTCAATTTTGCCACAGTGGCACGGCGCGATACGCATGACGATGTTGGTGAGAATTAGATGGCGCAGGTTTTGGATGTTGGAAGGACCGATAGCACGCAGCCATGCCACGCTTGATGGATCCCCGACGTGCAAATGGAACGTATTGCAGTTGTAGAACATCGGAAGACACTCATGGCGCATCTGCTGATTGACGCGGCAGATTGCAGGCTGTTGGGGTTGTTGGCAGGTCTCGCTCGATGGTGTGTTCCAGGCTGGGTTGTATAGAGTGTACTTCCAGATCTCGTCCGGAATCTCGCGAGGTAGGCCAGACATTCCTGCCGGCCGTTCGATGGCGGCCATAGACTTTATGTTAAGGGGTGGTTGCATGTGACTAAACGGCGGAGAGTAGGAGTGATTTGGGGCGGATCTCATGAAGTAGCATAGGGAGTTGCAGAAGTGATGAAGGACGTGCATTTACTTACATATGTGTTTACCTGGTGGATGTAAGGTAGACGGCATGTAGAGGCATTCGTTGTCAAGGAGGAAGAGACGAAGCTGCTGCGACTCGCATCAAGGCACTTGTGAAGACCAGCCCCACCTTTTCATCCCAACAAGGCAGGAGCGAGACCTCGAACAAATCTTCTGTGACAGCTCTCACTCGCACTGCCACTTCCTACACCCACCCGCAATCACAACAATGGCAGACTCCGATTCCGATTCCTCTCTCAGCGACACAACCGACCTCGCTACTAACGTCCTGCTCGGCTATGCCTCCAAAGACCCCACCATAGACGACTTCAGCCAGCTCGGCGGACAACCAGTACGCCATGATCACCCACTTGCGCCGTGAGAGTAATGCTAAGAGAAGGCTAGACATGGCTTGACAAATCTTATACCCCCGATGGTCGACTAGCGAAATGCAAAGTCTGTAACAGCGTCCTGTGTCTACTTCTACAATTGAATGGAGATTTACCGGAGCGCTTTCCAGGGCATGAGAGGAAGGTCTATGTGTTTGGGTGCAGGAGGAAGGCGTGTAGGCGCAAGGAGGGGAGTGTGAGGGCGATCAGGGCGGAGAGGAGGTATGAGATGGCTACGGATGGTGAAAGAGAGACGAGGAACGGGGAGAGGGCAGAGGAAAAGAAGGTGAATCTGGGAGAGACCTTATTTGGTGCTAAAGCGCCTACAGCTGCGCAGAGTAATCCGTTCGCTTCTGGACCTTCTACGGGGCCAGCAAATCCCTTCGCGGCAAAAACAGCAGCTCCGGCGTCAAATCCTTCTCCAGGTCAGGAGCCTGCTTCATCAGCGACAGCAACAGACAACCTGGCCGAAAGCTTCGCACAGAAAGCTCGTATCTCCTCCGACTCGCGTCCCGCCGCACCCACTCCACCACCTAGCACACCGGAACGCTGGCCCGAAGACCCCAAACCCTACACTCGCTACCATCTCGACGCCGACACAGAATACCTCGACCCAACCTTCGGAGCCGACGACGTGCCTTCCAACGCGCGCGTCGAAACGAACGGCGAAGGGAGCTCCAGCAGTGCTGCCGAAGACAAAGCGCTCTTCGAAAGCACAATGGACAAGACCTTCCAACGTTTCGCGGACCGACTGTCGCAGAATCCAGAGCAGGTGCTTCGATATGAATTTGGGGGCCAGCCGTTGCTCTATGCGAGGACCGATACGGTGGGCAAGATGCTTGCGCCTGCTGCTGAGGGTGGAAGGATCCAGACGTCTGGAGCGACATTCGCTAGCTCATTGAAAGTCCCTCGGTGTGGGAACTGCGGCGCTGGTAGGGTTTTTGAGTTGCAGCTTACGCCGCATATGATTGCTGACCTGGAGGCGGATGACCCGGCAATCGATGGGATGGAGTGGGGCACCATCATCGTCGGCGCGTGTGGCGAAGACTGTCAGGAGAAGGAGAAGACGGTGGGCGAAGTTGGGTATCTGGAGGAATGGGTCGGCGTTCAGTGGGAGGAGGTTGCCGATCATCGTGCGAGGAGATAGGAGAGGAGCGAAGACCGCGACGCCGAGTCGACCTGCGCGAATCACTGTTTTCGACCTTCGCCGCGATTGTAGTCGAACATAGCTGTCCACGTATCGCACAAGGCCTGAAGGGCAGATATATCGTCACCACACCTTCCACCAAGGCCTATTCCGCGCCTCTTCATCTCTCAACTTCGCATAATGCGCCTCCAACTCCTGATCCTTCAGTTTCCTCCTCTCCTCCTTCTGCCTCTCCTTTGCTTGCTCCCGCGCCTGCTTCTCCAGCTGGTTCTTGTTCATTATCTCCACCGCCCTGATCATTCCATCCCGCTCCGCCTGCCGCTTGTACAGACAATACTGATACATGATCCCGCTGCCGAAACAGGTCCCGAAGACTGCCCAGTTGCAAGCACTGAATACGCCAGCACGAAACATGAAACGCAGACCTCCAAGCGCGAAGCCAGAGCCTAGGCCCGTCATGCCAGCATCTCGCACACAGGGTCGCTTGGGCAGTTCTGCAAAATCGGAGAAGGTGATGCCATTCTGGAAGGCGTTGCCTATGCTGACTTCAGGCGCCTTACCGCCGGCGGTGTTCTGCGTGCCGCCGGAGAGCAGGTTGGCTCCTTGAGGCGGGTTGATGTCCTTTGACGGGTCCTGCCATTGCTGGCCAGCGAAAGGCTTGTTTTCGGGGTGTGCTGTCAGACCTTCTTTGGTGATTGGGACGCCATCATCTGTGGTAGCAGTCTTGGGCGACTGTCGCGTATCGTCTGCCATGGTGAGGTTGGAAGAGATGGAAGTGAGAGGCCAATGGAAGATGTCACTGCACTTTCCCGGGATCTGCGCCGGCTCGGTCCTTCTGATGCCGACGGATCGGAGCTAGTGGAGCTAAACGCGTCGACCGCGAAGGCGCGTAAAGCACCTCGACTCCAGATAAACTCATGTCCACCAACCCCGCCACGGCCTTGTCTCTTTGAATGAATGTACAACGACGTGTCAACGAAGCAATGATACGATAGACATAATTACACTGGCCAGCGAGGCCACCATACCACCGCAATGCCCGTCCGCAGGGACCAAGGGTCGCGTTTCAGCAAGAAGCCCGGCCAGCTCTACGACAAGACACGCAAAGTCAAGACGATCGGGACTGGAGATGTACGCTCTTCGGAAGCAACTTCACAAAATGAGAAGATCGAAGCCACGCGCCTGGGGAACAAGATCGATGACCAGCAAGGTTTCGAGCGATTCGAAGCGGGCAAGAAGCGCGTGGGATGGCTTTGCAACATGCACAGTACCGCGCTCGAGGACTCCAAGGTCCCTGGTGGACGAGCGGCGGTGGACTTCTACTTCATAGGCGACGATGGCGAGACGTTCAAGGCGAGCGTAGAGTACGATCCGTACTTCCTGATCGCGGTCAAGAAGGGCAAGGAAGCAGAGGTGGAAGAGTGGGTGAGGAGAGGGTTCGAAGCGCTCGTGAAGACGGTGGAGAGGGTCGAGAAGGAGGATCTCAAGATGCCAAATCATCTACTGGGATACCGGAGGACCTTTTTGAAGCTGGTCTTTGCCAACGTGAACGACCTGCTGGCTGTACGGAGGGAGATCTCGCCTGTTGCGGCCAAGAACAAGTCGAAGATGAGTGCCATGGACGCATATGCTGAGGTCGCGAGCGCCAACGCGGGCTTCGACATGTTTGATGAAGACAACGAGATTGAAACACGACGGACGACGATTGCCGACGCCAGCGACAACATTGTCGATATACGAGAGTACGATGTTCCCTATCACGTACGGGTGGCTATAGATCTCGACATCCGGATAGGAAAGTGGTACACCGTCGAAGCGAAGCACGGCCACATCAAGCTCAGTTGCATCGAAGAACGATTGACCCGCGCAGACCCAGTCGTCATGGCTTTCGACATTGAGACCACGAAGATGCCTCTGAAGTTTCCAGATGCATCCTTCGACCAGATCATGATGATATCGTACATGATCGATGGTCAAGGATTCTTGATCACCAACCGCGAGATCGTCAGCGAGGATATTCAGGATTTCGAGTACACCCCCAAACCAGAGTTCGAAGGCCCGTTTCTTATCTTCAACGAGCCGAATGAGGAAGCACTCATTGAACGCTTCTTTGCATGCATCAAGGAAGCACGGCCAACGATCATTTCAACTTACAACGGAGACTTCTTCGACTGGCCATTTGTTGAAGCCCGAGCTAGTGTCCACGGCATCGACATGTACCGGGAGATTGGGTTCCGGAAGAACGCCGAAGACATCTACCAGTCTACGCATTGCGCACACATGGATGCCTTTGCGTGGGTGAACCGAGATTCGTACCTCCCGCAAGGTAGCCGTGGCTTGAAGGCTGTAACGGTGGCCAAGCTGGGCTACGATCCGGACGAGCTGGATCCGGAGCTGATGACACCGTACGCCTCTGAACGACCGCAGACACTAGCAGAATACTCTGTTTCGGATGCTGTGGCGACATACTACCTGTACATGAAGTATGTACATCCGTTCATCTTCTCGCTATGTACGATCATTCCATTGGGTCCGGACGATGTGCTGCGGAAAGGCACCGGTACGCTGTGCGAGACGCTGCTCATGGTAGAGGCATATCAGAAGGAGATCGTGCTTCCCAACAAGCATGTACAGCCGCGAGAAGCCTTCTGGGAGGGCCATCTGCTGGACTCGGAGACATATGTCGGTGGCCACGTTGAGAGTATTGAAGCCGGTGTGTTTCGAAGCGACATACCAAACAACTTCGCGATTGACACAACCGCGATCGACGAGCTCGTAGACGATCTTGATGCCGCCCTAAAGTTTGTGATTACCGTGGAGGAGAAGAAGTCGATGGATGACATCGACAACTACGACGAAGTGAAAGCGCAAATTGTCGACCGATTGCTGCAATTAAAGACCACGCCAAACAGGAGCGAGAAACCTTCGATCTACCATTTGGACGTTGCCTCCATGTACCCCAACATCATGACAACGAACCGGCTGCAACCGGACAGCATGATTGACGAGTCTGACTGCGCAGCCTGTGACTTCAACCGGCCTGGCAAGACCTGTGACCGCCGCATGCCATGGTCGTGGCGAGGAGAGTTCTTGCCGGCCAAGCGAGACGAATACAACATGATTCGGCACGCACTCGAGAACGAGACCTTCCCTGGACGTGGACCGAACAGCCTTCCGCGCGCTTTTCAAGATTTGTCGCTGGATGAGCAGTCGGGAATGGTGAAGAAGCGCCTGACTGACTACAGCAAGAAGATCTACCACAAAATCCACGATGCGCGGACCATGGAGCGGGAAGCAATCATCTGCCAGCGAGAGAACCCTTTCTACGTTAACACCGTGAGGGACTTTCGAGATCGACGGTATGACTTCAAGGGCAAGCAGAAGGTTTGGAAGGGCAAGACGTCGGAACTGGAGAAGGCTGGTGCGGCGGCCGGCGAGATTGAGGAGGCGAAGAAGATGATTGTGCTTTTCGACTCGCTTCAGCTGGCGCACAAGGTCATTCTGAACTCGTTCTACGGCTATGTCATGCGGAAGGGTTCAAGATGGTACTCCTTGGAGATGGCTGGCGTGACGTGCCTTACTGGTGCACGCATCATCCAAATGGCGAGACAGCTGGTTGAGCGCATTGGCCGGCCCTTGGAGCTGGACACAGACGGTATCTGGTGTATCCTTCCCGCTACCTTCCCGGAGAACTTCGCCTTCAAGATGAAGAACGGAAAGAAGCTGACGATATCTTACCCCTGCGTGATGCTGAACCACCTCGTCCACCGCAAGTTCACCAACCACCAGTACCAGACTCTCAAGGACCCATTGACGTACAAATACGAAACGCACAGCGACAACACCATCTTCTTTGAAGTCGACGGCCCCTACAAAGCCATGATCCTGCCCACTTCAAAGGAAGAAGACAAGAATCTGAAGAAACGCTACGCAGTCTTCAACAACGACGGCTCTTTGGCCGAGCTGAAAGGCTTCGAGATCAAGCGGCGAGGCGAGCTCAAGCTCATCAAAATCTTCCAGCAGCAGATCTTCAAGTTCTTCCTTGAAGGGTCGACGCTGGCGGAGACGTATGGCGCGGTTGCGAAGGTGGCGAATAAGTGGCTCGATGTGCTGCACTCGCATGGTTCGACGCTGGCGGATGAGGAGTTGATTGATCTCATTTGCGAGAACAAGAGTATGACGAAGACGCTGGAGGAGTACGGGACGCAGAAGTCAACGCCTATTACCACAGCCAAGCGATTGGCGGAGTTCTTGGGCGAGCAGATGGTCAAGGATAAAGGATTGAACTGCAAGTTCATTATCTCTTCTCGACCGAAGAACGCACCTGTCACCGAGCGAGCCATCCCTGTTGCCATCTTTTCAGCAGAGGAGTCCGTGAAGCGCTTCTACCTGCGCAAATGGCTGCGAGAGGATCCTGGTGATATGGATCCTCGGACTGTCATCGACTGGAACTACTACCTGGAACGTCTGGGCTCAGTGATCCAGAAGCTCATCACCATCCCTGCCGCGCTGCAGAAAGTCACCAACCCCGTCCCCCGCGTGCCTCACCCCGACTGGCTGGCACGTCGGATACGGAACAAGGACGACAAGTTCCAGCAGAAGAAGATGACGGACATGTTCTCGAAGCAACCTCTCGGCGAGATCAGTGCGAACGAAGCAAGCGGCCGAGGAGCGCCATCCGGTGATCTTGAAGACTTCGGCGCAACGCCCATGTCGAAGCTGAAAAATGCCACAGCAGCAAGGATCCTGGGCGCGCAGAAGCGGAAGGCTGCTGAGCAGGAAGCTACAGCGCCAGTGGACCCGTACGACAGTCTGCCGAAGAAGATGCCTTCGATCACTGAAGACTATAAGGGCTGGCTGCAATATCAGAAGAAGAAGTGGAAGATCCAGAAACAATCTCGTAGACGACGACGGCAGCTGTTCGGTGACAAGCGGCTCGATGCAACCGACTCCATTGGCACGTTCTTCCGTGCGCAGGCCGAGATGGTGTACACGGCCGACTGGCAGGTGCTGCAGCTTCGGGAGACGGATACGCCTGGACAGGTGCAAGCGTTCGTGCTAATCGACAAGAAGATACATCAGCTGAAAGTCGTCGTGCCGCGGCAGGTCTTCCTCAATCTAAAAGAGAACGAGCTCCCCGATGTCACTGTCGACGGCGTCAGCGCTGAGAAAGTGATCAACTACACGCTCCCGAACGGACACCCGTCGACGCATCTTTTCAAGCTCACGATGAGCGAGCAAGTGTACGTCAAAGAAACTGAGAAGCTGTCGATGCTGTTCAACCACAGCAGCGTGGAGGGCGTGTACGAGAAGCAAGTACCGCTTAACGTTCGAGCAATGCTGGAACTTGGCTGCGTCTGCACCTTTGACGAAAGTCAGCGTGGTGTTCTTGGGAAGGGGCTAGAGCAGGGTTTCGATCTCTCAACTCTGCGGACTGTGCCGGCGAAGCAGCCGTATATGAGTACCGCGTCGCTGGGGTATCTGGCTTTGTATCACATCAATGCTGGGGAGAAGCAGATCTACTGCCTCATCTCGTCAGGTAAAGCAGAGGCGAAGATCATTGTCCTCAATCGCGCGAGAAGCGAACAGGGGATGCCGAACGTCGACCGCATTTACCAGGACGCCCTGCAAAGAAAGCTCGAAGAGACGGGCGGCGAGCCGTGGCAGAACGTACTCGAGTACCAAGAGTCGCTGCACTTCCGGACGGTACAAGTGACGACACAGCGGCGCGCATTCCAGGAGCTCGGCGATGAAGTCAAGAAGATCCAGAAAGAGGATTCGCGGCCTACGATGCTGGTCGTCCAGTCGCCAAATGCGCAGATGTTGATGCACGATCTGCCTGCTCTGCAGAACTTCCCGGTGTTGAAGCTGACGCCGGATGAGAACGATAAGCAGCTGCCACCGCTCGGCTGGCAGTCGTTCGTGGCGAAGAGGCTAGTGAGCCATTTCCTCGATCTCGGGCTGTGGGTTCAGCATCTGCTTGAGTTCTCGAGATACGGTAATGTCCCGCTCTGCAATCTGGAGCGAGACGATCCACGGTTCTTGATCGATATCGCGTACGCTCGACGACTGCAGAAGGAGCGAGTGGTTCTGTGGTGGTCACAAGATGCGCGGCCAGATCATGCTGATCACCAGAAGGACGATATTCTCGGCGCCATGGAGACGATCGAGATGCCTGCGGTCAATAATCCAGGCACCTATTCTTCGGTGTGCATTGATCTGAGTGTCAAGAATCTGGCGATCAACACTATTTTATCAGCTGCGGTGCTGAACGATGCTGAGGGTAGCGATCCGATCGGCATCTCTGGCGCCGGTGCGCAGGAGGATGCTCTAGATGACACGTCGCAGAATTTCCACTCCGAGAACTCCTTCGCTACCGCTGGCATTGGGGCGTTGCGGGAGATGGTCCGTGGATGGTGGCAAGAAGCCTGCACTGGCGCTGCTGGGACAGGCACGATGGCGGATGTGCTCGTCCAACATCTCGTCAGATGGGTGGAAAGCCCGAGCTCGCATCTCTTCGACAGGAACCTGCACTACTACGTTCAGATGATGTCGCGCAAGGCGTTCCAGCAGCTAATGTCGGAGTTCAGACGAGTCGGATCCCACGTCGTCTTCGCGAACGCCGGTCGCTTGCTGCTGCAGACTTCGAAAGCTGAGGTCGGCAATGCCTACGCATACAGCCAGTACATCCTCAAGACCATCAGCACGAAGCCGGCGTTCCACTTCCTCGACCTGGCCATCACGGAGTACTGGGATTATCTGGTGTGGTATGATGAGTTCAACTACGGTGGCAAAGGCTGCGTTGAAGTTGTTGAGGCGGAAAACCAGAACCTGGATACCATTATGCATTGGCAGATCGCTACGTTCCTCCCACCGATCATTCAACCGAACTTCAACGACTGGATCGTCGAGTACATCACCCTGATGCATGAGCGAAAGCGTCCGGCTGGTCTCGTGAACGGTACACCGCGGCCGACACAACTGCCCATCCATGCCTCCCTCTTCAACTCCGAGAAGGACGACCAGACGACCCCGGGCAACGTCCTCGCCAAATCCTTCTCCCGCCCCTTGCAAAAGCAGATCGCCGCTCTCGTCAAACGTCAGCGCACAGAGTCCATGCATGAAGATCTAGCTCAGGACTGGCAGTTTCCCAGCATGCCCGGCTCGCATCTCAATCCGCAAAACCCTGCATTGGAATTGGTGAAGAGCATCATGCAAGTGCTCAGCCTCGACAAGACCATCACGCTCGAAGCCCGTCTGCTCCGCAAAGAACTGCTACACCTCTTCGAGATCCGCGAATTCAGCCCCGAAGGCGCCTTCTCCAACCCCAGCACGAGCCTCTGCCTACGCCAGCTCAGTTGCCAGGAATGCTGCGTGCCAAAAGACATCGATCTATGCCGGGACAGCGAACTCCTCGCCACCACCCCACCCGTTCTAGCGCCCGAATGCGACAACTGCGGCGCTACATTCGACCGCCTGAGGATCGAAGAGCGCTTGCTGGGCGATGTGCAGAAGCTGGGCGTGCAGTGGATGACGCAGGATGTCAAGTGCAAGAAGTGCGCGCGGATACGGATGAATGAGTTTATGGAGCACTGTGGTTGTGCGGGAGAGTGGGTGGGGACGATGAGGAAGGAGGAGATGGTGAGGGGGTTAAGGGTGCATGGGCGAGTGGCGGAGTTTTATGGGTTGAAGATGCTTGGGGGGTTTGTTGAAGGGATGGTGGGAGCATTATAAGAGAGGAAGGGAAGCGATGGCGTTCGGCGTTCAAAAGACGGGATCTTGAAGATAGGGGTTTTGCTTGCGGCTGGATAAAGAATTGTATCTCGATCACATGAAAGTGACGTTGCTGAACAACCTCCTGAAACACGTGCCTTACGCAGGGTTGACGAACTAGCGCCGCAAGCGGTCAAGCGTCAAACCCCACAGTGCGGTGACGTCGGTGCCTTCCGAAGCTCAAGTTATTTGCTGCGACTTCAATGTTCTAGATTCTTGTCTTCCTCCTAACTTTTGAACTACCACTTCTCAACCACAACACCCCTAACACCACCGCACACCATGTCTTCCTCCAACGCGCCCACCGCACCCACCCTGATCAACCTCCCTCCTCCGCCCTCCGAGGGTGGCACACCAGATGTCCCGTAAGCTCACCCACTGCCAATCTCCACACAAAGACTCCCTGCTTACCACCCTCAGCTCCCGCAGCGGCACGCCCAACTCCGCTACCACCTCCATGTCTGAGCTCAGCACCGTAGCAATCAAAGACGGCCACCGCGGCCACCTCCCCCACCACGGCCACAGCCACATGAACCCCACCTCTGTCGAGGACGCCCAACGCGCCGACCGCATCTCCCGCCTCGCCGGCCTCGAGCGCGTCGCCACCGCTCGCAACCCGGCCCCTCCCTCTAGCGCAGGCGGCAACCTCACACCCGGCGCCGCGGCTCCACCCTTGCAAGCGCAGCAACAGCAGTATACCTCCAACCCACCGCAATCCTACTTCGACGCTACAGGTAACCCGGCGATCGGCAGGGAGCGCAGCACCGTCGGCTCCGCGTCCGCGACGGGTAGCGTGGGTGCGAGAACGACGTGGGCGGGCAGCGAAGCGGGCGATGCGGACAAGATGAGCGAGAGCCAGGATATGGACATGGATACCTCGTCTGTCGGCGGGATGAGCGAGGAAGGAACAGGCTCGTTGGTAGGGTTTGGAGAGGGAGCGCGCACGCCAGCACGGCAGAGTACGGTGGGCAGTCCGAGCGCGGCGAAGGGGTTGGCGACACCGACGCCTGCTACCCCGGGCGGGAGCAGGGACGCGAAGATGATTGATGGGATGACGTATGATCGTGGGGTTGTGGATACGACGGCTGGAAGGCAGCAGGGGGCAGAGGAGGCGGAGAGGATTGTGAGGGAGAACATGAATACCACGTCCGCGGATCGCATGAGGGGCCATGGGCCGGGGGAGCTGGGGAAGTTTGAGTTTGAGAAGTGAAGGAATGCTGCTAGATGAAATGGTGGATGATGGATGAGTGATGGTTGATGAGAATGCATTGCTTGCTTCGTTGATAGATCACGTACGAGCTGCAGGCCAGCTTGCCAGCGACGGGCGTTGCTTGGGCGTTGCGATGAGTCAAAAAGCGGGAGCGAGACAGCATTGTTGAGGTCTTCACGTACCTGGCCTCTATTTGAGATGGAGAAGTTTAGCTAGCTAGAACCAAATCCACGTCTGACATCTCTGCCACCACAGCTACACCCTCAAATCCACAACCTCGAACCTTAACCCCTGCCCTTCAACCACATGCCCCTTCCCCCCGGCATCCGTATACAACCTCGTCTCCTCGTGCGGATGAAACAGCCCCTTCCGCTCACACCGCAACACATGTCCCAAACCCGGCGGATCCGTCAACCGAAAGATCCCCCAGTCCGGGTTATGCCGTGGCGCGCAGACGATCGCTATCGCCTCTGGAAGCATAACCTGATACCCGGAACTCGTATGTAAATCCCTACTACTCAAGAAGCAGGACTGGCTCGGATGCGTGTGTATCCAGCCGCACACCAGCAGGTTATGCGAATCAGCGTAGTCGAAGAGCGCATTATCCCCCGCCTCCGTCGTGTCGCACGTATCGGAGGTGGAGTGCTGGTCCGGGATGATGAGGTGTGTGATGATCAGCGCGTTGGAGATCAGCGTGCCGCAGAGGATGCCGCAGGTTTCGAGGTTGGCGAGCGTGTTGGCGTGGGCGAGGTTGAGGAAGGTGGTGCGGAGGGAGGGGGGGAGGAGGAGCGGGCGCAGAGGGGTGCCGGATTCGGTGGTGGCGGTGGATTTGAATGTAGTTTTTGAAGGGCGGGTTGGTATTGGTGGGGGTGGTGGGGACTGGTTGTTCGGTGTGCGGTCGAGGGGGTGTTTGGCCGGACGGGAGGGTGGTGGGAGTTGTTGTCCTGGTTGGAGGGATGGCATGTCCCAGTACATGGCTCCCTCTTTGGTAGGTACAGATGGGTAGTGGTATGAAGACGTCGGCTCCCTTTGCTGTTGCGGTGCAGTCGACCGGCTTTGCCTTTGGCTTGGGTGCTGCAGCATATGACCAGCTAGCCGCACGCCTTCTCCCACCGCTCCCAGCCCAGAACCATCGTCTCGATACGATTGAACGCGAGCTCCATCATCCTCAACGACACCTTGTCTCCGCTCAGCGACTGTCGCAGGAGAAACACCAGCCCTCCGTGTGGCTTGCTTCGTAGCATCCCTTCGCCTGATCTCCTGGTGGGCCAGATCGACAGCGAGCTGTCGATGCTCGTTGGCGTCCAGCGCTTGGCCTCTTTCGTCATCATACGCTCCACCATCAGCTCCAACAGACAGTCTGCCGAACTCATCGTTTGCCACCCTCTCCTGCTGATCACTCAGTCTCTCCGCTTCAACTCGTTGCCTTTCAGCATTCCGCCTTTCAATAGCTTGGACGTAGCGCTCGTGATCACGTTTGATCTTCGGCTTCCATTGCTCGAGTTTCTTCAAATTCTCCTCAACAATCCTGCCGTTGGCGACAATTCCTGCCTTGAGCTGGGGATCCTTGTACTCCGGGTGTTGCGGGAACTTGACAATCACGAGGTTTGCATGGCGGTACAGGAACAAGTATGCTCTTTGAATATCGCCGTCTTGTTCACATATCCGAGCCTCAGTGAGAAGTAATTTGGCAGACCGTAGCCAGGCTTTGAGGGGGCGTTCGGAGATGAATTCATAGTCCAGGGCTTGCTTGACGATCTCCTCAACACCGAGGGGTCGTGAAGAAGTCGTGCTGTATCTTGGAACTGCCATGGGTACTTTCCACCGGGAGATGGAGTGTTGTGCTAATGGTATCTACCAGATAGATGTCTTCGCTATTCAGAGATCCACGAAGCCATGGCGTTACCGGTTCATCGACCTAGGCCATGTGCTATCGCTCCGTCGGTGTCGTATAGCCTCACGGGTTAGACCAGAGGGTTGTTCGCGTTGCAAACGAGGCATGTTGGGCTGATATAGGTCGTTAGAATAAGCGTTGCCTGACTCGAAAGCGCATGCCTTGCGCGCCAAGCAGCGATGGCTCCAGGAAGTCGCGACCTGCACTTCCGAGCACTTGCCATCAAGACCGACACCTTTAACTTGACTTCATCTCATCAACGCCCATCACTTTACTTCAGAAAGACGGAAGCTGATGAGAGCGTCCCACCGGCTGGCCTCCGTCAAGCAAAAGCCACTCGCCAAGTCACTATCCAAAGTCCTCGCTGGAACCCCCAAGACGAGACCGTCCCTAAAAGGGGAGAAGTCATCGGTCAGCAGCAGACGCATCGACATTGTCAGCGAGCAACTCTGCGGTATGCCCTGTCCTTTCGAGAAACCTTGCATCTATCAACTGACGCATGTGTATATACAGAGGATGTCATCAGCTATCTCGCACCAACCCTAGAGCAGCACAAAGGCTGTACCATCATCGACTTCGAGCCCGGAGCATGCCTCTTCTCATCCCATTTGCATCGTCACCTCAAACCGAAGAAGCACATCCTGGTAGAACCCGACCAGAAGTACTTTGAGCCATTCGTCAAGCCTCTGCTGAAGCGGAAGGGCTCACGTTATGTCCACTCTACCCTGACCAGCGCAACTCACCCTGCACTAAGATGGGATCATGGTACCCGGATCCAGCTGGATCCACAGCTCCTGCCAGAGAGAAAGCCACTGCCCGACGGTGATGAAAGACTGATGAAGTTCGATCCGAGCCTCCTGATCATTGGCAATCTAGCTCGGCGAGGTAACCAGCGCAGAGTCTTTGTCAACGATCGGACTTTCGAGCTGCAAAGGCTGGTTCTGTTTGCAATGGCCAAAGATTTGCTGTCCAAGTCTGGATTCTTCGAGGCTGGCCTTGTCCGTATGCTTTGGTGGCTGCCAGATCTGGCGAAGCCATCAGCCATGTCCGCGAACTTGCCCAACAACAGATCGTCATTCAACGTCGGGCTCGACACTGCTTTCACCACCTCCGAGGTGTCAGGTGTGAAGCCGATGAGCTCACTGCTTGATACACACTACAACAAGCAGGCGAGGCGACTCGAGGAGCTTGATGTCCTGATGGCCCAGCAAACCGCATTAAGGGCGAAGTCAACCACTTCCACACCGGAACGCTCCGTGAAGAGGAGACTACCAAAGGCAGACAGGTTCACGAAAGAGATGAAGAAACGCGCTGCGGAATTGCTCTCGCCGTTAGATTCTCTTGCCGAGACATCGGAAGATCTCAGCACCAAGATCGATACCGTCTCGGCACGTCTCACGGAGATCTCGAAATGGGCCGGCACGTTCAGGGTGGCCAAGACCCGCGACGAAGACGTGATAAGATCCGCTCTCCAGACCCTGCAGTTTCCTCAGTGCAACTCCCTCGATGCGATACACCATAACATGAACACAAAGTCTGAAGACGAGTTCGCCAACGCCCGAATGATCGCGACCGTGGATCTCGGTCTTCGAATCATCCATCTCGAAGCCAGCGTAAAGGAGGTCGAAGACCGCGGTGTCACCAAGGAAGAGGAAGTCAAGAAACTCCAAACGCGCATTCTCGCCATCAACAAGCAGTTCAGAAAGCTGATCCAGAAGGGGGGAGAAAGACTCATGAATGACGTGTCGCGTCTGTTAGAAGACCAGATGGCCTGCTTCTCCCCGACGACCCTCCTCTCGTGGGACAACCGCTCCTACGAACCCCTTCAAGCCTCGCAGACCGACTTCTACCCCGAAACCGAAGTCGCCCTCCTCGACATGATGCCCAAGAGCGTCGACCTCTCCGTGCCCGACCTCGCAGACAGCGTCGAGAGCACCAAAGTCTTCGCCCAGCTCATCACCAGTCTGCTCCTGAACAAGAAACAGCCCCTCCCCATGGCTCTGGAGCGCATCGCCGTCAACGCGGGCAAAGACCTCGTCCCGCAGGTCCCCGCCATAACGGACGCGCGGAAAGGTGGACGTCTCGATCCGAGGAATGTGAGAGCCAGGATGTTGACGACAGAGATGCTGGAGGGGTTGGTGAAGGCGTGGTTCGAGTGGCCGTTTCGCCCACAGTCGTGGCAGCTTTCGCTTGCGACGGGGGAGGCGGAGACGGTGGAGCAGGCGAGGGAGATTGATGGGGAGGGCGAGAGCGGGGAGGAGGGAGATGAAGAGCGTGAGGCGTGAGAACAGCGTGCGCTCTCTTGCTTCTATTCAAAGGGTCGTATATCGTGCGTCCAACGTAACTCGTCACTTGCAAATAAAGTCCTTTCATCCCCCTTGCTTCCCCTCTCAAGCTCACCCCTCCCCCTCAGCAACAGCAAACCTCACGACCCTCTCCTTCACCTCACCCCCCACCACCTCCCCCTCGCTTCCCTTTACCCCTCTCCTCCGCTCACTCCTCCTCTGCCGCGCCTCCCTCGCCTCCCGCGCCTTCCACTCACTAACCTGCTGCCGTCGCCTCTGCTGCCTCACAAAAGCCATCGCGGGGGTAGGACGGAACCCGATCCCGTTTATGCCTTCCCCGTCGTCGTCGGAGTTGGTCCTGTCGAGGAGGTGGCCGGTGATTTCGTCGTCGTGCCAGGTTAGTTCGCTGGATGTTGGGGGTGAAGGTGGGGGTGGGAAGATGGTTGTGGAGGGGCAGGAAGTGGTGAAGTCGCCGGAGCTGGGGTCTGAGTCTTCGTCTGCCTGTTGTGGTGGTAACGACGACGGAAGAGGTGGGCTGGAGGGACGGGCGCGGCAGTCGGGCGTCTCGGCCACTACAGCAGCTGCTTCATTCCCATCTCTATCCGCTTCGCTGCTTGACGTCGCTTGGCGCGCAGGAGGCGTAGACATTAACCCCCCATCTCCACCCCCAAACCCCTTCCTAGCCTCCTTCGTCCGCTTAAGGCGTTTCCTCGCCACCCCTTCCCCATCTCCATCTCCATCGACAACCTCCCATGGCAGCACAGGTCGCGAAGCCCTTAAGTCGAGACCGGAGAGTTTGTTCGCCACTTTAGTCCTCGGACTATTTGGTGCAGCGTCCTCGTTAGTCAATTTCTGTCCGTTAAGTTTCGGTTCATGTTGTGTGTCGATCTGGAGCGCTGTAGTGGAATTGCTGCGTTTGCGCTTGGGCGAGGGGTCCGGTGGCGTGGGGCTGGAGGAGGGGTCGTGGGGGGTTGGGGTGCGGTAGGGGGGGTTGTAGTGTGGGTTCAAGATCATTTTGTCGGTTGCTCTGGTGGTCTGCGAGTACGTTGGTGGTGTTGATGTTTATACTGTCACTGATGTCGTTGAAGTTGGGTTGGTGGGGTCGTGGTGGGACAGAGCGATTGCGGTTCGCACGGACCAGTTTGCGACTGAAAGGAAGCCACCACTCTTTGACGAAGAGACAACAGCATGAGGGAATGAGAAGTTCGAAACTGCGGTCGCAAGTTTGCTATCAGGGATCATGTGAGGGGCGTCGGCACGGAAGTCTGTTTCAGTTTCAGAGGGATATCACATGCACAAACATTCTACCTCGCATTGCGCCATGCCATGCACACGCACGCGTACCACCACCTGCAAACCTCCTTCATCGCCTTCGTACGTCAGTAGTACGCCTTGAAGACATGCGTACTGAGTCCATCTCCACCTGTCCTCTACTCCCCCTCTAAGCAAAACCGCCACGCCGCATACGAGCAACCAGCATCCCCTCAAGCCCATCTGTCACCGAGTCGTTTCTCATAGAACACTACCCGAAGAACGCCCTTACAGTCCTCTGCGCATCCGGCGTCAAGCCCGCCAACAACGCATTAGCATCCAGCCCCGCCATCTCGACCAGTCTCCTCGCCGCGCCAACAGTCTGCTGCGCCATATTGCCCTGCAGCGTCTCGGCTTCCAGCGCTTGCGCGACGTACGTGAAGCACGCGGCGGCTTTGTTCATGACGGCGGAGTTTTGGCTGTCATCATACGTCAGCATTCGCTCGCGGGTAAGAGAGGGGCTGGGAGGGGAAAGACGTACTCCTGAATCAACTGCCCCATGAACGCATACGCATACGGCGCCGCTTCTTCGTCGTTGACGACCGGCAGCGTATCGATCCATGCCGCAATCACGTCCTGCACATTCTGCACCTTCCCGCCATTGAAATGCAGAATCTTCGCAATACTCGCGCACGCGTTCTCCGTCGCAAACGCATCGTCCTCGCTCCGCGCGTTCGGGCGCTGCGTGACTTGGAACAGAATCGGTAAGCTGTGATTCGCAAACTCCCCCCACGCTTCACCACCCTTCTGCGCAGCGACGCCCACACCATAGCAAGCCGCTTGGCGGTTCGCAGGGGCGTCGTCGCGCATGCCGTCGATGAGGGGCTGGACGATGTGGCCTTGGTAGTTCCAGGACGTTGGGCCGCAGAACTCGAGGACGTCGTCGAAGATGCAGAGGGCCCATTGGCGCTGCGTGGGGTCCGGGTTGGTGATGAAGAGGTCGTAGTAGCTGAGGAGGCGCTCCCAGTGGGGCAGGAAGGACTGGCCTTGCTGCTTGAAGATGGTGTGGAAGGCTTTGTTCATGTCGGAGAGCAGGGTCTGGTCGTCTTCGATGGCGAACTCTTCCTCTTCGCCTGCTTCCTCGCCGTCTTCGCGCTCCTGGGCGTTGTCCAGGCGTTCTTTCACGCGGGTCTGGTAGTCTTTGAGCACGCTTTCCGCGGAGGTGATGAAGGTCGTCATATGCTCGTTCGATAGGCTGTCCTTGCCGGAAACTTCAACAGACTCGTAGAAGCATTGGTACATCTCCGCGAGTGTCTCGATCGCTGGCTCGGTTTCTAGCACTTCCAGCACTTTGCCGATAGTGCTCTGCCAGAGCTGCATGTACTGCGGCGAGTTCAGGCCATGTCGCATTTTCGAAGAGTTGAGGAGCTGTGGAACGGCCTTTGCAGAGGCGACCCGCACCGGATCGTGGAAGAAGAAGGCCAGACCAGGAAGTGCAACCTTGTCCATGATCTCCTCCACGTAGTCGGCAAAGCCAGCCTCGAGGTTTTGAGCGTAGACAGTGATGAGCTCCACAGCCATGAATTTGTCATCGAGAGTGCTGGTCTTGATGCCGATGTACTTGCCCTTGAGCGGTACGAGCTCCCAGCCTTCTTCTGCCTCGATCTGCGCGACGTTCTCTTCGTTGTCGAGTAGTTGGATGTCGGCCTTGGCCTGCGCCAGCTTCATCAAAGGCGGCATGACGGCAGGTAAGTAAGGAACGAAGTCTTGGCCGAGTACCCTGCACATCCTGCCCCAGCAGTGCAGCAAGTAGCTCTCTTGCGGATCATCGTCATCAACAATGGTAGATTGGACACTACCCAGAGTCTGCACAAGCGTGAGTGCGTCTTGGCCCATCTTCTCCTTGCCCACCGCAAGTGCGATGAGCGTCGCGCACTCCATGGCCTTAGCTCGCAGCAATCTCAGGTCTCGCTCGTTTGGCTGCTGGAGCACGTTGAATAAGAGCGGCATAAGCTGGCCGTACCACTTCCCGAAAGTGCTCTCTGCTGAATCTGCGACTGTTGCAATCGTGCTGAGAGCCTGCTCCTGCACAAATCGCTTCGGGTTCTGCAGAAGCTGCATCAGATGCTCGAGCAGAGTGTCAAGGTACGGTTCAAGAATCTCCTTCTCGGCTTCTTCGCAGAAGTTGACCAGTGCTGCTGCAGCGTGAGACTGCACTCGTGGCTCTGGTGCGGCAAGAACCGGTATGAGCGCAGGTAGGACGATCTGATGGTATTTCGTCTGCATCGTGCCCTTGAAGTCCGTGCTCATTTGTCCAAGCGCATTGCATCCAGCCCATCGCACACGAGGATGAGCTTCGCGGAGAGCTGGCACCACCAAATCTAGGACCTTGTCGAGCTCACCCTCCATCAGTTCCTGGCAGCCTTCTGAAATCGCGGAGATGGCCATCAATGCTGCATGTCTATCGCGCCACGACCCGGATGCAATCATCCTCGGGAGCCACGTAAAGGTAGGCGGAAGGATGATAGATCCGCCCAGCTTATTCGCCAGCCTATCCATCGTCTGCTCGCCGGCAACATGATTCGAATCACTCTCGTCGAAGTCCATATCTTCTTGAGCATTCCACTCCTCGGCATCGTCATCGTCTGCTCCCACATCTGTCATGAGCGAAAGACACTGCGTGACCATATCATTAGTATAGCCAGGGTCCTTCTTGCACATGGTCGGGTTGTAGTCCGCAAAAGTCGCCATCAGTTCCAGCGCGTTCTGCCGTGCTTGGTCCTCCAGCTCCTTGTCCTGAATCATGCTGATGCATAGTGTGACAAGCTGGGAGAAGACACCCTTGAACATCTTCGATGCCACTTCTGCCAGCTCGATGATAGCTAGTAGCGCCTTTGATAGTAGCTCTGAGTTCTGTGATTCCTTCAGAGGGACTAGAGTGTTAAGGATGTCTGGAATCAGGGCGTAATACTTTGGTTGCGACTTCTTGGTCAAGGAGCCAAAGAAGGACGCGAACGCAGCCATTGTTGCCATCCGCACGTCCGGGCTGTCGTCCTTGATGCCCTTCTCGAACACACCGTACGCGACAGTCTCGTGCTGCCTCTCGATGATGCCAGGTGTTGTCTCCAATATCCTGAACGCCGATTCTCGCATCGCAGCGTCTGGCGACTGGCTTGCGGCGAACAGCGCCTGGAGCAAGTCGGGCCAGGTATCTCGTGTGCCGTCTGGGTTAAGGACCGTCTCGTCCGTGTACTGCCTCGCAATCTCGGCCACCGCGTCCGCGATCTTGTTCCGTACCGGCGCCTTCTGCTCGTTGGCATGGCTTATGAGGAGTTTCGACCTGATCTCTGTTCGAGGCGCGTGACTGAGATGCAGGAATGTTTCCTTGTTTTCACCGGTCGCCGGGTCCTTGCCTGTTCTTGTCGCTATCCGCCTGAACAGCACGGCGGCGAACGAGCGAGTCTGTCGCGACTGTTAGCCGTTGTGAACATCAATCTTCACGTGCTTCCAACTCACCCCATCGTCGACAGCCCCGTGCATCTGCTCGCCCAGCCCCACCAACAGCATATCCGGTCGCTTCTGCACCCATTCTGTATTTAGCTGCTCCTCGGCCGTACTCCTCACACTGTTGTCTGTAGACTGCAGCCCTCCCAGCAACTGCTCCAGCGCAGTGTGCACCTCTGGGGGTAGCACGGACATGGTCGTCGAGTTTGTGTGGGGAAATTATTCTGCAGGTCGAGGAAGGGAGGTTGTTGGTCCTCAGCGCATGTGCTTTGGCTATGCGCACGTGACGCTGATTCGCAGACGGTTTCGATGGGACGGAGGGTGATCGCAAGGGCGAAGTGGTGTTTCGGGCGCGTGTTTGGGTTGTAAAGGCGAAGAAAGGTGTTTTGGGCGTCAATCTTCAAAAATGTTGGAGCACCGCTGTTCCCACCAGGGTCCAGGCCGTCCCCTTGCTCGCGCCGACATCGACGTCACGGCTGTAAACAAGACATCCCACCTTGTCAATACTAACACAATCTCGCAAAACAGTTCTCGAGCGTAATAGACTACCATGGCAGACGACCTAGAACTAGCAGAGCAGCAACGCCTTTTCCGAGAAGAGCACAACGCCACCAAATGCCCACTCCTCACCCTGCCCGCAGAACTCCGCCTCGCAATCTACGAAGACCTGATAGACACCAAATCCACCAACCTCCCAGGAGTCCCAGACAGCGAGATCCTCCACAGACGGACGAGCCTGCCCCCAGACCACGAGTGTATGACCCAAGGCTGGACAGGACTTCTCCGAACATGCCGGACCTTGCGAAAGGAGACGCTGCCGTTTTATATGAGGACACCAATCCTATCCATCACAGCTCCCCGGGGATACATCGACCAGGCTCTGCTCGGTCAACACACTGTCGCCATCCAGAACTGTATCGCCACCCTCCTGTCTCTGCGGGACATCTCAAAGGACACCCTCGTGCTGTGGTCCAACTATCCTACCGACGAGGGCGCACCATACACGACCAGGGTAGTTTTCCAACCCACGACCGTCTCGAACGCCCACGCGGTGCACGACCGCTTCGTCAAACACCCTAGCGGCGTGGAGAGACGAACCCATCCCCGCGTCCGGGCTCTCTTTGCGGAGCTCAACGAGGGCCGGAAGGAGGGCAGGCGGCTGGAGAAGGACGATGTGTGGGCGCTGTTTGCGCTTTTGGCTTCGGAGACGTGGCCGGTCGTGTTCCAAGGGTGATGCTTGCCCGTGGACGGCGAACGCATTCGACTGCGATGGCGTCTTTCGCTTGTTTGCATGTGCATGTGCATGTGCCTAGGGTTAGGGTTGGGGTTACATGTTACGATATTGTGATGTATGATACCAAATCGTCCAAAAATATTATTCTTCTCAGTCACACGAGTGGATCCAAGTGACTGGGGGGCGAGCCTCGAGATGTTTGACGAGCAGAATTGGCTTCGGATGTCAAGCTCGTTCTAATACAATCTTCACTCGAGCCTTCTTCGAACCATGTCTAGATTCCCAGTTGTCAGAGTTTAAGAATGTCGCACATCTTCACCTCTCTCATCATCGCAATACATTGCCGTGACAGCTTCATCCTAGATAGAATCTCACACCCTCCGCATCAACAACAAATGCGTACTAGGACTCACCCTCATCATCTCCCCTCCCCCCAACGCATCCCTCACCCCCTTCATCGCCACCACAACCGGATCCTTCTCACCCCCTGCTTTCTCTGAGTGCGCCTCCCTCCATCTGATAACCGAACTCGCGCTCGCCAGCCCTCGTCCGAGATCCTCCACACTAACCTCCCGATCATGCAGAAAAGGCCCCTTGCCCCCGTCCGCGGACGGGATACCGCCTTTATCCCACTCCTGCCTCACAAAACTCCCCTCGTCGAATTCATCAACTGATGGGGAGACCTTCCAAGGTAAATCCAGTGTTTGATAAGCAGCCCTCGTAAGCGCCGTGCCGGAATTGTGATACTCCCGCAACGCCCCGTCCTCCAACTCGCTCACCACCGCTTGCACGCGCGCCGCGTTCGGCATCGAGGGATGCGCGTATAAACTCGTGCACGTCCAAATCGCCAGTGTGCCGCCGGGCCGTAAGGCTTTGGCAGCTGAGGCGTAGAAGGCGGGGAGTTGGAGCCAGTGCGCGCTCATGGCCGCGGTGATCACATCCACGGACCCCTCGCCGTCGGGGAGGTCGGCGGCGCATTCCTCCCCGGCAGCTTGCGCGAACGTGCACGAAGACAAATCCAAGGCAGAAGCAGCTTTCCGCGCCTCCTCGATCATGCCGGCGGAGGTGTCGGTGCCGATGGAGGTGGTGAAGTGCGGCTTGAGGTCGAAGACGACTTTGCCGGGGCCGGTACCGATGTCGCGGTGGGTGTTCTTTGGGCCCGTGTGGTAGGCGAGGAGGGCGTCGTAGAGGGGTGGGGGGTAGGAGGAGCCGCGGCCTTGGGCGTAGGCGCGCGCTTGGGCGGGGGTGAATTGGATGAAGGTTGGGTCTTTGGACGCCATGGTCGTTGCGATGCTCTAGCAGTCAGAGGGCTGGGAGTTCTGCGATCTTGTGAGCTGTATATGTATTCTTCTCTGACTCACCTTGGGTGGAGCCGATGCTGCAGAGAGCTTCCCAGTGGGTCGTACGATGCTGCTGCGGCTGAGAGAAGAGATGGATGTGGAAAGTTGCTGATAGCAAAGGGTATCACATGGCCTAAAAGCTACATATAGCATTATCGTATCAATCAGCTCTCTTCTTACTGTCCTTCGCGTCGTCTGCTTCTTCAACAGGGTCGTCATCCCAGTCCTCAGCATTCTCATCCCAGTGATCCAGCTCCTCAGTAACATCAGTCTTCCCCGCTCCAGCCGTAGCCTGCCCATTCGCGCCTCCACCCACCACGCCCGTCTCCTGATCCCTCACAGTCCCCAGCTCGACATCCCTCTCCGGATCTTCAAGCTCATCCTGATCTTCTCCGGGTACAATATCATAGTGCTTCGACATCCGCCGTCTCTCCAGCATACGCTTGTGGTACCAGCTGCATGCGAGCAGTGCGGGAACCGACCCGACGACATTTGCGAGGACGTCGTAGGGGTCGAATAGTCGGTCGTTGGGGAGGAGGGCTTGTACGACTTCGGAGCCGATGCCCAGGCCGACTGTGACGACGACGAGGGTGAGGTGGATGCAGCGGCGGCGGGAGGTCTCGAGGATCCAGTAGAAGGTCAGCTGTAGATTCGTGTTAGCCTTGCATTCGTCGTAGCCTCGTCCGCGGCTCTGTGTGCGGGTTGAACGTACGGTGAGAAGGAGGAAGGTCACGAAATGCAGTCCCTTGTCACTTTGGCCATATGAGGGTATCTTCTGCGTCGACAGTCCCAAGTACGCCGACGCCAGAAGCAGGACCGCAAAGGCCGCTGGACAGCTGTTAGTGACTTGTCCTGTCGCATTGTGTGTCGTGACTGGACCTACCGGCGAAGGGCTGGCGGATGCGAATGGCCGGCATTATCGCATGGGCAGCTTCAATTGCATTGTATGCGTCGACACGTGAAGTTACGAGTGATTGTCGTGGTGACAATTGGAGAACGTACAGTAGGTGGATGGTGAAGCTGGCCGGGCCACACAACTTAAGTGACCGAGCGCGGGCGCCGCTAGGACTCACCTTCAGACCTCATTCATGAGAAGTCCCATCGCCGCCACCAGAAACCCATCGATCGTACCAATTCGACCACTCCATCGGTACCGTCGCGCGATTCCGACTCTGATGATACCATTTTCACCGGCTCAACACCCTAGGCTGGCAAGTGCGCACATTGAAGCGAGCAGCGTGTTCGGTAGAGGGGCTTTGCGTGCACGCTCATCAGCCAACAGCATGAGATGAGCTCGACACCCTGGCGACAACACAACAGCCACCACTCCTCCACCGCCGCCGCCCTCCCCCATGGCAGCGCACGCCGCGCATTCAGTATGAGCCAGGATGCCCCCACCAGCACCGTGGACGGGGACGTGGGAGGGGGACCCGAGGACTTGCTCAAGTCTAGATGGGCAGAAACCGAAGCAAATATCGCAAAGCTCTTTGGAACCGATGGGCAGACACGGCGCACATCGCAGAAACCCACCACCGCCTCTGAAGCCGCCGCTACAACCACCACCTCCGCGCCTGATAATGCCAAGACCCCGGCTCCACCCAAACGCTCCGCCCGCCACATAGACGATGACTACGGGGACGACGATGACGAAGATGAAGAAGACTCGCCGAAAGAGAGCCCACTCCGGAAGAAGGCGAAGATCGCGCTACCGAATGGCATCCACCCCCTCGCCGCCCGTTCCCCGTTGCCTGCGGGGAGGGCTCTACCGCGCGCCGCTCCAACATCGACACCATCGGAGCCCGCAAAGAGCTCGGAGGATGTGCGCAAGCAGCTGGAGGAGGACAAGAGGACGGCGGAAGAGGCAGCGACCAAGAGCTTCCAGTCTATGTACTACACCTTCGAGCATGACAAGGACGCGATGGTGGAGCAGCAGAAGTTGGATGAGCTGGATCGCGAAGTAGAGAACGAGTTATCAGGAGGTGCAACCGATGCGCCGAATGCACAACAAGGCGCAGGTGCTGGTCCAGCGGCTGCTTCTACACAAGGGACGCTGGGCAGCGCGGACCTAGGCGCATCCAGTCTGACGCTCAAGCACCTCATTGCGCGAATAGACATGAAACGGGACATGGTGCGCGCCTCCGACAACCAACTCCGGACGCTCATATCAGAGGTTAGGAAAGGACGAAGCAAATGGGCGTCCGAGGACAAGGTTGGACAGGAAGAGCTGTACGAAGCGGCGGAGAAGGTCCTCATGGAGCTGAAGGCGCAGACGGACTATGCGCAGCCTTTTCTGCAGCGCGTCAGCAAGCGCGAGGCACCGGATTATTTCAACGTGATCAAGCATCCAATGGATATTGGCACGATGCTGAAGAAGCTGAAGCAGCTGGGCTACCGGAGCAAGAGAGATTTCGTCGACGATCTCAATCTCATCTGGGCGAACTGCCTGAAATACAACCAAGACCCGCAACATCCGCTCCGGAAGAAGGCGTTGTACATGCGAAAGGAGACCGACAAATTAACACCTCTCATCCCGGATATTCTGGTTCGAGATCGCGCGGAAGTGGAAGCGGAAGAGAGACGCTTGCACTCCATAGATGCCGACGAAAGCGACGAGGATGATGCGCCGATCATGGCTTCGCGAGGTCGCAAAGCTCCGAAGAAGGGTGGGAGCAAGGGTGGGCCAACATCGACCAAGCGAGCACCCACAGTCGCAGTTGAAGAAGCTGGGTCGGCCACTCCAGCGCCGGATATGAAGCCGCCCTTACCGCTATCAGCCACCAACCTGCGCACAGAGACTCTGCGAGCGGAGTCGGAAGTGCAAGATGCGAGCTCGGCTGGCTTCAGCACGCCACCTCCGGGCAACGCGACACCACTTGGTGTGAATGGCGTTAATGGGAGCGGTGCGCCAGGCAGCCAAGCAGATGTGACAGAGGTTGACGGGCTGGGCAACTCCGTCGTTGGCTCGACACCTGAAGACGAGGATGAAGAAGACACAGAGTTCAAGACCTGGAAACAAGTCACGAAACGAGATCGAGCGCAAGCCGCCGCTGACAGACATCGGCTTTTTCGTGGCGAGCAGCTCAAGAACCTTAACCCTGAGGAACCCGCACTCATACGCACAAAAGCGATGATGCGGAGATGGACGCGGCAACAGATGGCGGCGTCTGGAAAACCATCTGGTCAGGCCGAGGCCGGTGAGAGTGCAGAAGAGCCAGAGCAACCGGCGCAAGGCGAGTCGCTGGCAGAAGGTATTGAGAAAGACCAAGACTCAACTCTGCCGGACTACTACAGCTCTCTGTCCGCCATTCCCGAGCTGGACGAGCGGTTCAGGTGGACGACCGACTCCGAAGGCGCTGTCGTGCCGCAGACTGAGGAGTGGATGCGCATGTATCCGAAAGAGCAGTTCAAGTCGGCGGATGGTGCCCTGAATCGCAAGATCGAGGACAATATGCGGCAGATGCAGGACACGAGGAAGATCTGTGCCAAGATCGGCGTTGTGAAGCAGATGCAGATTCAGGCGCAGGTGAGGCGACGCGGATGAATGTGACGGAATGCGCCTAAGACTAATCTTATTCACAGACCTACCAGAACCAGTTCACCAAGTACGAAGTGCAGCCTTTCATCGAACAAGACGTTGGTGCTGTAGTGGTATCGGAGGATGGCCCACTCATGGCTCCCTGGGTCAGCCGAGCGGCTCTTCAACGCTCAGTGGGCAAGATTTTCTACCACGCCGGCTTTGAGGACTTTCAGCCCTCCGCGCTCGAAATGATCACCGATCTGGCTGGTGAGTATTTCGGCAAGCTGGTGGATGCTTTCAAGAGCTTCCGCGAGCAGCCAAAGGCTGAGCCAGAGACGTCACGGTACTCGTATGAGGAGCAAGTCCTGCATTCCCTGCACGAGCACGGTCTGGATCTCGAGGCGCTGGAGACGTATGTCAAGGACGACGTTGAGCGCTTATCCACGAAGTTGGGCGTGGTGCATGACCGGATGCGGTCGCACCTTGCTGATCTACTCGTACGTCTTCTCCCATGCCTCCCTTTGTCAACTACTCATGCTGACAATTTCACAGCGCCCCGCGCTCGGCGATCACGCAGGAGCAGACGGCGTCGGCGCCTTCAACGACGGCAGTGAACAGTTCGTCGGTGGCGACTTCGCCGAAGACCTGGACGAAGACTTCTTCGGCTTCCGCGAGCTCGGGCTCGCCGAAGAACTGGGTCTGGAGAACCTCTCTGTACCTCTCCACCTGCTACAAAACCGCATGCACAGCGCCTATCAAGCCGCGCACCAAGGCCCCGCATCCACTACTGGCCTCGTCTTCCCACAACCAGATCCCTACGAACCCATCACCATCGACAACGTCGGCGCGCAGGTCGGTCTGGTGCAAGATTTCTTCCGCGAGAAACTGCACGCGAACCACGAGGACGCGCTGGTGGAAGACGAAGATCTACCGCAGAAGCAGCGATTCCCGAAACCTCGCTTACCGCCTACAGGCAAGATTTCCAGCCCCCGCAAACGGCCTATACGAGAGCAGCAGCAGGCGGCGAAGAAGAAGCGGAAGATGGAGGAGAGCGGCAAGGCGGGAGGCGTGGAGGTGGCGCCGATCGGGAAGTTGAAGCTGGAGGCGAGTGTGGGGAAGGGGGTTAATGGGGTGCAAGAGCCGGAGAAGAAGAGGGAAAAGGGTGGGGAAGAGATGGAGGTTGATAGGGAGGTGAACGGGGGTGGAGGGGAGGTTAATGGGGGTGCTGGAGGTGGGACGATGATTAGTCCGGAGAGTTTGGCGCCGAACTAGAGGAGCGGGACGTCGAGCTTAAAGAGGAAGGGGAAGACGGTGGATGCACCCAGGAGCAACCCGACCGTCGTCACGTCGCCATCAGGGAAGGGCGCACCTGGAGAACCCCGAACTTCAGCCTCCGTGGCTATCGGTGTGAGATGTCGGACATGCCGCAGACTTGGTCGAGCCTGCACATGGTACGAACCACCCGACGAATGCGGCCGGTGCACGTATTGCCGTCGTCTGGGCCTGGAGTGCGTGCCGGAGCGCGGCAAATGTCGGCTTTGCTACTCCATGAGGCGACCCTGCGATGCATACGACAAGACTGACGGTGTGCCGTGCAGTCGCTGTGACACGCGGGGGGAAGAATGTCGTCCGCAGTCCATTGCGTCGGAGCATGCGCCGAGCCAGGCGGAAAGGAGCGAGAGGTCTGACGGCGCAGACGGGCCAACGGACGATGAGCGGGCAGCGGAAGCCGAAGATGCCTCCCGAGCTGAAGGGACACCGCCATGCCGCTGGTGTAAGCGTGACGGAAGGAAGTGCGTCCGATTCGCGACACCCGAACATCGCGGCCGCTGCACCCAGTGCGTGAGAACTGGACGGGAATGTGTCGCCGTGCGAGACACCCCGGGCGACGACGACGACCAAGCAAACGACCTGCGGAGCCGCGCGCGACTGCGAGCGATCAACGGAACCACGTGTCCACGGTGCCGCCAGCGCAAGTGGAAGTGCTTCGGCCGCCAGAAGCCGGGGAGCGACGGGCGCTGCGACAACTGCGTGGCTGCGGGTGAGGAGTGCGTAGCGAAATCAGACGTGGATCAGGAGGGGACTGGCTGCGGAGAAGAAAACTGAGACGTTTCGAAAGAAGGTTATTGTTTTACGGCGTTTGAATGGACCTGGGAAAGGGCGGTTGCGTGATTTTTCGTCATGGGAAAGGTTTTGGGTATACCCCGACAGTCGGTTCGATCAATACTGGGACGGACGGGCGGGCATTTGAGATGGGTGGAATTGCGCTGCGTTGCGCTTTGCTGGTGCGGGTTTATTGATTCATGCGGATATGGAAGGAAAGGGCCGAGTGCGCTTGGGGGTTTGTACATGCGGATGGAATGGTAAGGGGTGGGTTATTGATAGTGTTGTGATCAGAGGATGACGGTGGAGGTTGGACGGTTCTATGTGTAAAGTTGATAATTGAGAAGATTCTTGATCAATTGTTCGGAGTATTTCATTGCTCTCGTTTTTGGTGCTCGAGACGTAAAATAAGATTTTGACCGCATGACAATTGTCGTCGGCACAACGATTGTGGCAGGGTCTTGCTCGAGAATGAGATTGAATGGCTTTCGAATTTGTTTGCAGGCTACCTCGACACTGAGCTGCAGCCGATCGTGGCATAGCTTATCTTCAGTCTAGCCATATCGACAAAGCTACTCTCCTCAGCAGCCCGGCATTCATCGTCTGCTCAGCAAACCACCCTGAAGCTCAATCGTGCCTTGCCATCCTGCTCCCCAGCTTATTGCCTCGCCGCAGCGCTGGTAGCCTGCGCAGCCTGAGCAGCCGCCTGCTGCGGGTTCACCTTCTTCCCGTCCTTGTTGTACCGAACTCTCGGCGGTGGCGCGCGGTTGCGGCGACCTTCGCGGGAACGGACACTGTTGCCACTTTGTCAGCACACGCCCTCACACACCTCCCCACTCATATTCTGTAGTATGGATATGTCGTCTACTCACCGCACAATCTTCCCGTGAATGGCACAGCTCACGCAGTACTGCAGCTTCAGGTACATCTTAGGGACAGAGTACTCGGCGAAGACGGAGGCGTCGGAGATGTCGCGGATGGCGGCGCTCTCGACCATGTTGCGGATGGTGAAGCGCTTGATGGCCTTGTCCTTGGGCGTGCAGCGCGAGCAGTTGGAGCAGCGGATGGGCTTCACGTGGCCGCGGCCTTTCTTGTTACGTCCACTGTGATCCGGCTGTTAGTATGGATGTCGAGGTCGCTGTCGTGGAGGGGGTTTTGGGGGCGGTGGAAGGACGTACTTGGACGCGCGCTTCTTGACCATGTTTGCGGTGTTCCGTGTGGGATCAGCAAGTCTATAGTACTTGCTGATGTGATGTCGAGTTGGTGGTGGCGCGGAGAAGAGGTGAGGTGCTGTCGTCGTCGTCGGCTTCAAACGAATTGAGGTGGGCTGCCAAGATTCTTCGACGGCTCTCCCCGATGGATGCCGAAGATATACCGAAGCGACAGGGATCACCGCGCTTGCGAAAGCTCAGGGTCGTCAATGTTTACATGTGACTTCTCTTCGATCGTGAACTTCTTTGACTGACCACACCTCCCCTTGAAGCAATAGGATACAATGTCGGCCACGGGAACATACAGAGGGACGCCGAAAGGGCGAGCCCAGAGCAACTTTGCAACCGACAGCCCTTCCAACATCCCCGTTCCTGGCCCTCGACCCAAACTCGAGAGCATGCCCAGTGAGGCTCAGTCCTCGTATAGCGCCAGCAGGACGAAGCAGTCGAAGAGAGATGAGGTATATCGTCCACACTCAGCTATACTGGAGAATGCAACACTGACCTTATCAGGCCCTCCGAAACAAGATCGAGAAAGACCTCAGCAAGAAACGAACCAATGCCGGACGATCTCGCCAGACTCGCAAGGCGCCCCCGGGCACTGTGCTGTCTCTACGTCCGAACCAAGCACTGCAGATCAAGCCGAATACTACCGTCACCGAGGCCGCCCAACTGATGGCGGCGAAGAGGGAAGACTGCGTGCTTGTGACCGACGACGACGATCGAATCGCTGGTATCTTCACGGCAAAAGACTTGGCATTCCGAGTGGTAGGAGCAGGGCTGAAGGCGAGCGGTGTCACCATCGCCGAGATCATGACCAAGAACCCGCTGTGCGCAAAGACAGATACTAGTGCTACCGATGCTTTGGACTTGATGGTGCGCAAGGGCTTCCGACATTTGCCAGTGATGGACGAGAACCATGATATCTCGGGTATACTGGACATTACCAAGTGCTTCTACGATGCTATGGAGAAGTTGGAGCGGGCGTACAGTTCGTCGAAGAAGCTTTATGATGCTCTGGAGGGTGTGCAGGCTGAGCTGGGCTCGAGTCAGCCGCAGCAAATCATACAGTATGTCGAGACATTGAGGTCAAGGATGTCTGGGCCTACCCTCGAGTCTGTGCTCAACGGGCTGCCACCCACCACAGTGTCCGTCCGGACGAGCGTCAAGGAAGCCGCTCAGCTGATGAAGGAGAACCACACCACGGCACTGCTCGTGCAAGATCAAGGCCAGATCACCGGTATTTTCACCTCGAAAGATGTTGTTCTCCGTGTCATCGCTGCTGGTCTGGATCCGGCGAACTGCTCTGTTATTCGCGTTATGACGCCGCACCCAGACTTCGCGCCTTTGGACATGAGCATCCAGCAGGCTTTGAGGAAGATGCACGATGGCCACTACCTTAATCTGCCGGTGATGAACAAAGAAAACGATGAGATTGTGGGTATGGTGGATGTGCTGAAGCTTACTTATGCTACGCTGGATCAGGTACGTCATCCGACTTTTCGTCCTTGAGCATGTCACTAATTGCGTCCAGATCAACAGCATGTCGACAGGCGACAGCGAAGGCCCAGCCTGGAATAAATTCTGGATGTCCATGGACCAGGAGACCGAGTCTATGATGTCCGGCGAAGGCAGTAGTCACGTCCCGCACACGCCCAACGACCGCTCCGCCATGATGTCCCCGGACCTGCACCGCCCCGAAGTCGAGCGCCTCGACAGCCTCATGCCCGGCGACTCGGCCTCCCACCACGGCGCCACCGACATCGAAGAGGCTTCCGCCTTCATCGGCGCCGTAGAAGAAACCCCCTTCACCTTCAAATTCAAATCCCCCTCCGGCCGCGTCCACCGCCTCCAAGTCACCGCCTCCGCCGGCCTGGAAGAATTCGTCGCCGTCGTCGCCCAGAAACTTGGCGCCGAAGCCGACGGCATCGGCGGCGCCCCGAATGTGGACGACGGCAAGCTCAGCCGCGGCGGCTTCGCTCTCAGCTACCTTGACAACGAGGGCGACACCGTCTCCATCACCACGGACCACGACTTACTCGAAGCGATCACCCTCGCCCGCCAAGGGCATAAGGAGAAAGTGGATCTGTTTGTGCATGATCCCGAGAAAGCCGCGCTGCCGCCGACGCTGGACCCTCAGCCGGCTATGTCCGCTGCGCCACCGCCGACGCCGCCGGAGAGTATGGTCCGCAGGCGGAAGCAGGTAGAGGAGAGCGAGGAGGAAGAGTCGCCGGTTGAGGCACGGAGACGGGAGAAGAAGAGCGGTGGGGGGTTGGCGGAGGCGGTCAAGGGGCAGGAGCAGCTTGTGCCGGGGGTGCCGAATGAGTTGTTGTTGCCCGGGGCGTTGGTGGCGCTGGGAGCGGTGATTGTGATTACTTTTGCTTTGGGGAGGAGTTCGTCGCGGTAGGGGTTTGATTTTTCAATTTTGTGCTGTGGGAGGGGTGTGCGAGTTGACGGGACTCTGCTCTTGGGATTGCGTGGGGTGTGTTTTTCTGTAACGATACCACTATGCTAGCACTAGTAATCTACACATCTTCACTTGGATCGATCGACCTTCTTCCTTGCTCCCCCACTTGCTTCGCGCTCAATAAGATTGTATCAAGCGAGTTGATCTGCTCTTTGACGATAGACAACAGCGTCCGACTGCCATAACGAGGCAAGCGAGGTACTGCCCACGTGCAGCGACCATGTTGCGATCTGCGAGTTGTTACGATAGCGATAGCCACCGACGTCACCTCACTGCATACCCCATGCTCCAACGCACTGTCAGAAGTTAGAGCAACCAAGACATCCCCGCCTTGCCAGCCGCATGCTGCATGCAAGATAGCACCAAGTCTGCCATGGCGCCCGCTTGTCCCGAGATAAGAGTGGCTTTGCAACGGCTTGATGACCCATGGCCAAGCCTTTTGCGGTCCGACTTTGGGACAACAGGATCGCATGATCGACCAGTTGTTGTCGCGTAAAAGGTCAACCCGGACCACGGCTCGAGGCGAATGTGCATGCAATTGGATGACGAAGGGGGGGGGCTTTCTCCGCAACACTGGACGGGCAGGACGGGTGATTATCTTTCCTTGCTGCTCATATACCTGTAGGTACCTACTCTCTCTTCCCTCCTTCCTCTGTCGCACGCGCTTTCCTTTCATCGCTTCGTCTGCACAAGAGCTGCGGGCAGCGCACGCACGCCTAAGAGATCGTATCCCCAGCTCGCAAGAAGCTCTCGCAAGCATGGCAGAAGAATACAAACCCTCCATCGAAGACGCCCGCAAGTCCGCCGACAGCTCCCCCCACAACCATCACCACCCCGCCAGCGACGAGAAGCCCTCCTACGATGAAGAAGCCGCCAACCGCCGCGCCAGCCGTCGCGCAAGCAAATACGAAGACCCGTTCGGCGATGAGTCGAACAACGAAGTCAAGTACCGCACCATGCACTGGTGGCAGGCGGCGATTACGATGATTGCCGAGACGATTTCGCTGGGGATTTTGAGCTTGCCGAGTGTGCTGGGCACGATTGGGATTGTGGGCGGGTTGATCACGTTGATTGGGCTGGGGTTGGTTGCTACGTATACGGGTTATGTTATTGGGCAATTCAAGCTTGCGTGAGTCGGCGGAGATGGATGGGAGGGCTCCTAGAGAATTGGCCGGAGTCAGAGGACTGTGTGCCGCTCTGGGACCTTTCCATCCTTGGACAGACTGTCGAGATACAGGCTGACTGTTCATTCCAGGTATCCGCACATCCACAACATGGCGGACGCCGGAGAAGTGCTATTTAGGCCGATCGGTTGGGGAGGCTTTGGCAGGGAGTTCTTTGGCGCTGCCCAAGTCATCTTCTTAATCTTCATCATGGGAAGCCACATTTTGACCTGGATCATTGCCTTGAACACGATCAGCGACCATATCACCTGCAGCATCGTCTGGGGTGTGGTGGGAACGATCATCCTATTCCTCTTCACCCTCCCCAGGACGCTGAAGAAGGTCTCCTACCTGTCGATCTCTTGTACGTCGGGATACCCCTCTTCATCGGAGTCTGCTAATGAAACGCCCAGCCTTCGTCTCCATCTTCTCCGCCGTCCTCATCACCATGGTCGCCATCGGCATCGAATCCCCCGATCCGACCGTCCAAGTCTCCACCACCGTCGCCTTCCCCACGGCCTTCGGCAGCGTCACCAACATCATCTTCGCCTACGCCGGCCACGTGGCCTTCTTCAGCTTCATCTCCGAGCTCAAGGACCCCAACGACTACCCGAAGGCGCTGTTCATGCTGCAGGGCTGGGACATCTCCATGTACATTGTTGCGAGCCTGGTGATTTACCGGTACGGGGGTCCGGATGTGGCGTCGCCGGCGCTGTCGTCGACGGGGACGACGGTGGGGAAGGTTGCTTATGGGATTGCGCTGCCTACTGTGAGTTTCGACATCGTTATTTGCGGAAGGCGGGGAAGAAGTCTACTGATCTGTCGTAGATTGTCATCGCAGGCATCATCAACGCCCACGTCGCGGCCAAGTACGTCTACGTGCGCATGTTCCGCGGGACGAAGCACATGTCGCAGCGCACCTGGCTCTCGCTCGGCTCCTGGGTGCTCATCACGCTGATCCTCTGGATCATCGCCTGGATCATCGCCGAGAGCATTCCCGTGTTCAACGACTTGCTCGGGTTGATCTCCGCGCTGTTCGCTTCTTGGTACGTCTACTCCCTCCCCTCCTGCAACACACCCACGCCTTCTACTCCATTCTAACAGGAAATACAGGTTTACATACGGATTAAGCGGCGTCTTCTGGCTCTTCCTCAACAAAGGCCACTACTTTGACAACTGGAAGAAGGGCTGCTTGACCGTCATCAACGTGCTGATCTTCTGGCTCGGCGCGGCTATCTGCGTGATTGGGTTGTATGCGAGCGGCAAGGCGATTCATGATTCTTCGGCCTCGGGCGCGGGCGGGAGTTGGAGCTGTGCGAATAATGTTGGTGGATAGGGTGCCCGGGTAAGTGGTAAGTTGGTTTGTAGGTTGGTAGCGGTGTATGGAGATACGTTTGTTGGATTTATGAGTGTGTTCAAACATGGCGACTGGTTGATGAAGTTGAATTAGTTTGGTAACGACCTCATCCTCGACACCAACCAGCCCTTCGGCGTCCCCTCAGGATCACTCGCTGCTTTCGACCCACGCCTCCTGAGCGCAAGCGCCGCAAATGGCGCGAAGGTGCGGGTCGTCGATACCGCCTCCGGTGTCCGGTGCTAGTATGTTCAATCCTGAGGACTTTCTACCCTCGAATGCCAGTTATGTCGAGACAGGGGATACGTGGGCTAACAGCGTTTGTTCGAGGCTTGCCGTTCGATGAGTTGGAATAGTGAGGAAGTCATATTCTGGCTCATTTGGTGTGTTGGAGGCTTGGTATTGGGCAGACCTTAGTAGATGCGATGAGCCAAGAAAGGGTACACGTATTTGACCGGACGGTACGTTCACAGAAAATTCTCTGTATAGCGTCCTTACCAACGTAGCGTAGGAGCATTTAGCAAGCCACATGTCAGCGCTTCCATCCCCAAAACCCGTTTTGGGATATCGGTGCCTATTGTGGTGGACAGCACGACCAGATGTTTAGTGAGCAGAGACAGTCGCGACTGCCTTATATATATATATATATTCCATATCGCTCTCACTTCTTCGCTGGCTCAAATGATCTTTCGCTCCTACTTCAACTCGAACTCGTCCTCAACACCCCAGACCAGCCCTAGCGAGAATCGGCATGACGCCGCCACCTGTGCCTTGATGGAATGTATCAAGCTCAAAGTCACAATGGACCGTCATCTCACCAGCATACCGGCCTTCGCGATGGTCACCGAGACTGTGGGAGGGGGCATCCATGTGGACTTCTTCCGGCATGGAACAGCGAGCACCCGCCCAAGGCTGACTGCTGTACGAATGCGAGTTCTTGGCTGTCGACATGTTGTGAAGAATACGAGGTCATCACGCCCATCCACAGAAATACGAGAAAACGCCAACATGGAATCTGTGAGGATGCTGGAGGCGGCGGAGCAGGAACACAGTCGCAGCAGGAGAGGACAAGTTATCGCCGCAGGATGGCCTTAAGTCGGGACGACTCTGCGCTCCGGCTCCACTCACGGTTGTCCATTCTCGCGGGTTTAGCAAATCTAAGGGCCTCCTCGACATGTCATCGGATCCGTCAGGCGTTCTAACGGCAGCAGCGCGAGCTAAACGACAGAGCCAATGGACCCTGTTGCAACTCACCGACCCCAAGGAAGGAAGCTGAAGCCTGCTGCTGCTGCTGACTTGTGTCCGACGAGACCAATCGCAGCTCTCACGTAAGGCCAGTCGGCTGAGACGCCCTACCCGCGAAAGGGAGGATAAACGTGGTTGCGCGCATTCGCGAGCTCCGTCGGAAGCATCAAACAACCATCCGTCTCCATTAACACCCGCCGTCAGCTTCTAGGCGTCTCTACGAGCTTGGACCGGTTTGGAAGGAGCTACTTTGCCACGCTTGCGTTCTTCAATGCTGGGGCTGATATATAGAGCCCAGTGATTGCTGCCACCGCTGAAGCGACCTAGACCTCAAATCTACTTCCCCCTCTTACAAAGGGTTCTGGCTTCCGTTTGGTGTCTTTGATCCGCCATCCTCCAAAGTCATCCATATCCTCGGACTTTGCTGAGTGACCAGCATCGAAGTCTGCTCTGTCGAGTCGGCAGCGGTACCTCGAACATAACCATTCTAAACGACAACCAGAAAAAGATGCATTCTACGATCTTGCTAGGGCTTTGGGGCCTCGTGGCACTAGCGATATGGAAGGGAGCATCCATGATCGTTCAGCGGCGACGACAGGCTGGTATGCTCAGCGCACACAATACTCAATTCAGATCGACTGACCATCGTTCCCAACAGCGAAAGCCAAAGAACTAGGCTGCCAGGACTCACCAGTATACCCCAACGGCGGCTTCCTAGGCCTAAACCACGTTAAGCAAATGCAAGAAGCCGACAAACGCCAACAATTCCCGGACATGTTGGTCGACCGCCAGAACGACATGAGCCGGATCACTGGCCGAGAATGCGCAACGTTCAAGCAGTACATGCTCGGGCAGGAGATGTACTTTACCAGCGACCCAAAGAACATCCAGGCCCTGCTCGCTGTCAAGTTTGATGACTTTGGCTTGGGACCTGCGAGGAGAGGGAATATGATTGCGACGCTTGGTGATGGTATCTTTGTTCAGGACGGCAAGGCGTGGTCGCATTCCCGTGCGATGCTTAGGGTGAGTTGGCATATTCTGCCTCATGGTTATGCAGCGTCTAACGAGTACAACTAGCCCAACTTCGTCCGCGACCAAGTCTCCGACCTCGAGCTTGAAGAACGCCACGTCCAGGACATGTTCAAGGTCATCCCTATTGACAAAGAATCTGGTTGGACTCCCGACGTCGAGATCCAGACCTTATTTTTCAGGCTCACGATTGATTCCGCATGCGAGTTTCTCTTCGGCGAGAGCGTGGACAGCCAGTTGAAGGAGGCCGGTCTTCTCCCACACGATGGTGAGGAGCGCATCGACTTTGCCAAACATTTTGACCGCGCACTGTTGCACCTTGCTAAACGCTTCCGTTTCGCTGACCAGTATTGGCTGCACAATCCGAAGGTAGGACCTGGTGTTAGGATGCTTCTTGCGCGAGACAGTACTGACATGTCGTAGGAGTTCCGCGAGGATAACAAGATGGTGAACCGTAAGTGGATCCTTCGACACCGAGACACTGCCTCCCGGAAGCTGTGCTTCGCAATCGCAGCAGCTTGATGCTATTGGGGAGATGCTTGCTGACACGTACTCAATCCAGGCTTCGCCAAACACTTCGTCGACCTAGCACTCAAGAAAGATCCCAAAGACAGCAAAGCCGAAAAGGGTCAAGGCAAGGAGAAATATGTCTTCCTCGAAGCACTAGCAGAACAGACCAGAGATCCGGAGGAACTACGTGCTCAGCTCCTCAACATCCTCCTCGCCGGCCGCGACACCACTGCCTCCCTGCTCTCCTGGCTGTTCCACCAACTCCTCCGCAACCCGCACATCTTCACCAAGCTGCGCGAAACCGTTGTTGATACATTTGGCACTTACGACGATCCGCGCGATATCACGTTCGCTACGCTCAAGGACTGTCAGTACCTGCAGAACTGCCTGAACGAGACGTTGCGTCTTTGGACAGTCGTTCCCGGTAATGCGAGACGGGCGAATAAGGACACCGTACTGCCTAGAGGTAAGCAAAACCTTCTCCATACACGTTGGACCTTCAAGAGGTTGAAAGCTGACACTATTCAACCCAGGCGGCGGACCAGACGGCGAAAGCCCCATCTTCATCAAAAAAGACGTCGAAGTCAACTACTCCATCCACGTCATGCACCGCCGCAAGGACATCTGGGGCGAGGACGCCGAGGAATTCAAGCCTGAGCGTTTCGTCGGTCGCAAAGCCGGGTGGGAGTACCTGCCCTTCAACGGCGGACCGCGCATCTGCATCGGTCAGCAGTTCGCTTTGACGGAGGCGTCGTATGTGGTCGTGAGACTGCTGCAGAAGTTCGATAAGATCGAGGCTGGGGAGCATGAGCTCGAGGGGCCGGTGCGGTCGGGGTTGAATCTGACGAATGCGCCGGCGAAGAAAGTTACGTTGAAGTTGCATGAGGCGTCGAGGTAAAGTCCGGAAGGTGGATGAGTGCCAGGCTGTCTCACGTCGATGAAAGGTGGTGTCTGATGTGCTGGAGAATATCGGCTGTTCCACTCACGGCAGATGTGTATATACTGAAAACCGCCTCTTGGGTATTTCGCTGACGAAAATGCAATGAACAATCAAATCTACATCCAACATCAGCCCCTTCACCATAATCCCAACAACTCGACCAACGCCAGCACTCCGCGCTCGAAAACACAGTGACACTTTTAAGCACCTTCAGGTATCGAACAGTGCGCACACCCACCGCGGACGATATTCTTAATCACATGCGCGTGCGCGACTTTGCCGCCGACCGATCTTCCCGTATACGCTCCTTCGTCGTCCGCGCCGCTGCCTAGCTGGTCGAGGAGTCGCGATATCGTGTCTGGGTCGGAGGTGTCGGGGTTGGCTTTGAGGATGCAGGAGAGGTGGTAGACGTGGCCGCAGGCGAAGCCGATGAGGGGTTCTTTCTCTGTAGTGAAGGAACGTGTCAGTCGGATGAGGGAGGTTTCTAGGGATGGAGGACGACTGACCTTCTTCGCTGAACAGCTCACCACATCCCACACAGCACCCCGGCTCCGCGGCCTTCGCCTCCTTCTTCTCCGCCTTCCGCTTCGGTGTAGGGAGTTCCTCACCCCCATCGACCTTAGTCGGCGGATCTTCGACTTCGAGCTGCACATCATCCTCGCTCGGAGCATCCTCCCGCAGCACCTCAAACCTCACCCCCTTCTTCTGCCCCGCCCTCAGCGTATCCATCCCCATCGCCACCTCCCCCCTTAACACCCTCGCCACACCTTCGGAAATGGAGAACTGAATATCGTATTCCCGCATCATGCGCTGCACGCCCTGTTTCAACCCTTCAATCTCCAGTCCCTCTGGTATGCGTCGAATGAGGTTGATCGGATCAATAGCCGTGCCGACCTCCTCCAGCAACCCTTTGATGAACGCCGGCTTGTTCATCGAGTAATCCAGCAGATCGTCCCAGAGATCCGGGTTCTCCTTCGCAAAAGCAATCGCTTGCTTCACATCCCCCAGCTCGCCTATGATGAGGAACAGTGCTCGCTTCGTCTGTCCGGTCTTGGACAAGATGTGCACGAGCTCGGGGATGTAGTGGAGGTTCTCGCAAATAGCGGCGGCTTTCTCGTAGCTGTAGATGCTGCTTGCTCGTAAAAAGGTCATGAGTAACTCGCGATCGTACTGCGAGAAGAGCTCCACAGCGAGGTCGGCGTGGTCTTCGACGAGCGCGTGGCCTTCATTGATGCCGCGGGCGAACTTGCCGCGGGGTTTGTAGTCCGTGTCGATGGAGCGGCTGGTCCAGAGGGCGCGGAGGTAGAAGTAGATGAAGGGTCTGAACCTGTCGCCTTGGGGTCGGAGTTGGGAAATCACTGTTGCTGGATGGACGGTTCCGCGTAAGGCTTCGTCGACGAGGAGGGCGGTGGCGTCTTCGCTGGCTTCCTGGAGCTCTTTTAGGCTGCCGTTTTTCATTAGGTCGTTGCTAACTCTGAGCATCAGGAGGCCGGTGACGTCTTCGGCGGCGACTACATCGATCATCTTCTCCTCTCTGATCAGGCGGAAGGCGGCTTCGGCGTTCTGCACGCGGATCCAGCAGCGTAGAGCCTCCTTTGCACGGGCATCTGCAAGGTAGAGACGTGCTAGACACTCAGTGAGTATCTTCCAATCCGCACTCCCTTCTTTAATCTTCTCCTCCTCGTCAAGCTCAGCGTTCGTAGTGTCAAGCCGGGACTCAATGGCCTTGACCACGCTGCCAACATCATACAAGTCAAGACTCGGATCCCAATCTTCCAGCAACTGCATCAACCGTAGCGGGTCAGCCTGAACGTAATGTCCAAGCACGACCTCGTAGACCACGCTGGGCAGCTGCGCATCAATGGTCGAAGGTATGAAAGGCGTGATCTCGTCGAACTTGTTTGCCTGTGCAAAAGCCCACATCCAGTGCTCCCATCTCCCGCTTGTGCCTAGCACCTTTCCAGCCACCCGGCCAGCCTCAGACCATTGGGAGGAGTCGACAAGCTGTCTGAGCCAGAGGTCACCGATATGACGTTTCTCCCTTTCCACGGCAGAAGCGTGATTGACGTTTGACCCGCCATTCTGTGAAGAAGACGAATCGGCAAAGAACTCGGCAAGACTTCCTTGCCCTCTGTTTGACCTCGGAGTGTCTGGCTCGGTACTGCCTTCGTTGTCGGCAGTGGATGGCGAGATTGAAGAGAAGACTTCCGGATGTTTGTCCGCCAGATCCCAGGCCTCCCGGTACGCCTTGTGGTCCATGAACCACTCCATGCGGTCGCTTAGTCCCCGCTTGACCGCCAGAACACAGTCGTAAGGACTTTGAATGAAGAGCTTCAGACCCGGCTCGACGATGTAAGGGTGTGCATCGATTCGTTTCTTCTTGGGCATGCTCGCGGCAGCCACACCAACCGAAGAAGCAGGTGGTGATGCGAAAGAAGATGTCCGGTTGTCGTCACTGCTCCGAGACATTATGCTAGCAGATGACGAGAACATGCGAGTCGCGTACTTGCCACCTGCAGCGTCCCATACCACATCCAGCGCTCCTCTTGCGCCGCCAGAGCTTGAGGTAGAAGTCTTGGTCGGTGGAGGAGGAGGGATATACAGCGTCCCGAGATGGTAGTCCTGCGCGGACAGTGTCTCGAAACGAGACATTGACAACTCGTCCAGATCAACTTCGATCCCATCAACGCCAACCAGCCGTAGTTGTGGTGCTAAACCTGTGTGTCGATGTGATCGCCCTTTCTTTGGCGAAGTCCCATTTGCAGCTTTGCTAGGCTGCTGCGTAGACTGCTCCTCGTCCTTTGTCGTCCGGTAGGCCAGAATCGCCATCATCGATGGACTCAACAAGCTCAAGCCGGATATGACACAGTCGAAGTTGAACTTGTTCACGATGTCCGCGCTGCCGACCTGTTTCTTGCCTGCTGGATTTATCCCACCTTCGCTCACATGTAAGATCCACACCGTGTTGCCCCAACCTACGACAAGCTTCTCTACCTTCGCCGCAGGCTTCTTCTTACCGTTTGGAGCGCCGTTAACGAGGACTGTGGCACCCTTCTCGCCGTTTGCAGTGCCAGAGTCGGCCTCATCATCTGCCTCCAGCCTCCGATCGTCGATCCACTGCGCCCGTGCCCTCCACACCCCTGCACCCTCCTCCCAGCCAGGCTTATTGGGCTTCTCGGCATGCGCGATCCGTCTCCAAGCATCCTCGCTCGCCTCACTATCAAGCTTAAGATGCGAACGCATGATCTTGATTCCATGCTCGTTGACCCAGACCACCCATTTTCCGCTCAAGCTCCACTTGATCTCGCAAATCTTGCCTTCGCCAGAATGCAAGACCGTGTCCTTGCCTCTGTCTCCTCCCAGACCGATACTGTTCAACCATCCTCCAGCCGTTGCTGCGGCGCTGTTGGTGTTCGCATCGACCGTCACTCCCGCCTTTCCACCGACGGTCAAGATGAGCTGACCTGCGAGACCGCCTGAGAGATACGTTCGGTCGCTTGTATAAGCTGGACTCAACGCTACGGCTTGCAGGGGTCGTGCAAAGTTGCGAAGTTGGACATCCTTGGGATCGAGGAGCGAGCTGATGCAGACATGGCCGTCGAGGGAGGAAGTGGCTATGTAGATGGCGTTGTTGGGCGTGTTGGATACAGTCTGAGATTGCTGCTGTGTTCGCGACGGTCGAGGGCTGTTGCTATAGGTCGGCTGGGAGCGAAGGGAAGCAGGAGGGGTGTTCAGGCCTGCGATAGCTGCTGGTTCCGGCTGGAGGTGAGATGGCGGAGGCGGAGTAGGTGAGACCGATATGCTTGTGATCGTCGCCGAGTGCGCGTGGTATGTCCGTAGCGGTTGCATGGAAGGTAGAGTCAAGACATGGACGTTCCCGTTGTGTGTTCCAAGCACCATCTTGTCGCCGGCGACAGCAAAGGCGGACGTGCTGTCACCGTTGCGGTAGACATTGGTGAGGCTGCCCGTGAGTTTTGCATACTTGAGCTTCGGCTCTTCGTCTTCCTCCTCCTCCTCATCCTCCTCATCGTCGTCGTCCTCGTCGTCCTCGCCATGGGCTACCGCAGTTTTGCTGGCGCCGGCTTCATTGCGCGCTGCGGCGCGTTGAGAGCTCGGGAACTTTGCCTGCTCCGTCGCGTGCACATCTGCTGCCATCTTGCCGTCATCTGCTCTTCCTCCGATCCAGATCCATCCAGGTTGGCGGGTGGAGCGAGGAGTGGAAGAGAAGAGGTGCGGTGATGTAACGCCTCGGCGCTCCCAATTAGGAAGCAGTGGTGAGCTTTTGGAGGTCTTGATATACACCTCGTCCACTCTGCTTCTAACTTACACTTCTATAGATTGTTCATGTCAGCATGCCCGGCGCAGGAGGATCAGCAACGTTTCTTGCATTTGGTACAATCGTCAAGCGTAGTCTCACCACCTTCACTCCAACACGCCACTCACCGCGTCCTCTACTACATCTTCCACCGCACAACACTCTTGTCTCAAAAGCATCCAAAGGAAAGAAGCTTCCGAAGAATCACTTCACGTCCCACAGGCCTCTGCTCAACGACAATCACCAGCAGCCATCTCAAGCACAGGACCAGCATGGAAGCAAGAAGCAGGAAAAGGGCCCAAAACGCAAGGCGGCGCAACGGACGCAGGCAGCCAATACGTCGTTACGGAGAGTAGCTGTAGAAGCACAGCGCTCCCGTGGTGGTACGGCAAACCCTAGTGGCTTCATCAAAGGACGAGGGCAGAGACGCCATGTCGATCCAGAAGTAGAGACCAAGGACGTAACAGCGTACTGTGCTGCTGAGACCTACAATATCTACGTAGCCCGGGACTTGCTGCAGAAAGAAGGCTGGGAAGCAGATCCTCACAATACCGCACTCTTCCCACAGGTTTTGCACGTCCAGTTTAGAAGCGCCACATGGGGCAGAGGGAAGGAAGATGGAGAGGGTCTAGGCGATGTCCTGGTCTTCCCCTCGGGCAGCGTAGTCACCTGGAACGTCCCCGAGAAGGCCGCCCTCAACCTCGTTGAAAAGGTCCTCTTACCAGCGGCAGGCGCCAGCCACCTCGACCGCATCGAAGCCGAAGACCTCGAATACCTCGAAGACCCAACGCGGGAGACCAGCGAGATCCTCGGCGACACCATTATTCTCGGCACCAAACCACCTGGCAACGCCTCCGAAAACCCGGATGACACTTCCTCCCACCACCCCGAAACCGACACCATCCTCGCCAAAATCGCCTTCTCCTCCGCCCTCGCCCGCTCGACCAAACTCGCCGTCCTCGAAAACAGCCTTACAGCCTATTTCGACACCACCTCCACCATCCCCGCTTTACTCTCCAATAATCGCCTGCCCTGGATCATGCGCCGCTTCATGCTGCGCAAAACCGGCGAGCTCCTGCACATCCGCGCGCAACTAAACCTGTACTCCGAGCTCACGGACTCTTTGCCAGACCTCTTCTGGGACTCGCCGCACGAGCTGGGGCTGGAAAGCTACTATGATGCTGTGGGCAAGTCGTTGGATGTCGGGCAGAGAATCAGAGCGTTGAACGAGAAGATGGACTATGCGAATGAGATTGCGATGGTTTTGCGGGAGAGGCTGAGCGAGGCGCATAGCCATTTGTTGGAGTGGATCATTATCTGGTTGATTGTGATTGAGGTCGCGTATGGGAGTTGGCATTTGTGGCGGGAGCACGTGGAGAAGGTCGATCCGGATAGTACGACGAATTTGATGCGGGCGTATTTGAGAAAGGAATTGGGTGGTGAGAAGGGAAGAGATGAAGCGCGATAGGCCGGCGGACGTACAGGATGATGAACTATCTATGTGAACATCTCCGCTTACCTTGCTAGACTTGATGCAGACGCACTATCTAATGCTCAATGTAGATGATGACCAAACAGAGACCACTGGATCAGATACTACCTACCGCTATCGAGTGTTCTACTATACTACGATAAACGCCATTGGCAGAGCACGAGGGGCACTCGCTGACCGGCATAATCCCGAACCATTCGGCTTTTGATTCATCACATGTGCACACATCGACATGCCAACGACCACTTACCAGCATACCCTTACAGAGGCCAATTATCCCCACGACGCCCTCGCTCCGACCACCGGGCATCTGGTTCTCCGCGGAGTTGGTCCCTACCACTGCTCTTGGAGTCTACACCTGGATCCGTAGAACTTGCAAATCTACCCTGCGAGCGCGAACCAGACTCCTGAGTCCTCTCGGACCTTCTCGTTGCATGTGAAGCAGGCGCAGGACTCAGCCTCCGTCCCCAACCATCCTGGACTCGAGGAGGCGGTACAGCGCTACCGCTGCTACTCGTGGTCAGCCCGCTTCGCGTATGTCCAGTAGAGATTTTATTGTCGTCGGAGTCGGACCCGGAGCGGTCTTGTATCACGATGTATCCGTCTGGCACGACGCGCTCCCTTGGACTGTGGCTGTTCGAGCGTCCGCTGGGAGCATCGATCCCAAAACCTTGAGGTGCTTGTGCTGGCCTTTGCGGGTCATGGTACGCGAACGCACCCGGGTCTAACCCTGGCAAGCTACGTATAGGATAAACCGGCGGACGAAGCTCGGTCGTCTCTGGCAGTCCCGGCAGTCTGTTGAGCGGATACGTAGGAGCGCGAGGATGGCCCGGTATTCTCGACTGGTGCCCACGACGTGTTACCGTCGGCCCTGTGCTCTCCGCGCTTCCGCTGCTGGAGCGCCGTGGTGACGCATGTACGAATGTGGTTGGAGCGGGTCGTACGACTGGTGTCCTCGCTCTCTGTTGTGGAGGGAAGGCCTCTGCGTATGCCTCTGGGTCAGCGTGAGTTGGCGAGGGAGACGGCGACCTCGGTACGATGCTCTCGGAGCTAAGAGATTCTGTCCGTGCTGGTGGCCCGCCTCGTGGATTTGGATGGCGTGCTGCCTGAGTGGCCCGATGGCGTTCCATCGGCGACGCCGACCGGCGCACCTCAGGTGAGGACTCGTATCGATTCTCGCGGTTGCGGTTGTTCGGATTCAGATGATCAGGCGTCCCTGTGGGCACATACACTCCACCCACCATTGACGGTCTGAATCCATCCGGTCGAGGACCTGTTGGTACGTACACACCGCCGACAATCCTGTCAGCAAGAATTTTTCTCTTCGGCAGAGGCTTCAGGGGTTTGAGATCGGAGGAAGATGAGCTACCAGATCGCTTTTCGACAAGCATGTCGTTGTTGCGCCTCTCTGTTCGAGACGTTCCTTCGACGTAGTGGGCTTTGCCTCGCTTGTCAGGCTGGTTGCAACCCTTGGGAGGCTCGTCACCTGGGGCGCTTGACTTGAAGGACCTGCCAACGACCTGCCTCCCGGAACGAGATAGTCGACTCGCAGCAGAGTTTCGTGAGGTCATTACCACTGGGAAGGGTTTTGATTTGCTTTACTAAACTCGTGTTCAGAGGAGAAATGGTATGTCAGCACAGCATAACAAAGCAGCGATCGGCGCATCTTATATGACAGTCTTCGGTACTTATTGCTTGTTGCATCGTCAGCACTGTTACCATTGAATGGGGGCGCCTGTGTTTGTGCGATCATCGTGAGATTTGTACTCCAATCATGGCTGCACAGACTCAAGTCGGGACGGCAATGGTCACTGGACCGGTGTAGCCGGTCCAGTGACCATTGCCGCCAAAGGCGGACGGTCTGCGAGGCTGTGGCCCATCATTGCCTTGCGTCACACCTGATTCAGTACAGAGACATGGCTGGCATCTTAAAACTTTTCTACGAGTAAAGAAATGCTCGTAGCAACAACGGACAGGATACTGGATAGCGAGAAAAGAACAAGTAGAAGTTTGAAGCAAGAGGTGAGGTCGAAATCTGCACTCGCTGTCTCGGGCTGGATCCCGTTTCGACGTTCGACCTTACCTCTTCTCCTCCTCCTGCTTGGCTTCCCGGTCCTTTGTTGCATCCTCTTGATCAGGTCCAAACTTTCGAAAGTATAAGACACAAGACATCCGAGACGCTGATTGTGTATCGGTCAAATCAATCCACAATTAAAACCCGATCAGGACAGGAGATAAGCGAATGTCTTTTCTGGCATGTAATGTAGGCAACACATATCTCCTCGCCACCCATGCATGTCCTCCTTGTCTTCATCCCACGGTCTCGTCCGTTTATGTCCCTGACCTACCCCACACAACGTCCACCTTCGTCGACCTACGCCCAGTCCGACACAACATCATAAGTCTTAACAACCGCATGTGCCCTGTTCGAAGCAGCGACCGTCAACGTCCCATTCTGGTGCGCCACCACACATCCATCGACATCCTCGTTCGAGCACAGCGGCGACAATGCCTTCGTTTCCATGTCGCAAAACTTCCCATCAGAGCCCACGAAGTCTGGTCCAAAGCTCGTCTTGGAGTTGCACAGTTGCTCCGCAGTCTGCTCCGGGTACTGCGACTTGACGAGACGTTTTTTTATCCAGGCAAGGCGATTTGGCTGGGCTCGCTTGGCCGGTCGGTTGGAGCGCTTGCTTGCCGGGGTAGCCGGAATGCCTTTGGGAAGTCAGTAAATGTGGAAAATGAATTGGGAACAACTGAGGTCTTACCATTGATGGGGCCATTGTCCGTTCCGAAGATCGTGGCGGAGCAACCCTCGTTCTGAGAAAGGGTCTTTTTGGACAGCTCGCCGTATGCGCGCACGGTGAACTTCATGGCAGCGTATTGGAAGCCTGGTCCTGATCAGCGAGTTGCATTGAATGCGCAGGGGTGGGACCCACCATTCGTGTGGTCGCCGTCGAACCAACTGCGGGTAACAAACAGCCAAGTCAGCGAACACCACGCATGATCGAGTCAGCACCAAGTGACAGAGTAGTACTTACGCGCAATGCGGACGCCACGGGCCGCCGCCGTCCTCATCAGGGTACGTTCCAGCTTCCTGGTTTCCGTAATACCAGAGCAAACCGCAATTTTTACCGATGTCACCTGTCCATGCACCACCTGTCCACTCGTACTCACGTCAGAGACGATGCTTCTTACTGCTCGAGATGAGACTGACCTGGAGTGCCATCGTACTGCGTCACCGAGACCCAAGAAACACAAGTCGCATCGTTTCCGTTGGCGATGGAAATGTAGTCGGCTTGCGTGCCAGGAGAGCTCTAGACAGGTGTAAGTCCAGGTACCAACATGAAGTGTGGGAGGAAAGCCATTACCTGATCCACGGTGACTTGGCAGGAGCCGCCATCACTCCCAATGCCGCAGGACCCGCTCTGACCAAGGTAGTTGTTGTTGTAGTCGAAGGCATACACGTGGTCGATTGTACCTTTCTGGTTAATCTGTTAGTATTCATGTGCGTCACTTGGTGGCAATCTTTGTGCTCACCAAATTGCTTGAACTATCGTCACCAAGGCCAGCTTTGACCTGCACAGAAGCGCCGGCTGGGCTGTTCGAGGGCAAATTGCTCTGCAAGAACGCTGCTATGGTAAGGCCGCCGCTCAGAAGGCCGATGGCGTCGATGAAGCCTGACATGTTGGGTTCGAAAACGGGTGTTGTTGTGCGAGTGACTTGGTAGTGTTGAAGAAGATCCGGTGTGGTCTGCTGTTGTAGACTTATGCAGGAACGTCAGACCTCTTATAGGTCGCCAGGAGACCTTCGACGGGAGCGAGGAAGGAACCCATCTGTCTCCGAATGTGGATGTTCAACTGCAACAGCCGTGGGCTCGTTACCATCGTCGATCACCAACACCATCTCCCTTGCAATGTTGCATTACTTGCTCGCCCCAATGGGCCGAACGACGATGGCCGTGTGTCGGTACAGTCCTTGAGCAAGCCGCCCTGTGAGTGGGGACATCGGCTCTCGTCACACGCCCATCGCGAGGTAGGCCTCGAGGTTACGACAAAGTCTCGTATCAACCAGGACCTAACTGCTGCATGTCTTGCAAGGCCTCCGGAAAGAACGGAAGTCGAGAAGAGTGCACAGTCGACGAGCTATGTGATGTGAGGCTGTATTAGAATACGGCGACCAAGCATCGGACGCAGGGGTGAGATCCTTCTGGGTGGAGTTGCCAGGAAGTTAATGTCGTCTCCAGTGGCAGCTGGCAATGACGGAGTTGGGCGGTTCGCGCGAGACTGCTTCAACAGGTATATGTGCTGTAGATCTGCTCTCGATGCCAAGCCAAGATGGCTTCCTGCACCTGTGATGAAGGGTGGAACCAACTTTGTAAGCAGCTGGTGGATCTATGAAGATCGTCGTGGTTGCTTACGACCCTCGTGTCAGTCAAGATGACGGGGTCGTGGCGATCTTCGCTGTAGTGAAGGAAAATGGCGGTTTGAAGCGTTGCATCGTACGTGGAAACTCGGTAGATGAGCGCGAGAAAAGAAAACGTCAGACCTGTTCACCGGCTGAACCACCATCGCGAGGAAGAAGATGTAAGGTCATAAGCAAGCAGAGCCGGCGTGAGAGTCAAAGAAAGCCATCACCAGCCTCATACCATCCCAAGAAATCTCCAAGTCCAGATTCATTGACAGATACCAACTACCATCATGAAGACCGAAATGCTGGCACTCATCCTGTCGGCGATGACAGCCATAGCCGCACCCCTCGAGACAAGGCAAAACGACACGCCAGCCTGCGTCTCTGGAACTGATGGACCGGACCAGATATACCAGAGTAAGTATTCGATTGGTATCCATTCAAACGATTGCCAGTGTGGTGTCAACTGACCCGCTCCAGCGTACCCCTCTTGCAACTCCGACTGCTACGGAAGAGAGACAGCAGACGGAGACAACAAGAATGGAATCTGTCAAGGCCACTGCGAGGGTATCTCGGTCATCGGGGGCAATCTTGAGGTTCTTTGCTATCGTATGGCCTCCGGGTTGAGCGGAAGTCCAGGGACTAGCAGCCAGCTGACAGGTCATGCAGTCAATTAACAGTCGGTCGGGACGTTGATCCCAAGAGGGTTAACCGAGTAGGGGAGAGCCAGCAGGCATCGCGGTAGATTATCCATAGTCGCTCGCTAAATGTGAACGTATCAAGGCTGGGACTGAGCGCATTTGCCTTCGTTCGATAGTCGGACAGTCCATGACCCAAGAACGGTGAACGGCTTGAGCGGCTGCGTAGATTCTGCCTCGATGACCGCCTGTACGGAACCATATGGTAGACCAAGGACGATCTTTGCTGCTTTTGAGATCGAGCAATATCGAGGGGTTGCATCGTCTGTGGGAACCTGTCATCGTAGCATCGTATCCCGGCTTCGGTTAGAAGAACTCAGACGGATCAGAGTTGTAGGAACAGTCAGACGAAAGGGGTATTAAAAGCAGAGCGTCGACGTGAGAGTCAAAGGACCGACCAACAATCTTTGACTTTCGCAGAAAATCCTTTCAATCTCAAGGACTTCTCGCGGCACACATACCAACTCGCACATTATGAAGACCGGAATTCTGGTGTTGGTCCTCGCGGCCACAGCAGCTGTGGCCATGCCTCTCGAAGAGAGACAGAACGACGTACCGGCATGCGTCGATGGTACGGGTGGATCAACCGGACCCTATTCAAGTGAGACGCCGCCAAACGAAGGACTGCTCAAGACGGGATGACTGACCAGATCTCAGGTGGAGGGTCCTGTGCGTCCGATTGCTACGGCACCGAACAAGCAGATGGTGACAACAAGGGAGGAGTCTGTGCTGGCCAGTGCAAGTACTATTCGGTCTGCGGGACTACATGCTTTTCGGAGTATCTTTGCGACAGTGAGTACTTCGTTACAAGGCAAGGGTGCAGAGATCAGCTGGCTTACACGTTGTACAGCTTCACCGTGAGCTTCTTGAAGATCGGTTGGACAGTGGTGCTGCGCAGATTGAGTCGGTGATCGAGTGGTGGTCCCAAGTTGACAAGCTCGTTAGATATGCGCGAATGGAATACCGCTGTTCGAGCGCGTTGGCATGCAATTAATGGTCGATAAAGTTGTGCTCTGATGGTGACTGGCCGAGACGTAAACTTCTTACTTCGGCGATGATCCTTGTGATGGTCGCCATGCGTGTCGTGATGTTGGCAGAGAACACGGGCGGTATTGGAACCGTATTTTGTCGGCTAGTCGTCAGGCACATGTCTCAAACATCCTCGTGCAATTGAAAACTGGTCCACGGATTGAACGGGTGTGTGAGTGCTGTCACGGATCGCCGTTGAGTGTTGCATACAGCGACATCGGTAGAGGACTTTGGGAGTCCAAAATACAGTCAGGCCGGCAGCCATTCTCAGCAGTAGCAGGCATTGATCCCGCTGAATCCCGAGGACCAACCACGACAAAATCATGCGTAGTCTGTTCGGCCCGCAATACGGGACATCTGCCTTTGGCTAATGACTTGCATGCATCGATTGCCTTTTCATGTTTGCAATCTGGCACAGTTCTCGGGGTAGTTGGTCAGTCTGCTTACATGAGGGAGCTAATGACAGCGATCTTCATATCCCCAGTCCCCAGCTCCCCAGTGGAAGCACTAAAGTTTTCGAGGTTGCTTTGCAGCTCCCATCCATGGAGTTGTTACATTCGTTGTATCCGAAGACGATGATCTCTCAACGGCCGGGATACCGGAATCGAATTTGATAGCACACATGTACGGCAGCTGAAGAGGTTGCAGGAGTTGCGATTTCATCAACGATGCCGCACACAGGACATCACGGATGGCGCGAAAATATTTTTGTTGGCTCCTCGTCCGTGGCCCGATCAAAAAGCAGTGCAATCACATTGACCACGACACATCTTCGCCAGGTCAATATGTTAAGGTCACTCTCAATCTTCACCTCCTTGGCGCTTTCAACCCTCGCGGCCAGGTAAGAGGTCCAGAGCACGACAGCCGATTCACCAGCTAACCGGTCTTTTACCCAGCACGAACCTGACCATCTCGTTCAACACGCCTGGAGATGCCGGCTGTGGAGCGAAGGACTCGAGTAATGCCTTGACATTCACGACAGGCTCCATACCTCCGTCACGCCAGTGCTTCAACATCGAGGAGCTCTTCAGAGGCAACGAAAGCCAAAGCCAAGGATCCCGCATCGAGCATTCAGCAGGGTCGTCTGAGCCATACGAGGCCATTTTGTGGGTTGTGTATAAGGCCAACCAGTTTAGACCAGGCTTGAATTACTCCCAGATATCCTACCTGCAGCGCAACACATCGTCTCCGGAAGAGGGCAAAGATGCCGCCCGCTTGTTCGAGGTGTACAGCGGCCGCGACTGCATAGCGTCAGACTCCTCCGACGGGAGTGTTCATCCGTGGTTTGGTTGGACATGCCAAGGCCCGATTGATGGGTCTTGCTCTACCGTGCCGTACAGCGTGGCCAGCTTCCAGGTCGGGTCGGCATGGGAGATCAACTCGCGCGGAGGAGGGCAGTGCTGGGACGCGGCTCTCAAGGGTGCGGCGGCCGGAAGAGACAGGGTTGCTGTCAATGCTGCCATCGTGGCTATATTGGCGGCTGCGATTACTTCACTGTTGTTGTAGCCATGCACTCGAAGGTCATGAACATGAGAGACGGAGAGGATTGGAGTATTTACTTAGGGTCCATGAGGTAGAGGGTTGCCAAGGAATGGTATCTGGTGCCTTATTCTCTGCCTGAGCTCATGTCCTTGGCCTCTAGAAATTCGCGTCGACCTTCACATTTTCTGACCTCACTCGGTCGTTGTCAAGCCTCTCGCATTCACCAACACAGGCCCGACTTGTGCGTGCGCTCAGCTGACTGCTCTGCTGTTCAATCCAACCCACCGACGTGGATTTAGCTATCTCACTCGGTCCCAAGCGATCAGCCACTGCCTGTTCCCAAGACACAGTCCCACCCCAGCGCACAAACAAAGCCCGCGATCACCTGCGTGCGAAGCACAAAGGAGCCCTCGATAGCGCTTCCCAGGCGCAATAGATCTGTCTGCGACTCGCCATGGCTCAGCCTACTCAGCTTGCTTGTATGTATGCCTGAGTCGACCCTGCGAAGTCGCCATGCTGACACGGATGCAGACCGCACTTCGAAGAACATCGGCATCCTCGACGCCGCGCCAGTATATGAGCGCCTACCCGGCTTCTCCCCGCCCGAAGGCAACCTGCGATGCTGCGTCTACTCGCCCGACGGTCGCTTCTTCGCATGGGCATCGCCTGACATTGTCACGGTCGTGGACGCCTCGGTCGGACACGTGGTCACCACCCTGCCGGCCAACAACGTCTACGAACTCGGCTTCTCGCACTTCGGAACGTACATCATCACCTGGCAAAGACCCTCCAAGGACGAGAACGGCGATGCGGTGAAGAACCTGAAAGTATGGCGGACAATCGACGACAACGCCAATGACAGCGGTGAGAGGGATGTGGTTGGGAAGTTTGTGCAGAAGAACCAGACTGGCTGGAACTTGCAGTACACCCACGATGAAGCGTACTGCGCTCGCTGCGTCAGCAACGAGGTGCACTTCTACGAGAGCAAGGACTTGAGCACTGTGTGGAACAAGTTGCGCGTGGAAGGTGTGCAGGACTTCGCGCTTTCGCCCGGCAAGACACATTCGGTTGCTGTCTTCACACCGGAGCGCAAAGGCCAGCCCGCCTCGGTCAAGGTGTTCAACGTGCCACAGTTCAGCGGTCCGCCGGTTTCGCAGAAGACATTCTTCAAGGGAGACAAGGTCCAGCTCAAGTGGAACCAAGAAGGCACGAGCCTGATCGTGCTGGCGCAGACTGATGTCGACAAGAGCAACAAGAGCTACTACGGCGAGACCAACATGTACATCCTGAGCGCGAACGGCGGCTTCGACTCGCGCATCCAACTCGACAAGGAAGGACCCATCCACGATGTTATGTGGTCGCCCAACTCGAAAGAGTTTGGCGTGGTGTACGGTTACATGCCCGCAAAGACGACCATCTTTAACGTCAAGGCTGTCGCGCAGCATAGCTTCAACCTTGGACCACGAAACACGATCATCTTCTCGCCTCACGGTCGGTTCGTTCTGGTGGCCGGCTTCGGAAACTTGGCTGGCCAGATGGACATCTACGACCTCGAGAAGAACTACGAAAAGGTGTGCACCATCGAAGCGAGCAATGCTAGTATCTGCGAGTGGAGCCCAGATGGCAAGCACATCCTGACCGCAACCACCAGCCCTCGGTTGCGAGTCGACAACGGCATCAAGATCTACCATGTTGGAGGCAGTCTTTTGTACAACGAGGACATGCACGAGCTGTATCATGTTGTCTGGCGACCGCAGCCTGCCTCTTCCCAGCCTCTTGGCAATCCACTGCACCCAGTCCCAACACCACACCCGTCGGCGCTGGAGTACCTCGGCAAGGTCAAGACGCCGTCGAAACCGGCTGGAGCTTACCGCCCGCCAGGCGCTCGCGGTGCAGCTACCCCACTGGCATTCAAGCGTGAGGATGAGGGCGGGGCGGCTTTTGTACGTGAGATGATGTCTGGACGTGAGCCAGAGTCGAATGGTTTCGGACCGAGGAGCAGGAGACGAGAAGTGCCTGGTGCTGATCCGGACGCCAAACTGCCACCTGGTGCGGCGCCTGGTGGAGGTGTGAGCTTGACTGCGGATGGCGACGAGAACATGAGCAAAGCTGCGTTGAAGAACAAGAAGAAGCGCGAGGCGAAGAAGGCGAAGGAGGCGGATGCGAAGACTGCTGGCTTGACCGCCCCAACGGAGAATGGCAGTGGAAGTCGTACCCCTGAAGGCAGAGACCGAGCACGCAGCCCTTCAAAGTCCGGCTACCAGGGCTCCCGACCACAATCTCGGAGACGCGATGGCAGCAGACAGCGTGGGCCGCCGATCAACACGGCCACTCCGACGAAGCAACAGAACGGCAAGCCCGTCCCTCCAGCCGTCGCCGCAGCAGCATCCGAGCCTGCGCCTGAACTCACTGTCACGAGCCCAGGAGCTGGGTCGCCGCACGAGAAGAAAATCCGTTCGCTGTTGAAGAAGCTGCGCGCGATTGACGATTTGAAGATGCGGCAGGCGGGCGGCGAGAAGTTGGAGGGTACGCAGGTGTTGAAGATTGGTACGGAGGCTGGGGTGAGGGGCGAGCTGGCGGAGCTTGGGTACAATGAGTGATGTAGTATTGTTGATGTGCTACGATTAGTACGAGAGCAGTGTAGACGAGTGTACTGAGATGGCTCTGCACCTTCATGCTTCCGCCGTGCCACAATTTTGCTTCTTGCACTTGGAACTTGAGGTGAGGCTTTGGCTGAGGAAGGAGCAGCCCGACGGCGGCAATGTCGCCTCACCACGGCCAATACCGAACCGACGTTTATCGTCTTGCAAACACCGTCTCAATACTCGCGTCTCAATACTCTCTCCCACCGTGAAGACCGTTTGCAGCAGTTCGCCGTACCGCGGTTTGGTCCGTCGGCATCCCGCATATGACTCCGAGATTTGCACGTGCAAGCAGCCGCCGGCCGCTCCTTCCTCGTTTGGAAACGCAAACGCACATGCACCTTCCCCAGCAACGGGCAAACGTCATTTCCCAATCTCGGGCGCGAACCTTCCACGCGTCCCCTTATTGTTGATCCCCTCGCTCTCAACAAAAAAACCTCTCCTTCTTCCTCTCCCACCTTCACGACTCACATCTTCTCTCTCACACACACAACCTGCTCTTACAGCCTTCACAGTCGCTTCATCATACTCCCCTCGACAAGCTTCGCTCACTCAACATCACCACACTACTCATCGTCAAGATGCAGCTCAAGAACCTCGTCGTCGCCGTCGCCGCGGGCTTCGTCGCCTGTGCAGTCGCAAGCGATCCGAATGGTACGTCTTTCTTCACCCATCCAGCGCCTCCGCAGCATCACGTTCCCCGCCGCTGACCCTCTTCCCCTCGCAGAAGGCAAAGAGGCCGTCACCGCCACCAACAAGGACAGCTCCACCCTCACGCACGTCAAGATCGTGGACGTCTTCGCCGCCGTCTCGGTCTCCACGGCCTTCTCGACCAACTACGTCACCGTCTACGCCTGCCCGTCCTCCGTCACCGACTGCCCGGCCTCGACCATGACTTCCGTCGTGGCGGCGTCGACGACCGTCTGCCCGCTCACCCTGACGTCGGTCTCGACTTCGATCCCGGCTGTCCCGATCCCGACGACCCCGTCTTCTGGTGCGCTGACTGGTGGTGTTACGGGGAGTGCGCCGATGTCTTCTGAGGGTCCCTCGACGTCGACTACGATTATCACGCTCACTACCACGCGTTCTCGCACTGGGACTGTGACGATTTCGTCAAGCAGCACCATGGCGACTTCGTCGTCTGCCGTGGTCTCTTCGTCGCCAGCGCCGTCAGGCCCAGCATCGTCGGGACCCACGTCGTCCGGCCCTGCACCTTCTCGCCCTGCACCCTCCGGGCCACCCTCTTCTGGTCCAGCGTCGTCCAGCAAGTCTGCAGTCTCCAGCACATATGGCGGCAGCAGCACCCCAACTGCATCCGCCTCTGCTGGCACGACTTACTCCGGACCTGCGCCCAGCGGCGGCCTGTCTGGCGGCGTTACTGGATCTGCCAGCTCTTCGTCGGTGACTTCCACCTCCACCACTGTGCTCACGTCAACCGTCACCAGCACGACTCAGGTCACTGTTTCGGCGTCTGCTTCTGGTTCTTCCGCCTCTGGGCCTGCCTCTTCCGCCACGCTTTCGGGCACTCAGCCACTCGTTCCAGGCGTAAGCTCATCTTTGTTGCAGTATCAGAGCAAAGGCTAACATCACCTCAGAACAGCAGCATGACCGCCAGCTCGTACCCAGCATCGTCGCCACCCGCCAGTGGCTACCCCACCAACTCTCCCGCTGGCTACACCTACGGCACTGCAGGTCCCAGCGGCAGCCTTGCGGGTGCTGTCGGGGCGACTGGTACTGGCACCGGATATCCTCCCCAGGCTACCAACGGCACCGTGGTCTCGCCAACTCCTTCTCAGGTCCCCGCCACTGGCTTCGCTGCGCCCAGCTTCGATTCCAAGGTCTTCCTTTGCTTCGTTATCGGCGTGGTCACGGCTGTCCTCCTCATCTAGACGTCCTCACCACGAGAGATGACTTCCAACGACTGATGGATGAATGGCTTTTCTTCTACGCTTTCCGCACCTTTCCACTACAGTGTGTCTCTTCATAGACGCCTGTTCCTTCTGCGATGTAGCAGCATGTGTTATGACTGCAGGATATGAGGGATGGCATGTGTAGTGTGTTTCTGCGAGCAGAGAGATGGGTGTAGAAATAATGGCATGAAGAATGAATGATGTTGCGTTACCTTGCCGTCTCACTTTTCACCTATTTAATATCCTCCCTTCCACATCACATACATGTAGCTTACCCTGATTGCCTCATCCTACGAGCACTGATGAGGTCCAGGAGAAGAGCAGACCTCGTTGCCGCGCTCTCTTGTGGCTTGCATCGTCACTTGTCGTGCTACAATGTACATCTCAGGGCCGTAGCTGACGGACCGGATCACAGCTTCGATGAGATCATGCTTGACGCTTTCACATGAAAGCCATTGGGGTTAGCATCCAAACATCACTCCCTCGTCCGCCCACGTAGGTACAACAACAACCCTCCTTTACCTCTCCCTCTCTCTCTCTCTGCCATCCACAATGTCCTCAACATCCACCCCACCCTTCCACCGCCTCCTCTCCTTCTACTCCAACCGCTCCCCCCACCCCGACACCCAAACCATCCGCCTCTACGACTCCTTGACCGGCAATCTGGCACTCGGTCTCGACTTCCCCGCCGCGCTGGCGATCGCTCTCGGTCGCCACCTCTTCTTATCTAATACCGGATTCTTCAGCCTGAACATCCACGTCCCGTCCGTTAAGACTCATAAGACACTGCTGGACGGGCTGGAGGTGGATGAGAAGCGCTCCTACACCGCTTCTGAGATGTGGGGGATAGCAGCGCCGAACGGGCTACAAGGCCGTCTTGACGCTGTTGGGCTATGGGCTTTGGCTGCGGATACCAAGACGGGGCGTCTGAGCGGCGAGGACGTTCGGTCTTTTCAAGAGGGAAGGGTACTGGGGGTGCTGGAGGAAAGGCGGAAGGGGAGGGGACAGGTTCTGCCGCTGTGGAGGGGAGGGCCGATTAGTGTGGTGGGGCATTCGTGGGTTGTGGGGAGGGTTTTTGGGGTGGAGGTCTACAGGGAGGAGGTTAAGGAGGATTGAGCAGTTGGGCCGAGGGAATGCAGTATGGGATGGGTGGGCAGGTTGGGACGTATCTGATGGTTTGGGCGGCAGGACTGTTCGATGCTGGAAGTCTGGAAACCTGGTTCTCACACACCGCGGCGATTTTCCCGGGCTGCTGTTCTGGTGAATACGTTCGAGCAGCACATCAGCCCACGAAATCAAGGTCCATTCCAAAGCTTAGACAGCATGGAATTGAGGTCGACATCTGCTTGCCCGCGGCAGTGCTGGGTTGGCTCTGGAGCACAAGTACGACATACGGCCGCGTGATTGCCACACTGGTTCCACGCACGACGTGAACTCGGCACCGAGTTTGCTGCCATGGAATGGTGCAAGCCGCTGGGCAGAATGCTTAAAGAGCCATCACTTTGCGAAGTGCTTCGGGTCTTTCTCTACAGCGCCCCAGCATACTTCAACGACATCTGAAGACAGCCCGAACCTCAACCAAAGTTCAGTAAGCAGAAGACACACCATCCGCTGAAGAATCCACACCAGGAGATCACGATGCCTTCCAATCCTCCTAGCGACAACGGCAAGCAATCATCCAAGGACACACCCCCTCCATCCTACGACTTCGGCAAACTGTCCGTCCAAGACCGCCGACCACAAGCCGAGCCCACCCAATCCGCCATGCAAGCCTACGCCGAATCGTACGCCCAGCGTAAGCAGGACGGCCAGCTCACGCACATCTACCCAGAGGATCGCGAATCTGGCCCATCTTCTGGTTCGCCGCAGACGCCGCCACGACCGAGCATGACTCCTCCGCCACGCCGCGGACCGCCGCCTTCGTTCTACATGCATGCTAATGCTGGGATTGGGGAGGGCGAGTCGTTGCCCGTGCCGCCAGGGCCGTATATCCCGCCTGTTTATACGACTCAGTCGAATGCTCCAATGCCTGGGGATGATAGAAATTCGCGGTCTGCGTCTGAGGATGGACGTGCAGACCGTGAGCAGAGCCGTCGTGCACCGCCGCCGCATACGCAGAGCAGGTTTGAGGGTCAGGGGCGTGGTGGGCCGACGCCGGGATCTTCGTCTCGCGGCGGGCGGAGGTAGGTTTGAATGGGTGGGAAGTCAGCGTGGCGGTTGGGTGTAAGGCAGGAGTTGACTGACGGAAGGATTACCTCATGTTCGTGGATCTTTAGGCCCTCCATGAATTGGTGATGCGCGGGGAAAGGTGCTCTCGGGAATTATGTGGTCTGTTCATGCTTGGAGAATATGTAGTTAGTGTGGATGGCGTGGTACCTGTCTTCTTTCAATATATTTCGGTAAGCCTCACACGACACCGGCCGCTATTAGTAAGGTGGAACAGCTGCTTGATGGCCATCTCTGGCCATAAACCGGTTCAGGACATAAGGAGTATGGGTCGCTGGCCTGCCATCAGAAGGCAGCTCGGAATTTCCAGAAGGACATTAGGAACGGCATTCGGCGGGCACAGGACTTGAGCAGCCACGACAAGGCTCTACCTTGCAATCACCAAAAACGTTGACCCGGACAAACCTGTACACTAGGATACCACATTCCTCAGCACCCAACAAAGCTCGCTTGCTGCGCCTCAGCCTCCATAGTGCGAGCTTCAAGGTCCGTGGCCTCCCTGAGTCCCGCGAGAAGCATGCCGATCGGGAGTGTCTGTCGACCGCGCAGCGTCCTCGCTCACACTCACAACGCTCTGGACAACTCTTGGTGACGCCGACAGGTGTGACACCTCCTGCCCTGGCCCGAGAAGCGCTGCGTCTGGAGCAGCATCTTCGACCTTGACTGGAGACAGCGCTGGAGATCCCGGGATATGTCTCCCGTCCGTATCTGGTCTGTCATGCAACACATGTGTGGCGACTTCCTGAGCCCGCTCGCTTACCTGCTCACTCGAACCCTCGGAGACCGGAATTTACGCTAAAGCTGAAGAAAATCGAGCATACAATCGAGCGTCCTCCTGATTCTCCAGCTCCATCGCTCGCAGATACTCATCCATCAAGCGATCTTCCCAAGCTCGCGTTCTCGCATCGTCTTCCAAGGCTTCTGCGGACGAGCGGCCAGGTGGTCTCTGGATCGCGGCGTAACGTCGCGGGTCGTCGGGTTGGCGCTGACGCTAGACGCTGTATGCGCCTGCGGGCAGCTTGGGGTTGGGAGGGGATCTCGAACGGGAGTCCCTTCGAATAGCTCTGTTGCTCTTGGGCGGTGAGCGGCTTCGGGGCCGTTGACTCGAGGACACGATAGCGAGCTAATGGGGAGGTCAGGTCTGCGTCTAGCGGCACCCAGTTGGTGCTGTGTTGTAGCCTGGCTTGGAAAAATTGGGCTTGGGATTGTCGACTTTGGCATGCAATCAGTGGCGGAAAAAGAAGTAAGAAGCCCAGTAGAAATGCGACACTGCATATATGTTCCAGCAGTGTCGCACTCGATTCAGTGAATGGCTGCTTACCCGAATCATGGCCAGCAATGGCCCTCAAACAATTGTTCCACCTTCGATCACCCTCCACGCATTTCCGTGACACTATGTGCACAGTCTCCGCAAAGGTGCCATTGTTTGTGTCCGGTCATCCACGAGCTTCTCCTTTCCCTTCTTTGACTCCAGTGTGACCATTCTATGGCTCACCAGAATGAGCAGCAAACATCCAGAGCGCAAGGAAATATAGAACGCTGTCCGACTTACCTGGGAACCTGGCGGAATATTATAACGTCTTTCCTCTCTCCAACCTACAACACATATACCAAGACAAGAAGACATATAAAGTTACAACCAACCACCATCATGACGATCTGCGGCTGTGGGAGAAAGTCGAATGAAGACCACCCTTCCCATGCGCACGAAGGTGCCCTTCCACCTGCCCGGACTCCTCGAGGCCGCAGTAGAAGGCAATCATCAACAGCAGCAACCTGCACTCCAGGCCGAGACAGCGTTGCACTGCCAGACCTCTACGGTACTTCCCTCCTTTCCGTCAGCAGTTGTCAATGGCTAACCTCGCACCCCTCCCAGCACAGCGCGACGACGATGGAAATATCGTACAAACACCTCGTCGAACCCGCACCCACGGCAGCACGCCTACGACTAGCCCGAGAACTGCCCGATCTGCCCGCCGCTCCCGGACTCGCTCAGGCCCACCGCAACCGTCGACTCAGCCCTTGCGACCGTCTCAGTCCGAAATCAACGACTGGGCGGCCCAGCCAGGCGTCGCCAGCACCAACATGCCCTTGCCGCGCGAGCGAACCAATGCCCAACTCGAGGACGCGCGGCGGCAGCAGCTTCTGGAGCGAGACGCGCGAGATCACCGCGCGCGGGAGCAGGCGCGGAGGGAGAAGCGGGAGCGGAGCTGGCAGAGGCTTTCTGCGCAGGGGTTGAATTTCGGGTCTGGCGAGGGGCAGGGTCCAGCGGACTCTGAAGAGGGGATTGGGCCCGCGCTGCCGAGGACGCAGGAGGATGATGATTTGATCACGCGGCTGCCTTCTTGGAGCCGCGGGGATGACTCGCACGCCTGGCAAGAACAGATAGCTCCGTCGTTTAACGCAGATGTTCTTGCTGACACGTTTCCAGAGTTCGGACGCGGCCTGGTGCGGTTCGCCAGGAACGCGGTGGCGCTTCCTCCGGTCGAAGGGCCTGGGCCTAGGACTGGTGATCCGCCTCAACGAGCTACCCAGCGGTCCAGTAAGTTACGGGAAAGTCGGCCCTCTCTCGTGCGAAGGAACGCGACTTGGCCAGCTCCCATCGAAGAGCAGATCCGACACTCCCTGCAAGTTGCACGACGGACCTCCGTCAGAGAGCCGAGCCCTACTCCTGCCTTTCCGCCGATTTCAGCTGCCCTGAAGCCCACAGCCACGATTGACGAGCAGATCGGATGTTCTCTGCAACAAGCTGCTGCATCCAGGTCTACGAGAACACTTCCTGAAGGTGAGCGGGATAAGCGGTAGGTGCATAACCGTACCCGTCCAGCGGCCCTTGATGGCGATGGCGATGGCGGTGCTGTGTTGTTTTCTTTCTTATTGTGCGGAGCGACCGTTTGACAGATAGTCTGCCTGCACATGGTTTCTGCGTTAGTATATAGCTTGCTTATCATTACCTCTAACTCAACCCTTTCAGATCGGCGCAGGAGTCGTAAGTCGGTGTAATGAGTAGAGCCTAGAGAAGTCAAGCAGATTTTGGTCGGGCATATGAGTTCATTCCATACTTCATTCTTCGACCTACCTGTTCGGACTCTACACGCTGCAAATGCCTTGCCGCATCTCAGATAGATGCACGTGAAGTCTATTAATTCAGAGGCATGAGGTGAAGGAACATGAAGTGAGGTCCCAATAAGCTCAAAACCCAAATCGCTCCTGCCACATCCATCAGCTCTCCCCATTTCAACTTCAAGCAAATACAAGTACGTACCTTATCCCAACCCCACCTCTCCCAACCTCACCTCCTCCAGTCCTCCTCAGATACCAAAGTAAAACCCATCGCCTCCCCTGCAGCCAAGAAAAAGACGAGAGAAGGGATATTTCAAACGTGAGATCTGGATACACGACTATGTAGTCCCCCCTAACCCTCCCGACTCGCCATCCCCAGATCGCCGGCATCATTCAATAGTGTTCTCGCTCGAAGGCAAGCTATCCTTGCCTTTCTCTCGCCATGGTGGGGTTGGGGGGTATCAACAGGTTGGTGTTTGGTGACACGGACAAAAATCCTGGAGGGGGTGGGTAAACGCCTGGTACGCAAACGCTAGAAAAAAACATGCAGACTGGCGGGCATCTAATCGGGATGGTCGGTCGGTCGGTCAGTCGGTCGTCGAAAAGTCGTCAAGAGAGTGGTATGGTATGGTCTGGTAATGAGGTGTGGTAGAGGTTCCGAGTCGTCTCGATCAAGCAGACACGCTACTACGAGTTATCCGGATTGGCGACCTGCATATCACACCCGTCAGTAAACCTCTTCCCCCCTACACACTTACAGTATGGAAGTCAAAACTCACCCTCAAGATCCTCCTCGAATAATCCCCCGCGTCCGCAATACTCCCCTGACTATCCCTCCTCGCCCCCGCACCGGGATCCAGCCTCGAATCGCTCGAATGGCTGTACCCGGTATTCGGCGGCTTCCTCTCGCCATTCCCGCCGCCGCGCATGAAATCCGCCACTTGCGTGCGCTTGTACTCTTCTTCCGCTTCCTTTTGCTTGCGGCGGCGGAGGTAGAACCATACTCCAAACACGATGCCGGCGATGGCGACAACGCCGACGACGACGCCGCCGGCTACGGCGCCGATGTTGGTGCCGCTGTCTTCTGGGGAGGAGGATTCGGGGGTCGGGGTGGCGGAGGAGGTGGTTACGGGGCGGGGTGTGGGGGTGTTGGTGACGTAGACGGTGGTGCCCTCGTTGACGCTGGTGACGACTGTGGGTCGGGGTCGGGGTCGGCGTGTTCGTGTCGCTGTGGTGGTGGGTGGTGTGGAGGTTGATGTGGATGTGGATGTGGATGTGGTGGGTGGTGCGCTGGAAGATGAGCCGGAGCTGTCTGAGCTGTCGTCGCCGTCGTCACCGCCGGTCGAGCCGAAGACGGGCACGTTGACTTCGGTGCCGGAGAGGTATACTGAGTAGGCGTCTGGCCCACCGCCTGTGTGAAATAACACGAGTCAGCTTATCACCCTCCACGCGTCGGTTTTGACTTTGATCTCAACACGTACACATCTCATCCGGGTATCCCACACAAGGTGTGTCGCACTCCGAATCATCCGTCTGCGTACTCTCCGCAGGCAGCATATTACCGCAGAAACACAAATTGCCCCTCGACATCGCAAACGTCGCCGCATTCTGCCTGGCGCACGTCTTCGAGCAGGCGCCCGAGCTCTGGTATCGGTCGGTGCCTTGGTTTGTGAGCGGCTTGATGGACGAGTAGCAGCCGATGAGCGAGACGCCCTGCGCGGCGGCCATGGCGGAGAAGGCGAGGACGAGGAGTGGTGCGGACATGGTTCGTGGTGTTGATGGCATGGTGTAGAACGGGGTGCGCGCTACGCCGATGCAAGGAGGTTCATGCGCTGAGGTTCGGAGCGGGTGTAAGCAAGCGGAAGCCTGGTGGTGCAGACTTGTCAGTGTCTCGTGATCGGCTTTGTTATCCTCTTCTTTTCTTTGAACGTATCGTGAGTGGGTGGTGGAAGATGTTGCGCACCTTTGTCCTCGCAGCTGCCAGCAGCCCAGTGGTGATGATGTTTGCCCGTGTCTCGTGATGCTTCCAACTTCCCTCTTCCGGTGAATCCCTTGGTCTCCCCACGCTCTGTGCGACCTTTTGCAGGAAGTCACTCCGTGTCCTTCAAACCACCAAAACACACTCCTCCGAAGTCCGCTACTGCTCGTTACAACAGACAACCGACTCCCTCACTATTTTCTGCCGCGCTCCAATCACTCGCTCGCAACAACGTGGTCCGGCGCAGTGTGTGTCGGGAGGCAACTGAGAACCCGGAACCGTGGAATGCTCGTGTCGGTGTTTCAAGATTACCTCGAATTCGTCGCAGGAAACAAGTCGTCGTCAGTGAATGCAGGCCGCTGCCGGTTAACGATGGATAACGAGAGTGTCCGAAGAAGAAAGCGTGCTGCTGATGGGAAGGACCGTCGTGTTACCGTGCAAGGAACGTGTAACGTGCTCCACAGGTGAGAAGTGGTCGGCGCAGGTGTTGAAAGTGGTGGGTTCGCAGGTGTGTCGTGTTGTGGCCGTCTGCCGACCGACCAGGATGTGAGGAATCGAAAGGGGGGTCTGTCGAATGAGAGGCGCCCGTTCCTGCGCTAGTCGCCGCTTTTTGCTTTGCAGCGGACTCTTCTTGGCCGTCGCTGCTGCCAATGGCCGTGATCTATCTGCCGAGTTTGGAGAATGTACTGTGTACCTGCAGATGAAACGGGCATCACAGTTCAACGCCTACTGGAGCTGCATTGGACTGCATACGGCGTGCGATGGAAGAGCTTTTCATCAACTACAGATGCCTACAAAGACCCTGTTCTTCTTCTGACAGTCCTCGCTCAACCGTATCGACGGTCCGAGCCAAATAGTTCTAGTCGTCTGCTAAACGCACAGAGCGCTCACGAACCTCTGCACATCCTCATTTGCGCCCGTGAGCATCCCAAAAGAGAAGTGCTCTGCAAGCGACAGGCCCAGTCATCCGTTCCCGGGTTTCGATAGCTCGAATTGCCCGCCTATACGTATACTTACGAGTCACGCCTGGCAGAAATACGCGTCCTCACATAGTCTGACATGTCCAAGTCCGACGAACGCAGTTGAGGAGGACGAGGACGAGGACTGCGGCTGTCAAAGAAACTTCAGTCATCATTCACCAAGCCAAACGTGCGCCAAACCTCCACCCCCGTTTCATCAGACGGGCAAGGCCGCGGCGGATCGGGAGTCGGAAGAAAAATCTCGCTTCTCCACTTCGGATGGAGAAGTGAAACATCTTCCAGGCGTGCAGCGTGCTTTGGCTGAGACGCGAAAAAGAAGTCGAGACTTCGTTTTTTCGCGTATCGAGATCGGAGGAATCAACTAAGGTAACGGTCAAGATCGCGGTAAGCAAGCTCGAGCAACATTCTGGTGCTGCTGGCTGGATAGAACACCCTCGACCATGAACAGCGGTGTTTTCTCGAAGACCTTAACGAGAAGAGAGTAGGCAGGGAAGACCTCAAGCATCGAAGTGCCATGCTACAAAATCGCGAGGACGAGGCGGGTTCTCCAGCAACTGACCATCTCATCTCATCCATGCAGCATCTAGTGCTGCGCTCAAACGTAGACCAAGGCACATACACATGGCACTCAATACTGTACAGCTAACTCCCCACCTCCACCCTCCTCTCCAACACCCCTCTCGCCTCCCCCTCCGTCAGAACCTCCAGCCCCAACTCCCCGAGCGCAAACCGCGCACTCTCATTATCCACAAAAACCAACCGCTCCACCTCAAACAGCCCCATCTTCTTCTCCCCTTCCTCCCCGTCCCCATCAGCCCACGCCGCGTCCTCATCATTATCCTCTTCCCCCGACCGGCCCGCTTTCTCCCTTACAATCTCCCCCCGGATCGGTAAACTGATCAACGTAACGCCCTCAAGCAGCCTCCGCAACCCCATCCGCGCCTGGCCTCGTCCGACGAACCGATCGATCTGCGCACACAGCGCCGTCATGTCGGTGGAAAGTTGCGTCGTGCCGGGGGTGGAGAACATCTGTCGCATGACGACGTTGTCCCAGATGTAGCTTTGGATGGCATGGCAGAGCTGTCTGCTTACTCGTCTCAGGGGTAGCTTGCCGAGCGCTCTGCTTAGGAAACCGAGATATTCGGCTAGCAGACGCAGCGCGGGCTCGAGGTCGGCGGAAATGGCGCCCCCGGCTGTGGTGGCGGAGAGGGAGGCCCAGGTGCTTATTCGAGTGTATGGGCGGAGCGCTTCGCGGATATTGTAGGTCAAGGTGTCCACGATGATGCTCTCGGTCTTGACGCGGACTTTCTTATACGAAGCAGCCGTCTCGTCGAACAGCGCACCTTGCAGTCCGCCATCGCTTTCGTCCCCGCCGACGGCTGCGCTGGTTTTGTCTTTGATATCCTGCAGCGCGCCTAAGTTCCTGCTGACTTGCTTGCGATTCTTGACGCGATCTTGTAGTTCGTCCCAGAGTTCGAGGAAGAAGACGTCGTCGCTCCAATCCCGCATGGCGTGTTCCAGGTAGTCGGCGGAGCCGAAGATGCGGCAGAGATGGTCCAGCCCTTTGACGCCTTGGAGTTCCGTCTGGTCTGTTTTGGATACGCCCTGCATTCTCCTACCAATGGAAGAGGTGGTGACGACGAACGCTTCCATACTAGACCGCAGCCGCTCGTAGAACTGGTCGAAGATGGCGATCTGGATATCGATCAAGAACCGCAGCTTCTGGCTGAAACTCGACAACGTGCGATAGCGATCCGTGATGGTGTCGACGAGGTCGTTGACGCGCAGGGCGGCTTTGGTCGGTTTGGTGGCGTCGGAGGGGACGGAGTCGTAGTCGAGTTCGTGCGCGGCCGGGTCGTCGATGATGGAGCGGTAGCGGGCGAGGGCGAAGTCGCGCTCGACGGCGAGCCAGGGGTCGAAGTAGCCGCTTTGGTCGAGGAGGAAGTAGGCGAGGCCGCGCCAGGGGGTGGAGGGGGAGGATGGGGTGTAGGCGAAGGTTTCTTCCAGGGTGGTGTCGAAGGAGAGGACTTCGTGCATGAGGTGGCTGAGGAGCTGGGGCTGTTTGGAGACTTGGGTGGCGAAGCTGGGGAGTTTGCGCTTAAGCATGGGAAGGAGGGCGGTGATGAAGGCGGAGGTGGCGTCGATGTATGCGGGTGTGAATGCGAGGTCGGAGCCGCGGAAGTGCTGGACTAGTAGAGGCTGGACGGCGTTGTCGAGGAAGCTGGAGTATGTGTTGATCAGATCTGTGGTATGCGAGAGGAAGTACTCCGGCTTGTCCAGCCGGTTGGTAGGCTTGTTGCCGGAGAAGTGGTATATGAATCGCTGTTCCAGCGGGTGTACCATGGCCTCCAGAGGGAACAGAGCAGGCGGCTCAGTATCAGGAGGCTGTTGTCCCGCACTGTTCTCGCGCTCATCCAACTCCTGCCGCTGTAAATTGAGTAGTCTTCCAAAATTTCTCTCCCACTCCTGCTGCAACGCCAAAGGCACCGTCTCCGAAGCCTTCGGCCAATTTATCTTTCCCAGCGTCTTCTCCAGATCCGCTGAGAACGAGCTCTTGATCGTATGCCTCAGCTCCTGTACCTGCCGCACAATGTGATCCAACAAATGCGGCGCCGCACCTTCCGCCGCCTCCTGCAGCGGTTGTAGGCCTGCCACCAGACGCTGTAGTCTCTTATACGGCCCCAGTGCCGCTTCATCGCTCTTTCCCAGCTGCGCGACACACTCCGCCTTGAGGTGCTCGACTTCCTTCAACAGCTCCACATACCCAGCCGCGACATCGAGCTTTCGCAGCTTCTCCATACTGGCCTCAAACTTCTCGACCGCTTCATCGCTAGTCTCGGATTGCGTTACGATGAGCAGTCTGCGGTCGATGCTACTCTGATCCTTCTGGAAGGTCTCGATCTTCTGCCGGAGGGAGCCATCCTGTTCGTTGGCTCTGCGCTGAGCGTCTTGGTGGTCGCGCCGCGCATCGTCGAGTTGTTGCTTGAGTAGGTCCTGCTGGGTCTTGACGTTGGCGAGGAGGTTGTCGAGGTTGTCGAGGTCCGCTGATGTCTGCAGTTGGTCGTCTAGGTAATCTTGGACGCGAGTGTCCATTTTTGCGGCCACTGAGGGACGTGTCGTTCTGTAGCAGATGGTTTCGCTTGCGGGCCTGGATTTTGATATTCGAGATAGTTGGCAAGCTGCCTAATGTGGTTAGGCTGATTTTGCCGGATGAATATGTCTCTTAACTGCCCGACCTCCTACCTTACCATCTACTCTCTTCGTCGACTAGCTATCATGGAGACATCTCGAATTGATCCCCATACCGACCAGCACGTTGTGAGTACTCGAGACTGCACCTGAGGTCAACCAGGCTTGAGTAAAGGGGCTTGGGGGCCGAGGACAGCGATATCCTCAGCTTGAACGCGAACGCGTACGGCAGTCGTGTCAATACCTGTCCCTCGATGCGACACGGCGAAGCCACCACCAACTCTCTACTATGATCACACGCTGGAGTCCAGGCGCCGATGGCGAGAGGGTTGTGTGTGATACATGAACCCAGCCCTGGCAACGACAACCAGATGGATTCGAGACATCATTTCTGCTCTTACTTCCAACCCTGCCAAGCCCGTATCTCAGCCCTTCACGTCCTCTTCAGGACTTCAAGTGAGTGCATTGAAGGTATAAGTTCGTATAAATTCTCCATTCAAGCGTCACATTTTCCTGTATCATCCGCCTCAACTACCGACAAGATACACCAAGCCTCCGAGCCTCCTTAGCCCCAGTCAAGATGCAGCTACTTACCTTCACCACGGCCGCCGGCCTCCTCCTCACCTCTGCTCTGGCTGCCCCCCTCGAAGCCGCCGCGTCAAGCCTCTCCTGGTCCGTCACCGACTACTCCTTCACCCGCGACGACAACCGCCACTACCACTACAGCTTCAACGTCCAAGGTGACGGCAAAGTCGACGAAACCCCACCCTTCACTGCCACTTGCTCCGGGACGCAGCAGCCTGGATACCAAGAATGCGAGACCTACATCTGGCAGCCCACCATGCCCGGCACTTTCAAAATCTCTGCCAACGTCAACGTCGTCGCGAACCCGAACGACCCGAGCAAGAAGGTTCCGAGGGTGTTCATCAAGACGCACTGGGTCAATGAGGGGCAGTGTTCCTACACGGACATTGGGCGTTATGTGAGTGCCGGGGATACTGGAGAGCTTTACATTCTGAAGTGCAAACTAACCAGATTTTCTCGCTGCCAGGATGCGCCTGCTGTACTCGACAGCTTCTACTTCAGCCCGGTGTCTCACGTCAAGGGGGAGGGATGCGTCTCATAGACCGCGAGTTTCCGGGGAACCTTCATTCTGGTCATTCTGATCAATCACCTCTGTGCTGTGGTTGTCACGGGATATTGTATTCAGCCATATTTCAGCCGGCAATTCTCTTCATTGTTATTAGTAGATCCGTAGGACGCGAAGAAGAAGTGTCTTGTTCAGGGGACTGTCAGGACTTGTACCATACCGGTTATACTTTTGCAGGTGATCTGAGAGCTGCCATCATCCAATCGCGATCCTCTGCTTTGATCTTCAGATTGGAAAGACTACGAGCAGTGCTTATTATAGGCTCTTCTCGACTACATGAAGCACGAGCGTGGCCTTTGTGCCATTCCAGATCACGTAATCTTGGGTGGTCACCCCAGAAAACACCATTGCACTGTTTCGGAGCTTGCTATGCCTCCTACTATTCGTGCTTCCATTCTATTCCAACACTCGTGGTCGCAACAGGAGCCACGCGAATGCGAGAAATACGGCAGACAAGCGTTGCCAATCCTCCCAATCCGTAGGCTTTTGCCTTGCCAACATGTTGTTTCGAGCAGCCATCTAATTTACTCGAATCCTTCGGGGAACAATCTGGGGGGCATACGGGGGGGAGAGGGCCTTCCGTTCCACAAGAAAGTGACAGATGACGGGACTTCTCTCGTATACCATCCCCATGGAACAGCCACATGTGGAACAAGCGTCTATATTTAGGAGAAGATGCACGTGTGGTAAGACTCTGCGCACTACCACCTTGTTCCAGCAAATGGAACGAGCACTGGAAGAACGAAGAGTTGCGGATAAAGCTGATCTCACCCGAACATCGAATGTATAAAGAGGTCCAGACAGCGCCCCAGAAGACTCGTTTCGCTCAGCTAAATACAACCACTGAAAGACAGCACCGTTGACAACACCCGACACAGACGTTCGCTTCAACCAAAATGCAACTCACCAACTTCATCCTCGCCACTGCCGCCCTCCTCGGCTCCTCTTGGGCCACACCTCTCGAAGCCCGCGCCAAAACACCCTGGCACATCACCGGATGGACCTTCATCGACGACACCTACGAATTCTATATCCAAGATAGAAAGGACTTCACGGCTCGCTGCTTCGGTCCCTCAGGCCAGCCTTTCACCGACTGCGAGCTCATCCACGACCCGAACAAGCATTATGGCACCACTGAAGTGTCTGCTCGCGTGAAGCTTGTGAACGCGAAGCCGCGGTTGTTTGTGAAGTCGCTCTATACGGACGATACGTCCTGCACGTACCTGAGTCTTGTGAAGAATTACAAGGCTGCCGTGACGAGTACGGCGACGGAGTTTGCGCTGAGCCCGACAGTGACGGAGGGTGGGCCGTGTGTCTCTTTGACAGCTTAGGGGGCGGGATGTTGGCTAGAGGCATGGAGATGTCGCTTCGCTCGAGTCTTCAGATGAGTTTGTGAAGAGCAAGGGGATTCTTTGAGGGTGTTCCAAAGGGCCGGGAATTGGTCGAAGAGAGCCAAGTGTGAGGCGCTCCGTTGGCAGAGTCGCCATGACTAGTCTCTCATATTGGTGTCCCGAGTCGCTGTATATATTATTCAGTATCGTCAATGACCAGCAGGCTTGCAATCTTCCTTCTGGCTCTCAGGTAGCTCCTCATGAAGTCGGGTCCATTCGTCTGGCCACAGTGGATCCCAGGTATGCGTCGAGTGTAGGATTACGACTTCGAAGTTCACGTCTGCTGCCATGTGTATTCGTGCCGATTACCAGAAGAAGTTAGACCAGTCAGATGACAGCGCGTCAGATGACAGCGCGTCAGCGCGTCCCGCGGAGATCTTCTCTCTCCATTCGTACTCATCAATCGCGAGAGTATGTCTCTGGCAGTCCATCTCGATAAATTGATGAGCTAAACAGTCTGTCCAGCGTGATGCGCGCGTAAACCGCAGCCAGCAGCCAGAGCGTAGTTCTGAGGGTAGTATGCAGGACGGTCGCACCGCATACTGCAGGCGGGCGAGCCCGGGAGGAGGTGTTTGATAAAGCAGAGGTATATGAGATAAGTCCTGAGCACTGTCATGTGAGTTCAACTGTCTGCGTTCCTAAGATGGAAGGAGATGTCAAACGTCACGTCTGCCTAGTAAAGCTCAACCTCACTTCATCCTGAAACTGAACAAGAAATTCCATTAATGCTACACACTCACCTTCAGCATACTGGAACGACCGCAGACACTGCATGCACCTCAACGACATCCTCTTAGGCCAGTGAAGACGTACCTCACAGCCTATACACCAACATGGACATCTTCGTGCGCAACATCCCTGCGGAGGCTACAGCCAAGCAAGTCAAGGCATACTTCCGCCAGCCATTCCTCGAATGCAACATCAACGATGAATACCATGTGGAAAAGATGCGCGATAAGCCGTTTGCTGTCATCACGGTTCTCCATCCTCACAAAGCACAACAATTCTTGAACACGTACGGGCTCCCGCCAAACGCACCACGCCACGTCTTCCCCTTGAGACAGCTGCGATGGAACAACAGGACCATTCTCTGCTGCATCAGCAAGTCGGCGTCCACCCCGTTGTCCGTCCAGACTTTGGCCCACGAGGCAGCTCAGCGAGCGCAACGACCGAATGGCACGATCGTCCCTCCTCCGGCGGCCGACCAGAACTCCAGAATCACCCGCTTCGGCATCAAAGCGGTCAGCTGCGGTGTTTGGGAGTACCACGGCTCACAGCTCATCTTCACTCAACACTGGTCAGAGGCACGCCAGGGCACCATCTCGCTCGGTCTCAAGGGCGCCGCCATACTCCTGGGTGGCTCGAACTCGAAGCAATGCCGCATTGACTTAGAGTACTACGGCTGTAAGAACATTGTGGTCTCGGGAAACTACAACGACCCCGCCATCTCCTTCACACTCGGATACCCACCCAAGTTCTATGAGGTGATACCTAAGGACTCCAACGGAAATGATGACGATGTTCTGGCAAGCGCATTAATGTCGCTGATACTGAGTTCTACAACTCGTTCCATTAACAAAAACTCAGTCAAAAAGGCAAGGCTCCCAAGCATCAACAGCGAGCATGCAAAAGTCGCTGGAACATGCTTTGTCTATCGCATCACACTGGCTGAGTGGGCTACGCTCGCTCCCGTTCGTGCAGTGTTGGATCGAGTTGCAAAAGCATCGTCGTGTATCACGATGACGACGGCGACCATGCTGCCTCCTGAGTCGTTGCATAACAGCTTCGTCCGCCTAAACCGCGATCTCACCGATGCTGACCGCTACGGCCTGTACCTGTTCACATTGCGCTACCACATCGACAGACTGGCTCGCAATGGTGTCCTGTCGCCTCTCAAGGTCAAGCAATTACTCCCGAAGATCGCAAGAATCCATCACAGCCATGGCCTCGACGCAGCATTGTCTGCTCTCTCGCGCTTCTTTCGTGCCATACCATACGCTGGGCCGGGGGTTGACAGCCATGAGTTGTCTCTCACCACTCTCGAGACCATGCTGGAAGACCTGGCATCGAACTACGACCACTACAAGCACAACCCGGAAAACGCGTACGAGCTGGTCAAACGTCACCAGCATATCAATCTGATCCATAAGGTGACAATCATTCCAGCTGCGACATACCTCGATGGGGTGGAGCCAGAGCCGACGAACAGAGTCTTGCGCCGCTACCGAACCACAGTGACCACTTCATCCGCGTGGCCTTCCAGGATGAGGATGATGGAGGGGTGCGTTACGATCCGCGAGCTTCACAAGATCTGATCTTCCACAAGCGCTTCAAGGAAGTGTTGGACAAGGCCATCCTGATTGCCGGGCAGGGATACTCATTCCTTGGGTTCTCCCACTCCTCTCTCCGTGCTCAGTCTTGCTGGTTCATGGCACCGATGTACATCGACGATACTCTGCGGCTGCCTGAGCATATCCTCAAAGAGCTCGGTGACTTCGAGGTCATCAGGACACCGGCAAAGTGCGCAGCTCGAATCGGGCAGAATTCCACCGATACGTAAGTTTAGCTTTAAACCCTGGCATCTTTTTCGCCGCTGTCTTGTCGTTCGCGGTAGCTTCTGCACGTTACTAACTCATCGTCCCCTCCAGCAACGCCACCATCGACATTCATCGCAATAGCGTCTACGACTTGCCATTGGTGACGAAGAATGGCTATGATTTCGGCGACGGCGTGGGCACGATCTCAAAAGACCTGCTACGTCGGGTTTGGAGGGTGTACGGCACCAGGCGTGCGATCAAGCCTACAGCTCTGCAGATTCGGTTCCAGGGCTGCAAAGGAATGGTTAGCTTGGACAGCACCCTTTCGGGACAGAAGCTCATGCTACGCTCAAACATGTATGCCGCAATACTTCTAGCGATGCCATGTGAACATGCTGACCTCTTGCTAGGAGAAAGTTCGAGACGTCTTCTACCGAAAAGTGGAACCTTGAGATCTGTGGCGCTGGCTTCAAACCACTTCCTCTCATTCTCAATCGCCAGCTCATCAAGATCCTTGAGGACCTTGGCGTCCCGGCGTCTGCCTTACACGATGTGCAGAAGCAAGCCACGGACAAGTTGCGCCACGTGACGACTGGCAATGCTGTCAATGCTGCCAACTTCCTCGAAGAGCAGGACAGCCCCAAGTCGACTCGCATCCCTACGCTCATCCGCCTGCTCAACCAGATCGGCCTTAACTACCGACAGGACAGCTTCTTGTATCGAGTGGTGGAGATGAGTATCGTTACCACGCTGCGGGACATCAAGTATCGCGGCAGGATTCCGGTTTTTCCTGGCCACACGCTCTACGGCATCATGGACGAGACTGGCTACCTCCGAGAGGGAGAGGTGTTCGTGATCACCGAGAGCTCTCCAGACGGCGGGAGGCGAGTGTTGGTTCAGAATAGGATCGCAGTCACCCGCACCCCAGCCCTCCATCCAGGAGACATCCAGCTCGTCAATGCTGTCGACGTACCCGCGAACTCTCCGCTGAAAGAGCTTTCGAACGTCATCGTCTTCAGCCAACATGGCGAGCGGGACCTACCTTCTCAGCTTTCGGGTGGAGATCTTGACGGCGATCAGTTCCACATCATCTGCCATCCTCCTTTGATCCCGCCCACCACATTTAAGGCTGCCGAATACCCTCGTTTGTCGGCGGTGGAGCTGGACCGTCCGGTGACACGCAAGGACGAATGACTTCTTCGTTACGTTCATGGAGTCGAATATGCTAGGCATGATCTGCAACACCCATCTACAGCTTGCTGATCAGCGTGAGACGGGAACCTTCTCGGATGACTGCATCAAGCTTGCCGGTATGGCCTCCACAGCGGTGGATTTTTCGAAGACAGGCATTCGCGTCGATACGTCGGAACTACCTCGCTACCCAAGGATGAGGCCCGACTTCATGGCTCCATCCCCTCGTGTGGTCGTATCCGCTGGTGGCCATCTAGATGTTGAAGAGGACGACAATGAAGACGACCCTGCCTTCGAGGACTTGGATGCGGAGAAGCGACCGTTCCGCTACTACGAGAGCCAGAAAGTCCTTGGGCAACTCTATCGCGCGATTGACGAGCAGAAGTTCCTCTCCAAGATGCAGACAGATCGCCGAGCTGCCATGACCGCTGGCCATCACAACCTAATGGGCAGGCTGCAGCAGTACATGGCCCGCATGGCATCGAACTACGGCATCCTGTACCTCCACCATGCTGAGCTGGCGCGCGACATCCGATCTGGGTGAGTACCGACATTACCGACATTTCTTCACCAAAGCTAATTTCTCCACAGGTACGAGGAAAGCCTCTTAAACATCCTGCACACCTACGCCCCATCAACCAACATGCCCATCTCCGAACACGAAGCCTTCGCCGGCACCATCCTCGGCCGCAAAGGCGGAGCGCAAAACAAGCCTCTCCGTGAATTGGGCAAGACGATGCGCGAGCGCTTCCAGGCCATCGTCGAGTACAACATCATGCGCATCACCAAGGGCGACGAGCAAATGCACGGGGTCAGCGACCTCGACTTGCTGTATGAGGACAGCGTGGATCGGCAGGTTGAGGCGCTGCCGAGGGCTATGGCGTGCTTGCAGGTGGCGGTTGAGGAGAGAGGGTGGGTGGATAGGGAGTTGGGGGAGTTGCAGTCGTTTAAGTGTATTGCTGCTGGGGTGTGTTTGAGGGAGTTTGAGCGGTATAGGATTACGACGTTGGGGTCGTATGTACTGCCGCCGGTGTGAGGGGAAATGTGTTCGGAAGGGAATGATGGCTGGTGCATTGCTGTGATGAGCGGATGGCAATGGGAGGCAAGATCAATAGGAGCGTGGACATGGTGTGATGCTTGATATGGAGCAGCAGGTAGTGGCTATTGGAAAGCAGTCATAGTAGCTAAAGACAATGGTCCGCCACTGCTGCATTCAAACCTCCTCTATGTCCATGCCTATGGATAGCTGTCGCTGCTGGCGATGACCATCTACTTCCTTCAGCGTGCAGCAGCCATGACATGGTCACGAAGGGACTCAACCTCAACCTGTCTTCGGTCCTCGCTGCAGGTCACTGCCCATATCCTACTGTCTTCATTTCATTTCATCCTGACATCCCCTACTGTGACTGAGCAGCTGACTTTCGCGTAACCTGTCATTGTCCTTGTTGATGCTTATGCGCCTTTGTTGATCTTGGCTGTGGCTTCTTGCGTTAGCGATGTCTTTGTTCATGATCATTACGAGTCTGCGACCTACCCCTTGACGCCCGTGTCGCTCATGTCGCTCCAGCCCTGCGCCTGCTCGGGACCTTGTCCGTGAGATTGTCCCACTCTTCCTGGGTGAAGAGGCGCGTGTCGCCGAAGAACTCCATCAGGGGCGCGTGGTTGTACAGCTTGTGGTCGCGCGCGTTGAAGTCGTCTGGCCACTTCTTCCGGAGGTGGGAGCGGATGAACGTGTTGTCCTTGCGCCGTGGGAACTTCCTGATCTCACGCGCGAGCTTGTACAGCCAGGGAGGGATGGCCGGGCGATCGTTGCCATCATCGCTCTCCCTGTCGTCGATGCCGTCATCGGTAGCTTCGTCGGTAGCGTCGTGGGTGACAACCTGCTCGATCTCGACCTCGTCCTTGGAAATGACCGAGTCGTGAGGCGTGAACTCATCCTCGGAATCCTCCGAGCTGTCGTCCTAAGCAAGCGTTAGTGTGATCCGATCACGAAAGCGGTGAGCAGGGACTTACGCTGTAGCTTGGGACTTCATCGATCTCCTGCGCTGCCTCCTCTGCTGCCCGCGCCGCTGCTTCCTCTGCTTCACGAGCCACTGCTTCGTCTGCCTCGGTCTCCGCCTGGTCGAGCGCAGCCCGACCGGTGCCGTAAAGGGTCGTTGTGTCGAAGCGCTCCATCTCAGCCAGGCTGACGGTCCTGAACGGCGCAGGTTGGCTGTTCGGCAGGAGGGACTCGGTCGGCATGACCATGTTCCAGGAAAGACGGCCTGGCATGGTTGCGCGTGGTAGGGTGTGATGTTATGATTGAGTGGTTGCGTATTGGTGTGGGTGTGTAGAAGGAGTCTTGATGTTTGCGTGTTGTGATTTCGTGCTGGTGGGCGAAAAGTTTGTGATTGAGGTTCCATTTGTATGAGGCGGCGTGGCTGCGTATCAACAGCGTGGTGGTCCGTGCCCAAAAAGTGAATGTCGTTGCCAATCTGCAGAAGACGAAACGCCACACGGCACACCCCCCGTTGCAAACGGAGAGCAGCCATATGATGAGCGCGTGAAGGGTAAAGCAAGAGTAGACGTCATCAGAGAACCCGTCCGAGAGTGAATTCCACGATGCCTTGTCGACCAGCCTGTGATCGTAGTACACTTACCGGATTGGGAAGCTGCTGGCACCCAAGACCATCATGTCTGCTAGCACCCCGAATTGACCCACACGGTTCTCGAGTACCTTCAAACACTACGCACCGGCTGCGGCTCGTCTGCAACCATGACCATTCCGACCCTTCCATCCTACTGTAGTACTGATGCTCGCTGGCCGTGTACTATCATGCAACAGGCTCACAAGGCTGATGGGCGCGACAGACGCAATGAGATCGAGGGCGAAGTGCGATGGTAGCATTCATCAACCGTGCATCGTGCAAGTGTGTTGAACATAGCTCATGCCCTTTCAAGGAACCGTCAGTATGTTCGAGGAGACGGAGATTTGGGACCAACTCACCTCGACGCCGTTGGTGCTGCCACCACAGCGAGTCCACTCATCCACCCCTTTCCGCGTGGGCCCCTAACGTCCCATAGCCGTCTCCTGTAGTCCATCGGAAACCACAATCGCACCTGCCATGCTCATCCCTTACGTGACTCGCCGGAGAGATGACAGCATCCTTCTTCCGTACAATCCTCGTCCGCTCGAACAGGTGCCGCCACTCCGGGATAGTGAAGAGCCTTTCGTCGTATATGTACTGATACAGCGGGGACGTCGGCAGCAAGGCGTGGTCGCAGGCATCGAAGTGGGTGGGAAACTGTCTGTGAAGGACGGAACGATCGATCATGCTGATGCCTTGGGGTGTGATGCATGTTTTGATGGACTTCGCGAGTCTCGAGATCTCCTCGGGGATGCCAGGGCTCCTCATGCCAGGGCGTGGTATCAACCGTCTGTTCATGCTGGGCTTCGGCTGTGTTAGTGACGTTAGCAAGAAGGAAGACGGAAGCCGTTCAGACATGAGGCACGTGCCTCTTGGTAGTTGTTGAGCGTACGGTTGAAGCAGTGGAGTACGGAGTTCGTCGAGCGTCCTGAGATTTGCTAGTATTCGCAGATTTGCCACAGAGATTCGATGCCACGTATGTTTATAACTATCTTCTTTCATGAAATATACCAAGTTGCTGTTGAGTTTTATTGAAAGTTGAATTCGCGCCTGCGCCACAAGGCGATGCACGGACGGAGAAGAGATTGAACGTAGGTGAACTTCCATATCACATGAAACGCTAAGACGATGGATGAATGCCAGGAAGAGGAGTCACTGAATTGCTCACCGGTGCAGTATGATACCTACATGTAGTAACGCTGGTGGTTGTTCAGGAGACAGCTGACTACCTACTTTGCCTCCAACGTTGCAGTCTCTGGGAGCAAACCGTATCACAAAGATCCAACGCTTGCTTCTTGAGATCTTAGCGACCTCACTCGGATGGACAGCCAACGAGACCAGATGCATAGACAGTGTCCACTTTGCCGTCAGTAGTGCCCACAACCAAGAATTTAAAGATGCCACTCACCATTCTGCCGATCTCAAGCGGTGATGTCTGTTCTCACGCCCCACGCTTATCAGGCGACGTCCCCATCAAGTTTTCCCATTCCTCCTTGCTGAACAGCCGCTCATCGCCAGCAAAGTCCTGCAACGACGACCTCGCCCTGAGATGGTGCATACGCCTGTCGAAGTGCTCGTCGAAGTCTACGGCCAACATCGTGCGGTTGAACAGGCCGTTCGGGCGGCGCGGGCGTGCTTTGATCTCGTCGCAGAGGTCTTGGATGTCTTGAGGAATCGCAGGGGCTGCGCTTTTGGCGGCAGAGGTAGAGTTGGTTTGATTCGGTCGGGTTTGGTTGGTCTCGGAGGTGGCCACGGTGGCTGCGGTGTTGTTGCCGTTCTGCGGGATGGAAGAGGTGGTGTAGTCGTCCCCTGTGGTGAACATAGAGGCGGCGTCTGCTCTCACCTCCTCCCTGAACAGGTAGTCGTCGTAGTTGATTTGGTCTTCCGCATCTACCATCTCGCTGTCGCCTTGCGCTGGTGGTGCTGCCTACATTGCTTTTAGCGCCGGTCTCGCCCAAAATCTCAAGAATGGCAGCACTTACTTCAGGCTGAGCCTGCGGCGGGCCTTGCGCGACGTCTTGAGGCTGTGGAACAGGAGGCTGCTCTCTCAGACTTCCGTAGAGCAGGGTGGTGTCGAAGCCTTCGATTTCTTGCAAGTTGACGAACTGGAAGGGCGGAGTCTTGCGGCCTTTCCCAGCAAAGGGAGTGAGTGTGAGACGCGACGCCATGGTGGTGGTGTGATCAGGATGTGGTTGTGACGTTTTGTGCAGTCCGGTAGGTGAATTTATGGTGGTAGAATCCTGATAAAGGACGGCTGCGAAAGCACGTGCGTGTCGTACATGGAAATTTCACCTGGTAGTATAAGGGAGAGGAAGCAAACCCAATGACGTCGCGGAACCTCGTGGAAGGTCGACCGATAGCATGTGAAGGTGAATATTGAGACCGCGGAGAGCTGGGAAGGCCAGTGGAGCGGAGTAGTTTGAAAAAGACCACACTTACTTCATCACATCAACCGCGAAGCATAGCGCTTATCGCCAAACGTCCCAGTCGACAAGATAGCTGCGACACCATTACTCACTCTCTTCCTGCTTCTTCTCTGGGCTCTTTGCGACATTCGCGCCAGCACCCACCTGACGACCGACCAAATACTCCCACAGTGCGGTCGGACACAGAGCCTGGTTGCCATAGTGCCCATAAAGAGGGGACGAAGTCAACAGATACCCAGTCCCAGCATCGAAGTGGTCTGAGAACTTCTCCGCTTGAAGCGCAGCGCGCTTAGGCAGGTCGGCGGAGTTGCGTGGAGTCGTGGCAATATCGTGCACCAGTTGTTTGATGTCGTCAGGGAAGACCGTGAAGGTCTCGTTGGGCTTGGTGGTGGGTCTCTGTTGAGGACGATAGGCCTTGCGGTAGAATCGAGGCGCGCTGATGTTGGCCTGCTCGGAGCCTATTCGGAATGCTTTGCGGTCTTGTTCTGCGGCAAGTGGATTAGCATCGCAGTACTCAGGATGCGGAATAGATGGCATACCGAATGTGTGAACATGAGGGCGAGCGGAGGGCAGGACCAAGTCGCGAGCAAGCTGTACTGCAGTCCATATTAGCTCCGTTCCATTGATCACACTCTAAGAGTTGTGCACTTACTTAGAGCCGCCTCAAGCCTAGCGTCGTTCTTCTGTTCTTCCTGTGCCACAAAACGAGGGTTGAGGACAGGACGTGCGATGATGCGGTGGTTTGGCTTTGCTCTCAGCTTATCCCACTCGCTGTCTCGGATCGCGGAGAGATCTCGTGGGATCTCTCCATCGGGGACGACTGGTGCGTACAAGGCCTCGGGGTCATTCACGGTCTCTGCGTTCCATCCGCCCATGGCCGTTGTTGGACACTGCCGGCGATCGGACGAAGTGTAGGAAGGCTTCCAGACTTGTTCAAGCCCCGCTGGCGTGCCGTTCTGAGGCATCCTGGTAGATCGTGGTATTGCTGGCGGTGATGGCGCACATTGATACAGAACAGGCCAGAATGCGACTTTGTGTAGCTGGATGTGATGATGAGTTGGTGAATTGCTGGGGTGGTTTCGTAAACAGTACATGTGACAATGATGTAACACGCGAAAGTTTCGTGATGTGAACGTGAGATTCACCCGAGGATAGAAGTGACTTGACGATCAGAGGCAAAGGAAGTGCGACGAGCGTGACGATTGTGGCAACTTACGTAGCACTACCGTTTGGTGTATACCATCCTCAACGCAAAATCATCGGTGAGCGTCCAACGCAGACATATCTGACTGAACAGTAGCCTTGAGGCCAAAGCCAGTCGCACAATGTTACGCAGCGGCAGAACCCCCTTTGACACGCTCCGCTACCAGGGTAACTGAAGAGGTGTGGGCAGCTTATCCTTGGGCCCAAGCATCTGCTCAGCGGTACCGATGTCACTGCAACTAGTCAGTAAAGGAATCCATCCAGGAACATGGAACTTCTCACCCCGGACCCCTCGGAGCCCAGTACTCGCCGGTATGGCTAATGTCGAAAGTGTCCGCCCACTCAACCATCGACTTTGCAGCAACGTCCGGTGTCACCGCACCACCAGCATCCCAGAACTTGTCAAAGCCCACGTTCTTCGTCATGTCAGTGCGCATGAAGCCGGGATGGACCATCGCGACAGCAACACCCGCCTCTTTCAGGTCAAGGCTGAGCAGCTTTCCGGCCATGTTCAAGGCTGCCTTGGATCCGTGGTGGGCGTACAATCCACCCCCTTCGCTCTCGTGCCGAAGCCCGATGGAGCCCGCCTCGGAAGACACCAGGATGACCTTGGTACCTGACTGCAGCAGTTTTGCCTTGTAGAGGGCGTGAACGACGAACACTGGTCCTATCGCACAGGTCTTGTAAGTTTGGAGCTCCTGGTCGAAGTCCGGCTCGTCAAGCGATTCTTTTGGGAAGTAGCCGGCCGTGACGACGACAATGTCTAGCTGTTGGCCCTTTAGACCTGCCACAATGGTCTCGCCACCCTCCTTGGTGCCAATGTCCACGCCTTGAACCCAGTTGATGTTCTTGTCGTCGACGGATGGCGGCGGGGAGCGGGTGGTGGCGAAGACCTGGTAGTCCTTCTGAGAGTACGTCTTCGCGACCTCAAATCCCAGACCACGCGATGCGCCGACTACCAGTACGTTCGGCATGGCGGGCGGCGTATATCACCAGAAGAGATGAGCGTGTTGAGCAGAGCGAGAGTGACGCGTGAGGTGAAGTGAAGTGAAGTTGGGGTTTCTTCGGCAAAAGGTTTGTCCGGTCCGCCCTTTTCTTCTGGGTCATCGAGATAGGAACGAACGCTCTGTCGCGCGATAGGTGGATGTGGTTTGCGCCTGTTTGTAGACAAATTTTTCTCCTCTTCTTCGAAACCAAAATCGACACAGCGCTAGAAATGTGGGTGCGCGTTAGGCTGCAGTGGTGAAGGGACTCTTCATGTATCTACAATGTACGGACACTTAGTAACTTCGTGCCGTAGCACTGGACACCGTGGCATCATCCTCGCCTTCATGATCGCCAGAAGCGAACTGACGATTGTCCCGCCTCGGCGTTCTTCCCCCATCACCATCAACACTTAAATCATCCAACTTGCATTCATCAAACCCTGCGTCTTCCACCTCGCCGTTCCCACCGTCCACACGCGCGTACCGCACGCCTCTCGATGTCCCCAACCATCGTTCTCCCGACGATCGCCGCCCTCGCCAAAGCACAACAACCCACACCCCTACGACGCTCGCAATCGCGCCAGCGAGGAACGCTGCAATGGATGTCGCATTAACATGCTGGGAAAAACCCCGCGCGTTCTCCCCCTGCTTCTCTGACTTCGCAGCGGCCGCGGATATATTTCTCGCACCAATCGTGGATATCACAGCGCTTTCCCCGAGCATTACGCCATCGCTGTCTACAGCCTCGGCGATGATGAAAGCCGAGTAGCCCTCCGTCACGACCCGCGTCTCGAACCCGCTTCGCGGCGCAGAAGCGATACGCATCTTTACTCCGCCTGCCTCGTCCGTCCTATAAAGCGCCCAAGTCGCGACTTGCGTCGCGCCATTCCAGCTCACGTGCACGATAGTATGGGTAGAATTACCCGGCTCGTCGTCGTGCGAGAGGACCTGCGAGTGCACGGCAGGCGGTTCGAACGGAAGCCCGATGAATTCGTGCTTCGTTGCGCGATAGGTGCCGAGCCAGTCGACCTGTAACCGTGCTTCCCACAGGATCTTCCCGTCTGGGCTATGCTCGCTTTGGAGCGCCTGTTCAGACCAGCAGACGAAGGAATTGCCATTGTCCAGGATTTGGTGGGCTCCGCGCCGCCAGGAGTACTCTTTGTGTGGATGGTCGATAGCACGGATGAGCTCGGCTGTCATTGGCGTTACGTCGGTGCGGAGGGCGATCATTAGTGCTCTCGACCACTTGCTTGAGGGTTCCTGCGCGTCCTCGCCTTTGGCATTGTCCATGATTGTGACAATGGTGTGCGTCTTATTCTGGCTGTGTAGCCGTGCGTGGTGCTGTCTTGTGAAATTGACGTCGCCCATGCTGAAATCGCTTTTGCGTCCGCCGAGCCGCCATATGACATGTCCGTCGTCTTTGTCGAGCTTGTAGAGAGTGTCTGCGTGCCGCGCGGAGAGGAGGTAATGGCCGTCGTCGAACTTGTCTACGGCGTTTGCGTGCCTACAAGCTTTATCAGCACGTGATTGCATGTTGACGGAACCAGGCAAGCTTACATGTAGTCCCATGCATCTCCAGCACATCGGTCCTCGAGCGGCGAATGGTCCTGGGTACTGTCGTCCAGCGGTATTATGTCACGAGAGTTCCATTCGAACCTTGTGCTCCAAGTGGTGGTATCGATGTCTTTGAAGCCCGGGGAGCCGATGTGGCAGGGAGCATCGTACCCGATGACCTTAGCCTGTTCCGCTGTAGAAAAATCGCTCGTGTTCCTGGTAAGAAGCATGAGAGTGTTGCCCCCTTCGACGAAGTGGAAATCGTGCATGTTGAGCGTCTTGTGCTGTTTGCCAACTGCAACCTTGTCCAACACCTGGTAGTGGCGATCGATGACCGGGCCATATTCTCCAGGGGGCTGCCCAAACAAAACGGGTATGAGGGTTAGCAAGTCTCAAGACACTCGTGAACGCCGGGCAGGTAACACCTACGAAGATGGCTGTGAGACGACGTTGCCCTCTCACCTCCGACAGCGTGAAGTCCATGACATTGCGGTTGTTGAAGATGTAGGAGCCGCTCCTGCAAAGCCAAGGGCCAGAAGGTTAGCACAAGTCCCAGACATGGTCGGGTGTTGGTTGTGAATGTTTACCAGATGAGACTGCCATTGCCATCGTAGATATGGGGCCCGATCCATGCTCCGCCAGGCGACTTCTCCCCAACCCGTGCGTAGGGCGAGAGGAACCAATACCCGGGAGCGATGTTCTCAGTGTCGTGGATCTGGACCTGCCATTTGGGTGAGATGATGTCGGGTCTGCTCACGTACTTGTCGAGTCCCTCATCGTCTGCACGGTCCCGCTTCGCTTGCGTGACACAGCCGATGACCTGCGCCAGCAAGAGCCATACGAGGAGCAATAAGCATGCGCCCCGCGACATGGCATGCGGTATCGTGAGGTGGATCTCTAGGTTTCAGATGGTTTAAGACTTAGTCAGGTACCTGAGATATATCCATACCATACCATTTGTTAGGGTATCGAAGCGGCGCGCGACTACAAACTGTAGACTAGGCAACAGAATTCGAAGGAAGCTATCTAGTTCTATTAGCCGCCATTTCATCCGAGCCGTTCGCACCGCCACCAAGCACTCCTCCACCTCCACCACCGCCTCCTCCTCCTACATGATGTGCGCACATTCCCAAGAGCGGCGGTTACCTGTCATCAACGGTCAGGACTCCAGCCAAGACGGTGGTTGATGAGTACGCACCAGGTCGCGCGCCGAACGACACCAACCCGGGTATACCAGCCGCAGTTGAACCTCGAAAAGCTCCAACAGCGACAAAAATCCAGCCGTAACGCTCCCTCCGGATCCGCCGAACGACACAGATGCCTATTGGATGTGGTGTACTTACCTAAGGATGTAGGACACTGGCACCGAGCCGCCATCATGCTCACCACATGTCAGGCCGCCCACGATCGGCATGCCGACAGCCAAGTAATGCTCTCGCCATCCATTATTACAGTTCGGTCCTACGCACGTGAGCACCCTCACCGAAGCTCGAGATAGGCTCTGGAAGGGACGCCCGCCTTTGTAAGTACGCCAGCAGCGGTGAAGGCGCCCTGACTAAGTCGAGCTCCCGACGCAAGGTAAGCAGCCAAGCACCGCTTACTTCGCAAACACCAGGACCATGGCAACCTTTCATGTGGGGCAAGAGACGCAGTTGCATGAGTCGAGACCAAAGCCAATGGGATGCCTGAACTTGGTATTCCTGTCTTGTGGTTTTTGCTATGCTTGGCTGGGTTGATTACAGGCTGGTAGTAGCAAGTGCGCCGGGGAGTGGTGGTCCCTTAACTTCCTGTTTCGGCCATGGCTCCGTTTCATGGCTGAATTGATGGGGAGGAGTTGCACATGCTGTTCGAACGGCGGCGCTCGAATGCACCATCCCTCTCCATTCGGGCCCGACATTCTGAACGAAGCTGTCACTAGGTCTGGTCCAAGTATTTGCCAAGCTCAACAGAGGCGACCGTGGGCCTGATTTTGCTCAGATGTACAGAGTTATATGCCCCCTTGTTCTCGCCGTTCGTCGGAGGTAGGCTTCACCTTCTTCTTCATCTAAACAACTTAAACCTTCCATTGGTGACAAGCCGGCCCCGAACGCTTGAATAGGCAAGTGTAGGCTGCCCGTCAACACCATCTCGATTCCAAACGCCAATCTGCATCTATATACAAGCCGATCTTCGCCGCTTTCGCCGCTCTCGCCGCTTTCGCCGTTTTCGCCGTTTTCGTCGATAATCGGCCGAGCAATGGAGTTCCTCAACGCCGCCGCGATGGTCGGTTCCTTCGGCAGATTCAGTCCTCACGATGAGGTACAGTCCAGATCGACCCTATAGACCGTTCGAGTCCGTCGCTGATGAGAAACGTAGCTGAGTGACCTCTTCGGTCCGTCGAGTGGAGAGTTCCAGGCGATGTCTGCTAGTCCGAATAGCATGTTTGATGACGAGAGGGCGCCGGACAGGAGGGACTCCGGATATACTCCGCCTACCTCGGGTCAGGACAGCAAGGAGTTGGCGAGGCAGCATAAAAGGAAGGAGCAGAACCGGACGGCGTAAGTACCTTAGCTTCGCAGCTTCGTCCGAGCGGAGTGCTAACATGTCTTGCAGCCAACGCTTGTACCGGGAACGCAAAGTCCAACGCATCACCGACCTGGAAGAGGACATAAAGCGGCTTCAAGGGAAGCTTTCGGTGCTGCAGGAGGATAACCGTAAACTCAAGCTTGAGGTGTGTCGGATCAGGACAGAGAACGACGTCTTCCGGAACAAAATGTCGTCTGGCCAGCAGATCGACGGCCTTTCGGGGAAGCCTGACAGTGCCGCAAAGCAGGGACAACCTCGGAAGGGTATCATGTTGAAAGATGTCTTGACTGTGTATGGCGGCTTGTACCAAGAAGGGTTGCGCTGATCTAGCGTCTGGTCGGGGGGACGTCTGGACAAAGCCGGAGATACGGACAGACTAGGTTGGTGTACCGTCACGCTGCACTCATCAGGCTTAGACATTCGATAAGCCTCCCTGTCTGACAACGTCACCGACTGGTCCGGCCGTTATCAATACTGCTCATGGCGCACGAATGAGCGACTCGTGGAGCGCCTTGTCGAAGAGCGCAAACACATGGCCATGGCAGTGACATCGACGCTCAAGCGGTAGCACACAACGCAGCCAGGTAGCAACTCAAGCCGTCCTCACCCATGATCGACGGCCCCGCCCGGCAGATGCTACACTCGCAGCAGTGCTGGACGTCCGAAAATGCAAGAGAGGGCCTGCAGCATCTCACCACGCTCGACAGGGATACTCCAGCGCTGCGATGTTTGTGAATGAAGAGTTGCTTTGTCGGCTAGAGCGATGAAGTTGCTGGTACTGCGAATCGTGTGTCGGGAAGCTGAGCTGCCTGGAAGGGCACACAATACGGATGTCGAGCAGGAGAGGAGATTAGACCATCAAATGGCGCATATTTGTTCACGGCGATCGTTCGTGGTAGTAATGCGAGGTGCACGGTCGGGAGTTGCATCGTCCATCGCTACAAACTATATTAGCTGGAGCAACAACCCTTGATACGAGGTATTCTCACCTCGAAAGTGCTTCTCCGCAATACCGACAGTACACGATCTCGTTGGGCCAGGTCGCCGCTCGTGGCATTAGAGCGGGCGGAGGGCTGTAGCCCTGTCCGTAGCCTGGAGGCTGGTTCTGATAGCCTTGGTAGCCCTGCTGCTGCTGTTGCTCGTAACCTGAGCTATATCCGCCCTGATCTGGCTGAGGCTGTGGTTGCTGATACGGTGACTGCCCGTAGTACAGCAGCTGAGGTGGTGGATATGTCAACGAGGAGGCTGTACGCGACCTTGGGTCGTATCCATCTGCTCCATAGGATGATTGACCATACTGAGCGGGTGGCGGTGATGGCGGCTGCTGAGGGTAGTGGTGTTGATGTGGTGGCGAGTATTGCAGGTTCGGGTTGTATGTGCCTTGCGAATATGGGCTTTGAGGCTGGACTATAGAGCTATTTTGAATTGCAACGCCTTCCGAGCAGTGGTGACCATTGATACCGTACTGGGTACGTCGCATCACGCCATCTTCATGAATGTGGCACACACGCTGCCCTGATGCATCACCTTGTCTGCTGTCGCAGAACTCACAGTAGACGCATCCGCAAATGCGTCTGGGCCTGCCCTCAGATCCAGGGTCTGGAGAGGAAGACGGGTTCGTGCGCCAGAACCTTGGAGGATTTGCGTTCGTTGTTCCACCAGTTCGACTAACGCCTTCGTCTCTGCCTCCTCGGAATGCGTTCATAGCCTGGGTAGCTAGGTTGGCCTTGCGCATACGCTTTGACGGCCCGCTGTCGTCCATTCCATCAGAGTCCATCCGATTGGTACTTTGGGGTACCGTGGTTGCTGGATCGTGGCTGTGCTGGTGTCAAGTGGAACGGAATCAACCTTGTCCAGCTGAGATCTTGACGCAGGCTTGAAAGTACGTGAGCTAAGGCGGTAGCCACAGTGTTGCGCAGCAGTGTAGTTGGCGGAAAGGACAAAGAGGACTGAAGGACGTTTCGTTGCCTCATATTGTAGTTGGAGGGAGGCCGCCCTGCTCGAGCATCAGAACTCGGGCAGTAACGATGATTTGTTCCGCTGCAGCAACAAGGGTGCAAGCGCTCGAGAGCGATTTCACTCTAATCCTTGGCTCTCATTGGGTGCCTTGCGCACGAGGCTGCAGATGTACCAGTTGTACCATCCATCTAGACGACGACCGGTGAGCTGGCTGGTGCGGGGCGGGTCACTCGACACCATCCACATTCTTGAGGCCGTGAAAGGCACTGGGGGCACTAAACGTGCGCAGCTTTCTCTGCGGCAGTGTTATCGGGATGTCTGATATCTGGCAATATAATGTGACCTACACACATCAATTGATGGCGATAAGTCGACATCAGATTGCTTCGACTAACCATGACGGGATCGATGTCTTCGATGCTCTATACGCCGCAGAGTGCCCGTGCACGCGCGCCCCAGCCCAGCGCGCCGACTGAAGACGAGATCAAAGCTGGTGACTCCTGGCACCATCTGGGATACCCTGCGTTCGTACGGTGGATGGCCTCCTCCAACGACTTCTTCGTCTTAAGAAGATTCTCAAGACTGAGTGCTCGATGCTTGTTGTACCAGCAAAATGAAATTGCGAGACTCGAGAAAGATTTGGACGATTGGGATGATCTTGCACGGAAAACAGACCCAGACGACCAAGTTGGAAGACTCTCTTCCGATAGGATCGAGCAAGATCCGCTGCAAGAACGCGCTGAGATCCTCCGACAGCTGATACCTTTGCTCAAAGCATACTGTAGGAATCTCGAGATGCATGAGATAGAAGATGACTGACCGTCAATGCAGACGACTCTGTCAACAGTTTCGCTGAAGTCAAAGCGAGGCCGACCGCTCGAAGACACCACATACGCAACCTGGAAAATTGGTTCAAAACTTACCCCAATGCCATCGATCCGGAAGAACAGCATTTCAGGCGAGGAGACCAGTTCCTAGAAGGAGACCTTTTTCCCATCATATCCAAGCAGCAGCCCCCGCTGCGGCTGGCCCTGGGTCAATGGCGATGGCTTCGGTTCCAATTCCAGCTCAGGCCGAGGGATGATCGCATAGGTTCAGACCAGATCATATACACCAGCGAGAAGGGGCTTGACCTTTTTACTAACATGTTGGTCTTGGTCCTTGGCCTGCTTCTTCTCTTCGCTCCGATGTGGTGGCTCAACTTCGTGGTTAACGACGTGCATAGGTTGGCCGTTATCACCAGCTTCGTTGCGGCCTTCACCGGCGTGGTCTGGGCTGCAGCCGGGCAAAGGCCGTTCGAGATACTGGCCGCTACGGCAGCATACGCGGCTGTACTTATGGTGTTTCTTCAGAGCAACAACAGCCAGAGCAGGTTGGGTGGGAGCAGTGCCGTCAAAGCAATGGGTATGTGACGAAGCGCACGCGCTAATGAAACGTCCATATGGGCCGCGCTCGGTGGCGGACGAGGCAGAACTGGTGACCGTGGGAGGGTCGCCAGCAGAAGGGTGACCAGGAAAGCACTCGGGGCCATGGGTCCAGTCACCGCAGTAGCATGGCAGGACTGAACCCATGCTCTAACCTGGTTGTACCACGCTGAAAGGGGCCTGCGCAGTGCTGAATGCTTCCACCGGTCTGACACCCACGGCATGGTGGCACTGTTACAGACTTGTGTAAGGGAGAATTTGCATGATGCGGTCGGAGAGGAGAGATTAGCTATGATATACATGACGCTGTTGGAAAGAGGTGGTCAAGTCAGGGTTGGAGGTGTGGTCAGATACACATCTTTAGCAGATTCAAAGTTCAGCCGCTAGCGTCAAAAAAGTCCAAATAGATCTTGACATCACCTCTTCTCTCTCTACACAAACACATGCTTCGAGCATGCTCAATACTCCAACAAGCCCACACTGGATGCGCCGTGACCGGTGAACACAATGGAGAACGAATTCTCATCACTCCAGTCCTCCGTCTCGGCTGCCCTCGTAGCGACAACGAGAAGCGCTTCATCTCTCGCGAACGAGGACCTACCATTCCACCGCTCTCTGGACTCTTCACTAGCCACGGAACTGGACCGGCAGAATGCGCGTCTTCTGGGCCTTGCGACGGGTCTTCTGGGCGCTGCGACTGCGACTTCGGACACAGTACGTCCACCACCTTCGCTGAAAGACGTCGAGGGCATCGAGAACAACTGGCGAGCGGTGGTTGATGTGGTCGACAGTCTGCTCGAGAGAGCTGACACCGCTCTGGACGAGTTCACGGGCGCGGTGAAGAGGTTGAGCCCGGCGAGAGATGCGAAGGTAGGTTCATGAGATTTCTCATGTTGCGGCGGGTAAAACTGACCTGTGCAAGGCCAACGGGACGAGAACACCAAAGCTCTCCAAAATTGCCGCGCAACTACAGGCACAGGATATCGAGAAACCGCAATTGCTATTCGACAATAAGACGACCAACCATGAGGAGCGGCCGTTCAAGCCTTTGCTTTTGTCCAAACCACATGCGTCGGTTCCACTCGCGACTGAGCCTGTCGCACTGAACGAGGATTCTCAGTCACAGTATGCCGCTTACCTTTCCATATTTTCTTGCCTTGGCTTTGACCACGAACACCTTTCGCTACGTATCAAGCGCAGACGTTTGCTGGGTTCTAACTGTAAAAGCAGATATCCGCACCCCTACCAGCTCGAAATCGAACAGTACCGATACCCGCCGTCGGTTTACACCACCGCCGACCCCGTACCGTACCATCCATTCGATGCAACCACTGCAACTTTCGTCGACTCGGAGGAGCTTCTGGAAGACATGATCGAAGAGCTGAAGCAGGCAAACGAAATCGCCATTGACCTGGAACATCATGATCAGAGATCATACATCGGCTTGGTCAGCCTGATGCAGATCAGCACGCGGGACAAGGACTGGATAGTGGACACACTCAAGCCATGGCGCCGGAAGCTGCAAGCACTGAATGAGGTGTTTGCCGATCCCAGCATTGTCAAGGTTCTGCACGGAGCGTACATGGACATCGTATGGCTGCAGCGAGATCTCGGCTTGTACATTGTTGGGCTCTTCGATACTCACTTCGCATCCCGCGCGCTCGGGTACGCCGGCGGAAGTCTTGCCTTCTTGCTCAAGAAGTTCGCCAACGTCGACGCTCAGAAACAGTACCAGATGGCAGACTGGCGTGTGCGGCCTTTGCCTCAAGAACTCTTCGACTATGCTCGCAGCGACACCCACTACCTGCTCTACATCTACGACTGTATGCGGAACGAACTCATTCAGCGTTCAGACTTTTCAACACCCAACCATGAGGGCGACAAGCTGTGGGATGTTCTTCAGAAGAGTTCCGAGACAGCGCTTCAGCGGTATGAACATCCTGAATACGACCAAGAACTCGGCCAGGGACCGGCAGGCTGGTACAAGATGCTTTCGCGGACACCTGCACTTTTCACCAAGGAACAGTTCTCCATCTTTCGCGCCGTGCACAAATGGCGTGACGACATCGCGCGGGAGCAGGATGATTCCGTGCATTATATCATGCCGAACCACCAGGTCTTCAGCATTGCTAGAGAAATGCCGACCAACAGAGCTGCCCTACTTGGCATCGCGCAGCCGACTACTCAAACAGTGAGGTTCAGAGCAGACGACCTGGTGGCAGTTGTTTCGAAGGCGAAAGAAGCTGGGAAGATCGGGCCGGAGATGCTGAAAGTGATGAACAAGGTGGAGCCTCGCAATGGTCCAATTTTGGCGGCCAAGCAGAACGCATCCGGTGACTCTGTTGCGCCTTATATTTCAAAGGCTTCGTCCAGCCTACCGACCAATGGGGCCGAAACAGCCTCGACGTTGCCGTTACGCACTCAGACATCAGCTTTCTGGGGTGGCGCATTTGAGAGCAGCGCACACGATCTCAACCAAAAGCGAGGCATGAGCAGCACTGCACGACCGCTTGAGCTGAGCATCCCTCTTCCAGCTCTGACTGCTGAGGTGTTCGCAGAGGGTCCGAACACAGCTGAGTTCATGCCAGTGCGATCGAAACCTGCCACACCGCGAGCCGAGCCTACACCCACCCAAACCACGGATGATGACGACGTCTTCGTGCTCAAGAATCTGGGCAAGAAGCGGAAGCGACCAGCCGGTGACTCCGCGCCACCACAGCACGACGGTATGGCAGCACAGACCGACGAAATCGCGATCGACGACGCAACAGAGCAAGCACGAGAGAAAACCGAGTGCAAGAAGGCGAAGAAGGAAGCCAAGAGAGCGGAGAAGAAAGCCAGGAAGGCGGCTGAGAGCAGCGATGCAGCCGGCAATGAGCTCGCTAACGGCGATGATGAGGCGCCATTCGATTATGCCGCCGCGCCGAGTATCTTGAACCCGCCGCGCGAGAGCAAGACGCAGATGCGGGAGCGGAAGAAGAAGGAGGTGAATCCTTATGCGAAAGCACTTGATACGCCGAAGGGTTTGCCAAGGGCGCAAAGGGAGAGGGCAGGAAGGAGTATGACCTACAAGTGAGTTTGCTGTGAGGAGATATGGAATGAGGCATGCTGGTATTGCTTATTGCAAGCTTGGACGCCAGAACGATATTCACGCTGGGGATGATGCGGAGCAGCAAACAAGGGGCTCGAGGCTATATATTGGGCGAGAACCCGCTGTCAATCCTCGAACCGCAATCCATTGACCTTCATCTGCCTCATCACACATCCCATTTTAGCACCAAAGATCCTCCTACGACCACACCAGACTTTTGATCTTCTGTGAGCGCTTCGTCCTCCCACGGACTCTTCGAACCACTGGCGAGCGGCAGGAACTCTTCGAATTCTCTCCGTACCGCCAGAACAAGCTCAAAATGTGCAGATACATTGGTATCGAGTGGAAGTGCGGCGACAAATGGCGTGGGTGGCAGCAGTGTTCCGAAGATACCGGAACAAGCAAATTGGTAATCAGTGCTCTAAAACCGACCGAACGAGACTTCAAAGTCCTCGCGGATTGAGCGACGAGAAGCGGGAACGTTTGGACTACACTTCGACCCACATCAAGTTCAACTGGTGTTGCTGCCCCTCCTGCTGTCGGCTTACTCTCTCACACTGTCAAGACAAGGTCATCGGCCACCAGAACACTTTGAACTACCGCATCTACAAGGATGCTGCCGAACGGCAACGCATCGTCCAAGCCATGGAGACAGCAAAGACAGCTTACTACCAGGCGTGCGACTTTCACATCAACACCAACTGTCTCCCCCGGCTTTTCCAAGGACTGGAGAGGTCAGATGTGATGGTCAGCGGAATGCGCAAGTTCCGGTGGAAATTCGACCGCGTCCCGGTATCCGACAAGAACCTCTTTCCGCCTGGGCTGGCCGACCAAATCGATTTGCCCAACAACAATGCCGTCCGGACTGTGGGGTTGCTGAACGAGAATGGAGGGCGGCTCAGCCGTGATCCTTCCACCCTGACATCGATTCATCAGTATATGACGGTTCTCCAACATTGCCAGAACCACCCAGAGGACCAGCTGAGTTAGCCACCTCACCGAGCTAAAGCGGAGAGTTTGCGTATTGGTACTGAACCCAGCGAAGGATGATCAAAGTTGGTCGCAGGCCCATGGTAATGCAATAGCCAGCGCACGAGGCTGCGTCCAACCCTGCCACATTCTATCTGTGAGCCCGACATGGAAACTGGCGTTGAACTTCTGTTTTGTTGCTGCTTTCTCGAGTCCGGCTGTGGCTCTGGCGATCCCGTAGGTACGGTTGCAGATACCAACCAGCCCGAGCGATCTTACCACGCATCAGCGAAAGAAGTATGATATGTATGACAGGTTCATCAATGCAAACTGGTGCTGTTGTTCGGCTTGTAAGAAGGAGCTATCGAGCTACTACCAGACGATTTCTACCCGTAGGGCCAGACTTGAACGAGCAAAAGCCGAACGACAGAGCGCTCCCGCGAGCGAGCATACGCTGCGAGCCAACGAGGTTCAGAATGCTCACGACGCGTTCTGGAACGCTATAAGGTCCTATCGCTATAACAGGCAGAAGCACTTCGACAATGGGTGTCTCGCACGCTTCGTCGGTGGACTTGGAAGATCGCCTGCCATGTGCCACGATGCGGGCGAGACAAGCGCTGCAGATTGCGTCCCGGCCTTCCTTCCTCCTCAGAACTCTGAGGAGAATGAGCCAGACAAAATCAATGCCACTCAGTATTTCGAGGTGCTGAACACGAATGGAGGTACGTTCAACCGCAGCGTGCTCTCACGCTCGTCATACCTGCAGTACCTTGAGATTCACGATTTCTGTCGTGTCCCCGAGTAGCTGTCATCTAGCTGATGAGGACCTGCGAAGAGACTCAGCGCGACGTTACCCTAGGAGCTCGTCGCGTGGGTCTCCAGAGCTTCTCGTGCCACCGCAGCTGGGGTTGCAAGTGATGACTAGGTGACACAACCTTGCGATTGATTTTCTTCTCGGAGCGGATCCACTAAGGGCATGAGCGGTCATTCGTAGTGTAACAATAATGCGAACTAAGTCTGTGCATCCTCCCTTTCTCACGCTGAGCATTGACTGGTTGATCTCTTTGATGTTGAAGCACAAGTTTGGAGACAACGCCTCGATGCGAGGAAGCGAGCCTCGCACAACGTAGGACAATGCCGGCCACGCTGTCCGCATACGCCACTCACCATCTCAAGTATACTTCGCTTGTCCCTGCCTGCGCAATTGTTCGTCCAGTCCCCTCAATGCACGTTCCCGCCTAGTTCTGTTGCCACCAGCACCGACCGCCGCATTGACATGGGTCTACTCATGGCATCTACACCATCATCCAGCGTTACTCACACTTATACCAACGATGGACCTTTCGAGCTGCCAAACACCTCACAGGCGCCTGCTGGGGTAGAGGCATACCTCGTGATACTGCAAGCCTACGGATCCCACATTGCAGCAATCATGACTCTGCTCGAGAGCTGGCAGAGAGACTCCTTTCCCTACCAACGATGGGAGACACAGGTGTACTCATGGATGACACGGAGCGCTCGCATCACTGCTCTTAAGGACACGCTGACCGAACTTGGCACAGTCTTCATACGAGCAGATCCAAGACTCCCTCACGTCACCAGATTCCAGGTCGATATGTACTGGCTTGATGTAATAAACGCTGAGTACTTGCTCGGCAGGATAGAAGCCGACCTAAAGATATGGTTCGATGCGCAGTCTGAGTATGTTCAGGAGGTCTTTCTGATGGGCCAAGACCCAGCAGCGCTGCAAGATCACCTCCAGAAAAGAGAGAAGTACCAGCACCTAGACGATGGGGAAGAGGAAGCCATGGCTAGCCAATGTTTACCGAGAGATGCCCTTTGACGGTGACTGACTCTGCCAGGTCGATCATCGAAGCCCGCCGAGAGCGAATCTTGACGACCAGATGGACAACATGCAGCTCGGTTGATCTCATCGATGGTGACTATACCAAAGTGGCAGGTGGTCAATGGAGGCTGGTGCTCTGGCATGACGCAGCAGTATTGTTTGGGGCAAGGCAATACGTACGATGATCATGCGGTGAGCCGCAAACATGGTCGTGGATTCATGGAACCGATTCACCGTTGGCTCCGGCAAACAAGCACACCATGGTGATATATATGGTCGAGTCGTTCTCGAAGGCCGCTAGCATTTCTACTAACAAAAACACTTTCTCGAACCATTCTCTTTCGACCAAGTCTTCTGGAAGCAGTACAAGAACTTACTGATCAGTCACGGACTTACCTCATATCTTCTGAACCAATTTTCAACACCGATTCGACGTTCGAACACCCTCCCTGCCTCCACGCACACAACATGTGTAAGAGCTTAGCGATTCAATGGAGATGCGGCCACGAATAAAACGGCTGGCAGCTCTGCTCCCCGGCCGAGCGGACAGGACTTGCTGGCAGAAGATGCCCAGTCAGCAATAGTCGCAGACCTATCGGAATGGCGGGTTGACATAATCGGAAGTCGCACGACTACAAGTTAAAAGAGACGCACTTGAAACTCAAATTTTGCTGCTCTTCTGCTTGCTGTAATGCTAGCTTGGAGTGTCTGAAAGACAGAGTGCATCAGTTACTGAGAGAATCGGAAGGGCATTACACTCCATCACTGGCACTCGCTCGACAGCATTACCGAAGTGATTATGCCCCACACTTCCAGGCTGGATGCCTTGATCGATTTGCCGCAGGCTTGGGGATATCGGTTACCATGCAGAAGAACATGGGGTACGAATCGCTCAATGACATAGTACCGGCCATCAATCGTGACTGTTTCATTCCAACGCAAGCCAAGGCAGGCTACGACCAGTTGGCTGCCATCCGTCACCGATACGCGGAGATCTTGTTCAGAGGCGGACGGTCATTTCACTCAAGCAGTCACACTCCCGCAGAGCGGTACCGATTTATTGGGGATGTTGTCACTGCGCATCCGGAATTGATTGAACCGTGATGGGGTTCCCAATATGAAGCTCCCAGCACGAAAGCTTTACAATCTCAAAGGTCCGCCGAGGCTGATTCACGTGGTGCAGGAAGAAGCGAAGTCTTACAACATGTGAGTACGAATCCAGCGCTGTCTCACCGTGCCAGCGAAACAGCCAGCACGCTGCAAGTACAGGGGGTGCAGGGCGGTATCCACTCTCCGGATGCTGTTTACGGGCCTCAGAGTACAACCCCTTCAAATGTCGTCGCATCGCCCCAAGTCGTGAATCTCTTGCACCCGCAGTGGTTTCTGCAATCCGACCAAGACGAAGGTACCATGGGCTTCAGTATTCCCCCGGAGAGCGGTCCGTCAGCGACGCCAGGCGCAGCGTCGCATCCACCATTCCAAACGCCCACGGACAAAGAATGGGCGCTGGTGACCTTGCGAGGATGCGTGGCAAAGATTAAGAGGATTACCACTCAATTGACTTCGTGGACCGACCAGCATTTCGACCAGCAACCATGGACCACACAAGTACTGATGTTCATGGAACGCAAAGATATGCTTCCTGCGATGGAAACCAATCTGAACCGCTACGGAGCAGAGATGCTGGGTCGAGATCCTATACCACCGGAGTTCGAAAAGGGACTTCTTTTAGGTTATTGGCTCGACGTTTCCTCTGCCCTAGACGCCGTGAGGACAATGGATCAACAGCTGGAGCAATGGCGCTCGCAAATTCTCTTAGACTTACAAGATTACCTCTGGCCGATGCACGATCCAGAGATTCTATTGGAGCACCAGCAGAAAATGCAGGAAGAGGTTGATGCCGAGGAGGGGTCCGCGCAGCCGCCAGCCTGAGCGCCTTGGGATGCCTACGAATCTCATTTGGCTAGGACTAGGAGAAGCACCGGGAGAGCCATGCGATGGGAGTAATTTCGGATCGATGAGTCGAAGGGATGCCTTCGGTGATGGCCTGGGCAGTTTGGTTTCTAGGGAGTGTCTGCGAGATTCTTGCGGTGGTGCGAGTGCTGGCGATATACTTTTGATTCGTGCTTGCGTTGGCCTTTCTCTTGTTCCCGGATGGACGGGCAATGATTACCGTAGCTATTCCCAGGGCATGGCTAGGTAGCTGAATGTTCTGTCATAATACCTTCGTTCCCATGTTGCTTCCTTTGAGTCCGGCTATGGGCTTCCGGGAGCCGTGATGACGCAGTCCCAGCTGGCATCAATGGCGGCATCGTACAGTCTTTCCAATTTGTCTTGTCATGCCGGCCGTACTCTAGGTAGCTTCTTTCATCATCGGTATTGAGGCAACGCATAAGAAGAAGGGAAGTGAGGTCAAAGTCGATGCTTGAGCTGGTGTGGCACGAGTCATTCGTGGCGGAAGCGGTGGCGCTATAACTTCATCCCGACCTCGACCACCATTTCTGCCACTACCACATACCTACTTCTAACTATGTCCGCATCGCTGGCGCCCGAGTGCAATGAGGTGAAGGAGTATGATGCATTAAGGCATCCTCAAAGTTCGATACAGGCGCTGACATGTCACAGGCGCTACGACAGCTGCTTCCTCAAGTGGTACAGCGAAAGCAAGATTGCCCGTCGACCTTATCAGAGAAGCACATACTAACGACACCGGTTAGAGTACCTACGGAACACAGCAACAGGCGATGACTGCGAGCCTCTCTTCGCCCAGTATAAGAATTGCCTCAGCGTGAGCCCCGCCCCTTTCCCTCAACGCTGCACGTATATGCTAAAGTCAGGTCAGAAAGCGCTCAAAGAGCGAGGCATAGACAAGATGCTCGACGACGCTCGAGCGGACAACAAAGAGAACGATGCCGAGTTTATGAAGCCGAATTTGAGGCCGAGTAGTAAGGTTAACTTTCCGCTTTCGGAGGTTCTTTGTTAATGAATTGCAGGATGAGAGAAGATGGGTTCTGATCATTTGCATAGCGGTGGAGTCTATGTAGGATACTCCTCTTACTTATTGCATACCTGAAAAGCGTAGCCGACCGTGAATCCAGCGCATGGCACCAGAGTCAAGAGCAGGCCATGCTGTGGGGTCAACCACTCTGCACTCCTCCCGCAATCCAACATTCCAGACCATGCTGTCCCTCTAGCCAAACTGATGAGCCTTCGTTACGATCCCCCTCTTTGATGATATTGTGCCTTCCGTGCCGTTGCGGAACACCGTCCTTGTAAGTTGCCTCCTACTCCAGCACAACCCGCACACTCGCCCCACGCAGCGCAAACTCCGCCTCAAACCACTTCTTCAGCGCCACCAACGCACCATGCCCGTTCGTCCAGCCGGCTTCGACCATCCACCCATCCAGCTTCGCCGGTCCAACAAACACAATCCTTTTCAGATCACGCAAGTCGAGCATCCCTCGCAGACGATACTCATCCCTCAGCTCACTGACACTCTTGTCCACCCATGCTCCCGTCGTGGGGTCTATCTCCTGTAGCTCCTGCGACACCCATTGCATCTTGACGTACTGCAGCGCCGGGCTCCGCCGCATGAGTTCGACGTCGCTGTTGACTGTTCCTGGTGGCAGGCGTGCGTGCGGGAATCGTGAGAAGTACGGGAACGAGAGGCGATGGATGGCGTTGAAGCCGTTGCCGTTGCGGACCCGGTTGCTCTCGTCTTTGACCGCGTCAAAGCGGAGCGAGCGAAGCCAGTCCTGGAGCCTCTTGTTTCCTGGTCCGTTGTGGATCTCCAGGGTGGTGGTGCGGAGGACCGCGAGAAGGGTCTCCTGGCGGAACTGACGGCTGCCCGCTTGCACGGCACCGGTAGGAAGAGTGATGCAGCTAGGCAGATTGTAGGCGTTGCCGCGGGTGAAGGGGCGGATCACGCCGTGGTCGCCGGCCACGAAGTCGAATATGATGCTCCTTACGTCGTGATTCAACTGGAATATGTCGATTGGATCGTAGGGCAAGAGCGTCTGCGTGGCTTCCTCGAGAGCCTCCTCGGAGACTAAGTCGGTTTCGACGGGAAGAGCCATGCCTAGCTTCTTCCACTTCCATCTCTGGGCGTCCGCAGACGAGCGCAACATCCATACCCCGTCGAATTTCTCGACCTGGTTCTGCTGTCAGCGCTTCTAGCTAGGACAAATGAGGATGAGTAAAGTCTTACCTCCTTGCCCTGAGCCATCCAGCACCGCAAAGCAAGGCTCGGCTCCTTGCGGGATGATAGGTCGTGCCAGAAGGGGTTTGGGGTGGCTGTCCACTGCATCGACACCTGCTGAATCATGCTCATGTTGGGACTCGTCTTAGCCAACTCATCACGGATTGCCTGCTGCGCGGCGCTCTGCGCTTTGCTGAGCCCGGAGACGAGTGGTGCGGTTGGTTCGCTGATGGTGAAGTCGCTATTCATCGATTTGACGGTCGTCGCCGCGGCGTCCAGGGTCGCCCTGGCCGTAGCCATGTTGACGAGGCGCACCATGGTCTCGCCAGTGGGACGAGGTGTCAGTGCGATGTTGAAGCAGATAGTGCTATGGTTGTAGGCCAAGGTTGAAGATTTGTGTCTTGATCAAGATGTTGTACGAAAAGGTGATCGAGGTGAAGAACTTCGAAAGAGGTGGCTGGCATCTGTATCAATCCAAGCAGTGAATGTCAAAATACCGCGTGCCCGCAGCTCGTCAAACGTTTGACGGTCCAACCACAATTGCTTCGACGTGTGAATCGTAGGTGTGGTATGGCAACAAAGAAAAGCTTATTTTCCGTGTGAATGAGCGTTGCGGGTGGTCGATCGTTCGACAGCAGACGACGAGGCATAGCCTTGCGTCTTGCCAGCAGAGAGGCCACATGGCGACGTAGTCGAAGATCAAACAACGAATGTCGTAATGGATGGCGCCGAAGAGGTCGAGGGAATGATACTGGTGAGACTCCTCGGCTGGATCCTCGCCGGCCTCCGTTGGGCTTCTGGATTTGATGGGAAGGGCCTTGCCCATTTGCTTGTACTTGTGGGTCTGGATTTCCGCAGAGGACTCCAACATCCATGCCCCTTCGAAGCGAACGACCTGTTGCGAAGTCAGCAGGAAGTTACTATAATTCATGAATTGAGACATTTCACCTTCTTGCCCTCGGCTTCTCAGCACTGTAACGCACAGCCCGGCTTCGTGGAGGTGGAACAGTCGTACCAGAATGGGACTGGGGTCGCGGTCCAGTTGGGTTCGGCGATTGTGTGTGTTTGGCTTTGCCGACTTCACTTCTTGATGAATGGCCTGTTGCGCCTCCATGCAGGCATGACCTACGTACGCAGTCCTACCTAAGATGGAAGCGTCCGTCGAAGACATGTCGGCCGCAGAGTCAGCTACCACAGCGTCACGTACGTCGCATCCAGCTTCGACCCTGAGCTTCCAGTCGAGTTGCCACTCCGAATACGAATGCTCGGGTCGCGATGGAGTCGCACCGTCATCGCCGGAGCGCTGCTGCTGCAAAGTAGCAAAACTCGTAGCTGCAGGAGGAGAGGCAAGCGTTGTAGAAGTCGTAGCGTCGTCCTTGTCCGGGAAAGCGCCGGGTATGACCAGCTGTCCGCGCGAAGGCCAGTTGGGTGAGGGCTCGGGAAGCATGAGAACCATCCACTGTTCGAGAAGAGCCACCTTCGTTGTTGTTAGTGAAATGGCGACCTCTGACACATGCTCGCCAGACAATCGCACATGCACGGTCAAAGATCTGCTTGATGAACTCAAGGACCTCAGGTTGGTTGCGCTCCGTTTCGGAGCCGAATGTCTTTGTACGTCACGCCGCACGAGGCGCAGGAACCACTGAGGATGATGACTTCTGCTGGCTGAAGTACTCGTTGATGTCGATTGCAACTGCCGGGAGGATTTGAGGCCGGGGGTTTCGTCGAGATGTGCGACCGGCGAGGTGGATGGTATATACTGTATTGGGCCTGCTGGTATAAAAGGGAAGAGATAGAAAGACGTAGGGTGTGGCAAAGGCCGCGGATGTCGATACGTGCTGTTGAGCTGACGTCGAAAGGGAGAGAGGAGATCGCATCGTAAAAGTTGAACGTGAGATTGGGTGTGAAGAGCATGAGAAGAGATAATGCTGCTGCGAATGATGACGACCTTGGAAAGGATGAGATGGAAGTCGAGATATACCCACAGTCAGCTTGCCTCGAAACTACGAGCGTATCGTAGCAGATGTTTGCCAGAGGGTGAGCAAACGAGAGCTCGGGAGACCCGCAGATAAGTGTGAAGCGAAGATAAAGAGAAGTGAGACAATTTGATGTACGAGGACGTCGAGTGCGGGCGCCGGCATTCAACTATCTTTGGCGCTCGCAGGTTTGGTTAGGAGTAAGAGTGCTTCGGGCCACGGCGTAATGCTGGGCTTTTTGTGGGGCCGGAGGTTCCAAGGTGAGTGGCTGCAGCCAGGTGTTTGCCGATTTCGAATGCAGCTTCGGGTTGGTCCAATGCATTGCATCTGGGCTGGCAATCCGGATTCTGATCCTGCCTGGTCATGGAGCCGACATTGCTCCAGGCTAAGGCGTCTCAGAGGCCTCTGCGTATGCGTCGAACACTGCACGCGCCCAAGCATGCAGCATGTCCGGGAGACCTGCGGCAACGTGAGTCGCAGCTTTATGGTCGTCCTCTCGCGTTCCAGCTCACTTGGTGTGGAGGCGAGTATGTTGCATCGACTCCGCCCACGCTTCGACGTATCTTGATCTGCTCTGTCGCCCACTGCTTCCATCACTTCATCCTAACCATCCCGCCTAACCTCTTCATCATCCTCCCCCAGAATGTCCGATCGGGCACCTCATCAATCTCTCTCTCCAACGTCTCGTAGTGCTGCGGATCACTCCGTGGCTTCATGATCCGGTCTGAAAGCGGGAACTGTCTACTCGCGGCGTTGTCGAGGAGTAGGTACGCGGCATTAACTTCCTTGGCTTCAACCCCGGCGTGGGCAGGAGGATGTTGGATACGGTGTTCGAGGAGGCGCTGGAAGTGTCGTTCAGCTGGGCGGAGACGGTCGGTGGGCCAGAGGCGGAGGAGGCGGGTGTAGTGGTTGGAGATTTGCTGGATATGTTAGTATTGATCGTGAGGTTCGCGTGTGCAGTCTTCACGTACTTGGCGAGACATTCTGTACAGTTGCAATGGTTCCGATGTGTTGACGTTCCGTACAGTATAACAATAGTCGAGATAAAGTGTAGATGTCATTCAGGCCAGCGGGCGATTGGTCAATTACATAAGCATTGCGGCGAAACCTTGAAACCCCCGAGATCCTGAGTCCCAAAGGGAAGTTCTGGACTTCGACATTTGCGGTCGATACATCCAGGAGCAGGTATGAGAAGACAGAGGCTGTGGAAGGTAAGACGGAGAGGAACGGTGCGGCGATACAATTAAACTATGCTAATACATCGATCTAGGCGTCTTCAGCACAACGAACACTCTGCCTCATTTGCGGGACGACTCGACTACCCGTACGGCAACTTAATGTCATTCATAGACGATGTCTCAACACCACACGAAGCCCCTATCAATCCGCCGCCACAGCTGCGCAAGCTGAGCCGTCTAGTTCTGATGCGCCAGCACCACCACAGCCCAAGCAACAGTATTCTTGGTCTGCCGATTCCGGGTTGACTGCGGCGGAGCTCCGCGAGAAGGAGCATCGCCGTAAGCAACGTCTGGAAGCTGAAGCCGCCCGCGAGAAAGAGCGTATAGCGGAGTTGGAGCAGCGGCATGGCGAGGAACAGAAGCGGCGAGAGGCTGCGAGAGTGCGGGCAGCAGAGGACGCGAGGAAGCGGATTGCGGAGATGGAGGCTGCGCGCGTGGAAGAAAGGAAGAAAGGCCTGGAGAGGAAGGAGAAAGAGCGAACAATGAGAGCGGCAGAGTCAAGACAAAAAAGAGAGGAGGCGAGGCAGAAACGGGAGCAGGAGACTAGTAGGGGTTTGTTCTCTCAGCCGACGGCCGCGATGAAGCAGAGGCAGGAGAAGCCGGAGAAGCAGATGAAAAGTATGGCAATGCCGGCTTTTGGCGCTCCGAGTTCGACTGGTGGAGGTGGCATGGCGGACGGTTGGGGTGCAGCGGCGGACGACATTAAGCCGATAGAGTATGCGAAGGAGGTCCCTCAGGAGGCGAAACTGCAAGTCCAGCCAGAAGCGCCGAAAAGGGAAATCGGAGAGGATCCGTTCGCCGTCGACCAAGTACAGCATCAGCAGGACCAGAAGCGCATGCGGAGGCGCAGCCCTGGTGAGTACAATGCGTCATGTAACAGCCCTAAGCAGGACACGTTTTGGACAAGCCAGCAGTCAGACGGCTTCCAGCAGCAGGATCGTGATGTTGGACGGCAGCCTTCACGAGGCTCTTCTCCATTCTACAGGCCAAACAACAACGGCAGACCGGCGGCTGGCCCCTATCCTACAGAGTACCGTGTAACGCCATTTAACCCGTCCGAGCACTCTGAGACCTTCACACCAGGAATTGACGACTCACAAGCAGGATCATGGCAACACCTCTCTGGCCGGCGGTCAGCACCCGAAGAGTCCCACGAGCAACGGCAGCCACCACAACAGCAACAACCACGACGCCACTCGGACCCTTTTGCTAATTCCCACGAGATCGAACGATCTTTCCGGGAGTACCAGCAACAGAGACGACCCTCTCGAAATCAGCCACTTCGCCAAGGATACGACAGAGTCTTCCAAACCCCACCGCCTGACCAGGGGTTTTCAGCTCGTAGGGGACCAAGGAAGTGCGCCCGGTGTCTCGAGGTCGGACACATAGCCAAGGATTGCACTGGGCCTGTTCGCGCGACCTGCATCGTTTGTGGACAAGTCGGACATTTCAAAAGCAACTGCCCGAAAGTCCACCCCAGTCTTCGATCCAAGGAGCCTCAGGCTTGGGGAGGTGAAGGGGGTGGCTTTAAAGGTGTGAGGGCTGTTGGTAGTACTGCCGCTCAGTCGTTTGGTCAAGCGCCTGCGCGAGATGCGGAGGCAAGCTTGAGAGACGAAGCAAGGGCAAATCATGACCACCTGATGGCCTCGAACTCTGGGCGAAAGGAACCGCCTGTCAGAATGGAGTATCGGGACGCGCCTGCGGGCGAGAGGCCCACCCGCGGGGAGTTTGCTGATGAGCCTCCCAGCGAGAGACCCACTCGCAGGCAGTATGAGGAGCCAGACGAAGAGGAAGAAGCTACAATCGCTCGCCGGGCGAAGCGTAGCGCAAGAGGTTTCGAGGACGCTGCGGCGGAGTCTGCCGAGCAAGACCATCGCAAAGACCGTAAAGCCGGTCGGAAATCATTCGCGCGTCAAGACGAAGAAGAAGACGAGGAAGCAGCTCTGCGTCGTGAAGAGCGCGCCGCTATGCGTGCAGCACGAAAAGCCGAACGCAAAGCCAGGCAAGCGGAGCAGACTGCTCAAATCCAACTGCCCGAATTCATCTCGGTTCAGAATCTTGCTCAAACTCTCGGCGTGCGCTACGAGTCCTTCGTTGCACGCCTGGCGGATCTAGGCTACGAAGACCTCTTCCCAGGCAAAGTATTCAATTCGGAAATGAGCGGCATGGTAGCGATGGAGTACAACTACGACCCCATCTTCGAATCCTCCACCGAGGGCGAAGACCACTCCCGCGACCTCCACCCGCAACCCGTGCCCGAACCCGGCCGCGTCGAGCGCGAGTCCTGGCAACCCCGACCTCCGGTCGTCACAATCATGGGCCATGTCGACCACGGCAAAACCACCATCCTCGACTACCTCCGCCACTCCTCTGTCGCAGCGGGCGAAGCAGGCGGCATCACCCAGCACATCGGCGCCTTCTCCGTTCCCATGACCATGTCCCCCGACTCGTCCTACAAAGCCAAAGACGTCAAAACCATCACTTTCCTCGACACACCCGGCCATGCCGCTTTTCTTTCCATGCGCCAGCGCGGCGCCAATGTGACTGACATTGTCATTTTGGTTGTCGCGGCCGACGATAGCGTGAAGCCGCAGACGCTGGAGTCGCTGCGATGTGCGAGGGAAGCGCAGGTGCCGATTTTGGTGGCGGTGAATAAGGTCGATAAGGAGGGTGCGGACGTGCAGAGGGTGAAGCAGGATTTGGCGAGGAATGGAGTGGAGATTGAGGATTATGGAGGTGAGGTGCAGGTTGTGGAGGTTAGTGGGAAGACGGGACAAGGGATGGAAGGGCTAGAAGAGGCGGTGGTTACGCTATCTGAGATTTTGGATCAGAGGGCTGATATCGGCGGTGGAGTGGAGGGGTGGGTGCTAGAAGCCACGACGAAAGCGCACGGCCGCGTCGCCACCGTGCTCGTGAAGCGCGGCACCCTGAAACCCGGCTCCGTGCTCGTGGCTGGTAAGACGTGGGCTCGGGTCAAGACGCTGCGCAACGAGCGCGGCGAGGTCGTTGACAGCGTCGGCCCCGGCTTACCCGTCGAAGTCGACGGCTGGCGCGAGCAGGCTTCCGCGGGGGATATGGTGCTGCAAGCCCCCTCGGAGCAGAAAGCCGGCAGCGTCGTCGAATACCGCGTCGAGAAAGCCGAGCGCGAGAGGATGGAAGTTGATATGGAAGCCATCAACACCGCGCGTCGGGCTGAGCAGGCGCGCAAAGCCGCCTCTGCCAAATCGAGCCGCTTCGCTGCTTACGCTGACGCTATCGAGGGCCTACCCGAAGAAGAAGAAGAAGCCGCCGCCGCCGCGAAGCCCTCCGCCTCCTCTGAAGAGAAAGAAGAGCAAGGCCAACTCACCATCCCCTTCCTCCTCAAATCCGATGTCTCCGGCTCCGCCGAGGCTGTCGCCGCCTACATCCCCTCCCTCACGACGCCCTTAATCGCGCCACAAATCCTCTCCTCCACCGTCGGCCCCGTGCACGAATCGGACGTCGACTTGGCGGCTGCGGCGGGGGGCCACATCATCGCGTTCAACCTCCCGGCGAACGAGGGAATGAAAGCGGTAGCGGAGAGTAGGGGGGTGAAGGTGCTGGAGAATAATGTCATCTACCGCGTGTTGGATGATGTGAAGGCGGTGTTGGAGGAGAGGCTGCCGCCGGTTGTGACGCAAAGGGTGCTCGGGGAGGCGGAAGTCGGGGCGGCTTTTGATATTGGGTTGGGGGGGAAGAAGACGCTGAAGATTGCTGGGTGTAAGGTGCGGAATGGGGTTGTGGGGTTGAAGGTTAGGGCGAGGGTGAGTAGGGGTGGGGAGAGGGTTTATGATGGTGAGTTCTCCCTAGACTTAACGACTGAGGAAACGAGTGCTAATGTTGTTTAGGTATCATCACCTCGCTGAAGAACGTGAAGAAAGATGTCCAAGAGATGCGGAAGGGGACGGAGTGCGGGATGGGCTTTGAAGGGTGGGAAGGGTTTGAGGTGGGGGACTTGGTGCAGTGTTATGAGGAGGTTAGTGAGAAGAGGCGGTTGTAGATGGCATCTTCGCTCGAAACAAGAACTGTACATATGGGCTTTGGGGTTGCTGCATTAGGTGCATGGCTTTGGGGACGGCCGGTGCTGCATTCTGTTGGTGCATCGGTTGGTTTGCCACGTCTCAGCGTCTGGGTGAGGCGGGAGCGGGCTGTTGCTAGATACAGATAGATCTGAGAGTTGGGGGCGGTTTGTAGATATTCATAGATGCTTTGTAAGATAACCACCTGTGATCCTCTGTATAGACTGGTTACACCGGCTTCCGCAACCCAACACCACACCACAGCACCGGCGCCAGGTTCGTCGCGCAGTCGAAGGTGAACAGGCTGATGAGCCAGATGATGACGAGCACTGGGATTGGCGCAAGGAGGACTTCTGTGCGGCTGAGGAATGGTAGCGCTAGGACTTGTCAGCTAATACGGCGGTTGTGAAGGAGGGGTGAGCTCACCGTTGTAGCCCAAAAAGGTGATGACAAAGTAATATGCCAAGGCGACCAGGTACAGCGTATTACCGAAGAAGTTCGACGCGAAGCTGTAGTCCTGCGCTATGAGCGGCATGAGCAGGAACTGCAGGATGTAGAGGAAGACCCAGATGGGAAGGTAGGCGCGGATGGAGACCTGTTCATACATTAGTCTTCTACTCCTCCCTCATACCACCACACAATCGTGCAAACAGGCAGGAGAAGAGGACTCACATCGAAACAATACCCAAACTCCAACCCCTCCTCACCCGGCCCCGGCGGGCCCGGTCCAAACAACCCCTGCCTCCGCTTCCCAAGTACACGCCCGACGAGGAAATACATCAGCGTGCTGACGGCCAGAGAAGTGCCGAGGAAGTGCCCGAGCACAAAGACGAGCGCGACGCGAATGGGGCCCGAGGCGCCAGAGGTGTAGGCCAGACCCCATGCGAGGCCGGTGAGGAGGAGGAAGAGGGCGAGGAGGTAGGTGAAGGCGGGGTCGGGGCGGTGGTAGGTGGATTTGGTTTGTTTCTGGGAGCATGATTTAGAGGAGATGTGGGGACAAGGAGGAGGTGGGAGAGGCGTACGTGGTAGTAGATGTTGCGGAAGACTTTTTTGGGGGCGATTATGAGGTGGGTCATTTCCCAGACTGCCTTTACACATGTCAGTGCCCCGCTGGAGTGTAGTTGGGAGTTGGTGGCAAATACTGACCGTTTCAAAGTCCATGGACGTGAACTTGAAAAGACGCCGGAAGAAGGGCGGGATCCGCATGCTGGCTCGCCGCTGTGTACTCGACATCTTGGGCGTATTTAACAAGGTTTGGGTTGTGCTATTGAGATATGGCTTTGTTATGGCTGGCCATTCCGTCCGTATGTTTAGCCCGGGAGCCTTTGTAGATCCAAGAAGTAGCGCGTGTCGTCCTTCCTGACCGGGCTTCTGTATTCTTTCGACCAGCTGTGATTTATTGTGTGGCTATTCGTGATGTTCTCGTGTCAAATCATGTCGTCTCTTTGATGGACTTGAAGTCCGGAGGCCGTCCGTAAGCGGCTAGCGTCAAAGTCACGTGCTATAGACAAGTCCTTCGCGACTTCATTGCGCCTCCCATGCAAGCACTTCTTCACACAACTTCCACTTCCACCACCTCTCCCTTGATATCCTTCTAATCTGAACCCGCTCCCTTCGCGCCGGCGACACCTCTGTGACTGCCCACATACTCTCCTCTTTCCGCGCCTTCCAGCCTCACTCCCCGTGGTCGTGAGCTTCTCATCAACACACTGACACCCTCTATCGCGTTCTGTGTGGACACGTGCTGGAACAGCGACGAACCTCACTCACGAGGTCCGCCGACATGGCGGACTACGACCCAGCGGACGCCGCGCCTTACGACCCGACAGCTCCGGCAGCCGAGTACCAATACCAGCAAGAACCGGCCGGCGACGAAGACGATGAGGACGACTACGACCCGTCCAGCCTTGAGAACGAAGACTCAGAAGCTAACGCACAATCATCGACCGCACAGCCCGCTAAACCGAAGACAGTGGGTGGCTTCATAGTAGAAGACGACGAGGAAGATGAAGACCAGCAGCAAGACGCGGCAATGCCGCCGTCATCACAACTCAACGGCACAGCCGGCGCCCACTCTGGACTAGGTGCCGCCGCAGTGTCGGACGCACAAAATACTGTCATAGCTAGTGAACCATCGCAAGAAGACGCTTCTGCAACGAGCACTGCTCCTGTCAATGGTTCCAGCTCACGTGTTGTTCCCGCTCCTGTCTCTGACACCAGCTCCACTTCCGTCCCAGCATCTGCTCCTGCTCCTGCTTTCTCCCTCCAGAGTCCCACTGATCAGGGTAAGCAACAAGTGTCTACCACTGCCTCAGCAGTACAGAGTGCCACCGCTACTCCGCAGCCTCCAGTTGCTTCTACGCCTGTACCGGCTCAAGCAGCTAGCGCAGTGCCTCAAACACCGACCACGCAGCGTCTGCCCCACGACAAAGTCGGCCAGCTTGAAGATCGCATCAAAGAGGATCCGAAGGCTGACACTGAGGCATGGCGAGCGCTGATCAGGCACTACCGCGAGAAGGGACAGCTCGATCAGGCGAGGAAGGTGTACGAGCGGTTCTTTGCTGTCTTTCCAAGCGCCGTAAGTATAGCACCCCCGACTACCATTGCCATTATGAGCTAACAGTAGCATACAGGCACAGATGTGGGTCGAGTGGGCGCAGATGGAGCTCGAGGAGAACAACCTCAGCGGCGTCGAACAAATCTTCAACCGTTCACTTTTGTCATTACCCAACGTCGACATGTGGAGCACCTACCTCGATTACCTCCGCCGCATTCACCCGCTCATCGGCGACCCAGACGGCACGAAGCGAAGCATCATTTCGCAAGCCTTCGAGCTGCTCCTTGACACTGTCGGCCTCGACCCGGACGCCGGCAGACTCTGGCGCGACTACATCGACTTTATCAAAGGTGGACCTGGCTCAATCGGCGGGACCGGGTGGCAAGATGCACAGAAGATGGACTTGCTTCGTAGAGCTTACCAGAAGGCTGTGCGCATGCCACATGGGGAGCTTACCAAGCTGTGGAAGGAGTATGACAACTTCGAGCTTGGAATCAACAAGGCGAACGGACGCAAATTCTTGCAAGAGCAGAGTCCACACTACATGACTGCGCGAACAGCGCTGACGCAGTTGATGAACAAGATTGAAGGTCTCGATCGAGCTGCTTTGCCGCGACTGCCACCGCTTTATGGAAGCGCTGGAGAAGACGAGTTCGGCACGCAGGTCGAGAAGTGGCGGGACTGGCTGAGCTGGGAGAAGGAGGACCCGCTTGTGCTGAAAGATGAGGATATGGCCGCATACCGGAAGCGGGCGGTGTATGTCTACAAGCAGGCTACCATGCAGCTGCGGTTCTATCCTGGTATCTGGTTTGAGGCTGCTTCGTGGTGCTTTGAGCAGAACACCGAGGAAATGACGAAGCAGGGCGAGGATTTCATGGATAGAGGGATTGAGGCTTGTCCAGAGAGTGTGCTTCTGACGCTGAAGAAGGCAGATCGTGTTGAGACCTCATTGGAGAAGAGCAACGAAGATGAAGTGGCGATCAGGAATGGCGAAAAGCTGGATCCCATCTACGAGCACTGCCTGACAGCGCTCTACTCCCTCCGCGACCGCATGATCGAGCGCATGAACAAAGACTCCGCCAAAGTCCAGGAATACTTCAACTCACTCCCGCCAGAAGACACCGACATGCCCGCCGCCTCAGGCAACTCTTCCGACGACGAAGACGCGCCCCCGAAACCCCAAACCCGCGCCCAACAACTCGACGCCCAACTCAAGACCGTCAAAACCACCTCGCTACAACAACAGGACACCCTCAAACGCACCATCTCCTACCTCTGGGTCGCCAAAATGCGCGCCTTCCGCCGCATCCAAGGCCAAGGCCAACCTAAGGGAGCGAAGAAAGGGTTCCGCGGCGTCTTCGCCGAGGCACGACCGCGCGGCCAGTTGACGAGTGAAGTCTACATCGCCTCTGCGCTGATGGAGTGGGTGTGCTACCAAGACCGAGCGGCCGAGAAGATTTTCGAACGGGGGTTGAAGCTCTTCCCGACGGACGAGGTGTTCGCGCTGGAGTATATCAAGCATCTCGTCTCCAACAACGACGACACGAACGCCCGCGCGGTGTTCGAAACGACCATTACCAAGATCGTCAAAGCGACCGAGCAGGATCTGCCCAAGCAGCGACAGAAATGCAGGGTGCTGATGGGCTACATGCACAACTTCGAAGCCAACTACGGCGACCTCGACAAGATCCACAAGCTCGAGAAGCGCATGGGCGAGATGTTCGCCGATGAACCCGAAGTCGCTCGCTTCGGCGACAGATACGCCCTTCCTTCCTTCGACGCCATGGCCGCGCAGCTCGTCATCTCCCCGACGCAGATCCAGCCGAAACCTACTACCCAACAGCCTTTCGGCGGGCAAGGCCAGGGTTTCGTCCCGAGTATCGAGCACCAAGCGGGAAGTCCGGCGAGCAATATCCGTCTTGGTCCGAATGGGCCTTACGTCGCGAGCCCGAAGCGTCCGCTGGAGGATAGTGATTCTGAGGCACCGGCGCGGAAATTCCAGCGCGGCGAGTCGCCTCTCAAGGGCGCTGCGGGGCGGAGACTGCAGAACCATAGCATTTCGTCCTTGCCTGGCTCATCCGGCGGTGCAGGTGGTGGTGGAGGTGGGGACAGGGGCTTCGTTACCAAGAACTACGTCCCCCCTTCCTCTGGACCGGGTGCCGCAGGCGCTGGTGCCGGGATTGGTGGTCTTGGTGGTATGGGCCCACAGCATCCAGCCCCTCTGCCCTATGAGATCCACCAGCTGCTCAGCGTGCTGCCGCATGCAAGGACGTATCAGAGTACGGTTTTTGACGCGGGGAAGATTGTGGAGTTGCTTAGGGGGCTGCCGCTGCCGGGGAAGTAGGTTTGAGGGGCGGTGGGAGGGGGACGGACGCTGGGATTGGGGTTAGGGGGGAGGGTAGGCGGGCTGTGAAGGGAGGGAAGGAGGTCGGGAGTGGAGGAGTTCGGGGGCGGGGTGGTGGGACGTTGCGTTTACGGAGAGTTGCAGGTTGAGATGAGATGCGAGGGCTACGACGGTGGTAGTTCCGATGTGCCTGGATTGTTGATGAGAATGGGCTAGGACCTCAAGAGCGGTTTCATGAGATGAAATAGCCGTGGTAATCACATGTTGCATTCGCACTTTGAGCTTCAATCACTTTGTGGTAAGATGGTCGATGGTCGTCAGTATTAGGGTTCCACAAGTAAAGTTTACCTGCTTTTTTGTCCGTCAATACGCTATTGTGTCAGGGCTATTCGCTCACGAAGGTGGAGCACCATTCCTGACATCCCCATACGCCGGCGGAGCGTAATCGCCATTACAAGCGTAGTCGTAGTTCGCTTCCTCCAGAGCACCCGCCTGCCACTTCATGAACGTCTCTAGTTCGCACCACCCTGTTCCGACTGTCAGCGTGCATACCATGTGTCTGCTAGAACTTTGACTCACCATCGTCCCTATCCCCGCAAGCAGCATGGCTTTGCCCGAGCGGAATCGTCCTCTGATTCAGGATAAAGTGCACATACGTCGTCTTTCCCCCTTCCTCGTATAGCCCCCTCGTCCGATCCGCACACACCGGCCTCGGCGCCTCAATCATCTCGATGTCGAACCGCGCGGCAAAAGGCGTCATCGCCGAAACCACCACCGAACGATCTTCCGTGTATTCCTCCGGCGAGAACGGCTCAGCGAACTGCGTCAGCCCAAATGCAGTCAACGCCGCAAAGATATTGACCTCATGACTAAAATCAAAATTCAACGCCTGATGCGTCGGAAAAGTCCGCTCCCTCCCATCCAGCGTCACATTATCCGACCCCGTCGCCTGGGTAATCAAATGATGCCGCATCTTCGCCAACACCTCCTCCACGTACCCCACCCCCACCGCTCGCGCTGTCGGTGATAGGAACCCGAATGTCCCGATGAAGTCGAGATCGATCGAGTACTCGAAGTCCTGCCATTCTTCGTAGGTGAAGAGCGCGCACCACTTCGAGTAGCCGAGGTTGACGGTCTCGTAGGAGCAGAGTTGCTGCGCGGAGTAGATCCAGGTGCTGTTCCAGTGGAAGTTGGTGGAGAGGGCGTTGAGGCGGGCGGCGGCGGGGAGGGTGTAGTTGGCGACGAAGGCGGCGCTGGCGTTGGCGCCGGCGGTGGTGCGCAAATTGCCGTTGTTCTTGGGATGGGGTTAGTGGCGCGAGGAGGTTGAAGGAGGTGGAAGATTGGAAGAGGTGGAAGGTTTGAAGCGGTGGAGAGAGGAGAGGGACATACTTCGCAGACGTTGTAACCGGAGAGCGAGTTATTGTAGCCTTCTTCGTCGATGATGAATTCGAGGTCGACGTAGTCGGCGTAGTTGAGGCCGAAGAAGCCTGCGGCGAAGTTCTATACTTATTGGTCAGTCCATGCTAAGAGATGGTCTTCCGGACAACGTACCTCCGCTGACTTCCTCATCCGATCTTCCGTAGTCGTCCGCCACACGAGTTTCTTGGTCTGGTTCGGGTTGAAGAGTTGGCCGTAGTTGTATACGTGCAGCACACCATTGTCGTAAAGCCTGTTCTGCAGTTGGCAGGCTTTCGCAAATCGAAATGAGTCGAGGGCACTCACTCCTGCCTCCCATTGCTGCTCAGAATATTCGTCCCGAGCGAGTACTTCCAATCGTTCAACCATTCCAGGTCACCAGAAAATTTGGCACCTTTGGCATCCGCCAACGCGGCTCCAAGCTCGATAGGCTCAGTGGGATATCGTGAGCCGTGTCTCGCAATCATATTGACCCAAGTAACATTAGCACCCTCAGGCAGCGGATGCTCGTCAATGCCAAATCCGGGAGAAGGATGGTAAGGAGCGATGTTTCCGAGTAATGTGAAGATATTTCCATCGTCGGAGTTGCCTTGGATCGGCTGCTGAGTTTCGAGCGGACTGGGTGGGATGTAGGTGACGCCCGAGAGCTGTACATCGTCCGTTTGCCTCAAAAACGGTTCTTTACCGGTTGGTGTTGGGCCTTGGAAAATTTCAGGAGTCGTCTGGAAGTAGTCCGGAGGATTGGACGTTGTGATTGTCGTGACAATGGTCATCACCGGCGAGGCGTTGGCGAGACCTAGCAACGCGAGGCTGTACAATAGGAAGGCCATGGTCGTCGAGCCACTTGAGGACTGCTTCAAGGTGAAATGAGAGAAGTCCTTACTTAGGACGAACGAGACAAGCGGCGGTCAATGAAGTAGTTTTGAACGCTCTCCAGCGTCGGGTGCAACGTCACTATCTGGATGAACTGCTCGATGTCCCCGCAGTGCTCGTCGATCAGTACTGAACTTTGCCGAGCAGCACCGATCGACAGGCACAAGGCCGCCTTCCAATGCTAACAACCTTGCGAGTTTGTGCCACGTGGGACGTGAGTTCGGATGACATTGGGCGACGAAGTACCTGTCTTGAAGGTGAGGTCACAACATTGGACGGGACGGAAGAGTAGAGGAAGTGATGTTGCTGTTCGATAGGCCAAGCTCACCCCACAAGCCTTCCGCGGAGCTTGAAATCACTTGGTAAGACTGTCGAGCACGTGGCCGCCCGGGCGATCACTACTGGCACTCACAGCGATACCAGCGAATCCTCATGTCCCCGCCGGCGGCAGCATCATAACATATTCCCTCTCACTATCCCCAAACCCCACCACATCCCCATCCACCAACTCAACGTACCTGCTCGCCTTGACCTTCTCCCCATTCAACTTCGTCCCATTCGCGCTCTCCAAATCAATCAAATACGGCTTCACCTTGCTCGTCTTATCGCCAAACTCATCCGTGCTCGTGCGATGGCGGAACTGAATAACAGCATGCTGCTTCGACGTACTCGGGTGCTCGAGCAAGTAATCCGTGACCTTCTCATCCCGGCCCATCAACCAGGCGCTGCGGGTGGAGAGGTAGATGGTGTCCAGCAGATCCTTTTCTTTGAAGACGTACATCCGCCATTGCTGTTTGGCAGGCGGCTTGCGGGCTTCTGGTGGCTCGTGGTACTTCAAGACGGTGGTGGTGCCGGCGACGGTGTTCGCTTCCTTTGCTAGAAGGCCGGTGGGCTTGTAGTTTGGTTTCTGCTTCTGTGGAGGCGGTGCGCTGCCATCTGTGGGCGCAACTTCCCCGCGGAAAGATTCGTCCTGGGATGGTAGAGGTGCTTTGCTTCTTTTGTGAGGCTCTGGGGATTGTGATGGAGTGACAGACCGCCTTCGTCGTTTCGGGGGTGGCGACCGCGACCGGCGTTCGTGATGCGAGCGCTCCCGTGATCTTGACCGTTGACTATGCTTCCGTTCGTGCCATGGAGAGCTCCTGTGGCGGTCACGCCGTTCACGACGTCTTCCGGAGTCCTGTCCATCGCTATCGTAGTCATCGCGGCGGCGGGAGCTGTGCTTGGAAGGCCTGTCGTCTCTCCTTCCCTCCCTGCGCCTTTCTTTGCGCGCTCCCTCATCAGAGTCAGAATCACGGTCGCGCCTCCGCCGATCAGCTTTCCCGCTCCCGCTGTCAACGTCGGCCATGCTCGCTTTCACTCTCAGTGGAAGTTCGCTGCTGTTCTCTTCAAGAGGCGGCAGGGCGTGCGTGCGTTTCGACTTTGCTGTTCGCCTTTGCTATCCTCACACACGAGCGCCTCCTCAGTCGTGCAGGGTTATTCAGCTAAGTTGTTGCGCCGGCTGAGGGCTGTGTGTGCATGAGTCGGATAGTAGAATAGTGTGCAGGCTTGATGTTTTTGAATGAAGCTGCGGGCAAACTGTGCGCACGTGACCTTTCTTGGACTGACTCTTTTCCTGACAACCTTGATTCCCTTCGTCGAGTACACCCACGTGCATGGAAGAATGATTTGCAGGATCGACGACATAGTCACGTCGACGTATAGCCCTACAGAGACCTTGAGCGTGAATTGCCTGGGTTTGGAAGAAGCAGAACAAATACCTCACGATCAAACGACTACGCTTCGAGGAACACTTGAATGCCGGGAAAACCACAATATAGGTAGTACGTAATAATTGACATGAGCCGCTACATGGCCAAGCTAGCTAGTTACAAATGTCCACAAGAAAGGAAAAACCCCCAGCAGATTTTGGTTTGTTGATGGAGAGACACATTAATTACATGACTTCTGGTTGTTGGTTGCGAGAGAGTCGTCATAAGCACACACCCTTCATCATTTGGCTCGGGGCAAGCTAGCAGGATTGCTAGCTTAGAAGAGCGCAGCGGCCGCGAGGACCACGGCGATGAGGCCAGCGGGCTTGGTGACGGCACCGGCGCCAGTCGCGGGGACTGGGACCATGCCGGAGGCAGATGGGCCAGGGGCGTACGCACCGGTGCCGGAGGCGACGGGCGCAGAGGCAGCTGGGTAGCTGTAAGGCGCGGTCCAGGGAGCGGACTGGTAAGGCGCTGGTGGCGCGGAGGTGGCCGGGGACCACTGGCTGGCTGGCGGGGATGGCATGCCGGTGGTCACTGGCGAGCTGACCTTGGGCGTGGATGGGGCGGTGCTGGTCTCCACCCAGGTCGAGGTGTACGGGGCGGTGATGTAGGTCTCAACCGTGGTGATGTACGGGGTGGTGATGTAGGTCTCGACGGTGGAGGTGGCGGTCGTGGTGCCCTCGGAGTAGGTGGAGGTCCAGACGGTCACCGGGGTGGATGGGGTGCAGGTCGAGGTGATCACGGTGACTGGGGTGGTTGGGGTGCAGATGCTCGTGGTGGTGATGGTGGTGGTGGCCGGCGAGCAGTAGCTGTTGTACCAATCCCAGTAGGCCTTGTCGAGGTCGGAGGAGCAGGTGGTGTGAATGCACATGCTCACATCGTCGTTGCCGCAAAGCTCATCCTGGCCCTGAACGTTGTACTCCTCGAAGCAGGCGTTCCAGCAGTTGCCACCGGTTGGGGTGGAGCTGGGGGCAGAGGAGGTCGGGGCAGAGACGGGGTAGGTGGCGGGCTTGGTCACGGTGCCGAAGGTCGAGCTGTACACCGGGTAGGAGGAAGACGACGAGACCGGGTAGGGGGCCGGGTAGGAGGAAGACGACGACTTCACGGGGTAGGTGGCCGGGTAAGAAGAGCTGACGTAGGCCGAAGAGCTGGAGTAGATGGCAGACGAAGAGCTGGAGTACACCGGGATGCTGCTCGAGTAGACAGCAGAAGAGCTGCTAGAAGGAGCGGCGCAGTACCCGTTGTACCACGACCAGTACTTCATGTCATCCTCCTCAGAGCAAGTGTAGTAGATACACTTGTTGACGCAGTCGTTGCCGCAGAGCTCATCCTGGCCGTAGATGTTGTTCTGCTCGAAGCAGGAGGTCCAGCAGGATGGGGTCGGGGTGGCCGACGCGCTGGCGGACACGCTCGACGGGTAGGCCGAGACGCTGGACGCCTTGTAGGAAGAGCTGACGGCGTACGAGGAGCTGACAGCGTAGGCGGAGGAGGATGAACCGTACACAACAGGCGCCGAGCTGGATGATCCGTAGACGGCCGGCTTGGACGACGACTCGTACCCAGCGGGCGCAGAGGACGAGTAGACGGCTGGCTGAGAGCTCGACACAACCTTCACGGAAGAGTACGCAGCAGGCGTGGACTCCGCAGGGGCAGAGTATGCCGGGGGAGCCTGGGAGTAGGCATCTGGCGAGTAGGCGGCGGAGGCCAGGCCAGCGAGGCCAGCGAAAGCAGCGGCTTTGTACATCTTGATTTGGTATTAGGGTATATTAAAACGAGTGTGTGATGCGTAAAGCGAGTGACTGTGTGTGTGTGGATGAGAAGAACAAGCAACAGCAGAGACAGACGGGCGCGACGAGCTACTTAAGAAACCGACTCATCAGGGGGCAGATCAATGTTATTAGCGGAAGCGAACGGCTGGACATCAGCAGGACCTACCTTTGGGGCCGCGGAGGCGACACGGTTCACGGATGTGGCAGTCGTCAAAGCATACGAGCTGTTGACCGTCCTGGGGGCGCGAAGCCCTGGCAAGGAGAGTTCGGTGGAGCGACGCGAGCAGGCGCAAGTGGTAGGAGAAGACGGCTGAGGCGCTTTCTAGGTCCGTCTTGGCAGGCACAGTAGCAACGATCGAACTGGCCAGGCGCGGAGTCATGGCCAGCGCATCCAATAGCGTGGGCGGTAGCGCGAGGGGTGGTATAGAGTTTTAGGTAATAAGGCGTGTGCGGAGGAGCAACAAGAGGTGAAGGGAATACGAGGTGCAATTTCCCAGACTTCGGAAAAAGAAAATGGCCGCGGGTTCCTGCGTCGGCAAGGCGGCTAGCTGCTCTTGACAGGCGATTGGTCGGCCCTGTCAGGTACCAACTCCCCTTTTTAATTCTCCGAGCTGCATGCTGCAGCTGGGCGGCATGGATGGCGTTCGCGCGTTGCGGACACACTTCGGACGTCAGCGTGAACAGACCCATCCCCTCGTGAAGGAAATGTGTTGGTGGGCACTCGGTGGAGTGCAATACAACTGTATTGAATGACCATCTGGATTGTTCGTGTTGTGAATCTTCTCATTCCTTCTCATTCCATACAGCTGAATAAACTCCCGACAAGAGACCACATCAGCGATGACATCCTTGCCGTTAACCTGAACCTTGTATTATGAGACGAACAGGCCGGGTTTGGTTTCGCGCAACCGCCTCTCGCATCCCGGTGAACTCCTCGACGGAAGTGCGCTGGGGCCAGTTGGCTAAGCTGTGGACGATACCGTACTCGACTTGACAGAGTCAATGGACGGTCTCAGTTCATCCATCCTCCCAAGCGCACACTTAGAACCTGCAATTGGTAACGTCCGGCTGGAATGAGAAGACAACATTGAATCCGACAGCGAGCGATTAGCATCAGTTCTCGATGGAGCTCCGCTTCTCGACCGCACGACAGACAGTGTATCTGACGTGAGAACAGCGGGCGGCTCTGGGAGACATTTGTTCGTGTCGAGAGACGTTGAAGAGCTTGCGCGGGGCTTCGGGAGAGTCTCTCCAGAACACGACACTGTCAAGGATAAGGATGATGGGATGGTTGCCGTAGTACTGGCGACTGCATCTGGCTTCCGGTACCCAGGCTTTGCAAACGAGATGCCTAGACCGGCGTTGACACCTTCGGAACCATTTTCTTGACGCAATGGAGACTGAAGAGCCGCCTTGCGTGTTGAAGCTGCGTTGATGTTCTCAGAGCCGTCATCTCGATGCACCAGAGACTGGATATCTGTCTTGGGCGCTGAAGTTGGACCGACGGTCTCGGTACCTCGTGCAATGTCCAATGGAGGCCGTAACTGTGTTCCTTGGTCTTGCTCGCGCAGATTGAGTAGCTCAGCCTGCGCTTTCCTCAAATGTCTACGGGACTCCTTCGCCTCGAGCCTGCCCAAGTGGTCAGCATTGACATTGATAGCGCATCGGTATGTCAAACTGACTTATACCTAGCAGTTTCCGCCATACAATGCTCCAGCTCCAATCCCAGGAGCGATGCCGATGGCGCTGTCTGATTGTCGCCAACAGGCAACCCTTGTACATCACCTCTGGCTTTCTGGCGGGCCACCCCATCAACGATATCACCGATGCCGTCTTTCTGAGTGCTTCGATTCGAATCTGCCCTTTGAACAGCTTCTCGGGTGTGGCGGCACAGCTCATGGTGCGAGGGCTTGTTGTACCGTTTACGTTGATTATGAGCTGTGGTCGACATCTGCTTGTGCTGCAGCAAAGCCTCTTCGACCTCCGCAAGCCGCTTTTCCGCGACACTTGGATCGCTCTTCGCCGCCTCAGCTTCTTCCAGCTGTTGTGTTCGTATCTCCTTCTCCGCAAGCATGCGCCGAAGGTCCTGCATCTGCTGCCAGAGCGGATTCGCGCACTGCAAGTATTTGGCGAAATCGGGAGTATTTCTTCCTTCTGCTGGCCTGGTAGGAGGATTGTCTACTGGCTCGAGTCGTTGCTCCGCTGGCACATGAGTGGTGACAAGCTGGCGGATCTTGACGCAAGCATCATGGTATCCTTCAAGCACATCAGTGCGTTCGTTGTTCGCAGCAACAAGCCTCGCCTGGAGGTCTGAAATTGTATTTCGCAATGTTTTCTCGTTATCTTTGGCTTTGCGAACAGTGGCTCGAAGGTCGTCAATGGTATGTTGACTGTTCTGCTCAGCCCTTCGGATCGTTTTGTCGCTCCATTCAGAGGGTCGAGCTCTCGGAGACCCACTATTGCGAGTGGCTTCAGTGAAGCTGGGCAGTGGAGCACTAATACCACCACGAGGAGGTTCACAACCACCAGCGACCTCTCGTCTGAAGGCTGTCCTTTGGCGTTCCTCCAGCATTGAAATGTAAGAGCGCAAACTTTCCAGTTCCTTCTTGTGGGCCACTTTCAAACTCTTGAGGTGGGATTCATGAGAGCGACGCAAGCGACAGATCTCTTCGAAGCCGCCTGCATTGTATTCTGTCGTCCTCTGCTCTGCGGCTTCCATATCTTTGCGTTGTGCGGTGGTTTGGAGTACTGCGTTCGCGCTGGCGGTACGTGATGAGGAAACGCAAAGTGGCATGCCGTTAGAAGACGGGGTGCTTGCGGAGAGAGGCGAGTAGACCGGGTTGGTACTCAAGCTGAGTCCTCCTCGTTCAATGGCGACCAGTGTGTCTGCTGTGGAAAGGTTCGGGAGTGACATGACACCTTCGTTTTCTGGACCGGGTTTGGAGACAATGGTACTACCTCTTTCCTTGCGATGAGAGGCAGGCGAAGCAGACTGACGCGGCGTTCGAGGGCACACATCGTCCGGCGAGTAGAAGAGGAAATCTTGCGGATTAGAGTGCGGGTGTAGATTCTTGGCTTCCATCTGAAGACTGAGATGTGGTATAACAGGTAGATGTGCAGGTTTGGCGTCCTTGCTTCCTCGAAATGCCTCGTTTCGGTCGAGCGGAGACGACCCTGGTAGCTCGACGTATTCGACAGCCGGTGCCTCGTGGTAAGGCGTCGATGGAGCAGTTCGTGATCGCGTCCGAGCTTGCACCGGCTCAAATCGTGGAGGATACGTCTGGTTGAAGAGGTGGGCGGTCATTGGTGGCGATCGAAGCATATCATTCATGACTGCCATCAAGCTTGTTGCAGATTGCACGGTGGCATCCTGAAAGGCTTGAGAGTCTGCGTGTCTGCTGCTATGTCTTGATGCTAGCTCTGGACTCTCGTCGGAGGCGAAGGGTGTTGAGGTTTTAGCAGATTTGCTGCTGCGCTAGGTGACAGATCAGCTCCGTAAAAGATGGATTGTGGACTTCTGTAGGTACCCTGGGGCTCTGGCCGTAATCTACGCCTTTGATAGATATGCATTCTGCGGGGATCGGGACAAGACCACCAGCGCGCAGCGCTTCTGAGGCATTGCGCCGGTCGCCCTTCGTCCAGGTAAAGAATTTGGCTGACATGGCGACACTACATTATTGTTTCTGGTGTTATAGTAGGATGGTAGAAAGAGATGATAGGAAGAAGTACACAGGAACACAACAAGAAAATCGACGCAGAGTGTGGTAGTATTGCAGCTCCCCGGCCGCCTTCCAACATGCCATAAGCGAGCCGCGAACGCTTGAAGGCCCCCATACCATGCATGAGCCTTCCGACCTACCTTGATGCACGAACAGACTGACTCCCGCGCTTCCGCTGGGTCAGAAGAGGCTCGAGAGTGCCTTGCCGCGCTCGAGGCTTTCCCTCTCCAGACTGTGGCGGTACCGGATGGCTAGCAGGCATCGTTGCGTGGTGCTGAAACCCATGCCGATCGGACTTGACACCAAGAGGCGCGGTTTGCCTGCAGCTCAGCGGCACATGTCGAATGAGAAAGGGTGGTGGGCGCTTAGGAAGTGTTGTATTTTCTCGAGGCTGAAGTCGGATCTGAGTCCGACACCGAAAATACGGGGACGTGACAGATACTACGGCGGCTTTACTCAACTTCACCTTCCCAATCTTCTTCTGCGAGACGAAAGGAGGTTCAGATATGAATGGCACCGCGCAAATACAGTCTGTCTTGTCAGCTTCTCGTGACTTTCCAGACGTTCGGGAGGTTTGTGAGAAGCCCGCTGTAGTCGGAGTTTCCAAAGCGCCAATGTGGACCAGATCTCAGCCGACGACCATTGCACTTCAACGCAGGTAGGTGGAAGACATTACCTTCCAGTACGCATGAAGGTAGGATATTGCGCAGATTTTGATGGCTGAGGCATAATCGAGGGCGTCTCTCATTTCCTGCTTCGAATTGATTTACTCACAGTCGATGAGCTTGTCGATGGAGAGTTCCTAAGGCCATTGGTTAATTGCATCTCGCATGAGCTAAAATTCTTGACGAACTACTGGGACGATACCAGTTACTCTGCTTGCCTTACAAACGTCGAGGAAATGTTGGATGCGAAAGAATCCATGAGCCGCATGACAGAGATTGGTTCCAAATGGGGCCGGGGGTGTGGCGAGTCTTTGCCGGTCGATACCAGTGTCTGTGGGCGAAGCAATAAGCCTTGAACTAACCTTACTGTACTATTCCAATTCCCTGGATGGAGAGGCTCTATCTCGGCTTTGAATATGCCACCAAGGAGAGTGCATGGGGCACGCAGTATGGAGCAGGGGCGTGGCCTTACCTCTGCAAAGACCACTCCTGCAGTAACCCGCGTTGCATTGTGGTCGAGTCGCAGGGCTGCAATCACAGTCGGAACCAGTGCATCGTCCTCGAATGATGTGCGGACCTCTGGGACATGTCGTGGTGAATTCGAAGTCATCTTTCAGGAGTTCGTGGAACATGAAGGACCTGCAGTATTCACACAATAAGTGCACAGCGAAATGAGGGCCATATTTCGGGAGTATAACCCAGGTGAATTTCAATCACCTAGTGCCGATCCTCTTGACACGTCCGCACTCTTTTGGTTTCACTTCACGCGACGGGCTGATGCACGCGAATTGAAAGAAGATGTTCAGGATAATGGCTTTCAGGCTTGAGCTGGTTCTTGGAAAGACCCGATGCCTTCTTCACGCGCCCGTAAGCCTGCCTCAGACGGAATACAATGTGCTTTTCAGCTCGTTCTCCAAGGCGAGATGAGGTGTGATGCGGCAACTTCGAGTATTGTAACGTTAGTCCAAGTTACGGAGAACGATGCCAGACGACTTTGGAATCTGGCACCGGATCAGTCTGATCTTGGGGAGTTGGGAGGCTGTCAGGCTGCCACAGTTCGACGGGTACACTATCCATCGCTTCTCCACAGATAGCTTAGCATTGTGCTTGATGGTGCGTTGTGACCGTCAATTCTACATCGCATCTCGAGAGTAGTCACCATCTCAAGCTGTTCATACCAAAGCCACGTCCTCGGCTCCCACTCCCGCAAACAGCCCTCGTACCCAAGCATCACTTTTCGGACGAGCAGCTCCGAATCGTGCAACAGACACCGTATTTCTCAGCAAAGCATAAGTCCGAAACCGGCGTCGCAGGGCTGATGAGACATCAACATCATCCAGCGCAGTCATCTGTCGCACAAAAAACCTCGGATCCCGGAACGGCACCTCTTGTCGATCACCTGAGGCGCTCGGAAGAGCTGAGGTGTAGGTTGGAAACAGCTCCGGTCGTGCATATGACAGCACCTCATTCGACAGGCTTAACAAGTTTTCTGTCATACGAGTACGGATCGTTTGCGAACGGGAACGACGTGTGAGCGAGGAACGCAGTTATGGTTAGTCGCCGCGTCGGGCGCAAACGGGGAAGTTGCAGAAGTTCATGAGTTGACGCACGCCTTGCGGTGTGACAAGATGATGAACGAGCTGCGAGAATCGCACTTCGGGCGCGAAGAAGATGCCGGCACGGACCGGCGTCCGGACGTGGGATGGAGGATATCGTAACGGATGAAGATTTGTGCTACGCTGTCGTTGACGGAAGTGCTTGCTACAGTGTAGCCGGATTGTCATAGTCCCGCAGGATGAATACCAGAGGACCACAGAGCAGTACAATACATGCTTCATACACCACAACAACACTCCCAACAACATCCGAGAAAAAAACCACCCCGCCAAGTCCAAGATATGAGCTGGCTGACGCGGAAGCTCGCGGACTTGCATGCTCCACCAGCAAAAATGCAACCCAAACTAGTCATTGGCTCACGCGAACTTCCGATCCGCTTCGAAGTCCGCTCGCTGATCACGCTCGAGTCACGTCACGTCAGGATATGAGTAGAGTAGTCTGCGGCTCTGATGCAGCGCTGACAGATCCGTCGAGCAAACTCCGTTCGCCGGCGACGTTTTCGTTCGGTGTCGAAGTGCGAAATGGGGCGGATGGAATCGCGCGGAAGGCAGGCAGGCAGGCTTGGGCTGCCTCTTTTTAAGTATTCGGGTTGCCGCGTCGCGATGTCCAAACTGAAGCTACCTACTCATATCGCACCTGCCCGCAACGTCTGGACGTTTTCTTGCTGCCTCACTGCCTCGCCTGGTGCTGAGGGAATCCCAGCTTCGAATAGTTCAGTTACCGGACGAGCTTTGAGTCTTGGATACCGGTCCTGGTGATCACCCTCGCTTGGATTGATCGAGGGCGTATTCCTTTGCGCCGGAATACCTTGGTTGAACCTACGCTATCATACAACTCCAGTTCGCATCCTGATCCAAATGGTGCACCCCCGGCTTCTGTGCGCCGCGCGCGCAGCGTTTGTGCTTGGAGCGCTGCAACTGGCGGCAGCTCACGACCATGAAGGAAAGGGCATGGATATGAGCATGGGCGGCGGGAGCGCAGAGGCACGACCTAGCACAATGTCAGCAGCTGAATCGCCTCCCAACTATTTCCGCCACACGTATCACAGCGGCTGGATGTATGCGCATATCGCAACCATGATCCTAGCATGGTGCTTCATTCTCCCGCCTGCTATAATGCTCAGCGTGGCGCGATCCAGATACCACCTCCCAGCTCAGTTGGCATTCCACGTTGTCAACGGCCTAGGAGTCTTCACCGGCTTCGTCTACAACAACTCAACCCCAGACTTGTACAAGCACAACTCGCACCACCCGATCGGCTGGGTCGTGACATCCCTCACGATTGCGTGGACACTCATGTCCCTCTTCGTGGCGTACAGCGAGTACAAGAGCAAGCGACAAGCCGGCGGCAGCCACAGCGTCACCAAGAGCGCCATGGCCGAGCACGCGCGATGGCACAGGTATAGCGATCGTGCCAGCGCGAGGTCATCCAGGGACTCCGGCCAAGGCACTGAGCGGAATTCTGCGTCGCTTTGGGGCTCAAGGCAGGGCAGCCAGGAGTCCATCCAGTTCAAGCCCGAAGCGCCGGCTTCACCGACGGAAGATAACGAGGACGAGGCCGCATCAGAGGCCAACGGTCTGCTTGGAAACAACCGCGTGGACCGATTCGTCTCGCGCAATGTGCGACGCTTTGCAACACCAAGCGCCTCGAAAGCAATCCGCTTCAGCCAGATCGTTCTCGAGAAACTACTCCTGCTCCTCGGCTTCGTCGCAATCGCAACCGGCTTCGTCGTCTGGGGCGGCCTCTTCAAAGACCGCGAAGTCTTTTCTGGCGCTGCTCACTTCGTCAAAGGCGGCATTTTCTTCTGGTACGGCTTGCTAACGCTCGGCCGCTGGATGGGTGCCTTCTCAGAGCTCGGGTGGGCCTGGAACATCCGCCCAAACCAACCACCCGTCGCTCGCTGGAAGACCCGCATCCCATCGGCAGAGTTCGTTGAGTCGTTCGTCATCTGGCTCTACGGCGCGAGCAATGTCTTCCTCGAACACCTCGCTGCCTGGGGCCGGCCGTGGTCGCACCAGGATTTCGAGCATGTCAGCATTACGCTGTTGTTCTTTGGCGGCGGACTACTCGGAATGGTCATCGAGTCGTCGTGGGCGAGAGACTTGGCCAATACCGCCGTTTTAACGCAGAAGGACGAAGAGGAGGAGAGTGAAGTCCAGACCACGTCCCGCTTCCACGCTAGCGGGGTCGCAGAACAAGAACAGCCGTGGTCGCAGCCGAACACATACAAAACATCCCTCAACCCCCTCCCCGCTCTGGTGATCATGCTGCTGGGCGTGATGATGTCCTCGCACCACCAGGAGAGCATGGTGAGCACCATGATGCACTCGCAATGGGGCACGCTGTTCGTCGGCTTCGCCTTGGCACGCGCGGCGACGTACGTGCTGCTGTATCTCAAGCCGCCTTCTTCGCATTTCCCCGCGAGACCGCCGAGCGAGCTGATTGCGGCTTTTTGTTTGACGGCGGGCGGGTTGATGTTTATGTTCAGTGCGCGGGATAGTGTGGCTGCGATTGAGGGGGTTGGGTTGGATGCGATGACGGTTTTTACCGTGACGATGGGTTTGGCGGCGGTGATTCTTGCGTGGGAGGTTGTTTGCTTTGCTCTGAAGGGGTGGGCGGTGAGAAAGGAGCGGGCTGTTGGTGGTCGGGTGCTGGCGTGAGCTGTCGGTGCTGCATGGATCTGGTGATGATGGATTGAGGATCGCTTGCTTCTAGCCTTATACCCCTTGTGTGCCATGGTTGATGGCACCTTAGCTTGGATTGGATTAGATGGCAATGGAGTTGGATGTATACGAGACCTAGATACCTACCGAATGTCTGAACATGAGCATCGTCTTCAATCTCACGTCCAGCAGCACTTGATGTGACATTTGTCCTCTTGGACATGGTTGCAGTTCAATTTCACATAGGGAAAGGTGAGTGTACGTGAGTGTCCCCTACCTTCTAGGTATACCACCGCACTTCTGCCGAGCCGGTGGTGCCGTCAGATGCACAAGATGCACAAGTGGAGGATCTGCTCCAGCATGCTAATTGACCGCGGTCGATCATTGTTCGTTGGCGCCGTCGAGCAGCTCGCGCCACAGCATGACGTCGGTTAGATTGCGATATTCGAATGTGATTTCGGCGTATCTACAGGGACCCCGTGCGAATATTGATGGCAGCATCAAGCCACCGAGTGGTTGGCCAAGGATACAGCGGCATCCGCGCCGGTGCATGTGACAAGAAGGTGGTGGTTGTCGTCGTCACCGGGCCTTGGGCTTCATCATCAGCCTTTGTTTAGACTTCTACTCCGCAAACATCTGCATCCCGTCTCCCCCGACCGATCATCTCCTCCTCCTTCTCCTAACGGCGCCGAGAATACCACATACCACAGAGTCAATCCCACCTCCTATGCTCTAAACAACATTTATTACACCTGAGCGGCCACGCCGTCAAACCTACTGTACAACGACCGCGTGACATTTGCCTTTTGGCCTCGCAGAGCGCCTTCCCGCCACATTCCGAGCCTCCCTCCTCGACGTCCTCGAGAATGTCCCGACCGCACAGCAACTACGGCTCTGTGCCTCCGCCGAACGACACACAACTAAACCGCGGCTACGGCTCCCACGCGACCGACTTTGCGCAAGGCAACCCAAGCGACTCCTCGCCCCTCTCGCAGTCGATGCACAACCCCGGCGCCTTCCACGAAGGCCTCGGTGCGGAGCCGCGCGGCGGCAGCTCAGTGCCCGACGATGGCTCTGCGACTGGCGGAATGGATCGAACGACTTCGACGGCGACTACGGCTGTACCGCCTGCGACACCGTCACGGAGCGGTACGCTGAAGAAGAAGAGCAGCATGCGCCGCGCGAGTAGCCTGAAGCGCAGCAGCAGCAAAAGGAGCTTGAAGGCTGGCAGTCTGGCTGGTTTTGGGGGTGTGGACAGCGATAGGGAGTTCAACAGCTTTTCGTCGACGCCCGTGCCGACGCAGGGCACGCCGACGGAGATCTTGGCGAATCGCTTCCAGGCGTGGCGACAGCTGTTGAAGTCGCTTATTACCTATTTCAGGGAGATTCAGGCGTCGTATGAGCAGCGCGCAAAGGCTACGCACAAGGTGCAGAATGTGATTGCGAGCATTTCGCATCCTTCGCTGTTCATGCAGCAGAATGGGCTGAGCGAAGCCACGAAAGTGCTCGACGAGTACCACAAGCGATCCGTCTCTGAAGCGAACAAGTCCCGCGAGATTGAGAATGATGTGATCGGTGCGCTGACTGGCTTAAGGAGTGATCTGGGCCAGAAGATCAAGGAGATCAAGAGCTTGAGCGGCGACTTCAAGAACTCTGTCGAGAAGGAGCAGGATGGCACAAGACGTGAGGTGGAGAAGTTGCAAGAAGCGTTGCGCAACGCCGATCAGGATGATGGCTCTGCTATGGGCAAGAATGATCCGTTTGTGGTGAAGCTAGGCGTGGATAGGGCTGTGGAGAGGCAGGTTGATGAAGAGAACTACCTGCATCGGGTAGGGCGCGCTCTGTTCTGAGGATCATTACAGCACTGACATTATCTAGGCCTACCTAAACCTCGAGAGCTCTGGACGTGAGCTTGAATCCATCGTGGTTGGTGAGATCCAGAAGGCGTACAACGCGCTGGCCGGCATCTTGAAGCGCGAGGGTGACGATGCATACCACGCTGTCGAGTCGTTGCGCAGCGGCCCGATCTCAATGCCAAAGGACGCCGAATGGATCAGCTTTGTTCAGAGCGACCCGCACTTCGTGGACCCGAGCATTCCGCTGCGGCGTGTGCAAGACATTGACTACCCCGGCAAACACCATACAGCAGCAGCCGAAGTACGGTCAGGCATGCTGGAGCGCAAGTCGAAGTACCTGAAATCCTACACGCCTGGCTGGTATGTCCTGTCCCCGACTCACCTACACGAGTTCAAATCTGCCGACAAGATTTACACGCAACCGCCAGTCATGTCACTGTATCTCCCCGACCAGAAGCTCGGCTCGCACTCCCAGCAGGACTCTTCTAGCCACAAGTTCATGCTAAAGGGCAAGCAAAGCGGCAGCATGCACAAGGGCCACAACTGGGTATTCCGCGCCGAAACCTACGACACCATGATGGCCTGGTTCGAAGACATGCACGTCCTGACTGAGAAGACGGGCGAAGAACGCAACGCATTCGTGCGCAAACACGCCCGCAGCTTCTCCGGCGCCAGCGACCGCGGGACCGTTAGCAGCGACGGCCTTGAAGAAGACGAAGCAGATGAAGTGCCCTACTCCGCGGACGTGGCAAGTTTGCAAGGCGGCAACGAGATCCACCAGCCCCAACCTCAGCGTCCGGCTCCAGGTGAGTGATCAGCTTGCGTGTGCCATTGGTTTTGTTGCTTGTGCGAGTCCTTATGTTTTGAGTTAGTTTGACACGTGACAAAGACGCCTATTGACGCATCCGCGATACAGGCGGCCGGTTCCCTTCGGATATGCAAGTCCCGCGCGACCGGGCGGTATCGACGGGCCAGTCGAGCGGAAGTTCGGACGATCGTGATGCGGTGGCTTTGGCGGGAAATGTGCCGGGGTCGCAGCAGAATGATTACCGGGAACAGGATCCTTACCGCTTGGATGGTGTGAGTGCGGGAACGAACATTGGACACATGGATGGGACGGGGTATTTTGGACGACCGGCGGAACTGCCACCGCAGCAAGCGCAGCCGATCGAGCCGCAGCAGCAGCAGGAGTCTTTTTTAGGTCGTGAGCCGGTGGAGGCAGCTGCTCCGCCGGCGAGGCAGAACAGCTCATATTACGGCGATTGGATGGGCCCGGCTGCTGCGGGTGTGGGCGGCGTTGGTGCTGCGAGCGCCGCTGCTGTCGCGTACAACAGGCATGAGGACGAAGAGGAGGCGGCGAGGCCTGCGCAAGAGACGCCAGATGTGCCGGACAAGTCTGAGCTGCGGAGCACTGAGCCACTCGCGGGCAACGTGGTGTCTTTCAACGACAACCAAGCGCCTGTTGAGCGTGCTGTGGAGCCCCCGGTGGTCATGCCGCAGAACCTGGCTGCGCCGACACCGATGCCTTCGGCTCCCACTACCACCCCCGGCGCCGGGCTGGGTGGGCTTGAGGCTGATGGTGCGCACGAGACTGGTACGATCTTCCCAAAGGTCGTCCGCCACGACACCGAGATGTCCGTCAGCCAGCTCCACGTCCCAGGCGAGTACCCTAAGCGGGAGTGAAACACACAAACGACAGCTTCTGAAGAGAGGTTTTGGAATTCAGGATGACATCGCAGACTCACGAGTTGGTATGAGCACATGGTTTTACACCTGAGATCTTTACACTTCGAGTACATACTTTGGAACAAGCAAATGCAATACATCAATACTGACGCAGAGGTTCCCTCGCCGGATCCGCACTCATCCCATACTGCTGCGCCCTCTTCTTCGACCGCATCCGCATGATGGCGAACAGATATATCACCGCGCTCAGCAAACCAGCAACCGTATTCGCTATCCCAGTAAAAAACGACGTCGTCTGCCATAACATCAGCTTCTCCTCTCATCCACAGAGTTTTCGGAAACCTCACCTGTATCGAACAATACTGCTGAAAATCAATATCAGTCACCTGCTCCTGAATCTCATTCGCGGCCTCCGAGCACGTCCAGCCCCAAAGATCCACAAATTTGCCCTCCACCGGCTCCTTCCCATACCGATACACCGCCACCGAAATCGCCCACACCACCACATGCGCTCCTAGAATCAACGCGGACCAGTATCCCGCGTATTTGGCTGTGGCGTTCGCCTGCTTCACGCCGCGGATATACGAGATCATTATCCCGGCGTTGAGAAGGAAGGAGACGAGCGAGATGCCAAAGTACATGTACGTGTACCAAGCTATCGTGCCGCTGGCCCAGGCGGTGCGGGACTCGCCGTCGACGGTCATGTAGGTGTCTTTCGTTTGGAAGAATTTCACTAGCGTTATGGCGAGGGGAGCGACGGTGGCGGCGGAGAGGACGGTGGCAAGGGCGCGGGAGACGATGCGCAGGAGACGGATGCGGTGTTTGAGTTTGGCGTCTTGGAGGTCGAGGTCTGAGTGGGAGGGGGAGGGGACGATGGGTTTGTAGTAGGAGGTGTTGGAGCCGAGGCTGAGGGTGCTGGTTTGCGCGTAGGGGATGGGTTTGAGGTGGATGTCGGTTGTGGGACCATAGTGCGGCGGAGGGTTATTGTAGATGTAGGCCATGGTCATGGAGGATGCGTGCGAGAGGTTGGAGTTGGACGAGGCGACCAGGGAGGGCTGAAGAAGAAAGACCACTCACAGTTATAACTTACATGTACCGGTAGACATTGCGGATGCTATTGTTGGCCGGACCGCCGAAGAATACTGTTAGGCACCCCAGCGCGTGAGGGTGTAGTGCGGCGCAGGAGTGCGTCAAACTTGGCCGGTTGAAAACATGGCATGAGCCAACGCCACGCAGCGGTCGAAGCGAGAGGCGGCGTCTCTGCAAAGTCGATCAGGCGTCCAAGGAATAAAAATGTCAGGCCAGCCCGATCCTACCAACCTACCAATGGGGAAGGTGGACACCGCGGCCGATGGTATTGTAGCACGACTAAGTAGCTTATTCATGCGGCCAGAACACAGTAATCATGAGACTAGGCATACAAGTTTCGTGACTGATTGGTGTCTCATTTCAAGTCTGCAAGGCCCCAACGGCTCTCAAACAATAACTGTGGTATCATAACATTCGGCGCCGGAACATTCATCTCCTTACCCAGCAAAAGCAAAGCGGCTGAAGTCTAGCCGTGGCCTTGGTCCCGAGTCACTCTCCCCGCTGGCTGGGCTGTTCGGGATCAGGAGATCTTCACTGCCTTGTGCCGCTGCGGTCTGTACTTCTTGACCTCCAGCAGCTAGCCACCTTTCGTCGCTAATCGTATCGGTCGCATCTTCGGCTATGGAATGCGTCGTAGCAATGGGAGAAGATTGAGGGACTACATCTTCACGCGTTCCAGGGCTCTGACTTCCGTGATCTGGATCTTCTTGACTCTCAACGTCACGCTCCGCTGACTGGACGTCAAGAGCTGCCGATTTGCTGGATGCCTGGCGGTGCTGCGACGCCATGGGCATCGACTGTGTCCGCATTGTCTTGGCCTTTGGCACGCCACCCTGGAATAAGGATGACTTCAAGGCCGAAAAGTTGGCATTGACACCTTTCGTGAAAACATTCGACTCGGCATGCGAACTGTTCGTTTCGAAGGATGTGGCTGGAGTCTCCAGCATAGATTGTTGTGACTCGGAATCGAGCGTGGTTGTCACAGTGCTCTGCGAAAGATTGGTATGCTGCGATGCCGTGGTCTGAGTTACAGATGACCCGTCTTCATACACCTGAAGCTTTTTTCTCTTCTTCGGCGAAGGTGAGTCTTTCGCAGTGGGCGCAGATCCAACACCCGAGTTCGCAAGGGCTTCGATAGCAGAATCATCGGACCAGAGCTCGAACTCATCCTTCTTGGTGGATGCTTTGCGGAGAGAAGGAGAAGGCTGAACGTTCGTCTTGGAGAAGAAGCGACTTGAAGCGGCCTCACGGGTCATCTCGCCGCCCGAACATAAACGCTGTCTCTTAGGCGATACGGTTGGTTGGCTGAAGCTTCGTACATTTGAAGGCTGCGTCATGGGCTGAGGAGCCGACACTCTTCGATTCACACCGGCGATGCGGTCTAATGCCGGCGGTCGTACAACAGCCGGTTGAGATGCCGACCATGATGCACCTCGTTGATTCTGGAGCAGTCGCTGCTGACTTGGAGACGGGGTGAAGGAGTTTGGGTCCAGCTCTGCCAGTGGTGTTCGTTTCGCTTTGAAGAACTCCGTAATTGACTTGCCTTGCTTCTCATCCGGTGTCTGCAAGATGCGCTGTCGCGCAGTCATCACACTCTGGCGCCGATTGAATGCCAGCGGCTCCTTCGTGTTCGGATCCAGATCTCCCACTGCAACTCCAACGGCGAGCTCTGGATCCACCGCTTTACCGATGTACGGCATTGAGTCTACCTGCTGACCTGCAGGGACAGAATTCAGGTTGACGAGGCGCCTGGCTTCTGAACAGAACACCCACTGGTACAAGAAAGTTCGCTCAGCCTGATCGAAGGCGTCCAGATACTTGGGCGGCACCCTCATTTTCCCGTCGAACTGGACACTCCGAATCACACGGTCGAGCGTTTTGTGCTTGCGGACCAATCGATAGGCAGTTTTGAGGCCCATCTTGTCAATCCCAGGCAAGTAATCACAGCCACTCAGCATCGCCATCATGCGAAACTCTTTATCAGTCCAGCCCACCAGGCTGACATCTCGACAGGCTGTGAAATCTGCTCGATTGACCATCACACACTCGCCGTACTGGTCCAGCTTCGTGAGCAGACACTTGACGCCGAATACTAGCAAGTCCGAGTCTTCGCTGAGGACGCCATTGATAAGACCTCTTTTCTCCAGGTAAGCCAGTTGCGCATCTGCTTCATACGGCGCCACCACATAAGGCACGTCCAGCGCCTTCAGCTCCTCGATGAGCTCTCGTGCCATGCTTGGGGTAACATCGATCGCCTTCTGAAGTTCCAGATAAGCTTGCGACGGGCGGCCCATGCGAAGCAGCTCCAGACCCGCTCGCTTGCTCTCCTTTCGCTTCGCCGCTCGTTCCTTCTCCGTGTGCTCCTTGCTGGGCAAGTAATCGCCATCGAAGACCAGATAAGGCTTGACGCCAAAGTGAATCAGCATACGCACTCGACTTAGAGCGAAGTCGATATGCTTCTTGGTGGGCTTCTGTTCGGCAAGCTCGATGGCGCAAGAGACTGTCCCGCGGTGCAGCCAGCCATATGCATCCACTCCCAGTGTCTGGCCGGCGAAGTTACGCAGGTGTGTAGGCTTTTGTATGCTCTTGAGCAGAGGTAGAAGGCCTGATCTGGTTTAGTGGTGTACATAGATGTTGATGAAGCGGTCATACCTTGAATGCCCATCTCGGCGTGCGGCAGGCTAGCTGCCTGTCTATACCATGCGTTACCGCTGTGTACGATGCATTACGGCAGGCACTCTGGCTGTATCTGTATACCTTTTTGTCGACCAAATGGCACCGTGTACGTTGGAGGAGAGTGAAGGAGATGCATGATCTAGAGATGGCAAGAACGCGGTCTAGGACGCGTCGTCGGCAAAAAGTCGGCCCGCTTTTCTTCAAAATCTCGTTCATCTCCGAAATCAACTACTTCGCTTCCATGATATCTGCAAGGATACCAGACCACCATCGCGATGCCTTCAAAACTCGCGAAAGTGCACAAGCAAATCACCAAGAAGAAAGGCGACAAGATCAAATCCCTCCACGAGAACAGCAGAGATGCAAGACGACTACGGAGGGCTGGAGCGCGGGACGACCGGGTGGCGAGAGTGAATGCCGTTCGTCAGAAGACCAATGGGCTATGGTTGGAGAGGGTCATGTTCTTCCAGGACCGTCTACCTGACACGCTCCACCCACTGGCCGTTGAGGACATCAAAGCTTTGACCGAAGACTACCTCGGGCGGCACAGTGATGAGCTCGGTGAGCTGAAGGCTGAGCGCCGCACTGGCCGTCCCGCAAGCACGCGACAGACTCTGCTGGAGCAGCAGCGGACGATGGAGCTGCAGGAGTACGAAAGTGGCCTGTGGATGCCGAACCTCCAGGACGAGCAGACTCTGGTCAAGTTGGACGCGTGGAAAGGCGACTGGGTTGGTCTTGGGGTCATGAGGTTCATCAGGGTGGACAAGGAAGGAGGCGTGAAGGAGAGTCAGTTCCCACCGCGGGGCGCGTCATGAGAGGCTTTGACGGCCGCCGCTCAACGTCTGAGTCGAGATGCTGCTCCTTCAAGCGGGAGGAAAGGTCCGAAAGCAAGTTGCCAGCTGGGGCTCCGCAGTACGTGAGGTGTGGCTAGATAAGTCTGCCACCCCGCGAAGGGATTTTCCCATCACCCAGGTTGTTTTGAAGGTGAGGTCTCTCTCGCGCCGGCTCAGTCGCTTTCCGATCACTCTCTGCCTCTGTGCCCGCGAAAGTCCCACAGCTGTCTAGACCGTAGGATCTCGGGGCATCCGTGGACCAAGCTCTGCGCTGTTTAGTGGGATGAACTATAGGAAGTGCTACCGGTTACCCAAGGACTGCCAGCAGTTACGTCGTACGGCTATGGTGTCGCTGCATTTGAGCTACCAAGCACTACATACGCCAGCGACATTATTCCACCGGCCTCACCATACTTCGCCAGCACACGTACTCTGCGCAACCCACGAGACTGCGAACCATCCGCGTTTACCGGCCTTGATGGCACTCACGGTAACTTGGATCTTTGTTCCCGAACTGTCCCGTGGCCGCTGCGTGGGTGCATGATTAACAGTCTTCTACTCTTTCGGCGCCAGTCATTGTCGGAAGTGAATGCGAGACTCCGTCATCTCGTTTCACGTCTCCTTATCGAGGTGTCCGGAACGCCGTTGCTTCTCGCCTTCTGCTGGCGGGCATCACGACATCTTGCCAGCACGCAGGAACCCCGCCACTTGGACCTTTCGATAGGAAGCAACAGCATCTTCGTTCCGCAGCGTGCTCTCCGAGCAACCCCTCCGAGCTGAAGGCTCCCTGATGGCTGCTCCGTCCGGCAGGACTTCTGCCATACATACGACGCCGCACTGCGCCTTGATTAGAGACACATTGTCCCGCGCATGAGTCTACCAAACGACACAAGGACTCTAGAGTATCCAGAGTGGCAGCACACGGCGCTGTTGAGTGCTCACCGTGGCACTATGTACAGCATAGCAGTAGGTCAGACGACTCCGAAGCGGAAGCCTGACGGCCAGACAGCAAAACATCTCGCGCACCGTCGTGTTCTGTTGCATGCACATCGGCTGTCCACAACGCAGGACGACCCACCTCACTGCTATACCTTGGTACCTATGCCGTACCGGTTACTACGCCGCTGTTACTTCGAATCTTTGTTCTGCTCGTGGCAGCAGCTTTCGATGGGATCGCGAGCTCCTGGCCTTGACAAGGGGCTCCCCACAATGCACTGTCTTCAACCACGCGGCCCCTGGAGAATTTCTCAGCTCTACAGTTCACAACATCCACCGGGAACAGTCACGATGCCAGCCTCTCCACATTCAGCACCAACCACTCAAGCGATCCCTCACACCCCAGCGGAGCAATATCGGATTGCCAAACTAGAGGATATCGCAACGTCCATCGATCGGGCACAGCGAAGGTTGCGAACCCACGACAGACCCTCCGAAGACCAGACCCTCTCCAAAGATATCGAAATTTTCCATGATCTCGCGCCCGAGCTGCCATACCTGAAGAACAACCTTGCGCTACTTCTCGACACTTTAGCCTCAAGCCCTCCGGCGCTTCCAGACTTTCCAGAAAACAGGATCATTAGTATGAAAGCGGAATGTCGTCAACTGATTGAACACATCGGGCTTGAACAATGGAGGTTCGACGTCTGGTGGAAAGGGCTGCAACCAGTGGAGCGCGACATGATCGATGTTGCCTATCGTACGAAGGTTGAAGCTGCTCGTAGGAGGGCGCGGCAGAGTTCTTGATGTCGCGATCTCGAATCGACATCAAGTGACTTTTTAGTGGACTCGCTTCTCGACACCACCCGGCCACAGAGTGTGAGAAGTTTACGGTCAGTGTTATTGGTAAAGGGCTTGTGGGTGTACGGACTGGGGTCCGAGCAGGCTACTACGCTGATCGCCATGGACCGTGACTTCCAATTCGGTCTAATGTATCGATGCCGGACAGAAATTGGCTGCCCTGAAAAGACTTCCACGGACCGTCAAAAGCGGCATACTGTGACTCTCGCACGCTCCTCTTCATTTTCAGCGCAATCACCAATTCTTGCCACGGGCGCATTGTTTGCTACGGCTTTGTCTGGCCGGGCATGCTCGCTGCATGATGATTCTTGACACATGGGCCAGGGTCGCCGCGATGAGGCTTCGAGCGGTCATCTGCCAGCATGGGCGTTGGCAAGCCAATGCTTGAGCAATCAAAGTTATCACTGCGCTGTCAGAGAAGACTCACAGCGAGACATAGCTTACATAACCACGATCGACCGCCTCCATTGCTTCACACTCCTATATTTCAGCTTCTCTTTGCCCACCCACGATCTCAATCCAACGGGCTCAGTTACTACTACCTTGGCTTGCAACAGCCTCAATCTTCCAAACACAGGACCGTCGCCGTGATACGTCACCACGTCCCACAGCAACACAAACCGTCCAACCCTGCTAGGCTTGCAACAGGAGGTTGCCCCTCGCCCTTTCTCTGCAGCACAACACCTTCTCCGGAACTGCCGCAATGGCGTGCACACCCGTTGGCGTTGTGTGGCGATGCGGCCACAGCTGGCGCGAAATCGTCTCGAATCCACCGGATCACAAGCACAGTGAACTGTGCTGGCAATTGCAAGCACCTCGGAGAGCAAAGAACTTCCTGGATCCACGACTCTCCATGAACCAGAAAACAGGCCGGAAAATAGGTCTAATATACGTCGATAGGGATTGCTCTTCAACATGTTGCAACCAACAATTGACAAAAATTTGTTTGGCGTACAATGAGGCGTGCAGTAACCCGACCGGTTCTAGTACTTTGTCGAACGTATTCAGGCAAGAATACAAAATTGCAATTGACTGGCATCTAGCCACTGGCTGCATCAAACGTATCATTGAAGGCCTGGGGATGTCCAATGAGATGAGGCGAGAGATGGGTGCACCGGCACACAGAGATAGCTTAGTGCTGGCTGATCTCTCTGTCTCTGGGCCGTATCCAGATCCGCGGAATACCAGCGATTGGGATGCACGCCTTACTTTAAGCGAGCAGAGAGACCGGGTGCAAGAGGACATGGACTGGAACCGAGCGATCTTGAACGAAAATGGTGCGTATTTCAACGCCTCTCGCACCTCAATAGAGCAGTATCTCGCGATCGTAGCACATGTTAGTGCTTATCCGAAAGCCTTACAGGCTCCTCAGTTCCACACCCCGTCCACGGATACCTTTGTAGTTATCCAAGAAGGTGCCGGATTCGCTAAACCAGATGCCTCCGTGGCCCGTCGCACAAGTCACACAGAGGTAGCACCAGCGTCTGCCGTGCAAAACGAAATGTTCCCCTTGTCCGCTGGGTTGGATGCTTCGCAATCTTATACCTCTGCTGCAGCGGCCCCCGGTTCTATGCCACCACCATCAAACAGCTTTCTATGTTCTTCTCAGAACCAGCGTTTCACAAACATGGCCGAAGTCCTGCAGAACACGCCTAACTCCATTCTCTCGGTTCTCGAGGGGTCGATCGAACAGCTCAGACAAGAGGCATCGGCACTGCAAGAGATAGAGCTCACGACGCTCAAGGATCAGCAGGCCTTTGTCATGACCCAGATTTTCAAGCTGAAAGAGCTTCTCGGTCGTCAGCATACCCTCAGCGCTACTGTGGAGCGACAAGTTCCTATGCCACCGAGTTACAGTGCCGAGAAGCTGGCAGACATGGCAGCGAGCCTGGAGCGGGTGAAGCTAGCGCTTCGGGACAAGGTCCGTGCTGTCCTTCACTGGCTCCAGGGGCAGCCCATAGATATGGAGGAACTCTTCCGTTAAACGATCTGTCTGGCTTCATGAGATCTTGGAGGTCGCCTCGTTCGCAGTCTAGCGACCGCCCTGGTCGCTCTAGGCACCGCCAATGGTCGGTATTGCGAACTACTCTCGAGTTCCGGCTCTGTTTCAAGGGGGAGGACGGGCGGTTCTCGACAGCGACGTGCATCCGAACAGTACAACCGCTGAGCTGGTATCAGCGGGAAGGCGAGGTAGCGCGCGAGGAAGAGTCGCAGAGCGTACTGACGTGTTATCGGAGAGAGGACATTACTGATGCTTTGGATCTCTATTTACTGCTGAGACTATAAGCAATAATCTGGTCCGGTTTACCTCGACACTCGCGATGGTCCTGTTGAGGGTGCAAGGCGGTCTTGATCATATCACTGTAGGGTAGTCTTAAGTAGCTGATATCCCTGGTTGGGACACCTCTGCTGCTTTTACTATTGCTTCTTCCAGTGACTCCATCTTGCCATCGCGAAAAGCAGGCTGTGCGCCTTTCTCACACTTCGCAAGACTTCATTGGTCGCTGTCGCATCCCAAGATTTGCTAGCGCAGGCGGAGACGAAGAAGGCAAGCTCTCAGTGATCCGACATTCCGCGATTGCGATTGAGATCCGTTACGATCAATATGTTCAGGGACACCTCAGAGGCATTGCATGATCCCGGGACTGTAACATTGAGAGCCTGCCGATATAGTACTACATCTCGATAACGCGAATGGCTTGTAGGTTGGGCCCACTCGAGCAGACTTGGGGATGCACCTGCACTGGCCCTGCTACTCGCTGCTACAATGCTAGAGGCTCGACTCCAGGCTGCACCGGTAGTAGGGTTCTCTATCGACGGGACAGCGTCCTCGATCTCAGCAAAGTACGCCCACAAAGATTCGAGTTGATCGGGCTGCAAACCGTTACACCAGTCGCTCACCACCGACAGCTGCTGGTTCAGAGCAATTATTGCCTCTCGTCCTCTTGCGCAGTAAGTGCCTAACTGCATCTGCGAAAAGTCCGGCGGTACTGGCTCGGCGTCCATCATTGCTTGCACAATAGACTCAACTGATGGTTTGGCAATTGGATAGCCTTGCGTGATGTTGAGCCAGATTTGCACCTTCTCGTCGAAAGTCTTGCTTGAGAAGTCTGTCTGATGCGTTGGCGCATGTTGTCGTTCACGGGCACCTTAACACGGGCTCTGCTCAGTCCAAGCACAGCATGATCTCGTTGGGCCTCAAAGTCGCCGAGCTTAGAAACGAGTGCCACGTACATGTCTGTCTTCGTCGTGGCAGGAGAGTCCTGGAAGCGACCGTTGGCCCATTTGCTGAGGTATTCGTGCGCTTGGGCGACCTGAGTGAATATTTTTTGAAGATCTCGGAGCTGGGTAGAGCTGAATATTGATGTGTTCGGTGAATCGTCCATGCCAGTCTGTCAGAAACCTGTACCTTGGGCAAGATCTGTCTTCCGATTGGGACAGTCTGAAGGACAACCGCTACGTTGAGCAATGCTTCGGGGATGTCGCCAGTCGTTAGGGAGTAACGAATGTGGGTATTTTGTGCGTTAGTGATATCTGCCTTGGTTTGCTGACAGAGTAGGCTGGGAGTCCTCTCAAACACTCAGCAAACGACGTCGGCATGTGAGATGCTGACAGGCCACACCAACTCTGGCTCCAATGATGGAATGAGGACGACCCTGACTCTTGTAATACCTGGCTCTCAAGAGAGGAGATAGCATAGGATTCTCACGGGAAGAGACAGGTTACGAACTTATGATTCTCATGAGAGGAGATAGGGTAGCAAAAGAGCCAATGTGAATCTTGAACGGGTGGAACCATCGCCACCGATACTTGCCAGGTCCATCTGCAGTAACATGATCAGCTCAGGGACATGAGCAAACATCAGGAAGACATCATACCTCCCATTCGTCAAACTGATAGATGGAAGGGTTCTCCGAGATCTGCTCAATGTTTGAGCACATTGCGGCGCTCTGAGACCTTCTCATCTCCCCTGAAACCATCGAGACACCCGCTGACCCTTCTGCCCTTCACTCTAGGTTCATCCACATTCCTTGAATCGCCTTCTTCGCCGGCGCCTTGAGAATCAACCCGCTTCAGGCCTCACTAGCCATAGTCAGGGCCCATAGCGTTCTGGCGAATGTTCTTCTGTTGTTCGCTTGACAGGGTAGCCCAATACTCGTCTGTGACAGCTTTGGCCCGAGCCACAATGTCCAGTGCCTCGTGGATCTTCTCCACCGTGAGCGTTATCATCTGACTTAGGTTGTCCTTTTCCTTCAGGTACGATTTCTTCTCCAGCAGCCACTTGGCCCCGTCTTGAAGCTTGCCATATTCGTTGTTGACACGATGAATGAAGAAGGTGTACCATGCCGCTTGGTCTTTCCCGCTAAGTGAGAAGAAGTGGCTCACTGTGCCGGCAGCTGCTTGGGCGTTTTGGTGGGTAGAGTCGACTTCCGAGCAGGCTTCTTGGATAGCTCGAAGCTCTTCAGTGTCGAAGATAGCTCTGCCTTGCGAATTGGGTTGCGCTGGCATGATGATGTGGGATGTCGGGAGCGTGTGAAGCCTGGATATGACGTGGTACCCTCAACGAGTGAACCAAAGGTGGCAGTGATGATGAGGAGGTGTTGAGGTTCTGATCCAGCAGGTATCAAGACTGAGCCAGGGGTACGCTGTGTTCGATTGAGCCGTGAGTCCGAAGCATGATGGTTCTCCATATGTGACTGCAAAGTCGGTCCTTCGTGGGGTGAAATGTTTGTCGAATAAGTCGGCTTAATGTAGGAGAGGAAGCATGACCTGAAGTTGTTGAACGACGAGGTGAAGTTGCAAAGGTGAATTTCAAGGCAATACTCATGCTAGTCACGACACCAGAACATCAAGCTCCGAAGAGCGGCCAGCACGTAGAAACAACTCTTGGGGGGAAAGCAGAGAGCCCGCGCAATCGCTGTCCACCGCAATGAACAAAACGGCCAAGATCGTGGATGAGAACTATCTATTACCCACTTACCATACTTTCGTTCAAGACCTGGTGGACGAACGCCTTGCCCGAATCCCCGTTCGACACATCTAGCAATAGTCCTAGGGCGTTGGTACACAGCGGCTCACTGAATCAAGAGAAAACAGAACAAATGGAAGTGAAATGATAAGTACTAACTACTGTGGCAGTTACTCACCTTGGCCAATGCACTGCGATAAGCCAGGACCTCCCGGAAAATCATCTACGTAGTCGAAAGAAAGCAACATGATGATGTGAAAAGTATCGCCAACTTACCATCCAGGACTTCCGCCAATGCCGCGCACCGGTGACAGAGCTAAGACGGTTCCAGGTCGTCGTTCGCCACCAGATGCGTACCTGAGGCAAACCGCAGTTCTACCATGCGACGTCCAGTGTGGCAGCATTCGGCTCACCACCGCCGGCCGCTATTGACGGCATTGTACCTGATCTTCACCATGTCCCTTTCTTCCTCATTGAGGGCGCGGTACCAGTTATTCAGCATGTTTCTGCGCCAATACAACTCGATCCTCGCAGCCTGCAACTCCGTGCGGAATTGGCTCAGCAACCGGCGATGTTCAGGCCAGGTCAGGACTTGCGAGGCATTGTTTAGAGCATTTACGCCATCGCTGAGCGTTTCTGCGTACCCGTTGAACCTCGGATTCCACTCGATAAACATGTCGACTTGGGCAGCTAGGGATCGGTCCTCAAATCGGTGACTTCCGAGGTCTCGAAGTCCCCCATCGATTTCATCAACATCGTGGCGTGAATTTGTAATCCGGATCATCTCCTGTACCTGGGTGTGGGTGAGATTTGGCATGATGCGCGTGTTTGGTTTCTGCGGTTGGTGTGGAGTTCGACGAGGCTTGGAGGAGTCTGGAATGCGTATAGTCTAAGTGCTGTGGTAATGTAAGGTATGCCGCCGTAGAAGTCTAGAAGAGCGAAACCGGGCAATTATATCCGTCGAGATACCGAGTTTGCTAGCAGTGACCAATGCGTGAGTCTCCAGTTGCAGTGTTCACGGCCGCCCTGTACTTATGGAACGCATCGTATCAAGAAGCAGCATTCTGTAGCAGGCCTGTTCAGTCAATGAAGATGACTGAGGGGAACGAAGCATAGATCAAAGAGAAATGATAACGAACCAACTTACTAATAGTCGGCAGGTACCCACCTTGGCCAAGACCCTATAACAAGCCAGGAGCTCCTGGAAATTCATCTATCTAGTCTATGTAGTCGCAAGAAAGCAACACAGCCGTGGAGAAAGTGTCGCAAACTTACCATCCAATCCACAACCTGCCTGATCAAACTGTTCGCTCAAGATCTGCTGTGATGTTGAACGCCATCAAGTTACAACCAAAGGACAGCCGCTCAGTTGAGCGTTTGTCCTGACCTCGTGGCGATCATGGCCCTAACCACTTGCCTCGCGTTGGAGTCCAACTCTTCGTCGAACCAATTGCTCAGCATGTATTTCGCCGCATTCAGCATTTGCCTTACGCGTGACTGTTTTGCGTAGACGTTGTTTATATACAGTACCCATCTAGCGTCGTAATTGCCGTAACTGTCGTTCGGGATGACCTGCTGGGCAAGCTGCTCGGTAGGTGTGACAGCCTCGAGCCGTCCTCCACACCAGTTCAGCTTTGGGAGCCAATCAACGTATGTGTGCATTTGAGCGGTCAGGTTTTGGTTGTTGAAGCCACGGCTTTCGAGGATCCGGATTTGATTCTCGACTGCGTTCATGCTGTTCTCTGCATTGGTGAGGGCATGCAGTCTCTGCCTCTGGAGCTCGGTAAGGACTGGAGGAGGGGCCATCTTTGATTTGTGTTATATGTGTTATGTTTGTGGTGGGTTACGATTCGTGTGTGATGTCTTTGGTTTGTTGAAGGTCGTTGAAGGTTGGGACGTCTGGTTTGTCTAGGATGTCCAGGATTTCGAGAAGATGTTGAGTTAAGCTGCTCCAGAAGGGCGAAGAGAGGCCGTTATATCTGTTAAGATACCGGGTTTGGCGGCTGGCTAGCAGTGACCAATGCGTGAGTCTCCAGTTGCAGTGTTGACGGACGCCTTGTACTCACAGAATGCACCGTGTCGTGAAGCAGCATTCCGTGGCAAAGTTTTCCAGTCAATGAAGGCGACAGAGGGAGATGAAGAGCACTCATGACCTGCCTAGTGAAACTGTCCGCTAATGGTCTGATGTGATGAGGAACCCTACGACATCCCAATGACAGCTCGACGGCCACTCACCCGTGCGATTGTCCCGCGCGGCAGGCTACCGCTCATCACCGCCTCACGTCGAACCTCTGCCTCAACTCTGCCCTGGCGTCCGAGTCCAAAGCGTTGGACCAGCTGTTCATCAGGATCCTACCCCAATCCACCAGTCGCCTTGTCACCTGTATCTTTCCGTGGACTTGGTTCAGGTATTGTACATTATCCGTATCAGTCGGCATCACTTGTCCGGCAAGCCGGAGAGCAGGCATGACAGCGTTGAGCCATCCTTCGAACCTACGAAAAGAAGGGCACGAGGATTAGCGAGCGTCTCAGACTTGGCAAGAATTGCTCATGAGTACACGTCGAATTGAACGGTCCAATGAAGGTACATGTGGATTTGCGTAGCTTGAGACTGGCTGTTGAAGTTGCTGCTGGCGAGGTTCCGAAGTTGGTCCTGGGCATAGTTCATATTGACTTCTGCTTGGTAAACCGCGTCCATTCTTTCTATCTGGAGTGGTGTCCGTTGTGGAAGAGGGACCATCTTTGGTTCTGATGATTGACACGAACGTGTCAAGTCGTTGTGTTGGGCTGAAGGTTGTTGAAGGGTCGAAAGACCGGTTTCTCGAGGGCGTTCAGAATGTCGAAGAATGTGGCGAAGTTCTGCTGCAGAAGAGTGAAGAGAAGCCATCATACAGACTGAGATAGCAAGTCTGCCGGCAATGAGCAACATTGAATATCCCGGTCCAGAGGAAGGCTGTACTGTACTCGTCTAACGCATCGTATTGGATGGCCGCGCGCTGCTTCCTGGCCTGTCCGAACGGTGCGGGTGCGCCGATGCAATCTTCACTGGAGTCTGCGGACTTTTATTAGCGTACATGCGAGCGCAAGCTTCGCACAGATCGTGGAGAACTGCGGAACAGATTGGAGTGTGACAAAAGCACTGGGGCTCAAAGAACGTCGGAGACCATGATGGAACTTGAGTGAGCTACGAAAAGAACTTAAAACGAAACTTCGTACCTGGTATCAAGAGCAAAGAAGCCATCAGTCGGCCGGGGACTGCCAAACCTATTCTGCCGGAGAAATTTGCAATCGTAGCCAATCACCCCGGAAGCAACATGGAAGAAAAAGCAGAGCAGCTCCGTCATCCGCACTGGCAACAAGGCTACTCCAGGTCGACGTTGAAGCGCACTTGCCGCCTCGCGTGCTCTTCTTCTGCCCTCGCCTCCTCTGTCTATGCCCTTGCCTGCTCCGTCTCCTCTAGTGCTTCGTTCTCCATTATCTTACCCGCTAGCAAACGCTTGACGATTCTCCGCCTCGGTTCAGCAACCTCCTTCAAATGGAGCTGTTCCCGTTTAACCTCTGACAACTTTTCATGCCAGTCATCGAAGATCAACTTCAGGCCACCAGCCATTTTCAGGCCATCTCGAATCATAGCGATCGCAGAGTCCATGTTCGTATGGACACTTGCGTCAGTGTCGGGTTCGTTGTTAAAGAACTGCTGGGCGGGCAGCAGAGTCTCGTGGCATTGTTTCAGTTTCGTCTTGTCCTTGCGCAATTCAAGGTAGACAGCGAGGTAGGCGTCGATCTGCTTGTCAAAATCGTATATTGGAAACAGTGTAAGGTACCAGGTTCTTGAATTTTTGATAGATGCGGGTGATGATAGGCATGTGAATCAGTATCAGGTCGTAGTGTCGTTTTCGAGCCTCGGACAGTGCGGCAGGAGTAAGATCACATAATATGTCGGCCGATCGAGTGGCGACCTGTGGGTTCACGTTCGGATCTCGTGTGGTGTTGGATGATCGAAGCTCAAGTGGTCCCAGATCCGGAGCAAGTGCTGTGTAGGTGTAGGGTACATGAGGGCCAAAAGGCGAGTTTGATGGGATCTCGGACTGTGGATGCATACTCGGCCCAGTGTCTGTTTGGGATCGTCGAGTGATGGGAAGCGATGTGGGCAGGGTATGGTTGGTATGTATGTCCAGGAACTGGCAGATAACGCGGTTATTTTATAACAAAGCAAGCTCGACTCATGCATGACTTGGATATGCGTTCGGTCATCATTCCAGCATTGAATGATGGGTTTGGCGGTAGCACCAGCAAACCATGTCTGTGATAAGTCCCTGGCCGTTGGATCTCGGAAAGCGTTGGCGATTCTCGAGTGCTCGCAATCGTCACTCCATGGGTATGCCCATGTCGAAGAGCAGTCTGTTGGACCTTCAGAACCTCGCAGCAGCCGAGCCCCCTCTTCAACCAGCCCCACTACCCAAGCCCTCCGCACCCCACTCGCGCAACCTTCTCATCACCTCCTTCTGCCTCCTCTCCTTCTCCTCTAACTCCCGAATCTCCTCTCCCTGATCCTCAACAGTACGATCCATATCCGGCAGCTTCTCGAGCTCCTTCAGCGCTCGCCGGATTTTGGTCTTGATCTGTAGCACTTCCGCCGGCAGCTCCTTGGGGTCCAGCGGTTGGAGGGGCGCGTACAGGGCTGGGAGGTCGGTTGCTTCTTGATCTGAGTTGCTCTGTAGTTGTTGGTCCAGAGTGTGAGTGTCGTGATCGATGCGTGCGAGTAGCTCGTGGAGGAGAGGGAGGATGTCGAAGGTTTGTGGTGGTGGGAGTGTCGGCTTCTGAGGGTTCGTGGATGACGGCATTGTCGTTGTTGATCGTTGCGTGGCTGCCATGCTACTATCCGGTCCCTTTCGTTGGCAACACGGAGGCTTTGTATCGGTGGTCAAGGTAGATGACTGTCGAGAGGTGACGTCGGGGAGAGCTCGGTGATCTTCAAACAAGCTCCGGAAGCCTCGGTCCGCCGCGCCGCTACCAAGCTCTCGGATCAGCCAAACTGGTGGGATGGCGGGGCAGTTGTCAACATTTCTGTTGCTTCTTGCTTTTGTGCTCCTTGATAAGACGTTGTCTTCTCAACTTCAACCAGACTCGGAAGAACACACACGACTAGGTAGGACCACCGAGAAGCTATCGTAGTAGTACACGGATCTTGTCCCAAACGAACACCCACCAAGCCATTGGCAGCAGGTCGCCCATCATGGCGCAGGCCAAGCAGAAATGCGCTCTGATATGCATTGACGGCTGGGGCATACCCTCCGACAAGTCACCTCCCAACGGCAATGCCATCCTCAACGCCGAAACACCGTGGATGGACGAATTTGCGAAAGACGGCTCAAAGTACGCCCAAGGCTACACCTCGCTGGAGGCTTCCTCGCTGGCCGTAGGTCTGCCGGAGGGCTTGATGGGAAACAGTGAAGTCGGGCACTTAAACATCGGAGCCGGACGAGTGGTATGGCAGGACGTTGTGCGGATCGACCAGACGATTAAGAATGGCGAGTTGAGGAAGGTGGAGAATATTGTCAAGTGCTTCAAGCGGGCGAAGGAGGGTAACGGCCGCCTTCATTTGTGTGGTCTGGTCAGTGATGGAGGTGTGCACAGCAAGTACGACCATCTGGTGTCTCTCTTGAAAGTGGCCAAGGAGATGGAGATCCCAGAGGTCTATATCCACTTCTTCGGCGACGGCCGGGACACCGACCCTCATAGCGGTCTGGGGCACATGAAAGACCTCCTGGCCTTCACGAAAGATCTTGGACTCGGCAAAATTGCTACTGTAGTCGGAAGATACTACATCATGGACCGCGACAAGCGCTGGGATCGAGTGGAAATCGGCATGAAAGCGCTCGTCACTGGCGAAGGCGAAGACAGCTCCGACCCGGTCAAGACCATGCAAGAACGGTACGACAAAGGCGAGACAGACGAGTTCTTCAAACCCATCATCGTCAACGGCGCCTCCGCCCGCGTCAAAAACGACGACACCCTCTTCTTCTTCAACTACCGCTCCGACCGTGTACGCGAGATCACCCAGCTCCTCGGCGACCAGGACCGCTCTCCAAAGCCCGACTTCCCGTACCCCAGCAACATCGCCATAACCACCATGACGCGCTACAAAACCGACTTCAACTTCCCAATCGCCTTTTCTCCCCAAGTCATGGACAATGTGCTCGCCGACTGGCTCTCCAAGCAAGGGCTCAAACAATGCCACATCGCCGAGACAGAAAAGTACGCACACGTCACGTTCTTCTTCAACGGCGGGCGCGAGATCCAGTTCGACAACGAAGACCGCGACCTTATCCCCTCGCCTAAGGTAGCGACCTACGACCTCGAGCCGAAGATGAGCGCCATGGCCGTTGCGGACCGAATGATCGAGCGCATCAAAGCCGGCACGCACGATTTCGTGATGAACAACTTTGCCCCGCCGGATATGGTGGGTCATACCGGCGTCTACGAGGCAGCGGTGAAAGGCTGCACGGAGACGGACGCCGCGATCGGGAAAGTGTATGAAGCGTGCAAAGAAGCCGGATACGTACTCTTCGTGACGAGCGACCACGGGAACGCAGAGGAGATGCTCACGGAGGAGGGGACGCCGAAGACGAGCCATACGACGAATGAAGTGCCTTTTGTGATGGCGAATGCGCCGCAAGGGTGGAGTTTGAAGAAGAAGGAGGGCGTGTTGGGGGATGTGGCGCCGACGGTGCTGGACATGATGGGGGTGGAGAAGCCGGAGGAGATGGGGGGGAGGAGCTTGTTGGAGAAGTCGTGAGTGTGATGTTCATGAAGGGACGAGATGGGATTGACATGGTACAACCTTATAGACAATGTCGCTGATGACGAGAACACGATATACGTGCTGATAGGACGAATACCGCGGCAATGGACTTTCAACCGACCAAGCTCGTCGAAGTCGAGCCACACTCCAATGCATCCTCCAGGGGTACCGACCGCATTCATGCTCATCCCACACCTCCCACACTTCTCCCTCGCCATACATGTCCACACGAGTCATTCAGCACTTTGTGCAACCATCCAGTTTCAGCCATGTGCTGCAGAAGGTCGCACAACATTTCTGTAGAGGGTGTGGTGAGATTACGACTCAGCTACACCGTCATCTTATCTTCTTAAGCGGAAAGGCTCCTTGCATGTGCATGAAGGCGAGAGGCGGCGGCTGGATCGGGCTGTGATTGGATCTTGGTGGAGGAGATGGAGGGGCTTGGCAGGAACGATGCGGGATTCGGGAGGGCATTGCATGTGACAGTCGACGATTCACAGAAGTCTCCGAACAGCGCAGTTGTAACGTCGACGTGTCGAAGAAGTTGTCAGACCGTCTAAGGAGCTGTCATGTCAATGTATCGGCTATGCAGTGCACAAGTTTCATCTTCACCTCGTGGGTTGGCGCACACCACCCCTGCTCGGTTCCTGATCTGCCAAATCTGTTAGCTTAATGTACCCCTGAGCATCTGCATTGGCCCGCGCTGGAGCTGGCCCATTTCTCATCTTGGTGCCAGCAGCGCACGCGTTGTCGCACGGAAAAGTCTCCCGGTGGAGGCGTGCGCGGTATCTCGATTGGTCCAGCATTCCACCGCCCATTGCTTCTCTTATCATGTGAGACGGACACGACAAGACAGGAACGGTCAGAGAGGAATCGATTCCGGCGTCTGCTCCCCCCACCGCGGCTGCTGCACGCTGCACGACCGAGCGGCCTTGAACTCTGTTGCCCGCGTCCTACCACTGGGTCATGGCAAGCGACTATGCAGCGCCTACTGCAGGTCCGTCTTCAGCATCCGTTGCCAATGCTTCGCCGCAGAAGTTCGCCAGTCCGCCCGTCGCTCTGAGCAAGCGCACTTCGTCGCGCAATGCGTTGAGCGAGAGTTATAACGGCGGGAAGGAATCGCCGCCTACGACACCGCCGCCGAATGCGCGCAGGCGGACCAAGTTGAAGGAGAAGGGGAAGCAGACGGCCAAGGCGCAGACGAACGCGGAGGAGTACAGTGCTGTGATTGATAACAGGCATTCGCATGGTTTGAGCTGGTCGAGCACGACGCGGGACAGTGTGGTCGACAACTTGCTCTTCTCGTTGGATAACCTTTCGCGGACGGACGTACGAGACGAGGAGGACCGCGCGATTGAGGCCGCCGACTTCGATCGACAAAAGTACATGTTGCCTTTCGCTCCGCCGCCGCGGCCAACCATCGCCAAAACGCAACGACCGCGCGGGCATACTTATTCGAGCTCTTCTTCCAGCGTATACGAGAGGCCGGGCATGATGGACTCGCCTAGTACTTATTCGGGCACGCCAAAGGGCAGACGGAGCAACAGCAGTTCGAATTTTGGGATACAGCACAACATGAGCGCGAAGGTGCGGGCGTCAAGACATCGAGGAGCGAGCAGTCTGAGCACGGATACTTCGACGATTGGCTCGAATGGACTGCTGGGAAGAGAAAGTACAGACAACAAGCCGACGTTCGACAGAACGAGCTTGGAGTACGGCTACAGCACAATCACCAGCCCGAGCAATATCAAGCGCAATAGGCGGTCGTTGAGCATGAGCCAGATCCACGAGATGTTCGCTACATCGGAGGGTGAGAGCGGTGCCTCCATGATCAACCGCGGTAGGCCGGTGCCTTCGGTATACAGCCCCTTCGATGTGGATGGCAATGCTGCGCCGGAACCTACGATCGCTGCCGGTCCGCGCAAGCAGCAGAACCCGACTGCGGTCGGGCCTGTGTACGTCAACCAGGCACCAAAGGGCTCTTCGATACGCAAAGTCACCACGCACACCGACCTTCGATCGAGCAGCATGCCAATGCCCTCGCAAGCCATACCGCAAAGCATTCGCAATCAGGCGGACGAGTTCGTGCGAGCGAGCAGTATGCGTGGCCAGCCCTCCATTCCAGGTCAGGAGAAGCCGCTTCAGAGCCCGTCACTGCAGCCTCCTCATGGACCAAGAGCAGCAGGCTCAAGTCGCGAACGGCCTGGCTTCTTCAAGCGCGTGTTTGGGAGCAGCTCATCACGAGGGTCGAATGACAGAGTTGAGACACTGGGATATAGCGACCTCGTGGGAGCACCTGAACGGAACAGCAGCTCTGGTGGCGGGACACAGCATCCACGCACTGGAACACGGCGTTCATCCGCCAGAGATATTCCGCAGACGAGTGGAGGATCCTCTCACCCACCTGTTGCACTGAACAAGAAACCATCGAGTTTCTTCCGGCGAAGGAAGAAGTCCACTTCAGAGCTCAGCCCGCCGCCACCACTACCGCTTGGGATCGCCAATGCGAAGAAGACCGGTTCCGGAGCGGATAGTCCTAGTGCAAGCAGCCTTTGGAAAGTCATGGATCCGTATCTGGCTGGTGAGGATGCGCCACCGGTTCCTTCTTCACTGTCCAAGGAGAAGTCGAAGGAGGACGAGTCGTCACGGCCTACCACGAATGATTCAACAGAGGATTCGGACAATCTGGACATCTTTCACTCTGGTTACACACCGCCTCCTGATGCTTCACTCGGAAGGCGCAACCCACTCACAAGGATGTCTTCTGATACTGAGAAGGGTCACGCGAGGGAAGACAGTGGAGCGGCGAAGATGAAGGTGAAGAAGAAGAAACAGGACACCTTATCCCCGTTGCAGCAAACGAGTTTCCTGTTCAACTCGCACAGCAACGAGAATCTGCGTGTGACGCCGCCACCCATCTCTCCTGCGTTGGTCAGTCCGATGGCAAGGGAGGTGTCGCCTGTAGATGAGAGTGGGGAGGACAGACGGCCGGTCAGTAGGGCGAGCACTGGTGATGGGATCACCGGTTCTCAGGCTGTCAGCCCAATGGAGGAGGAGATGGAGGCGAGCCAGCATGCACGAGAAGGGAGCGACGGCGACGGCGGCTTCGTGAAGCGGAGCATCGACCTGCGCCCAGATTCGAAGAGAGGCGAGCGCTTGCTCCTCATACCCACGGCATCTGAGGAAATGCTGGGTTACAGTTCGAAGGAGCTGGCGACTGTGATTGAGTCCGGCTCGCCGACGAAAGAGGACAGTTCGCAGCCGACTTCAGCGAAGAGTCCGGCGTTCCACACGGCAACTTCTGCCAATTTTCCGAATGAAGTGCATTCGCCTACGAGTCCGAGCACGCGCTTCCATTCTGCTGCGAGCCTTCCGCTTGTGCAGATCGATGGTGCCGACCCTCGAAAATCCGTCGAAGCAAATGGCATGACCGTCGACACTGGCCCTGCCGAGCCCGTCCCAGCCCTCCCGACAGACGTCACAGACTCGAACGCCGAATACCGTGAGCGCGCACGCAAGATCTTCGACGGCGACGAAGAAGACGTCAGCAAAGCTGAAGCCTCCTCCTGGCTGGGCGAGAGGAACACGCTCTCCACGAAGACCCTGGAAGCGTACATGAACCTCTTCGACTATGCCGGCTTCAGCATCCTGGTCGCCTTGCGGCTGCTTTGCGGTAAGCTGACTTTGAAGGGCGAGACGCAGCAGTTCGACCGAATAATCAATGCTCTGTCTGCACGATGGTGTGAGTGCAACCCGCATCACGGCTTCAAGGCGCAGGATGTCGTACACACGATCTGCTACTCGCTCATCTTGCTGAACACGGACTTGCACATGGCGGATATTGGCGAGAAGATGTCGAGGTCGGCGTATGTGAAGAACACTCTGCCGACCATCAGAAGAGTTGCGGCGGATGCGGCGCCCAGTGCCTTCGAGGAGACTGTCAAGCCTAAACCGAATGCATCGAGGCCAACACTGCCATGGAGCGATTCGAGCAACACGATCCAGCAACTTTCGCCGAGCGAGCGGACGAGCTTCGAGCACGAGCGGCCCCGCCAGTTGAAGAGGTTGAGCATACGGCCGATGATGGACCGGCAGGACTCTGACAACGGGACGCCAACGGAGAGTGCGGGTGGTGGAAACAATGCATTCAATGCGCTGGTCAATCAGCCGTGGAGCGGATCACCGAAAGGCTGGGAACTGGAGCTCGAGAATATCCTGAAAAGCTTCTACGCTTCGGTGCGATCGGATCCGTTGCCATTACATGGCGGACCAGCCATGCCTGAAAATGTGCCCGCCGAACGGAATCTCAGCGTGCAAAACTTCAACTCCGGATTAAAGAGGACTGGCTCGCTGATCAGCAAGGCACCGAGTGACAATGCGTCTTTCCGCTCCAAAGCTGGCGGCTTCCGCACCATGACTATGGGTTTCCAGAACAAGTACAATCGCTCCAGGCCTAAGCTGTATCCGAACAGCACTTATGGCTCGTCTGGTACCTCCTTCGACGATGGCAGTGTCTGGTCGCCTGCGCAGAGCAGTGCGTGGAGTAAAGGGTCGGCCTCACGGACCCTGACCAGTGCATCAATGCAGAGTCTCGGCACGCACTTCTCCAGCGCTGGAGGGGACTTCAAGCACTCGATTGGGTTTGCGAATGCGTTAAGCCAGGCCATCATACGCGAAGAAAACGCCTTCACGCAGAGCGATGGGGAGAGCGTATCCATGTCCGTTCCAGGTGGACTGCTCGAAGACGAATCACTAGCCCTCGAAGGCGCCCCATGGGCGAAAGAAGGTCTGGTACAGCATAAACACCACCTCGAAGCCTCCGGCAAGAAAGCGAAAGAGCGCAGCTGGAACGACTGCTTCGCTGTGATAAGCAAAGGCAAGCTCACGCTGTTCAACTTCAACACTACCTCCAACAGCAAATCAATCGGCAGGAAAGCCTTCACGAAACCTCAATCCAACGGCCGTGCAGCAACTGCCAACGTCTCAGGCCAAAGGGTAGGCGGAGGCGACTGGATGGAGAACGCCGAACAACTCGCCGTCTTCGTTCTGCGCCAGACCATCGCTTCCGTCCTCCCGCCCCCAGGCTATGGCAAGACGCGCCCGAACGTCTGGGCCTTGTCCCTGCCATCAGGAGCGGTCCACCTCTTCCAAGTCGGCACCCCAGACATCGCCGCCGAGTTCATGAGCTCCGCGAACTATTGGTCCGCCCGCCTGAGCAAGGAACCTCTAAGTGGAGGCGTAAGCAACATCGAATACGGCTGGAGCGACAACGTGATCAACCCCGCCCTCCTCGAACCCTCCCGCTCCGAAGCCGCATCTCCCACCCCTCCGTCATCCTCCCACCCGCCAGGCTCAATGCAGAATCGTCCCCACCACTCACACTCCAACTCCTCCGGCGCCGCGGGTCTTTCTCGCCCCTCCTTCCAGTCATCCCTGCGCGGGAGTTTCGATACAGGGTTCGGTGGGGCCCATCGTGTGAGATTGCCGGGCGATAAGGTACAGATGGCGGAGTGGACGCCGCCGACGCAGAGTATGATGGCCTCGCAGCTGATGGAGGTGGATCAGCTAAGGGCTTTGCGGGCGTACGTGGCGGGGGTGGAGGGGGAGTTGAAAGGGCATAATGAGTTGAAGGGGGCGATTGAACTTGCTGTAAGTCTTCTTGCTTCCCTTGTCAGCCTTGGCTGGGTTCTGGCCTGCGATAGCCCGTGGGGCCACGTTTCGTGGATGTTATGCTGATGTGATATGTACAGTACTCCCCCCGCCAAGCAAACCACACCCGCGCCATGGCCAACTGGCAGCGCAAATCCGACCACCTGCTGCGCGAAATCGTCAAGTTCCAAACCTACGTCGACAGTCTGGCCGCCGCGCAAAAGGCCAAAGACGCTTTCTATGCAAGGAAAGAGGCGAAGGAGGCGGAGCGGAGGGCGAGGGAGGATGTGGTGGCGCTAGCGGCGGCGGCTGAGACGCAGGGGTCGGTTTCGGGGGTGAGTACGGGGAGCACTGGGACTGGCTCGTAGGGTGGGCGGTTGGGGTGTTGGGTTATGTGGTGGTTTGGAAAGGGGAGGTCTACAGGGCTGCTAGGACGCAGCGAGGGTTGAGATTGGATGATTGGGGTGGTGTAGTTGTACGATTGCGATCGGGCTTTTCTGCCAGGCGCTGGGTTTGGACTTCTGTTAAAGTGCGATTGGGGAGGGCTTGGTTCTGCTTCTTGGGATACCCAAACTTGTGTTGAATATCGCGGTGGAGAAACGGTTGATCAGATAATGGTGTGAAATTCAAACTACGCTCAAATTTGATCTTCCTATGCCAGTCTCCCGTTCTCAGGGCCATGCTTGCATCGCATCCAGCTTCAGGTAGCTCCCGAACCAGTCGTTCGCCTACGAGCCTGTCACCAAACTGCCACTTCTCGTCCTGCGCCTGGTCCAGTCGATGTCAAATTGGAAACGCTCGGATGCCCGCCTATACGAAAGTGTAATACTGCAGCTTGTCGTCGTCTTCTGGATAAATATCGTACTCCATCCGATCCATGATGTACGCCCTCGAAGTCACCCAACGATAGTGCTCACCTTCCCTTCGAATAATCGCAGGTGCCCAGGAGCCTTGACACATAAAGACGCTGTCCCCAGCAGCGATCGAGTGCGGAGCGAGCCCCAGTTTTCCAGACTCTGTGCGAAACATGGTCTGGTAGCGAAACGACAGGGTGATGACGAGGAAAGCGGCCCAGCTTGTCGGATGGGCTCGGACGGTGCGTAAAATCTGGAGCTCGATTCGCTCCTGCCATGCCGCGTGCTTAGGGTTGGTCGAGAGAGCGAGTATTTGGTCGTCCAGGGTGGACCCGGTGAGAGGCACTTCGTGGTCTGGAGCAATAAGTGACCGGCCTCGGATGTGGGAGATGAGACGAGTAAAAGCTGGGAAATCGATGGTTTCAGAAGCGATCGCTCTCGACGTGCGGAGCAGTTCAAACATCTCTCTCCCGCTGCCGGCGTCTTCCTCTTTTCTCGGGTCTGTCAATTTATTGGTCGTCTGCGCCAATCCGACGAAAGACTTGAGAGCCTTGAGGTTCCACATCAGGACCAGGGCTTCGCTGCATTCGATAGACGTCTCGATGGCTTCTCTCCAGAAATCTTCCAATGACGGGACATCCAACAGACTGGTGAGCTCGCGAGCAGGATCGACCAGGTCCAGTGAGCGGAATCTGGCTCGTTGAGATACCATGTCGTTGGACACTCCTCGCACTAGCAAGTGACGATCGTTTTCCGCAAACTGGACGTCGTAGTGGTAACGAAATTCTCGCTGTGGTGCCGGCTTGAATTTGACGTAGTTAGCAGCATAGTTCCAATTGGCCACCCACGACGGCGCCGATGACAGCTGTTCCAGTCCTGTCAGACCCTCAAGCAAGCCGAGGCCTCCGCTCTTCATGATCTGTACCGTGTAGTGCCAGTAGATTTCCGCGAGCGGCATGCTATAGTCCGGGGCGGGCAGCGGGACCCCGGCCGCAGTCAGTAATCCGTGAAGCGCGAAGGCGTTGTCTTCCGGCTTGGAAGCGAGTTTTACCAGCAGGCTCGGCGTCCAACTCAGGTTGCCTCGTGCTTCCAAGTACACTTTCGTAAGGCCTATAACCGTCCATGTGACTCGATACGCAGTTGTTTCACTCTTGTTAAGCCTTTTGAGAATCTGGCGTGTACGGTCGTTGGCCTCTGACAGTGCCCAGGGGTCAATCATAACGTCTTCCCATACGAAAACTGCTCGCTGACTCAAGGCCACTTCCTGCACACACCAGAGGCGATTGAACCACGGCGTTTGCCAATAGAATTCGTCCAAAGCCTCGTCAAGGACTATGTGTCATAAGCTGAAAGCTGAGTACTTGAGGTAAACGCGGACTACTTACACAGTGGATTGTTCTCCTCTATCCAAGCGATCAACTTCCGATCGCGCTCCTCGCAGTCCTGGATATGTGCGAGCTCTGCGTAACCGGCAAGCCACGTCGCCGCGTACAAACATTCCTCGTACCTCTCAATGCGGAGTCGTGAATGGTGCAGCCATGTCAGCACGATCTCTGCTGCCGCGTAGGTCTTGCCCATTATGCCGACCTGGTGGTTTCGCTCTTCTACAGCAGCATCGCTCTGCGACACGCAAACCTGATCTATCCAAAGCACGGCCTTCTCATGCTCAAGAGCCGGCCGGAAGCGTCGTAAAGCTGCTTCACAGTTCTTCGTGATCAACAGGACCCTTCCGTCAACATGGATCTCTTGATCCGGTGTCTGGTCCTCCCAGGTGTACGAAATTGCTGAGTATCTAGGTTCGTCAGACAATCGCGCTTCGACTAGCCGGCATGATAGAGGAGCAGCCGTGTCCGCATTGCCAGCCACTTCGACCAGGCGGATGGAGTCCTCGTGTCGCAGTGGTTCGTACACATATCGATCAGCCATCTCGCTCTGTAGCCAGCGTGGCCGATCTCGCCAGCACAATTCTCGGGATTCTGCTGGGGTGTGATCGAGTTGGAGTCAAATTCCGAGTAACTAATCAGCTGTGAACGATGTGGTGGGCAGCATAATTTATCGTCCAGAGCACAAGGCTGCGACCCCAGCCTTGCCACAGCCACCACAACACCGCCCAGACTGCGATTGTGATTGGTTCATACGCCAGCCTCGCCCAGCTCAAACACCTGCCCATCAACGAGAGGCGGCTAAGAATCAAGACCACTCTCATTCATGTAGCTTCCTCTACATAAGCAGTGCTACTCGAAACCTAAGTCAAGCAGCTGGTTGACGCCGCATCAAAACTCCCCCCCATCCCATTCCCATCGTCCCATCTGCCCAATCGCAGGCCATGCCATCAACTCATTCCATTCGTTGAAGACTCATCATCCGCAAACACCAACGCTGTTGTTGAAAGCACATATCACTTTTCGTCATGGTATCAGTCCATCCCATCCGCAACGCCATCATCACCATACCGCGCGAAACAACCACAGCAAAGCCCTCACAACGACCCACAGCACCAGCACCAAAGCCGCAAGAACACCCACCACCTCCTTCTCGACCACGATCTCGACCCACGGCGTGATCAGACCGAACTCCCCATGCGAAGAAGATGAGGAAGCGGACGCGTCGTTGGGCTTGGTTTTCCCCGGGCCAGCGCTCTACACCGGCAGCGGAAACGTCCCCGCCCACGCCGCAATCTCCGCCTTCATCTCGGCAATCTCCTCAATCTTGCCCCCATGCGCCACCCGCGCCTTGAAATCCTTCTGCTTGTTCGCCTCTTTCGGCAGCTCATCCTGGATCTTCCGCGCCAACCGCACACACCGATCAATCAACCCGGCAATCCGCTCGAAATCCTTCTCGCCCATGCCTCTGCTCGTCATCGCCGGCGCGCCGATGCGGATACCGCAAGGTGTGAGAGCGGATTTGTCCCCGGGGGTGGTGTTCTTGTTGCAGGCGATGTTGACTTGTTCGAGGACTGCTTCCACCCGTGCGCCATCCAGGCCGGTGGGTTTGAGGTCGAGCAGGACCATGTGGTTGTCTGTGCCGTCGGTGACGAGTTTGTATCCCAGGGATTTGAAGGAGTGCTCGAGCTGCTTGGCGTTCTTGATGACTTGTTCCTGGTACTGGACAAACTCCGGCGTCTGGGCTTGCTTCAGCGCGACGGCGAGGGCGGTGATGGTGTGGTTGTGCGGACCACCTTGATGCCCGGGGAAGACGGAGAAGTTGATCGGGCCTTCGAGGTCGTAGAGGGTGGTGAGTTCTTTGCCGGCCTTCATCTCCGTCTTGCGCACGCCTTTGCGGAAGAAGATCATGGCGCCGCGGGGCCCGCGCAGGGATTTGTGGGTGGTGGTGGTGACGATGTCGGCGTGGTCGAAGGGGGAGGCGTTGACGCGCGCGGCGATCAGGCCGGAGATGTGCGCCATGTCGACCACCAGGTAACAGCCGACTTTGTCCGCGATGGCGCGCATGCGGGCGTAGTCGATGGTGCGGCAGTAGGCGGAAGTGCCGGCGACGATGACTTTGGGGCGGTACATCATGGCGTTCTCTTCGAGTTTGTCGTAGTCGATGATGCCGGTCTCGAGGTTGACGCGGTAGGGGAAGGTCTCGAAGTATGTGCTCACGGCGGAGATCTTCTTGGTGGGTGTTTGGTAGCCGTGGGACAGATGGCCGCCGTGGGGGAGGTCGAGGCCCATGAGACGGTCGTGGGGACGCATGATGGCCTGGTAGACCTGGAGGTTGGCTGGGGAGCCAGACAGGCATTGTACATTCACGCCCCACCGTTCGCTGTCGAGGCCGAAGGTTTGGAGAGCCCGCCTCTGGCACATCAGCTCGATCTCGTCGATGTGCTCGTTGCCGCCGTAGTAGCGTGCGCCGGGATAGCCTTCACTATACTTGTTGCTCATGGGCGAGCCAAGGGCATCGAAGACGGCGCGGGAGGTGACGTTCTCGGAGGCGATGAGGAGGATGGACTCGCGTTGACGCTTGATCTCTTTCACCATAATGTCCGCGATCTCGGGGTCGAGGTCGACCAGAGGCTGCTGCATGAGGTCGGCGTGTGCTTGTGAGAGGGCGTAGGTGGCTCCCTCGACGCCGTTGGTCGTGCCATTGGTGTGGCCGTTGGGGATGCCGTTGGACATGGTGGTGGTCTCTTCTTTCGTATGGAGTATCTTATGGTATTTTCACCCTCTGTGTGTATGTGAGAGTGTGGTGTGAAGTGCGAAGCGGTCGATATAAATGTCTGGAATGACTCCAAGATCCAGACCATATTTTTTTGGAGAAGCTCGGACTTCGGACTTCCAACCTCAAAGCGGACATCGAGAACACAGCATCATCGACCTCCTCCAACACACCACCACCTACATCCCTCCCTACCTTATCCTCCACACGTCTACCTCCCGACTTCCCCTGATGCGATGACAACAGCCCGGCCACTAGGCCGCCTCACCACCCTCCTCCACCACCACCGCCAGCACACCCCTCCCCGCTCCCTCCACCTCATCCTCCTCCAAACCCGCTCCTACGCTCAGAAATCCGAACCCCTCCCCATCACCCAACACCCCTCCACCAACGACGTCTACCCAGTAAAATCCGCCCTACACGCCATCCAAGGCGTCGCGCCCCTCGACCCCGTCAACCCTCCCCGCTCCACCCGCCCTCCCCCACTCAACCTCCCCAAACGCGGAGACGAGAATGTCGCGTTACATTACTGGAACATCGGCCGCGCATACCTGACTTTCTACAAAGACGGCGTGCGCGGGGTCTGGTACAACTACCGCGCCTCCTCCCTCTTAAAACAGCGCCTCCTATCCATCCTCGGGCCGTCCCAAGGCCGCGATGTCGTGGCGACAGCTATATCAGCAGGCAAGATCGAGCGCTCGGAGTTCCAACTGCTGGTGAGGAATCGACACGATATCGGCAAATTACCTTTCTTCGGACTGTTGGTGGCGATTTTTGGAGAATGGTTGCCGCTGTTTGTGCCGTTCATTCCCAATGCTGTGCCGGGGACTTGCAGGATTCCGAAACAGGTGCTCGGGATGAGGGAGAAGGCGGAGGAGAGGCGGAGGGGGGTGTTTAGGAGTGGGGTAACCATGCCGAAGGGAGAGGAGATGAGGGTGAAGGGGCAGGAGGGCGAGGATGGGGTTGGGATGGCGGCGTCGCAGGTTTCGACGGTGCTGAAGGAGTTGCAGCCGGCGCAGCTCAATCATTTGTCTACGACTCTTACGCTGCACAGCAGATTCTGGACTCCCCCGGGCTTCCTCATACGACGAAGAATATCTTCGCGCCTCACCTACCTCTCTCAAGACGACCATCTTCTACTACGGTCCAAGAATGCGACCGAGGGCTTGTCGAAAGACGAGGTCCAGATTGCGTGCGAGGAGCGCGGGATCGACATCTTACACCGAAAAGATGAGAAATTACGGAAGGACTTGCAGATGTGGCTGCGCTTGCGGAAGAAAGATCAGAGTAATGTGGGGATGGTTATTGGGATGCTGTTTCGACGGCCGAATGTTTGGCAGGATCTGAAGGCGTAGGTGTAGCATGGACGCAGATGGGCGGGAGGTACATGTGCCTCGAGCAGCGCAGGAGATGTTGCGTGTTGATAGGTCTGTAAGGAAATTGCATGTAGATGGCGCTTGGGGACTGTACAGTACGAGGGATCAGCGGCATGGACTCGGAGAACTCTTAAGAGCATTCAGTGTACATATACTACTCAGCATGGCGGTCATCATCGCTACTTATATACTCATGAACCCGTTCTCAATCATGCCCGTCTCATTATTCATTCAGCGTAGTCATGCCAGCCTCGGGAAGAAAGCCCGTTGCGCAATTCCCAAACCCATGCGTTAGAACACACGACGCACAGGCGCCATGCAACAACCCCCTCCCATTCCGAGTGAAGCCAGACACCGACACAGTTGCACACCCTCACTTCTCTTCATGAACACTGGCGTCTTCGGTCCTCACCAACTCCTCCACCCTTGTCCTTATCTCATCCGGATCAGTGAAAACATGCCACAAACTTCGATCCAACCCCTTGAAAGCCTTCTCAAACCGCTCGTCCGAGTTCCTACACATTATCGTTAGCACCATCTCCAAAATCGATCATCCCATCACCAAAGCAACCTACTTATCCTCCACACTCATCTCAGCAATCCCCTCCACTCTCCTCACAAAAATCGCCCCAATCCACCCCGGGTGCTTCCTTGCCATTTCCCCGTAAGACTCCGGGTCACTCTGCGTCGAGTCCCCGATACACACGAACTTCCGCTTCGGGAACCACGCGTGCATCTTCTCCATGCGGCTGACTTTGTAGTTCTGCGTGCCTTGCGTGAGGGAGGAGATGAGGCCGCCGAGGTTCTGCCAGCTGGCGTCGCGGAGCACGATGGTGCCGGGGGGGTAGTGTGCGTCGCGGAAACGGCGGAGGAAGGGGTAGAGGTTATACGGCGACGCGCTCAGATAGAAGAACGGAGGGGATTGGAGGATAGAAGTGAGAGTGGAGTACAATTCCGGCATCCCCGCCACGGGCTGCGGGGTCTCGACGACGAAGGTGCTGTGCAGGATGCCGAGCGGGGAAGGGGTCATGGTGACTTTGATCGTGTCGTCGATGTCGCTTATCACGCCCCAGCCGGTTTCGGCAGCACAGATCGTCTTCCCAGGTAGAGAAAACGGCGCCGGCAAAGCGACGGGGACGGAGGTGAGCGTATCCCCTGCAGAAGCCGGGATGTGCAGGGCGTGGATGTCGCTGCTGATTCCTGAATAACCGGACGGGCCGAGGGTTTGCTCTTCGGCGTTGTTGATCGCAATGCGTAATGTGCGGTTGGGCAGCACGGTATCGGCGAAGGGCTGGACGTGCGCGGCGATGCGTTTGCGGGTCGCGATGTCTTCCTCGCCGATGTTGAGCTGGCGGGCGATCTGCGCGGCGATGGCGGAGACGGAGCGGCCAGAGTTTTTGATGAAGAAGCAGGCGACGAATTCGGCTTCCCAGCCGCTTGGTTCGGGGTGGCCATTATTACCATTGATTAAAGATGGCTGGGCGTCTTTGGGGTCTTTGACATCTCTCAAACTACCCCGATCTTTGGGGTTTGAAGGGGAGCGGAAGGCGGTGTTGTCGAGAAGCCAGACGCTGTGCAAAGCCGGGTCTACGGGCGTGGGCTGCTCCCAGGGAAATACCAAAGGGAAGCGGTCGAAGAGGTCGGGGAGCCAGGCGGCGAGGTCGGAGGGGACGGCGGGAGAGTCGGGGGAGGCGCGTTCGATGCCGCCGCCGGAGAGGGCGTCGACGGCGAGGCGGCGGCCTTGGTCGCGGATCTCGCTGAGAAAGTTCATGGTGGTGGTGCAGGGGGCCGTGACGCAGCCGGATCGTGTTATGATGGCTGGCGCTCCCGGTCTGTATTCGTGGAGATGTGTTGTTTTCGATGTAGCAGTTCGCGACTTGTGAAGGTGTTGTTGGGGTACTTGCGCCAGGTTCCAGTCAATTTTGCGGGTCAACTAGCAGACAGAGAAGAACGAGGAATTGAAGTAAGGTTTTAGGAAAAGAGGATGAGTGTGTGTATTCAAAGCGCGCTCTGGTCACTCGAGAGGCTGGAAGTTGGATTGCGTCTCGCGTGAGCAAAAGCACATGTGGTCTGACGCGCACACGACGAAAGACGAGCTGATGAGAGCCCCGCGGACGCTGCAGCAGGTGCAGATGTGAGACACAAGGAAGGCGGTGGAGGCGGTATACTTGCTTGGCTTACATGATCCTGCTGCTGGCCGTTCTTGTTGCACTCGGAGTAGCGGAAGGACATCTTTTCTTGACTTCGATGCAGACAGTTGAGGAAATGCCGTTTGTTGAATGAAGAAGATAGCGAAGTAGTTTTGGTGGAAGGATCGATACCCTTTTCTCCCCATCTCGTCCGCGTTTCGTCCGATGTTTGACTAGCGTGGTCCAACTTCACCTTCATCAACATCTCCTGCGAGTTCCCATCGCGAGGTCACGGTTGAGTCGAGGACTCTGCTGTCCCCGTGCCCTTTGTATCGGAAACACTTTGCTCGCCGTCAGGATGTACGGTTGGGTCGTCGGTCGACGCTTCATCCGACGCCTTCGTCTTCAACCACTCCTGAAAGCAAGGGTTAGTAAGTGTCTCCATGATATGGGAGAACTGAAAGGGCCTCGACACGCTATATGCACAGTCATTGCGTCTCGAAGAACCTGCATCGCTTACTTGTATCTCCGCCGTCTTGTCGAAATACCACTGCACAGCAGCTTTGCCATCAGTCTTCTCGATGTCCTGGCAAAGCTTCAACGCTTGCTCCAGATACCGATCAGCCTCCGAAAGGGACACGACACCGCAGATCAAATGTAATGTTTTGACCCGTGCATAGTCCGGCAGGAAGGCCTGCTGCAGCAGTTCCTGGCATTGTGCTTTGCAAGACTCAAAATCGTCCTTTCGGTATGCGGAGCGTGCCTGGCACATATGCGGTCAGTCTTCATTCCCAACCGTAGAAACAGTAAGCTCACCATCTCGACTTTCCAGTAGAAGAGGCGCGATTGGTTGCTTAGAGACGAAGGCAACTTATCCATTACTGCTTGGATGATGTCTTCCTCGGTCTGCGGATCCGCTTCTGTGGTGTTCTTCGTGCCCTCCATGCTGGACTAGGTCCAGGAAGGGGTCTATGATCTGAGCGACCAGTGAGGCAAAAATTTTTGGTCCTACGAGCTTAGAGGTGACGAAGAGAAGTTGTTGTTTGTTTGCCGGTCAGTAGGTGAACTTGTGTGAGTCTTTTTGATGTTCAGTTTGCAAGCTGTTGTGAATTTATGTCTGCGTGGTCATTGCTTTGGTCAACCTCACTTCATCGGGACGTTTTGCTTCGGTCGACTTCATACAACAAACCCCTTCCCGACCTGAAGCGAATGTCCAATTCTAAGCACAAAAGTCACCGGCTGCAAGATGAAGCAGTGGACGACAGACAACATGGAGATCTCGCGGAGAGCACTTGGACTGGATGCACGCCGCGCTGATAAGCAGCGCAACGATTCTGGAGGTCAGGACGATGGATCCGTGCAAGATGGTCCGCAGCAAACGCATGCTCCAGCGAAGTACAAGAGTGCGCATGCAGTGGCCCTGGATGCTACATTGAAAAGTTGGCCAAAATTACGTGATGTTCAGATCTGCATAAGTGTCGATGAAGCTCCTCGTACAATACGGATCGGCGCAGTCTCGGATGGCCTTGCTGGTACAGCGAGCGCATTCCATGCCCGCAAGAAGCGACAAGTCGGCGAGACAGCACGTAGTGAGATGATCGAGGTACCACTGCTACATGTTCATATCGAAAGAGAACACATGCAGGGGACAGCCGACTACGCCAAGCGCATGTTAGAGAGACTACCAGTGCCAGTAGACGAGCTTTCGACGCAGCATCTTCAAACACTCTTCCACAGTGCAGCCGTTGCTGGGAGTGGTAAGAACGGCTTGACAACCAGACCCACTACCGGTAGACATGATCTTGAGGGACTACCTAGGACAAATGGCTCTACAAGAGCACCTGTCAGCAAGAAGACATCTCCCGCTAATGCTACGACTACCACTGACTCCACGTTAAGGAACAAGGACAGTCCTGCACAAATCAAAGATAACATCTGCAAAGTCCGTGGCAAGGAGAACGAAGAAATCGGATCAATACGGGCAGGTGTAAAGAAGGAATTCCATCTGTCTAGGAAGATTGAGGGACTTTGGCAGCGAGTGAAGGCTACCCGGACTGCCCAGACCTACGAGCAGCCCAACGCAGAAGCAGCGCACCAGCATGCGAAGAGAGAAGCAGACAGTGCCGAGCGTCTCCTCGAGAGAGCCGGACGTCGCCGCAGACGTGACAAAGAGCGTTGGTTCTGCAAATTCGAGCTGGTGGCTGTAGAAAGGTCAGTCATTCGCTTCGACGAGGAACTGGATCGTCTGGACGAGCATGTCTTGCGTTTACGGAACACGCAAAAGGTCCAGCGAAAGGAAAGGCGGAAAGAGAAGGGCAGACGCCGGGTGTTAGAACATAGACGGCGGAGGTTAGAACAAGAGGCTCTCGAGGACGTCTCTGATTCAGAAGAGGGTGTTGAGAGGAAGCAAGATGGTGCGGGTTCTCGCATAGGTTCATGTCGACGATTGATCCTCAAATTGACAACGATGAGGGTATCGATGCGGCACGAACGACACCTCGGTTCGTGAGACTACGTCACAGGCCCAAGAGGGAAGGTTTAAGTCCTGCTGCCGAAAGCTTGCCTGGGGACTTTCTTACTTCCCGCAACTCTCTTTGATGGTGAGTGTTTACTACAACGAGTATGTAGATCGGCGCAGACCAGGATACGGTACAGTACATTGATCTCTTCGTTCATTGCAAGAAAACCCGTCTGTCCAACCATCAGCTGTAAATAGCGTGAGACATCCTTACCATTCTTACGTTCTCTCTACCTTACCTTTCGTCCGATCTTTGTCCGATCTTCTACCCTGCCTACATTGCTCTCCAACCAATCACAGCTCTCGGATGATCATGGACCTTAATATTTTACTATTAAAAATTCTTTCTTCATCGTCTGCAAGGACTGCCTCGAGCTTCCATGGACATCAATTCACTAGCTCCTTTAGCTCAGTGGTAGAGCGTAAGCAAACCGCTTCCTCTGTTGCAATCTCATCCGTTAACGGTGCTTAGGTGGGATTGCAGTAGTTGGTTTGTTGTAACGATTTCGATCAATACAACAATCATACTTCAATCATCCTAAGGGTTTGTGTCTCTGCTTCGCTGTAGCATTGATTAATGCTAATCAAATGCAGTCAGTCGTTCGAATCGGCTAGGGAGCTTCAATTGCTCCAGCACAATCTTCTTTTTGCGTTGGTCGATGGTTCCATATCCAACCAACGGACTACGAAATAGTGCTTCTGGATTTCCCGAAGTCCTCCCCAAGTCCCGCTCAAGCTAAGGAGCTTTCTTTTCAGCCCATGGAGTGCTATACGATGTTGTTGCTATATCACTTTTTACCTGTGCGCAAGAAGTGAATTAGTGCACGTGACAAATCTCTTTTTGGGCTTAGCGCAGAACATGGCTTCTCTGAGACCACCCCCACTCCGACCATCTCACGCTGACAACCTTAACAATTGCCAGCCTTGTCCCTCGTCTTATTCTACATGTACTTGTTGAAAACTGACTGCTCGTAACTAGCCGATAGTCGTTCGTTATCTTTTGGCGCCTCTCTGTGACTTCTGCGACCAGCGCACACCCATACCCTCCGAGACAATGGCCGCCCAACAGGCGCAAGTCCAACCTTGTCGATACAAAACCGGCAAGACACTCGGCGCTGGGTCATACAGCGTTGTCAAAGAATGCGTACACGTCGATACCGGACGCTACTATGCGGCCAAGGTCATCAACAAGCGTCTCATGGCCGGGAGGGAGCACATGGTCCGCAACGAGATAGCGGTGCTGAAGCGGGTATCGATGGGCCACCAGAACATCCTCACGCTGGTGGACTACTTTGAGACTATGAACAACCGTACAGCCTACCTCCTGAGACATCCAGCGCATGGCTGACCTCACGCAGTATACCTCGTCACGGACCTCGCTCTCGGCGGAGAGCTCTTCGACCGCATCTGCCGGAAAGGCTCCTACTACGAATCTGACGCCGCCGACCTGATCCGCGCCACACTCTCAGCAGTCGCCTATCTCCACGACCACGGCATCGTGCACCGCGACCTGAAACCCGAGAACCTGCTCTTCCGCACACCAGAGGACAATGCCGACCTCCTCATAGCAGACTTCGGCCTCAGTCGAATCATGGACGAAGAGCAATTCCACGTCCTCACAACAACCTGCGGTACACCCGGCTACATGGCCCCCGAGATCTTCAAAAAGAGCGGCCACGGCAAGCCCGTCGACGTCTGGGCAATCGGCGTGATAACCTACTTCCTCCTCTGCGGCTACACCCCCTTCGACCGCGACAGCAACCTGGAAGAGATGCAAGCCATCCTTGTAGCAGACTACTCTTTCACACCATTCGAATACTGGCGCGGCGTCTCGCAATCCGCTCGCCGCTTCATCAAAGCCTGTCTCACAGTCGAGCCCACCGAGCGAATGACGGCTCACGAAGCCCTCTCGCATGAGTGGATCGCTGGTCCAGAAGGCGGACGTGGGGAGGAAGATCTCCTGCCGACTGTGAAGAAGAATTTCAACGCTCGCAGAACACTCCACAAAGCCATCGACACTGTCCGCGCGATCAACCAATTGCGTGCTGGAGGTCTGGGCATGATGGACGGAGCGCAGAGCACGCATCCGACGCGGGTGAACGAGACATTGGAGGCCGCGAAGCCGCATAGCGAGGATGTAGATATGACGGACGCGGGGGCTGGAGGGGATACGACGCATGACAGTGGGGTAGTGATGGATCCGAGGGGGAATGGGATGGGCCAGACGGAGGCGCAGATTCAGGAGCAGCAGAGGCGGATAGAGAAGACGATGAAGGGGCTTGGGAGGGCGCAGGCGACGTAGGGGAGAGGGTGGGTGGAGCATAACGAGAAGGGAGTGACGAGGAAGATCTAGAGAGGCCGCTGCACTGCTTCTGGGCTTGACGAGGGACGATGGCGAAGGTTCAATGGATTGCGGAATCTGGATGTAGATGCTGAATGTCCTGATGGCAGATAGATACCCAATGCGAGACGAAGAAGTCTCTGCAATGTCTTCAACTGTTTGCATTCATCTGCTTATTCTTCTGCCTCAATCAAGAGTGGGTGGACGTCCTCATGGGAGCCCATCAATCGCCGGCTCTTGCCGTGTCCGAGCTTCCAACCACATTGGACTTCACTTCACCGTGTTGCTCGCCTTCCGCTCGCTCCACCACACCCCTCTCAAACACATCGACCCCCTCGGCCTTACGAGCACGAGTAAAGTGTTCCTGGCTAATACAAGCGAACGTCCAACCACCGCGAATGTCTCCAATCGGCCCGAAGGCGCGCCCCGCAAACACTGCTGCAGCACCTGCAGTGAAGGCGGGGAGATCGAGGTTGGAAATGAGATCATCTTCATGATCTTTGTGGAACAGTAGGTTCAAATGCATGTAGGCTGACGATGGTGGTATGCTTCATGATGTTCTAGAGCTGCCGGTAAACTCCATGCTTATACTGTAAGACTCTCAGCTTGCTTGCATGTCCTTTCATCTGGTCTCTCCGCTTCCTCCATCTTCCTCAAGATTGGGCATACCGTCTTTGTATCCCAAAAGAAACATTCTGAGGGTGAAGATACCGACATCATGAGACGACAGACCTTCACGGCTGCGGTAGCGGCGGCTCTCGCTCCCAGCTTTACTACAGCCCAGTCAAGCTGCAATGTCCTCACAGCCTCCGAAGTTAGATCAATGGGCAACAATACCCTCTTCACCCGCTGGCGCCCATACTCCCACGTCAACGCCCCGGCCGGCTGGATGAACGACCCGTGCGGCCCGATGTACGACCCAACACGAGACGTCTACCACGTCTTCTACCAATGGCACCCAGAGCACATTAACTGGGGTAACATCTCCTGGGGACATGCAACCTCCAAAGACCTCATCACCTTCACCGACCACACCGGATGGCAGGACTCCCAGGCCCTCGCTCTGGGTCCCACCGGCAACGGCAGCTTCCCTGAAGCCTACAACGGCCTAGGAATCTTTTCCGGGACAGCACAACCCGTCAACCTGCAAGGCGAAGTCGACGGTACGTTGCTCCTTTTCTACACCTCCGTAGCCAAACTCCCGACCTCCTGGACGATCCCGTACATGCCGCACACTGAGTCCCAATCTCTTGCCTATTCCACCGACGGCGGCGATACATGGCAAGAATACGAAAACAACCCCGTCATCCGCACGACCACCGAGCGCCCGCCAATGGAATGGAACATTACAGGTTTCCGCGACCCGTTCTTGGAGCCAGTGCCAGCGCTCGACGATATCTTGGGCTTCGAGGAGCCGCACTACTACGCTGTCTTTGGATCTGGAATCAAAGGTGTAGGACCTAGGATCCCATTGTGGTCGGCGCCCGCAAGTGACTTGACAGACTGGACTTTTCTAGGAGCGCTGTGGGAGCCGCAGGCGAATACTTCTCTAGGGCCGGTCTTGTCGACAAGGACGTATGGGTTTAATTTCGAGGTGTCCGGGTTCTTCGAGCTGGAGGATGAGGATGGGGTTGTGCATTGGTTTGTCAATATGGTATGCACTAAAGCCTAAGCCCAGTGTTTGTGAATGTGCGTGGCTGACTTGGGACGACAGGGTGCCGAAGGCGGCAATCTCACCTATGCCGAGTCGCAGCACTCTGCATTGTGGAGCGAGGGCATTGTGACTAGGTGAGTCCACCCCTTCGAGCACACTTGGTGTAGTAGCTAAGGCTGACCGTTACAGGCGAGAGAATGGTAGTGCCGAGTTCACACCGGTTTCTGGTGGACTGGGAGACTGGGGCTTGTCCTATGCCCTAACGAGCTTCAATGACACGAAGAACAATCGACGAGTCCAGCTCGGTAGGTCTTAGACCCGCAGGTCCCGGTGAACGATGCTAAAGTATTCGCAGCATGGGCGCCAGAAGACATCATCGGCGACGAAGGCCTCTTCAGCGTCAAACAACAAGGTAAACCCTTCCCAACCATCCCTTCCCATCATAACCACCTCTCATCCCTTTTCTACAGGCTTCCAAGGCTCCCTAACCCTCTTCCGCGAACTCTTCGTCCACACCACCCGCTCCGTCCTCAACCCCACCGGCGAACTCACCACCAACCGCAACGCCCGCCTCACCGAACACGCCGACGGGACCTTCACCGCGCAAACCCTCGGCGTGCGACCTTTACCCGACGTCGTCGAGGGCTTACGTTCAACCGCCCGTTCATGCCCTTACGCTGGCAATAAAACCTACTCTAGCATGACTATGCTTTCAAAAGCAGGCTCATCCAGCCTCGAACTCAAAGCCACCGTCCACTCCGCCACAGGCGCGGTTGGGTTAGTGGTAGCGGCAGCGGAGGACATGAGCGAGTACACGTCCATCATCTACTCGCCATCCAATTACACTCTACTCGTGGTCCGAGAGCACAGCACGCTGTTAGCCGAGCAGTTCAACACGGCGACTGTGACGGGGTATTTTTACCCTTACACCATCTTAGGCGAGGACGGAAGTGAGGAGCAAGAGAGTATCACGATGGATGTGTTTTTAGACGGCAGTCTGTTAGAGGTGTATGTTAATGAGCGGTTTGCGCTTGCTACGAGGATTTATCCTGCTGGGAGTTGTTCGAATGGTAAGTGTTCCTGTCATGGAAGGATGATTGTGCGACTGCGTTGCTAACTGGGCTGCAGGCTACGGTGTCTATGTCGAAGACGGCTCTTCAGCGACTTTCGAGAGCGTGCATGCGTGGGAGGATCTGATGCATATCTGGAGCGATCGGCCGATGGACTCCTCGTCGCCGTTAGTGTATGATACGGCGGAGGAGACGAATGATTATGTGTGGTGGACTGGCAACTAAGAACGAGACACGCAGTTCGGAGAATGATTGTACCTTTAGGACGTCAAACCATGACTCCGACGAAATATTTCTATTATAGGATCACGTTCTCATAACAGCGCCCGCCATAGGCGGATGCCTCAGCCTCCACACCGCCCCCTCAACGCCCACCAACGCCTTCCTGCTCACCCACGGCCGCTCCACCTGTCCTGGCCCAATATCATCTTTATACAAGTCCTCCAGATACGCCCACTCAGGCGGATCAAACCCACCACGCACTAGCACCACTTTCCTATTCGCCAAGTATTCGATATGATTCTCCGGTATTGGCGTGATGAGATGCAACTGCTTGTTCGCGGTATCGATGCCGCGGATGAGCGCGAGGCCGACCCAGTCGCTTTGGGACGGTGGGAGTGGGAAGCTGACGCCTTGGTCGTCTGGTGGGAGGTAGGGGAGGCCTTCTGGTGTACGTTCGAGGCGGTCTTCGAGGTCGGATGCGAGGGTGTCGTCGACGGCGTTTAGGGCGACGACGGAGCCGTCGAGGACTTCGCAGAGGAAGTCGGGGGCTGGGCTTTGGCCGTATGACATTGCTGCGAGGAAGCCGGGGTTGGTTTCTGCGTAGTTGACGACCCATGGTCGGAGGCGGTTGATGGGTTTGCTGCGCCAGGTGGTTCTGGCTGACTCCACGCCGATGCGGGAGTGGAAGTAGGCCATTGTTTGCATTGCTCGTTGCTCTGCGGGCGTTCGGGATGAGGGTCGTGGTGGTCTTCTGGCTATTCTGTGTAACGCAGCGGAAGGGCTGCTGCTCTGAAGTGCTTCCGAGAGGACACTGTCGATTGGATCCATCAGAACGATGTCGCTGATATCGAGGTCTTCAGCTAGGTCTGTGAGGACGCTGGCGCCGAGACCAGTGACCCAGCCGCAGGTGTTGATGATTAGCGGCCATTTCTTCTCGACATGCTGGACCAAATCCAGTACACATGCTTTGTAATGCTCCGGATCGTCCTTGAATGATGTCGCGGCAATAGCATGTGCTCGTATCAGTCTCCAGTCAGGCGATAGTGTTGAGGCAGGATGTGTAAACGGAGGGCCAAGTAGAGGTGTCGAGACTTCGACCAGCGAGATGACGCCAGGAGGTCCAAACTCTGGTTGTCCAGGATCTATGTCTAAGTACTGGCAACAAGGTAGAGTTGTCCAGCTCAGCAGCTGGTTGCAGAGTAGGCGGTTGAAGGTCGATTTGCCGGACGCTTTCGCGCCTACTGTCAGTATGCGTGGCCTCCGAGGCTCTTGCACCGTCTTTGCGCTGAGCGTCCGCAGTACAGCGTCGGTGTCCCTATCGATCTCAAGAACCGCCAATGACCGCTGGAGCTCATCATCTGCCGTAGAGCGTAGGAAGGCAAATGACCGCTCCTTGGGACCTGTTCCCCAGATGTTGCGGAATAGTGGTGACAGCTTCTCAAGTTTCCGCAAGCCGGACTTGGTGCGTGCATTTGGGCCATTCTTTGTAGGGTTGAAGCACACTTCCGTACCATCCTGTCTGGCCTGCAGTACAGGCAGAGCTTGGGTACTCGGGGCGAAGAGATCAACAGTCGGTATAGAGCCAGGTCGCAGCACTGTTCCGTAGGTGGTAGCCACGCCACGTGTCACTACGATCTCACATTCGCCAACGAGTGTGACAGTCTCGTCGCATTGTAGAGCCACGGACCAGCAGTCGTCCAAGTCGCAGGTCACATTGTCCGGGCCTGGCTGGAAAGAAGATAGTTGTACTGGCGCAAGCCTAGGGAGTGGCGGCGGGATGACATCGTCTTCTTCATCATGTGCGCTGGCAAGGAGCCTCGCACGGTCTGGGTCGATGTAGGCTTCTGCCGAGTCCAGCGATCGTGTTGTAGTCTCGTCGTTGCCATTTAAATTCTCTTCGTTTGATGTTTTCGATGCCGTTTTCGACCTTGCGAGTTTGGCGGCGGCGAAAGCACTCAGCGGTGCTATTGCAACATCAGTGTCTAAATCTCGTCTATGATAGAGGGTCTACGATACCCTTCCCAACACCGAACGCTTCCTGCGCCTTCCGTTTCTGAGCCATATCTTCCGAATGAGGAAGTTGAAGTTCTTGAAGTGAATTCAAGATCTCGACCCACAAAAATCTCTCGGACTTTGAAGATCAAAGCTCACTTGGACCTCTTCAATCACACCATTGAACAGACATGCGTTGGCAGTGAGACACAACGGCAATGGCGCAACCGGACGACGCAGAGATCGAAAAGGTGCTCCAGCGCATCGTACGAAGACGCGCCGCCAAAGGCGAGGAAGTCACCGTCAAGCGCGTTCGCGCACAGGCGGAAACAGCTTTAGATCTGGATGATGGCTTTTTCAAGGACGATCCGAAGTGGAACAAGAAGAGCAGGGAGGTCATTAGTGCTGCCTACGAGGAGGATGAGGATGGGGCGAACGCAGAGGCACCGAAGAGTGCACCCAAGCCGGCGGATTCCAAAGCTGCGAAGGCTTCGAAGGTGAAGACGGCGGAGAAGCCTAAGACCAAGGATCAAGAGGGAGGGAAGAAGGAGAATGGGGCTGCGAAAGCTCCGGCTCCAGCGGTAAGAAGGTCTAGCAGCAGCAAGCAGAGCGAGGAGGAGAAAGGGCCTGTGAAAGCTGCACCAGCAGCGTTGAAGAAACCGAACGGTATACCGGGACAGGTCAATGGCGTGAAGCGAAAGGCCTCAGAGCAGAGCTCATCCGAGGAGAGCAGTGAGAGCGACGAGGAGAGCGACGAGGCTGCCGCGCCGCCAGGGAAGAAAGCAAAGACGGAATCATCAAGCAGCTCCAGTGAGACCTCATCTGAGAGCTTAGAGGACGATGAACCGAAGCCGCCAACTACACAAGACGACTCACGACCACCGCCTGCGCAGACGATCAAAAGCACCAACATCCAAGCCATTCCAGCCCAACCCTTCCAACCACCACACGGCTTCACCCCCATCTCCTCCCAGCAGCTCAGCTCCAGCTCACAACAACCCCTCACACCTTCAAATCTGCAGGGCAAACAAATCTGGCACATAACGGCCCCCTCCGCCCTCCCCCTCACCACCCTCACATCTATCCCGCTGTCCGCCCTCGACACGAGCCATGTCGTCTTGAACCACGACGGCTCCGAATTCATCCTCTCGTTGGACCCCCACCCCACCTCCGCAGCCTCCTCCCTCCTGCTCCCGACAGCAGAAGGCTATACCCGCCACCCCACCCCCATAACCCGCACCCTGCACCTCAAGCAGAAAATCTCCCTCCCCAACCTCTCCGCGCGGCAAGCGAGTCAGGCGACCGGAAGTGGAGCAGCGGGCAGCGTGGCGCAGCCGCCGGTCAGCGGTGCGCGGCCGCAGCCGAGGGGGTTGCGGATGCGGTATCGGCCGCCTGGGTTCGGGGTGGGGGAGTTGGGGGCCGTGGGGTCGGGGTCGGAGAGTGCGGGTGAGGAGGAGGAGGAGGAAGGGGAGACGGGGTTGCAGTTCCCGAAGGCTCTTGGGGGACATGGGCCGCGGGGAAGGGATGGGGTGGGAATGGATGGGGATGTGGTGGAGCGGGGGAATAAAAGGCGGAGGAAGGAGAAGGTGAAGCCGAAGACCGATGGTGCGAGGGAGGAACTTCGCTCGAGTGTGATGGCTGCGCCAGGGGTGGAAGCACCGGCTGTCCAGACTCCTGGAGTCGAGACTCCGGCGGTCAATGGTGTGTCACCAGATGCATCGACGGCTGAGGACAAGGCGAAGCGGAAAGAAGAGAAGCGGTTGAAGCGAGAGCGTAAGGAGGCGAAGCGGAAAGCGAAGGAAGTGGCGGGGTTGTAGATGTTAAGACAGTCTGTTGGAATTGCCGTGGTATGGTACATAACGTGTGCAGCTAGCTCACACACACCATCGACCATTACCTCACAGCGCCAGGCGCCTTGCTAATCCTCATGCCGTGTTTTCATGCGCTGCTCCCGTCCGTCTCCGTCCTTCTCAGCCGACGATAAAGCGAGACGGTTGCTTCCCCAGCCAGCAATACCTCCACACTTCCACCTCCCTCCATCTTACACAACAGCAACCCTAATACTGCATACTCCCCCCACTATACCCCTGCCCCACACTATCGTCCAAACTCCTATACGCGCCCCTGCCCCTCCCCCTCTGCCCACCCCGCCTCCCCCGATATCCCGCTTGCGCTCCACCACCGCCCCCGCGACCTCCGCCGCCACCACGACCCGCGTTGCCGCTCCCACCCCTAGAAGCAGCGAAGCCGATCCCGCCTGCGCCGCCGCGGGAGGGTTGGTTTTGGCCTTGCCATGCTCCGCCACCGCCGCCGCGGTGCTGCGGACGTGAGTGGAGTTTATTGTTGTTGCGTTCGGAGCCGAGGGGTGGGAAGTCTTCTTCCCGCGGATGCTTGCGCGCGTTCTTGGCGTTGGGGAACGAGGCCTCGTATACGTCTTCGTTCTTGCGCTCCTCTTCGATCCGCAGGAGGACTTTCTCGCCTACCGTCGTTTCGAATTCGAGGGCCTGCTGGGGGGACACGGGTTGCCAGTTGCGGATGTAGTTCGCGTCGATCGGCTTCGTTGCTCTTCTAGTAGCGAGTACGACGCAAGGGGTGCGGTTATCGGTGTGGATTTCCTTCCCCTGATCAGTAGGTTGCACGCGCGCAGCCCACAGCCGGTTCTCATAATGCCCGATCCCGGTGACGCGCCAGCGGGTCTTGGCGCCCATGCCTCCGACTTTGCGCATGATCGACGGCGGCGCGGGGCGCGGCGTGATCAGGACGTTGTTCGCGAGATACTTAATCTCGTGCTCGGGGCAGTGGGGCGGGAGCTTGACCAGCTGTTTCAGACGCTCGATGTCCGGGGCTTGGAGGAGGTAGCCGGTGTAGAAGACGGAGCGCTTGATTTTGTAGGGCCGGGAGTGGCGCGGGGCGGCGCCGGAGAGGATGGCGGCGTTGTGCGTGTTGATCATGGATTGGATCTCCGCGACTTCGGAGACGGGGTCCATGAGGGATTGCTGGTCGGAGACTTGGATGACTTCGGCGGCGATGGGGTTGCGGGCGGGCTGGGTGGAGGGGAGCATGAGGCGGGTATTGAGGTCGGTGAAGAAGTCGCGGAAGCCTTTGGTATGTTTGGGGCGGTCTTCGTAGACGCGGATCTCGGTGGCGGCGGTGTAGGTGAAGAGGATGTCGCGGAGGAGGGCTTGCTTGAAGAGCATGGTGCTGCCGAAGGTCTGGCCGTTGGGTCCGGAAAGGGGTTTGAGAGCGACAATATCGAACTCGAGGCCTTTTGATGCTATCATGCGGCCGATGAGATCGGAGAAGCCGGACTCCTTTCGTCCTGTGAGGAGGACGTTGAGAGTTGACGAGTCCTCCATGGATAGCCGGGAGAGGTCAGCCACGGTCTCGTTCCAGCATCCTTGCCACGCCCGTGGCTCCTCGACGGCTTCACCTTTACCGACAGCAGCCAGGATGCGTGGGTTGTGCCACCAGCCGCCGTGGTAGAGGAACTCCTCCCCTTGGAGCTGGCCGAATGTTGAAGAATCCCATACTTGTTTGTTCGGGAGTGGTGATGTGAAGACTAGGAACGTTAGAAATCATCTTCAATCAATATTTCACATTTCCACGCTGGTCTTACGAGTGTTGTCGAAGTCGTAGACATGAATGTGTTTGATGGTGTCGACAGGAGGAAGGACCTTCTGTTGGCAGCTCCATCGGCTCAAGGCCGTGGGAGAAAGTGTACCGTTCATCCTGGCTATCTCGACATGGTGTAATTGGGATGGTCCGGATCTTCTTAATACATGAAGCGAGCGTGCGTGAAGTTTTGATACAATCGTGAAGAAGGTAGAGGTCATCAAATGTTCGAGCCTTGCAGTCGCGAGGACCTTCTTCAGCAAGTGCCTGCAGATCGAGCTAGTCCCGATTAGGTCGATCGCGGCTTTGCCGTCATCGATATGTGTTTCGTCTCGTCTTCGAAACAACACTAACGTTTTTGTACACTGGACAATGGACCGATAGACTGGCCATCCTTGAGCTGAACGTACGAAGGAAACGACCATGCTCTCAAAAGCCGCACCCCGAACAATACCCTCTTGCTGTAGAGCAGCATCAACATCGTCCAGAGCAAGCCGCATAGCACAACGAGGCGTACGATCAGATGCTGCGGTAGCCTCATACCAGAGTCGATCACAGCGGAAACAACAGCACCTCTTCCGATCATTACTCGCAATCGCCGCCGCTGGAGGCGTCGCATCCCTAACACAGTTCTATATCAACGATGGCCACTTCATCCGACGAAGTCAAGCCGAAGCACCACCCCAGCAGGAGGAGAACCCAGTCGTATTCGAGAAGTCGCGGAAGCAGGCAGGCGTGAGCAAAGAGGAGAACAGAGACCTCATATCAAGTCAACATCATCAAGTGAAGCGGTCATGGGAGAACCCGGGTGTGTATGCTTGGGGTAGCAACAGTGGGAGAGTAGTGGCGCCTGATCTGCCGGCGGAGAGCGTGATCAAGACGCCTAGAAGGATAACGTGGTTTGATGGAAAGCTGTTGCGGGATGTGAAGCTGGATCGGAACTTTGGTGCTGCGATTGATGAGAAGGGGGATCTTCTGCAATGGGGGAATGCATTCAAGCCGAATCTCTCAGAGCCGGAGACGACGTTGAAGGGCAAGAATTTGGTACGGCTGGCAATATCGAAGGACAGGATAATCGGCCTGGCGAAGAATGGCAAGGTGTACAGCATCGCAGCATCGGCAGAAGATCAGAAAGAGGGCACAAAACCAAGCGAGTCGTCTTGGATACCATTCTGGAGTTCGAGAAGTCCGATCGCATACCGGAGTCTGGCGCCCAAGAATTTGGCGTCTTCGGAGAAGGTCACGACTGTAGAGGGAGGTCTCGAGCATGCGGTTATGCTGACTTCGAATGGCCGGGTCTTCACTTGCGCAGCTGCGTCAGACTCGTTCCCGAACAGAGGTCAGCTCGGCATCCCTGGGCTGACATGGACCACCAGACCGGAAGGACCCTCTGACCAGCTGCATGAGCTCACCACTCTCAGAGGCTTCAACGTCACCCAAGTCGCTTGCGGCGATCACCACTCCCTGGTCCTCGACCGCGACGGCCGCGTCTTCGCCTGGGGCGACAATGCCTCCGGCCAACTCGGCTTCGCCTTCAATCCCGAATCCACCACCGTCGACACGCCCTCCCTCCTGCCCCTCCAGAAACTCTACTCCGGCACCTCCCAAACCCCCGCTATCACCTCCATCTCCGCCGGCGGCAACAACACCTACATGACCGTCGACGCCACCAAAGTCGCTCAACAACGCCCCGCCGAAGACGATCCCCGCGCCAACCGCGGCCTCGGCACCGTCACCGCCGACACCTTCGCCTTCGGATCAGGCATCTACGGCCAACTCGCCAACTCCCGCTGGACGCACGTCCAAGCCACGCCCGCCAAAATCCCCAACCTCAGCGGGCTCTTCGAGTACGACGAGCGCACGAACAAAACCGTGCCCATCCGCCTCGCGCACCTCTCCGTCGGCGCGACCCACGCCGCCGCCGTGATGAAGAACATCACCTACCTCTCCGCCTCCAACAGCACCTCCTCCGACGACACGAACTGGGGCGCCGACATCGTCTTCTGGGGCGGCAACGAGCATTATCAGTTAGGCACCGGGAAGCGGAATAACCAGAGCACGCCGGTTTATTTGCAGCCGTTGGATGCGCAGGCGGAGCTGCAGAGGGCGAAGAAGAGTACGGGCGGGAGGGAGGAGCATCGGTTCCATATTACGCCGCGCACGATGGCGACGCTTGGGGATGGGAGGAGAGTGAGTGTGGAGCAGAGGGTGGAGTGTGGGAGGGGAGTTACGGCTGTTTATAGTGGGACGTAGAGTATGTGGGGAGCGATTTTGTTAGATCTGGATGTCGGTTCTAGAGCAGATGGCAAAGATGTACTCAGCTCACGCTACGTTGACCAGTCGCGTATTCAGATCATCGGTGCTACTTTGCTTTATCCCTCAAGCAGTTTGCATTGACGACGGCTTATCCAAGTCGCCGAGATCAGTGCTCAGCGCACAGCAGAAAAGTGGACGAGGTGAAGCTGCAGATGTCTGTACGTCCGTCTCCCTCTGTCGATATTCTGTCTCAGATACTAACCTATATTACAATATAGCTGACAACCCAGACAATCCAAGAAATCGGGGGTATACCAAAAACATCCCAAGCCGTTACACATCCACCTCCCCAAAAATGTCAAGTCGCAAACATCCTTCTCCCACCCCCCCACCTCCCCTTCAAAATCCCCTTAATAGTACTCCCCCGACTCTTCCCCGTCGGCGCCAAACTCCTCACACTCTCATTCGTGCCATCCCTCCCTTGCTCCCTGTTATGATTATGCCCTGCCTCCCTCTCATCCCTTCTCCCTCCGCCCTGCCACCGCTGCGGTGGCGCCGTCGGCTGCGTAACCCTCGACGCGTAAAACGGCTCCATGCTCCCGCTTTTTGGCGCGGAGGAGCCGGATGTGTTTGAGAGCGAAGGCGAAGCGTACGCGGAGTCCGGATGCGTAGGGGCTTCTTCGCGGGTGCGCGAGGCGATTTGGGAGGCGGAGAGGGAGTCGCTGGAGGGGGGGAGGTGTTTCATGCGTTTGGAGAGGCGGCGGGCGAAGCCGGTTCTACTTCTTGGAAACAGTTAGCGGGTAGTAGGAGGGGAGGGGTGGAGGGACGTACCCGGTTAGTGATTGTGGCGTATCGCCCTTGTCGGAAGATGCGCGGGTGGAAGTGCTGTCCCGTCCTTTCGCGCCGCCGGTTTGGGTGCGTGCTTGTTCTGCGCGTTGCAGGATGTCGACCGCGCCTTGGCTTTTGGAGCGGGAAGCTGGGGGTTTTGGGCCGTTGGAAGAGGTGAGGCGGAGAGCATTGTTGCCGAAACTCTGGGAACGTCCTGAGTAGTCGTGCGTCTGCCAGCTTTGATCGGGCGGGTTGCTTCGTAGTGGGTTTTGGTGTGCAGGTTGTTGTGATCTACTGACTCCTTCTCGGAAGAACTCGGCGAGCGCGGCGGTGTCGGCTCTTGAGTCCGCTTCTCGCGCTCTTCGGTTGGACAAGGCGCCTGCGGTGCGCGGACGTTGGGGTTCTGTAGGGGTTTTCGTGGATCGTGTTGCGTTGCTGACTGGAAACTGCGGTAATACTTGCGTCTGTTCGGACCTAGAAGCGGAATGAGACGATTGCGGTTTGCCCCAGTTTTTGCTGTCTGTCCTGGAGTCTCTCTGCAGCGGCGGCAGTGGCTTGTACAGCTGCGTGTGCTGGACAGAAGATTGGGGCAGAGGCGGTACAGCCCCCTCAAATTGCCGCGGTCTTAGGCCTGGTGAATTAGGTGCCGACTTGGAGGATCCAAAAGAGCCGTTCCGATTTTGACCTGCGTGTCGTGTACTCGCTGTTGCAGCCATCCTCGACATCTCGCCCAGCAAAGCTCCCAGCCTGTCCAGATTCTGTCGCAGCGTATTCGCCTTCTCCTGCAAGTCTGCAATATACCTCGACCACCCACGCTCGTTGCCGCGCATAGCGTCAAAGACTTCTGATATGACCCGCTTCTCCTTCGGCCATTGATACCGCACAGTATCCAGATATCTCCCGAGCTCCCTATTCGCTTTCACGGCCTCTCTTAGATCATACAGTGAAGCATCCTTTGCTCTCGCCGTGCGATTGATGATGCTCTCAATCTTCTCGTTCCCATCCAGCAGCTGCGTCCGGAACTGCTTATCATCCAGCATTGTCTCAAAAACGCCCTTGTGCTCCATCGGGAGCTTCAAATGCCGTACTCTTTCCTCAATATCTGAAATACCCAACTCAAAGTCCTCTGCCGTCTTTTCCAGAAATGTATCCACCTCATTTACATGCGACTGTAGAATCTTGACAACCTCGCCCTCCGACTTCGCCTGCTGTTGCTGCAGCAAATGCAGGCCAAAGACTATCTGCGATGCCAGCTTGAGCAAAGGATGATATCGAGCGGTCGGCCGTTGTCTCCATCGCGCCTGCCACGTATCGTCGTACTTCTGCGACTCGAGCAACGTCTGTCGTCTGACTTCTGCATTGTTTTCGGAGTTCGAGCCGTCGGGTTCATCTGCTGATTCGTCGATTGACTCCTCAAAGGCGGCCTGCATAGACGGGACGGGATGGAGCGGCGCATCGGTCGTCGCATCGGACTCGCCATCGTCTGTTCGGTCGTCCACATCGAAGCCAGAAGTCACTGGAGAGTGGAAGTGCTCTTCCCCATTGCTGCCCTTCCGCGTGATGGTCATTGTGGAGCGTGGTAGTCCCGCCTTGTGGTTGTAAGGATTGTGCTTGTTAATCTAATTGCCGATCGCGGCACGGCAGTTATTTTACGGGCGTCCGTTCATGCCTGCGCTCGAAGGATATAGTAAGGCATGACTGCAGTAGGAAGAACGATGACTGTGAAAGACTTGTACCGGTATGAAGAGAAGGCGACGAAAAGAGCGTGGTCACGGAGAGAGGGCTGCATACGGTCAACACGAGACGATGGGACCCCAGGATCTCACGCGGTGTAGACGATTCGGGAAAAGGTGCAGAGCTACTGGAAGCGGCGTTTCGGCTTCACGTCGCACAGGGGAATTGCAAAAGCTTGGTTGCAGATCATGCTTTAGCGATCCGGCTCCACGAAATGTGTTACAGACAAAGGCCCTGTCCCTGCTGTCGTTCGTTGCAGCGGGAGTCGCGGACTCGACCGTGCCAGCGTTTGAAGTTCCAGTCGTATGCGAAGCAGCAGCTGCTTCCAGATGGCCACACTGTTCACTTCGCCCGCAGCACGCCGACGGTAATAGAGGCCAGAGAGTTTGCGCTATCCGTCTCCATTCATCGAAGTCCGGAAAGATGACGGGCGATGTTCCGGTAGGGAGTGCACAAGATAGTCTTCCTCGGACGGCTTTGAAGTTCATCGTGGGGTCCTTTGCTGCCATCGCGCGACAGCATAGACTCTCGTACCGCAAGGTATCTGCCGGGAATATTGCGCCATCGTTTACTTGGTAACTTCGCTTGAGGCGCCCTCCAGGTCGGGGCTGACTGACCACCTCGCTATTGCTCAGCGTCCGAAGCGATGTTGTAGAGCTTCGTAGAGATTGTACCTTAGCAATGACGGGTTCTCTTTCTCTTCGCGTTGTGATGGAATGTCAATGTCGTTGGGCCGAAGTTGCACTGTTGCAGCCAAATGCTGTTCGACTTTTGCACCTGACTCTCTGCGGCAGCGGCAACGCGTGATTCGCGCGCATCCCACTTCACTTCACCCACGTCCACTGTAGGGCAAACAACCACGAGGACCCGATCGCGTATCTGCGCCAACAATCACAGTCGTGTATCCTAGGCTTCGCGATATCCACCTTGTCGCTGCGCGCCGAGCCATCGACCTTGCGCACCAGGAGAGGGGGTGGAGATGGCCACCACTCCTGCTCGGCAGGATCCGAATGTCCAGCATCGCTTTGATGGCGACGTCAAAGTATTGAACTCTTCTGGAGAAGCGCGCGCAGCCATACGGAAAGCACTGAGCGCCCTCCATCAAAATGTCCACGTCCCAGGAAACGTGCCGGTACAGATTTCGGCGGACATCAAAATCGGAGTTGCTGGTGCCGATGCGAAGCAACACACGTATACCGTGACGGTGACCTCCAACGACTTCGACGCTGGATCTTTTGCACAGCAAGTTCCTTCTGCGAGTGCTGGAGCCAATGCCTCGACCCCCAGTGTACGCAATGTGACGCCAGGGGCCGCAACACCTGCAAACGGACAACCAGGCCACGCGCATCCTACACCACAGCCTGGGTCTCGCAAGGTGGATGAAGATGACGATGTGGTTGAGATACGTCCCTTCAAGCGGCCGAAACTCAAAGACAGCACTTCTTCTCCAGCCCTAGGCCAAAAAGGAGCGCAAGCTCAGAAAGGATCGACAACAGAGCAAACCTTTGCTTCTAGGGAGGATGAAATGTACCACCTGACCAAGGGCTGGAACACCGAATGGAAGCAACAAGGGGGCTGGCTGTTTGACAACATCACCAAACTCAACGCCGCCAACACTAACAACACATATCGCCTGGAGTCAAAAATGGCTTCGGTACAGGACGTACTCGGCAATAGCATCAACTCGGCAAATCTATCTGTTTTGAACGAGCTCGCGAACGTCTCCACTAAACTCATACCATGGCTGGAGACATGCAGGAAAACCAGCGCCGACAGCATGAATGCCCGTTCGGAGAAATGGCGGACGAGCAGCGCGAATTTCCATGACCAGACAAGGCGAGAACGCGAAGCAGCAGAGCAGAGAATCGAGCGGAAGCTGGAGGAGCAGCGAGAACTGCTGCTGAGATTGGCCAAAGCGAGTGGTGTGGACGCTCAGAAAGTGCAGGAGGCGGGTGCAATTGCTAGCCGCGAGGAGAGTCTCGGCGCGCAGCTTACTGCTGAGCTGAATATGGAGGCTGAGAAGTCATGAGCATAAATAATGAGCATCGCTCTTGATTTACGTCGCAAGCGGCATCACCAACCTCGCCACCGGAGCCAGACGTCTTGGACAACATTTGGATCGGCCTTATCGGAGTCCACAACCACGTACCAGCCATGGTTGGCACCGGCGATACAAGCGTGGTTCGGCCACAGCATCAACTTCTGACCGAGTTCGAGCGGGCGCACGGAATCTTTGGCTCCCTCCCACGCAAGCACGCCATGCTCCTGGCTGATCGAGCCTACGATCCAACCTGTCTTTGAGCCTTCAGGATCGTAATGACTTCCTGATTTTTCCGGCCAAGGAGTCACGACACCCCATCCAGGATAGCTCTTGCAGGGTTCCCGTCCCAGCGCGATCGAACCTGCTGCAACTAATGCCTCGGGCTTGTCAGTTCGCTCTGAATATGTGCTAGCGACTTCGACCAGGAGGCGGAAGCCGAGATCAGAGTACGACAGCAAGCTCTGCGCTGGATTGACCGCGGACTGTGTTGGCCGTGCTCTGGCGGCCATCTGCTGCATGTCCATGACAGGATAGACGCCGGCATGTATCTCCAGGTCGAAAGACTGCTTGATCCGATCCAGCATCTCCCGGTACTTCTGAGCGCCTTCCGTTCCATCTACTATGTTCTGCACGGCGGTGGCGGTGGGCGTGGCCCCCAACGACAGCGTAACTTTTGGAATTTGGCCGTCTTGCGTGGGTGTCGCACCGGTGCACTTGAGGAAGGAGATGGCGCCCTTTTCGAGACCTTCAAGCTCCCTGGCCATGTACTGCAACGCCTCATCCGGGCTGCTGGAACCATATGACGTGCCCAGGTGCGTGTAAACACCTGCCAGCCGCACACGCTTCGATGCAGCTACTGCGTACGCGACGTCAGCGAGCTGGCCAGATTCCGGCGGCACGCCCTCTCTGTGGTCGCCGACATCGATGTTGACCCAGACTGGAATGGTCCCTGGCCATGCGGCATCGTCGACCTCGTCCAATAACTTGATGTGAGCCGGGTGGTCCGTGAACAGTCCGACTGTACCCTCGCCGAGAATGCGAGCAACGGCGGCTAACCGTGGAACGGCTGACGGCAGGACTGGAAGCCCGTACAACACCTTTCAGCTACTGTCAGAGACCCATTGCGACCTCTTGCTGTCACGCTCGATTACTCACGTTGATCTCTCTACCTTGCACCTTGCACTCCATCAACCAGGGCAGCAGATTCTCCACTTCCGAGACAGTCGAACATACGAGCTTTACCGGCCTCGAAACCTCCTCTCCGACCTGGAGCTTGGCGATTTGTGTCGTCTGCAACTTGCTTCAGCAGATATTCCAGCATCGCGAAGAGGCACGCTACCTTGTGCGTCTTCACATGCGCCCGAAATCCAACGTCAACCTCATCAGCCGCTGCATTGCAGTTAGCATCGACCCGTCAAGTATGGAAGAGAACAGTTACGGACCATCGAGCATCAGCTTACAATTCCTCCGCACCACTGCTGCGTCAATGACCGCTGCGGGCGTTTGGACGTCCTTGACATTGTTGCCGACGTATTGGAGTTGCAGAGCCGCTACGGAGGGGCTGGGGTAGGCGGAGGGTGCGTTTGAGGATGGGGTTTGCATTGTTGCTGGTGGCCTTCGAATGTCGAGCTCTTGTGCTTGAGTGGTTGTGGTTGCGGTGGGATAGCTCCTCGATCACATGCAATATGGAGCATCAGGCAATCGAAAATACCAGATTGGAATGCAACATCATATCATACACATGAGTTGACTCACCTGTTTACTCTTTTCTACGCCCTGCGTGTTACAATGCGAAGAGTGAGGTGAAGTTAATTCTGCCAAGACCCGCTCCTGCCCCACTTGGACACGACCAACCTCTTTCGGACGGAGTCTTCAAGTATTCCACCAAGTACAGCCATTGATCGTAACTCCACCGGCGCTTTGTAACACAATCTCTCCAGGCTACAGACACGAAAATGGGAACGAAGAGGCCAGCTGAAGACTCTGCGGGAGCGAGGGACAAGAAGCAAAGAGTACCACTCACCGCAGAAATCGCCACTTGCAGTCGGCCAGCCCTGTACTGATGAGAAGTAGACGAAGAAGCAATGGAGAACTCCTCGCAACGGCGAAGCGAACAAGCAGGTGATCCAGCCTGGCGATAGCGGCATCTGGGGCACGTGCAACAAAGGCAAAGAACGAGCGTGTGTTGGGGAACTCCGGGACCTCTTCGCAGAATACGCTGAACTACTCTATGGCGTTGGAGCGGCCGGCGAAGCCAACAACGACATCAACGCCGAACCATCATCATCCAGCATCGAGAATGAAATCAACGCTGAAGTCGCTGAAATGAAGCATCCCGAAGCAGCGCCACTCTTCACACCAATACGGATAGACGTGCAATGCGTGGTGTTCTTCAAGACCACGGCGCCGATCGAGCCCGTCAGCTTCGTGAAGCGGATCTGCGAGGACGCCATGAAGAGGGCCAGCCGCAAACGCACGCGCTGGACGAAGCGACTTTCTCCGATGACCTTGATGGGGCGGGCGTCGCTGGATGGGCTGGAAAAGGTCGCGCTTACAGTGCTCGAACCACATTTTCACCAGACCCCGTTGGAGCCGCGGAAGGTAGGGCACGTTCGTTTTCCGGTTGTGAGGCGCGAAGGCTGACGTTGGATGTGGCAGTTTGCGATTCGTCCGACCTTGCGGAATCATAACCTCATCAAGCGAGACGGGATCATTAAGCTGGTGGCTCAGTGTGTGGGTTCGGGGCATCAGGTGGATCTGAAGAACTATGATTTGCTCATAGTGGTTGAGGTGTTCCAGGTAGGTACAACTGGCTTGCGAATGTGCTCGTGCAGCTGCTCACCTGATACAGAATATATGTGGAGTGAGTGTGGTTGACGACAGCTTCGAGCGCCTCAAGCGATTCAATCTCGCAGAGATTTACGATCCTACCCCAATTACAGACATTAATGAGGGCAAAGCGCCAGTGTCAGCTGTGAAGGCTGAAGAGGGTACTATGGAGGTCGATGGGACGCCGGGCAGCCATGCATTGATGCCGGCTTCAGCTTCCAAGCCAGAAGACGTCGCTCCGGAGCTCGATCCTATAGCGAGCAAGACTGCATCAATGGTTGATGCAGCGCCCAGCGTTGAGACGCCAGCATCGTCATCAGCTCCCAAAGCTGAAGAGGTGGCCATGGTGCTTGATTCTGGCGCAGAGAGGACTGCATCTATGGCGGACACGCGATAAGGCCGGCTCCTTCTCGATTCGGGGGCGGAGGGTAGCTTACCGATGGCGGACACGCGATAAGGCAGGCTTCTTTGCCGTTGCTGCATGAGCAGAGAGTTTCAATGCAGCATCATGGAAGCGGCAACGAGCAATGACTTGATCCGAGAACCCCACAACGAGAGCGCCTTGTGTCAGGCAAAACTCAATCTCGACGTGCGGTCGATCCTTCCGTCGACCCGTCCGCTTGGGTCGAGGTGCACTGCAGTGCTTCGGTTGGCTGCAGCACGCAGAGGCCTCGTGGCGAGCACGATTGCGGTAATACAATAAATCTCCTCGCTAGTGGCGGCGATGCAGTGCGACAGATGTGGCAGCCTCTTCCAGCTCTGATCGAGCATGGCTGCATGTGTTGCGCATGGTAGAATATCAATCAGACTGCAGCAGTCTCAAATCTCGCCCACCAGAAAACGCCACATCGCTTCCGGCACATTGGACATCCCTGCAATAGCGTGACATCCTGGCGCTGCCGATAGACGTTCTCCATTGGCCATGTTCGATCTGCTGCTAGACGAGCCCTCTAAGCCCTTTCTCGATGAAACTCGCGAACTCACACATCCCCATTCGCTTGACACGAACCTTAATATATTGCGCACGTCTTGGAAAGCGGGCCACGATGTCGTGAGAGGCTCACCTAGACCGCGGGCGAGCATGACCGGCTGATTTGAGATTTCCAACACTCGCCAGACTCGCTTGTTTTCGTTTTGGGACGGGGGCCGGACTGGCAACCTGCGACGCTTTCCACACGCAACTTCTGGGTTAGTGTACGTCAGACGGGGCGTTCGATGACATATAGCCTACATGTACATGTCACTCTGCAACAGAACGTGTTCGAGGTTGGCATAATGCTAAACGCAATGGCGTGTCAAGCGACGCGAGGCGGGCTTGATGTAGGATTCGATGAGGTGTACGACATAGGCTCCCATCCTCTTCCGATCACTCTCTCATATTAACCCATCCGGCCTTCTTCGGCGCCGTCGTCAACCGCAGACTCATATGCCCTTCACGGACCGACATCTAGCAGTCCACGCTTCCTGAAACGGTAACTGCATTCTGACCTTCGATCTCGCATGCGGGCCGCCAGATCTCTAGGTTACCCTTGATCTCCGTCTGCACTTGGGGCAGGAGTAGAGGGTTGACGAGTATTTAGTCCTCCAGCTGGACTGGATGATGGCGATCGGCAAGACAGCTATGGCCTCGAGTACACCTTCTTCGCCTGATCGGAACGCTATACAACGGACTGCTGCCGCTGCCTTGCAATCGAAGTCGGTTACGGTGGAGAAGCTGGACGGATATACCTTTCGGACATACCGACTGAGGACCTCGGAGAGGTTCTTCTATGTTCTGAGATGTCGGCCTTCGTTCAACATCCGGTTACTACGTCATGAGGAAGGGTGGATAGAGACGGAAGCTGGGACTCTTCAATCCATCGGTGGGAGAGCCGATATCTTCACGCCGAGGTTGATCAAATACCAAAATACCACCTTGCACATCGGGAGCTTCTACCTCATCACTGGGCCTTTCACCGGATCCATTCTGGCTGATGTCGAACCAACGTTGTCAACCCATGCTCTCGCTAGCATAGACAAGAGTCTTGGCCAGTACGTCCGTCGATTGTCCATGATGCCGGGGGAGGTGTTCGGTCCAGTACGGCAAAGTCAAGGCTTCCCCGGCTTTCGATCATGGGCGAAGGCCTTTGCATTCCTGCTGGAATCGATCATGCGGGATGGCGAGGACGCACTGATCAGCCTCCCATACGACCACGTCCGGGACCTTGTCCGGCGACATCGATCGTCTCTAGAGAAGATCACGCAGCCCAAGCTGGTCCTGCTGGAGCTGTCGGCGGACAGAAACGTGGTTGTCGATGTCAAGGCAGAGCAAGTGACTGGGCTCCTGGACTATTCGACAGCGATATGGGGCGACCCGTTCATGTCTGATTGCTTTTACAAACCCACCGCGAGCTTTGCGGAAGGTTTTGGTAAGCTGCCTAATCAGTCGGCTGATGAGCGAATACGACAGTACCTGTGAGTATCCTTCAGGGAGGGTATGAAGCAGTTCGATAAGCTGACCAGGTCCAGGTATGTCGTGTACCACTCGATGCTGGCCATCGTGCGGCAATTCTATCGGCCGTCGGAGGATGAGAACGAGATGCAAGCGCGGCGGGATTTCACGACTGCTGTCCGCCAACTCTCTGGCCAGTGATGCCTTTTGAAGGGGTGGATCTGGCGCCTTTCCAGTTTCCCGAAGTCCTGGTGCTGGGTAGAAGATGGCTTTTGATTTCAGCGAGGCGTCTGGGTTCTTGGGTTCCGGTTCATATTGGCGTTCTTCCGGCGTTCACCTGGACATCTAGACGGCATATTTGAGATATGAGCGAGACGATGTACGATTGACGAACCATTTGAAGCTTGTGTGCTAGGGGACACAGAACCAGCGGCTGCGGGGGCATCTGATGCTGGTCATATAGATGTACAATGAGATACAAACTCTCTTGCCAGTCTCTCACCAGTCATCGAGGGTTGCGAGTACGATTGGAGATGGTGGTGAACGATCCTCCTCCCTCGGCAATCAACCCCTCTCGCACGTGACATCGTATACCAGCAGGCCGAATGCGGAAGGAGCTCCAATTCGAGACCAAACTTGCCTCCCAATGGCATAGCATGGTAACAAGTGCTCCAAACACGACGGAGAAGCACGCTGACCACCTTCTTCTGAACCTGAAGAAGCAGGTGGTCGTCGGCCTGTGGCTTGGCAAGCTGGTATGAGTTCTCGGGATGGATTTGTAATGTCGAATTGTGCTTTGGTTCCGCGGGCAGGCAACAAGAACAGCTGTCGCTATCGACTATCAGTAATCCAATCTCTCGCCCTCGTAGGCGTTGATGAAAGGAACATTAAATCTTCAAAGCGTCGCATCTATTTTGGGGAGCAGTGTTGGTTTGCTTCGAAAACAGCCAGTTGTTCATTCTCCTCTGGACCCTGAAATCCTCCCAGGGAGCTCGTGCCATTGCCTGAAGAACCCTCCCACAAAGACAGTCTTGCGTCTTACTCCAGTCTTCTCTATCCACCTTTCTACCTCAATCACACTTGCGAGATCACTCTAACACACGAGAGGTACTATCTGGAATCGAATCGCAGCCATGAGGTACTCGCTCGGCCTATTGGGGCTCGCCGCTCTGGGAGCAGCAGCTTCGGACGTTGTCGACCTCACCAAGGACAAGTTCGATGGGTTTGTCGCAGAGAATGATCTGGCGCTGATAGAGTGTGCGTCTTGTCCAGCCCTTCAGCTTAGCGGTCCCTTGCTGACAGATTTTGAACAGTCTTCGCACCATGGTGCGGTCACTGCAAGGCGCTCGCGCCAGAGTACGAGGAGGCGGCCACAACTCTCAAGGAGAAGCAAATAGCACTTGCAAAGGTGGACTGCACCGAGCAACAGGACCTGTGCCAGGAGATGGGCGTCGAGGGATACCCGACCCTCAAGGTCTTCCGAGGCAAGGACAACGTGTCCCCATACGGCGGTCAGCGAAAAGCAGAGTCGATTGTCTCGTTCATGACGAAGCAGTCGATGCCCGCTGTATCGCTCATTCAGTCCTCTGAGGCGCTCGAGGAATTCAAGACCGCGGATAAGATCGTGATGGTGGGCTTCTTTGCAGCGGATGACAAGTCCAGCAATGCTACGTTCACGGAGGTTGCGGAGGATATGAGGGATGGTGCGCTGTTCGCTGCTACCTCTGATGCTGCGCTGGCCAAGGCCGAGGGCGTCAAGCAGCCGGCGGTTGTGGTGTACAAGTCTTTTGACGAGGGCAAGAACACTTTCGAGGAGAAGTTTACCAAGGACGGCATTGAAGAATTCATCACCAAGGCCTCGATCCCACTTGTGGGAGAGGTCGGACCGGAGACATATGCCAGCTACATGGCTGTGAGTGAAGCACTTTTCGATCTTCTGTCTCAGTACTGACATATCTACAGGCCGGTATTCCTCTCGCGTACATTTTCGCCGAGACTGAAGAAGAGCGAACGTCTCTCGGAAAGGCCCTCAAGCCAATCGCTGAGAAGCACAAAGGCGCCGTCAACTTCGCAACCATCGATGCCAAAGCCTTCGGCCAGCACGGAGGCAACCTCAACCTCGAGGTCGGCAAGTGGCCTGCTTTCGCGATCCAGGACGTTTCCAAGAACCAGAAGTTCCCATACGAGAAGCAGGGCAGCGAAAAGGACCTGAGCCAAAAGAACATCGGCAAGTTCGTCGACGAGTACCTCGCCGGCAAGATCGAGCCCAGCATCAAGAGCGAGCCCATCCCCGAGAAGCAGGACGGCCCGGTTACCGTCGTCGTGGCAAAGAACTACCAAGACGTGGTCATGGACGACGGCAAGGACGTCCTCCTCGAGTTCTACGCCCCGTGGTGCGGACACTGCAAGGCCTTGGCTCCCAAGTACGAGGAGCTGGCCGGTCTCTACAAGAATCACGCCGACAAGGTCGTCGTCGCCAAGGTCGACGCCACCGCCAACGACATCCCAGACGAGATCCAGGGTTTCCCGACGATCAAGCTCTTCAAGGCTGGTGAGAAGACCGAGCCCGTCGAGTACTCCGGCTCCCGCACCGTCGAGGACTTGGCCAACTTCATCCGTGACAACGGCAGCCACAAGATCGACGGCGCGTCCGAGGCCAAGGGCGCTGAGACCATGGAGGGCGTGGAGACGGAGGGGATGCCTCAGCAAGCTCCTGCTGCTACCGCGTCTGGAGCTGCTCAGAAGGCTGCTTCGGCTGTTTCGGAGGCTGCGGCTTCGGCGAAGACTGCTATTGTTGATGGCGAGGAGGGGCTTGAGGAGCATGATGAGCTTTGAGTGGTTTGAGGAGGCGAGGTTTAGTATGAGGATGAGAAGGTGGAGGTCGTTTATGACTTGATGGGATGACTGGATGAGACGAGGTGGATCTATGGGTGATTGGGTCTGCTGGGTGCATGTAGTTCTACGTAGCTGTATGAGGTGCATGGCGTTCTACCATCTTTTTCTGCCTGCCTTGGCTCGGTTCCTACAAATGTGACTCGTTCCGCCTCTATACGCACCGTGTCTCGTCCGTTATGTGTTGTTCACTGGCCTTGATTCGTAGTGCATTGCTGGTGTCTGCTCGCGCAAGACATCTCGTTACCACAGCGTCGGAAGAGAGTAACGCGGAGCCAAGCTTCAATCACCTCCGCCGTCATCTTAACTCTACCACCACAGCATCCACCTCGTCCGCACCGCACGCTCCGGTAGAATCATTACCACAACAATCACAATAGCAGGCGCCTGATCTCAGACACTCGTAGCACGAGCAAATCAATAGACCTCCGCCCAATCTCGATCGCTCCACCACAACTCCCGAGGTCGACCGCTTTTGCACCTTGCCTGCCGATGCATCACTCCCCGACTCGATGTTGGAGCCATACAGTCGAGGTCGCAAGGGCATGATGGGTCCGCAGCTGTACGGATGAGCACCACCGACGACCGCAAGCTCTCTGCGCGCAATCAGCGGCGGGCACTGTCATGGGGATGAGCTGGCGGATAATGGTGCAGTGGACTCTTTGGACAGCACACTAGCAACGAGCAGCGTCGCATGAATCTTGCAGCCGCTTGTCTCGGTCCTCTTGGTCGCGAGTGCGGCGTTCGCTGGCTCACGCAACAGCTTCTCTTCGCGCCATGACATGGCGACCACGCCGGCACGCCCGGTTTGCGCAGCGGACAAGACGGCGGGGATGCGGTTCAAGAAGAAATGGCCCTCGAAGGCTCCGAGAGAGCATGGGACGGCGCCGAGTACATTGCCTCGCCGGGTTGACAGGTGAGAACATTCCTTGTTTCCTTTATGTTGAAAGAGACGGAGTTCCATCTGCCCTTGCAGTGGAGAAGCTGGTGCATTGCTGCGTCCATCATCGTTCCGTTTTGCAGCGGCTGTTTTGTCTCGTATACAGATTTTCTGCCTCTGAGGACGTACCAGGCGTGCCAAAGCAGCATGCTCAGGCTGTCTTTGGTGCGCGATCTTGCCTTCGTTATGATTTCTTTTCGTAGCCTTTCCTATTGCTTTGGAAAGAATATCAACGGGATGGCAACATAATTCATGCTGGACGTACAAGCCAGCCACGGTACTCTGGTAACAGCAGCCGGCTACAGATGGAAGTTCCAGATATGCTTCCACTGTCTAAAGCGCGAGTGGGCTACATGGCAAGGCTTTCCGCTTGATGCTGGCAGGGTGGAGTGTCGCCCTGAATCAGAGCCCGGACTTCCTTCTCCTCTACTCCATCTGCACACGGAGTCAGCACCACTCTACTCCGTTGACAGCAAAGGTTTACTCCACTCCAACTCCGAATAGCCTGGTCGTCTGGTATTCTAGTCTGGTCTGGCAACCAGGCCAACCTTGATGGAAAGCGTTGTACGCACGCCTTGCCTGGACGTCGCCGCGAGCTGTTGTCCTTCTTTTGTCCTCCTGATCGCTGCGCACCCCGTCGTGGAGCTCGAGCAGGATGCACAGCAGCCCGTGGTATGGCTGGCTATTCCAGGCTTGAAGATACGAGACTATCGCCTCCATGCCCTGTTTTCAGACCAGCGGGATCTTTACTTCTGGGCGAAGGAGGCTGGGGCTCGTGGCTGGAGCTCGTGGCAAGCGGTGCTTAGTCGTACGTCAAGATGTTTGCTCACAGGTATGGACTTCGAGAGGCGTGCGAGGGCGTCCAGGTCCTTCCTCCGCACCATGAATCTGCTTGGCCGCGATGTCGATACTGTCTGGCGCGATCCATGTTCCGTCTCATCGGATGCCCCAGACAGTCGGCGTGCGCTGGAGCGTGGGTGGTAGGCTGAGGCAATGGAGAAGTCGTGCTGGCCATCCAGTTTGTTGGAAATATGTCGGCCGCGCATCATCTAAGGGGCTTTCTGGGTATGCACTAGAAGGCTCAGCCTTGCATGATAAGGTGGAAGAGCAAGGAGCAAGGACGGAGCAAGTGGAAGGCAAATAGGTGGGTGTTTGCTTTGGAGGTACGGAGCAATGGCTCTCTAAGCTATGCGATGATACAGCATCGTTGCCGTGCCTGTTGCCCTTGGTCCTGTCCCGTCCAGCCTTCGAATGCCCTCGCAGACCCTCCAATGCCTTTCACATGCCCCCAGACTTGAACCAACACCTCATCACTGGCCCTACTCATCACGAGACGGCTCAGCTTCAGCTCCTGCTCGTGACGTCAGGCACCGTGGTCGCTCTTGCGAACTGGCGAGCTCTTGGAAAAGGGGCCGTGCGCAGCTGCCGCACAAAATTCGAGCTCTCCGCCAAAACAACCCTCTCCCTTGACACAACCTCAACTACCTCGACAACCTCTTCCATCCACTCAACTCACACAACAACAAGGTATGCTACATCCCTAATACCCTCACACCCTCCGCAGACAATTTGCGCGTCTTTTCCAGACTGTAACACGTTAAGGGGCACCTTCGCAGCAAATTCCTCTCCTCCCACCCCTCCAACCTCACACACCTTCACCACATCAACACAAGGCTAATTCGAGTTCACAACAGCACCCACAGCATCACAGACACCTTCACACCCTCACCGACGTCCTCGTCACGTTCGAAAACACAAGGTAAGCTTCATCCACCACCCTCAAGCGATCCCGTGCACCTCCCCTTTCCATCACATCCGCATTGCACGAGTCCCTCAACCGTCTTCTCACCTTCAAAACACCCTTTCACTACTCAACGAGCATCACATGAGGCAATTGCGACACGTGGCCTCGTGGTTCGAGCTTCTCAGCTGCAGTATATAACCTTGCCACCTCCCCTCCTTCCTCTCTCCCCAGCTCATCAACCTCTTCCTCACACATCAACACTCCTCACCTCTTCCAACCTTCCGACATCACATCACAACACATCGGCAGCACTTCTAACAACTCTCCAGCTTATTACTACTCACACCCTCTCCCCCAACACAACAACACCACAGCCCACCATGGGCGGCCCAGCCAAGCGTCGCGCGAACGAGGGGCGTTATGCTCACTCAGCCGCCACTGCTTCCTCAAGCGGAGACACATCGTCTTCCGGCAAGGCTTCTCGTTCGGTGCACTCGCACGCCCCCTCGACCAGCGGCCACTCCCGTCACTCCCGTCAGTATGACGGCAGTAAGTCTTCTTCACTTCCCAGAATTTTGCTACAGCTAACACTTGCTCAGACCGCGATCCCGGCTCGCCAGGCTCTACCGGCGCGAGGTCCCCAAGCAGCAGATCGCCTGGCTCCGCCACTGCTTCGTCAAGGACCGGCACTGAGCGCAACCCTGAGACTTCCAAGGTCATCATCGAGAACAAGAATCTTGATGTCGGCACCTACGGCCGTGCCGTCATGCGCGGCGACAACCTCCACGGCAGCCTTTGCCCTCGTCCAGCGCCTTCTAAGCTCGGCACGGCCATCAAGATGGGTCTCAACGTCTTCGGAGTGAGCATCGGGAAGCTGTCAAAGATGCCCGTCTACCAGTACGACGTGCACATCGGCTCTGGCACGGAGAAGCGTGGTCTGCTTGACAAGGTCTGGCAGTCCCAGGCTGTACGCAAGGCCTTGGGCGAAGGATTCATCTACGACGGCAACAAGCTTGCGTGGTGTTCGAGGAAGATCGATCGTGAGACAAGGATCACAGTTGACCTTGATGCTGAGCAGAACAGGCCTCCTTCCAAGAGTGGCAAGGACAATAAGCACCGCGCAGTCATCTCCTTCACCAACCCCGTCTATGTCGACAGGTTCGAGTCATACCTTGAAGGCACCGTGGCCTTCAACAACGCCGTCCTGGAGACCCTCAACTTCCTGGACCACATGCTCCGCGAGACACCGCGCAACAACTTCACCGCTATCAAGCGCAGCTTCTTCGCCAGGGGTGAGAAGCGCTTCGATCTCGGCAACGCAGTGGAAGCTTTCAAGGGCGTGTTCTCGTCTATGCGCATCTACCATGCCGGCCTGAACAAGGGTCGTCTTGCCATCAACGTGGACGTCGCCAACGGCACCTTCTGGACCGCTTCCATGCTTCACGTTGCCGCCGTTGCGCTGACTGGCAAGCGTGATGTGAATGACCTCATCGTGGCTCTCAATCGCAGCGGTGAGAGGGGCCGCGAAGGTCAGGCGCTCAAGAAGATGAGGAGGATTCACGTCATTGCTCATCATCGTCGTGGCGAGACCGACAACTATTGCATCGACAGGTTGGTCTACAAGAGCGCGAAGGAGTACAAGTTCGACAAGGATGGCAAGATGATCTCGGTCTACGATTACTTCGCGAAGGAGTTCAACATCCGCCTCCAGCACCCCGATCTGCCCCTGGTCCTGATGACGAAGGGCAAGAATACGATGCTTCCGATGGAGGTGCTGAAGATCAAGGAGAACCAGCGTTACGTCACGAAGCTGGACGACAAGCAGACCTCCAACATGATCAAGTTCGCTGTCGAGCCACCGCCAGGCCGCTGGGAGTCGATCAAGCATGGTCTTGGGATGCTGGACTGGGCCAACGATCCCGTACTCAAGCACTTCGGCGTTCAAGTCGATCCCAACATGACCACCGTCGACGCTCGTCTGATTCCGGCCCCAAAGGTGCAATTCGGTGCTGGCGATGCGAAGCCTGGCACATCAGGTCGCTGGGACCTGAAGGGCAAGAAGTTCCTCTCTGGCAACGTGGCTTCTCTCAAGAGCTGGGCTGTTTGCGTCATCTCCGGTCGTCGTGGCGGCAAGCCCGACAAGGCCACCATCGATCGGTTCATCGCCGAGTTCATCAAGATCTACAAGGGTCATGGCGGCCGCGTTGAGAACACCGATCCTGCTTCGGTGCTTGCCTCAGGTGACGATGTCGGCGGCTGGGTGACTGAGACCTGGAACAAAGCAGGCAACCAGTCCCAGATGCGCCCTCAGATCCTGCTCTTCGTCTTGCCCGACAAGGACTCCATCACTTATGGACGCATCAAGCGCTCTGCTGACTGCCGCTACGGAGTGGTCTCTCAGTGCATGCAATTCTCACACGTCCAGAAGTGTCAAGCGCAGTACATCTCGAATGTCTGCATGAAGTTCAACGCGAAGTTGGGCGGGCAGACCAGCCGCGCGATGGGTCCGAAGTCTGGTGGTCCCACGGGCATCTTCCAGACGCCAACCTGCATCATCGGTGCTGATGTCTCTCACGCTGCACCAGGCTCCCAGGCTGCTAGCATGGCTGCTTTCACCATGTCTATGGACAGGCTGGGCATCAGATACGCCGCTGCCTGCGAGACCAACGGCTTCCGTGTGGAGATGATCAGCACGGACAACATCAACAACATGCTGAAGCCTCAGCTCCAGGCCTGGATGAGCAACGTCGGTGGTGGGCAGTTCATGAAGCGCATCATCTACTTCCGCGATGGTGTCTCCGAAGGCCAGTACCAGCACGTCCTCGAGCAAGAGGTGCGTGACATGAAGGCTCTGCTCAAGACCGCGAACCCGAACATCGACATTCCCTTCGTTGTCATCGTGGGTGGCAAGCGTCATCATATTCGCTTCTTCCCGCCGCAGGGCAAGGGCGATAGGAACGGCAACCCTCTCCCTGGCACTCTCGTCGAGACCGGCTGCACGAACCCATTCGAGAACGACTTCTACTTGTGTTCTCACTCAGCTATCAAGGGTACCGCTCGCCCGATGCACTACCACGTCTTGCTCAACGAGGCCGGCATGGGTAACGAGGAGCTTCAGACCCTCATCTACGAGCAGTGCTATCAGTATATCAAGAGCACGACTCCCATCTCCCAGCACCCCGCCATCTACTACGCACATCTGGCGTCCAACCGCGCGGTTCCCCACGACCCGAACTGGTCCGGCTCGAGCGACGCGACACCATCCTCCGGCCAGCAAACCGGCTCTCAGGGCAAGACCGGCAGCTCCGCCGATGAGACCACCTTCTCCAAGCTGATGCCGATGCCGAACCAAGGCGCCATCAACACCGGCATGTGGTACATCTGATGTGCTCGCGAAACCAGAGAGGTGAACCGCCAAAGTGTGCTTTGCGTGTGCTTTTGAGGGCGTCCTGGGGTGTGCTTTGAGAGTGAGTGCTTTTGAAGGTGTGGCGGGCGTTGGTGGGCGTTGGTGACGATGACACGACGGCGAGACCATGGGAGACGACACGATGCTTGCGACTGCGAAGGATTCTAAGAGGGCCAGCGAGATGGTAAAGAAGACCATGGGTGTGACACGACAAAAGTTTGACGACTGATGATGCGACGGGGGACGACGGACTGATTGCTTTTCTTCCGTGTGCTGCTTTTCTTGCTTGACCCGAGACTGGACTGATGGGTTACTTCTTTTCATTGCTTGTATTAACATCGCGGTAGCTTAGTAACAAAACTGATCAAGGCCTTTGGCCCCCAAAAAACGCTGTTCCTCGTTCTTCAGCTTCATCGGTGACAGACATGGTCTTAACAGCAGGAGAGCAATGGCACCGAAGAGTGATGGTATGGTTGCGACTTAGGAGACCTGGTCGCCGACGACGTCGACCCAGCACACCAACACGAAACGGCGGGAGAACACTACACAAAGATCACGGAAAGAGGAAGGAAAAGCACAAAATCTGGTACACAACCACGCACGCGCTCAGCGCTCGTTTCATTCATGGGCCTGGGTATGAGCATCTATTTACAACATCGACAGAGTCCGCTTCATGAGACGGAAGGTCGTCCAAGCACATCAAAACGCCGTATCCATAACCGTCACTTAACGTTGTCGTACGTCAGGCCCAAATGCGCCTTCCCTTCCCGTCCATGCATGCCAGAACGCCCAAATTCCCACACGCCTCTCGCCATGCCGCTTCGATGCTGTGCGGAAATCCAGAAAAGCAGGAAAGCCCAAGTGCGTGGCTCAGTGTTCGTTCTTCGTCGTTTCTTGGGGTTCGTTGGTGGTGCTGCGCTTGTGAAGGCTCGTGGTGAGGGCAGCGGCGTAGTGCGTTGCGCGAGCGAGTGCTGAGGTGCCATGCCGTCGTGAGCCAGCAAGCAGCGAGCGAGCGGTATTGCCAGATCCTCCATACCCATCCATCATCGGTCGATCGTCATGCCGCCTCTTTCTTTCTTCATACCCTCCTCTTCATCAATCGGTCAACCGATCCAACAGATGAATACTCAAAATCATCACCAACAGCCCAATCGTAACAATAATCAACAACGCGAACCCGAACCACCCCAACACCATCGCGCTAGTGCCGACCCCACTCCTCACGCTCCCGTTTCCAAAATCCTGCGCGACTTGTGCGGCAGCGACAGACGCCGTGTGTTGCCAGAGCACGCTGACGAGCACGAAGATGGAGGAGATGAAGATCAGCGCCAAAGCGGCCTGGGAGACGGGGCGGGAGGGGAAGGGCTTGATGTCGACATCGGAGCCGGTGCGGGCGTCGCGCTCTTCGTGCCAGCCTGGGAAGGTGGCGAGAAGGAGGAAGACCACGAATGCGAGGACGATGGCGACGATGCTGTGGTGAAGGTTAGCATTTCTGCGCGAGCAAGTCAGGGGAGGGAGAGAGTGAAGTACTTACAGGAGGTATGGGAACACGACCGAGTCCTTGAACGTCTCCGCTACCCAGATCAGATTCAACGGGTCCTCGTCGATGCTGATCTGCTCCGCGAGTAGGGTAACGTTGTTGGAGCACAGGAAGCTGCCGCCGTCCGGGTTGACGCAGACGCCAAAGTAGCCGACGCGGACTTCGAGCTGGGCGTCGCCGACGAGGTTGGCGATGGCGGCGGTGACGCCCGGGTCGACTTGGGTCGGGTCGTAGACGGGGGTGTACATTTGGTAGTAGAAGGAGATGATGAAGATGCCGGGGATGAGGGGCGAGGAGGAGGAGCAGCCGGCGAGGAGGAGGGCTGTGAACATATCGTTAGTATGACTTCGTGAGTGTGGTGAAGGGATGGGGTGGTCTGCTTACAGAGTAGGATGATAGCAATGGCGATCAGGATCATCAAGACATGATGGTATCCGAGGAAAGGGATCAGGCGCTGGATGCCGACCGCGAAGCGTACGTTGGCCATTGTTCGGGTCTGCTACCGGCGCTCTGGGACCTGGGAGAGGGAGAGAGAGAGGGTGTTCTCCGGCGGCCAAAGGGCCGGGAGTCGGTGGAGGGCGTGGAATGCAGCAGTCGCTTGTCGTCCTTGCTCTTGTTCTTGTGTGAGTGGGAAGAGAATGTGATTGTGCTCTTGTCGGAATGAATGCTCTTGTTCTGTATGTCTCTCCGAAGTATGCGATGTGGGAGGTTCGAGAAGCAAGCTGGTCGACGGAGCAACGATGGAATGTTTGGCGGGCTTGTCGTCGCACCTGCGAGAGAGTACTGGTCAGGAAGAACAGAGAGAGAGTTTGGGAGAGGATGGGAGTTGGCTTAGCTCTCGACGTGCAAAATTGCTGCCTGCGCAATCACTGAAATCATAGTGGTTGGTATGCGATATCAAGTGGCTGACATTGTACAGCCATCCTCTTTTTCTCGAAGTCAAAGTCGGACGCCGTTGCCCACGCGACACACTAGCGCTAAATAGTACGTCAATCCCGCCAGGAACAGGGTTCTTCCCGCAGCTGCCGAGAAGCTTGACGCGCGTGGCTGGAGGTTTAATTGGAACGGCGGTTTAGAGACGTGGTCTGGAAGGATTGGGCGTCTTGAACGACATCTGCATCATCTGGCATCGGCGTAATTGGTTGAGTACGTACAAATGGCATCTTTCATACAATTCCTCATGTCCAAAATTTTCACAGCGCCGCCTTCTCCGTCAAACACCACCTCCCCTCCTCCCCCTTCCTCACCCTACCCTCCCCCTCCAACTTCCGCAACACCTGAACCACACCCCCCTCCGCCGGCCCATGCAAATGCTCCGGATACTGCCGATACACCACCTTCACAATCTCCATGCTGGTCCATCCCTCGTGCCCATCCTCCCGCTTCGTCCCAAGCACATCCACCACCTCCCCTTCCCTCTGCCGTCGATGCCGGATATACTCCCCTACCTTCCCTTTGCCGTCTGAGATCACGTCTCCATGCCCTGGATACGCGCGGCCGGCGAATTGCTTCTCCATGAGTTCTAATGAAGACATGTAAGCGCCCAGATCCTCAAACACAGCCGTCCCGTGCCCGAGCACGTTGTCGCCGGTGAACATGGCGTCTTCCTCCTGCAGGATAAAAGCCATGTGATCCACAGTATGTCCCGGGCAATGCAGAGCACGCAACGTAGCGCCTTCAGTCCGAATAACCTGGCCGTCGTCAATCTCAATCTGCCCAGGTGGAGGTTCATAGGCAATTACCTCCCCATCAGCAACCGCCTCTTGCCTCGCCGTCGGCTGGTGCTTCAACACCTCCGCCCCTTCACATCCAGGCAAGGCGAGGACATCGCTCACCCCGCCTACATGGTCCGGATGCCAATGGCTCAGCAACACCTTCTCGATCGTCGCGTTCTCATCCTTGAGCGCTTGGCGAAGGGAAGACGCGAAGACGGGTTTGCCTTCGCCGGTGTCTAGTAAGATGCGTTTGGGCCCGGAGCCGATGAGGTAGCAGTTTGTGCCTTGGAGGGTGAATTTGCTGGGGTTGCCGCCGAGGATGCGGAGGACGAGGGGGGAGAGGCGGGTTGTTGGGGGGAGATCTGGGAGTTGTTCCATTCTTGGAGAGGTGCTGAAGGGCCGGCTTGGGATGGTTCCTTTCCTGAGACTTGGGAGTGGCGATAGGATGGGTCTATGGGTACGGCGGAGGAGGTAGGAGACGGTCATCTAAGGCATCGCTTGGCTGTTGTCGTAGATATGCTTTACAATATCTGCAGTCTCATATGAGCGCACTTGTACTTGGATTGCAGAATGAAGCTCGACGGCTGACGATGATCTAACATTCGTCTTACCGAGGCACGAGCTTTCTCTCACTCCTTCCGAATTCGGACAATATCACTTCGCGGCTCTTTTTACATCAATGGCTGCGAGCAAGACCTGGGTTGCCATTCGTTGCTGTGTATACACCGGTTTGCTTCTAGCCATACCCGTGTGCCCCCATGACATGGGCATCATTTCGGCGGTGTTCGTTTGATTTCGAAAAGGTAATAGCGAGAACTTTGGTTGCAAGCACAATAAAACGACGAAAACCGACGGACACGCGCTCTGATGAACCATAGAAGAAGCTTCAAGATGTCTATGAGAGGGCACCAAAGGTTCTCTGATACAGACGACGGTTTATTCAACGACGTCGGCCCCGTCAATACGCGATATTCACTACCCACTTACTCACTACTCACTCCCCAACCCTAACCCTTCATCGTATCACATCTCCAAGACATTCCTCTCAGGGTGTCGCCAGCACACAGCGAAGCATCGCTTGCCCTTCGAGCTCTCGATCAAAGTGTCGGAGCTCCGCAAGCAGTTCGCCCACCATCTCGCGGCGTGCTTGCTCGACCCTAACGTGGCTGCGTCAGACTGGGTCGGACAGAGGCGAAGATCAGGCGGTCTTCCATCTTTTAATCCACAGGTTGCGCTGGTATCTTGCGACGAGCATACGCTGTTGGAGCTGCTTCGCACCTCGCCGACTGGTCTCGCGGCGCAAACCAACTGCCTAGCGTGGCGGGAAGTCTGGCATGGACATGTCCTTCGCGGAGAACCTGCTGTCCCGTCAAGAGACATCTCCCATGATCCAACGTCACCCCAGAACATACGCATGTGTTCGGCTGCCAAAATAACGTGACCCATCCTCCATTGTATTTTCACCGCTCATCTCCCCCTCCCCTCCGCGCCCCCTTCTTCTTACTCTGAAACTCCTTCGCCTTCCTCCTCTGCGCCTTCTCCGCCTTCTGCAGCCCCTCGACCCGCTTACTCGTCGCCTCGCTCGTCTCCCCCGGCACGCTCGCCCTCCCCGCCTCCACAATCAACTCATGCAGCCGGCGAAAACAGCTAATCACATTATCCGTCTGCTTCCTCGAATCATCCGCCTGAATCACCACGTCCGACGTTTTGGCCGCGTGGTACCGGGAGGAAACGATGTGTGGGTGGAGTAGCTTGGGGAGGAGCGGGAGCAGACTCGGGAGAGAGATGCGCAGGGTGGCTTTGGAGGAGACTTTGTTGACGTTCTGGCCGCCGGGGCCGGAGGAGCGGGAGAAGGAGACGTCGTGCGGGGCGTTGCGGCGGATGGTGTCGGCGTCGAGGTTGGCGAGGAAGTGGCGGGCGGCTTTGATGTCTTCTTCATCTGCGCCGTCCGTGGGGCCGCGGTGGGCGAAGGAGCGAACGAGGCGCCATGTTGGAGGAGTGGTGACGCTTCGGAGAGGTCTCAGATAGCGAAGCATCACTGTCTCGTGATCTTGATGCTGGGAGCGTCAAGGCGAAAGTCGACGATGAGCAGCCGGTGGTATAGTTCGCTACATCGTTGGCTTCTCGTCGTGGATGGCTGTCTTCAGCGGGGCAATATGAAAGCCATCTGGCACGAGGGTCCAGCGTTCCCCAAAGGTGTAATGTATTATGTCGTGTCGCCGCTGCAATAAGTGCTGAGAACTGTTTGACTTCCAGTATCACAGAGAGTGCAACAAGATGCAAGAATGCCTGAGGTGGATGCGGGATGGAAGCTGAGATCTGAGCTAGCGAGTCATGTTTGTTGTTGTCTGCAATCGCAACCAACAGCACATCAGTACATCTTCACAGTCATCGGGACAGACTTACGGCAGCAGTGCATTTGAACGCGCCATGACAATTATGCTAACACAGTAACGACTTTATCTATCCGGAGAACCTACCGGACGACATGGCCAACTACATCGACACGCCGGCGACCGACAAGGGCGACCTCACCAGCTTGACGAACAACCATGTCGACTTTTCCTTCGCGCAGCCTTTCGCGTCGCCCTCGAAGAACCCGGCAGAAGACCTTCGCAACGCCATGAAGGGCATGCGCGGCGCGCCTCAACCTGCGAAAACACCACGCGTCCGGAACCCTCTGGTCGGACGATCAAACCCGAATGGCGTTCAGAAGCAGGAATTCACCCCACTCTTGAAGAGCGCGAAGCGTAACCAGCTGCTACAACATAGCATACTGGAAGAGAAGGAGAACGGCGCGCATGGAATTCCGGACACACCGGCTGCATTCAGGTCCAGCTATGCGAGCCAAGGCGACGCGCGATTGCCGGTGAACAGCTCGATGCTGGATGCTGAGAACACAGGCAGCTCGGGTACTGGTGGAATCGACGCGACTCCTGTTCCACCGGTGCAGAGTTCGAGTATGCTGGACTCCACGCCAATGCCTCAATTGCCGAACCGAGGCGAAGGTGGTGTGCTGGACCAAGGCAATGTGCTCACGCTTCGCGATCAGGAGGCCAAGCTGGATCAGATACAGAAGGACAATTTTGGTCTGAAGCTGAAGATCCACTACTTGGAGGAAGCGCTTCGCAAGACTGGAACAGCATTCCAGCAACAGACATTGAAAGAGAACGTCGAGCTCAAGACGCAGCGAACGACCATTGAACAGGATTTGAAGAACCAGCGCAAGCGGTTAGGCAAAGCAGAACTGGAGCTCGAAGAGTACCGGTCGAAGTTCGAAGAGTACAAAGAAAGCGTCAAGAAGCGGCACACATCTGCGCGGGACGCTGAAGAGGTCGAGCTGTTACAGCGAATGGCCGAGGAGAGCCAGAAGGTCGCTGATGAGCGGGAGGAGGAGTTGGATGCGCTGCGCGTCAGATTAGAAGAGGCGGAGAAGGAGCAGCGGGAGCAACAGGAGTCCGACGAGATCCAAGGGCTGAAGGAAGACGTGCAAGATCTCGAGCAGGAGATACGCGACCGCGACCGACAACTCGATGAGAAAGACGAACAGCTGGAAAATCTGCAGGACCAGCTCAAGTCAGCGAAGTCGGACACTGAGCAGGCAGAGCATCTCCAGCAGGACATCGACGAGCTGGAAGCGGAGTTGAAGGAGAAGGACGACGAGCTGGATGCGAAGAACAGCCGGATAGCTGAGCTAGAAGAACGCGTCAACTCGGCCTACGATCGCGAGAAGTCCACTAAGAAGCTACGAGGTGATGTCGTCGAACTAGAAAACCGCATCCGGGAGAAGGACCAGGAGCTCGACGAGAGCGACGAACAACGCCGTGCGCTTGAGAAAAGACTACAGACTGCCGAAGATGGGAACGCCGCAGAACTGCGCCAGCGGGACGATGAGGTCCGCAATGCTCAGCGGGAACTGGCCGACAAGGATGGCGAGATAAGAGCTCTTCAGGAACGACTACAGACTGCGCGCGGTAGCTGGGACGCAGAGGCTCACGAGACTGATGCTCGTTTGCAAGAGAAGGACACCATCATCCAGGATCGAGAAGGCAAGCTTCGCGAGAAGTCGCGCGTGATCGAGGAGCGCGATGACGAGCTTGCTGATCTGCAGAAACGACTGCGTGCAGCGGAGGGCAACCTGGAGGAAGCCTCAGGGAAACACAGCAGGCAGTCGCAGGAGCTGAGCGAGCAGATTCGCGAGCTTCAGGAGAAGCTGCGAGTCGCGTCGGCGAGCACGCAAGCCAAGCTCAACGAGAAGGACGGCATGATCCAAGCGCGTGAGAACGAGATGCAGACACTGCAGAGCCGGCTTTCGAGCGCGCAGTCAGGTGACAGTGCTGAGCTACGCGCAAAGTCTGAGCAGATCCGCGACCTTGAGGCTTCCATCAGGCAGAAAGACGGCACCATCAAGGACCAGTCGCAGCAGGTTACTTCGCTCAAGGCTCGTCTCGGGGCCATGGAGACACCGTCGAAGAAGGATGCGCTTCTCAAGCAACAGGAACAGCAAGTCCGCTCGCTTCAGCAGCAACTTACGGAACTTGAGCAGGACAAGGACGTCGAGCTTGATGAGCTGGAACAGCAACTGCAGTCTGTGGAAACCAAGAATGCCGAGCTGGAGAAGAAGAATGAGGGCTTACGGCAGAAAGCACAGCGCGCAGAGCGAGACCAAAGCCTGATCGGACACCGTGACGAGGAGCTCAACGGCAGGCAAGAGCGGATCGATGCCCTGGAAGATGAGATCGAACAACTTCGCGGCGAGCTTCAGCATGCTGAGCAGAAGAACGGCACTCTGCGAAGGAGGATCGAAAGTGCCGACCGCGACCAGAGTCTCATTGGACATCGGGATGAGCAGCTCAGCAGCAAGCAAGAGCAAATTGATGCGCTTCAAGACGAGGCTGAGCAATTGCGTGAGGAGCTCCAACAGGTTGCAGAGCAGCGACGTACCGATGTCAAGAGGCTTGAGCGAGACCTCGAGAACGCGCGAGCCGCTGGCAGCAGTGATGCGGCGGAGGTTCAGCAGCGTCTCGATGATCTCAAGGCGAACCTGCAGGCAGAGTACTCCGAAGTGAGAGAGGCCCTTGAGGACGAGGTGATGGTTCTGGAGAGCAGTCTGGGAGAAGTGCAGGCGGAGCGAGCGACCCTGGAGAACCGCGTGAATGAGCTTGAGCATGACATCGAGACTGTGCGGCGGACTGCGAATGAGTTTAGCACGCCAGCTCGTGAGCGGAATGAGCTGCGTGTCAAGCTCAAGACTGCCGACAATGAGCGGGAGACACTCAAAGCCAACATCCGAGATCTGGAGGCTGAGCTGGATGCCGCGATGCAGTCGAAGACGAACGGTACGCCTGTCCGAGAGCGCAATGAGTTGCGGCAGAAGCTGCGTGAAGCTGAGTCAAAGGCTGCTCGCCTGCAACAACGTGTCGAAACGCTGGAAGAGGAGCTTGCGTACGAGCAGCAGGAGAGGACCATCGCGAGCGAGCGCAGGGACTTGCACGACCTGGTCAAGAAGGCGAAGATTGAAGCAGAGGAGCTGCAGATCCAACTCACCGACCGCGAGCGCAAGATGGCGTCTTCCTCGCGCAAGGAAAGCGAGCTCAGGACGCAATTGCAGACTGCGCAGGCTAATCTTGAAGACGCTGAGGCCCAGGCGTCTGAGCTGGAGACGAGGCTACAGACTTCGTCGAAGAAAGAGAAGGAAATGCGCGCCCAGCTGAAGGAGTTGAAGGACGCAAAGGTCCAACTCGAAGAACTTGAAATGCAAGTCGGCGAGCGCAAGAACAGCTCCTCAGGCCACGCACGACGGGAAGCCGAACTCCGCTCCCAGCTCCGCGAAGCCAAGATCGAAGTCGAGCGTCTCGAGATCGAAGCCGTGGAGCGAGAGGAACAAATCCAACTGGCGGCGAAGAAAGAAAAGAACCTCCGCGACCGCATTAAGAAACAACGCGCCGACGACATCACCCAGCAAGACCTCGCCTCGCAACTCGAAAACACCACCCTCGACCTCCAACACCAGATCCGCGACCGCGACGCTAATCTACAAGCCGTGGTGAAATGCGAGCGCAAGCTGCGCAAGAAGCTGCAGGCGCTGCAACAGGCCTCTGACCAGGGCCGCGCGGCGGCGGTGGTGGAAGCGAAGCAAAGCCAGAAGTCTTCATCCACGCTCGCGCTGCAGCAGCGCCACGATGCCGAGTTGAAGGGACTGAGCAAACAGATCCAGTTCCTGCGGGCGAAGTGTGCGAGGGAAGAGGCGTTTAGAGGGGACCTGGCGTATATGAAGACGTGGTTCTTGATGCAGGTGAAGCTTTATCAGGATTGGTATGTCCTTCTTTCCCTCTTACCCAAACCTCTCTTATGTTGGAGTTGGAATGTGTGCTAACGGCCAGAGCAGCAATAAAGCAGACCTCCAGCTCCTGGAGGAGATGGGCGTGACGCCGGACATTTCGGTCAGAGAAAGGAAGCCTAGTCTCAAAGTTGTGGGTTTGGGGGTGCTGGCTATGGTGAAGATGAAGCGGAGGATGGGGGTTTGGGCGGAGAGTAAGGCGTTGCAGGAGGCTTTGCTGCGGAAGTTGTGGGGGATGAAGAGGGGGTTGGGGAAGGGGAGTGGGAGGGGGAAGGGTGGGGTTGTTGCTTGAGGGTGTTTGAGCGTGGTGTTGGGTATTGGGTTTGATGGGTAGGCGCTTTCGCATTGCATGGGTACAAGGGTGCTTTCGCTAAGGGATTGGTATCATGAGAAGATGATGTAACCCTTCAAACTCTTTGAGTGTGGCTGATTTAGTCCCCTGTTTGGCACGACACGAAGATATTTCATTGAGATATAAGGCAATGCTATGAAACGTTGGAGGTAATAGGTATGCAATCGGCGAGACTCGGCAAGCCGAGAGCCCCTTAAAGAAGTTCCGCCGGTTGGCTGTTTCAGGCGCGCTCTTTGTGACAACTTTCTCACCTCCCCCGTGTCTTCTTTGTTGCTCCTTCATAGTCACTGCTGGTGGTGACATTCATTGCATCGCGGCATCCAGACTTTCGCTTGGAAGACGATTGGCGTATCCTAATTCACTGAGCCGTCAGGAAACAAAGACTGCACCCGCGGCTTGTCACGCGAGTCGCCCAGTTTCTACCATAACGACTGAGGTTGCAAGCGATTCCATGCCCGCGACACCACTCACGCACTAAACGACTAGTACTACGCTTGCCGGAGACCTTTGAGGACAGCAGGCTCTGCAGGTTCCTTCGGCAGCGACGACGACGAAGGACGACCTTTCAGGAGACCGAGATCTGCTTATCACCTGCACCTATAATCCAAGAGCAAGGACGTGAAGATGTCGGCCAGCAACATCATTGGCGACCGCAACAGCACGCCGGCGGCGACGAGCTCCAGCCTGCGACCGCCTTCAGCGCGTACGATGGCCGGTGCCGGGCATCAGCTGCGCGCGTCAGCAGATATGGGGGCCTTTTCCTCCACCTCGCTACCCCACCGCGGCATCCGACCAGCCTCAGAGGTGTATTTGAGCCAGTTCCAGCAGAGCGCGAACACGACGAACCCGGAGGATGCGGCGGACAAGGTGGCACAACAATGGATCGCGGATATTGATCAGTATGAGACTACGCTGGAGGATATGGCGGCGGCTACGCTCGATCAGGATTTCAAGGATGAGCTGAGTGCGATTGAACAGTGGTTCCGTGTGCTCAGCGAGCCCGAGCGGACTGCTGCGCTGTACGCGTTGCTACAGCAGACGACGCAAGTGCAGATCCGCTTCTTCATCCAGGTCCTGCAGCAGATGGCGAAGAGCCACCCGATGTCTGGCGTTCTGTCGCCTGCTGCGTTTGGCGAGAAGGACCCGATGTCGTCCAGGATGAACGACGCTATGAACAAGCTCAACGTGGAAGGGTCTCGTGGTTCTTTTGGCTTTGGCGGCAAACCACCGGCCTCGCCTGGCGGAGCTAAGCGCAACTCAGGGCTGGATCCACACACGATCAAGTCGATGTTTCCGGATGCGGCGAATGCTATTGAGGATCAGAAGGCGGAGTTTGAGAAGACGACGGGTCTCGCGCCGACATCGAATAGGAACAGCGCGGCGGTGGGTGATAGGTCTTCGCAGTACATGGCTCCGTCCCTCTCTGCGCCTGGGGAAGAGGGGCAGGGACAGCACAAGCGTAATGGCTCCAACATCCCACCTGGGTCGTGGAGAAGTAACGCAACTCCCAATACTGAGAACCAGCCACCTATCGGCGGACCGAAGTCATCCTCCAGCCAACAGCCACCAGGACAGCCAGCGATGGGACAATTTGGGCTGAACCAGCCCCCTCCTTCTGCTGGCTTGCGGAGTGGTCGGCCCTTTGCGCTTTCGAGTGATAACAACATCCAGAGCCAGACGGCTACCGCAAATGATAACGTCAACGCCGGCATGCCGATGCTCTCTCCCTACGCTCCTGGTGCCAGCTGGGCGTCTATGACCAACACTCCGATGGTACCCAATTTCCAGAATCAGAGCAACCAGGCTGATCTAGTTGCCAACGCCACCGCCATGAAGCTCGCCGCTCTGTCTACGGTCAACAACCGCATACAGCTCGACGATGCACGGAAGTTTCAGCGTCGCGCCCGCTCAAATGAGGGCAACCAACCAGGCGGTCAGCCGCAGCCGCAGCAGCAGATGAACCCTGGCATGCCTGCGAATTTCGTCATGACCAATGCCGCCGGCCAGGTTCTCACGCCGCAACAGACGGCCGTTCTACAAGCACAGCAGATCGCCGCCATGCAGGGCAGGCGATCACGGCCCAGCTCACCCGGCATCGCCATCACCGGCCCTCAAGGCCAAACAGCGGGCATGGGCATGCACGGCGGCGGCCTACAGAACAACGGCTACCTCGCCGCCTACGACGGCAGCAACATGGGCCAACTCAACACCGGCATGGGCAACCTCGGCCTCGGCGGCTTCGGCTACAATCCCGCGATGAGCTCTGCGGTAGCAGAAGGCTATCTGAGCGACGCATCCGAGATGCACCAGCGAGGCCGGTCGCCGCGTGGCAGGAGAGGCAGCAGCAAGCCGCCCGAAGACCCGACGGATATGAAGCTGCTGAACGATGTGCCGAGCTGGCTGCGTACGCTGCGGCTGCACAAGTACACCGACAATCTTAAGGACATGCGGTGGCAGGACTTGGTGCAGTTGGACGATGCGGGGCTGGAGAGGAAGGGGGTCGCGGCGAAGGGGGCGAGGAGCAAGTTGCTTAAGGTATGTTCTGCTCTACAGGCGTGTGATTACGATGCTGACAACTATGCGCAGGTGTTCGAACAAGTCCGAGAAGCGCAAGCAGAAGGGAGGCTATAGGTAGCCCTCCCAGCGGGCTGGAGACCGAGCTCGCGACGGGATCAGCGGTGGCACTATTTACTGTTGGTCCGAGATGGTTGAGTTTGCTCCGAACAAACAGTGGATATAGACACTGCTGCTACCAAGGCCAAGGTCTTCGCAACTGCTGAAACGTTTCTAGCATTGCTGTGTCCGTCACCCATACCTCATGGAGCGGTACTGCTGGCACTGGGCGCTGGAAGCGGTCATTGTTTGTTCGATCTTCAGGTGGATATACTCATATTGTCAAGACTGTTTATTCTCTGCCCCTTTCCAACACATCTCTTTTGCTTTCTTCTGCTTTCTTGTCATTTCAGATGCCCATGCCCATTCGGGCGCCGCGCTTCGATCATGACTTCACATTATCACGTGACGAATGCCGACCTCACCTCATTCACCCATTGTCGCCCCGCCGGCCGCCCATTCACGGCTCAAAGCGGCGACAATGCGAACAATACCACAATACAACAATGAACCAGTATAAAGACCGGCCGGCCCTTCCTTTCTCTCTAGGCCGAACAAAGGACTCATATGCTCACGCTCGCTTTCGACTCCTTACTGGGGAGAATTCACTGTTGACTGCCTTCCTTCTTCGAAGCTTCACAGGATAATTCACGACTCTCGACACACGATACCTTGAGGTTTTTCTAGATATAAGATTTGGCGCTGGTCGCTGGTTTCTTTTTCGTCTTAACTTTCTTGCACCACCACACGTGAACACACACCACCTCGACGACGAACCACTTCGAACGGAATCGACAACTCCGAAACCAACTCCGAGACCGAAATCGCACAAACATGTTTGCGATCACCTACCTCGTCCTGGCGCTGGTCGCCCTCATCTTCAGCAGCGTCACCGCCGCTCCAACAACACATTCAACGCCGTACAAGCAAGTCGCCCAGTACACCCACCCCAACTTCTTCGACGGCTTCACGCTCTACAGCGATGCGGATCCGACCTACGGTTTCGTGGATTACGTCGACGAGCAGACGGCCAAAGACGAGCACCTGACCGGCTGGATCTATCGCGAAGGTCCCAACACGACTACCGCTTTCATCGGCGCAGACTCCACCGGCATCTTTCCCTCCGGCCGCAACTCCGTCCGCCTGACCAGCAAGAAGGAATTCAAAGTCGGCATGCTGGCAGTGATCGACCTCATCCACATCCCAGTCGGCTCTGGTCCCGGTGGCTCAGGTCTCTGGCCCGCGATCTGGTTTCTCAGCCCCGAGGCGACTTGGCCGTATGGCGGCGAGATCGACATTCTCGAATACGTCAACCCGACGAAGGAGAGCAGCTTCAACGCCATGACCCTCCACACCGGTCCTGGGTGCAACGTCGACAACACACCCAACAAGTACCTCGGCGAGCTTACCAACGGCAACACCGATTGCTCGTACAGCGACACGGGCAACACCGGCTCCATGGGCTGCTCGATCCCGGCACCCCTCAAATACAGCATCAACGGCCACCCCTTCGCCACCGCAGGACCAGACTTCAACGCCCAAGGCGGCGGTACCTACGTCGCGGAATGGACGGCCGAAGGCATTTCAGTCTGGCTTTTCGACCGCTACAACCTCCCCCACGACATCCACGACCAGCGCCCGAACCCGAAGCGCTGGTCGCAGAAGCCGCTGGCGAAGTTCGCTGGGAAGGGGTGTGATTACACCAAGAGCTTTTTGCCGATGAACTTAATCGTCAATGTTGATGTTTGCGGCAGCTGGGCGGGAGAGGTGTATCCTGGTGGAGCGGAGGCGTGCAATGAGTTTGCTGCGAATAATCCGGAGGCTTATAGGGAGGCGTATTTTGAGTTTGGGGGGATTTTGATGTATCAGAGCGAGTAGAGCGTCTGTAGCATCTTTTGGGGACCTCTTGGTTACGATGGACATTTTGATAACCCGACGTGATGAGGAATGACTTCGCGCAGCCTTGGGGGAGCGCAGTAGACAGTACAATGTACAAAGACTTACATACAGCTCTAACTTCTTGGACATGCTTAATTTCCCATGTGCCCATTTCAATGCTCTCATTCTCACCACTGGTCTTTGACACAATACTCTTTCGTGTTCTGGCTTTGGTCAGCCCACTTGATCGCGAAGGACGGTGCTTTCCTCGTTTTCCTTGCCACCTCAGCAGCAACAACAACAACACTTCGTCCATAGGAATAGAGGGGCGCATGTACTGTACTTAGACGTGGAGTCTAGAGGCTACCGGACCGCCACCGCCGCCCCCGTCGACACGGCTCGCGACGTCGAACTCAGTTCAAGGTGAGGTCCACCAAAGCAATTCCAACCCCAGCCACGAACAGATAAACTTGATCAACTCCCTGTCCACTTATGAATCGCAGTAACCGGATAAGACTAGGTCCACCAGCCAGTTGCCCGGCGATCGGGAAAGGAGCGGCAACCCTCGAGTCGATCATCGACCATCTCCACCCACGCGACCAATCTCGGCCTCGAGCGTGCTCTCATGCTTTTACCATCGCACAGAGCCGCACGCGCATCATCAACGATCCAGCCCCGCTGTCCGCTCCATGTGCCGTACCAGCGCTCTCACAGCTCTCTGCGTCCCGCGTCCGCTGTCACGATGCCATCACCAGGCTGGTGGTGGCGTTGCAGATTGACAGCTTCTCGACTCCGCCAGTGGCTACAAAGAGCGCGCGTGCGTCACGATGGTCTGCAGTCAGCAGCGCGCGTCCAAGCTTGAGAGGGCGTAACCCAGTTTCACGGTACGCTACGATCACCAGCCTGCATGATCGTCGGGCAGGCGAGGTGAGTGTCTGCGGGAGGCGCTATCTTTTTCCTTTCGTCTCGTCTCCTCCCTGTTGAAGCTTTTCAAGCTCCTCGAGCTCTTCTGCAGCCTGACTATCCTTCCTCGAGTATCTTTTAAACCACAGCTCGGCCATCATGGGGGAGAAGCACGGTTTCGACAAGCCCATGGGCGGTTTCGTGCAGCCCAAATCCGCCGCCATGTCCTCCGCCGTCCGAGGCCATTTCGTGGCAGCAACCGGCGAATTCGTGGGAACGTTCATGTTCCTCTTTTTCGCTTTCCTGGGCCATCTCATGTCCGTCGAGCAGCAGACAGAGACCAATGGTGATGGGACGAACAGCAACTCGACCATCATCTACATTAGCATGAGCTACGGATTGAGCCTTCTGGTCACGGCATGGTCGATGTACAGGGTGTCTGGCGGTCTGTTCAGGTGTGTACGATCGTAACTCTCAGGTTGCTGAATGCTAACGGCTCTGCAGTAAGCCACTATCCCAGCGAACTTCCCTCCACACGCTCGAATGACTCTAACGCACTACACCCGCAGACCCAGCAGTCACCGTGGGCTTGGTCATGACCGGCGCGGTCCCAGCCCTGAGAGGCGCCATCTTGATCATACCGCAACTTCTGGGCGCCATATGTGCTGCTGCTGTAGTTGAGGGTATTGTTCCGGGGGATATCGCATTAGTCCAGACCCTTTTGAATCCAGACGTTAGCGTAGCACAGGGAGTGTTTCTGGAGATGGTCAGTCGTGTACATGGTCTTTGCTCACGAAGTGACTCGCTAATGCCATCAGCACAGTTCCTGACAATACTCCTGATCTACACAGTCCTGATGTTGGCAGCCGAAAAATCCAAAGACACCTACATGGCACCCATCGGCATCGGCCTCGCACTGTTCGTCGCAGAAATCGCCGGCGTAAACTACACCGGAGCCAGCCTCAACCCAGCTCGATCCTTCGGCCCATGCGTGATCGCAGCCAACTTCCCATCCTATCACTGGATCTACTGGATCGGACCAATACTCGGCGCCTTGGTCAGTGGTGGGTACTATCACTTCGTCAAGTTCTTCAACTACGAGGAGGCCAATCCAGGACAAGACTCAGCCGGCGGTGATTTTGAAGAGGTTAAACGGTCACAGAGTCAGATGGATGAAGGCGCAGCGTTGGAGAACGGAGACATGCGGCAGAGCAACTCTCGCAACGGCACATCCGGCGGTCGGAACCGACCTTCGCAGAGCCGGCAGCAATATTCGTCGCAGGGCCAACAGCAATATCCGTCGCAGAGTCAGAACCGACCACAGATCGATTCGAGGATTGAGAGCGGGACGATGCATCCAGGTTTCGATGGGTATGAGCGATGAGAAAGAGGCAGGACGAGCAGTGTAGGATATCTGGAAGAACAAAAGCACGGCACAGTGTCAAGGCCTTGGGTTTAACCCCGAAGAGGTGTAAGAAGAGCATGGGCTTGCATATACGGGGAATAGTTGAAATACATTGCGGGTAGTTTTTCAGCGGGCGTTGTATGAGCAAGCGTTTTGGCGTGGCGTGATGGAGCTTTTCTGTCGCTCACGTCAGGCTGCTGACATGAGATACGGCCAGCCAGGCCAACCTAGGCCAAGAATTTCTGACCACTCACCCACCAGGCCTTCGCTGTCTCGCCGAGTCGCGGTCAGCTTCACGAGAACATTTCCTCGCCGGTATGTCTGGTTGACTAACTTCCAAACACGGTAGGTACGGTGAGTCTGCTTCGTGTGCGGCTGAGGTTATGTCGAAGTGCCATGGAATCATCGGCAGGACGCGGTAGACTAGGCCATGCGCTCAACACGCGAGAGAAAGTCCAAGGAAGCAGGATATAAAACGCGATCCCGGCTGGGTACCGTATATTGACAGTTGTTGCGCCGACCACTCTAGGTCTGCCATTCACTTTTCTCTCGGAAGACCTCAAGCATCTCAAGCACACAGCACCCTCCATTCTTAGCATCACAGACATGCCTATCTCCAACAAGATCGCAGAAGGTGTCGAAGAGGTCGACGTGATCATCGCTGGTGGTCAGTACATCCTCTACATCGCCCTCGCTCATATTAACAGCCGTACAGGTGGCACAGCAGCATGTGTCGTCGCCGGGCGTCTCGCCGCAGCCGACCCGAACCTCAGCATCCTGCTCATCGAAGGCGGCGAGAATAATCACAACTTGGACAGCGTCCGCAATGGAGCGCAGTTGATCGAGCACTTGCAGCCGACCAGCCGCACGGCAATTTTCAATGTTGGGAAGCCGACGGATGCTGTCGCTGGACGGCCTCAGATTGTGCCGTCTGGAGGTGTACTTGGTGGAGGATCAAGCATCAATATCATGCTGTACAGTCGAGCGCAGGGGTGTGACTTTGACTCCTGGAAGATGCCGGGATGGTCGACGAAGGAGATTCTGCCGTTCATGAAGAAGGTCAATAGCCGCATCTTTTCCACGTGATGGATCAAGCTGACCATATCATAGCTTGAGACATACCACGGCTCCGGGACTAAGAATCACGGAGATCGCGGTCCTGTCCAGATCTCCAACGGCGCCTTCCGCGGTATCAAGTCTCAGGAAGACTGGCTCAGCGCCGCTTCGAAGCTCGGATACCAAGAATACACAGATCTGCAGGACCCAACAAGCGTGAATAACGGGTGGGAGAGGGCGATGAAGTATTCCACGCCTGAGGGCGACCGAGCCGACTCGGCGCATGCATACATCCACCCGCTGTTGGAGGATGGGAAACACATTAACCTGCACGTGCTCTGCGAGTCAAAGGTCGTCCGGGTATTGTTTGACGACAACAAGCGGGCGGTAGGCGTCGAGTACATGCCCAACCCAGCGTACCAGCCGCAGACCGGCGTGGGTGAACCGCCGAAATTCTCCGTCAAGGCGAGGAAGCTCGTCGTGGTATCGTGTGGCGCTTGCGGTACCCCTCAAGTGCTCGAGCGCTCGGGAGTAGGTAATCCAGACATCCTCAAGAAAGCCAATGTGCCAGTTGTGGCGGACGTGCCTGGGGTCGGAGAGAACTACGACGACCACACTCTGGTGGGGTACACCATCACGACCAACCTCGGACCGGACGATACGCAGGACGCCTTCGCGACGGGCAGAGCGTCTGCTGAAGACCGCCGGGCGAAAGGCATGCTGGGCTGGAACGGCTGTGACACTCATGGGAAGTTCCGACCGACTGAGGAGGAAGTCGAAGCGCTGGGCTCGGATTTCAAGGAAGCGTGGGATCGGGATTACAAAGACCAGCCGAATAGGCCGTTGATGATGGCTGCCACGCTTGCTGGGTAGGTCGTCCGTCCCCTCCGTGGCGAGGCTGACCACTAAAGTATTTCTTCTTCCAGGAACATGGGAGATCCAACCTTGGTTCCCGCCGGCCAGTACTTTTCCATAGCGGCCTATTCCGCATACTCCGTGAGTTGGCACATCCCATGATGCCTGCAACACTGCTAATACTTCTCCCAACCACAGTACAGCCGCGGCTACCTCCACATCACCGGTCCCGACTGGCACGACCCCATCGACTTCGACCCGGCCTACCTCTCCGATAAACACAACCTCGATCTCAAAATGAACATCTGGGCCTACAAGCGCCTGCGCACGATCATGCGCACGACGAGCATGTACACCGGAGAATTGCAATTCATGCATCCAGTCTTTCCCGAGGGCTCCGAAGCCGCGTGCGTGTCTGCCACCGATGCGAAGAGCGTCGTGGCGAGTCCGAAGTACACTGCGGAAGACGACAAGGCGATTGAGAAGTTTCTCCGCGAGCGAGTAGGGTCTTGTTGGCATTCGCTTGGGACGGCGAAGATGGGTGCGAGGGCGGAGAAGGGGGTTGTTGATGAGAAGTTGAATGTTTATGGGGTTGAAGGGTTGAAGGTCGTCGATCTGTCCATTGCTCCTGGGATGGTGGGTGCGAATACCAATAACACGGCGTACGTGGTTGGCGAAAAGGGCGCCAGTCTGATTCTCGCGGAGCTCGGGCTGGCTGATGCTGATGACTCGATCTGAGTGGTGGTGTAAAGCCCTCCGAGAGAGCGGGATAGAAAAATGGCTTCATGAGCCTAACGTTTAGCACATATCTGCTTCCTTGAAACCTCATCGGTGCTTGCTGAGACGTATATCATTCATCCGGACCTCTGCACACGCCAATTCATCCCAACCCATGCCCACAACGCTCCAGAACGCCATGCAACTCAAAAACCGTAACACGCGCACATGCATCCTCCCTATCATCACTGTCTCACAACGCTCTACGCGCCCTCACTTCCAAACTCATTGGTCCACTCCTCATTTCTCTTGAGATCGGCTTGTGCCACGGTAGGTCTCGATGCCTTGATAGCTTTGATGAAGTCCTTGACGTGAAGTGGTGGTTCTAGCAGCTTGTCGGTGTCGACCTGCATCCAGTTCATCTCCATCGCATCAGCATCCCCGGGCGAGCATGGCGTCAGCTTTTCTTCGCCGTCTACTTCGACCTGTGGATCACGATACGTTAGCTTTGGCCTCAAATATGGCGCGAAGAGCGTTTTTGTGTAAGGCCTACCTTCTTGTAATGCGTAGCAGTCTGGATCTTCCGCACCGGCTGCATCAACGCATCCTGCACCGCAATTGCGATATCTGAACCAGAGTAGCCTTCGGACATCTTCGCCAGTGTCCGGTAGTCGTCCCCTTTGAGCTCGCAAGGCGTACTCCCCACAGCAATCTCAAACATCTTCATCCTTGCTGGCTGATCCGGTAAGCTGATGTGCACTCGTCGCTGGAAACGTCTTCGAATGGCTGCATCGAGTTGCCAGGGGATGTTCGTTGCGCCCAGGATCAATACACCCTTGCTATCCTTGCCCACACCGTCCATCTGCACCAGCAGTTCCGTCTTGATACGCCTACTTGCCTCGCTCTCGCCTTCTCCTCTCGGACCGCAGAGTGCATCGACCTCATCGATGAAGATGATACTGGGCTTGTTCTCGCGCGCAAGATTGAAGAGCTGCTTCACCAATCGTTCCGACTCTCCCATCCATTTGCTCACCAAGTCCGAGGAGCTGACCGAGAAGAACGTGCTGTTTGCCTCTGTAGCAACCGCCTTCGCCAGATACGACTTGCCTGTACCTGGAGGTCCGTACAGCAATATCCCCTTCCACGGCTGCCGCTTGCCGGTGAACAGATGCGGGAACTTGATCGGTAATATCACCGCCTCCTTCAACGCCTCCTTCGCGCCCTCCAACCCTGCGACATCCTCCCATTTGATGTTCGGCTTGTCCGTCAAGATAGCCCCCGCCAGCGCCCCTCTCAACTTCTTGCTCTCAGCATCTTCCTCGTCGTCCTCTTTGCCCTTCCCGGCACCGTTGCTCGCTTTGCCGTTAGCACCCATGGCAGCCGGTTTCCGTTTACTGTCGTTCTCAGCCAGGTGGTTCTTCAGCTTCTCCGCCCGCTCCATGTACTCGCCCGCCTTCTGCCGTATCATCTCCTTGCTCTTTGCGTTCTTCTCCCATTTCAGCGCTAGCATGAAGAGCTCGAGTGATTGGTAGTAGCCTTGGTATGCCTTTTCATATTCGCCGGCGGTGTCCGCTTCGATGGCCTTCTTGACGGACTCTATTGCCCGCCCGAGGAAGTCGGTGTTGGACATGGTGAGGGTATCGTGCTGCTACGCGCAGCTAGGCGTTGTGCGTCGGTATTGTTATCTGTGGTGCCGGTGATATCGCGGTCGATGGGATGGTCCTAGACAGGCAGCCTGATTGATGTAATCGTCTGGCGTGCCTTCCTCTCGAAGCAGCAACAGTGGAAGATCTTCTTGAATCTTTGGCCTTCGAATGTGTCGCTCTTGGTAAGCGGTTGAATGTTGACGGTGGGATGTGCTCCAGAAACACAGACGTCCCGCGCTAGGAGGTAGGCAACGGAGCGTGGTGGGGTGGCGGAGAGAGAAGGCAGGCTACATCCCGTCCCTCTTTCAACCTCACTTGCTCAAGACATTCTCAAAAATCCATCAGGCGCCTGTCTTCTTGGAACATTTGATCAATGACTAGATTGAGATAACACCCAATATGGCGGACCAACAGAAAGAACTCCGTTCACTATCAGACGAGTATGAAAAGCTTCAGGGCGGTATGTCTTGCCCTTCTCAAACCTGCTGGTGATATATACTAACACCTTGTAGAGCTCAACTCCCGCGTGCAGACTCGTCAGAAACTAGAGAGCCAGTTCACAGAGAACAAGGGCGTACAAAAGGTACGCCCTCCAGAGCCTATGGTCAAGCACGTTCTGACAACGACCAGGAATTCTCAAATCTAGACGACGAGGCGAAGATCTACAAAATCGTAGGCCCAGTACTGCTGAAGCAGGATACCACCGAAGCCAAGGGGACGGTGGACAGTCGGTTGGAGTACATTGGGACGGAGATGTATGAGCTTGAACCGCCTCTTTTCCATTTGACATGCTAATGACTTGAGCAGCAAGCGGGTAGAAGAGACCATTAAGGGCCTGCAACAGCAGAGCGAAGGAAAGAGGAATGAGGTATGTGGCCTCATCTCGTTTGACATCAACTCGAAGCTAACCACGAGCTATAGATCATGCGCATACAGGCGACCATGCAGCAGAGCCAGACCGCCGCGCCTGCGTAGATGTCCATCCCTGAAGATCAACGACATCAAAGACCCGTTTGAGGGTGATCGAGATGCTGCGGCGGAAGTCATCAAGTAGCATAGGGCAGCTTCCTCTGAGTGGACCACCGGCACATGGCAGCTGAATGGGGCCCTGTCGACTTCGCATCAAGAGATGCCTTTCGCCGGTATCAGAGACCTGTTTGGGCAGGACCGCGCACGGCGACCCTAAAACCCAAACTTGGCCTTCAGTACTGTAGCCAGAAGTTAGCAAATCACGCTCGTGGCCACAAACTTATCATCAAACTTACTACTGCCCGCCGCATTCCTCTTCTGCTTTCCCACAAACTTATTCACATCATCCAGCCAGTTCTGACTACTCTGCTCCAAATTATCCATCGAATCATTCGCCATCCCCAACTTCTCCGTCCTCTCCTGAATCTGCCGTTGCATGTACGCCCAGTATCCCTCATCCTGCTGCGACACATTCACCGAGCTGGAGCTCGCACCTGCCCGACCCGCCTGTCGCCGCTGCTGCTCGTCCGCGCGCGCTTGCTCGATCATTCGTTTCGAGGGCGGGCGGTTGGGTCCACCGATCAGGAGGTCCAGGTCGGCGGGCGTGACGTACTGCGTGCCTGTGATCCATTGGACGTTGGAGATGGTAGGACGAGGCGGGATGAGAGCGTCAGGATTGAAGAGTTTGTCCTGGCTGCGGACGAGGGACTCGCCGGTGCCGAAGACGTTGATGAGGGCGAGTTCTGACGGACCTGTGAAGCCGATGACGTGGCCGGTAGGGCCGATGACTGCATCGCTGAAGCGTCGGACGTCGAGTATGTCGTTCACTTTGATGGAGGTGATCTCGCGGAGGTTGGGGATGGAGAAGGCTCGAGCGCTACCATCGCCGAAGAGGCCGAGGAGGGCGTAGCCTTGGTCCTGGTAGCGGATGATAGAAGCAGAGTCGCAGAAGAAGCTGTCGAAGGACTTGTGGGCGCCTTTCGCAGTCGCAGGCTTGAAGATGTGGATGCTGGTGGGTGTGACAGCGAGAAGCGCTCCGTTGACCCTGTGACCGGTACGCAGTGCTGCCATTGCATTCTGCGAAGCGCGAGCCGGGTGGCCAGTATCTGCATCGATTGGCGAGATGTGCAGCACCTTATTGTCGAGAGCTGGGACACCGGCCAACTGCACGGTGTACCTGCCACTCGCATCTGGTACGATCTTGAGCGTTGCCAGATGCCCGAGATTCGTGCCAACATGCAGTAGTATACTGCTATAGTCCTCGCCTTCAAGCGTCATGATGCTGAACTCGAGATTTGTAGCCCACTCTTGTTTGACAGCAGGACCACCACTGGAAGTGCTCACCTTCCGCCGAATGCTGCCCTTGTGCTGGCCACGGTTGAAGTCATGCACTGAAGCCGAGTAGATCACCGCTGGACCTCTCAAGTCGACAACTGCGATACTGCCACCCTCAAACCCGGCTGCGACAAAGCCTATCTCGCTCATCTTGACGGATGTCACCGGACCATCCCGCTGATCCAGAAGAGTGAATGGTATTAGCCCCTCGCTCAACGAAGGCTCCACGCGATCAGTAACGTTCGTGAGGGCTCCTGGCTGGTTGGGCCTGGGTTGAGGAGGCTCTCTGCCGGCATTTCGATTGGTGCCCCATCGGAAAATGATCAGCTCACCACTTGCCATGCCCACAGCCAGTTCAGCACTCTCGCCCGCAAGAGAAGTCTGGGTGACGTTGACCCTATCGAAGCTGCCAACAGCTCGTCCGACATCTAGCTGAAGTAACGTGGTGTTCTCAACCTCGTCTCCGTGGCCTGGGTCCCACATCCGAATCGTGCCGTCAGCGTGGACTGTCTGCAAGATATTTCTTTTCTCGTGCCGACGCATAGATCTGGGCAGCTCCGCGCCGCCCTTCAACATCTGAGGGCCTTGCTGGCGTCTCTCTTGCAGACCGAGCCACTTCTCCCTGCCCGCCTGAGCCATGCTTACCTTCTTGACGAAGGGGTGTACCAGAGTCAAGGAGGGATGAAGCTGGTTGGTAGGACTTATCGGCATGCCAGAAGGGAACGTGAGCGTCAGTATCTCGCCAGATGACAGAAGCGCGATTATGGCAATGGGATCGTGACCACCAGCGAAATGCGGAGAGGATCGCGGGATGGGGCAAAGTCCAACCACTTCAGCTCCTGGAGGCGTGGGAAGGATACGCTGCCGCTTGGGTGACTCGAAGTATTGCACGAACGCTTCCCAGCTGCTGGTGGCGTAGACAGGCGTTCGCCCCATTTCGAAGAGTGTCAGACCTTTCGAGGGCGCCTGGGTCGAAGCGCCTCCTGCTATGAGAATGGCGGTGTCTTCTGGATCCTGATTTGCACACCACGAAATCTTGAACAATGGTTCTTTGACCGCCATAGAGCCACCCATGCTGCCAGATGGTGCTCCAGGTGTTGCTACGTTTGTGTCTGTCAACGTTCGAGCCATAAGCATTCGTCCGTCTTTCAAGGTGTCCCAAAAGACAAGCGAACTGTCCTCGTGACCCGTCAAGATGAAGGTGCCGGTCGGGTGCCAGACAGCTTGAGTCAGCTTCGGAAACCTGACCATGTTGGCAGCGGCAGGATCGCCATCGCCACCAGGTGCTCCGCGTGGGACTTCGTAACGGAAGAAGCGCGTGGCCTTGTTCAGCTTGAAACTGAAGATAGCCGCACCATTGGCGTATCCGATGAGGAGCTGACCTACGTCTCGCGGATGCAGTTGTAGTGAGACCACCGAAGATACTCGCGCCCTGGGGTCCACTTCTTGCCATAGCATAGGAATCTTGAAGGGCGCGAGGTTCTCTCGATCCAGATCATAGGCGAGGACATCACCCGTTTGCATGCCAAGGAAGGCATAATCAAGCATAGGATCCGTACATAGCGCCGTCACCACACCGGGTGGAGAATGTGAGGTGATGAGCCTCTTCAGCTCGAGCGAGTAGACGCATATGTCGTGCTTCGTGGTCAAGCATATCAACTTGTCCGCGCAGAACTGCAGCTCCTGAACGCTAGCACCTCGAGAGGGTAGTTCGAGGGTTACTTGGATCCTGTCGCGCCCGAATACGTAGATCTGGCCAGGGCCGAATTGAGAGTTCTTGGTGCCGACTGCCAGCAGCGACTGAACCGGCTCGTAGGCGAGGCATGATGTTTGTGAGTTCACGCCAAAGCGGGCAATATCGTCAATGTTGAAGAGAGAGCTGTCCAGACCGGCTGAGAGGTCGTTCTGGATGCCAGCTTGTTTTCCTCGAAGGAGATGTGCCATACTGGTGTGTTATCTCTTCGATCACACCCTTCTCATGATATGGGCTCATGTATACACGGAAAGCGAGGTCCGGTGTTGCCGGCAAAGAAGTCAGGTCGATAATCACATGCCCTCGCTACCGACACGACTTTTGCGCTAGAGTCAATTTCCTAATTAACGCGGAGCGCGTCCAACACGCTTCTCGCGTCACTCGTGCTTTCTTGTTACCGTCTCAAACTCACCCACTTGTTGCACTCTTCTTCCTCCTCCAACAACGACACATCAATCTCGCAACTCAACGTACCACTCTTCCATCAACTCAACAACAGCACAGCGACACAGATACTACCAAGATCATCCCACCAACAGCAACAACCACATACGACCGGCAAGATGGCGACAGTGTCGCTCCTTAACGTCTCCGTCCGCAACAACCCCGCCGCCTTCACCGACCCCTACGAGTTCGAGATCACCTTTGAATGCCTTGAGCCACTGCAGAAAGACCTCGAATGGAAGCTCACCTACGTTGGATCTGCGACATCGTATGGACCCGACCCCACCACGCTTCAACCAGGCAGCAGAGCCCCACTAACAGCCCCTTCCAGATCCGAGCACGACCAGGAACTCGACTCCCTCCTCGTCGGCCCTATCCCAGTCGGTGTCAACAAATTCGTCTTCGAAGCCGACCCGCCAAACACCGCCCGCATCCCTGCCACCGAAATCATTGGCGTGACTGTGATCCTCCTCAGCTGCTCCTACGACGATCGCGAGTTCGTGCGCGTCGGCTACTACGTCAACAATGAGTACACGGACGAATCGCTTGCCGAAGAGGCTCCCGCGAAGCCTGTGATTGAGAAGGTGCGACGCAACATTCTGGCTGAGAAGCCGAGAGTGACACGATTCGCGATCAAATGGGATAGTGAGGAGAGTGCGCCGGCTGAGTTCCCGCCGGAGCAGCCGGATGTTGATGCTGAGGTAGACGATGGAGCGAACTACGGCGCTGAAGAGGAGGAAGAGGAGGAAGTAGAGGCTGAAGCCGAGGGCGAGGCAGCTGCGAAGGGTGCAGATGTGGACATGGAAGGCGCGGAAGCGAACGTCAAGGAGGTGGACGAAGAGTCTGAGGCCGGCAGCGAGGACCTCGGGGAGGAGAGCGAGGACGATGACGAAGAGGAGCTGGAGGAGGAGGACGGTGAGGGCGAGGCAGAGGCAAATGGTGATCACGACATGGAGATGGATGAGGCCGCGCCCAAGGAGCCCGCGAACGGTGTCGCTGGGAATCAACATCAGGCTGATGTGATGGTGCACTAGGCGACGAAGGCTTGCGCAGCAGTGCTTCAGTCTCCTCGTTCGATCAACCCTCAACAACAAGAGCTGAAGCTCATCGTAGCGCCTCCCCAAAGAGGCGAATAGCTATCGTGTTCGATCCTGAGCAACTGAGCGAAGAGGAACCGGAATCGGAAGATATGGGTGATTCGACTGACATTGTTGAGTGGTGGCTTGAACCCGGCTGGATCGAGTGGAGGGACAAAAATGCTCGCAAACCACATCACTGAACGAGACATACCCATCATATTGCTATCACGAGAACATACCCACCACATTTCTGACGACGCGAAGGACGAGCTTGGGTATCATAGCATGGCGCATGGAGTAGCGGTTGTACATTTCAGGTTTTCATAGAAGTGTGCCCGTAGTCAGCATCAAGTTTGCTGATATCATGCATTCACATCATCAATCCTCGCCATCCCTCATGCATGACTGCTTGCATCAAGCTATCTCTAGTGTCCATCCCTTTTGGCCTCCCGAACGCCTCGCTGCAATGCATCGTCCATGAACTCAGCCAGACAAGCCTACGCCGGCTGCTCATAAGCCCTCTTCACCATCCGTCCGAACTGCTCAAACTTGACAGTCTCTCTTACAACAGTCCCCTGTGCCGAGTTCTCCTTGTTCTCCGGCACCTTGACCGTCTGCCCGTCAATCTTCCACCCGCAAACCTCCCTCACAAACCGCTCAAACTTCTCTCCCGAGACATTGAGCCAGCTCTCCAACACGTCCCGCTGAACCTCCTGCATGCACTGGCTCACGACCACGGCGATCCTAACGCGCATCAGCTCCTCGAACCCTTGCACATCCGCCACGAGGTCTGCGTAGAGATCGTCGGAGTCCAGTGTGGACCAGAAGGCGGTGTAGCTGGCGTTGACGAGCTGGTGGTGGAGCTTAGTGAGATGCTGGACGGCTTCGGCGAGGGTGCCTGATGCGGGTCCTCCGGAGGCAGAGGACAGTCTGGTCTGCGCGACGACGTGGGGTGGGAGGAGGGAGAGGCCGAGGTTGAAGTCGGGCGAGGGGAAGACGGTGAGGGCTTTGACGAGGATGTTGGTGACGGTCTCGTCGCGGGTGCGGTCGGGGTTGAACTGGTATCTGTTTGGATGAGCAGATGTCAGCGAGGGCTAGCAAGACTCTTCTTCTGCGCTTCTGGACTTTGGGAAGTGTTCTTTCTCAGATAGAGCTAATATATCTTTCGCTTCAGCCAAGCTAGTGGGCTTGTCGGGTAATAGGTAAACGTGATAAGATTTGGACATCATTGTACACCTTTGTATGCGTGCTTTAGGGGCCATATACTCACAGTTTCAGCAGCGCCAGGTTGGCGTAGCAGTCATATGTCTGGTTTTCGCATTGCTGCGAGACGTATTCCTGAAAGAGCCCGGTCGTCTCTGGGTTGTACCGGTCCAGGCCGTTTAGTATCGTGTCGATGTTCTCTGGCCGATCCGGCGCCACGTCAAAGGCGAAACCCATGGCTGGTGTGTGAACATGTGGAAAAGTTTGTGCTTGACGAGTGCGATGAAGTTGCAGCGCAAAATCCTGCCAAGCCTGATCGAGCTTGGCTCTTCCGACCGCCTCGCCTTCACTCTTCCTCAGACCTCACCTCTCATTAACAGAATGGTCACGACTCGGAATCGCTCCAATGGCCGGGCCCATCTGAGCCACATATGTGGTGGAGCGTAATCCCCGTCAAAATGTCAACGCCGGTCGCCTCGACCTAGGGTTCGACATCTTCACCGGAGGGACATGCATGAACCACCTGCATAAGTGTGCTCCTCTTACAATTTGCGAGCACGTATGAAGCGATCAATGCAGCCACGAGATGCATCCCAAGGTAAAAAGCCAGCTTCACCTGTCCTGCGGTTTATTCTGGGGGCTCTCTTTTCAGCCTTGAAGGCAGCAGAATTAACCATTGTGACGAGCATCTCGAGGACGAGGCGTCCTGACTACTAGTCACCATGTCCGACAGGGCAACCATTGACGAATGCGCTTGCCGCACCTGCCTACGCCTGTCGTAACGTGACAGCCAGCCATGCCTTCAGGTCTGTGGGCATGCTTCCGCAGCTTTTGGGGTCGAAAAACACAACCAGCAATATCACAACCGCGAGAGCTCCACAGCTGTCATTCGGCCTGCAGCTGCTCGTCGGGAAGGGAGAGGAGCCCAGGGTAGCTGTAATTGCAATACAATTCGAAAATGACAGAAGGAATTTCTGTGTACCTCTCCAGGTTCCTGGACGTCGAGACGCGCTGGATTAGCCTAGCGATTCCAATGACAGCCACGAAACGCGTCCTCGCAGACTATATGGCACGGATTATGCTTCAAATGCTCCTCCTAACGCAAATGTCCTCCTGGACCAGATCAGACGATTGCATAGACGTATGCAAGCCCGTCGTCATAGATGTCTGCACGCTTGACGAAGACCTCGCAGCGTCTAGGCGTCAACTTTCTGCGTTTCCACGCACCGCATGCCGGACTGAGAAGCTCACGATTGCGTATCCTGGGGATGGCCAGCCTTATGACTGTTTGTGCTCCGGCTTGAATGGCCGACGTTCCTTGAAGACCGCCGGGGTGGCATGGTTGTTCCGGCCGAACTTCGCAATGCGAAGAGAGGCTACGGATACAAGACGCCGGACGCCCAATGCTGCTTCAGCCACCGCCTTAGGTCTTTGCGTCCTTCCCAGCGGTAAACACCGCGGCTGATCAATAAGGCCAGAGAGCTTGTTTTGTACCACCGTGGCGCAGCTCAGCCCTAGCATCGTGCATCTAACGGCCGGATCCTGACGTCTAGCTACAATGCACGACTTCAGATGGTCGTTGTTGTAGAGTCTCGGCTACGCAGTGAGTCTCGCAACGAGGCAGGTCGACCCGTTGGTCATCTTGCAGGTCGACGTCCGTACATCAGAACGAGGTCTTGATGGGTGGGAAATGGCCTTCGGTTGGGCGAGTAATCGACGATAGAACGTCCTCTCCACTTCAAAAGGTTCGGTCAACCTTTTCTGGCATACAGGTTGTGATGGCGTCGTGAGCAGCCACTCTGTGACGGAGAATCACTGCAAAGCATCTGGTAAACGTTCCGACGGTGAAGGTGTTCGGTTCACCTTTCTCCCACAGCCGGCCCGAGTGGCCGAAAGAGGGATAGCCCAATCGCGGGAAGGATTAACGCATCTCTTAACAACACCGACTCTTTCTGTACTGCACTCCGTTTCCTTAGCGTTCACGCCTCAATACCGGGATACCGCATCAAATGCTAGACGTGCTAGGGCACTAGCCACAGATCAGAGTGCTAGCTGAGTGCCGGACAAGGATGCTCGACTCGGCGTCTTGTGGTTGGTCAAGACTGGCCGCATCGGCTTCTTTTCGTGAACCTCAGCCGCACAACACGATGACAAGGGACGGGGTGGTCTTCCACTTCACTCCGGCCTCCATGTGCTCACAACATCATCTGTGGCACGAACAGTCATCTCCTAACACTTGATAGCTTTCAAAATCCACACACGGCCGCATGCAACACAGCCACCATACTGGAGGGTGGCCTTACCCACTCTAACCCGTTTGTGGGAAAGGCAGCTGAAGGCGATGTGGCTGACCATTACACCATGCTTTCAAATGGCGCCTAACTTCTGATTCGGGTCCGTATCGGCAGAAAAGTGCCCGATGTAACGAAGCTGGCCCGCAGGCCTTTCTTGGGCTTCCCTTCCAAACCACGCCAGTCTCAACTGCGGTAAGGCGAGCATGTCATAGAGCATGCGGCTCGTCTCCACCTGCAGGACCATGTCAAATTCAGCTCTGCGACACTATGCTTCCATCGAGTGTAGTCGAACCTGGGGGAGCGCTCAACGGGCTTGGATCAGTCATTCTATGACTTTAACGCTTGGTCCACCCGGATCTCTTACATAGCCTTACCGTTCATCTGGCAGTCTGTCTTCCAGGGTGTGCGTCTTATCCTGTGCGCACTACAGGGGCCTCTGATTTGCAGTGTCCGGCCAATCAGTCCACAGCTCGAACACTGATCCAACACTCCGTCTCGAGCCTTTATGTTGGCCTTGTCTCCCTGAAGTCAAAGCTGAGTTACCTGAGAAGCATTGGTATGAGCGTGGACCATCTTGACGTCGGGAGGCATGTCTTTCAATGATGGAGACAAGTTGGGGTTGCTGTCGGTACGTCAAGCATATATCATCTTGCTCTCGTCAACGATCCGTATGGAATAGCACTCAAGGGACCGTCAACACCTGTGCTCCTCATGCTTCGCTCGGAGAACTTCATCAACACTCACCCAGGCTTCGATCGAACAACACCCCACATATCCTCGCTGTCTTTTCACCCTGCCTTGTCGATCCTTCCTCAATTCACTCAATTGAATCCGTTCACCTCTACGCCCTCCTTCACAAAGGACAACATTCCAGCCGCTGCTGTCGGTGAACATTGCTCCGGCTGACCGTTGCAAGGGTTCCCGCACGTACTGTTGCAACGCCCACAAACGGCCGAGAACGATAGCGCCGACGAAAATGTCAGGATATTACTATCCCCCCAACACCTCCGCTCCCGAAGACGACGAGTTCGACTTTCAGACGTACCAAACGCACGGTGGACAACCCCAACAGTCATATCAGAACTATACCGGACAGGCATTTTCGCCAGACCTTCAGCAGACACAGTTCTACCAACCTTACCAGCAGGTCTATCAGCAGCCGCAGCAGTTTCAACAGCAGTGGGGTTACGCGAACGTTCAGATGCAACCGCAGATGCAACCGCAGCCATGGGTCACTCCGACGGTTCCGTCAAATGTTCCGTTTCAGATGCAACAGCAGCAGAACATGACACCGTTCCCATCATACTCGGAGCCTGCGAATACTGCAGGGGCATTCTCCTCGCCGGAAATGACCCCTGCGGGACCGTCGAGAGTGTCACGGGCGTCGACCGGTTATCTCTCTCCCGGAGAACCTGGCAGAGGCAGAGTGTCCCGGACGACTTCGCTGCATTCGAATGCGAGTTCAGGTCGCAGCTTCTCCCAGTCCGATGTCTCTCGCAGTGCATCGCCGAGTGCAAGTGAGATGGCTAAATGGTGAGTACTGTTTTGTACAGTGCAATCCGTTCTCCGAGACGCAGTCGAGCTCCATTGACAGACACTCGCTGACCGTTCCACTTTCTCTGCCGCAGGGGCCACCGCAACGACAATGGGACTTGGAGGTGTGCATACCCAGGTTGTACTTCGCGATCTACTTTCAGCAGGGGCTGTGACCTGCGCAAGCACTACAAGCGGCATACGAAGTCCCTGTTCTGTCGTCACGATGGCTGTCCGCAAGCCACTGAGGGCGGCTTCTCGAGCAAGAAGGACCGCGCACGACATGAAGCGAAGCACGACCCTCAGATACTTTGTGAGTGGGAGGGTTGCAACCGGCTGTTCAGCAGAGTCGACAACATGGTATGTCCTAGACTTGCTAGCATTGAACCAGGCCACTGACTGCCTTCTGCAGAAAGATCACGTCAGACGGGTTCACAAGAAGCGACTCGAGCGATGAGAGGCGCAGTTTGGGCTTGGTACGCCAGCACAGTGTTTTCACAGACCACTGAAATTATGTCTGTCTTATTGACACGGCCGCACGCTGATGTCAGATCCAACGCCAAGTTGTTCTCACACAGCCTATTCACGACATCTCATAGTCTCTTCTCAGACACTCGCTTCCTGGCTCTTGGGATATCGTCTATACCTATCTTCATTCTTTCTTCCTGTTCGGCTGCAAGGCTTGTTCAAATGCTCTCCTAGCGCTTCGACTGGTTTTCCCTGCGACCCTGATATCGGTGGAAAAGAAACACCGTTCAAGGTCTCTCGTCTCTCCTGCGACGTTACGATGTACCTTGTCAAATCCTAATATTCCCAGAAGCCGTTGTCAGCCCGGCGAACCGAGGAAAAAGCGAAGAGTATTCGAATGAGTAGCCCGTCGGATGGCTTCGTCGCAGTCTTTCAGCTCAGGACGATCAATTTATCGTTCCCGAACGACGATACGGTTGCAGTATAACACGATGCTGCCTCGTGGTTGTGAAAAGTCTGTCGTCTCCGCATCGGTGATGAAGACGAAAAACTCCGGGAATGACTGGACGCCTGACGAAAGTCCACGTACACTCCTCGCGATGTCGTCCCTGCCTCCTCAGTAGTGCTGCAGACATCATTCTTGGCCAACAGACCGCTGCACTACTCCCAGTCCGCCCCCACCCGATATTGCCGGCAGAAAATTCGGGCAAGGATGGGAGCCAGCGCCGTTATCGTCGCCGGCTGTAGCTCGACCGCGCGGCTGTCCATCGCACGCTGCAACAACGAGCCCTGCAACAATAGGCGACCGACGTGCACAAGTAGTCAGGCGACCCATCGCTTGGGTTGATGGTTCAAACGGCCGGTCAGGCCTCCTCCTCAGGACTGCCGAAATGCACGCAACCCACCGCCAGCGTCTCAGCTGCTGAGCTGGACTTGAAGGGGCCGTTGACGGCTCGACGGTACATTGGCTTGACAGCACCTCATCTAGATGTTTGGTGCATCGAGGCCCAGTCGTTTCTCTCGAGAGGCCGACTTTCGGGCGTTGGAATGCACGACAGCAGGGGAAGATGCGCAAGAAATTGTCATGGTTGGATTGCTAATGCATTGTTGAGAACGTCGACCACACTACATGACTAGGGGACTGTTGAAGTCATCAGGTTAGAGTTTGGGTACGGGATGATTCAGCTAACGTTGAATGACAGTCTTGGGCCATTTACATAAGCTGTCGATAGGTGACACAAACATACTAGTCTGCATTTTCAGGGTATGGAGCCCTCACAATATCGAATGCGTGGTAATATGGTCGCCCTATTTTGTATTTCCGGGACCACAGCCACGATGACAGCCACGATCGTGCCTGCGCCGCAAAGCTTGAAAACGCCATTTCATGCAGGCCGTTGCCATGTGCGACGATTATTAGCGGCTTAATCGCTGACTTCACTTCCTCCTTCAAGCATTGCGTTAGATGTTTGCAGACATTAATATCTGCACTCGAGGATACCATGGCGAGGCTGAGAAGGGAAGAAGCCACTAGACGCGCAGTGTCATCCGACGACTCGGACTTCGCGCCATCAATGTCGGTCAACAAACCGGCCAAGCTGGATTTGTCAACAGCTTCTGGAAGGAGGCAACTTAGGACGTCGCCACGGAAGAAATCAGCGAAACAACACACCGCCGATGATGACTGCAGCGATGTTGGATCAGATGTACCGGTTGGATTCCCAACGTTGGTGCCCAAGACCACGTCCAAGAAGACACAGCTCGGCCGCCAGATAGCGCTGAAACCACTCAACGCCTCGCCGTTTCCTCGGACCCTGCCATTACTGCGACCGCTTGATATTCGACGACCCAGGATACAGAAGCCGATTCCTGCTTCGGAGAAGGCGATCAGCGTTGAGCCCAACGAAGCCGACGCCTCTGTGAAGACGGTTGAGGAGGTCGAGAGTGAGGACAGCGTCGAGGTAGAGGAGAGCATCTGGTGTGGGTCAAACCATGAATCAGAAGATTCTGAGGAGGAGCTTCCGAGTCCGAGGAAGTTGTTCGCGCCTAGAGGGCCTCTTGTGTTGTCATCGAAGCCTGGCCTACATCCGCCGGCAGATGTTGCGCCCCTTCCGAATGCCCGTCAACCCCGGCCTTACGTGCTTGACAGTGACAGCGACTCGCGATCCGCGATCAAGCTGAGCAGCGACGTCAATGTACATTCACGACCGGGAAGCTCATCGGACAAGGAGAACACTGCTGCGATTCTACGATTCTCTCCTCCCAGATTATATTCGCCGGCAAAGTTCAGCCCGCACGAGAGGCCAACAACTCCACCTCAATCACCGACCAAATCTCGTCTACAGTCACCATCCAAGCCAAAAGCACGTATTCCCACTCCACCTCTACGGCAGAGCCTGGACGCTTTCTGGAACGCAGACACCGTTAACGATTGGAACGAACAGTACTCGCCTAAGAAGCTACTGAAGTCTCCTAAGAAGCTCCATTTCATACAAGATGACTCGTTCCAACCACCCTCGTCGCCTCGAAAGCCGCAAAGTCCCTCCAAACGCACCAAAGGCGAGCGAGATGCCAAGAAGTCATTCGAAACTGCCAAACACCAGTTGGCCGAATCTTTCCTCGCCGAACTCGACCAACGCATCACCCAAGGCAAGATCTCCCACCTCTCAGCCTCTACAGGCGGCGTCCGCCTCATCTGGAGCAAGACCCTCAACTCCACCGCCGGCCGCGCCAACTGGCGCAAAGAAACCACCAAATCCCGCCAACTCGACGGCACCACCACGGCGGTCGCGAAACACTTCGCCTCCATCGAGCTTGCCGAAAAAGTCATCGACGACTCCCATCGCCTCCTCAACGTCCTGGCCCACGAGTTCTGCCACCTCGCCAACTTCATGGTCTCCGGCATCAAAGACCAACCGCACGGCAAGCAGTTCAAAGACTGGGGCCGCAAATGCACGCAAACGTTCGGCGACAGAGGTGTCGAAGTGACGACGAAGCATAGCTATCAGATCGAATACAAGTTCGTCTGGCAGTGCGCGAATGAGATGTGTGGGGCGGAGTTTAAGCGGCATTCGAAGAGCATTGATCCCGCGAGGAAGGTTTGTGGGGGTTGTAAGGGGAGGTTGGTGCAAATTAAGCCGGTGCCGAGGAAACAGGAGGGTGGAGGGGATTATGCGGGTTTTGTGAAGGAGCATTTTGCCCAGGTGAAGAGAGGGATGGTGGGGGCGAGTCAGAAGGAGGTTATGGAGGCTGTGGCGAGGAACTATAGGGCTGAGAAGGAGGCAAAAAGCGCCGGTGGTGCTGGTGGGAAGACTGATGAAGTGTTGGAGAAGTTGGCTAGTAAGGTCGAGGTCATTACCCTGGACGACGATTGAGATTCGGTGGATATGTGCCGCGCTGTCATTTCCAGATGGTCCTGCTGACGCCCGAGACCATGTTCTATCTACCCAGTCCCAATCAGTCCCAGCCGATCGCTACTCCTGCACGAAGAGATCCCAATCCTTCACCTCAAACGTCTCGATCAACTTCGTCCGATGCTCAACCGCCGCTTCCAACAGCGCACCTTGCTTCCCCTGCGCCGGATCGATTGCCGCTGGATCGTACTGCCCCGCGATATGCGGCACGTTGATTGCGAGAAGGATGTCGGTCTTCTGCTTCTCCAGCCTCACCATCGTAAGCAGGATCCCGACGAAATCTGGTTCATTGGGGCGTCCTTTCTGCTTCTCGCCAGGTGGGGAGGTGGCGAAGAGGGTGTAGGCTGGTGTGCCTTGTCTGTCGAATACTGTCAGTTCCGGCGAAGACCTTGATGAGGGGCGGATTGTACGTGCGGTAAGTTGGCAAGATGCGCCTCAGCAGTCGTCCAGACCTTCGTCTCGCTGGCGTCTTCGTCGACGATGTCTGAGAGGTGGAATTGCAGTGCTTCGGTATCCGGTTTCTCGACTCGTTCTAGGATGTCGACTACGATGCTTGCGAAGCCATTTGTGTCGAGGTAGACTTCTTGGTTGTCGGGAACTTGTCGGATCTCGCTGTTGAACCTCAGCTTTGTTTCTTTGATGGTTGAAAAGTAGTTTCACCTGACGTCGGCATATGTCGATGGAAGAGACGCTGCGATCGCTCCGCCGAAGAGATCAACATTACGGTATTGAGTTGTACCAGCCATTATTTCTTCAGAAGATGTTTGTGTCTCATAGTTGAATATTCAGAGAGCGGTGCCAGATTTTATGTTGATCTGGGTGAGGCAACTGCAGGCACCCGATTAGGCAAGAGTCGCCGCCTAACAAGCTTTTGAGCCGCATCTTCAAACACGACAACGACCTCTGCCTTCAACGACCATCTGTCCAACCTCTCCACAAGCCCACTCCATCTACACAGCTTCCAAAGATGGACAACGAGAAGATCTCCAACTTCCTCACCGAGCAGCGCGATGCCGCGCCCGACGATCTTCAGCACTACTTCCTCACCTTTGAAGACTACTGGGAGCGGAAGTTATGGCACGAACTCACGGATATCCTCGTGACGTACTACGGCGAAGAGCAGAGCGCGGAGCAGAGAATACCCATCTACAACAACTTCATCAAGACCTTTGCGGACAAAATAAATCAGCTGAAGCTGGTCCAGATCGGCCTAGGCACGGCGGAGCAGTACAAAGGTATGTCCTCCCAAGCTCGCAAGCGAGGAAGCCATATCCACTGACACGCATGACAGACGACAACGAGCGCCTCACCTTCCTCACCACCCTCGCCTCCCGCGTCGACAAGCCCGCCTCCCAAGACGCCTACGTCTTCGCCCTCACCTACGTCGCCTCCGTCCGCCTACGCCTCGGCCAAACCCCCGAAGCCCGCAAAGACCTCGACAAATGTGAGGCCGTGCTCGACACCTTCGACAGCGTCGAGACCGTCGTGCACGCCTCCTTCTACCGCATCAGCGCCGACTACTACCAGTCCCAGCAGGAATTCGCCAACTACTACCGCACCACTCTGCTCTACCTCGCCTGCGTCGACCTCGACGACCTCTCGCAAACCGACCGGCAGCGCGTCGCGCACGACCTCGCCATCGCCGCGCTGGTCTCGGATACCATCTACAACTTCGGCGAGCTCCTGCTGCACCCGATCCTCGACAGCCTGACCGATACCCCGCACGCCTGGCTCCGCGAGCTGCTGTTCGCGTTCAACCGCGGCGATCTCCAAGCCTACAATATCCTGCAAGCGCACAGCGAAGCCAACGAGCTGCTGCAGCAGAACCAACAATTCCTCTACCAGAAAATCTCCCTCTCCGCCCTGACGCAGCTCGTCTTCTCCCGCGCCCCGCAGGACCGCGCGATGACGTTCTCCACCATCTCGGAAGAGACGAAAGTGCAATTGGATGAAATCGAGCACCTGATCATGAAGGCATTGAGTCTGGGACTGTTGCGCGGGAGTATCGACCAAGTGGACGAGGTGGCGCGGATTTCCTGGGTGCAGCCGAAGGTGCTGGATCGGAGTGGGATCGAGGGGATGAAGACGCGGTTGCGGGAGTGGAGTGGTGGGGTGGAGAAGTTGGGGAACTGGATCGAGGGGGTGGGGAAGGATGTTTGGGCGGCGTAGGAGAGAGCAGACGTGAGGAAGAGGATAGTGGTGGTGTGCGGAATTGTGCATGCCGGATTGAGCATCAATGTGCATCGAGCTTCGTCCTTGGGTCCGCCTCCAGTAGAGAGTGGAGAGGTAGATGGCTCACACGAGCCACATGTTGTCGGAGCGGCAATGGCACATAAGAAGTCTGAACAAAGGACGACCGTGCCGAAATGGCAGTGTTGCATTACATAGATAGCTAATGTAACAGTAGCCCCTACCATTCGTCGTCCCCCATAATAGTACTGTTTAGTATCTCTGCTCGTAAATCGTGTCACTCATAATCAATCATTAGATCAGGCTCTGCATCGAATGAATCCCGTCAAATGGCCGAAATGTCGCTCAATACATCGCGGAGAATGTCGTTCTCACAAGTCGTCAGTCATCGTCGTTCGTTGTCAAGACACCTTCGGCCCCTCCCTCTTCACGACATCCTTCTTCACCCTGGCCTTCTTCTTACTGGCCGTCGAAGCCCCTGAGTCAGACTCCTTGAGCTTCCGCTTGAGTGACACGAGAGCCGGGATCGGCATGTCACACATTGTCAGCAGATTCTCCCAATGCTCCGCCTCGACTCTTCGCCTCGCATGGTCGGCCGTGTGTTGGAGCTCCTTCGTGCCGCACGTATGCGTGACTTTGAACTTGATCGCCGGGTTGGGCAGCGCACGAAAGGCCAGGACCGGATCGGTGGCGAGCGCTTTTCGCCCCACACCCCGGTAATCTGATCGAAGGCCCTCGTTCAAGGCAGACAAGGTCCTGGGTGAGAGGTAGGCGGTGAGATTCGAGGCTGTGAAGTGGAGCGTGCGGAGGCCGGTAAGGGATCGGATCGCGGGGATGTGGAGGGCTTTGAGCAATTTGCGCGACCAGATGAAGCCATCGATGTGGATGGTATTGATGGCGGCGCGTTGGGCGGGTGCCAGGGTGCGGACGAAGAGGTTGAAGGTTTCGCTCTCGTGGAAGGCGAAGGCGTTGTCCGTGTAGGGGAGGAGGTGGGCTTCGTGGTGGATTTGGCGGCAGGTTCGCAGGCAGGACAAGCTCAATTGAAGGGGGCGGAGGTGAGATGATGTGACGACATCGCAGGAAGTGGAGGAGAACTTGAGGCGGGAGAGATTGGTGTAGCAGGGTCCGTGCTCGAGGCAGTATGTTACTGGGGAGGTGGCGGGGTTGGGTTGTTTGCTCAGCTCGTAGGCTTTGTCTTGGGCGTTTGGAGAGAGTTGGCAGATGATGTTGGCGAACGTGAGCATCATGTCTGAAGGCTTAGGTTTGCGGCGAGGGTCGTCGTAGTAGTCCTCGACGTTGTAGCAACCCCGGCCCTCATCCACAGCATCGCGAACGCTGATGTGGACGACAAGGTTGCATAGGACGTACTCGTAGATCAAGTTCCTGACTTCGGCGGGCAGGCGTAGGAGTGGTGACGCTTGAGCATTGCGCTCGGCTCTTTCATAATCCGTTAGCATGATCACGATAAGACGAAGACCTGTTCATACATCTGCTGCTGCCACGGGGCGACATAATGCTCCGAAGCGTATATCGAAGGATCACGAAGCCTCGTTTGAAGGTGCTTCATTGGACATGCTCTTTCGAGCGGAGGGAGATACCAGCCGTAACGAGAAGTCGACATGGCTGTCCTCTATCCTGTTCGTGGCTGCAGCTCCATACCCATATCTTCTCAGGCTCTCGAGCGGAGAAGGGAAGGTAGAGATGGTGTGACGAGATGCGACGTTGGAGATCGGCGCTTAGCGTCAGGCTAGGGACAATCGCGAGCTAAGGCGGATCGCACCTTCCCGACCCCACACGCGCCGATGGATTGACCCTGCAGGAACAGGCTAGAGGCCGAGCTTGATCGGGCAGCCCACGTCGGACATCAACCACGGTATGTTGGACAGCCAGCGTTGTTCAATGCATAGCAGCCCTATGTAGGGGCGGAGAAAGAGGCCAGGAAGCAATATCGACCTACTCGGGATACAGCATGGCTACGGCAACAGCCACGTCCGCAGCGGCGGAACCCCCGAAGCTGATCAAGAAGGCCAGCGAGGTCAAGACTCCAACGACCGCGACGCAGACCAGCTTCGGTTGCAGTAAGATGAAGCTTTGCAGAGAAAGTGCAACCGCGGGACTGACTTGTATCCAGAACACATCAAGGACTTTCTAACTCACGCCCGCGACAAAGCCACCGAGGAGTATACTCGCCTTATCCGATCGATCCGGCAAGAGGGGAATGTCAGTGGGAGCATATACAAGAGTGGAAGTACGCCGCAGGTATCGCCAGAAACAACATACATGTGCATACAATGCTCTGCGGTGACCAAGGCGAGAGAGAGGCATAGGAAGGATCATCCATTCGGTGAGTATAACAGCCATTGGCCGGGCCAGAGATGGAGGATACTGACCATGCACAGCGGTGGAGTCAAGAGAAGGCTTCATCTTCTGCCACGACTGCAAGGACTTTGTCTATGATCCTACCTTCGAAGAGATCCGCTCTGGAAACAACAAGAAACGGAAACACGCGGCCCTCTCAGCCGACGACAAGCGGCTCGTGTCCGCCAACTCGACCGTCATATCGTGCTCCGCAGTCGGTCTGAGAGGACTATACAACATGGGCCAGACCTGCTTCATGTCCGTAATCCTGCAAGCGCTCATCCACAACCCCTTCATCCGCACCTTCTACCTCTCCGAAGGCCACCGCAAAGAGGACTGCGAGCGCGAAGCCTGCACCTCCTGCGCCCTCGACGACATCTTCAGCGACTTCTTCGGCCAGGAGAAGCACGAAGGCTACGGCGCGGTGCACATGCTGCAGGGGTGTTGGAAGGAAGGCGGCTCCCTCGCCGGCTACAGCCAGCAAGACGCCCACGAATTCCTCGGCTTCATCCTCAACAGCCTACACACCGCCATCACCGACGAAGAAGAAGGCAAAAGCTCCCGCCACTGCCCGTGCGTCATCCACCAGAGCTTTGGCGGCCTGCTCAAAAGCACCGTCACCTGCTCAGGCTGCAAAAACACCTCCACCGCCCTCGACCCCTTCATGGACCTCAGCCTCGACATCCGCAGCACGCCCGTCACCAAAAAGAAGAAACTCAGCCTCATCAACGCCACCGCCACGTCGAAAGAACACCTCCCCATGGACCTCACCGAGTGCCTGGACCGCTTCACCAGCACCGAAACCCTCAGCGCCGAAGCCGGAAGCTACAACTGCCGCCACTGCTCCAGCCCGCAGGAAGTGAAGAAGAAATTCTCCCTCTCGCGCATACCGCCCATCATCCCCATCCATCTCAAACGCTTCTCGCACTCCAAGTCCCTGAAAGAAAGCTCCAAGATCGAAACCAAAATCCGCTTCCCAACCTCCCTCGACTTGAGCCCTTACACCACCTCCTCCGCCGCGCGAAGTAAACCGCCCGCTCCCGAAAACGATACCCTGGTCAATAACACGGATCGCAACGCGGATTCCGACGATGCTCCCGACCCCGCGCCTCCTCCGCCTCCACCGCCGCCGGTGTACGAGTTGAGCAGCGTGGTGGTGCATAAGGGCAAAATCGACAATGGGCACTACGTCTCGTATGCGCGGCAGGGGGAGGACTGGTTTCGGTTTGATGATAGTATGGTGGTGCAGGTGGAGGAGCGGGAGGTGCTGAGGGCGGAGGCGTATATGTTGTTTTATGTTGTTGGGGAGATTGCGGGGGTGATGGCGTGATGATGGGGCGGGTGGTTGATTTGTAGCATAGCGTAGGACAGGTGTTTGGACATGGGGCAATGGGGATTGTATATTTTATGTTGTTGGTATGTACAACTGCCTGTCTATCGCAGCTTTCCCGGCTGGTGGATCAGTGGCATAGTAGAGACAGAGGAGATATGAGTACAGGACTCTATTGGTCGTCTAGCACGTGCAGGTACTTCTTCTCCTCCCGCTTCTCCTTCTCCGTCATGGGCGGCAGGTCGTAGTATGACGAGCTGCGGTATCCTTGCTATAGCCGAGTAGTCAGCATCATGTCCATATCCGCACTGTAGAGAGGTGTAAACTTACCAAATACTTATAAGTGAAATTCGCAACATCCCCCGCCTCCATATCCAGATCCGCAAACGTCTTCGCGTTCTTATCAATAAACTGATCCATGAACTCCCGCTCCACCTGGTCTTTACAGCCCACGGGCCACCAGAGCACCTTATTCAGCAGCTCCATCGTCGGCCCCAACACCCGCCGCGGCACATTGACGTGCCGTCGCTCCTTGAGAATCTCCCGGTCCACGAGCTCGGAGATCTCCTTCATGCTGTAGTTCTTCGGCCCGTAGAGCTCGAACGTCTGCCCGGCCGTGCTGTCGTCTTGACCGATCCGCTCGAGGGCTGCGCCGACGTCGATCACGTGGACGGGCCAGAAGCGCTCGCGCATGTGGTTGCTGGTGAAGACATTCGCAGCGGACGCGAGACGGTGCAGCAGGCGGTCTTCGAAGCCGAACATGGGCGCCGGGCGCACGAGCGTGGTTTCCGGGAAGATGTCGCGCGCGACTTGCTCGCCCTGCCATTTCGTGCGGAAGAACTCGGCGGGCGACTCCGGGTGCACGCTGTGCGAGGAGACTTGGATGAATCGGTCGACGTCGTATTTGGCCACGGCGTCAGCGATCCGCTTCGTGCCTTCGACGTGTACGCTCTCCAGATCGAAGTTCTTGGTCGGGTAGTCCCGTCCGATGAGGTTGAAGACGATGTCGGAGTGCCGTACGCTTTCTTCAATACTCGCGGTGTTGCGCAGATCCATCTCCATGAACACCACACGTCCCAGGTCCCCGGCGACTTTGAGGTGGCGCTTCGCCATTTCCTCCCGGTACGGCACGACGACTGTATTTCCGGATCGCGCGAGACGGTTGACGATGTACCGGCCTAGGAAGCCTGTGGCGCCGAAGACGGTCGCGGTGTGTCCGCCCAACCCGCTGCGGCCGCCGGGGATGCGGATGATGGGTTTGCCGGTGCGGGTTATGGCGATGTCTTGGGTGTAGCGATCTTTGGGGCGGGAGGGGGTGGTGGAGAGGGCTCGGAGAGTGAGGGCGGAGGTGGGGAGGGAGGAGCGGCAGAGGTGGCGGTGGAGGGCCATTGGGGTCGTTTGGAGGCCGGCCATGGCCGGTAGAGTGGAGTTGGGGCGATTGGTGGTGGTGTTGAGGGGGTGGGAGGCCGGCTATTCCATTGACGGAGGATATGGTTGTGAGCTTCGGAGCAGCAAGTGAGGTCCACTCGGGGAATCTTCGGTAAAACTTGACGTAGAAGGGCTCAGTCAGCCAAAGACAGCTGGCTTGACATATGCGAGACTTGACAACACTCCCACACCAGACCTCTTCACTGACGGTCATGGACTCATACGAAGAACCGAACAGATAACACTCACTCCGACACCATGCGTCTCGCCTTGTACGCTGGCTGCTCAACAGCTGCTGCGGCGGCGTGTCTGCTCAAGGCGTTCCAGCGCCCGAACTTCTACAGCGCTACTGTCTACCTCTCGCAGTCCAACGCATGTCTCCTCATCCTCACCAACCTCCTGCTTGTCGGCGCGTGCAGCTTCATGTTCGCGCTGCAACGACTGCTCTACGGCCCCCTCCGACCCATCGAGATAGAGCAGCTGAGCGAGAAGGCATGGTACGCTGTCCTGGACACTCTACTGGCTATGCCGAGTTTCCGAGAAGATGTGGGAGGATGGCTGTTGGCGATGTTCACGTTGCTGCTGGCAGGGAAGGTGTGGGGCTGGATTGGCGAGGGGAGGGTGGACGTGTTGGAACAGCAGCCACCCGCGAACCCGCGGCTCTTTCACATACGGCTGGCGACGAGCTTGGTTGCCAGCGTGCTGTTTGATCTCTGGATGCTGGACTATTGCGTGGAGACGGTCATGTCGGATCCGAGGCCGGGCATGATGGTGATCTTTACCTTTGAGTTTGCGATCTTGACGGTGTTCTCGACTTTCACGCTATCGAGATACTTCCTGGCTTTGATTCAGACGAGGATAGAGAAGGCACAGATGGAGAAGGCGGTGGTTGAGAAGAAGGCAGAGATACGGGCAGAGCGAGCAGCAGCGCGGCAGAATGAGACGAGTGAGGGCACCCCGGCGCCTGCGTCACCACCTTCCGAGGAGCCCATTGAAGTCGACGAGAACGAGCTTGACGTGCCCGGCTGGGAGGAGAAGCGACGATACCTGTTTGCGCTTGAGGTCTTCACAGACTTCATCAAGCTGCTCATCTACATCGTTTTCTTCACCGTTAGCATAACATTCAACGGGTTGCCGATGCACATTATGCGGGACGTCTACATGACGTTCGCCTCGTTCAGCAAGCGCGTTGCCGACTATGTGGCGTACAGAAAGGCGACGAGCGACATGAACGCGCGATATCCGGACGCCACGACAGAGGAGATTCGAGGGGATGCGTGCATTGTGTGCAGGGAGATCATGGTGGCATGGGAGCAACCGGCTCAGGCACAGCAGCAAGGACAGGTGCAACCGGCGGCTCAACAGCCTGCTGCTGCACCGCCGCCTGCGCGAAGGAGAGACGAGGGGCTGAGAGCGAAAAAGTTGCCATGTGGACATATTTTGCATTTGCGATGCTTGAAGTCGTGGCTCGAGAGGCAGCAGGTGTGTCCGACGTGCAGACGGCCCGTCGTTGTGGCTACAGAGACAGCTCCACGAGGTCAGGGTGCTGGGGCGGCCGGCCGAGGAGCACCAGGACAACAACCAGCGCGCCGCCCCGGACGAGCGAGGATCTTCAATTTCGGCCCTGTACGAGTAGGCTTCTTGAACGGCCCAGGCGATCAGATAGGAAACATCGTCCGGCAGATGCAGAATGGAGGCCAGCAGAACGCGCAGGCGCCCGGTGCAGGTGGACAGGATGGTGCAGGTCAGCAAGGTCCGAACCATCTTGGTCTCCAAGTACCGTACGCGAACGGCCAGCAGGGAGCACAGACCGGCGGGCCTCGAGCGAATCTACCGACCTCAGTCCAGCTCTTGCAAATACAGCAGCAGATCTTCCAGACACAAGCGCGGATCATGCAAGAAGCACAGAGTCTCCGTCTCGAGCAGTCGCAGCTGGCCACGCTACAGAGGATGGACGATGAGCTGGCGCAGTTGCGACGCTTGCAGCAGTGGAACCAGCAGCCGTTCGGGAGTCGAGGGCCACCACCTACCACAGGCCAGACGAACCAAACGTCTCAGATGTCGGGACTGCAGCAGTATCAACAGGCGACTGAGACGTTGCAAGGTGCTGGGAGCGCGCAGTATGCCAATGGTCATGACCACTTGCCGCAGGGTATGACGTTGCCGGAAGGCTGGACGGTCATGCCGCTGCATCGGGCGGATGGATCTGCGACTGGCATGCAGCCTGCTGTGGCTACATCTTCTACCGTACCAGATGGCTCGCAAGCGGCTCCTGCAGCCGCAGACGGCGAGAGTGCTACAGCGACCTCACAACCTGCAACTGAGAATGCCGCTGGCCCCACAGACGAGCGAGGCTCACCACTCTTCGTGCCGACTGATTCTGCAGCGTCAAGCGGGCAGACCACGGCCACGAGTGCAGCACCTCCGTCTACTGCCCCTGCAGTTCCACCCTCAGATACGCCTTCAGCGTCTTCACAAACGTCAGCACAACCGCAAGCGCCGCTACGATCCGAACACCCGACACCCTGGGGTCAAGAAGGCTGGAGCTTCGACAATCAGGCCAACGGCCAGACCAATACAAACGGCGAACAAACCTCGAGTGCGGCAGCAAACGAGAACGCGAACGGCGCACCAATCGCGTCTGCCCCGGAGCCACGGCCAGAGCAGCAAGGTCACAGCTACGAAGGGAAAGGCAAGGCCAAGGCTGCACAAGTAGAAGATGCGCCGGATGAGCGACAATGAGCCCCGAGGGCGATGGAGTGAGGAAGTTGTACAGCATTGCATTCTCTTTTCACAGCATAGCATGACCGGCGTTTAGAGGGAGGAGTGGATTCGGGTATACCAGATCAGGCGTTACAGCAGCAGCGAGATGATGGAGCAGTGTAGTATAGGTGGTATGACGATGCGAAGACTTTCGTGAAGTTGTTGACTTTACTTTTACCACAGATGGTCAGCGATAATTGCCATGATGCAAAGGCAGTTGCGGCTGAGCACACCACGACAAAAGAACTGCTTCGCATTCATCCCGTATCAGGTGCTCAGCCTTGGGCAGTGAAGTTGACATCCATGTTTCCGCCCACAAGGGCTTCCTCGCGAAGTTGAGGCTGAGATAGCAGAAGGCTGAGATAGCAGAAGTCAGAGATGTGCTAGGGCGTCCGGCTTGTGAAAAGGCGCGAGCTCTCCACCTCCTATGATTAGCCTACATTTCGGCCATGTCTACTATATAAACACTTCCTAAAACATCCCAGATTCTGCTACCAAGAGTCTTTCATACTCGACCACAATGTCCCAACCGCCTCCCCCCCCAAACCCAAACCCGCAACCCTACCTTCATCCTCTCCCCAGTCACATCCACAGACTACTCCCACATGCTCCGCCCTCTCAACCGTCATTCCGGCGACCTCTGCACTCCCCCCATCTCCCCCCTCTGCTGGCCCGTCGACCCCTCCGACGGGCACTCCGCCCTGCTCCGCCTCCAATACAGCACGGCAAACGAGCGCGCCTTCTTCCTGCGCGACCCGACCGCGCATCCGATGAAAGTCTGTTCCGCGGAGACGGGGGAGCTGATGAGTTATGCGCGCTGGAACTTTTTCCCGGACGGATATGATTTCGAGCGGGACGAGTGTGTGGATGCGGAGGAGTTTTTGCCCGAGGAGGGGAGGGGGGTGATGAGGGTGGAGTTGTATCGGGGGTTGAGGCAGGGGATGATGAGGCTCAGAAGGGAGTGGCAACCGAAGGGAGAGGGGTCTTGGGGTTGGTGATCCTGTTCTGGCGACCAAGGTTCGTGCTGATGCGAAACAGTGTTGATGTCAATGGTGACGCGGGAGTGCTGGCGGGGTCAAGGCGCGGCGAAATTGCTGATTGAATGGGGATTGCAGAGGGCCAGGGAGGATGGCGTGCCGGCGTATCTCGAGGCGAGTGTGGAGGGCAAGCCGGTGTATGAACGACATGGATTTCAGCAAGTCGGAGAGCTGGTTCCATGGGATATGCGGCCGCATGGGATTGATGTGACGTTCGATATCGCAAAGATGGCGTACTATCCGGACAGTCATGAAGAGCGATCAAAGTAAACCAGATGCCTTCCACATAGAGCTTCACAATTGAATTTTGCTGTCTGGACGTGGAAGTTGTTCAGTTACATGCTCCCTCACCGGAACCGATGTAACATTCGGCGTAAACCGCTGCTTCACCCACTCCAAATCTCGCTCATGCAGGCCTTCGGCGTAGTAAAGCCACCTCTCTTGCTCCTTCGACCACTTCCGGTTCGGCACATAAGCTTCCAGCCCATAGTAGTTGTCTCGATGCCACGGGAACTCGTAAGATGGCGGTCCGCTGCGCTCAAGAAACTCATCCGTCTCCTTTTCAGCTTCTACTAGAGTGAGGTGGTAAAGGCGTTTGGGATGAACGGTCTTCCTCCCGCGGAACGTTCGGAAGATCGTCTGGACAGTCGTCTTGAGATGCTTTTCGAGAATCGCAGCGTGCACTAGCCGACTGTCCATAGCTCGCTCGACGATAGCCGCATTCGCTTCCAGCAGCTTCCGGTTCCATTCCGGCGCTGTACCCCTAGGAATCATGAGGATCGGCTCTCGCTCGTTGAGGTTTTTCTGCCAGTAAGATAGGTCCAGAATCATGTTCAGATTGTTCCACGAAAAGACACAACTCATGCAGGTGCAGATGTTGAGTGGATCGATTCCTTTGACGTGCTGATATGGTTTCTTGTGAATTTGCAGCATGTCTTGCCTTCGGTCACTCAGCAAGGATGGACGGGCTGAGCTTTCCACATTCTCAAAGGCTACTGGGAGTGGGAAGCATCGGGACAATACAAAGTACCTCCTCCTAATGATATCGCGGGCGATGGTGCTTTCATTGCTCTGAATGAAGTCGTAAACATTTCGGTTGACCTGAAGAAGCTGGAAGACATCGCTCGGCTGCAAATAACCAGCAATTTCTTGAAGCAGCTCTGCAGGTAGATTAAGAAGTGAAGTCGGAGTCGGCGAAGTAGCAACTTTCTTCTGCTTCTTCTCAACTCGCCTCTTCGCTCTATCGGTCTTCTTCGACTTGAGCGTTAACTTGGCTGTTGTGTCGACCAACGGCTCATCCTCATCGATGATACGATCTCTCCTTGATGCCTTGCGAGAGCCAGTGGTGATGATGCTGATCTCCTGATCGTCCGATGGCGGCATCGCTGTGGGCTTGTCCTGGACGTTCTCGTGACCGGTGGCTGACATGATGGAGCAAGACTTCGGTCTAGCGGGCAGAGATTCCGGCGACGATCACAGCAGACCGTCAATTACCGCGGTATACTGAGTACTTCGGGCCTCGAGAGGATGTCGGGATCTCGAGCAGTCCACATGGAGTCGAGAGGTACAGTTTTGAATCGCAGCGAGATCCGACGAATGTTGTGTAGCGATGGACCTGACCAATCAGTGGACAAGCTTTTCAAGTCTTTCTCCTTGCCGCTCCTGCCACTTTGAGACTCCGCCCTTCACTTGAACCACACTCCAGCGACTGCCGAAGCCACGGTACCGACAAGCAATGCTGGTGGCGATATGGCTGCCGAGTGGAGTCCCTTTCGCCTCTTGCAGCCCCGTCTCGAGCCCGGCGAGCACCAGAAAGAATTTACCCAGCACCTTTAGCCGCTGAGGAGGACGCCGAGTGCGGCTCTAAGAGCTCTGGCTTGCATGCTCACGTGTGGGCACCCATGGGGTCGGGACGAGATATATATTGACCTGCCGCCACGCGAGAAGGATGCAGATCCATCCATCGTCATCATCACTATACACTGCTTATCACTGAAAGCTTCTTGTCAACATGGCCTACCAACAGATAACTCAAGACGATGTTGACCACTTCATGAAACATGGCTGGATCAAGCTGTCCAACTGCTTCACGCAGCAACAGGTCGACGACCTCGCTGGAAATCTCTGGACGCGTCTTGGAATGGACCCCAACGACAAGTCGACATGGCATTCCGAGCGGTTGAACCTTCCCATGCACAATGAATTCGATGCCAGCAAGTTTGCACCTAAAGCGTGGACAGCGATTTGCGACTTGCTTGGTGGTGAAGACAAGATTGCCGATTACAATCGCACCTGGAATGACGGATTCATCGTAAACTTCGGCACGCCCGAAGGCGCTGGCAAGGACATCGGCGGTCGTGATCTCAAAGGCTGGCACGTTGATGGCGACTTCTTCGTAAGCTCCCCCTACCCCCTGCCCTTTCCGCCCACCAGCTGATTGATATGGGTAGGTCCACTACCTCGACTCCCCCGAACAAGGCCTCCTCGTCATACCCCTCTTCACCGACATCCAGCCCCAAGCCGGCGGGACCATGATCTGCCCACCCGCTATCCCCAAAATCGCAAACCACCTGTACCAACACCCCGAAGGCGTGAGCCCGATGATGGACCCGCGGGCCGAGGTGCCCAACTTCGATCGTCCCGTCAACCTCGACTTCTTCAACAACATGGCGAAATCCATGCCCGAGGATGCGTTCGTGGAAGCCACGGGCAAAGTAGGAGATGTCTACTTACTCCACCCGCTGATGCTGCACTCGCATTCGAACAACAAGCTCCGAAATCTACGGGTCATCACTAACCCGCCTGTGAGTCTCAAGGAGCCGTTCTTCCAGGATCCGAGCAACTACAGCGTTGTCGAGAAGAAGACGCTAGCGGAGCTGGGCAAGGAGGATCTGGGTGACTGGAAGATCACGGAGAACAGGGATAGGCTTGTACCTGCGCGTCTCAAGCGGCAGCAGAAGATGAAGGAGGAAGAGCTGAAGCGGTTGGAGGAGTTGAAGGCAAAGGGACAGGTGGCGATGGATGCGCAGCCGGGGCAGCAGGAAACTAAGGTTGCTTGAAATTGATGTGGAATGTTTATTACTTATGCATTTTAGGCCATTGGATTTGTTCACAACCATTTCGAATCGTCTCTTCCCAGTGGTCTGGACATGAAGTCGAATCCCGGCTGTGCCCCTTCGACTTGAGCAGCGTGCTTTAGCCCTCGCATGTGCCCAAAAGCAGATTCTCGTTCTTCAAAGTACTGCTCCGGCAATTCCTCTCCGTCGGAAGCTGGATCCCGGTGCTCGAAGCCTTCTTTTCCGGGCCACTGCCCAAGACTACGCAGATACTTCATCACCCCCGCCAACGAGACGTGTACTTCCCAGCTCCCACCATGCTCCGACTTCTTGTACAACGCCGCCATAATCCCCGCAGCAAGCAAGAACCCACCCGCATGATCCAGCGCTTGCACCGGCGTCGGCTGAGCAGGCGCCCGGGAGCCGCTGTGCTCGGCTTCCGAGACGTTCATCCCAGAGCATGTCTGGACTAAGGAATCGAAGCCGCGACGATTAGACCATGGACCCTCAGGGCCGAAGGCGGAGAGGTTGGCGTAGATGATGCCTGGATTCAACGCTGCGAGATCAGCGGGTCCGAAGCCGCGAGCTGCGAGACTCGAGGGACGGTAGCCTTGGATGAAGACGTTGCAGGTTTTGATCAGCTCTTTGAGCGTCTTGCGGTCTGAGGGATTGTCTAAGTCCAGCTGGATCGACCGCTTTCCGCGCGAGAGGTTTCGGTCGAGAGAAGGTAGGTCTGGGAGATGAGGAGACGTTATCCACATCACGTCTGCGCCGTGCAAAGCTAGAGTCTTGCCGCAGACTGGACCTGCGATGACACGGCTGAGTTCAAGCACGCGGAGGCCGCGGAGACAGCGGTCGGCGGGGTTCTTCAACGTCGACGGCAAGCCGTTTGGTCCATCGTCGCCAATCTTGCGAATGATGATCGGGAAGTTCGAGATAGCTTCAGCCTGCGGCGTAGCATTCCACTCAGCGAAGTTATGCAAGGCGTAGATGGCGAGCCGGTTACTGTGGCCAGCTTCTTCGAGTTCGAGCTTCTTCCACTTTGCTACCTGCTCCGCGACGTCGTCCCTGCTCGACCCTTCATCCAGATCAAGGAGTTTCAGGGTTCCATTACGGTGATTAGAGAAGCTATCGTGGATCCTCACGTAGCCGTCAGCGCATTTGTGTAGCCCACCGATCGGACCCCAGGTTGAGGGGAGCGGTTGGCCGTTGATGGTGAAGAGCTTCTCGGTCTGGAACTCGAGGCACGCGTGGCGGAGTGGAACGGTGACTTGTGGAACTGTTAAACCGGTTTGGAGAGAATGTATCAAGGCAGCGCTGAGGGCTGAGAGTGCGATGCTGCTTTGAGCTGTATGACTGATCTGGAAAGATGATTTGTAGTAGGGTCCACCATTCTCCAAAGTCAGAGAGTCGAGGGCGTTCAAAGGTAGGCCAAGCGTCGTCCAGATGTAGCGGACGGTGTCCCATGGCGTGTAGGTTGGTCGGTCGGGGATTGGCCCGCCGTTGACCACGACGTCTGAGGATGGAGCAGTGCTCATAGCGGCCTGTTGTAACTGGCATGTCGTCCAAAAGGTGGGTCAATGCTGTGGAATCAGAAGGCAACGTGAAGCCAACTGCGGTAATTTTGTAGCTGGCCGATGCCGGCGCTTGAGGTACGACCCAGGAGACCCTCTTACCTGGCGAGCTGGTTCAGACAACAATGCGCCGATTGATACTCCCTAGCGAGAGTAAAGTGATGAGGAAGAGTAGGTTAGAAATCCTACCGTTGATGGGTGATCGGTACTGTCCCAAGATGGCTTGGACCGTGTCTAACGTGCAGTCATCTCGCTTTGCGTATCATGGTGTTAGTGCACCAGAGGTGGCCTGGAGATTGTATTCGTCGCCGCCAACTTGTGTACTGCTTTGACTGTATTGCCCGTGGATGGCTCGCGAAAGAGGTGAGGTCGTCTTAGCCTCCTGTCTCGTCTCTCGCACAGACCGCACTGCTGCCGCGGCACTCGACGGTCCTTTTAGTGGCAAGGAAGGGACAACAACATCCTACACTTCCTCCATCAACACGACATGGAGACCGGCCTTGAGAGAACGTCGCTGCGTCGGATCACAAATGGTATAGCTTCCAGATGATGCGATTCGGAAATGCCTCGGTTTGGAACGAAGCTTCCTCAGCTTATGACGTCCTCGCTCACGGCACCTTACAAATGCATTGGGGCATTGATGGCGAGTATATAGGTACAGTCTTTCCCTTAATCTACATTACCTCTCCTACCCAAGACTCAAGAAAGACATCTTACACGCACAAACTTCTTCGTCACCACCGAATGCTTGCGAGATCAAGCCGCCTCTTCCAACAACGCCTGTATACAACGACAACCACTCGAGGCTTTGCAACAACCCCAGCCCACGCCAACATGACGACGGCAGTTTTCAAACACATTGACACGACCTCCTACACCGGCAAGCCGTGGGCGAAGGTGGACGGTCCGGGCAAAGCCTTCCAGCAAAACGACCACACGAGGTCCGTCAACAGCATTCGAGGAAAGGAAGCAGAATTCTCGACGGACAAGTCTGGCTTTGCGGTCGTCAACTCTCCTGCGAAAGAGAAGCTCTTCACCTCAGACGAGGTGGTGCGGGACGGCTATTACAAAGAGGTCGAAGAGCTTATCAAGAAGTCACACCAGGGCGTGAAGAAAGTCTACATCTTCGACCACACCATCCGACGAAGACAGAAGGATTCGCCACGCCAGCCTGTACAGCAAGTCCACGTTGACCAGACCCCCGAAGCAGCCGCCGCGCGCGTCCGCCGACATCTCCCCGACGAAGCAGATGAGCTCTTGAAAGGACGGTACCAAATCATCAACGTCTGGCGCCCCATCGAAAACCCAGCCACAGACTTCCCCCTAGCCGTCATCGACTGGCGCTCGACAAGCCCCGACGACTTCATCCCCGTCGACCTCATGTACCCCAAACGCGCCGACTCCGTCATGGACGACGACGACCGCGGCAAGGAGAAGCTGCCCGACGAGTCCTCCTACCAGTCTACAGAGGGCTATGAAGTCAAGGGCGAAACGCTGGGGGTGGCGCCGAGCGAGCAGCATAAGTTCTGGTATATGCCGGATATGACTCCCGAGGAGACGATGCTGTTGAAGTGCTTTGATTCGCGAGGGCAGGGTATGCCCGGCGGACGGGAGGGGATTGCGGTGAGGACGCCGCATACTGCTTTCATTGATCCGAATACGCCGAAGGAGGCGCCGGGGAGGCAGTCGATTGAGGTGAGGTGTCTGGTTTTCTATGAGTGATGATGTATTGAGCGAATGTGTTTTATATTCCGAATGAGCGTATATATCTGCAGCTACAGACGATATTTACCAGTCTTGAACCTCCTCCACCAACTTGTTTCTCTCTCTTCACCTCCTTACTCAGCATCCAACAACGCCTTCGGCGGCGTATCATCCACCTGCACACCACCCCTCTTCGCATGCTTCGAATCCGGGAACGGCAGCTTCCACCCTCCCTCGTCCTCCGGCGTAGCCAGCCACAACCGCATCAAATGCCTCCGCGGCGCCGGCGGCGGGAAGTCCTTGTACGCCGTGCGAGAATGCAGCACATGAGCGTTGGAGAGGAACTGGATATCCCCGACCTCCAGCACCATATGCAGCGACAGCCGCATACACGTCTCCTCCAGCACACGGGCAGCTTTCTCCTGCGCGGCAGAGAGTGGCGGGATGACGCCTGCGTCCCAGAACCGACGAAGGCTGTGGATATAGTAAGGATCCCACTTGCTATAGACGCGACCATCCGGACCAGTCTCCTTGAAGAAAACCGCCTGCCGCATATACGGCTCCTGGCCGGCAGAGATCTCGCCTTTACGATCCCAGTACCAGATCGGCTCGCAAAGCGTCTCAGCCACATCCGGATGCTCGCGCTGTAGCGTGTTGAAGACGTGATGAGCGGAGACGATATCGCTCTCGCCGCCCTCAAGGGCTTTGGCGACGCACAGGAGGCCGACGATATCGCAATCGTCAGCGTGGAAGTACTGACGCGCGGTGGTGCGATAGATACGCACTTTGTCGGTTTGCGTCGGGTCGGCGCCGACGTCTTTGACGTGTCCGAGAACGTGCCCGAGACCGTTTTGGGAGACGAAGTAGCCTAGGTAGGTGCCGAGACCCATGTAGACGACAGCGGATTTGTGGTTGCCCCAGGCTTGGACGGGCATGCCTTTGAAGAGGATGAAGCCTTTGCCGTTGAGGATCTCGTTGCGCATGGCGCCGAGGAAGGATTCCATGGTTGGGAGGGGGAACTTGATCTGTGTGACTGTTAGCATTGATTGTGATGATAAGGCGATGCTTGTTCTTACCTTGGAAATGCCGGTCAATGGTGTGTCAGACGCAATGAACGCATCGGCGGCGTCACTCATCTCTTTGACTTCTGTCTCGCTGAAGCGGTGCGTCCATTGCTCTGGCTTCTTCGCATAGTCCTCGGCTTCCCAGACGGTTGGGCCAGTGATCTCTACCGGGAACTCACTGTAAGGCTTCATTTGGTCGTAGATGGGGTCGAATTGGCCGCTCGTCTTGATCCCATCCGGGAACACCGCTTTGGATGGGTTGTCATAGGTGAACACGGTAGGTTCCGCTGGATAGTCGTCAATCGCTGTTGGTGCCATTGCAGCTTCAGATTGCTGTATTGCTCGACTTGGATAGCAGCCGAGCGAAATAGAACAAAAGGCAACGATCAATCTCAGGCGTCGTCATATGCAACTCAGTACAGTCTTCTTGATCGAGAGGTAGTACGAGAGCTGTAGAAAGGAGACAGAACGGAAGACGAGACGAGCGGGAACACCTAACTTCTTATCACCCCCTCCCTCTCCGCAGGCACACGACCAGCCGAAGGTAACTCTAGCATCCTGGACGCCAAAGGGCAAAGTCTGACACTGCAGCTGTACAGGATGCCCGAATCCAGCCTGGTACAGCGACGGAGCACATATGGCGTCCAGGATGGCACTGCGGCCAAGAGCGTTATCTGTACAGAAACGGAAGACGGTCCTGGATGGCGTCCGGGTTGTTGCGCAAGAATGCGTGAAGACGAGAGGTGAGGTGCTATCGGAAGGGCTTTGCGTGCTCAGCGGCATGAGCGGCCGCGTATGAGGTCCCTATGGTCTCACAAGGCGTGAGGGGTTGGAGCCAATCGAAGCATTTTGATGTGTAGGAAGGATGGTGGGCTGCAGAAGTGTTGCTGCCTCTATCGGCGAGGGGCTGATAGGCCAACCCATTGGAAAACGTTCTGAACCGTGTCGAAGGATGGCGGGTGCTTGGCTCTGTCGTTCCTTGATGTCTTCAGCGAGGGGGTTTGTCTTCGAAGTGTCGTCGTGATGACCTCTCATCTGCACAACGACTGGAGTCGCCCGACGTGGCATCATTAGCAAGCATGATGACCTCTGAAAATAGTCTGCGCTGTGGAGCGATGGGGTTGCGGACCGACGAAGAACATCCGTCGAAATCTGGGTGAGCGCTACGAGTCTGGCCTCACATGCAACAACCAGGTCAAGGTGAAGCATTACAAAGGCTAGGTGACTTCCTTCTTCTGGACCCTCGTACCTTCAGCGAGCCCAATGAGTATCGGAGAAGGGGTGGTGGACACCAAGGTAGGCTCGAACACACCAAACATGGTAAATTCATGATCTAACACGTCGACGACAGTCCTGCGTCGCCGCAATCATCTCCGCATACCATGATGGCGCGACGATGGTCCAGCGCATAAAGGCCAAGCGGGCCAGAGACCATGTAGCACCACCGCCTCGAGTACTGGAAGAGAGCATTGATCAGGCACCGGACGAGATACAACGAGGGGTGAAGAAGGGTGCTGCACTTGTCGGAGAGATATTCGAAAGAGGAGATCAGGATGCGATCACCGCGCTGCAGCAAGTAGCGATATCTTTGCAGAAGAGTTTGCTGCGAACGCTAGGAGATGCTATGCTTGAAGATGACGCGACTGTGGACTATGAGGAGTTGATTGATGCTGTAGACGCATGCAGAAATAAGACTATAGAGGTGTTGTTGGCGCTTGGACAGAGGCTGTTGCAGTCGGATGCTGCAGTCGAGGACACAAATGGCTCGTTGACGGATGGGCAGTCGACAGGGGACGAGAAGTCAATACGGGAAAAGTCAGTCCTCAAGTCCTCGACCGAGCCGTCTCCTACACGAGAGCCACCGCCCATTCACCGCCGGACCTGGACACGAGAGTATGGCGGATCTGGAGACGAAGACGATACCGAGCCTGGCGCAGACGACCCTCGAGGTCGATTTCGCCGGCGCAGACACTATACCGCCTCTTTGCTAGGCTTCCTCAAACACGACCGCAACAAGAGCGGTACCAACGACATCTCCGCTGTCCCGTCCCGTCGTACTTCTGCGTCGCCCATCAGAGACCCTTCTTGGACTGGCACGCCCTCACGCCGCCACACCCGCAACGCCTCCACTATAACACAAGAATTAGAGAATGAGTCTCCGCCAAACTTCACTTTTCAAGAAGGAGACGACTATCTCCGCCAGCACTCCGTGGAAACCTCTCGAGGAGACACTCTCTCCATAGCCCCGGACGCTCTTCTAGCGCCTGCGACTGCCCAGCCTCGCGACTCGTCCCTCAACGTACCGCATCCCAGCCCAGCGAACAGCTACCTCGGCTTCTGTCCTGGTGCATGGAGGCTGCAGACTGGGGATCGAACAGGTGCGCTCAAAACTTGCAAGGAGTTTAATGACGGCTGGTCGCATAGCAGGGTCTACTATCTCGCCTGTACAGCTCACAAGTGCGTGTTCGCGGCGCATATGGATATCTCCATCATCTGGAACAAGGTGTGGAAGTTGCGGGAGGATTGGGGCGTGAAGTTCAGGTGGACCTTCCTGGCGAAATCCCACATCTCGCAGAACCGGCGCATGGCAGAGACTGGTTATGTGTATCGGTGCATGTTCTGTGTCCTCCTGGGCAAAGAAGGCGAGGAGGTATGGCAGGGCAACGGCGCTGAAGCGTATCTGGAGCACATCGCGCGCGAGCACAGAGGCCAGGTGCTGGGCGATGTCGTCTGTTACAAGTTGGCCTGCGTGAATGACCGGATCTGCGCGGACGATGAGGATTTTGACATCAACCTCTACCCAACGGTCGAGCAGGAGGACTTTGCCTTCCGGGGCGGGAGGCAGAGGGATGGGTCGATTGCTCGAGCTGCGACGGCATCGTTTGAGGCGCCGATTAAGCCTGAGCCACGGCGTGCCAGCGGGCCGTGGAATGAGGGTCTGTCGGATTTCCATGAAGGGGGCGAGATCGAGCGAACAGAGCGGGAATGACCCTGCTGCGTTATCCGCCTCTCCATATACGGACGATGCAGAGCCTCTCCCACCCAGCCTTCTGGCCGCTTGAACCAACCTTCTCAGCACGCCAGCTCGAGTCGTCTTCGGTCGGCCATGCGCGAATACGGGCCATGACCTCTTCTGGCTTGTTCTGGGCGCAGAGCAGGATATACGCAACGCCGCGTTGGCTTAATACGGACGGCAGTTCGTCGAGCAAGCAATGCGTTGTCTCCATGCCATCTACGCCGCCATCCGTGGACAAGGAGGAGAGGTACATGTCCCGGTCAAGGGCGTCTGCATTTGTGCTCTGCGGCGCTGCAGGGAGGCTACTCGTTGGTACGTATGGAGGGTTGAAGATCAGCACGTCGATTGATCCGGGCCTGACGGCTGTCGTGAGATCGCCGCAGACGCTGTCCAGGAACTCGCCAGGTTCGCCGTTGGAGGACTTCGACTCTTGAGCCGCCAGGCTGACAGTTTGCTTGGTTGCAACGCAGGCGAAGTTGTTCATGTCTAAGCCCAGGGTGGCTATATCTGAGCGACCGAAGATGTGCCTCGCGTTGGCGGTTGCGAATGCCAGAACCACTCCCGAGCCGGGTCCTACTTCAAGGACGACTGGGATTGGACTGTCAGGGGGAAATTGTGTGCGGAGGAAAGCTGTTTCCGAGGAGGATGAAAGGGTATCCAGGAGTAAATAGGAGTCCTCGGATGGCTCGTAGATGTGGTCGTAGTTGACGTGCGATGTTGAGGGTGTTGGAAGCATTTTGGTATGAGTTTAGCGTTCGCAAGGGCAACTGCAATCTGAAGGTCGTGTCAATGAGGTGCACAGAAATCACCCTCGACTGCGCATTTGCGAAATCTTGTCGACCGTGTCCTCCTGCCCACAGTTGGCATATGTACAGCCTTGTAATGCGTTGTGTTTCAAGTTCTCCATGAGAGTCTGAGCGAAAGAAGCACGAAGTGTAGTCAATTGAACCGTGCTAGCCAAACGCCATACCTTCCTAGTTGGGTGGGTTTCACCTCGGCACATGACGTCTTCTCATGCTTAAGGTAACTTTCATTCTCACTCCATCCCCTTCACTTTCACTTTATCAAAACACAACCATGCCTCGCCTAACCCCCCGCCTGCTCGCCTCCCCCTCCTCCGTCTATACACAATCCGGCCTCAAACCTCCACCCCTCGCCCTCCTCCCACCTATCCCCCTCTACCGCCGCCTCCTCCGCGCCCACCGCAAACACCTCGCCCCCGAAATGCGCCTCCTCGGCGACTCCTACATCAAGTCCGAGTTCCGCGCCCACCGCTCCGTCGACAACCCCGTCCACATCATCGGTTTCCTGACGGAATGGCAAATGTACGCGCAGCAAGTCGAAGGCGAGGCGTGGAGGGGCGAGAAGCTGGATTCGGGCAAGATTGATAAGATGAGCGATCAGCAGTTGGGGCAATTGTATGAGCTGATGAGTGCGATTCGGGAGAAGGAGTTGAGTGAGAATGACCCCGAGTATAAGCCGCATGAGCCGCCGGCACCGCCGGGGAGTGAAGGCGAGGGGAGGGGTTGAGATGGGATGGCAGTCGGGATGAAAGGATTGCTTTCAGCGTCAGTGGTTTCATCCAAGTACGCTGCATGACCGACTGAAGGCTTGCTGAAGCGGCGCGGCGCTGCCAGTAGACATACATCATCACTCTCGACAGGGTGTTACATCGGATGCTTGCTACACCCTCCGTGGCACCTACACGGTTCGCCTGAGCTGTCACACCTAACCCTTCATCTGGACCAGCTATTCAGAAACATGCGCCGTCCACCAGATGAAACCTCCAACAGCGCCAGGACATGTCGGCCTCCAAGGAACAGCTCCCAGGCCAGCTAGCCCATGCCGACAGTTCCATCGACATATACCGCCCAACGCTACCACCAAACGCACGAACCATCACAAGCCTTTCCGGACGCAGCACCTCCCGCAGTAGCTCCCGCAACGCACGCACACGCTCAAACACCCACTACAAGTCCAACCCAAACTCCCGCGCCCGCATCCAGGACCAGCGCGGCGTCCAGGTCCGCCCACCATTACACTTACCCTCTGGCTCTTCCAGTCGGCGCTATAGTACTGGCTCTGGCTCTGGCTCTGGCTCCAGCTCCGCTTCTACATCTCGCTCCGCACAGCGGCCACCTCGAGTCCACGTCCGCTACCACACTCAATCGTCCCAGCCCATCTTTCCTGACGTCGACCGCCCACCGGCACGGCACCATACTAATGTGCTGCCGGTTTACGAGCCTCGTCGCCGGCAGGCAGGGGAACAGCATCACGATGAGGCGTGCGGGGAATGCGATGCTACCATGCGGTATTGGCTGCTGGTGCTTGCGGGGATGTTCATCGTGGCGGTATGCGTGACGCTGGGGTTGGTGGTTAGGAAGTAATCGGGAGGATTGAATCCACTGTAATTTGGGAATGGCGAGGGAAAATTGTCATGAGCAGCTGCGGAAGGACTCGTGCTTGGAGGTACATGTAGCTAATTTTGGTAGCCTCGATTGTACATGTCACCCTGTACAGAGTTTGGTGGCGTCCATCTGCTCTCGCCGACCATCTCCGGCCAGTGATGATGGATTTTTTTGCAGACCCTCTCCGGCCATCTCGATTTCCGCTTCGCCTACGCAAGCAGATTGTCCCTCTTATAGCATTGCAGTCATACTTTTCCTACCACACTCATCACTCCCCACCCTCATCCCCTCCCCCACCGGGCGGCCCTCCCTTACTCATCTGCCGCGCCTTGAGCATCTCATCGCATAGCAAAAGATTCGACGCAATACCCGTCGAGCTCGCGATGGAATTCCTCAGCACCCGGAAGGAATCGTACACGCCGCTCTGCACCGGATCCATAGGCTCGCCGAGCGAGAGGTTCAAGCCAGCGATGTGGCCGTCGGCGTGTTCGTCTTGGAGTGCTGCTACTGTTGAAGATGTCAGTGGGATGGAAAAAGAGCAGGAGGTGGGGGAGTAGCTTACAGCAATCCTGGATATCGTGTCCAGAGTTCGCGGCAAGCGTCTTGGGAATAATGAGTAGTGCATCGGCAAAAGCCTCAACACCCCACTTCGCCTTCCCCTTCACCGTCTTCCGGAACTCGTCGCTGTTCAGGCGCGTGGCGCAGGCGACTTGGAAAGCTCCGCCGCCAGGCACCACGGAGCCATCGACAATCATGTTGTACACGCTGCGCAGCCCGTCGCGCACGGCATCCTTGATCTGCGTAATGGTATGTGAGTTGGGGCCTTTGATGAGGAGAGTCACAGATTTCGGGTCCTTGACTTCTTCGATGAAGGTGTATTTCTCCTCGCCGAGCTGGTGCTCGTATACGTGGCCTGCGTAGCCCAGGTCGTCGGGAGTCAAGTCGTCGACGCTGTTTTGTGCCGTGCCGCCGCAGATCAGTTGGAGGCGTTCCATGTTTCTGCGCTTGGCGCGGCGGAGGGCGAAGATGCCGTTCTTCACCAGGACGTCGAGGGAGAGTGGGTCGATGCCTTTTTGGTTCACAATGACGAATCCTTTCTTCGGGTCTGTGCCGCAGACTTCCTTCTTCAGCTCTACGATCTTGCGCAGCTTGTCGTCCACGAAGCGTCTCTCGGACTCGACAAGTTTCTCGCGTTGGGAGGCGGAGTTGTAGTAGAAGCCGGAGTTGATTTCGCTCTTTTCGTACTCCAGGCTGACGTTCAGGGTGAGGATGTAGGCGTTGCGGACGTCTTTCGCCATGTCAGGATGCCGCGCGCCGTGGTCCAGTGCAAGACCCTTGATGAGTTGTGTGTCGGCTGCAGAGCGATGTTGCATGGTCATGATTTCGACCATGTGTAAGTCTGGCTTTTCGGGGGCTTGGTAGATGGCCAGCACTGCGTCAACGATACTGGGTGTGAGTTGCTCGGCGAGGGTAGGGTTAATCTTGGTCGAGAGGGAGGTTCGTGCTACGCTCATGAGGAGTTCTCGGTCGACGTCCCGCTGGATCTTGAAGTCGTCCAGGAAGCGTAGTGCTTCGTTCTTTGCGGACTCGTAGCCGTCGGTGATCACTCGTGGATGCAGTCCTTCTGAGATATACCGGTCTGCTTGCTTCAGCAACTCTCCCACCATCAACACCACACTCGTCGTCCCGTCACCGGTGATCTCGTCCTGCGCGGTTGCCGCCCGTGCAATCATGACAGCCGTAGGATTCTGGATTTGCATCTCTTTGAGGAGCACACTACCGTCCTTGGTGAGCTTTATTGATCCAGCACCGTCAACCAGCATCTTCAGCGTCCCCGTCGGACCCAGATTTGAGGCCAGAACATCTCTGAGGCCTTCTCCAGCTGAGATGTTCACCTTTAACGCTTCCCCTCTCCTCCTGCTCTCCGCCTTGGGGTTGAGAAGCTGTGCGGCCGACATGGTGGGTGTTGTGTTGTCGAAGTCGAGGTGTGTTGGAGGTGCAGTCGTTCAAACAAACGTCGTCGCGTTTCCCAAATTTCTTGCCCGCGTCGAAGAGTGACGTCCGGTTAAACTCCGGGCTAGCCCGAAGTGGGCACTTCTCAGGCTGATGGGCGCCCACCATGCCACCTCACTCGGTGTGTGAAGATGTCTCCCACCTGCCGATAACACCCTCTCTACCCCCGACGATTACATGTTCGCGCCACCGCACGCCAGCAGCATGGAGGCCGCATCCGCCCGCTACGCCGCCCGCGACCGCTTCGCCTTCCCTACTGAGCCAGCTTCATCTCCGTTACAGCGCTACATCCAGAATGCCTGTTCCCCCGAGAACTTCGAGCCTAACCTGGCCCTTTCCCTGGAGATTGCCGACCTCATCAATGCGAAGAAGGGCAATGCGCCTCGAGAAGCCGCCATCAGCATCGTGGGCTACATCAACCACCGGAATCCGAACGTCTCCCTCTTGGCGCTGAGTCTGCTGGACATCTGTGCCAAGAACTGCGGCTATCCGTTCCACCTTCAGATCAGCACCAAGGAATTTCTCAATGAGCTGGTGCGCCGCTTTCCCGAGCGGCCGCCTATCAGGACCACGCGGACACAGACTAGAATTCTGGAGCTGATCGAAGAATGGCGGCGGACGATATGCGAGACGTCAAAGTACAAGGAGGATCTTGGATTCATCCGGGACATGCACCGGCTGCTGTCTTACAAAGGCTACGTCTTCCCCGCGATCAAGCGCGAGGATGCTGCTGTGCTCAACCCCAGCGACAATCTGAAGAGCGCCGATGAGATGGAGGCTGAAGAGCGGGCGGCGCAGAGTGCGAAGTTGCAGGAGTTGATTCGAAGAGGCACACCTCATGATCTGCAAGAAGCGAATAAGCTAATGAAGGTCATGGCGGGTTATGATACGAGGCATAAGACTGACTATCGTGCAAAGGCGGCGGAAGAAGTGGCCAAGATTCAGCAGAAAGCGAAGCTGCTAGAGGAGATGCTGCAGGGTTACAAAGCTGGAGACGAGGTGCGCGAAGGCGACGTCTTCGAAGAGCTGTCGAATGCTTTGGCTTCGGCGCATCCGAAGATTCAGAGGATGTGCGAAGAGGAGAGCGAAGACACAGAGGCCGTGGCTAAGCTGTTCGAGATCAACGACAGCATACATCGGACGATCGAACGGTATAAGCTGATCAAAAAGGGGGACATTGAGGGAGCAAATGCGATTCCCAAAGGTACGCTGGGAGTCAGTGGAGCAGGTGTTACGACAGGGCCGGGCAACGAGCTTTCACTAATCGACTTTGGCGGGCCGGATGACGCCCAAGGATCAGAGCAGGCTACAGGTGCAGGAGAGCCACCAGCAGCACAACCTAAAGCGAAGGGCAATGCATTGGAAGACGACCTCCTTGGCCTTAGCATGGGCGATGGTGACTTTGGCGGAGGCGGCGGCATCTCACTCGGCAACCCTACCCCGTCGAACGGCACACCAGCTCCCGCGCGCAGCACAGCAGACATCATGGCGCAGTTCTCACAACCCCGGACGGCGCCTCAAGCGGCATCCAACTCGATCTTCTCCCAGCAGCCAGCGCAGCAGCAAACTTCACCCCAACCAAACCTCGACCTCTTCTCTACTGCCCAACCTCCGAAACCCGCAACGCCTGTCCCACCTTCAACCCAGCACTTCCACCAACAGCAAAAGAAACCCGACCCCTTCGCCTCCCTCAACACCCCACCCCGCCAACCATCCCCCTTCCAATTCCAACAATCCACCTCCAAATCCCCCGCCCCTCCCCCTCCACCCTCCAGCGGAGGCGGCGGCGGCACCCTCGATCTCCTCGGCATAGACGCGCCGCCCGCAGCGCCTCCCGCACGACCAGCCTCCACCCACGCCAACGACGACGAATGGACCTTCACCTCCGCCCTCCCCGCCGCGCCCTCGGAACTCGTCGTCACCAACTCCGCCATCCGCACCGTCTTCACCTCCTCGCGGACCGGGGCGAATGGGGACGGGGAGATTGTGATCCAGAGTCGTATCTCCAACGGCACGGCGCAGGAAGTCAAAGACCTCACGTTCCAGCTCGCTGTGACTAAGGTACGTTAACCCCCCGCCCTTCCCTCCCCACTTGAACCTCTGCGTAGCAACCCACTAACACGTTCCGTTTTCTTGTGACAAAGGCATATACACTCCACCTCCTCCCCCAATCCTCCCGCTCCCTCTCCCCCGGCCAGAAAGACGGCATCACGCAGACGATTCGCCTGCAAGGCGTGGAGAGGGGAAAGGGTGGACAGGTGAAGATGCGGTGGCGCGCGAGTTATGTTGTCGGCGGGGAGAGCAGGAATGAGCAGGGGGAGCTCGTGGGTGTTGGCGTGGCTTGATCGATAGTTCTGAGGAGCACAGGGCGGGGGATGCGCGGGCTCAGATTCAGGTATAGAAGGTCTATCGGTGAGCTGCAGGAATGGAAGAAAGTCTACAAGCAGCCATGGAGGCGGCAGCGATTTTTATTTTCATGCGGGCTCATGGTACAGAACTCCTGCCAGTCTTCCTAGGCCAAGCAAGCAAGTAAGCGAAGGCGCCTCATCAAACGCCAAAGAGCACCATCGCCCATCCTCACACTTCGACCCCCTAGTCAATCCACTCTACGCCTTTTTACTCTTCTTCTTCTTAATCTGCTCCCCAGGCACCTCCCCCGCATCCAACACCCCACTCTTCCGCTTCTCCTTCTTCTCTCGCTTCAACTTCTTCTCCACCGCCGCCTCATCCACCTCCGCCTCCGCCTCCGCCTCCGCCTCGAGCTTCCTGCGCTTCTTCTCTGCTTTCTTCGCCGCCTTCGGGTCCACGGCACCGGCGTCCGCGTCGATGTCCGCCATATCCACATCCCCCTCCGCATCCGCAGCGCGCTTCTTCTCGGCCTTCTTGGCCTTCTTGCGGAGTTCCTTGTTCGTGGCTTCGTCGGTGACGCCGGGGACGGCCATTTCCTCGTCGGCGTGGAGGGAGGTGGGGTCGGCGATGGAGATGGAGGCGAGGGTGGCGTCCATGGCTTGTTTCTGTACACGTCGTTAGCACGGAAGGAATTTGGTGGCAGTGGAGGTGGGAGTAGGACATACCATAGCATCTGCGTTCTTTGTCGGGTTGATGCCCTCGGAATAGAATCGCAAACGCTCGTCCACCTGTGCTTTCAAGGCTTCGCCGAAAGTCCTGCTGGGCTGCATGCTGAAGTTGTCGATGCGGCTGGCGATGCTGGTCTTGTTGGCAAGGAAGCGGGAGATGCGGCCTTTGTTCTTCTGGCCTGCGCGACCAATGAAGGAGGAGTGGTAGATGAGGCCGTACTTGGGCGTGTTCCCTTTGGTCTTCAGAGCGCGGAAGAGGGCCTTCTCGGCTCCGAGGATCTGGACGGTGGAGGCGGGGTATTTGGCCAGGTTGGTGAGGGAGCCGGCGTGGGAGATGAGACGGGCGCCGACGGTCTCGCCGATGAGGGCAGCCAGGTTGGGAGCGACGACGCCCATCTTCGCGGTGAGGTAGTTGCCGAGGGACTTGCGGTAATTGTGCAGCTCGACGGTGCGTTTGGCGAACATCATCACGTTGGCCATGTCCTCTTCCGAAATGTCCTGACCCATGGAGACACGGGCAGCTTCGATGACGGCGCGGGCGGTAGCCTCATCGTCGTCTACATTCTTGGCAAGGTCGTGCAGGCTTTCGTCGGTGAGGGTCTTCTTGTCACCGATGAACAGGGCACAGCGAGCGTATTTGTGGTTTTCAGAGACGATCTTGATGAGTTCAGGGAAGTGCCAGCCGTACCATTCTCGCACACGCATGGAGAAGGTGTTGACGGCTTTGTCGAGATGGTCGATCGTCGCAATAGCCTGGATGATGTGGTTGTCGTTCTTCTGGACGGAAAACTTGACCTTGGCTCTGCTGTAAGCGTGGCCGAGACCCAGCTGCGCGCGGCTGATGTCGCCGGTTTGTAGACTCTTCATCAACTTCTCCGCATGCAGCCTCAACCCACGCAGCAGATCGCCGCAGAGCTCGCTGGTGTCGGGCGTCTCACACTCCACGCCGGCAAATCCAGCTTTGACGCTTCCAGCCAGACCTCTGTCGCCAACTCCTAGAACCACCTTGTTCTTCTCCTTCTTCCCTCCTTTCGGTAGATTGGACTCCAGCACAGTCTGCAGATACTCGCTCATGATACCCTCTGAGACATCGTTGGCGTTTTCAAGCGCTTGGGCGGCGCCTTGGAAGGGTGCGAAGGAGACCAACTGCACCATCTTCCCGAAGCGCGCAAGGTCGGCGTGCGCATCTTGGACCTCCTTCAGGCGGGATCCGATTGTGTCGCTCTGCAGGCGCACGGAGAAGATGGCGTATCCCACCGAGGACTCGTGGAGCAGGTAGTCGATGTTGGACATGTTGGGCGGTCGTCGTGTGTGATGGGTGGAGACGTCGTCGTTACTGTCGCATACTCCTCCGAGCGACTATCGGGTGGTCAGCGACTGTCGTGTGTGCTGTATGCTGGCTATCGCGACATTGGCGGCGGGTGTAGAGGTGAAGTCTTTCTTTCTCGAGCTTTTTGCTCGGATTTCTCCAATCGGCGAGAATTCATCCGATCTTCGGTCTTGGCGCCGATCACATGAAACTGCCAGCCACGTCCACTCATCAGACCAGCCACCGTAGTAGGAGGTACACGAGAAGATGCATCACCACGTCCAAACCTTCTGAAGGCTTCTCTTCTGTCTTCACTATCCACTCGCCATTCTCCAACGTCCTTTCGCTTCAGTGTACAATTTATCCTTCCACCACTCCAGCTACCGTGCTCGTCCCGCTCATCCAACCCACTTCCACCCGAGCTACAGCCCGACCTGCGTGTCACACTCGGATTCGCCGGCCATTGAGCTTCGGTCCAGTCTCCAGAGAGACCCCAAAGATATTCGAGCCTCGAGCAACCGCCGTCAAGAACAAGAAGAGCATTTCCATCCAGCAACGCTTCCGGCGCACAGAGTTCAAACCCGCGACCACTCCAACAACTCCGCTACCTCAGACGAACAGACGCAAAATTTACACGACATACATCGCACAACATCCGCCCGCTGCAGGTACGCACGCCGCCACCACACCACCAGTAGCCCTACCTTCCACCTCCCCCACCTAGCGAGGCGGGACTCCCGACCTCGCCCAACACCGCCACCACGTCCTCCTCAATCGGCAGATCCAGCATGGCACGCTCCGTGTCACGCACCCGAGTCGTGGTCCGGCAGTCCTACTTCTGGCCCGACCAACAGCTTAACTTCTGGATGATCATCATGCTGGCGACCGGCGGGACGATCATAGGCGTGTTTGCGAGTTTCCTACAAGACCAGCAGACGTTGGGGCTGCCCATACCTTGGTGAGCTCATCTCTCTCTCCTCAATTCTTCGCTCCGCCCCATACTAACGACCACCAGGATCATCCCCTACGGCATCACCGTCGGCGCCCTCCTCATCGTCTACATAATCGTCCTCATCCTGCTCATCTACCAACGCCGCCTGCTCCCGGGCGTCGTCATGATCGGCTGCTTCATCCTGCTCGTCCTCTTCCTCACCGGCCTCATCGAGACCGCCATCCAGCTCTTCGGCCCCGCCGGCAACATCGCGAGCAACTGCCAGGTCTTCGTCAACGGCAACAAGAGCACGGGCGTGAGCCAGGCGACATTAGCGTGGCTGCAGCAGAACAGCACGTGCAATAGCTGGTACGCGGTTTTCGCGTTCTGGATTGTAGGGGCGGTGTTTTTGACGTGGATGATTGTGCTGGGGAGTATGGTTGCGCGGGGTCAGGTCGGGGAATAGGCTTCCCTTGGACTGAGATGTCGGTGATTTGTACGGCTTCAGTGTAGTGGGTTACGAGGTTTCAAGATGTGCATAAATGAGTGATGGCTATATGGGCGACGGCATGAGCGGGGATGGCGTTTGGGGGTTTCAAAGGGGTGGGATGATACCAATATTGCGGCAGCAATACAGCATTTTTCGAATTCCAGCGGATGTTCAACTGTTCACCATTACCATCATCCCGAACTTCCAATAAAGACGAGTTCCGGACAGAATCTTTTATCGGGGATCATGAGGCACATGTGTTTTCCTTCCAAAGTCAGGGAATTCGAGGGTACAGGCGAGGAGGGGAGGGCGGCGAGGCGGATTCTGAAGTAGGCCCTCTTGACTTCCTACATGTTATCCTCAGCTGATCTTATGACCTCTGGCTCACGCGGTGATGAGTGAAGGGTCTGGTATACAGGGTGCCGTTTGCGTGCGTCGCACAGGGTCTATATGAATGGCGTTGGACGATGCTGACGGTTGACGCTTCAGTCATTGCCGGATTACGATGTTTGCTCTTCTCGAGGTAAGGCTCTATAATCCTGCTCAAGTTCTCGCCTTCCTAACACCTTCCTAACAACTACCTTCAACTGCTCGCAGATCACAGATCACCAGTCTCCGGATCAATCTATCCACCATCTCGAACTTCCAACACCATGGACACCGCTTCTCTCTCACCGAGTAACAGCTCGATCGATTCCTCGGGCCCTCCTCCAACAGGATCGCCGCCGCCCGGAGACGCTTTTCTCATCAGCCTCACCGTCAACCTCCCCAACCCAGAGGACGAATACTTTCTCATCGACCTCTACGACTTCGCAGCCAACAAAGCCGGCGACACCCTCGTCGCCCGCGTCAACCATCCCGAGACGCCTGCGTTCGTCACCCGCCAGGCCCCCGCGGTCGAAAAAATCGTGCTCATTTTCCAACTCGACGACGACGAAGAGGCTCGAGCGACGCGGAGCGTGGACGTTGAGATGTGTCTTCGAGCGCTTCTGCCTTTTGTAGGCCGCTACAAGTTCGGGATACGCTGTCGAATCGGCGGGGACGATGATTTTGCCCCGGATCGACGGGAGCTTGCCGATGCGGTGTTGGGAGAGTTCGTGGGCATGGCGCTATGTGGACCTGGGCGGGAGAATGCGGCGACGGTTGTGCGGGATGTGGGCGAGGTGTGGAAGGAAGGGGTGGATTTCAAGGTTGTCAGTTTTTCGGAGGTTGAGTTGCCGCGGGACTCTGAGGATGGGAGGATGCCTATGGGCTCGCTTATCTGAGTGTAGGTAAATCGATTTTCATATGATCTCTACTACTTTTGTCTTACTGTCGACCGAGTGGTTTGGGTTTGCTTGGGCCTTCTAATTGATGTTCGCGCACACTGTGTTTGCTACGTTGGGGCCATGGACCGTTCACTCACGCGGATGGTGGTTGAATAGTGAATGATATAGGGTGCTGTTTGCTTGCGTCACGCGGAGGTTGTATGACTACTCCTCGACTCTGCTGACAGTCAATCTCCCAGTCATCATCGACCTACGATGTTTGTCCATCAAGTAATGGATGCAATCCTTCCACCGAACCAAGGAACCGACGGCATAACATACCGGTTTCGACCGCCGCAGTCTCCAGTCTCGAAACTTAGACATACAACGATACGGCACCCCTATCGAGCCTTCGAAAACATGGACCAGTCTGGAGACAAGCGAATGCGTCGAGGAAGCCCATCCAACGACGGTGAGATATCCGAGTCGGAGATACCATCACCGCATACCAGGCGAAGAACAGCAATTCAGGGCCAGCCGGCTCAAGATCGCCGTAGCATTCTGCGTAGTGCTCAGGTGGTACAACCGGATGAACAAACTGAACCGGAGCAGCCGCCGCAAGCTCATCTGGACAACCGTCAAGGCAATATACTGCTTGGCTTAATAGAAGAATCTGGACAAGGCACGAGCAGCCCGCTCAGTAGCCCACCAAGCAATTCACTCAGCAGCTCGCAAGAGTTGCCCCTGCGAAACCGCTCCATACCTCCCCTCCCGCCGAAGATATCTCCACTGAAGACTCCGAGGCCCCTTCAGGACAGCAAGTCCCAAGCTTCGAGAGATTCTCTCGCACCAGGAACCCCATTCCTTATCGCCCTCACCGCCCAGATCCCCGGCCCCGAGAACAACCCGCAGGCATACGACCTAGACCTCCGGAACTCCTCCGGCAACAATCTCAAGCCAATTCTCAAACTCGACATACACTCCCCCGACTTCGCTATAACGATAGCCAGCTACGCCCCTCACGTAAGCCGGGTTCTCCTCAAGTTCGAATTCAGCAACTCCCCCGCTGCCCAGCAGACCCGCACCGCCGACATCCAAACCTCCCTCCAACCCCTCTTACCTCTCATCGACGACTACAACTTCGGAGTCCGTAGCGTGTTTCAAGGGACCGCGCACTCGGAGAAGGGGCAACAGGATCTCAACGATGTAGTTTTCGGGCTTTTCGTGAGTGCGGCGATGCGAGGGGGCGAGGGGGGAGAGTTTGCGGCGACGGTGATGCGGGATGGTGAGCGGGAGTGGAGGCAAGGTAAGGGGTTTAAGGTTGTGGGGTTTGCGGAGATATGGGCAGGCGTCCAGCTTGGTCAACCGATGACTTTCGACATATTCTCCACGCACCTGGGTCAGTCTCTGGCAGACCGAGCTGCAGCTGTGAGCCGCGTGTTGATTAAAACCTACACAACGATCCCGGTGTGGGATTTCAATCAAATCAGACACATCAGAGCTTGTCTTAGCGCTCTCCTGATCCACCCGGTTTTATACGATTTCGAGTTCGGCATTCAGGTCATTCGTTCCGTTGGATTTCTCGAACCGGAAGCGGAAGAATTGAATCGGCTGCTAGCTCGTGCGGTTGTTCTGGGAATGTTTCTGGGAGGCTCGTTGCTTCACCATACCGGAGGTGCCGTGTTAAATCTACTACCGGGCTACAAAGTCAGGCTTCGTCGTGACACGGAAGTCCTTTGGCACAACACCGGAGACTTCATGCTTATCAATTTTGTCCGGGAAGAGACATGATTGCTCTGCTGCTCGCGGCCTCTCTCGCGGAAGGCATTGGACCCACGAGTGCTTGACGACGTGCCACTGACTGCCATTACAGATGCATCAACGTCCACCGGCGATGGCATGCCATGAAGTCAGATGCTTCACCTGTGTTACTAGAAAGCAAACGAAGCAACACGCCTTACGGTTCTGTGCGAGTATATCTGGTAGTACTGCTTGCCCATGTTGTGGCCACAGAGCGTGGAGGGCAGCGTTGCTGTGGAACTTTGGCAGGCGAATGTCGGATGTACTCGCATAGGTTTGTTTGCTCTTGGGTAGGCTCTGTTCCATGACAGTATTTCTAACGATTCTCGGTCTCGGGGAGCAATCCATCCACCTTCATACCCACGCTTTTTGCTGATGATGACCTGCTATTCTGTTCGTTGTCACTATTCTCTAGCTTCCGTAAGAGACAGTGCAAACTACTAAGAATGACTACGGGGTTCTTTAAAGGCCAGTCGTTGTACTCACAGTCTGCCATCAAAGCCATATAGTTCTTCTCTCTTCATAACTTTCCGCCGCGCTCTGCTCGTGGCGCTTACCAACGCAACAAACCGCAATCCTCGAACAAGACCAGCTCGGCCATGGAAGGCCCCACGACAGTCTCCAGGCTGATATTTCCGAGCATCTTATCGCCCATACACAAGTACAAGAGGCGGACTGCCGTTGCTGCGAGTCAGTCAGCCTCAAATCAGGCACCCCAAGCAAACGTCGACCCGGAACAATCAGCCTCTGGCCAGCCATCCTCACCATCTATGCCAGAACCTCCTTCAGCAATCCATGGCTCGGCTCAAGAGGGATATCTCCCTCCTTCCGCCCCGAAGCTCCAGAAAGTGAGCCTCCATAGCGGTTCCTCGTCCGAGTCCTCTCTGACCGACCCGTCTGGGGTGTCGGAGGACGACGAGGACGACGAAGGATACGACGACTCAATCGAACCCGACATCCTTCAGATATCCTTCGGCTTGCCACATACTACCTCCCGAAAGCCTGCGCAGTGGCCGGAGGCAGTCCTCTCAATGTACGGGAAAGACGGCAAGCCGGCCATGGTTGCGGAGAACTTTGAGATCACATCTTCTCGGCCGCTGGACCGGGTGATTGAGGATCTTTGGGATGGACCAAAACGACTGATCGTCAACTTCTACCTAGAGGAAGCGTTTCGTGCGGAGGGAAACGCCGTGGATGGCGATGTAATTCATCGAGACATCGAGCAGTGTCTCAGGACTCTCCAGCCTCTGCTCGCAGAGTGGGAGTTCGGGTTTACCAGCGAGGAAGAGGATGAGCTAGAGGTTTGGGACAGCCTGGTCAAGTCGACACGCAACGTCCGTTTGCTCGCGAAGTTCATGTCCATAGCGAAGGATGCCGGTTTCAAACCTCGAGAGGGGTACCCAGGTCAGGACCGAGCTGGTCGATGGTGGCAAGGCGAGCAGTTTATGGTGATCAGGTTTGTGATTGAGTGTCAAGGTTGATGAAAAGGGCGCCTCCACGTGGACGTCAACATGGAGGCGCTGGCCGGACTGATAGGGGGGGGCATGGAGTGCAAGAGATATCGATAGGTAGGCTCTGGTTGAGCAGCGTAGTCCATGGGTTAACATCTTCCGGTGCGAAGAAGATCCGATGCGCAACACCGACAGCATTGCCCCTTCATCCTGGGCTCTGGCCACAGTCACGTGCACCTTCACATGCTGTACATGTAGTTCGGCTCGTCGAGACGTCTTCCCGCGTTTCTGTAGGCCAAACATGCCAGCAACAGATGGAAGACCACCTCACGTGCTCGAAGGCTTGTCTCTCCACAATGAAGGATGATGAGACGCACCGAGGTGTCTGGATGTGAAAGATAACGGCCGCTTTTGGCAGGTGCGAGGCCCATGGCGTGGTTTCATCCACCTCAAGAATCCTCATCTGGCTCCTCTGCGCAAGAACCTCCCTTGTTTGGACCTTTCCCGACCTTCTCATCCTTCAACACTATCATGCCAAGGTACAAAGGCGTGATACCAAGCTTCCTCATGGACTCCTCGCAGATCAGGCCACCACTCTTGCTCGGAGAATTCCGCCTGCGCCCCGGCCTTGCTGGCATCGAAATGGAGCTGTGAGTGACATCGGGCTGCCGGTATGAGGGATGACTGGGAGAAGCTCTCGAAGTCCTCGACAAGATGAGGTGAAAAGGCAAGACGAGGTGACAAGAGAAGACGCTGCGGTTCCAGGAGAAGCTTTTGCTGGGCGGATGCCACTCAAGCTAATTCACAGCGCTTCGGTGACGACAACATACATACCCATGAAAGCGAAAGCCATGGCGACGCGTCGGGTACGTCTATTCCGTCCCGCACTCCACGCACTGCGGTTGTATCAAGCGACCGTGTCGCTGCTAGCAAGATCCTCCACCTCCACGCGGAACCACGCCAGGCCGGCGGCGGACAGACAGGATGGCTCTTTTACGGGATGCCAAGTTGACGAGTGTCTCATCACCACCCGCACTTCTACCTTCTGCTTACTTCAAGCCAAAGACTGTGGGCATTTGGAAACATCGCCGTCACGATGGATTGTTGTAGGAATGCGATTTCTGGAGATTTCCCGCGCAATCCTCGAGACTCCACACAGTGCCGGAGGGAGCAGACGATACACCGGAGTACTATCTGCTTGAAGATGTAACAGGATGTAGTGGACGATATAAGTACGACATGAAAGGCTCTTTTGTGACACCTCACCTTCTCAGCACTCGCTGGGTCCCTTTCGTTCGGTCCTCTATCCTCATCACTCACACCTCTTTCGTTCAGTCCCGGCTTGTGCCTCCATTCAAGCACGGCCGTGTCATTGCTTCGCAGGCACCAACCATGATTCCCTCCTCTCTACTCCTCCTACTCGGTCTTGCTGCGGTCGCAGCTGGCTCTCCCATAGCCGTGCCGCAAGACGCAAGCGATGGGCCGCTGTACGATACCAACTACTTTTGCGACCTTCTTGGTAAGTAACTTAGGTGGAACATGTCGCTACTATATCTTACACGTGGAGTGTGTTGAGGGTTTTCGAGCCGAAACGACCTCTAAAGGTCATCTCAGCTTGCACACACTCCATCTCCCTCGCAGACAGAGTAGCCGATAATGCCCGTTCTTCACCAACGATGGAAGGAAACTATGCTAACGTTTTTCACCTAAATCTTGTAGACACCGACGACCCTGAAGCAGTGGGCAACACCAACAAGCAGTTGTTGTTCTACGCTAACATTGGCCAAGGTTGCCAACATCTGGAATGACGGATACTGCGATGGGGACGAGTGCAGGATCGGAAGTCCGATGACCATGCTTGACCTGTTTACACAAGATGGTAACGAGGCTGGCTGGCTCAAGAACCTCGCAGCTCAATACCTGGAGAACCCTGGGGATCTCGGCGACGCGAACTGCGGCACGATCGGTGGCTCCTGCGAGCTGAAAGTCCCCAGTTGCGAGGTTCTGGTGAGTGCAAGCTGGACGGCGCATCTGGTACTGTGCTGACAGTATTACAGGTCGGGGAAATGGGACTGCCAGACCTTTATCTCATCTTCCGTGCCGTTGAAGGCTTCCACTCGCAGTTGAACGTTGCCCAGGAATACTTACAGAATAACGTCATCAACAACACGCTTCTCCTCGACCAAATTGCGGCAGACTTTTCTAAGCCAGTGGATCTGGCCGAACAGCGTAGGTTTGCTGAGGCCATGACGCCACTCGCAGTCGCTAATTCTATGCTACTAGAGATAAAGTCGCTACTGGGCCAAATCTTCTTCGTCATCGGTACGTACCCCCCGGGTGTGTGCTCACATGGACTCAACACTAACACTTTATATCACTTTAGGCGGTGTTGCCGGCGCAGGTGAGTTTTGTTCGACATCTCCCAGAAAATGCTGGACTCACATTTGGACCAGTAAGCGGAGGTGCTAGTTTCGTCGGGGTTGCCGCAGCATCCGCTGTTGCACTAGCAACTTCCCAACTGGCAGCCGCGCAAGCCGAGGAGGATGAGGACGGCAAAAAGAAAGCGGAGGCTAGGCTCGCTGGCGCGAAGTCACTGCAGGACAAAGCAGGAGCTGCTGGCCGAGGAAGCGGTGCGATTGCGGCCGGTACATACTGTCAGTGGTGACCTTCGAGCACGTTTTGCTAGGTTCAAAATGCTGACCTGCAGTACCTTAGTGGTTGGGTCGTCACTCGGTCTCTCCTCTGCAGCTACCGATGAGTCAGGTGAGGAAGGTCAAAGAATGCTTTTGATACTTGTACAAGTGCTGACTCCCCGCCCCGTCGCAGGCCAAGTGGAGACTTGTAGGTGTTTCGAAGTCAAAAGCCTGTTGGGTTAATAAAGCGCTAACCTGCGACATCACCAGCCGACTTGTCGCCCATACTAGAAAACGCCTTCTCAGACGGATTGACAAGACTGAGGCAGCTCGGTCGGCTAGCGCTGGGGCGGAACGATGACGGTGAGTCGTTCGATCTGTTGCCCCATGGCGAACCGAGGGACAATGGGGTGGGAGGTCAGGAGCTTCTGAGTGCCGTCTCGTTCGTTCCCCCTTAAAATCTCGAGATCTGCCCAGTGGCTGACAACCTAAGCAGGGGCTTCTATGCTGACGGAAAGACGGTACCAAACCCACGAGCATGGAACCGCCAAACACCCGCTGACCTTTGTCTTCTGTTTTCAGCTGCTATCCTCGACCCATCCGTCTTTCCGCGAGTCTATCGAGTTTGCGTTTGGTCAGTTTAACACCAAGCTCGTGGATCAAGCCTTGATTACCAGCGGCCTCCACATTATTTCTGCGGATGTTGTCGACACCGAAGACGAGTGTAATGACTGGAATAATGAGGTTCGAGTTAGCCAGACCAATGTGTTTTCGTCGCTAATGGATGATCAGTGGTCAGGTTATGGTGCTCGCTGGGTTGACATGGGGGATGGCAACACCTTTGTGAGAGCCAAAGACTGCGACCTCGCTAAGACGTCAGCTGATAAAGGACAGTGCATGAACCTCTTCCGCGAGTCGAGCCTCCACGCGGACGAATGGGTAGTTGCCGAGCGCACGGTCACCGACAACATGATCGAGAAGTACGGCATCGACATTGTCGGGTACTACAAAGCTGCCTACGAGTGCTCAAAGGTATGCATCGCCCACTCTTTTCTTGCTGTGTTTTCACACGCTGACTCGCGACTTCTAGTATGGCAACGAGGAGCGCACCCCCGATGAAGCCGCTGTACCGGAGGACGGTTCACTCCCGACCTGCTGGTTTGGCGTCCCTGCTGATCGCGCCAAAATCAATGCGCCCTCAGGTGGGAGAGGGGGGGGCTGGAATAGGTGGGATCTTTATCCCTTCGATCATGCATGAGAGAATCACGATGGCACAGGCAGCTTGTGGCTGCCCAAGCTTCTCTCGTGGGAGAGAAGACACTGTCGCTACCTCATTTGATCCTTACTCTCAGTGAAGACAGAGAGGAGATGATGGATTGAAGCATTTCGCACGATGGATGGCTTTTTATGATTCTACGGCAACAAATGGGTGTCGCAGCATGCATTGCTTTTATCTAAACGGAGGACACAGATACCCAATGGCAGTCAGGATGTTCATGTCAAATCCTACCCCTGCGATCTTCCAACGTGGCTAAGGTGCTCTTGAAGAGGGTTTGCTTCGAGGTTCTCTCTTCGATAGACTGGACCACTTTCTGAGTGGAACAACGCTGAGAGAGGAGAGACGACTAATAAACGGAATGGAGAAGAGCTCATCTTGCCGCCTATATCGCGCCGTGCGAGTCTCGGCCGGGCTCAAGTTGCGTTCCGACTTCCCACCAGTAGATGCGCTCACCTTAACTGAGCGATCTTCAATCAAAACAACAACAAGCAGTCAAGTCCAGTCTTCTACGTGGACGAGGTGGCGTTCAAGACGGGGGAGCGCCCCCCATGCCAGACCCGCCGTGACATCGAAGCCTTCTCACCATGGCACCACCCGCACCTTCGCTGGTCTTGCATTCTTCCTTGCCAATCACCCCTGATGGCAACTCGTAGAAGAGCTCGCACGCCGTCGCGACCACCACACCAACTTGGAGCTACTTGAAACGATCGGCTATGACGAGAATTCGCTCGCTCTGTGCGACGGCCGCCCACGGTGGCGGTGTCTACCCACCTCCACGTTTGCTCGCGGTCTACTTCCAGCATCTCACGCCAATCTCCATAAGGCGCGCATGATGTGGTCTAGGCGGCAACGTACGGCCGAGAAGCAAGCGTATCGTGCGGCAGTCTGTGAGGCGTGGGAATCGTCCTCGCAATGCGAAGTCGAATTCGCTAGGTGCAGACTCTGGCAAAGAGACCAGCCGAACCATTATTCAGAAAGCACCCAATTCCAGAACGGATCTCGTCCGTATTCGTTGTGGACACTGCAACGAGCCATACGCCACTGACTGGATAACGGGAAGTCTCTTTAAACATCGACGTCCACGTTCATTCGAGAGCGCTACATTAAGCACTTTTACCTGTTCTTGTCAACGTGGTCACACTCAACAGAAGATCGCCATCAACTATGGAGCTACTTGCGCTACTGAGCCTGACTTTCCTGCCGCTCGCCCTCGCACGAGGCCCGTACTGCGGCCGTGGACTAAACCCGGACGTTGCGCACTATCAAGCAGCTATCAAAAAGGTACACCAAAGCCTTCGACCTCAAGCTTCTCATGCTTACCGCTGCATAGCTCAACAGCGGCTCCGATTACCCTACTGGTACCGAGTTCGACGCCGACGATTGTAGGATCAGAGTTGATGTCAACAGCCCGATCAGTGCACCGCTCACCACCGGCTCTACGATGATTGATGTCGCAAACTCCATGCTCAGTCAATGCAATGGGATCGGCTGGGGATTCAATGATCCTAATGGAGGCTTCAACACGAACGTGAGCCTTGACAGAAGCATGCGCCTATTAGCTCTTGCTGACAGTCGAACAGATCTCTGTTGTCCAGTGTACAGAGTGTATGTATGGTAAATGTGGTGTATGCTCTGCTCCGGAGACCAGGAAGCCCCGCAAGCGCCGCGATGCTGCAGCGCCAATGGCCGAGTCGATAGCATCCAGCCAACTTGGCATGGAGAGGAAAGACCAACTCTTCGGGCAGACAACACACAGTCTCGAACGCCGCGGAGTCTCCTGCGAGTCTGCGCCAGGTCTCGACTGGACCTACTGCTGTCCGTCGATAGCTGCGCCAGACAGCGATGACTGCGAAGATCTGGCCAACTCACTCCGCGGTCGGACGCTCGAGTTGCCCTTCACCGGCGCGAGTGGCGATTGCGAAGTCGCCATTGAATCCTACAGACCAGACAACTCAGTCTCTGGGGACACGATCGCAGACCGCATGATTGCAGATGTTCAGGGGTGTGACAGTGGTGGTATTGTTGGGACCATCCACGACTATTCGGTTGGGATCGCACAGCCTGGAGCGTACGATGTATTATTCGGGCAGCTCTGCGGAGACTTTGGGTCTGGCGTTTCTGCTTGCGCGAGTGAGTGTAACATGCTGTATGAGAGGATCACTTGCTGACTGCTTGCCGCTAGTTGGCGACTCTCCGTAGTAGAAGCGACGTCCCGAATGCTCGAATGTCACCGGATCTGTCTGAAGGTCAGGGCTGGGTACGGAGAACCAACTACGTCCCAATGTCTATACTATGCATGGGTACCTACAAGAGTCGTGCTTTGGGGACTGGCGTTATTTACATGGGGTTAAAAGAACCAGCCAAGGAAAGGGAGACGTTCGTTCAATCAATGAATTACGTGATCTCATGTCGCCAGTTCCAGCCGACGTTCGACGTCTCAATTACATGTGTCAATTCATTCTGCCTCAGTCGGACGATCTTACAATACGTCTGCTGGTACTGAACGTTCTGGAGACCGCTTTGACCTGCTCCGCGCCGCCACTCCCTACATCGAAGGTCCATCCCAATGTCAACATCCCCCAGCAGCAGCAGCAGCAGGCTTACAACGTATACCGGAAGGAAGACTGCCCAAATGTCAGTCAATCTCTGATGGGCACCAGGACACCATATACTTACATCAGCGCCCTCGAGAACGATCTCGCCCGCGGCCGCCCGCTTGTTCTGACGCATGAACCATAGGTCGAGAGCAATGGTAATGGAGCCGATGATCAGGCAGGCCGTAATGCATGCCCAAAGGCCGGGAATGTATTCTGGCGCACTGCAGGATGGTTTTAGCATGTGTTCGGGGAACAAGCACATTCGACACATACTCTTGAGGCCTGAAGATGAGCGAGCCGGCAATGCCGCCAATCCCGCCGCCGCCGACCAAGGTGGCGCTGCAGAAAGCTCTTGTCCACTGCAGGAAGTCAGCATCGTCGATTGACAGACTCTTATAATTGGTATTCGTGGAACACGCACCTGCCCTCGAATGTTGTTGGCCTGGTAGGCCATGACCTGTGGGATGTTCGCCTGCACGGCGCCGGTGAGCAGGAAGATGCCAAAGTACTGGCTGCCAACGGTGTCTGTCCAGCCCAAAATTGCCAGGCCTACGATGCCAGTGACGCAATTCGTGAGGATCTGTGGACCACGGACATGGTACTTGTCGCCCAACCAGGATTCGCAGTACATGATGAGCGCTCCGAAGGCATAAGGAGGAGCCACCAAGCACTGCGAAGCGGCAATGTCAAATCCCATTCTATCACGCAGGATAATCGGTAGGAAGTAGGCGATGGCATATGCCATGGTGGTCGTACACAAGAACATCATGGCAAACCCCCAGACTTTGATCGATCGCGCCGGTCGAAGGAACCTTCCCAAAGTGAAAGGCTCGCTTTTGGCGTCACCGCGGTCTGCTTCCACGGTAGCCATTACATACTCCACCTCTCGTTGCGTGAGGAAGCCTTTGGCCTTCCAGGCGTCCTGGTCCGGGAATGGGACGATGAGGAAGTAGCCAGCAATGCCGAGGAGGACCGTGATCGATCCTTCCATAATGAAGATCTGCGTTCGGTCAGCAGCCTTCCTTTACGAGGAGCGAGAAAACACCTACCCATCTCCAGCCGGTGTAGCCTCCCAGGCCATTCATCTGTGACAGCGCATACGCAAGGATGCCGGAGAGGGCGGACGCAAGCGACCCGATGAGGTAGAAGACACCATAGCGTTTTCCGGTGTCGTAGCGAACATACCAAGTGCTGATCAGGTACACGCAGCCTGGAAAGAACCCCGCCTCGAAGAGACCCAGGACCACTCTCAAGCCGGTGAGCGCAGTCCAGTCCTGGACAAAGCCCATGCCCATCACGACGGCTCCCCACGCTGCGCAAATCCCAGCGAGGAAGATCTTCGGACCGACCTTACGGGTACAAACCGTCGCCACCGGTTGGAAGAGTGTGTACGTCGCGAAGAAGACAAGGTTGGCGATGGACTGGGTAAGTCAGCAGGGAGCATCTTGAAGTTGCGACGTACTGACATAACGAATGCCGTTCGGTTCTACCATCTCGAGCTCGACAGTCATGCCCGCAATCGCTGCGTTGGGCATGTTTGTACGGTCCATCAAGCTGACGCAGTACATGAGGCCGAGAGTCAGGACGAGGCGCAAGTCGATCTTGCGTTTGATCCGCTTATGGTCGGCGGGCGAGAAGTAGTCGAGTGCGGGATTGCGTTGGCCATCTCGGGAATCTGCTTTCTCCAGGTAGGTGGGAGAGTCTGTGCCGTAGTGGTCATCGCGATGGGTGAGTTCTCCTTTGTCCGTCATTTCTGCGGCTTGTGTGGGAGATTCAGGACAATTGAGCAGGTTGTTAAATCAAGAGAGGCCGAAGAGAGGAGGTATATGTACTGATCCCAGCGAGCCGCCCGTGGTGTCAGATCCATCTTGGTTGTCCTTGGCCGCTGATCTGGCTTCACAGATGCTGGTTGAGGTTGCAGTTGTGCCCCGGACATCTCCACATATGTTTCTTGGACGTCTGGGGATGATGCTGGGCGTGCCACCGTGCCAATTTCTTGAATATGGTTGCATGTTCAGCACTTGATTCAGACCTGCCTGGACGTAATGGATCGGATGGACCGGATGGAATTCTCTGCTTGCAACAGCCGTCACAATCTCACTTCGTTCGGGGCGTTGTATCGAAAATCTCGTGACTGTCGAGTAACTCACGCCTGTCTGCCTTGCCGTCGATGGTTGAAAAACGAGCCTCGGGACAACACCAGCCAAGCAACATGTGCATGGTCGAAACGCAGTCCGTCGCTCGCCTTGCGTTGGCACGTGGCGGACCGAGGATACGGGAGATCGAATGTTGATGTGATTCGATGAGATGGAAAGGAATTGTACATAAATCTCATCGGTCTCGTGTGTGTGACAGGCGAGGCCGAGGCTCAAGTCTGCCATAGGTGGTTCTGGAAAACAGTAAGGAAGTAGGCCATCATCGCATTTGCGTCTTCGACTTCCAGTGACTGTTGGGTTCTCACTCCGCGGGCGGCATAATCCATGTGGTGGGATGAAAGGCTTTTAGTTGTGTGTTGGTTTGTGAGAGAATAGCATGCATGTCTTGCTCTCCGGTGACGTCTGCTCCTGTAGAAAGGCACAACTCGTGCGGTTGGTGGCTGAAGTACCTACATACATGTACTTTGTGTGTTGTCGTTGCACTGTGAGCATTGACTCAGCCCTCAGTCAGGCTATTTTCGACTTCATCAACTTCTTGAAAAGCCGCCGGTTTGTCTATCTATCACGCTTGCATGTTTAGGTGGCAGGACTTCGACCGCAAACGTTATACCTCCACAATCTAGACCTGATCTCACCAACGAGCTAAATCTGACTTCCTCTCCCTTCGGCCCGCGAGGCGATGGCGTCGACCCAGAGACTTGGAGACTTGGAGCATGGCGCCCGTTCTATCGCGCGGCAGCGGCAGCCATCTCACGGAGCCGCCATGAAGTGCGGAACAAAAGCAAACAGTCCTCGAGAAGCCGCAGCAGGTCACTCGAAGGACCGACACGAATCCACCGCGCGCGCTTGAGCGGACAAGGCAGCTTGCATCGGCCACACCCTGGGAGACAGTCCCTCGCAAGCCATTTCGCCTGATGGGCATCGGGACACTCGGCCTGACAAAAAGGCCGACGCCGCTGCAGTCATTGCACTAGTTCCGGTGAGCGGCTGCGGCCTCGCAAGACGAGACGATGCTGCCATCACTGTACACATGCCGTTCTCCCAAAAGCAGCTCAGTCGGGGTGGGGTGAGGCGTCCGAGACTACATCATCTGCCTCCAACCTGTTCGGGGATGGCAAGCGAAGCGGGCGGAGGTCAACGAGCTCCTCTTCAAGTTCCCGGCGAGTCAATGCCACATGACAATTTCGAGGTGTGGCATGATACAGCTCTTCGGCTTGATACGCGGAAAAGCGAAGATGTCAGCCTTCGTTGATTACCGTACGTCTTCCACCATACCACCTGGCCCTTGTCATTGCGATTGCGGCCTCGCTGGAACTACTCTAGAAGCCTGAAGCTCAGGTGGTGTTGTCCGTTGAAAACATTCCGAAGCTGGGCGCCATTCTAAATGGTTGAATTCCGCACGCGACTGCGAGTGCGCCTACGCCTGTGTCATTGCCAGTCCGGTGTGGTGGTCTTTGACCGGGACAGAAAAACCCAGCTCCGCCACCAGCCCGCTGCCCGCTGCATTACCTGAGCAAGCTCGATCTCGGTCGCCATGTCTGCGCAGGTCTGGCCACAGAACCTCGAATGCACTGCGCTGCGATGCTGAACTGCTAAGAGTGCTCACTGTGGTTACTAGTAGGAACAGCTTGGCCTGATGAAGTACATGTATGTATGGGGTAGCTCTGTCGTTCTTCACTCTCTTTGCGAGCAGGGCAATATCGATTTCCAAGCAGTCAAGTGTTGTCAATACCACATAGGACATCAAGATGTGGACTTCGACCACCTCTGTTCTGGAGACTTTTGCTTTTGGCTCAGACCCTCCGTGGCATGGGAGTGGCGGTAGCGAGGCTGAAAGTACAGCAACGAGCCCTACCATTACCTCTCCGAATTCGAATGCACCGTACGCATCTGTCGAGGCAAAAACTCCTACGGCAACTCAAATCAGTATTGGAGGCTGGACATTACCGTTGCGCCGTCAACAAAACGTCTGGAACCCATCGGTCTTGCAGGTGCGTCCGTTGGTTGGTCTCCTCGCATTATGCGTCACTTCTAGCTGTGTGTTTGCCTCATTCGCGGTCCTTCTGGTTTCCGATGGACAGCCGGTGAGCGACTGGCCCCTGTCGCCTGCCGTGTCTTTGGCCATCATAACCGCTGCGGCCAACTCGGCGCTTGCACTGGCTTACATGGAAGCTGTGCCGGTAAGCTATGATGCCCCTGAGCTGTGCGACCGACTGGCTGATCGTTCACTCACAGATCTCGTGGTGGTATAGCACAACTCGCGGAAGGTCCATCCGTGCACTGGAGCGGCAGTGGAGGGTTACCAGGAGCATAGTCTCTGCGGTAGCCTATCTGCGGCATCTAAGTGTCCTCAACATTGCCTGCATCCTGGTCGCCATAGTGGTCATCGATGGACCTCTCTTGCAGAAGGCATCAACTGTCGTCTCTGGTACTACGACCTCAGACGTCACACTCTACATGCATCTACTGCCCGAGCTCCCGAGCAATTTCTCTGGCACGGTGTGGAATCATAGGATAACTGCGAGTCTAGCTAGCCAGCTACCGTTCCAAGATCTCGCGGCTCAGAGGTCGATGAAATTTGAAGTCCCTCAGTGCAGCGGCAGTGAGGAGAAGGTGAGTTTGAAAACCCTCTTGCGTCTTTGCCACCCACTGAAGTACCCCAGTGCACCGCGAAAATACAAGGACCAGGTGATACACCCCCCAATGCCCACAACACATAAAGACTCTATTCTCACGATCAACAACAGGCGTTATGAAAACAGACTGTACCAGCAGGACCTGGCCCATCACCAAGGAGATGATTTTCAGCATCAACGCTACCTGGGGGACCTGGAAGCAGTATGATCCGAGTTCGTACATTGGCCCTGCCATGATCTTGCCGGCATTCCAGGTCAGCATTGAGCCCATATACGACACCATCAGCGGGGGTGCTCGCACAACGGTTGGTTTGGCGGGTTGGAGAGACTTTGAAGGTGATATACATTGAGATGTACACCTGCGACTTGAGCTGACGAGACACCAGGCCAATACGTGGAGACGTCTTGCACCTTGTTACCAGCTATTGTGGAATACAATGTTCTACTTCAGAGTGGTAATGTACAGCTTCTCGAAGATCTCGAGCAAGGCAAGGTAGTCGCCAAAGCAAACAACACTCGCGCTATCAACACTACCGAAGAGATGGCGCATGTCATCCAGCCGAATGCATTCGATCCTGTTACTGTTGGTGCAGGCTATCTCGTCAGTGCAAATGCGACTGTCATGATATCGACAGCGAGAGGGTCTAAAGGGTTTGCGCCTACCTGGGCTTTCAACGTCCCCAGCTTCAACATTGAAGCCGCAAAGCATGTCGTTAATTTTCCTGGTCAGGCAGCTGGTACTGGCATGCTCTTTTCCGATCCAACACCAGACATCATAAGGACAATGAACGAGCGTACGTCTCCATCCTGACGAGTGGAAGATGTCGCCTGCTGATTCAACGTCCAACCAGTGATGCTTCGAGGTGCAATCTATGCGTCTAAGTGGCGAAACCAAGCGCCGTTCATCGACTCCGGAGTGGAAATCAACCAGATCGTACCCGCTGTCAAGGAGACGAGGGAGAATTTGTACAAGTCTGATTTACGGTGGTTCGCGGGTGCCGCGATCTTCGAGCTGCTGACCGCATTGGCTGTGCTGCCAATGTTCTGGGGATGTAAGTGAGGCTTTAAACGCCGACAAAACCCCGCTGATATCTTCGCAGGGTGGAAGATCGGACAGGATCTGACCCTCTCGCCGTTCCAAATCGCCCTGGCGTTTGACGCTCCGCTGTTGCGGGATGTAAACTCGGCGTCGGGGGTGTGGGAGATTGTGCAGCAGCTTGGAAGGTTGAAGTTGAAATATGGTGTAGACACGAACCTTCGGTATGCGGCACATGGAGAAGACGTGGCGTACGCTCCAGGGAGGCTGGGACTTGCCTGTGAGCAAGTGGTTGCGCCCCCAAGGAAGGGGTGGGCGTTTCGGGAGTGAAGGGTTGGAAGGCAGTCACTCATTACCGCAGACCTGTATGACAAACACAGCGTGATCTCATCCGCCTCAGAAGTTGTGAGAGGAGGTATGTAGGAGATAGATAGCAGGCTTTGTTGTAGAGATGATAACGACCGTCGACATCCAACACCCTGTGTGGCTCTAATGATTGTAGTTACGATATTAGGACTACTCAGAGCAATTCTGGTGATCGGCCACATCAAGCAAGCTACCTTGCCGTCACCTGCTAAATGCAACAGTTGTTACCATCTGTCATTCCCATATACTTGGAGGTTAAGCTGCCGATAGCAAGCGTCACGACCTTAGGGTGAGCCGTACAAGGGACCTTCGTACAGGCAACGACCGCCTACTGACGAGAGCGATATGGACATCTTGACCGCAATCTCGTCTCGGAGAAGCCTGCCAAATGTGACTGGGTGGCCCATTTGACTGTCTCTGCTTGGAGGTGTAACTTTACACGCAGGTCGATTGAATGGTGACGTCGATGGTCACTGCTTCAATCAATCTAATCTAGATAATCGAAAGCGCGTTGACGCGTCACATCGCGAACTCCATCCACGACCGCGACCAAAGATCGAAACTACCCTACGTGCCATCACAACCATGTCACTCAAACGCAAAGCAGCAGACATCACGGCGGAAGCAGCCAAAAAGCCCAAATCGAATGGCTCTATAACCTCCTTCTTCGGCCAGCCAAAGCCAAACCCAGAGACATCATCAACCAACCCATCTCATCCAACCTCCTCCCCAACAGCACCCGCAACGGAACCCGTCAAGTTCGACAAGGACGCATGGCTGGCCAAACTCACGACTGAGCAGAAGGATCTACTCAAGCTGGAAATCGAGACACTTCACGAAAGCTGGCTCAGCGTGCTCAAAGATGAACTCATCAAACCATCTTTCCTCTCCCTCAAGAAGTTTCTCATGTCTGAAGTCACGTCCGGCAAAAAGGTCTTTCCACCCAGCGAAGACGTCTACAGCTGGTCTCGCCACACGCCTCTCCCTAGTGTCAAAGCTGTCATTATCGGCCAGGATCCTTACCACAACCTCAACCAGGCACACGGACTCTGCTTCTCCGTCCGGCCGCCGACGCCCGCCCCACCAAGTCTGAAGAACATGTACAAAGCTCTCAAGATTGACTACCCGGATTTCAAGGAACCGCCGAAGAATGGCGGCCTGCTTACTCCGTGGGCCGACCGAGGTGTGCTTCTGCTCAACACCTGCCTCACTGTCCGGGCCCACGAAGCCAACAGCCATGCCAACAAAGGTTGGGAGCAATTCACTCAGCGCATCATCGACATTGTTGCCGAGAAACGCAGGAAGGGTGTGGTGTTCTTGGCCTGGGGCACGCCGGCGCAGAAGCGGTGTACGAAGATCAATGGCAGTAAGCATCTGGTGCTGAAGAGCGTGCATCCCAGTCCGCTGTCTGCTGCAAGGGGTTTCTTTGACTGTGGGCACTTCAAGAAGGCGAACGAGTGGTTGGAGGAGAGGTACGGGGAGGAAGGAGCGATTGACTGGAATTTGGATGTCGCGCCGGAGGACGCTGGTGTCTAAACTACCTTCGGCTGGTCTTGTTCTGTACAGTACTGGTGTGTATTATGGCAGGGAGTTCTGGACAGGAGTCAAACGCGGCCTAACTCACGGGAATGGTGCCGCCCTCAGATGGTACATCCAATTACGGTAAAGCCCACCACATCTCCTTCAACTCGCCACCCAGCTGAACACTTCCTCTCCTCATCCCGTAAGTTGGTCCCATTTCATGGCGAGTACGACTTCCGCGTCCGTCTTCCCCCCGCCCGCCTCCGTACTCCTCTCATGACTTCGGATCTTCCCCCTCTCAAACCCAGCATACTCCAGCACCTCCGTCAACTTCCCAATCTTCCCCTTACTCTGAAACAACATCTTCTCCTCCAAGCCGACATTAAACTGACCCTCCTCACCCTCCACTTTTCCAGCCTCAACCTTCAAACTCGTCACGATGGCGATGCCTTTCGGTTGCAGCGCATGAATCATCCATTGCAGCCCTTTAAGCACGACTTTGGGGTCTTCGTTGGAGAGGCAGAAGATCGCGTGGGTGTATTGGTCCATCTCGAGACTCTCTAATGACTTGACCGTGACGTGTTCTAGGCCAGAGACATCCGGATCGGCTTCGCCACGGGAAGCGATGACGATTTTGGGGCCAAAGGTGTTGCGGATTGATGCTGTCTGGTCGTAGATGGTGCGAGCAACATTTGGGTCGCTGACGAGGATGTTGGCGTTGTATTGGATTGAGATTCGGGAGCCGTATTCTTGGAGGACTTGTTGGAGGATGTCGGACGTTTCTTTGTCGGTGTTGCTCATTTTGGCGGTGTTGAACGGTGGTTGTTGTGTTCTTCCTGTGTAGCTCACCGTTGGACAAGAAGACCTCCGCAGTTGTTCGTCTATCTGAGAAATGGAAGAGAAAAACGACAGATAAAGTGCTCAAGATGAGATGAGGTGAGGTGACGTCCCTCTCGCCCTTTGGTCCGAGCTAGGCTCACCAGCTGGAGGAGGCTCGCTCAAACGGCTTCCTTCTACCTCAGCATGACACTTCACGTGAACAGTACCATCAATTGCGAGCTACGCCTTACGAAGGCCATCTCAGATTGACCTGATGGACCTCTACCAGAAGAGAGGCGAATTGATGAAGACGCAGTGACAGCGCCGTTGCCTCGGCCCAAGGGCGGCTCCTTTGGATCACCGCCATCAGCTGGAAATGTATCTGGAATTGGGAGATGAACGACAGTCTCTTAGAGCCTCATTTGCGATACTGAATGTAGAGGGTCCGATTCGATTTAGACATCTCCAAGATGGCTCAACGCCACGCCAATGGCCAGCTTGCAACCGACATATCTATCCAAGACCCAAAGGCTCGAGTACAAGCTTATATCGATCTCTATAGGCGTAACGGCATCGACGAAGAGCCCGTAAGCATGCATCTCCATGTTGAGCCGGTCGTCCTGCTGACACAAATTCTCTCAGTTCGACAGCCTCCTCATGCGCACCATCCGCGTGACCACAGCACGAACCTGCGATCTGGTGACCGAAGGCATGGCGGCGCAGTGTACTTTCGAGCTCGAAGTCTTGTCTCAGTTCTGCAACCGAATGGGCAACATGCATGGCGGCTGTGTGGCCTTGTTGGCAGATATGAGCACGACCATGACCACGGCGCCGGTTGCGAAGGAAGGGTTTTGGGTGTTTGGAGGAGTGAGCCGGACGTTGAACGTCACTTACTTGCAGCCGGTCAAGCAGGGGGCAGTGTTGGAGATTGAGTGCATGCTAAGGAGCATAGGCAAGCGTCTTTGTGAGTTCTCTCGCACACTAAGTTGTACGATGATGACTGACTTGAGATGGCAGCCACAACGCAATGCCTCATTAGGGAGAAGCGGACCGGGAAGCTGCTGGCTATGGGAGAGCATGGAAAGTCGGCCTTGAGTGATCAGCAAATGGGTCAATCGCCGCCCGGAGCATCCAAGCTGTAAAGGGTTATGCATATCTGAGTGCATGGTGCCAGTATGCCTACCGTCGTTACGTTCGAGCGCAAGCGGTCGGTCTCGTCAGTGAAACTGCTAGTGTCCTATCCTCGACGCATGCCTTTGGCATATCGGCATATCGAAGAGTGAACTTCAAGGACAGCTGAGAAACTTGAAGATGTTAGTTCCTACCAGAAGTTGACCGTCAAGCCGGTTGAACTTTGAAATGATTTGCGTCTCAAATTTGCCCGTCGAGTTGGACAACGAGTGTGGTAGAAGTCATGTGCTTTGCCCAGACACTCTTACTGTACACATCGTTCCTCTTCAAGGTATCTCTAGAATGGTCACTCTCAGAGCTCTTCTCATCATCATCATCAAGGCCGACAACGGACAATCGGCTACCTCCAACAACAGCTACCGAGCGCTCCACCACCAAGGCATCATGTCAAGCCCCGCATATGGTTCTGCAGGATAAAGTTGAACGACCGTAACGTCCATTGTCGATACTGTACAAAATCTTGCTTTGAACATCAAGTACGGTAACGACCAAGACAATATTCAAGATGATCTACGAACTTCGTATCTATACCACCATCCCAGGTCGGATGCCGAATCTGCTCTCCAGGTTCGAGAACCATACGCTGAAGATCTGGGAGAAGCATGGCATTAAGCAAGTTGGGTTCTGGTAGGTTTCCTCCCATCGGTCTCCAGACTTCGACGATCTATTGGAGACGATGAACGCACATGAGAGCTGACAACGTCTTAGGAACACTCTAGTCGGACCCGACGCCAACGACCTGACTTATATGCTCGCCTGGGAGTCTTTGGCTGATCGAGAGAAGAAGGTAGGGAGGCTCACGTCACTTTCCTGGCGGTCGCTGACTTCGTTCGTGTAGTGGAACGCCTTCTTCAGTGACCCAGAATGGGTCGAGGCTAGAGCGAACAGCGAGAAGGACGGACCGATCAACGCAAAGGTCTCTTCGAGCTTCTTGACTCCGACAAAGTTCTCAGCTATCCAGTAGTAATTGAAGCAGTGAGATGACTATCAGTGATAGGCAATCCAAGAGAGTCCTCATTGTCCCATCTCGTTGCCACCGAATCACTCCTTGCTCAAGTCAATGACCACCCGTCCCTGCAGCTTCATCTGATCCATCTTCTCGAAAGTCTCCGTCAGCTTGCTCATCGGTTCAAGCGTGAAGTGAGTCTTGACGATGCCTCTCGCAGCCATATTCATCGTTTCGATAGCATCCTTGCGGTTGCCGACGGCGCTGCCAACGATACGTAGCTCCTGAGCAAGCATAGAGGCTGGGTCCGCACCGCCGATTGGCACAGGGTCGCCTTCCGGTACACCCACACAGACGAGAGTACCGCCGAATCTTAGGAAAGACAAAGCTTGAGCGTAAGCAGCGTTGCTGGCTGTACACATTACGACGCCTGCTGCCCCCATACCCTCTGCAAGCCACGTCAGCTCCACGGACCCATAGCATCAACCGATGGTCGTAGCACTCACCTGAGGAAGCCTTCTTGACGTCGTCCGCGAGCTTCTTGTTGCCTTCAGCATCCCTGCCGTATTTGCTGATGTCGAAGAACGCTTCAGCGCCAAGACCCTTGACAAAATCTTCCTTATCGCCGTTGTCGATGGCCAGGATTCTATACCCCATTCCTTTACCGATCTGGACCGCTAAATGGCCCAAACCTACAAGCAAAAGGGTTAGCGAATGTCTCAAACATGGTTGGGTGTTGTGCATAGGTCTCGTACCACCACCGGCACCGGGGATCACAATAGAGTCGCCCTTTCACAAGTCAGCATGGTCAGGCTGTGGAAATGATAGGACGAGAGTACAGGCTGAGCCAGAGTCTTCTTCAAACCTGCATAGACAGTAACACCACCACACAACAACGGTGCTGCCATCTCGCTGGAAAGCCCATCCGGAATCGGAGTGACATAGTTGGCCGGACCAAGAGCGTACTCTTTGAGTAACAGTCAGCCGTCATCTAACTCATAGGTCTCAAGGTGGATACTCACCCTGAAACGTCCCGGGGGTATAGAAGCCGCTAATCCTGCCCGTCGTACAACAAGCATCCCTCCCACTCATGCACGGCAAACAGTTCAGGCATGCATAAGCCATCCACTTGATCCCAACACGCTGGCCAATCTTCAGTCCCGACGCTTCAGCACCATCGCCAAAGGCAACGACAGTGCCAACACCTTCATGGCCGCCAACCTGCCCCGCTTGAGTAGCCGCAGGAAGCCACTTCCAGCGGTTGCACATGACAGCTTGGTCGCTGTGGCATACTCCCGAGTGCGTGAGGTTGATCAAGACTTCTCCAACGCCTGGCTTCGGAGTTTCGATCGTTTCGATCTTGGTGCTGATTTCACCAGGCTTGTCGTATACGAGAGCCTTGTGGTGTGTTGGAATCTTCACTTCTGCGGTTGCCATGGTTACTGAATGCTCGTTGGTTGATGTGTGTGCGGAGTTGACAATCTGCTCTGTCGGGAGGTTCGTTCGGAAAGAAGAGTTGTTCAACCTCTTGTATCAACCAGAGTCGGCCCTCGTCAGCCCTCCAAGCACCTCCACTTACCTAGGCTGGCTTGTGAGCTGGACATCATCTGCGGGGTACATTCAAGAGCTACCGTCAAGCCGTACGCTCTGCAGGAGAGATGTAAGCACCGATCAATGAACGAGCAGAATTTTGGAAATGATGTAGACGGTCGTCTTTCGGATTCGCCAAGTTGCCAAATGCCAGCTCTGGAAGAAAAAACACAGCTTCAGCAATCGACAATCACCACGGACAACAATCTTCCTATCCCATGACCTCATCCGATCCCGTCAATCAAGAGCTACACATTGTCTCTTCTAGAAGGTAGACCATTTGAGAACACTCACGCAACAGCCCCCGGACTCCCACCGCTCGGCTCAACCACATACAGATCCTCAACCACCGCTGTGCGGTACGCAAGAGCATCATATTGCTCCTGCGTACATGTGCCGCCGATGATGGTGATGTTGTAGATGTAGCAGCGGAAGGGCGGAGGACGCGGTAGCTTCTGCTCGATTATGTAGAAACTGGAAGACGAGCCATGAGAAGAGCAGTCAGCTCGTCCGGACGAGCCCACTGTCGAGGCGACGCCGGTGGCGACGTCGACGGCGGCGATGACGAAATCGAAGATGTTGATACATGTCTCGGGTTGGAAAGACGCCGCTGTAGTATGGTCAGCTGTTAACTCCCGAACTGCAAGCAGAAAGGAAAACTACGCCAGGCTTACCTCCATGCCCGGCTTGGCAGATCCGAGAGAACGAGAAGTTGGCGTGCTGTCTCACGGCACCTCCGTTGCAGGTATCGTTTGTGCTTCAACCCCGAGGCATGCTCGTTCGATGCCGCGGACAGATGGGCGAGACAACGAGGTGTCGAACACTTTATTCCGAGTCGGAGCACAAGTCGATGAGCTCACAGTCCTGGGCTTCAATATTCCATGTTTTCGACTACGGTACTAACGTCTGTGCCCAGGACCGTCTAACGACCAACAAAGCCGTATATGTCGAAAATGCCGGAGACGGACTCCCCTGGCTGTCGAAGCTCGGACAATACACAAGGTTTTCGAAACGGTTCTACGAATTGCCTTCCCGGCAAAAAAATGCTGAGGCCATGAGGGCGGGTGGGTGGGGCCGGCGAGTACTTCATGCCTGAGATAGAGTCAGCACAAGGTACAATCGGGCATAAAGGAGTAGTGAGGGTAGGGGAGTGGTGAGTGTAGAGGAGTGGTGAGTGGGAAGGAGTAGTAAGGAGTTGTAAGTGTCGAGTAGTAAGTGTGGAGGAGTAGTGAGTGTAGATGAGTGGGCTGCGTACATTCGGCATCTGCGCTAGGGCAGTACAGTTGGCAGCAGCGTCAACGGCGCGGTCGACTGCAGCTTGAACGGTCTGCGGGATGCCGTGCTGAACGGCGCCTTCGACGGTAGCCTGAATGGCCTGCGGCATTACGGCTTGGATGGCGCGGGTCACGGCAGCTTAAACGGTGCGGTCGACGGCGGCTTGCTCAATGCCGATCAAACCACGCTGCTGAATGGCGAGACGTTCGACAGGATGTTGTCAAGCGAGGTTGTTCCATTCGTAGCTGGCCAGCTGGGCCTCCAAGGCGCGTCTGTCGAAGCCATGGCTTAGTATGCAATCAGTAATCGTCAACGTCTCCCGGGCGCCAGATGCCGTCAAAGAGTAGCGGCAGCAAAACATGCCCGAGATGAGAGAGTTGAGCGATGGAGACGTCAGTTTGAGGTCCGGACCGTCACACGTTGCGGGCGTAAAGAAGAAGGCTGTAACGTGGAAGCACACATATCGGGGTCGACGCGCCAGACGTGTTGCAAAGATCGTCGTGCACGGTCGTATCTTGTCGTGTGCAGGGGTGACTTCGAGTCCATCGAAGGCATCTCCAGAGCCAAATCTATGCTAAGATGTGTAGAGATGGGTGGCGCAGGATCAAAGAACATCTCGATTCGTGAGACGTATTCGTCAGTGAAGGATCCATCCAGAATAGAGGTGAAGTCGAGTTGATGGAGGACTTGGCAGATTCGGTGTAGGCAGCGCCGAGTACGACACGCCATAGACATTGGTCGATCGGAATGAGAACAAAAGAAGTAGAGTGACATTGATAGGTCAAGTATTTCGCGCTCTCAATCTATGTCTATGTCTACGTATCCTAGATAGATCCCAGTATTACCCTCAAACGCTGCTAACACCTTGCTAGTACGCTTCTCACTGCAAACCATCACCCAAAACCAGGCTGCAGTCCTCAAACGCTAACAGAAGGCTCCTAGTGAGCTCGCACCATCACAGGAGATGCCGTCCAAGCCTCCTTCTTACCAAGTTGCACCTCGCTGGAGCCAAAGTTGAAGTTCGGGGATGGATTGCGTGCAGCCCCTTTCGCCGCCTGACCGATGAAGAACCTGGTGACCGCATTTCGAGGCATAACGTACTTGTCCACGAACTTGAAGACGCCGTTCTGCCATGTCGCTGCTGCGGTGGCCTTGCTTGACCTATCGCACTCGGCGACGATGGTGTTGCGGCGTTTTTCTTGGTAGGCCTGAAGGGCGGAGTCAATCGCTTCCCTTGATGGCGATGCGTTCGGAGCCTTTGAGCAGATGGCGTTCAGTTGCTGTACGAGGGCAGCGATGTCGAGAATACCATGGTTGCAGCTACAAAGTCTATGTCAGCTTTCTTTCTTTTTTTCCAACTTCAACTTCGACTTCGACTTCACTCACCCTGCACCCGTCGATGGAGTGAATTTGTGGGCTGAGTCACCCGCCAAGACAACGCGACCATTCCAGCTCCAGTGCTCGGCGACACCTTCTTCCAAGCTGACGAGGCCGGACTCTTGTCGTGAGTTGTATGCCTCGCGAAGGGTGAGCTTGCCCTCACCAGCAATGATGGGGATGTGGCCCCAGCGCTCAATGAGTGCGTCTTGGTCTGCTCGGGTGTAACGTGGGCGCTCTGTCGTTGGCTTTTCCATCGTCTCGTAGATTGCAGCCACTGCCGAGTCCTCACCAGTGAAAAGCTGTGTTGCAAGGCCGGGGCCGTGCGTCTCGCAAGTGACACCTTCTGGGACATTTGCTGGTCTTTGGAAGCGTAGCCACAGGCATCGGTATGTTGTCAGGAAAGGATGTTCGGCATTGACCTGCTCGGATGGGCCATTCTGAAGAGCCAGCTTCCTCATGATGTCGCGCACAAGGCTGTGTGCACCATCGGTACCGACGACCAGGGATCCCTCGTACGAGGTGCCATCTGCGCAAGTAGCTATCACTCCGGTTGGTGTGGAGGTGATGTCCGAAAGCTTCTTATTCCCAAAGATCTTCTTTTGAGCCTCAGATGGAAGTGTGTCGTAAAGCACTCTGGTCAAGTCATGTCTGCTGATAACCCTTGGCGCAATGCCGATGAGCTCTTTCATCATGCTGAACAGCTGCACGTCGCCGAGATCGTTTCCCTCGTGATCCATGCGGTCGATGCGGCCCAGTGGCGAGCTGACAGCGTCGAGAGGCGCGCGAAGATTCAGCTGACCCAGTGCAGGAATGCCGACGGGTGTCAGGACCAAGTTCGAGCCGGCGTCAATCACAACGTGCGGTCGTCGCTCCAGGAGGGTGAAGTCGATGCCTGCTTTGGTGAGAGCATGGGCGGCGACCAGTCCGACCGGGCCGCCGCCGACAACAATGACTTTGAAGGTGCTTGCTGCCATTTGATCTGGATCTTGTAGCCGCGAGAGTCTCGAAGTCGCAAGTAGAATGGAGTGTTGTGTAGGGTAACGACGAATCGAGGTGATTTGATGGTGTGTTCGAGATGGTTGTTGATTGGGATAATTGTCAGATGAGTAGACGCTTCTTGATGCTTGTGATGCAGAGTGAAACCCCAATACACACTTCTACCTTGATACTCTTATACCTCTCTGCCATCCAAAATGACCGCCACGCCTACGGCCCTAACTCTCGCATCAAACATCAGCGTCCAGTCCGCCCGAAATCAGACGGGCTTACAGTGAGCGCAAGCGCCAATCAGCAGAGAGTAGACCATCGTGCATGATTCTGCACTCGCACGCCGGCAGGACCATTACCTCGTCGTCTATCCGACTACTCGCAGCATACGGCCTCAAAGCGGCAGGCGGGATGAACGGTCGTGAGGTTGAGATTGCGCGAGTGCCGAAGAGGATTCGAAGCTTGATTCGACAGTTCCTGCGAAGTGGGTGGTGACGGAGTGGCTTGGCGGCTTGTGAATTCCTCCAGATTTGCGGCCGTAAAACCACGAGGCATTCTAGACTTTGTGGAAGTACAGTGACAACCGCTTTTAGCAAGTGGTATGGGTATATACTTCTTTTGTTAGGCATTGGAGATGACTCCTGATTCTGAGTAAACACCGTCCAGAAGCAGCCTAAATAGCACAACTTGATGGCATGTGATGGCGGCATGTGATGGCTTGGCCTCACTCTTTGTTTTAGAGTGACCACGGCGTATATCCATGCCCACGATGGACTTGTCATGCCCACGATCGACTTGTCCAGTCAGATATGGGGGCAGCAGTGTTATGCAACAGAGGAAACGCTTGCTGTGCGTACTCTAGTTCGGTAGACTCCTTGCATCCACTGGGGGATGCAGCATTCTCACAAGAGTCGACGCTCAATCTGTACACACGCCAGTAGGCAGAAGGCACATCCGCTCATCGCATGGATAGCCACCTTTCCCGCCGTTACGGCCGCTGGTGATGACCACCAGGCCAGAAGTGCTTGAAACGCTCATTGTCACAATAGCCCTCCACCTCCTGGTCCGTCGGCCACCCACCCCAGTCGTCTACACTTCCCACCAGCTGGATCGCTTCGTCAATCACTTCGGTGGGCGCAGGCGTGCTCAAACGATAGATGCACTGCGACAACCTCCCTGCTCCATCACCATTGTCCTCTGATCCCTCCGACCGGCAAACGTCCTCTTCAGGCAGCCATGCCCGCTCGAGAAACACACGCACTGCTATGATCGCACGACGCATAACGACCTCGCCGTTCCGGTCGACAGCGCGTTTCTCGCCAAGCTCGGCCTCGAATTCGACCATCCAGCGAAGTGTGTCCAGCAGACCTTGATAGTCGGCCAGCCATCCAAGTGTGCGGATGTAGGCGTGTAGCGTCGCTGGATTGGGCACATGAAGGAGCCGGGGGAGTTCTAAGAGGGATTGACTGCGGCTGCTGTCCTCGCCCACAAGCACTTCAAAGTCGGACTTCAGACGTAGTGATATCGACGACGACGTCCTCAGAAGCTTGATGGCTTGCCCGACATACGACTGTGGGTCGCCGCCAACTTTCGGTTCGACGCCGGCGAGGTGTTCGAACTGGTGCTGTCGCAGGATCAAAAAGCATCCCAGGGCCATGTTCTCTGTAGCATAGCAAAGAGCAAGGAAGCCATCAACGTCAAGGTCGAGATTCGTCTCTCGCATCAGCGAAAGCACCCGCCGGGTCAGCCGATAAGCAACGATAGCCCCTCGCCAGACATCCTCCTCCCCCGCTGGTAGTTCAAGGTTTTCGGTGCTGGAAGAAGTGTAGACGAGGCGCCAGAGATTGCCGAGAGAGCTTTCACGGCCAAGGCTTTGAAGAACAGCATTCCACGCAGGTCGATACGCCGGCCTTCGGCGTCGCAGTAAGTCAATCGCATGAATGAGCGCATGATCAGAAGTGAGCTTGCGACCTTCCAGTACTCCGCTAAGGTGGGTAGGACGGAAAGCGCCTGACAAGGCGGCTGGTAAGGCTCTGGACAGTGGCACTTTCGAGAAGCGGCTGCAGAGTTCCAGGAAGCTTGCAAACAATCGCACCGGGACTGCCGACAAGTCGTATGTTGAGTCTGGAGCAAGAAGCGTGCCAGCGTTGAAATGACCCGCGTTGCTTTCGTGGAGGTACGCTACGCCTTGCCGAAGGGAATCTGCCCTCGTCACAATAAATTCGAGACAACGACCTCCAAGAGCGACGCCTCCGAGTTGCAGCTGTTCGTAAAACTCATGAACACTTGGTGGCGGTCGAGTGGTGTATGTATACAGATGCGTCGAGGGCGGCAGAGGCTCGACTTCTCGCATGTCTCCCGGAAGCAGTCCTGGCTCATTAGTGTTCCGCTCAGCCCTGATTCTGGTGCCGCCTCCTGCCAGGCGCTCCTCTTCATAATCCAGCTTTTGAATGATCGCAAACAAAACATCATGGTGCGATTGAAAGCCTTCCTTTTCACAAGCCTCATAGCAAGCCCACGCTTCCTGTGCGGTCCTTGTGACCTCAATGCGTGCAACCCATAACGCAGCACCAGAGTGGAAGCGGCCGTCACCAACGGCGCGCCTTTGAATCGTTGGGGTCAAGTCATGATCCCATCCGGAGTATACGCTGGCAACTCGCTCCCACCCCTGGGGTCCATACCCAGCTTCGTACATGCGGAACAACGTCTGCACTGCTCTCGACAAGCCGTGACTCTCGCGAGTGAAGTCAGCGTCCATAGCGGTGCGGTCCACTTTCCAAGGTGGCCAGGAGAGCGCCTTCAGCTCCGCCCACTGGCGGTCTCGTGTCGTCTTTGGCTGCGCGAGTTGAACCTGGATGACCGCCCGATAGCCTTCACGGTTGATTCCGAAGGGAGGCTCATGCTCAGTCATGAAGCGAAGAACGTTGACAATGGCTGCTTCCTGTGAGCCGCTGCTTTTGTAGGGTTCGTTGGCGACGGGCATTGCAATGAGACGCATCGCTTTATTGAGCTGGAAGGTAGATTGTTCGAGCTGTTTGCTAGACATCTGCTGGCCAGAGTTTGCTATACGCGGAAGGAATCGAAGCAGAAGCTCTGTTGCGCTTGCAAGGGAGGCTGGCCAGACCTGTCGCGCATGTCGTACCAATCGAACATAGACTAGGAAGATAGCGTCACCGGGTAAAGATTCGGCGGAGGATGAGGTCTGATGCTCGAGTACCTGCGACGCTGCACGAATGAGGATCCGCAGTGCACTGGCGGTGATGGTCTTCCGGCGGAGCATAAAGGAAACGAGAAAGAGCGGCACTGACGCAGCGCCCTTCCTTTTTATGTGTTCTTGCAGCACGGCCGCCGCCTCTAGCGAATCCGGCATAGCCACCAAGCTTGCCCAAGAGTCGAGATCCTCCACTGTGAGGCCTTTTGTTTTGAGCAGCACGTCATCCTGGGGTGTTGGCTGGAAATTCGAGGTCCAGTCCGCCTCAAGCAGGTGCTGACCGATTTCCCTGTAATGAATATATGTCGCCAGTAGCCGCGATAATTTTGGTTCTCTTGCTTGCGCCAGCTCAGGGATGGGATCATCTTGGTGCCTTGCGGTGGTGTTCTTGTAGTTGGCCCACCTCGTAGGAGATCTCGGGTTCATATGCGATAGGTCTGGCTTGACTCTGGGTGACGAATGCCATGCAGGAAGCACCTTAGTATGGCCGGCGCCACTCAATGCTTCGCTGATGCGATCGACCCTTGCCCTTCTGTTGATCTGCGCCCTGCTCGGTCGCCCTTTTCTCGAATCTGTCGAAGCCTCCAGCTTGTGATCTGTCTCTGTACCAGTCTCCTCTCCGAACCAAGGCCTATACTGAGAGGACGTTGCCCGCCCGGCGTCTGCTACCGCCCCCTCCTCTTGCTGGTATGCCGCCGCCGCGGCTGTCGCTGCTCCTGAGGCATGTCGCTGAGGAGCCTCAAGCTGGGACTGGGACCGTCGCAAGCTGATCAGAACAGAGCGCAGCTGTCGGCCAAGGGGTGTTAGCGGTCCATTGGGCATACGAGAAGCGCAGTCGCATTTTGGGATATTCTGAGGTTGTTCAAGCAAGGGAAAGGTCAACTGTGGATTGGGCTAGCGCCCCGGCAAGATCCGAGCCTCCCGCCTTCCTCATCGGCACCAGCAGATTGGGCGTGCGATGCTCTGACTGCAACGACCACTCTTCTCCCTTGCTGCGCCTTGTTTTCTTTGCTCACAACCACGGTCTTTTCTCGTATCGGATCTGGCCGTACTGCACTACATGCTCGACGTCGTTGCGAACACCGACGTGGCTGCCCAGCGAAGGTGAAGGGGGATTGGCCGCGCGGGAAAGTCGCGTTGGCTGCACGAAGCGCGGAGGAGTAGCGTCAGGAATAGAACTTTGGGCACGATGGCCAGCACGAATGGCGCTCTCACGCCGCCTGTGGCCTCGAAACCTCCGACTTCACCATCAACCAACGGCGAGCTCAAGCGAAAGCGCGAAGATGAAGAGCCGGCGAGCGCAGAAGCCGCACCGGCAAGCACCAACCAAACGCAGAGGGACATGCTCGACATCCTGCAACCGTACGGCCCTCGGCTGAAAGCTCATAGCACTTGCTGATCATGCGCAGAAACGATACGACACCTTCCTTTCTTCAGCACGTGATCGACGGCCGGAACGAAAAGGAGCGCCCGACGAAGGCAGCCAGACTGTCCGAGGCCGACAGCAGCGCGAACACAATTGCTTCCAAACTGGCGAGCGGCGCATACCCGAATCTTACTGTCCTGTACGAAGATGCCGAGTATGTGCGACAGGGTATGATCACTGCGATTCGCAAAGAGGCCAAGGACCGAGGAGAGGAGCGCATGTCTATTGAGGATCTCAAGCGGATACAACGTGTACAGGCATTTGCGCAAGTCATCGCCAACGCTGTGGCACAAGAGGTTCGATATGAGGCCGTGCATGGCGTCCCCAAGATCAAGGAAGAACAGCGCGATGTCAATGGATACAAGAAGGATGAGTCTACAAGGGACGGCGGACAAGGCGGCAACGTGCTCACCTTATTTGGCAACGCACCGACCCCGAAGCAGCTGTTCTCCTCTACGCAGCGACCGCTGAATGGGACGCGAGACAACATCATCAAGACAGAGCTCCCGGTCGAAGAGATGAGCTTACCCAACGGCCTGACTGCGACCAAAATCATGCCTTTGCCTGCAGACGACCAAACGTCAGGACCTACCTTTGAGGACGTCTTCGCACCACCTTTCAACTTGCCGCAATTGCATCCACCGAAAGCTCAGAAACGGTCCACCACGCGTGACAACACGATGATGTGGGAGTTCAAAGACCCAGTGTCAAGAGCCAACCGCAAAGGTGGATACACTACACAAAGCCAAACAGTGGCCGACTGGCTGGGATACGGAGGCGTGGATGGGAAGGAAGAGCCATCGTCTCCGCGAGAAAAGCGCAAGCAGCGGGACAGAGCTTTAAGCGGTGGAGAGAGCTCAGATGCTGTGCTTGACAAAGACTCAATCGCGGAAGCTGCAGCCAAAGAGGAAGAGGCCTTGTTCAGAAGAGCGTACTCAAGCTTCGCCCCATCTTGCGATAACAGCCGTGCGCTAGTCTCTGAGGAGACGAAGAGTATGATGTGGTGGAGCAAGATTGGTGAGCGCCGATATCAAGGGACTTTCGCCATTGATCCGGCACTTTTGGACGACCGGCCATCTGACTATCTCAATGAACCCGTCCTGGTCGGCGCGAAGAACGAGTTGGAAGAGTTTGGTCGAGTCGTGGAGGAGCTGGAAGACTTGGACGGAGACTTGCAGCCAGCGGAGCTAGTCCGCGACAAGACCGATGTCGAACAGGTTCTGCAACAGATATCAGCACTCTTGGAAACCCTGGCTTCCCACCAACGGATACGCACGGCCTCCTTCCCGTCCTCATCAACAGCCTCTCGTACGCCCATCAGTCCAGCTCCAGTGCTATCTTCTCGGATCGGCCGTCCAGACTCCCCTGCTGAAGACGAGGTGACGATGTACCATTCCATCCGCCGAGAGCTCGCATATCTGATACTGAAGCTTCCACCTTATGCCGTGGCCAAGCTCGACGGAGATCAGTTGGCCGATCTTGGGATCAGCAAGTCCCTTCCGTTTGACGCCAAGGACATCAAGGGTACGATGGAGGAGGATCAAGCGACAAGAATGGCGAAACACAATGCGTTGCAGACAGCGGCTGGGATTGCATCTCTAACCCGGTCAGGTTCTAACAACAACCAACACTACAGTAGTACGAGTCAGAGGACGCCCGCCATCGGCCAAGCTGCAAACACTCGCTATGGGACACAGTACGGCGCTTCTAGGACGCCGATGCAACCGTCTTTCCAGCGCTCGACCAGCAACCAGTCGACGACGTATGGCACGCCAGGTGTCGGCGCGCCACGGCCGGGGTATGGTCAACAGCCCAACCAATACTCGCGCCCACCTTCATCGTCGTATGCTCTACCGAACGGTCAGCAGGGATACTACCGTGGCGGGCACCAGACGTTCAGCACACATAGCGGCTATAACCAGCAATATCCATCATCGACGCCGCAGACCCAGCAGCGATCATATTCGTCGTCCCAACCACTGGCGCAATACCAGCAACGCGCAGTAAACGCGGCCGCATACCAGTCTGGTCAACACCGTACCGCGTCGCCCATTAAGCCTGCAGGTCTGCAGCCTATTATGCAGCCACAGCGTCCTCAGCAATATCAATCAGGTCAACCAGAATCTGGAAGAGGGACACCAGTCAGCTATCCCTCCCAGCCTCCCACTCCCGTCAACGGCTACCAGCAGCGTACTCAAGCAGTAGCACCACGGGAGTCGAGCGAGACCCCTCAACCGATCGCGCCAGCGCCTCACCCTCTCAACCAGCCAGCCCAACCCAACGGATACAAGTGAGTCTCCACCCCCATCCCACCGCACTGTCGCAGCACTGCGTGTATCTACACCTACTCATTCAGCCAAGCAGCGGGTCCTAATTCACCTTCTGCGCAACACAGTCGTCTTGATTTCCGCGCCTCCACCTCCATCTCCGGCGACGGCGCCCCACAGCCCTCGAAAGGGCTGGCCTGCGAGTACTGCGAGAAGGTTTTTGACCGGCCTTCGAGCTACACGGTCCACATGCGGACGCATACTGGTGAGAGGCCGTATGTGTGTGATGTGGTGGGTTGTGGGAAGGGGTTCGGGGTCAGGAGTAATCTGAATCGGCATTTGAGGGTTACGCATCAGGTGTCTATTGGTGGGGATGAGTATGGGGATGATGGGGGAGAGGAGGAGGATGGGTGAGTGGCGGGGCTGTGCTGTGAGCGCGAGAACTCTGCTGAAGCTTGTAGTTCGTAGATGACGAGGATGATTATATTCAGCATGAAACGGAAGCTTCCAGTCCTCCTCCATTACTCTCGACGCTGTTCACTAAGACACTACGTATACTGGTCACAATGGCAGACTGGTCATCGAACGTGGGTGTCACTCCCTCACCTTCGCTCGATCTTGCCTTGGACAAGATGCCGTTGCGCGAAGACTTCCGGGCCTGCCAGTGGCTCTTGCCCGCAATGCTCTTATGGCTGCGACTTGATCATTGATTCGCGAGTCGGTTCACTTGACTTTCATTCCACTATCGTCCTATCACTGCATTACCCGTCATTTGCTCACGAAAGCCGTTCAGTACTTTTATTCCGACACGGTCGATCATCACATACTGTGGGCTACCGCACATCGTACCCAGAGGCCCAATCACGCTTCCCCGCCTCAAAGACATTTGGCTCTATGGACGGCATGCCTCAACCATCAGTTAACAACAAGTACCGGACCTTTCAATGTCAAAGCTGTGTCGCTCGCTTTTTCACAGAATGGGGCTTGGAAGAACACCAAAGCTCCCACACCTTGACTTTACGGAGTCACCCATATTCATGTGGGTCATGCCACTGGAGGACTGGAAATATCAAAAACCTCCCGGCACATCGAAAAGAGTGTTCTGAGACTCTCACGAAGCCGGGCGAATCCCTAAAAATCGCGACTTGCGGTCGAGACGGCAGGGGCTATGGCGATTGTGACTTGTTGAGAAGACACCAGCTTAAGCAACATGAGGGCTTCTTGATGTCCGCAATATGTGGTATGTGCGGGCACCCTTGCGTTGACCCTGAATGGTTGCGTGGACATGTGAAAGTGGGCTGCGGCGAGGCCACTGCTTTGCTGCGCTCAAGGAGGGATCCTTATGTTTGCAACATATGCCAGTTTGGTTCGAAATCGTACCGCAAATTGCGCTCACACGTCGTCGACGAACACAACCGGACGGAGGGTCGTTACCAGAGCGCATCCACTGAGCCTAGTGCCACTGGCTTGCCAACCGATGCAGATGGTGGTCCAGCAGCAGTCTTCCGGCGCCCGACTGGCCTGCCGGATGTGTCCGTGCAAGGCACGATGTCGTCCTCAGCTCCTGTGGAAGCGCAGCATCCATCATATTATTCCGAGCAAGCGACGCAGGCTCTCTCCCTGGGCCGCGTGCAGGAGATGAGTTATAGCAACCAGGCTCTCGCAGCGTCGTGCGTACCATACACGCAAACGGACTCGCTCGGAAACATGTCTATGACAGGGCCGCAACATCAACACTCCTTCTCGATGGACTCCACGCTCGCTTCACCCACGATTCCGGCATCATGGACACCTTAGTGCTCTTAGCAAGAGGGGAACGGTCTGAGCCAGTCCGACAGAACGCAACCTCCACTTTTGCAGCCGACGAGCTTTTCAATACCCGCAGCCACCTCGCCCATGGATCCGGCGTCTCAGACCTCGTATCAGTCTCAGCAACAAGATTTCGACATCGACGAATTCATCACACTGCAATCTCAATCCCATCGGTCGGTCAATCTCTCGATCGTTACAAATGCTCCAGCCATGGACTGGGCTTCTCCCACTCCTCCTATCTCTTAGCAAGAGCAGAACGCAACCGGCCAGTTACTCATGCCGCAGCCTCGACCGCTGCAGTGGACCGATTCTCCAGCACTGCCAATTGTGTCCCTCATGGATTGGGAACTCCAAACCCTTCAACAGCTTAGGCATGGAAAGAACGATGTCGACCGTGCGATGGCGGATACGGTCCACGTGGAGCGACTAAACGAGAACTACTTCACCACACCAGCTCTTCTGCGTGATCACACACTACATCACAGGCACGAAACCCCGCCTCAGGGGGCTCCGCAAGACATACCACAGTACTTTAGAGGTCAAGGTTCGCAGCCAACGACTCTCTCAACATGGACAGACACTTCAACGAAGCCAACGCCATCTTTGCATCGATGGAATGAGCATGTTTCTGCAGAAGACCCTTTGGCTGGACTTGGCCTGGAAGAGTTCATGCCCGAATATACGACCAAGATGGACTTCACCCAGGACATTTCGGCAGACCTGACCAAGCTTGACCAGAATGCGCTTCAGCAGACGCCTGAGACCGCACCCGGCTTGTCTCTTGGGAATTCCGGGCCAGTCATGTCATCGGCGACGCCAGAACCCTTTCGCCGTGGAGGTCAAGACTCCTTCTTACCAGCGATGGACCATTATTCCTCTGATTCATTGGACGGAGCGTTTTGCTAGGAGTGAGATCAGATGTCGGTGAATCACATTGGCGCCTGTGTAAGGCATGCGCAGGTCATCCGGATGCTGTGGCAGCGGAAGCGCAAAAGGGAGGGGCCACAGGGCAGTGCAGCGTCTCAGTACACACTATCAATCTAACGGCGGCTGGGGTGGCAACGTGTATAACTACTTTGTTTTTTAGATCAACAGTCTTTCCTCGTTGCTGACACAAAAAAGCTAGGCGGCTATGCAGCTACATTGCAATTGTCGCAGGTACGTTCCTTCGTGTGCCTATGCCGACGAGAGAAGGCGAAGCATCGAACGCTATTGCGGATACACACGCTCCGTATAGCACACCCCGTCCTCGAACAACGGATGGCCTGTCAAAAGCGTTAGCCATGCTCTCGTAGCAGAGAACCTCATGATTCAAAGTCAACTCACTATCAGCATCAAGATCCATCGACGGCTTCCTCACCACCGGCTGCGGCTCATCCGGCGTCAGCGCCCGGTCACATTTCCTCACGATCTTGTGAGCGTTGTGCGTCGGACTCCCATTCCAAAGATCAATATGCTTGATCCCGTCGTCATAGTCGATGACACACTGTGCGCAATAGTCCTGGTGAATAAGGTACTTCTTCACATACGGATCCCAGACGATTTCGCACTTCTTGAACTCGCCTGGAGCGGTGGCGAAGGTGAGAGGGTCGTCGTAGGTACCGGTGCCGCCTGCTGTGTATCCTCGTCCATAGCCGCAGTCGTATGCTGTGGCAGGACCTGGTGGGTCGTTGTCTGGGAAGCTGTAGAAAGTCCGGTGGACGCCTTTGACGACTTTGGATCCGGAGGCGATGGTGGAAAAGAGCAGTGAGGCCAGTAGAGCGGCGATCGGAGTGGATTTGAGCAGCATTGTGTTCACAATGACCGGATCTGTTCTGTTCATTGAGACCCCGATTCAATGGCAGAGGATGTAAGCATGATTTTATAGCCTGCATGCGCTGTTTATAGATTTCCTGCATTCGCTAAAATATACCGTACGGTAGTGCTGGTGCTGATAGGCGTTCTCATCCAATCTCCCTCGAGAAAGTCTCGAGCAGGCTATCTTACCGTAAACATTAGCTATTTGCTGCAGGGCAGCCAGACGTCTAAAAACCAGATTCAGTTCCCAAACTTCCAAATGAGACACCGGTCCGAAAGGCACCAGGTATCTCAGGTACACATGAAGTCCAGCTTTCGGAAGGAAGTGCGCCAGGGCAGCTGGGTGCCTACGAGTATCGAAACGTTAGTATGCTTGCTGCGCTAAAGCACTTGCTCAAGAAGTTGTGCTGCATGGCGCTCGACGAACCGGCCACCCTTTATGAGTAGATGTGCGGGCCCAGTGCCACCTCACCGAGGCTTCTTGTTCCACTCGAATGCTGCTGCTAGCCTCTCACTGATATGCTCTCTCAGAAACGGCCTTCACGACAGTGTTCGTGGTCACTCCACACTGGCTCGGTTCCCAGCAACGATGGAGATCTCAGCCGTTTGTGTGCTGCAGATGACCCCGAACGTCAGTCGCAGTGAATACCCATCAGTCACATCGTGGCAAACAAGCGCGGCGGCCTGTTATATGCCAGGTAAACGACGTACCAGTGCTCCTTCTTCCAAATCCTCCAAGCAATCCCAGTGCCACAACGCACGGGTTCGTGGCCAGTGGACTGCAGAACTGAAACTCGTTCTCAACACAGAAGCCACTAATAACCTCCAGCAGATTCATCAGAGCTCGATGGAGGGTGCTGACCGCAGAGGCAAGCGTCCGCCTGAATCGCCCACCAGTCTGAGATCCGAGCCCGCGAAGGGTCCCCCACAAGGACCAAAGTTGGAGGGCAGACCTGCATCCATATCTGGGGATGACATTGCAAGCGAAAGTTGGAGGCGGAGGGTAGCCACAAGGCTGGCCCTCCAATCGACAAGAGGGACTCGGTCCGGAGAAGAATTGCAGCGTCCAGAACAAACAGGCCAGCAGAGTCCCAACGAAAGCTCACACCAGCTTGCGCGAGGACACCAATCGCCAGCTCCTTCCGAATCGATCTCCCAAGTGCCCGGCAACACTGGCAATCAGCTTCCAGAGTCAGCGATCATGGATCTATGCTTTATTGTCCCATTCGCAGCCAACATACCACAAGCGGTCATGATCGCAGTCCATAATGACACTGGTCAGCAAATTGAATCAGAGAACACAGATTCCGTGTGGCCTCTGACGCACCTTGATACGCTGGCGATGCTGCTGGACGATTATGGGCCAAACGTAAGGCGCTTTATCGTCTACTTCCACCTCCACGAAGATATGAGCTCCACCGCCCAAAGCGCTGATATTGAAAGGTGCCTCCAATCACTACTGGATCTGTCAGAGGGCTGCGAGCTCGCGATCAGGGTGGAGCTCTCGAGCGAAGCCGGTGGAGAGGGTGGCGTTGATTTCGCTGCTTGTGATCATCTGCTGTTGGTATTTACCCGGATGGCGTTGAATCATGGATTGATGGCGACCGTAAATCGTGATCACACGGACAGCTGGGGAGAAGAAGCCTTGGACATTCTTACCTTCAGCGCGCCGTCGAAAGAGGCGTACCAGCTTCAACACGACGACAAAACGTCGCACGATAGCCTGGATGAGGACAATGCAGAGGCGATGGAGCGTGCTTCTATCTGAGGTGGACCGGTGGCGGAAGATCCTTGCTAACTTTTGTACGTTTACTGTGATTAGTGTCAGATACTGCAGTTCATACCAGTGCTCTAGAGGTTTGAGATGCCTTCCGAGTGAGAGACCGCTCTTGTTGGGATCATTCGTAGGCCTCACGAGCCATCACTTCCGCTGGTTGCAGTGCCTGCCTCGGCCATTCGACGTAGCTTTGGTATTGGGGCCCGAGTTCTTTCTCTACAGCCTCGAAGATCCATCCGCCCCAGCTCCGCATAAACCAGGCGTCTTCGTGAAGGCGGCACAAGATCGCGAAATGTGCCAGGATCACAAGCGCAACCGGGTCCTTTCGATCTAGATAATCCAGGAAGCTCGGCGAAAGCGTCGCAGGCCAGATCAGGGCGACAGCTATGGGAGAACGTTTCCCGCCGTCCGGGCTGCGCACGTTTCGAAAGACAACGTGCAGCTCATCAATAGACTCCAGATAAGTTTTGCGTATGACAGGATCAAGGTCCTGCATATGAATCACCCAGTCCCGGAGTCGAAGAAGTTCAGGCGTCTCGCTGACCCCGGTCAAGTCTCGGTCGAGTGAGATGAGCAGCGGCTTAACCACAGAAGCAAGCAGGTGGTCCCATAAATCTCGACTGTTTGATGTGATTTGAGCGATTCCCTTCATCAGCCTCGCCATGTGGCAAAGGGCAGCGATAGGATCATCTGGAGGCTGGATCTGGGCAACTGCAAAGTTATACACCACCAGGAGGCTGGAGAGTGAGAAGAGGGGAACAATGGTCGTAGCACTTGGTCGATCAAGATGAAAGCGGAAGCTCTTGATGGCGAGATCGATGTATTCCGGTGATCGTAGTCGTAGAGGATTGCTTGCTTCGGGTCTCAAGACTGCCTTATGGATAGCGGAGAGCGCAAGTATTCCATCGAGCAAGAACTCATGCTGGAAGCTCAAGTCGACCAGGGCGTTCTGCCATAAGTATAGTGCCTCCTCGCTGGGGGAGAAGCTGGCTGCGGTATGTAGTACCCACCAATGCAGCAGCTCGAGTTCATCAGTTCTCGAGACCCGCGCAATGGGGTTGTTTGGGGTGGCAGATACCGGGCTTTGAGAGGCATCTACGGGCGTAACAATCCCAGAAGGCGGAGGCGACTGTGGATGGGGACCAGTCCAGGTACAGTCACGCTCAAGGCGGGTGCAATTGTGGCATTGCGGACGGTTTTCATCACACTACCAGCGGATCAGTAGGGTTCGAGAGGAGGCCCACTCCGAGCTAGGACAGGAGGTATTACTTTCACATGTCTTTTCTTGCATTGTATACATCCCCTTCTAGACTTGGTGTGAGTCTTGCGGGCGTTCATGGCGTTCAGAGACGACATTCAGTAATCTCTGGTGGACTTGCTCGCACGTACGAGCACGACCATGATGATGATGGCCAGTCATGCTTGAAGGATGTCTGAATTACAGATGTGGTTCTTTGAAGGTTCACAGCGAGTCATGCTCTTGTCGTTGGCGCCACAGCGGATGTGTTCCGCTCAGTCTCAAGCGGAAACCGACCCCCTCAACCGTATAAGTATCCCATGTCCACCCATGCCAGCATGTCCTACAATTCGAGTTCTCACTTCTCGACAAAGGACTTGACTTTTGAAGCTACGAGACTACTCTGGCTATCGAATTCACGTGCATGCTCTACGCATGTCAGAACTTCGAGCGAAATGCTCCCTTCGTTCCTGCTCATGGTTGCGTTCCCGCAAGCCATTAAACGCATGGCAGCGCTCTTTTGTTTTGCAAACCTCAAAGCTTGACCTTGCCCACGCCCGCCCCAGCCTTCACCACCTGCCTCACCTGCCGCAACGGCGTCAAGGTATACTTGTACGGCGCCTCCGTGAAGTCGCCAACCTGCGTGATGTTGATGCTGGCAGGTCCCCAGTCGTTCTCTATTGAAACGTAAGCATACAGATGACTCACACGGGTGATCGAATCGACAACTCACTGGCTCCCAGGTTCGCGTATCCATCAATCTCGAAGTCGCCCTCTGGACTGGTATTCGGACTGTCCTCTGGAATCACCAGGCCGTACGTGCTCAGTGCCTCACGGGTGTCACCACGGAAGACGTTGCCCTCGACTAGGACCTGGTTGTCGCTGCGCGAGTGGATCGCCTGGTAGTGGAAGTCCTTGTAGAAGTTATTGAAGATGTGCTGGTGGCCGAATCGCCCCGCTGGTCCACGGGTACCCTCGTTACGCCAGTAGTTGTGGTGGTATGTGATGTGCAAGTGGCCAAAGTCCACGTCGCGGAGGACATCGGAGTTGCCGACAAGAGAGGACTTCCAATGGTCACTAACAACGGTCAGTGTTCTGAACATGTCATCACCACATGCGAGAATCATACTGGAAGTAGTTCCAGGACACCGTGACCCAGTCGGACGCCCGCACGATATCCAGCTGGCCGTCATAAGTGTCCGGTCCAACCTCCTGGCTGAATTCGGACTCAAATTCACAATGATCGACCCACACACGGGTGGTGTTCTGGACGGTGATGCCGTCGTTGTCGAGGATGAACCGAATGGCTATGTTGCGAATGATGACGTTCGTTTGGTTGACGACCGAGATGCCATTCTGGAGGATCTCTGCGGTGCTGCCCACGCCCAGGATGCTCTTGTTGCTGCCAGGTGCCAGACGGGACGGGAGGCTGATGCTGCCCTTGACGTAAACCTTGAGCGGTTCGTTACCCTTCACGGCCGCGAGTAAGTCCTCCGCCGTGGACACAGTTACGGACTTTCCTCCCTTGCCTCCAGTGGTAGGTCCGATTGGGTTGGCCTTCCCATAGCCGATCAGAGCGTATGGATTGTGGCCGTTGGGAGGAGCAAGAGCGTATGAGGAGACGGCGAGTGCGCCTAGAAGAGCGAAGGAGACTCTCATGTCTTCAGTTGATGGTTCTACGTAATGCACGGTGGATTGGGTTTCGTGAGTGCGGCGGGCCAGGCTATTTCACTGTTCGCCGTCATGTACGCGAACCAGGACACCAAGGCGCCAAGCACACTCTCGCTGTCACGCTCGCCTATGAGATTCGTTTTCAATATGGAGAATCTCCTGTCCGGCGGTTTCCAAGACGGAAGAAACTCTATAAAGAAGTTCTTACGCATCTTGTCGGCGATTGCAAATGCGTTCATCCAGCTTGGTGATGAAGCAAGAGGCACAAGCTTCCTTTAGTAACATTGTTACCTGCGCAACATCGAATCGAGGGCCTTTGCGACTGGAGGAAAATTAGAATATCCGTGCTTCGGTATGCAGTGATGGAGTACGTTTCGCATTGGGAGAAGCTGAGGCAAAGCCCGCTGGGTTGTTTCCCCAGGCCGATTCCCCGCACGGAATCTGGGGTGACAATGGAGGCCAATAAGGGAGAGGCACTGGAGACACCACAGGAGGCCTCGGTAGAAGTAAAGACGAGCTTCCTCTTATTATCCGCGTCCAGTCGCCCGCGAGTGCCTGGAGGTCGAGACGGTAGGCAGACAACGAGATTACTGTCTAGTCCACTAGTAAGGTAAGTAGAGCTAGCTAGGCTTCAACGACCTTGTCGAAGAAATGGCAGCCACTGAGCTGGGATCTTATAGGCTCGAAGCCGCTGGCTACAATGTGGGTTTGATGCACTCGTCATTAGACGTTAACTCGACAGGGCCGGCCGAACTCATGACGGCCAACGCAGCCTGGCGATGAGCCCAGAGAGGAACACTGCCATATTCCAACTATTGCTGGCTGGACTTACCGCACCTCCGCGTTGAGCTGGAGTTCATCCATCCCTGACTCTCGAGCAAGTATCTGCCGGCACTTGGAGAAGGCATCTATTGGCATAGCCATGGCAGAAGATACAAATGACCGTGGTAAGTAAAATCATCTTCGAGGCCGTTGATGGCTTCGGAAGGTGAGGTCGGATTTGGCATTGGTTGAGAGAGACGCCTATGACTTGCGGACACGACCGGTACAAGATCCGAATAAGGCTGCCTAGTTCACAGTTCACGCCTGGTGTTTGATGAGGAGGTCACTGGCATGTTGTCGTTGGCATCTAAAGGAGTTCTCAAGCGCTTTTGTGGCGCAAACACGCCGAATCCGATGAACACGAGCGGAACGATCCGCGAGCTACAGGCATTGGTTCGAACGACGCCCCAAGACCTCGCATCTGCTCGGGTTCTCTGTATTTTCTGTTCAACCCATGCTGAGCCTCCTATAGATACGCGTGGTTCGGCGGGTAGTGGGACTTTGACACGATTGCGCCATGGCAACGACCTAGATAAGTACCGAGTGTGTTCCTCTGTTGTTTCCTTCGTCTGGCATAGCAGTACCTTCCTTTGCGTTCAACTCCTTTTCACCGACCACCACCGGCAGCCTTGCACGAGCCTCCAGCAGAGAGCACCCCCAGCATACCGATCTTCAATCAACCAAGCATTCGGTACAATCATCAGGGCTGTCCGCCCGGCTGAGACCTCCAGCAAAATCCTCTCACAATGTCGGACGATGCGAGCGCTGGCGAGTTCGACTTCAAGCTTTACAGATACACACCCTCTCTGGCCGGAGCGATCATCTCGGTGATAGTGTTTGGTGTACTGAGCGGACTTCACCTCTGGAAATTGATTCGACATCGAGCCATATATTTCACGCCTTTCTTGATCGGCGGTATATGTACGTCTCCTGCACCCTGGCCGCCATGGTGTGATACTGACAGATGTGGTACTAGTCGAAACCATTGGCTACATCGGCAGAATATTGTCACACGTGAGTCTTTCCTGGAAACACGATTAATGATATATCATGGAACGCTCGCTGACGGACACGAAAAGTACGACAAAGAATCGCTCAGCGGCTTCATCATCCAAGCTATCCTCATCCTCGTGGCCCCAGCCCTCTTCGCCGCGTCCATCTACATGATCCTCGGCCGCATCATTCGCACCATTCACGCCGAGCACCTCTCCCTCATCCCCATTAATTGGGTCACGCGCATCTTCGTCATTGGCGACGTCTTCTCCTTCACCCTGCAAGCGGGAGGCGGGGGCATACAGTCCGGCGGAACCCTGGACATGTTCAACCTGGGCGAGAAGATCATTGTCGCCGGGCTGTTCATGCAGATCTTCATCTTTGGCTTCTTCGTGGTAACGGCTCTGCTTTTCCACATGCGCATCGCGAAACGGCCAACCGCAACTGCTGCCCAGGGTGCGGTGCACTGGAAGCGGCATTTGTACGTTTTGTACACAACAAGCGCACTTATCCTGGTCCGAAGCATTTTCCGAGTGGTGGAGTACCTGCAGGGCAACGACGGCTATCTCATATCGCATGAGGTGTTCCTGTACATCTTCGACATGCTACTGATGGCGTCAGTCATGGTGATTTTCTTTGTGTTCTACGTAGGCGACCTGGAGCCGAAGAAGAGGAAGGACGTGCGGGACTCTGGCGAGCTGGAATTGAATCATCGACAAGGACAGTGGTCTTGAAAGATTGCTCTTGACAACCACACCACCATACAGAATTCCAGCACGCTGTACCGAAGCAATCAGGGCGAGGTCCGGCTACAGATCACAGCAGACTAGTTAGCAGGGGTTGCTTTATACTACTGTGGGCCGCTTGAGCGTTGTATGTCTGCCCAGCTCTCTGGTTTCGGGTCCGCATATGGGCACGATACTTCATCGAGGATCTTGCTGGGCCGGGGCGCAGAAGCACAACGATGCTCGCATCGATTGAGGTTTCATATGTGGCAAGCGAATTTGCAAATGATATGGATGGAGGGGCGCTGTGTAGCAAGCGCGAGATGTTGCACCCGAGTGAAGGAGGCTTTGGGGTGTTTGATATCTTCTGTGCCTCTGATGATAGATAGCGGCTGATAGAATAGAGACAGCTCATGTGGAGACTTTTATTTACAGACTAATCATGACTTTGTTACATTTATTGTATCCTACATATAGCAACGACACTCACACCTCTCGACAAGCCAATGTAATATATGTAGAGTATTGGCAATATCAGTAGCACTGAGCTCGAGACCAATCCAATATTGGTGGGGTGGTCTCTCACGTGCTCACTCAAGGACTTTATTCTGCTCCACCCCAGCTGGACGTCCGAGGATCTACCATTAGGACCGAGATGATGACGAGGTGAACGACGCACACACACGCGAACGCGCCATGCGCGCAAGAGGCGTTGTAAACGTGTGGAATCTGCGCGTGAGCATGAGAACGCGAGAGAATCCGGGGTTCCCGACTGCCCTTCTTCCCGCCCACCACCAAGACAACCAACAGCCAAAATCCATCGCCGAGTCCTTGGTTGTTCCCCTCCCCAAAGGCTTTTCATGTGGGCACGTTGGGCGATTCTTCGACCTCTTGGACTTCTTCGCGGTGCTTCTAGCCGACCGACGAGAGTCAAGCGTGCCTTTGAGACCTCGAGACCGTTCGGTGTTTGTCATGCTTTCAACGTGTTGGGGAGTCAAGGGGTGGCAACCGATACTAGGTGGAGCGGTGGAGAGGTTCTCGCTCGCCCCCAAAAGACCCATGGTCCATAGGACGGTCACATGTTGGCGGAGCCCAGGTGCCGCGCGGGACTTGGCAATTTCTGGTCGCTGACATACCTTAGCGGAGATTGATGGACCGAGAAGGATTCGACCAGGCAATGCAACTTCATTTCAGCCTTGCAGGATGACGTCGACGCGGCCGCCGGAATGGGCTGCAGAGTATGAAGTAGTATGTTACTATGGATTTGTAGTAACGGCGTTACTTGCGGTAGGACTTGTAGCCTTAGAACCTACAACGAGTCAACAGAAACGAGGGAACAGGTGAGGGCTGGGATGCATCGTGCGACAAACCGCGCTGGCCCTTGCTCCCGACGATGCGTAGGAGGTGCCGATCCATGCGATCCGCTCTCCACATAACTCCCGCTAGGGCATGCTCTCGTGCACGTCATTTGATAAGAGCCCTCTTCTAACTCTGCTCGGTTCCACCGGGCGGCGGCAGGGTGTGAGCAGGGTCCCCACCTCGACCAGCTCTGGGCTAGCATGATTGACCTCCAGGAATCCCCAATACTTAAGCTCCACGTGCCCCGACTCCAACTGGGGAAGCCTTGGACCTCTCGACTTTCACTTTCCACCAAGATTGCTTGTGGGAACGGCTTCATTCACCATGTCTGACAAGAACTCCGACGACCTGCACGACCTGCACGATGAGAAGGGCGTCACCAAGGATGCCACCGAGCCCTACAAGCCCACCGACACCGAGCTGGCCGATGCCAACAACCGTCGAGGCTCGGTCGCGCTCAACATTGTCGAGAACCCGTTGAAGGTATGGTAAGAGACTCCGCGAGCTTGGACGACGACTAACGTTTCTTCTTCGAAAGCGTGTCTCGAGGGAACAAGCCGTGGCAGAAGCTCACGCGTTCGCCCACATGCACGACTTGGCCGAACACGCGGATCTGCTCGGTCGCGCTGCTCTTGTTGCGCGTGATCCGGAGAACTTCGACGATGTCCACGAGTTGACCTCGGACGAGCGCGAGGCTCTGGCCTACGAGGCCGACCACAAGTGGTCCGGCCCATTCATGCTCTGGTACTCCATCCTTCTGTGCGCTGTTGGCGCGGCCACTCAAGGGTGGGATCAGACTGGTTCCAACGGTGCCAACCTGTCCTTCCCAGACGCGCTCCACATCAACAGTGGATCTGCAAGGGACGAATGGCTTGTTGGTCTTATCAACGCCATCATTTTTCTGACGGCCGGACTTATGTAAGTTTTGCAATAGTCATCCCTACCGTCGCAGACTGACCATGATGTACAGTGGCGCTTTCATTGTCGACCCGCTCAATAAATACTTGGGTCGTCGGGGTGAGATCTTCTTGACCGGCCTGTGTCTCACTGCCACCCCCATCGGCTCTGGATTTGCGCAAACATGGCAAGGTTTGTTCGCCGCGCGATTTATAATGGGCATCGGCATCGGAGCAAAAAACGCTACGGTTCCAATCTACTCTGCTGAGATGGCTCCTCACCGCATCAGAGGTGCCCTCGTCATGTTCTGGCAGCTCTGGGTCGTCATAGGCATCTTCCTCGGATTCTGCGCCAACGTCATCGTCAAGGATACTGGAAGTATTTCGTGGCGTCTTCAGCTTGGCTCGGCCTTCATCCCGTCTTTCATCCTGGCCTGTGGTATCTACTTCTGCCCCGAGTCGCCAAGGTAACCTGCTTCACCTACTGCGTCCGACGCCCTGTCTGCATCGCTAACATGACCCAGGTGGCTCATGAAGCACGGCAAGATTGCCAAAGGCTTTCGATCCATGTGCAGGTTGAGGCACCACAACATCATCGGAGCCAGGGACTACTACTACTCGTTCGTCATCTATCAGGAAGAACTGAAGTTGTCCGCCAATTCCACCTACTTCACCCGTCTTTGGGACTGTTTCTCCGTGCCTCGCATCAGGCGCGCAAACTACGGTGCCTCCACTGTCATGATTGGTCAGCAGATGTGCGGTATCAACAGTAGGTCACAGCAGAAACTCGACGAACACGCTCGACGCTAACGAAGCTCAGTCATCTCTTTCTACAGCTCGACCATTTTCGAGCAGGCCGGTTACTCGTCAACGAAAGCTCTGTACGCTTCCCTGGGCTACGGCGCCATTCAAGTGCTGTCCACGATCCCTACGCTGTTCCTCATCGACAGCAAGGGCAGGCGAACGTTGGTCCTGGCCGTAAGTGATTACACTATTCCTGCCCGTGAACTCAACTAACAACAGAACGACGCAGACCTTCCCTCTCATGGCCCTCTTCCTGCTCTGCGCCGGACTCAGCTCAGATCCCATCGTTGACCCAAAGACGGCATCCAAGGCTCTACGTATCGGTCCCGTAGTACTCTTCGTCTACCTCTTCACCATCTGCTACGGACTTGGAGAAGGACCGATTGCATTCCAGTACTCTGCTGAGGTCTTCCCGACTATTCAGCGTGAGCAGGGCATGGCTTGGGCTGTGTGCATCAACAACACGTTCGCCGGTGTTCTCAGCTTGACCTTCCCGCGCATGTCGACAGTGATGACGCCAGCCGGAGCGTTTGGCTTCTATGCTGGCCTCAATCTGATTGCCTGGGGCATGATGTTCTGCTTCGTCCGCGAGACCAAGCAATTGACACTGGAGGAGCTGGACCGTAAGTTGCACTCCCTCTCACTACTCCTGTGCTTCGCTAACGTACCTGCAGAGGTCTTCTCCGTCCCAACCAAGACGTTCTTGCACCACGAATCGACAAAGATGGTCCCGTGGTGGTTCAAGACCAAGGTCTTCCGCATGAAGGGCATCGAAAGGCCGCCGCCGATCATCGAGAAGGCCGACTACAAGCAGAACTAGGTCGGATCATCCACTTGCAACGCAGGTCGTCCACTGCTACAGCTTTCGGCTGTACACAGGCCGCTGCGTACACTAGACAATCTATGAGAGCATCTAGATAATACGTCCATCTACCGTATCTTGTCCTTGCCCTCACTCGACCCGTCACGCAGACTCCTAGTCTTCGCACGAGACGATCGTCTCGTAGCACTTACCGCTTTCACAACTCTCGTCGGTGTGGCGCTCGACACCGCTTTCGTCGGCTTCACAGAAGCACTCCCACTAGGACCCACCCCAACACCACCACCCACCACCCCATCCTCTGCCCTCCCCTGCTTCAACCCCTCAACAATGCCCCCAATCCTCCTCCTCCTCCCCACCTCCGTCTTCAACGCCCCCAATCTCTGGCACAACACATACCTCTCCCCCCTCCCCAACTCCTCCCACCCCGCCCTCGCCTCCTCATCCCCCTCAATCGCAGCCCGCAACTCCCCATCAACCACCATACCCGCTTGCCCCGCATACGCCCTCTCCCACCTCCCATCCGCTTTCGCCTTCTCCACCTCCAGCAACCCTCTCGCCGTCATCCGCCCTTCTGCTTCCAGACGCGCGATGTGGGCGACGTTGCGCTGCGACCAGGAACTCGTTTTCGTACGAGGAGTGAAGCGGTGGTAGTAGGTGGAGGCGTCGTTGCGGCGGGCTTGGCCGTCGATCCAGCCGTGGCAGAGCGCTTCGTCCAGGGCGAGGGCGTAGGTGAGGGAAGTGGGAGTTGTCACGCCCTTTTTGGCCAGGGTGAGCCAGACGCCGACAGAAGTTTCGGCTTCGCGGAAGAGCCATTGGGACCATGTTGTGGCGTTGGCTACTGTGAGGACGGGGAGCTCTTTGGGCATATTGGATGGAGGGGTGTTGTGGTGAGTGACTATGCTGGTGATGGCATGACCCAAATGCCGTTAAATGTGTTGGATTTACTGGGCCGTTGTCTGGCGATCTATCCAGACGTCGTTTCGTCGTTGCGTTCGGGATGAAGAGGGAGTGAAGTCAGACTAAGGTGCGTGTAGGTTTATGAGGCGCAGGCCAGGCAGCCGACCATGCACTCCCACTTGAACATCAGGAGAGCGTATCTGGGTAGATTTGCACTCCAACTTTCAATGGCACAGATGGTCCTCACTTTAACTACCTGAGGTACGACAAAGTGGTAGACGTCGAAATACAGCTATAGATACGACCTACCGCCACACCCTTAGCACGACCGTGCGCCTATAACTTCGACATACCCTGCAAATCAGGCTCCCTCTTCGGTCCCTGTACGCAGCATTAGCAACTCACTCCTCATGTTCAGACGAAGGCAGAGCAGTGAGACTCACCATAAACCCAAACAAATACCCAGCAACCTTCCTCATCTGAATCTCCTCACTCCCCTCGGTAATCCTATACCGCCTATGATGCCGCCAAATATGCTCAAAGGAACAATGCCGACTATATCCCCACCCGCCATGGACCTGGATCGCCCGGTCCGCGGCCTCGGTGCACAGCCGGTTACCCCAGTAGTTACACATGCTGATCTTATCCCCCAGCTTCGACTCGACCTCGACGTGCGGCATGCGGTCCATGTCCGCCGCGGTCTTGCGGATCAGGAGACGCAGCATCTCGCACTGCGTCGCCAGCTCGACGAGCGGGAATTGGATCGCTTGGTTCGTCGCCAGAGGTTTGCCGAAAGGACGACGTTGACGGGCGTACTTTACGCTTTCGTTAACGCAGTAGCACGCCGCTCCAAGCGAAGAGGCGGCTTGACGGATGCGGTTCTCGTGCACGAAGGCTTGGGCGAGGGCGAGGCCTTCGTTTTCCTTGCCGAGGATGGCGTCGGCGGGTACCTTGACGTTCTTGAGCGAGATGGTAGCGTGATCGGTGGGCATGTTGAGGGTCCATTGGTAGGATTCGATTTTGAAGCCGGGGGAGTTGGTGGGGACCACGAAGCAGGTGATGCCTTTTGCGTCGCCGTTCTTGCCGCTCGAGCGTGCGAACAGGAACGAATGCGTCGCTTTGTGGGCGCCCGTCTGCCACATCTTGCCGCCGTTGATCACCCAGCTTCCATCACTCTGCTTCTCTGCCCGGGTGTCCATGTGCGTGGCATCGCTGCCATGTCCCGGCTCCGTCAAGCCGAACATCACCCTCGTCCTCCCCTCCAAGCTCCCATGCGCAAAGTCCCGCTTCTGCTGTTCCGTCCCAAAGTGCTGCACCATGATCACCGTCGGGAAGTTGCCAACAATACTATGCTCGTTCTGCAAATCATTGAACAGCCCCAGCCCTTTGGTCGCCAGATGTTCCCGGATCACCGCCATCCACAGGTTGGCGCCTCGACCGGAGTCTTCGTTCTGCCCGCCGAACTCGCGGGGGAGGGAGAAGCGGTAGAAGCCAGCCTTGTCGGCCATTTTCTTGCACTGGGTCAGGAGATCTTCCCATTCTTCGCGGGGCAGGCCGCCATTGTCCCAGTCGGTGCGGGCGTGTTCGCGGCGGTGGTCGAAGAAGCGGTCGTTGTCGTTGGAGCGTTGGAGGGGGGTGACCTCGTCTTCGATGAACTTGTCGAGACGGCCCAGGTAGTTTTGGAGGTCGGCGGGGATGTCGAAGTTCATGGTGGTGATGAATCTAACAGAGCGACAAATGGAAAGACGATGTTTACTTACGCTTCATTGACAGTGAGAAGAGGCATTGGAGAATGGGAGTGTAGATATATGCTGTTGTGGTTGTAGACTGCCTTGGCCGGGCACCGAGGCAAGCATTGGAGAGAGCAGAGGTGAGATTGCGGAGTAGAATGGAGATGGCGAGTCAGGTCCATCTAATACAGCTCTTGATCCCCTTCGACTGCTGTAGATGGCGATAACTGTCGATGAAATGGAAGCTACTGGTGTTGTTTTCGCGACTCCGTATCCTCTCCAGGGAGGACTCGACGTTGTGGAAGCGAAGTACAATATCGCAAACTCTTCCCACGTCGCACGTGTAGGGCTGTCAAGCTTGACCTGCGTCGTCTGTCTCTCACCAGTCTAAGGTACATTGTACGCTCAAACCAGTATAGCTCACATCAAGATCCACCAGCCGAGTCGCGGAGTACCTTACACCATCTGCGAGACTCCAGCTCTCTCATAACGTCGTGCCTACATGTACTCGATGTACTCTGAGCAACTTGCTGGCTCGTGTCGTCTGCGATCGCCCGTGTGAAAGCCATCAAGGCGCTTCCCGACATGGACGACCTGAAAGTTTCCACCTCAGCCAGCCTCTCTCTGGTCCCGCGGGACTCTCTTCATCGCAGCTCGAAGCACCTTGTTCCCCAATTGGGTGCCAGCAATAGGCTGAATTCCTGCAATCCCGTATTTGCATACCTTGGGAACGATGTGGCAGCTGAGCATCTTCCAATGTAGCACACTCGGCTTGCTGGGGCCCTGCACAGGATGTATTCTTCAGCAGCCAAAGTGCCAGTCCAGCCATCTAGATGGATGGCAGACAGGATGGCTTCAGCTGAAGAAGATGCGCGGGTGAGTCGAGCTGCAGATCTATTGGGAAATACTGCATCTCCCATACTCCTCAGCCAGCCCTCGGGCAGTCATGATGGAGGTCAAGTATGGGAATGACACACACACCAACTCATTCTCATCGCAAGATCTGAAAAGCCTCTATAAGAACGCTCATCATTCCCCTTCATCGTTCTTCAGGTCTTACAAGCACTACATCCTCCATTGCGGCAACATTCTCCGATCCAGTTCTTCAGGTCTTACAAGCACTACATCCTCCATTGCCTCAACATTCTCCGATCCAGTACCCAGCCATGGCGACAACGGCAAGTACAGCTCTATCCACGAACACTCGCGTGAGACTGACATGACCGCACCGCAGAACGGCCCCGCCCTCTTGATCTACCGAAGCAACAACGACGAATGGTTCGCCGCCGTGGCCAACACGAGCACCAAATACGCCTTCACCGACTACAACGGGGTCGTCTACTTCTCGCGCGCCATGTCCATCGGCATGCCCGAGGACGTGGACGCCATCATCCAGGCGGGTCTGGTCTTCAAGGGGAGCGACTTGGACGCTCCCGCCATTGTGGCCGATCTGCTCCAGACGACGAGCTCGGTGTCTTACGAGGCTGTTGTCATCTACGTGGTGCCTGAGGAAGGCGCGTTCCTGGGGGAGTTCATGGTCGAGGCGGGAGAGGCGCTGTTGGTGCTTGTGGGTATGGCTTTCAGGGCGCAGGCGATGGGGAATGATGATGAAGTACGTGCCGTTCGCATGCCTTCTCCCCTTGATGGAGGACGCTCTCTCTGATACGAAACAGACTGTGAACCCTTTGTTGGCGACGGACGAGGGTCCCAACCAGAGCGCTTCACCGTTGGACGCCATGAAGACGTCGATGATGCGGATGCCCGTGCGAAACCGGCGCATTAGAACCATGGCCGATAGCCCCGATTTCAGGTAAGCATAACAGGCCTCGAAGAGGACGGCATAAGATCCCAGAAAGATGCTAAATGAAGCCCCAGCATCGTTTGCTCCAATCTCCTCAACGGCGCGGTCCAGGCGGATTTCAACCTGATCGGCAAAAGCTGGCCAGACAATTCCTGGCCGGTGCGCCTGATTACCACGCCCAGCGCCAAGCTAGCCTCCAATGGTCGCGAGACGCTGTCGTGGTTGCAACACTTGAGCGATATCGCCCTCGGACCATACGACGCCTTCCTCATCTGGCAGAACGCTCGCACGGGTACGTGGTTCGGCGTGATGAACCATGTGCCGTTGCAGGAGTATCATGCCGGCAATGCTCGTAAGTGCGCTCTGTTGGAGTCCTGCATCTCCTTACGACCCACCATGCTTTGCTGATACGGTCCCAGCAAGCTATAAAGTCTCTTGGTCCGGCGGCGGGAACAACCAGGCGGAATGGATCTGGCCGGTCTCCGACACAAGTTCTTCGTGGACCTTCCCAAAAGAGCTGGGGTACAAGGTCCGCGTCGATCCAACGGCGGGTGGGCAGGTGAGTGAAGCTGCATCCGGAGTGATTCATTCTGCCAGATGTTCGACCTTACTGACGACGATGTAGAGCCTATTGCTGAGTGTGACTGTTTCGGCGCTGGACTGAGCGTATGTCCGAGAGACCCGCCAGTGGTTCTGTGAATATGTATCTCTCCGGGCCAACTTGTTGGCAGTCAGGTGGTCAGGAAGAGCGAAATGGCCAGAAGCGATCTTAGATGCCCACTATCACAGAGTAGGACGATAGGACGAAGCGTTTGCCTTGACCTCTATACTCTCAATCTCTTCCGAAGGCTGTTATTTGTGATCTCCTCTGCAGAATTGGAAGGCGATGCTCTTTTGATTATTCGCTACTTTGTGTGTACTCATGGGCAGGGCCCGAGCATGTGCAAGCGAATACCGTTGTTTGCCGATATCCCCCGATGGTCTTATTGTTGTTGTTATTGTTCGACAACGAAGAGAGGTCGTTACGAAGGTCATCACCGTAGCCAGTCGTTAGCGCGATTATAGTAAACAGACAAAGCATCTGATAACGGCTTGAATTTGTAGTTGTACGTGTAGTTGTAGTTGTTCTTCCGCCGTCTTCCACCTCGCACGTGCAGGGCTGTCAAGAGCTTGATCTACAAGTTGGCCCGTGCGGCTTCCCCACACGATCACGCACTGGGCGTGGCAGCCGCGACTCGAAGTGCCTCCGCTGTGCATGCAAGACGCCGGCAAAGAGCTCTCCAAAGCAACCTCACCCACTGGCTGTGACGTTCGTTGACCACCACCTCCGCTTCGATACTTGCTGCTTGTACTCCCGGCCACTCCCCGGCACTCGTATTTCCACCCAGTGCTACCTCCGCCACCGCTGCCGATTCTTCTCCTTCTTGGCACCAACTTCCTGCTCCACCACCTCCAGCCTGGAACCGCTCTCGCCTCGCCCAGGGTCTGCGCATCAACCACGCGACTGGCATCTATCCCTCTCCCTTCCACCCTTCCGGCGTCGCATTGCCATTCTCAACACCACATAAGAGCCGGCTGAGGGATGCTGCCGTCAGAGAGAGGCTGATCTCCGACGGTGCCGCCGGCGGAAGAGGTGCGATATTCCACTTGAACTACCAGTACAACCCACGCGCAACCTTCGCTCTCCACTGCTACCGCACCGAAACATCCTGCCAGCCGCTCGTTACGACGCACTGCATCTGCCGTGAGCTCGAATCATGGACGGGCGCAACTTGTCCTTCGGCGGGGACGGCATCGACTGGAGCGACCCGGCCTTCAGCTCGGCGGAATTCCAGGACTCGCTGGTCGCTGAGTCGCCATGGGGTAACAGCGCTCTGAACGACTTCACCAACCTTGCCGACTACAGCGATAGCCCTGGGTTTGGTCTTCGCACCCCTTCCAAGTCCGGCCCTGATGCTATGGCGGTTGCAGGCGCACAGCAGGCTCCCCCAACCCTCCAGCAGATGCCGACAGAATCGAGTCAAGACTCCTCGTCAGACTCCTCCAGCAGAAGGAAGCGCAAGTCCGCCTCAGACTCTCCCATGCCGGACGGCTCTGCGGCGGACTCTAAGATGCAGGATACAGCGTCGCCGGGCCCAAGCAGCTATCAGACCACACCGGTATATGAGCAGAGTTATGGACGGCGTATGCCGAATCTGGCCATCGAGCAAAGCATATCTGACAACGGCGACGACATGTTCAACTTTAATAGCACGGCTTCCAGCCCAAATCTACCGCGGGACTTTAACCAACAGATGACACTGAACGCCAACATGGCTATTCGAAGGGCACCAGGAGCTCCGCCGCACATTCAAGAATCACCAGCCACCATCAATCCGGGCATGTTCACCGTAGGGCCATCACGAGATCAGTCACCAGCAGCTAATAACGTCATGTTTGGCACTGCATCTCCCAACGCAATATTTTCTACACCTTCTTCTGACAGCAATGACTTCGCCGTCAACACAAATTGGAATGCCAACATAAATCAGAATCCTGCCTGGCCATCGGAGTTCAACAATCAGTTTGCCTCCCCTGGTCTTGCTTTTACGCCTTCTCCAGTCGCAAACGGCGGCACGCCATCAGTGGCCACTCGTGCAGTTGCGCCTCGCAATGGCCGATCTCCTCTACACGTCGCGCCCATCTCTACCAAATCTAGGGTCGAGACTCAGATCAATGTTGTCATGACATTGGAGAAGCCACAGCCAGGCTTTGATCATCTGCATCTACCACTGCACACTATCGCCAAGTCGAAACTACTCGCCAAGGAAGACTATGACAAGTCAAAGGTGCTGGAACTGCATACCATGCTTGTGTGCACCAGCGCAATGCACAACGCCACTATGAAAGAGAAAGCCCTCAGACGAGCTGCGGCGCAAGATAACGCCGACATCCAAAGGAAAGCGGAGATGCATCGAGAGGAAGACCTCAACAGAGTCGAGATCAAAGGCGAGGATGACGAAGACAGACCTGCGAATGGTGGCGAGGTGAAGATATGCACCAACTGCATACAGCGTGAGCGGAAGCGGGCAGGCCGCAAGAAGTTGAAGAAAGAAGAGGAGCAGCAGCATTGGGAGCGGTACGAGACGGAGAGAGTGGTGGTGTTCAATTCGAATGAATACCTCCCATTCAAGCCGGCCGAGCAAATGCAGCAGCCGCAGCCGCAGCGGGATGGTGCAGTCGTGCAGGATGAGGCGTACGTGCCACCCGAAGGTGCGATTTCAGTCCAAGCACAGATGCGTATCGCCTGTTACTGTCGGCATCAGAGCGAGAAGGAAGGCTTTCAGGTCATCTTCACCATGAAGGATCAGCACGGGACTGTTGTCGCCCAGCAGATCTCTGATTCCATCCTCATTACCGATGATCACAAGACGCACCCACCTCAGCTTACAACAATGTCGAGCGAATTGTTGTACAACCACCCGCAACTGTCCCAAAACGGACTCCAAACGTCTTACTCCATGGTGGACCTTCAACCTCACTCACAGCCATTCACCTCCTCGCGCTCTGCTGGAAACCTGCAAGCGTTGGGCTACAGCCAACAACCGCAGTTCAACCCGCATAGCCATGTTCATCAGCTGCCGAACAATGGCTACGCCTCGCAGGCGACGTCCGCGACCATGACACCCACCTCCTTGTCGCGACCCGGCTCTCCCTCAAGTGCTGGCCAAGTAGGACCGAACAAGAAGCGCAAGTCGTCGAGCTTCCACAAGAGGCTACCGAGCGGCTTGCAGATGACGCCCCGTGTCGATACGAATCAGCCGTCGTCGGCCAATGCTTTATCTGGAGTGACCATGTCCTCAAACTTCTCACCCACAGGTACAGGCTTCGCCCAGAACGACCCATCGTTCATGACCATTCCAAACAACGCCGCTCCCGCCCAGTACTTCGGTAGCAATCCGTCGACACCGGCGAATGAGCACCCCGGTTTCGCCTTTGGTGCACACCATCAGCTAGAAATGAGCCGACCACACAACAACGCAGCATACTTCTCCCACCCTTCTTCAGCTGTGCCCAGCCGGTCCAACTCGCCTGTCCTCCAACACGGCCGCAACCTATCCGGCTACGCCCCGGGACGAGCACCTCTCCAAGCGGCCAACAGCCAGCTCAATCGCACTACGCAACAATTCTACGGCGGCCTACCAGCAGCCAGCCCAGCAGAAGAAGACGAGCCTCCCCGCCCCGTCATTACCAAAATCACTCCCAACTCCGGCCCGTCCATCGGCGGCACCGAAGTCAGCGTCTTCGGCTACAACTTCACCCAAGCCACCAGCATCATGTTCGGCGACATCGTCGCCCCGACGACCTTCTACGGCGAGCAGTGCCTCCTCGTCGGCAGCCCTCCGGGTCACGGCCAAGTGCGCGTCCGCATCGCCAACGCGCACGCCCCTCGGCATTCGCAATTCATGGCGAGCCAGATGCAGAGCCACGTCTTCACGTACGTGGAAGGGGACCGCCAGGCCATGGAGCTGGCGCTGCAGTATCTGAGTCAGCGCGAGACGGGCGATGCGGGGCGCTGGGTGCAGTGGACGAACGAGCTGGCGCATCAGTTGACCGGGACCAATATTTCGGGCGCGGGGATGCAGGGGCAGGGGTACGGGGGTGGGTGAAAGCACTGCGAGCTATGGATTTGGGTGGCCATGATGCTTTGTAATGCTTTGACCGCGAGGACTGTGCAGCCAGCCATGGATCTCTTCGCCGAACGACCCGCTGCTCTTGAGCCACGAGAGTCAGTGTGCATTCAAACCCGCGTCTTCGGCGTGATCTGAGGAGCCGAACAAGGCCGGAAATTCCATCCTTATGGCTTGCAGTATGCGCTGCAACGCCGATCACTGCACTCTCTGGCTTCCACGGCAGCTCGCAGGCTCTTCCTTTTCTTGTACTCATACCTTTCCTCCACACTCACGCGCGTTGCTTGCTCTGCCGGCACGTGCGCTGGAATACACACTTTTACGAAGTGGACGACGGCGTTCTACGGATGGATCTTTCAGATGGGTCGGGTCGGGTTGGGTTTGGCTACTCGGTAGCTCCAATGGATGGCGTTTGCATAGATGGGGGGGGGGGCTTGGCTTCGGGTTTCGCGGCGAGGTGTACATGGCTACGACACGATCACGAAGCTTGGCTTGCTTTTTTTTTTTCCCGCGACAGGGCTGAGGAAGGCACAACAGGACGAAGCAACGTGCCGGGAAGCATAGGCAGTTCAAAGGCGTAAAAAGTTGCTGTCTTCTGCTTCACGGGAAGTGGGAGCATGGGTTGAGTTCGTAATTATTGCATTCTATGTTCTTTGATTCAAACTTCTTCGCTACTGAAGTGTGGCGGTATGAATGAGTTGCTATCATGTTCACCCTGTGACATTGGCGGAGCTCTGCTTGTGGCTTCGTAGGCTTGGACGAAGGGCATCCGAGGAAGCCGTGGTCAAGTGTGCTTCTTACGCCTCTTCATGACGATGTGGAAGGTTTCTCAATCAGCGGCTTGACGCCCAAGATCGTACAAGATGTAGACGCTCGGGCGATGGCTGCTCTCCCGGCCAACGTGTGGTTTGAGCAGTCGACCAACAAGCCATACGACCCTGTCGTCTCTCGCAGCCACGAGACATCCAGCTTCCAGAAGGCCTTCTCAAGATCAGCCTACTTTTCTTCTCACACTCCTCACAGCAGCAGCAAAGCAGTCACTCGAGATGGTCATCAGTCAAAGCGTGCCTTACTCCACAACAGCCGTTCCACAACGTCTTCCCGCTCGGTCACGCCCGTCCTGCCGTGCAACCCACTCCTTACAACGGCCGAACATGCACGACTCCACTTTCGACCAAGCCAGAGGGTAACCGAGCTTTTTGCCTCCGCCACGACGGCCATTGGGCCCAAAGGCTGTCGCGGGCGTGCGAAGGCGAAGTAGAAAGGCGGGCGGTACACGCACGAGTACGGGAAAGGCAAGAGGGAAGGGGGGGGGGAGCGTGGAAGCGGAGGGGGGTTTTTTTTTTTTGACAGGTCTCGGAGCCGTGGTTTGGTGCTTCTCATCACATTCGTTTGGTTTGGCGGGTTTGTCAGAGGGTTTTTGGGTACTTGTGAAAAGGGACAGATCGCAATTGTGCATGCATGCATGTCTGGTACAAATGCCGTCTCCGAACCATGGCGCGAGTGAGGACTGCTGAGCGCCACACGAGATCTTGTCTCGGGGGAGACGACGGTTCTGGAGATCAGGCGGGCGCTCTGCTTCGTCGGAGCAGAGGACTGAGCCTGGTTTTGCTGCAAGCCACGAGGGCACGTTTTCTAGAGTGGAATGGGTATGCAGGAGCGTTTTGTTCGTGTTCGTGTTCGCCCGAGCTGCTACTGCTGCTGCGCGGTGAGAATCTGCTTCGTGCATATTTTCACGGCTTCGTGCGACCGTTCTGAAGGGGGGAGAGAGATTTTTCCCGTGCATGTGCGATTGCTGGGAGTGCCTCGGGTTGCTCAAAGATGTAAAACTTCCGACTGGTTCAGCATGCTCCTTGAGCATCCCAGGGTGCTGGTAACGCCAGGGAAGATGGCTTAAACGAGCGGACGATCGTGAGCTCGGTTAGAGGACACAATCTGTGCGATAGGCGGGCTGGTCCTGCGCCGCGACCGATCGGACGGAGCAGAGCGGCAGGATGAAGGAGGGAGGGGCGTGTGGTTGTTATGATTGTGGTGGCATGAGAAGAAGAGGAGATGAGAGCATGTTGGAGCGTTGTGGTGGTTGTTGCAGACTGCTACCACTTTTCGCCGTTGGACAATGCGATCATCCCGGTAGCCTCCAGGCGGGCCGTAAGTTGTCAGTGCGTTGGGTTGGGCGCTCGGTGGACGCTCGCTTCGGTATTGGTCTTGTCCTCCTAGACCGGGTTGGGAGGGCGATCATACTATGCGACTTTGTGGTGAGCACACCTCGGCTTGAAGACCTCTTGAACATGCGGTTGTTGTAAACTGCCGATGTGGAGCTGTATAGTATATTGGAAGTGTCGTTATCATTATCATCGTCGAGGTGTAGGGATGGCGATGGCTTCGGGGCAGGGAAGCGAGTGGGCACGCCTCTCCACAGCCGTGTGCAGAGCTAGAGCGTTGCGGGCCTAGCGTGAACGAGGATGCGCTCCGTCTGTCTGTTCGGCGGGAGGTGTGCTTCTCATCTCTCTCTCTCTGATACAACCACTCCCTCGCCCATTCGTCGGGCCTGCGTGTATACCGTGGGTAGACGACGGCGACCACCATTTCTACCACTCTTTGTATACGCTACCAGACGAGTCTGATCTCACCCAGAGATCCGCTCAGCCCGACAAGGCCCGCCCGATTTTCCAGCTCCAGCCCTGAATCGCGGGCTTCCGAACCTGCTTCTCTCTCGTCTCATCTCACTGCGACGAGCGCACTTCAACGCCGCGACAGCACCACTGCTCCGCCCCGGCGCCGCATTCTTACCAGGCTGCATTTCTCTTCCACCCAGCGGCGCGTAACTTGGCAGCTCCTGGGACCGCACCGTGTACGTATTGCTTCATCCCTTGCGCCCTCGCCAACTGCGCGGGCCAATCCTACGTTCCGCGCGCCTGGTAGCTTGCACCGAGACCAACACACTGGATTGCAGCGTGCAGGTCATATAACCTCGAGCATGCTGCCATGTTTTGTATACTTCTGCAAGATCATTGACTGACTGCGATACAGCTGTACTCTGCATCTGCCTGTGCTGCTTGGCGTAGTGATTCACCATGGAGTCGAGAGAAGGTCCCGGCCTGAAGGCCGTCGCGAACGAGACTCAAAGCTTCGCATCGAGGACCACTAGAGAGGGCAAGAAGTATTCGTATGAGTTGTTGGTGCTTCAGCAGCCTACTCGTGCCAGGGCTTGTGGAGCTGGAGCGAAGTGTACGTGACTCTTTCATGAAGCCACTCGGAATTGGTATACTAACGTCCTGCTGCAGCCTCAGCCGACCGTCGACCAGTAGACCCGCCGCCGATTGTGCGACTCAAAATCTTCGAGGTGGACGACCAGTCGAAGAACGATGTTACCTTCGGTATGAACGCAAACTACTTCTTGTTTGCCACGCTGGAACAAGCTCGAGTCATGGCCAATGGCCGTGTGGGCTCGCAAGACCAGAAAGGCTTGACTGTCCTGACCGGCACACCTGTCGCGGGCATGGTCTGTTTGGAACGCCCTGATCCGGCCGGCTACTTCATCTTTCCGGATCTTTCTGTACGCCACGAAGGATATTACCGGCTCAGCTTCAGTCTGTATGAGGAGTTGAGGGAGGCCAAGGACGAGGACCAGGGCGAGGAGGTTCCACGGACCAACGGCAACGACGGATCGCATGTTACCCACAGGCTGGAAGTCAAGTCCAAACCCTTCCAAGTGTACAGCGCAAAGAAGTTCCCGGGTCTTACCGAGAGCACGTCGCTGAGTCGTACGGTCGCTGAGCAGGGCTGCCGCGTGCGCATCAGAAGGGATGTACGTATGCGCAAGCGTGAGGGCAAGAGTGGGAAGGACTGGGAAGGCTATGAGGATGAGACTGCAGACGCCAGGGCACGCATGTCTGCTACGCCCGAAGCAGCCGGTTATGCAGCGCATGGATTTGATCCCGTACCACGACCGCGGTCCAACAGCAATACGAGTCACCACTCGATAGCGCCGTCGCTTACCCTCTCACGACGACCTTCGCAGCAAGAGATGAGCCAAGGTTATCACCCCACTGCATATGGCACGGCGCCGCACACACCACAATCGGCGTACCCTCAGACGTCACCTTATGGTGCCTCGCCGGCCTCGTCGTACGCTCAAGCTCCCTTCGTGCAGCAACCCTCTTCAATGCAGCCGCCTCCACCTCAGTACCAACATCCATCATACCAGCAGCAACCTCCCATGTCTCAAGCAGCGCCTCCACAGCACGGATACTATTCACACGGGTCCGCGGCACCTCCTCCTCCACCGGTTACATCGTACAGCCCGTACCCGCCTCCACCGCCGACTTACGAATCGCAAGAGCAGCAGCATCACCGGATGAGTATGGAATACAACCATCCACAACATGACCACCACCGGTTCTCTTCACAATTCACGGCGCCACTTCCGCCGCCCGCTGTCCAGCCGAGCTATGCACCACCCTCACAGTCCAACTACTATGCACCCCCACCACCACAACATCAACCGTCATACTCCACTCCACAGAGAAGTAACAGTATCGGCCACAAGCCTCTACCTCTCGAGCCGGTCCAGCCGCCAACACGGACCACTGGAGCCTCCACGCCCACCTCTGCGCGTGCCTTCTATCCAGAGAACCGTTCTGAGAAGTTGCCACCTATTGCCAGCCTCAACCACAACATGCACGGCAGCAAACTCGAGCCCGCTGCGCCCATCTCCACCGCCCCTCACAGCGGCTACCAAGCAACGTCCGCTGGTTCTCGGCTAGACTCGCACAAGCGCGGCTACGGAGAAGTCTTTCGTGAACAACACCAACCACTGCGGTATGGCGCGCGGCCGAGCGAATCTGGCAACATCTACTATCCCACCCCGACCGAGGTAGATGACAACGACAGCACTGGCGGCAGCTACGAAGACTCTCAGCGCTATGCCAACTACCGGCGAGCCGATGGGCGTTCGGGACACCGTTATCTCCAACAGCCGGAGGACGAGGTTCACGCATGACTACAATCGAAGACAATGCCTCGCTTCCATTAGAGGCTCAGCGCATCTCGGGTCTTGGTTAAAGAGCTTTGATTTCGGGCGGGTGATGTGAAAGCAGAGCATGGCGTTGTTGGTTATGGGTGCTTTTGGTCCCTGCAATAGATGGGTGCGGTGAACTCTCGACGTTAGGGATGGGGCCTCGGTTTCACAGGCTATCTCGGCGAAGCGACGGTGTTCTAATGCTGGGTTGGTGAAACTGTGGTGCTTTTGGGTTTGGAGATCGAATTCGGTTCTCGCTTGTTACGACAGCTTACGACTTATTCTAGGGTTGAGGATGGGGATAGGGGGGGAGGAGAATAGGTTGGTAGATCAATTCATTCGAACCGGACAACGCTATGCTCTGATTTTCCATGATGGTAGGGAGCTTTGTTAGGCTCAGTACCGATGCCTTGGCTCATGCTTGCGACTAGCAGAGCTCGGAAGATGTGGTATCCTGGCTGCTGGGTCTGCGTTCTTAGCACTCTTGCTCGACGACGGCATCTTTTCCAAACGCCTCAATTTCCCGGCTGCCGCCCTCGCCCATCTGCAGGGGAATGATCGGAAGCTCGGCTTTCCGCTCGTATAGGACGCCTTACGCACCAAGCAAGCAATGACCGACCTTCAATCAGCGACACCGACTCATCTGCTATAGTCACCCACCTCACCTCGGTGGCGGCCTTGGAGGCCCAAAAACCACCTTCCCCTTCACCTCCCCAATCCCACACCCAAGCACCTCCGCCAGCCGAGGAGCAAACCTCCTGGCTTTGCCCGCCATACTTACGGGCGTAACCCCATCCCCATCCGCATCCGCAATCCTCGCATCGCCCCCATGCTCAACAAACCACCGCAGCGTCTCCACAGCCTTACCCTCCATACCGCTGCCGGGCCGCACCATGACGATGTCGTGCGCAGCCATGCAGCCGAAGCGGTTCCCCGTGTTTATCTCCCCTCCACCGTCAAGAAGGAGCTGCGCATAGGCCGGCTCGCTGTAGGGTTTCGTGCTAACGGCGTGCATCAGGGCCGTGGTGCCTGACATGTCCGCCCCGTTACCCTGACGCCAGAGGCGACGAGGAAGCAGGCGATGGAGAGGTAGTTTTCGCGCGCGCTGGCGAGCGTGGAGGTAGAGGAACATGAGGGTCACGTTGTAGACCGGTACGGCTGTGGGACCCCAGCGGAGGGCGAAGAGTTCGTCCGCGGCTGCTGCGTCGGAGGTGGTCGCTGCGCGGGAGGAGAAGTCTGAGCGGAGTTTGCCCGGGTTGCTGGCTTTGAGGAGGCGGCCGTAGGGGGCATTGAGACCGGTTTCGAGGTCGAGGGATTTGGATGTGCAGAACGTGCATAGGGCCTGGCTGTCCATGCCGGAGAGGACATCGTGGGAGTTCTTGAGGTCTTCTAGGGTCCTGGGATGGGTTATTGAACTGTGTCCGTAGTGGGAGCGTTGTTGAATTTACCTGTTGGAACGGGGCTTGAGTCTGGTTGCCATCTTGTGCTCCCCTATGGACCTGTCAAGGTCATCGCTGCGACTGATGCGGTTGGTCTACAAGGGGCGACATTATATACTCATGGAAGCAGTGTGTTCGTTGCCTGGGTGACTTGGACAGTCTTTTACACGTACTCGCCATACTTAACTTCATTTCTCACATGATTCGCCCAATGAGGCAGTTACGCTGAATTGCGTTCACATCACGCATACGCCCATTAGACCCAAACGTTACGCTGTCCTTGCAGGATAGCCATATTCCTAGTTACATACCAGTCAACGAAGCACCCGACATGGCTCGATTTTTCCTGCTCACCAGAAACGCTCCTCTCCCGAAAGCCATAGAATCTCACTCTCCATCACATCACCAACATCCAAACCATCCCGCAGACTCTGCAATCTACAATCCTCCGAACCGTCAATACCCGAACCTCACGCCCTCGTGAACCAAACCGGAGTCGCGGAACCACACCCAAGACCTCCCACCCCTCGTGTTCTTGGCCGGCACGTCATACCCCGATGCAAAACCGGGATGCCCACCCCTCCACACTCCCACCAAGTTACTTCCAGCCCTGTCAGGCTCGGGCGCCACGAGACCGCGATCTAGCCACACGCAAGCTCTCAATCAGCCTTCCGACGGCGCGGAGGGAGGATTGGAGCTCTCGTACCAGACCAGACAAGACGCAGGCTTTTTGCTGAGAGGAGCGGTGCGATGCCGTCACAGGTGAGGGATGATGTAGTAGGCGGAGGGTATAAAGTTTGTTCAGAACGATAAGAAGGACGAGCTGTTTTTCAATCTTCCTTCGCGAACCTTTGCACAAGAGAATCCGTACACAAAGCCCATTTTACCAGCAACAACAAGAACTATCACCATGCCTCCCAAAGAACCAACCGTCGTCGCCGACGAGAACGACTCCAGCTACGTGGACGGCCCTGCGTACGCTCTCCCCTCCCTCCCTCTCCCCCCCCCCCCCCACACCACAACACTACTGACAAAGTGTGATACAGCAACTCCGGCCCCCGCGGCAAGACCTCCAACCCTGCCGACAATGTTGGCGGGACGTCGTAAGTTTGACCTCTCCTCCCATACCCATAAAGCGAATGGCTTCTGGAAGTGTAGAGTACGCTGACGGCGTGAGCAGCAAGGACGGCGGTCTGAGCACAGCAGCGACTGTCGCCGACGGCGGACCGGACGATAAGAAGGACGACCCGAGCTATAAGCCTTCATAGACAGGATGTATGGGCAAGTGGGATGGAGGGGCGAGAGAGCTGTATGCTACCTACCAGCTAGCCAGCCTTCCTAGGCCCGCCCGATGAATATCATGAACTTGACGAGACTTGCGCTTATAACAGTTTCCTATTCATTTCGCCGCCCGCAATAGTCAAATAACAAAAGGTGCGTGAGACGAGAAGGGGAACTGTAGCGCACGTGAAACCCATTCCGCATAGCTTACGAACTGCCCTCCACCAAAGCTTCGTACTTCGTCAAGCTGATGCACACGATCGATGCACGACATTCGCAAGGTCAGATCGCACTCGACCGCGACACCCACTCTTTTCTTCCATCGCAACACCTTCAGAACGAAACAAGTGCAATTGTCATAATCATCCATATCTATTAGAATTCGCCAGAGCTGGCATCTAGCATCTAGCATTTCTCAATCTATCACTTACATGACAGACTGCCGGTCGTCAGTTCAGAAAGATAAAGACCTTCCCGTTCCCATCCAACGCCGCGCTAAAGCGCACCAAGGACATCATCGTCTCTGCCTCTCCCATCTCAACGAGCGACCGAGAAGAGGCAGCTTGATCATGTCGCATCAAAATCACTCGCTATCATCCTCCACCTCCACCATCCGGCCCCTCCGACCTCTCGTCTCCTGCTCTTGCAACGCCTTCGAAAGGTCCGCCGGCGGCACACCCAGCCCATTCCGGTTACGGAAGAACATGACGTTGGCGTTCTCGCCCTTGGCGCCCTCGTTCGGCTCGACCCACTGGCACCAGCGCGCGCTGTTCCAGAGGGAGCGGATGAAGCCGATGGAGCCGCCTTCGGTGTTGGAGCGGTAGTGCTGGCCCATGACGGGCTTGATGGCCTCGGTGGCCTCGTCGGCGTGGTAGAAGGGGATGGTGCTGACGTAGTGGTGCAGGACGTGCGTCTCGATGATGCCGTGGAAGAGCTGGCGGCCGATGAAGCCGAACTCGCGGTCGATGGTGGCTGCGGCGCCGCGGGCGAAGTTCCACGTCGCGCCGGTGTAGTGGGGGAGGGAGGGGTCGGTGTGCTGGAGGAAGGTGATAGCGACTAGTCTTAAGGTCAGTACAGTTCTCAGATTCTTGGGTTCAGGTAGTCTTACCGAGCCAGTGGTTTACCCAGAGGTACGGCAGGATGTACCACACAAGCAGGTTCGTGAAGCCGTACGTCCGACCGACGAGGAACAGGATGGAGGCGGTGATGAGCAGGCCCAAGTCGGAAAGCAGAATGAGCTTCTCGTCCTTCCTCTCGTACAGCGGGCTCTTCGGGTTGAAGTGGTTGACGCTACCGTTGCCGTTCTTACGCCCTGCTCCCTTGCCCTCAGGCTGCTTCTCGTGGTTGTTGTGGCCAGTCACGTTGGACAAGAGGTACATTGGCCAGCCGCCGATCTGCTGCGATAGAAGATGGGTGGCGGTGTAGATTGGCGTCTCCTCCAGCAACTCGTGCATCTCCTCCGACACGAAACCGCCCCTCTTGGCATGCTCTTCTCGGGTACGGGGGCAGAAAACCATATCACGCTCGAGGTTGCCAGTGGCCTTGTGGTGCTTGCCGTGGCTGATCTTCCAGCTGAAGTAGGGAACCAGGAGTGCCGAATGGCAAACCCAGCCGACGGTATCGTTCAGTGTCTTGCTGGGAGAGAAGGACTGGTGACCGCACTCGTGCGCCAACACCCACAGACCGGTACCGACGAGGCCCTGCACGAAGGTGTAGCCCGCCCACAGACCTGCTCGCAGTGCCATCGAAGGCACATACTCGGGTGTGCAGTAGTTGTTGAAGGCGTAGAAGGTGGCTCCGAGGGTGGCGATGTCGCGGGCCACATAGCTCAGACCACGGACGGCGGACCGCTCGAAGCAGTGCTTGGGGATGGCATCTCTTATGTCCTTGATGGTGTAGTCGGGCAGCTTGAACTCGTTGCCGTAGCTGTCGATCAGCTTCTGCTCGGGCTCTTTCTGGAAGTCCTCGACGGAGCCGAGGGAGGATAAGGATGTCGAGGAGGCGGAGCCAGTGGGCGAGTCGTCGGGGGTGCCAGCGAGGGAGTTGGAGACGGTGGAGGGGGTCGAGTCCACGGTGACGTTGCGTCGAAGGCCCGCCCTGGCGGGAAGGGCAGTGGTGCTCATCTGGGCGGTGGGGTTGGTGGTCGTTTCTGCCGTGGGGTTGTGTGTGGGAGCGAGAATGACAGAGACGGGTGTGAGTGAGGTGGAGGTGTATGGGGGTGGAGGCAAGGGAGGTGGACGAGGAGGAAGCGAGTGAAGGTGGACTATAAGAAGATGTGGAGGAAGCGGTGGGAAGGGACATTTTTCTTGGTGGCCGCTAGCGAGCTCTCCAACAGGGTCTGGAAGCGCTCATCGACCAAAGAACGGGCTGCTGTTGCACCTTACACCCTATCTACTGCACTTGATTGAATTTATAGCAATCACTGTCATTCACTCTATTCATCCACCAATTTTCGCGACCTCATTCACGAGATTGAGCGTGCAATGGCAGGGCAAAGACTGGCTCACGGCATATCTGTCCTTCCTGTCAGGTACGGGAAAATCTCACACAGCATGCGCCGAGACGCACCACGCAGCACGCAGATCGCGCTTGAATGTGGGCCTTCCAGGTTCTCGAGGCTCTACCGCAAACTCTCCTGCCTTTTGCCCTTCGCCTGCCGCAATCCCCAACCCACACCGCTCGCTGCCACTATCCTGTCTATAAAATAGCGTGGCATGGCAGAGGCGCCGTCGCCGGAGAGAGAATGCACCAACAGCGCTGCGGCGGCAAAGAGGTTCGGACAGCCGTCTCAGGCGATGTCGTCTTCTCCCGAGCCAGGCTTTTTCGTTGAGACGACCTGATGTTGTTGAAATGCATGGCGAATATGCCGCTGATCTCGCACCTGCCGTTTAGTCGCTGGATGATTGGCTTATCTGTAACTCACGGCGGCGGTACTGATTGACAACGATACCTTTCTCGAGTCTTTCGAGCTGTGCTGGACGTTCACATGCGTGACATATGAAGACGAGCTCGGTGTTTGCTCTCGTTCACATGCTGCTGATCATTCACATGCGAACATTAGACATGCTGGGCACGGGAAGACTCGGACTGTTGCAGAGAGGGCGTCATTCATTCGCTACACAGTTGATGCGAGCTACGACACCATTCAACGTCACTCAAGCTTTTCGTCAGTGGCAGCCATGTGTACTTCTCTTGCACTCGTGCTGTTCACCAATATAACCCTGGCATCGTCCAACCCACCCACACCTCCACACGCCTCCGCATTGTCAATGCTGCCAACTCGGCTCACGCCAACTCATGGTCGGTCTGGCCAAAGCTCCTTCGCAACATCCTGCACCAACTTCAACTTGGTGAACATCTTCTCCTCGGTCATGCCTTCCGCGCCGATAGCAACACTGGCGAAGCCGCACTGCGGACTGATGCCGATGTTCTCCATGGCCTCCTTCTCCGTCCGGCCTTGACCCTTTGCGATAATGGCCGCCGCTTCTCTTACACGGGTCTTCATCAGTTCCGCGTCCTCTAGCTGCGGGTCCTTTGTAGTGACCACGCCTAGCACAACGTTCTTGTGCTGCGGTAGGTATCTAAGAGGGTCAAAGCCGCCGGACCTAGGGTTGTCGTACTCCATGTAGAAGGTATCGTAGTTCAGCGTCTTGAAGAAGCGCTCAGCGATCGCTTCGTACGAGCCTTCGCTAAAGTGCATCGACTTGGAGAAGTTGCCTGCCGAACGGTCAGTCACTCACACCTCTCCTTATGCAAGAACAATACATACCTCGACACACATGCAACCCCACGTGCATATCCTCTGGCCGTCCAGCAATACAATCATTATGCGCCTTCAAATACAACTCGAACATGCGATCCGTATCCTCCCCATCCTTCTTCAACCCCTCCAACATATCGTCCGAGCAGAAATACGCCAACGTCGGATCATCAATCTGCAGATTCCGCAACCCCTCATCATACAACGCCCGAATCTCCTGCTGATACGCCTTCGCCAGGTCCTCGAAGAACGCCTCGTCCGTCGCATACACGCTCTTGTCAAAGCACTTGCCCGGCCCCAGGCGCAGGTGGAAGTAACACGGCGGCGGCATCGTGAACTTGCACTCGCCCCACTGCTCCTTCGGCACACACGAGCGCAGCATCTTCCAGTTCTCCAGGTACGTGCTACCCGGATTCCGGATCTTGCCCGTGCACACCGCGGCCATGGGGTATTGCTTGCCGGCCTTCTTCAAAGCCGCAATCGGGGCTGCGCTCAGGCGCGTGAGCTCCCATGGCACGGGCGAGACTTCTTTGAAGCCTTCGAGCTTCTCGAAGAAGCCCGAGAAGTAGTATTTGCGGTCGAACTCGCCGGAGCAGAGGGCGCGGACGCCGTGGGCTTGTTGCTTCTTCACCACGTCGGCGATGGCGCTTTGTTGAGTCTTGTGGAGCTCGTCTCGCGAGATTTGGCCCGCGTCGGCTTGGTCTTGTGCTTCGGAGACGGAGGCAGGGCGGATGAGGGAGCCGATGTGGTCGGCGTGGAAGGGGAGTTTGGTCACGGGCATGTTGGCTGTTTGCTTGCTTTGCAGCTGATGAAGGGAAGGATAGGAAAGGACAGTAATGATGATTCTTGCCTACTCAGCTCTGCATGCGTAGGTGGGAAATAGTGTGTCTACGACGACGACAGGAAAACCTCACCCATTTAGCCCCATCAGCAGCCCGCATGCGCATGCTCCGACTGACGTTCACATTTTAATTCGGCATCTGCTTATTGTGAATAGCTAGCTGTGCGAGGGCAAAGGCAAGGTACAACGGCAGTTGTATCTCGGTCGGGCAGCAGCAGTAGCTGTGATGACAGATGTCATCAGGTGCGCAATAAGGTGGGATGCAGGAGGAGTTCGGCGGAGCAATCTTTTTTAGCCCTGAAGTGTAACCTGGGAAGTGGCATGTTTTTCTCGGCATTGATGTGGTGGGAGAGTTGCCGAGGTTTCTTCTCGTCCAGCATACACGCATGATGGTTAGATTATCTTTTTGTCGCATGGTTGCTTTCTTGTACTGTCACGCTGTACCTCCTTCCCTGTCTGAATGGGAGGACAGGACGCTCCTTCCATCAGCGAGAAAGTTTTGTTATCCTATGCAACCGCATGCACACCCACCCGAGCAGCTGCCGAGCTATGGCGTGCTGAGTGGTGCTTGTCGTGGGCAGCTATCACTCCGAGCAATCCTGAGGTAAAAGGTACGAGTCGGCCGAGCGAACGCTGTGTTGGTGCGTGCCTACTGCTGCACTTATTGAACTAGCCTGCTCCTAGCTTGTTCGGTTCTCCAAGGCCGGTTAGAGAGAGGTGCTTCGCGTAGCACCACACTTTCTCCTTCCGCTCGTTCACAGGATGGCACTTCGAAGTCCCGGAAAGCAGCCCCGGTCTCCCCATTGAGTGAGAAGCAGCAGGGATGCAGGCTTAACATTCTGACTGAAACCCGACGGCAAAGGCCATGATCAGCTGCCACGCGACTCTTTGAGCATCCTGCCTTGTTGCAAAAGCGTCTTCATCAGCACAGGTAGCGACGGCGTCGGCCTGCTCCTGCTGCTGGCATCAGGAGCTCACGGATTCTTGCTATGAGCTCCGGTGCCGCTACAACCTCTTACGAGCAAAGTTGTGCACCATGATCTGTCTCAAGACAATGAATGAACGGGCAGGCACGTTCCTGGGCCCAAACGATATCTGCGGCGACCGAACCGTGGGTCAGGAATAGGAGTTCTCGGCGTCCATCGTCTGGTCTGGTATCCGATTCTTCGCGAGGGCTGGAGGAACCTTGTCCCCCTGTCGGCCTCCTCGGAGCCTATTGCCCTGTGAAGAATCGCCGTCTCCTAATGATATCGCTGCCGGCCGGCCTTGCGTGGCCACTGCAACCATCGGCCACGCTCGCGAAGGGAGGCAAGCACCTGGAAGCATTGTCGCCGGCGGCAGTCTTGTGCAGCACGTGCAAATGGGCCAGAGCAGCTCGCGTTCAGCGTAAGAGAAATGGCGGAAAGGACGATGAAGACCACACTGGAGCCAAGGTTGGGGTCTCATGCCAAAGGAGGTTCTGAATGCTTGTCGTGGCGAAGAACGCTGCTGGCGATATGGGTGTCGGTGGGAGCCGCAGCCTCGATCCTGCCGGAGAAATGATGTGACGTCGCCTACCGCTCCCGCTTTTTCACACGCCTCCCCCACGGCCTAATGTCGGCCTCCTGGTCGCTGAATGTATATTACATCAAAGGCAGCGTGCTAATAAGTACCCAGAGAAGCCACTAGGATGCAGATGCCCCATCATTTGCAAATGACTCTTTAAGGACGTTCGGGGTACTTGTTAAAGCTTAACCATCGCTTCCCTATGAGGGTGGTCCCTTTAGAATGGGCAGGGAGTTTGAGAGTTTGCTTTCCCGTTGCATTGGTCTGCTCTGAGTGGTACTTGGTGTTAAGCCAGAGCATAGACCCTGATCTTCTTCTTCGAGTGGTACTTGGTGTTAAGCCGAAGCGTAGACAGATCGCTTGACCTCACTCTCAGTGATGGTACTTGGTGTTAAGCCGGGGTGTAGGTGTGCGGCGGTTTCTTTTTGTCAATCTCGAGGTTGGTGGTTCGAGCGATACACGCGACATATACCATTGACAATGATTCTCTTTTGCAAAAACAATCTTGAAGTCTTCCTCCTGTCCGGTCATCTGTTTTCCCTTCCATCCACCTTTGCTCGCACACGAGTGACGCCCATCAACACCACGCTGCCCATTCAATCATTATCTTCCCATAGCATACAGCCTCGTATACAGCCTCACCAACCCCTCCGCACCAACCAGATCTCCTGCCCGCAGCAACTTCGCAAGATCGATGTTCAAAGGACTATCCGGCTCACCGCCCGCACTCAACAGCTGCTGTACCGCTTCCAATGTACTCACCACCCCATACGCGGGCGTCCACGACGTCTTCAGCAGATCCAGACAGATCTCTCCGGTCTTGAAGTTGACGTTAGGATGGCAGCAGGGCGTTTGGAAGTAGATCTCCGGTGGGGAGGAAGGGTAGTTGGATGGGATAGAGATGGAGAGGATGAAGAGGCCGCCTGCATCGCTTTCAGCTGCCGTGCATTTCGAGATGATGGAGCTGTAGTATACCTTCGTAGGCAGTTTCATCCGGTCCCTTCAGCACAGCTCGCAAGTGGAAGAGGTCCTCATCGCTTACAGTAGCAAGCTCGACAACGGCGGAGGAAGGCTCCCGATTGAACATGTCAAGCTCTTTGATCAGTCGTTTAGATGCCATGATTATCGGTCCATCTGCTTTCAATACTACACACAAACAAGAAGTAAACAGAAGAAGCTCACGACGAGAGCTTAAAGTCGAGCTCTGCTGAGGTCGACTTTGGCCGAGGCCTTGACCGTCCCGAGAACCCGGAAGCTTGAATATTCACCTGAGACACGTGATCGTCTTCTACTTCCGCATTTTTCTAGATCTTAGAAGCGCGAAGCCTTGATAGTATCCTTTACTACCTGTCTAAGCCTTGCCAGATATGTATATCTACAGCTCGTCATGCCCATCATCCCTCGGCGACTCCGGCATCCGCATAATCTTGACCACCAAACTCGTCCAACCGGTGAAATGCCTCGTACGCTGACCCTTGCCTGTCTCGGGGTTATACTGCTCCCAAGCGAAGCCAGTCTCCTTCCATGACTCGTACACGGTGTTGACGAGGTTCTTGCGGAGAGAACTGTACATCTTTGTGGCCTTCTTCTGCTGTGGTCCTGCGGCTTGTGCGGTGTTCTAGCACACGAAGTCAGCGGAAGCAACATGATGAAGCAAGTGATATGTACTTACGAGCAGTTGCCGTACGATGAGGTAATTCATGTTCATCCAGACCGGACTGCGCCAGTAGTTCTCTTCGGTCCCGTACAGCTCGTCTGCTTTACTCAAACTTCTGATGCCGTGCGGACTCCACAGCTCGTCCTCGTCCGCAATCAGGTCGAGCACAGCCTTGAGATGCTCATGGTCTGGGCCAATCAATCCGGTCATGAACGGGAAGATGCTGATGTAGCCTTTGTGGCAGACGTGCACACTCTCTTCGTAGTCATCGATCGTTGCATCACAAAACGTCTTGTCCTTTGCTGACCAGTGAAGGTCATTGACGTTCTTGCGAATGGCTTCCGCCATCTTCGCAGTGCGAGCTGCATCTTCACTCTCTTCGAGGTATGACGCGATGCGATGCATCGATCTTGCCATCATACCCATCCACGAGATAAGGTCGACGTGAAGCTCACCTGGATGAGGCGGCTGTGGTCGTGGATAATCGTCGAGGCCAGAAGTCAGAATGTGCTGCGGTGACCTTCCACGCCAGCGATACGCCTCCTTCGAGCTGAAAGCAGGCCGATCGTAGCTCTTCAGATCGCCAAACTGCGTCTTGCGGTACCAGTCGAAGTTGCGTTGCAGCAGTGGGAACAGTTCTGCTAACCAAGGCTTCAGTACCTTTGCAACTTCGGCATCTGCTTTCTTGCCCTCGACTTTGTCCAGTAGGTCCTCGAGCACCATGAAGAGCGTCGGAGGGTTGGCATAGTGCGGATACTGTACTTGAAACTCTTGCGGCACTTTGGTCCTTGCCTCATTACCGAGAATCTGCTCTCTCGGGATCCAGCCGTCTTCATCCATGGTGTTGAACCAGCTGCTCAAAATCTGCATCACGAGCTCCGCGTCCCAGTCAACAATCGGCAACAGATGGAACCCTTCATCCCACAGAAACCCTCTTGGGAAGAAAGGCCGGCTAGGGATAGACGTAAACAGCTCGTACGGCCCCTCAAGCTGCTGCTGGTTCCGTGCGCGAGCTTCAGCTGTTTCTTGGTAGAAGCCTTCATTCTCCTCTTCATACTCTGGTGCGTACGAACGGTCGATCATCTGGTCACCGTAGAAGTAGCCGATACCGCCAATGAGATTGGAAAAGAGCGATTGGCTAAAAGTCTGATGGTCTTCCTTCGTAAAAGGCCTGCTTGGTGCAAGGACACTCTTGAACTTCGAGTCGAAGGCAGTGGTGACCTTGTTGATCTCCTTGGTCAAGTCGGCCGATGACGGTGTCTTCGAGACCTTGGCCGGCGTGTAGAAGATGTCAAACTCAAAGTCACCTTCGAACACTTTCTGAACCATCTGGAAATTGCCTGAGCCAGGGAGATCTTGCAAGGTATAGGTCTGCCAAGGTGGCGGCATCTGTTCTTGGGTGTACTTCTCGACATAGGCGTCGATCGTCGTCTTCAAGGAACTGAAAACGAGAGCTGTGAAAGAACTTACGGTCAACATCAGCATGGCTGAGGAAAGCCATTGGAAAGTAGGCCAGCGACTTACGCTTGCTTTGCCAAAGTGCCTCCTCTGGTACTTGGACAGAGTGAATGAGTGTATGCTCCAGTGGCTTCTCGTTGTACGAAGGATGGTTATGATGAGGCTTGGAGTTCTTTCCAGGCAATTCAGCGACCGTCAGACTGAAGTCGCCTAAGTCTGTCGTCTGTCCGTTGATGACAACATTCCGATCAAAGCCTAGTTCTTTCCCTTCTGCAGCCCCTACCACGTCCAGAGTACTCAACCCTTCAGCGCCTACAGTGAACCAGACGGCCGTCTTCAAGCCCTCTTTGACACCGTCCTGACTGCCCAGACTTGGCTCTGCATCTTCTCGAACAGTGCCCTTTACTCTTGCACCCCATCCAGCTCTACCTTCGTCGAATTTGACGAACGAGGTCTCCATGTCGATGCCATTGCCCTTGTCGTATATAGTTTGCACTCCACCAGTTCTTGGGTCGTACTTGTCCCAGCCATAGCCAGCCATGTCTTCATTTTGCTCGCATGTAAACCGCATGCCATTGGAAGGGTGATTGAAGTCTTCAACTCTGGACCATAACAGAGCAGTAGTCAGTGACTTGGGCAGCCGTGGCCGAAGGCCAAAGTAGAGGTTCGGACGATAGGGTCCCCATAGTAGGCTGTCGTTGGAGGCTTTCGAGAAGACTGAAGCAGAGTCCTGTGCTGAGATGAGGGCGGCATTGCAGAGCGCCAACAAGGTGACGTCTCGCCAGATCATCGTGTATGTCTAGCAAGGAAGCAACTGTATGCTTCAATGCTGCCTTTACTGACGCTCAAGGACACGTTGTGCAATGCAAGCTTGAGTGCAGTAAAAAGTCCACGCACAGCCACAGCTTCCGCCACAACTCTATTTCGGAGCACATATGAATGCATGTGTGAGCTTTAAGTTCAAACCGTCTTCAGTACCGGCTCAAACATTCAGTCTCCAAGTTCACAACACCGCTGCGCAGGCGCGCGCATGTAGTACGACTGACGAGATCACCGACAACCTCAGAAGGCTGCTTTGATCGTTTGGAGGGTCGAATTCCTACGTCTTCCAGAAGAAGGGAATCCCCAATCAACCACCCAACATGGATTTGGTTCAAACGGTACGCAAGGAAGGCAGCCGTGGCGGTGTCAACTTCTCCTGGGACGATGTCAAGAACTCGCAGCACCGCGAAAACTATCTCGGCCACTCAGTGATGGCACCAGTAGGGCGCTGGCAGAAGAACAAAGACCTATCTTGGTACGCCCGCGCTGAGGATGCGGACCTTACGCCCGAGCAGCGGGCGGAGAAGGAGCAGGAGAGAAAGCGGGAAGAGATGCGGAAGATTAAGGAGGCTGAGGAAGATGCGATGTTGAAGGCGATGGGGTTGCCGGTGCCGGATCGGACGAATGCGAATCAAGAGCCGTTGGGGATGGGGAAGGAGAAGCAGAGGGAGATGAATCAGGCGCTGAAGGAGGCGTTGGGGGATGATGAGGATGGAGAGGTGGAGAAGGGCGTGGGCTTGGGAGGGAAGGGTGGTGTTGCTGGTGAGGATGGCAAGGAGCTTACTAGAGGCTCAAGGTCGAAGGACGATGGCAGGCGGAGACACCGGAGTCGAGACAGGGAGAGGAGACGGCGTGATCACGACGATGATGACAGGGCTACCAAAAGGAGGGAGCGATCAAGGTCAAGATCACGGGATCGGGATCGGGAGAGACGACACAGGCGCCATCGTTCCCGCGAACGTTCGGGGTCAAGATCTGGTTCGCGGCAGGAGGATCGACGAAGGAGGTCACGGAGTCGCGATCGGCCACGATACGAAGAGGACGCGAAGAGACGACGAGACCGAGAGCGCGATCGAAAAGACCGGTCACGAAGTCGGGAAAGAGATCACAGACGACGGGAGAGGAGCCGGACCAGATCGAGGTCTCCTTATGGACGGCGAAGGCACCGCGATGATCGATGAGCTGGCTTGTTGTCCTGTCTAGCACGACAAAAGACTATTACCTGTCTCGCAGCGAACGATAGCTGTCCGGTGGCTCGTTGACGCTTCCAACAGGCCTCACATCTCAACCCGGCGCCCTCGTCTTATGGTGGCCGTCTCAATGGCAACTAAAGGGCTCGAACGGCTTAGGGATGGCCGAATAGCTGGACGAGGTCTCAACGCTGTCACTCCTTTGAAGGATTGCCGGAACAAACAGCTAGGTGGTCTTTTACCCTCATCCGGACACGTCTACATAGTATATAGGCCGTCAATCCACAATTAGCTCGAGACAGAGTGCATGTCCGAAGAACAATATACTCCTAAAGCCTTTCTTGGCCGGTCGAGGAAGCACCCCGCCTGAGCACGTGACTGCACCGGCTGCGGCTTCCTGATTCGGTAGGCAAGTGGATGTGAGCAAGGGTTCTTGCCCGCCGAACGGGATTACACGAACCTTCATCAAGGGCAGCTTCGCCTTCAACAGGGCGCTCGCCTTCCCTCTTCTCTTCGTTCTCACATTTTCTGGACGAGCGAAGCAGACAACAACAAACATGGCGTCCTTCCTCCGCAGCGCTGCTCGAATGCAGCCCACCTTCAGCAGGGCCATTCGTACACAAGCTCCCATGGCCCGGCGGTCAATGGCATCGCAGACGCCACCACGAAATGCAACGGCAGCAGCAATGGCTCAGGCCCCAGTCTCTGAAGCCTACGAGCAGCCATACTTCCCAGACGAGCCCACTGGGCCCATGATTCGTACTGAGATCCCTGGACCCGAGAGCAAGAAGGCCATTGTCGAGCTGGACAAGATCTTCGAAACGCGCTCACTGAACATGATGACTAACTACCAAAACTCCTACGGCAACTACATCGCGGACCTCGACGGCAACGTCCTGCTCGATGTCTACGCGCAGATTGCTTCCATTCCCGTCGGTTACAGCAACCCGTCCTTGCTCCTCGCAGCCACCAGCCCCGAGATGGTGTCCGCGATTATCAACCGGCCAGCCATGGGCAACTTCCCGCAGCACGACTGGGCAGAGATCCTCGAGACCGGTATGCTTCGCGTAGCACCGAAAGGCTGCAACCAGGTCTTCACGGCTCTTGCTGGCTCGGACGCCAACGAACTCGCATACAAGGCTGCCTTCATGTGGAGGCGCCGGCAACAGCGAGGCGGTCCAGACGTCGAATTCTCTCCCGAAGAGATCAGCTCATCCATGATGAACCAATCGCCTGGCTCGCCCAACATGTCAATTCTCTCGTTCAAGACGGCTTTCCATGGCCGACTATTCGGCTCACTCTCCACCACCCGCTCTAAACCCATCCACAAGCTCGACATCCCTGCTTTCGACTGGCCGCAAGCCTCGTTCCCAGCCCTCAAATACCCGCTCGAACAGCATGCCGAGGAGAACGCAAGAGAAGAGCAAAGGTGTTTGGAGGAAGTGGAGAACCTGCTTCAGACATACCACAACCCGCCAGCTGCTGTCATCATTGAGCCCATTCAATCTGAGGGCGGTGACAACCACGCTTCTCCAGCCTTCTTCCAGGGCCTTCGTGAGGTCACCCGTAAGAACAACGTCCTTCTCATTGTCGACGAGGTACAGACCGGCGTGGGTGCTACTGGCAAGTTCTGGGCTCACGAGCACTGGGGTCTGCAGGACCCACCGGATATGGTGACTTTCTCCAAGAAGGCGCAGACGGCCGGCTACTACTTCGGCAACCCTGAGCTCCGGCCGAACAAGCCTTACCGCCAGTTCAACACGTGGATGGGCGACCCAGCGCGAGCCCTGCTCTTCCGCGCCATCATCCAGGAGATTGAGCGATTGCACTTGGTCGAGAACACCGCCCACACTGGTGACTACCTCTTCAACGGTCTCCAAGAGCTTAGCAAGAAGTATCCCAAAGAGGTCCAGAACCTACGTGGTAAAGGCCAAGGCACGTTCATCGCCTGGGACTCGCCACGAAGGGATGAAGTGCTGAAGAAGGCGAAGGGTGTCGGTATCAACATCGGCGGGTCTGGTGAGAAGGCGGTGCGTTTGAGGCCGATGTTGATTTTCCAGAAGAAGCATGCGGATATTCTGATGGACGGGCTGGAGAAGATCTTCAAGTCGTAAGAATTGCGGCTGTCACGATGTAACGAACTGAAAGCGAATGGCTTCTGAGCGGCGTGCTGGCGTGCCGGCGTGCTGCAAGGCGTCCGATACCTTAGCAATGACCCTGTGTAATTGAGCGTGGTTGTCTTCATGAGCTGTTCATCCAGATATCGCCGCTGTCACATGCAAGTTTGTGAGGTCGGACTCTAATTGGCTCAGATGAGAGGGCGCTAGCTGGTGCTCGGCTTGGCGGCCTGTGGAGAACTGCCAGAGCCGCGACAGCCCTCTCAACTTTGTTGCGCTGTCGGAGAAGGAGTGCATCGACGTCGACGGCGGCTCGAGGCTTCGTTCGGCATGTACTTTTTGCCCGGACTGATGGCCTCTTCTCTTCGCTCGAGTCGAGAATGTCGTGGTCGGAGCAGCGACCGTAGCGGCGGCACTTTGTTCTGTCGATTCGAGAAACGCGCAGAAGCCTCACCGCATCCCACTTGCCAGGCATTGTCGGCTGACCATGTCCTCTACCTTCGCTCATTGCCATACTCTGCTGTATATCTTTAGCCCAACATGCCCTCCAGAGACAAAGAACTCGAGATCCGCATAATAGACCTCGAAGAAGCCACATGGCGTGCCCTCCAAAAAACCGGCGAGGGCATGATCCCCTTCATAACTGAGTAATCCTCCCCCCACCGAAACCTACCACCCCGGGCATTCCCACTAACCTTACCTCCTTGCAAAGCGACTGTATAATGCAATTCCCCCTCGGCATGAAAGTGACCTCGCGCTCAGAACCATCCGTCCACGAAATCCTGCGCTCCCCGGCCTTTATCCCTTGGAAGTCCTTTGAGCTGTCCAAAATCGACGTGCAGCCTTTGGGCAAGGACGCGGCGATTGTGAGTTATCTTGCAAGAGCGACGCGGCCGGCGCAGGATCCGGAGGATAAGGATACGGCGTTTGAGGCGCTGTGCTCGAGCGTTTGGAGGTGGGATGGGGAAAAATTCGCTCTGTGTTTTCACCAGCAGACGCTTACGGAGTGAGGCTGGTTGGATGAGGAGGGAGAAGAGTAGGAGAGGGGTGTGGATGTGACGAGGAATGATGGCGAAGAATTCTCGGGCAAGGTGCAGGACGCTCTTAGAGGTTCCGTACTGCTCTGGGTGGGGACAAGATGAGACCTCAGCAGCACCCTGATCTCAATCTAAAGATTTATGTTCTGTGTACAGGGCAAGTCGCTCGGGTATCTTGAGAAAGCACAATATGTCCAGTGCCCACATGGCGACCACTCACCAATAGTCGCCGTACTGACCCAACACCGTGCCCGCTCGCAGTTCTCCATGCGCTGCGCCGAGTGCGTCGAAGTGGCTAGCGATCTCGAGTCCGCGCAAGCGCTCGTTCTCCATATCGTTCCACGTCCAATCCTCATCCTGGCGAGGGGTGTCGTCTGCAGCTGAGCCCAGCTTACTGCTCACCTCCGCCACCACAGCCTCAGGGCTGACAGCCGCACTGTTCATTGCAGGTGTCTCCGCAGCCGGCGCAGGAGTTGGCGCAACCGACTCTGTTCGCGGCGGCAAACCCACACCCACAGGTCGAGGAGGCAGCAAGCGTGACCTCTCCAGCACAATCTCCGGGTTAATCGTCAACCGACCTTTCTTGAAAACGTACCTTGCCACGCTCGTGGCAAAGATATGCTTCGTCAGATCCTCGTCCTCCTTCTTCGCCTCCGCAGCCTGCTTCCTACCTCGCTTCCAAGGCTGCAGGGCATAGCTATCCGGCTTGATCGCACCCTTCTTCACAATATGACTGACGCAGTATATCCATTTCCTATCCCACGCCAGCAGTCTCGTGTATATCTCAAATTGCTGCAAAGGCTCAATCTGCCGCTGGAAGAAGCAACTTACGCCTCCGAGTGCCAGAACGTATGTCCCTTTGGCTGCTGTTGTGTCTTCGGGCAATCCTTCCTCGTCTCCTCGATTCAGCCTTGCCAGTCCCGTCCGTATTATGCATCCCATCAAATTCGCTCGCGCAACGTCCAGGTCGGCGAAGTATGTGCTATTCGATTTGTGGAAATTGTAGTCGCAGTCGTAAAGGGTGTTGAAGGAGCTCGTGATCATTGGCGCGAACAGGTGTTTCGGTTTTTGTACAGTCGGCTGGAAGTACAATTGGTACGATATCCCTCTTAGTACCCGAAGATGCCAGAAGCCCGGCAGATTCTTGAGGTTGAGCAACGCGAAGATGAGGGCTAAGACGCGGTAGGCGTTCTTCAAGCCATTGGGTCCGAGATGTCGCGTGATGAAGTCGCGTACGGAGGGTAGCGCGGAGATTCCGAGGATGGCGAAGGAGGTGGTCGCAAGGGTTGCTATCGCCTTCAGGCGGGTCGCGGCGGACATTGTGAAGGTGCTTGTGGGCGAGGCGAGTTGTCGTTGTCGTAAAGATGCAAGTACCAGAGACAGTCCCAAAGAGGAAGCACTGTGCGCCGAGGCTAAACATTCCACTCCCTTCACATGCACACCGACATCAGGCTTGGCCCGTAGGATGGCGAAGGGCGCCGACGAACAGGAAACATTCTCTAAACTGCGTACGGGCGTATATACCGGAGTAGGGACTTTTGCCATACCGTGGGCCGTTCGGGCCACTTGTCCTATATCTAGCTCCATCAGCACTCGGACTCGTCCTCGCTGACATGAAAGGAAGAATAAGTCACTTCACACTACTCCGGTCCGGTATCCTTAACAATGGCCCAACCGCACATCCCAGATTTCGTCCACTTGAGTGACACCATCTCCCTGTACAAACCCCCGCAGTCCAACGGCCACGCCGCTCCTTCCCCTCTCCACCCGGACGAACCATCCCTCGTCGTCATCTGCTCCTGGATGTCGGCCAACCCCAAACACATTGCCAAATACACCGACGGCTACCGACGCCTCTACCCTCAAGCCGAGATCCTGCTGGTTGAAGCCAGCCTCCCCTCAATCTTCGTTGGTTCCGATGTGAAGCCCGCCGTCGACTTCATCGCATCCCACATCCAGGATAATCCGACGGAATCGCACACCCATCGGCCTGTTGTTCTGCACATGTTCTCCAACGGCGGCGGGAACAATGCTGCAGACTTAGCGTCTCGACTGTCCGAACGGCATGGAAGTCTGGTCTTCTCCGCCACCATCCTCGACAGCTGTCCCGGTCGAGGAGGGGTCTCGAGTGGCGCGGAGGCAATGTCGTTTTCGCTGCCGAAGAACCCTGTCATCCGCTTCATCGGATGGTATGCCTTGTACGCTTTCACAGCGTGCTACGTTGGGACCGTGATTGCGCTGGGTCTGGAAGACGCCATCTCCCGGATTCGACGGATGCTGTTGGATACGACGATACTTCATCCAAGTATTCCGAGATTGTATCTATACTCCAAGGGCGATGCACTAGTCAACCCTGAGCATGTTCATGAGCATTTCGAGGAGGCTAAGCGGACGGGCTATGCGAATGTTCGGGAGGAAGTGTTCACGACCGCTCCTCACTGTGCGATGTTGAACGAGGACGCTGAGCGGTACTGGAACGCTGTCAGGGCTTGCTGCAGTGGTAAAGGGAAGGCTGCGAATGGGAAGCTGGAACCATAGATTGTACATACTACAGCGTTACTTATACACGGATATTTCAAGGTCCAAGGCAGCCTTCGCTTCAACTCTCCTCCAGTATGCATCCCCAATAAAACAATGCCGAGTGGGTATCTTCCTACTGAAAAACCAAAAACGCCACTTCACAAGACTAACCACGCCTCAGTAAGCGTGCGTGCAGCAGCGTCGTTGCCAACCGCAGCGTACATGCTCTTCAATGCCAACGCCGCTTCGCGCGCATAGTTTTCCGCCTCATCACGCTCCCCTCCTTTCGCCTCTCTCTGCACCTGCGAACTCAGCTCCAACACTTTCTCATAAGCGGGCACCGCCAAATGCGTCATCTTGAGCAGATGCCACATGCGCGCCATGTTGTACTCTGCCTCCTGAATATGGCCAACCTTCCCACTTGCTACACGAAGATCGTAGTAGCGATGGAGGAAAGCCAGAGCTTGCGCCACTTCGTAGTGACTAGTGCTCAACCCTTTCCGCGCGGCATGAGCTCCGTATACAGTCGAGATGCTGAGGTTGATGACCACGTTCTCCGGCTCAATGGCGAGAGCGCGAAGGAGGTACGGCAGTGCCGCGATGCTCGCTTCGCCGTACGAACTGTGGCCGATCGTGTGGGCGTAAGTCGTCAGCACGCCTGCATCAATTGCTGGCTGCGCATCACTAGCTGCTTCCAGCTTCTTGTCCAGCTTGCTACGGTACTTATCCCACTCGTACTGGTCGCGTGCTTCTGACGGCATGGACATGAAATCCTGCTCATCCACAGCCGCGGATAGCCAGTTGTGGGTCTTCCTGCTGTAGAATCTCGTTTCTCCGTAGCCGAGCCTACTGCAGGCTGCGATGAGGTGGGTGGTGGCCGCAGAGCCGTGAACTCGTTCAATACGCTTCGTTAGTTCCAGGACGAATCGCGTGTCGTTGAACATGAAAGCACAGCACAGGCTGACGGAGAGTGTGGCCTTGCTCAACTCCGGGTCCTCCCGAAAAACGTTTGCTGGCTTGAGCACACTGTTCAAGATGTGGTAGCATTGTTGATGGTCCGACCTTTGAGCGTATCGAAGGGCGAGGTTCGAGAAGATGCGATGCCACTCAGCAAACGTGAGTCCGTGGAACTCCGTCTCCGCAGTACTGGCAGATATCGCAGTGCCATCCATTTGACCAAGACTGGCAGCAGTCTCCAACAGCTTCTTCCTCGTTGCCGTCATCTCGGCCACCATCTCCCTTGATTCGGTATCGATACCGGTCCGGAGCCCTGTGAAAAGCTTGTCTCGGTGTCGCATCGGATAGAACTCCTTGATCAGCTTGAACTCATTCGCCATCGCGGCGGCATGCTGTATCCACTCGTGGGCAATGGCCGGACCGCGGTTCTTGTCTGCCTCGGGCCACAACTCTGTAAGTTTTGCGTACCTCGACTCTACCCGTTCCTTCTGCTCTCGAAGCGAGTCCAAGTATCTGCCTCGCCGCGCGAATGTAGGCCCCTGTGCAGCCTCACCCTCAATAGCGTTACCTCCCTCGTCATTGTTCTCGCCCGCATGGTTCACTTCATCGACTTGGTCCTCATCTTGGGAGTCTTCGCTTTCATCTTCTGACGAGTCTGGGACGTCACCGAAAGTAGGTTGTATAGGAACAGGAGGAGTGGCTTGTTCAGATAGCGGATTCCTAAGCGGTTTCGCTGCGAGTGGCTTCAACTTCTGGGGCGGTCTGCTGGGCCGTGGGGGAGAAGGCGGTCTCACGCTCTCTGCCGTTACTTCCTGTTCGTCATCAGAACCGTCAAAAAGATCGTATTCCGCGTCCGTTTGCGCGTTCGAAATCTTCCTTGGCTTTGGCTTTAGCTCTCTCTTCTTCAGGCGCCGGCAGGCCGTGACATATGTGGAGAGGTTGGCATGCCTCAGTGATTCAGTGCGACCGATCCCGATGAGCTCGTCGGCAATAGGGAGAGCCTTCAATGATCGAGAGGTCGACTCATAAAGCTTGATGAGATTGATCCGGGCTTGGGTCTCTTGCGCGTCAGCATTGATGACCTTCTTGTAGCATTCCTCTGCCTCGTCGTTGCGTCCGACCTCCCGGCAGCATAGCGCGAAGCTCATCCAGTATTCGCGCTTCATCATGCCCGACACTGGCTTGAGCCGGTCGTAGAATTCAACGGCTGCGCCATACATGAAACGTGCTCGGAGGTTGTTCGCGACGTCCAAGAAAAGGTCGGCAAGGTTGTCGATGTCTTCTGGGTCGCTCATTTGACGGAGAGGTTCGAAATGTCTGAAAGCCTCGCTGTGGCAATCGCTACCCATCTGCAGGCGAAAGATCCCAAGCTTTACACGAAGCTCGATTGGAAGACCAAGGCCATAGAGCGAACTGTCCTGGCTGGCAAGCCCTAACTGCACTTGAGGTAAGAGTATCCTTCGTTCGGGTCCTTCGTCGAACTCTCGATCATCTTGAGTGACATCCTCCCAGAATCTCTCCCGATGACGGCCCAAGAACCATCTGGCGATGCGTTTGAGATCCTGCAAGCCCTTCCAAGCGGGACCAGTCTTGATGACCATCTCCAGATACATGTTGAGGTGGTCCCACTGCTCCTCGGCCGGTCCAAACGTGGGCTGATTCGATTGCAGATAGAAAGCCCGCTGGTAGAAATCTATCGCCCCACGTATGTCGTCAAGCAAGCCAGAAGTATCGCACAGCTTAGCATACTGCCACAGGATCTCCAGGTTTTCGGGGTGTAGCGATAGTATTGTCGCGCACTCCTTCCTGGCCTTGTGCCAGTAACCCACTTCACAGTAGAGCTGCATCCTTGCACGTCGGGCGCTGAAGTTGTTGGCCTCGAGCTTGATGGCTTCTTCGTAGCATTTCAGAACAAACTCCCGCTCGACCTCTGATATGTCCTCGCCCTTCAATGCCCGCAAGCGGTTGGCCACCTCGACCCAGGTCTCGGGATCTCGCTTCACTGGCGCACCCGAAGCAAGGACCTGAATAGACTCGATCTCTAGTCCTTGCTTCTGCGTAATCTCGAACAGCAGTGAATATGATGCCCACACCTCAGGGTTGACTTTGAGCGCAGCAAGGGTGTACTCTTTAGCAGCTTCCAGATCATTGTCAAGATATGCTGTCGTCGCTCGGGCTTGCAAAGTCTTGTATTCGTGGCCAGGATCCGCAATCGCCTTGCCTCTACCTCTACCCCGAGGCCGAGCCTTCCTCGTCCCCATGGCCTCTCGGGTGAGCCTTGGCTTCTTGAAGAGATCCTCATGTTCAGTCCCTTTGAGTGCTTTCTTCCACCCTCCTCGAACACTACCTCGACCACTGCCTCGAGGTCGGCCGGGCCCCTTTGCGCGCACAGGAGGTGGCGGTGGTGAGTTCCGGGTACTGATCAACGAGAAAGGTGGATGTTGCTGCGCTTGGCGAGTGAAGCTGTCGAGTCTATCGTTGTCTGGGAGGAAATGAAAACCTGGAAGAGCAAGCGGTCCCCTGTTGGAAGCGGCATGGCTAGTATCTGTCGTGAAGGATCGAGGTTGATCCGCTGGAGCACGATCGTAGACAATGCCAGAGGTGGGGTCGGCCCAGCGTCGACCTTCACGAGCGTTATTGTTCAGCTGGCTGAGATTGAACAAGGCCTTCTCGCCCAGTTGGTAGAAGTCCGCAAGCGTGCTGAAACCACTTCCTGCCGCTGACTGTGAGGAGGTCGCGGGTGGGGTCGTGACAGGCGGTGACTCTCCGTCGAGAAGTCCATTCTCCGGAAGGTACAGAGCCGGTCCGTTGTCAGAAAGGGCCGGATATGGCGTCGAGCTTGCGGCCTCTGGCTCTGGGTAGTTGTCATGGGGACCATCCTGCATCAGAGTGTCTTCGTCCATATCCTCGAAGTTGGTGGCGTCTCGAATGTCAGCCGATCTCGAGAGGCAAGGCGAGCGGTCTGTGTCTCTTGCAGCTGTTCATGGAGTCTGTGGCGCGAGCAGATTTTTAAATGCAGACGGCAAGCTGCTCACTGGCTTCGTTCTTCTTCGATGTGATGTCGTGGGAAGACTCGACGGCTCATTCGCAATTTGACCTCGAAGCGTGACTAAGCGCAGTCCAACCTCACTTCACGACTCGCGCAGAATTTATCGAGCACAGCGCAACGACGACGCATTACTGCGACAACACCACAATCCCGCCTCTACGACTGCATCCTTCGCCCAACCGAGACACGCGCAACAGCGTATACCGCCACAACCATGAAGCTCGTCAGGTAAGCGACTACTCCAAGCAGCCCTGAAGCTGTCGTGTGCTGAACAACGATTGAAGGCTGCGACTGCGAGAGCCTGGCTGACGGGCGCATAGGTTCTTGATGAAATGCACGAACGAGTCGGTCACGATTGAGCTGAAGACTGGTAAGGAGCGCATTGCGACACTACTCGTCCGAGCGCATCGCTAACAGTATGGAGGCACCATCGTCCAAGGCACCATCGCCTCGGTCTCTCCCCAAATGAACACCTCACTACGCACTGCAAAGATGACGCCAAAGGGAGGCTCGCAGATCGCGCTCGACCATATCAACATCCGCGGCTCGGAGATTCGATACTTCATCCTCCCCGACTCGCTTCCGCTCGACACACTTCTCATCGACGACGCACCGAAGCCGAAGAACAAGGCGAGGAAGGAGACAGATCGTGGAGGCAGAGGTGGTCCGGGCGGCCCAGGAGGTCGCGGTGGGATGAGAGGAGGCGGGCGCGGAGGGCCCAGAGGTCGTGGCAGAGGAAGGGGAGGCGGTCGCGGGTTCTAAGGAGGTATTTGTTTGCTATGCACAAGCGATATGGCAGCGGCGGCAGTGGCAGAGGCGCAGGATGTATCGAAGCCTTCCGGTGCGCGAATATGACGGCAAGCAGCACGGCAGCATAACGACACGCTGCACCAACACCTCGATTCGGTTTCAAATGCAGCTATCTCGGAGATCGGAGGCAGACTGTGCAATCTATGTGGGTTAGCGAGAGCTCAAAGTGAAAACCGATCACATGCACGACTCACTGAGATTTATCACATGGAGCCCCTGATCCTCTCAACCATTTTTCAACCAAGTGTCTTATGACCACTCGAACCCCTGCCATCCAACCTTCTTAAACCATTCGACTTCCTACTACCAACCTCCTACCACTAACCACTCCACATCCTCCTCTTCCCTCAATCATCCCACAACCTCCTCTTCCCGTACACATAAAGCATGTCCGACACCACAACCATGGCAGCCCCATCCAACCTCACCGAGAACGACCGCAAGTTGCTAGTCAACGCCTGGAATTGCTTCAAGACCACCCCATCCGTACGTCTCCCATCCCCTTCCCTCCCGCCCTAGCCTGACCTCCCTCCAGGTCGACAACACACGCCTCCAAACCATGGGCAACTACAAAACTCCCGCCAGCGCGACAGCCTGCTACCTCGCGGCGCGCAAAAAAATGCTCAACGCCGACGGCGCGAAAATGATCGACAACGACCGCAAACTCATCGTCATGGCGTGGCAGTGCTTCCGAGCGCCGCCGTAGGTCGACTATAAGAAGTTGCAGGCGAGGGGCGGGTATAAGACTCCGGCGAGCGCGACGGCGTGTTATTTGGCGGCAAGGAAGAAGTTGCTTGGTGGTGGTGGTGCTGCGACGGCGAAGGGGCCTACGATGAAGGCTACGACGAAGGGGACGAAGAGGAAGGCGGATGAGTATGTTTTCTCTTTTGTGCTTCGTTTTTGTGTTGGATCCAGGGCTGGATGATGTGAAGTCGAGTGCACCTGAACAAGTCTTTTTTCGAAACTTGCTTCCAACACAACCCCTCCCCACCAGGTACGACCAAACCCAACACCGAAGACGAGACCGAAGACCAGGTCATCAACCCATCCAACAGCCAAATCAAAGAAGAAACCAACGACTCAGCCGAAACCAGCGACAGCACCACAGCCCGCCAACTCGACGCCGCTGTCGAAGACGACATCAAGCCCGAGACGACCACCGGCAGCGAAGTTGGAGGTTTGGAGGAGGCTGATGTGCAGGATAGTATTGAGGGGGCGGAAGCTGAGGTCGCGGAGGGGGAGGGGGAGGGACACCTCTTCCAGACGGCGCGGGAGTAGCTTGAGGCTCAGGGGGAGGAGGTTGCGTGAGGTGTGGATATAGCTCGAATGAAGTGGGAGGGGGTGAGCGAGATATGACTATACGAGTGCCTGGCTTGGGGTGGCGGAGGTGGACTTCACTACTGCTGCAGTGTGCATTGTGCAGAGGAATGAAGCTCGAGCATCCTGCATTGGGCTTTACTTAGAGCGACGAGCATAGATCATGATTTTACAAGAAACAAGGAATGGAAAATTGCAGCAAGCGAACAGATGTGCTCATTTCAGATTATCTCTAGATGTCGATGCTGTTATTGATCATTACTACTAATCATGTGCTTCCAACTTATCGAGCCTTTCCTCAGCGCGCATGGTGCTGGATGCCGGCTTCACCCATAGTCCCCTGCGTTTTTCGTTCCTCCTCGCGTGATTATCGTTCTCCAGCCGCATATACATCGTCCTCCGCGAAGCGCCTTCGCCGATTGCGGCGGAATCGCTCCCTCAGCCGTGATAACCGTTGTTCATGTGCTGAAGAGATGGGTGTCTGGATGCTCTCCACGGCCGCAGTGCGACGGAGGCATGGCTAGTGTTACAAGTGGGATTGAAGTGAAGGCCGAGAATGTCTGATGCCGTGCGATGGCGCATTCTTTCAGCTTCATCGCTTTCCTGGCAGACTCTTTTGCCGTGATATGCCGGCAGCCACTGGCTTTGCCTCTCTCGAGATAAGGAATTTATTCGATCAGCATTGATCGAATCCCGGAGTAGCTCAAGCGGGACCAGCGTGGATGTCGCCGTAAATGTCCTGTTCAAGAAAGTCGTTGAACAGCGGCTCGTTGTAGCCGGGAATGCCAGGAGTGACGTGCCCGCTGTTGCCACCACTGGCGCCACCGAACGGGTCCATGCCGAACATGCTGCCCATGGTGCCGTCGAAGCCGAAACCATAGCCGGGCTCGGTGAATGCTGAGTTGAGAGGTCCGGTGCTGGCAGAGTTCGGTGTGTCGTAGGGACCGCTGTTCGTATCGCAGGTCAAGTTCGTGTCCAAAGCTGTGCCGAGGGTCTGGTCGAGGCCGACGGAAGTGTTTGGCAAAGTCTTCGAATTGCCACTGGATGCATTGGGCTTGTAGCTGTAGAACGGCTGCTGCGGGACCTTCATGGGGAAGTCGTTTGACGGCCCGAAGAGGTCAAAGGCTGGGTAGTTGTCTGATCCCGCGAGTAGCTGCTGCGTGTCCATCGGGAGGTTCGTTGTGAAAGGTCCAATGGCGTGGCTCATCGTCTGGTAGGGCGATGCGCTTTGCTGGGTTTGCTGCTCGGGCGAGACAGCCGACGGTTGCTGGAAGGCAGGTGTTGCTGGAGCTGATGGGTGTGATGAATAGCTCGAAGACCTCTGCGCTTGCTGCACCGGGTTCTGCGGTACGGACATGCGACGCTCATCTCCAGTGGCAGCCGGTGCAGGTGTTGTCCGACCGGACTGGTTGTATTGATAGTGTGAAGACCACTCCTGTGGTGTAGCAATCGATGCTGACCGTTGGTGGTACTGCGGCTTCATCTGTTGCTGCTGTTGAGCCTGCTGCATGGGGTATGGACTGTGTCGAGAGCTTGTAGGGCTCCTGTTGAGCTGTTGTGGAGGCATCATGGAGTTCTGGTTAAACTGTGGCATCTGCATCATGTTCGGGCTGACGAACTGTGCCTGGTTCCTGAAGTCCTGGTTGCGAAACTGTGGGTTGTGCTCGAGTGTGCTGTTGACAGCTTGGCCAAGCAATCTTTGATGTTCAAGCTGAACTGACAGCATCGACTGCAACCGACGGCTAAGCAGGCCATCCTCAAGAGGAAGGTGCGATGTGACACTGCGATATCTCCAAGGAATGTCATCATCTTCCTCCTCGTACATTTCCTCATTCATCACATCTTGCTCGGTGACGCGCAGCGCCCGCCCGGTGCGCTTCTTGTGGATATCGGAGGCTCTTCGTGCTGACTCAACTCGAGCCTCAAGACTGCGGTCGCTTCGTCGCGACGCGGCAATGTAGGCTCTGCGTACAAGTCAGACCTGGCACAATGTGCGACGCGAGCAGATGAGCACGTTGGGTTGTGGTGGGACGAGCTTACCTCTCTTGGTTCTCCTCGTGGGAGCGCAGTGTTCGCTCCGGCTTGACAGGCTTTATGGAAGGTGTATTACTCGGCACATTTCCTGGAACAATCCGTCAGACGACACAACTCAGCGCGATTGATGGTTTGGGTATGCTTACGGTGTGGAGGCATGTCGAGGTAATCGACGTCGAGTTGCTGTCACCAAAGAGGGACGGACCCGTTATAATCGAGTGGCGAGAGGGGTGAGTGAGGAGTGCGACGAATGGTTATCGAAGCAGTAATGTGGAATAATTCCAAGGGAATAGAGCAGATGGTAGTCGCTATGTAGGAGCCGTGGTAGGCGAGGTGGCAAAAGGCGTTCTCTAGAGCGGAAGGTTGCTTCTCGCCGTGCGGGGGCGGCTGTGTTTTCCTAGGTAGCCAGCGACGAACGGAAGGCTTATCCTCCGGTCGGCCAAGTCAACTCTGATTGGAAATACAATGAGTCTGCTTTGTGAAGACGATGGCAGACACTGAATGGTGTGTTGGAGGGGGAAAAAAGTGAGCTTTAGAATGTCGAGGGAAAAGGACGAAAGACACTAGAATCGGGGAGTGGCATATTTGAGATCTGTCCTACATTGGCGCTCGCCGCTCGATCGTCTTGGGCGCTGGCATTGACGGAGCAACAGCTGCCGGCTGTAGAAGCGAAGAGGAGATGGCGCCGCTGCGGGAGGTGATTGGTGTGATGAGCTCGCGCGGCCAATGCGGCCATGCTGTATCGCCGATCGGTACCTCTGGTCCACACGAAAACTGAGATCCCGCTAGAGCCAGATAGGAAGGTCGCTGGTCGTCGGGCGAGGAGTCGGCGTGATGAGCTTCCAGGTCGTTCAACGAAATCTCCGCGCTCTGTGGTAGATCGCCTGCCACACTGCCGCATCTTCCTCGCGCTATTTGGAACGCACACCTGGCTGCTCTATCGTGTCGCCAGGAAGTAGATTGCGCCTTGCATTATCGCGCATCGAGCATGAAAGAGGTTCTTCATCCGCGGTGGTCCTCGCTACTGATCTCCACGAGCTTGGAAGGGTGTGCCGTGGGGCGACAGATCTTGCGTGGGTTGCAGAGTTGAGATTCGGAAGGCTCTCCGAAAAAGCTCCTGCTGGCATCTCCCGCAACTCTCCAAGCGAGGTCGCTGCACCGAGGTGGAGCAAGACAGCGAGCACTCGATAAAGTTTCTATTCCCGTGCGATGCTCATTGGAGGCATACGATCGCAGTGTGGAGCAGAGTGAGATTGAGTTTTCCCGAGTGAGATTGGCGAGATTGATGCTCTTCCGCGCCAGATAGTGTCTACGATCTGGCACCTCCACCTACGACAGTGTGACGGATGCAGCCCCTTGCCTCCAGATCTGAGCTGCGGGAGGCGCTGTTTCCGAAGATCTAAGATCTTGCATCTCAAATACTGCATGAAGGTGGAAGCAAGGGTCCTCATCTCTGCAAGGAGTTGCCATTGCAAAAGCTACGCTCCATGTTATTTCTTTGGAAGCTTCCTCAGGCTACACGTAGATAGGAAGGCGGTATGCGACGGCGGAGCGTCCAGTGCGATATCTGGCACGTTGGAGCGAGCGATTGACATCACTCTGCTGCCATCTTCTGTCAGAGCAAACGTTTACTGCCTCGGCACCTGCAACATCGTTTGAGGCGCCCGGACTTGAACCCGACTGGCTAATCTGTAAAAGAACGCCGTGGTGGGTCTTGCTGGAGACACGAAGCACGGCAATCGGGTAGTTATCGTCCCGTTGACGTGTTGCAGACTCGTCTGCGCGAGATTGTTGACTCCCACAGCATAGCATCATCCACTGACCCTGCGAGTGCGAGAGTGCTGGAACTCTCGCACGCTGCCGCGCGAGATCTATGGGCTCGTGTCACTGGAGGGTGATGAGATGGCACGGTGACACGACATCAGCACGTGAAAAGCCCAATCTTGCGCACCACAGGCACCAGAACCATGTCGAAGCGATGCACCCGACTCCTGGGAGGGCGGATCTCACCCTGTCGTGTCACGCTGTGCCAGTAGACCGGTGGACTGCCACGTTAGCATGCAGTCCGGTACGTGTCCGCGTAACAGAGCCTTCGGCATGGAAACGTCACTGCGATGCTCATCCTAAAAGCCTGCTTTCCAAAACCCCAGTGAATCTTTCTCTCCCACGACAAAATCCTAGAAAGCCATCATAGCAGGATCGCGGCCAGCATGGCGACCAAAAAGACCAGAGACATGTTGTGGTTCGTATAAGCGGAGCAGTCTCTTGACCGGAAGCCAGACCAACTGACTCCTTTCTTTCTCTTCGCCATGTGAATCTCATACCCGAGGCGGAGTTGAATCCGTTGATCGGACAAAAAAGGCGTCGACACATTTACCGGCGGCAGTCTGCGTAGGCACCAATAGAGACTTTCCAGTCCGCACTGGGCCTGACCTTTACCGTTCACCATTGGGTGGATGCCGCCGCAGTGGTCCAGGCACAATCGAACCATATTGATGGGTTTTATGATCTGGTGGCGCGACAGTTTGAATTGAGTTTTGCGGTTAAAACCAGCAGCCCCTTCTGGCCGCTCTCGCCGGTCCAAGCGGGACGTGAAGCCGCTGGCACATCCATGGTATCCTCTCTCGCGGGCATGATTGTCCCTCGAACGGCTCTGCAGCAACACAAGCACGAAGATATCTGCTGCCGTCCATACCGGTGTCCCCTCACACCCAAGCCGCCAGCGAAAAACACAAGAACCACTAGGCCTTCCTCCCGCCAGCGCAGACCCTCTTTCATCCCGCTCCAAACCAAACACACTGCCCCGATCTGCACGGTCCGCCAGTTCGCGCCATCCCCGCGCTCGTGCCGTGTCGCAACGATCCAACCACAGCACGCCCACGGATCATCCTCCCGTGCTGCTCGCAGCGCACTACGACCCGTTCTGGTAGGCCCATCACCACATCTTCCAAGACACGGTCGTCTATAGGCGAATCACACGCTCTGGCGGGACGGCTGGAGCGCTTATGCAGGCCGGTTAGTGAGTAGTGGGCGATCGGATGGTGTGTTCGAACGCAGGTGATGACCTCGAGGCTGTGGTAGGTATGCAGGGCCTAGCGAAGTGTATATGTCGACATGGATTCCCTTTCCTTGTCCTTACACTTCCCGGTTCCTACTTCTTGCTCATATGCGGTGTTGAACTTTCTGTTGACTAGGCCTGGTTATGGGACTTCAGTTTCGGGCCACTACATCGACAAGCCTTCCATATTCACACTGACGGCTCGGCAACACTGGCTCGGACTATAGCCTCCATCACACAAGAACCACCGCCGCATTCATCCAACGAATAATCTTACCCGGCAAGGACATGCACAACTAAACCCTCCTGACAACCACGAGAACCCAGTCGCACAACGAAACTCTCTCCGCCTTCTGGCCCGTCTCGACTCCACCGCGCAATCCCGCTCCAACCCACCAGCCCACCCCAACGGACCCTGTCCCACAGCCCAACCCCAGCAATGTGCCGCTGGGAATGGTCCGTCTGCCCGACCTGCCAAGCCGTCCTCGACATCGTCGACGAGCAGTGCGCCCTCATGACCCGCTACCTCAACTGCGAGAACGGGCAGGCGTTCCGGTCGCCGCGGGTGCATCGGGTGGTGTGTTTTGATTGTATTCGTTGGAGGATGTTTAGTATTCAGAGCGCGATTGAGGAGGCGCCGACGGAGGGGAGTGTGGAGGGGTGGTTGGGTGGGGTGGAGGGAGTGGAGAGCGTGGTTGGGTCGACGGAGGAGGGGAGTGTGGTTGGGAGTCCGGGGTGAGGAACGAGCGTGCTCTCTCTGGGGAAAGGAGGCAATGCGAGGATGTATGATTGACGAAAGGCTCTACGTCGTCCTGTCACTGCTGCAGGGGGGGTTAGCGATGTCCAGACGTATTCGACGTATGCGCGCGAGAAGCGCAGGGAATCGGCCGCGCAATCCGGCCGACGGGAGAAGCGGATTTTATGGCAATGAGGGATCCAAGAAACGCCTGGGAGAGCAAGATGAGAGCGGGAGGCCAGCGTGGCCCATTCGCGGAGCAAAAAGCGTGCGACGTGGATAGATAGATGTGAATTGAATGTACAACAGTAGCTGTGTAAGGAATATGAACAGACCATACTCACCAAGCAAACCTCTCATATTGACCTCCTGATGAGCGGTGAATGTCGAGGATCTCGAGGGTTTGTCTGAACTTCGACAGGTCTTTCAAGCAGTGAAGCACGCTGGATGTAGTGTACATTGGACTAGCATACATGTATGCCAGCCTGATCGGTCCTTGAGCGACGATGGACTGGCAACCGTCGACTGTCGACCGTAATATAAGCGTCGGTGAAGCTCGTTGTGGTCGACGCGAGTTGGCAATACCCGTAATTCTTCCTTCCATGTACGCTCTGTCAGCGCACTACGCCCTAACTGTTCGGCCGTCTCAGATAGAATGACAGCGCCACTCCTTGCAGTTCTGCGCCCATACTCGAAAGCTCCACGCAGGTTGGTTCTGCGCCTGATCCCATCGATGTGCCTGGCGCGTGGACCAGCATCATGAGTGGTGGCTGCAATGGCTTTCCTCGTATGCGTCTTCTAGTTCCCTAGAACCTCCTCTCCCTCAGAAACTTCTCGACCTCCGGCTTGTAATGACCCTTGATGACCACCTGCCGCGTGACCCCATTGACCACCACCCTCTCATCCTCCAGACCCACGCGCTTTCCAAGCATCCTTCTCAAATCATTCCTCAGCGTCTCTACCTCACCATCTACTTTTCGAACCAGCGTCAACTTCAGGTTTCCGCCTCGCTTGCTGTCGGTGTACACGGGTAGCTCGTTACTGCGCGTTCTGTTGACGAAGTAGGCCAGGTTCGGGGCTGACTGCTTCTCAGGTAACGGCGTGACAGGCTCTGGACGTAAGCGATGGGGGGTTGGAGTAGCGTAAGGATGTTGGCGTGTTGGGTACTGTCGCTCCTTTGGAGGATGGGCGGCGCGGCGGGAAGCTTTGGAGATTTTAGGGCGAGGGAGCGAGGGGACGTGGCGCGGCGGGTAGGTGGCGGAGGCTGTTCTGGATGCGAGGAGGTTGCGGTCTAGAATGGCATACGATTAGTAGGTGCTCTTCAGTGGATTACTGTAGTAGTATACCTTCTCTGCGCTGTGGTTTCTGCTGCTGCGCGGACGATGCGAGGCATTGCGGACTGGTGGAGAAGCACAAAAAATGCCTGACCGTTGAAGGGCGCGGTAGTCCCAGTGGGCGGAGGAATGGCATCAATGGCGCGGTGGAAGGCATTGCGGCGGTGGATAGAGTCTTGACAATCGTAAAGCTGGTCAAGGAGTGCTTCTTCACATGCCCGACCAGATGCGGACTAGCGCACTTTGCAAAACGCACAGCCAAAAGTTCAACGTCAGAGGCCAAACTTCGACAACACCACCACCCAGCATGGCAGACTCCAAACCACCGGGCGCGAGCGACATGCTCAACGGCGCCCAACAGCAGGCGAAGACGCCCCAGGAAATCGCCAAAGAACACAACCTCCTTCCCAAACTCCTCCCGAACCTCGACCGGCATCTAGTCTTCCCTCTCCTCAACTTCCAGGAGGAAGAGACGCCCGAGGATGAAGACACGACCGAGATCACGCAGCTCAAATATGGCCTACTCAAACAGACGAACATGAGCGACTTCGTTGGCGACCTCTACGCTCAGCTCAACAACCTCTCAGAACGGCCACAAGAGTTTGCGAAAAAGCGCGAGGATGTGCTGAACCAACGGCAGCAGTATGAAGAGCAGACCGAGAAGATTCAAGGCCTGCTGTCTGATGCAGATGTCATCGGCAACCTCCGCGCAGACAAAGTCAGCAACATGAACTACCTGAAGGAGACCCACGGCGTGACCCCCGAAATGGTGGACGGACTGTACGCATACGGCCAGTTCCAGTATAGCTGTGGAGACTACAACAGCGCTGCAGAGTTACTATACCAGTTCCGCATCCTCAGCACCGACAACGACAAAGTCAATGGCGCCACATGGGGCAAGCTCGCTAGCGACATCCTGACCACCAACTGGGAGAGCGCCATGGAGGAAGTGGCCAAGATCAAGGAGAGCATCGACACGAGACTGTTTAACAACCCGCTCGCTCAGCTGCAACACCGCACTTGGCTACTCCACTGGTCACTGTTCCCATTCTTCAACTACGAGCAAGCCCGCGATACTCTGACGGAAATGTTCTTCTCTCCCGCCTACATCAACACTATCCAGACGTCGTGTCCATGGATCCTTCGCTATCTGGCTGCGGCTGTTATCACCAACCGTAACCGACCGGGTGGCAAGAACAGCTACGCCCTCGGCAACTACCAGAGGCAGCTGAAAGATTTGGTGAGGATCGTGAGGCAGGAGCAGTACGAGTACAACGATCCCGTCACTGGCTTCATCAAGGCACTGTACGTCGACTTCGACTTTGAGGAAGCGCAGAAGCGTCTTTCGGAAGCCGACGAAATCCTGCGCTCCGACTTCTTCCTTGTCGCCGCCTCTGATAATTTCCTCGATGCCGCTCGCCATCTGATCTCCGAGAGCTACTGCAAGATCCACCAACGGATTGACATCAAGTAAGTTTAGTATCTATACAGTCGGAGATCGTGCACTGATTCATTCTATCTAGGGACCTCTCCCTCCGCCTCGGCCTCAGCGCAGAAGAAGGCGAGAAGTGGATCGTTAACTTGATCAGAGATACCCGAGTAGACGCCAAGATCGACTACAAGGCCGGCACTGTTTTGATGAATCACCCGCCGCAGAGCGTGTACCAGCAGGTCATTGAGCGGACAAAGGGTGGTTTCTTCAGGACACAGGTACTGAGTGCTGCGGTGGCGAAGTAAGATTGATGCATGTGGGCACGGCATTCGCGGAGTGGCATGGAAGGTGAAATGAATCAAAGAGCGATGGGCGTTCGAGGAGTACTAGTATGTGAGAGCTGTCACATTTAACGGCGGGACCCCAGCGGAGGTGGCAGGGTTGCTCAATGTTACACAGCATCGAACCTGCAGATGACAGGGGTTCATGCATGGATCAAGAACGACGGACAACGCCAAGAACGTTGAAGATATTCACGATACATCTCGAATCGCCACCAGCAGACTGTCGGACGTCGTCGAGAAGATGTGAGTCATTTCTGGCAGAATGTTGTTCATGCGATGCGGCAGGAGCGAGAAGCGTAGGTAGGAAGATGTCCGTCTACAAAAAGCTGCGTGATCTGTCAACTTGCTTCATGTCCTGTTCATTTTTATGAAAGTTCACGTTGGCCCTGACTTCACATTGCCTTCAAATTGTATCAAGGTTGTGCTTCATTTGCAAAGTTGTCGCCTCGACGCAACCCAGCGTCTTCACATGGAGTTCATCAGAAGGGTAAGCATTCCATTCTCTTGCACGCTCCCTCAGCCCAACCACCCTTCGACTAGATCGTCAGCCTTTCTTCTAACTACCAAGCTGAATCAACTCCTCCATCACTCACCAGCAACAACCTCATCTGCACCGACCTGACTCCTCATCCCCCCCACCAAAGAGGTGGACAAGCCCAGCCCAACCTGTCCGCTTTCCATGACCTCACTTCATCTCGTGCACCACTGACTTTTCTCCAACTAGCCTACAAGCCCTTCACAACCCGCCCTCCAGACCTCTCACCAAACCCGTCACAACCCATCCACAACCAAAACAAGAAACCCAGAACACTCCTACCGCCATGCCCCTCTCAGCAACCCAAATGCGCAACCTCGCCCTCGCCTGGCAGTGCTTTGAGACTGAGCCGAAGGTACCTTCCCCATTCCCATTTAACACCCATCCCTCCCCAATTCCCCCTACCCTCCCTTTCCACGGCACCAGACCCCGCCCCTGCGCTCACTTCCCAGATCTCGAACTGGTACTAACAAAAAGGGGCCCAGGTCGACTACGACAAATTCCATCGCCTCGCCGGCCTGGCCTCCGCCCACTCCGCGCGCGAACTGCTGCGCGTGACGAAGAAGAAGTTGCGGGAGGAGTATGGGGATCCTTCTTCCGACGTCACCGCCTTTGGCAAGGGTACGGGGACGCCGAAGGCCACGCCGTCAAAGGCGACGCCGAAGAAGAACACGCCCATGCCGGCTGCTAAGGGTACGCCGATGACGGGGACGGGGAAGAAGAGGGGGAGGAAGGCGGCTGGGGAGACGGAGGGGGACGGTGTGAACGGCGAGGAGGGGAAGGAAGATGGGGACGATGAGGAGAGTCCGAGCAAGAAGGCTAAGAACACGCCCAAGGTCACGGTGAACGTGAAGAAGGAGAAGGAGGGTGGCGACGACGACTTCGGGTTCGCGGACTTTGATTGATTCGAAAACGTGGGCGTGAAGGGGGGATGGGAAGTGAGGGGAGGGAGGGGGAGGTTGGCTGGGGTGAAGGGTTGTGGGGATTGTGGTTGCAGTATGAACATTTGATCTGCGGTCTGGACGGCTCGATTAACAGGAGAGCGTCACAGCAGACATCAATCAGCTATTGATCCAGGCGATGAACGATTGGGAAGACATAGCAGCACAAGCACCCATCATCCACAGCCCTGCACACACCTCTCACACACGTAGCACTTGCATGGGCAACGAAAGGCTACTGAACTGGAGCAAAGAAGCAAACTTTCCCTATCACACAAAAACACACCATAAGGTAAGATAAAACAACCTCATCCCATATCCACAGAAGTAAGTAGTAGGTACCTAGCAAAGCACATATCCCCCCTCCCCCACTGCTCCCTCTTTTCCCAAAACACAGGTAGTTGTTAGGTCTCCAATACTCCTTGTATCTCCAACTCAAGTCATGGGTCTTCTGTCATAATGTACACACGCTCCCCCCATTCCTCCTTCTTCTCGCTTCTTCCTGCTCCCGCTCTGCTTCGTGCTAGCTGACCGCCTGCTGCATGCTCATCTCAAACAACCCACACAGCAGCCGCAGCGCCGTCTTATCCGCATCCGGATGCGTGAGCGCGCCGAGAATGACATTGCTCGTGGGCACGCCGTTCCATTTCTGCACCGCCACCGCCGTAGAGCTGTCTTTTTCTTCCCCCTCGGCATTGCGGGTCGAAGAACCATTCACAGCCCCGTTCTGCTGGTGTTGTGAAGCAGCAGCGCCGACCTTGCCAGCTTTCTCCACCAACCGCTTCATCATCGTCAGCGCCCGATGCGCGATCAACCTGAACGTATCGTGATCGAGCCCCAGGTCCCGCGGTTTATTGCTCATCGGCTGATGCTGCTGCTGCTTGTCCACCGACAACACGGCCGCTAAGCTGAGCAAACCCGTCGCCCAGCCGTCCTCGCTCTCCACCCACGCGCGTGCGAGCTCGGGCTCATTGCCGGGCATGAGGGAGGTCAGGATGTCGGCGGCGAGCATACCTTGCGTGAGGTATGCTTTGCGCGCTTCGACGATGCGGAGGAGGGTGCCGGTGCCCTGGCGCGCGACGCGGTTCGGTAGGACGGAGATGGAGAGGGCAAAGGCGCGGGTGAGGAGGTCGAGGGGCGATTCGGAGATGGCGAGGGAGGAGGAGGAGGCGGTGAAGATGCTTTTGTACAGCATACGGTTCGGGTCTTGGCGGGCGAGGAGTTTGGCGAGGCAGTCGACCGCCGGCGGGAGGTAGCGGTGGACGAGCGGCGCGAAGCTGGAGAAGCTGATTTTGCCGCCGCTTTCGGAGTAGCTGGGGGCCGGTTGGGGGGCGAACGCGAGGAGGAAGTGTAGGATGTGGAGGGCGTCGTCGCGGCTGGGGAGTTCCAGGCTTTGCGTGATGTTGGAGAGGAAGATGATCATGTCTTTGTAGAAGTCCTGGGTATTGTAGAACGTGCGCAGGAGCATGTTGCGCGTCCCGAGTAGCCGGATGGTATCGCTGAGCCATTTCAAGAGTGAGCTTTGTGTCAGTAGTCGATGGTTGTGCTCGTAGAAGGAGAAGTTGCGCAGGATTGTGGTGATGGCGATCACCTTATCGGCAACGCGGTCCAAGTCGTATGCCTTCGTGCCCAGCGTATGTACTTCTTGCAGTGTCTCGGCTTCTGCTCGACTTGCCCTCATGATGTCTTCATACGGCGCCAAGTCCAATGCGTCCGACACCTCGACAGCCTCATCAGAAAGCTTGTCCACCTGCTCTTCGGCACAGTCGACGATGACATCCATCAGATCCTCGCATTTCTCCAGATCGAAGGCCACGTTATGCTCGTTTGAAAGCATCGCAAGCGTGTCAAGCGCATACCTCACCTCGGCATGGATTCCAGATGCAAGACTCAGCGTGATGGCTCTCGTGTCGACCAGCCCCATCTCAGTAATCGATGGCATGTCCGGTCTATGTCTCGCGATCGCTTCGCCAACGGCCGTCATACTGGGAACATCCAGGCCACCATACGACCCATCCGATCCGGCAGTCCGCGCGGCTGGAACGTAGTTCTTACTTTGAGGCGCCTCTTTGGCCAACGGTGAGGTCGCCGCTTCTTGCTTGACTGACGGCGAGCGCTGTGGGGCTTTACCGGCAGACATTGGAGATGGAGCAGCCGCTCCGCCTTGAGGTGTCATCTGCTCGGGTTTTCTCAGACTGCTGTTCCGCCGATGCTGAAGCATCTGCTGTTGCTGTTGTGGCGTGACCATGCCATTCTGTGGTAACTGCGCGTTCGCTTGGATGGGTGTTGCTTGAGCTTGCTGTTGCTGATTCTGCTGGAACTGCGCAAGCTGACTTTGCTGCATACCGGCCTGCATCTTCGTCGGCGACGCTTGATCAGGACCACCAACCCCCGCCATCTGATGCGCATGCATCCTTGCCTGCTCTTGCTTACTCGCCTGGCCGCCCTGCTGTCTGGCCGCAAACCACGCTCGCTCATAATATCCTATAGCATGATTGTGCAGTTGCTTGAGCTCTTCAGCCGCCATGGGAACAACATTCTGCGGGAAGCCCAATCTGGCTGCTATGTTCGGCCAAAGTCCGCTTTGCTCCACTCTGGCAGAGCCGCCTAGTTGCGTAGTGGCCGTCCAGAGCATCAGGTAGTCCACCGGCCGACCAGCGATGATGGGATGTTCGTCAAAATGCTTGTTTTGCTGCAACGCGTGGCTCTTGAGTGTGTTGATGAAGCTCGCTCTCTTCTGCTGATGCTGTTGTACTTGCAGCGCGCTCGCATTCATCTGAGCACCAGCCTGTCCGTTCGCCATCGGGTTGGTGCCCCTCTGCTGGCCAGCATTGTTCATTGCCTGATTCTGTTGCGCGCCCATCGGACGCTGCATCATGCTGCGGTTCCGCATCTCCGCTGTTTGCTGCAGGAGTCGTTGCTGATACATCTGCTGTATCTGTTGAGAGTTTCTCATATTGCCCATATTGTTGCCCAACTGGCCTTGCGCAGAGTTACCCATCCCTGCCATGCCCATATTGCTGTTGCCGCCCATTCCAAACTGCTGGTTGAAGCCGGCCATTGGATTTTGTTGCGGCATGCTCGTCGGTAGATTTGAGATTTGTGAGTTGGCGGGTGACATCTGGTTCCCATACCCGCCCTGCTGCTGCTGTTGTGGGAAGGGACTCGGCGACGCGTTCTGCATGCGCTGCTGTGGCTGCGTGGGTGGTCGGAACTGCTGGTTCGACATTGTGGGTGATGGAGTGGCATTGTTGGAACCGGCCTGTTGTTGGAGATGCGCGTATGGAGTGGGAAACTGCTGTCCTGCTTGCTGGTTTGAGAAGGCACCACCAAAGTTGGGAGTCTGCGCGCGCGAGCCCTGGCCTTGCACCGGGGAGCCAGATATACCGTCATGCGGCCGTTTCGCGGGTATCACCGAGCCCGGCTGGAAGGTCTGGCTAGGGTATAAGGAAGGGTTCGGGGTGGAGGAGGAGGTCCCATTCTGGAGACCCTGAGTGAATTGGCTGAGATCGAGGTTGTTCGCATTGCCGTTGCCCAGGTTGGAGTACATCTGCGAGGGGTTGAGGTGGCCCTGTGCGGCCTGATTTTGGGAGAACATGCCGTTGGCCTGGCCATTGGCCCATTGGTTCATCGTCGTCGCAATCAGCGCGGTCGCCTGTGGGAGAGGGCATGGTCAGCGACGGCAGCAGCAGTAACGGGGCGGGCGCGCATGGCCGAATGAGGCAGTCGTGAGCGTGTCATGTGAAAGGGAAAGTGAATGTAAACAGAGCTAGCGCGGGAAGGGCAGTCGCGTTACGCGTGCGTGCGTGCCTGCCAGCCTCTGGCAAACGGTGAGGATGCGATAAAGCCAGCAGCAGTCAGCCGAGAGCCCACAAGCGGGGGCGGTCGGGCACGCAGGCAAATCTATGGGCGCATCGTCGTGCAAAGAGCTAAGCGGCAAGAGCAGGCGAGAGTGGGAAATGGTGATGACTTACCCAATGGCCAAGGTCGTCCCGATGTCTCCGAGTTATTGTTTCGCGCCCGTGGGTGATGATGGATGAAGCGCATCTCTTCTGCAGAACCCGATGGCGGAGTAGGGGCTTGGCTGCTTTACTAAGCCCCTCGCGACGAGCAGGTCAACTCGAAAACCACGCCTCTACAGAGATCACTTGACAACTTCTACAGAAACACGACGCAAAACAACGCGACAGCAGCCTCTCCGCCGGCAGAACAACCATTCCACGCAGATATTGAAGCTTGGCCAGTGATGAACCAACTCCTTGTCACCGAGACCGTGCACCCGCGCATTTGACGTCGAGCTAAAACCGGGGACTGGAACCTCTTCCTCCAAGCACATCCGGCTCATCCTCTTGCTGTTTCGCAAGCGATCCGTTGCCCGCGCTCTGTGTTTCCGATGGACTGGTGCTATCGGTCTGTCGCCAGACCTGGCAATCACGAACGGTGAGCCGCGTTGCTAGAGGCTGCATGGCACAGCCAACAAGGAAGAGGTATTTTCCATGAGGCGTACCTTAAGCGAGTACTTGTACCTCTCTTCCAGGCAGTAAGCAGACGATCGCCTGCCGTCAGCCTTCTCAGCTTTTGGCGGGGCCCGAGGCTGTCGAGAAGGACCCCAAGTTGTCCTCATGCTGCCGTCTACCTACAGAGTCGACCTTGCATACCGTTACTTTCAAGCGACTCGGTCACGTGCGTCGATACACGCTGCTAAGGCAAAAGGCAAGCGAGCCGAGTGCACGTCCATCTTTCATCTTTCGATACCATCAATGACATCTCTACTCTCTCTTCTACTTTGACTTATCCACCAAACTAATCTACTTCATCACACACGTCTCTCACTAGGCTTTCTGGCCGAGATCGTTTAGCATTGTAACAACTTAGAACCGAAGACAAACAACGCGCCACCCATCCCCTCTACACCAAGCACCAACCATGGGCTGGTTCTCCACCACCTCCCCCTCCACCACCTCCCCCGAACCCTCCCAAGACGGCGGCTTCATCGCCCCCGACCGCTCCGCACGCCAACAATGCTGGGAAGGCCGCGACGCCTTCTTCCAGTGCCTCGACCGCAACAACATCGTCGACAGTGTCAAAGAGAGCGACAAGGCGCAGAAGGCGTGCGCGCCGGAGTTGAAGGCGTTTGAAGGGGCTTGTGCGGAGAGTTGGGTGACGTACTTCAAGAAGCGCAGGGTGTTTGAGCATCAGAAGGAGCAAACGATGAAGAAGCTTGCGGCGGAGGGGGCACAGCCGTTGGATCCGGCGACGGCGGGGAGTGTGAATGCTGCGGGGGCGAAGGGGAGGTGAAGGGGCTGGATTTGTATGGATAGATGGATTCTCCACTTTTGATGAAAAGAGACGACCTTGCGGGCTTTGAGAGAAAGCTTTGGGCTTTGGACGTTGCGGAAGTTGAGGAAGTAGCCACGATTGGGACCAGAAGCGCCAGGAAACCGGAACCAAGGCATACCAGAGGCTGCGGGACGAAGACACAGCTTCACGAAATGCGGATTCGTGGAAGACAGCTCAGGCCGGGGAAGCATGACGGGGCTTACATGGCAGTCGTAAAGTAGAGCGATGGCCTTTGTACCGCGCCAGCCTGATAGGCTTGTTGTAGCTCGCGAAGCAGGTAGAGCCTAGAGGCCACGCGGCTTCAATGTACCATATGTCTTAATCCATTCGCATAAACGTGCATCATCTCCATCATCACTCATGACTCCACACCCTCAATTCACCATCATCTCCCGCACAGCCAAACGAACATCATCGATCCCCCTCCTGCGACACCCTCTCCCACTCACTATCCGTACTCACATCCCCACTGCCATCCTCCTCCACCCGCCTCTGCCTCGCCTCCCCCTGCTCCAACCCCGTCACAACCACCCCACCATGCCTCCCACCACTCCCCGCCATCACCTCTCCCGTCCCCTGCCCCTCCTCCTCAACCTCCGTGCTCTCCCCCTCATCATCCGCCGAATCCTCCACCTCCCCCTTCTCCTTCCACCCCTTCCCCTTCTCCCTCCTCTCCCTCTTCCTCAGCGCTTCGGCTTCCTCCTCCTTGACCTGCGCCGCCCGCAGCTCCGTCGCGAACCAATTTATGCTCCACCATAGGCCTCCGCACAGGACGGAGAGGATGGCGAAGTGGTAGGAGTAGGTTGCGATCAGCAGCACGAAGAGGAGGAGTTGGAGGGCGGCGAAGGTGATGTTTGTGGCGAGGAGGAGGGGGGGTGTGGGGCCCGGGGTGAGGATGGAGTTCATGAGGGGGGTGAGGAAGGACATTGTTTGGTAGATTGGTGGGGTTTGGTTGGGGGTTGGAAGGGCTGGTTGGGTCGGCGGGCTGGGGGGTCCTCGTGTATGTGTGTTCGTGGAATGGTTGGTTCTTGGTTTAGAGAGTCGTGTATCGTGAGTCGTGTTAACGTCCAGTACTGTGCCGGCGGTTTGCTGTTGGCTTGTACCTCGTACGCCTTTAGATATGTACGCTGTTGTTGCTGGTATTCGGACGTGTACTGTATGATTTCGCTCTGTATTTTAGACAATTCTCAATCACATGCGACTATCACAAGCTTCAGGCATCACGATAGCAAGGCAGACAATCACGAGATACGTAGGCGCCGGGCGTTTGTGAGCTATCGGCAAACGCGCTTCTCGCTGGACGTCATGCCGTCGGGCTGAGGTCCGTTCGCTGTACCTGCCTGCTTGGGAAGTGTTCACTTCTTGGGCGCTGAGCTTCCGTCTCTTCTCTACATGTATCTCTCACTCTTCCAATACAACCAACGTCAAACCGAACATAGTCGGACAGTAACGGGGAAAGTACAGGGTTGGTATCGATTATCGCCATACTGTCGGGTCGGGGTCGGGGTCGTGGTAAGTCGAGGTGAGGAATGCACCGATCTTGACCTTACACCTTCCTACCTTTCAGACGTCTCCTATTCTCCTAATCATGCGGTGCTTCTCTATGTTTATGGCAGCCACTTCACTATTCCCAGAAGACCGAAGATGGAGCGAATCGTCGTCCCGTCTCTGCGGCGCTATTGCAATGGGAACAAAGGAATTGTACTCGGCTAGTGGGAGACCAAGATCGGATGCGGCGATGGACTCCATCAAAGCGCTTCTGCGGTCTTCGCTATGCTCGCGACAGTATGATCATCATCCTTGCATCTTCAAGCGGATATCGTCGCCATAGCGTACCCTTCAAATTCGACCAGCAACCCGACTGGCTCTGCGCACAACCACCACAACCATGCCTGGCCCCAAGCGACCCAGGACCATACACATCCGCAAATCGAGCTCAGCATTAGCAACAAGGTCACCTCTATCCGGCAAGTTCCCACGAAGACCGACCCACGGCAGAGTAGGATGGCACGACAACGACCCCGAGAAAGCCAATGACCCTTCTGAAGGACCAGTCATACTCCACGACATCGACCTCCTGGCCGAAGAGATCGCGGCTGCGGACCAGGCTCAAAACACATTGGAGCCGAAACTAGACCTGAAGGGATGGCGGCTAGTCGTGGTCATGCTGTCTATTTTCACCGGCCTCTTCCTCAGTTTCTTGGACACTTCAATCGTGGCGGTAGCATTAGCGACTATTGCGTCCAGATTTGAGTCCTTCCAGAACAGCTCATGGGTCTTCACGGCATATCTGGTAACATACATGGCCTTCGGGATAATCCTCGCCAGGCTGTCAGACTTCCTCGGCCTCAAGACCGTCGAGGTGATGAGCATGACGCTCTTCCTGGCCTTCTCTGCGGCATGCGGTGCTGCACATAACATGACCCAGCTCATCGTTTTCCGCGCACTACAAGGCATCGGTGGCTCCGGCTTGTACTCGATGTGCACCATCATTGCTCTTGCTGCAGTCCCACCCAGCAAGATCGACGAGATGGCTACGTATGTGAGTGTCACGCAAGCGATCGCTGTCGTTCTCGGCCCTATACTCAGCGGCATCATCACCCACGATACCGATTCAGACAACTGGAGATGGATCTTCTACCTGAACTTGCCTTTGATGTTTCTGGCTCTCCTTGGACTGCTGGTCGCATGGCCGAAACGCACGCGAGGACAGGATGGCAGGCCGTACCGGATGAGCTTCAAGAGCTTGAAGGCTATCGACTTTGTTGGCTCAGGTCTCCTGCTGACAGCCAGTGTCATGCTTATCTTTAGCTTGCAAGAGGCGGGTGCGCATGTGTTTGATTGGGACAGCGGCGTTATCATCGAGAGCTTCATCATCTCTGGCGTTGCTTTCATCGCCTTCCTGGGCTGGGAAGCCTGGATTGGTGGGAAGAAGGATTTGGTGCTGAAGCCAATATTTCCGATCAGGGTCGCTGGAAAGAGGGTCATGTTTTCGGCAATTCTGTGAGTCATTCTCTGTCCTTGTTCATCACGAACAGTCAGCTAACATCAAGGCGTAGTGTGACAGTTCTCAATGGCTTCCTTTGGTACCTCATCGTCCTCACACTCCCCGACCGCTTCCAGCTCATCGCAGGCGATAACCCCACCATCGCCGGCGTTCGCCTCCTCCCGATGGTTGTCAGCGCAGCAGTGGGCACTTTCCTTGCCGGCGGTCTGTCGAGAAGATGCAACTTGACCGCCTACACCACAATCGTGGCCTCTGCTATCCAGCTGCTCGGGTATGGTCTGATGACTACCCTCGGCGCTTCGGACAGTAAGAATATCATGGCGAAGACGTATGTTTTTGAGGTACTTCTCGGGCTGGGGTTTGGAATGTCGATTGCTTCGACGACGATTTTGACGGTCTTGCGGTTTTTGGCGCAGCCCGAGCATACGGCTGTTATGTGAGTGCCCCCTCTGATGCCCTTCGCCTGCTGAATTGTCTGTTTGCTAATACCTCAACCAGGCAAGGCTGCATAAGCCAAATGCGCTCCCTCGGCGGCTCGATCGGCCTCTCAATCTCGACCATCATCTTCAACCACTACCTCCGCACCTCCTCCGACTTAGGCCTGCTCCTCGACCAATCAGAGCTCGAAGCGCTCCACCGGAGTCCTTTAGTGCTCGAGACGATGGATCCGTACCAACAAGACGCGGTCGTCGATGTGTACGCGCAAGCCTTCCGGGCGCAGATGAGAGTCGCGACGTGCGTGGCGGCTGCGGCATTCGTGCTGAGCTTCGGATGTCTGGAAAGAGACCCTCCTCCTCCGGGTGGGCAGGTGGCGAGGAGGAAGAGCATCGCTTCTGTGAATTATGGATAGATGTAAGTCATGTGTGTACGAACAAAGCATTGAGCAAAGCTCACTTCAATCGCCAATCTGTTCCTTCCCGATCAAGCCATGCGGCCCATGCCAAGAATCACATGCTCCCAGCCCAATCTCGGCGCTCGGCTCACAGTCCAATGCTTCCCATATATAAATAATCCAAAATCTAGCTCTCCGTCGACAACGGGAAAGCCTGGCAAGCTTACCCGCCTCGACACACGCCACAATAACGATTTGACGACTATCGTTCGATTCTCTGCACCGGTTCGAGCAGAAGATCCCATTGGGGATTCGAGCGATCTTAAATCAGGGGTTGGCTCGAGCCTCTTGTAGTGAATGAATGAGTATAACCAAACTTCTTTCTGAGGTTGAGTTTCTCTTCTACTGGCTCATTCCGTAAGGGGTGGGCTGGGTGTTGTCTTTTGCTCTTTTCTTATGTCCCGCATATCATACTTCTACTGAGGTTCTTTTTGGGCTTGTTGGAAGCATCAGGAGTATGTGAGACATTCACACAGATCAGCTAGTCACCTCCTTTTCTTTTGCATTGTGGTACAGCTGCGCATCTAGTGTTTCTCCACCCACTCCAACACCGCATCCACGAACCCCGTCGGCTGCTCCTCCGCAATCCAATGCCCAGCACAGGGAACATCAGCATACTCCACATCATCGTAACACTCCTCCCCCATCTTCCTCGCCTCCGCCTCACTCATCCAACTGGCACCGCCCCAAAGCGTCAAACAACGCACTTTACACTTCCCTTTCTCCTTCACCCATGTATAGTTCTGCACAGCATCTCGCTCGAAGGCCCGATACACATTCAAAGCACATCGCATGCCGCCACTGCCGGAGTATGCTTGAGCGTAGACTTCGCGGTCTTCAAGCGTAAGTGCGGAAGGGTCCTGGCAGTGGCGGTCGAAGAAGTGTTTTTGGTATTCTTTGACTCTGCCGGCGATGAGGAGTTCTGGGAGGTCGGGGATGGACTGTATTACAGATTAGTGTTGAATAAGCTGAGCTGAAGTGACCGACTTACGTGGAACGAGAAATGCCAGAACTGCGGAGTTCGTTTGTGGTGCTCGTAAAACGAACTGCCAGGGATCGGACATTCGCCCCAGCATACTGAAGCTGTCTCTTCCGGATACTGAGTGGCGTATGCATGAGCGACCGTGCCGCCTCTGTCCAGAGAAGTCAGCTTCGCCAATCACTTTGACCCTGTGAGCCGACGTACATGTCGTGCCCCACAACATGCACTCTCCCCTCCACCCCCTCGACCTCCCTTACCAAAATCCTCAGATCCTCCGCCATAACCGCTTTGGTAAATACAGCCTCATACTGCGCTGGCTTCGTACTATCTCCTGCCCCTCGGTAGTCGGGCGCAATGACGTGGTATCCGGCGTCAGAGAGCGGCGTGATAACTCGGCGGAACTGGTACCAGGTTTGTGGGAAGCCATGGATTAGGAGGATGGTGCCTTTCTTCTCCGCCTCAAAGGGAGGGCGGCAGGAGACGTAGTGGAGCTTGATGCCTTGTTCGCCGCCGGCGTCTAGGGGATTGGCGTCTGGGCGGATAGCAGGCTGAGGGCAGGGAGGGTCAGTGATATGTTAGGGGAGGTGGCGGGCGAGGCGTACTCTGTGGTGTGTCCAGCGTGAGGCATCGATAGGGTGCGCTGCGAGGACTGCTGAGGAGAAAGCCATCGTGATGGGAAGAAAGGAGTGATGTGGGATTCATACTCTGTCAAAAGAATCGTCTCCTTGAAGCCTGATATACTTTCATGCTATCCCCTTGATTTGTAAGGCTCTTCTCTTCGAGCGTCACCTACAGACATGGCATTACGCTGTCTTCAGCGTCATTCCTGTATGCGCAGCGTCATACCACATCTTCAGCGCCATTGGGCGGAACATCTCAATCTGAGAACAAGTATGCTCGCAAAAGAGATTAAAAGCCAGTACAGACTGTTGAGAACGCTTGCTCGATCTCAAAGACGAGACCGAGTTGAAGTGTATAAGAATTGCGTATGTACAGTTTGTCCATCTCGATCCACCGCGGGCCGCTTTGGCTGGAGCTAATTGTCTGCAGAACGCCAAAGTCCGGGTGCGCTGCATATACAGATCAGTCAAGTCCTTCTCGGCGCCAATGAACAGGCGAGAAAGTGTGAATGGACCACGTACGTCTTCTCCATGTACGAGACTTCGAGATTGATGCAGTGCTCCTCCCTCTGGCTTCGTCAAACAGACATGTCCAAGAACATGTCCAGCGCAAAGTCGTCGTCCAGGTGGCGGTACAGGTTGTCAGTTCCCTGCCGTGCTCTGAACATTGCAGCCGGTAGGGAAAGCGGTCGATGGACCAGTTCTCGTAGCGCTTCGACGTGCGTAGACGAAGCGACGGTCGGTTCCTCCAGCTTCCCTAGCATGAGCGCCAGCATCAGCCTCAGCGTGTAGTACGCGTCGTTGTCAGCACAGTGAAGCGACCCTCGGCGGCACGGTATATTGTATGTTTGCAGGAGGTTCCTCAGGCTCGTGTGTGCGCCGGGAGATTTTGGACAGAGCTAGGTAGTATCGACTGTGCCAACGATGGCGGGTAATGACTCGACTGGTACGCCGTAGTTGTCCATCTGCAGTGTATCCGCTCCCAAGCTGTGACCGACGAGGATCACACCGCCGGAATCGTCGTTGAGATGAGAATCGAAGTACTCCTGGACAACTCGTGGCAGTGCGTTTGTGGTAGTCCTAACAGTTTCGCCGAACAGAAACCCCCGGCTGCGGTTCCTGCTGAATGCGTAGTGCTGCCCCTCAACGGCAAGATTTGTCGCCGACGGCGACCTCCTCTCGAACAGGTGCTTTGGATCGAAAGCTGCAAGCCCGACCTCCTTCACACCTCCGTCTCCCATGGTGCCTTCGAAGTCGATGGCGACAAACTTGTAGTTCTCGGGCGGGCAATCTCCACTTGCCAAAGCTGACAACAAGGTTTCCAGAGCCTTTCGTCCATTGCGAATGTATCAAGCTTCTCGCACTTGCTGTATCAGGCTGGCCCGCAGTACTCTAAAGGCCTTCATGCTCTCGGATAGAATGACGTCGAGCTCCTTAGCACTAGGACGGTAGGCGTTCCAATAGGCCTCACGATCGTTGGAGAACTCGGCTCGGACCCGTCTGGCCTCACGCCAGCCACGGCTTCCATACCAGGCGCGCTTGTAAGTGTGGCTCGCAGAGCTGTAGGGTGTTCTCATATCGTATGGGCTCAGTCGTACGCTGCAAAAGTCCGCTGTCTAAGTTGAGAGGCTTCGTGGGAACGAGAGACCGATTGCAGTCTCGGAGCGTAGAATGCTGTAGTTTGTATGTCGTGCTCGTGAATGAATGAGGTAAACATGAGACGAGAGTGGTGCGGGACAGAGAGAAGGGGCGGAGAAAAGGGCGAATTCTCTGAGAATGCTATTAAATACCAGCAAGATGCGCCAACCTAGTATGCTTAGACAGCCCTTCTGTTGGAGGAGGAGCTATGCGGCGAGGGAGCAGTTGCGAGGTCCACTTCAGAGTACAGATGTCTTTCCATCGTGAACAAGATGACCATATGCCATCATGGCGCGAGGGTGAGATAGAGCTTTTGACTGTCTTGGTGGTGGGTCTGTCGTTCAGGCCAATGTGGATGCAGTGTGGTTGTTCTAGGACGCAACGCAAAAGCATACCAAGCATTTTAACCGCTGGTCGGAAGCCAATTAAAGTGCCCAGCTGAAGTTAGCGCAAATTCAGCACGTGGCTCCGGATGCGACGTCGAACAGGTGGTACTGTACCTGGTGTCTTCGAGACGAGGCGAGGTATACTTCCTCCGCCATACTCGACGAACAGCACTCCCGGTCGCGAGTTCCCCGTCGCCAGACCGTGAGTGCTATAAGGTGTCTGGCTGTGGCCGCCCGGAGACACCACTGTCTGCTTATGCGCACAGCCGTTGGCCTCAGTCCCCGTCAGCAAGGCTAGATCCTCCCCGAACCATTGTTTTGCCGCCGTTGCCAAGCAGCCTTCCAGAGCGCCCGGCGGAGTGGTAGTGAAAGGTACCGGTCTTCAAGAAACATACCAAGAGAGGGGAAGAGTGCGGAGACGGGGTGTGACACAAAGACAAGAGCGCGAGCGCATTGCTGCCGGTGTCGAGGTCGAGTAGCTGCTGAAGGATGACGTGAGTTGGGTCGACGACATCCAGTCACGGTGTTGGCGATAGAGTATTCGTGTTGGTTCGACGATGCTGGCCGCCCAACAACGCGCGAGATCGAGCTCCAACAACACCCCCGACGAGTCTTCGCGCCACAACACTCCGCCGCCTCAATTACCCGCCAGAGGAAACAACCTCAGCGTGCCGGGCGAGGGACACAGCGCAGCGTACGGATATACCTCTGCCCCGGGCCTTGCGCCCTACTCGACCAGCCCTCGACCCCGCGCGCATACCTATGCCACCGAGCTCGCGATGCAGTCACAGCAGGACCAGTTTCGGCGGGGCACGCCTGGCAACCCGGGGCAGCAAGGGTGGCCGGCTCCAGGTGCTCGTCATGCGTCAGCGGGAGGACCATATCAAGGAGGATTCATACCGCCTCCACCACCGCCCTCTGCACCTCCGAATTCAGGCATGCATATTCCACCTCCGCCCCCTCGACCAATGAACAGCTCCGCCCCTTCGAACGGGCCATACATGCCTCCCCCACCTGGTCCGCAATGGGGATATGGAACATACAATCACCGACAGGCGACACACCCGGCGCCTATGTATCAGCAGCACCCCGCCCACAGAGAGCCGAAGAACTACGACCCTACAGCGTACGCCGAATATATGCATTACCCCCAGCCGCCCGTTGACCAGCCATTGACATCTGCGACTTACATTCCAGGCGGCGAGAGCTTTGGGCCAGGTGTGGGGATTCCTCCATTGGAGTCTCAGCGAATGCAGAGCAGCCAGTCCAGACCGTCCACCACGCAAGCTTCGCAATATGGTGGAGCTTGGGGTAATGAGGATAGGTTCGGGGTGAACGACTTCACCAGCACCTGGTTCAACAACCATCAAACTTACCAACAGCCTCCGCCGCCCCAGCAGACCAGCAACTTTCCACCTCCCACGCCAACAGCTCGCCAGAATACGATCATCCTGCCACCCGCCAACGAAAAGCAGGAATATCGGTCTTCGCCAGCGCAAGAGCGTGCTCCTCTGCCATTCCGCCACCAGTCGTCAAAGTCCAATCAAGATTCTTCTTCGAACCGCGACCATTCTTCATCTGGCGAAACGCCTGCAAGCCCACAAGACCAGAACTGGCCACTCGAAAGAGTACAAACGTGGTTGATCACCCACAATTTCAGCAAGGAATGGCAGTCGGCTTTTCGCCATTTGAATGTACATGGTTCGCTGTTTCTCGACATTGGCAGAAGTGGAGGGCAGAGAAATATTGGCTTCATGCCGCAAACCGTCCTGCCTCAGGTTGCTAGAGAATGTACCAACAACGGCGGGCTGTGGGATCAAGCGAGGGAGCGCGAGGAGGGCAGGAGGCTGAGAAGGCTGGTAAGAGATGTTATATCGACCGGCGGAGCCAGTACGCCTGCAACGGCTTTACCAAAACTTCCTCTGAGCAACAACAGGCGCGAGTCTGCTCAGCTCCTGGGTAGCGCTGGGACAGATGGTGGCGTGGAGAACTCACCCGATCTTTCAGGACCGAAATACTCTCTCAACTCGTCAACTACACCAAGCACCGCAGGTACGGCAGGCGATGAGTCGCCTGGCCACTCAATGCCGACTATCGCGCAACGGCGGTCGTCGCAGCAAAGGGCGGTGACGTACGACAGCGGCATGGGTAACAGTATTCGGAGCGACTTCACATCCAGCCTTATGGGATCCATCAATGACATACAGCGACGCCATTCTCCCAGCGCAAGTGGTGAGTTGAGCGCAAAGGGTTTCTCAGCATCGCCGCAACAAAGTCCTGGCATGTCAAATGCGCGCCCTGCGGGAACGAGTGGGCAGCGGTACTACAGCCATCAACGCGGCGTAAGCAGCGAGACCAACATCCCGATCCATGGAAGCAACCTCTCGCCCGGCCCGACTCGAGCTACTGCGGCTCAAAGAGCAGATGGCGACAGCGCCTTCGCGAAGCCGCCTCCTGAAGACACTAGAAGGCGAAATGGGGCTGAGGCAACTCGACCGCCTCCCGTGGAGAGCAGATATAGCGGCGAGACTCCAGCAAGTGCGCGAGAGCCCAAGCGTGGCTTTCTTGACAAGTTCCGCAAAACGAGGAGAGATGACGCGCATCCCTCGCCCGAAGATGAATTCAGTCCTTCATCACCGTATCCTCCCAGGGCACTACCATCGAAGTCTTCCTCCAACGCGTTGTCAGAAACCGCCTTGGAGCGAGCGTCGAGTCGAAAGACCAAGAATGGACATCTCAGCGTTGAATCAGGAACATCTTACTTCACCGCACCATCTGCCAAACCGCCAAGCGAGAGGAAATTCGTTCTTGTCACGCCCGATGCGTGGAACTATCGTCTGATAGATATCAGCGACGTCGAAAGCGCGGATCACCTGAGGACCGTCATATGCTATAATCTGGGCCTCGGTGACTGCCCAGACGCCACGGTCCATCTCACTAGCCCAGGACAGACGGAGCACGATGAGGCCCTCGGGGACAGTCTGCTGATGAATGCGAAGAAGAACATGGCGGACTCAAGTGGGAGTCTGAAGCTGTTTCTGCGCGTTCCAGAGAGCGCGGGCTTGGGCTTGCAGAACGTGCCACCGTCACCCTTTGGACGTGCCTCTTTCTCTGATCGTCCGCTGGATCCCATGACTTTCAGCCGGTTGGTGAATGGCGGAGTTACAGATCTACCGGACAAGTCTGAGTTCGACAACCTACCGGAGAGCGAGCGCCAGGCTCTTCTTGAGGCGAAGGCAGAGGAGCATAGAAGAGAGAATGAACGGAAGCAAAGGGCTTATCTGGAGTCCAGGAGGGAGAAGATTGGCGAGAAGAGGATCCACGACTTTGATGCGCCCTCCAGACCGGTTTCATCTGGCAGTACGGACTTGGAGAAGAGGAGCGATTTGGTGCCTATGCGCAGGCCGCCTCCTGTGCCGGAGCCGACGACTACACTTGCCAAGGCGAACAGCTTGACCAAGAAGGGTGCGCCGAACACGATTCGCACCAGCTGGCCGAACCGGAAGGAGGAGCCATGGAAGCGAATCTCTGGTGGCTCGATCAAGGAGGAAGAGGAGAAGAGGCCAGGTAGTCATGGTATTGCCGGTGCCTTGGTCGGTGCTGGTATGGCTGCAAGGAGCTTCGGGACGCCTTCAAGCACGCCAAGTTCTGGATTGCAGAAGAGCTCGACTGCGCCGGACCTCAACAACAACACCTCACGTCAGCAGTTTAAGCCTTCCGCTTTGTCAGATGTTCACTTCAATAAGCACCACAACAATGCTCGCAACGCTAGTCCTGCATCGCCGAGGAGTCCTTTCACGGCTTCGAAGGGCGGGCAGGTGTTTAAGATACCAGACTACGTTGAGAACGACGAGGGTGCTGGCGACGAGGAGGACACATTGAAGGCGAATGGACAGCCTAGCCTGACGCTGAGTATTCCGACCAACCCGACGGTTAACAGAGTCAAGAGCAGTAGCGGCAGGAGTCCTGAAGTCAGCCCTAGCACTAGCGCTCCGGCACCTGGTCGCTTGAACCGACGAAGTACACGACGCGGGCCTAGCTTTGAGCTGCCAGAGCGGCAAGTTGACTTCCAGCCGAGCCCGGCTATGGTGCAGGAAGAGAGCGAAGACTCGGATGACGGACTATTCGCTATCCCCATCCGCTCGGCAAAGGACACCAAGGCTACCAGCGCCAAAACACCGTCGTCTGCAAAGGCCAGGGACGTCCTCGGCATTACTGCCGATACACCGAATCGCTCACCGAACAGGCCAGAACTCAAGGTCAAGACGTCCAGGTCGAACGTCAAGTTTGGTTCTCCGCTTGATAGAAAGGTCAACGACGACGCTTCGGATGGTATCGAGCGACAAGTGCCGACTTCTGCCTCTACGGGCCATCCTTCCACCGACTCGCCGGAGGAGTTTGGCGCCTTTGCAAGAGAACATCGCCGAGAGAGTTTTGCTAGCGAGGTGTGGGCGAATCGTCCACCTGCTGAGGGCATTGTGGAGCACCTTGACGCTTTCTTCCCGAACGTGGATCTGGACCAGCCGTTGTTGGACGAGGCCGGTGCTGACGGTGCTGCTGCGGATGGCAGTCCTGTGTCAACGGACAAGTCTACGGACAGATCGACATTGAGCACGAAGGCTTCGTCGCAGGATCTGGCCAGCAGCCGTAGCGTCACACCCATGTCGAGTGCTGATGAGGGAGATAGCTATGGCGCTGATGCTACCAGCGGGATGACGAAGAGTGACAAGCATACCAGTGTCGCTGCACGCAACATGCGCAAAGCAGGAGGTCTTGGCAGGATCAAGAGTATCCGTGATGTGGTGAAGAACAACTACAACGCCGCGCCGAATGCGCAAGCGCATATGTCGACGTCTTCGTATGGTTCGTCGCGAGCGAGTGGAGTTTCCATGGCGAATGCGCCGTTGAATAGAGTTAGTGTGCTGAAGAGTGACAGCAGTAGCATCGTCCGTCGCAAGAGCACGAAGATGTTCGGCGCTCGCATCGAGCAAGTCAAGCCGCAAAGAGGTAGCAGGCTGATCAGCAACCTGGACACCATCCCGCAAGACACGATACCAGCCGGAAATGTCCAGCACGCGAAGGCGCCAGAGAGACAGCCAACCTTCAAATGGATGCGCGGTCAGCTCATCGGCAAAGGCACCTTCGGCCGCGTCTATCTCGGCATGAACACCACGACCGGTGAACTGCTCGCCGTCAAGCAAGTCGAAGTGCACCACAGCGCGCCCAACGCTGATCCAGCCAAGATCCGCGAAATGGTGAAAGCCCTCGACATCGAAATCGACACGATGAAGGACCTCGACCACGTCAACATCGTCCAGTACCTCGGCTGCGAGCGCAAAGAATACAGCATCTCCATCTTCCTCGAATACATCTCCGGCGGCAGCGTCGGCTCCTGCTTGCGCAAACACGGCAAATTCGAAGAAGCCGTCGTCTCCTCCCTTACGCGGCAAACGCTCAACGGGCTCGCCTACCTGCATTCAGAAGGGATCCTGCACCGTGATCTCAAAGCCGATAATATCCTGCTGGATCTGGATGGGACGTGCAAGATCTCCGACTTTGGCATCTCGAAGCGCTCTGCTGACCCTTACCACAACGATATCACCAACAGCATGCAAGGCTCCGTCTTCTGGATGGCGCCGGAAGTCATCCGCGCGCAGTCACAACCGGGCGGTGCTCTGGCGCAGGGTGAAGATATCCATTCTGCCAATGCGATGAACAAGGGCTACAGCGCCAAAGTCGACATCTGGTCGCTTGGCTGCGTAGTGCTAGAGATGTTTGCGGGCAGAAGGCCTTGGAGTAAGGAGGAGGCGATTGGTGCGATCTTCAAGCTGGGGAGTTTGAACATGGCGCCGCCGATTCCGGAGGATGTGTCGGATGTCGTGGGGCCGGCGGCGATTAGTTTCATGTTGGATTGTTTTACTATGTGAGTGCTCATTCCTTCTTGTGGAAGAGGAGACGTTGCTGACGGTTGATTTTCAGCGAACCGGGTGAACGACCGACGGCCGAGACGATGCTGCGCGCGCCGTTCTGCATCTCGGATCCGAATTATAACTTCTTGGACACGGCGTTGTATGCGAAGATTAGGGGCGCGTTCTGAGGGTAGTCAGCGTGGTGTCCTTTGGTTGCTTTGTTTCATCTGTTGGAAAGAACTGTACACTATGGGGATCTTGGGCGGCTATACGATTCTTACGACTGACGACATAGTGTATTTTACTTCTTGGTCTGCTCGTAGACACTTGTTCCTTCGCTTTGCGATCCTTTTCTGTACTCAGACATTGCCTGTTACTCTCATAATATAGTACACTTCACATCTTCGCCTTAATCTCCTCCAACAGACTCTGCAACTTATCCTTCCCCGGATTCTGCTGCGGCCACCCTATCCCCAACCCCTCCTGCTCATTCGGCTTGGGGATGAAGTGGAAGTGCACGTGGTCCACCACCTGATGTGCCATGCGGCCGTTGTTCTGCAGGATGTTGTACTGGTCTGAGCCCGTGGCTTTTGCGATTTTGGACGCGACGGGCAGGACTTCGGAGAGCTGGTCGTCGGGGATATCGGTTAGTTTGGCGCCGTGGTGTTTGGGTATGACGAGCTAGAAGGGTTGTTAGTTGGTAAGGTGGTGGAGGGGGAGGTGGTGCGTACCGCGTGGCCTAAGCTCAATGGGTTGATGTCGAGGAAGGCGAGGGTCTTTTCGCTCTCGAAGATTTTCATGGAGGGGATTTCACCCTTGATGATCTTGCAGAAGATGCAGTTGGCGGCCATTGTGGTTGTGTTTGCGGTTGTTTACCACCAATGTTTCATCGAGCAGTCGAAGAGAGCATTCACTTCACCCCGCGATGCAAGATGACGTTTCATTAGCGCCGGCGGATCCCGAAGCGGCGGGCCGGGAGCGGCCGAACGAGCATACTTCGACCTCCGACCATTTCTCAATCTCTGCAAAACAGACTCGCGACCAAGAATGTATGGATGGCGGTAAAGACGAGCAGATCACTCACCCGAAGACGGCAGTGAATAATGGCGACAACTTCCAATTCAAAGGCGCAGCATCTCGTTTGAAGTCCAGTGGCGACGAGCAGCAGCAGCAGCAGCAGCATGGCACACGAGAGACTTGCAGCATCTGCCTTGAGGCTATCACCGAGCGGGCGGTAGCAGTGCCTTGCAACCACTTGACGTTTGACTTCATCTGCCTGGTCTCCTGGCTACAGGAGAGATCACACTGCCCGCTATGCAACGCAGCGATCACGGAAGTCCAATACGACTTTAGGGGCCCAGAAGATTTTAAGCGCTATCGAATATCTACACCGGAGCCGAAGAAAGGCAATGAAAGCACTTTCGAACGATCTCGCCGAAGACGGGGTCAAGACTTCATCAGTAGGCGCTCCCAACGATGGTTCCCGCAGAGTGAGCAGGCCGGCTCAAGTGGCGATGATCCAGCGCTGGAGAGGCGGAGAAGGGTGTATCGGGATCGGATGTTCTCCCTGCACGTGGGCGCGAATAGAATCTCGCAGTATAGAGACTTCACGCCACAGGATTTTGCCGCCTCGCGTGAGCTTCAAAGCCGGACGCGGATGTTCTTGCGGCGGGAGCTGAGGGTCTTTACCTTCCTGGACACAGCTTCTGCGCCGCGAGGTGGGAATAGGGAGTTCCTGCTTGAGTATGTTGTGGCTGTTCTCAAATCGAACGAGCCAAAAGGCGCAGATGGACATGCAGAAGACTTATTGGCGGATTACCTTGGCCGAGAGAACGTGCGGCTGCTATTGCATGAGCTGGAGGCATGGTTGAGAAGTTCTTTCACGACATTGAGTGACTGGGATCAACAAGTGCAGTATGCTGGAGAAGTAGGAAACGGAACAGAGGTGAAGCGTGGAGTGGTTTGACAAAATGACATTCAAGCTCGTTGGCACGCATACTCTCTCTGGATGCGATGCAACTTTCATACAGCCGAACCAGCTCCTCCGTTGGCGAGTCTCATGACATCATGCTTTCCTGACAATCTCGCTTCGTCACCTCTTCCTGCCCGGCGTCGTCGTAACGCAAGTATTCTGGTTGGTATTGCACGTCACCACCAACCCAGGAGAGATACTGCCGCTTTCGTAGCTATAAGTGAAGCCCACCGCGGCTCCAGAAGCATCGACTAGAAACATGAGTCAATGGACACGTATCAACGGAAGTCGGAGTTCTTGGACTTACGGCCTTGTATCCCAACACTAGAGTATATCCCATTATCATTCGGGCCACCAGTCGAATAGTAAGTGATCACAAACACCCCCGGCGTCGCACTATCGTAACCCACAGTGAAGTGGAACTGATAAGAGATGTCGCCCGCACGTTGCAGATAGTACTCATACGTGACCGCAGTCTGCGCCGCGTTGATCTGGTAGAAGATGCCGTCTTGGGGACTCGAAGTTCCGTAAAGGTAGAGGTCGTCAAGGAAGGGCGCCACGGTGTAGTTGGCCAGGTAGTCCTGCGGGAAGGTGTCGGCGGCGTATTGTGCGGAGCCGGATGAGATGGACAGGAGGCCGTTCGTGCTGGCGTAGGTTTGCGTGTCGGAGCTGGTGTACATGCGCATTGGGAAAGGCAGGTCGATCTCGCAGTAGCTGTCATCTTCATCGGTGTTGGGAGGGTCGCCGAAGTTGCAGGCTGTCGGTGAGGTCAAAATGAGGTAGTTTGTGCTTGAGGAGGACTGAGATGTTGTGGCGCTCGACCGTGTTATTGATGGCGCTGACGTCAAGACTGACCCCGAAGAGGTGGTGGTCGTTGTAGTTGTCCTCGTTGTTGAGTATGCAGAAGTGCTGAATGGAGTGTAGGTTCCCGGTGTGACTCCAACAAGAGATGCGATTACGGCGGCCACTTCACCAGTGAACGGGGTGTTGCCCAGGTACTCCGCCTTGTAGTAACAAGCACCTCCGACATAAGTGACTGCCACACATTGTCTGGGCGAGGTAGTGGAGTAACAGCTGTTGATACACTGTGCAAAGTCAAGGTCGAAGGCCACGCTGATTGCACCAGGGGCAGTATCTTTGTCACACAAGAGGAGGTATTCATTGCCAGCAACGTCTGTGAAGCCTGTTCCATTGGCGGCGGGACAAGGAGGAACCGCGGTCGACGACGTGAAAGCCGATGCGGAGGACGAGGTCGACGCAAGCATCGAAGAAGTCACGCTTGAAGAAGTGGTCCTAGACCGAGTCCGTGAGCCAGTATAGGATCCAGTCCAAGTCGATGAAATAGAAGTGGTTGACTGCGATGAGGGAATGCTAGTCGACTGATCCTCGGAAGATGCTGTCGAAGAAGTGCTGTCCGTACGAGTCCGGCCTCCGTTGGTAGCTGCTAACGATCTTGACGACCTACTCGTTGAAGACGTCGAAGTGCTTGTCGATTGAACACTTGTCGTAGACGTAGACGATGAAGGAATGCTGATTGACTGACCCTCGGACGATACTGTTAAAGAAGAACTGTCGGTACGAGTGCGGCCTCCGTTGGTTGTTGCTAGTGATCTTGACGACCTACTAGAGGAGGTCGTCGAAGTGCTTGTCGATTGAACCGAACTGGGTGACGAAGCGGTAACAGAGGCACCAGAGGTACTGCTCGGAGACGACATCATGGAATTGGAGCCAGACATCGTCGTCGACGCAATTGACAACATCGACGACATGCTCATGTCAGAAGACGTAGAGCTCATCGACATCTGTGGCGCAGTGTAGACAGTAGTGTGGTCTGCAGGTCTCGCCGCACCCGCCGCGCCAGCAAGTTGCAGGACTCCGGTTATGCTCGAGATCAGCTCACAAGCCCCAGTTCCGGCGATGAAGTTGATCGCGATGCAACCAGTCGTGGTGTCGCAGAGAGTCAGGCAGGCGCCAACACTGTTTCTCGTCGCGCGAAGAAGAACCGTGCCCTGGAAGCTGGACCCACACGTGATGTTGAAGACGTTTCCGTAGGCGTCACTGCACGAACCTGTGCTGGTGGAGGCTGGACCGCAAGTCCGCTGTGGGCACTGAGGCATGGTGCTGGATGAGGAGACTTGTGAAACGGTCGATGATGCTGTCGAGCTACTTTGGCTGCTCATCAGCATCGAAGTTGAACTGGACATCGCAGATCCACTTGTCATTTGGCTCAGAGTCATGGACATTGTTCCAGTGGACCCCAATGTCGACATCGCAGAGCCCATGGTCGGGGTCATCATCGTCATGCTGATGTTGGAAGCAGCATTGCATGTGCCGAACAACGGATCACAGTTCGGTACAGCGCAGAACTCTGGCGTACCTCCGCATTGTCCAGCCATGCTGCAGCATGCACCAAATCTTCCACCGGTGCAAGTTGTGTTGTTGAAGTCGGGGCCACATTCTCCGTTGACCGTCACTGGCTGCGGACAGTCGCCATAGCTAGGTTGACATCCTTCACGACAGAATCTGGGCTTGCTGCCACAGTACCCGGTGCTCCCGCAGCATGGCCCGAACGTGGACCCGCTGCAAGTGAAGCCGTCCGGCGTCCCACCTCTGCCTTGCGTGCCACACTGCCCATTTCGCGATATAGGCGATACCGTCGACGTGCTCGCAGGTGCAGAGCTTAACGCAACAGCGGAGCTGAAACCAGCTGCAGAGCTGGACATGGTGGCTGTTTGGACTCCAGTCGAGACATTACTGTAGGTGCGCGATGTTACTGGACCGCCAGGATGGTCGGGACCGATGGGGCCAGCAGTAGACGTGTACAGTGGAGGAGTTGCTGTTGAGCTGGACGAGTCCGGGAACGGGGACAGGCGAATGGCTGCCACCATCCTCGCGCGCCCTTCGACGAACGTCGAGTTGAAGTCCTTGAAGTAGCAGACACCGACACCAACGCCTTTCTTGCCGCCTTTGTACGTGAAAGCCGTGCAGTACGGTTCAGCATCACACAGAGCGAAGCACTCGTTGAATGACTCTGTAACACCATAGGCGCCATAAGCGCCCACAGTGGTATCCATCGCACAGCCCAAGGCATATTGGATGCCATTTACATCGACCACATTCCTCGCATTGTCCGCTGGGCACTTGAAGTCGGATATCGCAGTTGAGGTGGGCTCAACGGTAGCAGTTGAGGTTGTCGAGCTGCCTGCTCCTGAACTCTGAGGAAGTTCCGCACACTTTCCAAACGCCGACTGACATCCAACACCACAGTATTCTGCACCCATGCCACAGAACCCGTACTCTGAGCAACAAAAGCCGAAAGCGGATCCCGCACAAGTGTATCCGGTAGATCCACTGCAGAGACCGTTTGGCGATACGTTCTCTGCTACAGGCGGGGTCTGAGATGGCTCTCCGTCAGCTCCGCTGGTCGGTGCGCGTGTGCGGGTGCGTGACCGTGTGCGAGTGCGTGATTTAGTTCGAGAGTGAATGTCAGTCGACACTGTTGTCGAGGCTGTCATGCTGGACGTCCAGCCAGTGGCATCATGGACGGGTCGAGCGTACACAACCACCGGTGACCAATTTGAAGAGATCTGGCCCTTGAATCTTGCAATGACGTGAAAGCTGGCAGACCCATTGGTAGATACGCGGTAGAGCTGCGCGAGCCTGTCGTCGAATTCCGGGTTGGTCCAATTGAGGACGCCCTGCTCGACGTGAAACCTTTTGCTGATCGATCCAAGTTCAGGAGACACTGCGAATGGCTGAGACCTGACACCGGGCTCGGTAGAGATCCAGCCACCGGAGACTGTCGACAACTTGCCCTTCTTAATTACGTACTGCGCTGCTTCGGATCCGACAGTCGTTGTGTCACCATTCGGCTTGACCCAGACAGGCTGCACGGGTGCACGTTTCTTTTGAGCGACTAACGAGTCTGGCTCGACTTGAAGGACGAACGGCGTTCCAGAGTTGGCGTCTTCGTGGGTCCATGGGATTGGTACAATTGTGATCGTCGACTGCACGACGGTCACCGATCGGGAGCCGCTCGTGTACACTGCACTGCACACGCTAGCAGTTGCTGTGATGGTAATGAGTTTGGCATCGGCCGATCGAAGAGATATCGCGCCGGTCAGCAACGCGACTGCGGCACCGCGCCAGAGCATGTTCGCGGTTAGCCTGTGTTTGGCTCCCGTTAGTAACGAAGTGAAAGAAAGATTAGTAGAACTTCATAAGAGATCGAAAGCTGAATCGCAAGCGTAAACGAGTGACTGTAATTGGTCGGTGATGTGTGCCAGCGCAAAAGGATGTCTTCGGAGCACACGAGTGAGCACCATACTGACAAGACATGCCAAGAGCATGAGGAATGAAAACATATCAAATCTGCCTTGCCATGTTTTCATAGCCGCCAAACCGCGGAATGTTGAAAGCCGCGCCGCGCCTAGATTTTTCATTTCCAAACAGCACCCTGATGGACCTTGAGCCGCTATTAGTACTGCTTCTGCACCTGCTCCAGAGCACTAGAAGACGTCAGCGTAGGAACGGCGTGTCATAAACATTTCATCTCCCGCCCTTTACGTCTGGCGCCAATCACTTTCGATTTAGCTACTTAGGTTTGTGATAGCAGGACAGAGTATACGATATAAAACGGAGAGGTCGGATGTATTGATGTGTTTCGAGGCTACAGAAATAGCATCCTTCGGCGGGCTTCTGGTTGACCAACCACCGCTCTAGGCGGCAATAGTAACCTCGACCTCGACACCGGCCTCGATGTTGATGATGATCTGCTTGACGACCTCGGTTGGCGCGTTGAGATCGATCAAACGCTTGTGGATCCTGTTGCCCGTTAGAATGCCCCTTCGCTGACCTAGATAGCGGCACGCGAACCCACCTCATCTCGAACATGTCCCAAGTCTTGCTGCCCTCACCGCAAGGAGTCTTCCTGGTGGAGATCTTGAGGTTCTTGGTTGGCAGACGGACTGGACCCTTGACGCGCAAGTCCTTCGTCTTTGCACGCTCGATGAGCTCGCTGCACACTTTCTCGAGCGCGGCGACCTTGCGCGAGGTGAGGGTGATGCGGATCTTGTGGATCTTTGGCTGGTCGAGCTGCGACGTCTTCTTGGGGTCTTGGAAAGACATGTTGGCGGTGGTTATGTGGGATTGGTGTTTGGAGTTGGCTGTTGATGTAGGATCCGATCACGACTGTAGGATCGCATTAGCTCACTCTTGCACGCTGGTCTGTGGTGGTTTACTCACCTCGGTCTGTAGACACGGCAAAGTGATGATCGGTGGCAAGAAAAACGACGTTTTGCATTCGTGCGTCGAAATTTGAGGTTGCGATCTGGGAATCTTGGCAACGCGAGTCATGCAGCATCAGCATCGTTGACCACATCATGTGCCTTCCGGTTATCTTCACATTGGCAAACAGCACTTCTCAAAGCAAGGAGCTAGAAGAGCACAGAATCCTTGCATGGTGGTGAGAGCTACTGACTACCTTACGAAAGCTCCACGTTCGCCATGTCTCTTCCACCTCTTGCCGACATCCCGCCGTCGACCATCCGACTCAGCATCGCTCCGGAGGAGTGGGAAGCCTGTCTAGCGAGCTGGTTGACACTGACTGGACTATATCTAGGGACACCCACAAATAACAAACTCCCGGGATCGATCAATCCATATCTGAAGTCGTTCTACTGTGAGAGCGCACGAGCCGGGCCCACAGACGATACTCTTCGGTCGCCTATAGCACTGAGGCTACGTAAAGCGAGCTTTATGTTGGTAAAGCAGGTTTTGGATGACCCAAAGACTAGCCCAGAGCTGTTGGATTTCGACTTCATTGCGAACTTCAGCCGCATACATGCTCGGAATGCTTCGTTGCCTGCTCTCCTGAAAGGACTTTGGCAGCGTCAGGACGCGACGTTTCAAAAGTCATTCCAGAAGCGAAAATCTTCCCTCCTCAAAGGCCTTGGTTCCACATCCGCTCAAGGCACCTTGGATGGACTCAGGCAGGTGGCGGACGTGATGCGTGCTTCGCCCGAAGTAGCCGTTCTGTTCATGACAGGATCGGATTTCGTGGACTCGTTAGCTTCACATTACCAGCGATCAGGCACTGTCGATCAAAGAAAGGCTCTAGTTGCTACTGCATACTTTGGGTTGCTTGGTCTCGTCAAGGTTGAGCCTCCCAACATGTCGATGCTATCGGATCACCTCTACAGCCTCAAAGCACAAGCGGACAGCACGAAGAAACAAACTAGTTTATTGGCAGATCTGGTGACCAACACTGCATTGACAAAGAAGCTGCGTAGTTCTGTTGGCGCCACGTCTGCGGCTAGACTGCACAGTCTTCTCGACACAATCGACACATATCAGACCCAAAGCATAGCGCAACCACGAAAGCGTGTTCGACGGACCAAGGGCAAAGGCAAAGCATCCCAATCAAACGGCGAGATGCACATGCATCGCCTGAGCCTTGTCACTCAAATCCAGGATCTCTTCCCGGATCTCGGCTCTGGTTTCGTCCTGAAGCTCCTTGATGAGTACAACGACGACGTTGAGCAGGTCACAGCTCATCTGCTGGACGACTCACTACCATCACATCTACATAATGCAGACAGAACAGAGCAAGCGCCAGTCTTTGACAAAACCGAGCAATCGAAGATCGAAGACCTGGCACCAAGCTCAACACCACCTCTCCAGCCCTTCATTCCCGAACGCCGCAACGTCTTCGATGACGATGAGCTAGACCGCCTCGAGATGGACACGAGCAGACTTCACCTTGGCAAGAAGAACCAAACTCAATCCTCCGACAACCCCAACAAAGCAGCCATCCTCTCCGCCCTCGCCGCTTTCGACTCAGACGAGGACGAGCGAGACGACACCTACGACGTAGAAGACGTCGGCGGTACAGTCGACACGGCCCACCCAGACGGCGAGCCCGGCCCATCTGCGAAGGTCACGCAGGAGGAGAACGACATGGCGCTCTTCGCCGCCTACAAATCCTCACCACAGCTCTTCGGTCGCACCTTCGACATCCGCAGAGGCCAAGCACGACAAGCTCTGAAAGCAGAAACAGGGATGTCAGACGAGCAGATCGAAGGCTGGGCGACGATGCTGCAACGCGACCCGCGGCGGCTGAAGCGACTGGAAGGTCAGTTCGGGGCATTCGATGGCAAGCAAGCGCATCTGGCACGGACGTCGTACCGGGAGAGTCCTGGCGGGACAGAGACGGAGGACTCGGACGTGCCAGCAGAGAGAGGAGGCTTTGGCGGCACAGGCAGAGGGCGAGGCAGAGGTGGGAGAGGGAGGGGCGGGAGCGTGGCTGGACCGTCGAGTGATCCGAACACGGCGAACGCGCAGCGGAGGAAGGAGGCGAGTAAAGGGTCGAGGGCTAATCATAATCGGAGGGATCAGAGGGCCAAGAAGATGGCGAGGGGAGGGTTTCCTGGGTGAGAGTGATAATCTGTAGGAGGTAGAGCACTGACCAGTGCAGGAAGGCTCGTCCTATGCTTGTATGTACTGTTCAGGCGATAACATGCAATCTAATGTGTGTTGATACGCCACGCTATGCTGAAGACATCCTGCTTGCCCGCCTATGGAGCGCATCTCTCGACCTTCCCACTATCGTACACAGCCTCTTGCACACTTGATGCAAGCCTCTACTTGTAGAAGTCAAACTTGTCCGCCTCACTCGCCCCCTTGACCTGGCTGGTGTACGCGTCCTCCAAATCCTGCTGAATGATGTTGTACCTGTTCTTCCGCACCGCCCTCAACCCAGCCTCCTGCATCACCGCCGCAATGATGGCACCCGACAGCGGGTCGTTGCGCACGATCAAGCTGTCCAGATCCACCTCGGGCGACAAGCTCATCTTCGACGCGATAGTGCTGAAGATCAGACGTCGCTCACGGCGGTCGCGGAGGGACGGGAATTCGATCTTCCTGTCTAGCCGACCCGGTCGCAGAAGAGCTGGGTCGAGAGTGTCGGCACGGTTGGTGGCCATGATGACTTTGACGTTGGAGGTCTGGTCGAAGCCGTCCATTTGGTTGAGAAGTTCGAGCAGGATACGCTGCACTTCTCTGTCCGCTCCGGTTTGCGCATCGAAACGCTTCGTTGCAATGGCGTCGATCTCGTCGATGAAGATGATGGACGGGCTATTCTCGCGCGCCATCCTGAAGACATCACGCACCATACGTGGGCCTTCTCCGAGGTACTTTTGCACGAACTCTGAGCCAACCACACGGATGAAGGAGGCGGTAGTGCTGTTGGCGACGGCTTTGACAAGCATAGTCTTGCCGGTACCAGGTGGGCCGTACAGCAAGACACCGCGCGGTGGATCGATGCCGATCTGCTTGTAGAGGTCAAACTGCTGCAGCGGAAGCTCGACTGCCTCCCGAATCTCCTGCTTCTGCATGTCCAGACCTCCGACGTCGGCGTAGCTGATATCCGGCTTCTCGTCCGCACCAAGCATGGCAATGCTGCTGTCCGCCTCCGGTGGCAGGATGTCAACCAGGCTGTTGGAGTGTCGGTGCAGCGCAACGGAGGAGTTTGGTTTGAGCAGCTCCCGATCCAGCGTGCTCAGTATCCGCACCACGTAGTTGCTGCCGGTGCTGCTCTGCACAATGCCACTGTTTTGGTCGATCGCCTCCATAAACTGCCCGATGACTAGGGGTACGCTCTGTATCCGCTTGATCTCCTCCTGTGCGCGCACCAGTTCTCGCTTCAGACTGCGCTGCTCATCTTTGATGTACTCCTCTTGCAGCTTGATGTACTCCAATTGCCGCTGCAGCTTCTTGTATGTGGCATATTGGTCGTCGGAGTCTGTGAGGCCTTCAATAGAGTCGAGATTGGCCAGGCCGGAACTGGGGACCTGGCGTTTGTGAGGCGCTTCCATTGTGGATGGCGAGAGGACGTCGGCGGTGGCCATGTTGAGTTGTGTAAGTGCTTGTGTTGTGTCTCAAGGCGCGGGCAACGGTAGGTCGATGGTGATGGTGTGGTGTCGGATGTGGCAAGATGTTTGGAGGTGATGTTGAGGCATGAAGCTTCGAAGGCACGCCGAGAAGACGCGGCGATCGGCTTACTCTAAGGCACGAATTCAGGCATAAACACGTGACACACTGAAGATCAAGGGAGATGTGGTTCTCGACAAATGCTAGACTTCGTGCTATCATGATATGTTCGTAATGACCACCTTCTGCGCACTGACACCCTTCTTCTGCTTGTCCAGCCCAAGTTGCACCGACCTCAGCTCCTCTCCAACAATCAACGGGTCCGGCTTTGGCAGTATGGTGCCCTGATCAAGAGCCATGGGCAAGAACTCTCGCCAGATGTATGGCCCTACTTCACCGTTGAAGATCTCACCAGCGCCGACTAGAAGGCCGATGTTAGCATTCTGGACAAGCGGTACAGGGGACAGTGGCGACCACTTACTCATCTTCATCCTCACACTGCTCGGAATCCCATCATCCGGCACCCCTCTCACCGTCACCACAGTCGCCTTTCCCTTGGTCCTGTCCACAATCCTCGCGCAAGCCTGCACCGCCCCGTCTCCGCCCACCGCATGAAACGCACCCACAACCGTCATCCCCTTCAACGCATCCACGATCTGATCCTCCACATCATCGTCGTGGTAGTCAAACACCTTCGACGCTCCAAGCTTCCGGCAGTATTCGAAGTTGCCGGGGCTCGCTGTCGTGATCACAGTTGCACCAGAAGCCACGGCAAGCTGGATGGCGCAGCTTCCCACGCTGGAACTGCCGCCCCAGATGATCACAGTCCGGTCGAGGGATTCTGGCTTGAGCGTAGGGTAAGGGAGGGCGAGGAAACCTTTCTGGTAGAGGCCGGCTGATGCAGTTGAGATGGCTAGAGGCAGGACCACACCCTGTGCTGTGGCGATCTCGTAGGGGAGTTCTGCCACTCGTGCTCGGTGGACGAGGGTGTACTTCTGGAAGCCGCCTTTGGAAGGCTCAGTGTAGGCTTCGCAGTGTCTATTCGTATTGTTAGCATATGTTTTAGGTACTCCGTTCAGAGCACCTACGCAATAACCCTCTGCCCAATCTTAAACTCATCGACCTTGTCTCCCACCTCTACAATTTCTCCCGCTACATCCATTCCAAACACAGTGGGGTAGTCGATCCCAAAGATATCCTCATCCTGCATGATCCAGTCGATTGGATTCACAGCCGCATCGAACACTTTGATGGCGACATAGTCCTTTGGTGGCGAAGTGTAGTCTGCTTTGGAGACGACAAGCGGTCTGTCTTTCCGCTTGAGAGCCCAGGCGGCCACGTTCCTGGGCTTGAAGATCTCGTTGCCGGACATGGTAATAGATTGGATAATTGCAAAGGCTTGAATTGCAGTGGATAGTAGGGAATGTTATAGCAAGGTAGCAAGCATGTAGATCAGTGTTGACGTTGATGGCGGTCGCGGGTTCCTGCATGAAAGATGAGGTGGCTGGACGTGGGGAAGCAATTGATCAGCATTCACAGGGCTGCGGAGACAAGACAACCTGAAGCTGCAGTGAATCATTGAACTGAATGAAGGCCTTTGTGCTATATCTTCGTGAATGTTTGGACATGTAGTTTCTAGTCTCACAATTCATCCATGTACACCCCACCGCCCAACCATCTCCATTGCTCCCTTCCCGCCCTCTGCCAGCACACCCTCTTTATCCCTCAAAGCACCTGCAACGCATCTCCATCCATCCCTGCCACCACCCCATCGCAGCACTTCCTCTCTAAACAGCCCACCCGCTTCTGGATCAACAGCTCCGCCTTGTTGTCGCTGAAAGACATCCCTCCAGATCTTTCCTGCAATCGCGCGGTCAAACAGGTACGAATAGTACGTCGCACCATATCCAAACAAATGCCCAAAGAAACCCTGCCAGCTCGTACCCGCAGGCTCAGGGACAGATGAGTACTTGTTCCAGACTTGATGGTACAGCTTCGTGCTTGCACCAACGGCGCCCTCACTCCAGTTTAGAGGCAAGGAAGAGTGATATTGTTGGTCCAACATTCCGAGCAAGACCTGGCTTTCGACCTCTGCGCCAGCCATCCTCCTGTCGACTTCCACTCGCTCGCGGACGCGTTCGGGGTTGAGAGGAGCATCTGTTTCCCAATGTCGAGCGTATAGACCCAGTACTTCCGGAGCGGAAGCGAAGCTCTCCATCAGTACGGAAGGTAGCTCGGCGAAGTCAGTAGCACAGCGCGTGCCGCTGACGTTTTGAAGCGCAGTTCGTCCGCAGATGGAGTGGATGGCATGCCCCATCTCGTGAAAGAGCGTGGTGAGTTCCCGGAAAGTCAATAGCGTCGGTCGGTTGCCTTGGCTGCCGCTGGGTGGATTGGCGAAGTCGCAGATGAGTGCTATAGTAGGCAACTGATACAGCGCATTACCGTCCTTCGGGTTGAATTGAGTAGCTAACCCATCATTGGCAGCTTCTTGTGCCGTTGCGAAGATACCGTTGGTCTGCGAGCTCAGCTCGGAAGCTTCTCTCATCTCTTCCTCACTGATCCGTCGCGAGCAGCGCAGAGTGAAATGCGCTGGGTTCGGACTCTTGCCCGACCTCTCGAAGAGATCGCAATAGATAACAGCTATGTGACCTTCATTGTCGTCCACAACGTCTAGCCGGCGGACATCTGGATTCCACGTCTCGCCGGGCAGAGGTTCGCGCGGGACGAGTCGCAAGCCGTAGAGCCGGTGGAAGAGTCGTGAAAGTCCTTGCATGACCGTCCCGAGAGAGAAGTATGCGCTGAGGAAATCAGGCGCTCTCGCTTTGGTACGCTCGTTTGAAAGTAATTGAGCGGTGTAGTAGTCTCGATCCCAAGCATTGAGATCGGTGGGAAAGTTGCTTGATCGGGCATCTGACTTCTTCAGCTCCAAAAGCTCCTGCATCTCCCGCTTCACTCTAGGCGCATTATCTGCCGAAAGGGCATCCAAGAACGATGTGACTGCTTCTGGGCTCTTGGCCATCTTGTCTGCGAGCGTCAGATGTGCGAAGCTGTCATACCCGCTCAGCTTCGCCAGCTCTGCTCGCCGCTTTAGAAGATCTTCGAGTCGGTGCAGGTTGTCCTTCGCGGAGGTGCGATTGGCCATGTAGATTTCCCGTCGTGTATCTGCATCTTCGACCGTTCGCAACGCCAGCGTCGCTGGCATTCCGACAGTTGGGAGCGTGACGTTACCCCATCTTGTAAGCTGCCGGACAAGCATCGGATCCATTCCATTTAGCCTACTGCTTTCAAGACTGAGATAAGGTGTCGCTGTAGCCATATTCTCGACGAACTCTGTCCCCACCTGAGCGATTTCGTTCGATATGTCCACGAAAGCATGTCTCTCACTGTCCGCAAGATCGATGGCGGATTTAGAAAAGTCCTTCTCTAATATCGCAGCCACCGTCTTCTCCTCTTCGCTCCATGTGTTGTAAACCTCGGGCATCTGCGATGCCTTTTTCAGCTGATCGTTGAGCCCGGTAGTCGTATTGAGTATATTCATATACTCAAACATCGTCCCATACGCATTGTCCGCAGCCGCCTGGACTTTCGGATCAGGATGTACGCTCCGCACGAAGTCACTCAGGTCGATCACTCGGCACAGCAGGTCACTGAGTCGATCGAGGTCTTTTGCCGCCCTTTTGTAGTCTTCCACGCTCTCATATGCAAGTACCCGCGAGACGATCCTCTTGCATTTCTGCAATGTGATGTTTGCAAACGTCTGGAAGCCCTCCGGGTGCGTGAGGTATCTGTTCTGGAACAGGCCAGCTGATCTGCCGCCATAGTGGTACTTGTTCTTGGACGAGAAGTCTTTCCAGAAGCCATGGGAGTCGAAGATCTGGCGCAGCGCTCTGTCATCGTGGGCGATACTCGGCGATGCTTTTAATACCGGTTGATAGTCGTCTGGTGCCGTGGCTGTCGCGGTGGCCGCTGAGCCTCTGCTGTTGCTCGATGTTACGAGACATCTTCGCGCAGCTTTCTGTTGCTGCCGCGCGCATTGCGGACACGTCCATGGTCCGCGCTGCAGCCGCTTCAGCATTGTTGTTGCACGAGAACAGACGATAGATTTGGGTCGCACGTGAAAGTCAAGCTCAATGGTGGTCCGAGCGTCTTTTTGCTTTGGGAAGAGCTTCTTCGGCCAACAACGCGAGCGACATTGAGGGAGCCATTGCACCTCACATACTCTCTCCATGGCGGCCACATCGGCACTGCGGCATGTATGTATATACAGCATATACTTGACGACTTTGTACTAACGTTGTAGCAGCACATCCTGCCGCTGGCGGGCCTCACGACAGGCCTAGCTCTCCTACCCAGAACCTCCGCCTACGCCGAAGAGCCACCCTCAGATCCTATCAAGCAGATTGTACGTCTCTGAACACCTATGGCACCGGTTTCATTGACTGACACGCGATAATAGCGCCGGAAACCCATATACTCCTCCCTGACACCCCCTTCACCGCACGAGATCTCCGCGACGACACCCCCGCCAGCATCTGGAGTTACAGACAAGCCTCAAGAGCACGATGCAAGTCCTAAAGCGCCCTCTCCAACCGATCGTCTAGCGACACAGGTCAGGAAAAGCCGTTTGTTCCTGCACCGTTACGCTGTTGCGGCGGAGGATACGGTAAACTCAGGCATGGACAAATTCATGGACGCCGAGCACTCTTTCACCAGCACTATAGCTTCGCTCGCGCCGCCGAAAGAGAGCAACGAGAAGCTCTTGCCGGGTGGGATATATGTTCTTGTGGCCGCAATGGCCGGCTCTATCATCTCGCGGAACAGGAATATCCTGATTCGCTTCGCGACGCCTATCATCACCGGCGTGACTGCGGCACATTACGTTGTGCCCAGGACAACGCGAAATGTTGGCGATTTGGTTTGGAAGTACGAAGAGAAATACCCTGTGGTCCGCGACAATCACCTACGCATCACCGAGGGCGTAAGGCACTTTGTTGAGACGGGCAAAGCACACTCGCAGATGGGTCTGGCGATGGCAGAAGAGAGGGTTCAGGGCGTGCGAGAGTCGGTGGAGGACTGGGTGAAGAAGGGGAGATGATGCCGGCGGCCGCCGTAGTCGCTCCCAGAAAACACTTAGAGACCTGAGCGTGCTTTACATTACACTGTATACCTCAAGCCACATCAGTTCCGACAGTCAGATATCTGTCGCCCCGGAGTGACGTGTGATTCATCTGCTATTCGTGGAATCATTCAACGGCATCGTTCTGACTGAACACAGCTCGTATCCGACCCGGTCAGCACAACACGACGAGAGTTTCTGTTGGTGTATGGCTCAGTACTTATCTGCTTACGCAGAGATGCAACTTTAGCAGAGCCCTGCACGGCCTGTCGCAGTACCATTCTAGGTGCTTTCATGCGCAGCTAGAGGCTAAACCCTGCGATGCGCTGCTTACTCATTCCATCCTGCAGCTGTGCTCCGTTCCATTGCCGCTCCGTCTTGAGAGTGTCAGAGACACGGGAAGCAACAGGTGGCGCTATTCTAATCACTCGCGAAAGCGCTGGAGCATCGATAGTCAAGCCTCTGGACTGGGCGCACACGCACACTCTCAGCCCCGAGGTTCAGTGTCGACCTTTGTAGCATCTTCTGATCGTGCCACATCTTCACGACAACAGCTTGTGCCTCGATCTTACAAAACGGGGCTTACTCTCCGAGACCATTCCTATAGGGCTCGCACGGCCGCACGATCGCGCAACGATCTAAGACGACAAGGCTGACGACTTCGGCCGTAAGGCTCCCACCACTTCGACTAACAAACTCTCCGTATGGACAACTGGATGTATGCTGCGTCGTTCAACGACAACAGCAGCAGCGGGGCCACTCCGGCCGAGAATGCGTCCAACAACAATGCCAACCTGTCGGCCTTTAGAGATTCGACCTCGCCGGACTCGAGTGCGCGGAATGCACAAGCCCATCAGCAGCGGATCAGACGGAGGAACAGGTTGATTACTTCATGCTTGGAGTGCCGCCGAAGGTTAGTGACGTTGCCTGTGAACTCGCCGGGCTACAGCGACTGACTTGCGTCCGCTTTGCTGTACAGGAAGCTCAAGTGTGACAAGACGGCACCATGTACCAACTGCACGCGCTTCAAGCGCGACTGCTTGTATCTGGCATCTTCTGCCGACCCGTCCAGCCAGCAGAAGCTCGCGGACATCAAGGAGAAGATGGGTGCCCTCGAGAAGTCCCTCGAGCGTGAGATTGCTGCCGGACAGCAGGCGAAGATGCACTTGGGCGGCGCTAACGTAAGGAAGTCTTCTGCTGGAGAGGCTGCACTGGTTCATGTCGAGGGTGATGAAGAGGATGAAGCGGCTGGGGAGGATGAGGAAGGCCTTGAGCCCACTCCGCTCGCCTCCCTTGACAATGTATATGAAGATAACGCTGACGACGAGCTCATGGATCTTGGAGTACAGATGGGTAAAATGTGAGTACTCCATGCGCGGAACTCTTCGCCTCCGGAGATGCACGACACACACATGAGACGTGAGCTGACGATCCTACTTGCAGGCGCATATCGGAACGTATTGGAGGTTGGATACGGCCGAAGCTAGTTGAAGAGTTGACTGATACTCTGGAGGACGTCAAGGGGGGCAAATCGAGACATTCCCAATCGCCTATGGCCAAAGATCACTTCGACTTGAGGCCGGGACAACCCCAACCGCGGATTCAGGCTTCGCCGAAGAGCTATATTGGCCCCGGCCCAGATTATATCGCACCCGCCTCAAGCTTCTTCTTCCCGGGCACTAACATGAACACTTCGCTCATCGACTACCTGCCAACGAAGAATGTGTCCGACCAGCTCATTGCGCAGTACTTCGCAGCGGTGCACCTGGTGGCTCGAGCGGTCCACAGGCCTACCTTTGAGGCCCAATATGCTCTGTTCTGGGGCCAGATAGCCACGGGTACAGAGCCGGTGCCCTCACACCAAGCTATCATCTTTGCTGCCATGCTCTCGGCGGCGGTGAGCTTGTCCGACGAACAGGTGTCGAGGATGTTCGGCACGACCAAGGCAGCGCTAGTGGACAGCCTGCGATCTGGCACCGAGATGGCACTCTCTAAAGCCAACTTCTTGCGAACGACGAAAACGGATACAATGCAGGCGTTCGTGATGTACCTCATCCCTCTCATCAGAGCTGAGGTCTCAAGAGCACACTCAGCGTTGGTCGGTACTGCGATCCGCCTCGCAGAATGCATGGGCTTACACCGAGATGGCACATATTACAACATGAGCCCGATAGACGTCCAAGTGAGGCGCTTGATCTGGCACCAGTTATGCTTCCTCGACATGCGAACATGCGAGGCCACCGGACCACGACCGCAGATCCGCAAGGACGACTACGACACAAAGTTCCCGCTGAACGTCAACGATGTGGACCTACTGAGTGATGCACCTCCAACTGAAGATCGTCCGTACTGGACCGACATGACTATCTTCCGCATCCGATGCGAGTGCGTGGATCTACGACGGCAATGCTGGTTCGACATCGTACAAATCGACAAAAAGAAGAAAACGCTTACATCTTCGCTCGTCAAGATACAGAAGACTCGCTCACAGCTGACGGAGAAATACCTACCCATGGTCGACGAGTCTGTGCCGGTTCAGGCGTATGGCAAGCACGTGTTGATCATGGGTCTCAATGCCTGCTTCGTCCAAGTCTTACATCGCTACTTATTCTCGACAACCCAGCGGATGCCTGATCGACTGCGTCAGATCTTGATTGAAGCTGGTGTGGCTGTGATGGAGAACGCCATCGCTGTGGAAACGAAGCGTGAGCTGGCGCCTTGGGTGTGGTACAAAGGAGCGCTCAATCAGTTCCACCAGGCTCTATTGCTCATGGTCGAAGTCTACGCCTATCCGATGCGAAAGGATGCAGCAAGAATCTGGAAGTGTCTCGACTACATTTTCGACATTCCGCCACACCTGTCACCAAAGCAGAAGGCCGAGCTGGTGATTACCGATCTAAGGGACCGCATGCAAGTTTTCCATGAGATGCGCAAAGTCAGGACCACTACGCAGATGGAGGAAAGAGTCGTTGCTTTGAAGGAGTCATCTCACCGTGACCCAATGGCATCCAATCTCTCTACCTTGGCTGACACTCAGGCGAGCGGCCCTCCGTTTACCCAGCAGCTGGGGTATCAGACCGTCGGGGGTGGCCTGCTACCGGCGAGCTTCAGCCCTCCACCTGCTGAACATACAGAGTCGAGCGGTAGTGGTAGTAGGCAGGGCAGTGTCCAAGGTCAGTCGACGGGAGATATTCAGATGAACGCTATGGAAGACATTGACTGGGTAAATACCACTCTCCAACCCACTCACGAGGCTTCGTGCTAACGTCAAGCAGAACGAGTGGGACAAATACTTTAATCCTTTGGAGAATACGGGTGACATCAACATCCCCAACTTCAACATCGAGGACTTCACCGGCTACAACTCGCAGGCTATGGATCCAATGTCGTACAACAATACGAATGTTGGTGGCTTCAACATTCCCTCAGCACAGGATCTAGCGGACGTCAACTTCACCCAGACCTTCGTGCCGAACTCGAACCAATCCTTCCCTCGGCCACACTATTAGATGCGCGGAGACGGCTTGGTGAGACTCCTGCAGGTGCATTCGAATAAGGGGTATTTGGTCGCATATTCAAGAATCTACTCATCGTCTTCTGCCTCCAGATCATTCTGATAAAGACCTGAATTCTCCACTTCAGCACACCACAGACCCCACGGCCTGTCCGCATGGCCTGAGATGGCTGTCCATGCGTCCTTGGCTTCGCGGTCACTGAGGTACTTGATATCCTCATGCTTCGCCGGACCTGTCTCCTTCTCACCAGCACCGAATCTCTCTGCTACGAGGCCTAGATTGAAGCCCCCTTGCATCATCAGCGCAGTTGTCTGCACCCTCGCATTCGTGCAGGTGTAAACAGCACGATTGACAGCTTCCTCGATGCTCCCACCCACGGCCGAGAACCCATGGCCCCTCATCAAAACCGTGGGATGCGAAGGGAAGTCAACCGGCGGGGACGTCGACGAAGTCAAGTAATTTTTGACCATTTGGACGCCCTTCGACATTGTCGTAGACGGATGAAAGCCAGCTGCCAGCCCTGCTCCCAAGTGCTCGTTGGTTACCAGCATCGAGTGTGAGTTGTCCGAGTTCTTGTAGTGCAGTGCGATGTCGTATATCGGGACTTGGGCTCCCATGATCCCGCCCATATGGAAGACTGGCCGCAGGGGAATTGAGCTGATGCTGAAAGGTAAGACTGCCTCTGCATGGCTGTGGATGACAGAGTTGACGCCTTTGTAGCGTTTATAAATCTCGCTGTGGATGAATCGTTCGGCGTATCCTTGAGGCGCGTCCGGGTTGACTGGGCTGGCGTCGCTGACGTAGTACTCTTCTAGGTCCTCGCGTTTGGAGACCAATGCCGGGGCTAGGTTCTTGCTGATGAAGAAGGTTTGGGGGTTTTGTGGATTCCTCACTGAGATGTGTCCGAATGCTACGGCAGTATCAGCAGCAACTTGTGGCTGATGACAGGAAGGTGCTGACCGTCGACGACATTGTGATAGTGCAAGATATGGTTGGCCGTGATGAGGGTACTGAATAACTCTTTGGTCGGTGGCTTGGATGCTCGCAGCAGAGCCGAACGAGTCGCATCGCCCGACATTGCTTTGGCGGAGAGCCGACAACGCTTTCGATTGATTCACTGCTTTCAGCTCCCCCTTGGCATGTTCAATGAGTGGTTGTAGGCACGGAGGTAGAGGTGAGGTCAAGTCGAACTCACAGTGATGTTGCCCCTCCACGCCCCGCCTTCGCATTCACTTCTAGGTCACTGCTGGCCGAAAGAAGCAACAACTCGACTCCGTTCTGTTCTCGTTCTACGAATTATTAAGGACAAATTCATAAGCATTCTGTAACTGTGACAACCGCTGAACGAGATAAAAGGTCGATCAAAGGCCCAAAGACATCGCATCTTCAGTACGTCTCTCCATCAGCCGCCAACATGCCAACCACCGAGCTTGCCACCATCTCTCTCAAAGCAGGAAGCCAAATCGGCGAACCCAACAACCCAGCAGCAGCAGTCTTCAAGGACTGCGCTGATACAATCGCCCGACAGGATGGCTTCGAGGGCATGCAGTTTGGTATGGGCGTAGAGAACCCAGATACGTTGCAGATGGCTATCAGTGAGCTCGTTTTTCGCAGCTTCGAGAAGCATATAACTAACGAGGATGTTTAGACTGGACGAGCAAGAGCAAACACGAGGAGTTCATGGCCTCGCCCGACTACGGTCCGTTCTTTAAAAGCTTCGGAACCATTATCGGGGGTGGCCTCAGCCTCGCACATATCGATTTCCAGCCCGAGGGCGGTGCCACCCGTGCTATGAGCGCACCTGTCACCGAAGTCGTGACCTTTTACTTTGAAGGGGGCCCTCCAGATGACTCCTTCGAGAGCTGCAAGAAGTTTCTCGAGACCTGCGAGAAGGAATCGCAGCAGAAGGTGTATGGTTGGGCTTACGGGACTACGTACGAGGAGATCGAGAAAGATGGTGTGAAGGGCAAGGGAGCGGTGTTGTTGATCGGGTGGGAGAGCAGACAGGAGCATATGGACTTCCGCGAGACGGACACTTTCAAGAACAACATCCACTTGTTGAGGCAGACGGCGAAGGGGATTGAGATGCATCACACGCAGTTTATGAACTTCGTGGCTTAGATTGATTAGAATTAGACACTCCGCTATACATTTCTGTTCCACAGCGGTTGCTCGTCCCGCATTGCGGAAGATAGAGCTGATCATCTAGTAGCCCCAGTAACCCTTCTGTAAGAGTTAGGTGAAAGACGTCAGCATGATATCCTGCGTAGCGGGAGGACGGTGTAGAACTGGCTTCTATACCCTAGACCGATAGGAAGGCCTAACAAGCTTAAATGACCTTCAAGGGTCATCTCAGCTATTAAGCCCTTCGAGTCTAAGACATAGCAGTGACATGTTCCACCTAGATTTACTTACAGTGAGGACTCCCAGCCAGCTAACCAGTCCCAGCTGCACGATATTGGTGCCGAAGAAGCCTGCTTCGTATCAGCGATTGTAATGTCTACATCTTTCCGGGGCCAACGAACCAAGGGCTCTTGCAGGCTGGCTACCCTTGAATAAGCCAACAATATGGGAGATCCTCATAACCGAGAAGGCCGCCAATACAACCGACAGCTTCTTCCTGTCCGCTCCGTTGAGCTCAGCCAGCCCTGCCAAAAGCAGAGTGATAGGGAGGTTCTCCATCATGTTCGCGTGCACTCGGGTCGCAATGAGGAGGGGGTCGTAGGTGTTGCTATTGGCAATCAGTCTGCGCTCATAGCTAGAGGTTGTGTTACACTCACCCATCAGGCGACTTAACGCCAGCGGGCTTGCTGCCATCCTTGGTGATGGCTTGGTCTCCCTGCCAGGTGTTGCAGTCCACGCGCGTCTTCGCTGCGTTGAGGGAGAGTAGGGAGGAGAGTACAACGAGAGGGATGCTGAAGGTGCCGGTGACGGGGAGAGCCTTGCCTAGGCCAAGGGTTGCTGCTGCGTCTGCCATTGTTCTTGTTGAAGGAGATGCAAGTGTGGAGAGATTAGTATGAGGATGGATGTGTTAGAGGACGAAAGAGATACTATACACCACCTGGCGCGTCGAGCCTACAGCGTCACCTCAGAGGGGGCTCCGTATCTCCGACAAGTGACGTGGGAGCTCTAAAGGGTTCAAAGGCCTCGGTCGGGACGGGGAGGTGGCAGAGTTTGTTGATCGGCGATGCGGTGGAAGACGAGACGAAACCGAGTCCGAGCGCGATGCGGTGCAGAGAACATGTCTCTGTTCCGATCTCTTCAACCTCTTCGTTGACAACTAGAGTCGCTCTACCCCCTAGCCCTTCTCCATTCGATGGTTGCAACGAGCGGCATACTGCGCTCTGCTGGCCATCGTTGAACCACTCCAGACCGGCTATAAGCTGAGGACCGTCCCTATCGACATCAGGAAATGTAGGCGCCTGAGAACAAACAACTGCTTCGACTTCAAGATCAAAATCTCGTCCTTCTTCAATCTCATCTCTTCACATATGTACGTGAATGCTCCTGCAACATGTCACCGCTCCAGTCTCTGACGTCCCACTATGCTATTCTCACTCATCTCGCCCGACATTTGTCTTCCCTAGACCTCCTCACCCTCGCGTTGTCGTGCCACGATCTGCATTCACACATTCTGTCTTCACCCGTCATATTTAAGCAGCTCAGGCGCACTGCACTTTGCGATGGCCACGGGCTGTGTGAACGCCAGAACTTCGAGGGTCTTTACCGTATAATCCCAGTTGGCCCCAAGGATGAAGAGCCGGTGGAGGTGCGATTATGGGCGACCAAGTGCGAAGAGGCTGGTGCACTCCCCTGCTTGAAGTGTGGGATCAATGTCTGCGAGGTGAGAGTGCTATCGGACTACCTTATCGCTGGGGAGGGAAAGCTGACGGGGCAATCTTATGGCCTGTAGGAATGTCGGTACTACCCTCGAGAACCATTGAGGTGAATACCCTATGGACAACTGTTTCGACTTGTAGTAACACGCACTATAGAGACAAACTCCAACGGCGTCCACACCTCAATAGCTCCCATCAAAACGTCAACCTGTTCTGTCTCTGCAAGCCTTGCGACGAAAATCTGGAATCATCCTTGCAAGGCCAACACCTAAACGAACTCTGCGACTGCGACGTCTTGACTCGCTGGATCTGCACCAAGTGCGTGCGCGAGGAGCGAGCAGAGACGGACGACATGTACCGCCGCAACACCATCAGCGAGATTCGCGACCGTGACGCGGAGCGGTTCGACGAAAAGTACAATGAGACGAAGATCATGTCTGATCATCAATTCGAGCTATTGTGGAGACTTCGACTTCCAAGGCCATATCGGCTCACTAACTCTGGAAGACAACAGTTCCTCTGCCCCTGCGGAGCAAATGTCCTGCCAAACATGCGACCGAGGTGTACTTGGTGCAAGCGAAGGCATCGTCCGGAGGACGAGTGGCATGAGGAGGCAAGAGAATTGACGGAGATACCCGCCATTACGGCGGAAATAGCGAGGATGCTGGAATCTGGCGAGCTTCAGAATCTTCCTGTCGAATGTGGGCTTAGTCAAAGAGTTCCTGGTGCAAGATAGACATCGATTCCTTCGAGGTCGCGAACGCTGGATCGCAGCCCTTGGGAGCTTCTCAAGGGGCTGCAGTAATGTGGTTCAAATGCAGACACCGGGACTCAGGAATTAGAAGTGATAAACCTGGTAACGTCTGTCGCGATGGTGAAGCTGGCAACTGTTGAGGATGCTGCTTCATTCCCTTTAGATGCTTCTGGAGTGCTCATACCTTAGTAGGTATATCTGAACCTGTGATCGTCGTCACCCTGGTTCCCGGCGTCCGGCTCCTCCAGCCTATACTCCCTCTCGCCCCTCTCCCTCTTCCTATTCTCCCTCATCACCCCAAACAAATACACCGTACAACAGATTCCACACAGCCAGAGCAACCCGAGACTGGTGCCGTATCCTGTCTTGTAGCCAGGCGCCTCCTGAGTAAGGAATATATTACTCGCCACGATGCCGCCCGCATTCCCAAAACTGCAGAAAGACGTCAGCTTCCTTCATCCACGTTGTAAGGAGAGAACAGTGTCAGCTGCTAGGTCCTAGATCAATGCAGAGACTTCAGTTGCTGAAATGACCTCTTCGGCTACTGAAGCCTTCAAGACCTCCAAGTCTAAGACATAGCAGCGACATGTTCCGCCTAGATTCTACTCACCCAATCATCATCGCCGAACTCACGGCTCGCTTGTAATGCCCGCCCATGTTGTTGTTAATCCAGGTGATGGTGATAGGCTGGCAGGTGTAGCCGCCGCAGACGATGAGGAAGATTGCGGCGTATTGCGCGCCGACGGGGATACGGGATTGGTTGAGCAGCATGACGAAGCCGCAGGTCGAGACACAGATGCCGATCATGCAGAAGGCGTAGCGGTGGCGGAAGAAGTCGGTGAGCTGGTGGACAAAGGTGTTAGCAAGTGTTTCGAAGCTGCGGGGACTGCAAGGAGTCTTGGGAACGCCGGTGGCAGCTCGTTCGTGCTTCGGAGAAGCCATCAGTACTTACCCAGGCCACGCAGACACAGACGAATGCTGCCACGACTGGAGAGAGCGTTAGCGGATAAGCTTGGAAGGCTTGGGATTTGGGGAAGCGTACTGAAGATTGGTATGCTGTGGACTTGCGCTTCGATGGGGCTGTAGCCCATTCCTGTCAGTATCGTCGGCGTGAAGAATGAAGTGGCATATCCTGTGTTAACGATTCCGAAGTACATCAGCACACCCAGGTACATCTTCCAATCCGTGAAGATCCTCTTCCTCGCTCTCAAGTCCAAGGTGTTCATTTTCGAGTCCGCGACGTCCGCGCTCAATCTCGCAATCAACAACCTCTTCTCATCGTCCGTCAAGAATTTCGCCGTCTCAGGCCAATCCACGATGAAAAACTTGCCCAGAATCGCGAAAACAGCTGTCAGAGCACCCTCTATGATGAAGCTGCATTGATGTAAGCTCCTTGGTACTTCTGAGCGCAAAGCAGACGGCGAGACGACTTACATCCACCTCCATCCCGCATAGCCCGCCGCGCCATCCATGTGCGCGATGCCGTACGCCATCAACCCGCTGAAGCTCCCAGCCAGAATCGCTCCGGTGAAGAAGATGTTGTACCGCCACTGCAGCTCATATCGGCGGTAGTACATGCTGATCAAATAAGTGCAGCCAGGGAAGAACCCGCTCTCAAATAGCCCAAGCAAGAATCTACAAGCGATCAAGCCCTCCTTGGACTTGACCAGGCCTTGACCGATCGTGACGATGCCCCAGCAGAACATTATACCCGACAACCAAGTGGACGGAGCCATCTTCTTGAGCAGGAGGTTCGAAGGCAACTCGAAGAGGATGTACGGTACAAAGAAGATGAAGAGAGCGATGTTGTAGGAGTTGCCCTCCTCCATGTCGAGGTCGGCGGTCATGCCTTGGATCGAGGCGTTGCCTGCGTTGCAAGGAACGAATCAGAGATGCTCAGGGCTTGATTGTGCACGCTCTCGCTCATAGCAAGCTGCTCAAGTCTCTCGATTTAAGCTCGTACCTATGTTCGTCCTGTCAAGGAATGACAGCAAATATAAGAACCACAACACGGGCACCACCCTGTAATCGAGCTTCCGGAGCAACTTCTTCTCGGCGACGGGATCAATCTCGAATGCCTCTGCTTTCCTGTCATTTGCGCGGACCGTGAGGTCTTCGACGTGCAGCTCTTTGAGCTTGTCGTCCGCGATGTGGGTGTCCATGGCTGGCGATGAGCACGTACAACGTCCGTCGCGGAAGGAGGAACAAAAGATGGTTGTTGAGAGCGCGAGATGCGCCTCATTTAAACATGCCACGAGCTCTCACGAGGCTTGCCAATTTTTGCTTGTTCCGACAAGTCAGGATGCTTGGCTTATAACAGCCGACGCCGGAAGCCATTGAGATCCTGGTCGACTCCACGAACAAGTCCCCGCAATTGAAGAAAGCGCGAATACTGCTCAAGACGAGATCGGCAGTCATGCTTCGGCCGGCATCAGAGACGGCATATCGCGGTTCGCGTGTACCAGCAGATCTGAAAAAGGCTGGGAGTTGTTGTTCTGAGTAAAGCCATATCATCATCCAGCTCCCTCCGCCTTCTTCCTGAGCGCATCAATCTCCGCTTGAAAGGCCGTCATATCCGCCAGAACATCCCGCTCCATCTCCTTGCTAGGAGACGCTACTCCACTCTGCCCACTCCCTGTCCGTTCGGCATCCAGACTCTCCCGCTTCGCGCTCCCTACACCGCGCCTGGGTGGAGGTGCCGGAGGAGCAGCGGCCGAGGGAGTGCTGTTCTCTTTCCGTTGAACGCTGGAGTGGGAGGCAGCTGAAGGTGAGCGGTGCATAGAACTGCCAGCTTTAGAGGCTGTACGGCGGGGTGGCGGAGGCGGCATGATCTTTGTAGATTCAGCAGCAGGCGCGGGTGAGGGCGAGTCTGACGGAGCTTCGGTGCTGGGGTTTGGCGGCTGAGCGGATAGTTTGGTTTTGCGGCTAGGTGGCGGTGGTGGAGGCGCGGCTGCTGCTTTTGGAGTTGGCTCGCTCTCCTTTGGTGCTGGCTGTTGTGCACTGGTGGTATCGTCGTGAGACGAACTCTCCGTAATATTCGATGTACTCCTCGCCCGCGCATGACTTGACGCCGCTTGCCCACCACGTCTTGATGACGGCGGAGGGGGCGGTGGAGCTTTCTTCGCCTGCGCCGGATCTTCTGTACTGGTAGAGACCGGTTCCTGCTGCTGCTCAGAAGAGTCGTCTGAAGCAGGATGCGGCGCCTCCGTAGTCCGTGGACTCATTGGCTCTTGCGGTGGCGGAGGCAGCGGCTTGTTCAAATCGCTCGGCGATCGATGCAGAGGTGGCACGTTCAGGTTCTGGCTTCTCTTCGGACCACCAGATACCGAGTCGTCGAAATCCGCAAAAGACACTGTTTGCGGCCCTCTCGCTTCTGCCGCATTCGCCGTCAAAGGTCGTCCATGATTGTGCTTCGGTGGCGCAGGGGGCGCAAAGTCATCCAATCTAGTTGTCCCACTCATCAAGCCAGAGTTCTCCTCGTCCCCGGCATCATCTGAAGAGTCGGAAGGCGAGTCCATTTGATCGAAGCTCGTCCTCGGCGTCTCGGAGTCCATCTCGTGGTACGGATCGAACAGCGACTGCTGGGAAGCGGATGAGGCGTCCGTGTTGCTACTGCTGTCCTGAAATCGAGGCGCTGGCGCTTGCGATTGTGAGGACGGTGTAGGCGCAGGAGCCGGCGAAGGTGGTTGAGCGGAGCCTAGTAGTATGTTCTTGAACTGGTCCACATTCATTGCCGGCCGTCCAGAGGCACCTCCATTCCTTTCCGCATCCCGCCTCTCCCCTCCTTCCTGCTGCTGCCCCTCGTCCCTGTTCCTTTGTAGCCCAAACGCCGCTTCACTTGTCGCCAGTGTCCGCGCAAAGGGGTTGTACGGCGCACCTCCGCCTCCATTGCTCCCTTGCTCTCTCACATCATTCCCACCCCCGAACCCCAGCTGCGTTGGCGGGGCAAGACTTCCCAAGTTCCTCCTGGTATTCCTTAAAGCATCCTCCAGATCCGAGTCCGCCGTGGTGGTGGAGTCCGATTCTTCAACATCATCTTCACGTGTCCTGGCAGGCGGCGGAGGCGATATGTTGCCAGAAGAGCGTCGTCGAGGGGGTGATTCTGGGGAGTGGGGTGGAGTTTGGATCTTGACAGTCTTCTTCTTCTTCTTCTTTTCTGTGGGTGTGCTGGGGGCAGGTGGAGCTACGGTACATGATCAGCACAGAGGTATACTTGTAGTAACTGCTGACCTACGCGAATCATTGCTGTCGTCGTCTGTCCGAAACGGGTAGCTCTGTTGGTCGGGGAGGCGGGCGCCTTTGGCCTTGCGGAAGGGATTGCCTGACATTGCTGCCGTGTGATGTAGCACGAAGGCGCATTGGAAAGACTACCAACTACTATAGCGACTGTCGAGAGAGAGAGAGAACGTGGGGCTGTATATGTGGTCTCGTTGTCAGCAGGCAGGCAGGTTCCGGCCAGCTCCATACAAATCTCCGAATCGAAGCGCCTTGCGCGTTCTCTTGATCGGCATTGGAGCGGTTTCTGAAGCTTGTTTCGCTTGTATGTGCTTCGATAACGATGTTTACATGATAGTATTGCGCTACTTGAGGGCCAGCAAGGAACACTTCCGTTGTGCAGCAGCCATCCGACTTTGGCTGGTAAGATTGGACAGCCAGCAATGCTCACGTTCACTCCACATACACACCCCATCCCCATGCTGTCCCATACCACCTCGTCGCCAACCGCCTCCCTGCTTCTGTCGGCTGGCTGAATGCCACATCATTCTTGCTCTCGATCCTCTCCCTCTTCGGCGGCTTCATCGGGTCCATCACCTTCCTCAGCTCAGGCGGGAGCGTCGAGTGCTTCCTGACCCTCTCCTCCCCCTCCTCGTCCAGACGGACACGATCGTTCCAGTATTCAATCGCTCTGTCTAGCAGCGTGGCGGCGATGTTCTTCCCTCGATGGGTGGGTGAGGTCCATATGCGAGCGATTCCCAGCTTAGCCACGCGCGCAGTCTTGGATAGCCTGAGAGGTCGCTTCGAGAGTCTTTCTTCCCTTTCCGCTGCAGCTCTTTGCCGTGCTCTGAGTGATTCGAGAGCAGTACTCGCTTTTCCATGCAATCTCTCTTGTGCCTCGTCTGCGGTACCCGTAAGCTCATCCGGAGGCTCCTCCACCCGAAATGCTTCAGATATGACCTCCGCAAGCAGAAACCCAATACACCTCCCGCCCTTGACGTACAAGAGAGCAATCCACTTCGGCCGAAAGCAAACTTCAGGATCGGACTTCTTGGAATCCCATAGTTCATCTTGATCCAACTCCACCGCTCCCAGCTCCCTCTGAACAATCTCCAGCACCGCCTGCGCTCTCCTCTTCCTAGCAGGCCTGTCGTGACAATGCACTGCGCACACCCAACCGTCGCTGTCTGCGCCGCGGTACACGCTGTGTGGGAAGGCTTTTGACACAAAGTCCTTGCCCACGTCGTAGCCTTCGAGGTTTTGCTTGTGGTATTTGGTGTGCAGAGCTCGATCCTCGGAGGATGATGGGACGTACGACATGCCGCATGTCTGGCATTTGATCTGCGTCGGTTGGCCTAGGCTGAGTTGTGTTTGGGATAGCGAAGCTGCGGACGGTTTCGCCTTGGTGGATGGAGGTGTTGCTCTGCTCTTCTTCGACGGCCTTTCATTTGAGGTGAGAGTCGCTAGAGGTTTTCGCTTCCCAAGCACCGAGAAGGCGTTGTTTACAATCGGTTTCGAGGGTTTAGTCGCGGTATCGGTATTCTCCTGCAGCTCCCATGGAAATCCTGGTGGTGATGATGGAGGACTTGATGCGCGTTCCGGCCCGTCCGAGAATATGGCGCCGCCTGGCGGACTGGAAGGTATGGTACTCTCCGACAATGGCAGTGAGTCGGCCATGGTGCTGGTATATGCTATCGTATCATGGTTGTGTCTGTAGATCAACAGAGATGTCGCGACTTTACGCGTTCGAGATCTGTGCCTCGGCTTCCGAGATTTATCCGAAATGCTTACACGAGATGACGCTCGCCGCGAAGAGTCGGAATAGACAACACCAATGGCGCGATGGCGATACAAGTGTACAGCGAGACTGACAAACTCAATCATCACTAAGCCTGACATCAACCTCATCTCAACATGAATGCAATGCATATATAGAGAGCGTAGAGCAGCAGGCAAATACTTCCCACTGCACAGTCCGCATTCCTTTCCCCACCATCTCTCGATCTTTCCTCTTCCTTCAATATGTCCTCTCCACAAGACCAACAACAAGACCAGCATCAGCCGCAACCTCAATCCCAACCACAGCAAAAGTCTTCTTCTCCCAGCATCTGGTCCTCAATCCGCCACTTCCTCTCCAAAAACTTCGTCGCCCACAATGACACCTTCGACCAAAACCCCAAAAACCTCTCCTTCGAGCCGCCGCATCCGCGCTGGAAATCTTGATCCCGCCACTTTCGCTTCCTTCGGACAAGTGATCCAGAACCCGGAGACTCATGCAGGCGAGCCAAAACTGGAGAAAGCGATAGCGAACCAAGGCACCGCGACGAAATGGCTGGGCGTCACGCAGATGCGGAACTGGTATGAGCGGGCGCGGAGCGGGAGAGTGGGTAGTGCGGTGGTGAATATGTTTGTTTGTTCGCCGAGGAGTCTACAAAATGTTGGGGTGGATGAGGGGGGCGAGGGAATGGTGTTCGATGTGCGGATTCTGGAGCGGCATCCTTTTACGCCGCAGACGTTTGTGCCGCTGGGTTTGGGGAGGGAGGATGTAAAGACATGTTATCTGGTGATCGTTGCGCCGACACTGCCGCGTTCGAGGCCGAGTGGCGATGGGAAGAGAGAGCCGCCCTATCCGACTCAGACTCCTACGAAGCCGAAGCGGAGTTTGAAGGATATGTTGTTGGGTGCACGACCGAGTCCGTTCACGAATGAGCAGGTTTCTACCACTACGCCTCCAGATTCTGGGCCTGATGAGATGCACCAGCCCAAAGGCAACGGCCCGCCTGATCTCGACAATATCCAAGCGTTTATTGCACGGGGTGACCAAGCTGTGACCTACGGGCCAGGGACATGGCACGCGCCTATGGTGGTCCTTGGTGAGAAGCCAATCGAATTCGTGGTGGTGCAGTACGCGAACGGCGTTGCGGACGAGGACTGTCAAGAGTTTCCTATCAAGGAGGGTTTGATCAGTGTGGATGTCGGCGGTGAGGCGGGAGAGAAGGTGAAGGCTCGCTTGTAAAATTGATCTGAACGGGATAGCGTCGGCGCTGTGGAGTATTGCATTTGATGCATTTGAAATTGTCGGTATGTACATGATCTCTCAGAGTATGTACGGGCATGGTAAGCTATAGACAGAATCGTTGAATCATCCCGCTTCTACTTCTCTCCAAGGACACCGTCTAAGCTGGCTTCCGACCTCCGCTCTCTGCTGAATGAGGTTCCGCTCACGGACTGCTCTTTTCCACATTTGACTGCTGAGCTGTGCTCGAAAGCCGGGGATAACAGACGAGCAATTGCACAATCAGCTTCACTCGCATCCCCGAGCGAGAGCCGATTATCTCGACCGTATGTGCTGGGAACTGGTGGCGCTCCTCCCAAACCGGCTTGATGGTGAGAATGCAGAACGGGATGCATAGGTCGACGGGTGTTCGGCATTTGTACGGCCAGGAATGCAGTCTCCATGACCCCGCGGATTTTGTGGCCAAGGACACATTCTGTATTCAGTCTTTCTCCTTCACCTCTTCACTCCTGCAAACATCCCGATCAGGCAATAATCGGTCGACCTTCTCCTCCCTCAGCGTCTCGATATCACTCCCGGCCACTCCCATCGTAGCCTCCCGATTCCGTAGAAACCACTGCACCCGATCCTCCTTCGACCCCGAATGCAACGCTTCTTGCCTCGCTTTCCGCAAGTCTTTCGCCGACCGATCATGGATGATATCTCGCTGATCGACGAAGTACTGGCCTTCGTTCTGTGCGCGCGAGTAGTTCGCCGTGGAACCCATGAGTGCTAAAGCCATGACCACGAGTAGGAAGTAGGAGTTTTGCAGATACAGTCCAGTTCGATTCGGGTTGTGTACGCCTTCTGCCGCGGTACCGTTCGCCTTTGCGCGGGCGTGGTAGAAGCGTTCCCAGTCCTCCCATGTAGCGTTCTTCCATATTGGGTCGGATGGGTTGCTGTTCCAGTTCTGACTGAACGGTCCAGCAGGGTCGCTGTCATTCCTTCGAGTAGGTATGGCTGCATTGCCATTCCAGCCGGCGCCAAATCGGTCATATGCACTGCGTTTCGTGGGATCAGATAGGATGTCGTTGGCCGCAACAATCAGACGGTAGCGCTCCATTTTGACCGCATGCGAGACGCTATGATTGTTGCTGTTGCTTGTGGCGCGATCCGGATGATATTGCTTCACCAAATGGTAGAACCTCGACTTGGTATATGCCGCATTGTGTTTCATCTGAAAGATCTGATATGGCGTTGGACACTTCTGACCAGCGGGTGGTGTCGGCCAGGCATGTTGACCTTGTTGCTCGGCATTGCCGTCGTTATGATCGTCAGTCTCCCCTGCTATCGTCGCATATGTTTTCGGTGCATTCTGGCAGTTCTGGCACTGTCGTGTGCCTGCTGTTCGCTTCCTCTTCAATGACGTCGATGATGCTGAGAAGGTTGATGTTTGAAAGCTGGTGTACGTTGCGGCGAAGAGGCTAGGATACTTGATGAGCATGACCGGTCTGGTGTGGGCAACACATCGTCTCTTTCGTGATAATAGTGGTACCGATGCTGAGGTGGTATAGTTGTCAGTACAGTGTAGAGAGCCGGAGACCTGAGGTGGGGCTGAAGGGCGCCGATTGGCGAGCCTTGGCATATATCTGGAGATCGCGCTTGCTTTACGCGACTTCAACTTCGGGTCAAAAACGTCGACTCTTGAGTCACACATCTCAGCTCCTCAGCTTCAGCTTCAAGGGTTGTTACTACGAACATGACCAGAAGTACTTATCTGCTCACCATCGATCACAGTGGCTATGGCCCGCTACGACTGGTCTTCCGGCCAGGTCTACCATGAGCTTATAGTCAGGCAAGAGATGCGCGCTCCACTGCCGTGGGAGCACTGGTGTCAGGGCGCCAAACTGTCGAAACATCGGTCTTCGTATGGTGCGGACTCTCTCCTTAACTCGGCGTTGCGGAAGGCAGTCTGCAACATCCGTCACGTCGACCCTGATACTCTTCGCGCGCTTCCACCTTCGATCGTAGAAATTATATGGAAAGCTGTCAAGCGAGAGTAAGTCAATGCCTGGAATTCCAAGACGGCCGTAGCCACTGACTATCCCGAAAGACACAGGGAGAGCTTTGGGGTCTGGAAGCAGTTCGTCGAAGCAGGCTTTGGGAGTGAATCAACTCCACATTTCGCCAGAATTGGGCGCTTGGATAAGCCACTCGTCGACCACTTCATCACCATGAGAAGTCCTGGATTCGGGTGGCTAGTCGATCTGGAGCTTTCTGTTCTCGACTTCTCGCATCAAGATTTCAAGTCGCTTTCGGTCCTCCACAACCTCGAGAACTTGACAGTGTTCCGCGAGAGCCCGACCGCTGGTTCTGGGATATCTAGCGTCAGCAATCCCTTCAATGATGGCAGCCTCGCTGCGTTAAGCAGCCGGGCAGCTGCTGAAGGCACGCTCACGCGTTTCAGAAGGCTCATAATTTACGATGCGAAAGGAGTCACCGAAAAGTCTTTCGGTATCCTATGCAGCTTTCCGGCTTTGGATTTCTATTGTGTGGTCGGCACAGGCGTGAAACCAAGACGCAACGCTGTTGCAGGCGCTCATGGCTGGATGAGGACTGCCGAGTACGTAGTTGCGACCCTGGTGTGTTTGGAGAGCTTGTCTAATACTGACGAAACAGGACATCGCGCTTCTCCCGTTACATTCAGGAGTACAACCTCAGGTTTCAGTATGACAACCACGGTCACGCTAGTCTTCGCGACATTATCAAGGGTTTTGTGCAGAAACAGCGTTCTGAAGAGCATTGCAACAGTGCTGTCCTCACTTGCGCAATTCGCCCCGGCCAGAGTGAAAATCCCTGCCTTGTCCAGGAGTTAAGCCAGATCAAGGTCTTCGAAAGAGACTGGAATTTCCATGAGGCCGCCTCCCGCGTCTCCGACACGAAGAGGAAAGCACCAGCAGCCGAACTCGACCCGAAGAACGATTCGCTGGCGAAGAGACGCAAGATCAAGGACGGCAAGAGAATCGGGTTCGACCAGATGTTGGACGGCCTCTGAAAGCGCAACGGCCCAATTTCGGCCCTGCAATGCTTCGGACATGCATTTTCGCCTCGAGGAAAAAGCACGACAAAGCGTATTTTCCACGCGAACACATGGCCAAACCGGCAGTCAATACGGCCGTTTGACGCACTGTATCGTCAGTGCGCCAAAATCACATCTATGGAGCATACTTGGGCACCCGGTGGCTTCGGAAGATAATAGATCTTAGCGTTGCGCCACGTCCGATCTATATTATTGCATGCAGCAGTGGAACATTGAGTACCCTTGCCGCTCGTGGGAGTGGGTACTGTTGCACGGAATTCAATAGATCTCAGATATCGTGCCGATGGGCTCGTGCTTCACGTTCGGCCATGTTGCAGGGACCTGTTTGGGAGTGGAACGCGAACAGAAGGAAGCACACGAGATATCGGAGGCATCTAGAACTTCGTGTGCCGGTATGTGTTCAGAGAGCCGTCCGTATCACGTGCGTCCGGACAACATCAAGCGGAGTGAAGCTGACCTGCACTGCTTGTAGTGATTGATCCATACAATCCATACAATCCATACAATCTCCATCTAGGCGTCTAAATGCTCGCTGCTACTGTAGTCCAACGCTTGGTACGGTATGATGACTTTCGCCTTCCACAAGAATACGCCAATTTTCATCCCTCATGCTTCTTCAATCCCTTCGGACCGTAACACCGCAGGAATTTGGATCTTCTCCTCATCTCTGTATATTGTGTATATGCTCTGCCTTTTACATGCATGCGGCGCCGTCGATGCCGATGACCTTGCCGTTGACCCACTCGCCGTCCTGCGAGGCGAGGAAAGCCACGACGCGGGCGATGTCGATGGGCTGGCCGACGCGGTTCATTGGGGACCAGGTAGCGGCGTACTGTGGGATTTGTTAGCATCCTGCATGCTTTCCATCTCAAAATCGAAAGATCTTGAACTCACCTCATCGACCTGGTCGTCGCTGAGCTTGTCACCGTTGGGAATGTACTCGCGGCACACGGCGTGGTACATGTCGGTCTTGATGCCACCGGGGGCCACGCAGTTGACAGTGATCTTCTTGTCACCGCAGTCAATCGCCATGCAGCGCACAAACGTCTCAATGGCGCCCTTAGAGCCAGAGTAGAGCGTATGTCTCGGCACGCCCTTCGCCTGGCCGGTGATGGAGCCCATCAGAATAATGCGGCCACCGACGCTCAAGTACTTGTAGGCCTCGCGAGCCACGAAAAACTGGCCACGGGTGTTGATGCGGAAAACGCGGTCGAACTCCTCCTCGGTAACGTCCTTGAGGTGGCCGAACGACACCACGCCGGAGTTGGAGCAGACAATGTCCAGCTGTCCGAAGTGCTCGACCGCCTTCTCGAACATCTTGGTCGTCTGCTTGACATCGCCCACGTCCGCTTGGATGGCGATTGAGTCAGTGCCCATCGACTTGATCTCCTTGACGAGCTTCTCCGCCGCTTCGGAGGAGTTGGCGTAGTTGACGACGACTTTGGCACCGCGGCGAGCGAGCTCGGTGGCCATGGCGGAGCCGATGCCCCTGCCGGAGCCGGTCACGAGGGCGACCTTGCCATCGAGGCGGGAGGTTTCGACTGCTTGAGCAGGCATCTTTGCTGATTTCTGTGCGGTGAGGGGATTGCTCGGATTGGAAGTGTTTCGAGGACGTGGAAAGGCTAGACAGCAAAGCAATGGGTATCAATGGAGGAAAGCAAAATACGGACTCCCACACCGACCAGCAGAAATCCAATGCACTATATAGGCTGGACCGTCTGCGTGCAGCAGCTCCACCGCCTACCGTCGCTCAACGGCACTGGCACTGAGGGGCGAGAAAAAAGACCTCCTAACCCCAATCCGCTGACTGCAGCGCTCGATTACTCGCCAGAACATTGTCTTCCGGCTCCACTTTTTCCGTCTCTTGTCCCAGGCGCTGGCGAGAAGCCAAACCCGAGGCTGGGACGTGGTGTAGAGCGGTCGCTAGGAGTGTGGTTGGAAGTCAAGCCTTCGGTGTTGAGCAGAAGGCGAAGGCGCGAGATGAACCTACTTTTTTGGTATCGGTTGGTGTGTGCGCACAGGACCCTTGGCGATTGAGGCTGTCGTTTGCGCTATCTTTAGACTTGTGCCTGCATACAATGGATTTCAGCGTCGGAGTTTGGGGTGGGGTTCGCTCTTCACGGCATCGAGCGCAACACGAAGGCGTCTTCTCGCTCTTGTATGGATGGTTCAGGCGTGTCGTTGCGTCACCTCATGGCCGAGAGGATAGCGAAGATATAAGGGACTCGAGATCCGACGGCAAATCGGACGCTCAGCCATTGATAGATGTCCGCAACTCCCAATGCGACATGCAGATGTTGTATGCCTTGAGGCCCATCAAAGCGATCGATGTTGTTGTTCGCTCTTGCGTCGTCATGTGAGTTGCGACATAATCCAATTAACACATGACGATCGAACGACCAAACCTCATCGACGCCCATGTCTTTATCTACAATAAAAGGACAGTTACCGTGTTTTGTTTCGCCCGAGAGTTGTCGTCGAACCATGGAACGTCGGTCGTGTGCAGCAAACGGGAGCAAGACGTTCTTGCGTCTCGTCATATCCAATCTGTCACATGTGAGTTGACGTCCATGTCGTCCATGGGCCTGATACGAACATCCCAAGAAGGCGGACGTCAATTGAGTGGCTCTTCTTGTGTAGGTGCTGAATGTAGCGCTCTGTAGTTGTACCTAACTGTAGAACTACAACTCTCAAACATCTACGCCCTGAAGGACCTAAGCAGCCCATGTTGTTTGCCAGAACTCACAATCCAAAACAACCAAGCGATGGAATCGTCGGACAATGCTTCATCACTCTCCTCACACGTTGCCGCCGTCATTGGCTAAGCAAGCGTCCGGAACTAAGAATATGGAGAGCCGTTGTATAGACGGTACCTCATCAAGCAGTGAACGCCCAAGTTGGATCAAACAGGCAACAAGCAACGGCACCATTCGATCCTTTTCGACAAAAGCGTCACGGAAATTGATCAACAGTGTCCTAAGTAGGGTTGAATCTGATCAGGAGAATCTGGCACCGTCCCCTTCGGTCCGGACAAAATGTCCGATAACCTTGACGACAACCGAACGGGTATACATATTAATTTGGTAGCTCTCTGTAGGATCCGGACGGCAGGTGGAGATGCCGATCAGCTAGTCTGGCGGAGTCGTAGAAGGATTTGTTGGAGATCTTTATAAACACATTCGACAGCCGTTTCAATCGAAAGTCCACCTTGGAAGAACAGCTATTACAGATTACCCGTTGTACGTATCCCACGGGGACTGTCCAGTACATAGCCCCAAGCTGCCCGTACCGATCATGTGCCCTCCCAGAGCTGGCAACAGCCCCGCTATGTGGTCCTCCCTCCCAAACACCTCGCTTGTCCCAGAACGCCGTTGCCGTTACGCTGGATATAAAGCAAAAACACACGTATCATCATCATGAACCTCGTCAGCAATCGACATCATGTCATCATGAGCACCCGCCATCAGGAATTCAGCTCCTAGACAACTGATCAAGCTTCGCCCTCACCCCGTCCGAGAACCTCGTCGAAGCACCTCGATCAATCAGCTCAATACAGTGCCGCAAAATCGGATACGGCTGGTCGATGCCAACCTGCGTCCCGTCACCTCTTAGCAACGCCGGAGTGCCTTCCCGCTTCGTCAAGTACCGCACGATCAGGAAGGAATCCGGTTTCTCATTATCAATCAGGATCGACGGACCAGCAACCGGGAACATACCGTTGTTCGCCGGCGACATGGTATCCTTGTTGATCAGACTGTCGACCCACAGGACGAGACCAGCGCGGTAAATTGCACCGGCCCACCAGGGCGGGCGGACGTCCGGACGCATGGCTTTGACGAGGCGGAAGACTTGGCCGCAGTGGTAGACTGCTTCTTCGAGGTCGGAGACGCAGCGACGGTGGCGCAGGACGAGCTGTTGGTACGAGCCGTCGTAGTTTTCGCCGCGGGCGAGGCGTTCGATTTCGGGGAAGTTGGTGACGGCATTGAGGCTGATGAGGTGGAAGATGACGAGGTTGGTGGACATCATGCTGCAGAGCTCGTTGACTTTGAGGTACCGCTCGGCGAGGTCGAACCAGCGTTGGAGGAGGGCCTGGACTTCTCCTAGGCTTTGACGGGTCGAAGCTGCGGTCAACGCGCGAGAGCTGCTGCTACGTTGTCCGAAGGAGTCTGAGAAGCAGCTGAGCAGCTGACTGTACTGGTTGACCAGCCCTTGCAATGGGTGAAGTAGGAGCCTAAGCTGTAGGGGGGTCATCTCGATGCCCATGGCGATCATCTGGTCGTCGAGGAAATGCTGGAACAGGTCACGCAGCGACAAAGGTCGAGCGCCTGAGCCGACAGAGGAGAATCCACCGGAGAATTCGTGGACTTGTTCGAAGGTCGAAGACCAGTCTGCAGCTGTCGCAGCATGCCACAAGCGATCTGAATCCGGCATCGGTGCGCCAAACTCAGTGACCGAGAAAAGCGGTGCAGTGTCGTGGAAGAGAGCAAGCTCTTGGTCGACCATGATCCACGAGTAGACCAGACGACTCTGGCTCTCGTTCTGGATCCATTCATTCCACAGCCGATCTGTGTTTGGACGACCGTCCATGCCAGCTGCGGATGTTGGACGCTGGTCGAGCACACCAGCATGCCTCAGCATGGCGAAGTACATTCCACGCTGGCCCATGGCGATGTCCATCTGCCATTTATCTCCGCTCCACGCCGCCTGGACGGTGAAGAGCAACGCGGCGTGAAGTACCACTGGATTTCCGGACATCACAATGTTCTTCTCGATGAGATCGAACAAGGATATCCGGCAGGCCTCCGTGAGTCCACCGGTGAGCATGCGAGCTTCCACCGACGGAATATTCATGGCGCCCTGTGCAACCATCATCAACACTAACAAGCTCGCAGCTCGGTCGTTGTAGAAGTACATCAGCTCGTTGACATCGAGGTTGCCGCGACCTGTCAGAGGATAGTACCTCTCCGAGCAATTGACGTATGACCTCAGGAAATGCAGAAGAACGCGAGCCGGCGGCAGCAGGACAAAGTTTGAAGACACTCGGGGTGAGGGATGAGTTTGTGTTGGCGAGGTGGTGGTGCCTTCGCTATGGATTTCCAGGGCCTTGTGTAGGAAGCTCTGCGTGATGGCCAAGAGCTTGTCCCTGGTGCTCTCGTGGAGCATCATTACGGTGAGGTAGTCTTTGTTATTGGGGTCGTTGGGGTCAGGTTCCTCCCACTGAGGACTCCAGGTACTCCAGCCTTCATGATCCTTCAGCGTCTGTTCCAACCGCTCGAGGTTCAGCTTGGCTGTGATAGGGCAGGAGGCCGATGGCGTCGTTGGGGTGCACCGGAAAACTGTCCATGACTCCCGCGCCTTAACGATCTGGGCCATCTCGCCGCTCACATCTCCCTCCGAGAGGAGAGAATGTCGACGTCGATGTCGTTGGAACGCTCCGTTCGAGTTTGCAAGACCCAGGTGTGAAAACGCTTGCTCAACCTTCGGCGTCTCGGTCGGGGTGATGAGTGGACGTGTGCCGTTGGCCACGTTCGGCATGATGGAGAGCATTCCATCAGCAGAAGGAGGAGGATGAGGCGGGGCCATCTGCAGCATGCTGGGATCGAAACCCATGTCCTGGTTGACGAGCATCTGCGGCTGGACCACACCATCGTACCCCATTGGCATCTGCATCTGGTTCCAGTCGAACATGAACTGCGGGCTCTGCATCTGGCTTTCGTCCTTGTTAAGACGAGACAGATCCTCGTAGCTGTCGTGGGGTGTACCTTGCGGATATCCATTTGACGCATCCACAAAGGCCGGAGCCAATCCTGGAGCTGATCCGTTGGGCCCACTCGTGGGCTGGTCGAAGAATTGTGAAGGTGGGCCGTCGACCATCGGCGGAGCAGCCTGGTCTGCCATGGGGGTGGCAGGAACACCGTTGTTCTTCGGTGTCGCCGGCTTCAGCAATGGTGGCTGCTGAGGAGGGCTATCGTTTTGTTGTGCACCCGGATCGGCCGAGATGACCTGACCACCACCCTCCGGCTGTCCTCCAACCCTAGCGGCACCTTTTGTGGCTCGGCGTGTAGGCCTCAAGGTGCACTTGAGGTTGCGTCCTGCACATCGCGAGCATGGGAACTTCTTGTCACACTTTGTCTTGGTCTTCGCGCAGTTGGAGCAGGCAATGGGTGTCCTGCCGGCTGACTTTGGGATCATGCCATTGGCGGCAGGTATAGGCTCTTGATTCTGGTCCTTGCCATGGACGGTGTAGTGTCGTTGTAGGAGGTCGCTGTTGACCTGGTCAGCAAGTGCATCGATGTACTGGATGATCCGATGGTTGGACCCACCGCCTGGCAAAGGACATATGACAGGTGAAACATTTGAACGGCTTGACGTTGGTGTCTGTCGAACAGATCAGCATTGACTCGATTCATGAGTTGATTGTGCCAAGGCATACGGGTCAGGATATGTCGTTCCAGATGCTCGTCCCTGGTGAAGGACTGCCCACAGTAAGTGCAGAACACCATCTCGCTATGCTACCATGTGACCAGATGAAACACAATGCTGGAAACAGACGGAAGAAACAGAGGCTCGGGAGGAAGGGAAGTGGGTAAAGGTCCAGCGCGCGAGGAGGCGTCCACAGGCACAAATAGGACGCCGCAGTTAGTCAAGCTGAAGGGCAATCGTTAGCACAACGGTGGGTTGAGCACAAGCAGAGGCTTTGCTTGCCTGATGCGAGTGGGGGCGTCTTGCGAGATACGTTGGCGAGCGAGGTCTCAGCCGGTGCCGATCGGGCCTTATCATGACTTGTAGACTCGTAAAGCGGGCGCAGGGCGTGGGCCAGGGTGCCTTGCCTTGGGGGACGAGGGACGGTTGCTGCGCGTAAGATTTGTGCCGTGTGCCGTCGTACAGAGATCTCGTAGATAGCATCAAGTCATCATGTTTTTTGGGGTCGGAGAATATCATCAGCTAGCTCCCTGGCGGCGATCGCAGCCAGCCTGCCCTGCGCCAAGCGAGCGAGCGCGACGTCCTGACGCTTGGATCGGGGAGGGTTGAGGACGAGCAGCCCGCAGCGCATGCGCCAGGATGCGCGCAGGGACTCGCTCGCCTCGCCGGCCAAGTCAGGAGAGCGGAACGAGGGCTTCGAATGGGACGAGGTGCCAGCCAAGCTTTTGACTAACGCTCCAAAACTTCCCGATCCGACTGCCCTGTCCCGAAAGAGGTGCGCTCTGGCAAGCAAGGTGAACCCAGCGGGCCTGCGTTGGCGTGCGCTGGGTGGAATGGGAAACTCGGCAGCAGCCCACTCCACACGCCCATTCGACTGGCATCTGGGTTGTGGGAGGTACAGGCTGGCATCACCATTCTGATGGTGCTGTGGGCGAGTTGCACAGATTTCCTGTTCTATGACGCCTTCGATTAGGTCCTATCTCGTCGCAGTAGATGCTCCATCTCAACGCTGGCATTGCTGTAGGCAGCTTTGTCAAAGAACTAATGCTGCTGCTTCATTGGGCAACCCCATCGCCACTCATCGTTCCGAGCGGCATATTTTCGTTAACGGCGCTCCACGTCAGCCGTGCGAAATCATCCATCCGTTCCCGCCGTCAGCACCGCTTCTGAGAGAAGGCCATCATTCGGTGCTTCTGTAACAGGTGGACACAGGTTGCCATATCTAATTCGGGAGAGTCGGTCGCGAAACAAGATAAAGGCTGAGAGGATCGTCGCTGTTCGTTACGAGGAACCTGCCTATAGAACGTTGTATGCGGCTCGGTTGGTCTGGCCAACTGACTTAACGGAAGCGAGCGCGCTGGCACCTTCACAGAACGAAGCTGATCCAAGAACCGTTCAACCGATTCCAAGGTCGCCGTCTGCGTAAACATGGGAACTTGGCAGCCAATGCGGTCTGAATACCAGTGGTTGCAAGGTGCAGATCGCCCGTGTGGCTAGCTGGGGGCACTGGGAGTCTGGGAGGCAAACCTTCCCCAGGATCTCTCCCCGCGGATCTCTCTATTCTCCATCTTTCACCCGAAGAATAGCTTCTTTTCGCGGTCGTGGCCAATGGCGTAGTCTCTTGAGATAGCAGTCCGCTGGTACAGAGCCGCCTCGCCACAGTCCTATTTGGTGCTATGGAGGCGGGAGCAACGTAACTTCGTCCCCCGCCTCCCCCGCAACCCTGAACACAGTCAGAGCGGCAGAGTGAGGGGCGTTGACCTGGGATGAAGCCAGCAGTATTGACGGCGGAATGCAAACGCGATCCCGCGGAACTCAGGAACGACGCAACCTACTGCAAACATAAATCCAATTCGCGCGGCGTACTGCACCCAGCGACCCATCCAGTTCAAAGCTTATCGTACACCCAGGCAGATAGAGTTCAAGCAGTTAGACGATCACATGCGCCTGCATCTCAACGTTGATCCTGATGGTGTGATGCAAGTGCTTCATGCTTCATCACCGAGGGTCTTGCAATGGACACAGCTCCGACTTCCGCTCCACCTGGGATACTGCCTGCGCATGCGCGATATGGCATGGTGGTGAGTGTGGATATGGCGGGCGTTGACGTGCAGATGGAGTCTCATCGTTGACGTAAAGCTCAGAGCATGAAGGAGGCCTGTCCGATGGACGAATCGATTCAAGCAAGTCCAATGAGCATATCAGATCCGCCTCATTCCGATGCGATGAGATCGTCATACATGTGTAGATTGTGAAGAATGAGCGAGATAGGCATCGGGTGGCGCCTCTACCTACCCGTAAGACGTCGAGGATGTCGGTATGTAAGCCAAGCCCTGATTACTGGACATTGACAAATGTGTTCTCCATGCGAAAATACGAACTAGGGGAACGGTGGCAGTATTGATTCAATAGAACAGATCAGCACGCATGCAATCCTTCTAACAGCCATTTCTGCCAGACGACTACTTTCCTAAAGCAATGAGGTACGCCGACGGAGTTGTCTATCTGCCCACCACTTCCACTCGGAGAATTCCCAATCCGCCGGAACACAAGGCAATGAACCTCCAGCTCGAGCTCGTATCCAAGAGGCGACACTTCTGAACTTTGAGTACGTATACGACTTGCACTCGCCATCCAAGCGTGCCGAGTTGACGAACTCGACGATCGTTCACGGCATCCAAGCAACAAGCCTTCAACAAGCCGACCGCTCTGCTCACGCCACCACTCGCAGCTGCGTGTTGGGCAAAGGCGTTCATCAATAGTCCCGAAAACAGAAGGAAGTGCTGCACGACGATGTCATGCCGGCGAGCTTTCGATCCCGTTTCGTCAGCTCTGCATGTACTTGTACGAGCACCAATATTTCCATCGCCAAAGCTATAGCTCCAACATCATCAGAGCCGGTAGTTGCCCAACAGCGTAGGCGATGCGACACCGCGAATGATGTCCCTGGCTGCAACCGGCCACTGTCAAGAATGCCGTGGCTCTCGGCACCTTGCTGAAGCAGCTGGACCGTATGCAGCACCAGATGGTGCAGGAGGAGGGCCGCCTGTCGGTATTCCCGACGTCGTGGTCACGGCCCAGCTATGATTATTGTCGCGTGGCAATAGCACCTCGTGTCTGTCGTGACACTCGCGCGTCGCGAAAGCATAGGAAAACTCCCGATGCTACTATATCCACCGCAGACGAGAACGAGGCAACTCGGTCCCGAATACCACGAGAGCGAGAATACGCATATCAGCCTCGGCTGCGGCAGGATGCATTACTCAGGAGCTGAACAACAAAGCCTCAACTGAAGTGGAGTTGCAGTGCTGACTACGCCCTGAGCGAAGGATCAACCTCACCCCCAGCCCCTGTGGCCCCCATGTTTCTAGACGACACCCCCACTGTCAGCCCACAAGGTTGACCGCGAGCACGAGACAACAATTCGACCCCGAACGGCTTGCCGAGTATCAGGACTGCATACGCGATCCCGAAGCGAGGTTCGCAATGATCTTCACTCACCGGTTCGATAGTGTTGGGTGAGACGATCGACGGTAGTGTGCAACAGCGCGGTGATTTGTACGAGGGTCAAACTCGCATAATCGCATATCGCTATATTGCATGCTGACGGTTTAAATGAACCTGCTATGGTAGGGTGGACGAGACGACACCGCCTAAACAACGATTGTAGAGTTCCTTCCGAAACTTCATGCACGTTGGTTCTGACCCCATTCCGAAAACCCCCCTGGCTAGAACATACCACATCCAATCGGGTGGAACCCAACATCTACGGCTACGCAGAAGCTGGGGGGATATGGCATCCCCTAGCGGTGTGCTTTCCCACACATTGACAATGGGGAGCATTGCTGGTCGAGACTTCCGGACCATCACAACCGACCCATCACCACCGATCACTCTCTGTTCGTCTCCGTTGATGATTTCCCGAATCAAGGAAGTCACCCATCCGGAACCTGCCAAACCGGTCGTCAAACATTGCCCGTAAATGTTGCCGGAGAAGGGTCCGTGATGGTGGTGTCCCGACCAGTTCTGAGGGCCTCGAGAAGTTCACTGGCCTGGTTGAAAGCTATCCCAGTTGTCCAATATCGTGCGCTGGCGAGCGTGCTGGTATCGTCCCAATCACTTCCCCAGTATCGCACAACATAATATCGAAGACATCATGATATTTCGAGGCTTCTGCCGACAGTGAACATGGAAGCATGTCAGCGTGATGCTGCGTGAAGTCATGACTTTTGGGCAGTGCGACACAGAACAAAGATAAGGAGTGATCGTGGATGCAATGTATTGGATACACAGGCACGAGCAGCTCAAATGCATGCGCGATCGTTTGCGTCTTCCTTGCCGTGAGATATGCTTGACCAACCCGAGTGTGTGATGATGCGCGTATTTAACGCACTGTGACACGACATGAACGACTTCTTACCATTATCTGCTTGACATCCGAAGCTGCAATCGTGGAGCCATCCACGGAAACGCTCTCAGACGTCTTCAAAACTCGTTGATCCACCTTTGGATGAAGATGAAGCAAGGCTGGCCTTGCTCGCATGGCATCTATGACGGACTCGTTTTTCGTTGCCAAGATCTCGACCTGATCCAGGTCCGGCGCATGCAGGTCTCAAGCAAGATAACGAGTTCCAGGAACATGGAACGGGTGGTCGCCAGCAAGGAAGAGGATGTGTGCACGCTTTTTACATCTGCCGCCTTGCTTCAGTCTCACGTCTGCTCGTGTACTGTTGCAGACCTCGGGCCGGGCACGTGCTGTGCTGTCTCCCGAGAGTAGATACCTTGCCGCCGTGTTGAGACTCCCAAAACGCCATAGGCTGCAATGGACTGCTCCAGATGATGATTAGATGAGCATCATGAAGCCGTTGTGACATCTTGACTCAAAAGACGGCCGCCGCAGAAAAAGTGCTCGAAGTGCTGTAGTGTGGATAACGCAAATGAAATATTGGGTGGTGGAGACTCCTTGTCTCCTTTTCCCGACACGGACCCCTGCTGGTGAGATCTAGGGACTCGCGCCTTAAACTGGAACCGCCAGACGGGGTTTGGCTGAGATCTGTGTTGATGTTTCTGCTATGACAGCAACACGAGCGGCAAAGTTGCACGACGGCATTTCGATGATGCAGTCAGCCAGAGGATGGAGTAACGAGACAGAACGTCCATGCAGATGCTGGACAGCGCCAGACTGGAGCACAGAAGATTGAACAGTCAGCACGCTTGCATGCGAAATACTGGGCACGAGGCTAAGGAGGTTGGCTGGTTAAACATGAGATCGTGGAGAAGATTTGCCTCCCGCACACGACCAAAAATAGCCTGTTGATCTCCTTCTGGTTGGCGAGCACTATCTGCACGTCCGACTCTGTTCCCAATCCACTGGACCACCGAGGGCTGTAGCAGCAGAAGAGGCTGTAGCGAATATTCTTCGGTGGCCTCATCACATCATCACATCGGCCGTCCAACCCTCTTCTGGACTTGTGATGGACCTACGAACAGCCGAATCGAGCTTCAGACTTCAGCCACGGCTGCTCCGACGTGGCACGCACGAAGGCGACTGCGTACGAGTCCGATATCCTGTTCGCGCTGGACATTCCAAGAAGCCCATATCCATTACCAGGGCACGAATATGCCAGGTCCCACGGCATTACCTTGAACGGCCATGCACGCTATCCCGTCGCCAAACCACGTTACCGTGGATGGACCGGGAGCACTATTCGGCATACGAGGGCTGCAGATCGTCCAAATCCAGCATCTCAGCCTTGCCCGAGGCCGCCGAATAGCCATGGGGCCGAATATTCACGGTGACGCTACGACGTTCCAAGCCTCCCTATCAATAGGAATTCTTGCGCTTACTCTCTGTGGATACCCTCCTTTTGGTAGCTTTCCTGGCGTCCCGACGCACTGACGTCGAAGCCGCGCTGTATGATCCGCTCCCGAACGGAACGCTTAGCGAGAGTCCAAGCATGTTTCCCTCACGGCCCCCCTGGGCTATCAATGGTTGTTCAGCCTCTCATACATAATGGCAACGGCACTCCGTTTCAGACCACTCCCTTCATATCCTCTTTGACCTTCTACCCTCTCCTCTTGTTTTTCGATTCAGACAGACTAGCCATCTGCCTGAGCCGTCATCTTTCCTTCTCACACCACGACATCGTCTGTCCGAGTATTCTTTAGCCAAGAGTACTCTCGTCTCCTTTAATCGTTCATTGCATTGCATCTCTAATCTCATTGCAACTCCCGTGACTAGCCACCACGGTTGGGACCATCGAATCGACCAGCATTGAATACCAATTGGAAAGGAGAAGAACTATCAATATAATCAATCCCCAAACGAACCTCCCATCGAATCGAGCACATCTCCGCGAAGATGTCTACCGTTTTCCTATTCGGCGATCAAACCGCCGACCAATACAACATCCTCCATAAAGTCGTTCTTCGAAAGGAGAATGCTTTCGTCCGGAGTTTCGTCGAACGGGCGTCTCTCGCTCTGCGGGAAGAGGCCAGACTGCTCACCCGAAGCCAGAGGGATGTGATCCCAGACTTCAACACGGTCAATGACCTGATTGAAGCCTACTACATGAAGGGCGAGAAGGTGCCAATGATCGAGTCTGCGCTGCTCGTCATCGCCCAGCTTGGACACTACATTGGCTACTTCTCAGAGCACCCAACTGAGCTTCCTGCGGCGAAGGACAGCCGCGCGCTTGGACTGTGCACTGGTCTCCTCTCCGCCGCCGCCATCGTTTCTGCGAGGACTACTGAAGAGCTGGTTAGCTTGGCTGTCGAGTTTGTTCGACTTGCGTTCCGCTCGGGAGCCGTGGTCGACCAATCTCGCAACATCCTCGCTCAAATCGAGGAGGACAAGGCACCATGGTCTACGATTGTGACTGGGACCACTGAGAGCGCTGCGAAGGAGGCTTTGGCTGCGTTCCATCAAGAGAAGGGCATCCCACAATCCAACCAGGCCTACGTGTCCGCCGTCTCAGTCATGGCCATTACGATTTCTGGACCCCCACCGACCGTTCGACGCTTCTTCGGTGAGTCTCCAGCCCTCGCGAAGAACAACCGCGTCCCTATTCCGGTGTACGCTCCATACCACGCCGAGCACCTGTACGGCGAGGCCGACTACGAGAAGATCTTCGCAGGCGCCATCACGGAGGAGCTCAAGAAGTACACACCAGCCTCAGTGGTTCACTCTGCCTTCACCGGCAAGGCGATCGCTGCGAATGATACCTACGAGCTGGCGAAGGCGGCCGTCACGGAGATGCTCCAGAAGCCAGTTCGCTGGGATCACCTGCTCGAGGAGACTGTCTCGCAGATGACTTCGACGAAGCAGAAGTCCAAGATTTACGCCATGGGCATCAGCAACGTTGCCAACAGCCTCGTCTCCGCGCTCAAGGCTGGTGGCCAGACCGACGTCTCCGCAGTCGACTACTCTGCCTGGAGTGAGAACTCCGACATTGCCCAGGGCCGCACTCAGAACGATAAGGTCGCCATTGTTGGTCTGTCTGGACGTTACCCGAACGCTGCGAACACCGAAGAGCTGTGGGACTTGCTCATGAAGGGCCTGGACGTGCACCGCAGGATTCCTGCCGACCGCTTTGACGCCGATGCTCACTGCGACCCGTCTGGCAAGGGCAAGAACAAGTCGCACACTCCATTCGGCTGCTTCATCGATGAGCCAGGGCTGTTCGATCCTCGCTTCTTCAACATGTCTCCTCGTGAGGCTGCACAGACGGATCCCATGGGTCGTCTCGCACTCGTGACCGCCTACGAGGCCCTCGAGCAGTCTGGTTACGTGCCCAACCGCACGCCCAGCACCAAGCTTCACCGCATTGGTACCTTTTACGGTCAGACGTCCGACGATTGGCGTGAGATCAACGCCGCCGAGAACGTGGACACCTACTACATTACTGGTGGTGTGCGTGCCTTCGCTCCAGGCCGCATCAACTATTACTTCAAGTTCTCCGGTCCCTCGTACTCTGTCGACACTGCCTGCTCGTCTTCCCTGGCTGCTATTCAGCTCGCCTGCACGTCTCTCTGGGCCGGCGACTGCGACACTGCCATCGCCGGAGGTCTCAACGTCCTGACCAACCCCGACATTTTCTCTGGTCTCTCCAAGGGTCAGTTCTTGTCGAAGACTGGGTCCTGCAAGACCTATGACAACGCTGCTGATGGATACTGCCGTGGTGACTCCTGCGGCAGTGTGATTCTGAAGCGCTACTCGGACGCCATTGCTGACAAGGACAACATCATGGGCTGCATCCTTGGAGCTGCGACGAACCACTCCGCTGAAGCTGTGTCCATCACTCACCCACATGCTGGTGCCCAGGAGTTCTTGTACAAACAGGTCCTTGCCCGAGCTGGCATTGACGCTCATGAGGTCAGCTACGTCGAGATGCACGGAACTGGTACTCAGGCCGGTGACGGTATTGAGATGACTTCCGTCACCAACGTCTTCGCTCCCCGACACCGCCAGCGCAGGCCAGACCAGCCCGTCAACCTTGGTGCAATCAAGGCCAACGTTGGACACGCCGAGGCTGCCTCCGGCATCAACTCGCTCTCCAAGGTTCTCTTGATGATGAAGCACGGCAAGATCCCAGCCAACGTCGGTATCAAGGGTGAGATGAACAAGACCTTCCCCGCCGATCTCAAGGACCGCAACGTGCACATCTCGCAGAAGGAGGTGCCATGGCCACGACACGGTGCCGCCAAGCGCAAGGTGTTCCTCAATAACTTCTCTGCGGCTGGTGGTAACACTGCTCTTCTGCTTGAGGATGGTCCACTTCGTGAGACCCCCAGAGTGCTTGACCCGCGCAGCACCTTCCCGGTCACTGTGACTGCACGCAGCATCGCGTCTTTGAAGCGCAACATTGCCAACCTCCAGGACTATATCCAGGAGAACCCGAACACCACGTTGACCTCGCTGTCATACACCTTGACTGCCCGTCGCATCCAGCACAACTACCGCGTCGCATTCCCGCTCTCTGAGATCAGCAAGGTCAGCGATGCTCTCCAGAGCCAGGTCAAGGACTCGTACAGCCCAGTTCCAATGGTCCCAACCAAGGTCGCTTTCTGCTTCACTGGTCAGGGCTCGCAGTACACTGGTCTCGGCCAGAAGCTGTACCAGGACTTGAAGACCTTCCGCGATGACATTGACCAGCTCAACCGTCTCGCCACCATTCAGGGCCTGCCTTCCTTCCTTGAGCTTCTGGATGGCACCGATGTTCAGACCTTGTCCCCCGTCAAAGTCCAGCTCGGTATGGCTTGTATCCAGGTCGCTCTGGCACGCATGTGGGCTTCCTGGGGCATCACTCCTACTGCCGTCATCGGCCACAGCCTTGGCGAGTACGCTGCTCTGCACGTTGCTGGCGTCATCTCCGCCTCGGACATGGTTCTCCTTGTCGGCCGCCGTGCAGAGCTCCTTGTCCGCGACTGCACGCCACATACCCACGGCATGCTTGCTGTGAAGGGCAGCGCCGATGCAATCCGCAACACTCTCGGCAACAAGATGACCGAGATTGCTTGCATCAACGGCCCCGAGGAGACTGTCCTTTGCGGCAGCGGCGAGGTTGTCGGTGCTGCCAACGAGGTTCTCACCCAGAAGGGCTTCAAGGCCACCAAGCTCAACGTGCCGTTCGCCTTCCACTCTGCCCAAGTCGACCCCATCTTGGATCAATTCAAGACCGTCGCATCTTCCGTCACCTTCAACAAGCCGCAAGTGCCTGTGCTCTCTCCTCTCGAGGGCGAGATCATCCGCGAAGCTGGCGTCATCAGCCCTGCCTACCTGGCTCGTCATGCCCGCGAGACCGTCAACTTCTGGACTGCACTCACGAGCGGCCAGACGGCGAAGGTTTTCGACGAGAAGACTGCGTGGCTTGAGGTTGGCGCTCACCCAGTCTGCTCTGGCATGGTCAAGGCTTCCATCGGCGCCACCATTACCGCACCTTCTCTCCGCCGTGGCGAGGATGCGTGGAAGACCATCTCCACAAGCGTGTGCGCTCTGTTTACGGCTGGTGTCTACGTTAACTTCGACGAGTACCACCGCGAGTTCAACGATGCCCAGGAGCTCTACCCGCTGCCGACGTACAGCTTCGATAACAAGAAGTACTGGCTCGACTACCACAACAACTGGACCCTTACCAAGGGCGAGGCGCCTCAGGTCAAGGAAGTCATTGTCGAGAAGCAGGTCGCTGGTGCTCCCCAGGCAGCTGCTCCTGCGCCTGAGATCCCGGCCAAGCGCCTGTCCACTTCCTGCCAGAAGGTCATCTCCGAGGACTTCAATGGCAGCACTGCCAAGGTCGTCGTCCGCAGCAGCCTGGCTGACCCCAAGCTGTACCCTGTGGTCTGCGGCCATATGGTGAACAACGCCGCCCTCTGCCCGTCTTCCCTCTACGCCGACATGGCCCTCACCGTCGGTGACTACATCTACAAGGAGATGTACCCAGGCTCCGAGACTCCTGGCCTCAATGTCTGCAACATGGAGGTGCCGAAGCCGCTGATTGCTCAGATCCCTCAGCCAGCGGCCGGACAGTTCGTTGAGATGGAGGCCAATGCCGACATGACTACTGGCCTCATCAAGCTCAACTTCCGTTCCGTGCAGCCTGATGGCAAGAAGATCCAGGACCACGCTCACTGCACTATCCGCCTCGAAGACAAGGTCGCCTGGGCTGATGAGTGGGCCCGCTACAACTTCATGGTCAAGTCCCAGATGGAAATGCTCAACCTGAAGACCCAGAACGGCGGCGCGCACAAGGTCCAGCGTGGAATGGCCTACAAGCTGTTCAAGGCGCTTGTCAACTACGATGACAAGTACCGCGCCATGGCTGAGGTCGTGCTCGATGGTCAGACCACTGAGGCCTCCGCCACCCTGGATTTCCCCACCAAGCCAGAGGACGGTGACTTCTACTGCCCACCGTACCACATCGACGGCGCCTGCCACATCTCTGGCTTCATTGTCAACGCCTCCGACCTCTTGGATTCCGAGCAGAACGTCTACGTGTCCCATGGCTGGGGCGCGATGAAGTTCTCCCGCCCGCTGACCGCCGGCATGAAGCTGAAGAACTACGTCCGCATGCAACCCCAGCCGAACAACATCTCCAAGGGTGATGTCTACATCATGCAAGGCGATGAGATCGTGGCGGTCTGCGAGGGCATCAAGTTCCAGCAGATTCCTCGCCGCGTGCTGAACACTTTCCTGCCACCGAACAAGGGCTCTGCTGCCGCCCCGGCTCCTGCTCCTCGTGCTGCCCCAGCCCAAGCCGCCGCTCCGGCTCCGGCACCTGCGCCAGTGCGCCCTTCGGGCATGAACTTGACCGCCCGCGCGCAGGCTCCGTCGCCGATCCAAGTCGCACCTGCTCCCCAGCCTGCGAAGCCCACGATGGCCGCGCCGAAGGCATCCAAGCCAAAGAAGGCTGCCGCTAAGAAGCCCTCCGGTGGCATGGTCAGCAAGGTCATGAAGATTCTGTCGAAGGAGACTGAGGTGGACGAGGCCGAGCTTGTTGACGACGCTCACTTCGAGAACCTTGGCGTCGACTCGCTTCTATCTCTCACCATTTCCGCTATCTTCCGTGAGGAGCTCGACATGGAGATCAGCTCTTCTCTCTTCACCGACTACCCAACCGTCGGTGACATGAAGAAGTACTTCTCGCAATTTGATGGTGCTGCCGGCGAGTCTCAAGAGGAGGCGACGGATTCGTCTGACGAGGACTCCGTGCCACCGACTGATTTACCAACTCCATACGGCGCCGAATTCTCAACACCTGCCAGCTCTGCGCCCAGCGTTGCACCCAGCGACGACGGCAAGCCAGACTCCCCCAGCCAGGACTCACTCGGCGATGTTGGCGACGTCAGCATGGCTCGCCACATCGTCGCCCAGGAGATGGGCGTCGATATTTCCGAGGTGACCGACACTGCCGAGCTCGCAGAGATGGGCATGGACTCGCTCATGAGCTTGACCATCCTCGGTGAGCTCCGCGAGAAGACCGGTATCGACCTCCCGTCGACCTTCCTCACCACCAACCCGACCATCAAGGACATCGAAGACGCTCTTGGGATGCGCCCAAAAGCCAAGCCGGCGGCAGCCACTAAGCCCACCGCCCCTGCTGCCGGCAAGCCCACGATGAAGAAGGCGGTTGACATGAACCAAGTGTCAGCAAGACTTACCTCCCTCAACAAGACCGACCTCAGTCGGTACCCACCCTCCACCTCTGTGCTGCTCCAGGGCAACCCGAAGACCGCGAGCAAGAAGATCTTCTTCCTGCCTGATGGCTCTGGCTCGGCGACCAGCTACGTCTCCATCCCCAACATTGGCAACGACATCTGCGCGTACGGTTTGAACTGCCCGTTCATGAAGGAGCCTGAGCGATGGGACTGCGGCATCGAAGTGTCTGCTCTCATCTACCTGAATGAGATCAGACGTCGACAGCCCAAGGGCCCATACATCATTGGCGGTTGGTCCGCTGGTGGTGTGATCGCCTACGCCGTCGCACAAGCCCTCCTCGCCGCTGGTGAGACCGTCGGAAAGCTTCTGCTTCTCGACTCGCCTTGCCCGGTTGACCTCGCACCTCTCCCCGCCCGCCTCCACATCTTCTTCAACGAGATCGGCCTCCTCGGCACCGGCGACCCAGCGAAGACGCCCAAGTGGCTGCTGCCGCATTTCAGCGCCGCCATCCGGGAGCTGTCAGCATACGACCCTAAGCCATCGATCCAGCCCATCCCCACCTACGCCATCTGGTGCAGGGAGGGTGTTGCCGGCAACCCAGGTGACCCACGCCCACCGCCAGCGGAGGATGAGGACCCAGCGCCCATGAAGTGGCTCCTCAACCACCGTACCGACTTCAGCGACAACGGCTGGGGTCAGCTGTGCGGGACGGAGAATATGAAGTATGGTGTGATGGGTGGTAACCATTTCTCGATGATGAAAGGTGAGTTTCACTCCAACGACTACTCTTTGCAAGACCATCAGCTAACATCTCCATTAGACCCACATGCCGTAGACCTTGGCAACCTCATCAAGGCCGGCGTCGACTGGCAAGCATAGAGCGTTCCATTGCATCCTTGAGCGTTGATTGCGATTCGCTTCCATCTGCTCTGGACGCTCGCTTGCCACGTCCGCCTTGGCCGGTTGACGTTGGTCACTTGATGCTTCAGAGCAGACGGGATTCGAGATGGAACTCATCAACCTTGGCCGGTTGTTGGGCTTCTTCCTCTCGAGTTCCTTGACGACTTTTAGATTTTGCATGAGCAGTATTCACACGCACGGGCATGGAGTATGATCTGGATAGAGGCATTTGCAGGAGCATGTTTGTCATTGTTTTTTATTACTAGCTGTGTTTCGAAGGCCCTCCAGAGGTGGCTCCCCTGAGGCTGTATGTACCTATCAAACGCAGTTTTCCATCAATCCTCTTGTCAATTGCACTCTCGTTCTTGCCCAAATTCTCGGTGACATCCTATTCACCCAGGCCTTCTGTGATCTTCGTCCTCGTATCCGGCTCCGCATTGCAAAAGTCCACCGTCCGGTGGCATGATGCAAGTAAGACCATCACGCCACTGACACACGACCCAAGTCTTCACACGCATGTGTAATCCCGGGCATCGCCATCATGACCCTTCCATCTGAACATCAACCATCGGAAGGCATGTCTTCCGCTCCATCTAGACTCATCGAGTTCAAACTCTGTTGCACTTTAACAGTGCCTCTCCACGGTATTCAATTAGCCATGCTTTCAGCGGCGTCTTCTGGTCAAGCTGAGCATGACGCATTGAAGCTGCGGGTGGAATGAGGATTCACGGCTGAGCCGTGACTTGCAGCAAACTCTATGCACGAGTCTATTTAGCGATATTGCTTGCGAAAAATGCAGGGCGCGGAGGTGTAGGTGGGGTGGTGAATAGACAGCTTGCTTGTGGCGTTGTGTGAAAGTCGGAGTTTTGGTGGGGACATTCTGCCGGCTTTTCACGTGCTTTGAGAACGAACTCTGAACAACTACACCGGATTGGGAAGCTGTGCGGTCTCAAGATGGCGGAGCAGGAGATGCCCATGTATGCCTCTTGTCTCCTTGTCAGTGGCAGGGTACAGCGCTGACAGTTCACAGGAGCAAGGATGCTCCAACGAACCCGAGAGGCATACCACAGGCTCCCTTCGTAGAAAACGTGTCAGAATGGGTATCAACCCGGGCGGACGTCGAAGGCGTCCTCAAGAACTTCCAGGAGATGATCTCGTCAGTCCCTACCGGCCTTGTGGTACTGCGCCAATACTGAATGAGTCCCCAGGAAGTACCAATTCATGCAAGTCAACACCGAGCGACGCCTCTCTGGCCTGAAGGACAAAGTCCCCGACATCCAGAAGACTCTAGACACGGTCAAGTTCCTCGAACGACGAAAGGTGCGCCAGTTATACCACCCTATCATCATACACGTGGAGAAGCTGATCTCAAGACCAGCCAGATGCGGAACCCCTAGAAGCAACCTTCGAGCTCAACGACACGCTGTATGCCAAGGCCAACATCGAGGAGACGAGTGAAGTGTACCTATGGCTTGGAGTATGTCTACCTGTCCACCTCCATATCAGGTTCCCAGCTTACGCTTAGCAGGCAAACGTGATGCTCTCCTACCCGCTCGCCGAAGCCGAGACGCTGCTCGAGTCGAAGCTGGGGACCGCCAAGTCGAGCATGAGCAATTGCGAGGAGGATTTGGATTTCTTGAGGGAGCAGATCACGGTGAGTGCAATCTCTATTGACACGCGTGACAGCTTCGCTAATTAGCTCAGACTATGGAGGTGGCCACCGCACGAGTCTACAACTGGGACATCGGCGAGCGGCGGAAGGAGAAGGGCGATGGCAAGGGCGGCGGGGACGAGGAAGATGTGCAGCCGAATGGATGATGAGCAGACTGTAGTTCACCGCGCATGCTCGAGTACCCAGCGAACCTCATCAAGACCAAATGGAAAGCAATAATGACAATCAGGGTTTGCGCTCAAATCTTTTCGTGTCTTCCTATGACCATGGTTCTCATTATGGACGAACCGTTCCATTTGCGCAGCAGCGCAGCCTTCCAAGCTTCCTCGTGGTATATCAACAACATCGCAAAAGCAACCCATCCTACCAGCACTGACCCTTTCCATTTCCAAGAACGCCACGCTAAAGGCACATGCCCGCCCAAAACCCAAAACGACCACCTTCGTCCATCCTCACGGTCGAACTAATCTAACATAATCAAATCGGGCTCCTGCTTAACTGGCTTTGAGGACTTCGAAGACGTCGACGGCTTCGACTGCTTGGGGTTTTGCCTCGCCTGTCCGTTCGCCTGCCCGCTCGCCTGCCCATTGCTCTGCGAAGTGCCCTTCGGCAAGTCCGTCGGCTGCTGTTGCTGTTGTGTGCTCTCAGCAGCCTGCGGCTGACCCGGCACGGACTCGAAACGTCGAACGATCCCGTCTAACTTCTCCAGCGCCTCGGCGGCGCCCTGCGCATCAGCAACAATCGCGCTTCCCATACCCTCCCAGTGCTCTGCGCTCTCTTTGTAGAGCTCTTGCATGGCTGTGTTGAGCTCCTCGGGCAGGTTTTGGCCTTTGATCGAGGAGTGGAAGTCCTCAATGATCCACTTCACCGACGTATCCTCGCCTTCACGCCGTATCCTCGTGCGTAGAGTGAAAGTGCATCGTGGCAAGGGCGGGTGGTAGGCGATGCTGTACCAAGTCGTGTTTCGCGGGTGGATCGCTATCACTCGGCAGACCGGGTCCTTCGCTTCGAGGCGGTTGAAAGTCTGCAAGACGGGCAATGTCAATGACAAGGTGTGGGTGAAGATGTCGAAGGCTTTGCTGTCCGTCGCGTTAAAGGCCTGTTCCATCATCACCTTAACACGTCGATGAGGGTTGTTGTCGTGAGGATGAAACTTCAGAGTGGTAATGCCCTCGGCCTCAGTAGGGAACGTCATCTCCACGCTCAGCTCAGGAGTCGTGTGGTAAGTGAACTGCAGCCGAGACAAGCTGAGATGGCCGCAAACAAAATGTCGCTGTTTAAGGATGTTGGCACATTGATCGAGCTGTTCGACGGTCTGCAGCCGTTGCCGCATCTTCTTAATGAATGGCTGACCGAATGGGGTGATGAACTTCAGCGCCACTCCACCATGAGGATTGAGAGCCAGATCACGCTCGCCAGAGTTTTGGATGTGTTTGTGAAGCTCCTTAAACTTCCCGGGGTCCAGCGATAGTCGTAAATCGTGCCTCACTTGCTTGCTGCCAACACCCTCGCCGCGGGCGTCATGAACCAGACCATGATGGCTCAAGCGCACTGCCTCGTGGGCCCACGGCTTCCACTTCCCTCTCTGCATACCCTTCCTTAGCTTTGAGAAACTGATGAAGAGTGCAGTAGGAAATATCCGATCATGCCTCTCGACTCCTTCACAATCACCTTGCGGGAATACCTTCTGCATCGAGTGCGGAATGTGTTCGCCCTTGAGCTGAGCCGACAGTGTGCTGACCGCGACATCGCCAACAGCGCGTCGCGCAACTTGGCTGAGTGTGTCGCGTGAGGTGCTGATGTCTTTTCTTTGCCCATCCGGTGCAGGATCCACAGGGGTCACTTTCTTGATGATCCTCCCGGTACCGTTGGGAAGCTCGCTCCGCCTCTCTTCGAGCTCTGCGGCCCACCACTTCTCGCCCTGAAGGCTGAATGTGACCGCCAGAGCCCAGTCATCGCTCCATGCGCGGCTGGGTGTGAAGATGCTAAAGTGCTGCAGCTTCTCGCCGAAGACAGCCGTGAGGTTGTCTTGCCGAACAAGGTGCTTTACAGGAGACCACCGGAGTAAGTCCGCCTGCTTGAAGACTTGGTCTTGCACCACGGCACATGGAAGGCCAGCGAGCCAGCGAGCTGGGTCCGCAGTAGGATGGTTGTTCAGTCGGCGCTCAATGTTCAAGGAGGCTGTCGAGGGCGGTGTGATCGAGTATTGACCTGTCACTGGCTCGATCCGGACTTCAATCGGCTGCCTAAGCGAGGGCAAAGAGAGCGATAGCACCTGGCATCCGCCCGCATCGGATACCTTTGCTTTGAAAGGCGCATCGGCGGGTACAAGCGCGCAAATTCGAGTTCGTAGGTCATCCAGTATGCTCGCTGTATGCCGTTCAATGACGTGCATCAAGCACTTCTCAACGTCGAGTTGCTGCCAGTCGAACTCCAGCTTCTCGCCTTTGATCTCGACACTTCTTTGAAACCATCGTACCGATATGTGAGGAGTGGCAGGTCGCCGTATGCTGGTAGTAGTCTGCTTACCACTGCTGATGCCAATCTCGATCCAACTCTTCGGTCCTGGCAGACCAGCCCAGTACTGCACGACCAAGCTCCTACGCAACTTCTCGATCTTGATGCAGTCGAACCATTTGCCTCGAGTCAGCTCGGTAGCCTGGTCTTGGAGGATGGTGAGCTTATGCGTGAGCACAAAGTTGTGAAGGAAGTCGTAGCAGCCTTGCAGACCCTTCGATGCTAGTTGCACGTTGATTTTGCCTTCCAGAAACCCTCGTATCCGATCGTCCAAGACTGGTGTGGTGGGCTCGAAAGATAATCTGATATCGATAAAATAGAGTTGCGTGGCCGGGTCTTCATCCGCAACCGATAAGTCGACCTCGAACTCGTCCTTCACCATGAAAGTTACCCGACCATCCGCGATGGAATAGTCGCGGAAGTAGAATGGGAGGTCTTCGTGCAGGCTCAATCTCGTGCCCAGGATAACATTCATGTCTCTCATCGTCTTGAGCAATTGTTTCGCACTGAGCTTCTTGGGCCGGATGTACCCAAGATCCGGGACCCACGATGCCTTCCCTGTCGCCAAAACTTCCATTGCGCCCTCGATGTTGGGATTAGGAACCTTGGCTTGCTGCATGTTCATTTTCGCTCTCGCTACCGCATCTTCTGCTTGCCTGTACAAGGCCGTTTGCTTGTCGAGCCACACTTTGACATCGATCATACGAGCTTTCTCCTCTTCGTTGCGGCTCCAGTCGGATAGAACCAGGGTCTTGATGAATCGGTCTCGCTGGTCGTTCGCGAAGTCCATAATCATCCGCTTTTTCTTGACGCTGGGTTCTGACGTGTCGGGACCGGTATGCGGCCCTACGCCGTTCGGTAGTTGCGGTTGTGATGGTGCAGTTGGAATCGCCGACATGTCGTCCAACGTCTTGTTCAGGTCGAAATAGCATTGCTGGGCTACTCGATTCATCAGAAGACCTAGCGACTTGTTCTGCTCGCGCGATCGCCATGACTGATCTAGCGGTGGAGGACCTTCCGCACTCGATGTTGCTACCGCCATGTTGCTAGGTTCGCCGTTCCCAGTGGTATGTGTTTGCTCGCTCGAAGCTCCATTCGTGAGGACGCCATTTGGACCGTCGCGAGTGGTGCCATTCACCTGTGTATCCGCAGGTGACTTCACAGGCAGCGCTTGCTGGTGTGAAGCTCCTTGCGCTTGGCTCCGATCTTTCTTCAGGTCCAACGACCCCGGCGCTGCGTCCTCGTCCATGAGCCTGCCGGGCATCTCACCATTCTTCACCTCCCCGCTGTCGCCAGTTCCTACTGACGTGCGATCTCTCACGCCACTCCCTCGATCTTCCTCCGCCCCACCACCTCCCTCTTCGTTTGCTGCCAGTATCTTGACCAATACTCGGCGCTCAGCTCATGCTTGGTCGGTTCCCGCCCCCGTTCGCCGTCTATCTTTTGGCGCGCAAAGGCCTTTCCAGATGCTACAGAGGTGGAGATCGATCGAGTGGTTGTGCGCGTGCGTATTGATCGCTGCAGAGAAGGAAAGAGCTGCCCTCGCTCGCTCCGCAGTGCGCGGTGGTCGTGCGGCCGGTAAGTGGATCCTCGCTCGTGTGGTAGGCCTGCTGTTGTTTTCAAGATTGCCGTCGCTCAGTGTTGACCAGAGGGACTGTGGTGGTCTGGTGCTTTATTTGCCAATGTGAAGTGGTTGATGGGGCAGCTGCTGGCGGCGTTCTGGAGATCGTCGGCGAAAGCGGGAATGTGGCGCTAGCGATGCGTCGGGCCGAGCCGGCTGTCAGCGGATCAATCCCGACACTCCCGGGGCTGGCTTTCAATGGTCTCGACATTGAATGAAGGTATCAGAATGGCTACCGCTCGTATTATTGCTGATGAATGGTAGCCGGACTGCGAACACTGTCTGCCCACCTAACGAATCAGCACCAACTAGCGAACCACCTCGAAGGCGACGACCAGACCCAGCAAACATGGATCTTTGCTTCTTCGGAGAGTCAGTACATGTACGATGTTCGCGACAGTCCGCCCTGGCCCTTTAAGTAAGCCAGCATAATTTCCAGAATACTATGGACTGAAGCCAATGGCGAAGAGCCTCTGGCGGCTGAAGCCTCGACAACGGACCTTCCCTTGGTCAACCCAAGCAGAGAGATCTGTTGCATAGGCGAAATACTCTCATATGCTTCGATCCTTCGCTTCAGGATCACCGGAAGAAAACACTCGCTTTAGGTCTAGACAGCGAGCTACCACGACGTATCGACTACATGTATGTGTGCACCCATCTGACACCTTTAAACAGAGTAAACTACCATTTTCCAGCTGCGTTTCAAGCATTTTCTCAAAGAGCGGCTGTTTGGAGTTGATCAAGTCAGTCAACAATGGCGTGCTCTACAACCGCGCATCTGGCACATGCTCCTGGGGCGTTCCAGAAGGAGCAGAAAGCTTTCAACACATGACCCCAAACATCAACTTAGCTGGCCAGGTGTGGCAGCTCTCCGCGCCGCCACTCACTATCACACTTCAAGTCCGGAGTTGAGGTGATCGAGCTCAGTCCAGTGCTCTGAGAGATTTTCAAGCACCCTTGGTATACGCTGACAATAACGCAAGCCTGCACCAGACATGGCTGAATGAGACCAGCACGTGCTTGTCGCTGGACGGATACCGTTGGCGCTTTTGGCCGCTCCTGTTGCATCACCTTCTACATGTTCTCGACCTCGTTCGCGATCATCGTTGCGGCTCTGCAGTGGGAAGTCTACTCGCACGGCAGTATCGGACGTTGGGAGTCGCGAGCAGCAGATTCAGCGATATGGTAGAACTCGCTACCGAGCATTAGGCCCGCTCAGCGCAGGGCAACGACACCCGTGCGCGATCTGGCTCACGCGGTCAAGAATACCAAAGAGGGTATGTGCATCGCAAGTTCTGCTCTGACATCGTCGAGAAGAGCCAATGATGCATTCTCCGAAGAGTCAACCTGCTTTGGTGAGCCTGGCATCGACTCGCAAAATGGGGAACAGAACGCGAGATCCGTACCTGCGTCCCAAAGATCAAAGCTAGAATCACGGCAGCGTACCAACTAACACACCAAACCAAGCTTGAATGGTTCGTGGACCCCATGGATTATGGCATTGGTCAAAGAATGTGTCTCAAGCCTGTTTGCTCCGATAGCCTGTGCCATTGAACCAGCGTCTTCAATACAGTAAAACGACAGTCGCTGTCACCACGGTCCTCGGCCAGGCGCTGTTTATCACAGGCGATCAGCACACCACATCACCTCGCCTTAGACCTGAGGTCATCTGCTCGCGCGCTAGGAGCTACAATAGCTACTGCCAACTAGCTAGCCGCTTTCCGGTATGCCGATGTAGGCTCTTATCAGGCGGACTCGAGCCCGTGACGTCTAGCTACAGTATTAGGGCGACGTCCAACACTCCAACATAGTCACGCTCGTATCTGCGTGCCTTTCCCACTGTATGTTAACGTCTTTGTCTGCGTGATCGAGAGGTGTGGTCACAGACGTCGCTTCCGCAGGGATCATGTACGCACCTTCCGATTGGCCATGGTTCCTCGACAAGCCTCGACTCCGGGGCTTACACCTCACCTCGACATCCCCAAACAACATCGCGCCGTATCCCCGTTATCCTCTCAAAGTCGCGAGGCCGATGACGAGCGCTCGTCCTCGTCCAGCCGGTCCAGCAGTATGGGCCCCTTAAGCCTGGACGATGCATCCGACACGCCCCAGCCGGCCTTCCCGGGAGAGGACACACGCCCGACTTCCAAGAAGGAGCTGAGTGGCTTCTACGCTTACTCCTTCGCGGCAGAGGTGTTCGTCGTCTGTGGACTGGGAGCCTTCATCCCGATCACTCTCGAGGACCTGGCTCGGGAGTCTGCAACTGCTGTCCTAGCGAGCGACCACAGCAAGTCTTGCAATGCACGAGGCATCGAGTCCAACGATCCGAATGGCACTCCTCACCGCGGTGGAGCACAATGCGTGTTCAAGATCTTCGGCGCCGAGATCAACACCGCCAGCTTTGCGATGTACACGTTCTCGATCTCTGTGCTCCTCCAAGCCCTGCTGGTCGTTACAATGTCTGGGGCTGCAGACCATGGACGATACAGGAAGAAACTACTGCTCGGATTCGCAGTCGTCGGAGCAATTGCGACGATGTTCTGGCTACCTGTCACGCCTTCAGTCTACCTATTTGGCAGCCTTTGGGCGATCATTGGCAATATTTGCTTTGGGGCGAGCTCTGTGTTGTTGAACTCTTTTCTACCCCTACTGGTTCGGAACCATCCGGCGGCTAGTGGACGTTCGGTCGGCGCTGTGGAAGGGCACCCGGCGGAGTTCGAGGATGTAAGTATAGCAAAGCTCATCACGATCTCCAGAAACAAACTGTGGTAGTAAGCTATCTCGGTCACTCTGGGACCTCTCTTTGCCGCTTCCCGCCTTCGAGAACTATGAAGTGATGCCTACTGACACACTGCGAAGACTAGCGAGCAAGCTCACCTGCGATCGTCAGACGTACCTCCGGAGAACGACATAATGGATTCAACAGCAGCTCTACTACCGTCAGATGTCCAGACACCGTATCCACGATCACAGTCAACACCATCCCCGGAAATGCAGCTGTCGACGAAGATCTCCTCCTACGGCATAGGCATAGGGTACTTTGCTGCCGTGTTGGTACAGATCTTGTCAATCATGATATTGAAAATCACGGGCGCGAACCTCTTCTCGCTTCGGCTGGTGCTGTTTATTATCGGCTTGTGGTGGCTCATCTTCACCATTCCAGCAGCTCTCTGGCTACGTCCGCGGCCTGGACCTCCCTTGTCATTTGGCAAAGACGGCGAAACACGCAGTTGGTCGGCCTACGTCACATACTCCTGGATCAATCTGTGGAAGACCGTCGCCCGCGCTCGTCGCCTGAAAGACGTACTCTTGTTCCTGGCCGCGTGGTTCATGATCTCGGATGCCGTGGCTACGGTCTCTGGAACGGCGATTCTCTTCGCTAAAACAACCCTGGGCATGGAGTCGTCGGCTCTCGTGCTCATCAACATCATCGTCACTATATCCGGAATTGCTGGCGCTTTCACGTGGTCGAAAGTCAGCCGCATCATGCAGTTAACCCCTAGCCAGACTATCTTGACCTGCATTTGCCTTTTCGAGCTGATACCGCTCTATGGTCTCTTGGGCTACATCCCAGCGATTCAACGCTTAGGTTCGTTCGGCTTGCAGCAGCCGTGGGAGAGTACGAATCCCTACCTTTTTGCTACACATGCCGAATCACTGACCGAGCCTTCAATAGTGTACCCCGTCGGAGCGGTGTATGGCTTGGTTCTTGGTGGTCTATCGAGCTACTGCAGGAGTCTCTTCGGCGAGCTCATACCACCGGGCTCAGAAGCCGCTTTCTACGCCCTGTACGCCATCACCGACAAGGGGAGCAGTGTGTTTGGGCCTGCTATTGTCGGAGCTATCACCGACGCCACGGGTGACATACGGCCTGCGTTCTGGTTTCTCGCTGTTCTGATTGGCATGCCGATACCATTGATGTTCCTTGTGGATGTGGATCGGGGCAAGAGAGAAGGCGCTGCGTTGGTTCGGGAGACGGTGCGCATTATTCCTACTGGAAACGATCGAGACAATGGGGTTCCGGAGGATGAGGCTGGACTGCTTGCGACGGAGTATGAGCACCGAACGTAACTTAGATAGTCTCAATCAGTTGTCCCTAAAAGCAAGAAGCTGTATCCTACTTGAATATCTCACGTGACCATATGAGCTTCAGCTGCCCGCTGTGCCGGCTCTGACGATTGCTTGCCGTCATCGGAAAGTGCACCCACAGTACATATGCCTCATTCACTTGAACTCTCCCGTGAACAACTGCGAACATCCACCGAGAGCGCCACAGACATCAGCATGGACAACTCACTTCTACATCACCTCCCGGACGAGCTACTTGAAGCCATCGCCTCGCTGCTGCCACCCGCCGACACTCTAGCGTTCGGTTCGACCTGCAGGCGTGGCAATAAGATCGCATACGAGCATCTGATATGGCGCGCTCACTGCGTGCTAGGATGGCAGTACTGGGAACCGAAGCACGAGCTGGAAGAGAAATTGAAGCAACCGCCAGTTGCCACTCAATGGCGGAAGCTGTACAATGAACGCAGCAAGACGGACAAGAAGGCGCTTGATACATTCGAGGAGATGTTGAGCACACAGCAGCACAGGTTCCAGCGGATGGAGGAGATCAATGCGGTCGGTTATGATGCAAAGGACGTGTTGCTTAACCTAAGGAATAACACGCCGGACGATGCGGAGGATGTACTGGCCCGGCGATGGCATGCAGATGCTGTGCTGGGTCAGATACACCGGAGAACGGCTATTGGGAAGTGGCGGAGATTGCAGAGGAGGCAGATGGTACGGCTGGAAGAAGTGCTGGGATCGTTTGATCTGTTCGTGTTAGGAGGGTCGAAAGGCGACTTGAATGAGCTTGATCAAGAGTTCGACCGTCTGGCGGAAGCTGTACGGCATGAGTACGATGGCTTCGATGATATGAGCATTCGCGACAAGGCTACGCATGTGGCGGACTACCTGAGGAAGCAGCAATTGGTCGGCAATCCGGACATTGAGAACTATCACGCCTTGCGCAACAACTTCCTCAGCATGGCACTGTTCGACGAAGTACACACTAGCCTTCCGTTGCAGTCTGTCGCTATCTACTGTGCTGTGGCGAGGAGATTGGGGGTCAATGCGAAGCCGTCAAACTATCCGGAACATGTGCATGCTGTGGTGGAGGCGCCTTCGGACGTGAGCCTTGACGGCAGGTCAAGGGTGGCCATCCCGGATGCGGAGCCGGAACTCATGTTCATGGATCCGTGGCGCCAAAGTGAGGAGGTCCCACAAGATCAGCTCACACTGCGTCTTTCACAAATGGGCGTGCCACCTACCCAACATGGTTCTCACCTCGGCGCTGGCAGCAATCTTGCCATTGCACTGCGAACAGGCCGCAATATCATGTACTCGGTTCAAGACGCTCGAGACCGCCAACGAGGAACAACCCGCCGATCCAGCCACCCCGACCCAGAGTTGGCATGGTACAGCATGCTCTGGTCAATGATGGTCCTCGGCGACCCAGATCCAGCAGCCGCACTTGTTCGCCGTCGACAGTGCCTGCCATACCTCGCCGAGCACTTCCAACAGCATTACCCATGGGACATCGGCTTCGTCGAGAACATCATCGTCCCAATGTTCGATGGTGATCGGGAGTTGCATGTATTGATGCACATGATCACTACTCACCGTGCTGGCGACCGGAACGCTAAGGCGCCCTGCCCAAGGGACAGTGACGAGAAGAATAATGATGTGAAGTTCAAGGTTGGCCAGCACTTCCAGCACAAGAGATATGGGTACGAGGGATTTATCATTGGGTGGGATCACAAGTGCTCTGCCGAACCCAGGTGGATCCAGCAGATGCGTGTGGATGATTTGCCGAGGGGAAGGGAACAGCCGTTCTACAATGTTGTGTAAGTGCACACTTGTACCACTCAGCACGGGAAACGAGGCTAATACCATTTGCAGAGCGGACGACAAGAGCCAGCGGTACGTCGCCGAGGAGAATATCTCGCGCATGTACATGAAGCCGGGCGACAACATGATGCAGCTTGCTGGGAGATATTTCAAGCGTTGGGACGATGACAACAAGGCCTTCGTTTCTAACTTGAGGGATGAGGTGAGTTCCCTTCTGCATGCCATCGACCTTACGCCTGCTGACTCCTTGTTCTTCTAGTACCCTGATGATTGAGACGACTATTCCACTACGGATGAGTGTTGTTATTCACAAACTTCTTTACGATCCTAGTGATCCGTGTGTACCTATACAGAATGCACAAACTTGCACACCAAGATCACGTCCTACTTTGAAGAAACCCCGCTACGGCACACCCCTGCCCTTCCTCGTAGCCTTCGCCAACTCACTCTGCGCCGTATTGTCGGCGTAACGTTGGTAAATGGGCAAGTAATGCTCCTTCTCGCTCATCGTGTTCTTCAGACTAGGCCGCTCCTCAATGGCCTTCAACCACTTCCTGAACCTCGCCCAGGTAGCTTCGTCCTCGCCACCCTTGCCCTCAGCCGGCAGCCCAAGGCCTTCTTTGTAATGATCAAAGACCCAAAGACGCAACTACACCCATCGCGTTAGCTTCCCAGCCACACCAAACTCGGGTCAAGTAAACCTACCGCCCAAGGCGCAACAACGAAATCAATCAACCCGGGCTCCTTGCCCATGAAAAACGGCCCCTCCCCCTCCATCTCAGCGGCAAACTCCCTCCATTTCCCCAAGAACTCCCGCCGCGCTTCCTCCAGCCCCTCCTTATCGCTCATCGGCTGGAACTGCAGCAACCGATGGAAAGACGGGATGATCCTGGTGGTGCAGAAATCTGTCCAAATCCTCGTGCGGGCGCGGTCGTAGGGGTCCGAGGGGAGGAGATGAGGGGTGTGGGTGGGGAAGGCTTCTTCGAGGAACTCGCAGATGACGGTGGATTCGTAGAGGGGTTTGTTGTCGTACTGGAGGGTGGGGACGAGGCCGCGGGGCTGGAGAGTAGGGTGAATCTGTGTTCGGCGAGGTCGGGGTAGGGTGGAGTGATGGGGCTTACGTTGAGGTCTAAGAGGGATTTGGGCTTGTTGTAGGGGTTCACTTCGATGTATTGATAGGGGATGCTCTTCTCCTCTAAGACTGTCCAGGCCCTTTGAACGAAAGGACAGCTGAGGGCAGATCAGTACGTGTTCAGGCCGTGGAGAAGAAGGTTGTGCAGGCGTACAACCAGCCCGAGTACAGCTTCAACGGCTCTTCTTTCTGGTGGGCCTGGTGTCGTTCGACTGCTTATTAGCATACCTGATGCATGAACACTCCTATGAAGTAGGTTTACCTCGACAATCTTCGCCGCCGGGCCAGTTGCAGATGCATGCAAATCAGCGTCGGGATGGGAGCCCATCTTCAGTGTGGTATTCTAGGAAAGTTGAAGTTGATGAAGAAGAAGTAGTAGTAAGATGTCTTTCTATACATTACATACATACATGTAGCGCACTGTACCGACATCGATGTCGATGGACTGACGTAGGATATTGCGGGGCGTGCTGTTCCCATCCGTGAGCTTCTGCTCTCTGCCGTTCTCGCCGTGGTATCATTTCATCCTCGCTCGCTCCTTCCTCACAAGGTCACTGCATCGCACACCCACTCTTCACAAACCCCTCCCCATAATCCCTCACCAACGCCGCCTTCTCGTTCTCCTTCTGCCGCTTCTTCGTCTCCATCGGGAAATACTTTTGAAGGAAGTCCATCGCTTCGAAATCAATGTTCCTGCCATCGGCTTTCATCACAGACTCCTGGTTGCAGACCGGACACCTCTTCATGCCCTCGTCTTGCAGCTTGATGATGCAGCGGATGCAGAAGACAGACCTGCAGCACCCGAGACTCACCGGCCGCCATGCCATGGAGTAGCAGACGGGACAGTCCCAGTCCTCCGGTTGTGGGACTATTGCGAGGACTTTCGTTGCTATCTCGGCGCTGAGATCTCGGGCGATGGAGTTGGCGAAGCCGCCTGCTGATTGCATTTGGCTCTGCTTGCCGCTGTTCGTGAGCAGAGCTGGGTACTTTGTACGCAGGTTCTTCAAGAAGAGCTGTCCTTCCAGGTGTGTGCGCTTATCGAACTTCTTCAGGATCTTCGTCATCGCTCTTGCGTTCATTTCTTGGAAGTGCATAATTCTAAGAATGTTGACGTTGAGGTCGAGGAACTGCTGAGCAGCGCGCTTAGCTTGTGGTGTCTTCATCTTCTCCAGCAGACCAATCTCGCGGAGTTGTGCATCGTAGGCTTGCAACCGGCTCTTGGCTTCGTTGAAAGTCAGAGCACCGCGTCTAGATTCTGTGCCGGAATAGAAGATTGGGTTCTCGGTATATAGCCTGAACATCTCGCGCCAGAAGTAGAGATCGCGGTAGCTCAACTTGCGCGTCGCTTCATAGCCCTCTCGCACCGGCTGAACGACATTTTCGACAGCGTCTCCCAGGTCTAATATATCCTCTTCCAGCTTCTCCGTCTCCGCTGTTCGCAATATCTCCAAATCTTGCAGCTTCGGTTCCAGCAGGTCGAAGAAGTCCTTGGCCGAGGCGAGAGGAACCTGTACCCACCTCGCATCTTCTGCCTCCATTATTGTCCCCTCCATCGTATCACCGACCACACTGCTCTTGCGCACCGCGTGATTTGACGGCGTGCTGGCACCCAGATAGTCGCGCCTTCCGGCAGACATCATCTCGTGCTTCGCCAACTTCTGCAGCGCGGACTTGGTGTCCGGCGCAAGCGTGGCATCCAGCGGCATCCCCGTCCTTTTATCGACCAGCACGCGTAGTTGCGGTGTGAACTCCTCAGGAACCGACGCGAGTGAAGGAGTAGCCGCGCTGTAGTATCCTTTCGAATCGTTCTGCTCGGCCTGCGACTCGCCCACCCACTCGCTCATCTGTCGGAGCGTATCCGCATCCAGCCCTAGTGACTGCAGCTCCTGGTGAATCTTCTTGATGCATTTCTTCAGGTGTTTGTACTCGATCGCGCTTTCCCGCCATTGCTCGGGAAAGTCCTGCGTAGCCAGAACTCGCTGGTATTCTTGACCGAACTTCATGGTGGTAGTGGTCGTGTCTTTGGGTACAGAGTCACGTATATGGAGGCGCGCATATGGCACGGTCTCCTGGTGATTAGTAGTGACTGTGGTGTCTCTTTGACAGTGAGTGTAAGGAAAGAAAGGCGGACGGCCAGAGAAGTGAGACAATGAAGTAATAATGCCCCAACACCTGTGCACATTACCTTCGGCGCTGTCGCCGGTCGACGTCCATTGTGTTCTAGTTCACACGTCTTCGGGGAGTCGCTCGCGTGTCTGCGCACCTCGTGGCGGTTGCCGAGCGTTGCTATTCGCCACCTCTACTCGAGCTGCAGAACAACCAGACGAGGTGGAGCGAGATCGGTCGAGACAACGTTGAATTTTCCGGAGGCCGTCCATCGAAGCTTTTCCGTGCTTTCGCTAAACTTTGACAGCGAATCGCGACCCTGGAAGGCGATCCTTCTTCGGCGAGCATGTGACACCGCGCGGAACGACATCCGTCGTGTTTCCTTCATGGCGGGAAGGCCGATGGTCATAACATTTTCTTGTCGCGACAGCGGTGGTGGTCATGGGGGCCGGGCAGAGCAGAGATTCCGGCGGTGACGACGCGGCGGAAGTAAAGACCAGCTACTATGAGCTGCTAGGCGTGCAGCGACAGGCGACAGAAGATGAGATCAAGAAGGCATATCGAAGGAAGGCTCTCGAACTACATCCGGATCGCAACTATGGACGGGAAGAGGACGCAACGAAGACGTTCGCAGAGGTGCAGTCTGCCTACGAAGTCTTGTCGGATCCACAGGAGCGGGCATGGTATGACAGCCATGAGAGTGCCATCCTGCGAGGCGACGATAGTCAAGGGCAGGACGAGACCCCGTCGTATTCGAATATCAAGATAACGACAGCGGATGACCTGGCACGGCTGGTAAGGAAGTTCAACAGCAATGTCGAGTTCGATGACTCTCCATCCGGCTTCTTCGGCTTCGTCAGAGAGACGTTCGAGCAGTTGGCTAAGGAAGAAGAGGCCGCAGCGAACTGGGAGAACGTAGATGCGCCGGACTACCCTTCGTTTGGACACAAGGACGACGGCTACGATGATGTGGTCAAGAGTTTCTACTCGGCTTGGTCAAGTTTCTCCACCGTCAAAGGCTTTGGATGGATGGACAAATACAGACTGTCCGAGGCACCTGATCGATGGTACAGGAGGAGGATGGAGAAGGAGAACAAAGCTGCGCGGCAGGAGGGCATCAAAGAGTTCAACGACGCCGTGCGGTCGCTCGTTGCGTTTGTGAGGAAGCGCGACCCTCGCTACGTCCCGAGCACACAGTCGGAAGCCGAGAGGCAGAAGATTCTGAAGGACGTGGCGGCAGCGCAGGCAGCACGTGCACGAGCTGCTAATTTGGAGAAGCTGAACAAGGAGGCTGTGCCTGAGTGGGCCCAATACCGCGAGCCGGAGGAGCTGGAGGAGAGCGAGGAGGAGGAAGTGGATCAAGAGGTGTATGAGTGCGTGGCTTGCAACAAGGTCTTCAAGAGCGAGAAGCAGTGGGAGGCACACGAGAAGAGCAAGAAACATCAGAAGGCCGTGTATGCTTTGCAGAAAAAGATGCGGAAGGAGAATGCACACCTGGATTTGGGAGAGGGTGACGTGAGCAGTGGCATGGCTACTCCGATGGTGGAGGATGATGATGTCGATGCAGAGGAAGAGGACATTTTGGATGATGAGGCGGCCGAGGTTGAGGACCATGAGGCAAGACGCAGTGGAGACATGGACGACGGAGGCAGCCAAAAAGAGGAAGTCGATAAAGGCGAGCCTAAAGACAAGCCACCCCAGGACGTCGACAACGACGAGGCAGATTCCGACTCCGAGAACTCCGACTACGCTTCCGTGGACGCCATACGCAACCGCTTGCAGGACACCGGCCTCACCAGTGCGCCGACGACCACTTCAGAAGCGGACGGCGAGCCCAACGCCGCCGGCAAACCGTCTGAGGAGCAACCAGAGGACGACAATGGGTCTCAGAAACCAAAGATGGGCAAAGCAGCTCAGAAGCGGGCGAAGAAGGCTGCTGCCGCCGCCGAGACTGAGCAGGCGGCCGGAACTCATTCATGCGCGACTTGCAATGCTTCGTTTCCCTCAAAGACGAGGCTGTTCCAGCATATTCAAGGTCATGGCCATGCGGCGCTCAAACCTGTTGCTGGGGGTGGTGGGAAGACGAAGAAGGCGAAGGGTAAGCGGTGATCTGTCAAGGCTGCGAGCTTGACCTGCCTCAGTTACCAGCCACCGTTGGTCGTAACTCGATCACCGCTAGCGGATGTCGCATACAACGACCTACCTTTTCTGCCATGACAGGACTTCCGAGCAGCCAACAGCGCACAGCAGAGCCTATTGTTCGTCGAGGGTACACAGCTAGCTTACGCTGCAGATGAGGGGCGACAACCTCAGTCGTGACGCAAGGGCACTTCAGGAGGTTAGGGAAATTGGTTGGTCGTCGACGGTCGCCGCTAGCTGGTGTTGCAGATGCTGCTCCGGTCGCTCCTGCTGAAAGCGGGCGGTGTCACGCGGAAGTCGGCCGGTTCGTCTTTGACAAGGCACAGCTAGCTCATGTTGCGTTCACGCTGCTCGCGGCCGTTGTTCGACAGGATGCAGGGTGCTACTCGAAGCCAGGACACCGGCAAGATAGTTCCACGGATACTGCTTACCTGACGTGCCAATCGAAGGTCTTATGGGCCAGCATGGGAGTATGTGCGGAGAAGAAACAGCAAGGTTTCCTGCCTTAAATGCTGCGCCGCCACTCGACATCGAGATGGCCTCACGTTGAGCCCGCGGTACATAGACAGCTACAGCAGACAATAACAGGGTGATTGGCCGTGGAAACTGCACCGCTAGCCCATGTTGCAGAAATTCATGGAGATGGCCCCGGATCGAAGATGACTGGACGCCACCAACATCGCTCGATTTGAAAAGGTTCAGCTTCTTGTACGAGTGTCGACGTTTCGTTGTCTCGAGCCAGTTCTTACAGACCACGTATTTCACATGACAATGCGGGGAAGCAGCGATGCTACTTTAAGGTACCTAAGATAGCTTCAGACTTCGTCGCCGCCGGTCAATGCATGATAGCGATAGCGAAACATCAATCACACCGTGTGATCGGCCGCGCTGCGTGCCCGAAGCCATGCATGATAACGGGCAACAACGGGCAAGCGGTATGGTATCTTTGACTTCATTCCTTTTATACCTCATTACTGGCAAGTACCTCCCGTCTCATCTTTCACTTCGTTCACACAATCTGTCTTTCAGCTCGAGATGGCCGACAAGAGCAGCCTCAAACAGGCGGACGCCGAGTCAAAGGACTCCGGCGAGGTTCTTGACCGTACGACGTCCATCACCGCTGATGCAGAGGGCAATACTGTGATTACGAGTCAGGATGGCGAGACCTTCACCATCGACCACAAAGCTGAGCGAGCGTTGGTGTGGAAGTTCGACCTACGCATCCTGCCCCTACTTGCGTTGATGTATTTGTTCAATGCGCTCGACAAGGGAAATCTCGGGAATGCCGCAACGGTATGCATGTGACACTCGGTTTGATCGTCGAGGTTCGGAGCTGACCAAGTAATACCAGGCCGGCCTACTGGAAGATCTCGGCATGGTGGGCAACAACAAGTACGTCAAACTGATGGGTGGGAGGGTTCTCCAAAAACGCCTCCGGAGTCTCAGGACCGTGGGGTGCTCCGAGACCTCACGACTTTTTGTTCCACTTGTCGAGACACCTGCTGACCCTTGCTCCCATTACTCTAGGTACAACATCCTGCTATCGATCTTCTTCATCCCATACGTACTGTCGGCGCCCTTCCTCGGTATGCTAGGCAAGATATACGGGCCCAGTAGGATGTTGCCAATCATGATGTTCACCTTTGGCTCGATGACCCTTCTCACAGCCGCCACCTTCAACTGGGGAGGTCTGGTTGCGCTGCGGTGGTTCCTTGGGATGGCGGAGAGTGCCTTTTTTCCCTTGGTAATCTACTACCAGACGTCTTTCTACCGACGAGGGGAACTGGCGCGGAGGCTGGCTATCTTCTACGCTGCATCTAATATTGCCTACGCTTTTGGAGGACTACTGGCCTTTGGAGTCTTCCATATCGAAGGCGGTGCTCTGGCCAGCTGGAAGTACCTGTTCCTCCTCGAGGGCTCGCTCTCCGTCATCTTCGCGGTCATCGCCTTCATCTTCCTACCCTACTCAGCAGCACACGCCCGCTTCCTAAACGAGGACGAGAAGAAACTCGCTTTCTACCGCATCCAAGTCGACAGCTCGGCCATCGTCAACGAGAAGTTCAATCTCCGGGAAGCCTCTCGCATCCTGCTTCAGCCCACCTCATGGGTCATCCTCTGCATAGAGATATGCCTTGGCGTACCGCTGCAGGGCGTATCGCTCTTCCTCCCACAGATCGTAGCTCGCCTGGGCTACAGTACGGTACAGACGAACCTCCACACTGTTGCACCTAATATCACTGGGGCGGTGATGCTACTCCTCCTGGCTTTTGCGTCGGACTACACAAGATGGCGCTTCCCGTTCGTCGCGCTTGGGTTCTTCTTTACTTTCATGGGCTTCATCATATACGCTTCCATTGATGTTGTGACGAACCTGAAGGTGGCGTACTTTGCTTGCTTCATGATGACTTGGGGCACGAGTGCGCCGTCTGTGCTGCTGGATGTGTGGTACAATAACAACATCGTAAGCCGGGCCACTTGTCGACTAGATTAGATCACCTGCTAACAATGCACAGGCCGACGAAAACCGCCGCCTCCTCCTAACATCCATCGGCGTGCCGGTAGCGAACGTAATGGGTCTCGTCCCATCGAACATCTTCCGCGATCAGGATGCTCCAGACTACATTCCTGCTCTCGCAACTACCGCAGCTTTCGGAGCCGTAGGGATTGTGCTGACGTTGAGCTTGGGCATGTACATGATATTCGACAATAAGCGCCGGGACAGGAAGCAGGGCAAGCGGATGCGAGCGAGAGATGTGCCGACTGAGATATTGAGGGATGGGCCTAAGTGTGCGGATTTTAGATGGTACTACTGAACAAAGGCGGAGAGGAGCTGTGGCTGCAAGACATCGCATGAATTAGATAGCATGGACGTAGCACGCGGTCATCTACAAGTCTTCTGCCAAAACAGCAACTCCCAAACCGCTGGAGGAAAGCACCAATCATGTGCCAAGCCTCACCCATGAGACTTTAGGTATGTATTCGCCACTCTCTGATTCTCCTAATCCATATGACCATGCTCTCATAGAAACCCGGAGACACTCAATGTTGATTTGATAACACCCTAAAGCGAGACGAGCGAAGGTATCGAAGCTCGTTTCTACCACATCCGTCTCCGATGCTGCAGACCTGAACGCGATTATGTCGTACCCATCCAAACGAGTCCAAGAAATGACCTCAACCGAACGTCTCGCATCCCTCCAACAATGGGCCGAAGAACAAAAGTACGTACAACCAGGTGAAGGCGGAACCTTGCCTTCTGGTGTGGGGGGCATGCAAGCGATGGCTTTCGGCGGGCGGATGGGGTATAGTGATCAACCGCAGTATACGGCGCCGATTGGGCCGCCGTCGTATGAGACTGCTACGAAGCCGGAGCCTGAGAAGAAGAAGGGAGGGGCTGCTAGGCGGTGGTTGGAAAAACGGAGGAAGGATGGGGGAGAAAGTGGGAAATTGGAGAAAATGGGGACGGAAGGGTCTGAAAGCGTTGGTGGAAGTGGTTGATCATGGTCTATGGTTTAAAAGACGTATCGACACCTCCGCTCAGCACCATGCTTGTGACAATGGGCTCGATGACATTGCTTGCACCATCCGATCACTTTCGGAGTGGCGACCCGCGCGGCGCCGGACGTTGGTAGGGAAGGGGCAGGTTTTTCAACCTGGCGCGCTCTCCCATGCTGTCGAACCAGGTGTCGAACTGCCGTTTGCCCCGTGAGTCACGAACGTTGTAGCCCTGCCAGTTCGAATTACGCTGATGCGCAAGAAGCTCAGGGGTGCGGAATAGCCATGGATTGAGCAGGCAGGCTGGACAGTAACCTTCCGAGGTCTTGTACTGCACACCTCTGTCTCCGCAGTAGGAGTGAAGAGTCCCATCGTCCGCTATAGCAGCTGGGAATGCGGTGATCCAGCCCAGTTCCTTGTCGCCGGGCACGGAGTCGGCGGGGTGGCTGCAGTTGATGTAGAGAAAGACTGTTGTGTAGCACATTGCTGCTGCGGTGGGTTGAAGGAGGACGGTGTTGGCTCGTTCTGGCTCGAGTGTGTTGGAGTCTGTGGAAGGGTGGGTTGCACTTGCGCTCGTTGGAGACTGTTGGGTTTGTGAGCGTAGTAGGGTGTCTAGATAGGAGTAGCACGGAGGGGCTGGCTTCAAGCCTACTTATGTAGCCTTTGCTCTTCCTGACTTCAAGACTTCTTTGCCGCGGAGTTTGCCGTTCTTTCTTTGCTGGAAGATTGCCAAATGCTGTTCGAAGCTCCGAGACTGTGTACCCTGAATCTCTGATTCCAGGCGTCGTAGGCCGCTAGTAAGTCTTCTCTGCCCAAAGTGCGAACAATGACAGCTCATGTAGCGTCTTCAATCAGGTCTGTCACCAGCTCATTCTCCGCCAGAGCTCCCATCCATGACCTCACAAACTTCCCATAGTCGTGCCTCCTGTGACGTGCCTTCTCCTCGTCACCCTTCGCCGTCTCCGTGGCATCTCTCACAGCTCCTCTGAGAGGAGCCTGCTCGCAGATGATCTTCTTGCGCATCTCAACGAGTCGCATCAAGTTGTCATCTTGCTTCAGTTCCTCCAGCAGCTCCTTAGTCAAGGCCGCATCGTCAATGTCCGTCTGGGTGATGGAAACCTCGGATGAGAAGCCCGTGATAACATCCTTCTTCGTCTCTGCGCCGTCCAAGTCCCGCCATTCTTCGAACGACTTGGTCAGCTCTTCGTCAACCGCCTGTAGCGCTTTGATATTTCGTGCGAGCTCGTTGCGATCTTTGACCACTGGATCATGCACTACAGCCATAAGGTTGAACTCAATGTCTGCACCCTCATACATCGCCATACGCGTCTGGAGTGCAGGCTGAGCGACGTTCATCCACCCCCCATCAACTGTCTTATCAAATTCGCCCATGTCTTGCGGGAAGCTGTCAAGACCATCCATTCGCCAGACATGACCCTGAATCGGCATGTACGCGATGAAGTGAAACCCTTCCTGCTCGTCATTGTCTGGAGGAGGAGCTTTGGTGGCGAAGACATCCTTCCGCGGCTTTGGCTGGCGAGCAGAGCGGCGACGGTCACCGTTGGTTTCCTGTGCGTGCTTTTTGGCCTTGCTTGGTGTCTCAAAATCTGCATCGGACTCCGGCGGATCTGACAATGGGCTGGACGCTGGCGATGCTGTCCCATTGGCGATACTCGCCGGTTGCTTTCGCGTTCGAGTCGACGCTCGCTCTGGTGTAGCAGTGGCCCTACCGTTCACAGGTTGCGGTTTGAGGGGCGTGCTGCCTTCCTTTTTGGCTTCGCGCGTCTCTCGAGCTTTTGCAACCGCTTGCCTCTTCTTGGCCTTCATCGATTTCTGTCGGTAGTGCACATCTGCGATCAACAGATCGTTCTCCCGCGCAAACGAGTTGTGAATCTTTTTCACGAACTCAAAGCTGTCAATAGCGTCGCCGCGGCTTAGCGGGTCCATGTCTTTGGTGAAGTCTTTGAAGTCGCGCAGCTCACGGCCCATCCTGAGCCCCTTGATGTTGTTCACGATGTTGAGTAGTGCCACACTCGCGCAAGCAAAATCCGGGATCTGGTTTGCGAACCACACGTGCTCCGGACATTCGGTGCCCTTTTCAGACTCAGTCTCGTCCACATCCCGGTAGCGGAAGAGAAATATCAAAGCATGCACGGGTTGAGGTAGAATAGCCAGCATCTCCTCATCCAGCCCGTAGACCTCTTGCACCTTGACACCTTGGACGCCCATCTCGTTGAGCATGACGTTGAAGAACGCAGGCTCGGACTCCATTTCCACCCAGCCTGGCCATGTTGCACGGTCCGGTGGCAATAGGTCCATTTCGCCGTTCGCCAGGCTACCGTTGCTGGCTTTGCGTTTTGTGCCCTTTTTGGGGGGCATGATCGTGAATTGGTCCGGAAATTATACTGGCAGCGAGAAGCGAATAGTAGTGAAAGAAGGCCAAAAGAGCGATCGAAGTGGGAGCGTTCAGCGAGGTGTGTGTTGTAGGTTGGTATAGCTTGCAAACAAACGGTGTTTGCTGCCAGGTTCTTCACCTGTTCTCATGCTGGTCGAGTTATGAATTTGCGATATTGGCCGGTCCATGGCACAGTTCAGAAAGGAGATTATATAGTTGCGCGGTGAAGTGAGGTTGAACAGATTAATGCGGTGGTTGGTCGCAAGGCACACAATTGATGCCTGACTCGCAACACGGTTCAGGTTTGTTTGGGCGCGTGAAGTTCAGGAAAGTACGAGAACGACACGTTTGACATTACGTCTGGCACTGAAGAGAGAGGAAAGGATTCTAAGGAGGCATAACACATCTGGACGATTGTGGGACTCGCGACGACTTCAAGAACGACCACACCCCGGCAACACCACTTTACCATGAACCCTCGACGACACAGCCAGCGGTGATGGACCAGACACCGCGCCTTCGCAGCGCTTTTCCACAGACACCAGCGACGAGCAGGAGATCAACACAATATGGAGGCTCACCGTCACGGCAGCGCAAAAGCGCACCCTTGCCCTCAATACCTACAGTCGCGCCGGCATCATCGCAACCCCCAAGTGATCCCCTCATCCCCGAACACATACTCGATGCGCCAACACAGCGATTATTCGTCGTTTCCCTGGCGATAGCGCTGTGGTCATGGCGGATCTACGACTGGAGCATGCTGAACGAATCGGAAGAGCAGAGCCTGTGGCTGTTTATGAAATGGGTTGCGGTAGATGGGGTGTTTCTGTTTGGACTGCCTGGGCTGAGGATACCATGGCTGGAGTGGGACGCTTCGACGATGGCGTTGCTTTTCTTCTTCCACGCTATGGCGGATATGATGCTCATGTTTCGGATACCAATTCCTGTGAGCGCTGGGCTGGCTGCGCTGGGGAGGAATCTATGGGGCGCATATGAGATGGCCGTGAACGAGCACACTGTGAACGCAGAGTCTGTGCGATTCAATGAGTCTTTGATACTGGGCCGGCAGATCATTCACATCCTACCTGAAGGTTCAGCAGAGCTCAATCCCAGCAAGGATGCATTCTGCCTGGATCAGACGCGAACGGAGGTCAGGCTTCCCATCAAGATCAATTCGACTAATCCGATAGCCATGGAGCTTTTACGGACGGACCTGGACACCCAGCAGAACGAGACGATCCACATCAGCAAAGCGAACATCAAGAACATGCACAAAGAAGCGTCACGGCTCGTCTCGTACAGCGAAAAGCCAAACGAGCCCAAGACGCTGTACTACACGGTCAAGAAGCCCGGCCTTTATGTGCTAGCGAAAGTGCTGGACGAGACGAACCTAGAAGTCTCAAGGAAGCGACTGGCACATACGGTCGTGGCATCATGTCCCAGGGCAGCTGTGATATCCACGAAGCCGGACAGATGCAGAGGAGACCTCTCAAGCCTGGAGATGGAAGTCGTCGGTGCGCCACCCTTGACGCTTAAGTATCGGAAACTCGTGAACCAGGTATCCCAAGATGCAACATTCGAGAACATCCTGCCTGAAGACTTCAGCTCCCCGCTGGCAAGGCAGGATCCGGGCGCGTTGGTGGTTCCCAACAAAGTCGATACAATATGGGCCAAGTCGCAACGGATTGTGGTGCCTATTAGCGAGAGCTTGGGCCGACCTGGAAATTGGGTCTACTCCATCGACGAGGTCAGTGATGCGTTTGGCAACCGGGTGAGCTACTCTGCGCGCGAGAACCAGGACCCAGACCGTCGCCTAGCCAAGAACCATCACATACACCAAGTTGTCAACGTGCATGAGCGACCTACGATCACTGTACAAGGCTGCACTCCGCAACGTCCGCTGAAGGTCGCTAAGGGCGCCTCAACGTATTTGCCTCTGCAGTACGGGTCAACCGGACGAGGGGAGGTCGCCAACACATCCTACCACGTCCAGTACACGTTTTCTGCGCAGGGTCAGGTCTCTGCTAATGGCGAGCTGCCGGCTCCTGTGGAGCAGAACCCTTTCGTCAGAAAGCAAAAGGGCCAGCAACCAAGAATCGGCCAAGCTGGTCTCTACACTGTGACGAGTGTATCAACCGATTTCTGCACTGGCGAAGTTCTGGAGCCGGCCTCGTGTGTTTTGCAGAATCCTCCCGAGCCTAAGCTGACCTTGCAGTCAACTGAGCTATCCGACAAGTGTGCAGGTCGACCCATCGGACTCATGGTGGACTTTGATCTGGTCGGCACACCGCCCTTCGATATCAAGTATCGTGTGAAGAAAAAGAATGATCGGCACCACGGAGAGGATACAGTGCGGGTGGGAGGCTTGCGTGGACAGCTCGAGTTGAAGCCCCCGGAAGCCGGTCACTACACGTACGAGTTCCTCAGCATCAGCGACGCGGTCTACGTGAATCTGCCGATCGCAGTGAGCAATCTGGAGCAAGACGTCAAGCCATCTGCCTTCGCCAGATTCCTTGGTTCCAGTGAGCGGCAGACAAGGTGTATCGAAGACTCTGCCTCGTTGGCTGTTGCTCTATCCGGTCAAGGGCCATTCACGTTGGAGTACGAGCTCGTGCACAGCGGAAGACGCAAGAAGTACACCCTGAATGATGTCGACACCCCCAAGATCAACATTGAAACCGAGCCACTCAGGGACGGCGGAGAGTACACGTTGGCTCTTATCAGCGTAACGGACGCCATGCAGTGCAAAGAATCTCTCAGGGACGAGGCAAAGATCTATGTACGACCTCAGAAGCCCAAAGTCGGCTTCAAGACCGTCAATGGACAGCGCTCCATCAACACGGTCGAGCGGAAGAACGTGGAGCTTCCGTTGCGTCTTGAGGGCGGTGATGGGCCTTGGAGTGTCAAATACCGCGATCAGAACGGCAGGGTCAGCACTTTGAACGCCAGGGGCATGAACGAGTGGCTCTCAGTCTCAGACGCTGGCATCTACGAGCTGGTGGATGTCCACGACGCAGCCTGCCCTGGTGTTGTCGATGATGCAGCAAAGACCTTCGAGGTGAGCTGGAAGGCTCGACCAGAGATGCGTATTGCACCGAGCGATGCTTTCGAACGCAGAGGTAATACCTTTGTCAAGTCGGAGGTATGCGAAGGAGGCGATGATGCTATCGAGATGCTCTTCAAGGGCGCAGCGCCTTTCCAAGCGAACTACGTGCAGCACGTCAAGCTTGAGCAGAAGGCGAGCATTGCGGACCAGCACAAGGAGATCAAAGCTGCTTCAAACATGGCTTCGATGCGCTTGGACACAAGGATGGCTGGCACGTACGAGTATCGCTTCACCCAGCTGACGGATAGCAACTACGACCACCACAGCCCAGCACACTTCACGCCCGTCACAGTCCAGCAGAAAGTCAATGCCCGGCCATCGGCAGCTTTCGCCTCGCCAAACAAGAACTACAAGTTCTGCTCCGTCGAATCCGACGGCGAGGAAGTCGTCCCCATTACTCTCCACGGCGCTCCACCTTTCGACCTGGAGATCGAGATCAAGCACCAGTCAGCTGCTCCAGAAACCGTCTCCCTGACCGGCATCTCCAGCACATCCTACAACCTCCGCATCCCCCACAGCCGCCTCCACGTCGGCCGCTCCTCCATCCACCTCCGCCGCATCAGCGACAGCCGCGGCTGCATCCGCTCGCTCGACAGCACAACCCCCAGCGTCAAGATCTCCGTCCACGACGCCCCCACCATCACCGAACTCGACGCCTCCTCCAACTTCTGCGTCGGCGACCGCATCAACTTCGCCCTCTCCGGCACCGCGCCCTTCCACATCTTCTACACCTTCGAAGGCCACGCGCGCAAAGCCGTCGTCCAATCTACCACGTTCCGTCGCTTGGCTGAGAAACCCGGTACGTTCGTCGTCACGGGTGTCCAAGATAGTGCCTCCGGCTGCAAGTCGACCACACACATCGAAAAGCACATCCACGGCCTCCCCTCCGTCCGCGTTTCAGACGGCCGGGACTCGTACATTGACATCCACGAAGGCGGCTCGACCGAGATCCAGTTCGATTTCGGTGGCGCGCCGCCTTTCGAGTTCACGTACACTCGGAGTTCGAACACGGAGAAGAATGGACGGAAAGCGGGTGCGGTGTTGGATATGCATTCGGAGGTCAGTGACGGACATCGCATGCGGGTGAGGGCGCATGAGGAGGGGACGTATGAGGTTGTTAGTATCAAGGATCGGTATTGTGCGTATTCGAAGCCGGGGGTGAAGGTCGGTGGGGAGGGGGGACAGAGGAGGTTGACGTATTGAGCGAAACAGTGCGTTGTGGGATCTGTTGGGCATGTGGTTTGAGCGTACGCATTGCGGTGGTGTTTGGGAGTTTGAGCGCGTGCATGGGACAGTGTGTGGGGTTCAGATAGTTGGTTGGTGTTCGTCTAGCGACTAAGCAATACCGTCCTCGCAATTTCGCGCCTCAACGCCTTCGCCTGGTGCCGTTTCCGATCATACGCCATTTCGTCTTGAGCAAGCAGCTACTTGTACACCCTGGGAGCATACCCTGACCGTAACTCTCAGCCGTGGTATGGGGAGGTTCTCAGTATCCCCTTCCTCTCGACCTTGGCGCACCGCGTCCTCTGCTACTGAACCCACTCCCACCCCTCGAACTAAACCCTCTCGATCCACCCCGCCCGGGCGGTCCCCCTCTCCCCCTCGGCGCCCCACGCCCTCTGCTCGTGAACCCACCCCTCCCACCCCTACCCCCTCTATCTCCACCTCTCGAAGCCTTCTTCACCCTCGCCGCCCCAGGCGGCGGCTTCGGCTTCGGCAGAAACTTCTCCAACGGCAACAGCTTATCCCCTCCAATGAAAAACTTGTCCCCTTGCTTGAAACTCGTCGCTTGAATCCCCTCTTGCGGTTTGATGGTGAAGAAGACTTGGTTCAGTGGCCCGAGGATCTCGTCGACTTTGCCGATGCTCGTTTTGTTCTCGAGGTAGATGGGGGCGTTGAAGTAGGGGATTTTCGGGTTGATGGATTCGCAGACCAGCTCGCCTTCGGTTGCGTGCATGAACTGGCCCATTTCTGCGCGCATAAATGTTACGACATGCTTGAATTGGTAGTGAAAGGGTATGCGACACACCATAGACTTGATCTGGAGGGCCGTAGGATTGGAAGCCGCCTCTACCACCGCCTCTGCTGAAGCCGCCGCGTCCGCCTCTGTCGCCGCCTCTGAAGCCTCCTCGGAATGACATGGTGTGTGGTGTGGAAAAGTGGTGGACGGCGCATGAAGCTGCTGTTCAGAGCTTGAGGTTGTCAAAAATCGAGCGGGCCGCATCGTCGTGACGCACGGGCCACATAACTCTCCAAGCTACATCTCACAAGCCGACGACAGGTCATAAACAGGGACGTCGACTCTTTGCCCATCGCGAAGCCTACCAAAGCTGCTGTGGAGATAGGTCTATTGCAAATATGACCAAGACCGTCCGCAACTCCGCGGCAGCTGCAGAGGCCTCATTCCACAAGCACTACGCAGCGATTTGGGGCGCGGAGAGATGGCACAACTCATTGTATCCAGCGCTTGCTGAGCGAACGAGGCAAGCTGCGTTGGTGAACCAGTACGCGCCGAGAGCAGCGTTTGAAGCAAGCATCGAAGAAGCATGTGGGCTTCAACAGCTCGAGCAGATCTCCTTTCCCTCTTCTTCTTCTCCTACAGCAGATTCACAGCCTTCGGATAGGATAGTATGCTTTGCGCGTACAAGGTCTACTGACGATGGGAGCGGAACGCCTGCCGCCGCCACTCAGCACGCAGCGATACCACAACCGCAGTATTCAGGATCTTCTGGCACATCGCAGCGTCTGATGACCCATTGGAATCTCGATGCAGCCTCTGCCCTAGTAGCACACCTCCTTGATGTCAAGCCCGGCGATAATGTCTTAGACCTCTGCGCAGCACCTGGTGGAAAGTCTGTTGCACTTTTGCAAAGCATGTGGCCGCAACTGCACGCAGACAAGCCGTTGACCACTACTACTGCGAAAGCAGGACATCTCCGCTCCAACGAGTTTGACAAAGCACGCTTCAGGCGTCTTGCAGACAACCTAAGAGCCTACCTGCCTGGAGAACTGCTTGCCTTAAAGCACGTGGCAAGTCTTAACGTCGACAGCACAGGACCTTTTGCCCCACAGCAACTCTCGGTCGGGTCTGCTGGATACGACAAGGTGCTTGTAGATGCTCCATGCTCGTCCGAGCGGCATATTATACACGCACATCTGGCAGCAAAAGCAGGAGGGCGGGTTGCCCCAGAAATGACGTCCTGGCGACCCGGTTCATCTAAGCAACTCGCAAAGACACAGCATGATCTGCTCATGACTGGGCTGCGATGTGTGAGACTAGGTGGGAGTGTGCTCTATGCTACTTGCTCGATTGAGCCCACGGAGAACGATGGGGTGATTGGAAAAGTGCTTGCGAGCTTGGAAAAGGAAGTCAAGAAGGGCGGGAAGTGGGCTGTGAAAGTTGGTTTCAACGAAGGAGCGGGCGATGTAGGGTTGGAAGAGTCGTTAGAGAGGATCTGGGCGGAGCGGACGAAGTATGGCTGGATTGTACTACCTGACCATCCGGATGGGGGCAAATGGGGACCACTGTTCTTTGCTATGCTTACGAAAGTTGAAGTCGCGCGGTAGCCGACAGTCTGCTTGCATGTGCATACGAAGATACCAAAGCCCAGGAATGCGTCGGCATGAGTTGTGTGGCTGGCACGGCTGGGGGCTCTTTATCGAAAAGCCTATTGACATACACTTTCGGACCGGACGCCTCCACAACGCGGGATATCGACGAACTCGGCCTTTGTCTGGCAGCAGACGTCAATAAGCATGAACGCTTGCAGACAAGATGCAGTGAACGGTGCAACGATGAATGAGTCTTGTGTGAGTATAAGGAAAGGCTCTTTTCCTCGTCTGTTTTCGCCGCAGCGTTCATCACCATACACCAAACTCGCACAGCTCCATCACCATGAAGCTCGTCAGCATCTTCCTCGGTCTCTTGACCCTCTTCCTCTCCATCGGCCCTGCAGCGGCCGTTCTCCCCGGTGTCACCAACTGGTGGGGCAAATGCCACAACGACAAGCCGGCCATCGCCAACGCCATCGGCCATTTCTGCAAGTTCGGCGGCCTCAACAACCACGTGCCGCGCGCCTGGAGCATTTACGGCTCCCACAGCGACCCCGACAAGTTCGACCGCAAGGCTTACGTCGCCATTCGCGGCTCTTGCTCGCCCCAGGAGTGGGTGCCGAGGAAGTACTGCTATCTGCAATTTTACAAGATGTGCGTGCAATTCCCGGGAGCTGGCGCCGGCGTGCGCAGCTTCGGAACCAATGGGTGTCAGTCGTGGCAGATCATGCGTGGCCCGATCCCAGGAGGAAAGATTGGACAGTAGATGGTAGACAGTGGTTGGTGATGTTGTGGTAATGAAATCTGGTGCAATATCGATACTTTTCCCTGTCTCTCACGTTTCGCCTCCCGTACTTTCCAAAGCTTGTTCCGAGCTCTCGGAAGAGCGACATAACATTTTCGTGACTGTGAGACGTGACTCGATAAATGGCCCTTGACTGAATGCTCTTCCGCCTGTGGTGTCGCCCGCCCGTGACTCACTCACTGCGATTGATAAGAAGTCAACTACACCGCGCACCATATCGCACCACCAGATACCAATCTACCACCACCACAATGGCGCCCAAGGAAAGCTCGCTGGAACTGAGCCCGCCCCCGGCCTTCTTCAAGACGCGCAATGAGCTGTTCGACAAGCGAAAGGCGGAGCGCGAGGATTGGGTGGCCAAGCAGCCGAGAGAAGAGATAGAGGTGTCCATGCCGAATGGCGACAAGAAGAAGGCCACGAGCTGGGAGACCACACCCGCTTCGATAGCACGTGAAATCTCGAAGAGCCTGTTTGAGCGCACAGTGATATCGCAAGTCGACGGAGAGTTGTGGGACTTGGAGCGACCGCTGGAAAAGAGCTGTAAACTAGAGCTGCTGGACTTCGAGCATCCAGAGGGCAAGAAGGTCTTCTGGCACAGCAGCGCGCACATCCTTGGCGAAGCGGCGGAGAGGCGGTACGGGTGCTCACTATGCATCGGCCCCCCCGTCGACGACGGCTTCTACTACGAGATGGCGCTCCCGGACATGGCTGCCGTCATGCTCTCCGACTACAAGCCGCTCAAGCAAATCGCGGAGAAGGCGATCAAGGAGAAGCAGCCGTTTGAGCGTCTGGAGCTGAGCAAGGAGGACTTGCTGGAGATGTTCGCGTACAACAAGTACAAGCAGCACATCATCAAGGACAAGATTGCGGATGGGACAAGCACGACTGTGTACCGATGTGGGCCGCTCATTGATTTGTGCAGAGGGCCGCATGTGCCGCATACGGGGAGGGTCAAGGCGTTTGAGATTATGAAGAATTCGGCGAGTTACTTTTTGGGGGATGCGAAGAATGATAGTTTGCAGCGGATATACGGCGTGTCGTTCCCGGACAAGAAGGTGAGCAGCAGTTAAGCCTTGCGACTGATTGAGAGCTGTACTGACACTGAGCAGCAACTAGAAGAGCACAAGCACATGCTTGAGGAAGCGGCGAAACGCGACCACCGCAAGATCGGGCAAGATCAGGAGCTCTTCTTCTTCCACCCCATGTCTCCTGGCTCCTGCTTCTTCCTCCCTCACGGCATGATCATTTACAACACACTGCAAGTCTTCATTCGCGAGGAGTACTGGAAGCGAGGCTACCAGGAAGTCAACTCACCCAACATGTACAACTCCAAACTGTGGCAGCAGTCAGGTCACTGGCAGCACTACAAGGACGACATGTTCACGTTCGACGTGGAGAAGGAGCAGTGGGCTCTGAAACCGATGAACTGCCCCGGTCACGCACTGCTCTTCGGCCACCGAGAACGCAGCTACCGCGAGCTGCCCATTCGCATGGCTGAGTTCGGTATCCTGCACCGCAACGAAGCGTCCGGCGCACTCACCGGATTGACTAGAGTACGGCGGTTCATGCAAGACGACACCCACGTCTTCTGTACGGAAGGTCAAGTCCTGCAGGAGATTCAAGGGCTCTTCGATTTCTTGAAGACCGTGTATGGTCTGTTCGGCTTCACATTCAAGATGAAGCTTTCCACCATGCCCGAGAACCATCTCGGCGACGAAGCTACCTGGCACCGCGCCGAAGAGCAACTCACACAAGCTCTCGGTGAGTTCCAAGCCGAGACCGGCACGAAATGGGAGCTCAACCCCGGCGATGGCGCCTTCTACGGCCCCAAAATCGACGTCACCATCTCCGACGCCCTGAAGCGCGAATTCCAATGCGCCACCATCCAACTCGACTTCCAACTCCCCCAACAATTCAACCTAGAATACCGCACCGAAGGCGAAGCCACCGCCCGCCCCGAACTCAACAACGGCGACAAGGACGCCCCCAAAGAACCCCCCAAAGCCGCCGACGGCGACGCCCAACCCGACGAGAAACTCGTCATCCGCAGCGCCCCCGACGCGGCCCCGGACTCCTCCGCCGTGAAGAAAGACGAAGGCCACTTCCGCCGCGAACTCACGCCCGGCTGCGCGCGCCCCGTGATGATCCACCGCGCCATCTACGGCTCGTTCGAGCGCTTCATCGCCATCCTCTGCGAGCATTTCGGCGGCAAATGGCCCTTCTGGATCTCGCCCCGCCAAATCCTCATCGTGCCCGTCATGCCGGCCGTCAACGACTACGTGCACGAACTGCAGGGCATTTTCCGCGAGAAGCACATGCACGTCGATGTGGATGTGAGCGGGAATACGATGCAGAAGAAGATTCGCACGGGACAGCTGCAGCAGTATAATTTCATTTTTGTCGTTGGCGCGCAGGAGAAGGAGAAGAGGAGTGTGAATATTCGGAATCGCGATGTGCCCGAGACGCAGAAGATGGGGGAGCTGGTGCCGTTGGAGGAGGCGATTGAGAAGTTGGGCCGGTTGAGGGATGAGAGGCGGTTGCATTCGGCTTTGTGAGGGGGGTAAGGGATCGTGGATGGGAGGCGTTTGAGAGGAAGAGGTGGGTTGTGAGGTTGCGGTGTATCATACAGACAGCATACCTTAGACAGCTGGCTTGCTGCGTCGTGGTGTGCAGGAAGTAGGTGTAGACGACATGCATGATACGAAAAAAAAAATTCTGCTCAGACGCGCACTTAGAGTGCTTGAAACCTGAGTAGAATATTGTCTATAAGTCCTTGCTTCAATATTGCAGTGATCTGTTCATCTAATTATACAACTGATCTAGCAGTGGAAGCATGATCTAATCCACCTGTTACTCTCGACACGGACCTCGCGGTCATCCATCCCCCCCACCTCTCTCTGCACTCTTCACCCTTCGAGCCTCAACTTCTCCCCTCCACTTGACTCAATTCCCAGACCACCAGTTCGACCACCACCCCCTCGCCCCCTCCACCTTCTCGTAATCCGGCGGCCCATACCCATAACTCCCGGGCACGCGATTCGCAGACGAAGGGAGCGGGAAAGGCGTGTTCGTCGCTGTGGCAGAGTCGTACGGCGCTGAAGTCTGCTCCGGATTGGCCTCAGAGCTGGCGGGCGGTGTGCTGGCTTCTGGGATGGGCGTGTAGACTGCGTAGGATGTGACGGTCGCTGTGGAGATGGTGGTGAGGGTTGGGGTGGGGATTGGTATGGTGGTGGAGTTGGAGGAGTTGATGGGGGAGCCCTCTGATCCTGAGGCCGAGGGGCCGACGGAGATGGTGGAGAGGGAGATGGTGATGACTTCTGTGGAGGTTCCGGTTATAACTGTCGAAGTTTCGGTCGTGGTGGAGTAGGAGGTTGAAGAGGCGCTCGTGGTTGGTGATATGACGACTGGAGATGGCGTGGACGAGCTGGCTGGGGATGTTGAGCTGACGGCAGCGGATGAGATGGTCTCGGTCAGCGTGATGACGAGTGTCGAAGTCGACGCAACCACTGATGGGCTGTAGCTCGATCCGGTTCCTGGCGTCAGCATCGAGGCATTGGAGGAAGATGTAGGAAAGCCGCTGGTCACTGGTCCGGGCGCGGTCGTCAAGGGAATCGAACCAGGCGCGGTGGTCAACGAGAGTGAGTAAGGGTAGGGGTACGGGTAAGGCGCACTCGGCACAGTTGGAATCGGAATAGGCGGAATGGGCAGAATCGACACGCTGCCAGTTGGGTAGAGCATGGTGCTGTTGGCAGAGAAGACCGGCGATCCTTGGGATGCTCCGGAAGAGTAAGGCGCTGTGCCCGATGGGCCCGAGGAGGGAGTGCTCAAGGTGATGTTGATCGTGGTGGCTTGAGAGCTGGTGAGCATGGTCATCTCCTCGGTGCACGTCGTGTATGGGTAGCTGATGGTGGCATTGCTGGAGTTGACAGGACCAGCAGACGAGCCGGAGGGAGTGATAGTCGTGCCGACCGTCTTGGTGAGAGAGAGCGTGATGACTGAGCTCACGGTCTGCAGGCCTGAGCTGGCTCCAGAAGAGTAGACACCAGTCGAGTACACGCCACTCGAATAAGCACCAGTAGAGCGAGCGTAAGTCGGGACACCAGCGCTGACCGAGCTAGAACCCGTAACAGCACTGCCGAGCGAAGACGAGGTGCTGTTGGCCGCAGGGTACGGTGGAGAGTAGGCGCTTCCAGAGAAAGTAGGCGGGCTCAGAGTGACGGTGATGGTCTCAATCGTCACAATCTGACCAGTCCCCGAGGCATAGACGGAAGATCCAGTCCTGGAGAAGCTGCCATTGGTAGCGGTGAAAGATGGAAGACCTGTGCCGCTTGACGGGGCCGGGTTGGTGATGGCGTCAGTCTCAGAGGAAGCGGGAGGGCCGGCCGACATGGGCATTGAGCTTGACCCGGTGCCTTGACGTGGATACCCAGACGGGGTGTAGCCGCTTGGAGGGCCGTAGGGAAGAGGCTGGTAGCCGCCAGGGTAAGTCGGGAGCTCAGAGGACGTGGCGACGGCGGTGATGGCGTCGACTTCGACGCTGCTGGAGTCGGTGCCGCCGTATTGACGCTTCGCTGGCACTGCGATGCGTTAGCATGTCTGATGTGCTGTGTCTGATGGGAGGAGAAGAGGACTCACCAGGCCCAGCGACAGCAATCCCAACCACCACGCCCAACCCAACAAAGAAGCCCTTCATGATGCTCCTCTTGTCTCGTCGATTGCACGAAGACGAAGAAGCTTCCGAACGCCTTGATGAAGCAGTGCAAGCAAGCAGGAAGCGAAGCAAGACAAACAACGACTTAGCGAGTGTGTAGTCTTCGAAGGAGCTCAACGAGTGGGAGCGTGAAGGAGGAACAAGACCGCTCAGTCTGAGACGAAGGGAGAACGAGGTCTTATAGCAAACGAGATGAAGAGAATCACCTTGCTGGTTTGAAGGTTGGAGGTTCAAACGTCAATCTTACACATGCACGGTACGGGACCTGGTGGGGAAGGGAGGCACGGGGAGGCACAGCAGCGTGCTGCAGGTACGAACCGACCGGCGGGACGGTGGGTGGGTGGTGGTTGCTTGTCCAAGGGATGTCGGGGAGGCCGTTTGTGTGTTGGGGGTGCGTTGAGCGGGAAAGAAGGCAGGTGCGAGCCATGGCAGTGGGAAGGCGCGTTCGGACGAGTCCGTTGAGATATGAGTGCTTTGTTCGTCTCAGCGACCGACGTCGAAATTCGCCGGTACGCGATGCGATACAGATCAAATCAGAGCGTATCGCACATCGACGTCGGATACCTGCCGTATGCCGTCAAACGAAATCTCAGTGATCTGTGATCAGCAAGGAACCGTTGCCGTCGTGTAACGATCGATTGAGAAAAGGCAGCTGTCAACTTTTCTCATCTCAAATTCCCGTCCACTCATTGCTTCAACGAATCTTCTGTGGTCGGATTACAGACCTTGCACCGCTTGTCCAACTCACTGTCCCAAACGTCGAATATTCGTGCCTCGTCCTGTGAAGCGTAACAAAACGGCCATAATGATACGACCATCGCCGTTTGCAAAAGTCCCGGCAAGGCGGCCGACGCTGTGTCACAGGTAGCACCGGTACCTGCAGCTGGACCCATAAGGCGGCCCTAGCGTACCAAGGCCGCCGTTTGTTCGGCCTTGCATGAACTGCGATCGCCTTGTTGATGTATTGGAGGGGAGGAGAGAGGCGCTTGGGCACGCGAGGTTGTGGCGGCCATGGGAGGGGCGTGAGGGTGACAGGTTGTGGATGCTACGGTGGCGGCGCCCTTTCCTGGCACGATCGATAACATTGAAGCCGTTTGCATCCATCGTTCGAGCAACGATCGGACTACACCATTACATGTACACCCACCCCTTGTCTGACACCTGTGACCTCATTGGGAGCGACGTCGGTCGCCTGCATGGATCGCCGGCAGGGTCTGCGCTGAGTTCGCGATGGAAGCAGTGGGCGCGACCGACAGAGCCGCAAGCATTGTCGTTACTCGACGTCTGATCGTCCCGCAGTGGGGTCGCCCGTCCGTACGCTGTGGCCAGAATCTCGCATCTGATCTCTCACAAAGTTTTGTTTGACCAAGATCCGTCCTGTCGGTTGCGGAGGAGGCAGAGAGCCGCAGTACAATATGCAACCTGTGTCGGCGTTTGACACTTGTGTCGACCAGCGTCGAGATTCTGGCGAGGACGAACGGACGGGGCGTGTGACGGTCTGGAAGCTCTTCCTCCTGGATGGAGGTCCTGAAGTCGACGCAAGGACACCATCGCGGTGATAGTTTCAATGTTCCAGCAAGGGTCGCTGCGACAGCCCGTTGAATCTCCTTGTTGGGAGAGAACAGGCTCATTGTTCGGGTATCGTGGCACTGACACTGTTTGTTCCTAAGACGAGCCCGTCGTCCAAGTAGCGTTTGTTGGCAGGTCCTCCTTGCTGGAACACACAAACTCCTGCGCTCCGGCCATACTCGAATACAGGTGCTTGGTGCAAGTCGAGGTCCCATTGAACATCGACCAGTGTCCGGATCCATGTCCAAGACGCATTCGAATCATCGTATCCACCCTCACGTCTCCCCATTCTCATCAGCAAACGGACTCCGATCCCTCCTCCCCTCCCTCCCATCCTCCCCCGCATCACCCGGCGGCGGCTTCAACCCCTCCATCGTCTTCCCATTGGTATGCTGCTCCTCTCCATTCATCCCATCAACCTTCTTCCCCCTCCTCCGCCTCGGCGCCGGCACGACCGGCTTCTCCCTCCCTCGCTCTTTCTCCTTCTCCCCCTGCTGCTTCACCACGGACTTTCGCCTCGGCGCCGGCGCGTCCGGCTTCTGCTTCCCCTTTGGCTTCATCTCCTGCTCTCCCAAATCCGCGCTCACGTCCACGACGCTCAAATTGCTCACGCCGGCTTCTTCGAGGCCCATGCCGAGCATCTTTTTCGCGACCGCTTTGTCCGTCACCTCGCCGGTCGGGCTGTCGTCGGCGAGTCCGGCGAGTTTCTGCGCCATCTCTTCGTCTTCTTCGTCGCCTTCCTCCCAGATCCAGTCGACTTGTCTGCAGCGTATAACGAGTCGTAAGACTGTGCCGTCGACTGGGGCGAAGTGGGCGGAGGAGCGGTTGACGAGGAGATGGAGGAGTCGACGCACTTCGATTCGCTTGTAGTTGCCTCCTTCTTTCGCCAGCTGCGTGTTCTTCAACAGTGGACACAACACGCGCAGGTAAGTGTGCCGTAGCGCGCGCTGCCCATCTAACCCTTCCTCGCCATTTTCTCCTCTTGCATCGAGGCTGCCGGGGTCCAGATCGAGTAGGTTCCGGATAATGACATCGACGAGCACATGCAGGTCGTTGGTGTAGAAGTACTCGAACGTCTGCGGGGTGGTGAACAGAAGGTAGAGCAGTTTGAGAATCAACAGCTGGTTGCTGAGCGTGGATTCGCGGTTGAGCAGGAGGATGAGGTTTTCGCCAAACGTGCGATAGGAGGGGCCGTGAGCGGAGAGGAGCTTGAGGATGCGGTTGGTGAGGGGAGGATCGGAGGGGTGGGGGTGGCACATGTATTGTTCGTTGAGGACGAGGAGGACGCGGATGATGGGGTAGTGGTAGGGGTCGTCGGCGTCGTCGGAGAGGTGTTCGATGAGGTCGAGGAGGTGGAGGATGAAGGGGTCGTCGACGGTGACTGCTTGATATTAGAGCTCGTCTGTGGATGTCTCGGCTCCTTCTTACCCAGATCGTCTCGATTCAGCCTCTGCGAGCGCGAAATCTCGTAGAGCAGCTCCAGCAGTAGTTTGTGTAGGCCGTAATCGTTATCTCGTTTATCGCGTATCAATTGTACCAGGCGAGGGAAAGTACCCTCACCCTGGAGCATGCTGAAGCCGTTTTCGTTGGTTCTGCCATCATAGATTAAGAAGGCGACGGATATGTGCAGGACATCATCGTCGTCCTCCTGCAGCAAGCAATACAAGATCTGCCGTCGAACATAGTCGGAATGCGTCGAGTATAGCGGCGAGTTGAGTAGGCGATAGCAGCATTGTGCAAAGTCGTACTCGGTCTGGACGTAGTCCTCTTTACAACCATTAGCCGTGCTCATGCGGGTCGAGTGATAGCGATCGTACTTCTATGCTCGGTCGTCAAGGCCAGAAAGGATCGTAAAGCATCGTCGATATCCTCATGCGTCTCACAAGGCGCCTTGAGCACACGCTCGAGCTCTGGACTCGAGTTAGCATCATGGGCCATACCGGCTGTCGTGTGCTCTTCTCACCATCCCAGAATTGCTCTTCCTCCTCGATGGGCGGCGAGACGTCCTCATCCATCTCTGCGCCAACCTCTCCAAGCGCCAGCACTGTGGATGGAAGTCTCGGTCATACTGCCAAAGCAGACGTGGCGCGCATGGTGGGCGGGTTGAAAGAGTCAATGAATGATCGTCGCCCACAGTGGGTTGCTGATCTGCCCGCCCTTCCGATGCCGCAACGTTCTTGCTTGATCCACGGCGACTGTCACATGCCTTATTGATGTTACATTCACTGATATGGACTACGGCAAGAATCTGCTCCTTCCTATCCTGTCCATCTTCAGCCTCAGCCATCACTGCACGTGGACCTTCACATGTTCGACCAGGTTCGCTCAATGGCCAGATCGAATATTCACAATGTCGACCAATCACAGCCGACCTCCACGGTAGCGAGACCCCAGCATCCCGGGCGAGGTCGTTGCTAAGGATGCGGGACGGAGCCAACACCACCGACTCGACCCTTGACCTTCACTCGACCGCGTGTCCCTCGCCGCTCAACCTCCCTCCGCTCCGCCATATCCACCCCTCCCTCCATCGCTCGTTCATTCGTACCCTCCTCTCATTCTCCGCGCCTCACGCCCATGTCCGCTCGGCGAAAGCACTTCGGAGGTCCGACTGCCTGAAAGTGGACGGCCGGCAGCACAGCTGAGACTCACCCGCGGTGACGGGAGACTTTTCAACATGGACAGCGCGAGCGCTCCGAGCATGGCTTTCGCCGGACCCTCAAGCGAAGCCTCCACTCCCGCCGCCTACGACGAAGACAGCGCTCGACATTTCGCCGTCACCGCCAGCCAAGTCCCCAAGCCCACTGGCAGTATGGCTCCCCCGCCGCCAATGTCCTTGCCATGTCCTTCGCTGGATTCCACATCAAAGGATGGGAAGAGCTTAGGCATGCGCTTTCACGAGGACTGCCATGAGACCGACCTACCCAGTCCGCGGTTACGATCGAGTCGGCTATTCAAAGGCAAAGGCAAGGAAGCAGTCAGTGTGGAGAAAGAGCAGAAGAGGCCGCTACAACTGTTAGATCTACCGGTGGATATTTTGAAGGATATTGTGAAGGAGGTCACGCACACCAACGATCTCACCTCGCTCGCGCTATGCCACTCTGCTCTGCACCGGCTCACCATACCTCACATCTACTCGCGCTTCGACATTGTCTGGCCGGATACGAACACGCATGCAGAGCCGAGGTCAGGCGTGGATGCGCTCACGTATGGGTTGGCGACTCTGGTCATGGCAGAGGAAGTGTTTGGTGAAGCACCAAATCAGAGGCAGAATGCTGGGAATCGATACGCTCCGAATGGGCAGGGCAGAGCGTCCGAGACGGCAGTACGGCGAAGAAGAGGGAATCACTATGCGCAGTTCACGAGGAAGTTCTCGCTCGGCAACGGACCGGCAGACTGGGTGCAGGAGTATCTGATCACAAAGGAGGGCGGGAAGATGCTGGGAACTCTGGTCGCGCTGGCCGTCGCGCGCATGCGCACGCTTGAGACGTTCATCTGGGACATGCCGACAGGAATACTGCGCGATGTCTGGCTGGCGCTGTCTTCGCTCGGCGATAGAGACGACGGACAACCCTGCAGGCTTGAGAAAGTCTGGGTCAGATGGCATGACAACTCTTCTTCCGAGAGCACGAATCTCATACCACCGACGCCTCCACCTATGAACCTCAGCATTCTTCCATCCGCACATCCTTCTTCCACCAATCCTCCGACTTCAGCAATACCACCACAAATTCATCCCGCGGCGCTAGATCGGGTGGAGCACCCGTCATTCTCTGCCCTTCCGCCTCTGAAGAGCCTGAGCGTACTCGACGTTGACGAGCTCGCTTATCTCGACGAAATGGCTGTGCTTATCGGCAGGTCACTGGACAAGCTGCGAGAATTGCGGGTGGGTATCGCGAGACATGCCATCAGCAGAGAATGGGTCACAGTATGGGAGGGCAGTTCGCTTCAGCAGGTGGACCCAGACTATCCAGCTTTCGGATCCATGACCATTGGGGAGAAACGCCAGGGCGGTGTGCTTGGAACATTGACTGGCTTCGTCTGCGACATGCGCAAGCCGAAGATGGCACTTCCAGACCGGTTAAAGCGCCGTGCACCCATGAACACAGGCTCGCCATCAAAATCTCCACCGCGACCACCTCAGATCGTTCCGCCTGCGCTACAAGTCGATTCGGAGCCATTGATCGAGCAGAGCAGCGCGTTGAGCGGCATTACCAGCCTTCGAGATGTATTGCCTGACGTCCCTACCAACGATCCTTCTTCAGGAGGGCCCCTTCTGTCGCCACTGCAGACAACATTCTCATCAGACTCTGCTTACGAGAACGATCCTCTGATCGCGCAAAGCAGTCACGCATCAAGCCCAATGCGATCGCCAAACACAGAAACCCACGAACACTCCATCTTCGGCTCAGCCATGCAACCCGACCTCGTCCCACCCATCCCCGAAACCTCCACGGACGCCCCCGAACCCGACCCCGAAATCGAATACCTCGACCACACCTTGCACCTCGAATCCCTGGAACTCGAGCGCGTGCCCCTCTCCGTCCCGGTCCTCCAACGCGCCCTCGACTGGACCCGCCTCACCTCCCTCACCCTCCTGCACTGTCAAAACCACGAACAACTCTGGAAAACGCTCCGGCGCACCTTCGCCCCGCGGCCCAAATCACCGACATACCCGCATCCGCGACGCACCCCCAACAGTACTCCCCGAAAATCGGGCAAGCTCTCCATCGGCGGGAGCGATATCGAGATGGAGTACACGTTGAACCTGAAGAAAATCCACACCAACACCGTCTCCCCCGCGCTGATATCCTTTCTCAAGGAGACGCTGGCGCCGAATAGTCTGCAGGTGCTTTTCCTGCAAGAGGCGCGGATGTACAACTCGTCCGTCTCCGTGGACCAGATCTTCAAGGGGCCGTTGCGGAGACATCGCAGTAGTTTGCGCAAACTGCTGATCGATAGTTCGGAGAAGGGGGCGGATGGCGTGCCGACGAATTCCAGTCGGTGGAGGCGGTGGATGCTAACGAGGGAGATTCTGGGCTTTGTCTGTAGTGGGAAGATGCCGAGTTTGCGGGAGTTGGGCATGGCTATTGATTACCGGGACTGGGTACGCTTCTTCCACCCCAAATATTACCCTCCCACATATCCTCTTTACTGACATTGACGGTGACAACAGCACTTCTTCCTCCAACACCTCCCCTCCATCCCCCACCTCCGATCGCTCAGCATCCCCTTCCTCGCCGACCACGTGCACGGCCCCACCGTCGACCCCCGCGAACTCGCCCTCCAAATCGTCGATATCGTCGCTCTAAGGCCAGAGGTGGAAGTGTGTTATATGGGCATCGCGGGGAAGTGTTTTGAGATTCTTGATCAGCGCCGTCCGTATAGCGGGAGTTGGGATGGGGTGGGGAGGCCGGAGTCGCATTTGGGGCAGCACGCCGTCGATGCTGGGGACGCGGACGAGGACGCCGCTGCTGGTAGTGAAGGGGAGGAAGAGGGGGAGGAAGAGGCGGGGGACGACGACGCCGAAGACGAAGCGGCGCAGGCTGAAGCGGACGCGGAGGCAGAGACGGAAAGTGAATCCGACGACGCCGACGACGACGCTGATAGCGAGAGCGAAGGGGAAGATGGTGGGGGAGGAAGCAGGGGTGTGAGGTTGCGGTTGAGGGAGATTCTGTTCTATGATGATAAGGTCGCTGTGTTTAAGGCGAGGCATGGGCGGTTATAACATGAGTGGTTGGGGGGGAGGCGTTTGGGAAAGGGATGGGATATTGATGGAAGGAGTTTGGGTGAAGGGGGAGGGGATGAGATGATATCCTCGTCTGTGGTTTTGGTGTGGGATTTTGAGGTAGTTGCTTGTTATCTGGTGATTGGGTGGATGTTCTTTTTCCGGAGGATTGTGGAAAAGATGGGATGGCATTTATTCGCTTTTTGATCACGTACATATCTTTTGGCACGACGCTCGACGCTTTTCGAACCAGAGATGTCATCTCTTGATTGTCGCATCGCTTCTATATAACTAGTCGTTACTCGTAAATCATCCCTCCATTCCGACCCCATTCCACCCTAACCACGGCCATCGAGGCCTTAGATCAGAGAGAGGTCAGACTGAGGATTGATCACAGTCCAAGCACAACCATGCCTCCCAGTGCCCCGAGTAAAGCGATCGCTTTCCCAGCCCCGAGCGTGGGGAGGACGGCGGCGGCGGCGGCGGTGCTGCTGCTGCTTGCACTACCTCTCCCATTCCCACTCCCGCTCCCACTGCTGCTTGCTGCGCTGGAAGTGCGGGTCTCAGGGTTGGCGGTCAGAGAGTCGATGGTGCCTGAGAGAGAGGGGTTGATGGTTTCGATCGTAAAGATTCCTCCTGATGAGGGGGAAGGGGAGGTTAAAGTCGTGCGGGTCTCAGGATTGGCGGTCAAGGAGTCCACTGTGCCCGAGAGGGAGGGGTTGATAGTCTCGATCGTGAAGCTTCCTCCTGACTCGTCCGAGGACGAGGGCTAGGGGCGAGGAGTTAGTCTGATTACTCGGGACACCTACCCTCTTATTTCACAGGCGAGCCGTTCACGAGATACAACTTACCGATCCACCGATCGGTCTCCACTCGGCCGTCGTACCCGCACCCTCTAGTCCGTTGGATCCCGCGCTTATCACGTGCCCATCGGACAGCGTGATGCCGTCTTGCTGTTGGAAGGTGAGCGTGGTGCCGTCGACGACGAAGAGACCGGTGGTTCCTCCGCCGGGGACTTGGAAGGCGGTGACTGTGGTGTCGGATTGGGTGAGGAAGGCGGCGGTGTTGTAGCTGGTGCTGGAGGGGGAGACGGCGGAGTTGGTGAGGGTGATGGTGTGGGTGAAGCCGACGAGGGAGCCTGAGGTGGAGGTCGCGCTGGACATGTTGGCAAGGTGTTTGGCGGGATGAGGGCGAGGTTAGGTTGAACGGTCTAGTGGAGGATGGAGGGGGAGTTGGCCATGCTGGAAAGGAGTAAGGTAGGTAGGTTCGAGATGTCAATGCTGAGGCCTAGTGGGAATCAAGGATGGAGGGGTTGGAGGATGAGTGTTGCATTGGAGATTGGATTCGAGTGCGCGCGTACAATGTCGCGATACCCAACGATTGTACCTCTGTACTCGCAAGGCAGCCTTTTATACCCTGGGAAGACGAGTGATGTGCAGAGGAGTGGGAGGTGCTGACGCAGCCTGGAAGCTTGTTGTTGCACAGGAGCAGGTGTCTGTACAACAGCCATTGGTGCGCGAAACGGTAGCTCGCAGTGGCGTTTTTGGCCTCCAGGGAAGCGAGTGGTCTGGCGTTTCAACCCGCGGACACATTGCGGTGAATGAAGTGAGGTGGAAGCGAGGTGAAGGGTCACATGACGAGCACAGTGCCAAGCAATCCTGAGCCCGGGCCACCCCATTTTGAAAGCTTCGAGCTTCGACCTTCGAGTCCAACCTTCCTCCTCTCTTCACCACACACACACACTCCCAACTGTCCTCGACACGGCAGCGACCATTAACATCAAGACCACAGCTTCCTAGAGCGGAGCGCACTCGAGGCTAGGTACCTACCGCAAGAGGAGGCACAAGGGAAGGCAGTACTCCTTACACCCTCTTCGCCGTCACCTCCTAACCTCCTTCACCACCACCACTGCACACCCACTCCGACCCGACCTCACCTTCACCAGCCTTCCTGCACGAAGCAAAGCACTTCTTCCGATCTCTTCCAGCCACCGCACTGCCTCAAACACAACCAACCCTGCACTCTCAGCTCCTCGGCCACCACTTCCAACACCCTCCTTCAGACCGCCTCACCACTACCTTCCACCACCACCTCACAAACGCCCACACGCCACACCTCCGACCACTGCACCTGCACGCTTTCTTTACAGCACATCCGATCCACCTCGCGTACGTAAAGCAGGCAGTCAAGCAATCAATCGAAATTCCGAGCAAACATTCTCAGAGTCCAATCTCGAGTAGTCCACTCCCCACTTCACCCGACACTCCACCTATACCACAATGGCTGAGACAGTTCAAGAGACACCGGCTGCCACCCAGAAGCGCCCGCTGGAAGAGCCTTCTTCACCCTCCGGTCCAAACGACCAGCCAGATGCAAAGCGTCAAGCGCTCGACAAAGTGCTCAAGGAGGATGCCAACACCGACGAACCAGCTACTGCAGAAGATGCTCTGAAGCTGGAAGCTGCCCAAGAGGCCGTCGCGGCTGAAAATGGCACTGCCGAAGCTATTCCCACCGCGGACGTCACCGACAAGCAGGGCGACACTGTTGTCCCAGATGCTGTTCCCGCTGCTTCTCCATCCGCTCAGGCTCAGCAAACCCATGCTATCCTCAACAACCCCACCACGAACGGATCGGACGCTCGCGCCGGCTCTCAAGCTCCTTCCTACCACGACGACAACAACAGTAACTGGCTTCATGTGCGCTCGATCATCTCTAGTGCAGAGGCGGCAACCGTGATTGGCAAAGGTGGCGAGAATGTCTCGCAGATTCGCAAGATGGCAGGCGCCAAGTGCACTGTCAGTGAGTTCAACAGAGGTCAGGTTGAGCGCATCCTTACTGTTTCCGGCCCCGTCGATGCAGTTGCCAAAGCATTCGGCCTCATCATCCGTACCCTCAACCAAGAGCCTCTCGACACTCCTTCCAGCCCCCACTCCAAGACCTACCCACTTCGCCTCCTCATCCCGCACATCCTCATTGGCTCCATCATCGGCAAGGCAGGTGTGAGGATCCGTGAGATCCAAGAAGCATCGGGCGCTCGCCTTAACGCATCCGAGCAGTGCCTTCCGCTGTCCACCGAGCGCTCCCTCGTCGTTCTTGGTGTCGCTGACGCCGTCCACATTGCCACATACTATGTCGGAAGCACTCTCGCCGAGCAGCTAACAGATCGTTTCGGTAGCATTGCCGCTTCGGCGTATGCTGGCCGTCAAGGTGGACCACAAGGCGCAGTCCCAGGCGGCATGCAAGTCGTACCGTACATCCCACAGCATATGGGTGGACAGATGGGCGGACCAGACAAGTTCCGCGGTCCTCCACGACCCACCGGACCCGACGCACGCTACAACTCGATGCACCCGCAGCCACAGCAACACTACCATCCCCACAGCGGCATGCCATACGGCCCCGGCCCTGTCGCAGGCTCCCCTCGCCCACCATACGCTGGTGCCGGACCTCAGCAGCCCCATCAACCGCAGCAGCAGCCGCAGGCATACGGTCAAGGCCCACCGCAACCCAACCACGCCGGTCCACCGCAGCAGCCCATGCAGAGCATGCCCGGCCAAGCCATCACGCAGCAGATCTTCATCCCGAACGACATGGTCGGCGCGATCATCGGCAAAGGCGGCGCCAAGATCAACGAGATTCGTCAGCTGTCTGGAAGTGTTATTAAGATCAACGAGCCCCAGGATAACAACAACGAACGTCTCGTCACGATCACTGGCACGCAGGAGTGCAATCAGATGGCGCTGTACATGCTGTACAGTCGACTGGGTGAGAGCTCGAAGAACTCCAACTCCACCATGCCGAGGTAGAGGAGGTGATGGGCCTTTCTATGCACTGTAAGATTGTCACAACGAACCTGACCGGCAATTGGAACTCGTAACTAACGCATTCCTACAGAGACTTCTCAGAATGAGTGGAAGGCTACGAAGGGCGACCGCGACCGCATCTAGTCAACGGAACAGGTAAGCTTGACAGATTCAGTGCACTACTGGCGTTTTCGGAAGGATGGGCATGGCAGGTGGCAAGCGACCGGCGAGAAGTGGGAATATGCGTTTCTAAGTGCTCGCATCCGGCTGTTGCACGTGCGATGGAATGTTTGCACGGGCACATTCCAGGCATGCGGCCGCCCGCCTCTGCAGGGAAACAACAATCGAATTATACCACATCTCTCACTTTCTCCAAGGCTCCAGCGACTGCACGTGCACTCCACTGTTGGGAAATCCAACAAGCCAATTCATGGATATTCTACACGGAGGCGGCAGTCTGCAACCAAGACATGTAAGGTACATGTGCAGGTAAGAGCATCCCTTTGTTCGCTGAGAAGCTCTCACATATACCAGCTGTCCGCTTCCGGTAGGTCTCGAGCGCTTCAGACATGCAATGCCGCATGCGACAAAGACAGACACCTGCTTGCTAATGTCTAAGATCATGGATGAGATGCCGTCTCGTTTGTCTTTTTCTTTCTTGTTATCAAGCCCGATCCATCGCATCTATCAACGAATTGTCAGAAGAGCTGGGGTGAAGCAAACACACGAGCTGCCATTTCACTCTACGGCAAAGCAAACACACGACCTGCGATTATTCACCATCGTCTCAGTCCTAACTGACGTCTCTCCCCCTGCCGCCACCGCCACAGCAAACCTGGATCATATACTGACACCAGTCTGGTATCGTCGCCTGCCGCCCAATCCTTCCACGCCCACCGAGCAACGCAACATGGCAGCGAATCAAATGGTCCTCGCCATCCCGCCGCCAGAAAACCCTTCCCCAACACCCTCAGACTCCTCGACAACTTGCGAGCAAGAACCCCCCCACCGCCGCAGCCGCATGCGCCGCGTACCCTCCCGCCTGCCCCTGCGAACAGGCTTCCGCTCAATGACGGACATGGCCACCGTGATCGTCGGCGACGCCACCGACAAGACCCGCCCAGAAACCAGATACACCATCCACAAAGACCTCCTCACCTCCGCCTCCCCCTTCTTCGCCGCCGCTCTCAACGGCAAATTCACCGAGAGCCTCGACCAGACCGTCCGTCTACCAGAAGAGAAACCTGAAATCTTCGAGTGGTTTTTGCAATGGCTCTACACTGGAACCCTCAAAACCCCTGCACCGCACTGCGACGCACTCCCTCCCACCCTCGTGCACCCTTCCAACATGCATCATGCTGGAGGCCCGCATGCTTTGACCTCCCACGCCCACCACACCCACCACCACCTCGCCGCCCTCACGCACCACGACATCCGCACCGACGGCGACCTGCGCAACACCCACGGCTCACCCAAATACTTCCTCCTCTTCGACCTCTACGCCCTCTCGGACCGCCTCCTCACCACGCCCTTGTCAAACCACATCCTCACCACCATCGCCCGCCTCTCGGAATCGACAAACTCAGTGCCCACACCCTCCGATACCTGGATCCTCTATGCCCCGACCACCGTCTCCGACTCTTCACCCCTGAGGACGCTGGTACTCGACCTCTTCGCCTACAAAAAAACCGACAAGTTGCTAGAAACGCACAAAGACGACTGGCACCCGCGCTTCCTGCGCGACCTATGCGTCAAACTCAAACGTCCCGGCCCTGAAGCGCTTTCCCGTCACGAGCTCGTAGCGTTTCGTTCCCGAGACTGGGCGGTCGTGCGAGCGTGCGAAGGGTGCAGGGAAGTGGTGCCGCCGGGGGAGACGGGGCAAAGATGCGTGGGCTGTGAGAAGGTGTTTTGTGGGGGGTGTTTGCGGCATGGGGTCGGGGTGGAGGGGGGACGGTATAAGGGGAGTTTGATGGATACCGGGGGGTGTAAGCCGTGGAGTGGGAGGGGGATGTGTGGGCGGTATCATGTGCATGAGGATGGGGAGGGGTGTGATTGATACTGTGTTTGTAGGGGATTGGGGAGTGGGTGGACGTGTCTTTGGAGTTTTGTGTGACATGGGATGCCACGGCATCGTCGTATCTTGGCATTTTCTTCTAGGCAATCTCGTAATAGCTGGCACCCTTGGGTTACAGCGTCAAGCCCTACCATCATTGCCCCTCTTAAACGCCAAACACCCTTTTCCATGAGCTTGTCCCTCACTTACACCTCTTCTCCACCACCCCAGCCCCAAACTCCTCATACTCCTGCCTCGAGACCCACATCTGATGGAACGTGCCCAAACTCGCCAACACGCTCCCACCCACCCATGCACCAAATTTCCTCTCCACCGCATTCGAATTCGCCAGCACTCGTACCTTCGGATTAGGGAACATGGCCTGCACATCCGTTTGCAGCCGATCAGGCAGTTTCTCTATGAGAGAGCCAGCGCCGGTTAGGATGATGTTGTTGAGGAGGTGCGGTCGAGTGTCGACGTCGCAAGCGGAGACGGCGCGGTTGACAAGGGATGGGATGGCATCTTCCGGTTTCGGCGTGGGCTGGTCGGACGAAGGATAGGCGGCGCGAGTGTCGAACAACGATTCGACGACTTTGAAGCGGTCGGCGCCGAAGACGGTGTTCCAGCCATCAGGCATTTCGAAGGGGCGGGGAGGTAAGCTGCGGACGTGGTCGAGGTTGGAGAAGCCGTTGGGAGCGTGGGGAGCCGGGGGAGCCTCGAGGCGGCCAGGGCCGTGCCAGGCTTGCACGACGGATTCCTTGAAAGCGGTGAGTACGCGCTCTTCTTCAAGGCGACGGAAGGAGTCGGGTGGCGGTTTGGCGAATTGCACGTAGGTGGCATTGGAGGGAGAGTTGGCGTCGACGGGTTGCTTGGTTTTGACCATGTAGTGTGGAACGAGGGGGACGGGTGGTTGCTGGGTGGCGAACATGGCACGGATCTGGTTGTTGAGCCAGTTGCCGGCTAAGGGTGCATGATGGAGGCCTGTGGATGGGTTATCAGCCAATGTGTTCAAGTAAGAAGTTGTATCATAATGCAAGCTAATTCTAAGCATCAGGTATAGGCCCGGTCAGGGGCCATCTCATCAATGCCCGTAGGCTATGTCGACCGTCGTGAGATATTTGTAATATCATCCTGCAGATGGAATAATGCAAAATAGGAGGATGCACTCACTTTTCTTCAACACCATTCCTTCCCACAATGCAGTCACGGATGTGTTCTGATGTCCAACATCGACTACTAGTGCGGTAGCCTTGCCCTGTGAATACCTGATTGCACCAACATCAGCATGGTGTCGACATAACTGCGAGTCTCGGCCTCACCTACGCCGCCAACTGCCCGTTCTTCGCCAAAAAGAACGCAGGCACACCCCACTCCTCCATGGCCAGCTCCATCGTCTTCTCACGCGCTTTTACCGGGTTCCAAGGTTGCTCGGTCATCAGCAGCGGGTACTCCGCCAGAGGACTATCCTGCTCATCCTCTCTCCGCTCGGCTTCCTGCTCCATGTTCACATCGCCATTCTCATCCTTGTCATCGTTCAAACCATTCCGTGTGGGAGGTGTTTGCCTTGCGCCGGTCAGACGCGATGTGACTGTGTACTCCCATAGTTTCGAAGCAGTGTCCCAGTCTTCTACTAGGCCGTCCGCATTGTATGGGTTCCGGATCTCAACGTCCGCCCGTGGTAGATGGATCGCATTCTCGCCGAACAGCCGCTCGCCAGACGAGAGAGAAGCGTGGTTCGTGGGCACGACAGACTTTGGCGTGTCTTCGCCTGCGAAGCCAGCACGTGTCGAGCAGCTACCGCAGTCTAGGACGAGTGCGCTGATTTCGTCTCCCGCGTACTCGCCGGCCGCCGGTGCTTGTGTCGGTGGGAGCGCCATGCTGGTCGATGGCGGCTGAGAAGGTCCGTGGACGTCGAGTGGAGGTCTGCGACTGGAAAACACGTCTTACGTCGCGTCAGAAGGTATTATCTCCCCATCGCTGAGAGCCCGACAGCTTTGGAGGTGTTGTTGAAGTCGAAAAGTATGGCGTGACAAAAGGCTTCGGATAGCCGCTGCGACTTCTGGCCACCAACCAGCATGAATCAGGAGAACACATATCACATAGACAAACCACGTCAACACACAATGTCAGCACGATGATGAATCCACTGAGCCTCTTCAAGGTCGAGAATCTCGACACTCGCTTCCGGCCAAAGAATCCACAACCTTTACCCAACGCCCAGCCGTCACGATGGAACACACCAGAGTACTACATCTATGCCCTGGTCTTCCTGACCATCCCACCTTTGATGTTCAAGTCTGTTTACGATGTTTCCCAACCGGATCACCCAAACTACGCTAGATATTCCCCTCTGCTATCTCAAGGCTGGATTCCTGGTCGGCTCGTCGACAACTCTGATCTGCAGTATCGTGGCTTCCGTGGCAACATTCCCTATCTGGCGTTACTACTGGTCTTGCACCCGGTGGCAAGGCGAGCGTATGACTTCCTGCGATCTGGTGGAAACAGTGGTCCAGGGAATGGCTCAGCAGTATCGAAGAAGAAGGACGAGACCGAGCGAGACGCAGCGGACTCTCGGCTGCGAGGACGGATTCGCTTCGATCTGGTCTTTGCCATGATCTTCCTGCTCGTCTTGCATGGCATCTCGATCTTGAAAGTACTGTTGATAGTCTACATCAACTTTCAGATCCCAACCAAGCTATCGAAACAGTACGCCACGGTTGCCACCTGGGTCTTCAACATTGGAATCATGTTTGCAAACGAACTTTGCGGCGGCTACTCATTTGCCCGAATGTTCGCTCTGTTCCTACCTACGCAAATGACGAACGCCGATTCGAAAGGTCCTCAAGCCATCCAAAGCGACTGGGGCGCGTGGCTGGACTCTTACGGAGGTCTGACACCACGGTGGGAGATTCTGTTCAACGTGACGGTCCTGCGCATGATAGCGTTCAACTTCGACTACCTCTGGATGCTCGATCGGCGAGAGTCGTCGCCTATTGAAGTACGTCCTTCTGCCCCAGTCTCTCTGACCACCAACTAACCTCCGCAGAAGAAGAACCTTGATCCCACAGACCTCCCCGAGAAAGAACGCGTCAAGTCTGGCGCCTCTCCGAACGATTTTTCTCTCACTACATACCTGGCATACACGCTCTACAGCCCACTTTACCTCGCCGGCCCCATCGTCACCTTCAACGATTACATCTCGCAATGCCGCCATCCCTTGCGAACCCTCGACCGTTCTTACATGATCCCCTACGCCATCCGCTTCCTCATCTGTCTCCTTACCATGGAGCTCTGCCTCCACTTCCTTTACGCTGTCGCCATCTCCAAATCTAACCCGGATTGGACCACCTACACACCCTTTCAGCTTTCGATGCTGGGATACTTCAACTTGCACATCATCTGGCTCAAGCTCCTGGTTCCGTGGCGCTTCTTCCGCTTGTGGGCGCTTGTGGACGGCATAGATCCACCGGAGAACATGGTCCGCTGCATGAGCGACAACTATTCCACGCTCGCCTTTTGGCGAGGCTGGCATCGCAGTTTCAACCTCTGGATCGTACGATACATCTATCTGCCTCTGGGTGGCAGCCGTGTCAGCACACCGAGGGCGATTGGGAACTTCATCGCCGTCTTCACCTTCGTGGCACTATGGCACGACATCAACCTCCGTCTGCTAGCCTGGGGTTGGCTGGTAGTGCTGTTCATACTGCCCGAACTCATCGCAAGCTACATCTTCCCCGCGAAGAAGTACGAGGGACGGCCGGACCTGTACCGCTGGCTGTGCGGATTCGGTGCAGTAGGGAACATTCTGATGATGATGGTGTCGAGTTTGGTTGGGTTCGCTTTTGGCCTGGACGGGCTGAAGGGCTTTGTGGATGGCATTGTTGGGAGCCTAGGTGGGAGGGTATTTATGCTTGCGGCGTGCATGACGCTGTTCGTCGGCTCGCAGGTGATGTTTGAGGTCAGGGAGGCGGAGAGGAGGAGAGGGGTGGCGATGAAGTGTTAGCATAGTAGACGTGTCTCTCTCGAGACTGCCTTAGCTATATGTACTTGTACCGAACGAACCGTTCGTCTTGACTGTGGCATCACGGCTCCCGGCTCTTTGCCATGCCGGAGGAACCCGAGCTAGCGTTGAGATGTATTGGGCCAATACCGTGCCTGATGCTTTCTACAACATTCGCCATCAAGAACAACATCCATCGATGGAGCTACTTGCAGTGTGGAAGATGTGGTCACGAACGCCACCATTACAACGGTGCAATGTTTCGAGATTCGTGGCTACGTGATGGGCTGCGGTCTTCGAGCCTAGTAACAACCAACAAGCCCCTAGCAATAGGAAGAGAATGGACGAAGAATCGCCTCACAAATGTCCTCGCTGTCCAAAGTCGTACCGCCGCCCGGAGCATCTCCAACGCTATCTGGCTATCCACAGCGCAGCTCGACCGCATCAATGCCATATGTGTGGAGCTGCCTTCCAGCGATCAGATGTTCTCAGACGGCACGTCAACTCCTGTGTTGGTCGTGGGCATATCGGCATCTCTTCTACACCAAAACGAGCCTACGACTGTTGCACGCGCTCCAAGCGGCGTTGCGACATTGCTGTGCCCGCGTGTGGAAGCTGTGCGCGGCGGCGTCTTGCTTGCAGCTACAGTCAAGCCCGGGGCAACGGCGACGATACCAACCCCGAGAATGCAACTCTACAAGACATTCAAGCAGTCAAGACTTTCGGAGCGACTGAAGCTCTGGCTTTCGATCCACTGCCTTCCTACAACTGCCTGTGGTCCGACTTGTCTGCGCAGGATCTCTCTGGCTACATGAACGAAGAGCTGTTCGACTTCAACGCCTGTGACCTAGGCCTACCGCTCTATAGAACTGACACTGGGACCGAGAGGCTTTCACTGCATTTTCTGGAGAGCTTCACCCGAGACAACGGCTTCGTAGCTTCCTTCGACTGCGGCACGGAAGAGATGAGACTGCTGGCTCGCAAGACGTTTGCGTCGGATGCTGAAAAGCAGCGTCTCGATTCTGGCCATCCACTGGCCCGCCAAAGCAAGAAGATCGTCGGTCTGATTCAAGAGGTCACGACGCTCAAGCCTCGCAACAGCCCTGTCTCATTTTCTTGGAGCCCGGACGTGGAACAAGAGTGCGCGAACTTCTTCTCTCCCTCTCGACTTCACCTGTACTTGGAGCTTTATTGGTCACTTTGGCATCCCAACGTCAATTACATGCATAAGTCGTCCTTCGAGGCTGCCTCCGCCAAATCAGCGCTTGTGGCTGCTATGGCAATCATTGGCGCCTGCGTGTCTCCCGATGGTTCAGATAAGGAGCAGGTAAAACCATGGTTCACTTGCGTTGAGGAGATGGTTTTTCAAGATGATGACTTCTGCTACGATGCGGAAGATGACTGCAGTCCATTGACGTTCCCTTCGGATGCTCGCATTCAGTCCATCCAGGCCGCATATATGGTTTGCTTGTTTCATAACTGGGAAGGGGCCAAGGTGAGCAGGAGAAGGATCAGACGATTCAGGTACAGCACGCTTGTTGCGGTGAGTGCAAAGACCACTCTTCCCGATTTGCTGCTGATGTTTTGAAGGTTGTGCGAGATATAGGCATCCCACACGCAAGACACCCTGTTTACGGTGAGCTACCGCCGGCCGGTTTTGTCTGGCACGACTTTGTAGCCCGCGAGCAGCTCATTAGGTAAGTCCCTTCTATCTTACTTGGCCATGTCTCACTTTCTGTAGAACGTTCCTCTGGGTCTTTCTACTCGACACGGCCTTTGTTATATTCAACAACCTCCCTCCGAGAATGGCGATAAAGGAGATGAAGATGGGATTTTGCAGTAGCGAGGCGGCCTTTCAAGCTACGAGTAGGAACGCTTGCTACAAGGCCATCACGAGCAGCGGAGCCTTCGCAGCCAATCTGATCTCTTCGGTAGTCGAGTCGATGTGCAAAGGCTCTGTTGGAGCCTACGAACAGACCTCGCTCGCAGAGATCGGACCACTGAACCTCTTCGTCTTAACGTCAGATATGTACTGTTCGCAACATCGTCTGACACCTGCTAATGACCAGTCAAGCGCTCCACTCGATGATCTTTCAACACCAGCAAACTTTTGCCGCAGACGCACATCTGGCGCCAATCAATAATGCTCTGGATAGTTGGATTGCAATATGGCAGATATATCAACAAGCTTATTCTACCAGTCAACAGTACTGCCCGCTCGGCGAGGAGATAATGACGCCACACAATATGTGGAAGAGGATCGGTTTCGTGAGATACTGTTCAGAATATTGGCTATTGGCGAAACTGATTACTGAGCGGATCTCTGCTGGCACCTGGATGATTGGCGTTGATCAAGCTAACGTCAACGTTCCACAGCCCAGCGACCAGAATACGGTCTTGCAGAAGTACGACGAGACGAGAATGCAACAAGTCAACGACCTGATCTGCCAGTTCCAGCAGGTGATCATTTGAAATCGATTACCGTTGGGTGTTCGGTACATCGGTACATCCCCGCTTGCATTAGAACTCTCCCACCACCGCCCCGAAGCCTTGCGGAGGCTCCCACCTCCAGGTCCGCGCAACGACATGTTGAACATGCGATTATTGGAGACACTGCTCCCGGCATGCAAAATCGGAAGAAAATAGTGCCTCCATTCAAAAATACATAAGAGCTTACTATCAACACATTTTTTCTGGGCTCCCCGTCGCTGTCCTGGAACATCAGGGAAATACCATTGCATCACAACAACAACGATGGATGTTTCGAGTAACTACTCGGCCATTGCGGCCGCCTTGCTGCTGCTGCTCGGTCTCTGTCGACTGTTGATGGTGGGACATCGCCCGAAAGACTTTCCTCCAGGGCCTCCAACCCTTCCAATCCTGGGCAACATTCACCAGGTACTGCCTGCCCTTCTGCCTCTACTGTACTGCTGTGATTAACTAGATCCCTCCCAGATGCCAACAAGAGATGCGCACCTACAGTTCGAGAAGTGGGCTCGAGAATACGGTACAGTCATCTACGAAGTGCACTTGGCTAGCCCTACTGACAGACTTCAGGCGATATTTACAGCTTGATGCTCGGGACGAAGACCTTGATCGTTCTATCAAGCGATGACGCCGTCAAAGAGCTGCTGGACCGGCGAAGCGGTATCTACTCTTCAAGGCAGGAGATGTACATCGGACAGGACCTCTGTTCCAATGGGTTGCGACTGTTGATGATGGTAGGTCCTCAAGTGCTCTGAGGAAAAAATGAATGCTGACGTCTAGATCAGCCTTATGGGCCTCTTTGGAGAATGGTGAGGCTACCAGATAGAAGTGAGGGGCGTACATGCTGACGTTGTGCCAGATACGCAAGATGGTCCATCAATTACTCAACGTTCAAGAGTCGAGCAAATACGTGCCTTACCAGATGCTGGAAAACAAGCAGATGCTGAATGATCTGCTGGACACGCCAGACCGATTCTTGCATCACATTCGCCGGTACTCCAATGCTCTCACGACATCAATGGTCTTTGGGTGGCGCACCCCGACGTATGAGAACGTCGCCATCAAGCAGCTTTTCGAAGGATTCAACGAGTTTGCTGAAATCAATCAGACCGGCACAGCAGCACTGATCGATTTCTTCCCATTCCTCAGGCAACTGCCCGACTTCATTTTGCCTGCGCAAAAGAAGGCCAAGGAGATGCACAAGCGCGAGAGGGAGCTGTACCTGGGACACTGGCTTCGCGCGAAGAATGAGTGGAAAGACGGAACTATCAAGAATTGCTTCTGCGTTGGCATGGCTCAAGCGCAGGAGAAAGAACAGTTCAGCGATCCACAAGCAGTATGTTTAGCATTTTTAGAAGTACGATGGCCGACATAGCTAATATTCCTTCGCAGGCATACATTTCGGGCACACTGCTTGAGGCGGGATCGGATACAACATCGAGTACGTTGTACGCTTTCGTCCAAGTAAGGAACCGTCCTACTTAGTATGGAGACCAAAGCTCATGTTTGCGATTTTTTAGGCTATGCTGCTATATCCTGAGACCCAGCGTCTCGCGCAAGAGCAGATTGATAAGGTCGTCGGCGTTGATCGCATGCCCACGATGCAAGATGAGCCCAATCTACCGTACATCAAATGCTTGATGAAGGAGACGCTTCGTAAGTTCACAACCACGTCGACTGTCGACAACTCGGCATACTGACTTTTGTACCAGGTTGGATGCCCACCACAATCCTTGGTGCTGTCCCGCACGCCGTCACCCAAGACGACTCCTACAAAGGCTATCTTATCCCCAAAGGCGCAGGTGTCATGAACAACGTCTGGGCAATCCACCACGATCCGAAGCGAAGTCCAGATCCTCGCAAGTTCGATCCCAACAGACGTAAGAATCCTATGCAGACGATCGTCCGCTTGCGTGTACTGACTCTTTTCGATTCGACAGACAAGGACGACCATCTAAGTCTCTATGACTCCGCATCTAATCCCGACGGAACGAAGCGCGATCAGTTCACTTTTGGTGCCGGCCGCCGCATCTGTCCGGGTATGCACGTTGCGGAGCGCAGCCTGTTTCTGGGAATGGCACGCATGCTTTGGGCCTTCGATATCACCCCGGCCATGGACGCCAGCGGCCAGCCCATCATCCCAGACCAGGACAAGCTCACTCAGGGCTTCGTGTGCATGCCAGAGGAGTATCCGGCAACGATCACGCCACGATCCAAGGCGAGAGCAGACCGGGTTCGCTCAGAGTGGCAGCATGCTCAGCAGGAGTCGCTTGACCCTGCGACGCAGCAGTGGCTCTCGTCTCCGGTGTAACATCATCTGGCAGTCTTCTTGGAAAGACATTCTGGAGGATCAGGCAGGTCAGGGATGGGTATCTGCATCCAATCTTCGAACGCGACTTCATCATGCATTTGGATTCTGCTGTCTCTCATTGTAATCGGATTCAATTGATGCAGCACTGCTTCAGCCTTGGCGCCTCGCTAAGATAACACAAGCCATTTTCTGACAGAGCGATCAAGTCTGCCTCATCCTCTCCTCAATCTTCGCCCGCAACCCCTCCACCACCTCATCTCCAAGCCACTTCAGGCCTCCTTGCTCACTATCTCTTGCCTTTTGCGCCCAGGCAAACAGCACTCGCAAATTCCATAGAGCATCCCCATCGCTTCCAGCTACGCTGCGGCTCAACGCCACCCTGTCATCGATGACAGTGCCTCGTTCATCTGTATGCAGAACTCTGTTGGCATTCGGTGGCAGGACAAGCTCCACGTCCGCTTTGTCGTGGTCATCGAAGACAGGCAGACTTGTGAGGACGTCCTGCCATTTCTGCAGATCCGCCGCACGCTGCGCATTCGCTTGGCTTGGATTGAGCGCCGCAAGGGCTGACGAAAAGACGGAATCATGCGCTTCAGACGCCGGGCACTGGCGTACGAGTATCCTTTGATTCTGCCGGAAGGCCGCGAGGTGCTCTGCGTTCCCAGCGAAATCAAGCGTGACACGCCAGTAGGCTCGATCATTCGTCTGGACGGTCGCTATAGAGTCCAGCTCGGGCAGCAGGCACGGCGCGGTCAGAGACTTCACAGTCCCATCTCGCAATGTGAGTGTGATAGGCATGCTCACCGGACGATGGGTGTCGATCTCCTCAACGATGAGACACCTCGCTTCGGCAGCAAAGACCCAGAAATGCCGCAGCGCTTGCAAATGCACGCGATTATCGTGTACATCTGTTGGGAACAGAGGGTAGAAAGCGCAGATGAGCGAGGCGATGGCGAGATTAGACGTCCCGAAAGTGTAGGTTCCGCCGCCCAGGAAGAGGACACCAATCGCAAGATGCGCAGCGAGGTGTGACCCATACTGCGTCTCTGAGTCCGTCCTACCATGCAGGCGGCGGAGGTACCGGAAGGTCTTTAGGTCTCCAGTGCCTGCCATGACAGTCGCAGCCGAGAGTGCTAGAACATCGATACATCGTCGCACAGTCGACCGCGCGAGTTTAGCATCGTAGTAGTATGCCTCAGCACCACTCCTCACAGCATGGAAATAGTTCAGCACAGTCAAGATCTCATCGCGAGCCTTGGTGTTCCCGCTGCCGGCGTTCATCAAGCTAAGCACCCACGCAAGACCAGTGACGACGTTGAAGTACGGAACATCCGAGCTCTGCAGCTGCAGCTTCGCGGACGTCGTGCTCATAGCTTGGAATCGTCGTTGATAGCAGGCCGGAAGATTTCTTCTGATGAAGCCGGGACGATCGGACTCAGTAGTGTGAGATTCACGACCATCCCACATGATGAGATGCTTCGCCATTACGCGCAGCATGAGCACGTCTGGTCGCACGTGGTCGAACTGCGCTTCAGTGTCCGGGATGTCGATCTTGCGAGCGATCGACACATCGCCAGCTTTCATGTATACCAGTGCGAGGGCGACTACTGCGCCTGCTGTTGCTCGATCGAAGACATGCACCACAGTGACCGGCCTTGGGCCCACTGCAATGGCAAGAAGTCGCTCCGGAAGATACATGCCATGCAAACCTCCCAAGTCTTTCCCTTTGCCGAGATTGATGTAGCCTAGGGCAATACCAGCAGCAAGACGGTAGCACTCGTCTCGAAGTGGGTCTGGTCCACTGTCTGGGTCTTCCAGCTCCATTTGTTCTACCTCGGATAGCATGATTTCGCTCATCCGGCGGTGCTGGGTGTTGTAGTACAACAAGCCGATCCCGATCAGGCCAGCAGTCTGGGTCAGAGCAGAGACGTTGAGCTCAGCAGCCCCAGGAGGTAGCATCCTAGTGATGTGGACGGATAGCATGCGAGTAATCAAACCATCCATGGTACCCATGTACGAGGCCGACAAGCCCAGCAGGAGACCAACCGAAGTCATAGTATGCTTGGGCGTGAGATACTTGAAGGATAACCACTTTGCCACATGCCGAAGATGTCCGTTCAGTCCAAGCGCCAGCAATAGACCAGCATGTCGGTTCGTAAGATCGTTTGGCTTGTTGAAGGCGATCCAAGAAGTATCAATGCCGGCAACGTGCCGAGATATCCTTAACCCGGCGGATGCTCCAGCGTGGAAATAGGCCCAGCTGACCTTTTCCTCTGTCAAACCGCTTCGATCAGTGGTAAGGGTGGTACCCATGGGCTGCATGATGCACGAGTTGCTGAAACCAGGCAAATGATACTTGTCGGTGAGTAAGGGAGTCTGGCAGTCGAAATGAATCATGGCGTCGCCTGGTGGCAGCGCAACCATACGGGTAGTGACCCACTGAAGCTTCTTGCGTTGCTGTTCGATATGCTGCACATCTGTCCAGTCCGGCTGTTTGGCGCATTCTGCCATTTGCGTTGCATTGAAGTGCATCAGGCTGGTAGCCTCGACTAAGCGCTTGTCCTCGCGGAAGATAAGCTGGGAGACAGCGTGTCGGCTCGCCTCCTTTGTTCGTCCATTCGGATGGTGATGATCGAGTGCGTGGCAGACGGTCTGAATATCATGTGGCGAGCTTGCAGTAGCTGTGGACTTCTTCGGCACTGACGCGTGGGAGTGTATGGTGTGGGAGACGAGATCTTCTCGGCCGACCAGAGCCAGCAAAGCTGGTGTCCATGAGGTGGGAGGGTCGCGCTCACACTTCATGATCGCATCTTTGAAGGGTGCCCCGATCGCCTCAGGAAGGCTCTCTATTGTGTTGCTGTTGATGCCGTGCTTTGCCATCAACTCAACAGTGGCAACAGGAGAAGCCGCCAGACCAGAACTGGCCTCGACGATGTCAGACAGCGCAGCTATTCTTCCAGTCATGCCTGCAGCCACCGCCTGCTGCGACTTCGACATCGGTCTGTCGAGCATTGCAATCACCTCGAGAGTCGGATATCGCTCCTCAGACTGAACGTTCATTGCATGCTCGAACCAATGATAGACTCCAACAGGCTCGTCCATGAGCGGCATCTGTGGAGCATGAGAGGCCTGCGACTTGACAAACGCCCAGCGGTCTTCATTCGCTCCTTCGAGATGATAGTACTGTCCTGGCTGGTGGCTCCAAGTGACCAATCCAAGCCAGCTGCCGATCTGAGCAATAGTGACGGCAAGGACCTGAGAGCCCAGGCTGCTCGGCGTCAACTTGCACAATTTGTATTCTTCGCGGAGTACGTGAAGGCCAAGGACTAGTTTGATGGCCTCGTTTGGTGACAGCTGTAAAGCCGATCTAGCAATTCGTTGCAGTCTTTCTGAACCGAGCAGCTCATTAGCAAGAGCAGCTCCGACAACCATGAGCTTATCGCGTTGCGGTTCCGCCTGGGACGCAGTCGATTGAGGGTTGTTGGATCTTGCAGAAGCGCGCGGCCCGAGCCAATCTGCTGTCGTGTTGCTAAGCAACTCATGCCTATGTTCGGACATTCGCAGACGCGACTTCGAAGAATCTGCTGCTTTTCCGGCAGCGACATTGGCAAGATCCAGAGCCGCTCGAGCCTTGTTTGAAATGAGATGCGGAAGAAAGCAACAAAGCGCGGCAACCATGGCGACCCAATCCCTGTCAAACGTCGTGCCAGCGAGCCTCTCAGGGTGTTCGACAAGCTCAGCATGAGCAACGCACCAGATGCCGCGGAGGCATTGGGCCTGCGCTGCAGGTAGAACAAGCTCGCAAACATCCAGGACTCTGCTTACAGCAGGATCTCTGGGCGTGAAGCGGACTTGCCGCCGGTGGTGTACACGGTCAGTACCCACCTCATCAAAGCGACCACTGGCACCAGCATGGAGTAGCTGAAGATCGTGCCGTGAAGGTCCTGGGAGCGTCCTGTTCCTGCCGACTTCTTTGTTAGGAGTGGAGTCCAAAGCGACATGGTCTCGTCGGTCATTGACTCTGTACGGTGCCTGAGCTGGGAGTGGCCACGGCATGTTATCGTCAGCAGCTAGAACTAGACCTCGATCTGCTAGTAATATGGAGCTTCGGCCGCTCTCCTTCAGTTTGACAATGCTGCTGGAGGAGCCGACTTTCTGCTCTCCAACGAGCAGAGGAATGGCCATTGTTGGTGTAAGAGAAAGCTCTGGCCACAGAAGACGTCGCTTGATGATCAATTGAAGCGCGGAGACCTCCTTCGTGTAGTCCTGATGGATGAAAACCGTCATACGCTGGTCCTCGTTGTCCATTCGATGACGGAAATCTAGAAGTGTCGCGACTTGAATAGGTTCAACAGTTTTTGCCTCTGAGGAAGTCGAAGTGGCTATTGGTATGGAGTGCAGTTTGCGAACAATGAGCTCCCGCTTCATCTCGTCCCCAAGTCCAGCCAAAATGCTTTCAGCTCCAGTGGCATCGAATGTAGCTCTGATATGCCTCAGGATGCTCCCAACGGATTCCTCGTCGTCGGCGTCGAAGCTACTGTCAAGATCCATGAGATCGTCGTCTGGTCCAAGGCTCCTGCTGAAGACACTGCCGGGTGTTGAGCCACGGCTCTTCCGGTGCCCAAGGCTTCGACGCTCACCAGGCCCACCGAATGAAGCATTCCGCCTGCCACCAGGGCCCGCGAAGCTGGCGTTTGCATTGTATTGGCTCTGGCGCATGTCCGCGTTCATGGAACTGATTCTCCTGCTCTCTCGAGCGGCCTGTTGCGAGGCGCCAGGCTGATAGTCAGGGTCCATCTGAGAAGCCATTGCATCTTCCTCCTCCTGGCGAGTCGGCCTCCGAGAGGACGCACCGTGGGGCTGCGATGGAGCTTGCTCGCCCGGTAGTCTGAGGGATGATGCGCCTACCAAACTCTCCCTCACGCCTTCTCGTGTTCTTACTGCGGGCGTCGTTGCTCCTGTGCCCATTGAGCTCATGAAGGAGCTTCGCCTTCGTGCCTTTGCCGCTTTATGCGCTGCTCGTTCCTTCAGAAGCGAGGCCAACGATTTCTCTTCCACATACCATGCATGCCAAATTGTCAGCGTCTGCAGGTCCTGATTAAGTGTGATAATGAGCGTCAGAGGGGCATTCTGACTGCTACCGGTGCCGCCCAACTCGTCAGTTGGCGACACATAGATGATTCGCTCGCTGTTGTCGACTGCTTCAAACTCTACGCTAAGTCCGGACGAGGCTTTGGTGGACAGGCGGGGCCTGGGGTGCTGCAGAGAGTATGTAACAACTCCAAGGTCTGACAATGGGTCCGTCAGAGAGTAGAAGCCAGCAGTATCATCATCGGTAGCTTGAGCCAAGCCTGCGAACGCATCTGGGAAAGGGGAGAGTGTGTCCAGCCGGGCTTTACCACTCAGAGGACTAGGTCGGCTAGGTTGCGTGCTCGCGAAGCTTTTCACCAAAGTCGGCGACTGCAGATAAGACGCCGTTGGCCTGAGCTGGGACGAGAAGAACGAGTTTGGTGGTGCTGCCGGAAGCTGCGGTGTTGGCGGCGAAGACGGTGCTGCCACACTCTTCGTCTGTAAGATGACTCCTCGTGGGGCTGAAAAGGCTTTTGAGATTTCGAAGGGAAAATCCACGATATGGCTTGTGCCGTGAACGAAGTATACGTGTGCCTTGGACTTTAAACAGACCACCAAGGCTCGCTCAGAAGTACTGTGTGGCTCGGTCGCCTCGCTGTCGCCTCGAGAAGGCTTTCGACCATTCCTGGAGTCTCTCCAGGGTTGGATGTTGGCGCTGTCGGGTCCGGTGGTGTGACGAGTATCAGAGACATTTCTCTTGGAGGGAAACGATGTCAACAGCGCTTGGATGACATCCTCCCCTTCCAGCTCGAAGTGATAGACGTTCCGGATAAGCCTTCCTTGAGACCATACCACGCATTTCCTCGTGGCAAGAACTTCCTCCTCGACATCGCCATTCCCGTCATCGAAAACGTACGTCTCCCAGGTGTACAGATCGCTGGATGGTTCCGCGGGCAAAAGGCCTTCATCGATCAAGTATGGAAGTGCCACAGGCGTGTGGACGCCGAGTGATTTGATCTCGGCCATTTGGTCGTACGCCTAGTTGACACAAGGGGTGGCATCTTCATGTAACCTCGTTAGTCTTGTGTGTGTCTTGCCTTGAAGTGAAGTTGCCGTTCACTCTCAGACCCCACCTGAGGTTTGACGCGATTTGGGAACGCGTCTGGTCCAAGCGTTTCGACATCACCTTTCACCAAACCTCGAACAGCCATAGGGTCCTACCATCACACAAAATGCTTGAACCAAGGATATCGAAACGCGAGAAGAAGCTGCAGCTCAAGTAGGAACCGCCGTCTGGCTTAATGCGATTGCAAGCTGACCTTCACATCCTAGCTACGAACTGCCCACCTGCATACACTGTTCCGCGATATATCCGATACCTGCCCCGAATGGCTCGGATGTCATCATCTACGGACACGAGAGAGGTATTCGAGTGATATGGCGAGGTGGCAGGAGGCGCAAGCAGCGTGCCAATCCACCCAAGACGAACGGAGCCAGTAACGAGGTGATTTTGCTGGATAGTGACGATGAGGGACAGCAAAATCAAGACGAAGCGCCCAAAGCTCAGGACCAATATGAAGACACTGAGGATGATGAAGACCCGGATTGCTCATACCCACCCATTATACAAGAAGTTGACCTGGAGCATGGTTCGCCTGTTCTCAGCATTGCTGTGCCAGCGATCACTCCAGCAGCCATATCGCAGCTACCGCAGTACGCCCAGACACACATCATCGTCACGCAGGCCTGCGCAAATGGTGGGATAGTTGTTACGGCTATCGGGCTCCAGCCGCCAACAGAAGCTGAGAAGCGGAATGGTTCATTCCAGATCGACGAGGAATGGCTAGCAGAAGGCGGTAGCATTGCACGGAGTCTTGCTGTGAGGATCTCGCACAATCAGGAGCACCATCACGGCTGTCAGATCTTGGTCGCTACTGCTGGCGAAAACTTATCTCTGTGGAGTGTCGCAGTTAGCCAGAGGCGGAGCAATCCCAAACGGCTACTTCATCAACCGCGGTCAACGTTCAAAGTCGCTTTTCCAAGCTCTAGGAGCCAAGGTCACCTTCTGACGTCGGAAAGATCCGGTGCGGTGCGCATGTTAGATCATACGGAGAACCGCCTGGCCGATGGACGACCAGAGTCGCGAGGCTCTGCATCAGGACCGACGTCTGGAAACCAGGCTCCAGGCCGGTGGTTCATGTCATACTGCACTCCATTTCATAGCTCCAGCGGTGGTCACAGTCTTGCTCGGCGAAAGAACATCCTTGATACTGCATGGGTGTTGAGCGCCCGTGCGATACTGGTCCTCCTGGAAGACGGTGAGTGGGGTGTGTGGGATATGCGCGGCGCCTCGAGCGGCAACAAGAGCCCTGAAGAGTTTGCTCTTCATGGCTACTTGGGCGCATCCTCATCAACAGAGCTAGCAGAAGCTGGGAAGCAGAAGAAGGGAGGCGCACGGCTAGCTCCCATGACACCGAACACGAGAAGGACCAAATCCGAGAATCTGTTCAGTGGCCCCGAAAAAGTGCAGGGCGTCGCGCCTTCTGGTGGAATCTCGGTGTCGCCGATAAACACTCGCTCTGGTGCCGTCGACGAGAGCATAGTCATGTGGTACAACAACGAGATCTATTCGATCACTTCCATGCAAACCTTCTGGCAACGGAGCTCAAATCCGACCAACAGCGCCTCCGGCTTCGGATCGCTCTACACGCCTGGCCTCACTCACATCACCGATATCAACCTCATGAACGAGAACATCACCTCCATCTCGCAATTTGCCTCCCGATCAACGTCCAGTTCCACCGGCCAGATGAATGTCCCACGAGACATCCTTGTCTCGACTGAGAGCCGCTTCATCATCCTACAACACCAGGCCTCACCCACCGCCAAACGCGGCCTCTTCCAGCAAGTGGCTCAGCAGCCTACTATGCAAGATCAGCGCATGCTGGATGCTGGCGAGCTCGACCTCGGAGGCATGGACCGCCTTCTGGACGGCATGGCGACAGGAGGTAGAACGAGGAAAGTCGGCTTTGCTAATTAACAGGTAGCCAGTTCTTTGCCCAGCAAGATACCCCGTCAGAGCGCAACTGCCTGTGCATCTCTCCTCTCACTTTCCCTTACCTCCTTTTCTCTCACACCACTTCGAACCTTGTGGTCGAACTTCCGCGTGGCAGAGTGGGGCATTATTCTCAAGGCCAATGAGACTTGCTCAGTATTACACGCGGTACATCAACACGCCTCTCCAGTTCCACGAGAAGTCCGTAAGGATGTAAGGGGACACTCAGGCCTTCCCGACTTCGCCGGCTGCTTCTGCAGAAACTGGCAAGTGAGGCTGGCTGAGGGAGGTGGCTAGGCAGCGTGCGCTCGCCGAACGTCACATCGTCCGTTGAGGAAGGTCATGATGTGGCGGGGGTGGGCGGTGGTTGCTATAGACCGGTTTTGCGAGCAGTGAAGACTTCGTTCTTCAATTCTGATGTTGTTTGTGAGGTGGGCTACGGATACACATTCACGATCTTCCCAACAAACCCATCTAAGCTGGCAAAACCTTTCTCTCCTCGTCCATGTCCTCCGAATAGCCCTGGCCCACCACCGGGCATGACCAGAACCTGGGATCCAAGCTCGACGTACTCTTTCGAAGCGTCGAAGCTGAATGTAACGACCAAAGTTGGGGCAGTAATCAAGCCAGCAACTTTCTCGCTCTGCCCATCAGTCTCCATCGCACCCAGCGCGACGCCGAGTTCTCCACTATCAAAAGCTCCGTGCCCATTCGACTGCCCTGCCGATCCATCAGGACTGTCCGGAGCTCGGGCAGAGACGACTTTGGCCGACGCCCTCACGCTACAGACATACACCACCACGTGATTGCCCACCGCCAGCGCCTCCAGATCCTCACGAGCGAACTGGGCGTCAAAAGACCGAGTAGCCCGAGGCTGCACTGCAGTCAACACCATACCCTTCCGTATCCTGCCGAACGAAGCAGTAGAACCTGCCCTCTCCCCGGAATCCTCAGGCACAATAGCAATGGTGCCGACTTGATCCGCTGCTAAAGTGTGCACCGGAAGCCGGAGATTGCGGATGCTCTTTACTTTGAATCGTCGCCATTCCTGGTTGGGCAGTTGGAAGTGAGGTAGCGTGGGGTGGCCGTGGCGGAGAGCGCCAGGGAAGGATCGCGAGGTAGGGAGCTGTGCTGAGGGCCTTCTCACCGACCGGTCGTCCGAATCTTCGCTGTCTTCGATGTCGTGCACGGAGAAAGGGCCAAGGGTACCGGCGTCGCCAACCGAGATTTGGCCAGAGCGCAGCAGACCTGAGACGACTAAGCTGTCGATTTCGGCGGCCTTCTGGTAGTTGTCTTCGATGTGGAACGTGAAGCCGGAGCTTTGTCTTTGGTCTTGTCGAGTGCCAATAATAGGTAGCTCGTGCAGGAGCGCTTGTAAATTGCCAATGCCCCCGCCTTGAATGGCGCTTGTGAGCACAATCGGCACGGAGGCGAGAGGGTCATTCAGAAGTGGAAGCGCAGCATGGTATGCCGCCTCGACCGCGATACTGTCAACAGTCCGAAGTTCGGCTTCAGCGACCTCCGAGACGGCCGGGTTCTTTAAGATGACAGGCTGCTTCCCGGCGGCCTTCACAGCATCCAATACTTTTGAAAGGCTACCCTTGAGTCCAGAGCGCGAAGCAAGGTCTAGCTTGGTGATGACGATGACCAGCGGTAGGTGCAGCTTCAAGCACAAATCCAGCTGTGCCCCAGATAAATCCATGTCCGGGACACTGGCGCCAACGTTCTGCTGGCTTGTCTGCGTACTCCCGGATTTCCCAGCTGTGTCTTCCATGTCGTCGGCTGGGATACATAAAAGCGTCCAGTGCGGGTCCCAGCCAACCAAGCCTCTGACGGTAGTCCGTCGGTATCGTGGATGTCCAGCTGAGTCTGAGATGAAAACGACACGATTGCCATGCGCTGCAACGTGGACGTCGATCCAGGACGCCATATTCTCGATTGCGAAGTTCAGCACTTCCAATGTGCCGTCATTGGTGTCTCTGAATCCGATGAGTTCTTGAGAGACCGAGCTTGTCACGCCAGACGTAATCTCATGGCGGTGTTTCAGCATGCTCAGGCGGCTTTTGCCACGACCATTGTCAAGAGTTGATGTTGTAAGAGTCCCCAGCAACGTGGACTTCCCGGACATCGTCGGACCTGTCAAAGTTACACGGAGCTGTTCTGTAGAGGGCGATGCCGGGACATTGCCAGCCGCTGAAGGTTGTGCTCGTTCCCCAGCCTCACTGTCAGGTTCAGCAAAGGCACCGGGACTGTCCGGCTGCAAATACGGTTTCACGAAGGCTTCCACGACAAACAATGAGCCGCTTCGCCGCACTCTCCGTTCTTTGCGGCCAACGAGGTCGTTCTCGAGCCACTCGCAGTCACCCACTATCTCTTTGCGCAGAACCTCGACAACGCAGCCGAGACAAGCAGCCATGGCTCGTAGATTGTTGAGACTCTCCTCCATCTCATCATCAGCAAGCCCAACAAGCGTGCCGTCGTCAGACACTCCGATCTCGTAAAGCGCGCCTTGACTCTCTTCAAGCCCGTGGAGTAGTCTTCTTGGCTGCTGCGGCGCACGTAGCTCTGGCAGAGCTTCCGGTAAGGATGGCAAGATGATGTTGGTGGCAGATGAACTGTGGTGTGGAGACGACTGCTGCAGGCGCCACAATAGTTGGGTGGTCAACTGCTCCAAGCGGTGCTGCCTGGTTTGCTGCATGGAAGCCGAAGGCATCGCGGTCTCGGATGTACTCTGCCCATTGCTAGTGACAGACTCAGATAAGCTGCGTCCGGTCTGGGAGATAGCAGTTTTCGAGTGCTTTGAACCCGATACTTGACTTCCTGTGCTGGTAGCACGGAATTTGCGTCTCGGACGCAGTAGCAGATGGAGCTTGTACTCTACAGGACCTTCCTGTGGTTCAGCTTGGAGACGTGTTCTGCCATCCCGACGGGCCCCGTTTCCATGGCCCTGTAGCCTCACGCCTGGGCCGCCCTCTCCGGCACTGAGCGTCTGTGGGAGCTCGCTTTCGCCAGCCGTGGAATCTTGCAACCACGGAGATTGAACACGGGGCGGTTCCGGCTCAAATGTGAATATAGAAGCCATTATTAGCAACAATACCACAGCTCCGATACGCTGATTCTACACTTCGGGTGCTGACTGCTTCCTTCCGCAGTCGAGAAGCCTTATCCAGGTTGTTCTTGCCCTCTTGTGATACATGCGCGACTCATGCTCAAGCCTTCATTTTATTCTTAAAGCTTTTATGTTCCGTAAAGCGCGGGAGTTGGTATGTGAGTAATGGATCTGGAACAGCGTGGACAGGCGTTGGAACATCTTTGCGGTCGTCGTGGAGGCTGTGGAGTGGGTTGCTACGGTCGTGCTGTCCTCCTGAGGTCATGCGATAGATGCGCGCATCTTGGTAGTGACGATAGGTATCTGAGGAGGTAAAAAATAGCAGGTGAAGTTGCTTTTGCAGTCAGCATCCGGATGATGGGCGACGCTAAGCTTTGGGTACTCCGGCAGGGCACGGTGGTAGAACCTCTTTCAGCAGCGTCTCCGAATCTTGACAATCCTTTACAACACCTCACCTCGAATATCAAGATGTAAGACAGTGGCTGAAAGGTGCAATGCGAGCCTCTGCCACCCTGGATATGCGATTGAGGAATTCTCTGGAGCGCAATGAACAGCAGAGATCGATCACAGCGTCTCCCCATGCCTTGCCCAGCACATGGGAGGGGTGGCGGACTCTCGCAAGCAGTACATACCACAGCAAACGTGTGTATAACCAGGTCGAGAGAGGGCTATGAACTGTCGTCGAAAACCCATTCGAAGTACCTCTATCGGGACTTTACAGGAAGCACGTGAAGATGCCAGACGCAGAGAAGCGGCATCCAGAGGAGCAACTGAGGGAGATACCAAGCAAGTCTCACCAAGCTGCCTATTTACGATAAAAGCTTCACGGGCAGAGGCTCTACCAGCAGCGGTAGCGTTTTTGGATAGACAATATCGGACCGACCGTCCAGGTGAATGGCCATGCCGCGCAAGCAAATACGAGCGCAACAGGTCGCTTTCGCGGATGTCCTCAACATCCCACTGTCTCGTCTGACTAGGGCAGCACTCGTTGGACACCCTTACGATAGAGGAACCTAAAGTGCGCAATCGAGATACGTAGTTCATCGTGGCATTCAACTCAGCAAGACGTGCAAGGCGAACAGGTTGCTCCGCTAAGGTTGCTCCGCTCAGGTAGCCACGGCGTGTCTATGAGCCCGTCCTCGGGCCCTCGGGATGGTGTGCGGAACCATTCTACCTCGTCTGCCAACGGTGATTCCACACCCGCACTTAGTGCTTTGTGCGAAGTATCTGGCCCGGCACTAACCCAGCATCGCAAGCACCGCTCGGAGGTCGATTCTGATCTACAAAAGCCAAGCGGAGTGGAGGGAGACTGGTGGTAGAAGCTATCTCCGGCCTTGTTCAGCCGTACGGCCACTGGATGCCGTCTCCGCTGTAGCTCTTTCTCTTCGTGACTTTGACGGACCATAGGGTTTCCATACAGCTGATATATCAGTCCGTACCTCCAGCCGCGATACCTTTGACCAGCCAGCGGTGAGTAAGCAGTCAGCATGAACGAGCGATACCCGGGACTCGATGGTGGCAGGAACTCGGGAACGTTCCTCCCGCTCGTCGTCATGCAGATCAGTCTGCGAGGATTAGACGTGAGAGGCCAATCACAAATCCGACTTTGAAACGGCGCTTGTTAGCCGGGGTAGGGCTTGTAGGCGGCGGCAACTTTGTCAGGCAGACCGCAGACCCCGAGACGCCTCCGTTGCCAACCGCTGCGGTTTTGTGCTATGGGATGAGGCGCGGGCAGGGCTGTGGACAGCAGCAGCTCGCAATCGCAGCCATGTACTATTTGAGCAACCGCTCTTCGCGAAACTCCAGAAGCGGACCAACGAGAGCAGTGTACGAAAGAGAGACCAACCCCATGAGCGATCTACAAAACCAGAGCTCTAACAAGCACTCAAGGACATGTCAAAAACACCCCCACACGCCGATGTAGTGCACTTGCTTTCAGGAGATGAACAAAACTGATCGCTCGCAGCATCCACGGAATACCTGATGAGGTGTTAGGGTGTGAGGGGGTGGGTTTGAGTTGTAAAGTCTGATAATGGATGACTACTCTGATCTACACTGTGTTGTGGGACGAAGTGACAACCTCAGCCCCTCATGAGCCCTCGTGGCCCCAGCTGCCACCTGACTCTTCTAAAATTGTCTCGGCTCCACCGAGAAAATCGCCGTCTTCTCATGCAGATCGTCAACAGCCATCCGGTCATACCCCGGCGACCACCCGTGAATTCATCTCCGTCGTCTCCATGCTCTCCCACGTGAGACGACCATGCCGATCGTCTCTCATCGATCAAAAACTCAAAAAATCAAATGTTGCCAAGCGAGGGGTATCTCATGCGATCGATCAATCAATCAAAAGTGTGTGTGCTCGTAGAATGTTTGTGCTCATCAGCAAAGGAGCTGATAAAGTCGGGCGTGCTTCGTGCTTCGTTCGCCGCCATGAACGTCGTCGAGTGGATTTCACTGTGGGTCACTCGGCCTCCTCGTCTTCGTGCACTTGTCATGCGCCAAATGGCCGTTCCGCGCCGTCGTCCTGGTGAACTCGGCGCCGCACTTGGGGCAGTATGACTTGGACGCGGATCCTGACTTCTCCCGCTGGTGTCGCAGCAGGTTGCTGAAGGTAGAGAATTGGCGTCCGTTGCAGCCGTGCTCCCAGCACTGCGGCTTGGGTCGCTGGTTGAGCACGCGGATCGAGGCGTCGCTGCCGAGTGGTTTGGCCATGACTTCGTTGACGCTGCTTCCGACGAACGGCGGAGGGTAGCTGAGGCTTTGGCTATAGACTGGTGCTGAGGTCGGTGCTGACGAGAACGACTGGCTGTACATATTTTGTTCGTATAGGCTTGGTGATCTGATAGGAGTCAGTGATGATCGCTGTAAGAAGGTATGTCGAGATGCATACCTCGATGGGTTGGAGTATTGCGGCATCATGCCCGAAGTGTTGGATCCGAGGTGGGGTGACGGTTGAGGGCTCTGAACGAGGCCGCTGATCGATGGGATCGATTGCCCGGTGACCATCGAGTAGTCGACACTGCTTCCAGAGTCGTACGAGCTGGTCATCCGTCGAAACGAGGGGTTGTATGACGGTTCTGGCGTGTTCGTGTTCGACAGGTCCGAGTATCGTCTGAAGTTCTCATGCGTCGGAGGAGCTGATCGACTTTGGTAGAGCGCAGGACTGGATGAAGCGGTCTGCGCATATGCAGATGCTCCGCTAGTTGTTTGAGCTTGCGACAGACGCGGCGGTGGAATGTAGTTCTGCTCCATGTTGTAGCCTGTCGTCGTTAGTTGACGATCCGACACAGTTCACAATGGTTGCACTCACTGCCAGGTTCAGCTTCGATGGGGCCGGAGCCGTACTGCGAAGGCAACAAGAAGCCTAGCGAACTGGGCAATCGTTAGGTCTATCCGGAAAGTATGTGATCGACTGTCTGACTAACCTCATCTCTGCCGCAGCAGTGGGCTGTTGGTGGAAGGTGAAGTCTGCAGTCGCGCTGATGCCTGTGGTCACCGGAACTTCATTTGCATCAAACACAGTGGGCAGTCCAGAGTCGGAACGAGGCGGTGTCGGGACGGACCACTGAGGAAAGGGCTCAATATGTTGATGAGCTTCGGGAAAGCCCTGGGGCTGCGGCGAGGACTGAGGTGTGAGCCAGTGCGGAGCTGACGTTAAGGACACCCCACAGCTCTCGGCCGCACTCGACTGTTGCTCGAGGGCGTACTGGTAGAGACGGTCTGCCTGCGTCGCCGACACCGAGTATTGCGACGACGATGGGGCCCGTTTGCGGACGGCGCCGCGGTTGTCGAGAGGGTGGACAGAGTAGTTGCTGTAGGTTCGCATGCGTTGCAGCTGAGATGAGGCCTGGGAGAGAGGTGAGTCCATATTCGCGAAGATGGACGCCTTGACGGAAAGCGGTTGTCAAGCACAGCCAGGCCGGGAAGAATCCTTACTTAATAAGTTGCGGGAAATCGTGCGAGCATGGACAATGATATACAAGGGAGCGGGTGGTGTTTCATGAGGTAGTGTTAGTGGGTGCGTTAGGGACCCTTCGATCGACTGCTAGCATCAAAGGCTGTACATGGCTGTGAACTGGGAGACCTGCATTATTCACTCGAGCCAACAGGCCCTAGTCGAAGAGGGAATAGATCGAGGGCCTAGCGTTGGACGTGCTGGAGGATTCCCTTCCCTGTCGCCATCTTGACTTTCTGTGGCCCCGACGTGCCCGAGTGAGCCGTCGAACCGTCTCTCGAGCGTGCTCACCTGGCCAGTCAGCGGCGCGGGGGCTCTGGCTCAAATGGAGGTGGGCATGGAGAAGGTTGGCGAGCAGCAGGCAGAAGCTTTCCATGCGCTGCGCTCACCCCCAGAGCGACAACGGTCACAACTCGCATCTCGAACCCAGCACGCCCACAGTCTGCCTTCGCTGTTGCTTCTCTGTTGCTATATCTTGCATTCGACCCAATCTGCATCATTCTGCGACGTGAAGCAGCGAACAAAAGCCAAGATGGGATGCATTCCTTGCGCGTGGTGCGACAATGGCCTTATCAAGATTGCAAGAGTAACCGCATACCCACCCGTTGCCGTGTATGCTTGAACATGGTCTATTGATCCTCGAACGGATGGGATATGCACCTGTGGCTGGTGTGTGGGAACAGACGGCTTGCCTTTCACGTCCATGGTACACGGCTACGGCCATACGCCTCTCGGAACATTGCTTCCCATCTTAGATAATGCCGGCCATTTTGCGTCATCCCGAAGAGCGGAAGTGGCCGCGAGGCTCTCTCGCGTGTGCTGCTGCGCTGCTGGGAGGCTCACTGTACGAAGGAGAACGAGCACCACCTCGCGCTTTCGTATAAGACAGGTACGTACTGCCTTCGCCCTCTTCACACCTAGTCTGCTCTTCCTGCGGGAGTCCTATGTGTTGTGACCCAAATTGGGCGACAGCTGCCCACTGACTTAGCCTCCACACTGGTTAATTGAACTGGTAATGCCGCAGCGCTCTTGGCGGAGAGTTGGGGCCGCTTTAGTCCATGATCTTCAGCAAGGTGGATGTCTAATCAAAGGTCGGCCGGAGTCAGGAGCACATCACCGTCGAGCCAGACCGGGAATCGAGAGCCACAGGCTCGAGAAAAGACACAGGTCGAGACGAATGCCTGACAAGCCGCGTGAGGATCATCGGCTCCTGCACCGAACCAGCCACGAGCGATCGGCGTGGGACTCTGAAACGCGTGTGAGTGATTAGATAATTTGGCCGTTGGATTTCCTTCCCTGCCCGCACGCGCAAAGGTCGGGAAGCTGCCGAGATGCACGTGCAGGGACCAGGATGGAGAGCCCGGCCACTCTAGAGCAGAGCTTCATCTTGTCGGTGCTATTCTCGTCCTCGATCTCGAACGGTGTCTCTAGCGTGTCGAAGTCGACATTTGCGCCTGAATCGCTGCCAATCACCATGCATCCGCAGAGGTTGAATCGCACGTTGCAAACGTTGCCGACTGCAGGCCAGTCTCACCAACCGGCGGTCAGCCGAACGTTTATCGGACCTCATGTGGAAAGTCACGCAGGCCAACATCTCCAAAGAAACGGTTGTGTTTCAAGGTCTGCCGCAGTCGTGAATGCCCTGCATGCGCTGTTGACATCGTGAGAAGCATCGTCGGTCGGGCGTCAACGGCATGGTCGTGGACTGTGAGAAATTACCACATGGTACCCCCACACCAGGCGCATGCTAAGATGATGGTCCCCCATTCAACATTGACCATGCATTGAAGAAATTGTCGGTGAAGTCGAGACCCGCCGAGCTATCAAACTTTGGTATGGTTCGAGATCTGCTTGCTGCTGTGCGGCTCGTGGGTTCCTGAAGGCGTGCTTGTATCAGCGCCATTCGCAAGTCTGTCCATCCTGCAGTCGCCGGCTCTGCGTTTCGATCGTCAACAGCAAAAGCCCTGCCCATGTGTTCCTTCAACAACCATTCTTAGATCAAGGCGATGGACGGATTGGCGCAACGCCGCGGTGTCATCGACTGTAAGCATCCGGGATGGTTTGTGGGTTAGGGCGGTGGTCGGCGCATTGTCGCGATATCACGCCCCGACAGATACCGGCCACTTCCCACCGATGAAGCTAACGTGCTCCATCAACTGGGGTAAACAACGAGGATGTGGATGTCGTCACATTCCTCCCGGTAAACCAAGCAAAAGTCGCAAATAGCAGCGGGAGGTTCCTATATGCACGTTATTTCATCCTTCGCAGAGAACGCGCTGTTTCATCTTTTCGACCAACTCGAAGCCACCAGGCGATGCATACCATCGACCTGGGCTCTGCAGATGACCACGGCAAGATAGGCTGCATGCAACTTGGCACGTGTTGAAACTCGGCAACTTCCCGCCGAAGAGGAGGAAGATCTCAGGCTAGTCCCATCGATCTCCAGTGGTATGTGCGCCGAGGAGAGCGCACAATGTGTCTGTATTCGGGCATTTTCTACGGGACGATGGCAAGGGTCTTCGAAATCGGCGTCTTTTGCGGGATATTTACATGGGCTCGACCCCAGTGCTCCTACATGAGAATCATCAGTGGCAGGAGGGAATCATTCAATCCAAGAATAAACGATCGCCAGTCCATCAGTCGCCGACCCGTTTCTGTCATTCTCCTCGTGGTTCCTACAAGGCTGTCTGGACTGTCGATCGAGGATGTGAAGACTCCGCGGGTTGCAGATGTGCGGGTCACCTGGTGACACGGCACGGCGAAGAAGGCGTGCGTAAACTCGGCATCACTCCGCTCCCCAACCCACCAGGCTTCCCGGCGAGCCGGCCTCGACTTACCGTAGTCAACCCCAGCGCAAACTTGCAATGGGCCGTCGAAGATGAGCAACGCGTACGGAAATGGAAATGATGAAACACTGGAAGCAATGCCTACTGCAGCATCGATCTGGATTAGCCACAATGCAACAAATCATAGCAAGAACTGGCCTTGCAGGGGGGTATCATCCAACTCAACAACATGCTGTAGCCACCAATGCCATACTCCCCCACCAGTATGTCCCATTCTCCCAAAGACGCGGACGTTGTAGGAACGCCCGCGCCATCTGAAACTCTGCTCCTCCTGCATGTGAGGGAAATTCTGATGATCCATAGCGGTGAACATTGTGGCGAGCGAAGTGCCTCCACGCCCGCGGGCTTTGAAAGTAGGAATTAGTAACGCCGGCGGGAGAAAGATCTCCACGGGCCATCAGCGGCAGCAATGAGGGTGGGAGGATCAAGCCATAGTCGGGAGACCGACATTGATCCCGTTTCCAAATTTGTCCATGATCGTGAAAGCCGTTGTTTCGAAGTTGACCAAATCACACGGCATGCAGTCCCATTCTCGCCTGCGGACATTGGCACATTCGAACACAGTGTCCACGTTCACCCGCCTCCGAAGAGGTCAGCGACGCTCTCGAGCCCAGCATCGTCCCCATTTGCAAGTGCAGGCCGCTGCTCAACCTCCATGTACTTTGGCTGCACCGTAGCCTTCTTCACGGGCGGAGCCGCGATCTTGCCAGCCTCGTGAATGCTAACACCCCTCACGCCTTCCAGCAAGTCCAACACCAGCGAGCGCAGCATCCTCTCAGCCGGCACAGGCTGCTTGCATATACGTCCCAGGGTTTTGTCGACCTTTGCGGCAGACACGTCGGGCAGACTGAGCAAGACTTCACGCGGCGTAGGTGTCTTCGGCGCGTACAGGAGCAAGATCTGTGCGATCAGAGCGGCCAGATCCTTTTGCATGTCGGCGAAGTATGGTTCGTTGAGGGAGGTGATGCAGGCCTTCAGCACTTCTGTCGACATGAAGTCGCGGACTTGTGGCGAAGGTGCTGTCTCGGATTGGAAGAGTGGGACGAGCGTACGGAAGGTGCGACAGATGGTCGTGCAGCAGCGGGTGTCTCGCATCCGAAGCGCATGCGTGCAGAACAGCATCAAGGGCTCGAGTACCGTCGGATCTGCAAGGACAATGTCGCTTACCAGAGGCTTGGGTACCTCGTGTCCACCGCTGCGCTTCGATGGAGGCATATGAGTATCGAACTCCAGCAGGAAGGGCACGAACGAGACCACAGAGAAGGTAAGCTGACGCAGTACGCTCTCTAGCCTCATCTCATCGCCCAGCGTATCCTCTTCCGTTTTCTGCTGAGTCGCGTGCCCGATCGCCTCCCACTCGCTGCTGATCTTTGTGTCCATCTTGTTGAAGAGCTGCGTCAACAGAGGCGGCAAGAAACGTCCCCGATAGTGCGGCGGACACTTTGACACAAGTCCGGTCGCCAAATTGATGACTGAGTGGAGGTGGTTGGCCGACAGCGCGCCAGCATCGGCGAACAGAGCATCCGCCAATGGCTCCGCGACATCAGGTATGCCATAGAACTGCTCTTCGAACTTGGTCATGAAGTAGAGCAGATGGTACCCCTGCTCGCGGATGTTCCTCGTCGTACCTCTCACGGTCGACGCAAACCCTTCGAAAGAGTCCTTCGAGCCGCTGATCCGCGCGTAGAATTCATCTCTCGTCTCATTGGAGATGCCAGACTGCCAGAAGCGATCTTGCAGCGTCCGCCTGACTACCGCCTGGATCTCATCAGGCAGATGCGACCAACTGGCCATATTGTGGAAGGCTTGCGCATGTCGCAGCAGACGCAGCAGATTCGGCAGGATGATAGGGATGACATCGCCCCACAGCGCACAGCCTGTGTCGAACTCTTCGGAATCTGTCCTCAGCTTCTCTGTCGTCGCTGCAAGCATCGACTTCGTCATGCGCAGCGGCAGCGCATCGCTCTTGGCCTTGATGCTCGCCTGCCTCGCCTGGCCCGCTGCGTCCAGCTGCTGCGACGTCCAGTCGGCCACCCGGTCAAAGCCGTGTGCTTTGTAAAATTCGTCTAAGCCAGCAAGATCGAGGCTCTCGCAAAAGGTCTGCAAGCTCGAAAGCGACGCGCTAAACGCCTGATCTTGCCAAGCATCATAAACGGGCTGCAGCATCTGCTGCAAGCGAGCGAGACGCACGTCGTGGTTGATGCCGGCGGCCCGATGGACGATCATGAAGAGGAAGGCCTTGTAGCCCCATACCAGCCGGGAATCGTCGCTGTGCTTTTGCAGTAGCACGCCGATGCGTGGCTCCAGCTCGTTGTACACCTCGAGAAGCTCGTTGGCGAATGTGATAGCAAGCTTCTGAAGTTCCAACACACGCAGCCCTTCGAACTGCTTGACGGCTTCGGAGTAGGTGGCATGCTGAGGGTTGTCGTAGAGACGCATGGTAAGCAGATGTTGCACGATGTGTAGCACGAAGTTTGGCTCAGGCCTGATGGTGCGAAGAATGGCGACTAATGTCTGCAGTACCTGGGCAGCAACTTCGGGATCGTCAGAGTGCGTGTTGATCACATGGTAACACCATTGCTGCAACGCCTGGGTCGTGTTCGATTTGTCGGCGTCTGCTCTGGCATGGACTTCGTCTTCTGGGGCGAGAGCAGCAACGTCTGCCAACCACATGGAATAACCCTTCAAGGTACTCGACACAACCTGGTACTGCGCCTCAAACTGCAACGTAGGTAGATTGGTCTTCGAGTACGACGCAGAATCGAATCCTCGGCCGCCAGTATAAGGTCCCGCCTCCAACATCTCCCGCATCTGCCCTAGCACATGCGACAGCGCTTCCAGAGGCCGCGTCTTCGCGATGGACTGGATGACCGTGGTGCAGTACCGTCGGTAGTTGCCCAGGAATGCGTGCCTCTCTGGCATGGTGTCGAAGTCGTCGTAGAGAAACTGGACAGTCTCGTCTTCGGAATCCTCGGGTTCGGATTCGTATCGCAGCATCCTTGAGCTACATGTCTGTATCAGGACGCCGAGTGCTTTGACAACTATCTCGACGATGGCGTCGTCTTGAGAAGCCATGAGCTTGGTCCAGCTGTGTAAGACAGGGATCGAGACGTGCAGGCTCTTGTGCTGGAGCACCAGGAGTAGGAGGTCGAAAAAGGCGGACGGGTCTTCACCATTTTGCTTGATGAGATCGGGATGCTGCGCGACAGCGTCTCCAAGTAGCGAGAGTACATCCGACAGTTTCTTCTGCAACGTATACTTCTGCTCGTCCTCGCCTGGCTGGATCTGCACACTCTCAAACGTCTGCCTCAGCAAAGCCACGCGATCCTGCCGTAGCATATGCTGCATCTGTGAGAACCAACTGTCGTGCCAATGCTGTCCGTATGGCCTGGCCAGCAGAACATACAGCACCTCGGTGGCCGCAAGCTGCAGCTCCACAGTGTCGGTATGGAATGGCAATGTCAAGCAGTCCACCGCGTTCGCCTCGACGACGCCTTTCAGATTGATCCACTGCATCGTCGGGCGCAGCGCATGCAGTGTCTTGACCGCGCAAAAGGTCATCGTCCTGACAAATCCCTGCTCGCCACCCACCCTCATCTGCTTCACGCAATTCGCAAAGAACTCGCACATGCGAAGCAACCAGCCCACCTCGCCGGATCTGATCCTGCTCATCGGATGACTGCTGCCGTTGCCGTTTTGCTGCTGAGCCGAGAACTCGCGGTGCAGACCTTCCGGGATCATAACGTCGTTCAAGCACGCACCCAACACATCCAGCCTCAGCCCCGCCACCGCATCCTCACCGTTGATGATGTCCTCACTCAAAGTCTCCAGCACCGACAGTACCAGCAGCTTGTTCGCCGCACCCTTTTCACTAATCGGCTTGTCCCACAACGTCACCAGCAGAGCATCCATGTCCGTCCACTCGTCACCCCAGCACCTCTTCGCTACCTCCGCCCATAGCTGTGCCACCTTATTGCGGATATACAATGCATCTTGCTCTCGAATGCTGCCTGCAAGGAACTTGACCCACTGCCGTAACTGCTCTGTCTGCTCGCTGTTGTATTCGCCCCATCTGTACCGGACTGCGTATTCCAGCAGCTGGAGACCGTAGTACCGCACCGCATCACTCTGCTTCCAGTCGTCTGCGAGGGTGAAACCGAGGTGAGGGGCATCTGGCTGGTGCTTCACTTCTTCGAGGTGACGGAGTGCTTGTTGGCGGATGTCGTTGGTCACTTTCGGATCGAGGTTGGCGTGAAGAGCCTGTTGAATGGTCTCAAGACGAGAGCTGGGTGAAGGCGTTTGACGCCAGTGTGTGTCGAAGGCGCCGTCGTTGTTCATCGTGGCGGCGGTTGGAGTTATGAGGAAGGTGAGAGAGTGGAAGGTGTGCGGTTGCGGTTGCGGTAAGAAGTTCTAGGCAGTCATGCTGAAAGAAAGACGACCTCTTAAGGAGTGAGAGGTAAAAGTGAGAATGTTGTGCTGTAGCTGTAAGGCTCATACTTGTGGGACATGATCCAGAAAGTGAAGACGAGGTCACATGTCTGAATCTCGAAAAAGCGGCGCTAGCAGACAAGCTGCAGATGCAGATCCTAGCGACTTTCACATGACAGTGTTTATTTGCATGGCGCATGACGATGGGCAGAAAGCAATAGATAGAAGCTGTACATGTGCGCTCCCTCGCAGGTATAAACGGCTCACATAACCGAACAATTCCTCCCCATCTGCCAGTACGCCTCCAAGTACCCCTCCTCCTGCTCCTTGCCTACCGCAGCACCACCCTTCCTCTTCAACCCCTTGATCGTAACACTCTGCTCGCCCTCACCATGCCACCACTTGAACACCTGCTGCTCCGCGCCCTCCACCTGCTCCACCGTTTCGATCATCCACTTTCCACCGCTGACCTCAACCTTGGTCTCGGACTGCGGGAAGTGGAACGCTGGCAAGAAAGCCTCAGTAGGGCTGTCTTGGGGCGTGGGTGATGGAGAAGTCAGGGAGAGCGTGAATGTACAGTTTTTGAGATCGAAACCGTAGCTCGAGATCGTGCCATAAACGCAGACTGGTGAGGGGCGGATATAGGCTTCCGCAGCGCGGAAGCCAGGAGCGCCGTCTGCGAGTGATGTCGATGGTGTGATCGGCTGGACCATCTCGTTAACGGACAGTGTCTTCTGGAGAGTTCCTGGGCCGACGGGTGCGCTGCGCTCACTCTGGCTTTCAGAGTAGCTTGGACTGCTCGGGTCGAGGCTGAGCTTGCTGGACGAAGCGCCACCCTCTGCTTGTCTGGTATGGCTGGCTGAGGGCAGAGATCTGTCTTCTCTGCAGTAGATACTGAGGTCTTCGCCGTTCCAGTTGTCACCCCAGTAGTGCGTGTTGCTTGCAGTGTACACCCACCATGTCAGTCCTTGAGCTTTGCTGCCTTCGACGGCGTAGAAGTTGGCATCTACAGCAGCAATTTGACTGCTGTAATCGCCTGTCTGATATGCTTTCTGATCGTCCATATCATATGGTATGCCGATCTCGGTGTACACGGTGGGGTGGGTGCCCATGTACTCTTTGCCCTCTCTGATGATCTCTGCTAGCTGGTCCTTGAAACAGTTGCGTATCGCCGTTTCGCCGATCTTGATGGCAAACGCCGGCGAAGAATAGCGACCTCGTAAAATACCCAGTACGTCCACGTTCCATAGCCTGTTCCATTTCTTCATGATCAGAGTGATGCCGTCGTAGAAGTGTGACGCGAAGACCATGTTCGGGTCATCGTCCTTCGTCCCTTTGATCGTTGGAGGTATCTCGAAAGGTCCAGACTGCATGAACATCATAGCTTCAGGCCAGATATCTCGGATTGCTGTTCGATGGGCACGGTAGTAGTGCATGAAGTAGTGATCTGTCCAGTATTCCTGATCAAGCTCGTCTCCAGTCTTCGGATGTTTTGTAAAATACTGTGGTAGCTTCAGCTCATCTGTAGAAGGATCCCAGACGCCGTGTTGTGCCCATATGCATTCTCCCAGCTTCCATGAATCTGCTCGTTGCCAGCCATACTCGCCGTCGTCCCACTCTGCCGGATCTAGCCATGCGCTCTCGCCTTTCGGATCGACGAGCTGTGTGCCACTTTTGTAGGGACCAAAAGAGCCAAAGTCCCAGGTCTCAATCTCACAAGCCCTGCCTGAACCGGTCAACATCGCCTGCCATGCCGTGGGAGTTGTGAGCTTGCGCAATTTCTGCCACTCAGGCAGCTGGGCCAGATCTTCATGTCCAACATATCCCCGATTGGGCTCATTGATGCTCTCGTAGCCGATCACCACATCGTGCTCCAGATCGCCAGCTTCGTGGATACGTTTTGCGAGACGCTTGTTCGCGGCCATGAAATGATCTTGTAACCAGTCCTGGATATTCTTCCCGTCAATCACGCACTTCGGCGCAAAATCCTTGCCGGCGAAGAACAGCGTCATCATGGTCTGACAGGCCAGTCGCTGATAATTGGTCGCCCAGCACATCTTTGGAAACGTGGCAGGGTCCGGCCATGTGTTGTGCACAATAGCAGCTTGGTTATTGTGCAGCTTCTTAGGATCCAGACCACAAGCATACAGTGTCCACATTGGCGCCCCGGAGCCTCCCGTAAACCTCGACCAGACATCCTGATGCGGGTCCATGAAGATGTAAAAGCCATACTCCTTCGCTATCCGCAAGATCTGGATCGCGTGGTCTATGAAGTCCTCATCATACTTCCCAGGTCCCGCATGCTCCAGCGCTTCCCAAGTGTACACATATCGAATGGTGTTGAAGCCCCATCGTCTTAACCGTGAGAAGTGCGTGTGTGCGTCTGAGACAGAGAATGGTCTATCGACAAAGGAGGCCTCGTCGCCTTCGAAGAAGTGCTCGCGTTCATGGCTGGGCACATCCGGGTGAGCTGGGTATTTGGTATCGCCGGCTACGTTGATGCCTCGAAGGGTCACCTCACGGTTGTGCGAATCTCGAAAGGTCGAACCATCGATTCGGAGGCGGAACGGTGCCATAGCAGAGTCGTATCAAGATTGCAGGTGGTGCTCAAGTAGAGCTTGGAGATGATATATGGCTATTCCATGGTAGCCGCGAGAGTCGTACGATCAAAACTTGTATGGCACTGTCCAAACGCGCGGTCGGCCCCCTTGTGTGGTACCCTTGATCGTGGTTCTCTGTGTTTTTATTCGTACGAAAGCAAGTCCTAAAGCGTTGGCAGAATGGCTTCAAACTCTCATCGCCGCGGAGAGCAGACGTTGGAATGAAGGTGGATTATGACGCCTCCCGAGGTGGCTTGACTTCGGCCCGCAATCGATCATCGCTTAATTTAGACTTCAGCCGGAATCCGGGGTTGCCTTGCATTGCATACTTGTCCTCTTCAAAGCGAAGAGTACACTTCGTTCTTTTTCAGGACCCTCCTCCGTCTTCACATCATAGCCCAACATGATCATACGGATACCAACCATCGCCATCGGCGCTCTCTGCCTCTCCTCCGTCCCCTTTGCCGCAGCACTCAGCGCCAGCGAGATACCGGCGGACACGCCTGTCTCGCAACTGATCGCGAGCGCTAATGCGAACCTGGCTCAGGGCAATGCCCATGATGCGCTGACGTACTTCGACATCGCTGTGCAACGGGATCCGAGCAACTACCTGACCATCTTCAAGCGAGGCGCAACATATCTCTCCTTGGGGCGGAATTCTCAGGCCAGCCGCGACTTTGATCAGGTGTTGCAGTTGAAGCCCGGGTTTGAGGGTGCGTTGACGCAGAGGGCGAAGATCAAGGGTCGGAACGCAGACTGGGCTGGGGCGAAGAAGGACTACTTGGCCGCTGGCAAGAAAGATGGTGAGGAGCTGGCGCAGTTAGACGAGGCGGAGGGTGCGGCGAAGTTGGCGGCGGATGCTGAGAAGGCGGCAGACTGGGAAAACTGTGTGACCCATGCGGGAACGGCGATCCTCGTTGCCGGCACATCGCTTGAACTGAGGCAACGGAGGTCAAGATGTCGGTTCGAGAAGGGAGAGGTGATGGAGGGCATCGCAGACTTGAACCACGCATTGCAGATCAACGCTGCCTTGACCGAGCCATACCTGCAAATTGCCGCGATGACATACTACTCCCTTGGTGAGACGGACAAAGGCATCACAGCGATATCAAAGTGCCTACACAACGATCCAGACAACAAAGCCTGCGCGAAACTCCGGAAGTCGCAGAAAGCAATCGACCGGACATTAAAGAAGTTCAACCAACTTTTCGAGAAACGACAATTTGCATCCGCAATTAAGCTATTAGTCCCACAAGGCGCCGAAGACCCAGGCCTCCTCCAGGAAGTATCGGATGACACAAAGGCATGGCGGGAGGCGGGCTACATTCACCCGCAAGCGTCATCCGGCCTCTACGGCAACCTCATCGACAAGACTTGCGAAGCCTACTACGAGATGAACAACGCCAAAAAGGCCAACCAGTACTGTGGCGAAGCTCTCACTTACAACCCGACCTCTCTTCCGGCCCTCTTCAACAAAGCACAACGACAAATCGATGCAGACGACTTCGAGCCGGCCATTTCGACACTCAACATCGCAAAGGAACACCACGGCGCGCAGCATCCCAAAGTCAACGAGCTGCTCCAAAACGCACACAACCTTCTCAAGCGCAGCAAGCAAAAAGACTACTACAAAGTCCTCGGCGTCTCGCGAGATGCCGACGAGCGTGACATCAAGCGCGCCTTCAGGAAGCTTACCGTTCAGAACCATCCAGACAAAGCGCACCAGAACGGCATCACGCAGGAGGAAGCGCAGAAGAAGATGGCGACCATCAACGAAGCGTACGAAGTGCTCAGCGATCCGGAGTTGAAGGCGAGATTCGACCGCGGTGACGATCCGAATGATCCGCAGTCAGGGCAGCAGCAGCCGTTCCAGGGCTCGCCGTTCGGGTTCGGAGGGGGAGGCCAGCCGGTGTTTTTCCAGCAGAGAGGTGGAGGAGGTGGTGGCAGCTTCAAGTTCCAGGCTGGAGGAGGAGGAGGAGGGTTTCCGTTTGGTGGTGGCGGAGGGTTTCCGGGTGGTTTCCCGTTCTAGGCTGTTATTGTTACTTTGCATGATTTTGGCGTTGGGTGATACCATCACGGAGAGCGTCGCATGGGAGGGTAAAGTGATCATGGCGTTATGTCATTCTACGCTTCATGTAGATACCTTACAATTCAAAGATCACCAGTGGTGCGTACTGCTCAACATCAACGACATTTCGTTAGAAGTGACTGCAAACGCTCGTTCCAGGACCCCTCTCCCTCTCCACTTCCGCATTAGGCAGGAGCTTTTTTCAGTTTCGAAAAACGTATTTGCAAAAGTTCGAGTACATGTACCTGCATGTACCCAGGTGTTCGTCAAGCCCATCCGATCTTCTAAACATACAAAACAAGATCCAAAAGAAATGCCGAAGCATTCAATTAAAAGTGCCAAAGATTGATAACGCGGCGTAGTGCGGTGGGCCAAGGATTCATCTGGTAAAAGGCAAGGTGAATGCTGATTAACCCAACCGCGCCGTCAGAGTCTAGATTTCACAAAAATGCCATATATCACAAAGCAAATTTGCCCTAGCTTCTGCCGAAGGCCCTGGCGCTCAACTCTCGTTCTTAGCACTCTCCCTTGCTCCAGTAGTCCGTTTCGGTGTTTGCATCAATCTTATCAAAGAGAACTTGATCCCGTAGGCAGCGTGCTGGCGTGCTGTTGACCGTACCGACGACGTGGAAAGGTCCGTGTCCGTAGGAAAAACGCCGGCAAAGGCAGGAATCAGGAATCGTCTCTATCCAGACCTCACTCTCCTTCTCTTCCACTCAAGCATTTAATTTGCAGGTTAAGCAAGTCGTCAAGCTTCGGTAACTGTGAAGGTGAATCGATCAATGCCTCGAAGCCGCAATTGCCGCTACGGCTGGGAGCTCAGTTGGAGGGCAACACATCATCCGGCGGGGCAAAACGACATGAGCTGGGATGGGAACGTCATGGTCATCAACAGCTGCCGGGGATAAAATGCAATGTCCGCCAGAGTAGATGTGTATTTATGTGGTAAAGCCGTGTAAGAATACTCTAACTACTCCTCACAATCCATTTCCAATTCTTCGGCGAATACAAACAAGATAAGACTTCCACCATGGCCTCAAAGTACCCCCAACGCAAAATCGGCGACGACAACGTCTCCGCCCAAGGCCTAGGATGCATGGTAAGTGTAACCGGTAGAAGGGTATCTCTAGTCTTGCTATACGTTGTCTCAAGACGAGCGGTGCCCTGACAGTACCTGCCCGACATTCCCGATGTTTTGAGACTTGCTAACCCTTATACCGTTTGATTTAGGGCATGTCCTTCTCTTATACTAGTTTCGGCGGTTTCGACAATGAGCAGTCGTACAAAGTCCTCACCAAAGCCGCGGATCTGTGAGTGAAGTTGGGTGGAACACGCATGTGCCGCTGCTATTTCTTAGACCTGAACGTCCCCAAGAGCTTGCCGGGCGAGATGACCTTCAAGGGGCGTTTCACCTACTAAAGCCTTCGGACAAGTAGGAGATAGTAGCCGGCACTACATCCTCCTCTCCCAATACAGCAAGGATATCAAGCTGACGTCTTTCAGAGGCGTTTCGCTTTGGGACACATCGGACGTCTACGGCCCACACACCAACGAGCAGCTCATCGGGAAGTGGTTCAAGGAGACCGGGCGTCGAAAGGAGATCTTCCTCTGCAGCAAATTCGGCAATCTGAGAGTCAACGGACAGCCGGCCGTGAGAGGCGACAAGGAGTATGTGCGTGAAGCGTGTCTGGCCAGTCTGGAACGGTTGAATACGGATGTTATTGATCTGTACTATCAACACCGTGTGGATGACAAGGTTCCGATCGAGGAGACGGTGCAGGCGATGGCGGAGCTGAAGAAGGAAGGGAAGATCAGGTACCTAGGCTTATCAGAGTGTTCGGCAGACTCACTTCGGAGAGCGCATGCGGTGCATCCCATTGCTGCTGCGCAGATGGAGTACTCGCCCTTCGCGCTGGAGATTGAGTCTGAGCAGACGAAGTTCCTGAAGACGGCGAGGGAGCTTGGAGTTAAGGTTATCGCGTACTCGCCGCTCGGTCGTGGGTTCTTGACCAATTCGATCAAGAACCGCTCCGACTTGGACGCAGGCGACAATCGACTCAACCACCCGCGGTTCTCTGAGGAGCACTTTGGTGAGAATTTGAAGCTCGTGCAGATTTTGGCGGATATTGCTTCGAAGAAGGGATGTACAGCTGGACAGCTTTCCATTGCTTGGGTGATGGCGCAAGGGTGAGTGTCAAAAGCAATCGAAAGGCTCCTTCCTGCATTTGCTGATCGGACGTCACAGGGACGACTTCATTCCTATCCCAGGCACAAAGCGTGAGAAGTACCTCGAAGAGAACGCGGGCGCCGCCGACGTAAAGCTCAGCAAGGACGAAGAGGCAGAGATCCGCAAGGCGATCGAGAGCACAGGCGGATCGAAGGGCGAGAGGTACCCGGCTGCCATGATGTCCAGGCTTTTCGGCGACAGCCCACCGTTGAAGAAGTGATGGATCTCACGGGTGGCTGTTCATGGTTTCGGAGTGCCAACCGTGCCAATTGCTGAGGCAGGCCCACAGGTAATTTCATCATCTGCGCCTATTGTCGAATCGTGAGTGGCGAGTTGGTTGATAGATTTGTTGAATCGTTCTGGAGGAGAAGCAGTTGTCCTTCCTATTTACTGGACTCCACAGTTCCACAGCCATGTGCGTGGCCTGTCCTGGGTGCTCTCCTGACTGATGATCCGCTCCTGTCATGGTTCTCCTGTTGTAGGTTGGCCCCGGTGGGCCTTTCCCGCCCGATGCGGCCTTTGCAGGATACGAGAACGAGAACTCGGCCTGCCGCGATCTCTCCGTGGGGCCGAAGATACTTCTTCCTGCGTGACCATGTTGCGGTGGCATCCAATATGACTCGATAAGGTCCAGCTCGTCCAGCTCCAAGAAGCGCCCGTGGTAATGCCCAGCGTCGGCGACAAGTTCTCACCGCGCCCCTTGGTGTGTGATGGCCGAGTCAACTGCAGCATCCCGAAGAGCAAGGCGTTTGCCATGTGGGCCTTTCCAGGAGGTAGGTTTCACAATCGCGTCTGGCCAATGGGAGAAGTCTGAATTTGTCTGAGCCTGCTTCTGGGCGTGTCGCTCGTTTTGGAAGCGACGCTAATGCCAGGGCTTAAAGCTACACTACATAACCAGCAAACAACACCCACCACGCTTGTCAAATCCTTCCTGCAACCACTTCCTTCCCTTCCTGCGCTCTGGACAGCAGCACCCGCTCGACTCCCCACGCTCATTATCAAGCGAACCAGCCCGGCACGGCATCAATAGTGCACCACCTTCTCTTCAGCCTCCTTACATTCCTTTAAGAGGAACGAGCCAATCGTCCAGCATTCCCCGGCATTCCAGCACCAGCAACACAACAGAGACGCAAGACGTCGCCTGAGTTCTCAAGCAGCTGATCTGTAAGTTCGTTTATGCATTCACATGTGTCTTTGACGGCCATGGTTCCCTTATCACGCGGACATTGAGCATTCGCACAATGGGTCACAAATAAGGCTCCCCGTCAATCGCATCTCGAAGATCGCAAAGAAAGAAACACCGAATATCAACATACAAATCACCATAACACTCGCTGACCGCCGCGGGACGGCAGCATACGAAGCACCACCAACACAATATCATCATGAAGTTCAGCATCGCTACCACCGTGGCGCTGTCCATGGCCGCCGCGGCAGTGCCGCACGGTCGCCGCCACCAGCATCAACACCCCAATCGCCGTGATGTGGTCGTCGACGTCGTCACTCAAGTTGCGACCCAGACTGCTCCAGTCGCCATGGTTTACGTCGACCAGAACGGTGCTCCCATGTACACCTCCTGGAACCAACAAGGCCAGAATCAGCCAACGACCTACGCCCAACCCACTCCGACAGCTACCGAGGCACCGGTGGACGCTTCTAGCTCCTCCGCCCCATCCAGCTCAGAGGCGCCGGCCGACTACCCAGCAGCATCCAGCTCTGAGTCAGCGGCACCTCCTGCTTACACTGCACCCTCCGGTGGCGCTGGCGCTGGCTCAATGGGCTACGGCATCTCCTACGCTCCTTACTCCAGCAGCGGCGAGTGCAAGACTGCCGACGAGATCAACAGCGACTTCAACTCCTTTGAGGGCTACGGTATGGTTAGGATCTACGGTACGGACTGTGACCAGGTTGGCAACGTTATCAAGGCTGCATCATCCAAGGGCATGAAGGTCTTCGCCGGCATCTTCGACATTTCTCAGGTTGAGTCTGAGGCGCAGACCCTCATTGACGCTGCCAAGGGCAACTGGGACACTATTGACACCGTCTCCGTTGGCAACGAGGTCGTGAACAACGGCGGATCTGCCTCGGACGTCGTCAATGCCATCAGCACCGCCCGCAGCATGCTCAAATCCGCCGGCTACAACGGCAAGGTCGTTACCGTGGACACATTCACTGCCATGATCGACAACCCCGAGCTCTGCCAAGCCTCCGATTACGCCGCAGCCAACTGCCACGCCTTCTTCAACTCCGACATCACCGCCGACCAAGCTGGCGAGTACGTCGCCTCTGAAGCCAAGCGTGTCCAGCAAGCCTGCGGTGGCAAGGACACCATCATCACGGAATCCGGCTGGCCATCCGCCGGCGACCCCAACGGCTCTGCAGTGCCCAGCCCAGAGAACCAGAAGGCAGCTATCAGCTCCCTGCGGAACCACTTCTCCAACAACATCGTCCTCTTCAGCGCGTTCAACGACGGCTGGAAGGACGACTTTGACGGCAGCTTCGGCGCCGAGCGGTACTGGGGTATCTATGGCAATGCGCCTGCGTAGAGCTGCGAGAGATCTTGAACGAAGATGAAGTGATTGCATAGCGTACGAGGTTCGCTCCATGAGAAATGAATGCAATGAGGCGCATCCGTGAAGGGGTTATATACAGTGGCATGGAGAGCTCGGTGCTCGGTTTGCATGAGTCTTGCAAGACTACCTTTCTGTAGAGCCCGTTGAACAGAGAAGTTTTTTACCATCATCTTTGATCCTCATTGTCTCCTTAGCAAATTCTGTTCCAATTGCATGTGAAGGTGTAGATGCTCTGTGCTTCGTGGAAGGACGAGAAGGAGTAGCTCTCGTGACACTGATCGACAGCACCTGACGCAACTTGATGCAACAACAACAGCTCTCGGTACACACCTGCTGTCACTCAAACGTAACAACACACATTCAAGAGTAAGGACCAATTACACCCTCTTCACCATACAATCTCATAACTTCGATACACCTTCAAACAATTCAACCTTCAAAACGCAGTCAAAACAGCTCCTCGCAACCCTCCTCGTCCTCACCACCGCCATCACCCTCACCCTCTTCTACCGCACTACCTCCTCCCTCTCCCCCCTCAACATCGGCAACCAAGCCTCCACCCCCGCGCGCAGGAGCCTAACCATGGCCTGGCGATCCTCCGGCGCCTCCAACGAAGCCCTCATCGAGAACCTCTCCCGCCACGGCCTCATCCCCTCCGACCGCGTCAAGAAAGCCATGCTAGGCGTCGACCGCGCGCACTACGCCCCCGCCGCTCCTTACCAAGACTCCCCGCAGTCGATCGGGCATCGAGCAACGATCTCTGCGCCGCACATGCACGCTTCGGCGTGTGAGTCGCTGCTGCCGTACTTGAAGCCTGGGTCACGAGTGCTGGATATTGGGTCCGGATCGGGGTATCTGACGCATGTGATGGCGGAGCTCGTGAAGCCTGGGGGCACGGTGGTGGGGGTGGAGCATATTCAGCCGTTGGTGGATATTGGGACGAACAACACGCGGAAGAGTGGGGAGGGCAGGGAGTTGATGGATAATGGTGGGATCAAGTATGTGAAGGCGGATGGAAGGCTGGGGTATCCGCAGGGCGCGCCGTATGACGCGATTCATGTTGGGGCGGCGGCGTCGGATTTTCATCAAGCGTTGATTGATCAGCTTAAAGCGCCGGGACGGTGAGTACACTTGCCATACCAAAGTTTTGGGGTTTTAGAACGCTGAGGATGATGGGAGGCTGTTCATGCCGGTCTCGAGGCCTTCGATGCTGACGCGGGTTATTAGGCTGTTCATTCCGGTGGAGGAGGCGTACATGCAGCACATCTATGTGATTGACAAGAAGGAGGATGGCAGTGTGGAGAGGAAGAAGGAGTATGGGGTGCAGTATGTTCCCTTGACCGATGCACCGGTTGATTGAGATATACGCGCAAGGACGTTATCTCGACAACTTCACGAAGACCACTAAGAAAGTGTCTGCTTTATCAAGCACGAGCATCTCCAGAAGAGGGTACCGCACTCGCTCCAGTGCGAACGACACGAGGCATGATGACGCAAAGGAGGAAGCGAGGCATGTACCATAGTATGTATTAGTCCGCACCAAGGTGTCTTCCAGCTACACGAACATCAAGTAAGCCACTTTTCCACTTTTCCACTTTTCTCCATCCAACATCCACCCCTTCAGCCCTATGTCTAAGCCCACACCATCTTCACCTCCATAGCCGCAAGACTCAAGTCCGCCATACCAAGCGCCCCATACGCCCTCACACACTCACAAACCAAATACCTCACCCTCCACACCGCCCTCATCAACTCCTTCGGCTCATCCACCGTCCTCCCGGGAATCGGCAACTGCTTCCCACACACGACCTTAAAATCCACCTCCTCCTCCCCTACTCTCCCCGCCACCCGGCACACCAACCGCACCTCCGCCCCAGCCCGCCACCTATACAGCTCGAACCGCCTCATCACCTTTACCGAGCGCGCCGGGATCGCGGGTAGATTGATCCGACCCCAGGTCGCGGCGTGGAAGGCGAAGCTGTTGCTGCGGAAGAACATGTGGTGTGCTTCGTGGTGGATTTGGCGCGACGTGAGGGAGAGGGCGAGGTAGGCGTCGACGGTGGAGCGCTCGTTTGCGACCGGGTTAATCAGGAGGTTGGTGTAGATTGCGGTGGGTTGGGTTAGGAGGTGGGAGATGATCATGTCGCGGAGTTCGCGGGGGAGGGTGAGGAGGCGGGACTGGGGTTGCTCGTTGTGGGGTTGGATGGTCGTTTTTGCAGTTTTGCTGCGGCGCGGTCGTGTGGTGTTGGGCTTGCTGGCGGGTGTTTCGGCTGGTCCGTCGTCCCTGGCGTCCCCTCTTGGATCGCGATGGCCAGCGGCTTTGCATCTGTGCAGCGGCGAACCGAAGGTTTGCTGTTGTGCTTGAGGTTCGTAGGGTGTAACAGGCGCGGTCACGGCAAGGCTGGAGGGAGACGCAGGCGTAGTGGAGTTACCCTGGGTTGGAAGGCGGTTGAGTCTGCAGCGCTTGCCCCAGCCATGTCCTTCGCGGTTACATGGCTTGTTCGTTGCGCGTGTCCCAGTAGCACGTCTCTCGATCGCCGGGCCAGGCTGGTGGGCAGGTCCGTCGATTCCGGGTTTCGAGGACAATGCGGCGACTCGATGGTCTTTGTTGTTGTCCATGATTCTCTGTATTGAATGTGGTGTGTTGAGACCTGGGAATGAAGATGCGTTGAAGTCCACGTCGACGAACTGCGCGCTTGTGTAAATTGCAAAGTAGGGAGGAGAAGGAAGAAAATCAAGTTCTCACCAGCCCGCGATGAATGTGCGACAATGAAATAAAATGCCACATTGTGCGAGGAAGGCTTACCGTGGTACAAGCCCTCGTGGTCAGCCAATTCACATGCGTACCATTCGCTCAACCTCACTAAGTGACAATACTCCACTTCTCACCATCATTCCTCTTCACCTGCCCCTTCTTCTCCATGTCACTCAGCAATAAGATGACCTCTTCATCTCCATACGTGAAAGTCGGCAGCACCATCTTGAGCAAGCTCGTGATACCCATCATCCCACCAATCTCTTTGGCACCCTGGTTGCGCAGCATGTTCGCAATGAATGTTTCGAACATCGGCGCGCTCTCGCGGAACATGGCATCCTGTGATTTCACTGCTGAGATCATGTCGTCGTGATGCTGTGCCTGTTGATGAAGAGGTTCGATCTCCATGTCCAGTCTCTCGAGGACGGCGTATGCGCCGGCCGATAGCTGGAACAGTACACTCTTGCTTGTCCAAAAGTGGAGTGCGTCCATCACGAGCTCCTCGTCCATCTGCAGCATCTCGGCTAGTTGTTCTGCGGTCAAGCCGACAGTGTCATCGTAGTCTTGAAATGCGTCGATCACACTTGCTCGCCATGCTGGAACGTCAGACTCTTCGATGGTTCTGTCTTCCAGATCCAACCGGACTGACACACGAGCCAGTGCTGGACGGAAGTGCAGTCGGCGCTGGCTTCCGAGCTCTCCGAATTTCTTTTCGAATGTGTTTTGCAGCGGCTCTAATGCTTGCGGTATGCGGAACTCGTCCGATCGTAGCTCGGGCCAGAAAAAGCTCGAGAGGATCTGAGTCTTGAAGTTGATCGTGCCGTTCTTGCTGAGCGAGGCTCCGGTCTCCGCAGGAGCACCAGTCCGCTTCGGATAGTAGAGGTCGCCGCGCTTGTTGGCCACCAGCTTGACGGCAGCCATAAACTGCGAGCGCTTGATGCGAGTCTGGAACAGCCTGTACAGCGAGGAAAGAGTGATGCCTCCTTCCGTTATTGCTGCTTGGATCTCTTTTGGCGTAGGCGCAGCATCTGTCCCATAGTTCGCCAACGGATTGATACGCTTGCCCAGAGCTACAGAATCTCGCATGTCTTTGAGCATGACATCCGCAGCCTGCAGCTTCGTGGCGTCCAGGCGTGATTTCAGGAGCTCAACCAGCCTGGTCTCCTTGACAAAGCTGGGATCTGTTGCGTGCAGCAGATGCTGTGCCAGTACACTTGTGACCTCCGTGATGAATTCCTCCTGTTCAAAGAGCCCAAGTATCTGAGCAATGACGTCTTCTGACTTGGAAGAGCGGTAGTCGGGGCCTGCGTCGATTGGATCCGGCATCCATTCCATGTCATCCCAGTTCAGCATGTGGTGCTCGCTGCTACCCCCAAGTGCTGTGTTGGAGACCTCCAGTGTGATGTCTGTACAGACTCGATCGACTTCACTCGTAGCCACGTTCCCATTCTCGTCCACATCGGCCAGGAAGCTCACTGCAATGATAGTGACAGTGTCGTCTCGAGCACGAAGATAGTTGCGAATCGGCACTGCGACTTTCTCGAGGAGCACGCCTCGTCCGTCGAGCGCTTTAAAAGCGTGAATGACGTTGACATACAAGCCTAGGATGTCCGAAGTACTGGCGCCAGCATGTAATAAGCGTCGCTGCATCTGCTCGATAAAGCTTTGGCAGACGTGAGCTTTGTCCGTCTGAGTACCGGCGCTGAGATACTCCCAGATGTCCAGTATGGCTCCCGTGCTCGCGGGCCAGGCTTTGACGTAGTCGAAAAGCGAGCTGGTCCTCGAATGGCCAAGATTATTAACTGCAATTGAGGTGAGCTGCTCAGCGTCTGCAGCACCCAGCTTCATCCAATTATTCCCTTTGAGTGCTGCGAGCGCCCTTTCGACCTGCGGGATGACCAGGCTGGACATCCAGGAACGGAGCCTTGTGAGCACAGATCGATGACCAGTCCAGTCCACTTGAAAGCATCGTCGCTCGATACCTGGGCCTTGCAACAGCCTGTGAATGGCTTGTGCAAACGCGCGTTCGCCAATCAGTCCTCCAAGACCGACTTCATGGAGCTCGGACAGCGGTAGTTGACTCAGATCGAACTGGCAGTGACATTGGCCATCCTTGAGACATCTCTCGGGGTTGCTCGACTGCAGCAGCGACTGCTCGAGACGCTGATAGATGACACCAGTGAGGGTCTTCTGCAACCGTTGCTGTGGAAGGGAATGCAGCACCAGAGTATGAAAGCTGCGCAGCGCTTGTGTTCTGAAGGACGTTACATGATCCTTTCGTCCTCCCGGCGGTATGCTCGATATTAGGGTCTCCAGACGACTAATGTAGTATTGTTGTGCATTGAGGAGCAACTGCAGCGTGTCCCGAAGGACATCATTAGCCTTTGACAGCGGGATCGGCTGCTCCCAGGCCTGCAACTCTGGAAGAACAAATGTTCGCAAGTGCACACCAATTTCGTTCGCGTACCAAGCAGCGAGGTCTTTCTGAGACTGTCCATTCTGTAGCAGGTAGAAAAAGGCTTCAAGGATATCTCTCCCGACTGGTCTGCCCTCCTCGGACTGTGTTGAAAGGGCGAGGTGTCTGGTCGCCGTACTCCAGGCCCGAGTGAACCTCACAGTCTCGTCGGGCTCCTCTCTGAAGCTGCCGAAGCCTCCGAATGGCGCACCAGGGGACGAGATAGAGCCAATGTTTGGTGTTGACTCCGGAGTAGGTGTGGTGAAGTTGGTCTTGGGAAAGACCGACAGGAAGAGGCTATCATGGCGGTGTCCACTGGAGGGACTCGCTACCGCTGCCGCCATGATGCATTTCCGGCTGTCGTTCTCTGGTCTTCCTGGTCTTCCTGGCTTTATCGAGTGATGTTGATCGACGCGAGGCCTCCACGCGATCACATGACTGACCTAGCGTTGGGTTCGCGCTTTCTTCACAAGCGCCGCGGTGTGACGTAGACAGGGTTGGAAACTTGAACTCGGCATTGAAAGAGTTGCACGGCACCTGCCTCTCGCAAACAACAAACTCCTCCTGCTGTACCTCCTCCTCCTCCACAAACATTTTGCACCATCCATACACCACTCCAACCAACAGCATGTCTAAGAGATCAGGCATGGCTAACGGCGCGACCAAAGACACCGGCAGCTCCAGCGCGGGCAAACGTACGCCCTCCTACTCCCTAAACACGGCCTCACCAACTAACAACCCTCCAGCGCAGGACAAACAAGCCGTCCTTCTCAACGCTCAGAACCCAGGCCACTTCAGCCTCATGCGCGCCTACCACCTTGCCGACTTCATCACGCTCATGAATGGCTTCTGCGGCTTCATGTCCATCACCTCGTCCATGCGCTACTGCATCAACCCCACCGACACGGGCAAGTTGTGGCTGGCGCTGGGTTTCATGCCGTTCGGTCTGTTCTTCGACTTCTTCGACGGGAAAGTCGCGAGGTGGAGGGGTAAGAGCAGTTTGATGGGGCAGGAATTGGACTCGTTGGCGGATTTGGTATGTACACAATGTCCCCCTCCGCTATAAGGCATGAGTGCTGACAGTTCTTCTAGATCTCCTTCGGCGTCGCCCCAGCCAGTTGCGCCTTCGCCATCGGCATGCGCACGGCACTCGACCAACTCCTGCTCACCGTCTTCGTGGTTGGTGGGTTGGCACGTTTAGCACGCTTCAACGTCACGACCGGCAATGTCCCGAAAGACTCTACCGGCAAGGCGAGCTACTTCGAGGGTCTGCCAATTCCAACGAGCTTGACGATCGCCGGTTTGATGGGCTACTGGACGTACCAAGGCTGGCTGCAGGACCAGATACCGTTTGGCACAGTCGCACAGGGGACGCTGTTGGAGGTGCATCCGATTGTGGGACTCTTTGTGGTGCACGCCTGCTGCATGATCTCGCGGACTATGCATGTCCCGAAGCCGTAAAGGTACGGAGGGAACGGGAAGCAGAAAACGGCGGCCGAAGCACGGAGTTGGGCAAGCGACGGTGTTGGTTCGTAAGGATACCATAAGGCATGCTTGCTATAGGTCCGAAATGAGACATGTGATTCAACATCATTCGTGCATTCATGCTTTACGTAGTTGCAAACACCGCGCCAATGCACTGACTGTATGCAAGCCCACCATGGCTTTCCAACACAAGACCCCTATGCTATTGCTCCGGCACACTCGCCTCCGGCTTACTCTTACTCTGATCCCTCAAAAACTCCTCCACTGCCTTCCCATCCATCTTGTCAACCGCCGGATCCTCCTTCTTCGCCGGCGCTGGCTCCTTACTCTCCTCCTCCTTCTCCCCTCCCATGCCCACAGCACTCATCACAGTCGTCGGCAACTGCTTCGCCTGCTCGAGAGTCTGCGCCGCCATATCCTTCGCCTGGTCCATCGCCGTCGGTTGCGGGTCTTCGGGGATCTTCATCGGGTGTTCTTTCGGCGCTTGTCCGACTGTGTTCGGTTCCATGATCGCTTGCTGCTCCCCTCCGCTGTCGGTTTTGGTCGCGGGTGTCCCGCCTGCTACTTGGCCTTCTGCGTGCGTGCCGGATTGTTGCACGTAGCGAGTAGATGATGTGCCTTCTCTTGCGGCGGCTGCCGCGTCACCATTGCTTTCCGTCATGCTTGGATTTGCGGGCGTCTTGTCTTGTACCGCTGGTATTTGCGCTGATGTTGTATGAAACAAACTCTTGTTATCCGCCCTGCCAGGAGACAGCGCCAGCCGCGCAACGCCCTCCTTCGGGTGGAGCTGTCCGATGACGTTGTTCCTTGGCTTGTTGTTCTCCGTCCCGATGGCTGTTGCGACCAAGTCACCATCCTTGTCGTACTCCCATTTTATTGGTCCAATTGGGAGAGTGCGGTGGCCTTTGTACTCTATATGCTCTTTCCATCTCAAACTGTTGGCAATAGCAGGTTCGAGACTAGGCATATCGCCGAACTGCCATTCGAGAGTGCCGCCGTACTTCTTAGGGACGTTTTCGAGGTCGACGTATTTTGCCAGGGTGGAGGCCATATCGCTCTCGGAAAGGATGAAGATTTTTTGCTACACCAGAGCGTCAGCCATGCCACTACAATGACTTCTTAGTCTCGAGAACGCACCACTGTGATCGGGTCAAACCACTTCTGCGCCCACTGCCAGATCGTAGGGAAAAACGAAGGCGCTCCAATGACGAATATCCTGTCCAGTGTTTCCGGGTAGTATGCTGTAGCCAGCTTACTCGCATCGCTCATGTGGTTGCGCAGATTCCATAGCTTCGCGAATCCAACACCTCCAAGGTCGACAATGTTATTGCTCTGGCTGATCGGAGTCTCTGCATTGGCGCGGTTTGGTATCGCAGAACACAGTGGAAGGACGAATCGGCAGAGGTTCTCGTAGAGCGCAAACAGCTTCAGCATCTTCCATGGCACTTTCGTGTTGGTTGACTGCTTCTTGTTGTCCTTGCTGCTCGAGTACGCCGACACATCCTTCGCATTGATACTATTGATCTCGTAGACGTAGAGTGGTATGCCGCGCTTGTCTCGTCGTCCCGTCCATTGTGGGTAGAGTTTCCTCGTCTGGTCATATTCCTGAGCGTCTATTGTTTCATACAGCTTGTCCAGCTGGTTCTCCTTCCGCCAATCCTCGGTATCCTTGAATTGTCCGAATGCCTGTTCTGGCACGAACTTGCGAGCTCTCAGATATCGAAGGAGAGTCTCATCGTCGTGAGTCGGTGGAGTCTTCTCATCGCCGGGGTCGTAGTAGCCTTTCTGCTGCGACAGTTTTTTGAACCGATCGAGCGCTCCTATTTGGCCTTCTGATAGATGCGCGACATGTCCGGAGGGCCACTGTATGACAATCAGCATCAAAGTTCGAGAGGGTAAGCTTCTTGAGGAGGCATGGGCTTACCTACTGTATACGAGTTGACTCTGCTGAGGTCCGCGCCGTCTGCTGTGTCGCCCATTGCAACTTGCAAAGAATGTAGCGGCTCAGATCAAGATGCAGATCTCGCGCGACATCATATATACTTCATCACAGATCTACGGCGCACATGCATCTCGGAAAACCCGGAGGCCTCGGGATGACGCTTGAGACAGCTGATGAGAGCAGCCAAGTCACGAAGCCGGACATTTCGAAGACCCATATCCGACTCAGATGGGCATCTCGGCATCCAGACATCTCTCAGTGGCCGCAACAGGAGACTGGTCGTGCTGTTTGTCATCCTCGACCGAGAGAATCGAGTCTACGGGCGTATTGTATTGGTACTCAGCTTACTACAAGTTGACCAACCCGTCAGTGCCGGTCTTAACATGTGGCAATCTCGGCATCCTGTCTCGATGCTGAGCTGCTGCGGTCTGGTAGACGGCGACCATCCGGCCTTGTCCTTCTTAACAGCGGAGTCAAGCATACGAGAGCTATACGACTACAGACCACATTGCAGATTCCTGCCAACATGGGTCTAGCTCGCACGAATGCAGAGAGCCGCCCCCTCATCACGAGTATAGCTGTGGAAACATAACCCGGTAACTCTCGTATATCGTACATGGCTAGGTGATAGTGCCTCAGTACGGTATGGCAGCCTCATTACCAAGCATCGAACAGTCCCTTCCCACGCAGAAAGACCTCTACTACGCAGGCGGCTGGCATAAGCCTAGAAACGGCGACTACAGAGACACCTTTAACCCTGGGAATGGCCAAGTAATTGACAAGATCAGTCATGCCGGCGTCGACGATACCGTTGCCGCAATCGAAGCAGCCAACAAAGCATTTCCGACATGGCGAGCAACACCTCCACAGCAGAGAGCAGCGACCATGCGGAAGGCAGCCACAGTCCTTCGAGAGCATGCCTCAGATCTGGCACTCTTGGATGCCTATAACACTGGCAATCCCGTCGCAGAGATGCTTGCCGATGCCAATGTCGCAGCAGCGCAGCTTGACTACTTTGCTGGACTCATTCCAATGCTCAAGGGTGAAACCATACCAGGGGCAGACGATCACTTCCATTACACGCTGAGAGAGCCACTTGGCGTGGTAGCTCGTATCGTCGCGTTCAACCATCCTGTCATGTTCGCTGCCGGTAAAATGGCGGCACCTCTAGCAGCTGGAAACACTGTGATCGTCAAGCCCCCAGAACAGGCTCCTTTGTCGTGTTTGCGGCTAGCAGAGATCTTTGCAGACGTGTTCCCGCCCGGTGTGGTCAACGTTCTCCCGGGCGGCGGCGAGTGTGGCAAGACGTTGAGCAGCCACAGACTGGTCAGGAAGGTGACGCTGATTGGGAGTGTATTGACGGGAAGAGCTATCGCCAGATCAGCAGCAGATACGCTGAAGCCGACGCTTTTCGAGCTAGGCGGCAAGAATGCTTTGATCGCTTTTCCGGACGCAGATATGGAGAAGCTGGTCGTCGGTATATCGAGAGGGATGAACTTCACCTGGGCTGGCCAATCTTGTGGGTCGACTTCTCGCGTGTTCCTGCACGATTCGATACATGATGAAGTGCTGGATAAGGTAGTCAACTACGTCAAAGCTAACTTCAAGCCTGGAGTACCGACCGAGATGGCGACGACAATGGGTCCCGTGATCAGCAAAGCAGCTGAGGAGCGGGTACTCGGCTACATCGAGTCAGGAAAGCAGGAGGGCGCAAAGCTGGTCTGTGGTGGTCGAAAGCCAGACGGCGACGACAAAATCAAGGGCGGGTACTTCATCGAGCCCACGATCTTCTCGAACGTCAAGCCGGAGATGAAGATTGCCCGGGAAGAGATCTTCGGCCCGGTCATGTCTATCTTCAAATGGACCGATGAAGCTGAGATGCTGAAGCAGGTCAACGATACGGAGTATGGTCTGACAGCATCGATCTACACGCGAGACATTGCAACAGCTCAAGACGTTGTGCGGAAGGTCGAGGCTGGGTTTGTTTGGGTCAACCAGGTCGGCAGGCACTTCTTGGGCGTACCGTTCGGCGGCTACAAAGAGTCAGGCGGTGGTCGGGAGGAGAGCTTCGAGGAGATGCTGTCCTTTACGCAGATGAAGACTGTTAATGTTTCTATTGCGAGGTAGTATGAACAGCTTCACATCAGCGCACCGGCATTACTTCGCCTTCTCGAGCGCAGACGAGTAGCCTTCGGGCAGCACCCGAACGTCCAAGACCACTGTCTTGCCATCCTTGACCGCCTGTACAGCCTTCTCAAGCGCACCCTGCAACTCAGAGGCCTTTGCAACCTGCTTGTCCGACACGATCGTGCACCCAAGCCCATCTGCTATCTTGTGAATATCAGGAGCTGGATCGTCAAGCCTCATGCCAACCCATTTGTTCTCGACCGGCCGCCCACGATGCTTTGCGACTCGCTCTTGGTGGACTTCGTCGTTGTAGTAGCTGCCATTGTTGGCAATGATTGCCAGCAGAGGAAGGCGGTACCGTGCTGCTGTCCATAGTGCACTTGATCCCATGCAGAAGTCGCCATCACCGATCACAGCCACCGGTAGTAACGAAGAGGAGATCTCTCGAAGCCCTAATGCTGTCCCCACGACTTGGCCAGGTCCGGACCCGATTCCCGCACCGCCATCCATTCCCATGAATGCCAACGGGTTTGGAGCTCGTAAATCAGCACCTTTCCAGCCTAGAGGTACTCTGACGAGACATATCTTGTCCGATGGTACGACGGTATAAAGTGCATGTGCGAGGTCAGACATGAAGATGTCTTCGCCTCCCGATCCTCCTGGCACTCCGTTCATCACCGCACTCGGATCTGCTGGTGAATCAGGCCAATCTCTTGGTTTCTGCTCTGTGTTGTCGTCGGCCATCAGAATCGAGCTTATAGTAGCATCAGGATCCGCCCTGACCATACGGTCTGCCGGCGGAAGGCCAAAGTGATCTTTGGACCACCCATTGTGTAACGCGGAGTCCAAGGAGACGTGGATGACTCTCGCCGATGGTTCCACTTTAGGGTCATGGGCAGCTTTGAGAGCACCTGCAAGATCAACCCAGTCCCAGGAGATGATCAAGTCTGCCGAACGGATGATCTCAGACGTATCTGGTGGGTTGAAGATGCTTGGTGCTGCTGCATGTAGTCGATGCTCTGTTGGGAAAGCAGCAGCTTGCTTCAGGTCTGTGATCACTCTCGCACCGTGCCTTTCGGCCAGCTTGACTCGTTTGTCCCAGGAGCTCTGCGACTGATTCACCCTCCCGAACATGAACAAAGGTCGCTTCGAGCTTCGAAGAGCCTCAGCTATTCGTATCGTATCGTCGAGGGAAGGTCCAGGAGGCGAAACATTCAGATATCGAGCTGTGTCCGGAAATTGCAGGGTCTTCGGGTCGACTTTATCTTCCTGCAGACCAAGATCAAGGCAAACGTAGACTGGTGCACAAGGCTTCGACGAAGTATACGCCGTTGCTTGCACGAGACTCGCAATTGCCGCGTTGGGCGAGTGCGGCTGGTCGTCGAACTTGATGAAACCGCGAATCATGGCTGCTTGGTCGGTTGCTGTGTGTAGCCAGTCGATCCATGGACGTCGTCTCGTGGCGTCGACTGGTTTGGTAGTCGCTGTCAGCGGGATGTCTCCTTGATTGATCAAACGACTTACGAGGTCCAGTCGCTCCAAGAATCAACATCGGTACCCGATCGGTGAATGCGTTATAGATGGCCATGATGGCATGCATAAGGCCGACGTTCGCGTGTAGGCCAACAGCCATTGGTTTGCCCGTGACTTTAGCATAGCCGTGTGCGATAGCAACTGCGTGCTCCTACGGCAGCAGGTAAGCACGATGTTGTCTGAATGATATATCTAACCGTTGTCACACCTCATGAAGGCAAACCAGCATCTCAGGCGCAGCATTTCCTCTGTAATTCACCAGACTGTCATGGAGCCCACGGTACGAAGATCCCGGCACAAGAGCCATGTATTTCATATCCAGTCGTGCAAGCTGTTCGGCAATGGCATCACTGCCATATCCAATGTCTGCATTGGAACTCGCGGGTGGTTTGTCCGACAGTCGAGGTCCATGGTCCTGCTTGGAAGTAGCCATTCTGTTCAACCTGATTTCGTTAGTGAATGGGTCTGGTAATACTCGAACAAGTATCACAGTTTGCTGCGGTTGTTGAACTGTCACGGATGGTCAACAAATAGACCGGGTACCTTGTGCTCGCCGAAGACGGTGAACGCTTCTCCGCACTTTTCTCGTCTTCCCACGAACGTCAAGTGCAGTCATTAAAAGTGCTTCGTACGAGGTGGTGCAGAGAGTTTGTGTGCAAAGACAAGCTGTGCGACTGATACAACTGAGCTCAGGTCAGCAGGCTGCTTTGGCATGAGTCCATATTAGAAATGACTCCCGCAACCTCAAAGGCATTCCATCAAGCTCAGCGGCCCGCCAAAATGGACTCATATTCTATATACCAGACACAAAAAGACCGTATAGAGCACAGCCCATCAGGCGTGAATATCGCTAGAACTGATCGACTTGCGCACAAGTATGACCCTTCGGACTGGAGCGCGACATTCGTTGGCGACATGTACTTCCAAAGCATTTTCGACGCAGCATTGAACACTGTACTGCAAGACACTGTTAGCTATAAGACTCTCTGTCTTCCTCGAGTATACCATCGACCTTACCATAACCTCCAACATCACCAGCCTTCGATCCATCGAACCACACAACGACCAGGCTTCACTCCACGACTTCGTACTTGGCCTTACCAACACCCACAACTCTCAACTCACCCATACGCACCATGTCTTTCAGAGCCATGGCCACGCAAGCAAACGCGGCCCTCGAACTCTCGAGTGAACTGCCCATGCGAATTGACGACCTCCAAGCCCAGACCACAGCTGGCCAGCAAGCAGACGTCGAAAAGAATCCAGCCTTGTACCAGGAGTACGGATTAATCCAGGGAGACCTCATTCTCCGCATCAAACAACTCCAGGCCCAAGAGCAGCTCAACAGCGCTGGCCAGACGACGTTGCAGGCGCTCAAGAACCGACTTTTGATTCTCGACGTCCAAATGGCCAGTCTTACGAGGCATTCGAGCCCACAGTCGGGAGAGCTTGGTGCAGGGGCCAGTAAGTCAATGGCTGGTGGAAGTGTGACGGCGCATGGCTGCGGATGGAAAGGAAGTGCTGATCACCTTATGCCTCCAGAGTCCGGTGATTTCCCAGCGGATGCTGAGTCCTCAACGACTGTAGGGGATGGTCAAGTGCCCGCTGGGAGCCTTGCAGACATCATCCCATTGCCCGTCATCCCAAAGCCACCACCCCAGGTCAGCGAAGGCTCCGAGGCTGTCTCCGAGACACCAGCATTGAGATCGTCTTGGCCGCTCTTATACCGGATCATGGACCTCGATCCGAAGACCCCGGACGGCGTCTTCGACAAGGAGCTGAAACGGTGAGTTTGTCGAGGTCGTATTCGCGCTTATGGATGGTTTTGCTGACCTGAACCACAGCTGCCTGAAGGCGCTTTTCGACAGACACTATCCAGGCGAATGGCCGAACGATCGTTGGGCGCCTGGGCGATGGGAAGCCTGTGAGAAAGCGTACCGGATCCTCGCTGAGCCAGCGAGCAGGCAGTTGTACGACGATGACGGGGAGGTGCCATCCAGCCTAAAGGGGTATGACGCCACGCAGTTGCATGGCAGGCATGTCGCAAGAGGCCTTAGTCATATGGTATGAGTAGACATCCAGGCATGGTTCGCGGGGGTGTTTGAATTCTGTAGATAATTGATTCTGTATACTTGTCAACTGGCACTATGCATCCTGCTAAATGGGGTATTACTTCGTTCATAAGATCACCACCCCGAAACGCCCGCCCGATCACACGCTGAACGCTCTCATCGCCACAGCCATATCTCATTAGCTCTCCAGCTCGATAGGTTCAGCCCTTCCTCCCAAACAACCGCCCAAAGCCGAACTTCTTCTTCTGATTGTTGTTGCAAGCGAGCTGATTGACTGGCCAGCCATTGGTGTAAGCCTCCCTATTGAGGATGGACATCCGGTCGAAGTCATACGGCTCAGCCCACTTATGGAGAGGTATCTCGCCGATCTTCGTCTGATCCGATGCAACTGAGTAGTAGGTCGGTGTTGGCTTTCGTCGCCTCGGGGGAAGGTCAGCACTTGAGACTGCTGCCATGTTTGGAATTGGAGGCATGGGCTCGAAAGTAGGTGGCAGGGTTGATTGCAGGCGAGGCGTCGACTGGGCTGCCCTTCGACCACCAACGTTCGACATGATGGGTTGGCTCTCGAAGGCACCGATCGACTGCTGACGACGAGCCTTGGGCCGCTCAGACGCCAGTTTCTCCCGCTTCGAGGTTTGAGGAACAGTGTCAAAGGCTGCGTACTCGGGCGGTGGCGTCGCCAATGGCGTCGAGACTGCTGTCGAAGACTCAGAGGCGCTCTTCGAGTGTGATGACGACCCCGAGCTTGACTTCTTCCTCCGCTCGCCAGGCCTGACCAACGCTATCTGCGAAGGTTTCGACGAGTTCTCGATCACGACCTGCGCGATCATCGGACCACGAACTTTAGCGGACTTGGTTGGAGGCGCGCGCTGCTTCTTAGGAGCATGTTCCCGCCCTCTTGGAGCAGCGACCCGGTTATCGGTGTTCTGCCGGTCCTCAGGTGCGATCGCCAATGGTCGCTTTAGACGTGCCATGCGCATGAACAAATGCCTGAGTGTGCGACATGTATCGACTCGAGAGCGCTCAGAGAGATCCGTGAGCGACTGGTAGTCCAGCTGCACGCCATTCTTGTCGTTGCTCAGGAAGGATGAGATGATGCTGACCAGGCCAGTGTTTAGCCTGAGGATGATCTCGGCCAGGCTTGTCTGTGCGATGGCTATGAAGATATGTCAGTGGCAATGCCCACCCGCCGTGCGTCTTCCCAAGCATACCGTCTCCAATCTCAAAGTCTTGCCCTGCCCCATACACGTTCCTCTGGTACTCTCGCGCTATGTCCTCGGGCCCTTGTCGCAACGATCTTGACAGGCTCAACTCTTCTTCGTCCACTTTATCCAGCTTCTTCGACCGCTTTCGCCTCCGTCTCTTGTCTCGAAGCTTCTTGAATACATCTAGACCGTTACTGAAGGATCCTACGATCGATATCACGCAGCTTGCGACGTTGGTGTACGCCATGGTGAGTGTATCCGAACGTTGTTATTGGGAGGCTGGGAAGCTCATATCCAAGACGTAGGAGGCCTCACAACGTCGCACAAACCCAATATCAACTCTGTGCGCTGTCACCGCTGCCTGTGCGGAAGCACGTGGACAACAATAATATTATGCATGCCGGCCGTCGAAGCGGCGAACCTCGTCTAAGGCTATGAGGCTTGCTGGAGCCGTGGCCAGGCGCAGAAAGCCTCCGCTCGCTACATTAGCAGAGCGCGAATATGGCCAGTAGACAGCCGCTTGACGCAGGTCCGGCGAATAACAACTGCTGCCCTGCATGTGAATGAAGCTAACATGGGACGATTGGACCGCGGATGCAGGTTTGGCTGCAGCTGCGACTCTGACTCCTCGCAAAAACGGTCTGTGCTTGCGGTTTCGTCCTGAAATGGAAGTAGACGTTGTCGCACGTGATTGACACCGGCATCGCTTCATGGCCTGCCAGGTTCTCGGAGAAGAAGTCGCACCTGAAAGCAGATACATTATTTTTCTACGGACCAGCTAGACAGTAACAATGGACTGTGTGGTCATCGCTAACCTCTAACAGTGCTCCTGAGGTGTAGCCATGTAAATCATGGCATAGCCAAAGCTCGTACTCTCAGGGCCACAGCCTTGTCACGCCCAACTCTCCTTCCTTACAGCCTCGTTGGCTCTCAGACTAAGTGTATTATACCAAGGTAGGTGAGATCGTTTCTCCGTCCATTTTCCACAGTCAAGACAACAGAATGTGGCTCATCAATACCCGAACCCGGCAGCTAGAAGAATTTCAAAGCGAGCGAGAAGTGAAATATGCCATCCTCTCCCATACATGGGGAACCGACGAGGTCTCTTTCCGAGAGATGAACACCTTTTCCTCCGTCGGGAACAAGCGCAGGTATCAGAAGATACTCGTTACCTGCAACCAAGCACTGCAGGACGGGCTCTCCTATGCTTGGCTGGACAGTGTCTGCATCGATAAGTCTAGTTCGGCAGAGCTTTCCGAGGCGGTCAACAGCATGTGGCGGTGGTATGAGGCAGCCGAAGAGTGCGATGTATGGCTCGAGGATGTGCCGGCCTCGCAAGCTGAAAAGCAAGCAGTAGACGCCGAGGAGAGGGAGCATGATCTGTCCTGCTTTGTGGGTGCATCGGCTAAAGCGCTCTTCCGTAAAGCACGATGGTTCACTCGGGGATGGACACTGCAAGAGCTTCTCGCTCCACGTCGCCTGCAGTTCTATGATCAAGGATGGTCTTGGATCGGCTCTCGCAGCATGCTGAGTCCCCTTCTCCACGAGATTACAACGATACCCTTACCGCTACTCGAAGGAGGAGATTCTTCTTGCCGCATCGGAGATCTTCTCGGGGAATACAGCATCGCGCAGCGCATGTCTTGGGCGTCAAAGAGGAGCACGACCCGGTTGGAAGACCGAGCCTATTCGCTGCTCGGGATATTCGACGTCAACATGCCGCTGCTATACGGCGAAGGATCGAGAGCATTTATGCGGCTGCAAGAGCATATCATGATGAGCTCGACGGACCAGTCAATCTTTGCATGGACTGCAAACGTCGATGCCAACTCGGACCAGCTCCTCGCACAGTCACCAGCGGGCTTCGAAGGCTGTTCTGACGTGCATGCCACCTCGAACTGGCATCCGACTGAGACATATGAGCCCACAAATCGTGGCATACGGATCTCACTCCCGCTGGTAAGACTAACAAAAAAGGACTACAGGCGCTGCACGTCAGACCTCTCAAAGGATTTCGATATCTGGGACCGCTGGGCAGCTGAACTCAACTGCATGAAAGGCACGCAGACCCTGTACCTGATATTGTCTAGAGTACCGCTTCTCCCGGAGCTCAGGGACGGATATCATGAGTATACGGTGGTACCCATCGGCCCCAATCGCCTTTTGACGGCCCCGCAGCACTTTGCTCGCGCGCGAAAACAGTCGATGACAATTTGGAGCAGCTGGCGATCGCATGCGTTGAGTAGGCTTTAGTCAGATAGGAGCTGTAGGCCAGGTAATCTGGCCTTTGAAACTTCAGGACCGCACACAGGGAGTCTCAGATCAAGCAAGTGCCAGACATGCTAAGATCCATCTGCTCATGAGGTGGATCTGTGTATCACGCGCGGAGATCTCAAGTCTCGTACGTGCCTCATGGGGCTTAGATTCACTCAAGTACCATTGTCATGTATTCCCACAACCGCACTCCCCAGAACCGCCCCCCCAACCACCCACGCCGGCCACCAAACCCCCCAAACCACCAACCCCGTCCACACACCCTGCGCCACCCACCCCCTCGCCATCTCCACCAACAAACCGTCCAGCCCTAACCTCCCCAAACCCATCCAATTCTCCGGATCGATCAAACCCGGCAGTCCGGAAGCCACAACGTATAACACCACCGGCGGCGAGATGAGGAAGTAAAGCGCCGCGCTTGGCAGCACAACTACAAGCGACGCGACGAAAGCTTGCGCGTCGTCGACTGTTCGTTCTTGCTTCAGTGACCCGGTGGTGAAGAGGCGTGGTAGCGGGCGCAGGAAGGAGAGCGGAGCGCAGAGGAGGCCGATGATGAAGGCGAGGCTGAAGTTGATGGTGGCGAGCATGCTGAGAGTGGCGCCGAGGAAGAGGAGGGAGAAGGATTGCAGGATTTTGATTTGTTGGGTTGGGAGGCGGGAGAGTTGGAGGGAGAGGTAGAAGGGTAGGAGGAGGGTGGCCAGGGCGATAAAGTGGAAGGCCGAGGTGAGGTACTGTGCAGAGTGTTAGTCACTGTAAGGAAGTGGTTGACAGGGTGGAGAGACTCACAGAACGATTGAGATTGTTCAAGAGGTACAGCGGCACCAGGCCCGCCAAGTGGACGCTCAACAGGATGGTGGCGGGGAGGAATATCTTTCTTTCCGCCGCAACGAGATCTGATTTTGGAACCAACGCCAGATCGTCGCCATCGCTGACGAGCTCCATCTTCTTCTCGGTCGCTTTTTTTCCATCCTTGCCCAGCTGCTCGTCACCCTTCGACGCCTTACCACTCTGCACCCAAAGCGCCAAAGCCGAGATGGTGAAACTGCCGGCGATGATCATGGCAGCTGGGAGATAATTCCCAATACTCACGAATCGATTCGTGTTCAGTAGAATGTAGAAGAAGAAACTCTGATGCAGGTGCTCGAGCAGATTATTGAGGCTCCGTACCAGACTTTCTGTTGCACGACCAAGGCTCATCTCATCGTGCCAACCGTCTCCCACTGTACGTAGAGTGACCGCGTCAACGTGATACGGCATGAACGCGCTGTGCGGTCCTGTGGCGTGGCCGGCCGATTGCGTGAGCAAGCCTTTGGTGAGGGTCAGGAGGCGGTCGGAGTATGTGTCGAAATGGTGGACAGTGTTGTGAAGGACACAGCCGATGCCCATCTGGCTGTTCGCAACGGATACAGCGGTGTTAAGAAGATCGAGATTGGGCAAGGCGCCGTTGATGCCGTCGTACAGCACATCGAGTTTTTCGAATCGTTGGCCCCAAGGTCCAGCTGGGTAGTCCAGCGCCACAGCGCCCTGCAGAGCACCTGCTTTGATCGGTAAGGCGCTGATATTCCGACTCGAGGTGGCGATGGAAGAAGTGCTGTGGTAGGCTGACACCCACGCCTCGGGTCCGTATGTGCTGTCGTCTGTGATGAGGAGAATAATGTCTTTACTCCAGATACTCCAGCGCTTGAAGTACCGCACCAGACTTAGAGCCAGCGCGACACCAGAGTAATTGATCTGCCCATCGAAGTTCCTCCATGCCGCCATCAGCACCATCGCCTCTGTAGCATCCGCCCTCGGGCCCTGCAATAGCCCATAGACATTCATCCCCTTAATCTCCTCCCCTGCAACAGTCCAGCTATATTCCTGCGTCGCAGCCTTTAGCCCAATCGAGCGCATCTCATGCTCCAGGCCAAATATTCTGTCATGGTCGCTGCGTTCGGACAAGTGCCAGACTTCCTGCCTGTAGGCCCGGAAAATGTTGTGTTCGCTGCCGCCAAAGTAGGTGTGGACTTGGCCAGGCAGAATGGCGTTCTCGGAGATGTATGTGCTGCGGGAGTACTCGTTCAAGGGAAGCAGGAGCAGCCATACGACGCCGACTACTATGCAGAGAGCGGAAAGGTAGGGCGGGAGCTTGAGGAGGACTGGGGAGCGGCGGAGGGCGAGGAGGCGCGTTGCTGGTGGACATATGTCAGCAACGTGACATGTTGATCAGGGTATAGGACTTACATAGCGCCATTGTACTGCTGCTATCGCCGTAGCATCGCTGGTGTGTTGAAGATGTCGTCAAGATTGTCAATGAATACGGCTACCCAAATATTGATTAACCTCCCCGACGCGAGTCGCGACTTCCCCGGAGACCAGCGGAAATAAGGCGATCGACTTCGAGATGGGACTCACGCGACACCCTTGAACACTCTCGACAGCGGCGCGAGCAACAGACGCAGACTCGGCGCAGAGGAGGTCGGACAACAGCAGCAGCTTGTCGATGGCGTACAACATCCCCGACGTCCGACGCATCCGCAGCTACTTCCTCCGCCTCCCTCTCGCTACGCGCCTCCTCCTCCTCGTCCTCACCGGCTTCTACATCGCCGTCGCCATCCGCCCCGAACTCGAGCAGTGGGGAGCGCTGATACCGCAGGAGATCAACTTGACGACACGTGAGCCAACCCTACAGACCCGTACACATATATCCATGCTAACGGGTGTGAAGTCTACCGCCTAAACACCTACCCCCTCCTCCACAAATCCCTCCCCCACTACCTCCTCAACACCCTCACCCTCCTCCCGCTCCTCGAGCGCTTCGAGTCCGACCACGGCACCATCGTCACCCTCCTCCTCTTCACCGGCTCCTTCGGCTACCTGCCAGGCGGCCTCTACACGCTCCTCGAGCGCTACGTCTTCCACTCCAACACCTCCGCTTTAGGGGCCAGCGTCTGGGTCTTCCTGCTCCTCGCCTCGGAGTCGATCAAAACGTACCGCGCGAATCCGAATTTCCAGATACTGGATGTGCGGATCCCAACGTGGACGACTCCGCTCATTTTTATCCTTATTGTGAGCTTCTTGGTGCCGCATACGAGTTTCCTGGGACATATCTGTGGCGCGGCGACGGGGTATCTGTGGGGGCTGGGGTATATACGGTTTTTGGCGCCGAGTGAGAAGATTCTGCGGTGGATTGAAGGGAAGTTGAATTTGTTGGGCAGAATTCCGCATTATGTGAGTGTGGATCAGAAGACGTATGGGCGGTATGGGGTGCTGCCGAGTACGAGTGCGGGAGGTGCTGGGGTGGCGAGGGTGGGAAGTATGCAGGAAGGTATTTTGGCGGGAGGGGGTGGAGCGCCACTGAGGCCGATGACGCCGGCGGGAGGGCAGAGGTTGGGCGGTTGATGAAGGGGTAAGGCGTGTATAAATAGATGTTGTACTATTGAATCAAAAGATCGCTTGCATATCCACTCTGCTCTTCGCGTTGCGCCATGTTTGGGCAGACCATGCAGAAAACGGAGTATGGCATAACAGACTTTAGAATACCAGACTTGAAAGGGATTGAGTTTAGTATCCTCGATTGAGGGTCATTACATGCAGTGCCCGCTCGCCATGCGTCCCTTAGCTACCACCAATCGTACACCCTCGCTAATGCCGGAAAGCAATCCCAGCATCATAGACAAAACGAACGCCATCCCATGAGCGAGGCAGAGCCATCACGGCAGACGCCATGCAATCGCTCCATCCCATACACCGCCATAGCAATAACACATATCTCTCCATAGCAAAGAAGCACCCAGCAAGTCCTCAAAACAGCAGTTCCGGTGGGTGTTTTCATGGCATATAATAATGCCATCGTCCACGGTAATCCCATCGTGCATAGGTACAGTTGTAATAGAACGCTCGCCGTCGTCGATCACACCGTCCTGTCCCCTGCATCCCGGGTGGGCGCACGTATCGTTCGAATGAGTATTGTCGCTGATGCTGATGCACGAGAGGAGATTCTTTCCGAGCGGGCGTTTGGCCGTCCTAAGCCATCGTGCCGGTCGACTGTTGGTGGTAGAAGGCCGGCTGTTGCTGTTGTGGAGTGGGCTGCACGAAACCTTGCTGAGTCGTCGTCGTCGTATTCGCGGCACCGTTCGTCGCAGCAGTCGTCGCAGTCGCAGTCGCAGTCGTGGTCGAGTTCCCCGCAGCTTGCCCACCCATCCCAGCAGCCCTCTCACGCTCCGCCTTCTCTAGCTCCAATCTCTCCCGATCCGCCTTCGTGATGCGAGGCTTCCTAGGCGCACTCGTGCCTCTAGTCCCACGTGCCCTTGCCCTCGTCGACGGTGCCGCCTCCCTGGCCTTCGTGTCCGCCAGCGAAGCATGCGTAGTCGAGGTATTCGCACTCCTTGCACCCCTCCCACCCCTCGAACCTCTCCCACCGCGAGCTCTAGTCGGCGCACTCGTTTCGATCTGGGGCTGCTCGCCTTCCGGAATGAGGGGGCCCGAGTAAACGAAGAAGCCATCCTTAGCCACAGCCGCCTGCTCCTGCCACGCCAGCTCCGTGTCGTCGATGAAGTCATCTTCCTTGTCGTACTCCTCCACCTTCTTGCGTCTCTTGCGTGGCTTCGGGCCGTCTGCGCCAGTGTCCAGGCCGGTATTGCTCTGTCCGTCTTCCATGCCGCCCATCTCCACGTTGCTGTCCCCTTCGGCCTCGCTCAAAAGATCCACACTCATCTCGTCCCCGTCTGCGGTGCCGGCGAACTTGTTTGCTTCAGCAGACATGCGCAGCATCATCTCGCGGTGCGCGGCAGCACGTGGGTTGACGGCATCACGACCGTACTTCTTCGCAATCTCCTGAGCGATGTTGACCGTGTTTCCGCCGGCTGGGTTGAGCGGGATGTGGATGTCGATGTTCACTCCTTTGCGCGTGGTAGGCTCGGAGGTGGAGGGTCCGCCGAAGAGGTCAGAGCTGGATAGCAGGCCGCTGCCGGTTCCCTTCGGCACTTGCGCAGGCGGTGGAGTTGGACGAGCGGCTTTGGGTGTGGGTGAAGAAGATGATTTCGATTTGGGCGCTTTCTTGGCTGCCTGGTTGGCGCAGTATGGTAGGCGGTCCAGATCCATCGCGCCGTCAAAGTTGGCCATCGTGGACGGTTTGGTGAATGGTGGTGAAGGTCGCGGCTGTGGTGGTGAGGCCATGGATGCGGTCGGCTTTTGTGGCGACTGAATCTGTTGAGATGTCAAAGAAGGTGGCTGCATGTTTGCGTGAGGTGAGTTCATTGTCGCAGAGGCTGACGCCTTTATTGTTGGAGGTGGATCGATCAGGCTGGAAATTGCTGGTGAAGCAGATGCTCGATTGGCATGTGGTGAAGCTTGTGCCGACGCGGTGACGTTGTTAGGATTGGGTGGTGGCGGTGGATAGGAGGCTCTGGTTGAACCGCGGATGGGGTCGTAGTTCTGGCCGCTGGAGAATGGTCGTGGAGACTGTGCTTTCGAAAACGATGGCGGAATGCTGCTGTAAGTCATACTGTCGGAGGCGCGATGTTGTGGTTGTAGAGGTGCGGCAGCGTTTGAGGATGAGTTGGCTGGTTGCTGATACGATCCAACCATCTCGGTCAAGGTCGATTGACGAGGTGCGGTAGATGCTTCAGCAGGCTCGACCTTGGTTTCGACCTTCTGCTTCTTGCGTGACGCGGCCGGCTTGTCGTCGTTTGCGCCTGCAGTCTTGACTTTGGGTTCCCGGGGCTTTCGTGGTTTCTTCTCCTTGGGCTTGTCGTCGACGATGGGTTTGCCGTCAAGTCCGACTTCTTTTTTCTTTCGTTGCCTTTTAGGCTTCTCCGGCGCATTGCCATTCGCAGTAGTAGTAGATGTTTTGCTGTTCGTAGCTGTCGCAGTTGTGTTGGTAGAGAGTCGCCCGGGAGTTGCCGAAGCTGCTGCAACAACACCTTCTGCAAATTTCCCGGGGTTGGATTGGGATGGGCGAGCAACTTCGATAGTATCGTGGATCGCATGGTTTTGCGGGGGTGAATTCGGAGGGGACGACATTGACGATGAACTCCGACCGTCAAACTCCGGAGGGACTTTCAGGTTGTGGTTCAGCGACGGCGGATCCATGGAGGTGAATTGGATACAATAACGCCAAGACAGTGGTAGAAAGTATTTGCAGGCACCAGCGACGAATTGGCGCAGTTCTTCACTGCAGTTTGGAGTCGAAAGAGCTCAATCGAGGTTTTGGCGCATGTCGAAGTGGCTGGCCAATCCGGAGCGAGCTTAAGGCGGCGGCGGATGCCTTCAACGTCGCAAAATCGTGGGAGAAGACGACGACGACAGTACTCGCCAACACACGCCGCAATGTGATGTGAACACGCTCGTTGTAGTCGTCAAAGTGTTGCTGTGAGTGCTGTGGATCGATTGGTGACCTCGGCGACGGTTTTGTGATGGCCGGAAGACCCCTTTTGATGCCGAACAGATTGACGACGTTGCAGACGACAATGAGTGAGAAGTAAAGAAGCAAAAGGCTTCACGAAAGTGGGTGGTGAAGGAGATATGTGAAAGCGCGGCGACGGCAGCAGCCAGAGAATCTCCAGCGAGACCAAGCAAAGCAGCACGAGGGCACTCACACATTTGGCACTAAAGCCGCATCAACGGCTCCTCGCTCTCCTAAAACATGACACCACGAACCGAGACGAGACGGACGAGCCAGAGCCAAAGGCCAGCAGCGACCCCGGAAGGCGCGTGGTGGAAACTCACTGGCACCGCTCCTTTGGGGTGTGTCCAGTGATTTGCTTTGCAGAAATGCTGAGGCCTGACTGGCCTCGGAATCGACTCGCCGGGGCAGGGCTGCGCCAAATATGAATATTATACAGATCTACCCTGCTGTCTATAACAACTGACATCATGTGTCTTCATGTGGATGGGTATTGATCCCCGCGACCTCCAAATAACGTTGTTGCTGCAGACTGCTCGTACTTGTGCGCGTTCCATTGGGTTCCTCCATTGATCTTCTCGTTTCTCAGGATCGCATCTAACGACAGGATCCGTGCTTCCGGATGCTTGTGGAAGGGAGAAGAACAATGCCTCTGATCGATATACCTCACAACGCATGAAAAACGGTTGTACCATTTGTGATTAGTCATTTACAATTCATTAAGTGCCGATGTTGATATGCAATGTTGGTGATGTAGAGGTGAAAGCATAGCACGTCGAACTCTTATAGCAGACCCCTGCGGCTAAACCCCGCGCTAGCATCCCGCCTCAACCTTAAATTTTAGTTAGAACCTCTGCCGAAGCTATTTTGAAACATCCACGCTTTCCTTGAAGATGATGCGAGGTGAGAGGTTTGAGATCGATATCGATGGCGATCAACATGGGGAGTCACAGCAAAAGAGCGCGCCCATGCCAGGCGCACTCGTGGCGGATGTTCTGGAACGAAAGCCAGGGGCGCCTTCACCTCCGAGTGCTCCCTCGCTGAAGAACAAGACTGGATTCCCTGAGCATCGCAAACGAAAGGTCGAGAGTAGATTCAAGCAGCGGAGCGCAGTGAGGGATGATCAGTTCAATTCGAAAGAGGCGCCATCAGAAGATCGGCTAGGACCTTCTCGTCTTGCTGCTCCAGCAGTCCAGGATGTCGATGGTGGCGAGGCGAAGACCTGGGAGGAGGAAGAAAAGGAGCGGATCGATGCTGAAAACACTCAGAAACTCGCTGGGATGTCCGCGCAGGAGATCGAGGAGGAACAGCGAGAACTGATGAACAGCCTTGGACCTGCCATGATACAGCGCTTGCTTCAGAGGTCGAACATCAACAGTGGCGGGACCGAAGCAGATTTGTCTAGGCGAAACGCAGCTGAGCCACCGAAGAGTAACACTAAGAATGCAGCGCCGAAGAAAGTCTCGTTCGCCGCGCCAGCAGTTGTCGAAGACCGGGCGGAGGTGGAAGAGCGCGAAGTAGACGCTGTCGAAAATGTCGAGGACCACGATGACCAAGCAGTTGAAGCTTTGCCGCACGACAGCGTACACTTCCCGCGACCGAATCAGCCTCCAGACCTGAATCCAGAATCGGAAACGTTTCTGGACGATTTGCATCAGAAGTACTTCCCGTCCCTCCCTTCAGATCCAGGCAAGCTGGAATGGATGCAGTCCTCCAAGTCATCAAAGAACAACTACGACCCATCAGCCGCCGCCCTGAACCCTAAAGACCTTCGCTTCTCTTTCAAAGGCGAACTCATTGCGCCACGTACAGCCTCTCAAATTCCAGTCTCCGCTGGTCTACATCACCATGGCGACGCTCCAGAAGCGGCTGGCTACACCATCTCCGAATTGGTCCACCTCGGACATTCCAGCTTCGCACCACAGCGATGCATCGCATTCCAGACCCTCGGACGTTTGCTGTACCGACTCGGCAAGGGCGAGTTTGGAGATTCTGGCGAGCCGGGTGCAGGTACGGAGGGCTCTGAGGACACTTTTGGAGCGTTGGCGCGCGGAATCTGGAGGGAGGTGGATAAGGAGAAGGTCATTGAGATGTTGGTGATGGAGAGTGAGGGGAGGGGGATCGATCGAGGAAAGCATGTTAGTGCGAAGGCTTATGCTACGGAGGCGGTTTGGCTGTGGCAGAGGGGTGGGGGGAGGAGTTGGAAGGCGGAGTAGACAATGATATACCAGAGCGAGTACTGTACAAAACATGATATCAAGCAATGTTATCGGAGCCATATGTCTCAACCACAGTCCCTATACATGTATTTGACTTGCACCTGGTTCAAATCACTGCACGTGCATTTGAAGTATGCACCGCCACATTTGAACGCCTCACGCAAATCCTGTGCCAAGAGCCCGCTGCTGAAGCTTTCGCTCGAACTTCACTTCAGAGCCTCGTGCGTTACTTGGTCCATTTGAACGTCTCAAGCCAATACGAAATTTTTGCTGTTATTCGTGGGCGCATAGGAAGCTGCTAGTGGTTGCCAGGCGGTGAAGGACGCGGCGAGATGGCGGAAGCACTGGAGGAGGCCGGCGGAGGCGTGTCGGCGACGTTGAAGGACCTCTTTTCGGGCGCTGTGGGAGGTGTTGCGCAGGTGCTTATAGGTACGGCTATCCAGACGTGACCATTTCTTATGCAGTTGGCTTGATGTCCTCCTCAAAGGTTCCGAACGTGGTTTTCTCGGACCTTGGGAGAGCAAGTTCAAAGACATCTGATACACAAGCTAACCGTTGAACAGGTCAACCATTCGGTAAGACAACCAATACCTGTAGATAGGTACTACCCGGACACGCCTCTCTAACACTACCCCAGACATAGTAAAAGTGCGCCTCCAAACCACCACCACCCACCCTAACGCCCTCTCCTGCGCCACCAGCATCCTCCGCAACGAAGGCGCCACCGCCTTCTACAAAGGCACCCTCACTCCGCTCATCGGCATCGGCGCCTGCGTCTCCGTCCAGTTCGGCGGCTTCAACTACGCTCGCCGCGCGTTCGAGGCCCGCAATGCCGCTGCCGAAGGCAAAACCATCTCAGACATTGAAGCCAGCCCGCAGCCCCTCTCGTACGGACAGTACTATGCCTCTGGAGCTTTCGCAGGTGTGGTGAACACCGTGCTCTCGTCGCCCATCGAGCATATCCGCATCAGGTTGCAGACGCAACCACATGGCGCAAATAGGCTGTACGCCGGGCCGCTGGATTGTATAGCTAAACTCTCCCGCAGTCCGAGCATACCCCTGGGTCTGTACCGCGGGACTTCAGTGACCTTGCTGCGTGAGGCACAGGCGTATGGATGCTGGTTCTTGACGTTCGAGTATCTGATGCAAAACGATGCAAAGCGCAATGGCCTCGTTCGGAAAGAGATTCCAACCTGGAAGATCGCGCTGTACGGCGGTATTGCGGGCGAGATGCTGTGGATTTCTTCATACCCTTTCGATGTGATCAAGTCGAAGATGCAGACGGATGAGTGGGGAGAGAAGCAGCGGTACAAGAGTATGCGCGACGCGTTTGCGCAGACGTGGAAGCAGGAGGGCGCGGTTGGGTTCTGGAGAGGGATTGGACCGACGTTGCTGAGAGCGATGCCGGTCAGTGCTGGGACCTTTGCAGTGGTGGAATTGATGATGCGTTTAATCACTTGAGGGGGTGCGAGTCATCGGAAGGTAACTTGGAAAGTACATGTAATGCTGTACAAAGGCTCGATGAATTGCCGTACCATGATGGCATGACTCCTGTATTTGGGTATCTTCGTTCATGTGCATGTAAAAACAACCACTTCACAGCAGGCCCCGTCACGCAGTGTTCCACCTCCCACCGCCCGGATCCACAATCCTAACGCTCCCGTCGCTCGTCCGTTCCCGCTGCCTTGCCTCGCGACGAGCGCTCTTGCGGGCTTTATATTGGTGTCTCCCTGGTGGATCGATATCATTGGAAAGGTCGGCAGACACCAGGGGCTCGGAGCTCGCAAATGGCTGGAAGGTGACCTGGTCTTTCTGTTCCAGTTCCGTCGTCTGCACTCTCATATAATGCTGAGTCAACCTCCTTCCTGGAAGCCCTTCGACGTCAATTGCTTTGGGAGGAGGAACGCGCTTCATCCAGTCTTTCTGCCACAGCTGACGATTGTGGAGCCAGTATTTGCCATCCTGGTCCTGCCGTATGCCGGGGCGATAGCCTTTGGCTTGCAACACAAGGTTCCAGTGCTCGAACACCATGCGATCGACTTCAACCGCTGTTCCCTCTCCCTCAACTCCCTCAATCACGCCGATGACATACCGCACCTGTGCTTTGCTCAAACGTCTTGTTTCCTGTAGCGGACGAATGATCCCGGCCTTGACCATTGCTCGGGATAACATGGGCGAAATTGGCGCAGAGCGATCATTCAAGAATCTGAAACATTCCCAAACACGCCGAAAAGCCATGCGAGGGCTGATGTATGTCGAGGATGCCCAGGCATAAGCGACTTTGTGCACTGTCTCAACATGCTCTGGGGTGAGGGCATTCCGTTTGCGCCAACGTAGTTCGAGCGGGACCTTGTCATCGGAAGTGGAGCGGCAGAGGATCCGCCAGATCCTGTCTTGATGTATCTGAGGGGCTTCCTCAATAAGCTTCACCGGTAGATCGTAGCATATCCGCAGAGGTATGCTGGGCAGCGACTCGAAGACATAGAGTGCGTAGACCGGCAAGCCGGATGCGAGGAAGTGCTGCATAAGTTCCGTGGCAGTTTCGAGAGGAACAGGCTGATTGGTCTTCCTTCGGCGGAGGTTGATGAAGAGGTTTTTGGTCGTGCTATTGGGCTGTGTTGCAATGTATACGTCCACGATCTGCGCGACCACCTGGTGGTAGGGAAGCCCCTTACGTGACAATACGTCAATGAGGCCGTTGAGAACGTATGCATCATGTCTGGGGAGCTTGCTGAAGGCTTCATGGACAGCTTGCGCATCGACAGAGACGTTCGATAGCTGTGGGTCATGTGGTTGGAAGCGCTTGAATGTCTTCATCGCGAACATCGTAGCTTGTTCGCGAGCTGTGTCTTCGGCAGAGCTATCCGGTGCTGACACGTTTGCTGACGCAGTAAACCTGGGTACCCAATGACGGAGCAATGCCCATCCGAACCGGTCCCTTAGCATGTCGCCAAAATGCTCAGGAAAGTCAGATGGTTCGAAGCGCTGAGCGAGCAGCTCATACACAGCATTCCATGGGTCTTCGACGTTGTCCTCGAGCACGCCAAGGTCTCTAGCGGGCCACACATGAGACAGCCACGACGTAATGGCCGAAATTTGTTCCCGCTTGTCCGTTGAGGATCCCAATATACACTCTGTAAGTTTCGGAAAGACAGCATGGACATTCCTTGGCAGCCGTACGAACATTGGCACCATCTCTCGACCGTCAGGCCGATCATAGATCAGGTACATGAACAGCTTCACGAGCTCTTCGACATGTATGTCCGACTCCCTCGCGCGAGACATGATGCTTCTTTTGATTGCAAGCCAAGATCGTTCCTCTATGTTGGACTTCGTTTCGAGCCATTGGAAGAGCCGCAAGGTGAGATGAGCTTCTGGCTCGTTCGAGGGACTGTCGAGGAAGGCAACCAGAGCTTGTATATCAGATTGTTCGAGTGTCTGCACATTCTCCAGTCGTTCGAGATGTGCTTCGAAGGCTTCTTTGCTCCTATCGATAGGGTCGGGTGGCAGCTTCAAGAAATCCTGTACCTTCTGGGCCTCAGTCGTGCCGTACGGTTGGTACGTCGCTTGCTCGTCGGTGCCATGTCGCTGTAGGTCTGCTCGCTCGGGCTCTTCCCGCAATGGGCGCGGTATTGGAGCCTCCCACTTCCAACCCCTCTCGAAATCCGGAGGTGGTGTTGCGCGACCTAGACCAAAGAGTGACCCAAAGTCAGCACCTGGCGGAGGTCCAGCACCATGCCCTATAGACTCCATGCCCATCCTCCTCTTCGACGATCGTCTCCGAGCCTCCAATGGCCCTGGAACGTTGCTGCCATGGCGTCTGTGGGCGTGGGAGACTCGAGCAATGCGGTGGAAGGCTTGCGCCAGGATCTCATCGGTGACCCAGACATGTTGCAGTGCTTGTGCCACAGTTCTGGGGTTACCACATGGCATGGACAAAGCAGCATTGGGTTCAGTGGGTGTTGGTATGTGAGCTGTTGCTGTGCAGCAATGAGCTGGTGAGGTCCGCCGCGGAGGAGCCAAGACAAAGTCAATCGACGACTTCGAGAAGACGACAATGTCTCCTTGGTTGACTATTGAGTAGCCATCATGATAATAAGAAGCTTGCACCTGCGGCATGGTAGGCTCATCTGTTCCCCATGTCAACATTATACCACTGCTAATCAACATTCCTAGGCCGCCTCGCTCTACCCAAATCTTCCACCCCCAGTGGTACCCTCCGTCGACGAGCCTTTACCACCACTCCTCTCCTGCGACAGCAACAGCAGCAGAGCAATGTCCACTCTCACGCCAAAACGCTGCCATCAGAAATTCGCGACTACAACGACCCGGTAGCACAAGACTTCGCCTTCTTCCACCACCAGAAAGCACATACCCAACATGTGGGCTCCTCCCTTGCTCCGCATTACCGGTCTCATGAACTGGTCGCAGATCCTCCGCGACCGCAGGATATCACGCTGCAACTCTTGATGGCAAGCCAGTCACACATCGGTCACGCGACAAGTCTGTGGCATCCAGCGAACGCCAAATACATCTTTGGCGTTCGCGGTGAACACGATCCCATACACATCATCAGTCCAGACATCACGGCTGCATACTTACGGCGCGCATGTAAGATCATCCGGGGTGTTACATCAAGAGGTGGGCTTGTGCTGTTCGTGGGAACTAGAGAAGGTCAGGCGCGTGCTGTCGTCAGGGCGGCAGAGCTATCGAAAGGATGCCATCTGTTCACAAAATGGATCGCTGGTAGCATTACCAATGGTCAGCAGATCCTCGGTGCATGCGCGAAGAAAGTTGTGGATGAGAACGATAAACCAATTCCTGGTTTTGGCGACCAGCTCCCGCAGACTGCGGCGCTCAAACCGGATCTCGTGGTCTGTTTGAACCCGCTTGAGAACTACATCCTACTGCATGAATGTGGGCTACACAACATTCCAACAATCGGCATTGTCGACACCGATGTCAATCCGACCTGGCTAACGTACCCTATTCCTGCGAACGACGACAGCCAGCGGTGCGTGCAGGTCATCTGCGGTGCACTTGGACGAGCTGGAGAAGAAGGCCAGAAGATGCGTTTGGGAAGAGCTAGGCAGGGTGTCGTAGTGAGCATGCCGTCTCACGGCCTCAACCCACCCACAGAAGGTCAAGCAGAACGTGATCTGGAGCTGGAGGAGAGGGCTCGACTAGCGGAGGCCGCGATTCAAGAAGAGCTGATGATCGAATCTGAAGCGGCAGCCGCCGAGCACGCACGACAGCGTCGTTCTCTGCCTAACCCAGAGGCCCAGGATGCCGACTTTGCTGAGCTGGCGGCGCTGGAAGACGGTGTGTCTGTGGACACCTCGATGTTGGACCGGTCATTGAAGCGGGATCAGTCGGACGATGAGTACGACCTGGAAGAAGACATTGTGCAATCGTACCAACACGACCAGGCTCTGAGCCGAGAGGAGCTTGCTGAAGTCCCTCTAACAGCTGACACGACCGGGTCTGGTGAGGCGTCATCCGAAAGCATGGATGAAGCATCAAGAAGGGATGAAAGAGGGTAGAGCTTGCCATTACAGTCTAATCGAATCATGTGTACTTATACTGGATACTTGTACAGCGAGCGAGGCGTCCTTAGAGTCTCTACATACCATCTCCCCAAATCCTTAGCTCAAATCGAGCCAGGTAACATCGTCACTGCCTCGGACAGTACTTTCGAGCTACAATTCCGAGCCCAGTCCAACGACTGCTGTGTGCTACTCGTCACCAGCGATTATACCAGCAGCCACCTTGTCTGCTGGTGTGATGGTGAGCATGACACGCCGGAGTTGTCAATTGCAGCCAAAGTCGCAGCTTGCGCCAGTTGGACGACTATCAGGCGTAGGGCAGGCTCCGACGAAGAGGAGAGGCAGGAAGAGATGAGCAGACCCATAGTCCCCCAAGACAGGAGGAAGGGCACCACCTAACAGCAAGCTCGATAACAGACGACCATGTTTCGGGAAAGGAGGCAAGCTTAACAGCCATGATACCTATGATCATATCAGTGACATATCACGGACGCAAATCAGCGCTCATCGAACATCGACACGTAGCCCAGCCGTTCAATCATGTCGCTGTGTCGGAGAACCTCCTAAAACTCCAGCCCCAGCTCCTCCTTCGTCTCCGCCACTTTCGAAGGCTCAATGAGCCCCAGAATCTCCTCCCACAGCTCCTTCCTGATTTTCTTTCGAGCCGCAGCAGTCTTCGACCACTTCTTCCACTCGCTCGAGATCTTCTCCCGCTCCTCGGCGCTAAGCGGCTGCACACTGCCAGCTTGCAGCTTCTGCAACCGCATGGACATCTCTGCCCTCTGCTGCTCCAACGTCGTAACTTCAGCTTTGAGCTCCGGAAGAGGGATGCAGGCTGCACCGTCTTTGAGCGAGGCGCGGAGCTGCTTCTCCTCAAGCTTGAGAGTTTGCGTGGTCTCGCGGAGCCGGCTGGTCTCAGCTTCCATGGCTTGGAGAGTCTCGACAAGAGAGTCGTCGGGTTCTTCCTACGGCGGATGAGCTATGGTGACAGGTCATGGTGGACGAGGGACAAACCTGGATGACGTGGTACACGATCTGCTTCCCTGCTGCTCTGCCCTCGATGTCGTTCCGCTCGTGCATGTCCTTGAGCAGCTTCGCCGCCGCGGCTTTGGTCACGCGGTTCTTGAGGTTGGAGCTGATGTCCGTGGCGCTGTAAGGTCTGTTCTGTTTGCGTAGGTAGTCCATGATGATGGCGGCGGACTGTTCAGGCGTAAGCTTGGCCTCCTTTTCACCTTTCTCGCCATCCTTCTTCGTGGGTGCCATGATTGATGATGTTGAGAGACGCGACAAGAGGTGTAGAGATGAGATCGAGGTGAATGAGGAAAGGTGAAGTCGGGTGATGGGGTGAGGTCGAAATACAGTTGAGGAAAGAGCACCCTCGCGCCTTCCCTTTCTGTCTCCATCTGCAACATGATCTAACTCCCTACCTTGCCTCAGCCTTATGATGTAGCCACCATATTATGGGAGTTGCTTGACTGTTCTGGTCAGTCTTCTAACTTTGGTATTACCCTCTCCAACCACATGCACATATCTCGCAACAGCGGCCCACTGAAGGCATGGCCCAAGCCCTCATACTCATGAACCTCCTTCGCATCTTTGTTGACGCCCAGCTCCTCCAACTTCTTCAACGTCTGGTTCCAGACTCGCTTCGGTATCATCTGGTCCTTCTGGCCACGAGCCAGAAACATCGGCACCTCACCCACGACAGGAGGCAGTCCAGCATGTGCTCGCAAGTCGTTGATCCTGAAACCTCCAGCAAGCGGTAGATACCCCATGACACCAGCAATGCCCGCTAACCTACCACTATACCTTTGACTGATCAGATCGGCCAAGAGGCTCATCGCACACCCCTGGCTGAAGCCACCAAGCACTATGCGATTCGGAGGGATGCCTTTGTTCCCGCAAGCCTCGATCAGACTTTCAAGGTACTTGACAGTCTTCATCATGCCCACTTCGTCTTCATCTTCCTGGTCCTCTGGTCTACTTGCCATGTTCGACAAGCTGTTCGGAGTATACCAGGCCGTGGTCATTGCATCGCGGCTTTCTTCAGCATTCGGAATGATCCTACGAATTCCAAGCGAAAGACGTCAGCATTCTGTCCTTTCTGCAGAGTGCGAAGAAGCCTCTACGACCACTCCGCAGAGGGAGGAGACGACTGCTGTTGAGGTGATATCACCTATAAACAGAGTAGTTTCGGCCAGTAATTTTTCCAGTTCCTTCAAAAGACATGTTCCACCTGATGTTACTTACCAATGCATGTAGGGCATTTTGCCACTATCCTGGAATTGATCTGCTACATCTAGAAGCTGTCAATGGGCGCTTAGATGTGATTTGATCGTGATGCATACTCTCAATTCCCTCAGCCGTGTCTCCCAAGCCATGTACGAATATAATAGCAGCGCCGTGAGCTGGGTCAGACGCTGGCTTGGTCGCCGGCTTGAAGATGGGATCCTCTCGACCTCGCAAGCTTGGCAGAGTCATGCGTCTCTGTCTACTCCCCATCTTGGTTTCTTCGCCTGTTCGAGGTCTGTGGGCCAGATGGAGCGGTGTGTTTGACAACTGCTTACCGGACGAAGTCATTCAGAAGACGACCTGAGAATGCACAGCACCTACGTGATCACGCACAACCGCACGGTAGCTTTCGACAGACCCACCGACTTACCTCACGAGCAATATTCGGGGTTGGAAAGGTCGGTCTGCGGTCTAACGGAGCGCCTCGGGTTGTTCAGCTCGGTTGAAGGAGAGCAGTTGGAGACCCTCGAGAGCTTCACCTTCACGTTCCTGGTGCGGAGGCGGCGCGCTCCGGCGCTAGCGATCATTCTGACATGTGATCTTGTGCTTCAACTTCTTCTTTTGCACACTTTCTACAACAAGTAGGGATGGCGACGGGACCACTGCGTTTCCGGACACCACACATCGAAGAGCTGCCGATCACTCAATCAAGACAGGCTCCCGGCTTTGCGTGGGTAGCTGTTGCCGCTCCACCAGAAGACCCCGCGAAGAACTGGGGTACAGCAAACCGCAAACGAGCTCGAGCGAACGTTGGTGGCCAGACGGAAACGCAGAAAGAAGCTCTCAGCGCTCGTCAGCAACGAGAGGTCGAGCGCAAAATCAAAGAACTCAACAGCGACAACTCCAAGGATGTGCAGATACCGATCCCAAAGAAGGAAGGAGGTGGAGGTGGGGCTGCGAGAGCAGGCAAGACTACGAACACGAAGAAGATCCTAGCTTCTGGCAAGACATTCGCGCATTACCTGGATGACGAGGAAGCGGAGATTGCGAGGACGGGAAGGAGAGACGGCGAGGCTGAGGTCGTCCCTGTAGCTATCCAACAGCAACGAGCCAGCAAGACGCCGTATGCTCGCCGCAAAGCGCGAGAGGAAAGCAGTATGAGCGCCAGCCCTGTACCTACAACGGGAGGCTCAGCACCCATGCGAGCCGGCGACCCCATGGAAATAGATGCCGGCGAGGATGGAGATGCTGATGCCTCCATGCCATCAGCAGCAGAGATTGAAACCCTTCTCAACTTGCCGCCTCTGACCTACAACCAAGCACGTTCAGCACCGCCTCCGTCGAACGCACCGCCGCCTCGTAGGTTCTGCGAGGTGTGCGGTTACTTTGGCCGAGCCAAGTGCATGAAGTGCGGAGCCATGACTTGCAGCGTCATGTGTAAGGATACGCATGACGAGCAGAGGTGTCTCAAGTTCTACGCATGACCACCACGAAGGAGTCTCGGACCATGCGGCTTTATGCGAATAGCGAGGAGTTTGGGAGACTGGTTGCAGCGTTACCAAGATACCCAATGGAGAATATGCGTTGCTTCACATGAAAGGTATGGTGAGAGCAGTTTGTACTTTCTTCTCGCCCCTGGGAGCAACACCAAATCGTTTCTGCATATCTTTGGTCGTGCTGCAATCTTCCTGGTGACTCTCACCTATCGCTATCGCTACTCTCATAGTATCAGGCTGATCTCTGGACATGATGTTGCATACGTAACGTGAACCGCTGAACACCTGACTCGAGATGCTTTCTTGCGCAAACAAGCCCAAACGGTAAGCTTTCGAACTTCCATTTCGGCGACACCGAACGAACCATCATCGGATGTCCTGCCGCGACCGAAAAACTTATCGAGCCTCGCCAGCCCAGCCCCATTGTCTGCTCGGAGCATGACTACCCGGACAGAACAGAGAACGGAATGATATTCCGACCTCAACGCTCCTGGTCGGCACGCCTAGAGACCAGATTTGGAAGGTGCACGATTCATTCAAGCCGTTGTCAACTCGGTCAACGGGACCGCGCACAGTCCATACTGCGCAGGCACATGGAAGCACTCGTGGACTGCGACCGTTAGCCGGGGAAGAGAAGAGACCCCTCAGCTGTGCCACAATGGAACGGTGGCGCTCACGAAGCAAGATGTCGTCAGAGGCGCAACCGTACCTCCATCTCCATCAACGTCCCGTACGGATGATGGCACTGTACATCGTTCATTACGTCCATAAGATGGCCATCCAAAGTTCTGCCTCACAGCCGGAGCCACACCACTTCGTACTCCATCTCGACCTGTTGAAATGCCTCGTCTCGCGCAACACATACTCCAAAGCATCATTTCGCGGTATCAACACATCCCTGCAATCGCAAAATGCTCCGTGATGGCCCAGATCAACTGTGGCACAGTCTTCTGATCCCTGTCGGAGCTCAGCCCGCTCTGTGTCGATCGTGAGGCGTTCCATTGACTTCCGACGTTTGAGAAAGGTTCCCCAGTGTACAGCCTATCAGCACACCGCGATGCCCGATGCCACATCCCGAAAGCAACACAAAAACAGCTCAAGCCACTACTGCAGCCCGATGCCACATCGCTGTCCACACTGTGGCTAGATGCCGCCGATCAGTCGATCACTACTCCATCTGCAGAAGCACAGAAAGCCTCATTTGTGGCGACACGTCAGCTTTGGCCGTGACTCCGTCTGGTGGCAGATTGTGGTGTGGAGTCGGTACGGCAAAGGCAGACGGTGTGATCTTACAACGCATTTGTGCATGTGAGGGCGTTTCAGGCGTGCGGAGGTCGAGGGGAGCTTCGAAGTCTGAATGGTGGGTGTGATTGCTGTGCCGTTGCACTGTTGTGCATCGGCGATTGCTTGTATGCAGAGATCAATCGATGGCAGACGTCAGAAGACTGCATTGATTCATGTTGTAGACGACTGTGAAAGTACAGTATGGTGGGTTGTGTTAATTTGAACTGCTCGAAAGAGCTGCATTAGAGGACTGTCCTGCGTGAAGCATTGTCTCGCCATCAGACGTAATGAGTCCTAAACGTAAGATATTGACTCTAAGATTACTGTTCCTAATGTCCTGCCATCCCCAACATAATCCTGCTCCCGGTAATCGACAAAAATCGTGTGCTGTCAATACAGTCTCTCGCGAGTTGGGTATCACAAATCGAATGGTATGAATCGAATGGTATCGGTGGGGTATCTCTGAACGCCTGCCCAGCGAACGCGCATAGGCCGTGGATGCAATGGTGCGATCGCGTGGTAGTCGTAGTGTCGTGGCTGCAATAAAAGTGTTACTTCGCTCTAAGGAATGGGTCGAGGGCGCGCAGCGCTCTCTAGAAGAGAAGTTTCAGTTCATAGCCGGTCGAGTTGACGTTGTGCACTGTAGGGACATCGCCGTCGCACTGGATGTCGGCAGCGTCCCATTCTCGTCCGGACTTCGTGGGTGTATCTGGGTTGATCTGGGTGAATTCTGCCGTCATGTCCTGGCCTTCCGGCATCTCCTTCATGCATTCTTCATCGAAGAGTATGTGCAGGCCGTTGCGACTGATGCGGACGGTTCGTAGCACTTGAGTAGGCTCGATTTCACACTTCGAGGCGACCGCGTTGACGAAGTCCTTCAGCGTTCTGCGGTAGATGTAGACCGCGCGATGGAAGTGGTCTCCGGGTGCTCGGCCGGCAACTCGGGGCTGAACGTAGAAACAAGCAACGGGTTTGATTGCTGGCTCCGGCGGTGGCTGGTAAGTCTGGTCGACGCCGAGAGCTTCAATCCAGCCTGACATCGTCCCGCTGTTTGGCGACCGGGTCTGAACCTTGACCGGCTGACTGTCCTGCGGACTCCCCATTTGCTGCGGATGCGTATGGGATGTTTGGAGGTCCGGGATGGCTGTCTGTGTTTTGTTCCGCCATTCACTCGAATTCTCCCGAGACACGCTGGCGAAAGGAGTGGGCTGTTGGAGTTGTTGGGGCAAACTCGAGTCCCGGCGGCTCGCTGACAACGATTTGATGCTCGGTGAGGGCGAGACCAGCGAAGGTGGGCCGGTGTGGGAGTTGATGCTCTGTCCTTCCCAGCCACTAGTGTCGATTGACTCGGCAGAGACCAGTTCCACAGACTCTCCAGACAGCCTGACTGGGTAGAGATCGGGGTCATCCTGGTCATCACCTCGGAGGTAGAGCACGCTGGCTGGTCGAGTGGATGTGAACATATCCTGGAGCGTCGCAAGTTTGACCTTCAAATCATCTTCGGCGCTTGGACGGCCATTGTTCGATGCGGCCGAAGACATGGACCAAGTCCTCCGATGTTTGGGTATCTTGCCAGGTCGGCCATCCATAGTTGGAACGCGTGAGATCGAACCAACACGCTTCCGCTTGTTGGAGTCACGCATGCCGGAGTCGATTTGCGCAATCTGTTGCTGCAGTTTGTCGATCGTTTTGCGAACATGCGCGATGTCGTTCGACAACTTCCTCTCAGCTCCGTGGTCTCTGAACAGTTTGACTTTGCCGTAGCACACTTCAGGTCCAGACATTTGCGATCCCATGGGCTCCCCGATCATTTCTGTCTTTGCGCATAGTCGTACAGGGATGCCTTTGACACCTTTCGAGTGGCTGAAGTCGGTGGAAAGGAAGTTGAAGCGGACTGAGATCGGGCACTCGATAGAGCCGACGGGAGGGCTCCAGACCACGCAGAAGCCGTCGAAAGATGCACTTTCCAGCTCGACTCTGGGTTTGCTTGGATCTTCCGCGCCTCCCATTTGGCCTGACTCGACGTACTCCACAGCTTGAAGGCGACCGCCTCTTTGATGAGCCTCGTTGGTGCCTCGTCCCTCCTTCCAGAGTTGCCAGCAGGCCGCCGGTTTCTGCCGTTGCTGCTCGTCTTCGAATGATACGCGCACAAATGTCCGGTAGCGGACAGGACCAGCATGGCGACTGCCGCGTGTGTCGACAACGTTGAGAGTATAGGCTTGGCCTTTGTTTAGATACGTGATCGGGATCTCATCGGCGTGCTTGATCATTGCTGTGGGCGCATTCAGCGTGGCATGATACCGGAACCTGGAGATGTTTAGCGGATTTTCACTTTGTCGGGAACCGCTCAACTCACTTCTCTCCCGATGGATGCATGGGCGGCGGGTGCATTGAGTTTTGAAGGCTTTGGGAATGGAACAGCATCTGTGGAGAGTGCTCCTGCTGGTGCATATGCACATCCATGGTCATGTCATCGACCGGAGACTCTCCAATAGGACGCTCCATATGCTCGAATGATGACTGATGCGAGAATTGGTGTGGTGCGAAAGCGGGCTGGTGGTGCATCTGGAATGGGTTCATATCGTGGAAGAGCGGTTGCTGTTGCTGGAGATGATGAGGCATTTGGTTTTGAAATGCGTGGAAAGCGGCCGCTTGATGGCCAGCATGCAGAGCGCCTTCCGAGGTGGGTAGCGAGAGAGGTGTCCCAACGCCCATGCTAAAGCTAGGCGTATGTAAGTCGCCAGCTTGCGGGTGATAGAGAGTATTCGTTCCGCCAGGTGTTGGTGTGTAGTAGCCCGGCATCTGGTTCGCAAACATATTGAATGTCTGACTGTTCGGGTCCATCATTGATGGGGTGAGGCCAGAGGGTCCAAAGGTCCATGGCTCATGGGAGCCCTTGGGTGTTGAATCCGTACCCTTGAGATCTTGCGTATGGTGATCAACTGGGCTGCAAGCATTGTCAGCTACAGATCGGGCTGTATTGTTGTCGCTGGCGGAAGGAAAAGAGTGCGAAGGAATCCTATCGCGTCTCTGCGCCTTGATCGTGGAATCGTACCGTTGTTGACCGCTAATGTCAAGCGCCTCCGCGAGCGTCGTGGCTCCCTGCGTCGACGCGCTTGATGCGACCGCTCCCGCGTTCAGGTGCGGAAAGTTGTCCTTGAAGCTCTTGTAGAGCTCATCGCTGGGCTTTTGCGACGTCCTCCTGCGACACTTGTTAGCCACTGTTGCTGAAGCTCTAGATTCACGCTGTTGGCAACCCTGAAGCCGATCGGTGGCAGTGGAGGCGCAACAGCGTGGTGTGAAGAGTATATGCCTTCACGCAGGACGTACCTGTGCCGAAACATGGCCGGCGAAGTAAACATCCAGCAAGGAGTAGAAGCTCTCGACGTTCGAGGCAAGGGAAGAAGAAGGTGTAGTAGGCCTCGTCAGTCGTCAGTCGTAATGAAGCACGGTGGAGGTGAAACGTGTGGCAGATTGGACTCTCGACGGTTCAGCCACAGCAAGCGGAGTCCGAGGCTTTTAGATAGGACAGTGGGAATCCCTGCTGGGTCGCTGCATGAGGAGACGCTAACGAGACGGCAGAGCGAGAGCTCGGTCAGTGTGCAATGGTGAAGTAATTAGCCCCGTTGTCGTGTCTAGCACATAGTGAATTGGTTGAGCCGGCCGCGTACTCTCCACCTCGCGTCCTTTCGTGAAACACATAAGGGTCTGACTGCGTCTTCTCCCTGGGAAAGAATAAGAGAGAAGCGAGAGATAGACAAGCGAGAGGCGCAACAGGTGTGGCAGTGCAGCGATGTAGTGCTTCTCGATCGACCCTTGGAACTGCATACCCTGTACATGTGGCTGCTTGGGCGGAAAGCCGAGGGAGAGGTCCGAATGCCACTTTCGCTCGGGACCCGCTTGGCACATCTCCGGTAGGACTATCGACGGAAACTTCGACCATAGCGTCGATGGCGCTTATAGAGACTCGTCATGCGGTGGAGATTTACTCCCATCACTTTGCTCCTGCTTCTGTTGCTGGAAGAGTATGGGCGAGATTGGTTCCCGGGACATTTGGTGCCGCGTCCTCGTCGTGCGCCGCTGCGACTTGCGCGTGCAGTCTCCTATCAATCGGGTGCTCCATAGATTCATCCGATAGCGGATCGCAGGTCGCGATCGAGTCATCCAGGACGTTGTTAATGGCGTTTCTGTTGAACCATCTCGTGGTATCGAATTCGAATCTGTCCAGTCATCAATTCTCCGTCTGACGATAGGCTAGCGCTTCACTACTAAACCATAGGTCTCGACCACATGTGGAACGCCATCAATACCGTGATTGATTACCCCCCTTTCATCCCGCTGAGCCGTTCTCCACGATCGTCTCTCGCGTGCCACCCATGTCGGTACCGAATCTGATTGATGAATGGGATCGCTTCATCGAGAATCCTTCCACGGGTGTCTGCCACATCATCCGCTACTCCGGGCTACCGCAACACCATCGCAGCCCCATCCGTGATCCTTGTCGGCTTGTGTAGGGCTCGCAAGCCAAGCGGTCGTGTCGCTCGGCTACTGCCGATTAGCCGAGGCAGAGCGCAACGTTGTAGTTGTGGCGCAGCAGAGAGCTTGTGGTGCTCAAAAGGTCCAGAACTCCTCTGCTTCTGCGCGTGGTCTGGTGATGCGCGCAGATCGCTGATACATCGGGGAATATTCTATGTACATCTTCTCCAACGACCGCAACGTGGAGTGGCTGAAACTTGACGATCGTGGCTCTCTTCACCAGGTACCAGTCTGGACCCTCATGCTGAATGACGCCTTCCGGTACGAGCTAGCGAGCGCTGCGATCGAGCAGTGAGGGCCGTCCAGAGTCCACGTGGTGCAGTCACCGCTACTGCTCGCTGGCAGCCAAGGCCCCGGTGCTTGAGATGCCCACCCGGTTGCCCATCTGATCACTCGTCATCATCACAAAGCAGCATTGGGAATAACTGCTGCGGCAGTCCTGGTACCTGTATCCGGATAAGATGATGAAACAGCAGCCACAACGGATATCCCTGTCGATAGTGATCTCATATGCCTGTCTTACATACTAACAGCCACAGTGAAGCCACTTACCGTACAACCAGTCGACACATGACCCGGCATCATTGTGTTCAGACAGAACCCTTCTGAAACTGCGCAATGTTGCTGCTCAGCACACCTCCACGCCCTCACCATGGCATCACGCATGAGGTCCCTCGTCAAACACGATGCTCGCTCCCAACGTGTGGCTATGCCCCCAGATCCCGACTCCCCAGGAACATGCTTATGCGTTCCAATGGCACTAATGCATGCTCATCTCTGAAAGAAAGCAACGAGTGGCAAACGTCGAAAACAACAACGCGCCGCAGTCCTAACCGAGCCGTTGGAGATGGCCACGTCGTCCTGGGCGCAGATAACGGCGCTTCTGCAATGGATCGTGCTTGATGGCGAACATACGCTTGACGTTCACCTCATTGGGCGTCGGTTCTCCTTTCGAATCATACCGTCGTCGGTTCCTGGCCCGGCGTGCAGGACACCACGGCTATTGTTGCTGACCCTCGAACTGAACTGCTGATCGAGGCCGGTATAGACGTTGCGATCGGCATCCTGCGTCGACATGGCAGCTGTCCTCGCGGCAGCGGTAGCTAGCCCCTTCCCACGCAATGAAGTGGTATGCTCGAGAAGATTGTTACTATTCCTGGCCCGCTGGCTGGAGCCCTGGGCTATTGCAACAGCATGAGGACCCTGTGTCATGTCAACGCGGCTGCCAGACGGCGAGCTCCAGGCCGAACTCGAGAGGGAGCTGGTACGTTGAGGCGCTTCGTCGGAACGTCGAATCACTGTCAAAAGACTTGAAGATGAATCGTCTCGATCTCTTCGGGCTCTGGCAAGTGATCCACGCTGGTGCACTGGAGTGGGAATCTTCGACCGCCTCCAAGGATCGCCAGAGTCCGACGGGGTCTTCAGCGACTCCGATCTTGGTGCGGACGTTGTGGGGCTCGGTGCAATGGGCGTGAGTGGGCGGCCCGAGTTCGAATTGTTTTGGACTCTGGCCTCTAGAGACGACATGGACGCACTCTTGCGCAGCAAACGGTCTCGCACAGCGGCCGGCAAAGCACCGACTGGGGGTGCGCTCTGGTACGCATCCCCATCTTCTTCCGCCTCGAAGGAAAATCTGCGGACATCTCTCGTATCGACGCTCAGCTGAGGTTTCCATCTTGCCAGGAATCCGGAGGCTTTCGTCCTCAGCGATGGAGTCTTGCGCAACGCCTGCTGAGAAGACATTTCCAAGAGCTTGGGTGCAGAATGGTCAAGGGTGGACTGGTTGAAACGTCGGTTGGTAGGCCCCATTTCGTGGTCGTCGGCGGCATCGCTGTGGTATAAGTCGGCGATTTCATCTGGAAGGAGGTCGCCCGCACCACTGAACGATGATGATGTGTCGGAGATGCTTGCCTTTCGTTCGGACTCCTGCGGTGGGCGTACATACTTAGTCCTGTTCGCACGCTGCAAAATAGAAGCCGGAGCGGCTGGTAACGTCCCGTACGGTGAGTCTGCAGGCTCGGTCGTGGCAGGAGTCTTTGCAGCGAGAGTTCTGGAGAGACGGCGCATCTTGGACGATGGCGACCGGTTCCGCATCGTAGCTTTGAACTTGTAAGCACCTTTGGCACGGAACAGCTTCTGGAACTTCTCACCTCGCTGAGTGCCAAAAGCCTTCTCTTCATATTTCTTCGACTTCTCCAGGTGCTTCAAGATTGTCTCCAAGCCTGTCTCGTCTTCAACCTCAGCCATCTTCCCTCTCCTGACCAAGCTGTCTTGCCGTGCCAGAGTTACTTCTGCAATTCCCCGTTGCCCTTTCGAGAGGAGCACTTCCAGACGCTTAACTTCTGCCTTGTACTCGTCCCTCTCACGACTCCAAGCCAGCTCCATCGCACGTCGCTTCTGCAGCTCAACATCGAGCTTGGCGAGGAGCTCCTGTTTCTCATCCCTCACCGCGCGGTAGTCTTCAAAGATCTGCATAAGGTCGCTGGTGTAGCGAGCTGTGAGCGTGCTATAAGGATCATCCAGCACGTTGCGCATCATGCTGCCGATGAGCTCATCCACTTTCGGGTTCGGGGCGGGTTGGTCTGTGATCCAGGAGGGTATCCTTCGCAGCAATCCATGGTCGTGCTCCTGCTCATCTGTGGCCGTCTGATGCTGCGCAAGGTTCGGGGTGAATTTGGGCCTCAGCGGCTTGCGAGGTGTTACCGGCGACGTGTTACCATTTCCGTCGTCCAGGTCTGCTGCCGGCGTACGGACTCTGGGCGGCTGAACCTTTCGTCGCCACTGCTGGATGTCGCCCATGTCGATGGTCAAACAGGAGTACAACGGGGCACGGCCTGGTGTAAAGACGTCACAGAAACAAACGCAGGGTGCGAAAGATGAAGTGAGGTCCGATGAGGTGACGTTGAATTACGGTTTGGGAGGGAGTTGAGGAAGGCGCGAGAACAGGTCTTGGTGGAGGACGCGACTTCCTCCTGGGATATTCATTGAGCTAGCAAGACGAGATCTAGGTTTGTCATGATACAGTCACTTGATTCCAGTCCAATACGAAATGTATGTTGGACATCGTATGTGCATTTCAAGGTGTATCTCCTCGTGCCATCCATCGCGCCGCCGCATCCATCAAGCATCTACTCTCATCCCGCCCAATGAGTACTCCTTGTCCTTCTTCGCATCCCAATAGATCAGTGTGGCTATCTCTTAATGGATGTAACCATCTCTTCATGCACAGACGCCAATGGAGAGAACAGCGCATGTGTTTGGTAATGAGACGGTTGAGTCAATCTTGGCACGTTGAAAGTATTCCTTCAGACACCTTGCATGGAGAATGGCTCGGTGCTGTACACACATATGCCATCGTTTCGGTCGCAGCGCTCTCGTACTCACCTCGGATGACGTGGATCTGCAAGAGTAAGAGGAGGACGGAGGAGACTTGAGAGAAGGGCGCGGCGTCCACGGCGAAGCGCTCAAAGCATTGACGGCCGAATCATATCTACCTGCTCAACCGTGGCGCTTGTTTGTACCCCGATATGTGCGGTTTCGTCGCATGCCAGCCATCGTCGTGAAACCGCAATGTCGTAGTCGAAGTCACCACCTATGCCGCATCCCGCTTACCCTCCTTCACCTCCTTCTGTTCAAAATCAGTATCCTGCTTCGAATAACTTTGTTTGTTCCGCAACATACCAGCGCACGCATGGTGCCGTGCAACGCATGCCTGTGGTTTCTCCGGAACTTCGGGTCGGTGCCTTTGAGCGAAGGGTATCGGTGGGTCTTGGGCTTCTTGATACTGTTGTACACAACTCATAAGCGCTCAGTCCCTAGCTTTCTCATGCCTCTGACTCTTGAAGCGGCGCATTGCGCAGTGGAGGCGGTTCGGGGAATTCGAATGCGTACCCGTTCCTGTGGTTCTTCTTCGACTGATTATGCTGAGACGAGTTCTTGGATTCTAGTCAACGTTAGCATAGCCCGGCCGAACCAGCCCTCGCTTCACTTACTGGCCATTGCGACGGTTGTTGTGAGGTGTCGTGGGTCGCAGAAAGGTGGTTGTCGATGTCGCTCGATGACCTGAGGTCCTCTTTCGAATTTCAGGTGTGCGGCGGGCCGCTGAAGCCACGACTTTGGGCCGGCCAAGAGATTTGACGACGGATTCAAAACGACAGCAGGCGACGTAGCAAAACAAATGGCAGTCAGATTCTGGCTTCTCCGTGACACTACCTCCTATCGCCTGCTATGAAGAATCTTGCTAGGTGATGCTGTTCCTACTATCTCGGAGAGCCATACTATCCGCCTGTTCCTCGCCTCTTCTCCGATAAACAATCTCCTACCTGGAGGCCTCTGAATATACTTTCCTTATAGTCTAGACTGCGGAGACTGCCACTTCTTCTGCTACGTCGCCTGACTGTCGTTCGATGTGTAGACAACATGAAAACGAGGACGTAGACTACATTGCATCCTTCACTACATAACGCCGGTTGGTTTCAAATATGCACAAGTACCGCTCATCGTTCTGCGCTCTGCTGTTCGTCCATCGCCAAGTCCGTCCTCAGGATCCCTCTCTCCTTCCGCCTCTACTTTACTGTCCAGCGTTCTTGGCCATGGTGTTCAATGCCGAGCCGTTCTTGAACCACTCCACCTGAGGCTCGTTGTAGGTGTGGTCGAGCTTAATGTCAAAGGCCTTGGAGCCGTCGGCAGGGTGCACCCGCATAGTCATTGGCTTTCCGACCGCCAACTCCGTGCACATGAGGTCGACCTTGTCATCCGGCTTGATCTTGTCGTAGTCGGCAGGTTCCGCGAACGTCAGAGGCAGCATGCCCTGCTTCTTCAAGTTCGTCTCGTGGATGCGGGCGAAAGACCTGACGATGACGGCCATGCCGCCGAGATGGCGAGGCTCGAGGGCAGCGTGCTCACGGGAAGAGCCCTCGCCGTAGTTCCAGTCGCCAATCACGACCCACTTGATGCCCTTCTTCTTGTAGTCACGGGCAGTCGCGGGAACAGCGTCGGTCTCGCCAGTGGTCTGGTTCTTGACCTTGTTCGCTTCACCGTTGGCCTCGTTGATCGCACCGATGAGCATGTTGTTAGAGATGTTATCGAGATGGCCACGGTACTTGAGCCAGGGGCCAGCCACTGTAAGGAGATTAGCACTATTGAAATTGGGTGGTTCATAGGGCAGCGCCTACTTGAGATGTGGTCAGTAGTAGTCTTGCCCTGTGCCTTGATCAGGATGGGCATATCCATTTGATCCTTGCCGTTCCACGCGTCGAATGGCTCAAGGATCTGGAGACGGTCGGAAGTAGGCGACACAGCAACGGATACAGAGGCACGGTCCTCAGGTGGGGCTTGGTACGTGTCGCGGCCTGGGTCGTAGCCGTTCGCTGGGAGTCCCTCGCCGGTAGGAGCCTTGAGTAGGAAGTCGTTGCCGTCCTTGTCCTTGAGTGTGTCGGTAAGTGGGTTGAAGTTGAGCGAACCGGCAAGAGTCATGGCGACCACAAGGTCGGGAGAGGTGACGAAAGCGTGGGTGGCTGGGTTGGCGTCGTTGCGGCCGGTGAAGTTACGGTTGTACGAGGAGATGATCGAGTTGGGCTCTCTGCGGGGACTATTAGTATTTACCGGGGCTGATTAGGGGTGGCGATGCTTTACCCCTTCTTGACATCTCGCCTGTCCCACTGGCCTTCATTGAGTAAGTCATAGTTAGCAAAGGTACACAGCAGAGAACAGGAAAAAGCAGAACAGGGGGACCTCTCCGTGTGAGAACCCAAAGTGCTGCTCATAGATAGTGCGGATAGAGGTTTAGACTGTGTTCGGGGGGCGGAGAAGCAGCAGCAGCAGGATGCTTTGCTGCGTCGGCTCATTAGACCTTCTCCGGCCCGCGATGATGCTGGCAGCAGTCGTCTGGGGCTGCAAGAATCCCAGAATCTGTTGCACTCCAGGAGATGGAGGAAACCCCTTTGAGGAGGGACTAAAAGTTAGAGGGATGAAAAAGATCAACTAACCAATGCACTGCATAGCTATGGTTAGCATGGCTTCGGCACACAAGTCATGATGCTTGTGAAGTACTTACAGGTCCGCAAGCGTTGGCAAGAACCATGCCGCCAAAGTCCTCGAGCGTCTTGAGCTGGCCGTCACGTTCGATCGTAGCCTTGCATGACCTGTTAGTGAATGTTTCTCAGGCGCAGGGGTTGCGGAAAGCTTACCCTAATCTGTTCAGAACCAGGCGTCACGGTGAACATGCTCTTTGCTTTGAGTCCACTGCGAGATGGTTAGCCTTGAACAAGCTTGACATTCGATAATTTGTCGTACTGTTGCATGGCGTCCTCTGCAATGCTGGCGGCACGGCTCATGTCCTCGTACGAAGAGTTAGTGCAGGAGCCAATGAGGCCAACCTTCAACTCCTCAGGCCATTTGTTGGCCTTGACAGCATCCTTGAACTGGCTGATGGGCGTGGCAAGATCGGGGGTGAATGGGCCGTTGATGTGCGGCTCAAGCTCGGAAAGGTTGATCTCGATGAGTTCGTCGTACTCGGCGCCCTCGTCCTCGTGGAGCTCGGCGGCGTACGAGCGAGCGAAGTCACCGATGTCCTTGCGCTTGGTCGCGTTCAGGTAGTCGTACATGCGGTCGTTGAATGGGAATAGCGAGGTCGTCGCACCGATTTCGGCACCCATGTTGCCTAGTAGTGGTCTGTTAGCATTCGTTCGATGGATAGCCCGTACAGAAAACTTACAGATAGTGCCCATGCCAGTGCAGCTGAGGCCGTTCGTGCCGGGGCCGTGGTACTCAATGATCGCACCGGTACCACCCTTGACAGTGAGAATGCCGGCAACCTTGAGGATAATATCTGGAGGTTGTCAGCAGATGCTGTTCAAATTGGCTCATATGCCAGAACGAACCCTTAGGTGCGGTCCATCCGCTCATCTCGCCAGTAAGCTTGACACCGATGATCTTTGGCGCCTTGACCTCCCATGGCAGATTGGCCATCACGTCGACGGCATCAGCACCACCAACACCGACTGCGACCATACCAAGACCTCCGGCATTTGGCGTGTGCGAGTCGGTGCCGATCATCAGACCACCTGGGAAAGCATAGTTCTCGAGCACAATCTGGTGAATGATACCAGAGCCTGGCTTCCAGAACCCAATGTTGTACTTTGCGCACGATGTGCTCAAGAAGTCGTAGACTTCCTTGTTGATGGACTGCGCCCGCTCCAAATCCTTCTCGCCTCCAATCTGTGCCTCAATCAAGTGGTCACAGTGCACAGTCGTGGGCGTGGCAACGCTCGGCATGCCAGCGCTCATGAACTGCAAGATAGCCATTTGAGCCGTGGCATCCTGGCAAGCCACTCTGTCCGGTCGGAGCTTCAGGTAGCTCTTGCCACGCTCAATGTCTTGTCCATGCGGATCATCAAGATGGGAGTAGAGGATCTTCTCGGCGTATGTGAGTGGCCGGTTGAGGCGTTGTCGGACAATGTTGAGGTTCTCGTTCATCTTTTGGTAGTTGATGAAGTGGCCCTTCTCCCACGGTGTCATCTCGACCTTCTTCGTAAGCGGAGCATCTTGCACCGTGGCGAAGGTGCGTCGGCCGGCGAGCCGGGGCTGTATCACACAGTGTCAGTATACTCTTATCGACCAATGCTCAAGGTCGAGCACGTGTGTTTCCGGGAGAAGAAACAAGAGCTTGCGTACCAGCTGCCGCGCTGCTGCTCTCGCCGACAGCATTTTGAACGACGGTCTTGCTGCTAGATGGGTCGTGATGATGGTCGATTCGAAGACGCGATGGTCCTAGCAGCAGACTCGGTGGTGGTCAGTCTCGTGGAGGGAGTGTAGGAGGAGATGTCGCGGTGACGAAGTTGCCGAGCAGTTTGAGCTCTCGTGAGGTGCCGGCGCCTCCTCGCGAACAGCCAATGGGAAGGCCCGAGATATCAGCGAGGGCAAAACTTCGACTTCTGCAGACACAACCTCACAAAAGAAAAACCTGCACTATCTCGCCACATCACGGTGCGGAATCGTCCAACGACTGTCGACTGCTCTATATACCGGTCACACATTTGGCAGCAACCATCAGCGACTCCGTTACCGCGACCTCAAGGCGTCCACTCGCCTTCGCCGCTCGGCCGGTTATCCTTCAACGACCAGACAATTTGACCTCGGAAGCTTCGGTTCGGCCCAGCCTGGTGGTCCTGGCCCATATCACGACCTGCAGACCTGCCAAATTTTCTGTCGGGCGACACCGGCGAGGCACACGCCACGCAAAACATCGTCTGCAGACTTGAAGATATCTGGTGGCGTAGCCTAGCATACCACCTTCTCCTACCGACATCGGTGGACGTCAGCAACCATGCCTGCAATTCGTGGTGCAAACTCCAAGAAGAAGACCCGAAGATCAACTCGAGGCCTGGATCAAGTGCATGCCGACGTTGCATCGAAGAAGCATCTACAGCAACACCTCGACACGCACGCTCCCGAGGATCTGCCCGGCTTCGGCCAGCATTACTGTGTCGAGTGTGCCAAATTCTTCGAGTCACAGACGAACCTCGACAAGCACACCAAGGGCAAGCCTCACAAGAGGCGCTTAAGACAGCTAAAGGACGAGCCGTACAGTCAGAAGGAAGCCGAAGCTGCTGCTGGTCTGACTACCGACAATGGCAGGAAGGTGGAGGAAAGTGAGATGGTTGACGTGGGTGACGAGGTGCGATGAAGGCACTGAAGCTGAAGTGTGAAAGTTACGCAACAGCTTTTTGCTACCGCAGTACCACGCTGAGTTTCGCAAACCTCTGGCCATATTCGCAGCCGTCGGGGGCGAATGACCCGGCCCACAGACTTGCTACACGACTTGCTACAAACCCGCTACGTGTGTACAGACACTGCATGAGGGTTTTGTCTAGTCGACTCACCGAGGAGCTGTGTTTCGGGGTATGTGTAGGTGCAACAGCGGTGGCGAGGCCAATGGGAGAGTCCAACTCCCAGCAATTGACCCGAAAAGGTTGGCTAAGCAGTCATCACCGGTTGAGAAAGTAGTAGTACGGCTTGCATGAACGCAGTCAAGGTCCCATTCATTGAGACCTTGCAGGATGGGCGTGAGTAGCTAGTTGCATCAAGCATCTCTCGTCCAAGTCCACTACATCAATTCTCTGCACCACTATCTCGCCCGTCGACGTCAGCCGTCTGGTCTCAAAACATTAGATAGAAGGCTTCATGAGTCAAAGGTGTCTCGGAGAACGTATCACTATGTACCAGTAGACGAACAACTATCTCGAGCATATGGTCGAGACCAGAACGCCATAGCGCGCTGCCTGGTGTTTGATCGTGTCTCAGAGAAACCTTCCTTCCATCAATTTAGTGCTGGACTTTCCCGCCTTGCTCGACGGTCCAGCAAAATCCATGTTCGTGCCTTCATCCCCGTTCGCTCTAAGAGTGCCCTTCTCCTTGTATATCGAAAATTCATCATTCAAACCCAAGCCGATGTCAAGATGAGTCCTGACATGCTCGATGAAAGCCAGGCGAGTGCCCTCGATCTCATCGCCGCACGCACTGCAACGCCGCTCCTCGAAAGAGTCCGTCGACTTCGCATGCTTGATCCGGGCACGACAGTCCGCCGTCGAATCCACGATGTGATTCTACGGCCCTTCTCGTTGGCCGCGAGATTGCAGCATGGTGAGTGCTTGCAATTCTTAGCCCCATATTCAAGGCATGAATTGCGGCCGTTGTTGCCCCCCTGGCTCTCGTGGACGAAACCGCGCGGATTCACACAATATGCGTTCCCGCAGAGATGTGACCAAGTGCTTCCCTTAACGGCGAACTTGGCCAGGTTCTCGGGAGTAGCGTACCCGGAGCCAACCCATATGACCTCCCGCCAGAAGACAATGACGCTGTAGACATGCTGCTTGTCGTCCTTGGACTGCCCACAGAGACCAGACTCGATCAAGAACGATGTCCCGCATGAAGCCTGATGCCGAGACACGGGCCGGGTGTTGACGACATAGTCCTTGTGGTCGTACATATTTTCCATGGTGACCAGCTTGCAAAACGTCCCCGTAGATGTATCCCAGAAATTAGCAAAGCAGCCCAGCTCATCCCAGATCTTGTCGAGCTCGTCTTGTGGCCAGCCTTGGTCACCGATTTCGTCGACGGTCGGCAAGTCGTATCCAAGCAGGAATAAGAACTCCCATGTCAGCTTCCGGCACCGCCGCTGGAACATTGGATTAGCAAAGACCCTGGCCTTGCACTCGCGTGTCGGCTGCGTTGGGTTGTACGAACTCCTGGTGTGCCTCCGCTTCGCCGTCTCGAATGCTGCACCAATCTTGAGCCATTCTAGATAGGCGGGTGTGATTGTGCCTTTCGAGACCATGTCCCGGAGGACTGGATAATCAAGGAGCGATTGCTTCCGAATTGCCATCTTTACATCATCCTCGGCGATCTTAGGTACTGCTTGCTATTGAGCCTCTTAGTTGGACGGAAGTGGTGAGCTTTGTCGAGGTCCTGTGTCAATCCGCGACTTTTATGACGATGGATGAGACCGGTTGGGAGCTCCGACGACTGGCTGCAAAAAACGTGAGATCGCTGCTTAGCGGAACACGGTAGTTGATTTTACTGGTCTTGACTGCGGTGCTGGAGGAGACCGAGACTGGCGACGCTAAGGACAACCGTCGGCTGCTGTCACCTTCGCCTTTCCTTTCGGATAAGGAGGCGAGCAGAGTAGGTCGGTAGGAAGCTCAGGCTCGCTATCGTCCTCGAGGTGATCATGACCTGCGTCCAAGAGGAAGTCGTCTATACGTCCGGATGGACCGTCTTTCGAGTTGATGTCGGCGAGAGCGTCAATGAACGCGTTCCGCCGCTCGTCATGTAGTCCCTAGACTTGGTGAATGACTTGCTTCTGCCATTCCCGGTTTCCCACCAGACCGCGGCCACCAGCGGCGCTCTGGTGGGAATAAGGCAGTAACCTCCATTGGCGGGCGGAGGGTAGTACTGCCGATTAACTGCTCTCCCTGTTGTCTGTTCATTACCCCGTCGAAGGAGGAGGAGGTTGAGTTGTAAGATCATACCCATGATACTTACGACTAGAAGCTACATACCTATCTAGGTACCTTGTCCAGCAGGCCATGCAACCACAATCAATGAAAGAATTTGCAAGAAAGCTTCACCCAATTTGGTCCAGAACGGCACAGCACTGTGTGTCAGGGTCGAAGTCGAAAGGAAGGACGTGTTGCTTGCAGTCCCCGGGCTGGTGTACCACAGGGCTGTTTCGCTTGACACTGTCCAAGTCGCTGGGCTGAGGCTCGGACACCTTGGGGGGTTCATACAAGGTGACTGGGTAGAAGGTGTCATGCATGAATTGTTTGCTCTCCATCGCTGCATGTCATGTGTCGCCTGGCTTCTTGCTTGGGCTTGAGCTCTCGTAATGTTGCAATTTTCCCCTCTTGCGGAGTGCGTACATCCTGTTTGCGCCCAAGAAGAGCCGCGATGGCCGGGGATTTCATCCCGTTGGCACGCTTTTCTATAATGAACTCGTCCTCGTCTTCTGTATAATCTGCATAAGGGCCTTGGCCACTGGGATATTCGCTGGAATGTTCGGACTGACCGATAGATCCTGAGACCGAAGATAGACCCTCCACCTCACTCCCTCCTTGGCTCTGGTGACTGTGTCGTCTTGAAGGCGGTCCGGGGTCTTGGGGAGCGGTCCTTGTGGTGCTCTCGGTAAGAGGCCGTTTCGAGCCAGCTCTTTGCTGCGAACGATCGCGACTCTCATCAGTCTGGAAGCTCAGCTGACTGCTATTGCTCTGAGACCTTCCCCATTGAGGCATCTGGCCCCATGAATTGCGCGATCTTCTTGTCTGTGCGGTTCTGGTATTTCAACCACTCTGCATAGGCCTTTTGCCGAAGATCGATAAGGCCTCTTGCAGCTTGACATTGATTTTCGATGGCGATCCGATCAGCCATCGGGAAGTGAGAGTTGATCTCCAGGAGATGCAAAAGCTTATGGCACGTCAGAGAAAGAGAATCGAGTTGGCCGATATTGTGAGAATAGGTCAGCAGCTCCATCGTCTCGGGATCAATTGGTGGTAACGGAATCCTTTGCACCAGGGGGAGCACGCTCGCGGCAATGCCTCTCAACACCGGCAGCTTCTCGACGCTAAGATTCGAGAGGTCTTCTGTGTCCAACTCCATGGAGTCCAACGAGGCGTGGAGGCTGGCGAAGGTCGGAGCGCGAGATCCTGGACGGTTGCTCTCTTGGTTGAGCTGGGATACCGAGTTCAAGGGTCCTGATGAAGGCGCCGTTTCTTGGGGAGCTTGCGATCCGGCTACGTTATGGAATGAAGCACCACTGAAGAAACTTCCGCAAGGCCCTTGGTGCGTTTCCGTATGACTGGACAGCCAGGAGAAGTCGTTCCCGGATTGTTGTGCCAGGGGGAGAGAGTAACTGCCCGCTTGGAAACCTGGCTGATGGTACCCTGTTGGGCCTGTGGGAAAGTTGTGTTGCAATTCTTGAGAAGATTTCTGCTGGTGTTTCTGCTGGACAGTGCTGCCAGGTGGAGGTGGAGGCGGCAGCATCTGATGCTTCTTGGAGCTCGCTGATGGTGACACAGGAGGAGGGGGTTTCTGCTGTGTCCGCGATGTGGAGGCTTGTGTAGCTGGCCGTGACACCAGCTGTCGATGATCACCTGAGTCCGACATGCTGGCCCTCTGGCACCTGTAGGGGTGTGTTTAGCTCGTTTTCAGTAAGTGTGCAACGCTTACAAGGGCGTATTCGTTCTGTGGTTGCGGACAACTTCGCTCACACAAAAGTGGGATTGTGCTTCACGGTATCTGAAAGATAGTGTGAGGGGTGATCTGGTCTTGCTAGTAATGGCTGTTGTGAAGAAGTTCAACACTGATGCTCGGTTGGCCGTCATTGATATAGGCTTTGTAGACCTCCATGAGTGTCCGACCAGTCACCAGCGGCAAGTGTTTGCTACTGTGTTCACGATGTATGCATCATTCAATGGCGAAGCCAGCCAGCACCACCAATCGCCCATGCCGAGACTCGTCTGCTGTAGTTTGCTCGTGTCAATCTCCGAAGCGTTAGAAGCCGGGCAAGCCTCTGTGACTGTCCCAGTTTGTAAGCGCGGTCATACTCACCTTCCAGAGCATTCATATGGATGTCATGAAGGATCAGCAGACAAGTGCAAGCTACTCGCGCCGATGCAGCACGAGCACCTCAAGATCATCAGCAGTAGTCAGTACACCGGTATAAAAATCAGCCGCCACTGGCTTTACGGCAACCTTGACCCCATCGGCGCCGTTCTGACCAGACGCTATGTAGAGAACATGAAGATGACTGATAATCGGTCCATACCCCACAGTGGATGTACTGCACTGATGCTTTCGTGGGAGAATGACAAGCACAAGATTCAGATGCCTGCTGGAAACTCTTTCCACATTTTTGAAGCTGAGACGTCGATTTTGGTCTCTCATGCTTGCACAGCTGCCATTCCAGAACGTGCAGACGAGGTGTTCGACACAGCCTGCACCATTCGCGGAGTCAAGAGCTGCATCACGCAGAACGAGGACGCATATGGGTGAGCTCGTATGCAGGTAGGGGTGCTCAGCTGATCATTTCCTCTCGCAGAGTCAAAGATCTGGGGAGCAGAGAGCCATCGAAGCTTATGTCGAGTACTTTTGACGTTTGTCTGTAACGGCAATACAGGATCTCAGCCCTACGCCTCGTGGTGGTGTGATGCATGGCAATTGTCGTGGCGGAGCAAGCCATCTAAGCTGTAGCTGTGGCACCACGCTGCAGGTAGAGCTCTGAACCAGCCGCATAGGAAACCTAATGGCGTTCAGCAAAAGCGGTGAGACTTTCAACGGTGGTAGGTATTTTGGCTCTCCCAGCAATGTGGGCGTAGTAGGTAGTGAGTCGATGGTTGGCTCTTTTAACACATCAGACTTTTTTCCAAGAGGTTCAGCTCAATGCTCGATATCAAGCGTTGCGGGGAGTTACCTGCGGCACAGATTGTGCCGTGGATGCCATGTGGACCAGAGAAACACATCTCCTGCAAGCGAGTTAATCCACGCAGCCAGAAGTCAATCCCTTTTCGAACGAGAGTCGACCGTCCTCCAGTGCTGCCCATCCCCGGTGCAGATAGTAGATCCCAAAGAAGTAGTTTTAACTTGGCATGGCGCATAGTAGCGCTGGCTATACCGCAGGGCTGCATCCCCCTAAGCTGTTCGCGGTAGCTGGCAGACGGAGCAGCCGGTGGCAGCGCCACGAAGTGCAACAGACCAGTAGGAATTTGGGCCAGCATGGCATGTCTGCTAGCTCACGGCGCCACGTGAGGTTGAGAATGGGCCATGTGGTGTATACATGTAGCGATGTATAGGAGTCGAGAGAAGTCAGCGAGGGAGGCTTGGCTTCGATGCCCCGCTGGCAGAGCATGTGCATCAGCAGCACCACCACAACTCCCACCTCGCTAGCTAACCGACACCTACACTTCGACGAGACTTCACTTCTAGCTCACTGCACTGGTATGCGCACCGAAGCCACTGGCGCATCACGCGAGTAGTCCTATACCACTTCCAACGGCTTCCTGCCGCTTCCGCGACTCCGTCGAGCCCCTCAGCCTCTCCACGTAACACACCTTTGTCATACCCACCCGCGCTAGACACGAGGCGGCCTTTTGACATCACGCCAACGCGTTTGACTGTGCAAAGATAAATACTCGAACATCCTCCCCGTCGGGCGCATAACGAATACTGCTATAGCATTTTACTTCAACCCCTACCAACACCTGAGATGGCGTTTCCGGGTCAGAACTACCACAACACCCACAGCTACCAACAAGGCTATCCTCCGCCTGCTCCAGCATACGGGAACTATCCCCCCCCTCAACAGTACCCTCCCCAAGGACCGTGAGTAAGCCCAGCAGCGCTATACGTTTGACCCCACTGACCGGCGCAGTCCATACAGCACTCCTTCGCCGCAACCACCTTACAACGGCTACGGCGGACCTCCACCTCAGCCCTACGGAAATGGCTACCAAGCAACACCTCCTCCGCAACCTCAATATGGTTATGGACCTCCGCCGAATGCGTACAATCAAGGGCCGCCCCCTCCTCAGCCATACCAGAACTACCAACAACCACCGCCGCAAGGTAAGGCCCGCAGTAAGACGTGTTAGTGATGAACGCTCACATTTTGTGCAGCATACGGACGACCGGCTCCTCCTCCGTCACAGCAACAAGGCTTCGGCCACGGCGCACCGAGCAACTACACATTCCAATACTCCAACTGCACTGGTCGAAGAAAGGCTCTTCTGATAGGTATCAACTACTTCGGGCAGAGGGGCCAGCTACGAGGCTGCATCAACGACGTCAAGAACATGTCATCATACTTGAACGGGCACTTCGGCTACAAGCGAGAAGACATGGTCATCCTCACGGACGACCAGCAGAACCAGATGAGCCAGCCTACAAAAGCAAATATACTCAGAGCCATGCACTGGTTGGTGAAAGACGCACGGTCCAACGACTCGCTGTTCTTCCACTACTCTGGACACGGCGGGCAGACCAAAGATCTGGACGGCGATGAGGAGGACGGCTACGACGAGGTCATTTACCCTGTTGACTTCCGACAGGCTGGTCATATAGTAGATGACGAGATGCACCGTATTATGTGAGTGCTGCTGGTCCTCAAATGTGATGTTGAAACTAATCAGGCGCAGGGTCTCACCGCTTCAGCCAGGAGTCCGTCTTACAGCCATCTTCGACTCCTGTCACTCTGGTTCAGCACTCGATCTGCCCTACATCTACTCGACACAGGGCGTACTCAAGGAGCCGAACCTTGCCAAGGAGGCAGGGCAAGGCTTACTGGGCATTGTTTCGTCATACGCGCGCGGCGATCTCGGCGGTATGGCGTCCACGGCAATGGGCCTCTTCAAGAAGGCGACAACTGGCGACGATACCTACAAGCGCAACTTGCGGACGAAGACGAGCCCGGCGGATGTGGTTATGTGGAGTGGAAGCAAAGACTCGCAGACATCGTATGTTGACCCTGCTTTCCCTGATGAGCCCGACTTTGCCTTTCCCGAGCCTGCTGTCGTGACGATGGAGGACTTCGCCGTCCCCTTTCAGTGCGCTTGTACGCCGTACAAAGACATGCATGGCAACATCTTGATTTGACCTGCTGCTTTGCTTGTGTTCTCAGCGCGGCGTTGGTGGCGTTTGCAGCGTTCAAGCGATTGTATCTGATACCGTTCTTCCACGTTCCCTTCGCCTTGGTCAACCCTAGTGGGATGACCTTGGCGTCGGGACGACGAGTTGCGTTGGAACGATCGCTGCACAGCATCCTGTTGCTCTAAAACTCGCGAGAAAAGATACTGACCATTCTTCTGATACAGGCAAGACGCAAACATCGCCGGCCAGGCTACCGGAGCCATGTCCTGGGCCTTCGTGACCGCGCTCAAGAAGAACCCGCAACAGAGCTATGTTCAGCTGCTCAACAGCATTCGCGAAGAACTCGAGGCCAAGTACTCGCAGAAGCCGCAGCTGAGCTGTAGCCATCCTCTTGGTACGTACCTTTTCCATTGATTGACGACCAATTGTCACTGACCGTCGAGCAGATACCAATATATTGTATGTTATGTAAATGTGGTTTGGAAAAAGGACAATGAATGAAAGTTGGGCATGGGTTGGCAGATTGGGTACAGTACTGGCTTGCTGTGGGAATGACCAGGCCGGGAAGGTTGACGTGCTTGGATGAGATGCATGAAATGGAGGGTCGTTCTGGCGTTCATGGGTGTTTCGCCCCTCCGGTCTATCCTGTGGTGAGGCGAGCGTTCCAGCTTCTTCAAATTTCAGGATGACGTGAATTTGAATTGAGTCTTGGCGGACGAAAGTTAGTTTCAACTTCACTCAAGCCGACCGTTTGCTCTCCTTCCACTCCCTCTTGACAACCGTGTACAAGTCCACACAGCAGAGTTCCACGATTTCGTCTTTCATAAGGTGATGATGGAGAAACAGCCTTTGCATAACAACGGTCCGACGCTGCACTCCGCCTGCCGTTCCCCGCCTTTCGTCGCCTTCCGAAGCGACGTGGCGTGGCTGGCGGTGCACAGATCGTCCGGCGCTGTCCGCGGACTTCATGACGACGACCTGCTTGTGCGAAGCGATGCGAGCTGCCTATTCCGTTCAATATCAAAGGCAGACCGAGGCACTTTTGCGTTGGCTAAGCATTTACCAGCGTATGTCCAACGCATAGTAGGTAACTGGAGTCTTCACCGCGTGCTTCAAACTTTCCTACCTCTTCCTACCATCATCATCTCTTCTCGTTCTTCTCCCTGAGCGAGACGGTCGAATCATGGCTTCCTTCATCTCCAAAGCAGCGCTACTAACAGTAGCGTGGACGAAGCTCCTTCAGCCAGTCTTCGCAGCACCGTCGAAGAGCTCTCTCCCCATCGTCGACCTAGGCTATGAGCGCCATCAAGCGGCCTACCAGAACTCCACAGGCAACTACTACAGCTTCTCAAACATCCGTTACGCGGCGCCTCCAGTCGGGGACCTACGGTTCAGAGCTCCTCAGCCTCCCAAGCGGAATCGAGGTGAGGTGCAGACGGGTGAACAGGACCGAATCTGTCCTCAAGCTCAGCCCGCTTGGGGCCTGATTAGTGGGCAGTATGATATAGATGTGGTAATCTGAATGGATGTGTAATGAGCTGATTGATCGTAGATTCATCCCGGAGTATCTCGCAGGACAGACCGAGTTCAACTCGTCTTCGTTCAACACCAGCACTGGCTCCGGCGGGCTGCCACAGGTTGACTCTAGGACAACCGAGGACTGTCTCTTCCTGGATGTTGTCGTGCCGAAGGGGATATTCGACAATGTCGGAAAGGGTTCCGGGGCGCCAGTTCTTGTGTGGATCTACGGAGGCGTAAGTATCCTAGCGTCTGTTACCATTTCGGGTTGGCAAAGATGCGTGCTGATTCTTCTGCTTAACGCTCAGGGCTACACTGCAGGTGAAAAGTCCGGTGGCGCGGATCCCGCTGGGCTCATCCGTAGAAGCACCAACAAGGCGGCGACTGGCGTAATTTACGTGAGCATGAACTACCGCTTGGGGGCCTTCGGATGGCTGTCTGGACCATCTCTACAAGCCGACGGCACCGCGAACGCTGGTCTGCACGATCAGCGATTTGCACTTGAGTGGATCCAGAAGAACATCAAGAAGTTCGGTGGAGATCCCTCTCGAGTGACCGTCTTTGGCGAAAGCGCTGGCGGCGGTTCCATCATGCATCAGATGACTGCCTACGGAGGCAGGAAGCCCGTGCCGTTCAACCAGGTCGTACCTCAGTCGCCTGGATTCCTGCCAATCGTGTCGAACCAGCAGCAAGAACAAACGCTGAATGACTTCCTCGCTCTGGCGAATGTCTCGACCATCGCGGAGGCCAGGAAGCTGTCGTTCACGCAGCTCCTAATTGCGAACACAATCCAGGTCGGTTTGGCTGATTATGGTGGATTTGTCTACGGACCTACAGTGGACGGCGACTTCGTTCCGGCAACACCGGGAGAGCTCTTCTTGCATGGCGAATACGCCAAAAACTTGAAGGTCATGGTGGGTCACAACGCAAATGAAGTAAGTCGATGAAGCATTCATACACGTTCCATTTTCAGTAGCTGACGAAGAATGTAGGGACTTTTGTTCACCTCACCTTTCATCCAAAACAACACCGCGTTCAGGCAATACCTTCTCAGGTCCCTGCCTACCCTCCGAGCGTGGCCTTCTGTGACGAAGTACATCACGAAGACACTCTACCCGCCTGTGTTCGACGGCAGCCAGGCACAAGGATATACCGATCAGATCGGACGTGCGTCGGCTGTCGCCGCTGAGCTGTAAGTTGGCATAAAATCTACTCACACGATATCAGCAGCTAACGTATCAAGCTCATTTACCTGCAACACCTTCTACCTCGACAAGGCGTACAACAATCAGACGTATTCCTACTTCTTTACCGTTCCTCCGGCACTTCACGGCCAGGATATTGCCTACACGTACTACAACGGACCCGACCCCGAGAACGTGCAGAACCCGCAGATTGCCATTGCGCTGCAGGAATACATCACGAGCTTCGCTATGGATGGCAATCCCAACGAGCGTGGCGTGCCGCACTTCCCGATGTACGGGGACGATGCAACGGTTCAGGTGTTGAATGCTACGGGTATCTCGCAGTTGATGGATCCGACCGCTAATTACCGTTGCAATTGGTGGCAGAAGGCGTTGTATGCGTAGTAAACGTAATAGTAGCTAGTATACGACTGTACATAACCAAGTCTGTTAGATGTCTTCGAGGACATCGTCGGGATCTGATGCTTAAGACCATCTTTGCTTATGCAATTAGTAGAGCAAAGTGACCACATCTCGTCGCAAAGACGGAAGAATAATTGACAAACGCTCTTCAGCCATTGAGTTCATTGTTGGATGGCGTGCATGTGGCAGAAACAGGAGGAGCTTGAGTATATGTAAACGTGACGTCAGGTCCTCTAGCTGCTTCTGCCGGCCATCTTTGAAACTCCTCTTTTGTTCCTTCAACATCACCGACAACAGTCAACAATACCTTTGCAACACCACGTCAACCTACCAGTAACAAAACTACATCTACCAATACCATCACAATGTTCCGTCAAGCCGCAGTCCGCAACGTCCGCCTCTTCAGCACCACTCAAGCCTTCCGCAAGGGCCCAATCGAGGCCGCAAAGGATGCCGCAAAGACGGTAGACAGGACCGTGTCGGACGCCGCTGTCAAGGGCATTGAGAAGGGCGGTACGTGACTACTCTTGCTTTCACCATACTATCGCAACCGCTGACATCGCACCAGAGCAAGCTGCACAATCCGCCAAGGAAGCCGCCGGCGTCGGCAAGGACAAGGCGAAGGAAACTGCCGGCGAGGCAGGACAGAAGGCGCAAGAGGCTAAGGACGAGGCGGCGAAGAAGATGTAGAAGTTGCGGCCGTGAACATGAAATAGCAGAACAACACCTACGGAAGAGGAGAGATGGTGGAAGTGGCGGTGTGAGGGAGAGATATGCGTGGGCGTTCACGAGCATCTTCGATCTTTGCATGAGGCGCTCTGTAACTCTACGAGCTTGTCAAGATACGGCGTCCTAATGTCAAAACAATCCTATACTCGTGCTGTCGCTATCTCACGCTGCCTCGCAATGTCCCTTGGCCAAGGCCACCCAGGCGCACCAAGATCAACTTCTACATGCTGATATAGCTGTCCAAGGAGCTTGACAACAGTGAGCGTGACATGGTGTCAGACCTGTCGAGGTCGAAACATCTGGTAGCTTTTGTCGAGCCGCCGGCAAGATGAGTATAGGCAATGCCCCGCTTGAAAGCTTCCCAGTCGCATTTGAAGCTCACTCTGTGGAGGAATGTCCGAGGTTATGAATACTTGGAGCGCGAACGATGAGCAAGATGGATGGAACCAACGTCGGATATGTCTAGTCGTCAATCGTTCTTGATTGCTTGCCAGCAGTATGTCGGATGAATTCAATGCTAGCAATGCTGTGAAGCCTTCAGCTGGCTACGATGTCAACCAGCTCAAGGGAAAGAGTGTTGTGATCACAGGCGGTATGTAGATTATAAGTCTCTCGAGTAGGTAACGATGACTGACGACCGCGAAGGCGGAAGTGGTTTGGGTGAGGAGTTCGCAAAACGTTTTGCTAAAGCCGGGTTCGTCAACGAATTCGATGAGATCTGTCCCGTCAGTCGACAGCGATCTAATGTCTCGACAGAGCATTTGTAACCATTGGCGACGTATCCGAAGAGCGTGGCAAGAGAGTCGTCTCTGAGATTGGCGAGTTTGTGTCACCACTCGAACCTACGTTGACGCTCATCGTTGACCCTGTCGCCCAGAGATAAAGCAGCCTTCGCCCAATGCGACGTCCTCACCTGGTCCGACCAAGTCCGCCTCTTCAAGACAGCCATCTCCCGCTCCCCATCCAAGTACGTCGACGTCGTCGTAGCCAATGCGGGCATCAGCGGCCAAGATCAGGTCTGGAAAGATGGTCAGTGCCATCGTCTCCAACATCACAAGCCTGCAACGCATCATTGACACGCCGTAGATGCCCCCGACGCGGACTCCGACCCCATCGAACCCGACCTCTCCATCCTCCGCACCAACCTCATCGGCGTGACATACACCGCCAAACTCGCCGTGCACTACCTCTCCCGCAACCCGCCCGACCACGATCGATGTCTGATCATGACAGCCTCAGTCGCCGGATACCTGGACCAGCCTGGGTGAGTCACCTCCATTCCCGGGAGCATCATCAGCCAGATCTTGGCCTCCTCTCTCCATCGACTCAGCTAATTCCTGCCAGATCTCCACAGTACAACGCCTCCAAATGGGGCGTGCGCGGCATAATGCGCTCGCTCCGACGCACGATGCCCACGCAGTCGATGCGGGTGAACATCATCGCGCCTTGGTTCACGAAGACAAACATCATCGCGGATGACGTGATCGATCGTCTCGAATCGAAGGGCATAGATTTCGCGACGAAGGGGGATGCGGCGAGTGCGGTGTTGCATTTTGCGAGTGAGCGGTCGATCAATGGTAGGTCGCTGACATCTGTCCCCACTGAATCATGGCGCAGAGGGGCTGACGGTGAGGTTAGGTCGAGCATGCGCGATCGTACCTCGAAACGTCGCGCCAGAGGGGTATATGGACTTAGGAAAGGACGACAACAGTGTAGATGACATTGTGACTGGGTGGCAGAACCTAGCTATGAAGGTTAGTCATCGCATTGGCACAAGGTAAAGGAGAAGACGGTTTTTGGATGTGGGTATCAGTAGCTTCTCCGTTCTATGAGTATCTTACACAACCAAGCTCTATTAGAAGTCGAATGCGCGCTATAAGAAGTACTTCGGCTCGTCGAACACATGATAACGATGATCACGCACGCCCTTGCCCTTGAAGAGCTCCGGGAAGCGCAGGCCTGCCGGCACTTCTTCCTCCGACAACAGTCTGTTGCCGTTCTCAGGCTCGCCGACGACGAATTTGCCGATCTGCAAACGATTGGTTAGCATTGCTATTCTCGCGAACATGGAGCGTTGTGAGACGACTCACCTGCAGCTCAGTATCCGTAATCGACCCGCGACTAACCCTCGCGTATCCTGACCTCCGCAAGCCCTTGTAGAGAATATACTCGCACCATCGATCATCGTCACTCGGATCAATGTCCAGCATGCCACTCTGGTCGCTGACGTAGGTATTGTAGTTCCCTTTGCCAGGGTCGATGACCAGGTAGGACAGCAGGATTGAAGGCCGAGGCGAGCTGCCCATCAGCTTCGACAGGTACTCAGACTGCTGCCGACGGTCTTCGGGATCCTCTTCTTGGCCAGAATGAAAGACGAAGACGTCGATCAGCTCACCGTAGGCGTCAATCGTGGCGTGGATCGCTGGTGCCAGCTCGCCAACTGGGCTGGGCAGGAGGTGATGCGTTGAGTTGACGATTGGGAATTTGGAGAGCAGCGCCGCGCCCCATGTGTGCTTGTTGGGTCCTGGGCCATAGTCGACCCACATACCGAGCTCTTCGGCCAAGTATTGCGTGGTGTCTCTGTTGCCCATGATGATGCGCTGCAGATCGCTTTCGAGCAGACCAACGACATCAAGCTCCGTCTCGCGGATTAAGCTCTCCATCCGCCGTTCGGAGCTCCACATGTCGTTGTCGATGCTGAAGTGAATGGTCCAGATGCCTGCGGTGATGACCTTATCGTCTTTGTGGTAGGGCTCGTAGTTGTACGACGGGAAACGAAGGTAGGCGACACTTGCGCTCAGCAGCTGGAGGAAGAGCAAGATGTAGATGTAGTAGCTCCTCTGCCTGCGCGCAGCTGGGTTCGCTGCGGGACGGAAAGACTCTTGCTTTGCAGGTGCTCCACCGTTTTGCAAAGCAGAGAAGACACCGCAACCGATCAGTAGCATCATCGAAGTCATGACCCAGTCGGTGTGTTCTCTCACCAGCGGACCCCCGGGCACGAAGGCGTATGCCACAACCCAGACGTGGAAGAGAACCATGATATTGTAGGTGAAGAAGCCGACGAAGAAGGTTCGACCAGGCGCAAATTTAACGGCATTCGAGATGATGGTTGGCGTGACAGCCATCATGTATACTGTCAAAGTAAGGGCGCCGTAGTAGCCAAACCAGTGGTGAGATAAAGTCAGTATCGCAGCGCCAATCGATCCAATGCCGAAAGCTGTCCAGCCGCGAGCGAGGTTTGGGTAGAACAAGCCGAAGGCAAGACCGACGGCCATAGCAGCGATGGTCCAGGCGCCGTGAGGCACAGCCATGGGACCTCGTATCGGGTAGCCATCCCAGACCCACAGGATCATGGTGCTGGAATCCGACAGCAGAGAGTGAAGGCCGAAGATGATCCCACCCACGCCAGATCCGGCAAGTATGGAAGGTCCCTTAGGTTTCTCGCTGGGTTGGCGACTCCCGCTGTCACTGCTGCTTCCCTGCCATGCTTTGGCTACTGCCAAGATGAACACAAGGATACCAGTCTTGTTCCAACCTCCATTGTTCTCGTTCATGATGGGCCATACCGGGTTGTTGGTCTGGAAGGCAAATTTGGCAATACTGCTTGCGATAAGTCCAATAGTCCAGGCAGAGATCTTGGCCTCCAGCTTCGCCGGGTTGTTCCTCGCGCCGGACCATGCCGCCGTCCAGGCGAGACAGCTTTGCCACACGCCGAAGCTGACAGCTCCGAGTCGGCTCTCCGGCGATTGAAGAAGATATGCGAACAGTCCCACAACAGAGGTTGCATATAACACCGGCAAGTTGCCAACAATCAAGCCTCGCAGCTGTCTGATCCCGAGCAGCAAAGGAGAGACGGTGGAGAGGATTGCGACTTCGTAGCCCGAAATGCCCATGTGCCAGAGTGGGAAGTACCATACCACCACTCCAAGAGAGGTCAGCACGCTCCAGAATACGAACTGTAGATCCGTTAGCATGGTGGCGAAAGAATACTTAGATCCAACTCACCCCAAGATACACATCAGCCGCAGCATCGAGCATTTCTGACCAGACGAAACGAGCATTGAAGACCTGGCCAACTGCCCGATTCTTCTCCTTCTCAAGGACGGCATCGGCCACTCTTTGGTTGTCCCTGTTACCAGCCCTCGTCAGCTCACTCCCGCAACGCAAGTACAGTATAAGAGCGGCCGCATCGTACCAAGCTTATTTGGGAAGCCACTGCACGTACCCTCTGGCTAGACCTTTTACATCTTTGACCACGATCTCGAAGCTGCTGAAGTCCATTACCGTGACGGTGTCGAAGCCAACGTCGAGGAGGACAAGGGACCATTCAAAGAAGGCGTAAATCGTGTAGGCTGGTTTTCGGTCAGCTTGCTTGTCTCGAGTCGAGCTTCAAAGGTGACAGACCTCCGGGCACACGATGCACTTTGTGCTGGATGAAGAAGTAGACCAGTGGGACCAACGTTCCGAAGAAGGCGGAGGCTAGGTACTTGCGGTACTTAATGGCCTCCGGGTTTGGCGGACTCAGCATGGTGCAACCAATGGTCCAAGGCAATGTTGCGACCAGATAACTAATCATGAATATGTCATGCCAATCGTGATCATCCGTGCTCGTGATGTATGTCCATCCGCCGCACGTCAACGTCCTGAAGACACCCACCCCTGCCACAAACTTGGACAGACTGCTGTCCTTCCGATTGGACATGCAGTACCACAGAAAGACGAGCATGAATCGGGGGCCCGAGCATATTGCAATGAAGATCTGGAAGACCGAGCGTTCGGGGTATTTATCGCCTATCGTTGCGCTGACGGATGGGAACCATTCGACAGGGTATCCGTAGTGCTCGTTCTGCACAATCTTGGTATAGTGTAGCCACACGCCCACAATGAGGGCACCGAGGAAGGCAGCGTATGCTGAGAGGGTGTGAGCCCATGCGATCCAATGGCCGGGAATCTGCGCGTTGTATCAGCCTTGTGTCGTTGTATTGCTGGACTGATGGTTGCGCTTACGACAGCGACCACATCGCCATCTCGGTGTTTGGGAGGCATTGCTGCTGGCGTCTGCGCCAAAGGGGAGGGGGATAAAGTAAGTCGAGGTGAGATACAGCAGAGCCTCGAACTTCGAGAACACGAAACACGCGACTCTCGGGACTGCCCCTGCCGAGTGCCGTGGGAGCTAATGACTAGCGCGCATGTGCGGACCGCCGCTGGTATCTCCGAATATCAATCTCTAAACTCCAGTTCGGAAATTCTTCCTCCAGACATCTCCAACACATTGCACAGCACAATGCCGGGCGCCAGCGACAAGGCGCGCTTCTACCTCGAGCAGTATGTCCCGGAGCTCCAGGAGTACGAGCGCAAAGAAATCTTCACCGCGGAAGAGATCAAGGCCATCGCAGCAAAGCGCAGCGACTTCGAGCACACCATCAACGCCCGCGGCTCGAAGCCTAGCGATTATAGCAAGTATGCGACATACGAGATGACTTTGGACAAACTATGCAAGAAGCGTTGCAAGAGATTAGGTGTGAAAAGTACGACGTTCAGCGGGCAAAGGACGGTCTTCTTCATTCTGGACCGTGGGACGAAGAAGTTTCGTGGTGATATGGGACTCTGGATGCAGTATATCCAATTCTGTCAACGGGAGAAAGCGAACAAGAAACTCTCGAAGGTGTTCACGAGCGTGATGAGGCTGAAGCCGAGGGAATGGAGTCTGTGGGTGCTGGCAGCGAGGCACTATGCCGAAGCACTAGGAGACATGAATACTGCGCGCTCGTACATGCAGAGAGGGCTGAGGTTTTGCAAGGATGAGCGAAAGTTATGGCTCGAGTACATGAAGCTGGAGATGGCGTATCTGGCAAAACTTGCGGCACGGAAGAGGATCCTGGGACTGGATGAAGAGATGAAGGACGCCAATGCTGAGCAACCGGAGGAAGATGACAACATGATGGCATTGACAACCGTGAATGCAGAAGACATCGATGCGGATGCACAGAAGGGTATTGAGGAGGTCGACGACGATGCTCTGAAGAGGTTGGCCGCCGCACCTGCCTTGAACGGCGCCATTCCAGTTGCGATCTTCGACGCTGCTATGAAGCAGTTCAGCAATGACCCCGCCTTTGCTGAGGACGAATTCGACCTTTGCGCCACCTTCGACAAGGTACCTTCTACCAGAACTATCCTCCAGCACATCCTCCATCACCTGCAGAAGCATGCCTCGCAGTCCGCCGAAACTGTCATTTGTGAAGCGAAGATGCCACTTTGCGGCATTTCGGTGGACTCGGAAGAGTTCCCTGCTGCGCTCGGATATGGCCTGTCAACGATCAAGAGTGGGCAAGCTCAGATCAGCCCACCGGTTCTCCCCAAATTGGCCGGGGGAGCGGTGGCCATGCTCATGCCTTACCTGCGGGTGCGAGATGAGGTTGACGAAGAAGTTGTGACAGTCTTGGAGGCGAGTGTTAAGCGGTACCTTAAGATGCTAGCCCAAGCAGGCAATGAGAGTCTGCGGTCCAGGAAGGATCCGGTCGTGGCATTGACTGACAAGCTACGAACCAAAGGACTGGAAGCAGACGCAAAATTGGTCGAGACGTACGCAAGCACGCTGCAGGCGCGATGACGGCATGATCGAGGCTGCTCTGTCGCATACGCGGATTGCTCTCAGAGACACATATAGTATTGCGATCGGCGTGCTCGCTATCTACAATAACTTCAACAATCGCCCCACACAAGCCGTCCCTCCAAGAGTCGCAAAGACACCCGAGAACAGGATCAGCACGCCATAGTCCGTTCCATACGCAAAGCTCGCACGGGAGCTCCACCCTCCCTCCAGCAGAGCCTCGCTAAGGGGACCAGTGATCACAGCTCCAATACCTCGACCAGCGCACATTAACGACAGCACAAGTCCGGCCTCCGTGCGCTCATTTCCACTCTGTTTCTCCATCGCCGGGGCATAACGCGACCATGTCGAGCTAAACCCACCGCCAAACAGTCCAAAAGTCAGAGCGAACATGTAGAACATCGCTTGTGACGATGTCAGGCCCCAGAAGACGAAGATGGCCACCACCTGACCCAGCGTTGTTATCGACAGCGCCACGGAGACGTGGAATCTGTCCACCAGCCAGCCTACCATTGGTGCACCGAAGCAGTTGGCGAGGTTGATCACCGCTAGGCCAAGCGGTCCGGCGAATTTGGGCAGACCGATTTCTGCTGCGAAGGAGGGTAGCCAGAGGGGCGGGAGGAAGAACGACAGAGATTGAAAGACCACGCCAGCTAGAAAGATCCAGAAAGGCGGGTGTTTCATGAAGCCGAAGTTCACGGGGCGGAGAGCGTTGGAGCTTGTGATGGGAAGACGTGGTTTGACCCAGAAAAGGCAGGGCGTGATGCCAACGACCTAGGACCAGATCAGCTCAGCCTCGGTCGATAGAATTTACGGTTCAGACTCACCAACACGACGGCCCAGACCCTTAAAGCAACCCGAAACCCATACGAATCCAACAACCACTGCAGCAAAAACGGCACCACCACCCCCGCCGATCCGGTGCCAGCCCACATAACACCATAAGCCGTGCCCTTCCTCGCAACAAACCATTCGTCGACATAAACCATCGCCGGATAATACAACGTCATCCCTCCAATTGCATACATCACACCCTGCGTCGCCAGCAACCCGCTCACACTATTGCAGAAAGAAGCCGCCACCATAGCTGTAATGGCAATGACCGCACCGGCGTACATCCCAAGCCGTCGAAGTCTCGGCCAGCGCTGCATCAAGAGCGCGAGGAGGGGCGTACTGAGGTACATGATGCCGGTTTGCGAGGTGCCGATTGCTGCAATGCTGGAGGAGGCGGAGGCGAAGTTGGCGGTGTAGTGGGTCTGGAAGACGCCGTAACTGAAGGGCATGCCTGTCGCTTGTGTCAATGGCCATGCTGTGCAGCGGGAGTGGATGTGAGTGTGCTACCCACCCCAGACGAGCGCTTCGAGGATGAAGCAGCTGCATAGGAAGAGCCAGGCGTCTTTTCCACCGTCGGGTCTAGGGAGGGAGTGTTGGCCTTGATCTAGTTCCGTCCAGTCGGTGGTCTCGTTGGGACGGTCCACGAGTTCATGGGCTTCGATGATGGCCTGTTCCATGGTAATGCAATATTCGAGAGATACAGTACGTCAAAGGATCATTGATATGCAGCGCTCTCCTTCCTCAATCCCAAAACGAGCTGTGGCGACTTATATGTTCAACTTTGCAAACTACTCACGTCTCTCACGAACCTCAAATATCCCTTGTACGGTGAGTAGTCGTCGGGAACCATTTTTGTTGCCGGCAGGGTAAAATTCCCGTGTTCGGATTTCTGTCATCACAGGCGTCGTTGGACGACAGCGAAGACCCACGCCTCGTCTCCAAAAAGGTAATCCTTCCCTGGCTGCCGGTGTCCGGATATCATTCTGTCGGAATTTGTCAGAAAATCTGCTTTGCTGCCATGCCGAAGTCGCGCAGTCACATATAGATAAATGACAAGGCATGATGTTGCTCTCCCAAGAGTTGGACAGTTTGAAGTCCATACTGTACTCGCTGCGAGGGTGAGGGGTAAATATATGTTCATGTAAGCTATATACAAATATCTCGAGTAAACGACACGCTTGAACGCGCCAAACTGCGCTGCTAGGTATAACAGTCTTAAACATATTCTTACAGATCGCATGGTATATTGCCAACAGTCACATCTTCGGGAGAGCATCACCAACATTTCAGCCGCGAGTACCACTTCTGCTTCTTCGGTCTCGAGCTTTGTGGCGATTTCTCGTCTGAGGGCGGTAAAGGCTCGAGAGGTTGTGTTCGGGCTGTCGAGGATGGAAGGCCGGCCAGGCCGGGTTGTATGCCTCGTGACTGGCTCCTTCGCGCTTCTACCACACGGCGCACGATCACTGCATCCTCACATTAGCTTGACCGCGCCTTCATCTCCACTTGTGAGGACGGAACCTACGCGCAAACGTCTCCTCAATATTCACCATCTCCCTCGCGCTCGTCTCCATAAACCCATACCCCCGAGTTCTCGCCCACTCCAGCCCCTCCCTCGAGCTCACCTGCCGCTGGCTCTGCAAATCGCATTTGTTCCCCGCTACTATGCACACCGGCTGCGTCTTGCTCCTCTCCGTCCGCGTCTCCCTTTCTACCTCGATCAATTGGTTAAAGTAGTCCAGCTGCTGCAGCGACCCTACGCTCGTGATATCGTACACGAGTAGGAACGCGTCGGAGGTGAGGTTCGACGAGGACCACAGGCCGCGGTACTCTTCTTGCCCGGCGGTGTCGGTGAGGTTCAGGGAGTAGGTGGTGCCGTCTATTGTGCGCGAGACGGAGTAGGAGTCTTCGATTGTTGGGTCGTATCTTCATGCCGTTAGCGAGGGCGCAGTGCGACACAGTCGTCGTTGCTTGACGTACTCGTGTGTCCACTGACTGCGCACAAGTCGCAGCGTGATGCTCGACTTCCCACATCCGCCATCGCCGCACACCGTGATCGAGATGCTGTGCGGGTCATGCATGCTTCCTATCCAGTACGGTGTCGGATTCACGGTGGTCGAGGAGGAATGCGGCTCGGTGCGCCGGATGTTTCGGGTCGGCTTCGCTGGCCTCACCGCGCAGTCCTTTATTATACCCAAAGCCGTGTCAAGAATGTGTTCCTTGCGGTCGCGATAAACAACCCCGTCCTTCTATCCCAAACTCGGCACGGATGCGTCGTTCGCACGGAGGCAGGGGCGCAAGCAAGCCTGTAGGCGATCAAACAGGCGTATATCCGTATGCAAGTCACACAACAGCCAGAACTGAGGCAGCCAACGAACGTGCAGAGATATGTGAAATTACCAGCAGGCTGGGCTAATAATCATTTCGGTCGCAAGAGCGGGCAAAAGGGAAAAGAGGGCAGAGTCAAGGATGCCCGAAATGGTGCCCGACTGTGGATCCGAGTGCTCCGCGAGCTCAGGAACCGGGATGCGCCGTCAACGGTCGGCTTCTTCTCTGCGACTATCAACGCTGCGTTAAACCGTCTTCGGGCAAGGCGTGGGTATAGGTGCAGGGCCGAGGGGAAGCTTAAAGACTACAACGGTCTTGTTTCCGGGTTGCTGGTGGTTGTTCGTTCTTCGATGCATTTGAACGATTCGTCTGAGCATGCAACAGCGAGCGTGGGAAGTGCCTGGCGGACATCTTCTGGTTCCCGTGAACTGCTTGGAAGCGAATGGTAGGATGGTCCGGATTGCTCAGGAAGGTTGACGAACGGTATGCTACCAAAAAACTGTAATCACCTGTAACTGCCGGTCCGAAGCTTGCTACTCAACGTCGATCGGCAGGCCTCGAACTGGAGACCTGAACACATTCTGCCCAACTGGTATCATCGGCAACCCTTTCGAGCCATGATCCGCAGACAACTCTAAGCCATCGGCAATAAATCCTCACTCGAAGAACTCGTTCGTGAACAAATCGGTGGTCGGCAATTCTACCCCCAGCAGCCCTCTTTGTCTCAACCAGCTCGTCCACGACGTCCATTTCGCTTCCCTCATCCGGCCTGGCCCTGCGGAGTTCTCCTCATCAAGGTAGAACTCGTTGATCCGCTCCTGGCTGCTGTTGAGGAAGGTCGCGAACTTCTCGGGGCGACAGTGAGGTGCCAATATGCCAGCAGCGTCCTTGGAGTCCTTCATAGCATACTCATAGCCCTTGGCTGTCGCCTTGACAAACCTCCGCAGTGCATCGGAGTCGAGTGATGAGGCTGCATTGCGAGCGATCACCGGCGAGTACCCATACGGTACACCGTGGTCTTCAGGCCTGAACGCATGCAGTTCAACACCCTCGAGCTCCGCCTCTACCCCCTCCCAAGGCATGAAGACCCAAGTGGCATCCAGCGCTCCCTTCTTCACCTCGTCAAAGAGCGAGAACTTCCCAGTCGAGTTCTTAATCTGCATCCCATCCCCTTTGCCACCAGCAGCAGTCACCATCGCTTTCACAATCTCATCTTCGTACTTGGCGTTGTAGCTTCCATAAGTGCCACTGTCAAGCTTCGCAAGATCACGCACTTTCGTCGACGTGATGGCACTGACGTCTCGTTGGAGGATGGCATAGATGGCCTGGAGTTTCATGCGCCCGGTTTCGTTGTATGCGATCACGGATTCTGAGGGGCAGACTGCAAGGTCGACTTCTCCATTTTGAACTCGTTTGGCTGGTGTGGTGGTGTAGTCTTCGTTGGGTGGCAGGAGCTGCACGTCGAGTCCTTGGTCTGAGTAGAGACCTTTTTCGAGGGCGCAGAAGAGGCCGGAGTGGATGGTGTTTGGAGTCCAATCGAGGGCGACTTTGACTGTTGTTTTGCTCGACATGTTTTGGCGTTGTCTGTGTCTATTGTGTCGATGTGGGATGGACGACTTCAATTTCAACTTGATCAATTTCGATCCTTGTCGCGGATGATGTCAACCTCGAGAAGCTCGAGAAGTTCTTGAGCTACATGTATGCAGCTTCAATGGAATATCCAGGGCGCACGAAATGGTTTGATGTAGTGACTCTACAATACCTGTTGTCAACAGGCCTAACACTTCTCTAGTGAAAAACTCAGTGACTTTGATACCAGGCGGCACAGCGTTGGATCTCGCAACAGAGCGGAAAGCGGATCGACACTCATGAATATGATGGGCAATTCGATGGGAGATTGGACGTTCGATCACGCCAACGAAACGAACGAATGAAACAATTCAAAAGACAGGACGGCCTGGAGGTATCTTCTTGTCATAACATCGTTCCAGGATGATGACCACTCATCGATCGAACAATCAACCATCTAATCCTTCTGCTGCGTAGCACCGCCCTTCTTCCCAGCCTCAACAGGATCGACCTTTCCTCCCGCGAACTGGCCCTTCCCGCCGCCACCAGAGCTGCTGTCGCTGTCGCCTCCACTGGTGCCGCCGCCTGATGTGTGGCCACCTTGCTTGCCGGCTTCGTGAGGATCGACTTTGCCGGCGGCGAACTCTGCGAATGTGTTAGACGGGTAGCTTGAAGGAACGGGATGTACGTACCGCCAGTGTTGACTCTCTGGTCTGGCCGGCCGTCCTTGCGAAGACCGTCGTGCTCTGGTAACCAATGGTGTTAGTTGAATCTTGGAGAGAAAGCAAAAGCTTTGTCGAGACTGATCGATGAAGATGTACCGGTCGGCTTGTAATCAGACATGATGCTGATTCCGAAGGTTTTATTGAGTAGGTTTGGTTGTCGAGTTCGTTGTTGCTTGAGATGAAGGAAGGATTACATGTGGCTTTGGGCCTTGCAGCTTTATATAACTTACACAGCTCACTGCTGTTTATCCATAACCCATTCGTACTTGATCTCGATCACTATTGTCTGCCGTAGAAGGTGACGTCTCCATCCTACAAAGCCAAAATCCAGCCTCGCATCCCGTCAGCGTGACGCTTATATTCCTCACGAGCCAAACGCCCAAGCGGGCTAACGATGTAATTGATGTCCGTGAAAGTGATCTGTACGATCTGACAATCCTCGTCAATCGATCTGGTACCTGGTCTAGCAGGGATGGGATCTGACATTGTTCCTGGCTTGCTTGGTTGATCGGCCCCCGGAATATCTTCCCCACGAATGACCCACTCGATATGGCATCACCACTTCCAACATCCGTTCCCTTTGATCTGCCCTGCAGATTGTCGGCACTGGAGCAGGTATGCGCTGTCGAATGGGCTCCCCAGCCGTGTTGCGGAGAGTCACCGGAGAGTTCCAGGTGATGCTGCAATCGATTCCAGGTCTGTTAGGCAAGCTTGTTCCAGCACAACGTCCATCAACGATCCTCAAGTTGGCCTCATCAAAGTGCCGAACGTAGGCAGTGGTGCCTCGTTGTGGAGGCATAGAGTTGATGTGTGGATGCAGTAACAGTCTGATCCAACCTGATCCATGTGTGCTCATCTCAGCTCGGCCAGCGGACAGCATGCTCCCCCGAAGCATTTCTGAAGCCTCGATCACTCGTCACGCTCACGCCAGTCACCACAGCTGATGCCATCAGGCGTATCAACAAATAGCTCGACGGACAGTGTCTCCTCTCGCTCTTCTGCATTGACATACACCCGGTCCAGGATAAGCCAGATATCGCCCAAGCGTCTCATGTCCGGACTCAGATCAATGTCCTCGGTGCGGATGCCGCCAGCATTGTCCGAATACTCGCCTTCATTGGAAGCAACGAGTACCCGACGTTCAGGGCCGCGGCCGATCTCTATGCTCATGCGGACGAGCGAGCGGGCAGATGCAGCGCGCTGCGATGCTGAGCTGCTTTCCAGATATCGCACGATTGCGTACAGTTTGATGAGCCGCCGTGGGACCAGCGGCGCCGCGATCTTGCTTTGTCCTGCCTTAAACACTGCGCTCTTGAGATCTAATTGCAGCCTACCTGCGCCTTCCTTTGGCAACTGTACAACCTGCGCAGGCTCGTTGGACTCTACGAAGAGCGTGAAGCTTCCGTACTGGTTTGGCTCGAAGGTGCTGCAGATGATTGTGTACTTTCCAGCTTCCAGATCCACAAACTCGGCATGACAGCAGCCACGCCGGTAGTCCTTACTGTCGAAAACGATGTCTCTGTTGCGGACCGAATGAACCCGTTTGCCGTTGCTGTGTACGAGCTTGAAGTGCAGGTTAAGGTCTTCATCCACGGCGTCTAGGAGAATGCTAATGTTCGTTCGCCGGGAAACGTCAATCCAATACTGTGGGTTGGTAGAGTAAGTCGGACTATGCGCGTTGCCACCGGCCATATCTCTAGTCCAGTTGCCACAGTAGGTATTTGAGTAAGGATATCGCATCTTTGCTTCGGCTAGCGTGATTGGCGAGTCACTGAATGCCGATATGGTGAACGTATGCTTGATCGACGGCAGGTTCTGTTCGGCCGGCACGAGGGTGATGGCTTCGCCTGGCTTCGTCTCAAGCTTCAGAAGAGTTTGCGGACTGTCCACGTACCAGCCTTTCTCGATCGCTTTATCCGGAAGCAGTACCCGACGGCCACTGGATCGAAACGCGATCAGTGACATGTGCCCACTGAGCTCGATGCCATATCTGTCTGCCGCGATCTCCTCCTCAGTGGCATCGGGTGGGACGGCGTTCTGAAAATGCCTCCACAACAGTACCCAAGTCACGCCCACCTTCTCAGAGGTGACCGTGTACTGCGGATTCTGGTTCAAGCTGGCATACGCTCCTCGCGGATGGTTCAGGCCACTGTCTGATGGAACCAAGTCCCAGGTAAAGTGCACATCCTGTCTGTGAGCAAACAGCCCTGGATTCCAGTTCAGGTAGATGGATTCAAAGTGCTGGATGACGTTGTCAATGTCCATCCAAAACGTCCCAGGAGATAGTTGATCGTCTGCGTTCAGCAGATCGCGAGAGTTCTGGACGGGCTCATTTGAAGCCTCCATTTGAGGCAAAGGCTCGTTTGAGGATTTCCCATCACCTGCGTCCTCCGCACGCTTCGCGCTCTCCAGCTTCCCACGCCAACTGGGCCCTTCGCACCATGGATTCTTTATCAAGAAGAGTCGCTGACCTCCAGTCTCCTTCAAATCCAGAACAGCATAGTCGTGCTCTCCGGCCAAGCCAAGCTCCTTTTCGGTCCTACTTGACATCTTACCAGTGCCCATCGTAACCAATACGTCTCCGTAGATGAATGCATTGCTAATCCGTCTCCACAACCGATCAGGTTCCAGTTCGTCTGCTTGTAGAAAGACTTGCTCTGGAATCCAGCCCGTCAAGATCCAGATGTCCGTGCCGCTGTTGCTCCCTGGAAAGTCATAGCCACCTCGGACTTTCAGGTAAGCCTTCTCGATCAGAGCTGGCCAAAGCAAGCCCGGATTTTGCCGATCTACCACATGGATCACTCGGCTTGTAGAGCTTGTTGGTAGGCGGTCATCAATGACAACTCTACGGTAGCAGCCGTTGAAGTTGAGGCGCGCCACATACTTGCCATTTCTCGAAATCAGAGGCCGTCCGCTCGCAGCATCGTATGGATGGAGGACAGATCGGAGTAGCTTGCTGTGCCCTTTCTCCGCTCGAGCAACCCCAGCGCAGAGAGACGCGACCACAGAACAGTCGGTCGCGGCATCTTGAACCAGATCGACCTTTTGTGTATATGTCATGGAGGGGCCAAGATTAGTGCGCTCGTCCGGAAACCATGATGGTGGTGGAAGAGCATCGGCCGGTCGCTTCCAGTCGTCCAGCACGTCTTCCTGAAGTTCCGAAAGAGCGAGTTCTGGCGTTTCTCTGCAAATGCTATAGGTCAGCTCGAACAATTGTCTTGCTTGCACACAAAGGAGACGCACAGGAAAAGCTCATCATCCTCGCCCAGCTCAAACTCCTGGGCCTTAGGTGCCTCGCTCCAAGGCGGGAATTTGAAACCACTTAGATAGCTGGCCTTCAGTACTAATATCTGCTCCTGCTTGGACAGCTTCCGCGTTGATGTCGGCTCCTTGAGTACCCTCGCTGTGGTAGGTGGCGCAGCTGGACGTTTCTCGCGCGACTCGACCACTTGCCTCCAATCATCGCTTGTCTTGATTTGTTCTGCTTCGGTTAAAAGCTGTTTGAATCGAGTGGACAAGCTCTCCTTCTCAGCCGGATCTGTTGCCAGCTTCATAGCCTGCATCGACGTCTCCGCAGCCTTGATGGCCAGCTGAAGAGCCTCATCCTTGCTCGAAGACTGTAGCAGCTGCGATCTGAAGGACTCGGCGTCCACTTTGAGCTTGCCTAGATCTTGATTCTCTTTGCTCATACTGCTGCCATGTTCTGGGGCATACGAGATGGCTGACTTAGCTATATCTCGTGGCTGTTCCGGACACTTGGAGATGGTTTGGAACTGACGTGAGAGATATACTGGCCTACCTCGATGAGTGGTAGGTGTAACAGGCGGTGCCAAGTACTTGCCTCTCCTCTGTTCGTGCAACAGTTCCATGGATGTGAACATGTTTGAGTGAGGTCAGCTGCATATGATCCGGCCGAGATATCGCCGGCCCGCAATCCTGGAACCGAGGTAACAACTCGGCGATCGACGAGAATGGCCGGAACTGATGCTCGAGGTGTGAGAAGATGTCCGGCTTACCTCGCTCGCCCCTACACGATATCGATATCTCTAGAGCTGCTCTAGTATAGCCATTGAAACACTGCCCTTCATTCATCCGTTCCATCCGATCTCAACATCGTCCTAATCCCCCTCCTGCGCAGCACCGAAGCTTAGACAATGTCCTCTGTCTCTAAGAACGAGGTCCCGCCATGGGGCCTCGCAGTGGCCGGCTCAACCGGCGCCATCATCGCCAACGCCCTCGTCTATCCTCTCGACATCGTCAAGACCCGACTGCAAGTCCAAGTCAAGCGCTCCCCAACCGACACTACCCCGCCTACGACAACCGATCGACACTACAATGGCACAGTGCACGCCATCCTCTCGATCATGGAAGACGAAGGGCTCAGCGGTCTATACAGCGGGCTAGCGGGGTCGTTGTTGGGTGTAGCGAGCACGAACTTTGCTTATTTCTACTGGTATAGCACGGTTCGGACGCTGTACTTAAATCGGGTGCAGAAGTCGACTAAGGCGCCCTCGACAGCGATTGAGTTGGCTATTGGTGCAGTTGCTGGAGCATTGGCGCAGCTGTTCACAATCCCAATTGCGGTTGTGACCACAAGACAGCAGACGCAGCCAAAAGGCGACAAGAAGGGCATGATTGCGACGGCGAAGGAGGTCATCAACAGTGAAGACGGCGTGTCGGGGCTATGGAGAGGTTTAAAGGCGAGTTTGGTGTTGGTCGTGAATCCGGCGATCACGTATGGTGCTTATCAGCGGTTACGCGAGGTCATGTACCCTACCAAGGTCAACCTCAGACCTCATGAGGCCTTCTGTAAGTTGAAGCGCAATGACTAGGAAGGAACAGGTGGCTAATCGGGATTCAGTACTCGGCGCAATGTCGAAGACAATGGCCACAATAGCAACCCAGCCTTTGATTGTCGCGAAGGTCGGCCTGCAGTCCCGCCCACCGCCGGCACGACAAGGCAAGCCGTTCAAGTCGTTCCTCGAGGTCATGCAGTACATCGTTGAGAAGGAGGGTCTCCTTGGTCTCTTCAAGGGCATCGCTCCACAGATCTTGAAAGGTCTGCTCGTGCAAGGGATGCTGATGATGGCCAAGGAGCGAATAGAGCTGCTCTTCGTTCTTCTGTTCAAATATATGCGCACTGTCCGGCAAGAGCAGCTCGAGAAGCTTGCTAAGATTGCGGCCGAGAAGGCTGCTGCTCAGAAGAAGGCGCTGGGGGCTTAGTATTGTGGGTGAAGACCCTGGGATTTGCACATAGGGAGCAAGCGGGTGTTCAAGGTTCGGGAGGCACTGTATATTTGCGCGAGAGCTGTTAGCATGGTTGAGAGCAAGCTTGGGTATATACATTGTACACGATCAGCGAGCAGCTGGAGATTCATGCCATAAGCAAAGCATTGGAGCTGAGAAGGCCACCCCTTGGCCCGAATACTCTCGTCTCTCGGCGGACGCTGCACTTCATTGCACGCTCATCGTATCACTTCTTCGGTACCTTCTCCTCCAAGTCCTTCACGTACGTCTCTATCCGCTGCACCGCCGCCTGCAGAGCGTAGATATCCTCCGTCAACAGCTCATTCGACACTTTGTACTCGTCGATGACATAGTAGTAAAGTCCACCGCCGGCCAGCACTGATCCGAGAAGGAAGCCGAAGAGCCTGTGTTCAAGCTCAATCATCAGCATATAGCTCCTTCAACTACTATATCCCTCGCGCATTACGCGAAGCGGGTAGGGCATGGTTCAAGACTCACGTTCCCCTGAAGGCTCCCACAGGCTTCCTCTGAGCCACCGGCGCGGGCGCAGCGTCTTGTAGCAGTCTTCGGCTTGTTTGGAAGGACCGTTGTGCTTGGAGTGCGATTGGTGATCGAAGGGCTGGAGTTGAGCGAGCGAGGGTGAAGGCGCGGAGAGCGGAAGGGAGGCGTGCCGCCATGGTCGCTGTTGTGATTTCGTAGACTCGGTCGGGGGTTTGGGTATGTTTGCTCGTGTTCCGTTGTGGGCTGCGTGTAGTCGTGCGGTTGTCGGGTCGCTGAAGCTGGATGTTGATGCCGTGGAGTTGCTCGAGGAGCTCTGACCTCGCCTGAGTCAGCCACTGATGAATAGCGACCACAGCGACCACGCATATTAACGCCCCTCGACAGCTCATTTCCAATGTACGAGATCGGAAATGACCCATGGCTGATTTACCCAGGAAACTTCATTCACCTTGGAGGAATGTTGTAAACTGTCCAGGAATGGAGACGATGATTTGGAACACAACAACAACGATTGCATTGTTCAAGCGAGCAAGCACTATCTACCATTACCCAGTGACGAGTGAGCTGGACTCTGCGGGCCCCTCTCCCTTCCCTTCGACGGCGGTCCAATAGTTCCCACAGCCGTAGCACTCTTGCCAGGAACAAAAGGTCGTGCATCCGGTCTGGGACTGTTAGACCCAGTACTATTGCTACCAGTTGTCTGCGAAGCGGATCCAGAACCCTCGCTCTCCTTGCGGTCAACCTGCATCACGGCTCCAGCACTCACGCTAGTAGCCATTGGCCATGAGTACTGCTGACGGGGCTGCTCGGGCACGAAATTGTTGTACTCCTCGCCGTTGTCGGTGAACCCGGAGTACTGACTAAGCATCGACGAGCTGCGACCGCGAGGAGCACCAGCTTGCGTGTTGGAGAGCGAGGCTTGAGCGGAGTGGAACGGTGACTGGAACGGGGCTTGACCACCCATGGCAAAACCGTTGGACTGCGGACTACCGAGCGGGGCGGCGGCGGCGGCGGCGGCAAACGCAGCATCGGGAGTAGAAGGAGATGCGTAGTAAGGCGGCGGCTGACCATTGGACGACCAGCTCTGAAGAGAAGCGATAGTCTGATAAGTATCATGCGTCTTCTGCTGCAGTGTCGCAAGCTCGTTCTCGAAGTCTCCGATAGAAGTGGTGATCTCGTGATCTAACTTCTCGCGGTGGTGGAGAGCCTGTGCTCGGTCAAAGTCTCGCTTCTGCTTGGCTGTCATATCGGCTTCCTGCCTCGCGAGAAGCTTTTCCAGTTCCTGGCTACGCTGCGAATGGCGAGAGGCAATCTTGTCCTTCTTCGCATCTGTTTGCTGAATCTCCGACTTCAGAGCGCTCAGCTCACGCTCGGCCTCAGCTTTGCAACTGTCCAGCTCCCTTGCGGCTACTCGTTTCGCATTGGTGGCCGAGTCCCAGCGGCTTTTCTTCGCTTCAGAGTCAGCAAGCTCGTCTGACGGGATCCCACCCATAGTGTTGATCCGCGTCTTCAGCTCAGTCGTAGCCTCGTCGGCTTGAGCCTTGTGCTGGCTGATCTGCAGCAGTCGTCGTTCTTGCTTGTCATCGGTGCCACCAGAAGAATCGAGCTTGCTCTTCAGAGTGTTGATCTCGCGCTTGATGTCAGTATGCCCGGCACGCTGGTCCTTCTTACTCTTCTTGCCGCGATTGCGGGTCTCGTTCAGCTTGGCTTCGGCTGCTTGGATCGACTGCTTCAATGTCGTGATTGGTGAAGACGGCCTGAGGCTTTGGTGCTGAGGAGGGGCGGTCGTCGAGACGGCCTGTTCTGGAGTTGGTGCAGGCTGCGTGATGATGCTGATGGAGCAAAGGGCTTCTTGACTCGCGATGCTGACGAACTCACACATGTAGCTGCTCAGCGGCGCAAGGCCAAAGATTTCGCCGTCGTAGGTTGTACCTCTGTCGTCGAAAGAGGCATCTGACGGTGCTGACTTGATCTTGGTAGAGCTCCAGGTAGCGCCGTTGATTGTGACATAGAAGGGCTTGGACTTGTCGATGCCAGCAACCACGCCCGATCCTTCCTCCAGGTTGTCGTTGCCTTTGACCACGTCGTCCGTAGTCAGCTGGGCTGAGAAAAGGATCTCAGTATCGTGGACTTCTCGGACCCAGAAGCGAGCCTCGGGAGTGCTTGGATTGCCTGCAATGTTGGTTGTTGTGTCTTTGTGCATGCGAGTTGCTTCACGTGCGTCATCCACTGCGTCTCGCTGCTCCATTTCTTTAACGAAAGTAACTTTGGTACTTGCAATAGCTGCCCAAAGCGGTTGCTGGCTGCGAACTTGGTTGGCCTGCTTCCGCTTCTTTTTCGTAGCAGATTCGCGAGGCTTGCTATCTCGTCGAGCAGGAGACGGTCCTGGAGGACGCCCGTCCGTACTTGAACCAGTAGGACCGTGCTGCTGATTACCTTCGCCGAATGTGAAGGTAGCTCTGCCATTTAGCTCAGCAGCAGCGGATTCCGTATCGGATCTCGTGATAGAAGGCACGCTAGCGCTCTGTTCGTTCGCCTTGACGAGGGAGCGGCGGATGCAAGTTGTGACGCCTTGCGAAACGATGTGTATACCAAGAATGGTGCGGACGACGGTGTAGAACCACCCTCGATCCACTGATGAAAAGGAAGCATAACTCGTTGCAAAAGAAGGAATGTCGATCTGCACTCCGATGTCCATCTTATGTATGACAGAGCGGAAGTAGTCGAGGGCGGAGAGATGTATCGCTTTGTATCGCAGCACATGGACGGCGCAGACGATGATCGTGGTTGTCGCTATGCTGTACGTCGGCCCGCCGGTACTCGCAGTCGCGCCGCTGAGAGAAACAGCAATGACTGCTTGGGAGAGGTCCAGAAAGACGCCTTGTATAGGCTTCCAGACAGGCAGCCAGCAGACCCAGAATATCAAATCGACAATCAAGATGGTGGCCATAGCAGGGTAGCCAAGATTGGGCGAATTGAACATCTCCTTGATGTTCGGCAGAGTGGAGAGCGAGATGCTTGTCGTCGGCGGGACGAAGGTGAGCGAAGCGAACAACGTCTGAATCACCAGGACCAGGGTTGGCGGAAGTGATAGAAGCAGGATAAGGATCGAGATGGCATCGCGAAGCGGGTAGTAAGACAAGATGGTCGAGATGGTCGCGAGCGTGCTGCCAGAGTGGGCGGGTACGGTCTGTTTGAAGGTGACCGGCGGCGCCTCCGTCAGAGGAGATATGGCAGTGTCGTGCAGGTCGGCCATCTCGCCGTATTGCCCGCCCTCCTCCAGCGAAGCGTCAGAGTATGTCCTGTCCCTCTCACCGCAGCCTGGCGAAGGCGCATGGTCTTGAATCGGTCCCTTTAGTGTTGCCTCGAGCGACTCCGAAGGCTGCAATGCGGACGAACTTTGGCTTACACCAGAAGTCGCCGGCGGATGCGCGGCAGCTTGCACGGTCGCCGCAGCCTTGCCATCGACATGCCCGTTCAGATGTCCATGAGACTGCTTCTTCGTCACTCGCTTGCCTGGTGCCGCGAGGCCACTCTCGTGGCGCTTGTCGTGCTGGTTCGCTGCGTTTCCTCGCGCCTTGCTCTTGGGAGGCATGAACCTGCTGCCCCCTCGCCGCGCTCACGCAAAGTCCTTCTGGCCCGTCTCGGATGTGACGGCGAGCCAGTAGGAGTCACGGGATCCGGAAGAATAGGTATCGATGTGGTGGTGGGCGGTATGCTGGCGTGATGAAGGATGAAGTCGTCGCACACCGGAGGCACTTGAAACTGGCGAGTAGCTCGCACCTGCTTCCTTGGCGCCGCAAACTTTCAGCTACCAAAAACTCAAACAGCACGACTTTGACGACGGAAACAACTTTATTATCACTCGACCACATGCATGCGTGCATGATGAGCCATCGCCGCCGCCGTTACTCAGTCCTACTAACCAAGCCTGCTGTACCACCCCGGACGTCTTGCAGCGGAGGCTCCTACGAGCGCCGCATTTTCGCCGGGCAGCGTCTTCCGCAAGCAGTTGAGACACAGCATTGGTCGCGGCTATGGCTCCTTCAACGTGCTACAGTGTTCTCTCGAGAACAATCTACAGGCGACGTTGATGGCACCGCACATATCGCAGCATGTTACTTGCTTCTGCTATCATCCGCGCGATCTATTCGAAAGGCCATATCCACTCCCCGCAGCCTCAGCATACAGAAAAACACCGATCAGTCAGCCCCGGCCGGCAAACGCACCGGCTGTGGCTTCGGCTCCTTAAGTAGCTTCGAGGAGATCGCCAGCGCAAACGCTGTCTGGCTGCACCACATACATACGTACTTGACGGAGCTCCACTCTGACCATGGAAAATTGTTCGGTCCAAGGCAGTCTGCACAACGGCACGTCACGAGGCAGTAGCTTAGGTTGTGCTTGCTCAGCTTCCGCCAATCGTAGACGCAGCTAAGAGAAATAGCTCGAGCCAGTTGGTGTGGTTGTGCGGCCACCGCGCCTTTCTTCGGATGTATTACCGAAGATGCTCAATATTGAGCATTCCTGACGTTTCCAGTCTACCAGTCTATCGACGCAGACAAGCCGAGTTCATCAAACTACGTCTGCCACAGGATAAGCCAATCCTTTGCGATTATTGACCAGCTGAACCCGTATCCTCCATGGCCCCTTCTCTGTCCCAAGACTCTACCTCCAGCTTCCGCACGCGCTCAAGCAGACCTTGTACTCGCTCGCTATTCGCTTGCTTGACGGCCTCCTGGAGCCTCCACGTCTCGCTCAAGACGTCAACCATGAATGGCTTGAGCGATGTCTTTTTGCCCGCTCGATAGTCGTAGTACACGCAGTCCTCGTATACGCGCGCTGCTATTCGCTGATGCAGCTCAGACAGGATGACCACGTCGAAGATGAACGCATCCATGCCAGGCTTCGGCTTCGTTCCCAGCTTGTGCAGGACGGTGACATGGTCTGGATACTTCATCGGCTGTAACCAGCGGTTGTCAGCTCATCATATCAATACTCGGCAGGCCCTAAGCCTATCCCATGACACTGATCCAACTCACAAATTTGAACTCCGTAGTAATCTTCCGCAAGATCAACCCGCTTCCTCTAGGCGTCATAATCTCTGCCCACTCCTGCGCATGCCCTGGGTCAATGTGCCGGATGTACTGCTGCACCCATTCGATCCTCCCCGACTCGGCGTACCGATTGTACATGACATTGTTGACGTGCCCCTTGTCCAGAACATCTTAGCCAACCTGTACATGTTCAATCTTTGGCCAACTTCGCTTCAGAAGAGGCGTGCTGGCTCACCATTGCATCCTGTTCCCCCCAGACAACCCTATGCCTGAACAGCCCTCGTCTGGTGGGCGAGGTGAGGAAGCCCTCGCTACCGCATAGTAGCTCGCGCCAGTCGCTGGATATGGTTTGGAGGATGAGGCCGGCTTCGCTGGTTTGGGGAGGGGAGAGGCCGAATGTTATGCATTTTCCGATGCGTTGCTTGACGTCCGAGAGCCATCGGGGGCTCAAGGCGGCGGTGTTGGCTTGGGGAGAAGCATTGTTTGACTCGTTTCGTCTCGTCCGGAAGAGGAAGGGTTGCAGGGCGACTGATGGTCGAATGGTAGAAGCTGGGCTTCTTGCTGGTAGCAGGACCCGCATGCCTCCTTCTCTTCTATTCTATTACAGACCTGTCTCATTCATTGCATAGCGCCTTAGAATCCAATGGACCGAGCCCAAAGCCATGAACTCCTGGGACCCCGAAGAAGTTGTTGGACTTCACAGGCAGGAGCAATGGCCTCGGCATCACTTTTGTGGAGAGCTGGTCGTGCTGTCATTGAACAATCACCAAACATTCAACTTGATGACCTTTACAACAAGACATTGAGCCATCACTTCCGTCACTACCCTCCGCAGACAACAGAAAGAATGGCTGCAACGAACGCTCTCCGCTACGACGTCCTGCGCGTGTACAAAGAGCTCTTGTACCTTGGCCGAGAGGTAAGCATACCATACCACTAGCATCCTTGTGAATACATCTGACGTTTACGACAACACCAGTACCCTCTAGGCTTCGAGAACTATTTCCGCCCTCGCCTACACAAAGCCTTCTCAGCAAAGTCCGGCCTACAGGACCAGGCAGAGATCAAGAAAGGCATTGAGCAAGCCGAGTACGTAAAGAAGGGTACGTACATGTCATTCCCTGCAATATGAACAAGCAACTGACAAAATCTCCTCCTGTAGAGATCGAAGCACTGTACGTAAACACTCCAAGAGCCTCGCCGTGCGCGAGCTGGTATCGTCCCTCCCATTTTCCCACCCATCCTAACGCCAGGTCCAGATACTACCTCAAGCGCTACCGCGCCCTGAAGCAGCGCTACGACAAACCGTCTTGAATACTCCAATACGCCTTCGCTACTATCGGTATACCCGTCATCACTCGTCAGCAATCTTCGTCGCCCACCACGCGCCAACCTCCAGGCACTCGCCACCCAGATTCGACTTCGCCGGGTCCAGCAGATCCGACATCATGAGCCCCCACCAATGACTCCACTCCTCCGTGTTCTTCCCACTGGCTTCCTTGAGAATGGGTTCGAGATTCTCAATCATCTGCAGCACGGTCAGCAGCGCTACATGCCGTAGCGCCGCTTGGTCGGCTGTCAAACCTGCTGGGACGGGGTCAGTCATTTTGCCCTTGCCTTTGGAGGGCATGATGACCGAATCGTGAGGATTGCTTGGGCTGCGGCCATGCTTGGAGCCGTCGCGCTCCCAGCGCAGCTCGCCGAGTGGTACAGCGACTCGGCGGGCGCCGAATTTCGTGAGGGTGTCGGCTTCCTGGTGAAGAACGGGGGCGATACGTGCGCAGGGTGCCGGTGGGAGCTTCCGCCTGTCCAGCGCCTCTGAGATCCAAGTGTTAGCTTGCTGGAGGTATTTGTTTTGAGCTGGCGCGAACGGTGTTCCGGGTGAGACGACGAATGTCCCTGATCTGGCGGCGGCCTTCAACTCGGATTGGTTTTGCGTCGGGACTGCCGGACGGGATGCCAGGGATCGGACGACATGATCAGTCTCCCATATCTCCAAGATACCGCCTGGTCGAAGGATGCGGATGCTCTCGTCGATGAACTTCTGGGAGGTCATACCGAGCGGCATCACCAAGCTCATGTCCTTGAGCATGACCAGATCGAAGCGCTCGTCGTCGAAAGGAAATGGTATCCTCCGCAGGTCGTGCTGAACAAACGTCCAGTTAATGCCCTGCTTCTTCAGATCAGGAGCGAGAGGCGCTACGTCCAAACCAGTGAAGGAGACGTTCTTGTGGCCGAGCGACGAAAAGTACTCATGACACATGGTCGTCCAGTATGCCGAGCCGGACCCGATCTCCAATACTCGCTTCGGCACATCGTTCTCGATGCTCGGACAACATACTGCTTTGCCAAACACACGACAGCTTAGCAACGTCCGGAGGTTTTGTCTCTGGAGCTCATGCAGGTCCACTGGTAGCGGATACGGTAGTTCTCGTAGATAGCGCCTCCCATGTCGGAGCTCGAAAGGCTGGTTCAACAAGCTGTGGTGTGCTGCTTCTGACTGCGATGAAGACGTCGAACTTGAAGTCCTCGAATGTTCCATATCTCCATAGCTGCTATTGACGCGAGAATGAGTATAGACTCCCTCAGCTCCAGATGTCGTCAACGTAGTTCCCGTCAGCATCCGCTCCAAATCTGGATCAGGGTTGACGCCGGCGGAAAGCTGCTTTCGTTGTTCAATGATGGCGGCGCGACGTTCCTGCATATACTTTTCCTGCGCAACGGAGCGCGGGAGTTGATAAGCATAAGCTAGACCGTCCATTGTGGGCGCTGAGAAGCTTCACGTGGGTCCGAACGGCTGCTCTGCGGTAGATTGACATGACACTCCCGCGACTTGGCTGGTGTGGTTGTTGTAAAGATAAGGTAGACTACCGTCAATAAAGTTGGGTCTCTGAAAGCAGCAGCAAATCAAAGCGGACGGGGAACGGGCTGCTGGTGGGGACAGTATAGTGTATTTCACCCTCGAAGCAAGTCTGAGATGAAAGGGTGCAAGGATTTTGCTTGAGGTGGAATGGAGATGTGCCGTGCTGCATGCATGGATGGGGAGGAGGTGCTTTAGATATTCATTGTGCTCGTGCCGTTCGGTCGGCTCGGTTCTTACCTTGTAGCTGGGGAGGACAGCCACCTGGCAAGCGACCACCTCTCCTCTCCGTGCAATGCCGTGCATACGCCGTGTATGTGGCTGCTGTTAGCTGTGGAGGGGGAGAGTGAACCGGGGGTGGCGTGGCTGCGACGGCCGCCAATTGGAGGACGGAAGAGTGGTTTCACTCGACGGGATGGAACAGAGCGAGCCAAGTGAGATTCTCCGGTGGCGGCGGAGTTAGCGAGGTAGCCAGAGATCTCGACCTGGAGATGCGATTCATGCAGCAGCAGAGGATTGCGAGCGTCTCAGAGAAGTCACGCCATGTTGTCTGGAATGATGTCGGATCGCGGTCAAGGCACGCCGTCTGCCAGAACCTGCGTACTGCTGCTTCTGATGTCCTTGAACAGCCGCCGAAGCGCTCGTCAAGAGAGTTGCAGGCCAGTTTGGAAGAATGCCGGCGCGGTCGCAAATGCAACTAACGACGCAAGTGTGCCTGAAGTTGGAGAGCAAGTCGGTCGAATCGCACGTGATCGGTACAGCAGCAACGCCTGTGCAGAGTATATGTCGGTCCGACACGGACACAGCCGGCGACCAATGGGTCAAGCCGCCTTCACAGCATCTCAGTCGAAGCGACATCACCTTTGCACGTCGCGCGTGAAAGACCTCAAACACCACCGCCGGAGCCCAGCGTACCCTCGACTGTTATTGATACTGACAATCCGCGTGTCAGCGCGCCAAGACAACACCTGACTGCTCGGCTGGCGCAGCATCAACCGCATACACCTCCTCCACCGCGACGAGCAGCCTCTTCACTCCCGCATCCCCGGCACCGCGCCTATCAAGAGCCAGCAGGAGGAGCAAGACACCGGAGACGCTGAGGGAAGAGACTGGGAAGTCAGGCTTGGCCCATGCACAGCGCGCCCACCGCCGATGTACGGGGCAAGAAGACCGCGCCGGCCAGAACCACCTCCTCCCTACGATTAGACGCAAGCATTCTTCCCGCCCGACCAGCACTGGCCGCCGCATCCCTTACACTCGCTTCCCCACCCCCGACCATCGCGCCCGGCGATGGCCGATGGTTTCAACCGGTTCAATCCCGGCGGCCAGTTCTTCTTCCACAACAACCAGCATTCGGGGCACCCTCGCGGTCTGCATAATAGGAACGGCTCGCCGATAGGGAACACCAGGGGTCTGTTCCAACCAAACGCCGACACTCCCTCACCCAACCGATCACCGGGCACTCACTCACCCGCTCACGGCACTTATAACATGTACAACCACACAAACCATCGGCAAAACCATGGCTTGCTCAATGGCGCAAATCACCAGGGCTTCGGGATGGGCATGCACAAGAACTATCAAAACCAGAACCACGCACACCAAGGGCATCACGTCAATAACCAGCACCAGGATCACGGTGGGCTTGGCGGTCAGGCGGCGTTCGGCAACCACCAGCACAACAACTCGCTGAGCACGCTTTCCAACACCACTCCCCACTTCACTCCGGCGCATCTCCAGAATGGCACGCCTGACAATTCTGGAGCACTGTCGAAGCCACCCAACGAGCAGTATGCAGAGCACCTTCGCGAATACAGCAAGCTCAAGCTCGCCGGCGATAAACCACACTTCTACGCGCGAACGACGCCTCATGTTAGTAGACTGCCAACGACGAGTATGTCGGGAATAAGCACAAAGTACACCGACGCCGAGGAGCATGGCACGAGATCGACAAAGTCTGGAGGGGAAGAAGATCCGGAGAATAAGCTGTGGGACGCGATGGACCTTGGTGGGCACGGGTTGAAGAGCATGGGCACTTCTCTTTTCCGGCACTATCCCCACTTGCGACGGATATACTTCAACCACAACCGGCTCATGTCGCTTCAACCTCACATCAGCCTCATGCACGATCTCACGGTTCTCGATCTCTCGTTCAATCAACTTACTTCAATACCGGCGGAGATCGGGATGCTCACAAACTTGAAGAGGTTGCTGCTGTTCGAGAACCGGCTGGACGACATACCGTATGAGCTTGGCTACTTGTACCAGTTGGAGATTCTGGGCCTCGAGGGCAATCCTATGCGGCACGCGGGCGATTTGATGGAGCGATTGGTGGAGCATGGGACGCAAGAGCTCGTACGGTATCTACGTGAAGAAGCACCTGGTATGTCTCGCTCGAGGTTTGTTCGAAATAAGAGCTAACATGAGTATCAGCACCTGATCCTCCGAATGAGCGACCCTGGCATCAGCTCCTCGACGACAAAGAAGCATCAGAGAAAGATCGATTTTCAGTCATCAGCTGGAACACTCTCTGCGACCGCGCGGCAACTCAGGCGGCGTATGGCTACGCGCCAAAAGCGGCTCTCGACTGGAACCGACGGAAGTTCCTGATCCTCAGCGAGCTACAGCAGAAGGACGCGGACATCCTCACGCTCCAGGAAGTGGACATCGAGAACTACAACGAATTCTTTGCCCCCAACCTGGCGCAAAGCTACAAGGGCGTGTTCCAGGCAAAAGGCAGGGCGCGGACGATGAGCGAGAGAGAAGCGAAGATAGTAGACGGCTGCGCGACCTTCTACAAGCACAGCAAGTACATGCTCCTGCAGAAGCATGTTATCAACTACTCGCACGAAGCGATCAATCGGCCGGACATGAAGGGCGAGCATGATGTGTACAACCGAGTGATGCCGAGAGATCACATTGCGCTCGTGCTATTCCTCGAGAACAGGCGGACTGGGACTCGACTGATCGTGGTCAACACTCACCTTACTTGGGAAGTGTGGTACAGCGACGTCAAGATCGTCCAGGTGGCAATCTTGATGGACCAATTGACCAAGAAGGCGGAAGAGTACGCGAAGTGGCCGCCTACCAAAGACAAGGACAAGGAGATCTTCCGATTTGCGAATGAGGACTCTGTGGGTGGCGAGCCAGACGGCGTCAAGCCAGATCCGGTACCTTCCATGTCCTACGAGAGCGCCACGCAGATACCTCTACTCGTCTGCGGCGACTTCAACTCAACCCACGACTCGGGTGTGTACGACCTTATAACGCAAGGCTCGCTCCCGAACTCGCACGCAGAGCTGGGCAACCAGAAGTATGGCGACTTTACGCGGAACGGCATGACTCACCCTTTCAGCTTGCAGTCATCGTATGGCAAGATCGGAGAGCTGCCCTTCACCAACTGGACGCCGGACTTCAGACAAGTGATCGACTATGTATGGTACTCGACCAACACGCTACAAGTCGCCGGTCTCCTGGGAGCAGTCGACCCGGACTACATGAGCCGAGTGCCTGGGTTCCCCAACTACCACTTCCCGAGCGATCACTTACTGCTCATGACCGAGTACTCAGTGAAGGAGAAGAAGGAACGGAAGCAGGTGGAAGCGGACTTCGGCTCGCAGCAACGGGATAACAGACGATGAGTGCGGGGCGGCAGTTTGGGCGCAGGATGCATGAAGGCGTTCTTTTCTGCGAGATGGTGTCGCGACAGAGCGAGCGGGTGGTTATGCTCGCAACGATCTTTTCAGTGTTGGAAATCGAAACGATCGAAAACACTTTCCACTCTAGAAGACTTCATGAGATGGGGACGGGCGCTCTGCGGGTGGGGTGTTGTTTTACTGGATTGTTCGTGTGCAGCAACAGGGGGGGACGGGTGTTCGGGAATGAATGGGTACACATGCGCTTGGGGCTTGTGTTAGCAAGGCGGTGCTCTCTTCGTTTTGTACCTTGACCTGCTGGAAAACACGCCCGCTTGATTCTTCGGATGTTGCGTGCTCCTTTTTCTCGTTGGGCTTACGATGTTATGCGTGTCGAGCGGGGGGGGGAGGTAGTGTGTATTACGGGGTGTCTTGTTGATTCATCAATTACATTCCTTCACGAGTTCCTGATGTGTAGTGGCATTCGCGGTTTCCCAAGGCGAGGCTATGCATCATGCTGCGTCCATGTACCCAAGGATACAATGCTAAATTCCTACACTCCCTCCAACCTCCTCTATAGCTCTAACCAACGCATCGACGGTCCCTTTCCTAGTCTGCCCATTCACAACCACCCGAAAGAAGCTTCCCTCCTCTCCAGGAGCATAATCTATCATGAATCCTCGAGGCACCAACTCGTCCTTAATCCTCGCAGTGACTCGACTATTCCTCTTCTCAGCATCCTCACCACTCTGCTTATCAAAGTAGCAGCAAACCTGCAGACACGGCGGCGGGTTCTCAGACACCAAGCTGAATTTCGGGTTCGCCACGATCATGTCCGCGAGATACCCAGCCATCTCGAAGCCATGGTCAATATACGCGGCGTAGCCTTGAGTACCGTAGTAGACCCAGCTCAGCGCGAGTTTGAGACTATCGCCTCGTCGGCCACATTGAGGTGTGAGGTCGCCTAGGTCGTAGAACTCGTCGCTTTCTGGTCCGTGGCCATTAGTGTCGGCATCGCCGTTGCTGTGGAAGAGATAGCCCGCTGGCAATGTCATGGCTTTGTGGAACTGGCGGAGGTCTTTGCCGAGTAGTACGGAACAGGTCAAGGGGACGTTCATCATCTTGTGCGGACAAATGGCGATCGAGTCCGCTCGCTCGATGCCCTTCAGCTTGTGTCGTTGCTTTTCGCTGAAGACTATCGAGGCGCCCCAGGAGCCGTCGACATGCAGCCAGAGGTTGTGCTTCTGGCATACGTCGGCGATCTGGTCCAAGGGGTCGTAAGAGCCGAGAACCGTCGTGCCTGCGGTGGCGTTGACGTAGAATGGCGTCTCGCCATCCTCCAACGCCTTTTTGATAGCAGCATCCAGCGCATCCGCACGCATACATCCTCTGCTATCGACAGCAACACTCCTCACAGCCTTCGACCCAAACCCAAACATCTGCGCAGCCTTCTCAACGCTATAATGCCCATGCTCAGACGTAAACAGCACAAACCTCCTCCCGCCATACCCATCCGACTTCGTCTCCGGAAACAGATTGTTCCTAGCAATCACCATCGAAGTCTGATTCGCCGCGCTCCCCCCACTCTGCGAAACACCGCCTGCAAAAGGTCCATCAAACCCAAACATCGAAGCCATTGCCCGACATGTCTCCTTCTCGATAAGCGTCAAAGCGGGCGAGACTTGGTATATGTGCACGTTGGTGTTAAGAGAAGCCAGGAGCATGTCTGCTGCTATGCCGACGGGGGTAGGAGAGGCGTAGAGTTTGTCCATGAAGCCTTGGTTCCAGGTATTGACGCTGTGCTTCAGGACCTGCTGGACCATCGAGATGAGGCCACCGCGTCCGAGGCCGTGCTCTGGGAGTTGGAATTGAAGGGCTTGCTGTAGGGCCTTGGGCGAGTGGTAGTCAAGGAGCTGTGGCCTTGAACCATTGGCAGAAGTCTTCGATGCTGTACCATAGGCCTCTTTGTGCTGGGCATCGACGTCCGCTTCACGGATGAAGTCGACTATGTATTCTTTGACGGTTCCGAGTAGCTGCAGCAGGATCCTTAGCAACTAGAAGTTGTTCTGTGTTGACTCTATCATACATCGTCGGCCTCTTCGGCCCTTTGCACCGGCTCTGCTTTGCCTGCGATACCATTCCCATTCTGAGAAGTCATCATGGACACCTCGTAGTGGTATATATAGTCCAATGCTGGTAAAAGTTGAACACCGTAGCTTCAGGCCATACTGAACGATGGAATTATACTTTCGACCATCAGATCTTCCTTGTCCCAAGTGGGTCCGCATCCTTGCAGGCATCTTCAGAGGATCCCCTATCTGTCTTGTTGATGACTGTCTTGTTGATGACTGTCTTGTTGATGACTGTCCTGTTGATGACTGTCTTGTTGATGAGTCTCAAGTAGATCTGTGGACGGTAGGATTACGATGCCGTTGTTGAGACAATTTGCCTCTGCTATCATCGCAGTCTTGAGACGGAATGATGTTGGTCTGCTGTATACTGTCAAGTATCTTCCAGAGGCGACGCCGGCCTTTGTTGGCCGAAGATAGCTTGAAGTCGTCATTATCGAGGGCAAAAGTGGTTGATAAAAAACATGCTAAGTACATCAGTACTCGCGAGGTAGTACAAAATGGTATCTCGGTCTGTGCAATCTAAGCCGCAACCAAAGAAGCCTCTATATCATCAAACGCCATCGCTGAACTCCGTGAGACCTGCTGACTTCAAAGTCAATGCCCCCTCGAAGCCTTGGTCGTCCTCTTCGAACGTCGACCTGACCTGCCACTTTTCAACGCCCCATCCTACGAAGACGCAGTCGCAGCCGCAGGCGGCCCGTCAGAATGCCCAACACCCGGGCCGGAAGCATTATTCCGCACCCTCCTCCTCTCCGCCTCCTTGTTCTTCGCATGCCGCTCCCTCGCAAGCTCAATCGGCGTCTTCGGCTTCCCCTGCCCTTGACTGCCTTTATGCTGATCCAGCTCTGAGAAGCTCTGGAAACCATCATTGCTCGCCTTGATCTTGCTCTGTCGAATCCAATCCGGTCGCTTCCGCTTGTACAGATCCATCTTCCAGTTCTTCCACACCGCGCGCCCGTATGACGACTCCCGCAACTGTCCCTCCATCTCTGCCAGCTCTTCTGCGATGCGCTCGCGGATGAACGCGAGGCCGTGCGTGCCTTCCCACATGCAGTCGACGACGTAGGATGCGGACCTGTCGAGCGCCATCTCGGCGACGTGGCCGTAGAAGCGCTGGATGAGTTTGCGGACGGTTATAATGGAGGCGTTGCGGGAGGTGAGTGCTCCTTGCAGCGTGCGAGAGACGACATTGTCTTTCGACATGTTGATCAGGGTATCAGGATCGAGCATAATTAGTGAGTCCAAGACGAGCCCGCTCAACGATCCGGGCACAAGCAGCATTGCTTGCGCGAGGAGGTTGAAGTGCGCTTTCATAGGTTCCGATGACCGTGCCAGGGCGCCGCCGGTTGCGTTGCTCGTTCCCCCGTTCGGCGCGCCGTCCTGGTTCGGGTCGACATCCAATCCTTCTCCCCATTTCAGCAGCTTCTTCACCTCAAAGTTCTCCTTGTCGTTCCAGGTATTGAAGACTTGCACCGCAATAGCTTGCGTATCGATCCCACGGACTGTGCAACGCTCAATGAGCGTGCGGACGACGACTGTTTGACCGCGTTGGAGTAGACGGGTGAGCTCTGGGATCAGGCGTTCGTGCGCGTCGAGCAGGTCATCGTGGCCCAACCGTTCGAGTATGCGGCAGACCACATATCCAGCAACTTCGTTCCGGGCGTGTGATGTCAGCCTGTGCCTGAAGAATTCCGCATACAGGCTCTTGAACATTTTCGCCGGCGCATGCTGGATGATTTGTTCCATCAAATGAGACCCGATCGGGTCATACACCAAGCCGTTGATGAAACCTCCACTTCCTGAATCTGATGTCAATGGGTCGTCGGGCAGTAATGTTCGAATGATCGATCTTTCGTCCTTCGCTCGTTGCTTCCCGTAGTGCGTCAACTCAAGTTTCAAGAGCAATTGTAGAGTCGGGTTGCCGTTCGGATGTGTAGCAAGTGCCCGTACTTGTTCAGTGTCGAGCCCAGCGATGCTGCCCGCGATGACATGCTCCAGCGCTTCGCCGAACGACTTTGGTACACTGCGTGTCTTGTCCAGCGTCTGGGCTTCTGGAAGGTTGGCGCCTTGCACAGCGTTGCTCTCCTTTCGCTTGCTCTGCAGTAGGTGTTTCGTGGATGCCGTATCGATCGGTTCGCCGGAAAGAACCATCAGTAGGACGCGTAGAACGTGAGACGCATACCTGTCGGTCAGCAGATACCCGACATTGCCTTCGAGCTCGTCGAGTGTCCGCAAGAATAGAGCCTCCATGGAAACTGGTGCGTCTCCATTCGTTGGCGCATCGCGGTTCCGCTGGTCCTTTTTGTTCCCGGCAAGGAGCTCTTCCGTCACGATCGGTGCACAGCGAAGGAACAATGCCTCGCAGCAATGAGAAGCGAATCGGTGTGAGACAAGGTGGATGAAGCTGCGTCGAGGGTTAGCTACCGCTTCGAGGACTCACTTTTCACGTTGGAGTTCACCTACTTTCCAGTGAACTTGTCGAACAGCGTTTTTAGCTGTGCCGCAGACGACAGCTGAATCAACCGCTCCATCAACCTCGAACAAGACTGACTCTGCGCAATCTTGAGCTCCTTCCCATCCGCTTCTCGATAGACATTAGCCAGGAACAGCGTCCGCTCCTCGGCATCCCCGAAGTCGTTGGCCTCAAGCATATCATCAGCATGCTTGAAATACTCCTGCTCGTCATCGTCCAGAACACCGAAGAAAGCCCTTTCAGCTTGAGGGTAAGCCTGATCTAGATCGCCATCACCATTTTGCACGGGAGCGTGGTCGTCGGTGGCCTGGTCATCAACAGTCGACTTCCTGCGCTTCGTGCTGCTCTGCGCGAGCTCCGGGTCCTCATCACCACCCTCCTCCAGCTTCCGCTTCCTCCCTCCACCGCGCCGCCCGCGCTTCTTGTTCGGCTGCGGCATCGCGTGCAATCATCCAACGCTTCCGCCGCTGAGAAAGAAAAATCTGCTCGCTGATGAAAAAGTGAGCGTGAAGAGTTACCGACCACCCGGATACCGATGGGCGGTCCGGAAGCGGAGAGCGATGATAGGGTGGGCTCGAGACGACGATGAGGAGAGAGGGTGAGGGCGAAGAAGTTGGAGTGTGGCCGTCATCTGAGATCGAGGCAAAGGCGGCTTGCGATCGGGCTGGCGCCCGGGCGATTGATCTGTGGCACAAGATTGCACTAAGAAAACCTAATCGATCGGCCGAGAGTTTGACACTCTCACGCGCACAACCAAACAATGCTGCTGTCTATTAAGCACTCCGTTGTGCGGCACTCAAGCAGCTCACGAAGGTCTGATAGGGAAGTGTGCTACATCGCTGCACAGACATTGATATGGTAATGTTTCTCCCGTCCAGGATCACAACGGCATCGGCTCGCTTACCATCCGCATCGGTCTCGATCCGGCTGCAGGGGTATACCATCGTGGAGATCGATTGTCTTCGCCATGGCGGCTCTATTTTCGTACCCGTCTGTCTTCAGGAACAGGCTGTCCGCAATTCCGCGGACGGTGCCACACAATGCTCATGATCATGGTCTAGCTAGCTGCTGTTGCTCTTTCATACACTGCACGTACTCCCTTCTCACAATCACCTCCCTCTACTCGGCATTCCCCTCCCTCTCCCCATCCCCCTGACAGCCCTCTGCGCAGCACCCTGCGGCAACCCCCTCTGCGGTGCCTGCGGCTGCTGACTCTCCTGATTTCTGATCGTCTCATCCACGCTGAGAATCAGACAACTCGCCTCCACTGCCGCCTGGATCGCATTAATCTTGACCAGACTCGGCTCCCAGACAAACGCCTCCATATTGTCCCGAATGCCCTCGTGATCAAAGTCCACACCGGCCCAGATGTTGCCCTTCCGGTGCTCCACACGTAGCCTATTAAGAATGTCGGTGGCGTCGAAGCCGGCGTTGTCACAGAGTTGGCGGGGGATGACCTCGAGTGCTTTGGCGAAGGATTTGATGATGGACTGCTGCTTGTGTGGGACGTTCTTATCGGCGAAGTCGTGCAGGTAGGCGCTGATTTCCATCTCGCACGCGCCGCCGCCTGCTACGATGGAGGTGTTCTTGATCGCACGTCGTACGATCATGATGGCGTCGTGGAGGGAGCGCTCGACTTCGGCGATGAACTGTTCTGCGCCACCGCGCAACACGAGTGTGCACGTCTTGGCTCCAGGACAGCCTTCGAAGAAGTTGAAGCGCTCACCACCAATTTGGCGCTCGTCGAACTTGTCGCAGGTGCCGAGGTGGCGAGGTTGAATGTCGGAGCAGGTGGACTGAATGCTTGCGCCTGTAGCCTGGCACACGCGTTCGAGATCTTCTGATGCAACACGACCAGCGCAGAAGATGTCTCGGTCTGCAAAGTACTGTGTCGCAAGGTCGCCGATCGGGAGTTTCGAAAGCACCACTTTGGCGCCAGTCTTGTAGAGAGCCTCCATCTTGTCGTAGATGATCCTCCATTCCGCGTCCACGATCGCTTGGTACTCTGACACCTGCTCTACTCGTACTTCTGCGTTGTCCTTTTCGCTCTTCAGCTCGAGCTCAACGTTTAGACAGACGATGGATGGGTTGGAGAAGGATTTTGGTTGTTGTTCAAAGCCTGCGTAGGCGAAAGTCTTCTTGAAGGCGACACCGTTGACGAAGAGGGAGTCCTGTAGCGCGCCGCCGGTGATCTTCTTGATGCCGATGAGTTTTTCGTTTAGGTCGTCCTGGTCGAGGGAGAGGACGGCGTCGACCACCACTAAATTACGTCAGCACATTCCACCGAAAACGTAGTGTCTCAACTCACTCTTGGTGAAGAAGTCGGCATTCCGATGTATGAGTTTACTGCTCATCGCCGTCGCCGCAAGCTTCCTCAGCGTATCCCTCTGGTTGCCCTCCTTTGTATCCTTCGCAATCTCCCTGACCTTCTGTACCGCCATCATCCCCGCTCTCCGTAGTCCCTTCATGATGATCTGACTGCTCACGCCCTGCTCCACCTGCTCCTTGATCTCCTTCAAAATCTCTCCCGCCAACACCACCACAGAAGTCGTCCCGTCGCCGACCTCTGCATCCTGTGATCTCGCAATGTCTGTGAGAATGCGCGCGGCGGGGTGTACGATGTCGAGGAGCTTCATAACAGTCGCGCCATCATTGGTAATTGTTTGCCTGCCATTTTCATCCACCATCAATAGATCTCCGCCATATGGACCGAGTGTGCCTTTTACTGTCGCTTGGACAGCTACGCAGGCGTTGATGTTGGATATGATCTGGCCTCGTCCTTGCGAAGCGTCGGTCCCTGTAATATATCAGCGGTGTCGTGCGAGGACTACGTGTGTTTCGAGATCAAGACTACCTTCTTTGAGAACGACGATAGTGGGCGTCTGCCCGCCGAACGACATGTTAAAGGCCTCAGCGTAGTGTGGAGAGCGCGAAGATGTATCGGGTGGAGAAAGAGAATTAAGAGCGCTGTAGTGTGGTTGTGGTGAGGTCCGCTTCAATATGTTTCTCGTCTTGAAGCTCTTCAAAAATCCTCAAATCTGGAAACCTGACGCGCTTGCGTTCGCGTTTTCCACACGGCCTGGCAGAAGTCGAGGGGCAAGTCGAGCTACACTTCACTCCGATGAGAACTTATCATCCCTACAAAACATTCTCCCGAATATTGACACCAACTAGCTTGACATCCTACTCGACCAATAGCTCTTGCGAGGTCGGTGTCCTGGAAGAGTTGTAAGACATTGGTCCGCCAGAAGCACCGTCGACGGATAAGCTCATATCCGCTCGTTGGAACCGACGTACTTGGGACTCGTCAACCGCAGTAGGGTGTGAGGCAGCAGTTGCGGGCCTTTGGTTAAAGGCGAGACTCATATTTCGCATTGCTGGGCTGCACGGCGAAAGTAATCAACAAGCGGCACGGAAGAAATACATCCCTCAACCATGCCTCCACCGCCATCACCTCTTTGCCCGGCCACGGCAACCATAAGTCTGGGAACACCAGGAGTCCATAGCATTGATTCCATACTCAGGGCGACAGCTGAAGCCGGAATCAAAGGTATCGAGATCTGCTGGAGCAACCTTTACCATCACGCAATATCACTATCATCACCACAGTCGGAAGACGTGGACCACAGTCAGCTCCTGGATGCCGCGAAAGACATCAAACGCCAATGCGATGATCTAGCTCTTACCGTCATCGTCCTCCAACCATTCGGCCACTACGAAGGACAGCTGGACGACGAGAAACACAAGCAAACGGTGGCGAGGTTCGAGCAATGGCTGGAGCTCGTCAAGGCTTTAGGCTGCGACGTCATCCAGATCCCCAGCAATCTGAACAAGGAAGGGACTACAGGCGATATGGACAAGATTGTCGCAGACCTGGTCGAGGTAGCAGATCTGGCAGCCAAGCAAGACCCTCCGGTAAAGCTAGCCTACGAGGCGATATCATGGGGCGCACATGTGGATCTGTGGGAGCAGAGCTGGCACGTTGTGCAACGAGTTGATCGGCCGAACTTTGGATTGTGTCTTGATACATACCATATAGCAGGGCGAGTATGGGCGGATCCCGCTTCCGAGACTGGAATCATGCCACGGGCGAAGGAGGATATGGTTGAATCGCTCCTCCGGCTGGTGAAGGATGTCGATGTCAAGAAGGTGTTCTACGTACAGCTGTCGGATGCTGAGAAGTTGGAGAAGCCGCTCGTGGAAGGACATGAGTTTTATGACGCTGATCAGCCGGCGAGGATGAGCTGGTCGAGAAATGCGAGACTGTTTCCTTGCGAGGAGGTTTTGGGCGGGTTTTTGCCTGTTCTCTCGGTCACGGAGGCGATTGTAAACGAGCTTGGGTATCGAGGGTGGATTAGTATGGAGATATTCTCGCGGCATCTTGCTGAGCGGAGTGAGTCTGTGCCGAAGGAATTTGCTACGAGAGCTATGAGGTCGTATCGGAAAGTGAGCGAGTCTTTGGCATGGGACAGTCTTAAGTAGAATTGTTTCATGTCCTAAACTTGTTGTTGAATACCTTGCACTATCTTCACTAGACCTGCTCATCTGCCCTTGGCTCGGCATTTTCCAAGGTCAACGCTGCGAAATCCGAGCGAGAGACAGATGCCAGCCTCTCACTCTGCTCGTCGCTCAGGTAGGAGCAAAGCTTTCGCAAACGGACATTCAGCTTGGTCGTGCTTTCGTGAGGTACAACAGCTGCATGGCCGAGCTTGGCAACGTCTTCCTCGAACGGAAGCACAGGGAGCTCGTCCACCCCCAGCAAATCTTGCAGACGGTACGTCGGAATAACGACGTGTGCCGTAAAATCTTTGAACGAGTTCGCCACATCTTCACCCAACTCAGTCGTATTAGCGGGAAGCCATGCGAAAGAAGCAAATTCCTGAAGCGCCGCCACCGGCATAACGAGTCTCGCATCGTCCTTGTGCTTTATAATGGCAGCCACTGCTCGTATCACATCTGACTTCAGGTTCTGCAGAACCGTATCCGGCATCTTCGGATCCCGCTGCCAATGTTCATACCATTTCTTGGAAGAAGAGGCCTTCCTTCCAGCAGCTTTCGTGTCGTACGCAAGCTTCAACCGTTCAGAGAGAAGTTGCGTCCATTGTCTTCCTACGTTGAGCCTTTTCAGCGCCTGGCGGTCGTTGATAACATAGGAGGATGATGGGCCGTACATCACGCCGTCTTCTGGGGTTGCATCTATTGACCTTGGAAGGATCTTTGCGTCTAGTCGGCCGCTTCCGTCTGGTGTTGGGGTGTGGACGCTCGAGAAGCGTTGGAGAAGGTCGGAGGGAAGACGAGCGTTTGTGAACTGGCATTGGCGGACTGGACTGGCGAGTATACGCGCTGCGGGGAGGGAGCGTTAGCACATGTATTGTCCACGTACTAGTGCGAACGCATACCGTATGGATTGCTCGCCAGCTCTTTCTGAAAGTCCGTCATCTGGCCCTGAATGCGCAAAGGCTTAGGTCTCTTGTGCCTCTGCTTTGCTTCGACCGCCAGTGGGTCCATGAGGGGCGGGAGTGGCAGTTCTCTGTTGCCATGTTGACGGGTGCGAAGTGTCTTTGTCTTGTCCTCGTTGGTCACCGTAGGCTGCTCGCGCGGTGGAAGGACGTTGCGGGTCCTGAAGCTGGAGCGGCCGGCGGTGCTTCCATGTCTTCGAAAGCTTTGTGATTTGGGGAAAGCAGTCAATCTCCTCAGACGACTGGCTATTGGCATTAGGTTGTCACATCATATCCCTCGTGCTATGCTGATCACCAAGACAGCAGTCGTCCAAGCGAGTGTAGCTGCGGCTTTCGTCTCCTTTGGGGAATGATCTACATCACCGAACTAGGAAGTGACAATTACATTGTCGTGCTCGACCAACTCTCCACCTCATCCCACATCATGGAGCCCATATCTCGATCGGTGTTGCGCGCGGTGCGCTCCCGCCCTTTGCGATCCGGTATAAGAACAGCAACCCAGAGCATATCATCACATCCACCATTCCCGTCAAGAAACGATGCGAACCCTCCTCGACCACCCAGTGCAGCAATGCCAATGCCCTTCGTCACAGAAACGGTGGTATGTATACTCGCTGTACAAGATGATGTAACTCGCTAACAGTATAGGGAGGCGGTTACCACACCTACGACATCTTCTCACGACTGCTCCGCGAACGGGTAATCTGTCTGAATGGCGAGATAGACGAGGCCACTTCCGCCAGCATAGTCGCTCAATTACTCGTATGCGAAGGCGACGATCCTTCAAAGAACATCAATCTATATATCAACAGCCCAGGCGGTAGCGTTACGGCAGGGTTGGCGATCTACGATACCATGCAGTACATTCGAGCACCCGTCACGACGATATGTCTCGGTCAAGCGGCATCGATGGGCAGTCTGCTGTTGTGTGGAGGAAGTAAGGGGAGCAGGTTCTGTCTTCCACATGCAAGGATAATGGTGCATCAAGTGAGTGGAGGATATCAAGGTCAGGCGAGCGATATCACGATACACGCAAAGGAGATTTTGAGGGTGCGGGACCAGTTGAATAAGATCTACAAGAAGCACCTAACGAAGGACCATTCGATTGAGGATATCGAGAAGATCATGGAGAGGGACTTCTTCATGGGGGCGGAGGAGGCGTTGGAGTGGGGGATCATCGATAAGGTGTTGCAGCCTAGGAGTAGTTGAGGACGATGCCACAATGCTACATGTATTCTTCCCGGGTCAGTGACCAACACCATTCAATGAGCCATCAAATGTCCTGTTGGGTCTTCCCACTGTACGATTGAGACAAGGGCAATTGCGGTTCGCCATTTCCCCGATCTTTCGCCGAGCAATGGTCAAAAATATATATAATATTATTGAAATTTGAGTACTAATCATCACAGATCATGCTGTTGATGCTTGACTCGCTCCCTATAACCCCTTCTTAGCTCAGTTGGAAGAGCGCAAGACTGTAATGGGTTTCTCTTGTCATCTTGAGGTCTCTGGGTAGGTTCTCTCGCCTCTCAACATGTCTACACTCGTCACTAACCTGTCAACGTCAGTTCGATCCCGGAAGAAGGGAGCTATACGGCCTTGCTAGGTCATTTACTTTTGCTCCTGACAATGTGGTATTGTTGTAGCATCGATTGCTGCTGTGTTATACTGGAATCGGGACCACGTGAGGTCCGGGCCTCGCTCGGCCGAGCTTTTTGCGTGTGCGCCGCCATCGCCTTGGCGTGGACCCTCACTTTGTTCATCCCAACCAATGCGAATACCTGCAACAATTACCATCAAGTTCAGGATGTTTCCAATATGCTGCTACTGTATAGGATGTGTCACCGAAGAGTTCTATGTAGACCAGAAGTGTTAGACGTTCGGCTGTTGTGCCATGTGCTGAGACATTTTGATTTCCATACTCCCGTCAGCCACTCCCCTGTTCTTCCCAAATGACTTCCTCCTTCCTGGAATTGTGCTGCAATAGCATTTGAGTGCTCATCGTGGCTAAGAGGACACTGTAGACGCACAATGGCCTCCCAGAATGGGATCAAGCTGGACCGATCTCACTGAGGCCTTCCTACCGCGGAGATGGCTTGGTACAGCCAGCAGCAGCGAGTGTAGCAGCCAGTGATCCGGTGCCCGCTTCCTTCCCATGACTGGAAACTGCCTACTCAGACGCCTCTTACAGTCGGCGGATTATCCGTTGCTGCGTCCTGCTCATCGTCCGACCGACCGATTTGTCTGCTCACATCCACCTTGGCCTCCCTCTCTCTGTCCGTGTTGGCGGTGGAGGACTCAGCAGCACATCTACCTACATCAGACGGCATCATTAGGCAGGATGGTCAGCAAAATGCTCCGATCTAGATAGTATGATTACTAGTAGCAAGACAGGAAGAGGAAAATGGTCATTTTGAAGATCTTTGCAACCATTTGTTTCAATTTCAATCGCTATCACCACCCTCGTCCCTCGGCATATTTACACCCATCGCCTTCATCAGATTTCCCGCCGGCCCAGCCATGCCCGCCTGCCCCTTGAACGACTCCAGCATATTCTTCGCAAGCCCGAGATCCACGTCATTGAACTCTTCGTCATCCGAACTCAACTCGCCATCGCCGGGCCCGATCTCCTCGTCCGCGCTCTCGGCTCCGTCGTCCTTCTTCGCGAACATATTCGGCGGTCGCTCGGGCCCGAAGTGGACTGTCCTCTTCTCCTTGGGCTGTTCTTTCGAAGCCGGTTTGGAATTCGGACCGGTCTTCTTCTTCCTGAGCATACCCCCGCTGAGATCCAGCGCCCCGTGACCTTTCAATTCTTGCTCCATGAGTTCCATCACTTTCTTCATCTCCTCGTCTTCGCCCCAGTCATCCTTGCCACCTTGGGACTCCTCTGCATCTTCAAGTGCAAGCTTACGAGCCTCGTCCAACAGTCCGTTCTTCTCGAGCTCATCGGGTGGCATACCCATCATCTCCTTCATAGCTTTCTCAAACTCTGCTTCGTCGAACGAAGCGTCCTTGTCTTCGCCGTCGGAAGAGCCAGTATCAGAAGCGTCGGACTCATTGTCATCAAGATCATCGTCGTCAACACCGTCCGCACCCGCCGTGTCATCGTTCAAGAAGTCCTCAAAGCGGGAGACCATCTTGCGCAAGTTTTGCTGTGCGTTCGCGTCGCCGAAGCCTTTACCAGTGGCAGTGTTGGACTTCTCACCATTTGCATCCTTCCGACCAGACAGCTCGTTCTCGAAATCATTGTAGTCGATATCAAGCCACTTCTCATCGTCTTGCGTTTGCGTCCACTTGGATATCTCCTCATCAGAAGGCAGCGTCTCCTCGCTACTTTCAACGTCCTCCAGTAACAGCTTAATTTCTCGCACGTCCTTCTTGTCTTTGTTCTGCAGATCAGACAGCAGCATCTCCATGCCGCACGCCACCTTCATGCCCATCTCGGTCTTCGCGTCTCCAGCTTGCAATTTCGGAGCGACTGCTGTCCATGCCGGTGGCGCATCGAAGACCTGACTTCGAAGTTGCGCGTAGCCGACCTTTGTGAACTTGACGCTTGCGGTGACGAAGTCTGCGGGAGGGAATAGCAGAGTTGAAGTATCTTTGGTTGCAAGTGGTTTGAGTGCGACCGGATCACGGAGGTAGAATGCTTCAATGGCCGGGCTGACATAGGACGGGTTGCGGTGGAGTATATACGCCAGATTCCTTGGAATAGTCAGGAGTGCGTGATGCAGCGACGATTTGATGGAAGAAGGATAGTCCCGTATCCGGTGGAATGCTTCATCCTCGATGAACGGGCTGATGATCAGCTTGTCCGGCGAACGAGAGATGAAAGCCAAAGCATCCTGAGCGCTCATATTCCGCGAATTGGATTGATGCTCGTCAAGTGGTATCACACGCAAGTGGCCGTTGCTAATCCAGACACGATTCTCCGCTATGTCAGGGTTCAGCCATTTGGGCAGAGCGTTGGCAGCCTCGATGAGGAGGAACTCGCCATCGGTGTCGTAGACTCGGATCCAAGCGTCTGGGTGCTGCTTGCTGAGCTCAAGCAGAAGATACACGACGAGCCATTCGTCTGCGATGGAGTCGCCAACATTCGTCCGTCCTTTGAGGTGTGGTCTTTTTGGATCATCCTCTGAACGCTTCGGAGTCTGGTCGGCTGTTGACGGTGCCTGAGCTTGAGGACACAGCTTCAAGTCGAAGGCTTCCCGTTGCCATATGTACTCGGAAAGGAGCTTTCGTTTCAGATCGTTGCTGGCTTTCAGTATCTGATTCAGCCTGCTTCGAGTAGTAGCGATGCTGTTCTGGCGCTGTTGTTGCTCCTCGATGACATAGATGATGTATTCGACACAATCATCCGGTAGACGCTTGGGAAAGCCATCGAAGCCCTCGCCGAACCATTTGAAACCGTCATCGTTGGTGGGGATATCCATTGCGGAAAGTGTTTAAGAAGCAGTTGCAGAAAGAGCCTTGACTCAGGTATTGCGACCTTCCTCTTTCAGCACTAGCGCGGCAAAAAGCTTGAGCGGAAGTCCGCAGCTTCCCACCTTCCACTTCCATCTCTTCGCTCGAGCAAACCACCATCGTGTGAACGTCGCGCATTCGAAGACACCCCTTCTCCCTCCAACGTGTACCAGACATATGCCCTCCGCAACTCTCGTCACTTGATCGCAGTGTGCACCACCGCGGTTCACCCACCCACAGCCGAACGCACCAGCCAAAGCAAACGATGACAAGCCGCCCACCTACACCTCACCCCATCTAGCCACCCATTGTCGCGCTTCAGCGCACGCCGTGAGCGTCACACATGAGTTCTGAGCCACCCGAGGAACCGCAATATCGTAACGAGCCCAGCATCCTCTCTCCAGCATCTCCCAGACCCATCCACTTCCCCACTCCCACCAACATCCCAGTGCTCGAGATGCAACATGACATCGGCTTCAACCAGACCGAACCACACATGACCGATCCCGCCACGCGCAACACCGACGTCAGGCCAAACATGTGGCGCGATCCCAACGACCCGGAAGAAGAGCAGCCAGAGCACCAGCAGCACACCTCCGAGATGCCAGACGCCGCTGTAGAACACGTGACGCCATATTCCACTGGAGCAGGGGACGTCACTGCCATGGAGATGGACACGCAAGAAGACGGCGGAGTAGCCGCGTCCGCAGAACAGCAAGCACATAGCACTGAGCCTGCCTCTACGGATGCTGCAGAAGCTCTCAATCACTCGACGACACAAGAGCCTGAGCCAACCCAGTTTTCTACTTCTACCAACTCAGCCAACGACCAGGCGTCAGTCAGAGATGGCTTTCCTCCTCCCACCCACAATGCCACGGAGCCATCTTCTGATCCTAGTGTGCCCACCGCCGATGCAACGTCTGCGCCCATTACCCAAGAGTCTGTATTACCGTCTGATGCCCAGACACAACCCGGCGAAACAGCCGCTCAAGCCTTCAACCCCAGTTCTGTCGATGTCCAGGCGCTGCTAGACACATTGCAAAATGCACCCTCCAATGCCCATGATGCAGCTACTAGCGCCGCCCCTCCACAAGATGGCATGACTGCGCCCACCACCGAGTCTCCATCAGTTGCCAACCAAACCCAGCAAGCCGTACCTTCCTTAAGCTCTCCAGTCTCGGCAAACGCTCTTGGTGCACCAGCAAGCGGCTTGCCACCACGCCCTCCACCGCAAGAGCAACCGCTCATCAATCCGAATTATGTTCACTCTCAGCATATCCGCGACTACCATCCGCATGCTGCCAACCCGGCCTTCCACCCACATACGAAGAGTAGTAGCCAAGGCCATGCAGCCGATCCGCCGGGTAGGAACTATGTCCCACCCGTACTTTCGCCAACGAGCGCCAATGCCGGGACACCAGCCCAATCGATCCAGTCCGCCACGTACTCCGCGACCGCTCCAACGCATGGCAACGGCCAGGCCGCAACGTATCCGTCGCATGCCCCTTTCGCTGGCTCTCCTGGCGTTAACAGCGCTTACTCTGGCGCGCCACAGTACGGCCACACCGGTACCTTGGCTCGGCCAGAAGACTTCACCACAAGCCGCCACGAGTTTTCGAGGCATGAGGATCGCCCTTGGGACGCCGAGGTGCAGAGGAAGTATGATCAGTTTATTGAGGAGGAGAGGGCTTATGTCAGTGAGGGCAGATGGGAGCAGTTCCCGAATGGTGCGAGGTTGTTTGTCGGTAAGTCAAATTTCCTTTTTTTTTTCTTCGTCGTCACAGGCATTGCGGTGGGCGGCAGGGGCAGGAGCGTGGGAGTATGGACGAAGGGACAGGCGACGGACCGTATGGGAACGGCCGCGCGTAGTGGGAACGTTTGAATGGGGCAGTGGTGAGAATGTATGAGAAAATGGACCGTCTGACTGGTATTGCAGGCAACCTGAGTTCAGAAAAGGTTACCAAGAGAGACATCTTTCATGTTTTCCATCCGTACGGCGAGCTCGCACAAATTTCGATCAAGCAGGCATATGGCTTCGTACAGTTCCTGCGCACCGAGGACTGTATGAAGGCGCTCCACGCAGAGCAGGGTACACAGATACGCGACAAGAGGATCCGTAAGTCCCTGCTTACAGATGGCTTGCAGGCCCGGGTCAATGCTAACGAGACTTGCACGATCAGATCTCGAAGTCAGCAAGCCGCAGAAGAACCGCCCACAGCAGGGCACTCAACGCCGCTCGCGCTCTCCTCCTGACCTCGGCCGCGGAAGGCCGGGACAAAGCGTCGACCGCTACGTCTCAGGTGGACGAGGCATCAACAGAAGAGATGATTACAGGCCCGGTGGCCAGCAGCCTTTCTCGCCGAGAGGATACAATGACCGCTACGATGACAGGTATCGCGCGCGCTCACGTTCGCCTGGCTTCGATCGCGGCGGTGGGGGCAGATATCGGAGTCGGAGCCCGCCTTCACAAGAGCAGGACCAACTGCCTCTGCCGCGGCGTGCTCCGAGAGACGTGCCGGACGTGCAGATCATCGTCATCGGATCACTGGACCGTGACTTCATTGCATGGGTCGAGAGCGCATTCAACTCACGCTCCGTGCGCGCCGAAGTTCTCCTGCTTTCACCCCGCCTCCCCGAAGAAGCAGTCATACGCCGTCAGATTGTGGAAGGAGTGGCCGCGGTGGTGAAGCTCGTACGTCAGAACCAGAACACCGGCAAGATCGGCCTTCAAATCTTCGATCGCAGCAAAGGAGCCAGCAATGTGGCATTCGAAGAGTACGATGGCCTGGACCCGCAGATCGCCGTCGAGCTGGTACTGCGTGCGAAGACCACGAAAGCCGCTCCGGCTCCTCAGCAGGGGTACGGCGGAGGCTACGGCGCTCAACAGCAGCAGAGATATGGCGGCTACAACGCTCCAGCGCCCGCGTATGGAGATCGACAAGGCCCACCTCCGCAGCACCCGACTGGATTGCCCCCAGGCTATGCCCCGCAGCCGCCAATGCCTCAAGGACCGCAGCCAGGAGTGCCGCCGAACCTGCAGAATCTCATCACGAACCTCGACCAGAACAATCTGCAGAACTTGCTCTCGGCCATGAACACGCCACAGAGCGCAGCCAATGCAGCGAACCCGTACTCGGCTAATGCGCAGGCGAGTGCGGTGCAAGCGCTGCAGCAGAATCCGGCAGTTGCTGGGTATCTGCAGCAGCAGCAACAGCAGCAGCAGGGAGGGCAGAGTGCCGGAGGTGCAGGGCAGCAGGTGAACATGCAGGACATTCTTGCGCGGTTGGGGAGTGGTGGAGGCTATCAGCGTTAGGAAGCGATGATGCGCTCTTGCGCTAGGGAATACGACTGTACAAATGAGGACAGCGAGCTTGACGACAAGGTGAAAGCGGCACGCGATTGGCAATGCTCAGCACGAGGATGAATTGTTGGCGATGCGATGGGAAAATGCTCCTAACGTTGTCGCAACGCCATAGCAGCGCAGTGCCGCAACAGAAGCAAGCAATGTCCTGTAGGTACAGCGTTGTCCCATGGCAGCACTTGCAGAGAATAGACGACGTATGCAGACATTACTCAACTTCAATTAATATTTTCATATGCTCAATCGCTGACATGCCCACTCCCCTCACTGCCACCATCGTCCTCTCCAACCATCTGTCCTACTTGAAACACCCTCTCCATAGCCTCCACAAACAACTCTGGACCCCAGACCTCATCCTCCCGTCCTTTACCCTTCCGACTCAGCCGCCTCGTCTGCCCTTCGCTCTGCGCATCGAAGAAGTCCTCATAGCTCATAACCACCTGGTCCCGCACAGCCGCCACCAACGTCTCCCTCGTCCGCGCATCGTCCACAAACTCCATTAGCTTCGCACGGATAGCGGGGACGTCTTTCTCCGCCAGTCCTCGCACGGTACGGACAGCTTTCAGAGCATCGAACGCTTGCTTCGTCTTCGCCTCCGAGATGGAAGTCGGTTCGATGGGAGCAGTGATGTGCTGGGCGTGGCCGTTGACGAAGTCATTGATTACCGTGCGGAGCCGGCCATCGAGTTCAGCTTTGGCGTCGAGCATGTTCTCTACGACCTTGGGGAGCAGGCCACCTCCCAGAGCTCCGCTTACGAGACGAACCCAGCTGGCCGGGTTCCAGAGGTTGCCGCGCTCGCGGAGCTCGTAGAAGGTGTTGGTGTATGAGGAGAAGTCGAACTCGACTTCGGGTGGGATGAACTCGATGTCGAAGGCGACGATCTGTTGTTTGAGGTGGAGAAGGTGGGTGATCAAGAAGAGTTGGCCATCTGGGGTGGTCTTCTTGGATGAGACTTGATTGCTTGCGTACAAGAGGGAAGCGATGGTGGAGTGGACTATCCGGTGGGCAAGGTCGTCAAACACGGTGCTGTTGACCAAGCGATAGATGCGGCGAAGGAGCCAGATGGCCTTGGGAAGGGTGGGGTACCAGTTGTGGGCTGGTGGTGCGCCGTCCTTGGTAGTGAGCTGTTTGCTGAACATGCTTGCACCATCATCTGCGTCTTCGACGACGGTTGCTGGCGCCTTTTTGTTCGTTGACGACGTGTCACGCTTTCCCGAGAGCACTGGTCCAGCCTTGCTACCATTCGTCGCTGGTGCAGATGACTTCCTAGGCCACTCCAGGTCTTCGGGCTGCGGCTTGTAATTTTCGATTCCATCTCGCAGCACGTTCATTGCGAGAAAGACTAGCCTCGTCTGCGCATCCTGCAGTCCAGGCTGTATTAAGCTGCCAAAGTCGAGCTTACGCCCAAGCGTCCTGCCATCCGGCGCTGGTCCTGACACTGCGCTCTCAAGATCATCGTCATCCTCGTCATCCGAATCGGTGTCCATGTATCGACCTTGGACCATCGCGCACAGCTCGCAAAGTTTCTCCAGCTTGGTCTCATGGATGACCTTGGGCCGGAGATAGTCAAACATGGGCTCTGTCAAGCTCTCCAGAAAATCGTGCAAGGCGCCCTCTGTCTCGAACCACTCGAACCAAAGCTCGTATTCGTCCAGACAGATGCCACGCAGGAAACTCAAGCTTGACTTTGCAAAATCCAGTACATCAGCTTGCTGCGACGTCCCAGCAAGTTCTGCCATCTTTTTGCTGACCAAAGGTAGCATGAGACGGCCACGCGCGGCAGAGTAAGACTCGTAGAGCTCGCGCAGCAGGCTCATGTATTCTGGTTCACGTCCGGCATCAACATCATCTGGAGTAGGCACTGCTCGCTTCTGAATCTCCAAACCGAGCGTCTTGAGCTCAGGCGCTGGCACGCGGAACTTTGCATACAGCAATGCCGAGTGAGTGGTCTCTTTGAGCTGGCCACCCTGGACGCGCTTGCTGATATCGGCAGCTATATCACCAAGAGACTTTGTGAAGTGGTGACGAATCAGGGTCAAAGCCCGTGTGAGCAGTAGCCGATACCTGCTCCTGTAGGTTTCAGACTCTTTATGCTTGGGGTGAGACTCCATGTATGCCAAGCAGTTGTCCAGGTTCGACAGCATTTCGGGGAAATCATTACCCTTGACCAGGTTCGCGGCTCCAGGAGCATTGAGACGTCGTGTCATCGGTTCCAGGTAGGTGTAGTAGCGAGCATTCTCCTCCACGGCGTCAGCCAGCGCCTCCAACCGCCTCTGCTCTGTGATAAGTGACTCGCATTGCTGCCGGAAGGCGTTCGTCTGACTTTCTACACTTTTGAAGGATCCAGAAAGCGTGGACAGAAGATCCAGTGTATCCTGAGTCGAGCCGAGCAGACTGCCTAGGTGTGAACTTGACAGCTGAAGCTGGTCAAGATATGTTTCGTAGCCTTGGTGACTTCCCTCCAGCAGTTCGCTTTCCAGTAATGTAAACTCCTCGTCAAAATCCAATTCGACGCCGCCTCTGTGTGCAATTTTTTCGTGGCTCCCGACACTACTCCTCCTTCTTCTGGACTGTCCATTGAGTTTCGCGTACGAATTCACCACATCATAGAAGTCGCTGTAACTCTGGCTCCTCCTTGAGACAGATGCCTTTGCCGGGCCGCTCCACGGGTTGTCCTCCTCGTTAGCCTCCTGAATGGCTTCTATAGCAACATCAGCCTTCTGTTCGGCCTAGCAAGCAATCAGAACTGAGCGTACCGCGGAGATGAGGCTGCTCTTACAGGCTGTTCGAGCAACGACGCTCGCCGTTTCTGTTGTGGTTTGGCTCGAGATGTTGTTGGCGGTGCCGTCAAAGTCGCGAGCCAGGCGTCGTCCATGATGAGTAGGCTTGTCGGGACTCGTGGGAACCTGTAGATATGCGTCGTACATTCAACAGAGGTGTTGTACAGGCAAATGAATTTTGCAGACTGCCAGCGTACTCCGCAGAACGGCAACAGCACCCTCCAACCTCACCAGGATATGGCATCCAACAAGCATTCGTTTTTGAGTTTGGCCCGCCCGAAACGGCGGGCTCTCTATCGACTTCACCTCTATCTTACGCTGCCATTGTCGTCGACAACAGTCTTGCCGGCTTGTCCATACCGCATGCCTCCATCTTCATATTCCCGTGTGCTTCAGTCGACGTTACACAACATACCGGACTTCGCTCCGCCTCTCCAGCACGCTGCGTTAAGCTGTCACCATGGCCATCTGGAAGACTGCGCAACAGACGCAACAGGTACCCGGATGCTAGTACCAGCATGCACCACATCGGCTGCATGGGAGTACCTTTGAGGAACTCTACGAACGTGAGCCGCGGACAAGAGGATCAGGCAGTGTACAGCGCCACGATAGCAGGCCTTGAGAAATTCGCCTTCCTCCCGTTCGGAACTTGTAATATCCTGCAGAAATCGTTAGTTTTCGACTCGATATGGCTGCCGTCAACCCCACTCAAACGCGTTAGACCGTACCCAGGAGGGTTCGACTGCTACAGGACCCTGCATGCATGGCTATGCAGCTTACATGCACCTTGCCCAGGATCATACGGTTGGTTCCAGCCTGTTCTTCAGCAGAATCTTAGGTGTGTCTAATGCACGCTTTAGCAACAAGGGTATCGACCATGGATTGACCTTGCGAACGTGTCTCCAACCACGCATAGCGTCCAATTGGCCCGATCACTGTAATGGCACAGGCGGCTCAAACGCTCCCACGGATCTGGGGAGCATAATGTCCCAGACTTCGACAGTCCGCTGGAACGCCATTGCCTGTGATGGCTTGAGGCTAGCAAAGTAGCCTCAGGTTCGCCCGCGACACAGTATAAATGGCGCCTGCGCCGGGCATTCGCTGTTAGGCTGATCGTTGCCTGTTGTTTAGTCTTTCCGGGATTTATGAGGTTCTTCGTCATTCAACCATACCAAACTACCGACGGCGACCGACCTGTGTACCTCACTCCTCGCCTTCTAGAAACGCTTTGTGTCTTGAAACGAAGGTCTGAGGCCACGTTCGCAACCGACATCGACACCGCTCGAGGTTCCCGAAGGGTTCTATGAGCTTGCTATTAAGGGGATTCCAGTTTGCTCCTGGGCGGTGGCTCTTGTCGGATTCTTATACTGGATCTTTTTGCCTCAATCTGGACCACTGAATATTGACCTCGCGAGCTATGTCACACAATTTTGGTCCACGTGTGCCGCGAGACATCAGCGCAGGCGTGGGACCATGGTTTGTCCAGATATGGGGTGTACGTGAAGGAGACTATGTGAGGTGTGGCATCTACTGACGAGCGTGGACGGTGAAGATCCACAATGGATGCACCTGGCAGGACTTGAAGGACATCGTTCGTCCTGCGGCATCGCACGTTGGTCACGTATCAGTCTACGCCAATGGAAGAGCGACCATCACGGTCCGAAAGCTGGACGAGGCAGTTTGCTGCTTTGGTAAGACGCCTTAGGGACAATACTGGAAGCCATAGTAACTTTTGCTGCAGAGTACCTCTCCGCCGACAACGTGAGCGGAAGAAAGCTGTACGTCGAGTTGTGGGAAACCACGCCGAACCGCGCTCCAAGGCTCATGTGGAAGAATGTCGCGAGTATGCCGACTCTTGCAGCACCGGCGGGCAAGGCTCAACAGCCATGTCCAAATCAGCTGTCGCCACCGCCCGTTCCAACGCAGCAAGATGTCCTCGCCCAGCAGATGGCCTCAATGCAGATGATGCGGGCACAGCAGCTTTCGGCCTATCAAATCGCTTATTCTACTTCGAGTGTTACCTTCAGCAATCTACAACAGTCACCTCCGAGCCCAGTATCGATCGCAGCGAATGTGCCTTACATACGAGCGGTTCAGCCACAAGAAGTTCCAAGGACATTTGCTCCATACACAAAGACAGCGCCAGCAGCAGCGCCAGCAACTCGAGGCCCACGTTATGCTACTGGATCTTCGGGTATCCCGACGAGAGTCGACCGCGGCAGCGTACGAACTGAGTACCGCGGCGTTTTCGTCAGTAACCTCAGCTACGACGTCAAAGACAGTGACATCCAGAGGCTCTTCAGAGTCTACGGCGAGATCACGAAACTCGATCACAAACGCGAGGCCAAGGTCAACTCGAAGGGCAAGTCAACGTTTCGGTCACGAGGCAACGCCATCATCACCTTCGCGACCTCCGAACAGGCTCAAGCTGCGATCGAAGAACTCGACGGCAGCACATGGAACGACAGGATGCTGGCGGTTCGCTTCGACACCGAAGCAACGCCGGTTGACCCACCTCCGCGGAAGAGCAAGAAGAGTACGGTAGAGGGAGGACCGCTCATCGTCAACGGATCGACGAATGGCCGTAAGAGTTGAGTTGGCGAGATGAGATCGACGCAACACTCTGATCAGACTGAATCTCTGAATCTTGAACGGAGAAGCACGGCTCACAGCTTCATACATTGCATTGCTTCTGAGTGATTCAATAATCTATCCCTGGCGCTCATCCTCGCATACCACGATAAAGAGCGTATGCGAAATTGATTGCATTCCCAAATGACTGGCGTTCGACGGGAGCTTTGCAAGCTCTGTGCCTTTGACTCGATTGGTTCCTGCCCATGCAGGCTATCCCCTGCACCTCCGCCGTTGCCATCGATCGCGTCATCACAATCGGACGGGGAAGCCTGTTTTCCAACCGGCTGGGAAACAACCCCGCACCCTGGACATTTTTCAGTAGTATAGTGCGACAGAGCCTGACCCGTCTTGCACTACAAGTGGTTGGTTTCGCTCGGGTTACACGGCGTCTTTAGCGGCGACGTGGCGAACGCCCGAAGCTCGGGCGACCACGAGACGAGCTCGTGGTGGCGTTGCACTCTGCATGGGCGTCGTGTGGTGTGAGCAAGCGTTCGGGGCACCATCCAGAAACAACCGCTGTAGACGCAGGAAGCTGCTCCCCGCCTTAGCGTGGAGAAGGACGTTGAATGTGAGCAGAAGCTGTAGGAGTCAAACACTGTGCCGGACATGGATGATGGAGCATGGCGACGGTGGGCAAACGACCGGTCGAGATGTCTCGAAAGTGATGGAGCTCGACAACCGTCTGCCAACGGCACACTGGAGAAAACATGGTCAGCCGATCTTGCGGCTGCCTGCTGAGGATTGAATGGACACGGCGGTTCCAATGACAATTGACCCGCTGTGTTACACAAGAATTTGGTGAACCGGCTCTTCTCAATGGCTGGGGCGATGCATTATGCTCAGGTAATGCCACGGCTCTGGTAACTTCCAAGGCGCCCCAAGGGCGCTCTCAGACCCTAGGGCTAGTAGTGATCCTCCAGCTAGCCACAGCTGGAGCTTGCTGGTGGGTCGGATCTTCTGGACGGAACTACAGCACGCTGCCGTCGATTTTACGGGATAGACCAATGGCTGGGCTGGCAACGCTGGAAAGTACACATGGACTTTCTATTATGAGCGGACTCCATTCCGGCTTCGCTGTCCACTCACGGAAGGAAGATGCCTTTCGAAGACGGGACACATCACATCTGGCGAAGCAGGGTCGTCGTTTCTTTGCGTGAGACGGGCCGAGATTCTCGGACGTCGCAAGCAGCTGGCACATCCGTCTGCCGCACATGCCGAGCAGACGCCGAGATGCCGAGATCGAGAAAGACCGAAGAACGGTGAAGATACTGAACGGCATTGGGTGTACCTGCAGTACAAAGTTCAGTACCGTCTACCCGGGCAATATTCCACAGCCAACAGCCTTGCATAATCGCGCCATCCGGCGGTGGAGCCGGTCGGCATAGATCGTTGCTGTTGCAGTAGTGTTGGGTGCCCGAATGTGACACGTTGTCCTGCAGAATGTCAAGCGAGTTACGACCACTGCAGGAGATGCCCGGCGCAGTGCCCGCCTCCGTGAGCATTCTTCCACCGCCTTTTGCGCCAGGGAACGACGCATGGCCTTGCTAGACGAAGAGATCGTTAGTTCTCTGTCTTTCTCATGCATTTCGATAGATCCACTGACTCTCAGACAGGCTGCCGCCACGTCCAATCATTGCACTCGAAGTTTGCATAGCAGAAGAACTCGTTGCTCAAGCCTTTGCTGTGTTGGGGTTCGAACGTGGTGGTCAACATCCCTATCTTGCCGTACAATTTGGCCATGAGGGACTCCATTCGCTCGCCAGTGCAGGAAATCAACTTCAGCGTCCCGGAAGCCCACGTTCGAGACAAGTACCGGACAGTAAGTGCTGTTTTGGATTGGCAGTCTTCTGATAGGAATGGTGGGTCGCAGATGATGCGGTCGAACTTTGCTTTCAGCTCCGGTGGCAGGCGAAGCGGATGTTGAAAGTCGTAAAAGAGGAAGTCCGTTCCCACGACGTCAAAGCGATTGTCGAACTCTAGAAGGCAGAGCTTCGGTTTGATCTTAACATCGGACTCGCTCAGGATCTCCCGAAGCTGTATGTAGACGCTGGGAGCTGACACCACGGCAATGGCGCTGTCTGCAGTCACACCGTCGAGAAGCTGGTATGCAAGCGTTCGGGCAGTTGCATCCGTATACCAGAATTGACTGGCATTCCAGTCTTCGCCGAACAGAGCCATCGATAGCTTTGTGCTACCATTCTCGAAACGCTCTTCGGCCTTGGTCTTCAGGTTTTCAAAAGCCTTGTCTTGTTCGTCCTTTTCAGTGATGAACTGTTGAAGCAGCTGCAGTGTGTCAGCGGGAAGCTGGGGCATGTCGTCGTCGTCGTCCATGATGTGTGTACCAGGAGTTGTTGACCCTCAGTAACTGGCCCAAATGAAGCTTTGTGAGATTCATGGAGCGTACCGTGCAGTCTGATAATATGCAGTGCGTGAGGAGTTCAACAATGTTAATCGTGAATCTGGACCAAATGTGGCGGTGCAGCGCCACGAGCCGAGAAGCTTTGGGACTAGCGCGCGGGACTAGCCACTCCCGTCGATGACACCCACGCCTCCGCCCTTCAGCGACGCTGGAACGTTCGATCGCACCCGGTGGTTGTGTCTGCAGGAACGACCACCTACGACGCCATCCCTTCCCACCCCTCCATCTACCCTCTCCGACACCATACCCATACCCTCCTGGTCGCCACATCAAGATATAGGAGCGATGGCTCCGCAGCGATATGAAAGAGTGCGTAGCCGTAGCCGCCCGTGCTTGCGCGTCGACATCCAGGCTGACCAACCCCCATTACAGATAGCAGCAGCAGACGACGACGAAGACACCCGCTCGCGCATCGCCGTCCCGAACTCTCCACCCCCTTCCTTTCGCTCTCAGAACAGCTCGCGGCGACCTTCCCACGACACCCCGCCGCCACAGAACGAGCAGCAGCGCAACCTCAACGATGCCTTCGATGCGCCCTCAGATGACGACAGCGATGACGAGCAGCCACGAGACCAACGGCGGCTGATACAGAGTGATCGCACACCTTCGAGATCGCCAAGCGACGGCAGCAGTCCGCAAGGAGGAGCACGGCCGACCGCGCCACAGCGGACAGTCACAGAGATACCCGTCTTCGTACCGCCACCCGGAGGCAGTGGGAGAGTTGTAGGTGGCGGTAGTCAAGCCAACGACGGTGTCTTCGCGAACATTACAGCGAAGCCACGGCCAGGCGAGGAGCTTGAGGAGAAACCACCAACCTACGAACAAGCAGCAGCAGATGCCACGCCACCATATTGGGAAACGACAGTTCTCTCCACCTACGGCGCCAGCGGCAACCCAGACGATGTCTTTGTCGATGGTCTGCTAGTCGGCTCGCTTTTCTCGTTTGTCTGGAACGCCCTCATCTCCATGTCTTTCCAGCTCATCGGCTTCCTCCTCACATATCTTCTCCACACCACGCACGCTGCCAAACACGGCTCAAGAGCCGGCCTCGGCATCACGCTCGTGCAATTCGGCTTCTCTATGCGCTACGCCTCCAACAAAGGACCCATGGACGGCGCTCCAGGACCAGACGCACCCACAGACGGCGTACCAGATGATCCGAACGCACACGATTTCGATCCGAATGCAGTAGTCAGCGGTGCTGGTCCGGACGGCATGACTGATGGTTTGTCGACAGCAGACTGGCTTTCCTATGTTTTGATGATTATTGGCTGGTTCATTCTCATTCGGGCGGTATCGGACTTCTTGCGCGCGCGGAAACAGGAGCAGATTATACGGTCCAGCCCCGATAGAGGGTTGGGCGTAGCCGTTGTGGCGGATAATGAGACGCCGGAGACTAGCGTTTAGAGCGACTTTCTAATGATTGGACATGCGGGCGTTTTGCGAGGCTGATTAGGCGTGAAGCTATCCTGTGTATGAAACTTTGACTCGAGGAACGATCGATTTGTCTGGCGAGACACCACGATTGAAGCAGACTTTGGTTCAATTTTCTCCTCAATCTCAACGTAACAACTCATGACTATGCCGGTTGTGTCCGGCATCTATCTACCGACTCCACCAATACCCTACCCCACCCTTCCGCCCTGCACCTCTCCTCGCTCCAGCGCCAGCAGGAAACCCGTTCACCACAAACCCATTCGCGACCTCCATCTGCTTCTCCCTCCGATCTTCCGTAAGCAGCCGCCACAGCTCGCCCACACTCACCCGCTGCTTCGGAAGCATGCTGTACTGCAGCCCGTAAAGATTCTTTCTATGAATCGGCGGGACGAACTGGCCAGACACGATGGCCAGGAAGACGCGGGGGGAGAAGTAGTGTTTGCGGACGCGGTGGCCGAGTTGGGCATACTGGGCGAAAGTTTGCGTCAAAGGGAGGGGGATGGACTGGCGTCGTATTAGCTGGGGTTTAACTGGTTTTGGAGGGGCTAATGGCAAACCTTTAGTTTGATGTAGGATGTCGGGGCCGATTGAGGTCGTGGCTCACTATGTGTATTGTGTTTTGGTGAAAGCAACGCAGCAGAGGTATCTTGCAATTCAAATCGTATCCCGCCCGGTAAACGCCTGGAGTCCTTGATTCGTAACATTAATGCAAACAGCGGAAAGTGATTTAGACATGCCAGCCAGGTGTCCAGACCAGCTTTGAGCGCGATGATGGCGATACGAGCGCCAGCGAAGGTTGCGTAGAAGACCGCAACCGTCGGGAGAAGAAAGAAGAGCAACGTGAAGAGGATGGTCCCAAGAAGAAGCTGGTCCAGGTCGTAGTCGCAGCTGTCGATACGATTTCGTAGTACGTTTCGCTTCTTGCCTCGGAACAGGTGGAAGAGCGAGACGATGATGCTGAGCTGCCAGTTGTATATTCGAGCGCTGGCAACGTAGAAGGAGTAGATGTGGATCGTGAGCAGCGAGACCAGGTCCGAGAACATCGAGATAGGCAGCGAAGCGCCGGCAAAGGAGCTGATACCAATTAGGCGTATGATGTGCGGCAGTGCTGGCTGTAGTTGCCTCATGCAATTATCCCAGTAGTCAATAACCCACAGGAACAGGTCGCCGAGGAATTTGGCAAGCTCGTTGTTGAGTTTGAGACCAGCAGGCCAGCCCATGAGCCACTCGATCATTCGCTGGAGTCCGTCGATGGAATAGATGTCGATCAACTGGTCCATTTGAGTGGCCACGAAGTCGGCGTTCTCAAAGATGTACGAGCCGAGTGCGATGCCAATGATCACGTCGTTCGCGACGAGCCACAGACTGTTGAAGAAGCGGATGTACTCCGGGTGGCTGTTCGTGATGCTTACCCAGTCTTTTCGTCGCCTGTGCAGCGTGAGGTACTGCTTGGGCCAATAGCAGAACTGCTGCAGCCGGATATCGACCTGTTGAGCTGTGGCGGAGATGTCTTTCAGAGCTGCCGACTCCGGCACAGGACGCCAGTCAAGCAGTAGGATGAGGCCTTCCGCTATGATGCGGTGTGCCATCAGGCAGAAGATGAATACCTTGGAGGCAAACGGCCAGATATGCTGCTTGAACGCATCTTTTAGCCGTATCAAGAATGTGGCATAAGCGTTTGTGGCAGATAGAACAACACGCTCGCTCACGCTCTGCGTCCTCTTAACTCTTACTCCAACGAGACCAATATTGCTTTGCATGAGCTGGTCCACTTCAGCAGAGCAGTTGATCTGGTTGATGATACTGTCGAGAGCCAGTTCTTTCTCCGTGCGAGGATGCTTTACAACAGTATGCAACTTGAGCTTGTCGACCAATGCTTCCCTTCGCTTCCGCTCGAGGTCTTCTTCCTTGTCGATTGTGTCAAAAGGGACCTCTGAGCCGAACGTCCCTCGCTTGTCGCCAAGTGCAAGTGAGATCTGTGTCAGCGAAAGGTACTGCATCCGGTCCGGATCTGGTCTGTCAAACGTGACGATCTGGACGGTGACTCCTGCATCCTCTGCGCAATCGATCCTTGGTATCTTGCTTCGCGGGACAGTATGTAAAGAAAGCTCATGGCGATTGAATGGCTTGGGGGTATCCTTGTCGTTCAACGTGCCCAATACTTCAATATTCTTCCCTCCGCACCTCTCAACAATGTTTTCAATCGGATGTGGACATCCGCGGAAGAGGAATCGCATGCTGAGCGCATGTTTGACATTTTCAAACTGAGTTTGTCAGCTTGCGCGTATACCAGGCCTCATAATGCCAGCCCACCTTGACGCCCTGTAGCATCCCCACCACCAACACATCGTACTCTGAGTTCCTCCATCCCAATAACACACTGGGTATATCATCTCTTGGAGCATCAGACGGCCAGAAGATGCGCATCAAATCATGCTTGCGAGTTGGCATCCGCGGCAGGCGGACGACGGCGCTTTAGAACGAGCCACGCCGCCGTAATTGCTCCCTTGCGGATATGCCAGTTTCGGGCGGGCGGGGATGCTGTAAAACCTCGTCAACCGATGCCACTACATTCCTGCCCTTGCCGTCAAACTGACCAGTTCTACCTCCTTATTCGCGATGCGCTCGATCGGTATGAGGATCAGGACGAAGAAGATGGAGAGGACGCCGAAACCCTTGGCTGCTCGAGTGATCACGCCTCGATCCCAGGCGAAGACAGCGAGCTCAATGAGCTGCGAGACCAGATCCCAGCGCGCAGTAATGTAGCCTGACAGGAAGATGCCAAACGTCAAGACAGAGATGGGGTGCATGAGGTGGGGATGCGCACATGTCCGTCAGGTGTGGGAAGAGGGGGTTGTCGCTTCCAAGGGTTCGATGTATAGCGCGGTCGTGTGTCTGCTCTTATATGCGCGCTCTCTTGTATGTGTCCATGCCCCACGAGCAAGAGAAAGAAGCGTGGAGCATTGGAGTAGTACGTGGCAGGCACTCATCGCAATTAAGCATTGAGCTAGCACAACCTTGAACTTAACATTAACCTTCGGACACGTGCTCGACGACATCTCAAGTCACTCTCTACTTGCCTTCAGCTTGCTTGCTTTATACATCCTTGTAGCTTGCCCACAACCAGCAAAGACATCTCGAACGCCTAGGTCCTTTCTTATTTGCGCTCGCGCCTAGATCAGGAGCACAACGCGTCAAACGCGCACAGCTGGCGACTTGAGTGTCACGTCTTCAAAACGAAGGCTTCCTTCGATGTCACACTATGAGAACTACTCCACCAGCGCAACATGAGTTACTTCAATCGAGGGAACAGGCGCGATGATAGCCGCGACGATAGCAACAACAATACCCACAAGCCGGTCTGCAAGTTCTACGAGCGAGGAACTTGTAGATTTGGTTGTATGTCCTCATAGTAGAAGTCGCCCTCTCGATCACCTGCTAACATACTTTGCAGCGGGTTGCCACAACTACCACCCACCTCGCGATTCCAGCCAGAGCTCAACGTCGAGTCAGAATCCATCATACCTTCTGAGCCGTGATGCTATCAAAGCCGACCTCACCTTTGGCGACGAGCGACCGACGTGGCCACTTTCCGCCTATGGACCCGGCAGAGAGGCGCCTCGTCAGCTTCTGGAAGGCCTGCTAGAGCAATCTCCGGAAGAATTCCGACTTCAGTACTACCTGGCCCAAGCATCCGGCAGCACTCAACAGTATGAGCAGACTGAGCAGGCAGCGCTCGCTCAAGCGAACGACCGCGCTCAGCAGATTCTCAACGACCTCGATGGAGCGATCAAATATGTCATGGATGGCGAACATGAGCACCCAAACCGCCTCGACCAAGTAGTTAAGCCTACGGGCAATTTCACTTGGACAGAAAAGCCGAACAATAACCCTGCCCCCACAGCTTCCAGCAGCAGTACAGCTTTCGGCCAACCATCGGGATCCTCCGCTTTTGGGCAACCGTCTGACCTAGGCACTGGCAGCGCTTTTGGTCAAGCATCCGCGCCGACTTCAGGCTTTGGTGGTCAGAGCGGCGGCGGCTCAGCATTTGGGAAACCATCATCATTAGGCGGAGGATCTTCGTCTGCTTTCGGTCAGCCATCTATGCTTGGGGGTGGTTCGGCAGCATTCGGAAAGCCAAGTGCACTCAGAGGCGCCTCGCCTTTCGGTCAGACATCTACAAACACGGGCAGTACGCCATTCGGCCAAGCAGCGGCTACCGGTGGCTCAGCTTTTGGACAGTCTTCCACACCAAACGCTGGAAGTGCGTTCGGCCAGCCGTCAGCTCTAGGAGGCGGTGCAAGCAACCCATCACCATTTGGCGGAGCTGCATCGAGCACTCCATCATTTGGCCAAAGCGCTTTCGGGCAAGCATCACAGCCTAATCAACAAGCCTCACCGTTTGGCCAACAGCAGTCAGCATTCGGGCAGCCCTCGCAACCAGGCCAGCAGCCTTCCGCATTCGGTCAGCCTTCACAGCCGGGTCAAAAGACGTCCGCTTTTGGGCAACCTTCGCAACCCGGACAACAGACATCTCCTTTCGGGCAGACCTCCCAGCCTCAGCAGCAGTCGGCCTTTGGCAAAGCATCACCATTCGGCGCAGCCAGCACAGCAGCACCAGCATTCGGACAAAGCACGTTCGGCAACGCTTCAGCACAAGGTGGCGGTGGCGCCACGAATACTTCAGCCTTCGGCCAACCCTCAGCACCCGGTCAACAATCGTCCCCCTTCGGCGCCACCAGCCAGCCTTCAGCCTTCGGTGCCAATTCATCCGGCGCCAACCGGAACACCAACCCATTCGCAGCCCAGCAACCAACGTCCAACTCCTCCGCTTTCGGCAGCGGCGGCGGCGGCACTCCCAGAACCTCAGGCCCCCCAATCACCTCTCTAAAAGGCAAATCGGTGTTCTACGAAGACAAGCTGCCATTCTATCGCAACCAGCAGACAGGCAAGAAGGAACGGATCTGGATGCCAGACGGAGCGCCAGGGCCGAACCCGGATGTGGAGGCGAGCGCAGAGACGTATCAGGCGCTCGGAGAGGCGCTGAAGCAGGTGTATGATTATGTGAGGGACAATGGCAGTTTTCAGGGTGGTGTGATGCCGGAGGTGCCGCCAAAAAGGGAGTGGGTTAGTTGGGATCTATGAGGGGATGGTATGAAGGAGGCGGTCTCAGTTGGATGGGCACAAGATCTGTGGAATTAGGACTTGGAGCATTAGCATAGCGAGGCGCTGGGTGCAGATCACATATAAATGCATGCAGTTTGGTTGAAAGCAATTCTGGTCTGTGCGATGAGCACATCTCCATAGCCCTGTGGCTTGATGGCCGCTTGCTGCTGTAGACAAAGACAATCTATGGTACAACGGCACTACTTCTCTTTCGCTTGATTCAGGCTGCACTATGAGTACACTAGATGCTGACGGCGGGAAGATTGTGTTGACCACTTGGCCAGCTGTGACTCCAAGCGGAGCCAGGCTGAGTCCAATTGCCTCTACTCATGGTCTATGCCACGCTCTAATAGACCAAATGCCTCCCGTACGCCTCGCGCTGTAACGCCACAATGCTACAAAGGTCTAATGGTATTACATGACGACCTGTGCCAGGTCAGTAAGCTTACACTTTCACGCAGTTAACAAATATAAGACTTACACATTCTCCATCCTTCTGCTGCGCCGGCACGCCCATCTCATCAAACGTCTTCGGGCCCTTCCCGGGCGGCTTCGCTGGCGCAGGTGCTGTAGACTCTTTGGGGGGTGGCTTGGCCACAGGCGGTGCAGGGTCCTTCTGTGGTGGCCTAGGCGTGCTTGTGTCCGGCCTCCTGCCATCAGATGGCGGACGTGAACCAGGTCGAGACGAGGGAGCGGAGTATGGGTTGTGTGGCTGCTGGTCGAAGTTGGGCATTGTCTGGCTGGATTTGAGCGGACCTACTTGCGCAGGACTAGGTGAAGGTCTAGCAGGGCCGTATTGGCGGGCTCGGCGGTCTTCGTAGGGTGCTGAGAAACCAATGTCGAGGGCTGGTGTTGTGGATTGGGGTGGTCGCTGTTGTTGAGATGGTGCAGGGGTGGAGGATGGATGTGGCATCGGTGGTCGCTGAGCGCCTGAGCCTGGTGGAGGTTGTTGTGATGGAAGGCCTGAGATGCCGGCCGGTCCAGGTGCTATCCTAGGAGCGGCAGCTGGTCTGCCACGAGGGTCGAACGGCTGCACGGTAGATGGACGAACAGCTGGCAAAGGCCGCCCGCCAGCGTATATGGGACCACCGTTGTACGGTTGCTGAGGCATCGGAGCAGCAGAACTTGAACGGTATTCAGGAGCTAGCTGGAAAGCACTGCTTGGTCGCACATCAGGGTTGAGTGTGGTCGATGGTCGTGGAGGTGGTGGAGTTCCGTATCCGGATGGTCCGAGGCGAGAAGCGTTCGGTGGGCCATCTTCAAGAGGATACGGAGTGACCGACTGGGCTCGGATATCGGCAGGCGCCACGGTAGGTGGCCTGTTGTCCTCGGGGTATGGTGTGATTGAGGACCCTCTTGGCGGCGGATGCTGGATTGCGGCACCCTTTGCATACGCAGGTGTTGGAATCTCTTCCGGGACAATGCTATGATTAAGTCTGGAAGACTGCGGTTGCTGCTTGAATCGGTCCGGTCTTGCGCCACGCATAGACCCGTGCATCGACTTGATCCGGGACACCGCAACGGTTTCGTGGTCCTTCTTAGAAAGCACTTGCTTTCGTTGCAAACCCTCGATTCGACTGTCGGCATCCGAATTGCCGTGCTGTGACGCCTTCTGATACCACTCCATCGCCTTCGCCAAGTCAACAGGCGTGTACATGCCAATCTCATGGAAGTAGCCCAGTGCAAACTCGCCAGTTGCGAGACCACTCTGTGCTGCGCGTTCAGCGTACGTATATGCCAGCTCCTCGTTCTTCGGGAACAGCCTGTCTGATCCAACCAAGAACCACTTGCTGAGTGCCATATCCGCCTCAGCTTCGCCTTGCTTCGCGGCAAGCGCGTTGTAGTGAACCGACAGCGCCGGATTGAAATCACAACAAAGCGAGCCAAGTTCGTACGCCGAGCCCATCTTGAGCTGCGCTTTGGCAAACTTCAGATACGCCGCTTTCTCGATGTTGATGCGGGCTTGTTGCTCGTCCGGGGCCAAGAATTGCTGTGGCACATCAATCTGTGGTAGCTGACGAGCGAGCAGCATGCCGTATACATAGGCGCCCTGAGCTGCGTTCTCGTCCGCAGCCTCAGCCGATCGCCGTATCAAATCAACTGCTGTAGCGTAGTCCTGCTGTTGGCCATGCTGTCCTCGCAAGGTCATCATGCCTAACCTGTAGCAAGAAGCCGCATCCCCAGCGTCCACACCACGGTGATAGTGCCGCAGAGCTTTGACAGGATCGTTGAACGATTCGTAAAGCATGCCAATACGATACTCTGCCCTCGCATATCCTCTGTCCGCAGCCCTAGAGTAACATCGGAATGCCTCCTTCTTGTCCTCCCGTTGTCCAAATCTACCCCATTCCAGCCACATGCCTCTCAGAAACTCTGCTTTCGGGTGGTGCTGGTCCGCGAGGAACGTGGTTATGTTCATGGCATCCGTCTTCAATTGGTGCTCGATCCTAGGTGTCGACGATCTCGCAGCCTGCGGCTTCGCCGCCGCTGTCCTTTCCTCATTGTCCGCGCATACTCCAACGTACACCAACGCATCCGACGCCCATGCCAGCTGCATCTCTGGGTCGTTTGAGTTGAGTACGTGGATTCGCGCAGTCTCGAGTGTTGCTTCGAGCTCGTCGTCCGAAGGCGGCACGTTCGTCGGCTTGTTAACCAGCTTTGGGAAAGGCGAGAGGTGCGGTGCGTCGTCTGAAACGAGGTTGGAGTACTGTTTGTTCGGGTAAACTGGGCTCATAGGCCCTCTCTGGTTCTGGGCGCTGAGGTCCATATGCGAGATGCCTTCCGTGACGGTCGTTGGGTTGTGCGGCTTGGGTGCCACGAGTTCGGGCGGGGCGGGTTGGTAGAAGTCATCGTATCCAGGCACGTATGTAGCGCTCAAGGTGGGCCGGTGGTATGCCATGCTGTGCTGGCTGTGGTATGTTGTGATCTGGTGTTGACGAAGCGACCAGTGGGTCAGCCGTTGTCCCTTAGTCCCCAAGTGTCTCTGTCTGCGACGGGAGTGTCATCTAACAGCACAGGATATAACAAAAGTGTAGACATGGACAGTGAGTCGGCGTCTCGATCACGAAATGGAAGAGAGACATACAATTAATCAACAGCCGACGCGAGTCAACTTGGAGTCTTGGGCGGCTTGGCCTCTCACACTTCCCGATGCCTCTGCTGTCTACCTCGCCTTTCGAACGAGCGTAGTCAAGATCCCAATGAGTGAAGAGGACAACAATCAGAGGCGCTGCAGCATACGGCTGGTAATATTTGGCACGCGGCGACCTGAGCTGGTCCTTTGCCATCCTCGTCATCCAACACTTAAGTCTGAGGCCGAGTAAGACACGACGTTGCGACACAGCCACAGCACAGAAACAACTTGGATTTGGAAACCAGACCAGCTACGTGGGACTATCTCCCAAATAACGACTATTAACACCCGGACAGCTGAAAGGGCATCCGCAATTCCGCCCCATTCTCCAAGTCCAGACGGCCAGGCGAGAGTAAACAGTGAACGGCGAGGATACGGTAAGGTAGAGTAACATGCTTTCTAACTACGGAACCACGGAAGTTAAAACATGGGCCATCATGGCCGCAAGAGCGCTTTCTCAGCCTTATGCGGCCAACAATACAGATCTTTCCTGCGCATACCACGTGCGGCTGCATGATACCTCGATTACAGTCTTCCACTAGTCCTCGATAGCCCCATGGTCGTCGGAGCCGTCAGGCATTTCCTCATCATCAGGTGTCTTCGCAGGTGGGACGTCAATATTCGTCGGACTCATCAGAGTCATCCACAATAACCTCACCTCCGGCAGCATCCACATTGACAGTAACTTCCCCACCATCAATGAAGACATTTCCTAAGTCCAAGCGCGGATCTGCCGTCATGACCTCGTCAATGTCCCAGTTGTACAAGTCGTCCTCCGTGTCAAACGGCAATTCAAACCATTCCTCTCCGAGAATCTCCCTAACAGCACCGCCGACTTGAGCACGAGTCAGTATCGGACGACGGACCGCCCTCGTCATGGGATGTACGTACTTGTTGACAAGGCGCCAGGCAATGGCTCGCGCCACGCGGCGTCCCAGAGCGATCAAGCCCAGCTCCATGGTCCTCAGATGATGCCGCACCCCAATTCTCCGAACGAGCAAGGCGGAAATGCGGTTCTCATGGATACCACCAGGGGGTGCCCAGATGAGGCGCCCGGGTGCACCGGCTCCCATCCAAGGGGTAACGAACGTGGCACGTCCGTCCGGCGTATAGATGGTCTGGTAAGCACCATTTGCATCGCTGGGCTGCCACTCCCGAAACTCGTCGCTTCGATCTGCGTCTCCATGGACAAGGCAAGCCAAAGTCTCGAGACCCTGCCTGGCGATCCACGTGTCCAGCGTGAGTCGTGCAGGCATGTGCGCGAGCATGATGGTCCTGAACTCCTTCGTATATTGCTTGGGGATTACGTTGTCCGCTTCAGTGCCTGGCCTGCTCACGCACATGAGCAGCCATTCATGCATCCAAGCCCGGCAGTCCAGCCCCAGTTTATCTTCCCCTTGCTCACCGACGGTTGAGACGTCTTGCACGGGACGGTCACCTCTCTTGCTGAAGTCCCTGCGAGTAAATAGATCGTCATAGTTGGAGAACAGCCTCATGTCCCGTAGGCGGTGCTGTTCGGACCAGGTCCAATCAGGGTCGATGGCGTTGACGGTTCTATTCTCTCCGTCGACCGCCTGGTCGGCTGTCCAATCGTCATATCCAAGATCATCCTCCGGGAAGAGGGTAGCGTACTCCCTGATACGCTCAATCCTGTCGATATCGGGAAGGCTAGCGTCGTGACACATGGCAAGCGTCCTTGACCAGCAAAGCTTTCTCGAAGTCTTCTCGGGTATGGATATGTGTGTTGTGAATTGTAGCAGTAGGCCGAGATGACATCGTAGGTCCTGCCTGGACATATACCGGAACAATGCCCTGTGCAGTGACAACCCATTGTGTCAAATCACATCAAAGGCTAGTGAAAGAATTGACCCGTGCGAGAGTGTAGAGCTTTGTTTCCGCAAGGCGACATTGTTCCATTTTAAGAAGGTCGAAAGATTGTGATCGAGGCGTTGTTCCCAGGTGCAATCCGACCCTTTGTTTAACCAGTCTCCGGAGCCGTACATCCCAATGCTCCTGTTGAGGAGTATTGCGTGCCCTGACGGCGCGGAGGGTGATTCCAGAGTTGTCACAGCAGCGTTTTCCCGAGGCATTGACTGTTTTCGCTGGAGTACTCTGCAACGTATCAAGCCATACTCGTTAATTTTCGAGCTATAATGTCGATGGGGTAGCTTATATAATGATGTGCTGAACCGTCGCCGCGCAAAATCTCGTGCATGCAGGGAAAAATGGAGTGTGAGATATGGGCCAGTGTCTGCGGCCAGATCAAGAGGACCCAATATGCCATACCTCAACACCAAGAACATCAAACTTCGGCCCCTCATCGCTCAGACCTTCGTTGCCAAAAGTAGGACACGTCTCACTGACGCCTCTGTTGAGGTTGTCGTCTAGCCAGAGCCCGTAGTGACCGTCGCCGCCTCCGACGGAGAGGTACTCCGGTTGGCAGAACATGGTAAAGTCGTTCTCGCCGGTATAGGGAAAAGCCTTGAAGCGGATCCGGTCCGGCGTTGCTGTGCCAGATGTATGGCCGTTCCTGCCGTTTGGCACGTTCAGCGACGCGAGCGATGCTGAGGAAGAGTTGTTCTTCGCAGCACCAATGGTCGTCATACGCTGGAGATGCGTCGTGTCCTCGGACGGAGGTGGAGGCAGAGACGACAGGTCCGGTAGTGCAGGTAGCTTGATCGCTCGCCAGAGGAAGCATTCGCCGGAGCCATAATAATGTGACTGAGGCCTTGGTGGATCTGACAGGTATGCACCAAAGACACCTCGTTCTGCGTCGCGTACGACAAGCACGAATCCTCCCCTCTTTCCTCTGTATTGATCACACAGGCCGTATAATGTTGAGAGTGTACTGCCATTCTGGTCCAACGAGTATGTAAGCTCCCAGCTGTCGCATAGCTGCAGTCGCGGAGGCACCAATAGCCGTATCTCCTCCGCAAGAACTTTGCTCAACAATTTTGCCTTACTGCTCGTGCCTGCCTTGTAACCCTTCAACTCTAAAGGCGTCAGCGGTGGTGGCTGGAACGGCGACCGTTTCCTCTTAGGCGGGTCGTGAGGGTGCCAGACGCCCAATGTTGGATCTGTCATTGCGCCGTTGTAGTTGACAGACAATGCTCTAGCCAAAGGTGTCGGAGCCTCGTCTTCAGACAGTCTTCGCATAAGACTCGTGGCGGTATAGCTCAGCGGGTCGGTGAAGTAGGCGAAGGTGGAGGCGATGGGGTTGGAGTGCTTGCGGCCTGGAGACTGCAAGGGAGGGCGAGGAGGATGATCGGACCAGTCGTTTTCTCCCTCAGCCGACATGTGATTGTCGACAATGAGTATTAGGCCAAGTGGCGGTGGCTGTATCAGGTGTCCCTTGGACTCATGTTCGAGTGCATGAAAAGGTTGAGTGAAGATGTTAGTTGATTCAGGTACGAAAGCGCATCGAAGGTTTTGGGCCTTCCGGCTCGCACCGCACCGCCCGTGGAAAGCTTAAGCCAGCCAGGAATGCTTGTCTTTCTCCCCTGCCTTTGCGCGAGGATACTTCGTACGGCGAGTCACTTGTTAAGTCTCAAGAGTGTTTGGACTGCATTTGTACATTCTAGAGACTATGAGAAGATCAATTAGCTGCATATGCTCATCAGAACAAGCTCCCATGCCCACTGATCGCGAGCATGAGGCTTGCTCATCCATTCCGACCATCAAAAAGCAGCAAAACCCCATCTGATGCCCACTCGTACAGAACGCTATCAGGAAAGCACATGGATCTCCAATTCATCCACCCTCTCAAAGCCGTGACTGCTCACAGAAGCAGCATCATCGGACCAGAAATCAGGCCAACCACCACGATGAAGGCCACCGGCAGCAGACCGCTCTGAACGGCCGGGACTGACAATGGCACACCTGCCCCCGAGCTGGAAGATCCGGAGCCAGAGCCAGATCCAGATCCAGATCCACTGCCACCGCTGGAGCCGGTCCCAGATGGCTCAGCAGTCACGGTGCCAGTCCCACCATTTCCTGCCTCGGACATCAGAGCCTTGCAGTTGCTGCCACCGCTTGAAGACGACTGCAGCTTAGCCATGCCCTTGAAGTCGCAGGCGTCCTGGCTACGGCCCTGGCTCTTGTAGTACTGGTCGAAGACCCAGCTGAGTTGCTCGGAAGATTCGCACATGCTGTAGGCTCCGTACGAACCCTTCTGACCGTTGGCGGAGATTCCGGCACATGCCTTGGGGTTCTTGCCACAGACGTAGCCGAAGAGCTGGCCGTAGTCGTCCTCATCCGTGCTTGGGCTGACGACACAGCTCAGCGATTTGGTCATGCAAGAGCAGAGCTGCTGGTTCGGAGTTGGCGGAAGGGGAGTTGATTCCGCTTTCCACTGGCCACCGACAGAAGGGCAGGAGGCGGGCGAGTTGGTCGGGTTGTAGGAGCCCATCTGGACGCCGGTAGGCGAGACCTTTGCAATCTGAGTCTTGTAGTTGCTGAAGTCTGCCAAAGTAGAGACCGAGTTGCCATCAACAGAGACAAGACCTGATGTGCGTTAGCAAATGAGTGGCTCGAGGTGTGAGGCTACTGCCTACCGTAATCGTTCTCTTCTTGGAAGTACATGTAGACAATGCCACCGGACCAGACGTCGGACATCTGAGGGCCGTACAATGCCTGCACCTCGGTGAAAGGTCGCGTGCCTTCGGTATTGCAGCCGTATTCGGCGAAGAAGGCGGGCACGGAGTAGCTCTCGAACTGGTCGGTGCGCACATCATATCCAGACTCCTGGTACGTGGACTGACCACACCACGAGTATACGTTGTAGCCGTAAAAGTCAATGGAATCGGCTTGGTCACCGCAGTTGAAGTAGTTGGCCAGGCTCTCGCGGATGTATTGGTTGTCGTTCGCCGCATATCCTACGCCAATAGTCCGGTAGCCCTTCTGCGAGATGTAGGACTTCATGTCGCGTGCTGCGGCCTTCACGAAAGCAGCTGAGGCTGTGTTGTTTGGTTGCGTCGCAACTTCATTACCAGCGAAGAAGCCCAGGACATTGTTGTAGCCTTGGAGAGCGTCAATAACGCTGGCATAGCGGGCGTAGAGGTTGTCGTCCCAGTGTGGGTCGTTCGAATCGATCGAGTCGCTGGGCGCTGAGAGATCGGCAACAACGTAGATGCCAGCGTCGGCCATCATCCTCATGCACTCATCGTGGTTGGAGTTTGGGTTGACCGCATATACTCGGATTGTGTTCGTGTCCAACTGTTTCAGGTAAGGGATGTCTCGGCTGCACCCAGATGGGTTCGCGAGCGGGTCGTTGTAGTCGGCATCGTCGCCCGAGTTGCCCTTCACTGCGGTTGCGCCGGTGTAGCTCTGCTGGTAGGCGACGCCCTTGATGTAGCTGGGTATGTCAGCACATGTCGCCTCGTGCAAGATGAAGAAGCGCTTACAATTGCGTGCCGTTTGTCTTGTAGAAGAACTTGGAGCCCTTGATGACGATGGGATCAACGTCTGCCACGACCGTACTGACGAACAAACTCGCCGTCGCGATCAGACCCGCTGCCGCGGATGCCACGCTGAAGCTTCGCATGGTGTGATGTTCTTGGTATGCTCGATGTGTTCAGTGATGCCGGGGAAGAATGGCGGCGCGTGTCCAAAGGGATGGGGATGCAGTCCAAGCGGCGCTTCAGAGTCCGCGTCGGTCAAGGTGATGCGAAAAGAGTGACTTGAAGTTGCCTAATGATTAAACAATTGGAAAGACGTGTCCGCCAAGGTCAAGAGAATCTTGTGCACGACAAGAAGCAGAAGGCGTGGATCGGAGGTCGTTGCACGGAGCAGAAGGGAGATCGAGGATGTTTCTTGCCCCTGACACGCGGCCGTGGCGGCACGTCTCCCTTTGCTTGTGAACGGCACGCCCAATCACAACTCTCTACATATTTGCCACCCGCTGGCCATTTCACAAATCACCGCTTCACTACTGGATATGCAAGACGCCTTCGACGCAGAGACTTGAGTTGCCCGCGGACGCCGGGTCGTCGAGGTGGTCTCGTCGCGTCGACACTCGTAGGGGGACATGTTTGCCTTTGCAATCCCTCTTTTGAGAGCCCCTGGGGAATGCACGAAGAAGTACGCGGCTATCAGTGTCCTCGCATCCTTCTCGTGTTCCTTCGTGCTCCAGGACCTGGACAGGCAGCAGCATTAACGACACTGCATCAGATGTGAAAGTAGCGTAGAGAGACTAATAGAGATACTAATATTGGTTGAAGAGCGTCCGTTGAGGAATGCCGTGTTCGTGGCTACGGTGTCAAGAACTCTAGCCCGTATCGATGCTCGGGTACCCATTGATGTATGGCATCGTGCACGACATGTGTAATCATCTATACAGATCGTGTCTCCTCCAAGCGTGTGACGAAGGTCCATCGCTTCATGACTACACGAACGTACATAACAATGTTTCGCTGACTCCGCCTTCGAAAGCGTCGTTCATTCCTCGATTCCTGGGAATCAAGGACCACCGTCTGTGGACAGGCAGAACGGGTTCGCGAGTCATCAGGTTGTTAGACACCGTGTAGTTGTTCAATGGTCTTGTTGGTTGTCAATGGATGATGAGCTTTGGACGTCGCGAACGTCTGTACAGCCACACCGAACACACATCGATACCGTCACCATTGTGCGGGTCTACTGCAGGTACCGATTGTGGTGGGGTGAGACCCATTGCCACCAAGAAGCTGGAGCTGACGAAGGCAAATAAGAGGTCGAGGTGTGGACAGTAGGTAGATGTGTATTTTACGTTCGTTCCGATGCATTTAGATTGGAGAAGGCCTTGTTGCCGTCAGGGCAACAGGACGGGGTCTCTCGTGCAACATTGGAAGCTTCCCACGATACTAAGATACATATCTGCAGCTAAAGCAGTGCCGCAAGTGTTTCAGGCTCTAGCAACGCCCAAACTGGGTGTTTTGCCTCTCGAAGCCACTAGTCGCAACTTTCCCCTCCAGAACCGTTGAGGTTGAGAAACTGTGCTGATCAGCGTCCGGATTCCACGGAGTGTTTGCGCCCCGGGACCGCGACACGGCTTGGAATCTTCGAAAGGTGCGGTCGAGCCCGAAGCAGAGTTTCTCGGTTACTTGCTGCTGTAGTCGTGAGGTCAACGAATGTCTGTGGCAATGGACGTTGCCATTCACAGGCCTGGTGTGAGGTCAGAAGCTTGCAGTTCTGCAGCACTGAGCTCTCTGCACCCAAGAATAGCCGCCGTTTGCCACCTGGTAAACGTGCAGTCTGCGGAGACTGTGCTGAATGCGAGCTGGTTCTGTGCAGATCGTAGATAACCGGTACTGTCAAACGAGCTCGTCTTGCGCGCAAAAACGCCAATAGCACGCGTGGTATGGGGCGGAGCACACCAGGTTCACGGCCTTCGGTCTGGCGCTGATTAACAAGCAGTCTCCAAAGGGCTGTCTGCCACCGTAGCGCGAAGGGCGAAATGATATGACAGGGAGCGACGGCGACTGGATGATGCGGTTTGGGACATGGTTGAAGGTCCACCAGCGTGCCGTGGTTGGTGGATCGGCTGATCCTATTGCAGGGAAGACGATTCGGTCGTCAAGCCCCTTCCCCCTACTCATCAATATTTTCGCCGGCTCTGCCATTCGTTAGCCTGCCCTTGATACTATCGACTCTCCCCGTCGTCTTTCTCATTCCTGACACCACCCTCACACCTCACCCATCTCCTCCCATACCATCACCGACACTCGTTTGGAGGGAGAAAGGCTGCGGGCTGTCTGTTGTTCGGGAGTGCGTGCGCTTGTGTGTGTGTCCCGCTCCGCCAATCAGGTGGCGTCGCCCTAGACGCTCTTGCGCGTCCATTATTACCCCCGGCAACGCTTCGAGAAACCGCCTCCTTCGAAACACCTGCAACCGCATCGCACCGTGGTGCAGCAACAACAACATCGCGTGTGTGTGCTTCTCTCCAGCGTCGCATCAGCAGGAGCAGACACGCTCTTGCTTGCACCCCCGCGCGCTGCTTACCGCTGTCGCCGACCTTCGACCTTCGCTTTTGACGCCACAACAACACCACGCAGTACCACCCCTTTGCCGTCCGGCAGACTCATTCACCACTGCGACTGTCGCTCGAATCTGGCACGTTCAGAACACATGGTTCACCTCTAAGCACAGTGTACGTCTTCACCTGGGTCTCATCGCTGCGGCCGCCGTCGCAGATTCGCCCCTTTCCCGCTACTTGGCTACTTCATCGACTTCGATGCTGACATCCATTGTGCACCAACAGTAATCTCTAATTCCACAACACCGCCATCATGGCTCACCCTCACCAGGGCTACGATGATGGCTACGGCCAGCAGCAGAACGATGGCTACTACCAAGACGACCAAGGATACTATGACCAGCAGGGCTACGGCCACGAAGGCTATTACGACGACAATGGCTACTACCAAGGCCAAGAAGGCTACAACGACGGCTACTACGATGCTGGCCAGCAAGGGTATCAAGATGAGTACTACAATGATCAGTACTACGACCAGGGCGCCCAGGGCCAGGGCTACGCACAGGGCCAAGGTCAGCCGCGACGAGGCCGTCGCGGTCACGATTCTGAGGAAGACTCTGAGACTTTCAGTGACTTCACGATGAGGTCCGACATGGCCAGAGCTGCCGAGATGGACTACTACGGCCGTGGCGATGAGCGCTACAACTCCTACGGTGAGGGCCAAGGCCGTGGCTACAGACCTCCTTCATCACAAGTCTCTTACGGCGGCAACCGCTCGTCGGGAGCCTCCACTCCGGTCTACGGTATGGACTACACAAGCGCGCTCCCGGCTGGCCAGCGATCGCGCGAGCCATACCCTGCCTGGACTTCCGATGCTCAGATTCCATTGTCAAAGGAAGAAGTTGAGGACATCTTCTTGGACCTCACAGCCAAGTTCGGCTTCCAACGTGACAGCATGCGCAACATGTTTGACCACCTGATGACTCTGCTCGACTCTCGCGCATCCCGTATGTCGCCAAACCAGGCCCTTCTCTCGTTGCACGCCGACTACATCGGGGGCGAGAACGCAAATTACCGGAGGTGGTATTTCGCCGCTCATCTCGACTTGGACGACGCCGTCGGCTTTGCCAACATGAAGCTCGGAAAAGCCAACCGCGCCACCCGCAAGGCTCGCAAGGCGGCGAAGAAGAAGGCTGGTGCCGAGCCACAGAATGAAGAGGCAACTCTGGAGAGCCTCGAGGGCGACAACAGCCTGGAGGCAGCTGAGTACCGCTGGAAGACACGTATGAACCGCATGTCTCAGCACGACCGGGTCCGCCAGCTGGCTCTGTACCTGCTCATTTGGGGCGAGGCTAATCAAGTCCGCTTCATGTCCGAAATCATCTGCTTCATCTTCAAATGCGCAGACGACTTCTTGAACTCTCCGGCCGCTCAGGCCCGCGTTGAGCCAGTCGAAGAGTTCACTTTCTTGAACAACTGCATCACCCCGCTTTACAACTACTGTAGAGACCAAGGATACGAGATCTACGACGGCAAATACGTCAGGAAAGAGCGCGACCACCAGAAGATCATTGGTTACGACGACATGAACCAGCTCTTCTGGTACCCAGAGGGTATTGAGCGCCTGGTCTTCGAAGACAAGACTCGCTTGGTCGATTTCCCACCAGCAGAGAGGTACGAGAAGCTCAAGGACGTCCTTTGGAAGAAGGCCTTCTTCAAGACGTACAAGGAGACACGCTCGTGGTTCCACCTGCTAGTGAACTTCAACCGTATCTGGGTCATCCACGTCGTCGTCTACTGGTTCTACACCGCACACAACTCTCCCACGCTCTACGTCAAGGACTACCAGCAACAGCGCAACAACCAGCCTCCGGTATCTCAGCAGTGGTCAGTTGTTGGCTTTGGCGGCACTCTCGCCTGCCTCATCCAAATTCTCGCAACCCTGGCGGAATGGTTGTACGTACCTCGTCGCTGGGCTGGTGCACAGCATTTGACAAAGCGGCTCCTCCTCCTTCTCGCCATGTTCGCTGTCAACCTCGCTCCTGGTGTTCTTGTCTTCGGCGGCATCTTCGACCCCCACGAAAAGATTGCGCTCGTCTTGGGTGTGGTCCAATTCCTGCTGGCCCTGGCTTCCTTCTTGTTTTTCGCCATCATGCCTCTCGGCGGCCTCTTCGGAAGCTACCTCAACGGCAAGCGACGACAGTATGTTGCCAGTCAGACGTTCACTGCAAGCTACCCACGACTGAAGGGCAACGACATGTGGATGTCGTACGGTCTCTGGGCTTTGGTCTTCGCCGCCAAAATGTCTGAGTCGTACTTCTTTCTGACGCTCTCGTTGCGAGACCCCATCCGAATTCTCTCTACCATGAAGATCACGCGATGCATGGGTGACAACCTGTTCGGCGATGGAAACATGGACATCCTTTGCAAGCATCAGCCAATCGTCCTTCTCATCCTGATGTACTTCACGGATCTGGTGCTCTTCTTCCTGGACACGTACCTGTGGTACATCATTTGGAATTCGATTTTCTCGGTGGCCAGGTCCTTCTACCTTGGTGTGTCGATTTGGACTCCGTGGCGAAATATCTTTTCCCGCCTGCCCAAGCGCATCTACTCCAAGATCCTCGCTACCACGGACATGGAGATCAAGTACAAGCCCAAGGTGCTCATTTCGCAAATCTGGAACGCCATCGTCATCTCCATGTACCGTGAGCATCTTCTCGCCATCGACCATGTGCAGAAGCTGCTCTATCACCAGGTGCCATCTGAGCAAGAGGGCAAGCGTACTCTGCGTGCTCCCACTTTCTTCGTATCCCAGGAAGACCACTCCTTCAAGACCGAGTTCTTCCCAGCCCAGTCGGAAGCCGAGCGACGTATTTCCTTCTTCGCCCAGTCCTTGTCCACGCCAATTCCAGAGCCTCTGCCGGTCGACAACATGCCAACTTTCACCGTCATGATCCCTCACTACAGCGAGAAGATCCTCTTGTCTCTTCGTGAGATCATTCGTGAAGACGAGCCATACTCGCGTGTCACTATGCTGGAATACCTCAAGCAGCTTCATCCACACGAATGGGATTGCTTTGTTAAGGACACCAAGATTCTTGCGGACGAAACTTCTCAGTTCAACGGCGACTACGAGAAGAATGAGAAGGACACAGCGAAGAGCAAGATCGATGATCTGCCATTTTACTGCATCGGTTTCAAATCTGCCGCTCCTGAGTACACGCTTCGCACGCGTATTTGGGCTTCGCTTCGATCACAGACGCTCTACCGCACAATCTCTGGTTTCATGAACTACAGCCGCGCCATCAAGTTGTTGTACCGCGTTGAGAACCCTGAGGTCGTCCAGATGTTCGGCGGAAACTCTGACAAGCTTGAGCGCGAGCTCGAGCGTATGGCACGTCGCAAGTTCAAGATCTGTGTTTCGATGCAGCGCTACGCCAAGTTCTCGAAGGAGGAGCGTGAGAACGCCGAGTTCCTGCTCCGCGCATATCCCGACCTTCAGATTGCCTACTTGGACGAGGAGCCACCGGCAAACGAAGGCGAAGACCCGAGACTCTACTCCGCTCTCATCGATGGACACTCTGAGCTGATGGAGAACGGCATGCGTCGTCCCAAGTTCCGCATCATGCTTTCTGGTAACCCGATCCTCGGTGATGGCAAGTCTGACAATCAGAACCACTGTCTCATCTTCTACCGTGGCGAGTACATCCAACTCATCGATGCCAACCAGGACAACTACTTGGAAGAATGTTTGAAGATTCGCTCGGTCCTCGCTGAGTTCGAGGAGATGACCACCGACAACGTATCGCCCTACACTCCTGGCATCCCGCCCACAAACTTCAACCCAGTCGCTATCCTTGGTGCGCGCGAGTACATCTTCTCTGAGAACATCGGTATCCTTGGTGACGTTGCAGCTGGAAAGGAACAGACATTCGGCACTCTTTTCGCGCGTACACTGGCTCAGATCGGAGGCAAGCTCCACTACGGTCATCCCGATTTCCTCAACGGCATTTTCATGACCACTCGCGGGGGTGTTTCCAAAGCTCAGAAGGGTCTTCACCTGAACGAGGACATCTACGCTGGTATGAACGCTCTGCTCCGCGGCGGACGCATCAAGCACTGCGAATACTACCAGTGCGGCAAAGGTCGTGACTTGGGCTTCGGATCCATCCTCAACTTCACCACCAAGATTGGTACTGGTATGGGCGAGCAGATGCTGTCCCGCGAATACTACTATCTCGGCACACAGCTCCCGCTCGACCGTTTCCTGTCCTTCTACTACGCCCATCCTGGATTCCACATCAACAACCTGTTCATCATGTTGTCGGTGCAGCTCTTCATGTGGTGCTTGCTCAACTTGGGTGCTCTTCGTCACGAGACGATTCCTTGCCGCGTGGTCAAGGGCGCTCCGTTGACCGACCCATGGCATCCGACTGGCTGTGTGCAGACCCAACCACTGATGGGCTGGATCGAGCGTTGCATCGTCTCCATCTTCATCGTGTTCTTCATCTCTTTCGTCCCACTGACGATTCAGGAGTTGACGGAGCGTGGATTCTGGCGCGCGGCTACCCGTCTCGCGAAGCACTTCTCCTCGCTGTCTCCTCTCTTTGAGGTGTTCGTCTGCCAGATCTACGCCTACTCTCTGCAACAGGATCTGTCATTTGGCGGCGCTCGCTACATCGGTACCGGACGTGGTTTCGCCACCGCGCGTATGCCTTTCGGTGTCCTCTACTCGCGTTTCGCTGGTCCATCGATCTACCTCGGAGCCCGTTGCATGATGATGCTGCTCTTCGGCACAGTCACGGTCTGGGGCTACTGGCTACTTTGGTTCTGGGTATCACTGCTCGCTCTGTGCATCTCGCCCTTCCTCTTCAACCCGCACCAGTTTGCTTGGGCCGACTTCTTCATCGATTACCGCGAGTTCCTCCGCTGGCTGTCTAGAGGCAACACGAAGGCGCATTCAGCATCCTGGATCGGCTTCGTCCGCTTGTCCCGAACCCGCCTTACTGGTTTCAAGCGCAAGGCGCTCGGCGAACCGTCTTCCAAGCTGTCCGGCGACACACCGCGAGCCAAGTTCACCAATTTGTTCTTTAGTGAGGTGGTTGGCCCGCTTGTCTTCGTGGCCGTGACAGTCATCCCGTACCTCTTCATCAACGCACAGACGGGAGTCACGTCGCAGAAGAACCCGAACGCTCTCGACGGTCAACTCCACGCAACGAACTCACTCCTCCGTCTCGCCATTGTTGCTTTTGCGCCGATTGGCATCAACGCCGGTGTGTCCATCGGCTTCTTCGCAATGGCATGTTGCATGGGTCCAGTCCTCAGTATTTGCTGCAAGAAGTTCGGTGCTGTTCTGGCTGCCATCGCGCACGGCATCGCGGTCATCGCGCTACTTATCCTCTTCGAGGGCATGTACGTGCTCGAAGGATTCAGCTTCCCCAAGGCTCTTCTGGGTATGATCGCGACCATGGCCATCCAGCGCTTCGTCCTGAAGCTCATCATCTCGCTGGCCTTGACTCGAGAGTTCCGCGCCGATACTTCCAACATAGCATGGTGGACCGGCAAGTGGTACGCTATGGGATGGCACTCCGTCTCTCAACCCGGCCGTGAATTCCTGTGCAAGATCACCGAGCTGAGTCTGTTCGCTGGTGACTTCATCCTCGGTCACATCCTGCTCTTCCTTCTGGCACCGGCGTTGCTTGTCCCGTACATTGACAAGTTCCACTCGGTCATGCTCTTCTGGCTGCGTCCAAGGTATGTCTTCTCTTCTCCTCCATCCATGACTGGCATTTTGTTAACCCCGTCCGCAGTCGCCAAATCCGTCCTCCAATCTACTCGCTCAAGCAGTCTAAGCTGCGCAAGCGCCGTGTCGTCCGCTACGCCATCCTCTACTTCTCGATGTTCTTCCTGTTCATCATCCTCATCGTCGGCCCTGGCGTTGCTGGCAAGTACGGAGGTGACCTCACCGACACGCTGTGGGGCACTCTCGGCGGCGAGAGCATCATGTACCTGATGCAACCCTCCGGCCTCAACCACAACGACACCACCAACAAAGCTACGGGTACGGCGCAGGCGGGTGGAGGTGGTGGTCCCTCGTCTTCATCGTCTTCAGGAGGATTTGCAGCAACGCCCGCGGCCGGCGCCAAGCGAGCGGTGTTTGCGTACGACATGTACGTCTAAGCCTCGGCGACATTGCTCGAGCCTGCCACTGCGAGCCACTCGGTCTGGAAAGGCCACGACATCTTCGGGACGAGCATCTGTACCAACAGCAATACAACAAACCACATCGACGAAGCCCGACCTGGGCGCGACTTAATGAAGCAAGGCTGTAATTTCATTCCTTCGAATCGACCAACAAAGCATTCTGCATCTTCCATGGCGTTTTTCACTCTTCCGAATGATGGAGACATGAAGGGCCCTGTTCATGCGGAGAGCAGAGGCAGAGGCGGAGGGTGGTATGGATGATGTGTGCAGTACATACTTTGGTGGCAGGGAATTGTTTTTGTCACTCTACTACCATCGGCGTTCGTTTTTGGGTGGGAGCTGAGGCACTGGTCATGGAGGAATAGAATTGTGGTATATAGGTGGACTACTGAGTAGTGCAAATGCTTGTTTCAGTTCAGATTTTACTTCCAATGTCACTTAATCTCCCCAACACGCTGATGGGGCGGCTGACGTGAACTTTCGGCTTCTCTTCGCTGAAGGGCTTCAGACAATCACAGTGCAACGTGACCACGAACTCGAACTACGTAGATTTGGAGCAGTACGGCGGGACGAAACACCATTGTGCAATTATTCTGATATTGGCCCAACTACAATGTTGTCGTCCCGGGACCTACCTCAGCGGACGAGGCAAGCAAGCAAGCTTCTCCATCTACCTGATACTCATGCTCGCCAAATAGCAAAGCGTCCGCAGCCACTATAGCCGTCAAATCCGGACTACCACCTTCAACGCCATCATCGAACGTAAGCACACGGCCGGCCATCCTACTGACCCGGCCCTGTCCCCGGTGCATGCGAAGGGTATCCAGGCTCCTCGTCCCGCATAATAGTCGCCGTCAGCTCCGCACGCAACCGCGCGTCCATGTCCGCCTCCTCCTCCTTCTCGACGTCTCTTGGCGCGGGATCGAGAATCATGGCGTGCGACTCGTGCCACTGGCTGTTCATGCCGTGCATGATGGCCGGGTCGACGGGGACGGAGTAGTGCTCGAAACGCTGCATTTGCGCCACTGGAGCGGAGTGTTGCTGCTGCTGCTGCTGCTGCTCGTCCACGACCATGTCGGGATCAGCGCCAGCGACGACCTGCAGATGCTGCACGCCGTTCGCCACAACTGAGCCTGAGCCACGACGAGGACGACTGGAGCCCGCGTCTCCGTTCTTAGCGGGCGTGCGGCGCTCTCTGTTCGTCGGATCGCGTGGTTTGGGCGTCGGGTCTTTGCACTCGGAGCAATTGCGGATAGCGGCGCTAACGGTTTCCTTGATGCGAACCCAGTGGTATTTCTCCGAGATGCTGGCGGTGGTTTTGTTGATGCCTGCGTGCGTGTAGCCGTGGAAGGTGCGGGCGATCTCGTACTGTTTGTGAGGGTCTGAGACGACTTCCTTGCCCTTGAGCATGAGCTTGTCTTCGTCAAGATCGTCTTCGGCGGGGATGAGGCGGTAGTGAGTCGCGGCGGAGCGGAGGCGAGATTTCTCTGCACGGTCGGAACCGTTGGGGTAGGTGCCGGTTTTGAGGTAGAAGCGGATCTTGTCGAAGCGCTCTTCGGTGATGTAGTCTTCGCTGTCGCCGCCGAGCTCGCGTCCGAATATGATGGCGTCGATGTATTGCTCCGGGTATGATTTCAGGTTGCCGCATCCCTTCACACGTCCTATCCTCTTGAAGCCGAGGGCATCCCAAATGCGTAGCGAGGCGACGTTGGTCTCGTAGACAAGGTTGAACACACTGTACGAGTAACCCAGCTTCGGCGCCCAGTCCAAGTAGCACTCTCCCATGAGTCTACCAACCCCACGATTGCGCGAAGCGTCCGTGACCAGAAACCCACCGTTGCACACATGGCTGCTGCGGCCAGGATAGTTCGGCTTGACGTAAAAGCTGCCCAAGCACTGCTTCGTCCAGTCCGTACCCTGCGCTTCCATTGTTAAGACATCCTCGGTGTTGTCCAGCTCACCCAAAACCATGATTGCGCCGAAGTTCGCGAACCAGTACGGGCCGAAGGAGGAGAGTGGCATGGGGTCCATCATGGGATAGGTGTCGCCCTTTTCGATCTCGCGGTTGAGCAGTTCGCAGAGGTAGGCGGTGAGCTTGGCCGGGACTTGCATGGGGGAGGAGAAGGGGAGGAGGGTGGCTATCGTCGTGCGGTCTCGGAGGGTGACTTGTCGCGGCGTGATCTCTGGCGGGAGAGGGCCGTACGGTTCGGGGTATGGCGAGGGACCTGACACGCGGTAAACGGCGGGCGCCGTTGGGTCGTCGAGCATGGCCGGCATGCCGGGCAACGGTGAGCCTCGCGGGCTGCTTCTCTCTTCAACTGGCCTGTCTATATCTCTGTCAGTCCGTCAACACTAAAGTGCCGTATCATGGCATGAGCAAGCGGTGAAATTCGCCAAAACGCCCGACGCTGCTGCTGTCGGCGTCCATGCTTGACGGCGTAGGTACAGCGAGGGCAGTGGCGCCACTTTCTGCTGTCACCGAGATATAAAGAGAGAGAGACGTACCTTGCAAGATGCGGTCGGTGATCTGTCTGGCCTGTTCTGAATAGTTCGGTTGTGTTTTGCAGCATGAAGTGGTTATTGAGATCACGCTAGTCTCAGAAGAGCTGCTTGAATCACGTGCCCTAAATTCACTAGGCCGGAGCATTCACTCGAACGAGGACAGTCACATGTGAAACCTCGGTCTGAGATACTTGAACAACATTCAGAATGGACTCTCAGCCGTCATAAGCTACAAAATAGACAACAAATCCCCCTCATCCTCAAAACGAACTCTCGACCCATCCAATCGACACAAAGACACCCCCCATCAGTCCACCCCACTACTAGCATTAACATCACTCTCCCTCCTCGGACTCCCCGCCACGCTACTCGCCTCCGCCATACTCCCCTGCCGCACCCTCTCATGCTCCAACATCAACCTCAACTCCTCATTCTCCTGCCTCCCCTCCTCCAACCTCTGCCTCGCACCCCTCCGATCCAACAACCTCGCCTCCCGCTCCGCTTTCAGCCGCCGCTCGAGCTCCTTCAACCGGTGCACCCACCGCTGCTCACTAGGCTGGATCGGTGGGGTCGACAGGACGATGGGCTGTTGTTGGCGTTGTTGCTGCTGCGCGGGTTCTTCTTGCGTAGCTTGCAGTTGCTCGACGGCGGAGGTGGAGTGATGGCGCAGGAGTTGCGACATGTAGCGTGCCGGGCTGCTGGCGGATTTGATGCTCGCGCTCGAGGCGCTGATGGATTGACGGCGGTTGTTGTCCGGATTCATCTGTTGTTGCTGGTTGATCATTTGCTGGGCGATGGCGGAGGGGTGTTGACGGTGGAATTTCAGCTCGGCTTTGAGGTTCTTCACTTCCGTCTTAAGTTTGGAAATCTCCTCGCTGCCTTTCATGGGCTTGCTGCTGCCGGCGCGACTAAGCTGAGGACGCTGGGCGGCTTCCTCTGCGATCGACTTTTGCGCATCTCGCACTGCGTTCTCCAGGTTGTCCATACGTCGGATGCGCATGTCGAGATTGTGCTCAAGAGTCTGGTAGTCCTTCCACAGGTCTTTCTCGATACTTCGGATCCGCATTTTGAAGCTACCGATCAGCGACTCTACAGTCTTCACGGCTGAAATCAGGTTCTTGTTGAAGGTAGGCAGACGTCGATTGATGACATCGACAGACGGCAGCTCGCCATCCACCAGACTATGGTGCTGAGCCCAGTCGTTGCCGCAAAGTGTCGACAGCCGATTCCACAGAGCGAGCAGCAGATTGTTCCGCTCGGAAAGCTGGTCACGGTACTGCTCCTCCAGATTGGCCATCCTCCGCTTGTCCTGCGTAAAGTTCTGCTCGAGTTCCAGCATGCGCGATTCTTGCTGTGCAATCGTCCGCATATGCGTCGCCTGACCGCGAGAAGCCTTCTCGAACTGATCAAGATCGTGCCTACGGGCTGCACGTTCCTTGTCGAGCAGGTCAGACAGTCTCCGACTTTCCAGGCTAGTGCTCTCAAGCAGCCCATCGCGATGACGGAGCAGGCGGTCCTTATCAGCCATATCCATCTTCGCCCTGTCCAGGCTGTTGGCAGTCGTCTCGAGATCACGCTGCAGCTTCTCGATGTCGGACAGTAAGCTCTGCTTGGTCCCGTCTGGATCACCAATGACGCTCCGCAAGTTCTGCTCCAATTCCTCGAGCCGTTGCTTCCAGGTACTCGCTTCCACCTCCTTGGCGGACAGCGCACGCCTAAGCTTACGAACTTCGTCCTTGGTCTTCTGGCTCTCATTGTTGAGGTCGTCAAGAACCTTCTGCACCTCCTCTTTGGACTTGTTCTCAAGTACATCTCGCTGCTGCCGCTCATCACTGATAGCATCCTCCATCTCCTGCAGCTTCTCCTGCTCATCTTGGATGGTCTGCTGCGCAGCGTTGAGCGCATCCTCCAATTCGCCGATTTTGATCTTATCACCCTCCTGCTCGTCGCGGAGGAACGTGATCTCGGAATGCAAGCTCTCCTGCGTGATCTCGAGCTTGCGGTTCTTCTGGTCAAGCTCTTTGCACTTCTGCTCGTACTTCTGCAACTCGTCCTCGCACTCAGAGAGTTGCTGTTCCAGAGTCTGGATCGTACGCATATTCGCTTGCTTCTCATCCTCAAGATTCATGACGCTTTGGGTGATCTCTCGGAGCTCGCCTTGCAAGCCCTTGTAGCCGTCAGTAGCATGCTCAAGCTTGTTCTGCAAACGTTGCTGCTTCTTGTGTGAATCTTCGAGCTGATGCTGCAAATTCTCGATCTCCTTCTCAAGCTTGTCGATCTCAGCGAGCGCCTCCTGTTCGAGCTTCTCAAGCTCCGCCTCCTTCTCCTCGAAAGCACGCAGAGCCTCGTCACGCTCGATCTGCAGCGCTTTTGAGTCTTCGAATGACTCATTGAGCTCGTTCTCCATCTGCTGGAAGTCGCCTTCAAGCACCGACACATACTGCAGATGCGTGTTGTGCGTGCGCTCCAACTCCTGAAACTTGAGCCTGAGCTCAGCGTTCTGATCTCGCAGCTGGCCCTCCTTCTTGTCCCAATCTTCGCGCTCCGTCTCTGTGACTTGAGTTGCCGCATCGCTGGCCCTCGAAGGAGCGCGCTGGTGCGCACGCGAAATGGACCGATCAAAGATGCTGTCTCCCGCAATTGATCTGGCACCGTCGCTCTTTCGCTGCAGAAGTTTGAGGTCTTCAATTTCCTGCTGCAGACGTTCTCTCTCGCGGTTCCGGGAGGTGAGCATGCTGGTCTGCGCTCCAAGATCTCTTCTGAGCTCTGCGTTCTCGTGCTTGAGCTGCTCGACGAATACGGTGGATGACTCGATAGAACCGCCATTCAGTCCATTCGTATATTCTGAGTCTCCCGCGTTGCTTTCATCGTAGCCCATCCTACTTCTGCTCTTCGCCATTCTTGCTGGCGCTGGAGAAGCACGCTCGATGCGCAATGAGGTCACTTCTTCTCGCAGCTTGCGGATGTCTTCCTCAGCTTGCTCGCGGCGGCCAGTCTCAGCATTCAGTAGATCCTGCCACATATCCATAGTCTCCTTCATGCCGGCGGTATCTTCGCCACGAGAGCCAGCCATGCTGCGCATATGCTCCGCCATCTTGCGCTTCTCCAGCTCCTTCGTCATGACATCTTCAGTAAGCGTGGTGACCTTGTTCTCAGAGTGATCGAGCTGCTGCCGGAGATACAAAATCTCTTCGTGCATCTCAGCCTGGAGCGTAGGATCATCATCGTCGTCCTCGTCTTGACGCTCCTTCTGCTGCTCCTGCTGCGCTTGAGCCTGCGCGAGAGCCTCTTCCTGCTCCTGGACTCTGCGCTCCAGCTCACGCATCTTGCGCCGCATGGTCTGCGATTCCTTCCGTTCATTTGCCAGATCAGTCTGGAACTGCACGTTCTGATTGATGAGGTCCTTGACGCCATCCTCTGAGCGACTCTGCAAGGCTTGATCAAGAAAGTGAATTTTCAACTTCAGGTCAAAGTTCTCCTTCGTCAGCTTGTCAATCTTGCTGTTCTGCTCCTTCAGCGTCAACGTTCTACGAGGCACGCCTTGGAACGTTGTCGCTTGTGTCCCGGAAGATGAAGGCCGCTGCTTGTTGGGAGAGAGCGACCGGTTCCTAGCCCGGAAGTCTCTCGCAATCGTTTCAGGGACCTGTATGCTCTGGACATGCTGCGCGATTACCGTGTCCGTAGGAGCTTGTGCATGATCAGCTCTCACTATGGGCGTCTCCGGCTCTTGGTTCTCGTCGTTATCGGATCTGCCTCGACGCATGCCAGTCAAGATGGAGTTGCTGAAGCCGCGACTCAGACCACGACTGAGTCCTGGTGCAGTGTCCGCCTCCGTCTCTGGATACGCGCTGGCGAAGCTGGGCAGACGAGCCAGTTGATCCAGTCGCATGCTACCGCCTCCTAGGTTGCTGTTTCGCGACATAGAACCACCAGTCTGTAGCGCAAAGTCCGCATTGTCGCTGGCCTCGCTGAGAGAGAATTCAGAGTCCATGGTGGTCGCAGAAGCTGCAGAATGATGGCTCGCCTGCCGTTGGAAGGCAGATCTCGAACTGAACCTCGAAGGCACGGAAGCACCGTTAATCTGCGTATCGCTCCTCGTGCTGCTCCTCGTACTGTTCCCAGCATTCGGCGGCTGCATAGGCGATGATCCAGGACGTATTGTCGATCCCTTCGACGTCGGCCTTTGAGTGGAAGGAGTAGTAGGCCGAGAGCTTGATTCTATTGATATCCTCCTCGCATGGCCGGACATGATCCTCTGCACGCTAGCGGTAGACACATTGCGCGTATGGCCACGTTGCGCTGCCGCAGCTGCCGGAGAGATCGACTTATCCTCTCCATCTCCCGCATGAGAACTCTCGTCCTGATTCTCATAGTCCTCCTCGTCATCCTCGTCCCCACTGCCCTCCCCATGCGTAGACTTGGTCGTCCACTCCTCATGCTGCTCGGGCCGATGCAGATGATGCGACCGCGACCTCCTCCCCGAAAACGTCTCAAACATCTCGTCCGGCGGCGGCGTATGCCCGGGCTTCCCCAGCTCCAGATACGTGTCGTCGACGCCCAAGCGACCCTCCTGTTGCTGTCCATGCACAGGCAGCGCGTCCGGCACGAAGCTCGACTCCACGTCCATGAAATGCCGTCGCATCTCGTGCTCGTCCATGTCCTCCTCGCGCTCCTCGCCGTACCGCTGTGTGAAGCTCGGGTCGCCGTTCAGGAAGCTGTAGTCGCCCACAGGCAGATCGGGGAGGTCGCTGTCCGCGCGCGAGAACTCCCATTGCGCGCCATCTTCATTCTGCACTCTTTGGCTGTATGACGAAGCCATGCTGTTACCTTCGTCCACGCTTGCTCCTCTCCCACCTTTACGGAGCTTTTTGGGTTTCCGGCGGGGCGAGTTTGTTGCGCCCTCGGCCGCGGCGTTGCTGCTCATTGTGTCGCCTTGTTGTCGTCACATGAAGCAAGGTACGACATTCACGTGTGGCGCATTCGCTTGTCGACTTTCTCGATGTCCGTGCGCCTTGTCAACGGTCGTCCGGTGCGTTGGCGATCGCAGCAAATGAAGGCCGTTAAGGAGGTCTTCCGAAGAGGTGCAGTAACTAGGTTCGAAGGACAAGCAGGGGTCGCGTAAGGTTCGCGTTGGGGTTGGCGGGGGACAGCAGAGGGGTGACTCCTGAACACCAGACAACAACGGCACATGTAACCTTTCAGACAATCAGTCAGGCCAGGCTGATAGAGTACATTGGAACCATCACTGCTCAAACTCATTGCGGTTGTATGTGCAACTAAGGCTACACAGATGGCATACATCGCGTCGAACAATCCCAATCATTAGCTCCTCGCTCCCCAAAACATGATCCAAATAGCTCAAGCTTTCGCTACAATTCGAGAACACAAAAGACCGTAGCACAAACCGCTCCAGCAAACATCCACCGACCATCACACACCAGAGTACAACGAGTCCGACAACCAGTCCTCCCTCACCCTCTCCGCCCTCGGCTTTGATCGCTGGCTCCAGGACCTGACAAGTTCGCCTCCCTTCGCCATGAGATGGCGCAGCTTCTCGCCGAACCGCTTGATACGGAATTCGGTCTTGCCCATGCCGACCCCATCATAGGTGTTGGCGGAACTGGACGCACCAATGCGCTCTGTGACAATCTCTCCGGGGTCGTAAGCGGTGTTGGCAACATCAATGGAGTGGCGGCCGGAGTCGATGCGGACAGTCTTGCCTTTGCTCTTGTTAAGTTTCGTCAGACGCTTACGGAAGGAGGCGTTCTGGTCCTTGTCCGAGCTGTCGTCGGAGAAGAAGGAACGGACCTCATCGAGGTTAAAGACCGCTGGCGGCGTCAGGCTGCTTGTCGGGTAGCGCTCGCCGGGGCGATGGGCTTGACTGCTGCGGCTCCTGGCAAACTCGGCACGCGTTGGTGAAGTAATGGTGCGTGTGGTGTTACCATCACTATGACTGCCGAGCCCCATCTTCTTGGTGATGGAGCCAATGATGGAACGCTTGGACTGCTTGCGGAAATGCTGAGTGATGCTCACGCCGGTGAGCTGTTCTTCTGTAAGTGTGGTGGTAGGGTTGTGCTCAAAGATCGAGCCAATGTCAATGCCCCTGGTGGTGTTGGTAGGCTCGCCAGTGCTGGTTAGTTCGAGCGACTTGGTACCGCGCTCGCGCTGCACCTCAGCAGCGATGGAGTTGCGGGTATGAGCCTGCGAAGGGACGGTGAGATCCATGTCGATCTTGGTACCATTCCAAGGATAGTTCTCATCTTGGTTCCACGGCCTGGTGCTGGCTGTAGACATGACCATGGCACGCTTTCCATTGCGGATGATGGGGTTACCCTCTGGCGGGAGCAGCGTGCGTACTTCATCCTCAGTCATGGGTGGCTTGTCACGCACGAGAGCAGATGCTGGCCGAGGGATGTCCTTGCCCAGCTGTGTCGGCGCGGAAATCGATCCGGACAGGTAGGGAGACTGCTTGCCATCTGTGGCAAGCACAGCAGAAATCTTGTCGACCGACACGGATCCTGGCAGTGGTGGCAGGTCCTTGTTGTTGCCCAGCAGCTTCGTCATCGGGACCGTCGAGTCGTGCGTTCCATTCTTGACAATCTCTTCAGCGCGCTCAGCCAGCGTACGAAAGCCAGCAGAGGTACGGTTCGAAAGCACAGTCTCCGGGCGTAGACCAAGCGGGTTGGAGCCGGCACCCTCTCCTTCAAAGTTGGCCAGGATGCTGTCCAGTTGTAGCTCCCTCAGGTTCGGCAAGATTTCCGACAGACGGTCAGAGAGGGCCGACACCGAAGGGATCGAAAGCCTGTTGACCTGCGAGGCGACGCTGATGAAGTCCTCTGGCGACAGTGGGCGCGAGTTGCTCTCGGCCAGGTCGACCTCTGTGCTTGGCTGCACTTCCACGGCAGGTATGCCTTCCTCAGCGGCAACGTCAATCTCGTCGTCGACTTCAGGCTCATCGTCCGTGTCAGGGTCGACGAAAAACGAAGAGAAGTCTTCTGGCTTGGAGAAGAAGCTCGTGTAGCGCTCCCTGAGTGGTTCTGTGCTCTGCGGGCGCTGTGGCGAGGGGCAGTAAATGGTGGAGACCTCGCGGCGGCGTACTACCTCGGAAGACTTGCTCGGGCGGATCTCCAGTGCCTCGTTGAGCTTGTCGATGAGATCCATGCGGCTGAAGTTGAGAGAAGGTAGGTCCCGGATCTCAGCCAGCGGCCGACCCGGATGGCGAAGAGCACGACGAGCCTTCGCCTTCTCCGCAGACTCCTGCATGCGGCGTTCTTGCATGGCCTTGACGGCAGCGATGCGAGCTGGAAGGGGGAACTGAAAGCCACCGGTGAGGTCGCTCACACGCTTGTCAGAGATGCTCATCTCCTCAACAGACTCCTCCTTGAGCCCGGGAAGGTGGGTACTGCCGAAACGTTTGTTCACCCCATTGATACCCGAGAAACGCAAGTCTGTTGTGCTGCTGCGATTGGTGTGAGCAGACTCCGCAGTTTCCTGCATCGGTGACGGCCGACGAATGATAGATTTGGTCTTGTTGACTTTTCCATCAATGGATTTCTGGTTGGGATGATGCTGCTCTGGTCTCTTGTTGATCTTCAATGGAGCAACTTCATCCGCAAAGGCGACTGAGTTGTGTTTCGCTTTTGGCTGAAGCGCTCGCTCGGATGGCTTTGGCTCCGTCAGCTCTCGGACGGGCGAGCTGCTGGGCGGTATCTCTATGATCTGCGGTTTGTGGACAGTAATGGTGGTCTGAGGCAAGGAAAAGCGGACCGCGACGTCGGTGACCATCTCGGAGTTGCTGTTCATCGTTTTGTCACCAACAGTACTGAGGTCTGGCGGCAAAGAGAGGCGGTTGCTGCTGGGAGTGTCGGTCATGGTCGTGGCGGGCTGCAGCTGGACGGACTTGGAGTATGTCTTGGGCGTCTTTGGGGTAGGCGGAGGCTGCGAGTCATCGAAGCCGGTCGACGATGTCGTCTGCTCATTCGTAGAAGTCTCATCTTGGCCTGACTCGGAGGCCAGTCGCAAGGTCTCATCAATGCCAAGGGTCTGCGTGTGCAGAGGGCTGACGGCAGAGTAGCGACTGACCTCCTGGCCAGCGAGGATGGGGCTGACGGGGTTGTTGGTCTCCGTGTCTGAACGCTGGGACTCACGATTCGCCTCAGCATGATGCGGCGTGGTCTTCTCCATTCTCTCCTTGCTCTGTTGATGCTGGAGGGTGATGGTGTCCGCATCAAGGGCGAAAGGATCCTCAGTACGTGTGTCCTCAGAAGTCGTCGTGTTATCGAAGCCAAGTGCGTGACCTGCTGCTGAGAACCCGAGCGCCGGTGATGAGCCGGCTTCAGATGCTGCCTTCGCCTGATCTGCATGCTTGTTGTTCGAAGCTGCCGCCGGTGTTGACGGTAAGTCGTCCTCGTCCAGGACGCTGCGTTGGGCGGCATTGACCTCAATTGTCACATCGTGGCTCTTGCTCGGCTTGTGGGAGACAAGCATGTCGATACTGGCACGACCAGTAACGTCGTCTTCGCTGTTCTCTGTGTTGTCAACGCTCGACCCGGCCAGCCCAGCTTTGACAAGATCCCTTGTGAGACGTCGTTTTGACTGTATCGGCGAAGCGCTGAGCTCAGCAAGCCTGATCGGCGAGCCAGGCAGCTCGACAGGAGCCTCAAACTCTTCGATGACAGTGAAGCGTGGAGTTTCGTTGGCCGCCAGCTCATGGATCTCTTCCACCTCTGCATAGAGAGCAAGGTCATCTGCATCCAGAACAACCTCGGTGGCGTGGACACCGTGTTGGCTGCTTGACTTCTCGCGTTCGGCTTCCTTCATGATCGCTGCGTCGGCTGCTGCTTTGCTCTCCAGCATAGCTCTCACACGCTGTACGAAGCCAGTGGGAGGGACCGACGGATGTACGGCCTCAACATCCTGATCATCTGCTTCCTTCTCTAGACCTTCTGTGTATCGCAGATACTGGTGAGCCAACATCGGCTGGCTTGAAGAGTCAGGTAGGTCTGCCAGTGCCGGGTCAATAAAAGCCGGGTCAACAGCCACCTGCAAAGAGTCCTGATCCCTTGGAGTGGGCGGGCTGCTTGATGAAGGTGCTGTGCCAGATGATGGCGGATCGGATGATGGCGGTCCGGTCAATGGTGTATCCGTACGCGATGGGAGGTGCCGAGCCATGCGTGCAGCGTTGTGGAACATATGATGAGCCATTGACACCATGTTGGGGCCTGCCGGAGGAGTCGGTCCGCGGTGGACTGGGTATTGAGGATGACCGTACGCTGCGTAACCTGGCCTTGGTGGGTATGGTGCCCCGGGATGTGGTGGGCGATGCGGCATTTGCTGAGGATGTCCAGGTAGTGGAGGCTGCTGTGGGTGCTGGTGGTGCGGCCAGCCATTGTTCATCGGCATCGTGAGACCCGGCGCTGACCTCATGGCAGCCTGGTTTTGGTACGGGTATTGTGGCTGCGGCGGACCGAAGCCATTGGCGGGCAGGTTCGGCATTGCTCTTGGTGGCGGCCGGACATTCAGGTATCTCGGGTCACTGTTGTAGTCGGGACCGTACTCGCTGTTGAATGTCTGAGGGGGTGGCCGAGCGGGTCGCTGACGTCTGCCCATCTGAGCTGCAGGTGGTGGACCCGGGACAACGGTATCGCTCAAGGCAGGCGACGGTGAGCGGTATCCGGGACGCTTCAGACGGGTCGGGTAGACGTATGGCGGTCGATTCTCAGGCATCACCTGCGGCGGGTAGCCAGCACGGCCATGAGCATGCCGTGGCTCGTGTCCCTGGCTCTTCAGACTTGTTGCCGAACGATGACGCGGAAGTGGTTGAGTGGGTGGAGCAGAGGTCATGGAGTACGATCGACTGTCTCTGATATCGTCCAGGGTTGGTGGCATCTGCAGTGCCGACTTTCCAAGATGTGCTGGTGGTATAGATGGTGGCATGCTTTGCATGCTGGTGAAAGACCCGCGACGCTGCTGCCCGGAGGCCAAGTCCCACTCGCGGGACGAACTGACACGCGAGGTCTGAGACGGAGCATAGTGGTGGTGAGATGACATGCCGTGGTGGTTGGCTGATCCAGAATGCCTCGGGTGGTGGCCTCTCCTCTGATGAGAAGGGCGTGGCATAGTCGGCAGGCGACCTGTGTTGAATGACAAGGCTCCGATATCTCCAGAGTCGGTCGATGTCTTTAGCATGCTGAGGATGCCGGCGCTCGAAAGCGCGTCTGTCTGTGGCATGGGGTGAGAGCGGATGGAGCGAGATGCTCCAGTGATGCCGGAGACATTGCTGGCTCTGCTGTTGCGTCCTGAGACGCTCGAGACGTTGTCGGCGAAAGGCATTGTGCCGCCTTCAGAAGCAAGTGAGTGAAACGAGTGGCGGTTCCAAGACCTGGTATCCAACTGAGAGCGGATGATAATGACAAGTGGGTGTGGAGAGAGGAGTGAGGATGGAGGAAGACAGGAGTGAAAGTGCAGTACACGTCCTCTTCGTCAACGTCAACATCAGGCTTGGTCCTGCCATGTGTCATCGACAATGGTTGGGAAGGAGATGGTGTGGTTATTGGGAAGCTCGAGGAGGAAGCGAAGTGAAGGAGTGAGGTTCTGGATCGATGTCCGTCGTGACTGCCTCGTTAGTTCTCTGCCATTTCGGCATGCCGAGTGCACACGGCAGGCACCCCGTCAGCTCCATGTTGCTCAGTGTTTATTTCATCGGGTGCTTGAGAGTCTTCAATCATCAGTAGCCGCATTCTATCAAATGCCTTTCAGTTTCGGGACCGTTGTATGTCGCTACGTCGCTCTAGGGTATAGAAACAATTTCTCCTCTTCGCCAAGTACCGGATGCTACTTCACCCAACCTCCCAGTCGTCGTCAGACCTACCATCCAAAATATGCCGAACTTAACAAACGTGCTGTGATCTTGACGAGCATTTACTGAGGCGCTGGGGCCGGCTGCCCTGCACTCTGCGTCTGCGTTGGAGCCTCACCGGTCTGGCCCTCCACGCCAGTCGGGTTGCCTTCACCAGTATGAGACTCGGTGGCCGGGATCGTGTTCTTCTCGCTCTTCTTTGCCCACGCCGGTGGCTTGGCCCAGGCCGGATCACGCCCTGTTCAGTGTACATCAGCATTGCTTCTGGCTGTCACCATCCAATTCTCAACTTACATGGCCCATTGTCGCTGAGCTGGCATCCACCTGGACATTCACACTTCCCACCATACTCCTTCGGCAGGTTCTCCGCCGGCACCTGCTCCAGCAATTCCTTCTGGTAACCCGCACCCAGCACATGAATCTTCGCAACCGTAACCGGATCCAAGAACTTCTTGACGACCGAGAAGACTCCGCTGAAGCCCCATGGTGCATTGATAACGTAGAGCTTGCCCAATCGCTCAGGGTAGTAGTTCTGGCTGATGGCGGAAGCCCTTTGCACGTATCCGTACACGTCTTTCGCCTTCCAGAGCCCTACACCCTTCAAGTCCATGATCGTGCAGCAAGTCTCGAGCAGCTGACCGGCTTTGCGACTGCAGGCCGGGAGACGCGGGTCGACCATCTTCTCGTACTCGCAGACCAGATTCTCCAGCATTCGCTCGTCGGTGGTGATCTTGCGCATGGCCTCGAGATCGACCTTGCCGAGTCCCTCGATATAGACCGGTCGGCCTTCCTTGTCCGTCTTGTGGTAGTATTGCGGGTAGTACTGCATCATCTGCTCCTTCTCCTTGTACTCGAAGGTGCGCACCAGGTTGTCCACACCGCCGCCGAACTCTGAGCGCCATTTCTCGCAGTCAACGAACCTACAACACGTATCAGTGACTTGTTCCACAAGATATGATCTCCAATCCTCACATCTGCTTCGCCAGCTCCACGTTGAACTTCCTCGCCCGCAAGAAACGAAGCATGCTCAGGGTGTCCAGTCGGTCATGATAGCCAGCTTGCTCCAGCGTCATCCGCAGCTGGTGGACGGCGGCATCTTGCTCCTTTGTGGTGTGGCCTGGGTGACCCGACTTCGACTCGGGGGCCGTGGTTGGGAAGTCGTAGTGGTCGTATTTGGGATCGAGCTCCATCTGCGGGTTTGAAGCCATGATTGACGGTCGTTGATGTGTTGGTTGAGGAAGGGCTTGAGTAAAGAATGGATGTGAATCCTCTGGAAGTTGTGTTGTTCTTACGGTTTGAACGGTTTGGTTTGGTTTGGAGTAGGACGTAGGTAGGAGTCAACACGAGGATATCGGGTGGAGGGTGAGGTGGTGGTGGGGAATGTTTTGAGGGTCAAGGTCCTCCAAATTTACAAGTACCTTGGTAGGTGGCTTAGGTTGCTCTCAGCAAATGACGCATTTTCAGTTACATTACAGCCATTGGTCAGCGCCAACACCGTGCTGAAGGCGTTGGAGGCGAAGACACCAGATATGGTCTATCGCAGCGCCGGGTAGAGCCACAGAGTCCTTGGCCTTTGCACAGACAATCACATGAAAGAGGCCTCAGCACGCTCACTCATCAAGTCGTAATGCGTCCTATATGCATCCCATGCTGTATGTCTGACCGCAATGCAGCAATGCACCATATCAACAAGGCGTTATGCAACGCCACGGCTGATCCCAAGCCAACCCTTATGACTTCCCTCCCTTCTTCCCACCACGTCCACCTCTCGCGGCCTTGAGCTTCGCCTGGCGTTCCATACGTTCCAACTGTTCCTTCTTCTCCCTCTCCATCATCTCTTTCTCCTGCTTCTCTGCCTCCTTGCGCGCTGCGGCCTCCGCCCTCTGCTCTCGCACCAACTTCAGCCGCTCCATGTCCGCACGAGCCTCCTCAGTCTTGCCCTCAGCGTGCAGCTTCTGGTACCGCTCCTTGCTCTGCTGCGCCTGGAAGGCCTCGCGCTCTCGCCGAGACATCTGCGAGGGCTCCTTGGCCTTCTCCTTGCTGCCCTCGGGCTTCTCCTCCGTAACGGCTTTGGCAGCCTGCTTGCGTGCCGCAGCGCTGTGGTTGGGGTTTGCGGGCATGTCTCCGTCTTCCTCCTCTTCCTCCTCAGAGCTGCTCGACGGCATGTCGCCGGGTTGCGCAACGCCCTGCTTCCGCTTGATCGCAGCCTCCTTCTTCGCCTTTGCGGCAGCCCTTCGCTCCTCACGCGTCATCTCAGCTTGCTGCTGCTGCCCCTTTGGTGCATCGTCGGAGTCGGACTCCTCGTCGGAATCTTCCTCTGAGTCGTCATCGTCGTCGTCGTTGGCTGAGGTTGGCTCTGCCCACATGCTCTTCTCCACACCGTCCGCATCGAGTGGTCTGAGGTTCTTGCTGAACTGACGACCGCCTGTGTGACACGATTAGCTGTAGCACGTGCAACCCTGAGGAATACGACCTACCACCCCGCTTCGCCTTTGTGTACTTGCCCGCTCGGGCTCTGGTTGAACTCGACATGCTGAATTTTGAGTGAGGTAGTTCAGGAGTGGTATAGCAGTGTGGACGAGGTCGAGGCTTGTAGCTTTAAGTACTCTTGAAGAACTCTTGGTGAACGCTGACTTGGTGGAGGAGTCACAAGCACACGAGCGCTGGCAGCGTGGGGTGAATTCATGAGAATGAGGCCTTCGTGATTGGACCCTTGCAGAGCGCCAAGACCCGCTCTGGCCTGCTTTCAGCAACAGAATCGCTTCTTCTTCTCCTTCTTTTCTCTCCATGAAAACGAGACCCTCCATATTCACTCTGCCTACCAACCATCAATGGGAGACCGGAGGGGAAATTGGCGGGCAGATTGACGACCGCTTGCTTACCCCTACCCTCCCTGAAAGCTGTGGGAGGAGAGGAAATTTTATATCAGCGGCACATACATCATCCCTTCTCACGCCCTTGTAGACACATTCTTGAACTCCTTGCGGTCTATCGAAACCACTGCAATGCCTGCGTGACCGGGCAGCCTCTCCAGCAACCGAGTCTCTGCCAGCAGATACACGGTCTTCTTGCAGCAACAACTACGAACGCCTCTCGTATGGGCATTGCACAGCGCGAGAGGGCCCAGATCATCTGCAAGCTGGCACTGGAACAGAGACCCAGGACGCCGAACGTGTCAATATGGGTTTCATTGTTGCTGCCCTATGCACGCGTTCCTTGCTTCGGACAAGGTAGGCTTGACATTTCATGCTCCCCCTCGCAAGGTATGAAGACTCTGCAGTGGCACATAGATAGCACAATGACACACATCTCTCCTTCCGTCATTGCTCCCCACTCGCCGCCTTCACAACCACCCCAACAACCTCCTCCAAAGATCTCACAATCTCCGTCGGCCTGTTCCACGTCCCCGGCACCATCGCATCCTGCCACCCAGTGCCAGCCCTATCAATCCAAATAGCATTCATCCCCACCCCTTTACCTCCCACAACGTCGAAAGGATTCCCGCTCACCAGCCAGATCTCACCCATGTCCTCCTTGTTGTCAATCCGCTTGCCTACCTGCATCGCAAGATGGTGATAAGATTCTGGCGCCGGCTTGAATTTCCTTACATCGTCCACGGACACAATCTCGTCGAAAGACGAAGCGTGTGGCGAGAGGTCCGGAGAGTTATTGACACTGCTCGAGACCATAGCCTGCGTACCGTTGGAGAAGATGACGGTCTTGCCCACCACTTCCGGGGCAGACTTGATCTTCTCAAGCATCGGCTGGACGTCCGGAAAGGTCGAGAGGGAGTCGTAGGCTTTCATCATCTCCTCTGTCTGCTCCTCGTCGAGACTCACGCCTGCTTCCGCCAGAGCGTGATGGAGGGATCGCCGGGTGATGTTGGAAAAGGAGTAGTACACGCCCATGCTATTCGCACGCCACGTATACTCCAGCTGGTACCGCCGCCATTGGGCCGCGATAGTTTTCGCTTTGTCCTGGCCGAAATGGCTGGCCAATTTGTTTGCGATGGACTCCGCGGACAGCAGCGTACCGTAAGCATCGAAGGCGAGCACGATCCGTGGTGCCATGGTGGGTTGACAGACTCCTCCGAGTGTTGCAGACTACAAGTTAGCAGTCCCAAAGTTCCTTGGTACGAGATGACCATCCGCGCCCTCCGGAACCGCGAGGATGATTTTCGGAGGGGTCCCTCGTTCACATGCAATCCCCACACCAACCCCACACAGATCACACGACCCTTACCTCCAGAGGTATTCTGATTGACGACTTCATTCGTTGACCTCACGCCATCTGGGAGCACATCTATATTTGAGAAAAGTAGTCGGATATTCGGGAATATGCTTTAAAGACAGGACAACATCCTTCATGATCCCCGACGATGAGCAGAACAACTTCGACATCTTCCTCGACTGCCTCTCAGCAACCATAGTGGCGAGTCTGAGCCCGAGCAACAAAAAAGGTCAGCGGAAACGAGCAGTCAAAGGCCGCAAAAATGAGATCAAGGCCGTGATTCAGGATGCCACCGAGAAGCAGGAGAACGATGCAGCAGAATTGGGCGAGTTCGTCGAGGTACCACCCACCACCCACCCCTTCCATACCCAACACCAATTCTAACTACCCACCTCAGTACCTAAGCACAGAACTCTTCCTCTCCCTCCCCCCCACCCTCCGCACCCTCTCCTACGCCCTCCTCCAAGAATCCCCCGCCCTCGCAACAACCTACTCCACCCCCCTCTCCCCGGACACCCTCTCCACCATCACCTCCTCCCTACCCCCAAGCACAACCGACTCCCTCTCCTCCTACTCCATCATCCCCTCCCCCTCCCACTTGGACAAATTCCTCGAACCGATGTTTACGTCCTACATCAACGCCGCCTCCGCTCCGCCGCCGGAATACACGCCCGCTCTCACCGCCTCCCGCCCCTCGGGCTGCGAGATCTGCGGCCGCGAGCATGTGCCGTTGACGTACCACCACCTGATCCCCCGGCAAATCCACGCGAAAGCCGTGAAGCGCGGGTGGCATCAGGACTGGCAATTGAATAAGGTGGCCTGGCTCTGCCGTGCATGCCACAGCTTCGTGCACAAAGTCGCGACGAACGAGGAGTTGGCGCGGGAGTACTATGACGTCGAGTTGTTGATGGGGAGGGAGGATGTGCGGAAGTTCGCGCAGTGGGTGGGGAGGGTGCGGTGGAAGGCGCGGTGAGGTCAGAGAGACATGGGGAAGGGTGAGGGATGGTGGGAGAGGGGAGGGAGTGAGGGGCGACGATGGGATGGGGCCCTGTTGGGTTATGGGCTTGGTTGGAGAGGGACGGTGTGTATGTACGGTGATGGTGGGAGATATATGGGGTGCACCGGGTTAGGATGCAGGCCTTGTGTAGACGCAGGATACCATTACGGGCTGCTTGCAGTGGCAGCGTCAAGAGCAGAATACTAGGTAGATGAGACAAGTGGATAAAATTTGATGTAGTGGTTGCGAAAGGAAGCCAGGTGCTGAGCTAGTACAGCGACTGTTAATACCACGTGATGCAGTTTGCGAGACGGAGAAGGGGATAAAATTTCATGCGGAAACAAAGAACTCCTTTGCCGTGGGGTATCTCATGCAGTAGACTAAATGAACAAAATCCATGCCATTCCCTCTCCTCTCAGAACATCTCCAATCGTAGCGAGTGTGTGTTGTTGTTTTGGTGACATCGTCGCGAGTGTGTCGTTTTTGTCGTTTTTGGGGATCATCGTCGCGAGTGTGTCGATCTTTTTTTGGTGTTTTCTGTCGTGTCGAGGCGTGCCGGCCATCACGAGGACCGCATCGTCCTCATCATGGGCTTCTCTCTGTTGCCCTCTCCGCTGGTCCGCGGCGACTCTCTGCTTGGTCGCTGCTGTCCTCCGCTCTGTCTCTGCGAGCCGGCGCTGTTCCTCGCGCTGTCCGATGCCCTTTGCTTCTCCGCCACGTCTGCGCCCTTGGTGATGCGCTTGATGAAGTTGACGAAGCGGTCGCCGTACCGTTGTGGTGGGAGCGGCGAGATCTTCGGCTCCTCCTTTCCTGCCGTGAACCCCTTCCAAAGATGTTCCAGCTTCTTCACTGTGTTGTACCGTGTCAGGCAGTCGATGATGCCCAGATAATAAACCGTCGAACTCGGTGTGCCGTCCGAGTTGGTAGCTCGGATTCCGCCGTCGTCCGTGTAGAATTCGCCGGTCCTATCGGCCTCATCAGGCATAATGTCCGTCGCCGACTGCATTGGCACCGGCCTTTCCTTCTTCACACTCTCTCTGAGGTCTCGCACGCGCCTAGCGTGCTCGAGTTTGCTGGGCGTACGGGCAAGGACGCCGGGTTGTGGCCCGTTGTCTTCGGGGTTGGGCTGGAAGACTTGCAGTGTCTTGTCGCGCAGCCGGTCTTTGTTGCCGCGGTTGAGGTCGTGGGTGGCGACGAAGAGCGAGTAGTCCATGACCTTGAGCTTCTTGAGGAACTTGGTGTCCTTCTCCAGCTGCTCGACGAATCTCTCCTTCTCGTTGTGTCCCAATTCGATCTGTTGCCAAAACAGGTTAGCGTGGTCTCACAGGTTTTGCGGGTCAAAAGTCGTGGCGGTGGTGACAGGAAGGATCAGGTACTGACATTGAGGCCGCGGTTGAGCCAGTTCAAATCCTTGAGGGTGGGGTGGAATTGTTCGTTCTTCAGTTTCTCGGCCAGCTTGTCCTCCGGGTATTCGCGTCCGAGGGTGCTGCCTTTGAGATCGTACACGCTGTGCACGTCTTTGTGGGGTGGCATGAGGTTGTTCATGACCACGAAGTGGATCTTGCGACCAAACGGCATCTTAACCCGGTGCAGTCCATAGAATTGGGAGATGAGGGTGTTGGGGTTCTCCTCGACGTGCTTGTAGTAGTCCTTGAGGATCTTGCGGAGGAACTTGTGTTCGTGGTGGTGAATCGTCTTGATGATGTACTTGAAGTCGCGGCTGAAGTAGAAGAAGCTCTTGCTCTTGCCCGGCGAGGAGAGCTCGGTGAGGACGAACTTGGATGTCTGTGGGAGGCAGTCAGCAGGTGCAGGGTGAGCGCAGAGGAAGGCGAGCTTACCAAAGACATGATGTAGTCCGCTGGGTGGATGTGGAACTTGTTACGCAGCTCACGAAAGACCCAAGGGGCGTAGTCCTTGAACTTGAAGTCGTACTTAGTTGCAGGCGTGAGTTCGCCGCCGCCGACGTCGAAGGAGAACTTGTGCTTCGTGTCGAAGTCCTCGATGTTGAGCGGCCGGTCCAGCTTCGCCTGCGTTCTACTGACAGTGAAGCGAATACCGGTGAGCATGTTATACCTGGGGCCGTCAGTCAGCAGTGCGCATGCGAGAGGAGGGAGGGTGTCAGGACTTACGCGGTCTCGTAGTTGGCATGGCCTTCAGCCACTTTGGTGCCGACGAGAACCCGGTCTTCATCTTCGGTCGTGATGCCGCCGATCGGGGTGATGTTGCCCCCGGTTCTACGGGACGAGACACGGCGAGATCGGTCGGAACGGATTGTGTCGCTCCAGCGCTGGGACTCGGGGTCCTCGGGCACGGCCTCGAGCGAGAGGGTGCGGCGCGAGATGGTGAGCGAGGAGCGCCTGCCGGACGGCACGCGCAGGTGGCCATTTGGCACTGGCGACAGGGCGGGCGCTGGCTTGTGGTTGCCGCCGCTAACGGGCTTCCCATTGAGGGAGGTGGTGCCGCCGGGGGACTGGTGGACGATGCTGGTCATCATCATCTTTGCGGTTTTCGGAAGTTCATAGCTTCGGTGTTTGCAAAGGGTGGTTTGGGTGGGTGTTTTGGTGGGTTTGGTTTGGCAATTGATTGCTTGCTTGAAAATTGGTGGTTTTGGTGGTTCTGAAAGCAGTTTCGTGTCTGATTGCAGTTGCTCTGTGATTATAGAGTGGAGGAAGAAGAAGAAGGAGCGAGAGTGGGAGCGAGCTGGAGGTCATTGCAGCGAGGCGCCGGATAGGCTCGGGAGGCGACCGTCACTCTCTGGGCCGACCCAAGAAATCACTACACCTTCACCCAATCCTCGACGCCCAATCCACATACACTCGAACGTTATACATAAACTTCCACAAAAACACCACAACTCCATCAGAAGAACGTAAACATCATCGCAGCAACACATCGGATCGAAAAAGCGACGACACCATTGGAATCGCGTCGGCTGCGCGCCCATTCTACTGCCCATGCACTCCCCCTTGGCACAACTTTGGTATAAAACATGTCCACGTATACTGGTACAGGCCACCTGTCACTCTGTGAGAAGGGTTCCGTGACCTTCCGGCATCGGCCTCTATTGTCGTAAACTTGCCTGTTTCATGATACAGCACGTTTAAGCGGTGGAGGAGAGGGAGCAGTGGGAACCGTTCTCGCACTGTCACGTCCACATTTCCAACGGCTATGGAGTCTGCCCTGCAGCTCGCTTCAGCCCTACCGTCTCAACTCTCGAATGCGATGTCCAATTCCGGTTGTCAGCATATGCTCGGTCGCATGGCATTCGTCAGCTCGGCCAAGCTGACTGTCCGGCGCATCCTTTGCATGTAACAGGCAAGTTCCTCATAGATGTTTTTCTCAGTGGAGCGCACGGGGACGAGCATAACGAGGTGGAGTTTCCGCTCGCATGGCAAGTGTTTCATGATCATATTACATTTTGCTGGGAGACAAATCCGTCGGAGCGGATGAGATGAAATAGAGCTCAAGCACTGTTTCTACCTCAACCCCCTCCCTCTCTCCGTGCTTGTACCCCTCCCAGCCCCGCTCCCTCCTCTCGTCCCACCAGCAGCACCACCCCTCGTACTCCCTCTCCCAATCCCACTTCCAGCCCTTCCTCTACTCCCAGCGCCTCCCCTCCCAGGCAAAGCACTCTGCCTCGAACTCGCGGCAGAAGGCGGTGCCGAGTATTTGCTCGCCGGCTTAGAACTGGTAGGCGGATTCTCCACAAACGAAGTATCCGTCGTCAGGAACGTCGCTTCCATATCACCTCCTCCACCGGTGTTGCGATCGCGAAACGGCGAGTTCTGCGTCTGCGACTGGCTGTCTTTGTGTCTTGCGAAGGATTGGGGTATTGGTGCCTGCAGCATTACAAGTGAGCAAAGGCGTTCATTCTTATGATGGAAGGCACAAGCATACCTCAGGAAAGTCCACACAAAAAGCACTCATATTCATCCCATACAGAAATGCGCCAAAGTTCTCGTTGAAGCGTCCCAGGCTCTCATTGAGCAATTGTAGGTGCATGAAGTTGGCTTCGAGGTCGGCCATGCTGTCGCTCAATTCTGCAAACGCAGGCTCGAGGGAGGCGAGAGGGAAGTCTGAGGAGGAAGTGGATGCGCCGCCGGATGGTGTTGTTTGCGAGGCCCGTAGGCTCGTTCTCGAGGGCGGGCGGAGAGGGGTCGTGGGGCGGGATGGTAGGCGTGTTCGAGAGGCACTGCGGTTGCGCGAGTTGGGCGGTGGATTGGTCGCTGGAGTGGCCATGTTGTGAGCCTTCATTGGGTGGTATGTGGTGTGTTTGCATAACTGTTTCTCCTACGCGTCGAGGGATCCGAGACCCGCGTTTCCGCCCCCACCTACCTACGCAATCGGGCAGTCGCAGCGACAAGGGCAGCAGAGGAAGCGGCGCCGGGCGGAAGCAGTGTTGGCAATGTCATCCGCTCGCGCAACCCATCTCACGCGCTCTCGCTTTTCTCCCTCTCCCTCTATGCGACCTTTCAGGCGACTCCTCCGCCAGCCCATTCCCACCCGACAGCATCTTCACCAGCGACATCCAAATACCCCTCCCCACCACCCCGCTGACGTCCTCCGCCCAAGTCGTACCACCTTCTACCCATCTGTTCAGCCTCTCGCGCCGCGACTCGGTGCGCCTAGCCCGAAGCGCAGCGACCTTGATCCTCTTGCGCTTGCTATTGCTTTCGCCGGTGCTTGCTTGAGCGGCGAGTACATTATAAAGAAGTACTACTGGGACGAAGACGAGGATACAGAGCAGGAGAATACAGACAACACCCAAAAGAAAGACAGAGCAGACTCTACACACCACGAAGAAGCTCTCTCCACCCTCGAACACCTCGAGCGCCTGGCCGTCCTCTACCCGCACACCATGGCGCCGAACATGCCGCCCGGCCGGCCTGGCAATCTAACCGCAGACCAAGAGACCAAGCTGAAAGAAATGTGGCTCGCCGTCCTCGAAGTCTTCGGCGTAGCCCACGAGCCCTCGCAATCAAACGGCACCGCGACGCCCTCAGACTCCACAACCACCCCGGACAAGAAAAAGAAGAAGTCGCGGTTATCCCTCCTCGGCAAGAAAGACAAGCACGACGCCGACGGCGTGGACAACGACAAGCACGGCCAGACCAGGGAGTTCCAGCAAGCGCTCGCCTCGCAGTCCCCAGAAGCCCTACGAGAAGCCTTCTGGAGCATGAGCAAGCACGACCATCCCGATGCGCTCTTACTGCGCTTCCTGCGCGCGCGGAAATGGGACGTGCAAGCCGCGCTGGTGATGATGATCTCGACGATGCACTGGCGCAGCACGGAGATGCATGTGGACGACGACATCATGATTAAGGGCGAGGAAACGGCGTTGAAGGAGAGTAAGAGCGCGAATGCGGCGGAGAAGAAGGAGGGGGATGATTTCATGGCGCAGTTGCGGATGGGGAAGAGCTTTCTGCACGGATGCGACAAGGAAGGGCGGCCGTGTTGTTGGGTGCGGGTGAGGCTGCATCGGCAGGGCGAGCAGAGTGAGCGGAGTCTAGAGCGGTTTACCGTGTACACGATTGAGACGGCTCGGATGATGTTGCGGCCGCCGGTGGATACTGCGGTAAGACCTCCTTCCCTCTCAACCCCCTTGCAGCAACAGTCAGGGATGCTGACGTTATAAACAAAGACGATCGTCTTCGACATGACCGACTTCAGCATGGCCAACATGGACTACACCCCCGTCAAATTCATGATCAAATGCTTCGAGGCCAACTACCCGGAATCCCTCGGCTCGGTGCTCGTCTACAAATCCCCCTGGATCTTCCAGGGCATCTGGAAAATCATCCGCGGCTGGCTCGACCCCGTCGTCGCGGGGAAAGTGCACTTCGCTTCTCACGTGGAGGACTTGCAAGAGTTTATCCCAAGAGATCATATCCCCAAAGAACTCGGCGGGACGGAGGAATGGACGTACTCTTACGTCGAGCCGACGGAGGGCGAGAACGCGCGGATGGCGGATACGGCAGGGAAAGAGAAGGTGTTGGAAGAGCGGAAGGAGCTGGTGCGCAGCTACGAGTCCGAGACAATGGCGTGGGCGCACGGGGAGGATAAAGGCGAAGGGAGGGGCAGGCTGGCGGAGCGGTTGGCGGAGAACTATTGGCGCGCGGATCCGTTTTTGCGGGCGAGGAGTTTGTATGATCGCACGGGGGTGTTGAGGGAAGGGGGGAAGTTGGAGTTTTATTCGAGTGGTAAGGCTGCTGGTGCTGCTGCTGCGTCGACGGGAGGGGGCCCGGGGGACGATGAGGTGGATTGATTGTGTGGGTAGATACTTTTTACATAGCCTGATAAAAATCTTCAACAGCGGCGGACGAGGTCTCGTCGCCTATACCGCTTCATCCTCGCTCTTTAGCTTTCAGCTTGTTGTCGGAACAGGAGTAAGGACGATTGTGAAGATTGACTGAGCGTTAATTTTGCGAGTATTCGTTCGTTCGCATCACCGCTCTTAACCATCAACGTCGCAGCCCGAATACCTCATGTGTCTCGCTCAAGAAACTGCCAAACAAACCTACGACCCATATCCAAATCCCAAGCATCTACAACCCCCAAACACCCCTCCCAAACCCGTCCAGATCGAACATGTAGAAAACAGCACAGCACAGCAGCACAGGGTATCATCCGATCCGCCATCCACAACATCACCCTCACACCCATGAACAACCCCAAACACCCGCACCAGTCGTACAGACAGAAACTCCCTTCAATCCGGCTCCTCAACCCCCTCATCAATCACCTCCGGCACTCCCACCGCGCCCTCCATATTCGCCCCGTGCCCTTCAGGAGGCTTGACTGCCCGCGGCGACTCGCGATGGTGCTCGATACTCGCCGCAGCAGCAGCGTTGGCGGGGAAAGGCGCTTGCGGGTGTGCTTGGGAGGGCGACTCGGTCTTGATGACCGGCGTGGTGCTGGAGGTGTGGCGAGGCGAGGCGGAGGCTTTGGAGGCTTTGTCCGAGGCGGCGGAGTGGACGGAGTGTTGGGAGGAGGTGCGGGGGGAGACGCGGCCGTTCTGGGGAAGTGATGTGTCAGTTTGGATGTATAGGGAAGATGGAAGGGAAAGACTTACGAGTTTGGCCCACCGCAGCCCACAGCTATTGCACAGATCCCGCTGCCCACTGGGTCCTCTTCGCCACTCCGGCGTGGTGCGCGTGTGGCAATTGGCGCAGTCCTTCTGCTGGTCTTTGCCCTTTCTCCGCTTCCGCTTCTTCTTGGCCGCGATGAGCGATTGCACTTCCTCTGCTAAAATGCGATTCTTCTTCTCCAGCTGCCGGATCTCGTACTGCCACGAGCTGGACTTTGTCGTCTTGAGCTCGTCGAAGAGGTTATCTTCCGACGCCAGCGACTCGTCTTGGTGGCCGATGGGAAGTCCGTCCTGGCCAGCGTAGGTGGCGGCAGAACCGTCGGTTGTTCGGTACCGGAGAGGTCCACCCGGCGGTTGTATGCGCGAGTTTGTGCTTTGATCTTGTGTAGAGACTGCTGAAGGGGTCATTGAGTCATCCGAGGCGTGCTCGTTCTTGAGGTACATCGGTGGTCGTGCAGTGGGTGGGTTGTTGCGCGTGAACTTGAAGAGGCGTGTTTGCGCGACGATGAAGGTAGGCTTCTGCCCCTCTGTTGCATCGCCAGGATACAAAGTGGTATAAGCTGAAAGCACCTGACCTCTCCTGTTGATGAGCTCATGCTTGACTGAAGCCTTCTTCCCGGACCGAGCATGCTCCAGTATTCGTGCAAAGTCGGCTTTAGACTCTGCGCGCATCATGGACTGGATGCTGACCATGATAAGTTCGTCGGGCTGCCTGTCGAGTAGTTGTCGCACGTTGGATGAGATGAACAAAAACATGCCGGAAGTAGACATCTTTGACCAGAAATCGTTCTCACCGATGCCGCCGGCATTAGCAATGTCGGTCTTGCTCAGCGTGTAGACAGGCCTCTCGCGACCGGTCAAAATAATCGACTTTCGACCTTTGCCTTGCTCGGTGTGAAGCGATCCATGTCCTTCAAACCACATGTAGCCACTCGTTTTCCGTCGTATCCGGAACACAACGTTGACGGTGGCGCCGGTCGACGTATCCTTCAGCTCTCGTGTCACAGGCACAATGTCACTCGGATGGCAGAGGGAGCTCAACGCGGTGCCAATGATCTCACTCGCATCGTATTCCAAAACCCGCGCGGCGGAAGGCGACACCCACTGAAAGAGGCCCTTGAGAGACAGCACATGGACGACATCGTCGGTGTTTTCGAGCAACACCTTATCCCACACACGCTTCGCATACTCCGACTCGCCATTGCCGTAAGTCGCAAGAATCGCCGAGACGTCGTCGCGTGGTACCGTCAGGCCCAGATCGGCCTTTTGGTTCGTTTCGGGCGCATGCATGACATAGCGAGGCATCGTCATGCCCCGCTGGTAATTGATCGAATACGATCCATCTGCGATCGTCAATCAGCATGTGTAACAACAACTGGAACATCTCGATTGAGGTCTCGATGGGTCGGTGAAAGGCGATGCTCGGGTGCTGGCAGCCAGCTGCGCCGAGCGATCGGGATCCATCGGCAAGCCCATCGGACGATGCAGCAAAACTTGACATACCGGGGGTTTTGTTGGTAACCGCATTGGGCTGCTCCACCAGATCGACCTGGAATCCCACAAAGAACTTGACCTGGTCTGTGTCCCAGGTGATTGGAATCATGGTGAGCAGGTTCATAAAAGGCTGGCCGCCCCGCCGATAGTTGATGAGCGATATCTGTGCTTCGCGTCGGAGCGAGATCATGTTTTTCAGATACAAGACTGAATCGTCGTCGACGTACTTGCGCCTGACGCCGGACTCCACATTGCCGTCGGGCGACTGGAGGAAGCGACAGTTCCGACCAAGAATCATATGCTTGGTGTAGCCGGTCAAACGCTCGAAGTTATCGGAGCAGTATACGATGGGGAAGTCATCCTTCTCGGCATCGCACACGACAAACGCGCACGACAGGTCTACAGCACCGATACCAATCTCGGGGTTCGGTCGCGTTGCGACACGCATCTGCTTTGCGTCAGTGGCCGAGTTACAGCTACGGATATTGAGGTGGGAGACATACCAAAACACCAAGCATGTCGAAGCCCGTCGAAGAATAGGCATTCTTGTACGATGTCTGCATGTGCGAACGACCTGCCATCGTGGAAGGCCAGCCTCCCTCAGGTGTCTCCCACTTGAAGCCCTGATTGTTAGGATTCGGCTGAGTGCGGCTGAGAGGCACCGGTCCGTTGACGCCATCATACACATTCGTGCTGTCTCCCATGCCCATATCTTGACGCGAGCCGGGAACGGGATGTTGCGGCTGTCCAGGGAAGTTCATGTTGGAAGAGCTTTCGCCCGGCGCAGACACCGGTTGCGACATTGGCGAGACATCATTGCCTTGCGCCGGACTGGCCATGCTCGGAATCTGGAGGCTGTGGCTTCTGGAGAGGTGCCCAGGTGTCGCACGTGTGCTATTCGGCAGACCACTGTAGTGCGAGCTCATGCCGCTGCCGGTGCGTACATTCTGAGCCGGCCTTTGCGTGGGCTGAGGAGAAGCCTGTGAGCCCCCGGTATGCATTGGCGAGGTCGCCATGGTCTGGCTGAAGCGAGGTTGATTGAACAGATTCATCTGCGGAACATCACTTGGAGTCGAGTGAGCAACATTCTGCTCGACGTTAAAGTCCATCTGCATGTTGACGCCTTGGTCGACATATGGGCTGGCCATCCCCATGTCCATCCCACTCTGTGGATGCGCAGGCGACTGGTACGCAGAATGTGGATTCATCATGGTAGGGTACCCAGCTGCGGTGTCCGCGAACGTCGTGTTGAGTGCGAGGTTGTCCCGTGACTGGCGCCGGCTGTGATTCTGAGCCTGAGCATCTTGCTGCGCAGGTGTCCCGACGTTCCCCATCATGCTCTCTTGATGCATGACAGCATTGGGGTCGAATTGGTAGTTGCCCATGGGACTCGCAGACGACGCATTGTAGTCCATCATGGGAACCCTCCTCATGTTCGGATCCATATTATTGGACGATCCACCGTACTGTTGTGGCCTGCTCTGTCTCCTCATGGCTTTGGCATTCTGGTTCACAATGTCCTCCAGCGACTGCCCTCCAACCATGCCGCCGCCCATACTTTCTTGTCCCATCATCATCATGTCTCCACCATTCGAATCCCCCTGACCCATGGCGTTGCCGCCATAGCCTCCATCGTACCCATCGTATCCATTCATCTTGCGTGCCGTACCCGCCTATTGGCAGGCGTGATCTTCCGCAGTCAGCGCTGCCCCTCGTCCAAGTCTTTGCGCAGACGTAGGAGTCGCTCGATACCGTGCTGCCTCCCCGTATCCACCCACGACAGTCGCTCCAGGCCGTTGCGGGTGAATGGTCCCATGTGTGGTGCTGTAGAAGGTGCTGGACCCGCCGGACGTGCTCGGCCGGTCGGTATGGGTCGAAGGGGATTCAGAGGTTTTATCAAGCTCGAGATGTCGGCAGTGCTCCGAGTCCATCCAGGTCCTCCCTGTCCACGCTGCGATGGTCTGCGCCGGATGCGCTGCGCTGGTCGAGTGCTACCGGTCCTCCCGCCGGGCGTGCTGCAGACCCCCGGGGATAGGTTGGTGCTTGCTGGAGATGGGCCCGGCAAAACGGGCATGTGGCGTTTCGCTCAAGGCAATTGGCAGAACGAAGGCGCTAAATCTTTAGCTGCGATTTCGTCCCGAGATGCTTGATGAGCCGGGGTGAGATGGTTGTTGATGGTTGATGATATTCGATTGAGACGCCTGCTGTTGTAGCGTTCTCATGGCTCTGCTGAGGTCTGCGGAAAGACCTCGACTTGTTCGGTATCGATTGAGCGACGTCTAGAATCTGCCGCTTTGTTGTGACAGTTTAGAGCTGTTGTATGGTTGTTTTTCCCTTTTTGGTTCGATATTCGAACAAGAAACAGCGGGCAAGAGTGAATGACGGATACACCGGTGTTAACACATGCACGTGAAAACACGTCAAAATTGTAGAAATGGCCTGGGAATTACGATCTCTCATTTACCATTCAATGAACAACCAATCCAGTACCTACCGCTCCTTGAACGACAGAGGGAGTTGTCCATCTCGTGGTTGGACCGAATTAGGGTTAGTTGGGGTAGCGAAACAGACGTGAATGCAAGCACCAACAACCAAGAATGACCACCTTTCAGGCATAAGATCAAGCTAAGAAGCAATGAGGACGGATGAACTTCATACTCGTATCACACGCGACCCCATATTCGGCATGTCTCAGGGCGCGATTCGATCACATGGCGCCATCATCCGCGAAGAACAAAGCACGTATACCGTCCTGGGATATGAAGAGGATGTGCTTGGATCAGATGCAATATTCATGTCGAGCTATGTACTCTCATAGTGACAACTCTCATCATGCTCGCACCCCGAAACGCCGAACTCATGAGCATACCATTCACAGACAAACAAACCCATCCACAGCCCGAGACCACACAGAGGTCGATTTGGTATCACACACGTTAGAGCCCGCCATCGACGCCGTTCGCCACATAAACCGTCAACACCCTACAGCAAGCCAGAACATACATGCTCGCAATGCACAGCGTCGACGTTCGGCCAGCGCGGGCAGGTGAAAGGAGAAGGAGACATTAGAAGTTCGATCACTTCTTCGGCGTCGCCTTTGCCTTCTTTGCGGGTGCCTTCCGGCCGGCGGCCTTCTTGGGCGCAACCTTCTTGGCCTCTGCGACTGGTGCCTTGCTCTTGGTGACGCGGCCGGATTTGGTCTTGCCGAGCACGACTGGTGGCTTGTCTTCGACGGCGGGGGCCTGCGGGGAGGTTAGCATTGCGTGGTAGAAGCGAATGGAAGGTGATGAAATACAGCAACAGGAGTCTTGCGGACCTTGCTGGTGTTGGCCTTGCTCTTGGTCGCAGTGGCCTTCTTGGCTGGAGCCTTCTTCGTCGTCGCGGCCTTGGTAGCAGTCTTCTTCGCCGGTGCTTTCTTGGTGGCGGAGGTCTTCGTAGCGGTGGTCTTCTTAGCAGCAGCGGCGGGTGCCTTCTTGGTAGCTGCCGGCTTAGTCTCGGCCGTCTTAGGTCCACCGAGCTTCACCGGGCCAGAGGCGCCTGTAGCGACGGTAAGGTCAGTAATGCAGACGGGGAGGAACGTTGAGATGATGCGACGTGGACGATGAGGGTGAGGTTGGGAACATGGACCATCGCGCGGTGGCAGTGTTGTGCTCGTGGGAACGATCGCGAGTTGAATAGATCGTTGGGGAAGAGGTACCTTTCGGGCGTGCGAACACACCGCTCTCGGAGCCCTTCGAGAGCGCTCTGTTGAGCTGGGTGGTGAAGGCAGCATCGGAGACGCCGCTGAGGTTGTTGTTGGCCTGCACGTATTTCTTGATCGCTTGACGGCTGGAGATACAAGTCAGCGAATGCGGTGTGCAAGCCGCGCCGCACCCTGTCAAGCAGACGACGCGCGGCGGCGACGGTGAGGTGACGAGCATACCTTGATCCATTTCTCTCCTTGAGCTATGATGCGCGCGACATGTCAGTGATAGTTTCACGAGTTGTCGCGACGCAGAACGTGTCGCGATGCGAAGCGCCGTGGTTCGAATGCGACCGAGCGAGCTGCGACTGCTATGCGCCGGAAGAGATGGACTCACGTTGATGACGGCCTCCTTGATCATGTCTATAGTCGAGAAAGGTCAGCCAATGCTCTACATAATGCATGTGGTCCTGCATAGGACTTGTGGTGGAGTAAACACGATGCGAACGAGGTGAGACGAACCTTGGTAGGGTGGGTGAGAGCTGGCGGTGCCAGTCTTCTTCGTCGCGGCGGCAGTCTTCTTCGGAGGCATTGCGACGGTTTGGTGAGATGGTGTTGTCGATGAAGAGGCGGCGATTCAGATGATGCTGTTGGACTAGCAATGAGAAGAATTGGTTGTGGTGGTAGAAGCTGAAGAAGTGGAAGTAAACACGGTGGGCAGCCTCGAACTCGCGCGACGCGGGGCTGGCTTGCCTCTTATACTGCATCCGTGCTCTGCACCTTCCACAGTTGATTGCGCCCGAAAAGTCCTTAGCGCCTTCCGCCGCAGCACAACTTTCTCTCTAATCACTGCTCGCGCTGATCTGGGCGCATCCTGTCTCTCCCACTCAACTTCCTTCCGGTTTCTGCGAGAATCCTCACAACGCGCTGTGATGGGACTTTTACTGTGAGACTGGTGGCGCATGCGTCATTCTATCATTGTAGTACCTCGTGACTCTGCATCAAGATCATCTGCCTTTGCAGCTGACGGTAGGCATCCAAGTGTATCTCATCCCTGACAGGCGCCCTGCCGCTGTCCCCTCCTGTGTCTGCAGTGGCAGCCATACGGGTGTCCTTTCGTACATCCTCCCCACCTTCACCACCTCCACAAGTCTCGTCAACCTCTCTCGCGCTGTGGTCCTCCCACAAACGTGAAGTCGCCAAAGTAAACACACAACGCTTTACTCGCCCCATTCATGCAATAGTGCGTGACCTTTAGCTTCTCGTCGCCCTTCGCGCGCTTCGCCAGTTGTCTCAGATCCGACGTCCGCGGGAGGTACAGCACTGCCGACCTATTCTTCGCGGTGAATGTGGTGAACATCTTTTCCAGCGGATACGGCTCCATCATGCCCAGATCGAAGACTTCGAAGTCTGTGTATGTCGGACCTGTGCTTCGTCAGCTTCGTTCGAGTCGTTGAAAGCGTGCGTGACCTACCGCCCCACGGAGGACTCCCAAACACGACCGTGTCCTTGCCCTGAAACTTCAAGCGGCTCTTCATCATCTCGAAGACGTCGCCCTCAATCCACCAGATCTTGTTCGCCACGCCGTAGACCTCTGCATTGTGCTTCGCGCAGGCCAGCACTTTCGGATCCTTCTCCACGGCAAAGATCCGTTCCCACCGACCAGAGAGAGCGAAGGCGATAGTGTTGCCGCCGGCTCCAGCGAATGCGTCAATGAGCTGTGTCCTTGACTCTGGCGCGGTCGCGACGTGTTCTGCGACTTTGTTTGCGACCGGCTCTGGGGTTACACCGAACCAGGCGTCATCCGTCATCCACACGCCTTCATCGAACTTTGACCAGATCTTGTGTCGCTGGTGCCAGTATTTCGAGATGTGAAAGGGTACTTCTTCCGCTACCGCATAGTGGTGTACACCCTCCGGCGCCTCAGCGCTCGTCTCGGTCATGTCTTCGTACGGATGTGCCTTGCTGAGGAAAATGCCAACTGCAAAAGCCTTCCTCCACTGCCCCAGCCCGCCGCGCCAATGCCTCACTGCAAAGTGAAGATAATACAGAGAAGTATGTGTTCTTACCTTTATGTCATCGTGAGTAACATCGGATGGTCTTGGGTTGCTGCGACAGTCATATGTTGGTGGCTCCGGCAGCTTTTGAGGTTTTAACACTGCAAAGCCACTGAAGATGTGAGAAGGTCAAGGATCAGGCGACGTTCATCTTTAAGTTCGGCCCGTTCCCGCTAGCTGCTTCCGCCTCCAGATCGTTGGATCTACATGACATCACGTGTGTTTGAAAGCACGCGATTGCGCCGAAGAGACGGATCACAGGCGAAGTACAACTGCTGTCGAACGCTGAAAGCATGAGTACACCGAACAAGCGGCGCAAAAAGAACGATTACCAGGCCTCTCCGTCAAATGGCCGGAATCTGGACTATTTCTTCGGCAAACAGAGGGGAAAGGAAGCCAACGTCGAGAACCTATCGCAGAGGAATGTACCACAGAATGAAGCTCTGGACGGTGTAGATGCTGAAGATACTGAGTTGACCGATGAGCAGCTCGCACGTAAATTGCAAGCCGAATGGGATGAGCAAGATCGAGCTGAGCGGCCAGGAGGTGGCGAGAACTTCGAGAACGCGAATGGCGAGCCAGACACTGCCACCACCAAGGAACCTCCGGACAAGGCAGGCGACACGATTGTGGATGCTGGGACTCCTCAAGATGCACCAGGTCCTCAGGAGCGGGAGCAGCCAGCAAATGCTTTCTCTGCCTCGGGTAAGAAGACGACTCTATCACTACAGTCCGCCACGGCCGACGAAGACACGACCTCGCATCACATACCCTTTGACGAGTCCCCGTTGACCTTCGACCCGCAAAAGTACATCCCAGACCTCGAGCAGCAATGGGCGGCAGAAGGAGGAGCTGCTACCTACGCCATCCTCACCCATTGTTTCGTCCTTGTCAACAGTACCCAGTCTCGTATCAAGATCGTTGATACCCTGGTCAACTTCATCCGAACAATCATCGAAGGCGATCCCGAGTCATTGTTACCTGCAGTATGGCTTGCGACCAATTCCATTTCACCACCATATATCGACATTGAGCTTGGCCTGGGTGGCTCTGCCATCTCCAAAGCCTTGAAGATGGTCTGCGGTCTTGATAATGCTTCGCTCAAGACGCTGTACAACAAGCATGGCGATGCTGGCGATGTCGCCTTCGAAGCGAAGAAGCGACAGAGCTTGACATTGCGGAAGCCGAAGCCACTGACGATCAAAGGCGTGTTCGACGGTCTGCTCAAAATAGCCAACGCGAAAGGTCATGGCTCCCAGGAGGTGAAGCAGCGCATAGTTGAGCGACTAGTCCAGGACGCCAGAGGAGCGGAGGAGAGCAGATACATTGTTCGTACTTTGGTCCAGCATTTACGGATCGGTGCAGTCAAGACGACCATGTTGATCGCTTTGTCCCGCGCTTTCTTGCTTTCCTGCCCAACGGGCGCTGAGTTTCAAACGCGATCACGGAGCGAACTATCGAAGCTGAGCAAGCAGGAGCTGGCCGAAGTGTATTCTCATGGCGAGGAATTGGTCAAAGCGAGCTTCGCAAGACGACCCAACTACAACGACCTAGTGCCGACACTTCTCGAAATCGGTATATCTGATGAGCTTCTCCTGCGATGTGGCTTGGCCATGCACATTCCGCTTCGGCCAATGCTGGGAGGCATTACAAGAGACCTCGGAGAGATGCTCACGAAGCTGGAGGGAAGAGACTTTGGCTGCGAGTTCAAGTACGACGGGCAGAGGGCACAAGTACACTGTGACGATAAAGGCAAAGTTACTATCTTCTCAAGACACCTGGAAGTCATGACCGAGAAGTATCCAGATCTTGTAGCCTTGGTGCCGCAGATTCGTGGCGAAGGGGTCAGCAGCTTTATCCTGGAGGGCGAAGTGGTTGCTGTGGACCGCGAGTCGGGCGAGCTGAAGTCGTTCCAAATTTTGGCCAACAGAGCAAGGAAGGATGTCGTGATACAGAGCGTCAAAGTGGACGTGTGTTTGTTTGCCTTCGATCTCATGTACCTCAACGGCGAAGAGCTGCTCGACAGGTCGTTTCGGGAGCGGCGAAGTCTTCTGCGCAGCCTGTTTGTTGAGATACCACAGCATTTCACTTGGGTCAAGAGCATCGACGCAACATCTGCCGACTTTGAGACGGTCAGTGACTTCTTCAAGCAAGCCACCGACATCAAGTGCGAAGGAATCATGGTCAAAGTCCTCGATAACCTGCCCAACCCTGAGCTACAGGCCGAGCAGGACATCGAAGACGCAGCCGATGACGAGAATGCGCCAGCAGAACCGCCACCGCCGCCGCCCTCGAAGACCAAGAGAAAGGCTACCAAGTCCAAATCTACCAAATCGTCAAACGCCACAGACACCGCCGAAAAGAAGCCAACCCGCCGCAAAGCCCTCCTCTCCACCTATGAACCCGACAAACGCCTCGACTCCTGGCTCAAAGTCAAGAAGGACTACAACACTAGCACAGCAGACACCATCGACCTCATCCCCGTTGGCGGCTGGCACGGCCAAGGCCGCAAAAACGCTTGGTGGTCACCGATTCTGCTCGCCTGCCGCAACCCCGAGTCCGGCACCCTCGAGGTCGTTACAAAGTGCATCTCCGGCTTCACCGACGCCTTCTACAAAGCCAACAAAGAGAAGTACTCTGAAGACGGCGAGAACACCATCTCGAGGCCAAACTATGTGGACTATGCCGGCGAGCCGGACGTCTGGTTCGAGCCGCAGGAGGTGTGGGAGATGGCGTTTGCGGACATCACGTTGAGCCCGACGTACACGGCGGCGATTGGGCTGGTAAGTGATGAGAGAGGACTGAGTATGCGGTTTCCGAGGTTCCTGAAGGTGAGGGAGGATAAATCGATTGAGGAGGCGAGTACGAGTGACTTCCTGGCTGGGCTCTATCAGAAGCAGGAGGTTCGGCAGCCTGGAGAGAGTAAGGCGGAGGAGGGGATGGAGGAGTAGTGTATGCTTGCGAGTTAGATAAGGTGGCCTGCCCTTATATCTCCTTGAAAACGGGTCACTGCTGTCCAGCGTGCACCGCTGAGTATGATTTGGCATGATCCAATACTTTCCCAGGTCATATAATCACCGGCCCCGCTTTTAAAACTTACTCGCAACAACCCACCGATCCCTGCTCACCACCCCAGTGCTGAGCGAAGTGACATCTTCCCGGCGCAAGTTCAATAATGGTGTTTCCACCTCTATATGTGTATTCTGAAAGACATCCACCCTAGTCTAAGCCAATTCCCCCAAAACACACCTGCTCACTCTCATCCCCAACATTAACAACATCATGCCAAACATGCACAAAGGTCGAGCGTGTAGTGAAATGTTGTATTCCAATGAACGAGCAAACCGTGAGTTTTCTCTTCTCCCTCCGTCGTCTTCTCTTTTGCTTCCCTTTCGATCTTTGGAGGAAGAAGCTGTTACTCCACGACTAGGGGAAGCAAGAAAAACAAAAGGGAAGTCGTTCCATAGAGGTGCAAAAAAACAATTGTCAACCCATTGAGCGGCGCACAAAGAACAAAAGGGAAGAGTCCCGAAGGACAGAATGATCAGGATTTGAACCCGAAGCTAACGCTTTTACCATTTTGCTTGAGCTACTTCCCTGGTCATCATCTCTTGTGAATGTAGTATGTATCTTCGCAAGCTTTTTGCGAAGAAGAACCGTGTGTATGAGTCAACGGCGGTGGGCCGCTTAGCCAAGGCAGCAATGGCTCTCGGCCGAAGAAGTCTTCTTTGGTAAAGCAGCATGCATCCTTCTTCACTCTCCTTCCCCAAAGTCGCTGTGACCGGTACTCTTCGCATGCTGCAATGCCCATTGCTCTCCGGTACCAGTTTGCTTGCACTGGTTGCACTTTACCGTGAAACCGTGCGTGTCGGTGAAGTAATGCCTGCCTTGCAACACCTTGCACAGCTCCCTCGCTGCCTCCAATGCACCGCCGTCCATTTCTTCCTCCGCTGCCTTGATGACGTCGAACACTTTACGATCGAACTCCGGATCTGATCCTGTGTACGGTGTGACGGCGCAGACATCGTAGTGGATGCCGGAATAGACGAGGATGCAACGCGTCGGCTGTCCTTCGTTGAACCTGTCGATGCGGAGGTCTTGCACGTTGATGCTGCAGATTTCGATGTTGAAGTGTTGACTTAGAATCGAAAGCTCGATACCTCCTCCCCAACTGTCTTCGCGTTGGATCCATTGGCAGTAGGATGATGGTTCCTTCTCGAGCATGCCTTTGGTGTAGAGATCTGGATTGGCTTGGATCGTTTGGGCGACGACGCTTCGAAGCTCCGTCATGCCGTCGAGAGTGGAGCCGAGGACTGCTGAGGATAGGGCACGGAACATGCAGGAATTATCATCTGGCATAACACGGAGAATCATCACGCCCTCCAGCATCGGTACCGGCACTTCAGGTGGATCGCTCTCGACGTTGCCTTTTGGTTTGCGCGTCAGTCCTAATGGCTGCTGGTCGGGGAAATCGCCTTGTTGGTGAGCGGGTGGCGAGGTGAGATCTTTTGGTGGAAGAGGTTTGACGGCCTGCGCTGGTGGTTTCGAGTCTGATGTTGGATTCGAGAGCTTGTTATTGATGTCTCGGGGCATGACTGTAAGTTGCTCCCCGTTGAGCTTGTGCGGTAGGTCGTCGAGCTTCATCGCGCCGTCGATTGACTCGGTGTTCAGAGGTTGTGGAGGGTAGCCGAGTTTCAGATCGAAGTCTCCGTTGACTCCGGTCTTCTCTGAGATCTGGTTCAGGAGGTCCTGCCATGTGGCGGTACCATCAAGCGATATCGTTGCCGCGCCTTGAGGGCCTCTGACCCGGATCCGCATTGCATTCGTCATGGTGGTAGAAGGCCAGTAAATGTAGCACTCTGGGAAGAAGTAGCACAGGTGCTGTTAAGTAGTTTTCCTTAAAGCTCGGTCCTTTAAAGTTCAGCGCCTCAGTAGAAATCCAGTGGCGTAGCACTCAAAGGCAAGCCAGTGGACGAGCTTACGTAGCCGTGAGCGTCACGTGTAATCCAGATCAGCAGGCTAGATGAAGAGTGTGTCTCGTTCTTGTATATTGTCGTAAAGGGTCTTTCATAAAAGTGAACCATCAAAGTCGAGTCAAGCATGTGACAGCGGCAGAAGTGAATGCAATGTGTGGAACCAGGGGACTGGGCCCGGGATAGCCCGCTCATCCGGCCGCCGAAAGAATCCTAATGCAGATCTCGCGACAACTCAAGCCGCAAGGCATGTCGCGCGTCGCAACATCAATGTACAAGGCACATTTGGACTCTTCCGGTCCGCTACCTTCAACACCACCATAGCGATGCCTCCCAAGAAGCGCGACAGGAGTCAGAGCTCCACCCCGATACCATCCACAGAAGCAGCCCAGGATGCGCTTCCAGAGAGAGAACTGGATGCGATGCAGCGGGTGCTGAACAATATCTATGACTACCGCAGCGAGGATGGCTTCGACCCGTCCAAGCTGTTTCATAAGAAGGTCAACAAGCGCATCATTCCAGAATACTATGAGACGATCAAGGAGCCCATGGCCATGTCCACGATCAAGCAGAAGATCCACACCAAAGCCTACCGCAACTTCGCAGACTACGTACGCGACTGGGCGCTCATCATCCACAATGCGCAAGTCTTCAACCGGCCGGACAGTGGCGCTTTCCAGGACGCGCTGGTGATCAAGGCGCAGGTGGAGAAGCAGCTGCAGTCGTTGGTGGACGAAGGTCTGACCACGAAGGAAGTCACTGCGTTCCCAGATCTGGGCGAGATTCCGACGTTTGAGGAGGTTCCTGTAGAAGATGCAGATGGGAAGGCGGAAGAAGAGGAGGAGTCGGAGAACGAGGATGAAGATGAAGAAGACGAGGATGAACCAGACCTGGACGATGAGGGCCGACCGACTAAGAGGAAGAAGAGGATTGGAAGGCCACCTGGTAGTCGGACAAAGAAAGGTGAGGCGGCTGAAGCAGATGACGATGATGGCAAACGCTCCAAAGGTCGCCCGCCCAAGCTCTTCACGCCTACGGAAGCTCGAATATTGGCCGTCCTCAAAGGCATCCGCAAGCCTAAGAATAAGCAGGGCGAACTCATCATCAGAAATTTCGACCGTCTTCCTGAGAAGGCCACCATGCCAGAGTACTACGCCGAGATCAAGCAGCCCATAGCCTTTGACCAACTCAAAAGGAAAGTGAAGCGGAAGAAGTACCCGACGCTGGAGGCGTTCATGAGCGACGTCAACCTCATGTTCAACAACGCCAAAGAGTACAACCAGGATGACTCTCAGCTCTTCAAGGATGCTGTGATACTGCAAGTGGAAGCTGGCAAGCTGTATGATGCCGAGAGGGCAAAGCCGGATGACTCTTTCGCGGATGAGGATGGCAAGATACCAATGCCAAATGGCATACTCCACAACGGCGAGCTCTACAAGACCGGCGACTGGATCCACATCCAGAACCCGAACGACCTAACGAAGCCCATACCCGCGCAGATCTATAGGACTTACAAGGATCCGAAAGGCCAAAACATGGTGAACGTATGCTGGTACTACCGGCCCGAGCAGACCGTACATCGATTCGACAAGCACTTCCTCGCAAACGAGATCGTGAAAACTGGTCGCTATCGAGACCATCGCATTGATGAAGTCGAGAACAAGTGCTTCGTGATGTTTTACACGAGATACTTCAAGGGCCGGCCACGAAACCTACCTGAAGGAACTGAAATCTACGTCTGCAGAGACAGGTACAACGAGGAACGCCATCAGTTCAACACCATCAAGACTTGGGCTAGCTGTCTTCCGGATGAGGTTCGAGACAAGGACTATGAGATGGACCTCTTCGATCATGCCCGTCCGATGAAGAAGTTCTCGACGCCACTCAAGTATATGCTTAAGGACGAACAGAAGGAAACCGATGACTTCCCCAAGGTGACATGGGGTGCCGATGGCGCTCCTCCCAAGATCGGCGCTGTGCACCGGCGGCCAAAGAACGAGAAGGACTCGCATCCTCCAGAGCCTACGCCACCGCCTCAGCCGAAGGTCGAAACACCCGCACCGCGAACGATGCAAATGGCGCCAAACTACCAGCGCACTGTGTTGGCAGCCCCACAACAGCAAGGCCGTCCTCCAACGACAGGCGCAGGGCCCGCCTCCTATTCCTCGCCTCACCAATCCTCCTACGCTCAGCCCAACGCACCAAGTCCAGCGCCTCAGCGTCCACCCTCTGCGCAAGCATCCCACTACAATCCAGCAACACCACAAACCCAATCTCAACCCCGCTCCGCCGCCCCTCCAAGCTCCTACCAACCCCAACCTTCCTCCGGCCTCCCACCGAACATGGCGCAATATCCACCACGTCCGAATACCTCTACCAACTACCGTGATCCGCCGCCAATCGAAGTCTACACCTTGCCCGACCAAGCCAACCTCAGCATTCCGCCCGAGGTCCGCGAGCAGTACCAGCGCGATGAGTTCGGACGTGTGCTCTTCTTCACCGCGCCACCGGTCGCTGCCTCGAATGGTATCAGCGGTGATCTCGGCGGACACAGCGTGCGGTACCTGGCTGAGAAGGCGCGGCGAGCCGAGCAGCTGGCGCAAAAGCGGAAGGAGAGAGAGCTTGTGATGCAAAGGGAAGAGAGGGTGGCTAAGAAGGCGAAGGTTGAAGCTGAGGAGCGGAATCAGGACGAGATGGCAGCGCTCAAGAGGCGAGCACTGGGCGTGATGGAGGCGCAACTTGCAAGGTCGACTGAAGGCAAAGTTGGAGAGGATGACTTGAGGCGATTGGCGAAGGAGCAGAAAACAGCAGTGGAGCAAGCGAGGGCTATGGAAGAGAATGCGGCGAAGAGGGCAAGGATGAGGGAGGTAGCGATGGGTGCTGGGGAGGTGTTTCGGGACGACTGGGATAGTCGTGTGGGTTGATCACTGAAGGATTGATACGCTTAGATATCTACTCTAACGACATGCGCTTGCTGTCGTTTGATGACCCGTCTAAATCACGAATTGTTTCCTTCTGACGTGCTTGAGATGTGGATGGTGCAAGTTATTCATATGTAATGTATCGACCACAAGAATGGTAAGCTTAATCAATACCATCATCTCAGCGATGAGGCAAGTGAGTCTCATGCTCATGAAAGCTCTCATCCCCTGACCGGTCATACCCACGCTCAGCCACGTTCGAGAAGGGATCAGCACCAGCCATGTCGGCCTGCGTGATGTCCGAAAAGCCAGAGACTCTCCTCAACCGCTGCGGCTTCTTCTTCGTAGACGAGACATTGGCCTGAGCATCACCACAGCTATCCGGAGGCCGTTTCGTTGGACACGGACTGCGCTGCTCGAACTCCGCTTGCTGCATGCGGCCAGCCATCTCAATATCCACATCGGGATGCGCATCCTCATCCGCGTCAACCTCAACCTCAGTCCCGGACCACAAGCCATCGGTAAATCGTACAGCCTTGAAGCGCGACCGACCGAGACCTTCCCGTCCGCTAAAAGCTCACAGCCCTCATTAGCCACATGAAAGCGACAAATGTGCAGGCTACCACGAAATCTGATCCGCAACGTGCCTACTGTCATCCCACCCTTGCTGCCCACCCTCCTGCTTCATCGGAGGCTCGACAGCAATGCCCGGAGTCGGCCACGTCGGAGCCTTCTCCTTCTGTTCTGCAGTCCAGCCGTTCTGCATCGGAGGCGGATCGGGCGCGGGCTCGGGATCACGGCACACAGGGTCGACGAAGTCGCTGATTTTGTCTTCCGCGACGTAGACAGCGTACGTCGGCGTGCCTTGATCCCAGCCCTTGGCTTCGAAGATGGCTTCCAGCTTGTCGAACTTCTCCACGCGGTCGTCGTTGTAGAGGCGCCAGATGTCGTTCGCGAAGTCGTGGATGTAGAGCCAGTAGTGGCCGTGACCTGATGCGCCACGGTGGAAGAAGACGGCGTGGAGACGGTATTTGATCTTCTTCATGTCCTGGAATTGGGCGTTGAGCTGCTTTTGCAGGGCGGAGATGTCGTTCTCGAGCTCAGAGACCCTGTCTGCTTGCTTCTTTGCTTCGTCGATGAGGATGGAAGTGATGTCGCCATCGCCTTCGACCGGAGGAATGTCGACTTTTCGGAGCTGGTTGTTCACCTCGTCTAGGCTGATCAAGTACTCCGCCGTCTGTGCCACTGCGTTTGGTCCAGCAAGGTCGACTGGAGAGTCTTTCAAAGCTTTCAGCTCCGTCTGCAGGGCGTGAAGCTGCTTGCGCCATGCCCAGCATTGACGTCTCCTTGAACGTGTGTCCTGGTGGCTGTTGTCGAAGTACCTGTCCAGATACAGCTCGTCCTCGAGCTTCACACAAGCTGTAGTCTTGAACGCCGCGCCAGAGCCTCTGCTCCTGTCGTAGCCGATGCGAGGAATGCTGACCTGCAAGAGTGGGCCGATGGATTTCATACTCCGATATGTCTCCAGCGCTGGGTCGTCGGCGAATGATTGCAAGTCGAACACTGCGTCAAGCGCAGAGTAGATGTCGGTGTCGTCATATGGCACATTGAGCTGAATGGCAGAGTCGAACTGGGGCGTGGATTTGCCTTCGACACCCTCTCTGACTGCAGTCTGAGCAGTCTGGATAGAGAACATGCTTCTCAGAACATCCTCTTGCTCGTTCTCAGAGTCCTGTCCGGTAGGCGACATGCCGTTGCGAAGAAGAGAAGTGATCGAGTCATGCACTTCTGTGACATCCTGCTGCGCTTTGGCGTTTGCCTGCGCTCTCTTCAGAGCCTCCTCCTTGGTGGTGGTCGAGAATCTTCTTGGTGGAAGTGCTGGAGGAGCGGGTTCGGCTTGCGCATGCTCGACGCCCACCATACCTGGTGACTCGGGAGGCGTAGGCGGCAGACCTCCGTCTTTCATGGCGACATCTCCTCCGTCACCATTGACCAACGTTTCGCTCGAGGTGTCGGACTCCTTCATTGATTCAGCCAAAGTCTTGGTCGGACTCAGCACAGTATCACCATCCGTCATCTTCTCATCAACGGCGTGCTCGTCGCCGTTCGAAGTTCCATTTGGACCGCTTGGCTTCTCGTCCAGCACGACAGGATCAAGAAGCTTGTAGTCCTTTGGCCTCAGAAATGCGCGGCAGACCAAATCTGCATCTGGCTGGACAGCGGTCGCCCGAGATTTAATCATGCGCTCGAACAGGTGCCTCAGATCTTCTGCAAAACGTTGACCGCCTTCAATCTCAAGCGTAGACACCATTGCATATCCGACCCGCATCTTTTTCTCACCTTGCGTCTTTGTGTCCCACTTGTACTGGCCGTAATTGAGCACAATATGGCGTAGTGGCTTGATGCTGAAGTAGTATTGGAGCAGCGAGTTCAGGTAGCAGGTGTTGCCGTGGCTTTGGAGTCCGACTGGCCAGCTTTCAACAGCGTAGCCATTTGCGCCGCCACTTCCGCTTCCGCCGGCCAGAGCTTGTTGAATCGCCGCGATGGCTCTATCCGTCTGCTCGCCTGGTCGGTCTTGCCGTGCGCTATCGAAAAGCACAGGGACTATGGTGGGGTCGAGATCTTGCAATTTCTGCTCGATGTTGAGGTGCCGCAGAGCTTCGTCGACGCTCATCTCGGTCGCGGTCTGATCGCCAGTTATGAGCCAATTGTTGAGCATGTTGCTGTTCCGGGCTTTCGCGATGGTCGCAATCGCCTTCAAGCCAATGTCTTCGTTCTCCTTGCTCTCGGCTTTCTACAGAGTAGGTTAGCCAGCGCGCTTCGGGCGCACGAGCTCAATGTTGTGCACTCACCTTCATGGTATAGACGGCAAGCAAGCCTTCGTCCTGTGTTGTCTTGTCGACACCATTCCCGAGCCAGCTTAAGGCATCCTCGTAGGTATCGACAGACTGCTTGGACGCGTTGATCAGAAGCGGGCTGTTGCGCGAAAGACCTATCCTGTGTAGATGCTGCCTCGCCTCCTGTTGCGCTATAGCACCTAGGTCGGACTGCTGCGCCTGGTATTTGTCGAGAATCTGGCCGTCTTTGTAGTTGTTCGTTTTTGTGAGCGAGAAGCCGAAGTAGCGATAAGCTGCTGACAGATCCCGCCGGCTCACGATATCTTGTGACTGAAGAGTCGCCAGCTTCACGTCGAGCTGTTCAGTTTGCCGTTGCTCCGCAATGACTTGCAAACACTCGACGTAGTACGCGTAAAGCGTGGGGTCGCAGACTAGCTGTCGCTCAAAGGCGTACTCTAGAAGGCTATCGGAAAAGTCTGGTAATACGCCGAGGCTGTTGTAGTATCTTTGATTGAAGATCAGTGTTGAACAAAACGGGGTGAGGAACAGGAAGAAGTGACTTACGGAAGTTCCGCGTTTGACGTGTTGGTGCGACGCGACGACATCTGGCGCTGGTCTACAAGACATGTGTTAGCACATGCGGTGGAACGTGCAGACGGATAGGGACATGACATACAACCAGTGGATCCCACAGTCCTTTCAATATCCATGTTTGCCGACGACATGTGATGGTCGGCAAATGGGTTCGTCATGCCGGTCTCAGCAGCCATTTTCCGCATCAGAGCAAGCAGCTCGTTGTCCACATCCTCTAAGAGTTCCCGGAGGCTTGTGCCGTCGACTTCAGCGCGGTGTTGTATTCGTTCAGGTCTAGGCAGGTACCAGGTGTCGTCCTGCTTGTTGTATCAGCACACTTCCGTCCCATTGAACACATTTCGATTGCCTTACTGCGTACTGGAAGCCAAGCTTCACCAGCAAGTCACGGCACTCTTGTCCCTGCACGCCAAACACCTCCTGGAAGCGCTTGTTGTGCCCTCCGACTGACTTCTCTTGTTCCGCCTGCAGCGCGTCCGATACATATCGTCGCAACCTGTGATATGGCTGGATGGGCGTAGCCTGCCTAACTCCCTCTCGATCAGGGTCACGCTCCAGCAGCGCCTCATACCGTCTCTTGAGCAGTGCTTCGTCTGTGAGGAGTACCACCTCCTCATCTGTAATGCGTCCTTGTCGGTACACGATCGCCAAAAGCGCCCCGCACTCATGAACAGAGCATCGCCAGTAGTACCCTATTCTACCGGGCAATACGGTGCTCTTGGATTCCAGACATTGAAAGTGATGGAGGGGGTGGTCGTTGGTTGGACATGGCATCCGCGAGTGCGAGTAGTCCATCTGTATGTCCGCGTGCATTCGGCACCTCTTGCACATCACCGCGAGCTTGTACTTGGTGGTGCTACCATCGGATCGGGAATCGAGCGGTGGTGGAACGCTCTGCGTTGGCTTGACAGTGTAGTCATGCTTGCAAGAGCTGTAGCTGGGTGCAGGTTGAACGCCTTCGCCCTGCGGTGGCGGAACATCCCAGAGGACATTTGGTTTTCCCTTAAGAGGATCGAACAGCAGGAAGTCGTGTACTAGTTTCGGCGCAGTCTTCCCAGGCTGGACGCCCGGAGTATTCATCGAAGCGTCGTCTGCTCGTGGAGGTGTAGATGTGCTGAATCGGTTTACTGAGGGTAGAATGTGGTTGTGAGTTGTCTCCAATACGAAGGCGCCAGGGTGTACGTCCACTGTGAATGTCAGCGGGTCGTCCTGTCCCGGCCTTGACATGTGAATGTAGGCTTTAAGCTCACGCCTCACGCAGCACGCGCCAACCAGGCCGTTTGCTGGCGCGGGTGATCGCCTCGCCAAGGCATCTTGACAGTACGTCAACCGGACTTTGCATTACTAACGAAGAGCAGGCTGTTGGATGCACAAGAGATATGGGACGGTATATGGCTCGGATGGGACGGAAGCACGTATTTTTCTGAGTATCGGCTTGAAGGCAATTATTTGAAGCACCATGCTACGGCGCCTCTGAACCGCCTTCTTCTGTTCCTACAGTATCCCTCGTACTCCTTCTACGGAATCCATTCGCGCGACTCGGATGCCGGCTACGACTCCAGACGTCAGCCGTACTACGACTGCCTCGTCTTCGTCTCAGCGCGGTGATGTAGTCACCGCCTTCCCACGAATCTCCTCCGAGCACTTCATCAATGTCAGACATGTCGTCGATGATGTCCTGCGGTGGATCTTCATCAAAGACTGCATGCAGGTCGCCGTGCGCTCCAAATTGCTCCCACATCGTCAACCATCCGTGGCGTTTGGGTGGTGTGAGCATGCGAGAGCGGTTCCAGAGGTAGCGGCGTTCCCAGAGGGACACGAGGAACAGGAAGGGAGCGTTGGTGACGCGGATCAAAGTGATATTCACCTGAAATGCTTGTCAGTCTTGGTGTTAGCCGCACGAGCTAGAATAACGTACCTTGTGCCACCACCGTGGGCTGAGTACGAACTTCAGTGGAAGAAGCGTGAGCAAGGCCACAATGTTCAGTGGCGGCCTGTAAGCAAACAATGCATCCGACTTGACACCCTCGAACGTGAGCACCGCTCTTCGGAACTGAATCTCCGCCGTAGCGTTCTGCGCCAGGTTCTGGTAGGTGTTGCTGAGCATGGCAACCAGGATAGTCAAGAACAGTGTGTTGCCCAAGAATGCAAACAGTATCATCAAAACCGGCCCCAAGAACCAATGCATCTCCGTAGAGCGCTGCACCCCCGTGCCATCCAGACCAAACCATATCCAGAGCATCCATTTGGCGATAACAATGATGCTCTCGGGAGTGTTGCCTTCCTGGGTTTCGCTGAGCCACCACATGGCGAACAAGAAGCCGCCAAAGCACCAGGCCGCTAGAAGGGTGAGGAAGAAGAAGTCGGCCATCATTGCTCTTAGTGATATGAACAGCATATTCTCCGGCAGCAGACAGAAGGCCAGGCGCGGAAGTAGGATAGGCGCTGCAAGACTGATGATGTCGGTTGACAGCTTAGCGTAGCTGGAGTCATTCATCGCAAAGCCATGCATTCGTACGCCGAAGTATGTGCAGAAGATGGCGACAAAGGTGAGGTCCAGGAATGACCAGAGGTTCTCGGTGTGGACCGTCCAGCCGTGTTCGCATATGGAAGCCAGCTCGTCCAAGACCCAGCCCAAAGCATAGACGTCGAAGATGAGTTCGTATACAGTGTATCGAAGATGTCGAGCGCCTAGTATGTGCTCTCTGTTGGCTGTCATCAAGAGGTAGAGGATGAGCAGGACGATGAACTGGCCAGCTTCAAGGATATTTCGTGTTCTCGGCACGACTAATCGGTATTGGTTGAGGTAAGGTGCTCGCCTGGGGTCGTATAAAGATATGCCGCGGTTCTTGTAGTGGTCTGGTAGGATGTTTATAAATGATGTTGGTGTGTAGATGATGCGTCCTCGGTAGACGTTTTCGACGATCTTTTGGCAGGCAGACGTGCTAAGGAAGGACTTCGCTTCCGTCACGATCGCGACCTATACCAGACACATTCAGTCAGCATGCCTCTCGAAATACAAGCTCACAGTGAGCTTCTAGAGAAAGCCGAATAAGTTCAAGTACACATACCTCAAGAGCAGTCAGCATTCGCTCATACTCTGGCCTGACAAGATGATAGCGCATAGTCCAGCTCGCAGCCGTCCGGTGGTCTCGAATGATATGCATGGGAGCATTCTGGAAAGGCTCGAAGCCCGCCACCAGGACGTTCGCCAAACGGAGCAGGCCGTGGCGACCTTCGTGGTCTTCATCATACCGACGCAGTACACGACTGGCGATTAGCTCGCACAGGTTTGCTCTGGTGATGTTGACGGTCTGGTGGTGGGCTTGGTAGCTCTGCTCCCTCAGAAATTGCACCCTATTCACCAGCAAGCAATACACCACGCTGACATCGTCTGGATCGTACAGATGATCTACGAGCGGCCGTACGACAGCCGTGTTCATGCGCGGACTCTTCAACTGGTCGATCGAGTACGGGTCGTCTATACACAATCCTTAGCCTATCGTCCGAACAACGTACAACTCGAGCTCTCCTACCAATGCTTGCTATTACCAGCCTCCTGATCTTGTGTATCGTCGCGTATACTGGAAGTCTTGCGTGCGGATTCGGCGCCCGCGGCTCATCGTTCACTCGAGGAGGGTAGCACCCATCGTCGTCCGCCTCTTCGTCGGCTCCCAGCAATGTCTCCTGCTCTTCTCTGGACCGCTCTAGTCGCAACGCCTCGCTGACACTCTTGGAGCTCTGCCCGCGCAGGGTGCCACGCTTGAACAGGTCTGGGCGCTGCGGTGCGTCCAGCAGCCTGATGTGACCATCGGTTCCTGCATCACTGGGAGGAGCATTGGACGGCCGCGAAGTGCTCGAGTTCTGTCTACCCTCCTCCAAGAGGTTAGGTCGCGCAGGACTCTGGCTGGACGGTCGTTCCATTCACACTGGATGGTGTACACGCTTGGGCATGGCCATCTCGAAGGCAGAAGAAGACTTTATGCTTTGACGCAACCATTCGGCAATCATCAACAAGCAATTCGCAAAAATGACGCGCCGCGGGCCTTCTGGAACTGCTTGGCTCTGCTGGAGCTCCCCACCAGCACTTGTTCAAGCAATGGCCACGAGACTCGGTAATACTTCGGCAGCCAGCAGTTACCGATGCGCACGGCAGGATTGGAAGACAGCAAAAAAGGAACACGCTCGTAGCTTACGCTGCTGATTGGAAGTCAGCATATTTCTCCTTGTAATGACCAAGGTGCTGTTAATAACTAACCGAACAGGATTCGAACCTGCGCGCCCGAAGGCATTAGATTTCAAGTCTAACGTGTTACTTATGATATCGTTAGCCTGGTACCAATGGATATCAATCAAGAGGGCAACGTACACCACTCCACCATCGCAGCGCGGGAATAGCCGAGAATGCATTTTACAGTCTATCAATGCTTGTCTGGAACGTGTCTGTCCTCCGGTGGCTCAAATGGGCGAAGAGATCTCTCTCTTGGTCTTGGACTAGGATGGAGCCCAGAACTGATCAATTACTCCGTATACTAACTTACGGCGAGCTATCGGGGATGAGAGCCACTGTGGCCGCGAGCGAGAAAGAAACTCTGCTCAAACCAACCGACAAAGACCGAAGGTAAACAACGAATACGTCACAGCAGCTCACAGCAGCTCACCCGAGATCAGCAACACTATCTCCTCAAGGGGGAAGCCCATCTCGCGTGGGCAGCCAAGCTAATGTACGTTTATCAGTCGATAAGATCCACGAGAACAAAATGTTTTACTCTGCTTCCTCATTGATGACCACACAAGGTCGCCGGCACCCACGATGGCAAAGAAGTCCCCAACTGATCAATCGCCCGAGAAACGAGACCATGGCGGTGAACACCCCCATATCGATCCAGTCAAGGAACGGAAGCTGGTCCGCAAGCTCGACCTTCATATCGTTCCGACGGTGATGCTGTTGTATCTGCTTTCCTTCCTCGATAGGCAGGTAACATGTGATTGACTTGTGATTGACGAAAGTACTGACGGATGTTCAGAGTCAACATCGGCAACGCAAGGCTCTATGGACTGGAAAAAGACCTAGGTCTTCAAGGCAACCAATACCAAATCGCCGTCTCGCTGCTGTTCGTCACGTACATCATCTCAGAGCTGCCCTCGAACTTGGTCATCAAGCACTACGTTCGACCGTCACGATGGATCGCCTTCATCACAGTCTCCTGGGGCATTATCGCCACGCTTACCGGGCTCTGTCAGAACTACGCCGGCTTGATCGTTTGCAGACTGTTCCTAGGACTGGTCGAAGGCGGCCTCTTTCCCGGGTGTGCGATCTACTTGACGTTCTTCTATACAAAGCGTGAGCTGGCGCTCCGAGTTGGCTACCTCTTCGTCTCGGCCGCTCTGGCAGGTGCCTGTGGAGGTCTCCTAGCCTATGCCATTGGCCACATGGATGGCATCGCCGGTCAACGAGGCTGGAGATGGATAATGATTTTAGAAGGCTTGCCCACCTTCATCCTGGGCATCGCTTGCTGGTGGATCCTTGCAGATGATCCTGAGACTGCCTACTACCTCAACGCAGAGGAGAAGGAATTGGTCATCCATCGCCGCAATACCCAGATCGGCCAGAGCGACATCTTCGACTGGAAAGATGCGCGGAAAGGTCTAAAGGACTGGAAGATCTACGCATTCTGCGCCGGACAGTTCTGCATGGACAACATGCTCTACACCTACTCGACGTTTCTCCCAACCATCATCGAAGGCATCTGGCCAGACGCAAGCGCAGCGATCGTCCAGGTCCTCACGATTCCTTGCTACGCCGTAGGTGCAATTACATACATGGCTTCAGCTCGATTCAGCGACTGGACGCAGCTTCGGGGCCCTGTGATAGTTTGCATCAGCTTGTTCAGCATCGTCGGCTACGCGCTGCTGATCTCGCCGGTGTCTTTCGCGGCGCAGTATGCTGGTTGTTTTCTGGTGGCTCTTGGGCTCTATGTGATTGTGGGTATTCCTTTGGCATGGTTGCCGACGAACAATCCGCGGTATGGGAAACGGACGACCGCTACGGGCTTGCAGCTGACTATTGGCAACTCCGCTGGGATCATGGCACCTTTTGTGAGTTTGACTCTCCGCCTTGCTCGACGATCAACATGAGTTCGTCGCTGACTGATGCAACCACAGCTCTATCCTAACGACGAAGGCCCACGCTTCGTGCGAGGGCACGGTGTGACAATGGGTCTAATCATTCTTGGTAGCCTCATCTACGGGTTCATGTTCGTCTATTTCTCCGGGCGGAACCAAAAGCGAGAACAAGGTGCCGAAGACAAGGCGATGGAGGGTTTGAATGAAGAAGAGATCCTTGCTCTCGGCGACGAAAATCCTCGGTTTCGATTTGCCAGATAAATAATTCTCGAACGTCTTCATTGCTGAACAAACTCCTCCGTCGCTGGCCTCGTGGAATCCGACTCCCTCTCCAGATCACCCTTAATACTTTCAATATACCGTGCCTCCACAGACTTCGTCTTCTCCAGGAAGTCAGCCCGGTGAATGCAATATTGCTCGAGCGAAGGCTTCCAGTCCTCGAACTCATCCAGAGCTCCTGCGGATACGCTCACTATATCATCGTTCAACGGCGTGTGATTGAACAGGTTGCTGCCACAGTTCTTGCAAAACTGTCGTTGGAGCGGCTGACCAGAGTCCGTCATGCTGTCAACATACGTGGACAGGTAGTCTTCGCCTTCCGTGATCACGAAGCCCTGGCATTGTCCCAAGTTAGTGACGCAGTCGTGCTTGACTGCAGGGCAATGTTGCACAGCATATCCATCAACCAGGTACAAGGGACGCATCATGCACGCTCTGCTTCCACGTCTGCACACTTACATCTTTCGGCCAGATTGCTGCAGTATACAGTGCCGATCCAGTTCTCCGCCGGCAGTTGAGGCAATAGCACACCTATGTCCATCTGTTAGATGGCGCGGTTACGGAACGGCGGCTTGTCGCAGCACACGGTGTTCCACTGCGCCTTCCCTTCGAGTTCAAACTTCACTTTGCCACACAAGCATGCGCCGGTCTTGACTTTGTCCGGCTCCATGGATGTAACTTTTTCGCGATGCGGTGTGTTGCATGATGATGGACAGACGGAGCGGTGGAAGCTGGGTGCTGTCGCCCTGGCTCGCCTGGCAAGCTGTCGTGTCTTGCCGCCCCACGCGCCGTCCATTCTTCCACCTCGACATGACCCATCACACCTATCATATCTCTTCCCGGCAGGCCGCTTTTGCGGTCAGGCGACTAAGTTGCCGGCAGGACTGGCGCCATGTGGACGAGACCCTCATCAAGACTCCTACACGCCCACAAATCCTGGTGGACGTGGCCTGGATCATCGGCGGTCTGCCGAGTTTATCAGCAATTACCACGTCCACCGCAGTTGTCTAACGACGCTCATGACCGGAGATCAGACACCCGTCCACAAGGCCAGCTCGACATTGGACCAGGATAACCCATTGGCGAGCATGCGAACCAGCCAGCTCAGTGAGACTCCCCCGATCGGGTGTCGTCGGCCTCGACAGCTCTCAACCGCCGTTTCAATGAGCCGCTTTATGCATACAAGGACCGTCCCGACGAATCACTCTCTGGTGCACGCCTTAGTTCTCAGCGCAAGACGTGGCAGGCTGACAGACTCTCGCACGTGCATTACTGCCCAACGCCGTCCTGTTTTCCCTTCCACTGTCGGAGGATGGCATGTCCACCCGCGAAAAACGTGGCCGTCGCCTGCAGCGCGTAACTCCTCCAACGCCTGTCACACGATTTGTCTAGGCGGCGCCTCGTCAATTCGCAGCCAGGGCGAGGCGTTGAGCCACTGCTGTCTGATCCTATGTTATCCGAGCTCAGTGTGCCTAATTTCTGCCTGTTGGCTGGCGGTAGATCCACCGGATACAGCGCCGATGGAGGGACTGGATGCAAGTGTATGGAGTCAACCCCCATGGGCCATTATTGATAGGTTACGCAGGTTTGTCGAAGTTGATCTTCTCTTATTGCAGTCACCTTCTCCTGCATTCTCCTGTAACGAGCGTTTTCCGGTGAGGAATATCTTCTGTGCAACACTACTCCAGATTCTTTACTTCTTCTCTTGCAGTCTCTTCTCCACTGTTTCTTCAAGTAAGGCAGCAACCACCAGAACAATTCTCCGCAGAATGCACGTATCGCATCTTGGACTCTCTGTTTCCGACAAGCCATCTTCGACGTCGTTCTACCTCGCAGCTCTCCAACCGCTCGGCTACCGATTCATTGGACGTCAAGGCGATTCTATAGGACTAGGGATTGAAGACGCAGACCTGTTCCTCACCCAGGCCGAAAAAGGGTAAGGACTACAATAGGGTGTCGAGCTGTGGCCTAGACTGACGTTCTTGCAGTACAAAGGTATCTCCTACACACATCGCATTCACGGCACACAGCCAACTTGCAGTGCGGAACTGTTATGCTGCGGCATTAAATGCGGGTGGGTGGCCGAGTGGCGCTCCGGGCAAGCGCAACGATGAATGCTCCTGCTTCAACGCTGCGGTGACAGACCCCGATGGACACACCATAGAATTCATCTTTCGCGAAACTCCCGACGGCGAGGCATGCCATAGCGCCGCACCGCCTTCCGAGTACACCTACGCAGGTGCAGGAACGGAGAGTATCGCACGAAGCAGGTACCAGGACGACGACCGATCGATAGCCTCGAAGGCTTCGCGTGCAAAGTCACGAGCTCAGACCGCGCTGGACCTAGCATCTGCTACTTCGAAATCGACGAGGCAGTCCATAACGTCGGCTCCCGCGCCCGGTCTTACACGCTCTCGGACCGAGCCCCTCTCTACTGATGGCAGCAGAAAGCTCGTGGGCACCTTGCTGGGCGCCGCAGCTGGGGCCGCAATAGCGTATGTGGCGCAGCAGGCCGAGAGAGACAGCGCTCGTCAGGAATCAGAATATGCTCGGTCAAGGCTGTCCTCCGCCAGGTTGGCTCGCACGAGAAGCAACTACGAAAGACCAGCCGCATCCAGAGTCTCCAGTTCACGATCGAAGATCACGGGTCGAGAAAGAATGGCGATCGAACCGCGGAGCTACTCCGACGACGACTTTCCGGATGTGATGAGTCGCTACACGTCCTCACGACGTCCGGAACCGCAGCGTAGCAGGACTTATGACGCTATTGAGTACAGTCCACGAACAGCTTCTTCGACGAGGTCAGCACGAAGCGAGCGACACCGTCCGCAACGCTCGACCACTTTACCCGCAGACCTGCCAGACAACTTTTTCCAAGCGCCCAAGCTCATCGCAGGTTCCCGGTACTCTTCAAGACGGGGGAGCATGCCCGACGAGGGACTCAAGCGACACGACAGCGCAGTGAGCGTGCAGTCTTCCCGCTCCCGTCGCTCAGCCGACGGCAGCAGACGATCGTCGGCTAGTCAGGCCAGCACCGTCAAACCGTCGAGAAGAGGCTCGACATATGGGAGTGCAGCCGAATACCCTCTGCCGTCTTCAAAGGCATCATCTTCTATGTCTTCAGCACTCAAAAGACCCCTGCCAGCCTCCCGAGCCTCGTCCTACGCCACAGGCCTCACAGCCGCGAACATCTCCCTCCCACCATCCCGCTACTCCGACCTCGCCGAAGAATCCGACGGCATGGACGACACGAAAACCATCGTCCCCGAAGACAGCATCTCCTGCATCGACTTCTCCACCAAGTCCAAGTCGAAGCACGGTCGGAGTACCGGACGAGGCTCTTCGCGACACAGCAGCTCGAAGCGCTCGGAGGCGGATAGCGATCGCACCGTCAGACCTGCGAAGACGGGCGGCAGTAGGCACAGCGCGCAGACGCTTCCGACGCGGTTGAAGGAGGATTATTCGAGGAGTGGTAGGGAGGGGAAATGGAGTACGAGGAGCCACAATTGAAATGATAGTAACGACAGATTGGTTCGGTATGACAGGACGTTTGGGAGTAGTAATTAATGGGTTGGGTCAACTTGGACTGAGCGCTGGGTGGAGGTGCTTGGGGTTGTAACTATAGTGCGTTGACTTTCGGTATCAACACGACTGATCTAACCCTTCAAATCGCCCGTTTTCATACTGTCTTTGCTGCTCGTCAACGCCACCGCAGGGCGCGAGGAGGATTCCGTGGGAGTCGTATAGGACTCTGCCGCGGAGCTATCCGAGTATCAGGTATCCGGATGAGGTAGGTGAGGAAGGGGATGGATGGGAGGAACGCTGGTAAGGTCTTTAGCTGTGGAGAGGTAGTTTTGACTTTGAAGGCAAGGGTGATGTAGATCCCGTACTGAGAGCGCACATGGACGAAGCGCATCTCGGAGTGGTGTACGGCGAGAGGAGGAATCCGGTGAGAATGTGGTACAAGCTGGCCATGTCGGTCGGGACGAGCACGGGATCAATGTACATGGGAGGAGCGGTGCCCTGAGCGCCTGGGTGGAAATCTCGTGCTTCGCGCGTGAGGAAGATGGCACAGAAGGATGGATTATCTATAGCATCAGCTGTCTAAAACACTTTTATGGCTGTAACCCACCAAGCTTGCTGTCAACATGAGCTGCACCGCCGTATGCATTACTCAAGGCCTGCCACCCAGCTTTTATACCACCAACGCAAACCCACTGTAGCTCTGACAGACAGGGCACAAACCCCAAACAAAACCCATACACTCTCCCGACAGAATGGAAGTAGTGGCCCGTGTCTGTCGAAGTCGTGGATGATGTTGTTATCCAAACAGACAAACTCCGCGCAGCTCCATCATAGCCAACAGTCTTGATACTCAAATCCCTCGCCTCTGATGTTGCGATCGTTCGGCGTCTTTAAGCCAAGTAACTCGTATCCGTATACTTGCCTATTGATGCTGTCCAAAGGCGAACAACCTGCTGGTGAGTCGAAGAGGGCAAGGAGAAGGTGCTCTGGCGCAACAAGAAAACTTTTGGTGCTTTTGGGCTGGCGGGTCTGCTGCGTATGGCCTAAATAATGTCCCAGGCGTCCTCGGCGGCGTGACAGAACTTGCTGCAGGCGACACTGGCGCTCAAGCTGTAGTTGCTGATGCTGATTGAGTCGTCCTTGAACTGGTCGGCGAAGGTATCCTCGCCCTTGGCCATTGCACCGACGAACACACAGACGCTTTCCTTGGTGTTGAGGTCGCCGATGTAGTCTCGGACACGGACGACGGGAGCGTCGAAGGAGAGGGTGACCTTGCGGCAGTTTGGCGGGAGATGGTCGGTGATTGGATTCTTAATCACTTTCAGCAGCTTCTCCTGCGAGTTGGTAGAGCGAATGCTCAGGTTGTGCAGTAGCTGGACCATGAGACCGGCGAAGCGCTTGAAGGTACGCGGGATGCGGACGGTAGGCGAGACCTCAATGAGCACACCCTTGGCTGTGTGGATGTAGATCTGAAGCTTGCCCGCTTTGTTGACGGGCGAGTCGAGAAGGGTGAGCAGGCACTATCGCATGGTCAGCACGAATACCTCCAGTAGAGGGGCTTCAGGACGCACCTGATGCGTGATATCCGGGCGAGCATCACTAATGTCGCGATTCATCTTGCGCATCACACCGATATGCTCGTCACTGTTGAGTAGGGAGTATTTGTTCTCTTTCATGCCATTGCGGCCGACGGCATGCGAGGCCTTGTACGTCTCAAGGCTCGCGTTGGACAGGACTACGATCAGGCGCTTGGTGTCCTTGTCGCTGCTGGCGATGGGCACGTTCTGCTCGGCTACCAGTTGAGGGAGGCTCGGAGGCGGCAGCGACTGTGTCTGTGTGCCTGCACGGCCGGTGTAGGCCACTTTGTCAGCCATGGCAAAGCTTCTGTTGAAAAGCAATGCGGTGCAGCAGTTGGGGTGAAGAAGCAGGGAGGACAGCAGCAGCAAGGTGAAGAGTGAAGATTGTTTGCTGCTCGGAGTGTTCGGAGGTGCGGCAGCCACGTGATGCGATGCGGTCGATCGTGGATCTCAGTATGCAAGCAGAGGCGAAAAGGCAAAAGCAAGAGGCAGGATCTTTTTTCCTCAACAGGCAGTAGTGCATGAGCAACGCCAGCAGTCAGTGAGGGGGGAAAACACGTAGATAAAAAAAGCGCGGGTGTCACTCACGAAACCTCTTCGTCTCTCGTCCGCTACTCGACGGGCGCCTACCGATGTAGTCGGCGTTGGCACACCCGTCCAGCAACGACCTCTCCAGCTTCTCGACCTCGGGCGACGACGACATCTTCTTCTCTCTCGAATCTGGCGATTTGGCAAGGACAAAGGGGCTGCAGAGCTGGCGGGAAAGAGGTTGAGCTCGTCGGGTGGTGAAGGGCGCAAGAGTCTCTGTTGGAGAAAGGACCTGCGATGGCCTGCCTAAATACCCACCGTCTCGCGTCGGTAATATGATGATTGTTGGACTCTGGCGACTCGACTGCGTACAACGAGAGAACTGCCTGTCGATCGGAGAGATGGAACGAAGAAACTTTTCTCGCTTCTGCCACTGCGGGCGAGCACCGCTTACTCGCCAAGCGCCGCACGTGACCCTCCCGCAGCAAATCAGATGGCAGCCAAGGTCAACCCTCCCACGCTTTCACCACTCCACCCTGCACGGCTATATTGTCGACAGCAAAGATCTGACGAGATCGATGTACAAATTGGAATGCGAGTGCCCTGCGCACCAGAAAGCGGAGAAATGGTACAAGGATGTGCAGCGCGGAAGCGGCCATACAAGGCAGCTCAACAAGCTGCCAGCTTGCCTTAGCTTCCCAAGTGGACTGGCTACTGGCTAGCTCTGTAGGCACCTCACGACTCCGCGGGAAAAGATGTCTGCCGAGAGAGAAGACAACGCGAGGTGGAAGGACATCATACTCCGCTGCTCGGTCAAAGAACCTAGCGAAGGGGCTGGAACGATTCAAGCGGATACAGCACTGCAACCAGGCATTGCTGAATCACAGGGAGTACGGCCCGCGGACGCCCTTGCCCTGAATGCACCTCATGCGTGGATTGCGTCTTACAGCTGCGCGAGCCCGAGAGTTGCATCCACCCGATGTTCCACGGCATTATCACCGAGCGCAGAGGATAAGTGAAGGTAGGTCCATTGGCTTGAGTTGCAGCGGGACCAGCCATGCCGTCATTCATCCTGTTCTGTCTATCATGTGAAAGCGCCAGGCTGGGCCATGACGATCGATATCAGCGCAAAATCAGCGGCGAGAGCATGGTCCGAAGCAAGAGCACGATCACAAACTCATGACCAGCCAGCCGACAGGGTACGAGGTAAGTTATTCAGAAGAACCGGCTAGTCATGTGTTTCTCTCTATCACGTGCAAGGGAAGACTTGTTGACGACGCGGATCAAGAGAAGAGAAGAACAGGCGTTATTTGCACAACAGACTTGCGGATGGCAGACACAACCACGAGAGCGGACGTGCTAGTCAAGACACAGCCCTTCAAGCAACATGGAATGCCTCAAATGCACGAGGATGGGAAGATGCTAAGGCGCATAAGCACATAAGACTTCTGGCTCAGATAAAGAACACAACGTCAATGAATACGAATACTGTTACATCTTCACAGTCCATCCTCTCAACGACTAATCCTGTCCAATCCCTTCAACCAAACTGCCAAGTATGGTCACCCAGCGGCAGCCACAACTGCAAGCACCTCCAAGAGCCCAGCCACGACCCCATACGCAATCACCTACGCAACCCCAACCCTCACCCTCTCCCCACACCCCAACCTCCAAACCCTCGTCCCCGCCAACCCTTTCTCCTCCAACATCCCCCTCACCTCCTCAACCCCAAACCTCCGACTCTTTATCCAAACCGTCGCCAACCCCCTATTATCCTTCTCCTCATCATGCGCCCCAAACCACTCCCTCGCCCGCACCGCCTTCGCCAGCTCCACGCCTCCGGGCGCGCCGCCCGCGACGCGTCCGCCCATGAACCACGGGTTTTCCTCCGTGTTCATGCTGTGAAAGAGGGCGGTGAGGGGGAGGGAGCGGAGGTGCGTGGTGTGGTAGGGTGCGAGGGTGTGCGGGGTGATGCCGTGGGGGGTGTAGAGGAGGGAGAGGAGGGGTTCGGTGTTCGGGGCTGGGGTTGGGTTGGCGATGCCGGAGTCGGCGCGTTGGTGGTGAGGGGCTGGGAGGGGTGGGAGGGGAGGGGCGGGGGTTGGAGGGGTTTGCTGGGGGAGGTAGGGGAAGCTGACGGATTTGCGGAGAAGTTTTTTGTCCGTGGGTGGTGGGAGGGTGTCGCTGCCGGTTCGGGGACGTTGGGCGGGGGTTTGAGGGCGCGAGATGCCGTTGGTAGACAGCTGGACGGTGGTGCCTTGTTCGTAGCGCTCCCATTGCGTGTTCATGGTGAAGACGCTGCTGGGTGGTTGGTAGGTGATGCCGATGGCGTTGTGGAGGCCGGTCACGTCGCGCTTGGTAGCGATGTTGGCGATGGTGATCTCGCCGCTCGCGCTGGTGGAGGTGTATGCCGGTAGTGGGATCCTCACGACCGTTTCAGGTCGGTCTGCTTTGTATGGATCCATGGCGAGCACTCGTCGTGGGTTGAAGTGCCCCCATGACCGTATCTTCTTCGCAGCAGCTGGCGTTGCTATGATGTTGACTTGCTTCTTCTTCGACAGCGAGCACAGCGTCTCCTTGTGGCAGTGGTCCGGCTTGTCTTGACTGATGATGATCAGGTCGATGTGCTCCTTGATATCATTTATACTCGCGATCGCTGGCTCGACCGTGTGCTGCGAGACCTGAAACGTCGGATGCAGGATGGACGACTGTCCGCTCAGCCATGGATCGATCAGGATGGTATAGTCGCCTGGGAATCGTGTCCGCTTGTCATTTTGCTCTGGCGCAAAAGCTGGACAGAAGGTGAGGAGGATGGTGGTATCGCCGTTGAGCTGGGTAACCGTGAGAGCCATGCTTCTGTCGCGACTCGCTCATGGGGGCAGTATCGGCGGACGATGTATGTAGACGGGGGCAAACAATCTTTCTTTGCTCTTCATGATGAATGAGAGCAGTGCGCCAGTCTCCGCTGCTGGTGTAGCGTGCAGGATGGTATGAGAAGAGTTGAAAGCGTCCCCATTGGATGCGGTGCAGAGACGATGGAGGCACGAAACGGAGAGATACAGATACCTATCCACACTGTCCTACCTTTACGCAGTGCCTAGCAGGGAAGGTGATGCTTGGGAGGTGCAGCAGAGAAGGTGGACGCGACGAAGAGAGATCTTGATTCGGGGCAGCGTTAGGATTTGCCGGAGAGCCCTGCGTTGGCGATGAGATGAAGGGTGGTCTTTGCTCCATGTCTGTGTCCAAGGTGAGTTTGCGACTTCTTGCTGGTCGACCTCCTTTCTGTGCCTTCGTCCTGCTGTCCATCGCCGTCGGCATCAGCGTCGTCAGGACAAGGTCGCAGTGATGGTGGCATTCCTCGACGATGGCACGGCAGGGGCCGAAGGAGTTCTGGGCCTCCCTCTGCTCTGCCATCGCGTATGCCGAGATGCAATTGGCCGGCGCTGGACGAGGAAGCGTGCAGCCGGCTGAGGAGTGAGGAGTCTCCAGGAGCGGGAGCCTTGTCGATGGACGCAGTGAGGGTTATGCGTCTTCGTCCTCGTTGACACACTCGCATGCCATCCACGCCTTCCTTGCCGTCGTCCAGCGAGTGGCTTTGATGATGATTGCGTCCGCGTAAATGCTTCCATCCGCCGGGCCAAGCCTGATAAGCGATAGTCTCGAACAGCAGCCCCTCACCTCCCCACCACCTCAGCACACTGCGACAATCCGCTGCGGCGGATGCCCACCTCGCCCGGCAGTTGTGACGAGGCCGCACATTCCTACACCATCTCTCCTCCAGCAGCATTGGAACGAAAACGACGACTCAGCAGTTGAGCTGGTTGTGAGAGGACCCGCCGTCGCCCGCCCACATCAGCTCGTTCAAGCTCACCTGGAGCTCACATCCGCCCACCTCAACGCACCAGCACAGTCTCACTTCCAAATCAAAGCTCTGGAGATCGAGCGAGAGCTACCAGCAAATCCCTAGGCCCAATTACCTCGTCTGGCCGACTACACGACCGCAAGCTCGGGTGTTGGTGCTGGTGCTGGCTGCCCACCACGCAGGGCCTCACAGCTTTCCCAGCACAGCTTCCCTTTGTTCCAACCGTGCGTGCTGAGCAGGTCGAGTGGGTTCACGCCAGCTCTTGTTGCTCAGCTGCTGTATCAGGCAAGGGTGCCTGCAGCAATGCCTCCGCGGCCTTCTCTTACCAGCTCCTTTTCCGTCGCCGACGCCAATAACGAGGTCGTCTGCCCGCTGCGCAACCAGGTGAGACTCCGCCACGCCTCGACCATGCCACCACCCAACCACGCCATACTAACATTCACAACCAGGACGGGTCCAGCTGTAGGAAGAGATGTCTCGGGGTAAGTCAAACCCTTCATTCTCACATGCGTTCTTCCGCTACTGCCTAATCGAGCATTGGCACGGGCAAGGCTGACTCGAGTGTTTGGCATAGGAAAAGCGATATCGCTCCATGCAGGAGCACATCCGCCGAGCCCACCCCGAGTACTATCTACCCAAGCTGCCGGCGACCAAGGAGAGCTTCGAGTTGATGATCAACACCCCTCCCCACGAGCGCCCCGCCATCGATCCCAACCACGCCAACCACCGGCACCACAACAGTCAGCATCAGCAGCAGCAACGGGAGCGAGAGCAGCAACAGCAGGAACAACAGCAGCTACAGCATTTGCAGCACTCTGATCCGTCAGGTCTGTCACCCGCGTACGCTCTTGACTCCGGGCTGAGCTCATCCTTCGAAGCATACCACGGCTTCGGTCAGCATGACGGCGGCTACTACGCCGCAGGTGAACACGAGGTGGATGCGATATACAGCGGTATGCAGGCCCAGCAGCGCTCGTCTGACGAGTACCGCCGTGGCTCGCTCATACCCGCCCACTCGGCTGCTGCGGCCCTTGCACAGCTGCACTATCACCGACCCGATTCGGATTGGGGAGGTGATAGTATGGGACAGGTGATCCTCCCTTCACTGCAGATGTCGCCAACAAACACTGAAGCGGATTTTCTTCAGAACTTCTATGCCGACCAAAACAACGACATGAAGTCGAACCACTTCCACGTCGACCCCGCGTTAGAAGATAACTCGTTCATGCATGATGGTGTCTTCCCCGTGAGCTCGGGTGCGGATCAATCAGGTTTGCTACCAAGCAGTTTAGCTAGGTCGCCTCCCGATAGACCCTCCACCCTGCCTCCCTTACAACGCAGCTTATCGAAACAGTATAACAGGCCGCGGAAAACAAGTCTGAGTCAGCAAGCACGATTACCCAAGCACGAGCGAAAGAAGTCCAAGGAGTACAAGCGGCTCAGTGGCGAGCGCAAGTCTTTTGGAGGAGAGCCTAGTGCAGCCGCGCTGTATGGCAAGCGGTGGGAGGATCTAATAGACGCCGCAGCCAGTGCCACGGAAGAGGAAGGGTCACGGGACTTGACACCGGTAAGTGGAGTTGGGATGTGAAATTTCGGCCCGACAACGGCTATCGCACAATGCTAAGCAATGCAAACCCTTCAGATACCCGCATCGCCCTATCAATCGCCCCAACAGCCCTCGCGAACATCACTACCACCCTTCCAACTCGGAGCACTCGGATCGCAGTTCCAGTCCTTCCAGGCCTCACCTCTCAACCGCGCACTCACACCACCCGCTCCCGAATCCGGCCTCGAACTCCAGCCCTTCCCCTCAGTCGAAAGTAGCCTCTCCTCCACCTTTTCCCACCAACACCACAACTCCGCCGACTCCACCGGCTCGCAATTCCACATCATGAACCCCAACTCACTCACCACACCGTCCGACAGCTCGCCCTTATTCAACGCCGCCAACCCCGCCACCACCAACTCCGCCGCTCCCCCGAGTGGTCCGGTGCAGATTTATTGCGCCGGGTGTCGGCGGCTCAACAAGCTGGGCGAGTCGTATGCGTGTAACAACTGCATTTGCGGCTTGTGTCAGGAGTGCGTGAATGCGATTGTGAGCGAGCAGAGTCGGGGCCGGATGAGCATGTGTCCGCGGTGCAATGCTATGGACTCGAGCTTTAAGGCTTTTCAGTTGGATTTGCGGTGAGAGGTGGTTTGAGGATCGGCTTTCGAGCTGGGATTTATGAACCGATGAGACGGATGATTGCACGGCCGTGTTCAATGGCTTTGGAAGTCGCAAATGTTGGCCTCGGGGGTGTGCGATCTGTCGACCACCTGCGCCATGAGGAGCAGAGGGTGTCACGACGCGTACACACGCTCCGCGGGTATCGCCTTCTTTACGGCTACGCGCCGTCCGCCGAAACCACAATTCCGAGCGACGGTCTTTTCGCTACGACTTTACGAGGCTTTCTGTGGCCATGACTTTATGCAAGGCGCTGGAGGGAAATTGATCGGGGTTTGCCGTGGGAGGCATTGAGCGATTCTTTGACTCGGGAGTTTTACGACCGTTACGGCTTTCTGAAAAAGTCTTCTGGCGCCTCTGCTCAGCATCGCGAAGGCGCGGCTTTTGCTACTCCCGGGTGTAGATAGGACGGGCTGTGGACCGGTCGTTTTGTCTTTTTCGCAAGATAGAGGTGGATGAATGAGAAGAGGAGTTTGCTGATGAGGTTACGAAAAGGTACCTACCTGCTTTCATTCGTCTCTTCATCTCAAAACCCTTGAACTGTCTTGAGCTGCGTGCTTCGCCGATCGATCTAGGTAAGAGCAGCCGACGTCATGCTTTCGAATGAGGAAAGAGCGACCATGCATGCATGTGAATCTTGGCAAACAAGCCTCTCCACCTATCCTCCGAAACTTACAGCCTTTTCTCTATCTCCTTCCCACCTGTCAAGATGACTCTTGAGCAGCCGGTCATGGAGGATGGTTTACCAAGCAAAGTTCGGGGAGCGAAGGACGAGAAAGAAGGACGCGAGCAGCATCCCCGGGAGTACGTCGCTCGGCAAACAACGAAGCAGTACAAGTTAACAACTTTCAGCAGCTCCACGCAAGCGACACCAGCAAAATCAAGCGACAGCGTGTTGATGCGACTTCCTGCCGAGCTTAGAAACACGATCTATGAGTTGGTTTTGCTCCAGGACGAGAAGGTCATCGTGACCAGCCTGCGCCGCAGCCCTCGCGGCCGCTCGCGAACAGGCAACAACAGTCTCTGGCTCAGGTCGATCCGGCAGGGTAGAGGTGAGCCCGACTTGAGCTTGCTGAGCGTTTCCAAGCAAGTCCGACAGGAAACACTATCCATCTTTTACCGCGGCCACCGATTCTACATCAGCATCCTCGCTTCTGAGATGAACCACGTCTACTCATGCCTGAAGTCGCTCTCGGCACAGCTCGGTGACCAGTGGCCCGCCCTCGACTCTCTCTTGTCCCGGAGGGCTGGTCCGATAGGGTCTGCGCCCACTCGTTGGCTGCGCTGGCGTGTGACACAGACTTCACGCTCAATATAGCTCATTATAAGGACAAAGAGCCGTCGAATCTTCCGTTTCCGACCTCTGCGACGGTCTCCAAGATAGGCAGACAACTCCAAGAGGTGGTGAGAGTTGGGGAGAAAGCAAGGCAGAGTGGTGCATCGGTCGAGAGGTTGGAGATGCACTTCCGGGACTGGGTGTTTGAGACGGCGAGGAAGATCTGCAGGGAAAGTGTGGATGACAGTCTGCAGATGGTGTATTCGGCGCTGGAGAGGGATGATGGGAGGGCTGAGCTTGCGTGGGATGAGCCCGAGCGCGTGATTGCGTCGGCTCGTTCGAGGAGATCGTGAGGAAGGAAGCGTACATGTCACGGTGGAAGCCTTCATTGTAAGGACGGTACTGGGTTACGTGATGGATGGTTTGACCGGCGATTGCTCCATGGGTCAGGCGAACAGTCTGCCAGGATATAGGACAAGCAACGCACTATGCAAGACAATGATCACGAGTCCAGTTTCTTTCAACGGAAACAAGGTACATGAACATGATGTGTAGACCACATGAGCTCGATGTTGAATCGCCGTAAAACGAAATCGTTGCGACTTCAACCACAAGTGCACCAATACCACTGCAGCGCACAGACCTTTCACGTGCATTGCCGATCACCAAACTTCTGCTCCTCTAGCAGCATTTCGTCCCTTCCACCACACACACTAACCGGAACCTACCCACCATGTCCTCCTCCACCTCCTCCTACATCGACTACCCCACCTTCACCTCCCCCACCTTCTCCCCCACCGCCTACGCCAACTCCCTCGTCCTCTCGACCAACAACCCCACCGACACGCCTCTCGATCTCTCCACCCCACTCTCCCGCGTCCTGTTCGATGTCCAGGAAGTCGACACTCACATCGACACCCTCACGACCAAACACGCGCTCCCAATAATCCAGCACACGCAGTCGCGGAGCCAGGCTTCTGCCCGCGTGCTCGAGAGCGTGGAAGAGCAGGTCAGGAGTTTGGAGGAGAGCTACAAACGCCTAGAGAGGGAAGTGGTGGAGCGGCATGATGCGGCGGAGCAGGTTAGAGTGGCTGCGGAGCGGATGTTGAGAACGCTGAGGTTGGGACGCGGGGTGCAGAGGGCTGTGCAGCTTGGCCGGCAGCTGGAGGGACAGATGGAGGAGGTGGGGCGGGAGGGGCCTGTGAGGGTGGAGGGGGCGAGGGGGATGGTGCCTGCGGCGAATACGCTGTTGGGGTTGAGAGGGTTGTTTGCGGCGAATGGGAAGGGAGAGGAGGGGGAGGGGTTGGAGCGGGTGAAGGTTGTGGGCACGCTAAGGGCGGAGGTTGTGAGTCCCGCGGAGACGGGGCTGATGCAGAGGGCACAGCAGGTGGTGCGGGAGTTTAGTATGAGCAGTCTGCTGGCTTCGGGGCAGGGACAGCAGGGCGGGCAGACGTTTGCGCAGACGGAGGACACGAAGATGCGGACGACCAGGGCATTGCAGACGCTGTACTTGCTGTCGCCGACGAAGGCTTCGACGACAGTGGAGACTTTTGAGCCGACGTTGCTCATATCTGCGCTGCAGTCATACCTACAGACGGCGCTCACGTCCTCGCTTGCCGCTCTTTCTCGCGCCCTTGCGACCCTGCCTACTCTCGAGCGCACCCTTCTTGAGATCTCCGCCCGATGCCAGAACATCGTAGCGCTGGAGACTCTACTCGATACTGTCAAACCACCGCCGCATCCTCTCCTACTGTCTTCGGACCCTCGAGACACAACCGCCAACGACGACTCGAACTTTCTGACGCCCTTGCTTCGCCATCTCGATACATCGTCCCTGCCTTCTTACTTCTGGCGGTCAATGGCCGGACAGCTGTCGAGCAGAGTGCAGGAGATCTTGAACAGAGGAGGCGTGAGCGCGCGCACGCTGCGGACGAATCGCGATCGAGTGCGGGAGGCTATCAGGGAGTGCGTAGATCGTGGCTCGCGACTACCGGCGTCCAGCTTATCGAATGGAAAGAAGGCAGACCAGAAAGTGGGCAACTGGGAGCGCGAAGCGGCTGTAATGGTGCAGAGTGTTGTTGGACCGTTGCAGAGATGATAAGTCAAATATTCAATCTGGACCATCACCACTCATCTCTCCCCGGGCATCCCCTCCCTCAGATTGTCGTACTTGCTCTCTGGGTACGCCAAACAGTTCTCTGCCCTCTCCATATGTCGCCCTTCGAACCCACCAAGGCCTTGCACAACAATATTGATCAGACTCCCTTCTTCACTACTTGGCTTATCGCCGCTCGTCTCCCACCACATCCCACCGCCCAAGCCAGTAGACTTGATGTATTGCACCTTGTCTGCCGCAACTTGCGGACTATCGTAGCTCACCATCGATTTTGAATTGCGGTCATAGCAGTAACTCGCGATCGCATCCGAGTCATGCACAACTTCGGCGCCGGGACGCGGGAGTGCCTATATTCCGAGAAATCGTCCATCGTCAGTGATGTCATCCTGCACAGTTGCATAAACCAGAAAAGGAAGAAATGAAGTCTCTGGGCGGAGACGCGGCCGGAAAACGGAAGACACGACGCGGAAAGTCCGTCAAACGCCGCGCTGAAAATGCCTCGTCACGCTCGCGCGTCTTCGACAGGGGTTTGCTCATATTAGATCAAGTGATTTTTTTGCGCACACGTGCCGTCTTGCCGTTTCGGCGAGAACAGGGACCTTATGTGCAGGAACCACAAAAGCGACGAGGCTTTCGGGCTTCTGGCAGTGTCCGAGGTGCGGCTTCACGCAGCTTTGTTTGTGTTGTAATCATTGCAAATTGCGGGAGAAAGATGCCGTTGTACATTTGTACATTGCCAATGTAGGAAAACTTGGACGAGACACTTACTTTGTAATCCCAGACGCCGTTCTCCCAGCTGCCTTCGCCGACGCCGCTGAAGCTGTTGCCAGGACCGTTGGTGTTCTGAAATGCGCGGCCGTAGAGTGGCATGCCTAAGACGATCTTGCTGACGTGGATGCCTTGTTTGATGTAGTGTCGTACTGCGTGGTCGGTGCTGAAGGGTGTGCATTTGGCGTCTCTGCGGGAAGGATATATGTTCGCTTGGTGGCCGGCGTGACTGTCCCAAGAGCCGGCGAAGTCGTAGGCCATCAGATTCCAGAAGTCGAGATACTTGTCCATGTCGCGGAGGTGCATGATCTCGTAGTTCTGCGGACCGGCGGGGCAGGCGACTGTGAGTAGGAAGTGTGGTCTGTGATGTAAGGTCGCCGCGTAGCTGTCCAGTTCGGCGCGGGTGGCTTGGAGCAGTTTGACGAAGTCGCTGGCTTCAGTGGATGATTTGGGATACTCCCAATCCACGTCGAGACCGTCGAAGCCTAAGTCCTTCAGCAGTCGGACGGAGCTTTGGGCAAAGGTACGGCGACCGCTGTCGGTGCTGGCAGGGGCGGGGAAGTTCGAGCTGTATGTCCAGCCGCCAATGCTGAGGATGACTTTCATGTTCCTGTTCTTCTTTTTCAGGAGGTAGAGCTGCTTCGCACAGCCATACACGTTATTGCCGTGGTCATTCCAAGAGTCCGAGGGGTAGTGCTTGTCAGTGTCCGACCAGATGTCCGTCAAGTACACTTCCCCAGAATCAGGGCGGACATTGGCGAAGGCGTAGAGGACATGAGTAAGTTTGTCCGCAGGTATATCTTGTGGTTGGTGGTTTCGGCCATAGATTGCCCAATTGACAAAGTAGGCCACCGACCGGTATCCAGTATGCTCTGGCATCATAGGCGTCTGGTCAAATACTCCACGGAGTGGGTCAGGATTCTCTACTACGTTCAGCGAGGAGTCGGTGGCTGCCACAGAGGTAGTGGCACGCAGTGAGTGTATGAGGAAGTATGAAAGTAGGCTGTGTAGTGTCGCGGCAATTCTCATATTGCGTCTTCAGGAGCCACCAACGTATACGTGAAGCTGCCGGTGCTTCAGCTTGTAGGGAGTGTGAAGGCCGGGAGGGAATGGAAGCCTTACTGTACCGCTCAGCTTTGGTGGCGGTGTAGTCCTGGAGCCGGCATTGCAATCGCGCTGTGGCTCGGTGATGGTTGCGCCACTTGCCTGGAGGGCTCGAGACACGTAATCACTTGATCTTCCTCTCGCGACGACGGAAGTTGATGTGTCTGTAGAGGTGGAGGTGTCGACATGAAACGGAGTGAGCTTGGCACGGCCTCGCTTCGATGCACGTCCAACCTCACCGCGCGAACCTCACCTCACTTCTCTTGAGAATCCATTCACAACCATCCACCAGCCGCCGGTATTATACAGACACCTGCACCAGGGCTACGGAACCGCATTCTGCAGTCTCAGGCCCCAACACAGACCATGAGCGAACAGCCACGCGCCGAATCTCCTCGACAACGCTGGAGACGCCCGCCGCGAGGCGCGTAGGACCTCTCAACGTCTATAAGAAAGACCAAAAACGAACGTGCAAACTTCGACATCATCCTTTGCCGGACCATGGGTTCTCGGAATGCTTTTGCGAATGGCGACAGCGATCAGCTGCATCCAATGGAAAGACACCCAGAAGCACAGCCTGCTAAAAGGGCACGCTTGGCCGAAGACGCAGTTGCATCCATCTATAGCCAGGTCTCAAACACCGACACATCCTTGGAAGTCGATCACATGATACTGGACTATGTTGCATACCAGACCATTCAAGCATGCCTCGCAAGTAGAGACCCTACACGCCAGAGTGGCTCATCGCAAGCCCTGGCAAGCAACCTAGCCATGGCGGACTCTTTCATGTCCATCTTCAGGACTCGTCATCCAACGTACAAGCCCGACGCGGAGCTGCGGCTACGGTCGATGCTGCTCAAGTTCATTACACTTTTCACGCAACGATTGACACGCAACCCAACAACGCCGCCAAGGGAAGACCTGCGAGCCTTGAGAACTTCGAACCAACAGCGCGCCAGAGAATGGATTGGAAGTGCTGATCGAATGCCGTCTGCGATTCTCTCAAGTGACGCTTTCGACAAGGACCTTCCCATCGCAGAGCAGAGCCTTGAGCGCAACCGAGCACATGTGCTTTCCAAACTTGACATCCCCCCCGAAGACGATCACTACGAGGACGCATTCTATGGCACATCAGACTGCGTTTCGCTGATAGATCTGTGCCCGTTATTCATGCGACTGTCAGCCGCCCGGAACGCGATGAACGGAAGCAACCTCACCGAGCTCTGGATGGAGCTCGCTTGCGAATTGATGCTGCAAGCTTGTCTCGAGCATTACTTGGTCTTCGGTGCGCATGGAACCGATGCGATCGACGAGGCTTTCGCTTGGGGATACAAGACCGCGGAAGATGACTCTCAGACTTCTGCTAATAATGTAGATGCTTCCAGTGTCAACCATGATGAGGTCAATGCCATGTTTGAGGACGACGAGTTCGAGATGGAGGCTGAAGGCTGGGCGGAAATCAAGATGTCCTATCTGAGGAGGCTTCAACCTGACCGTGCCGTGCCCGAGAAGGATACTGCCGCTCTGCTCGGAATGGTCGCTACGCAGCACCCCGTTGAGGCTTTCGAGAAGCGTTTGCTGACCTACCTGTCCGCGCTGTCTGAAAGCATGGTCAAGCCGGTCCTGGTGCAATTGGAAAACGGGCAGTTGGACGGCATGACCCAGCAGGAGACGAAGGACTTCCTTGCGACATGCAACATTGGTGATCTTCAATCATTCACGCTGAGCAATGGTCGCTAAGCCGCTGAGGCCTGCCTTGCTGTCGCCTTGGCACAATGAACAGCATGATAGATCTACGGTTGATCTACGGGAAATGGTGACCGACGGCACTCTGCTCGTGTGGAGATTGCAAAGTCCACGACACCCTGGCCAAGTCATGGATTGTCAAGGCGTCCAACACAACCGCTCGTCCCGGGAATAAGCTGGTCTCGCATAAACCGCTAGAACCAGAACAGCCTACTCGAAGCTTGTGTCAGTTTATCCTGAGCAGCACACCAAATCACCGCCGTAGTTTCACCCCGAACAACCCAACGTGGGGTCCAGACCGGTTCACCGCCAACGCCAACCGCTGATGGAGACGCCTGTCTAGATTCAAGGAGTCTTACTCATGCTTGTCGAAAGATTGCCGGGAACCGAAGCACGCTATTTCTCAACATGAAACACCTCAGTCGGTCCGAAGCAAGCGTGGCATCTTGGAATCAAGTCGTGTACTGGACCGCGGGGCTGTAATCACGTCGGCCGAGGGTAGATCCATTGGGGACAGGCAGATAGGCACGCTGAGCAATGTCTTTGAAGCTGGTCGCTTCTTGACCTGTGGAGCTCTTTATACGGGCGGCCTTATCTCACAGCTTCTGCTCAGGTACATACTCTCTACCCGCTCGTTTCGCTTCGCTGGCCATTACCAGACGGGAGAGAACGAAAGCGTGCAAAAGCGCGTTCGTCAGACAGACGATTTCATTCAAACGAGCTGATGTTGCATGTCTACGTCGTATTTACAATCCTTCCATAGGTCCTGCTTAGGGCGGTTTCCAACCGCGTGGGACACCTCTCCAAAGCGACGATGCCATTGCCAAAGCCCGCCCTGCATACTGAGGTCCGGCGGCAGGCGACAACGCATCGTTCTCTGGGCCGCACGCTCTACCCTACCTGATCTCGCCGTTGCCTGAAAACGTACTGCACCGCTTGCGTCCTCATCTTGCTATGTTTTGATGGCACGACAGACCCTCACATCCTACAGTGCACGCATTGCATTCATGGACTGTCGCAAAGCAGGGTCTCGTCCAATGGCCTGGTGCCTGCATGAGTAGCTCGTTCGCGCGGCTGACTGTCCCTTCGGAGCGCCTCAGGTAAGCAGGCTCCTCCTGCAGGTCTGGGCAGTAGCTGCGCGCGGAGAACAGGACATGGTGGGAAGCGATTACGCCGTATTACTCTTGCTATAGTTGACATGGCTGGCATCATGGAAGTGCTGTGTGGACTGCTTCAGCGAGACGGTCGCCGTGAACACGATACGGGCAGTGGCCGTTGTGAAGTCGCCGAAGAGCGAGCAAGCGGGATTCGGGAATGGTCTGAGTCCGGCTCGGAGTGTCCATGGTCAAGAAGCTGGAGATTCGGGGCGGATTCAATTCCTACACCCACCTGACCGTTCGGCGATCTCGCGTGAGAACGAGGGCGCTAGCATATCGTAGCGAGAGCGAAGCTCACAGGGTCTTCCTGATTCCAGTCTTGCGGTCTGCCTTATGGTATGGAGTATTGCCGGTCACTTTTGTGGTGGTCCTTTGGGTCTAGGCCAAGTATGCTGGTCGCTTGTAATCATGGGGTTGAGCCCTATAGCCTGATACTGTAACGTGAGTCGAGCGTGTTGTTGGAGATAAGATGGAGGTGTTCGCGGTACACCGCCAGCAGTTGGCTTCACGTCGACATGATCCAACGCCTCTCTCCGGTCTCCCCATTGCGAGACCGACATACTTGTCAATAGGCTCTCTATTTCGAAAGGATCGGCCGAGATGGGCTGGATGAGAGCTCGTAGCGTGGGAGTGGCCAGTAAGATGGGCTGAACGTGGTTCTCGATGCATGGAAGCGGACGCCACACTGCATAGTAAGCAATAAGTAACGAAGTCCCTCACCGTGTCGAACGAACACGACTTTGTAAGATGATGTGCGAGCCCTACAGCCAATGCTGCCTGTCGAGCCCGGATCCTGGAAGACGGTCTGGTAGTGGAGTGACCAGACGCATGGCGCGGCTGGTCGAAAGATGTTGCCTGTCTCGGGCAACGTCAACTGATCCCACGTGAGGTGAGGCGAGGCTGAGTAATTTTCTTCATTTTAGTGAACATTCGAAGGGCAGGGACAGGACGGGGATATGGAAACATGCGCTCCAACTGGGCGGAACGGACGTAGCAGAAACGCCGCCCGCCTCGCATCATCACAACTTCAGAAGGCACGAGATAGCGCCGACAAAGCAAAGTTTGTCGCAAACTCTTCGAGAGCGTCTGCACGAGCGAGAGACGGTAAGGCGTGTCGAATGCGCTCCGAGGACTAGTGTCCGATGTGGTTGGTGTTCTGCGCCGTTGCGGACGAAACCTAAACCTCTTCTTCTCCTTGCGCGTCTTTCATGCACGGCTGCGATCTGTAATCGCATCCGAGAAATGATGCCAATCCTTGGACTCTGCGCGCGTGCCACCCTGCACAAGGCCTCGTTCGCGACTCCGCCTGCCGCTCATCAAGCGCATTACCAAAGACGCGCGACCGGTCTGACTCTATCGGAGAGGATGCTCGCTAACTTGGGTCGCAGCTTCGGCTTCTATCGCATTGAGTGCCAGCTAGCCCCGACCTTATTATATGAGTGTCTCTGGCAGGTCCCACCCTTCTATCAATCTGCGATCTCCTGCGGTTGACCGTTTATCGACGATTTTGTTCGTCATACACTGTGCTGTCTTGATTATATATCCATACACCTGCCTCCCAGCAGCCCTCCCTCTTGGTTGTCTAACCATACCACAACACACCTTGACCTTTGACAACCAGACCAACAGACGCTCTCTGTGCTGCACAATGTCTCTCCCACAACGGACAGATTCGACAGACTCGTCGGCGGACGCCATACGGAAACGAGTCTGCAAAGCTTGCGACAGATGCCGACTCAAGAAGAGCAAATGCGATGGCTCGAATCCTTGCAACAGATGTAAGACAGACAACGCCATCTGCGTGTTTGGGTAAGCCTCAGCGACTCTACCTCAACGCTCCAGCAACTGACAGCTTCCAGCGAGAGAAAGAAGTCCCACGACAAAGTCTACCCCAAAGGATATGTGGAGATGCTTGAACAGCAACAAGGACAACTAGTCACAGGCTTGCAAGACATGTACCGGCGGTTACTCAGCGGTGAGCCGTGGCCCGGCAAGCAGCTCTCTGAAGCCAACGGCCAACCCCTCACCCACGACATCTTGGCCGGATTGGGTCTACTGGAAGCAAGAAACGATGGAAGCGGGGAGTTCGAGCCCTTCGAGGAGGACTTCGACAAGATACAATCCAGGCTCCTCGCGGGCGGCGCGGACTACGTCCACAGGAGAGGCTCTTTTAGCTCTGATTCGGATCGAAGTCAACATACCTACGGCAAATCAACGGCTCAAAGTACTCCGCCCGTGACCAAAGCTCCCGTCTTCGACAAGAACTTCACCCTCAGCGCATCACCCTCGCCCGCACAAAGTCCGGCTCCGCGACAGAGGAGGTCACATCCGCCGGCGCTGCAATCGCTCCTTCACAGCGCTCCACCTCTGACCAACGACGGCCCCATGTTCCAGTCCGAGTGGTACAGCGAGCCAAAGAACATGACGCGCTCGAACTTTGGAGTTAAGACCCCGCAGTTGGACCAGAACGTGGACCAGATGAACGACATGTTTGGCAACCCTCAATGGGACGACTCCCTTGCACCTTACGAGCTCAACATGGGGGTGAATGGTTTCCCGGAGCAAAACTCGAGCTTCTTTGGCCAATATCAACCCATTCCCGACTACACTTCGCTGGCGTCAATGGACCTTGATCCGGACTTCAACCAGTTCATACAGGTGGCGACCTAGAAGACACCTGGGACAGGGGAGACGGAAGAGAGGCGGGAGTCGTGATGCCATTGAGTGGCATTCCTGGCATTGGGAACACCTTGCTGTGGTTTGGGACTCAATCTTTCACGATTGCGAAGAAATGATCACATGCTACGTTTAAGCGAATACCTTGGGAGGCTACTGTAACGAATTCTAATGGGGACATGGGTCAATTCTGTTGGGATGGCGTTGCTTTGGCATCAAGACTTTTGTCTGTGGTTTGACGGCGAACTAGTGCCATGGTTACAATGCAATGCCGAGAGGCGTTTCCAATCCTCAATCAGCTTACAGGCTGCTCCTTGCTTCTGTCTGCCATGGAGCAGTCATCTCCTTATCGATACTCTCACGTTAAGCTTGGTCATCGTAATTGCAGTCGACACGAGAGGTCAACAGTCGGAGCTCGATCCAGCCTCGCAGTGAGAGGCCGCGGACAGCAGCTCCCGTTCCCTGCTGCAGATCCCAACGTCTGCTCGGATATCTCGCCGACGTCGGCAGAGCCTTTTTGGATCGGAAAACTGGTTTTCTTTTCGGCCGAGATATGAACGGAGGTTCCGTGGTGTTCGGCACCAGCGTGCCGAATCGTAAGATGGTTTGTGCAAAACATCAGTAATCTCTGACGAAGGTTTTGGGTCACAATATTCTGCACGGTTGCCAGCGTCGGCAGTGACCAAAATTCACAATCACCTTGCCATGCCTACCTATGTGAGGACGAGACGGAAGCACTGCGCTCGCTACACGTGATCTACTCACCTTGGCCCGCAAGCGCGCATTCTCTTCTCTTCCCTTCGCGTCCACTGCCTCGACATCGCGACGGTCATATGCGCAGGCTCTCTGTCCGCCATGGCCCCAATGCCATCTGTGTACAACAACAACCGGTCATCTACAACACAGTTGACACTCCGCCCAAAAAGACCACCTTAGCCTAAATCCTTCTCTGCCGGCTCCACAAAACCATATGATGCGAAGAGCTGGCAGCGTTGCGGTAAGTATGCTCTTCCTTCTGTCTCGACATCGTTCAGTTCCATACCAAAGCATTCTATACCTGCGGAATCTCCCAAAAGCTTTGTTATCCATCTCCGTCCAACGCACCAGCAAAATGACCGAGTCCAAATTCTCCGACAGCTTCACTTTTCTACCCCAAGGCGGCATCATACAAGAGTTCAAAGTGGGTGGGCGGAACATTGTCCTGGGCTTCCCCTCTGCAGCTTCCTACAAGACGAAAAACAACCCGTTCTTCGGCGAGAACATTGGGAGGGTAGCAAACCGAATCTCCAACGCGAAGATTAACAACTTGAATGGCAAGAGCTACGATTTGCATGCGAACAATGGGCCGAATACTCTGCATGGAGGTATTCAAGGATGGAGCAAGAAGGACTGGGATGGCCCAAGCCCGACAGAGCGGAACGGACGGGATGCGGTCGTGTTCAAGTATTTGAGCAAGGACGGCGAGGAAGGATTCCCTGGGACTGTGGAGATGAAGATGTGGTATTTTCCATCTGTCGAGAAGGAAGATGGCGTTGAGAAGACGAGTCTCGAGATTGAGTACGAGGTTGAACTCGTGGGTGACGAAGTCGAGGAGACGGCTGTTGCTTTGACGAACCACAGGTAAGTCTATTTGGAAGACTGCTCGCGGTCGACATGCTGAACGATCACAGCTACTTCAACATCAGCGACGGTCCGACGCTGGAAGGCACACAAGCAACCCTATCAACCAACCTCCACCAAGTCACAGACGCCAACAGCATTCCAACCGGCGCGATTGAACCCTACCCCGAATTCGAAGCCAACAAAGAATTCACTCTCGGTGCAAAGACGCCAGATCCAGACCACTGCTTCGTCATGAAAACCGACCCCGCTAGCGTCTCCATCGACACGCGCCAAGACCCCATGCAGAAACTGTGCTCCTTCTACCATCCCAACACCAAGATCCACCTCGAAGCCCTCAGCACCGAGCCAGCTTTCCAGTTCTACACCGGTCGGCATCTCAATGTGCCTGAGATGGACGGGATGCCGGCGAGAGGGCCAAGGAGCGGTATGTGTCTCGAGGCGAGTCGCTATGTCAACGCCATCAACGACGAGAAGTGGAGACACACCGTCGTGCTCAAGAAGGGGCAGAAATGGGGCAGTCGAACTATCTACAGGGCGTGGGCTGCGTAGTGTGTACCTCAACGGATGTAGTCAGGTCGTGTACCGGATTCATGTTTACCGCTATCACCAATCTGATGATGTTTTCCAGCCTGGCTTTGTTGCTGCATTCTACTACCCACCGAGACCGGATCAATCTTCATTGTTCATGCATCGGTCTCCATCTCGCACGTACCACTTAAAGTTGGGCCGCTGTTCGATAGTGAGAAATGATGCAGCAGGCTTGCGTGTCCTCCAGCCTCAGACATCATATGTCACGAGAGAAGATAGACATGAGCGCGAATGGAGAAGGAATTGACGAAGTGCCATTCTATTAGGCTTTGGCTGGACGGTAGACCTTCTACGGCTGCCACGTGGCCTGCAGAACCCACTCGGAGCACCGCCGCGGAGCGCCGTGGAGTCGGTGGGTACGCATTAATACGACCAACCTCCTAGGGCTCTGTATAGCGCGGTGATAAGGAAGATCGCGATGGTGCATCCCACGGATCGTTGCACCTTCCCCGCAGGAAGTCTCTTCCCACGGAACAGTCCTGCTCAACTCACCACAGTGCTCACGTCGAGGATGTCGCCGAGCAGTATCCGCCTCCACACACCGGTGTCTGGAACGTCCATACTGTACACCCCTTCGTAGGCATGTATGCTCAGCTGGCTCAAGAACGGCCTCAACACGATCCGAGCAAAGTCTTCCGGCGCCATGGCCTTGTAGTCGCCCTTGTCTACATTAGTATCGTTGTCAATCAGAGGTCGTCGCCGGCCGGAGACAGTGCTTGCGACCGGTGTTGGAGCAAGCGCGCCGGCACTGTCGTCGAGACCATCAACAGTCAGGTGCTCTGCTATCTGGTCGCTGAGTGCCGATGGTGTCCAATTTGAAGGCTGGTAGACGGCGTCGGTAGTGTCGGTGATGTACAGCCATTCATGGAGCTGGAACTCATCCGGAGACAATGCGACAAGTAGGTCCAGTAGCTTGCAAGCCTGCAAGAGCGCCAGGTTGCCAAATGTTGCTTTACTAGATCCTCCAGACGACAAGGACATGAAAGCTGCTTGTAAATTGTCGTTGATGACCGGCCAGAGTGGAGCGAGGTGTATGGTGCTGGTTGACAAGACCAGTGCACGGCAAAGCATGAACAGCTCCGCCTTCACCGCTGCCGATGGCGAGGAAGAGAGATTGGCATCGAACAGCTCAACCAACTTCTCCCACATATCTCTCAACTGAGAGACAAATGCATCTTTTGGTGCCGCTAACAGCAGTAAGCAGATGCGGCGCACATTCAGCTGAGCCTTCCGGTCTGCGTCCAGCCTTGCAGCGCTTGCGCCGACACCGAACATGATGCCCGCGCTTGAAGGAGCGACAAGTCGCGAGACGAGTTCTGGCATCCGTTCTTTGTCGTGAATGGTCCATTGGTAGAATACCGGGAACCAGTCGTTTTCCATTGCCGTGACAGGAGTCGTCAACAGCCTTGGATCGTTGAAAGCATCCGACAACTCCTTCTTCCAAGATTTAGCTTGCGGCGACTTCTTCATTATCTGTAGCAGCAGCGCCAAGGTGCTGGCATTCATATTGCTCGGGAAGGTTTTAGAGTGAATGCTCGGTGAAAGCAGACTGGCAGTGACATTGTTAGTGGCAGTCGTAACTCGATCTGGACTTTCCAGTATGGTCTCAATGTTTGCCATGATCGTATTGAGGACGGAGACTAAGCTCAACGGACGACGACTCTTGCTCGAGTTCATCCCTCCCCCCTCCTGGAAGTCAGCTCCGTTCAGAGTATCGGTCTGGGTGTGGCTGGCGGGCGTCGTGGTAAAGGTCGCGCTTAGAAGCCGCATGAAGAGGTCACCAAGGTCACGGCGCATCTTCCGTTGCTCGCCGAAATTGGTGTTGTCCACCTTTTGGGCCAGCAAGAGGATCACTGACAAGAGCCCAGGTAGGACCAGTCTGTATGGTAGAGGATTCGACAGGACGTCTCTGAGGAATGCTGTACAGTCAGGCCAGATTTCGTCCATTGCGTCATCTTCTACAGATTCAAGGTAGGCCTGCAGGAAGAGAACGATGTCTGGCGCGGTCAGATCAATCGTCTGGGAGGACAATCGAGACGGCGAAAGCGCTGTTGGGTTCGTTCTGCTGCATAAAGCGTCTAGCGTGGCTGGTACAATGTTCTTGGGCCTCAAGCCTTGCATAGCATGGAGCAGACCTAGGGCCACGCCGGCGTAACCCAAAGATGCAGAGTGATACCACGACGACATGACGACCTCTAGAGCCTCCAAAGGCTCGACCGCGAATATCTGCTCCAGTAGATGTCTTGTGCGCGTGCGAAGCTTGAGGGCGTTATACGAAGCGGAAGCAGCCGAGCTGTTGTCGTATCCATCGGCTTCTGTGTAGCGGCTGGACCATACCCAAAGATCCACGGAAGTTCGGACAGCATCCTGCAATGCCAGCACCACCGTAAGACGACTGTTTGCTTGGGTGGACCTACTGGGTAGGCTTTCTGCTCTGGAAAAGCCTGCGGTGACATTCCCCAAGATACTGCGAGTCTGTGATGTCTGCTTTGGTTCCGGTTCCGCATTATTATCTGCGACAAGAAGCTCGTGTGCCTGAGACAGCACAAGTTCAAGTGCTTCTAGCAATGCCATCCCCGCCAACTCGGGTGAAGCCGTCGCGCAATCACCGTGAGTTGTTGAGAGTGCGACGAGGTCGTCGTGGACCTTGTTTAGCTCTTTGCAGAAGCATCCGACAAGCGGTAGCAGACTGGCAAATATAGCATGTGCGCACAAAGGAAGTATGTTCGACAGGAAAAGTACCCATTGGCCAAGGAAAGGCCTCGAACATTGCGAGCTGAAGCCAGCTTTCAAGCACTCCAGCAACTGCGGCGGTGGGGATGCTGCCAAATTGGTGCTGGACGAGTTGGGACTTGGATTTGGGCCAGCTTGAGGTGGACGGTTTAGGCTGATAGAGCTTCTTTTGCCAGTAGAAGGAGCCCGGTCGACACCGTTCGCAGATAACCGGAGGCTCAGTGCTAGTGTGATAAGTCTGAGCAAGAGGCCTTGCAGCTCGCGCGACCCCTGAGCCAGGGATTGCATCAGATGCTCGAGCAGTCTTGAGTCCAGTTCGAGGGATAGTAGAGCGCCTGCCGAGGGACCCGAAAGCAGAGCAAGAAGAATGTCGATTGACTTTCGTTGGAGTCTTATTGAGGCGTAGCGTTCCTCACAAATGAAGCTCGCGCACCACTCCGCAAGGACGAACGGCCCAGAGCTTGTATGCTCTTGCTGAACACCAAGCCCAGTCATGTCACCTAGACATTGCCATATTCTGTCGTCCTCGCAGCGTAAGATGTCGAGAAAATGGCCCAACGCATACTCCAGATCACGTAGCTTCTCGGAAGGTACACGGCTACTTGCCTTACGGCTACTGCTGGCGCGACCGTTAGATGATTCCATCACCTCAAGCAGAAGATCGAATTGCATGCTTAGAATGTGCTCCAAATTTGAAGTGCTGCGAATCCAGGTACTGACCACATCGTAAGCAGGCCCCGTAGCGTCGTTGAGTGAGTCGAGAACAAGCATCAGCGGTGTGGCCAGTACTGCCTGCCGCTCTGCTGTTTGTCTACTGTCAGAAGTACTCGCCATTGTGCTGCCTCGTCGCGTGGTGGATGACTTCCTCGCACCACCAGATGCGGATACGGTGTGGTTCCACAGTACAATGAACCTACGAATAGGCTCTACGCGATCGTAGTCTGAGGATTGTGCCGCATCGTGCGGATTGCGCACAAGTGCCGTCAAGGTGTCCCTGACCATGTCGAGCGAGGTTGAGTGATCGTGAAGCTGCCATACGGCCTTGACGGCTTCCAAATTGTACTTGGGACGGGATGGTGACATGTACGGCCAAACTTCTGTGTTCAGTGTCCGTTGCAGTGTCGCAAGGGATGAGCGATCCGTTGTATTCTCCGTCTTCAACTTTGAGCTCAGCCACGTAAGCAAGGAGACAAGTGAGCTTATCGCAGGAAAGCTCATGGTCGAGCTTTTGCGCGCCGAATCCATTGCGGCTGGGAGGTCTCTAAGGAGGTTGATAGTCCACGATTTGGGGACAGTCGACAGCTTAGATCCCAGTCCAAGCAGGAGTGCAACAGTTCTACCAAAGCGATCGTGATTTGCATCGCTCAGCCATTGCAAAGCGACATCCTTCATCAACCGCCAAAGGATGCCTGCGACTTGATCAGCTGCAATCGGCACGCTAACGTCCTGGGATGAGTTTTGCGTCTGATAAAAATCGCTTGTTCTCTGCTGCAGACCGGAACATGCAGCGTCCAATTGCTCGTCGTTCATACTGCCAGTCTTTGAGTTTGTTGTGGACAAGAGTCTCTCTGGTACGATATCCAGCAAGAGGCCTATTGTGTCAATCGCAGCATTGCTCCAGGGCGCGAGTACTTCAGAGCTGGCAAGTATACATAGAATGAGAGCGGCTGTGGTTGGGATATGGACGGTAACCATCTCTTCGTCCCTGACATTGAAGTTTCGTACGATCCACGCAAGCATCCTCAATCCTTCTTGTCGATCCGGTCGGCCTTCTGGGTCCATGGGTAGCTTCGTCAGGTTCGCCCAGATGAGCATTGATTCGACGCCGTCGAAGAAGAGGCTTGCACTGCGCAACACTTCAGAAACCTGTCCCGCCGATGCCTCCAAGCTGTACGAGTAAATGTTCCGCATCGCTGGCAGGAAGATCACTGGCACGACCGAGCCCCCAATCTCCCAGCGGTCCATCAGGGATAGGCATATGCGAAAGGGCCGAGCTCGGTCGACTGGATCTGTACTTGACCTGGCGAACATGGCAAGGATGCATCTTTCGAGGTGATGTTTGCCGTAGGTGGAGAAATAACGAAACTGTCGATCCTTTTCCAACACTCGCTTGCCGTGTGATGCTGTCGAAGTGCCGTGGTGCGCTTCGGCGTCCGCTGGAACATCTGGGCCAAGAAACCAAGACCACAATCTCCTGTTGAGACTCATCTCTCTTCGCAAGAGCACACGGGTTGCGGCATTAATCAACCTGTCAACGTCTTCCGCGCGCACTTTTGCCTGGATCACAGGAGAGTCGAGTGGTATGTGGGTCAAAAGGAGATCAAGGAATCCCCGCTGTACTAGGATTTGATCGTCGGAGAGACCAGAAGCGAAACAACGGAGCAAGAGTCCTGGCTCTGGTGAAAGAATTGCTTCAGCCGCCGGTGCGAGACTCATTTGTTGCTGATGATCCGTCTCAAAGCCTATCGACGATGAGGGTCGAGGCGAGACTGTAAATTTGGGCAGCCTTCGTACGAGATAGTTGAGCGCTCCTTGTCGCCGCGCCGTGCTGGTAATGACCGAGAGAAACAGGCACTGCCAGAAGTACCCGTCTCTCTCCGAGTCCTGATCGTCATCGTCGTCGGTAGGCGAAAAGACTTCCTCTAGACGCTGCGCAATGCGGCATGCTCGGTCGAAGTCCTCGCTGGTGTCGTCCTCGAGCGCTGGAAGTAGACTTAGCAGCAGTGACTTGAGCGCTGGCCTCAATTCTGTGATGGATAGATGGACGATGTAGTCTTCATGCAATTTGTACAGCTCCGGTCTCACCGAAAGTGATGCGAACGACAAGACTGGCACGAGCCCTGGCAGAAATTCATGGAGGTGGCCCACGAGAAATCCTTGCTGTATAAGTGTCAGCAAATTGGAGGCATCGATCGACAGCGGCAACAGTAGAGGGCCAACTCACGCCAAAGGTCGTGAAGATATAGTCGTAAACCTCCAGGGCTTTCTGGTGAACCCCTGAAGGCAATGCTGGATTCAGACACTGTGCTAACTTCGAAGCAATGTCGCCACTGTGCGGCAATAATGCAGCATCGCCCGGATGGGCTTGGATTGCCTGACTCTATTAAATTCTGCCTGCGACTTGTATCGATATGCTTTGTGTACCTTCAATAGACGACCAAGAAAAGCAATGTAGTCAGCCCACTCCTGAGGCGAGATCTCCCAGGAGGACAGGGCCCGCTCGATGGCCACTCCATATCGTCGGAGGCCTTTGTCGGCCTTTAAAGCATCTATAAGCCGATGAGATAAGTTCTGCAAGGGTAGAATGAAGATTGACATACGTACCGTCCTCGACAGCTCGTCTTGAAGCTCGAGGGACTGGTGTCGAACGTCCAGAACCTGGCAAAGAAGGCGAACGATTTCGCGCCGCCGCTTCAAGGCTCATGACTGTTGGTAGCCGTGATCCTCGTCCATGATGCTGTGAAAGTGGCTTTACTGAGGACAAGTTGCAAGGCAGCATGTTCACATTCCGTCGAGTGTGAGAGCGCTAGCGCGCTAGCGCGGGAGCTAACGGGAGCTAAACTCAAACAAAACCACGTCGATCTTGTTCAACAATGGCGGTTTGAGGACCATTCCCTCGTCTTTCCACACTCACCGGGATGGGCGAGTCCGACGGATGAAATGCTCGTGACTCAGAGATGTCAACAACCGAGCATTCGGCGCAGTCGAGCACCGGCCAGCGGCCAGACGTTGGACCGGACAGCAACAATGGAAGCCCGCCACCCCTAGCTGATGCACGCCAGCACGACGAGGGCACGTTGGAGCAGTCCAAGGAGCTTCGACCGCCGCTTCCTGCACGGCCAGACCTTATGGAGAGAGGTCAAACTGCAGGCGCTGGGTCATTACGACTCTCCAAGCGAGCAGCTAGACCACAGCTACAATCACAAGCCACGACAGCGTTGTCTTTGGCAGACGTCCACACAGCAGACCGTCTGGAGTCGGGCGATCTGAAGTCATCACCAGCAAGTCGAGCAGTGTCCCGGAAGCCAAGCTTTGCGTACTCCCTTCGCCATGCCAGCACCGCCGCAAGCGAGGTCGACGATGGTGCTAGCGTGCGGTCAGATATGCCAGCTGCTGGAAGTCGGCTTGATGGCGAGAGTATGTTGGGAGACCTGATTGAGGGTGCAAGCACTCCAGCCTTCAAAGCGCTCAGCGCTCAGATCGAACGTGCGGACCCGTTCGATGGAACACTGGCAGAAGACGATATCTTGTCCACACAGATGCAGTATGAGCTGCATGATGTTGCGTCCGTGGACGCAGATGGGACGAATGAAGAAGCACTGCTCAAGATTTGGAAAGCTAAGCTAAAGCACTTCTTTATCCTGTCTGCTTCTGGAAAGCCAATATACAGCCGCCACGGAGATGATCAGCTCATCAGTCACTACATCGGTGTGGTGCAGACGCTCATATCCTTCTATCAAGGAGCTAATGATCCTCTGAAAGGATTTACTGCTGGGGATGCTCGCTTCGTCCTGCTTTCAAAGGGTCCCTTGAACCTGGTCGCAGTCAGTCGGCTGGGCGAAAGCGACGCACAGCTGAGGACACAGCTCGAGTCTCTGTACATGCAAATTCTGTCGACTTTGACCTTGCCAAGTCTGGAACGGATGTTTTCTTATCGACCTTCGACGGACCTGCGACGTCCGCTTGAGGGCACTGACGTACTGCTGGATGGTTTGGCTGACGGCTTCACGCGCGGATCACCATCGACTTTACTTTCCGCACTGGAGTGTCTGAGGCTTCGGAAGTCTCACAGAAGGGTGGTCGACGAGACACTGCTCAAGGTTCGGTCATCCAACCTGCTGTATGGTCTCATCGTAGCCGCCGGCCGTCTCGTCAGTGTGGTTCGGCCCAAGAAGCACTCTCTTCACCCAGGTGATTTGCACCTCATCTTCAACATGCTGTTCGAAGCCGGCAGCGTCAAAGCGGGAGGAGGAGAGAATTGGATCCCTCTCTGTTTACCTGGCTTCAACAACACAGGCTTCTTGTACATGTACGTCAGCTTCTTCTCCACCTCCGAGGACGTCCACAGCCCAGAGGCCGAACGTCCGTCTTCAGGCGGCAAGGATGACGAGCTTGCCATTGTCTTGATCAGTGCAAACAAAGACAGCTTCTTCGAGCTGCGGCAAATGCGTGAGGACCTTGTGATCCAGCTGGAAAAGAATGGCAGCATGGCTGTCATCAAAACAGCTATCCGCAAGGGACATGCTTCTTGCGCCGACATCACACCTGGCACTGTGCTCAAGCACTTCCTGTACAAGTCTAGAGGCAACGTACAGTTCACCATGCCTTCGTTTGAACCACATTTCCATGGCCTGGTCGCCAGGCGGAAGCTGATGTCGCTGTACCACAACCTCCACGAGAGCATCCACTCTCGCACGTCGCATCTGAAGGTACAGCACACTATTGCGTACGATTCGACAGCGCTTGCGTGGGAAACGCCTCTTTTTGAGCTGTACTGTGTTGCCAGCTCCAACGCCTCACGGGCTGCCCTTGTCCAAGGCGCCAACAAGGTGGTTTCATGGATTCGGAGGGAGGAGGAACGAGTCTTCATCATTGGCGGGGCCGTGTTCTAGAGATTTCGGGTCATACTGCACACGTGCAGCAATGGTACGGCACAGCAAAGTCGGTGAACGTGGCGGTCGGGGTAGGAATCAGTCTATACAGGAAAACGAAGTGGGTATCTAACGCTCTCGGTAGTCGAATACAAGTTGATCATCATGCAGTCTACCAGCCACCCACACACCTCGGAGCGACTGCGCACGTCCTCCAAGTCTGAACATTCGCCGGCCGAGCCAGCCTTTGGCTATACATTGGAAGCCGGCAACATCATTGTTGAGCCTCTCGATCCTCGTATCCACCACTCTTCGCCAAGCTCTCTGCAAAGTCGTCACAGCGGCGGTCATCCTCTGGTGCGTCTGTACAACAGAGGCGCAGGCGTGAGCCAGGCGCATCAATGCAGTGTGTTTCGATACAATGGCCTTCAGCTGCCGATGACGGAAAGCGCGCTGAATGATGGTCGCAGCATTTTGTCTTCGCGCAAGTGGCAGAAGTCGGGAGGCAAGGAATGCAAGGTTAGAGATGGTCGTCTTTCGGCTGGGGATTGTACCAGCATTCGCCACGAGCTGGTTGATGAATGCCGTGCTGCATCCGAGACCTCGCAGCTGTTGTTGGAGAGGACTTTGGCCACTGGACGTGGAAGAGCGATGTGACAAGCCTTCCCTAAACAATGCGAAGTCGTCAAGAATCGCAACATATGCTTTCCCGTCGGCGAAAGCTGTCGTCAGATTCCCGATCCGCAGTCCTCTCCCAGCGCAATGTGCGGAGGCCCACTTCTTAAGAAGACTCTCTTGGTCGCTCTGTGAAAGGTCGGTGAAGTCGGTCGGTAGCTCCACTGTACTCCTGAATGCTCGTCTCGTGTCTGCCGCCAGCTCATCAAAGTCCACCAGTTGGTCCAGACCGTGCACACTGACAAGCGACCATAACAAGCCCAACGTCTTCTCCCGGTGACCGTTGACGATGTCCATCGCTGATACCTCATCTGTACCGTCGGCCGTCCTGCCATGGTCTCGAAGCGCACTCAGCGCTATCTCCACGTTGAAGACCTTCTGTACCCGGCCAATGCAAGGCATCTTGAGGTGCTGAGCCAGTATCCGCGGGCTCCGCATGCCCGAGGTGTCATGCAATGTGCTCTCCAGGATAGTGAGGTCCGGCATCTGAATCGTTACAGTTGCGTCTGATGCTGCGTTCACCACTGGATCCTGGTTACGCGAGAACAACAAGACCTCTACCAATCTGGTCAGGAGGATCCCGTTACGCAGATCGATCGCGATGTTGTTGATCCGGTACTGAACTTCATCGAGCGGATCCTGGACGTGTGACACTTCATAGTCGAGATGCCGAAGTACTCTGGTCAGATCTCCGATAGACGGGATAAGCATGGTGGCCAGAGCCTGAAGAACGGCTGTCGAGCTCTTCCGTGATGAGCTGGACTTGAACAAGCAGCCATCCGTGAATTTGGCGACACTGGCTTGGTCAAGCAACCACACCAGCATCAGGCTGCGAGTCACTAATTTGCGCCATCTCGGATGAAGATCGTCGCCTCGGTCGGTGTCTGGCTCTTCAACATCTTCGAGATCCACCAAAAACGTCTCCAAAAAGCCAATGAGCGTTCTGCGGCCGTTGTGTGGGTCGAGAGTAGCATCAGTGCTCCTTCCGCTCGCAGATGTTCGCTTGGGCAGTTGGTGGCCGAAGACCACCTCCGCTGCGGCTTGAAGAGCCCTGTGATCGTAACTGTCCAGCCATAAACTCAGAAAACGCTTCCGTAGCCCGATGTCCAATGCAGGCTCTGGTGGCAATGGCGCATCTTTGGGTCTGCTAAGAGCTCCGTACAGAAGCGAAGCTTGTAGGCGTCTGTACAGCGTCGTGACCTCCTGCTGATGGTAGACTTTGATCAGACGTTCTCTGAGGCTGATGGTAGGCTGCCGCCAGCCGTCCTCGTCCGGTCCAGCAGCTCGTAGTATCTGATTTACGACCTCAGTCAAAGCAATCTCCTGGTGACTGAGCCAGCTATCCTCGTACAGTTCCGGCTCGGCAAGGTCTTCAGACAAGACAGGATATTGCGCGAGTCTAGGTACTTTTCGCTCCGCTGGCCTGACGCGGTTCACGCTTCGTCGTCCGTTGATCGCTTTCAAGTCTGTCTTAGTTTCCGGCCATGCTTTCCTCGCTTGCTGGGACGGTTGAGCACGCGAATCGTCACGGTTGCTTTTGTCTGCTTGCTGCGCACTACCATCTGGTCGCAAGGTTCGGCCTTTCGCCGGCACGAGCGTCGCACATATGCTCGCAGAGGTTCTCGGCAGAGGAACTGCAGCCCGCGGGACAATTGATTGTCGAGCTTTCGAGGCAGCAGTTGGCTGAAATAGCGACGAATGAGCAATTGGTTTCTCGGGAATCACCACCGTTGGTTTCTTGCTCTGAGTGACGACACTGGCTGCCTCATCGCCGCCAGGAGGCAGATTTTCTTTGCCACCGTTAGTACCAGTAACGTCAAATCCGAGCTTGTTTGAAAGGTCCTGCGAAGGGACCGATGTCAACGGAAGTCGTTTTGGCGCGACAGCCATGGAGAGCCTGGGTCGCTTGAAGGCTTTGGCAGTAGGCGGCTGAGGTTTTGCCGCTCTTTCCTGAGCTATAGGCGGTTGTCCGTGTAGACTAGCCAGCTGGAAAGTGTCGTCGAGCCGGCCAGTCGTTTGCGCGCCGGGGTGAATGGTGAGTAGAGTCGTGTCGTCCGAAGGCACAAAGATCGTTCGTCTTCGTGGCTCCTTCTTCAGTCCCGCATTTGCTCTGCCATTCCCTCCCAGTTCTTCCTTCGCTCCCCCGAGCTCCCTGTCGACATGGCTCTGCATCTTGACATAGTTTTGGGTCGCCGCCATTTGTTGTGAAGGTGATGTCCGCTGCTGTGCCCTCGGTTGCTGTAGCCGCTGCTTCTCTTGCAACACATCAGGCGCTCTCGATACGGCGCGATGCGTCGGTTTCTGCGCCGGTCTAGCGAGCAACGTGCTGCCGGCGACCGCTCTCCTCGGCTCCACGGCCAGCTCTTCATCCTCTAGAACATCCTCGAAGATCGTGATAGGTGCTGCTTTCTGTTCCTTTCTCTTGAACGTCGACTTCCTCCTTGGTTTGGCGCGTCCAATTTCAAGATCCATTGCGCGCGTGTATTCGATGTTGGCAGTGTCGTCCAGACTGCCGACTGAAGTCGCGCTCAGCCTTCTTCCTTGGAAAGGCCCGGACGGCCAGGGTGCCGGGCATGGTGTTGATATTGACGGCCGGGACATCGCGGCGAGATACGACTATACGTATGAGCGAGTGCTGTACATCTGCTTGTCGGATGACTCGTCGTCGGCGATCGGATATCAGAAGTCACGCCGCGTCTCGCGTTTACTTTCGGTTGTTGGCCGGGCGACATGGCGAGAACAACGAAAACTAGATGGACCGCAGACGACTTCGTGCATTTAAAACGCCATTAACTAGAACTCAAGGCGCTGTAGGAGTGTCCCGCGCTGTATGAATATGAGATGCTGCTTTCGTTTAATACGATATAACCCGACTGTAACACTTGACTAGGTTGGTGACAGCCATGCGCTCCCCTTCAGTCCCCTCGCTTAGTACATCAAACGGCTGCAACCAGCAACCCTTATCTCAACAATGCCAACAAACCTGCCCATATGGCCTGGCGACCGTGGACACTCGAACACCCGTACTCGGCCTCTCAGTCATGATCCAGCCTCCAGAAAGAGGTAGTCACCTGTCCCGACTTGACACCTTGTTCCACGTTCGCAGAAACCCGCGCGGCCGCCTGCTTCAGCTTTGCTACAGCAGCTTCATCCACCTTCTTAGGCCCGCTCCCAGCCCATCTCCTCGGTGCCTTCTCAATCGTCCGCGCCATGCGCGAGACGTGCGCAATCTCGAGAGGAGATTCTGCGCCATACTCAAGTTTGCAGTTCGCGGGAATCCTCCTCACAATCTCCCCAAGAACCAGCTCCCAAAAGTCAACAGCAACATCGGAATTGGGACTCTCGAGCCCGATGACGCGGAGGTGTGTGAGGGAGGTAAGTGCTTGAAGCTGTCTCCAGTCGAATTGAACTTTGGATTCGGGCGGCGGACCCACGTTGTAATTGATGGCGTCGACGACGAGCACCAATCTCTTGATCTTCGACAAGAGCGCTGGTGGGACCTCAGTGCGATGGATGACTGATCGAGTGCCACTCTGTAGCGAGGCGTTGACAATCAGCGTGTTCGCCTCTAGCAGACCTTCCGCTTCTTGCTTCAACTGTCGAGAGGTGCGGAGTAGGGCCGGAGTCAGTACGGGGAAGGTCGATTGAGGCATCTGATGGGCACAGCTGGTCAGACTGACACTGCCTGGTGCCAGCGCAAGCTCGAAGATCCGTACACGCAGCTCCGGTGGCAGCCCCATCAGATCGAATGGTGTGCCGAGGAATTCCTTGCGATATTCGGTCGCCGGGGTAGTCGGGTGATCGCAGCAGGTCTCGTAGGGATTCTCTGGCTGGTCCCAAGGAGACAGCTTGATGCGAGACTTCCTGGCAGTCATAGCACCAAAGTACCTGCTCGCCTCCTTGTTCTCCTCTGTCTTCACTTGTCCTCCTCTCATGTCGGACCTCTGGTAGCGCTCACGCCGTCCAGTATTGAGATAGGAGTACGTTGCGTGCAAATGATTTGCGGCCTGTGCAGTGGCGGCTTTGTCAAATAGGTAGCGCATAAACCGCATGGCTTCCGATTTGACCGGTTGGAGAGCTTGCATGAGGTCTCGAAGGCTATCGCAGCCCGGTAGATCATGAGCATAAGTGCTGTCGAGGTATTCGCCAAGGACATGATCTGCTGCTTTGTCGGCATGCCCAAACACGGCTGAACGTTTCGCTTTCGCCCTGTGTAGCGCGCGCGACAAAACATCATCGCTGCAGTTGCGATCTGAAAGTGTAGTGGTGAAGTCGTCTGAGGATGCTTCTTTCGCAGTGGCGCTAAGTGATGAGAAGGCTGGCCCCTGGTCTGCCGGTGACGCCCATGTCTTGCCGAATCCAACTTGGTCGAAGGTTGCTTTTGTCGGTTGCCCGAAGGTGAGCTCGCTCGGGGGAGTGTTTGGTAGGGGTGTGTTCGAAGCGATGCGCTCTTGCGCCGTAGTCGAAGGAATGGTGACTGCGCTGCCTCCGATGGTCGGAGGCGTCCCGTCAGGTGCGATCCCCATGACGGCGTGTTGACGGTCAAGGTAAGGAGTGTGAGAGATCAAAGAAATTCAAGGTTTGCTTGCTGTCGGACAGGAGATGTGATGGTGTGAAGTCTGGGAAGTTGGTAGATGATCACATGAATTTGAACACATAAAGCGGACCCACTTTTTTACAATTCACTTGTTGAATGTAATTCTGCACTCACCTTAATACATAACGGAGTGGGAAACCGTCAAGACGTCTTCATACTTCGTCACACTGTGGACTGTCGCTCAGCCGACCGTCTTCTGATTCGCATCGTCAAGTGTCGGCCGACTCTCCATTTCCCATCTTCCCATCGGTCTTCGCAGCCTTCGGCACTACCTTGAGCGAGAAGTCCACGTGCTTCACACCCTGATGTATGCTCGACGAGCTGATGATGTCGATGTCGTCGCAGACGTACTCCGAGACATTGTCCTCCGTCAAACCTCCCGAGACTTCAATCATTGCTCTTGCATTCGTACCCCGTCCCCATTTATCCTTAAGATTCTTCGACGCCACCTTGACGCCGTCGCCAGTAAAATTGTCCAGCATTACGACGTCCGCCCCTGCTTCAATAGCCGTGTTTGCCTCTTCTTCGGATTGACACTCCACTTCAACCTTGACGGCAAAGCCAGCCGAAGCCTTTGCAGCAGCAACCGCAGATGGTATCGAGCCACCACACGCCCAGATGTGGTTGTCCTTCAGCATCGTCATGGCACTCAGATCTTGCCTGTGTGGATCGCAGCCACCCACCAGCATGCCGTATTTCTCTACCAGTCTGAAACCTGGCGTTGTCTTCCTCGTCCCAGCCAGTGTGTTCTTGTAGCCAGCCTTCCTCAGCATCGAGACGAGCGAATGTGCCTTTGTTGCAATGCCCGAACATCTTGCCAATGCGTTGAGAGCCACTCTTTCACCCAGCAGTAGACACCGGACGGGCCCTTTGACCGTCGCAACATGCTGCTTCTTCTCCTTGACACCCACCTCATCGCCTTCCTTCACGTGCCACTGCACTGTGCAGTCCAGCTGTTTGAAGACCTCATCGAAGAATGGTACCCCGGCAACGATGCCTGCGCTTTTGGCGAGAAGACGTGCCTCTGCAGGATCATCGCCTACTACAAAGCCGCCATAGTCGAAGCTAGGAGTGTCTTCGTCTAGCCACAGACTCACAGTCTTGCGCCATGAGGGTGGGAGCAGATGTGCAGGGTTGCCATGAGCGGGGGCGCCCTCTGTAGAAGGCATGGCTGATGCGATGGTGTTGGGGTCTCGTCAAACAACGGAGTTATATTTTGCGTCCGGAGGCCGATGATGGCGTCAGACTATGTCCTTACCATCTCTTTCTGGAGACCGCAAGCTGCTTCACCTAGAGCTGGTCCCTCAACGGATCTCTACAGACGCGGTTACGAGGCCAGATGATCGTTTGGTAGTGCTGTATTTCAGTGCTCTCGCAACAAAATGCAAAGTGAGGTTGGTGTGAGGTTGCAAGCAGATGCTCTTTGACTGACGAATTGTAAGGGTATCTCACTTCCAGGTTCGGTCCTTCATCTTCTTCCCTACATGCACCTTCGTCCACCAAGAACTTGATCCTGGGACACGGCAGTCACCGAAGGATGATTCGCATTGTTTCTAGACCTAAAACAACCCCGCCGTCGAGGATGTGTTGGACTTGATTTGGGTCCGCCATTCGGACTGCTCATGTTCCCGATCTACCGTTCACCACGGGAGCGGCCAAGTGTCAAGAGAGAGACGAGAAGGCCACCAGATCCAATCGCGGACACCGCAACGTGCTCGTGAACAGGGGCTCGACAATGGAGTAGATATAAAGGTAGTTGTTGGACTCTTCCACACCTCCATCTCAAGCTTCATCTCAAACGAACAAGCATACAACATCTTCAGTTATAGCGCACAATGTCAAACACCATGATCCTATACGACATTCCCACCAAAGGCCGCTGCGCATGCTTCTCTCCCAACGTTCGTATCTTTTGATCCATCCTATCTCGCTACGAGATGTGCAACTAACATTATCAACAGGTCTGGAAGACTCGACTGGTCCTCAACTACAAAGGCATCCCCTACCGGACAGAATGGCTGTCCCATCCCGAGATCGCGCCAAAACTCAAGGCCACAGGCATCGAGCCCAACCCGGCAGGCCAGGGGTCACCTTACACTCTCCCGGCCATCCAGCTCTCTGACGGCAACACCATCATGGAGTCCACCACCATCGCAGCGAAGCTCGAGTCTCTTCACCCCAACCCGCCCCTCCACCTCGACAACGGACTGGTGCAAAAAGTTGGTCCGATCATCGGCAAGGCCTCCTTCCCCCTCATCCCAGTCTTCATGCCACGGATCGGTCGGGATGTGATTGTTGAGGACTCCGTCGAGTACTTCCAAACCGCTCGCGAGAAACGGTTCGGGATGACGCTCGACGAGCTCGAGAAGACCAAAGGCGGCGAGCAGGCGTGGGAAGCATCCCGGCCTGGGCTCGTGGAGCTGTCCGAGTTCATTGCTGCGCAGAAGCAGGACGAAGGGCCTTTCATCCTGGGAAGTGTGGGGTGCTATGCTGATTTCATGATCGCGAGCATGGTTGAGGCGTTGAGGAGGATCGGAGGTGATTTGTACGAGAAGTTTGTTGAGACGGCGCCTGATGACAGCGTGCAGAAGATACACCAGGCCTGCCAGAAGTGGATGGAGAAAGATCAGTAGTGTGAGCAAGCCGAATGATATATTACTGAGTGAGCCACGTTTACATAAGTCGGCCAAGTATCGTGCTTCGTAAAAATAACAGCAAGCATCCGCTCGGACGTAGGCCATTAGACATCAACCAAGTAGAGGCATCAAGTCGGCATCATTGCTATGCCTCCTTTGCCGCGACCGCGTACCACTGGAAACGATGACCGCCCACCACCACTTGTTGAACGCTTCCCAGTACGTTTCTTCGAGACGCGGCCTGCATGACCATTGCTCCCGTTCGAAGGATGACGTGCTTTCTGGCCGCCTTGGGACTTTCCGCCTCTTGCCATGCTGCCGGTGGCGCGGAAATTCTTCTTGCCGCCCTTGGGTGCACGCTTCGGCTTTCCGACCTGAGACGCTGGCGGAAAGTTCGTGCGCATCCCCTCTGACTGCGACTCGTTGAATTTGGCATTGAAATCCTGCACGATCTGAGGCTGTGGGAAGTAAGAGCTGGCTTCGCCTCCATCATCGTCGTCGTCGTCAGACGGAAAGACGCCATAATCTTCGTCTTCGCTGGGCTCTTCATCGCTAACAAGGTCGATGACGTTTCGGTTGTGAGGATTGTCTTCCGCCTCACCCATCATCTCCAGATACGACTGATGTGTCTCCTTGACCAGCTTCAAGAACGGTTTGCCGTATCGGCGAACACTCTCTGCGGAGATGCCGGGGATTTCGAGCATCTTCTCCTCTGTGTCGGTAAAGTGTATGGCCATGTGACGGAGTATCGTTTCGCTGAATGGCACGTTGCGAAGGCTGTCTTTGATCACGATGTCTCTGGTCTTCTTGCCGGCGGTGACAACAAAGTCCTCCACAACATCTCGATGGATATTTTCCAACTCTGCCATCAGTCCATCGACAGTGATCGGAGGTCCCACGTCCCTTTGTTTCTCACGGCGAGACTGGCCAGCGACACGGATGGGCTCAAAAGCATCACTGGACTCGTCCTCGGTAGTCTCAGCGTCCTCGTCCGGAGCTGCGACAACGAATTCATCGTGTCGGTAGCCACTGATAGCCTTCAGAGCGTTCTTGCGCGCGTACGCAGCTTGGATTGGCGATGAAACGTACGTCGATTCGGGTGCTTTTGGCGCAACTTTTCTGCCTTTCTTCTTCGCTGCAGTCTTCTGCTTGGGCCGCGGCGTTGTTCTGATCTGAAGATTGAGACGTCGCTGCCCAGAGTTGTATTGATTGCACTTCCTGCCCAGGGCGATATACTGGTTAGCAAAGCCACTGCGGTTGATGACATTCCGTTCGGACAAAGCTTCCTCGCTCAGTAGACGATTGAACAAACGTTCAATGTCCTCTCGATCAAGCGTCTTGCCAGCCGCAAAGTCCTCGAGCTCATCATCGCCAGCCTCTGTGATCTTCTTCGCTGAGGCGCCCCGGAAGACATCCATGCAATGTATCAATGTGACATTCCTCGCCGACACAATCTCGCGGACTAGGTTGATGGCCTTTCGCGCATAATCGGTGAAGTCAACGTCTTCGAAAGTGGAATTTGAGTTGCAATTGTCGCATCCGCCGTTACACTGAGACTGAGGGAAAGTCTCGTCGAAGTAGCTCAGCACCTGAACGCGCCGACAGTCGCTTCTGTTCTCACAGAACTGCACCATCTTGCGCAACATATGTCTCTGGCGCTCTTTCTGGTCCCAGTCCGTTTTGTCATCCTCATCTATCATGCGCCGCACCTTGCTGGCGTCGCCGTACCCATAGAAAAGATAACAATGGGACTGTTTGCCGTCTCGCCCAGCTCGTCCAGTCTCCTGATAGTAGCCCTCAACACTCTTCGGTATGCTGTGATGGATCACGAACCGAACGTCAGCTTTGTCGATCCCCATACCAAAAGCGATGGTCGCCACTATAACATGGTGCTTCCCGCGCTGCCACTGCCTCTGCACTTCAGACCTTTCTTTTGCCTCCATACCTGCATGGTAATGCTCAGCTTTGATCTTGTGGTCATCGCGCAATGCTTTGGCCACATTCTCGCAATCTTTTCTGGAGAAGCAATAGATGATGCCGGTTTGCTTTGAGTGCTCCTCCTTGATCAGTTCCGCAATGGTCCGCAGGTCTTCCTTGCCTCTGCCTTTGGCACGGACTTCGTAGAACAAGTTCTTTCGGTTGAAGCTGCTGGTGAAAATCTCACAGCCATCAATGGCCAAGTTGTGAATCGTGTCTAGCTGGACGTTCTTCGTAGCCGTAGCGGTGAGCGCCATGACGGGCACATGTGGGAACCTCTTTCGGACCTCCCCTATGGCCTTGTAGTCGGGTCGAAAGTCATGACCCCATTGACTCACGCAATGCGCTTCATCAATGACAAGCCGAGCCAGCCTCTGCCTGCTGTACATTCTCTCCATGCAGTCAATCATGTATTTGTTCCTACTCAGCATCTCGGGTGTGACGTAGAGGATCTGGATAAGCTGCTCGACATTCGGCTGTCGCAACGCATCCATGATGAAATTGCGTTCCTCCCTGCTCGTTTCGCTGTTGATGAAGAAAGCCTGCACCGAGAGCTTCTTCAGGTGTGACACTTGATCTTCCATCAGGCTCACCAAAGGCGAGATCACCAAAGTGACGCCCCTGCTTTTACCGCTGTAGACAAGTGATGGCAGTTGGTAGCACAATGATTTGCCACCTCCTGTCGGCATGAGAACGAAGACGTCTTTTCCACCCAGGGTGGCGTTGATAGCGTCGATCTGGTTCTCGCGGAAGCCTTTCAATTTGAAGCGGAGTCGCAGGGTCTCCTTGACGTCGTCCGACCACTTGAAGCAGAAGTCTTTCTCGTAATCCTCGTCGTCCTTGTTGATTGGCTTCTTCGACGACTTTTTGACACTGGACTTGCCTGCTTTCGGTTGGCTGTTGCCCGATGTCTCTGCGAAGACTGGGCGACTGCTTCCACCATTCATCGGTCGCGATGACATGCCGTAGTTCTCAATGTCGTCTGCAAATTCCAGCATCTCGTCATCATCATCCATTCCAAAGTCATCCTCATCGTCACAGTCGTAAGGTGCAGGGGGTGTACCCATGCGATTTGAAAACATGTTTTGATTGCTCGCATGAAACATCTCCTCATCGTCAATGCTTTCGCAGAAGTCGTCTGAAGGCTTTGCACTGGCGTAATTGTCGTTGGAAGGCTGTGGACGTGGCCTGGAAATCGGAGCTGATGTTTGCGCAGCTCTCTTCCTCGATGGTGAGAAGTAGGCTTCAACCTTGGTTGGATTGATCTGGTTCCTTGATGATGCTGACCAAGGCTCGGCTGCTGGTGCTTGATGTTTGACGAGTGCCGCACGAACCTGCGTCTGTGCTATTCTGCTTGAGCTGGGCACGGTTTGATCCATCCTCGTCACCCCCAAAGATGGCGCTTGCGTCGATTGTACGGCGACCGCCCTATGGCCACCGACTTCTTCGCTCTGGCGCGCGGTCTCGAGCAAAGCCTCGAACTCTTTCTGCCACGGCAAGACGATATTACAGCATTCAGCTTCAAACCGAGCCAGTGCGTCCTTTCCGGCTTTGTTGGCCGCTTGAGCTTCCTCCTTGCCGTGCCTCGCACGGATCGCTTGCAGCATTGCGTTGTAGAGCAGCTGCTTCTCGTCCCAAAGGCGCTGGTACTCGCCGCGTCTGCTCGAGAGGCGGTTGATCGCCTCGGCTTGATGCTCCATCGCTTCATGTTGACGCTCCAAGTCTGCGACAGGCTCATCCTGCTCCATTTGTTCCGCGATCGCGACCACAATAGCGTCGACCCTCTGTTCTAAGCAGTCCAGACTCCGTTGAATATGCTCTTGAGGCAACGCGAAGAAAGATCTGATCAGCGTCGTATCCGGGCTCGCTGAATCTTGAGCGCTGCCAGCAGGAGGCGACGAAACTTTTGATTTCTGCATTTCGGGCTGTTCAGTCACCGCAGGACCAGGCTTGGGCTTTTCACTGGCAGCCTGTCGATTCCTCGCAGTTCCCTGCTGAAGCCCAGCAATTTGGACACCAGCCTTCGGCGATGGAAAAGCAGAAACAGCATCGTGATAGACTGGTGTTGTATCTGTCCGTCTTGGCTTGACAGCCGCAGCATTACGAGATCGATGTCGACCAGAGAGATTGATCATATCGTCATCATCGTCGTCATCCTCAGAGTCGGGCATAACTCGACTTCGCGGCGCCGACATGGTGGAGCTGGATCCACTTCGTGGTAAGTCTGCCGCCGGATTTATGGGCGGGGCGAAGGTAGAATATGGCGGCGGAGGCTCCTGAGGTGGCGGAGGGTCGTCCATTATCTCATCAATAGCCGTGAAACTCTGCTGAGAGCCAGCTGGAAGCCGCGATGGAGATACTTGGACCGAGTTTCCGTGCCGAGGACATGGAGGAGTGACATCGTGCTCCAGCTCAGAGCTCTTCCGCTTGCGACCTGCCACCCGATTCCGAGTAGGACTAGCCAGTTGACTCAAACTCTCCGTCAGATCCATGACTTCCACATCGCTCGGTGCATGCATGGGTAGACGAGCACTGCTGCCGGTGGCTTGTCGCTTAACTCCAGGTCTCGATGCTGGGGTGTAGCTCCTCGACCTCCCCGCATCTGCTGCCGGACTTGCGTATGACGGTACAGCCGATCGAGCCAGCTCAGGACCCAAAGATACCATATACTGTCGACTAGCAGATCCCGGCGCTGTGCGTAGCTTCACCATCTCTTCTTCAGCAGCTCGCGACTGCGCGGTCACTGCAGCAAGCGCAGGTGTTGTTGCACGCGCTGACTGAGGTCTTTGAGGTTCTTGCACTGTTGTCGGCTCCACGATGGCTTGTGTAGCGGCGACGGGCGCGAATGTGACTGGGACCGCGGCGAAGGAGGGTTCATCTGGCGGGATAGATGCCTTGTCTCGAAGGAGCCACGACAGGTGCTCCCTAAGATTGTTTCGTGTCATTGGCGGCCAACATCGCTGCAGAAGTCACACAGTCGATGTCGAGAGTGTTGTCGCGGATCAAGTTTGTGTATACTCGCGGGCGGTGTTGTTGAAGGTGGGTGAGGTGAGGTCAGCGCGTCAAAGAGGCGGCAACGCGAAATGCCCGCTTGATCACGTGCATACATCGGCCGAAGTCCGTTGGGACCACTCCTTGAGTTCAACTCTTCCAGCTTCGTGAACTTCAAAGTCCACACGCCCTATCACCTACAACGCACCACGTAGCATATAATCAAGACGCCCAGTGCAGAATATAGGTCGGTAATGAACGTAGGTCATGCTCTTCACAATGGACGCCGAAGCAAAATCATTTCATGCAGTCACAGAAGTCCTACCATCACCTGAAAACATCCAACATGCCCGTTCCCAACTCATCAAGACCCTCCCTGGCAAAGGCAGTGGACTAGACCAGATCCAAAAACATCTGCAGAACGACCTTGTACCCGCCTTCGACCGCCACAACAAGACTCCAAACTACTATGGCTTCGTCACTGGCGGCACAACGCCCGCCTCACTCCTGGCCGACCACATTGCCGTGGACAACGACCAGAGCTTGATGGTGCATCTGCCCAAAGATTCGATTTCAGTAGAGGCAGAGGACTGTGCGTTACGGATGCTGTGCCAGCTTCTTGACTTTGAGCCGGAGAGATGGCCTCACCGCACATTCACGACTGGGGCTACGGCGAGCAATGTCCTTGGTCTGGCGTGCGGACGGGAGTACGTGATCCGGCGAGCAGCGGAAGTGAATGGAGGAGAAGTTGTCTCTGTCGCCGACTATGGACTGCCAGAGGCGATGCGGCGGGCTGGGATAGAGAATATGCAGATACTCTCGGAAGTACCACACTCGTCGCTTCGCAAAGCTGCATCAATCGTCGGGCTAGGCAGAGCGAGTGTCCGAAACGTAGGCCTCGCGAACGCAGCCCACCGTTTCGACTTCGAGGCATTAGAAGCCGCGCTTGAAGAACCCAGGACAGCATCCATAGTATCCATCTCATGCTCCGAAATCAACACCGGCTTCTTCGCCACCAGCGGCGACGACATGCAGCGCATCCGCCAACTCTGCGACCAATACGGCGCCTGGATCCACGTAGACGCCGCCTTCGGCCTCCTCGCCAGAGTTCTCCCGCAAACACCAGAGTACGAAGTGCTCACCCAGGGGGTCAAAGACCTCCACCTCGCCGACTCCATAACCGGCGACGGACACAAACTCCTCAATGTACCCTACGACTGCGGCTTCTTCTTCTCGCGCCACCTGGATCTTGGGACGGCAGTGTTCCAGAATACCAACGCTGCTTACATCAATTCCAACGCTGCAGCTACCAGCTCAGGGACTCCTTCTATCCCATCACCGCTCAACATCGGCATTGAGAACTCGCGCCGCTTTCGCGCGCTGCCTGTCTACGCCTCCCTCACCGCGTATGGAAGGAACGGGTACCGGGATATGATGGAACGGCAGATTAGCTTGGCGCGAGCGATTGCGAAGTACATTGACAACTCTGTGCACTGCGAGTTACTTCCCAAAGGCAACTCCATCGACAACATCTACATCATCGTGCTCTTCCAGGCAAAGGACGAGAATATAAACGACGAGCTAGTGCAGCGCATCAACGCAACCCGCAAAATCTATGTCAGCGGGACACAATGGGACGGCAGACCAGCGGCTCGGTTCGCGGTGGCGAGCTGGCAGGTCCAGGTTGAGCGGGAGATGGCTACGATCAAGGAGGTTCTGGAGAGCGCGTGCACGTGAGAAGGACACTGCGGCGGGTCATTGGGTCTTAGATATGTGCATAGGTTATGTATGATACAGCTAGACGATGCCATTGCGGGCTCATTACGACTGCACTTCTACACGTGCCCTCTAAACGCCTGCCAGGCGCTCCCATTCCCAAGGATATGATACACATTACTAGGTTTGTATCAGCTTTGTCGCTGCCACTTCTTCCCGCGCATGACTGTAGTGATCGCGTGCCGGATCACGGTCCCTGCTCGTTCGGTCTCCTTTCTGGACAGAGCGTTTGTCACGCAGACTTTGAGCGCTGGACGAGGCTGCCACTCCTTTTGGAGATCGCGCGGAGCGACGCCGAGTGGGGATGGCATGCCTTTAAGGCGGGTGATGAGAACGCCATTGGCGAGAGCCTGGGAAGGAGAAGTCAGTCGTGTTCATTTAATGATACTGGATACAGCAAACACGTACCTCATCAACACAGTCCTGCAGCAGACTGTCCTGGTCTGCGGTCGAAAGCGCTCTCTCCTCCACATGCTGGTCCTTCAGCACAAGCAGCATGACCGGATTGTCCTGACTGCTCGTGCACCTCACCCAGTCGCTCCTCGGATCCAACATCGTCCACATGGTCTTGATGTTTTCCCGCAAGCTCTGAATAATGTTCGGCTGCTCCTGCAACATGCTCACGGTCTCGCTCGCTGTAGTCGCAAGGAAAGCCGGTAGCGCCGCAGAGAACGTGTACGAGGCGGCACTCAGCCGTTGGTGCTCGACGATCTCTTCCGTGCTAGCGCAGAAGCCACCGCCAGAAGCCAGCGCGCCAGCGAGACCACCGATGATCATGTCCACGTTCGTAGGGTCGACGTTCTGATGCTCCGTGACGCCGCGTCCGCTCCGCCCGAGAACACCGTACGACCACGTCTCGTCCAGCAGGATCCGGAACTTGTACTTCATCTTCAGCTCCACTATTCGAGGCAGATCGACCATGTCTCCCACGCACTCAAACAAGCCCTCCGTCACAATGAACCGTCTCGTCAACTGCTTGCCCTGGCCCTCCTTCACCAGCCGCTGCAGCACTCGCTCCAGATCGTCCATATCATTATGCTCATACCACCGCACCTGGCTCCTCGAGATCTGCAACCCCTTGCGAATAGGATAATTGACCGCTTTATCCGCAACAATGATATCTCCCCTCTTCATAAACGCCGGAATCACACTCGAAATCGTACTGAAGCTCTGCGCGTAGATGATCGCAGCCGGCAAGCCAACATGGCTCGCGATATCCGCCTCGCTCTTCATATGCACGTCCTGCGTTCCGTAGAACCCAGGCGGACTGCAAGGGCCCACGCCATACGTGCGCACGGTGTTGACGGCCTTTTGCGTGAGATCCGGGTTGTTGGCGAAGTTGTAGTGGTTGTAACTCGCCAGATTCGTCACGGTCCGTCCATTGAGCAGCTTCACTTTCGGCCCTGCCGGTCCGACAATCACCGGTCGTCGCTCGTTCTCCACGCGCTCGAACTCGGTGACGTCGCTGACGAGCGGCTCAGGGGTCCAGTCCTCGACCAGCTCTTCGATCTCTTCTTCCGAGAGCGAGACGTTCTTGGTCTTCTTGGTGCTGTAGGTGGGGGCGAGGAGGTAGCGGACGGCGAAGATAAAGAGGAAGAGTTCGATGACAGTGCGGACGGGGTCGTTCTGGTGGGAGGTCTTGATGTAGCGGATGACGATGGAGGAGCCGGGGATTTTCTGGATGTAGGAGAGGGCGGTGTCGAGGTAGTGGAGGGCGGTGGAGGGCAGTTCGCTGTTCTGCGCGGCGGACAGGTAGGAGGTGTTGGTGAGGAGGGAGTCGGGCATGATGCAAAATTCGTGGTGGAAGGGTGGCGTTATCGCTGGTGCATTATCGGGGCTGTCGTGTCACCGCTTGCTGGCGAGTAGTGGGAGCCGGTGAAGTCGTGTTGCCTTCGTCTCCAAACATCTCGTCTCAGGGTCAGCTTCCATCACCTCCGAAGCTTCCGACGATCCCTGCAGGTTGAAAGCTTGATCTCGCGTCCCGGAGAACGCGTCGACGGCCACGGTCTCGAAATGAGATGAAGAAAGACAGGACGTTCTGTAATGGTAGAGCACAGTACACGCCACTACCACAGCTATCTGACATGCTCTTTCATACACCCTAAAATATTTCCACAAACGAGGCCGACCATAGCGACGTGTAGCAGGGATGTCCCAGACATCGCAGATTGTCAGACGCGTACTCTAGCCATCGCGCGCACGGCAAAACCACTTCCCAAAAGTTCCTCCATGTCTTTCGATCGATGAAGCTACTGTTGCCATAAGGACAGACCGGGTATCTGATAATCCATCCATCCAAAATTGTCCGTATTCGAAGAAAAAGCGCCTCGCTGACGTGCTCATGGCACCGTGTTCCGAAGCGAAGCGTGAAGGCAGCTGAATACCGCCCGCGTGTTTATCGACCAGCCGTTGTTGCTGTTGCTGGCCGTCGGTAAAATAATGTCGTAATAGTCATAACTCCGTTAACAATGCCGTGCATATCGAGCTGATTTGGAGCAATGAATGCTCATTGCGATGAGACGAGTTCTCCGCCCAGCTCCATTCCTAGGCCCTCGTTCCTGCTGCCACTGCGAGTCATGACCGGGCTGGATGATGGCGGGACGAGGTTGTCGAAGTTCAGCTTCCGTCTTGCTTCTCTTGCCGCTGCTGGCGTTCTACCGACATTTGGAGTGCGGTTGAACGAGCCTTGAGCGGGGCTGGGCGTTACATTGACGAAGTCTGCAAAGTTGAAGTTCGTTCCTGGGGTGTTGGGTCCGAATGCGAAGCCCGCACCGCCCATCCCAGGTGTCATGTGTGAAGAAGGTAGCGGAGTGGCTTTGGCGGGTGGAGTCGAAGGCGCTTGCACGACGGTCTTGGCGGTAGAGCCTTTCGGATAGCCCGGTGATGTTGCGAGGTACATCAGCAGATCCACGCCTTCCTCGCCAGTCTTGGGCGTCCGCGACCAGGACACGTTATGAGCCTTGCGCATTCGCCGGTCTGGTGGAGGAGTCCGTGGTGGAGATGAGGTGATGCGGGTCGAAGAGTTGATGGAGAAGCTGTGCACAGGGAGGTCGGCATCGTCGTCTTCGCTGAATTCGGGAGAGGGCGGCTCGTCCGGAATCGTCGAGCCCTCGGAGATGAAGGAGAGCTGGGTGAAGTTGGTCGAGGGGCAGCGGGCGTGCTTTTCGTGCTTGATTGGTGATGATTCGGGTAAGCCCTGACGTCTCTTCCACAACGCCTGCCTGCCAGAGGCAGCTCTTCTCCCTGTCCTAGCACTTGACGAGCGGAACTTTTGTACATCCAATGTTCGAAGTCGTTTGTTGCTGTGACCGCTGCCCGAGCGTTGGAAGTCGTCAGAGTACATTGGTGCCGTGAGAGGGGATGAGTCCATGCCGCCATTGCTCGATTGGAGCCGGCTGGAGACCGTAGACGCCGTATCAGAGATGGTATCGTTGCTCGAGGCCGGCCTCTTTCTCCTCCGCTCATCCACCTGTGCTTCGATAAGGTCGAGGCTCATGTCCTGCCAGCCATTCTGGATCTTGACATTGGCGAGGGCAAGGCGGTCTTGGAGGGCTCTTGTCATCTGAGAGTACACTCATTAGCTCGACCCAGCACCATGGAAAGGTGAACACCAACCTTCGACACCTGTGCCCTTCTCAGAACCTTCTCTGCAACCACCACCTCCTCCTCCCTCTCCGGTTGAAAGCTAGCCGCCATGGCGGGTGGAAAGGAGGGGTTCAACCAGCTTTCTTCGTAAGGTCCTTGCTAGGTTGGAGTGATGCAGACTGGAGCAACTTGAACGTTAGCAGCGGCTGTGGTATGGCAGATTGGCAGATCGAGAGTGTTGCAGGCAGAGATGGCGATCAGTAGTGGGCAGGGGAGCTGCTCATTCCTGGTTGCCAAACCCAGATCTTCGATCTGTCGGCTCAGACGGCTCGTGCCGAAGGGCCTACGATGTTTTCGGGGTGGTTTTCGAAGTTGTCAAGAGCGATTTTGACGATGCTAGTCGTGCAATATAATACGATGCTGCCTACTATTCCCTGTCCGGGTGCTTCCTTTCCTTGCCTGGGCAAGAGGGTGAAGTGTCGGTTGCTCTACACTTCACCTCCTCCACGCCACCCAATTTCTCGGAGCAGGATCAAAGCTTGGTATGGATGCCAGACGACACGACATCTGATAGACAACTACGACGACTACGGAGTACAATACCCTTTGCGCTTACCATCTCGGCACGAGTGTCAACGCATTCAGCTTCCAGAGAATAGAACCCTACTAAGCGAAGGGACGTTGACGGCGGCCCACCAGGTCAGAGCGAGCCGTGTGATGGACCTTCTCACAACAAGTAAAAGCCCGCCGACGAGAATGGCGTGAGCCTTTCGAGTGCAGTTGGGTTCAAGAAAGGACCCTCAGATATGCCCGGTGCACTGAGTTCACAGTCACTGGCTTGCCAACTCGTCCAACATGCTGAATGCCGCTGGTGTGCCCTCTGATTTCACAGCTACCAGCTCTGCGTGTTCCACCTGCAAGCACGATGAAAATATCGGATGGACACCGTGCTCGCAACAACAGCTTTAATTGAAGACTGTATCGGCTGGACCAGCCGCCGCGAGTCCTGGAACTGCCTCTTCTCTGATGCCCTGCATGCCAGTCCGCACAACGGAGTCCATCTATGCAAGCTGGCTTTCTGCACCATTCCCATCGTGAAGGCTCGTATGGTCCTGGACGAGTCGGTCTCAGGAGAGTGGAAGATTATACCGAGCCCGGCTGCGTCTTGACTGTCCGCCGACAGGGCACCGGCAGGTCGGCCGGGAAGAAGAGCACATCAAATGCTTCTCCGGGCCTCATGACACCCTAAATGCCATGACGCCGCCCGTGATGAGCGTTTGGCAGGTCATCTGCAGGAGATGGCCGCTTCTTAGGACGGAACTCGCCAGAGGAGGGCATCCACTTGTCGACCAGCGTCATGAAGGACATGTGGTACCCGAGAAAAACATGTCGACCTGCGGCTCACCTATGTGTTCGATGCCATTCATGGGTTGTTGGCTTTGACAGCCTTCAGGTACAGACACAACAAAATGGCTAAGGTCAAAGAGAGGCCCCGTCTGCTGTGTCTTGCCAGCGAAACTTACATAACTTCAAGATTGTCTTCACGACGAGAAACCAAATGAAGAAGAACTTGACATGTGGTTGGCACCTCGCATACAGGAGCTTTCATGCGGCGCAGACCAGCCGTGAGCAATCCCTCGTTCTATTTGCTTTCTGCGACCTTTCGTGCACGACTAAAATATCTGGAGAGTACCAATCGAGACAGAACTGCAAGCCCAACCCCGAGCGCAAGAATTCACCATAATGGGTGCTTCAGGACTAGGGCAAGCACGGTACGTCGGTCTCTTCTATCCCGAGTGCAATCCAGATGTCCGAGCTATTTGCTCATTCATCTCGAGTCGTCCCAGGAAGCACGCTCTGAGCTCAGTCGCGGCCATGTTGCACTTGATGCCTAGGAGCGCACAATGGTTGTAACCTTGTCGAGCTAATAATATGATTCCACGATCGCCGGGCAGGCTTGACCACGCTTGGTAGGTCAACAATTGCTTTCTTCCAATTCATCATGCCACTCGATAGCCGGCAGATTTCTCAGGTCTGCAAAAGCGATTTCTTTCCTTCGTCATAGTTCCGGAGTCGACACAATGCCGAGCTTCAAACGCGGGCTAGATGCAGAGACAACCTTGAAGGTATAGGGGCCAAGAATCCTTCGCGTCAGGTCTGGGGGCCAACAACTACTCCTCCTCCACTTCCACCGGCCTAGATGACAGTAACTGCGAGAATCTCGAGGTTCCGCAGGCCGCCCCGAACAGGCACCTGGCTCACTCGTCAACCACGTGCGGAGACATTCTCGTCCACATCCCGTCCACATCGGCAGTGGCCACGAAGTTGATTGGGGCCTTCGGCGTAACTACGCTGATATTCCAACTCTCACCATTCGGGTATGCTTGATACCGTCAAGCACGAGTTTGATCTGCTTCGGCTTTGCCGCAGTATCTTCACTTTAATCCTTCAGGACTTGGCCAGGAGGGGGATACGAGCCATATCACTGGATAGACACCATACCGCTCGATGCGGAGGATTCCTTGGCCATCCCGAGATGAGACTCGCATTGGGGTCGGCAAGATGGAATGATGTAAATGATGGCCGTCGATGGGGTATAAAAGGATGGGCACTGTCCGGAGAAGATGCTCTCCCACCAGCAACCCTTTCCTCATTCCAAGACACCACATAGCTTCTACACCAGCTCCCACATAGCTCATTCGCCATGCCTTCCCAATTCACCAAGTCCATGGCACAAGCAGCCATGATCCTCGGCGTTGCGCTGCCAATGGCACACGGCAACGACTTCTACGCCGTCACTGCCGACGAAGTTATTGTCGCACCAGTGGTACGAATCCTTCCTAGCTATCTTGCTCAACATCGTACATCACTAGATTGCTGACCCTCTGAGCCTGCTTGATACAGGGCGATTTCCCTCCTCCTGCACAACACATCCACTGGGGCGGCATTTGGGCAGCAGACGCCTTTCCTGACGACACAACGGAGTGCACTGCAGGCGACCCAGCCCTCCTCGACAATCTCGTATCGCCTCCTCTACCGTTGTGCAACGCCGACGAGGAGTCCTTCGAGCTCGGTGTCACTGACGATTGGGCCAATAAGTGTGGCCTGGTCACCGGGGACACCATCCACTTCCATAAAGATGTCTCGGGACAGTGGTGGTAGGTCAGAGACGGGAAAGTCGATACCTGATCTAGCGCTGATACCTCTTTAGGGATGCGACGGTTAATGACGAAGTCACTGTGAGTGAAGAGGAAGCATTCCGCACAGAACCATATGCTGACTCTCCCAGATCGTCTCGAAATGTGTTGCGCCTGACGGATGCGAGCCTGGCGGTGCTGGTGCTACCTTTGACGGCATCGACTGTCTTTACGGCCCGGACAACAACTACATCATTTCCGCTGCTTACCTCTGCACTGACATCGAGGCGGTGACCAGTGGGGACTTTGTGGGGATCCAGTGCTAAGCGCCGCCGCATTGCAATGTCTGTGACGAGGACAGAAGTGCTGCACCCTCTGGTATGATGAGTTCATTGGCACGCGGATGGAGAAGGGTGGCAGTTGATTTTACGAAGTATACGTACAACTACAGTCAAGCAGGCTACCTCCAACGGATTATCCAATGCCACAAATGGGACTCAAATGTCAATACGAGCACCCACCTTCCATCGCAAGCTTCTGAACTGTGCAACCACCCGACGACTGTCGGCGCAAGGTGGAGGTTTCTGTGCTACATCACGGCTTCCTGCACCTGTAAGATGTAATAGAGCTTCGAGCTTGTCGTGAAACTTGGATCTAAGTTCGTGCCACTGCTGCAGGTTGCCGCTGCGTTGGACGATCGGATTGCTTGTTGGTAAGGAAGCTCCTTGTGTATGGCCGAATTTTTTCCACAAGGCGTGATCATATATGGGTGACCCGAAACGGCCATTGCGAAATGCCTTACATGATGTATCATGCAGTCCTGACGAGACGGCATGTGGCTTGTTGAAACGAAGGCCGCGGGATGCGGCGCCCACAAGCTTTCGCCAAGCCTAAAATCGCAGGGAGCTACGCAATCAATGTAGAGATCTACCGGGTTGTGAAGAAGGGCAGAAGCCACAGAGGGATGGGGGTCGCTCGCTTTCGCCAATGCCTGTCGTTTGCCTGCCTCGTTGCGGTTGGTTAATTGATAGCGGAGCTTAGATGGACACGCTCTTCCGAACTTCCGGCGTTGAGGCTTGTTGGTGAGGTGGTGAACGCCGCTTCCCAGATCTGCTTATCGAAGGAAGGCTTGAAGCTTTGCATGTGGGTTTCTTGCTCGCACAGAGCCTGACTCTCTGGTGCCGCTCGTCCTTTGCCTATCCAGACCTCACCTCATCATCACCAACCCCGGCGGGCCGCTGTCAGCGCCAGTGCACTCAGCGTTGAGATACACCCCCCGGTGGCCATGCCTTCGTTCCTTAAGGACCACCTGAGTCTCCGTCGCCGATCAAAGGCTTCTGGAGTAGCGGCAGCTACACCTGAAGCGAGCACCGAAGCGTCCAACTCGTCGGGAAACTCGAGCAACGATGGCGATGCGAACGAGCAGCCGGCGAATAAGTCGACGTCCACCCTGAGCTCGTGGTTCGATAGAGGCTCGCCGCCGACCACCCTGTCCTCAACCAAATCCAAAAGCGCTTCGAACCTGGTAGGGTTGAACGGCAATGGTACAAAGACACCGCCAAGTGTCGCGGGCAGCACACGTACATCAAGACCGCGAATGGCGAGCTCGCACAGCAGCCGTTACAGCTTAATTGGAATGCCGCAGCAAGATGGGGAACCAGCACCTCGACAGACACCTGCAACATCACCCTTCGCACCTCGAGTCCTATCTGTTTCGGACGGCTCCTGGGTCCACCAAAAGGTCCTACTCATCTACGGCGAGTGCGCAGATACGGCGCGACCTCTCGACGGTACAATAAGCGTCAACCACCACCAGGATGGCTTCCCACCAACGCAGTGGCCAGTCTCCGACTCCTACTTCAAAGCTCTTGTCCATCTCCAACCCGGCCCCAACCGATTACGGCTCGACTTCACATCGCCCAAGCTTTCCACGCCCAATGGCCAACTACAAACCCACTCTTCGTGGATCAGCGTCAACTTTTTACCTCTGATATCCTCCCCACCACTCCACCTTTGTATCTTAGTTGCCAAAGACTCTCCCGAGACATACGACGCAGTACCGGAAAGAATAAAGAAGGAGGGCAACAACCTCGCCACCGCTATAAGAAAGTTTCGAGTGGCGGCGTACTTGTGGCAGGCATTTACTGCAGAACAGATGAATCGCAATGGGTTTGGAAGGCGCTGTTATCGATACGAGGAGGAGTGGCAGCCGGGTTCGTTGTCATGGCGGGATATGGAGATCGGCACGATGAGGAACGAGGCAAAGATACATGTGATACGGCTGAAGGAGACGGTGAAGGAGATACAGGATCTGGACGTTGCACAGCAGAACAAGGCTGCGACGCACAAGGGCAGGCTGTTCAAGATTGCCAGTGAGGCGGTGAAGAACTACTTTTCGCCGAGGCCGGGCCAGAAGGAGTATGTCTCTTGCATGTTTTTGGATACACATTGGGACAAGAGTGCAGGTACGTTAATCTACTCCCCAGAGCCTGGCCTGCGAAGGTCATGGTGTATGAAACTTTGCTGACCTTCTCAACAGGCACAGTAAGAGGACATGCTGCACTTGGCGGAGGTGACGACAACCTCAAGCTCGCCATATTTGGCTCGCACTGCTTGCAATCTTACCCAGCGCACATCGAAGAAGTGGTACCCGCCTTTACCGACTGTACGCGAACAGACACGGACCACGTAGCGAACGATTGCAACGATGCTGGGAGCAACTGGGAAGCAGCGAACATCGGCATCGGAGCACATCTACACGAGACCGGCCATCTGCTTGGCTGTCCACACCAGGAGAACGGGATTATGTTACGAGGCTATGTGAAATTGAACCGGACCTTCACCACTCGCGAGCCTTACTCGACGCGAACGAAGCAGCAGGGTCAGCGATTATGCAAGCCCGATGACGAAACCCACTGGCATAGACTCGATGTTCTACGCTTCCGTTTTCACCCATGCTTCGGACTACCAACAGACGCCGCAATACACCCTGACCCTAGCATACAAGTGTGGTCTGTAGACAATGGCGCAGTGATGGTGACTGCGGCCACCGGCGTTGCATGGATAGAACTGTTTCCTGAAGGCGACGACGTCTGCCATCACTGGATCGAATACCTCGACAAGTCCGGCTCGCCGGCCGGAGCACCGCGACAGATTTCAGTCACCGAGCAGTCGCTGCGAGACCACCTCCCAGAGAAGAAGCGGAAGAAGAAGTTAAAGCTCAAGGTCTTCTCCTGCGGCGGCTCCGAGCACACAGTGCCCGACTTTTCAGAACTCACCAACAAAGAAGGCAAGGTCAAGCTTCCCGATGGTCGGCCAGGCTTCAAGAGCTCCAAGCTCGGCTTCTCGCAGATGAACGGCTCGCAGCCACAAGAGCTGATGCTCGGTACTTGTGCGAAGCAGCCGAAGTTCCTACGATCCTTACGCATATTCCACGGAAGAGGTATTGATGGGATTGAGTTCTTCTACGAAGATGGGTTCAGCGAGCTTTTTGGCAAGAGGGGGGGCAAGCCCAGTCTATTCGAGCTCGACACGAAGAAAGCGGAGACGGTACTGGGCTTCCACCTCCGCGCTGGACAGTGGATCGATGGGATACAGGTATTGACGAGCACTGGTCGGAGGAGTGAGATCTTTGGAAATGCGACGGGCGGGAGCGGGTGAGTGCTTTCATCCATTGAAGGCGCTGAGCTGACATCCATGTTTTGCAGACATACTTTGATACCCCCACGAGGCTACGGCATTGCAGGCGTTTACGGCAGCTGTGGGGCTTGGATCGATGGGTTCGGGCTTATCATTGCGCGATGATTGGCAGGCGGGAGGGATTTTGCTATTTGGTAATAGAGGCACACGCATCAGACTGCGGCATTGAGGAGGACTGCGGTTGCATGGGCCTTGTATGGGAACAGGGCAACGATGGCTGGTACACGAACGAGGGGCCTAGTTATAAACCTAATCATGTATCATGAAGAAATCGGTCTGCTGGACGTGGACCTGTTGAACACAGGGAAGCCTCCATTGCTGTTGTACAATTTGTGTGTACCTGTGCTATCGCAACACCCACCGACCGCATCGTCTTGTCAGTAGGTACATTAAAAACGTAATAAGGTATGTTAGTCCTGCTGATCATATGTACTGTTCGCCCACATCCTTCCAACCACATCCTTCCAGCCAAAAACCTAGGACTTCAGGAGGACAAAAGAACAAATCCCATATTGGGAGAGACCAAACCACCAGTGAAGGGTTTACATCATTTCTATCTACGACTCCATCCGTCCTCAACATACCCCCCATCTTTCCACTGGACTTGATTTTTTTTTCTATGGATTCATTTTGAATCATCTTCAATAGCATATCCCATGCTCTGTTTCCAACCCACGCCTCTCGGAGCGTGAGAGGAGTATCTCAATTCAACGTGATGAGGGGTAGGCTCGACCACTACCCACTCGACGGGCGGATTATACTACCGTACGTCGTTACCCGTATGTAAGCGAGCCGAACTCATCACATGTACCTTTCTAACCGTAATTTGATTAGGGTACGCATGCCATTTCATTTAGGCCATGATCTTTACCGCCAACGGCTTGCTTGAGATAGATGTGGGAGTTTGCAATAATCTTATAAAGGTAGCCATGTTGGGCGGTTTCGTCTGATTGATATTCGCATGACTCGTGTATCGATAAGCTATGTTTCGACGTCAGCATTCGCGTGACACCAGCTCCTCCGCCACGTTGTACAGCCTCTCAACTTACATCCACGCCCACCACACTCACAACACGATGCGCCATAAAAAGGATCTCACTGGCAAAGGCAAGAAGGGCTCTAACAACCCCAAACGCACCTACGCCCAGCACACCCACCCCGAACGCGATGACGGCCTCGGCGGCAACAAGAGACCGTCCTTCAAAGCCGCCGCGTGGGACCTGAACCACTGCGATGCCAAACGCTGCTCCGGCAAGCGACTTATGCGTCTCGGTCTCATGCGCGAGCTGCACGTTGGGCAGAAGCACGCCGGTGTGGTCGTGAGCCCGAAGGCGAAGGTCTTGCTGAGTCCCGCGGACCGGCCGATCTTGGAGCAATATGGTGCGGCTGTGGTTGAGGCGAGCTGGAAGAGGATTGAAGAGGTACCGTTCACGAGGATAGGCGGGCCGAATCCCAGGTTGCTGCCGTATCTGATCGCCGCGAATCCGACGAACTATGGACGGCCGTGGCGGTTGAACTGTGTGGAGGCGCTGGCGGCTTGCTTTGCGATTTGTGGGCATAAGGACTGGGCGGAGGAGGTGCTGGCGACTTTCAGCTACGGGGAAGCGTTCTTGAGCATTAATGAGGCGGTGCTGAAGAAGTACGCGGCGTGTGAGGATGAGGAGGGAGTTAAGAAGGCGGAGGAGGCGTGGTTGGCGAAGGTTGAGAATGAGTGGAGAGATGATCGGGAGCAGAGGGAAAATGATAAGGATGATGCGTGGAGGGGTGGAAATATGAACCGGAGGCAGCTGGATGTTGACGATGACGACGAGGACGACGAGGGAAGTGGCGATGATGAGGACAGTGATGCGAGCAGTATGGGCGGGATACAGCTGGGTGGTCCAAAGCCTGGAGAGCAGCCGGTGTTACGCGAGGATGAGGAGGAAGACAAGGACCCGTACGATCTGCCTCCTTCGGACGATGAAGAAGAAATGGCCGAGCTCAGGCGAAGAGTGCTGGCCTCCAAGCCGTTCGCAAATCCGAAGCCTGCAGAACCAGACGCCAGACAAGCTCCGGAACGGATCGAGCGTCCTTTGGGTACCGCAGCGATAGCCGACGATTCAGACGCAGAGTCAGGCTCAGACGTGGGAGCTGGAGATGATGACGATTTTGACAACATCATGAATGCTGCGCCCGTTACCGACAAAGCTGGAATTACGGCAGCGCAGCGGAAGAGAGCCATGGAGCAGGATGGCAAGCTTAGTGCTACGTTCTCAAGAAACGTCGTGTCGGCGCCGGGCAAGTGGCCGCCGTGAGACGTCGGCAGTGTAACGCTCGGATGCAGTTGCTGCAAACCTGGTACATACGGCAGACTACCTAAAGCATCGCATCCTTCAAATCACTCATTGCAGCACCAGGCACTTGCCAAAACTCCTGCTACCATAAGTTCTCGTTGCCAAAATCCTCGACGCAAGCAACATGGCATCCTGAATACCCGCATCTTCCGCTGCAGCTCTTCATGCTGGTCGAGGTAGATGCCAATTTGACTTGTCGACCTTTCTCAGGCCATACAAACGAGGGTCACCTCTCACCCGGATTTGCGTCTCATCAGACTTTCGGACCTTGACCTCCCTGCTATACTTCTCCTCTCCAACTCTCTTCGCCCACATCTCCTCTCCAGCGCACTTGAACATCATTACAATGGCTCCCGGTTCCGAACGTTATAAGCCTTCCATTCTTCGTACGAAGTCCCAGGTTCGGGATCGTGGTTCCAAAACGTTCGGAAAGAAATCTCTGCCTTCTCTAAGAGCGGCACCAGCGTGCGCACGATTCGTTCGAGGTCTGCCGCTGTTTCGGGGTGATTGTGGACGTACTCCATTCGGAAGAGTAGTTCGACAAGTCGGACATCCGTGAGGTTCTTTGCAGCCAGATGCTGGACGAGGGAATCGTCGTTTGGAAGCTCCAGCTCGTAAAAGTCGGTCTTGTGGAGATCCAGGGTTTCCAGCCTACCGGGGACTGCGCCAAAGGAGCAGACTGGCTTGTCTGATGAGAACTTGCTGAAGGGAAGCTCGAAGGTCAAATCGATTCTTTCGACATGTGGTGACTGTTCAGGGCCTACAGAGACGGTGTCCAGGCCGTCAGTGTCCGCCCTTGCGTATCAAGATATCGTTGCCCTCGCTGAGTGGATGACTTACTGCTCTGGGGCTGCTTGCCTTTGGCAGCGTTGCTTCTCAAGTATGTTGAGTCCCGTGAGAGCCATCTCTCTCCTTGGTCGTCACGACCATGGGAGGATTGCATTGTGATCGAGGAATCAAGAATCGGTGAGAAGTTGTAGAGGTTTGAGAAGAAGTTGCGCATGGAGTTGCGCTTGAGTGGATAAGGGGAAGAGAGCCTATACGTTGAACAGCGGGTGTGTTTGTGCTCTACGGAATGTTTGCTGTGCCATGGCTACACGACAGCGCTGATTCCATGGGTTCATGGTGGCACATTCACCGCGGTTCCAACCAAGGCCGAAGCAGCACCTTCGGACTCCCAGTCGTTGCACGAAGCGGGCAAGCTTCCGGCCAGTCTACGCAGAGCACACAGGAGAGATCGGCAGTCCACCGGTACAAGGCAAAATGAAAGATACTTAGCTCGAAAGATGCATTGCGTCAACCAGACGTAGCTACATACATACTGAGCAATGGATACCTATGGGTCACTGGCAAGGCGGACAGAGGCATAGCCTCGATGTGTACCGCCACCGATGGGGCCTTGCACTGTACCATGACTTGAACTCTGCATCTCCGCTACAGATGCGTGTCTCCTGGACCCCCGTGAGGCGCAATCGCATAGGCGGTAAAGGGCTCGTTGATACGCCACAGATTGTTGTCGCCTGGAAAATCTATCAGTCCGTAACCTGGGGGTCTCCCCAATGACCCGCTCCACGACCCATCGAAACATCGTGATAATCTTCGGGATGTCTGCGTGATTGCTCGAGTTGTTGACCTGGAAGCGGAATGCTGCACCAGTTCCCATCGGCACCAACGTTCGCATACAGGCTATGATGTCTCGTTGGCAATCAGGCTGGTTAGGATGTTCATGTAGCATAAAGTGGATGTCGACTCTCCTGGGAAACGGGAGGCTGTGCTGCTGATATTTGTCCCGCAGAGAGTTGGGCCCATCCAGAACGTTGAAGCGGACGACTTCATTGTGAACCGGTCCAGAGGCGCCGTTCCGAATGGGGTGAGCAGTTGAGTGTTCACCATCCATGGGGCATTCGAACTCGATGATGACCTGGTCCATTGTCTTGTTTCTTTCGAAGAGATGTGGGTTGGTGGTTGGGAGAAGTTGTTGTGTCCAATGGGATCGCCAAGTCTGGAGGAAGCTATGGGGTTGGAAATGGAAAAGAGAACTTCGAGCGGAACGGGGCCCTATATGTTCTGGATCGCAGGCCTTCTGTGCTACAATACGGCCAGGAATGACGACCTCTGACTATATGGACTGCTGCGGATTGACGCCAACAGTAAATACCGGCTCATCATGAGCGCACGCGGCCGGACCAGCGAACATTCCACATCACCTGATCTCAACCAACTGTTTCACCTCTTTGTACGGAGAACTTGAAGGTTTCGCTCGTGAGCTTTGTGGCGATCAACCAGACCATCCTTACATTGCTACGTAGATCAAACGCCGCAAACTACGAACATAATCCCTGGCTACAACCACGTTCACTGATCCGGCGCAACTGCGTATATCGTTATTGGTCTGGAGCGCGAGCCACTGGTTTCTCCAGGATACGATACCACTCCTTCACCAGGAGCCCTGTCAAATACCTCCTCCACCACCCGCGTGAATATAGCGATGACCAGGTTCCGCCATGTGTCCGAATTGTTGACCGAGAACACAAAGTCCGCAACATTGGCGATCGGCATCAGCGACAGCATACATGCGGTGATGTCTCGTTTGCATCCTGGATCGTCCGGTGGGGCATGCAGCATGAATGCAACGTCCACCTTGCTTATACGCGGCATTCCAGTAGCCTGCAAGACGTCCAGCGCGATCTTCGGTTCACCGTATCCCCATGTCGTTTGATCATGTGCGTCTCCGCTGTTGATGATGCGAAGATGCTGTGTCGTATTGCCCCAGGCGTTCTCGAAAGGGCATGCGAAGCGGACGAGTGCCAGAGCCATGGCCTTGGTCCAGGAAGATTCAACAACACAACGGGTCTCGCCAGCTCGGATACGGCGTTCTCTGCTCTTGCTGTGTGGGGACGATGAGACGTCCGGTTTCGTTGAGACCGATCGGGTATGATCAAGCTCAATGTGTGAATGTGTTTGTGGGAGAAGTGAAGCGGATTGCGAAACGAGAGAAGGCTCTCTTATTATCGAGTGCAAGCATGTTTGTGCTACCGCATTGCAATGAATGAAGGCTTTTGACAATAGGCACGGCTGCCTCCTACGCCAACAGCGAACTCCAGCTCGTCAAGAAATCACCTGGCCAGGCCAAAAGGCATGCGAGAGCACTTCACCTGGATCTCGCGGTTCGGTCAACCAGACCGTTGTTACATCGCTATCTAAACTCAACTGTCAAGCTGCCAACATGGATTCCTGGAACAGATTCGATGGCACGCCACCACTAAACACCCTCCTGCTCCTGTGACCGTGGTGAAACGAACTCATAAACCTCGAAATCGCGCTCGTCAATTTGCAAGCCCCACACTCCCTTGTCGCCTGGCTTCATCGACATACCGTTACCAGGATACTTTCTGGCCCAATCCGTCGCCACACGACCGAAGATGGACATTACTTCATTTCTACAGAAGGCCGCCTCAGCCTCTCGAGCTTTTGCACTGCCTTCTTTCACCGAAATATCTTTGAATCGAATCGCTACTGGCGCAGTAGGGTTTGGAGGCAAGACAGCCCAAATGGAGCTCCGGATCTCTTCCCTCACCTCGAGGGATGACGGTAAATCGTGCAGCAGGAATCGAACGGTCATACGAACGATGCTGTCCATCTCATTTCTCTTCATGACGCTCATGATGGCCTTATCGTTGGTTAATTCGATATAAAAGCTGCTCTTCCGGTTGGCGTTGCCATTGGCAAATACAACCAAGTTGCAGTTCGGAGTCTTTCCGGCAGTCTGCGAGAAGGGAAGGATGAACACTACCTCGACCTGCCGAGCAGTCTTCACGAAGTCGACTGGCTCAGGAGATGCATACGGGGCTGCAGCGCACTTGTCAGCGATTCTGCATGCCATTCAGAAAAGGACGAACCTACGCATCTCCCACCGAACTTGCCTAGCCGAGGGTGTCTTCTTTGGAGTGCTCTCCTCCTGCAGGACACTACTCTCCGGAACTGTCCCCTCGACGATCGACTTCTTCGGAATGCTCTTATCCGCGGGTTGTCCTCCTCCCGGTGATCGATTTTTATTTGGAACGAAGAATACCGGATAACGCTTCTTCGATTTGCCTTTCGTGGAAGTTGCTTCGTTTCTGGTAGGCTCTCGCTTTTCGCCGGAGGACGACATTGCTGTAGGTTCAGATCTCACGCTGCAATCAATGGAGCTAGTAGACGGGCTTGATGTCCAATGTTATCACTCGATCGCTTGGTATGAACAGAGAATGGCAAAAGATGGCCTGCAGGAGAGGCTTTAGAGCCCGGTGGCGCTCACACTCACTCATTCACGACTGCTACATCGTTGGGTTGATGACGAGGCCACCAGGAGAATAGCACAAACAATTCACTGCCTATTTGCGCCGATGGCTAAAAAAGACACGCAAATGCTTGCACGTACTGACGAACGACAAGCACGAGAGCGAGCCCTAGGTACACTGCCTGGTGACACGCTCACACCCCCAACGCATGTAGCAGCATACGTGAGGTCCATCGCGTCTTGTGGGAATGGTGGAACCTCAGGAACAACAGCATAGATCGTTGGATCCTTCTCCGTCTTCCAGATCACCACATCACCTTTCCTCGCCTTGATCTGTCTTCCCAATATGCCTTCGCCCATTTCGGTGAACGTTTTGACGATGAACTCGTGAACGCGCTTGTGCTCATGCTTTGATATGGAACCGTATTCTCCGTCCTCAACAACGAGATTGAAGTCGCAAGGCTCGCAGTTTGCAAGGATTGGCATCAGCAGCTCAATTGTTGCCGAAAGCTCCTTTTGGTTGTCCGGGTGGACTGACGATTGATTTACCATGAAGCGGGCGGTCACACGGCGAATGTGCTTGGGAGGAGCGGCGCTCAGGAACTGCATGAGGGTATGGTTGTTGGGAAGCTCGAGGTCCACGAACGAGATAGTGCCATTGCGCTGCCCATGGCGCGACCATACCCACGGAATGATAAACGATAGCTCGACATGCTCGGGCCTGACCAGTGGATGGAGATCTAGAGATCATGAGATGTCACTATCCGAGCATTGTGGGAGTTGTACTCAGCTTGACCAATTCGATGGAGTGAACTTACTGCTTTCCTGAACCTCCCTTTGTTTTCCTGCTGCTTTGGAGCTCGTGGCCTCCAGAAACAATCAACAGCGCTGCCGCGAAAGGGCATAGACAGTCAGGTCATCGTCCAAGTCCCCAAGAGCCTTGTCGCTCCTCTGCTCGATCAGTGCCCTCTGATACATGCGTTCTCCCGCTTGCCTAAACATCATGAAGACTATGCCCAAATCATGCCAGATGAAGCGAGGGGTTGATCAAAAAGCTCTCCACGCCAATTGTGAATTGACAGTAGCTTAATAGTGGCATCATCACTTGGATCGCTTCCTTGGTATCGTGGTATGTTTCAGGATCCCACGGCGAGCGGTGCATTTGAAAGCGAAGCGATACATAGCGAATATTTGGGGCGTTGTGCCTTTGGAGAATCTGCAAGAGGGCGTCGTCATTTGGGAGCTCGAACAGTGGGAACGTGTAGCATGCCTCTGCGCCTGCGAAGAGGGTAAGGTTCGCGTTCCGGTAGCGGGAGGATGACCTTGAAAAGGGTAGTGTAGATATGACATGCATCCGTTCGATAGGAGCTCTGGGTGCTGGTGGATGGACGAAGAGGAACCGGTCAGTGGGGCGGAGAGCAATCAAGGCTTGGAACAACCTTGAGCGTGGGATTGAGTGTGTAGCTTACTGTTTAGACGATGTGTACTGCTACCTAGGCCATACAGGACGGGGATGTCGTGGGCAACTCCAGATGGAGGAGGGAGATGCCGGGGGATTTCAGAAGCAGAGTGTAGTGACGGTCGTCGCGGTGGATCAGCCTGAGGGTTGATGGGCGCCGCTAGACCTACAGGAAATCGTCCAACTTGTTCTCGCTCGCTTGCGGTGACACTAGTCCCTTGATGTTTCTGCTGTGAGTGACCATCACTCCCCAGTGAAACAGGCGGGTCTGATAAGCGTGTCGGACCTGGTTCTTCCATATAGCAGTGTGTATCCGGACGACATAGTTGTTGGCCGTAATACCCTGGTTGGTCTGTCAGAATCGAGGGCGGTAGGTTGAAGTAGTGAAGAAAGAATGGAACGGCAAAGACTGTGCTTCACCAGATATCGGCTTTGCATTCCTCGCAGCTGTCGATGAGCATGATAGTGAATACGGCAAGCACCTCAATAATGATCGATGCTTGATTGCTCAAGGTCCATTCCCTGGTCCGCGTGTACCTTGGTCGTCTGCCCAGAGTCTGCTGGTCTGTCGAGGTCACCAGGAGCCTTAGGGCCGCTGGGTACTCCATTATGTTGAGGACCATGGTATGCCTATGTAAGGCGCCGGACGGCGTCCAATGCGTGTTGCAGGATATACTCGTGGTTTATAGCAGGATTTCTTTGGAGTTCCATTCGCCTGAGAAGACGATGCGCTACGATCGCCCTGTGCTCAGCGCTTGCCCGATTGAGCACCTGCTGTCACATGCCGACAATGCACATGTATGCAGTATTGCACACTCGCAGTCCTCGCCACTCGCATTAATGCTTGCTCCCATGGAGTGCCATGAGGTCTAGCACATACGCTTGACCTGCGGTAAGCGCAATGCAGCGGGGAGCGAGCATACCACACTGGGGGAGCAATGGACACCTCGAGCTCCTCGAAGGTGACAGGTAGGCGTTACAAACGTCACACAAAGGCTGCATAGCTTGCTGACCGTCGCGGCAGTGGAATACCATGACCCACACGGTGTCTTCGCGCTCATATCGAACGATATCGCCGCGCGGCTACCGGTCCGCAACCTGATATGGAGATCGCCAACACGACCTTTGCGGAAGATCAACTCTTTGCACCTCGACTTCGTGCCGGACAACTTCACGAGGAACAGCTTGAGGCCAGCGCAGAAGACCGATTCAGACGGCGCGACCAGCTTCGACATTGTTCGAAGCGGTGTGGATCCTCGCAAAGATGGAGTCAAGGAGCGCAGGCACCAGATTCCCGGGCTACAGACAAGCCCATACTTGAAGCTCTATATCTTGAGAGCGGATGATAAGGACACCTACAAGGCTACGGAGCGGAAGAAGATTAGGGAATGGGTGCGCGACAATGCCGCAGCGAGCAAGAAAGGCAAAGGCGAGAACCACGATGCCTTCGATTGGATGATCATACATGTGGTGATTCCAGACACAATCGCCTCGAGCGAGCCAAGATGGAGGGAGTCTTCGAGAGACTCGGAGGAGCTGAAAGAGCGAAAGCAAGGCATGAAGCTACCTGGCAAGAGTACCAGAACAGTCTTCGACAAGCTGCGAGCGGACTTCAACGAGACAGGCAAGAGCGGGCAAGATCGTGTTGCGCAGATACGCTTGACGAGGGCGCAAGTCTCTGCGGACCTTTTGCCTACACCGGCCATGGCGACCACTATCGAAGAGACGCACGATGAACGAGAGAAAGCTTGGGACCATCTGATGGGTAAGATCAAGACGATGATACTGAGCCCTTTCGATACTCGTGTCCGACAGTACGAGGCAGACGTCGCGGAGCAGGAGTCTCGTCGCGCAATGCCTGGCTTCAATTTCTGTACGTTCTTCATCTACAAGGAAGGTCTGGCTATGGCATTCGAGAGCATTGGGTTGGTGGAAGACGCTCTGGTGATCTACGACGAGCTTTCGCTTGGGTTCGAGACGGTGTTGAAAAGCATCTCTGGAGGTCAAGCCGACGGAACGGCCACCACGTTCGCGCCATTCACTTCTGATATCATCGATCGAGTTGTCGGCTCAAAGAGCTCCAAGACCAATGGCGCCGCATCTGAGGGTATTCCAGAATCTGGCAACGTCGGTGCTTTTCAAAAGGACTATCGGGAGAGAATCGTTCGGAGCGACATCTCCGTTTTTGACTTCTCGTGCTACCTTTTCGCTCGTCAAAATGCGCTTATCTTGCGCATTGCGAATGCGAAGTCATCTCGATTCGGCTCGCGATCTGCTCAGCAAGACGAAGGCGAGGATCTGGTGCTCATATCTGAGGTCTGCTGGAGGAGCGCAAACTTCATCCACAATGCAGCCCGTTCGCTTCGACAGGATCTGTACAGCTACCGGTCGTCGCAGTGGGAGAAGAAGACTGAAACTCCAATCTCCGATACTGACGTCGAGAGCCTGGTATCGTCTTGGACCTACATCGTGGCCGGGCAGATGCTCCATGAGACGTATTCGCCTGCTCTGGAAACGACGAGCGAGCCTGGTCGGGGCCAGTCAGTACAGAATGGGATCAAGCATCCGTCTGTTGCCAATTTAGGCGGTGTCAGCGCTCACCCGCAGCGCACAACCAGTCTCCCGTCACGTAAACCCAGAGCGTCAGAACTACAGAATCGCGACTCGCTTCAATCGGCGTCTGACAGCGATTTGATGAGCCCACCGATGAGCCCAGGATTTGAAGCGCCTAGATCTACTGGAACAACACCTGGCTTGATCGAGCTTGTGACCTATCGCGCAGAGCTGCTGATGATGCAGCGGAAGATGCTGGAGCACGTCGCGAAGCAGAGGAATTGGGTATCTGGCTGGGCGCTGATGAAAGACAAACACACCGCAGACATGGATGACGTTGACTTGAATGACGACTCCGACACAAGTGCGGATGTCCAGAAGTCTGTGCCCAACGCCCCTCCATCTTCCCTAGTCGCGCAGTCCCTAAAGCCAGCAATGGCTTCTCGAGAAGCCTTCAACGCGCTATTCGAGCGGCTGAGCAACCAGGCAACGCGACTGTACTTGACTGCCACTCAAAGCAAACGTGCAGAATCCATCATCGGCGATCTCGCCATCCTCAAGTATCAACAGGGCGACTTCAACTATGCAGCTGCGTACTTCCAACACGTGCTACCGTTCTACACCGAAGAAGCCTGGAGTCTGATGGAGGTCGAGGCGCTCAGAATGCACTCCATGTGCCTGAAAGAGCTCGACCGAAAGGAGGAGTATGTCACGACTCTGCTCGCGCTAGCCGCTAAAGCGTGCGGATGGCGAGTGGCCCAGGGTATCACGAGTGGACGAGCTCCCACATTCGATGAGGTGGCAGATGTTGCAGGCGTCTTGCCAGAAGCGCTGTCATTCTCCAAGCACTTGGACACCGAGCTTTCAAATCCAGCTGCTCTGTACTTTGGCGACATCATGCTCGATCGAGAAGTGGTTCATAATGACGACGGAGACGGCTTCTCTCTTCGACTTCGTTTACGGCATCTGCTGGATGACGAGGTCCAGATAGACCACATCGCCGCTCGACTCGCCAACGTGGACGACCCGAACATAGAAGTCTGGCTCGCAGCGTCAGATGTCAAACTCAAGCGCGGCCACAACGAGGTATCTCTGGAGTCCACGTCAATCGCCTTTGGCTCATTCATCCTGCATGGCGTGGCTCTGCAGACGAACAATGTAATCTTCGTGCACGAACCTCCGAAGGCAGTGGAAGGTAGCAGCGAGACAGTTGATATTACCACTACGCTGCAAGCGCAAGCGCCGAAGCAGCCTGCCCTATTCTTGTACCCGAATCAACATGCTTTCGAGGCTGAAGTGACTCTCGCGAAGCACGTACAGATCGACAAACCACGGCACCTGGAGATCCGCCTGAGCTCAGGATGGAATGATGTCAAGTCTATCGACCTGAAGCTCAAGCCTGCTACGGCTGGGTTGAGGCTGCATCTCGCTGACGCACTTTCGAACAACATCGATCCAAGGCCAGAGGACGACCCGCAAGGCCAGCTGTCACTCGGTGCGCTTGCTGCCAACGCCGAAGCCCAGATTCGCGTGCCGTACTCTTTGGAGCAAGCTGGGCAGGAGATATTCGTTCGCATGGAAGTCGGCTACACCACCTCCAATGGCTCGTTCACCTTCCTTACCTCCGCCCGACCTCAGACGCGGCTGGCACTCGACGTGGACGTCAATGATGACTTTACTATCGACAAACTGTTCTCCAACTTCACCTTCAAGGCAGCGAGCCACACGCCGATATCGATCTCCAGTGCTGCACTCGGTTCGTCTGCAAGATATGCTGTTGAAAGACCGCCGTCCCTGCCGATGCCGATGTATACCTCGGATCAGCAGCCAGCGAGGCTGGTGTACACGATTGCGAAAACCTCTGACAGCGCCGAACGTGCTGACAAGAGCGATGCTACGCTCATGCTAGATGTCAAGTACAGTCTAGTCAAGGACACGGTACTGCATCAAATGCGGCAGGGTCTTGCTACAACGCTCAAAGAAAGCAGGTTCGCCACTTTCGCACGCCTGCTGCTGCCATTCATGTACGAGCGCTGCAAGCTGTTGATCGCACCAGCAGATGCTGAGCAAGCTGCACAGCAGCACAAGGTGACTGCACCATCGTATGAGGATATCGGCTGGTCTGAGATCACTGCTGGTCTGCCTGACATTGTTCGGAACGAGATTGCAGACTGGTTGCGTGATTGGCACAAGACCGAGACTTCCATCTCTGTTGAGCCGGACCACGTAGCAGAGGAGCTACAGTGTAGCATCAAGATTCCCGTGGAAGTACCCAGCGTCGATTTCGTCCACAGCGCATCACTTGACTTACAGCAGGAGGCGAGCAGATTTTCCAAAGGCGCGCGGATACTGAAACAGGGTGAACCAGTCAAAGCGCAGCTGCAGGTTGAAACCACGACCAGTTGGCGCCGCAAGTCTACTGCATCTGGAGAGGATGCTGAAGGCAATTTTGTCTACGACATCCACACCGACCCAGAATGCTGGCTCATTGGCGGGCTGAAGCGGTCTCATTTCACAGCTTCCAATGGCTCCAGGCAGACGTTTGATGTCTTACTCATACCGATCATGACCGGCCTTCACGCCCTGCCGCACGTCGATGTGCATGTTGCCCATGCTGCAGAGGACACAAATCGTGAGCAGAGCACGGATCTGGCCCCAGCACTGACTTGTGAAAGCCACTACGAGTGCGCCGACCAGCTTGTTCAAGTGGTCAGTGCATCGCAGACGACGCGGGTGTTTGTTCCAGAGTCGTCTGCAGTCCGTCCTTCCTCGAGGCCAGGTAGCTCGACGACTGGACAGGATGTTGGAGGATGAGGAATCAGGAGCAGAAACATCCGTGACTGGCTATTACAGTATCACAACGGCTCCATAAATGTTGTCGTCGACGAGCGAAGAGCAGCAGAATACACACCGTAAAAGCGAGTGCGATCCACACAGAAGTGCTGGAGACCTGACCAACATATGCGCCTTCAAGGCCTGTCAGACGGACAAGACGGGCAACAGGAATCCTCCAACCCCGTTTCAGGCACGAGCCGTCAAATTCCACATCAAATCCATCCCTCATTCGACCAACCGGTGCGATGGCGAGCGAGGGGAACAATTTGGAGCAGCGGGGTCGCAGCTGCCCCACGTCGAAAATGGCGTCTCTGCCATTGATGCGATCATACCTCGCTATTTAGCAATTAACACTACCAAAAAACCCGCTCCCTCGGATCCTGTCTTCAAATACTTGTAGAACCACTACATGCCCAGAGCTCAATCAAGACTCCAACAGCTTCGCGAACAAATAGTCAAGATGGGCGGCGACGACGTTGCACCGAGGTTCGAGACGCTGCAGCTGCACGCTGGTAATACACACACACACCTACCACACAAGACACGACTTCAATAGAGCGTACACTGACCATAATGGATGTACTGCAGGCGCCGAACCAGACCCAGCGACCAAGTCCCGCGCCGTCCCCATCTACGCTACCACCTCCTACACCTTCAACGACTCAGCCCATGGCGCCCGCCTCTTCGGCCTCAAGGAATTCGGCAACATCTACTCGCGCATCATGAACCCGACCGTCGACGTGCTCGAGAAGCGCGTCGCGGCTCTCGAAGGCGGTGTCGCTGCCCTCGCAGCCTCCTCCGGCCAGAGCGCGCAGTTCATGGCTGTAGCGGCGCTCTGCCACGCAGGGGACAACATTGTCAGCACGAGCAATTTGTACGGAGGGACGTACAACCAGTTCAAAGTCTTCATGCCGCGTCTGGGTATCACGACCAAGTTCGTGCGCGAGGGTGATGGGGACAAGCCCGAGGAATTTGGGAAACTGATCGATGAGAAGACTAAAGCTGTTTATGTCGAGACGATCGGGAACCCGCGATACAACGTGCCGGATCTCGAGGCCATTGTCAAAGTGGCGCACGAGCACGGCGTGCCGGTGATGGTGGACAATACGTTTGGTGCGGGAGGGTACTTTTGCCGGCCGATTGATCACGGAGCGGATATTGTCGTGCACTCAGCAACGAAGTGGATTGGAGGGCACGGGACGACGATTGGCGGCATCGTCGTGGACGCCGGGAAATTCGACTGGGGCACTCCTGAAGCGAGGAAGCGGTTCCCTCAAATGACCGAGCCCAGCGATGGCTACCACGGACTGAAGTTCTTCGATGCATTCGGCCCACTGACCTTCATCATCCGCCTGCGCGTCGAGATCCTGCGAGACTTGGGCTCCGCGCTCAACCCCTTCGCCGCGCAGCAGCTCCTCCTCGGCGTCGAAACGCTCTCCCTGCGCTGCGAGCGCCACGCCACGAACGCGATGGCGCTGGCGCAGTGGCTGGAGAAGAACGAGAATGTGAGCTGGGTCAGCTACCCGGGACTCAAGAGCCACAAGAGCCATGAGTTGGCGAAGAAGTATTTACCAAGGGGTTTCGGGGGGGTATTGAGCTTTGGGGTCAAGGGTGGGGAGAAGGGCGGGAGTCAGGTGGTGGATGGGTTTAAGCTGGTGAGCAATTTGGCGAATGTGGGCGATTCGAAGACGCTTGCTATTCACCCTTGGTGAGTCGGATATATTCTCGCAATGGGGAGCTGTTGGCTGACATGGCGAATGCAGGACGACGACGCACGAGCAGCTGTCGGACGAAGAAAAGCTGGGCTCAGGCGTGACGGAAGACTTGATCCGGATATCGGTCGGGACAGAGCATATCGACGACATCATTGCCGATTTCGAGCAGAGCTTCAAGAACGCTGCGACGAAGCCGCAGGAGAACGGTGATCCTACCAAGGCAGATGTCAACGGCGACCCTGATGCGCCGACGAAGCCGGTCGTTTAGGGGACTACACGTTGACACAGGCAAAGGTTCGGGAAAGAAGTAGACCAAAAAGCAGGGTATCATGGCTTATCCAACGGGCACAGCGTCGCAACGCGTGCATTTATCAAAAACGCCTCGCTCAACGCTCAGAAGCACCATCTCCTTTCATCCCACTCACTCCCCCTGCTCCCCCTTCGCCTTCTCCTCCCTGGCCTTCGCCTCATGCTGCCGCTTTATCCTCTCCTCCGCCGCTCTAGCAATGACATCCCTCCGACTCATCCCCGCCTCATTTGCACCCGCACCCCCAAGCACAAACTCCCCGCCCATCCACCCACCACCATCTGCCTCCTCATCCTCGCCCTCATCTTCCGGATTATAAAATTCCTCCTGCCCCACACTCTTCCCGCCCCTCCTCCAATCATTCCGATCAACCTCCGCCTCAATCTCCCGACACAGCTTCCAGAACCTTGCGTCATGCTCGCCCCAAACATTGTGCGCAAGCTCGTGACACAGCGTTTTGCGAATGACTTTGTAATCCCTATACCCATCATACGCGTCTGTCCGCAACCTCAACTCAATCACCTCGCCGCGATTCCGATTCAGCCCTAACGTCCGCGACTCGTGCGTCGTATGCGCCGCGGGGTCCATCTCCGTCAGCAACCCGACCGCGAAGCCGTGCGTGCGCATGCCGCGCTTGATCCCTGCGTCGTCGCGGAGGCGTTCGAGGAAGCGTTGCGACTTCTCGGGGTGCGGGAGGTGGGGGAGCGGACGGAGGGTGTGGAAGGTGTAGCGCGCTTCGTCTTGGACTTTTTTCCAGTCGCGGGTTTTGGAGGGTCTATTGTGCCGCGCGGCGGCGCGAGCGGAGGCGCGGTCGCGGAGGCGGGTGAAGTGGGCTTGGAGGGTGGATTCGAGGTCGGTGACTTCGGCTGTGGTGGCGCCCATGAGGGTGATTTTCTTAGAGGTGAGGTCGGAGAGGGGGAGGGAGGGGTTGCCGAAGGGGGGTTTGAGCAGGCCGGTTTTGGGGGTGATGTGGAATTTTTGGTTGGAGGGGGGGATGTGGAGGGCTTCGGCGACGGTGTCGGAGAGGTCTTGAATGGTGGCAGAGGCGTCGTGGAAGGGGAGGTCGATGGGTTTGCCGTGGAGGTGGATGGTTAGGGTGAAGGCGGGTTCGGTGGTGGCTTCTTCGACGTCGACTTCGTCGTCGCTGTCGGAGAAGGCGTTGCTGCTGTCGTGAGGGCTGGCGCTGCGGCTGCGAGTAGTGCTGCCAGTGGCGTGGTCGTAGGCGGCTTCAGACATGATGTCGATGTCTTTGCAGGATCCAGAACCTGGACAAGTGCCTGCCAGCTTCGGGATCCGGAAGGGGCAGTCGAAGGAGAACGTGGTGGCGGTTTGGAGGGGTTGTAGATGGAAGTGGTATAGATTGCGGTAGATGATGACAAGGATCAGAGCGGGTGGTGGCGGATAATGACGAGATGTGTAGTGAGAGTGGAGCCAAGGCAAACGACCTACCTGAGTCTTATATAGTGAGTGTGAACAGCAGTGCCTTCATGCAGTGGCACAGTGGAATGATTTCGAAGCAGCCCGATGACGAAGCGGAAGGAGGCCTCTATCGGCGAAATTGGCCGGCAAGCACCGATCGGCCTTCGCCTTCTCAGCCGAGTCAGCCTGCTCACTAACATCCACCCAACCCATTGGCGATTGACTCTGCATTAGCCGCGATTTCTTCCATATTTTCCACTTGATGGTTGATGTTGATCTTCTCCATGCGTTGCTCCTCGTTGTCAGACTACAGTTCCATCATGTCCAGCGGAGGCTCGTTCATGCCTCCGAGAAACCATCAGCACCTTTGACGCGAGCCTGGAACACTGGCCCTCGGTGGAAAGAAGCAGTAGCATTGGTGGTATCATAAGCAGCAATCAATCAGACGGCACGCCTCGCTTGTAAATCGAACCGCAAGGTCATGCCCAGCAGTATTTTCTTCCGCTCTCCATCCGCTCATGTCCCATGGTAAGCATATCCAGCAGCATCCGTCTCCCATCTCATACTCCCTCCTCATACTCCCTCCGCAACATTCACATTCGGATCCGCCTTGTTGTTATGCGCCGGTCGGTCCCTCGTGCGTAGCACATGCATCACCGCCATCGCCGTCGTGATCGCAAACAGCAACCTATCCACCTCAATCAGCAAACTCCCCATCTTCCACACCCACTGCTGCTATTGGAAAGACTCACCACTCAAAAGCCCCAAACGCCGCCCCAGCCTTTGCGCAATTACACACCTGCCCAAAACACACCCGCCCACTCAAGAACACCGCCAGCGCCACGAACCCCGCGAACCAGAACAGCATTGTCAGCGCCTCTGCACCGAGAATCGCGAACTTGTGCGCCGCGACGGTGTCGGCGAAGCGCCAGGGGACGACGATGAGGTAGGCAAGCGCGAGGAGCGTCCAGATGGAGCAGAAAATGAGGAAGTTGATTTGCGAGGGCGAGGAGACGTGGTGCCAGTTGTTCCACCAGTGGGCGACTACAGCAAGGGAAGGGAGTTAGCTGGAGGGTGAGGGGAGATGCGGGAGGGGGAAGGGGAGGCCTACCGTAGGCTTCCAGGCCGAGGACGATGATTGCGAAGATGAACTGGACGATGCGCAGGGCGAGCACGACGGTGCGGGAGGCGAAGTCGACCATGTTAGTGGTGGGTGGTCGCTGGATGCGACTCTGCGTGAGGCAGTGGAGTAGGTGTCGATGTTGATGTCGCTTTGCTGTAGCTCGTCGCGACTAGGTGTTTTCTCTTCCCAGAAGAGTCGTGAATGTGTCGCGCGATCTCAGAGATTACGCGAAGTGTCGTGTGGTAGGCGTTGGAATGCACTCGTCAAACAAACCACTTTCTCACAATAGGCCGGTAAGTAAGGTAGGCAGGTATTCAATGAACGTCAAGAATAGGAAGAACAATCACAACCTCAAGGTCGCAGAGAATAGAAGATCACTCTAGGTGAACAAAGCTGACGAAGAAGACGTCGTGTACCATCAGGAAGGAAGAAAGACTGCGCAGCAGCAGCACAGCCAAGTTTTGGCTCGTCCTTGTCGCAAACGCGTTCGTTGTCTGACCTTGAGAGCGCGCAGATCCTCCTCATCAAACCCCCATCCCCCCGAATGCGGGTCTGCTGATCGTGGCCGTTGTGGCGTGATGTTCCTTGCGCGCCACCAGATTGGTGGGTAGGTTTGGCTCGTGCGGGAGTGGTGTGAAACGTGAGTTTGAGAGTTGGGGCAGTTTTGTTTGGAGATTGCGCGGGTTGGGCTTCACTTCATCCTACATACTCCTATGTATCTCTTACCGATGTCGCAGCTACACCTTCGCGACTCGGGATAGTGCGTTGACAGCAATATCTACAGTACACACCACTCGTGGACGCTGGCCGCAGTGTTCGCCACAAGCCTTCCACGCCCAGCTGAGCCAACTTGGGAGTCGTCAGGAGACACGCGTAGAGCCGTGGCGAGCGATCAGGTGGTCTCATGTATCACCCTTCCGCCGCCTACTCTTGGAAGAAGACAAGGCTGGGCACGGCAATACTGTACCGAGCGCCTCAGGTGACCGGCTTGGAGAAGTGAGTTGATGGAAAGGAGGCAATAGTGCGCCGCCAATACGGTCAGGAGAGCTGTCTTTCTAATTGTACGTACTCGATATGGCAAACACAGGCAAGCCAGGCCAGTCTCCTCACGAAAGTCTCACGGAACACGGAGCAGATGCAGAATTCGCAATGTAGACTGTTGTTCTAGGCTGTAGTAGGTTGTACATTTCCATTCCCATCTCTTCGTCTAACACAACATATGCTTCTCCTGATCTATACCACACCAACGCGCTCGAAAGCCACGCCATTCTGTGACGCCCTCAATCACAACTTCGCCCTTACCTGCCCACCCTCCTCAATCTCCCGATACATCTCATCAATCAACCCCCGATACTTCTTCGCCGCCAGCGGCCGCTTCAATTTCAATCTATCTCACAAGTCAGCATCGCTCCCTTTATGCTTTCTCAACGCTCATCAACAGGTGAAGGTAAGGTACTCACGTCGGCGTCAACATCTCATTCTCAATACTAAACGGCTCGGCCAACACCCGCACCGCCTTCACATTCTCCCAACTGTTAAACTTGGCCTTCTTCCCCACCTTCGCCAGCTCCGCCAACACCGCCTTCCGCACCTTCTGCTCCTGCGCCGCGGCTGCGAGGGCCTGGATATCCGTCTGCGAGATCGATTTGCCGAGCACTTTACTCACGAACCCGGCGAACATGTCCGGTTGGAAACCGAAGATCGCTACCAGCGACGACTGCGTGCTATCGCCATGCACGTACCCCTGCGCGAGCCAGGGCAGGTTTCCGAGATACACGTTCTCGATGCGTTCGGGGGAAATGTACTCACCCTGCGCAAGCTTGAGGACATTCTTCACGCGATCCACGATGCGGAAGCGGCCCAGCTCGTCGACAGACGCGATGTCGCCGGTGCGGAACCAGCCGTCTTCGGTGAAGGCCTTCTGCGTCTCGGCGTCGTTTTTGTAGTACTCTTTGAACACCGTCGTCCCGCGGATCAGTAGCTCGCCCCGTGGGTGCGGGGAGTCGGTGGACAGGTATTCCATATCCGGCACGTCCATCAGGCAGAGCTCTGTGGCTGGCGCGACCGCCCCGCAGGTGCCGGAGCTGAAGTCGCCCGAGAGTTGGGCGAGCCCGATGGCGTAGGTTTCCGTGAGGCCGTAGCCTTGGATGAAGTTGTTGGAGAAGACGACGCGGAGGAACTGCTGAAGGGAGGGGTCGATGGGCGCGGAGCCGGAGACCATGGTGCGGGCGCGTTCGAGACCCAGGGCGGCGGCGACTTTGCGGGACCAGATGCGGTCGTAGAGCATGTGTTTGTTAGTCGCTTTGCCGGGCGCTGCGTCGTTCATGTTGGCGAGTTTGGTGTTGACGACTCGCCGGGACAGCGCCCCCTTGAAGCCTGCTTGCTGGATCGTTTGGCCCTTGATAGCGCCACCGAATCTGTTGTACAGCCTCGGAACACTGACGAAGGAGGTCGGTCGCAGCATCTTCAGGTCATCCGTCAGCTCTAGAATGTTACCATGAAAGTACCCAATGGCCGTCCCAGCCCACAGAGCTGAGTGCTCGGTCACACGCTCATAGATATGCGCCAGCGGTAGGTACGAACAGATGACATCGTTACCCTGAAACTGTGTCATCGACAGAGCCGTTGAAGCCGCAGCAACAGCGTTCGCATGCGTGAGCATCACGCCCTTTGGGTTGCCGGTCGTGCCGCTGGTGTAGTTGATGGTCACGATGTCGTCCGGACGCGGTACTTGGTATGGCTGAGGCGCTGCTTCGCCAAGGTTCTCGACTTCGCTCATGGGATATACCTGTACGCCGTGTTCGGCAGCCATGGCGTTCAGCAGAGCCTTCTTCGACGTCCCCGCCAGCTCCTCGCCAGTCTCCAACGGGTCCAGCGAGATAATCAGCTTCAAGCTCGGACATCTCGGTGCAAGCTTCAGCAGCGTCGGGACATGCGACAGCGAAGTGCAGACGGAAGTCAACTGCGCGTGGTTGATGATGTACTCCGTCGTGTCCGGGCCCAGCGTATCGTAGATGGAAACGCTGTACAACGATTGCGACATGCACGCCAGATCGACAATCTGCCATTCCGGGCGATTCTGACACCACAGTCCAACACCGTATTGCTTCGCCTTGATTCCGAGCTGTTCATGTAGAGCCACCAGCCCAACGCCAAAGTCCGCCCTCCGCTTTTGCACTCCCGCGTAACTCTGCCATTGGAACTGCCCAAAGGTCTTTGTATGAGGATCGTACGGACGAGCTCCTAGACAGTTGCCCTTCGGCAACCTTTTGGCTGTCTGTTCGAAGATATCGTGCGCTGTCTTGACGTCTGGATCGAGGGTGTGCAACAGTCCATCCGTCTGTCTCCAATGCCTGTATATGGCGCTTCTCCCGCTTTGCTCGGTGCCGGCAACGGGAACGCTGTGCGGCGCTCCAGGCGGAGGAGGAGGGACGAGTTTCGCTGCGTGTTCTAATGCTGGACAGGCCATTTTGTCGTCGTTGCGCGCAATGCGGTGCTCGTGACTGTGGGGATGGCGCAAGCGAGGTTGTACTAGGGTAACGGTGCACGACGGGTTGTGCGATGCTGGACTGGGTAGGTGTAGATCTATGGATCGATGTGTCGATTAGCAGCACACTCCTCTGTCTCGAATCTGCAGGATCAGGTCCAGGATCAGAGGCCGTATCGCCGAGCGCACGGGAAGAGACAGCAGAAGATGGACTGAGATGAGCCAATGGACAATGAATGCAAAGCTGGAGTACGAGATGGATGAGAGAGAGGAGGGGATGAATAAGGAAGACGTGAGCACTGGATGACACCAGCCCTACTCGGCCGCTCCGTCACTGTTCACATGCACCATCTCGTTTCGCCGAGGCTCGTCGGAGCTCAGTTCGACAGATCCGTCCGTCGCCGGCGCCTTGCTATTCTACGCCACACCACCGACTCGCAGACGTCTTGTGACCACTTGAAACTTGTTGCTTGCATTTGTTGCGAATGCATGCCTGATGCTGTTTGACCTCTATTCATTGCCAGAGCTCTGGGCAGCTCTTTCACATGCTCGTGCTCACTCCATCTCACCCGCGTCGCCGTTGGCGAAGGAGCGGACCGCAGCACGATCAGACCGGGGAAGCTCAAACCTTAAGTAGCATTGGATCGCAGACGAACGTCCACCTCACCTCACGTCAGATCTTGACAAGCATGTAAAACCAGCCAGTGTCATGTCATGCTCTACAGTATCTACTCTCTATACTCTTATCCACACAATCGCAGCAAACATCGCCATCGCTCGCCAATCGCAACGAGCCTTAAGGCTCATGGGGGTATCTTATGCTTCGCTAAATAAAACGCCGCTTCAAAGAGTCCGATAGGTCCTTTGCGCACAAACGCCATTCCTGTCCAGGTGCATGCTTCTTGCGTCCGCGGTCGTGGACATGCTCGTATAGTGCAACCATGCGGAGGTGCTCATGATTCCACAAACTCCCTCAGCATCTCAATATGGCCCTGCTGGTTCGCCACAGAATCTCTCACTTCCGCGAAGCCAGCCTCAAGCTCGGCGAGACTCTCGAGAGCCTCATGCATGCGGCTGGCGTTCTGCTCGTGCTTGCTCGCCCGTTCTTCAATCCGGCTGACGTCGTCTTCGAGCTTCTTGAGATCGAAAGACTGCAGAGCCCTCACATCTCCGCTCAACTTCTTGACGTCCTCAGCACTGGCCTTTAAGCCCTCATCCCGCTTCCCACTGCTCGCCTGCAACCCCTTAACATCCGCTTTCAAATCCTCAAAAGCCGAGCGGGAGTTCTGCAGCGCACTGTCTATCTTGCCAATCTCGCCGTCCATCTCAGTCTTCATCCCCGTCACACGCTCCTCGAGCTCGCGACAGCCCTTCTGTATGCTGAAGAGCGAAGCCTCGTAGTTCTTGGCGTGCGGCCACACGTTCGCCAGCTGGTCGAGCATGCACTTGACGACTTCGTCCGTGGTGAGGTTGTCCATGCGACGCTTTTGATGCTGAGAGATCATAACGACTTGATCGAGCTGCATTTGCATCTTCTGGATTTGCGCGATGATCTGTTCTTGGATGGGAGGGAGTTGCTGAACGGCTCCTTGTGGCATGAATTGCATCGGGTTGTGGGCGTGAGACATCGGCACCCCGGGGGCTTGGACGCCATTTACCATCGGCGAAGGAACGCGGCCGTTCGGCAGCTGTGGCGATTGTGCAGTGATCGGGCTCTGCGCTGGTTGAGGATGGATGGGCGTATGAGAACGAGGTCCTTCAGACGACCTCATCTGTTGCTGCTGCTGCTGCTGGCGCTGCTGTGGTTGCTGAGCCTGTTGCTGTAGCTGATTGACGAGAACCTGCTGGTGGTGTATCATGGGCATCACTTGGTCCTTGAATTTCTTCAAGTCGTCCATGATAGTGGTATATCCCTTGGCGCGTTCCTGAAGCTCATGCCTCAACCTGTCAATGACTTCTGTCTGTACCTTCTGGCGGAGCTGAAAGTCCACGTTCTGCAAACGGGCTTGCACATTGCTCAGATCTGACTTGCACACGGTAATCTCCTTCACCGACGTCTCGCGGGCGGTGCGAAGTTCGCTCATGTCCGTTTTGATCGCCCCCAAGGCATCCTCGATGTGCTGGATCATGCTGTCCTGCCCGTCCTCTTGGATGCCACGGAGCGCATCCAGCTGACGTTCGAGCTCTTCGACGGATTCTCTGGTCGCATAAAGCTCGCTAGAAGGTCTTGATGGGCCAGCTTGTCCTTCCGGGCCCGCTGGAGCGCTCCCTTGCTTGCCCTGAAATCGGGCAAGCATAGCCTTAGCCATCTGAGTTCCAGATTCGTCTTCCTCAGACTGGTCGTCTTTCGTGCGCACCGCTTGTTCACTAAGCCGCTTTGCGTGGTAAATACCGTCTGCATCGCCATTATTGCCGTCAGGGCCGACGCTCTCGCCAGGTTGTAGAGCACGCCCAGTGACAGAAATAGATACTTTCGCTTGCAGCTTGCCCAAGTCTTCGGACAGCTTGTTCACGGCCTTCCTAAGACTTCCAAGCGTTTGGTCGTATCCGTCCTGTCGGCTTTCCAGGGCCACCTGATCCTCTTTAAGCTTGATGTGAGCGCTGTCCTGGCCATTTGGAGTAGCTCGCATCTCGTGTAGCTTGTTGAGGGCAGTTGTGGCGGCTTCAGAGCTCTTTGCGGATAGTCTGCCAATGCGCTCAACGTCTCGCTCTGTCTTTCCGTGTCGCTTCTCCAGTTCAGCTTGCCTTTCTTTGAGCTTCTGGTCAGTTTCCCTGTCCATGTTGTCGGGCAGCCTGGTGCTTTGCAGCGCCTTCACGTCCTCATTGATTGAATCCGCTTGCTTGGCAACTGCATCAACACGAGTGTTGAGAGTAGACAGAGCACCAATTACTTTGTCGGCGTCGGGTTTCCAGGCGAAGAGCTTCGTGTTGGCAGTTTGAAGAGCTTTGACATCGCTTCGCACTGTCCCCAGCTGGCTGGTTGTCTCTATGGTTTCAGACTTCCACTGCTCAAGTGCCTCGACTTTCCTGTCGACATCACGCTGAGATGCCTCTAGCCTCAAGACTTTTGAATCCAACTCCTTGTTGCTCTTGTTGCACTCACCAACTGAGCTCTGCAAACGCGTGATCTGCCCTACTGTTGACTTGACAGTCGTGTCGTTGAAGTTCTTGACATCCCCAACATCTATCTTCAAGCCAGCGTGCTGTGCTCTCACCCCTGAGATTTCTTTCTTCAGCTCTTCCATCTCCTTCTTCATTTCATTGAACATCTCGCGTGACACAAAGTCTTCCTTGTTGATGATTGGCTGTTGAGGCTTGGCGGCCTCACCAATTACTTGAGCAAGCTTTTGCATGTGACCGCGCTCTGACGTCACGTGATCCGCCAGTTCCTGCTGGGCTTCCTTCAGCTCCTTCAAACTGTTCTCTCTAGCAGTCGTCTTGCTTTTCTGGACTGCAGGGAACACTTTGAATTGATCCTTCATCGCATTGTACTCTTTCACGGTCGTCTCGTAGTGTTGTTGTCTTACGCGTACTGAAGCCTGAAGTGCAGAATGCTGTGCGTTCTGGGAGGTGAAGTCGAGCAGAGCTTCGACAACAGGGTTTAGGGACCCATTCATACTTGCGGTAGGCGTTGCTGCACCAGATGTGGTGGCAGCGTCGGGTTTGCTTAACTTAGGCGGGTGCTGTGGGGTTGAACGACCGCTCGACAAGCCATCCCGCGCACTGCTTCTGCTGTCAGGCGACTTTGTGTTTGCTTTATCTTGCGGTGACGTGAGTCCGCGTGCTGGTTGACGCGGATCCCCATTTGTCGGACCTGATGGCGGATTCTGCCGGACCTGCTTCTGACGTTGCACCGGTTCTGGTGACCGACTGGCGGGTCTTTTGTTGCCTCTTGAGTCCGCGAAAGCATTGCTACCGGTGTACTCAGGGCGACGCGGATCCGTCATGTTACTGTGGCTTCTAGTAAACGCAGTCAGCATGTGGTGTTTGTGTTTGAAGGCATTCTTTGTAGTTGTGTTGTGTTTGGAGTTAAGTGGGGCAACGTGTCTGCCTGGCAACAGTGAATTGGGGTCAATTCAGCTCTCATGGAATTTGTTTAACATGTGATAACGACGCGTGATATCAGTTCTCTTCGCCAAGCTTTTGTAGGCATCTGTGCCAGAAACGTTTACTGCTCTCGTACCTCGGTGGATAGGGTCGGCGTGACGGCGGCGACCTGTCTCTCTCCCACGTCAGGTTCCGGTGGACGGAGGCACGCCTGCCATCACTGTGCTCTCTTGGATAGTATGAGTCAGCCATTGAGGCTCAGTTGAATTTTTCTGACACGACGTGGACGCGTTTGTCGTGGATAATGCTGGACCAGCGCGTTCCCATTGAAGTAGAGTGGAAGCGGAACAACGTGTAGTCGTTACCTGCTCCCCAAGTCAGAGACGAGACGTTGAGTCTCGCTCAATGGAAGGAGCAGGTGAGGGTGGAAGATGAAGGTATGAAGGAGAGAGCGACTCACCGATAGAGTAATATATGTTCCCCACTATCGCATCCCTGCTTAGCGCGTTTGAATGTCGTCCGTGCGAGAGGTCTTGTGACTCTCTATCATCCGCCAGACGCAAGTGAAGTGCAGATATCACTTGTGAGTAGTCCAGTTTGGAATGCTGACTCATGTGTCAATAGACGCCATTGAGATGGTGGTGTAGTGCAACCTCAGAAGATTCGTGGAGAACATGTGATGTGCGACGACTCAGAGAATAAGGTTTCAAGCTAGAGCCAGCTAGTCTGGATGTAGGCTAGCCTACACGAACTTCAAAGTTTCCAGATCGCTTCTGCAGACAGCGACTTCAAGACGAGTGAAGGACTGCAAACAATACGACTGCTTCTCACACACACGCTCACCCGTATCAGTGTCATACAGGACCACGACTATCCTACATTAGAGTCTGGACAGACACCGCGCCCGGGGATAGTGCAACACGGCCCTGAGGAACGGCGCTGGAACATCAGACAGCCAGCGCGTGAGGGCGCGTCTCCTCCAACATGGCCGCCGTAGGTTACCACTCGAATTTCATAAGAAGCCGTATGCTGACTCAAGATGCGATCTAGCCCATCACCACCATCTCCGACTCAAAAGACCGACAAGGACTGAATCTAATAGCGGCGCATTCCCATATTCGAGGCCTGGGCGTAACACCAGACACTCTCACCCCCAAAGCCAACGCAGATGGATTGGTTGGACAGCAACAGGCGCGGAAGGCGGCCAGCGTCATCCTACAGATGGTCAAGGAGGGCAAGATTGCAGGAAGGGCAGTTCTGATATCAGGACCACCCAGCACAGGCAAGACCGCGATCGCAATAGGAATGAGCAAGGGCCTGGGAGAGGACACACCATTCACCATGCTCGCATCATCCGAGATCTTCAGTCTGGACATGAGCAAGACGGAGGCATTAGAACAAGCATTCCGGAAAAGCATCGGCGTGCGGATACGAGAGGAAAGCGAAGTAATCGAAGGCGAAGTGGTAGAGATCCAAATCGACCGCTCTGTGACCGGCAGCAACAAATCCGGCAAACTCACGCTGAAAACCACCGACATGGAGACCCTCTACGACATGGGCACGCGCATGATCGACAGCATGACCAAGGAAAAAGTCATGGCCGGCGACGTCATCAGCATCGACAAAGCCTCTGGACGCATCACCAAGCTCGGCCGCAGCTACACCCGCAGTCGCGACTACGACGCCATGGGTCCGGACACCAAGTTCGTGCAATGTCCTGACGGCGAGCTGCAAGTAAGAAGAGAGACGGTGCACACCGTCAGCCTGCACGAAATCGACGTCATCAACAGCCGCACGCAAGGCTTCCTCGCCCTCTTCTCCGGCGACACGGGCGAGATCCGCAGCGAAGTACGCGAGCAGATCAACACCAAAGTCGCCGAGTGGCGGGAAGAAGGCAAGGCGGAAATCGTGCCCGGCGTGCTGTTCATCGACGAAGTGCACATGCTGGATATCGAGTGCTTCAGCTTCATCAACCGCGCGTTGGAAGACGAGCTCGCGCCGATCGTCATCATGGCTTCGAATCGCGGCTCCACGACTATCCGCGGGACTTCGTACCGATCCCCTCACGGCTTACCACTAGATTTCCTCGACCGCGTGGTCATCATCTCCACCCACCCCTACAACGCCGACGAAATCCGCTCCATCCTCTCCATCCGCGCGCAGGAAGAAGAAGTCGACGTCTCCGCCGACGCTCTAGCCCTCTTAACCAAAATCGGCCAGGAAACTGGACTCCGCTACGCGAGCAATCTGATCACGACATCCCATCTCCTTTCCCAGAAGCGGCGGGCGAAGGAGGTAGATGTGGCGGATGTGCAGAGGAGTTTCGGATTGTTCTATGATCCGAGCCGGAGCGTGAAGTTTGTGACCGAGTATGAGAAGAGGTTTATCGGGGAGGATGGGGGTGTGACGTTGGGGGGTGCGACGAACGGGGTTGCGAGGGGTGGTGATGCTATGGAGGTTTCGTAAGGAGGCAGATAGTGGAGAATTTGTGTCGAATAAGAAGCATGGCGTTTGTTTGAGTCAGACGAGGGGGCTGTAGAATTAGTACGAAGAGGAGAAAGGGCTGGCAAGGCTGGTATCTGTGCGATTGAGCAGGTTGAAGATTCAGTTCTGTCGAATGCATACTAGATCCGATATCATCTTTTTGATGTCGACGGTCCACCAACGCCATCCTGCTCTATCTCCCACTCTCAGAGAAATGGCACTAAAACACCGCTCCAACGAAAATGCTCTCCACCCTTCACAGCAACAAATGCATCTTCCATGCAGCCTCGCAAACCCCGCGAGGTGAGAACTCAATGCTTCGCCGTGACCGCCTCCCCCGTCGCCTTCTCCACCATTTCCTTGGCAACATCCCCCAACGCAACCATACACACCGTCTGCCACACGCCCAACCCGATCCTTGGCGCCACACCGCGATACAGCCCCTTCACACCGCTCGTGCCGTAGACGTAGCGGAAGGTATTGGCCACGGTCATCTTTTTGGGGCGGTTCGGGTCTTCCTTCTTCGACTGCATCTCCACGCGCACGACTTCGATCGGCTGGTTCCAGGCGGAGAGGCCGCCGCCGAGGGCCGAGGCGAGGATGCGCTCGGGGACGGAGAGTTTGGTCTTTTCGTCTTTGCCTGTGACGCTGCGGATGCCGTTTTCACTACAATCAACACTGTTAGCAGGAGTCGCGATTGGAGATGGTGGAAAGGGGGGGATGAACGCACGCAACCCGACTCAACCCAAACCGACTCCCCCAATTCGTCACCTGCCGCACCGCGACCGCATTCACCCCCTTGTTAATCCCCTTGATCCCCTCCCGGCGATAAATATCCATAAACGTCGCCATCGTCCCCGGCACCTTCTCCCCTTTCATCGCGGCCTTGTGCTTCGTCATCTCGACCGTCTTCATGCACGTGCAGAAGCCCATGGTCGCGTAGGCCTGTGCCAACCCGCCGGCCATGCCGCCCCCGATGCCGGAGACGAAGTTGTTGGCGCCGGCGCGTTTGGCGTAGTATTCGGCTTCGCTGGCGACGAAGAGGAGGACGGCGCCCTTGGTGGAGGCTTCGATCCAGGCCCAGGGGATGAGGCCTTGGTAGACTAATCACACCACATACTAAATCAGCACGAGCTCCCTCGCCGTATCCTGCTCACACGTAGGTATAGGAAGGAGAAGAAGCACTTACACCCCAAAACCCCACCCCGAGCCCAAATCCGACTCACACTCCCCATCATACCATCCGTCCTGTTCGCCGCCATGGTCGTCTTCATGACCTCCAGCGGCTGCCCGAGCGTCGTGACCTCGAACATGTTCAGCCCGGCTCCCAGCAGCAAATTGCTGAACTTGACGGGCTTCTTCTCGACTTGCGCCTCGCCCTTGAGCGGGGAGAGCTGGGACGCGGTGACCATGGTTGTGTGGGTGTCGTGGGGGATGGGGGGGGGGCCTGACCAAGGCGGTAGGTGTGGCTTCGTTGCCGGTGTGGTGGTTGTTCGGAGGTTGAAGGGAGGAGGTGTGGTGAGGTTCACGTGTCGCTGATAGGGGAGCTTTGCTTGCTTGCTTCTTTCTCGTGGATACCGCCTTATCTCACTCTGTGCGACGGTGGAGTTGGAGAGTGGAGAGGAAGGATCCGTAGATTGGATCGAGCTGAAGGTCACACACACGACCGTACAAAAATGTATGAAAGGCTGAACTGATCGTGTCCTTACAGCTTCCCGAATAACGATGACCGCCAACCGGCCCCAGACCAAGGGACGAGCTGGGCAAGCAAGCTGGGATCTCTCAACTAAAATTAGCGGCTCGTGGCCCTGGTCGTCGGCGAGGCTCAACCGCGCTCCACCCGCAGCTGTTGAACGAGCTTTATTTCGGACTTCCGAGAGTACATTTCATTGAGTCGAAGACATTGTGGAACGATATGGTACGGACAATGGTGTCTCGGAGTCCGATGGCCTGAACGAGAGGAGAGGATCCGCCATCTATACAGAAGAAACAAGCCTTCGTCAATGCCCAATCCTACAGTCTTGCCCTAGAGGTTACATAGAACTTCCATCCCGTCCATGCCTCGCTGAGTACAGTATCGTTTGTAGAAGCTAGCAACACAGCGTCCGAATACCACACCACTCCTCTTACATCCTACACATCACACTCCCTTCCCTCCTCCATCCCCTCCCAACAACTTCAACGCCCTCGCAATTCGCTCCTCGTCTCCTTTCCTCGGGCCTTCAATTCAAACATTTGCCCCGACAAGCTTCGCATACGCCTCCGTCGAGAAGCTCTTGGGCCGCTCAATCGGCATGCCCACCGCGCGATCAATGATCAGCTGCGGCAGCACGCCAATCGCTCGGCTGACACCGAACAACACCGTGTAGAAGTTCTGCTCCGTCAGGCCGTAGTACTGCAGCAGCACGCCCGAGTGCGCGTCCACGTTCGGGTACGGGTTCTTCGTCTTGCCGTGCTCGGTGAGGACACCAGGCGCGATCTTGTACACCTGGCTGACCAGCTTGAACATCGGGTCGTCGGGCAGGTGCTTGAGCGCGAACTCGCGCTGGCTGACGTAGCGGGGGTCCGTCTTGCGCAGGACGGCGTGGCCGTAGCCGGGTACGACACGGCCGGATTTGAGAGTGTCCCAGAGGTATTTGCTGATGTTCTCGTCGCTGAGATCGGAGCCGACCGACTTCTTCATCTCTTGGAGCCAGTTGAGGACTTCCTGGTTGGCGAGGCCGTGGAGAGGGCCGGCGAGACCGTTCAGGCCGGCGGAGAGGGAGAGCATGGGCGAGGAAAGGGCAGAGCCGACGAGGTGGGTGGTATGGGCTGACACGTTGCCGCCCTCGTGGTCGGAGTGGATGGTGAGGTAGAGGCGCATGAGCTCGACGAAGTCGGTGTTGTCGGCGAAGCCGAGCTGGTTCGCCAGGTTGTAGCCGTAGTCCTTGTCCTTTTGCACAGCGGGCACCTTGCCGTCCTTGAAGACGTTGCGGTAGATGCGCGCGGCGATGGTGGGCAGCTTGGCAATGGTGTCCATGCTGTCCTCGAAGGTGTGCTCCCAGTACTCCGTCTTCTTCATGCCGCGGGCGTAGGCCTTGGCGAAGGCAGACTCGTGCTCGAGGGCGGTTACGGCGAGGGAGAACTGCGCCATTGGGTGAAGATCGCTGGGGCAGCGGTCGATGAGCTCGGTGATGAAGGATGGGACCTCAGCGCGCGCAGCCCACTCGGCGGAGAGGTCGCGGACTTGCTGTTCGGTCGGGACTTCGCCGGTCAGGAGGAGCCAGAAGAGACCTTCTGGGAGAGGCTCAGAGCCACCTGGAGCTTTGGGGAGCTGCTCCTGGCATTCCGGGATGGTGCGGCCACGGAAACGGATGCCCTCCTCGCTGTCGAGGACGGAGCCTTCCCAGACTAGCGACTTGATGCCACGGGCGCCGCCATAGACTTGGTCGAGAGTGACCTCTCCGAGCACCTTGTTGCCGTGGTCTTTCCGGAGCTTCTTGATCTGCTCTTGCTTCTCGGGGAGGCTGGCGGCGAAGGTCTCTTTGAGGGACTGTGATGCTTGCGTCAGTACATTGGGCCTATTTCTTACAGGTCGGCTGTAAGACTGACAGCGTTCTTGCCAGCGGTAGCGTATGTGCGCGCAGCATTGAAGCCGAAGCTCGAGGTCGCGGAGCGTGATGCAACATTGCGGAGGGCGAGCCTCGAGGCCGTCGACAGGGCAGCCATTGCGGGTGATGTGTCTGTGGGTTGCTGTTCTATTCGAGTAGTGTTAGAGAATGCTATACGTCCGACCAGGACAATGACAAGGCAAGTGGCAGGATGGAGAGCAAAGGCAATGGGTTGGGGTGATGGGAACGACAACAAGCTCGTCAGAAAAAGTGATGCTCAGATGGGTAGCTCGTCGGAGAAAGCAGGCGCCGGTCGGAAGGCGCTGTGCACGGCCAGGTCGTGAGAGCAAGAATAGCATGACCTTTGGGGCGATATCCTCTGCTTCCACTCGAGATGCACCGAGATAGGGCTGTATATGTTATCTACGTGTTCCTTGTATCAGCGTGATCATCAGCTGTTACCTGCAATTGACTTTGGCTGAAGCTCAGTGAATGTGCAGTAGCTCAGCTCGACTCGGATCCTGCAAGGCGAGAGCACGTGCAGCGGGAGAGGCCTGAAGTCCGCCGGCTGGCTTTGACAACCTCCTCACTTCAATTCTTCTTCCTTTCTTCACCCACAACATCACGTTTTCTTCATCGCATCCCTCAACCCGGGCGCACGTCGATTCACCACCTCGACCGTCTTGCTCCCCGTCTTAGGCAGCCCTCGCGCCTTTCTTGAGATCTCGTATCGCAGGAGCAACCCTTCACAGCATCTGAAATCTAACACTTTCACGTGGCGAACCCACAGAAGTCATCGCGAACTGCTAGTCCAATTCATTCCGACTGAACTGTGCTATCAAGCCGCTCGCTGCAGCGTATATAGACCGCGCGTCTTATCATCTGGCTCGCGCTCTTACCGCAGCCTACCTCGGAGACCTAGTAACACATATCGACAAGACGGGACTCCACCACTAAACGACCCCGACTACAAGCCGTGGCGTAGACAAGAGCAGACAACACCACTTGCGCGAGAGGTTCAGCCATCGCAGCGTCTCTTCACTGGTCGACTAAGAGGTAGCCTGCTCCTTCAGTGTGCGAAGCTCGTAATCGAGGGCAGAAAATCTCTTCGAAGGCCTTGCTGCGAGACCTCTGAACACTGCAGCGACCAGTAGGAGTTTCACAATATTGGTGAAGTATCCGGACTGCCATCGACCTCTACCATCACTACTTCACTGCCGCCCTCAAGCTCACCCGAGTAGTAGCTGTTGCTCACAGACTGGTGACGCTGGTAGTGTGTCTTCTGCCATATCAGGGACTTGCGTAGACTGGTAGAGCTTTCTCGAGGCTCGTAGCCGTTGAGTACGTCACGCCGGCAGAACACTAAGAGGTTATAAGCACGTGAACGAGCCCTCGTCTCGACCATGGCGCCCAACATCATCACCGAGGTAGACTCGCAGCTTGCGTCCTTGAACGCGATGAAGGCTCCGGGAGCGAGCAAGACCAAGATCCTCGCCATCACCGCGCTATGCGTGAACAACATCCAGGTAAGTCTGATGCACTATCACATGCGTGGCAACCTTGTCATGTCTGCCCCGTACTGATCACGTATATCCTACAGGCCGAGTCGGAACTCGTACAATCACTCTACCGAGCCGTCAAGAAGGCCCTTCCCACCCACAAGCTCGGCGCCATCTACGTGATCGACAGCGTGGTGCGGAAGTGGATTGAGCAGGCGAAACAGAACGGACAAGACCTGCACATTGAAGGCCGCGGCGAGCCCGGTACATACCCAGCTGCCGTCAAGCGAGTGACGGAGCTCATGCCTGCGCTGTTCGAGGACACTTTCAAGAACATGCCTGCTGAGCAGAGAGAAAAGTTAGGAAGCATGGTCAGGATCTGGGAGAAGGGCAGCACCTTTCCAGCGAAGATGTTGGCAGACTTTCAGACGAGACTGGCTGGCGAGGCTGCGAAGCCAAATGGGACACAGTTCACCCAGAACTTCGCGGGCAGCGGCCAGACGATCACCGCGCCCCTACCCACCAGGCCACTTTCCACTCCAGTGGGATATCCACCACCACACCTATACGAACAGGGTTTCATCAAGCAGATGAACGGAGCGCCTGCAATGAATAGCCAGCCGCAACCCCAACCGACTCCGCAACAACAGCCACAAGCGCAACAGCCGACTCAGAACGTGAGTAGTATCTTGGCTGCGCTGGCCAACATTCCCAAGCCGGCGCCGCAACCACAACCTCAGCAGCAACAGGCGCCTCAACATGCTCCCGCGCCGCAGCAAAGCGCTCCAGGCCAAGTACCACAAAACCTAGCAGCTCTGTTCGGACAAGTCAACATGAGTGGTACTCCCAGCCTACCTCCCTTCCCACCGCAGCAACAGCAGCCTTCGTACGCCACCCCACAACCTGGACAGCCGTTCCAGCTACCACCAGGATTCTCAGGCTTCCCACCTCAACCACCACCATCTATCCCACAACACTACGCACAGGCTCCGCCTCCACAGCAGCCCCCACCGCAACAGGCAGATCCACTGGCACCGGTCCGCGGCTTCCTTCCGCAGAACATTATCAATGACCCGCAAAAGCTCCAGCAAGCCCTGAAGTTATTGCTGGACCTGCAACAGCAAGGTATTCCGATGGATCAGTGGGGCCCGGTCATAGAGGCGTTCGCCAGTCAGCATCAGGCACCCACCCAAGGTGGCTACGATACATACGCACGAGGCCGAAGCCGCAGCCCGGAGAGAGGTGGCGGTCGCAGGCGAGGCAGCCCGGTGTATGGCGCCTACGGCGCGAACGGACGCAACCAGGACGGAGGTCGCGATCGCTACCGGCAGCGCTCACCCATGCGCAACAGTCCCATGCCAGGGCAGGGCGGCAGTAGGGCGATGAACGGCATGCCCATGCAGCCAAAGTTCATTAGAATTGACAGCAGCATGCCGCCGAACCACATCAAGGTCCTCTCCCGCACGCTCTTCGTCGGTGGCGCCAACGGATCGCAACAGGAAATAAACGACCTCTTCGAGCGCTTTGGCACAGTGCAGACCTGCATCGCTAACCGGGACAAGCGCCACGCTTTCGTCAAGATGACCACCCGCGAGCACGCTCTCAACGCCAAGGAGAACCTGGAGCGCCTACAAAGCAGCAACGACCGCGAGGTGATGAGCATCGCCCGTCAGACCAAATGGGGCGTCGGTTTCGGTCCCCGCGAGTGCTGCAACTACCAAAAAGGTGAGAGCGTCATCCCGATCGAGAAACTCACCGACGCGGACAACAAATGGCTCCTCACCGCCGAGTACGGTGGCACCGGCGGCCAGCCCGTCGAAGGCGGCATGGTGCTCGAGGAACCGGATATCGAGATCGGCGCCGGCGTCAGCAGCAAGGCGATGTCGAAGCGCGTCCTGCCGGATGCCGGTCCACCGCATAAACGCCAGCGCAACGATGATGCTGGGCCAAGGAATGCTGGGGGTAGGGACAGGAGAGCGCCGCCGGGTTATGGTCAGGGGGGTTATGGGTATGGAGCCCAGCAGCAACAACAACAGCAGCAGCAGCCGATGCAGATGGAGGCGTATGGGTACGCGAGGCCGGAGCCCGTGGCTGTGGCGACACCGCCTGCGGTGCCCGGGTTCGGGTTCTCGCTGCCGGGTGCTGGGGGGCACGGGGGGTATCGATAGGACGATTGTGAGGATGGGAAGGAGGAGGATGAGAGGGAGAAGAGTGGTAGTACGGTTTTCGAGTTGTGGAAGGAGTTGGCGGGACAGGGGGAGTTGAATGGGAAGGGGTGGTGAAGTCTTTCTTGCTTTTGAGAGGACTGCGGTGGGAGTTCATGCGGGCTTTGCTTTAAGCGGCTTTGCGCTTCGTGGCTAAGGGAGCGAGGTTTCTTGCAGGAGTATTAGTAGTACTTCGTTCGATAGCTATTCACACAAGGCATTGCTATGTAAGAGATACGGTATCTCATTTCCTGCGACATCGGCGCTTCTGCTCTATCTACAAGCCAAGCCCATCTCAACTGCACCTCACTTCCGACTTCCGACGGCTTGGGATCAACAACCGTCTGCGACTGGTTATTCCCGGCATAAACGGTGGATACGGTGGTTATCGAGATGGAGCCTTTTTGGTGCCGCTATCGCTTCTTCAACAACATGCCGCACGTGTTCGCGGAGGCTCGACGCTGTACAGACATCCCGCGTTTCGAGCACTCCTGCCATGGCTGCTCACGAAGGAGAGCGGCGTGAGTCCGAGAAGGCCAATCACCGGACGGAGGAAGATGGCTCGTCGAACCTTGGATCCGAAATATCGAGAGATGTCGAGCAAGGAGATGCTCTCCCGCCGAACGAGGAGAAAATCACGCCCCGAGCCTCGCTGGAGTTGACGCGGACGGTGAGCACGGCGCTGTCGAGAGTTACGACGCGCATGACCAACCGGCATATTGTTGATCCTGGGCCTCCGCCTGGTAAGGGAAGCCTACCATGTGTCCCATAGGTACGGAGCTGACGATTTGCAAAGACGGCGGTGTCAAAGCATGGACGCAGGTGGCGATGGGATGGATCGTTATCGTGACTACTTGGGGCTACCTGTACGCACAGTTTTCCATACACCCAAGGAGGATATGTGCTGATATGACGACAGCAACTCCTTCGGCGTGTTCCAGACCTACTACACGTCCGAACTCGCCATCGACCAATCCACCGTCTCCTGGATCGGCTCCATCCAACTCTGGCTCATCTTCATCATCTCCACTTTCTCCGGCCGCGCCCTGGATGCAGGCCTGTTCATACCCACCTTCATCCTCGGGTCGTTTTTTCAGGTTCTCGGGATCTTTATGAACTCGCTCTGTAAGGAGTTTTGGCAGATCCTTTTGGCTCAAGGCCTGTGCACTGGTATTGGCAGTGGGATATTGTTCACTCCGTCCTTGGGACTGATCACGACGTATTTTAGCAAGAAGCGAGGGCTGGCTGTTGCGATTGTGACGACGGGGAACTCGCTTGGAGGCGCTATATACCCGGTTATTGTACGCCAGCTGCTGCCGAAGATTGGCTTTGCTTGGACTGTACGGGTTATTGGGTTCATGAATCTAGCTTGCCTTTGCATTGGATTGGCTTTCATGAGACCGCGTCTACCACCTCGCAAGACGGGACCGTTGGTGGAATGGAGAGCATTCACAGAGGTACCGTACGCCCTCGCAGTCGTGGGCATGACGCTTGTTTTCGGCGGCCTCTTCTTCGTCTACTACTACATCACTTCCTACGCCTTCGACATCCTGGGCATGTCCTACGCCTCCTCAGCCAACATCCTCATCCTCTTCAACGCCGTACGTACCTACTTTACCCCCATCTCTACCACTTATTAACACCCTCCAGATCGGCATCCCCGCCCGCCTCTTCACAGGCATCATCGCCGACCGCCTCACCGGCCCCCTCAACGCCATCATCCTCCTCATCGCCATCAACGCCCTCTGCGCCTTCACCTGGCTCGCCGTGCGCTCGGTGGCAGGCATGTACGTTGAGACGGCCATCTACGGCATCGCGGCCGGAGCCTTTCAATGTCTTTTCCCGACGACGATCACGAGTCTGCACGACGATGTGTCGAAGAATGGGATCCGAATGGGGATGGCTTTTAGTGTGTTTTCGTTTGCTGGACTGCTAGGGCCGCCTGTTGGCGGCCAGTTGTTGGAGACGAATGGTGGGGGAAGAGGGGGGTATGTGAGTGCGTTGGTTGGGGTGGGGGTGGCGACGGCGGTGGGGACGGGGCTGTTGTGTGTGGCGAGGGTGAAGAAAGTTGGTTGGGGGTTGGGGACGAAGTGCTGATGTAAGGCAGCTGCGATAGCGCCGTCCACACGCCAGCGTGTTACTGCTGTGAGCGCCTTCTCTGTGTCTCACAACGAACGGGGTCGTAATGGCCACTCGTCCCTGCTTGGCCGACTTGGTTCCTTCGAACGCTCGTGTTCCTCTCTTCACCCGACCAACTTTTGGATTGTTACACCGGCAGCTTCAGGACCTCATCAGTATCCGCTATTCGATAATCCCACACTTGGAGAGAAACGCTGCATGATCGCGCACAGCAGGCTTCTCACGCGTAAGAACATCCAACACCATGATTCACCCAATGTCGAATGATTTGAGCTCACAGACTCTGCAGCACCAGCAGGCTGTAACGCTTCAAAATGTCCTCAACGCCTTCATCGCAAAGCACATCCGGCTCGAGCAATTGGACAGGCACAGTGACTACAGGTACGCCTTTGTCCTCGGCCAAGACGAAACGCAAGCGCCCAGCTGTCCAAAGAACCTCGACCATTGCAGCTCCCAAAACACCAAGTGCTCAGACCTCCTCCTACCCACGCACCGGCTACGAGACACCAAGCTCCTCATCGCCCAGCGACAACGCCAGAACCAACGCCGGCCAAAAGCCAAAGCGGATAAAACGCTCTCCTGCCGCGAAGGAACAGGCGCACCAAAGGCGACGAGCGAAACAAATCCTCGACTTGGCCGAGACGCACCAGCTCAAAGACGCCGCCGCTCGCCTTTGCATCACGCATCATGAGGCGCTGAAGCGGTTTCTGCACGCTCTCGTGATCTTTAGCGAGAAGCGAGGGTGCACGATCGTCGAGGTTGCGGAGGAGGTGCAGAGGAAGAGGGTGGCGAATGGGTTTGAGGCGTGCATTGATCCTGAGGTGGTAAGGTGGTTTGAATGGAGTCTTGGTCGGGGAGATGAGTGAGGGAGTGTGCTGTTTCCGGTGGGCATCCGGCGCGCTTCTTGGGGGAGGCTGAGATGGTGTGGTGATGTTCGGGAAGTGATGACTCTACCAGACGCTTGGGGAGGGGTTGCAAGCGCCTGGAGGTGGAGTTGGTGTCATTAGCAGCACGGTCGTATCTTTGACTTCAATTACGATCGCTTTGCTGTGAGGTATATCGCAAGAGGCCGACATTCTCAAACTGACCAAGATCGTGATTTGCTCTACGAGTGTAATGTAACATAGTAATGTATTGACTCCATCCCATAACACCTCGCTGAAAGCAAAAATGATCCGTCGCTTGCTATGCATCGCTGAAAGCAAAAAGCAAGAATCCCCAGCCACTCCTTGCTAGTAACAATAACTTCCCGTATTACCCCATCACACTCCCATTGCTTTCGCGGTCGACGGCCGACCCCAAGCTAAGCAGCCGCAGAAGGACAGCCATTCTACGACATATCATCCACCGCCCGCTGCAGCTTAAAATCCGGCACCTCGTCGAACCACTCCGCCGCTCGATTCCATCTGTAAGCCTTGAAGTCAACACCATAAGGCTTCGGCTCAAGGCAATACAGCATCCCGATCGGCACGTCCAGATCCGCGACCTCCTGGCGATCCAAACCGCGGAAGTACGCCAGAAGCACGCGCGCGACGCTGCGGTGGCCGACGAGCAGGACGTGGTCTGTCATTCGCTCGAGCTCGACGATGACGGGGCGGAGGCGGTTGATGATATCAAGGTAGCCTTCGCCGCCGGGGCCGGGGTAGCGGTAATGTAGCTTGTCTTTCTTACGGGCTGCAAATTCCTCTGGGTGGGTCTTCTCGATGCAGTTGTAAGTCAGACCCTCCATGACGCCGGCGTTCAGCTCGTCAAGCATGCGCATCTGCTTCGTGTCGTAGTCTTCGTCGTTGAAGTACTGCGCGGTTTGGATGCTGCGCTTGAGCATGGAGGTCCAGACGCAGAAGTTCTTGGTGGTGAAGCCGTCCATCTCAGAGGAGGCGTCTGTGTTCGAGCCAGCATCTGAGACCGATGCCGAGGTTGATGTGGGCGACTGTAGTTGGTAGTAGGGATTTGGTGGAGTGACATCGCCCGGCTGTGGTGGGAAGTGCGAGTTCTCGAGCCGATGGACCTCTCTCATGTCCCACTCGTGCCTCTTGTGGGCAATAAACTTGGTCAATGACTTCGCATACTCGTGTCCCTCAGCTGCCAGATCAGCATCTCCACCAAGTTTGCCGGTAAGATTGTCCTCGCTCAAGCCATGCCGTGTGATCCAGATCTGCCGTGGCGCGAGGTTGAAGTTCAGCAGGTAGTAATTTGCTTGCGCCATTAAGAAGCCTTTGATCTGATGGCTGATGACCTTGCGGCCGACATCGATCATCTGGATGTACGGCATGTTGTGCTTTTCTTCGTACTCTCCAAGCGGGACATAGGCTTTCTCGTATGCCTGTACCCGCTTCTTGAAGTCGGCCAGAGCGACGTTCGGATCCATGTCCTTGTAGTCAGGACCACTCAGCTTCAGCCGCATGTTGGCCTCTAGCAAATCCTGGTCCACACATCGTGACTCCAGAAACAGCACATTGAGATCTGGTCCAGCGCGCTCGCGAATGCGGTCCATGACCATCTTCCGTCTCTCCATGGTGCTGTTGGTGGCGTCGAGTATGCCGATACTGCCGCTTCCATTCAGAATGAAGTCCAGAAGCTCATCTAGCGTCTCGCGGGCTACCTGATCCCGGATCTGTGATGCCTTCTGGTTTTCAGGGTCGAAGAATGCCGCATTCTGCTCCATCTCCGGGTCTGGCGACTTCCTGCGCGACAGCCTCGGGCTTTGCGGCTCACCCATGTCTGGTCTATGGAGGTCGTGCTCCCCGTCGTGGTCTTCCTCGAAGAAGGGTGCGTGGTCGTTGCTGCTGGTGTGTGGTGTTTCTGGCACGTCCACGCTCTCACCGTTGAGCATGATCTGCGCCACGCTCGCAGCGTTTGACTCTGGATCAGGCTTGACTGGCGTGTCGAGGTTGAGGTGGTCGATGATGTGCGGTGGGCTGGTGCCTGTGAGCGTGAGGCCACGGTCGCCGCGCGTATGCGACCTCTCAGGGGAGTGGGGTCCGCCTGCCACCACGCGTCTGCGCTCTCCCACGTTGAAGATGCGCGTATCATGTTGTAGCCAATTTAGGTATCTCGCCAGCTTCTTCGTGATGTAGCTCTTGCCACGCGCCGGCAGTCCCACCATTACAATGACCAATTTGGAACCCACGTCTCTCTGCGCTATTCTGCCATCTGGAGAAACCTTGCTCTTGGTCAATCCAGGGATGTCCAGAGTCGTCGGTCGTATGCGTGGTGTAGAGGTCCCGGAATTGGTTCTCGCGGGCATGCCGATATGAATCGAGTCGGACAACGTCGAATGGTGGTCACCGTCAATCCGCGGACTGTTAGGCGCGGTGTGTGCGGGTGTGTCATTCCTCGCCATTGTCGCTGTATTTCCAGTGCCTGCTGGCACCTGGCCGTGCAGCGCAGCAGCCATCGAGCCTTTCGGGTGAAGGTGTGCAGGTGGCGGCTTCATCTCGCTGTTCCCATCGAGCGGCGCATGGCTTGTAGGCCCGCCATTCATGCCATTGCTGAGTGTGCGATCGAGGTGACTCCTCAGCTGATCCACCTGTTCTTGCGACCCTTCCTCATTGCTCGCCCGCCTTTGCGCCTGCGACTCTGATATATGGCCGCTCGTCTGCATCGCGAGTTTCGCGAGACCGCTCTGTTGCGATTGTCGTCGACGATACTTACCGAGCGGACTGTCGTCTGGAACAACACAAGCACACTTGCCGGCGGAATGTAGGTCGGTGAGAGGGATGATCTGGAAGCCGGGTTTGTTGTTCGTAGCAGCTGAAGGTTGTGCGCCCCAGGCCTCGTTGTGAGGCATCCCCATCAGCCGCTGCTGGCTGGGTGTTGCCAGGGCTGAGATGCGCCGCGCTTCTGTCGAGCTTCCAGAAGGAGTTTATGCTGCGCCGAGTTGCTAGGGTGAGGTGGTTATGGCAAACTTCTCATGCGAGAAAGCGCTGTCTATGCTCTTGTATAGTTCTGTGGTGAAGTTGTGGTCGTATATGTAGTGTGGCGCGCAAGTGGTGAGTCAAGAGAGTTCGATTATTCACCAGACATGTCCGTGGTTGCCGTGTCGAAATTTCTGGGGCGTTGACTGTTAAAGTTTCAGGGACCTCCCTTGACATCTGATTGCGATCTTGTGCGAATGACTCGAAGAAAACAACAGCAGTGAAGTTTAGAACAATGACTTCACACGGATGAACGAGACAAACAGAGCCTTTTCTGCAGGACGGAGAAGACGCATCCCCTCCGCAATCGTTCGTGCAGGAGAACTACTTTAGCGTTGCATGTGAAGAGGCTCACCCACGCGTTGCGGGATGCAACACCGAATTCCTCCAATCTCATTAGCCGGGCCCTGCACGCACCGTCACCAGGCACCGGGAGCCCTTCATGAACCCGTCTGACTACGCATGCGCCGTTGACGCCAATCTGAGCGCGCCGAGATCTGGACCGCTACTATTTCGTCGCGCGCCGTGGTACGATTTGGGCGACGGAGGAGAGGAGCCGGTCTCGGGCATCTGACGCATGTCCGCTCGCCGCATCCTACGCCTCATACACTGCTCATCGGGCCGGTGGGCCTCTACCAATCGAGCCAATGCAATGCAGCGCAGTGCTGCTATGGGAAGATACTCAATGAATCGAGATGGGAGGTTCGGAACAGCTGATGTTGGATGCTTGAATGGTGTAGTAACGCTCAATATATGCTATGGTACAGCGACGACCTCACGAGCTGAGTGGATATGCTTCCTCGACCCTCTCACGGTAGACCTCTGCCGGCTAGCAGCGCCATCATAGAAAGACCGTGAAGCCAGCGGACAGTCTGCCTCGGAGGTGGACTGCCACTGCCCGTGCGAAGGCGGCAGAAGAGGTCGCTGGAATGCTGCAATATGATCGACAAGCTCTCACCCACTCAGTTACCCTCTAGTCTTCCCACCACACCCTCCATCTCCTCATCCCCGTATATCCTGAACCCCTTCTCCTTGGTCACGCTCGCCAGCTGCACGTTTTTCGAATCCAGCTTCTCCTCCATGACCTGCTTCAGCGTCTTCAACACCATCACCTCCGCCTCGTCCAGCGTTAACGACTTGTGGAACTCATTCTGTAGCTCCGCCTGTGCGCCCTCAGATCCCGACCCAATCGCCTTTGCATCGTATCGGTAGAATGTCCCTGATGGCTCCGCGTGGTACCTGCCACCTAATTAGCATCCTGCTCCATCACACCATATTCCAGTCTTGACGTACAGCGACGGCCCCTCCTCATCAAACCCAGCAATCAACAACGCCACCCCAAAAGGCCTGCTCATAATACTCTCCTCCCCCTCCGCACCCTCCCCAAACCTCAACGCCAAGTCACAGATCGCCTGCGTACAGCTCTCCACCCCCAACCGCTCATTATAATGGAACTCGTGACTCTGGCTCGTGACGCGCGCGTGCTCGATCATGCTCCGCGCGTCGGCCTGCAGTCCGCTCATGGCGCAGCCGATGTGGCGGTCGATCTCGACGATCTTCTCGACGGACGAGGTCTCGAGGAGGGAGGAGGTGATGCGTTTCTCGACGCCGAGGACGACGCCGGAGCTGGTGGAGACGCCGATGGCGGTGCTGCCGAGCTTGATGGCTTCGAGGGAGTATTCGACTTGGAAGAGGCGGCCTTCGGGGGAGAAGGTGCTGTAGTATCATTGTCAGTGGGTAGCTTGAGTGTTTCGACGCAATGCTTCGTACTTGATGCCGCGATCTGGATAGTGTTAGTTCAACCCTTCTTCTGATATTCATGGAATGACGAACCATATTCTGACCGCGCAATAAACATGATGGCGATCTACGAAAGGAGGATGGTTTTGGATGTCTAGACTTGCGCGGGGTTGGGCCGAAGGTTCAGATATGATTGGGAAAGGTTGAGGGTGTCGGTGTCGAAGGAAAGCTGTTGTAGCAGACGTTTGTATGTTTCAATGTCTGCGATCTGGTCCAGGCAAAGCTCAAGGTACGCAACCTCGCGAAGTCGATCAAGCTTTTCGGCTCCTGCCGGTAGCGTGTCGACCCAAAACGAACTGCAGCAGGCGCGTATCCTTGCCCCGCCGCCAAACCCGACTTTACGAAACACAACAAGTGCGACAAGGACGTGATAGGCACTTTGAAGTGTATACAGAGGATGGTCCGGTCTCGCAATGTCTTCACTCCCACCATCACGCGCTGCCAGCCAGGCTGAGCGCAGAACATCGGCTGCATTGCGTCAAAAGAACAGCCGCCCCGCCTCTGCGATTAAGTCGCCAATCGAGGAGAACAGGTCGACCGGCGGTCCGAAACGTAAGACGACTACTTTAACGACAACGGAAACCAAACGAGATGTTACCGGCCAGGAGACTCTGGTCCGACGGACGACAACGCGAAGCCCCCTGAAGCCCAACAGCAGCAACTCCAACGAGCCACGAAGTCGAGACGGAGAGAAACCTTCCAAGCCGGAGCAGGGTGCCGCAAAAAAGGCACCTCCAAAATCAGCGCAGTCTTCATGGAACCCCCAGGCCAGCCTCTTGCCTCCGACGACGGCTCCACTTGCAAGCAGAGTCTCTGTGCCACCACTCGCCAGCCACGCTCCGGAAACATTACGAGCGCCCTCGCTCGGTAATATGTCTTTGACCGAACAGGAAACGGCTATCATCTCCGATCTGCTGTTTGTGTTTATGGGCTTCGAAGGGCAGTACATTCGCTACCAGTCGGACTACCAACCACTGGACGAGAAAAGCAGATTAGCAGGCCCACAGTTCAGGATCGAGTATGGTCTGGATCCAAGCTTACGGGATCTTGCTGGCAGCATGCTCAAGATCGCCACGCACTACAGCGCCGTGGAGGCTTTCGTTGAAGTGCAATCGCGAGAGGATTTTGGTACTGTGAATCATGCTCTTTGTGCGGCCATGCGAAAGCTGCTCAAAGACTACCTCATCTTGATCGCGCAGCTGGAACACCAGACGTTGACGAACGAGAACTTCACGCTCCACCAGTTGAACTTGCACATGAAGCCGACCGCTCATATGATGCACCAGCTCTACTCTGTAGCTTACGAGATCCTCAAGGAGAACAGCATGCTGGATGCCGAAGAGGACCTTTCGGAATCAGACGACTTCGAGAACATTCTGGAGTCGCTGCGGGAAGGGCGAGATGCGGGCATGCCTGGAAAGAAAGTCTGTAAAGGTGGCCTGGTGCTCCGCCACCTGACACGAAGGTTGCAGTCAATGTCGGGCGATCCCGCTGCTAGGCAGCTTCTAACCAATCTGCTGAGGGAGGCCAGCAAGCCGTACATGGCTATGCTTAATGAGTGGCTTCACCACGGCAACGTTCGGGATCCGCATGGCGAGTTCTTGATCAGAGAGCAGAAGTCCATCCGTCGGGAGGGGCTGGAGCAGGATTATACGGACGAGTACTGGGAGAAGCGGTACACTGTTCGACCTGAGCTGGTCCCGCCACAGCTCGAAACCGTCAAGGAGAAGGTTCTGCTGGCAGGGAAATACCTAAATGTCGTTCGGGAATGCGGTGGGATCGACAATATCAAGGATCGGAACCTGGATGCTCGAGCCGATGTGCCGCACACCTTCGACGATCCGAGGTTTGCAGAGAATGTCAGTAATGCATACGCATTCGCAAACAGGAGTCTGATGACTCTGCTACTGACGACACACGCATTGCCCGCTCGGCTGCGGAGTTTAAAGCATTACTTCTTCCTCGACCGATCGGACTTCTTCTCATACTTCCTGGAGTTAACACATTCAGAACTGAAGAAGTCTGCAAAGAATGTCAATACTTCCAAGCTGCAAAGTCTGCTCGACATTGTACTTCGCCAGCCCGGGTCTGTAGCGGCAGAGGATCCCTTCAAAGAGGATGTCAAGGTCGTTATGAACGATGTTGGCCTCACCGGCTGGCTGATGCGCGTCGTCAATGTACAAGGCATGGATGCGGACGCCAGCAGTCTTTCTACCTACACACCAGCTCCGACAAGCACTTCAGGTGAAGCTGAGAAGGAGATCTCCGGCTACGAAGCACTGACGCTGGACTATGCTGTACCCTTCCCGCTTTCACTTGTGGTCAGTCGGGTCACTCTCACCCGATATCAACTGCTCTTCCGCTACCTACTCAGCCTACGGCACCTCGAAACTCTGCTCACTAACTCGTGGACGGAGCACACGAAGAACGCCGTCTGGACTAAGCGTGGCGCTCGAAAGCGGACAGGTGCAGAAGCCGCGCGCGATCGCAGAGCTGAGGAGTGGAAGCGCAGGGCGTGGTGTTTGCGGAGTCGAATGCTCTGTTTCGTGCAGCAGCTGTTGTACTTCTGTACAAGTGAGGTCATTGAGCCGAATTGGGCTGCTTTCATGGCTCGGCTGAAGGTCAGTGAAGACCAAGAGGAGGGTTCAGGGGTCCAGCAGCGACCCGGAAGCCAGAAGCAGGATGCTGCTGCTGCTTTTGGGGCGTCAGCACGGCCAGCATCGGCCGCCAGCAAGGCTCCCGTCAACGGAGAGGCGAAGAGGACAGTGGACGAGTTGATGCAGGATCATGTGGACTTCTTAGCTACGTGCCTAAAGGAGTGCATGCTGACCAACTCCAAACTCTTGAGGGTAAGCCAGTCGTTCGCAGGAGCCATCCTTCCAAACAATTGCTAACAACATTGCGTTCAGATCAACTCAAAAGTCATGGCCACCTGCACCATGTTCGCCAACTACACGTCCTCCCTCTCCCGCTACCTGGCCGCCGCGGACCCGGAGTCTTCTGGTACCGGCTCGACTGCCTACGACCCTGCGAAGCTGGATAAGCTGTTCTCGATCCTGCAGCAGTATGAGGATCATTTTTCGCGGCATTTGAAGATTCTGCTTGACGCGCTGAATTATCTGGCTGCGACTGAGACGGTGGTGTTTTTGGGTTTGTGTGCGAGATTGAGCATGGCTAATGAGGGAGGGTTGAATGGTGGGCCTGGGCCTGGCGCTTACGGATGATGGTGGGGAAGGAGATATGTTGCGACGGTTATCGGTGATCATCGACATGGTTTGAGCGTTGGAGTCGGGCGTTTCTCTGATGCCCGGGACGAGGACGGGATGATGCGCGATGATATGAATATTGCGAAGTCAAGGGTACCAAAGAGCGAGCGTTATTGCAACACAGAAGGATGCTCCATCGGCCCCGAGAGCAGTTCGGCACCATGTACGTATCTACAGCTTACTTCGCAAAGCCATTATACGCTTCGTGGAAGCCGCAAAGTCCTGTCCCGAGATCGATCCGTCTCTAATCGCCGCCACCAATCCATCCAGGACCTCTTTACCTTGCGATACATCCCGCGCCGACGCCAGTGCAATGTCCATACCAGCCTCAATCGCAGTCACCGCTCGAGTTGAATTACTGCCGGAGTCTTCAAGTGCGCCGGCTTCAATCGCATCGCTGATCGTCACGCCCTTGAAGCCGAGTCGCTGTCTCAGCTCTGCTCGAATCCATTTTGAACTCAACCCAGCCGGTCGCTTCGGATCTAGAGCTGGGTAGACAGCCCAACTGGGCATCACCATGCTTACACCTGCCGCAATTGCGCCCTTGAAGGGCAGTTCATCGATGCTTCGCAGTTGCTTGAGAGGGACGTCCAGTGTCACTGGTCCTAGGTCGGTGTTCTCATCACTGTCAGCAGCTCCAAGACCTGGAAAGTGCTTGGTGGTGGCGAGGACACCGTTGGCTTGCTGGGAATTCAAGAAAGCAGTGCCGCACTTCTTGACGATGTCAGGATCCTTGCTGAAAGATCGCTCGAACTGGTCATCGAAGTCGCCTTCTTTGCGGTAGACGTCGAGGACTGGGGCGAGGTTGCCTTTGCCAATGATCAGCCCTTCTGCCATTGCACCTGCGGCTGGCGACGTCGGACCTACCATTGACATTGTACGCCTTACAAACTTCAGTTGCCACCATACCAGCCGACGCAGCGGCTCTCGCTGGATGAGCAGACGACCCAATCTCCTTCGCGGACTCCTCAGGACCCCCAGGCAGACGCACGACCTCACCACCTTCCTGATCCGTCACAACGAGAAGCGGCGTGCCATCGTACGCCGGACCATTGGCGTAGGCGTCTTGCAGCGACTGGATTTGAGCAGGAAGGCCATCGACGACATTTTCGCCGAAGATAATCACGCCGCCGACTTTGCCGGCTTCGGCGAGGTTTAGAAGTCGCTGGGGAAGAATGCTTCCCGGCCAGGAGTAGATGACGTGGTAGCCGGCGAGGATTGAGAGCTTGTTGTCGGACAGGCTTGTCCACGAAACGGGGCTGTCGAGGAGGTCATAGATAGAAGTGGTCTCTTTTGCTGTGGCTTCGGCCTTTGTTGTTGCGGACAGTATCGACCAAAGCACAAGAGACAACAGTGCTGCAGCAGAGGGAAGCTGCATGGTGAGTTCGTAGTGATTGAGATCACAAGCGCTTCAACTTGAACATGCGGCGTTTCCCTCTGCGGTGTAAAGTCTGCGTCAATCTTTTAACTTGCATGCGACATTCGAAAGCATTGATAGTCGAACTCTGCTGCCGCTGTAACGTTCCCCGCTCTACTGTTACAGATAGCGAGACGTTGCAGTCGACAGAAGCATCGCCGAGATATGTATAGTCCTGGGGCTTGTGCGACCGTTTGAGATATGATATACTCAAATTTGTTAATAAGTCCGACTATGGCATTGTTTTCAAGGCCTTTTGCGCAGATCGACCGGTGCAAAGCCAGCCAACGCCATGCCTATCTGGACGACAACGAAGAGAAGAGCCATCTCCTACTAATCGATCGAATGGAACTCATGCCGATCATACTGTGTGGTGGAGTATCTGTTGTCCAACGGGAGAATGTCTAGCAGATGCATCTTCATTGGTCAATCCTGTCACTTTGTAGACGCTTGGTCGTCGGTCAAACTACAAGGCTATGGAAGAGCCGACCGCTGCTGGAGGAACCCTGGCCCTAATCACGGGGATAGAGATGTCGTCTAACACCGCCGCGTGGGTTCTGCTGGCAAGAAGCCATCGTCGCCGCAGGACCAAAGGTCGACATCGTTGAGGTCGGGGTGCTGCCATCGGTGATCTATGAAGCCAGTGGTTCTGTTGGCTACATCGCTACACAGCTGGCCAAGAAGTCGAACATTCATCTGTTGATCTGTATCGGCGGTGGCGGAGGCTTGGTACTGGAGCCGCTACTTGACCGAAGCAAGGGAGACACCATCATCGATTATCGAGGCGATGAGTGTTTCCAAAGGATTTTCACTCAGGTCTCATCACATCCACTTCGTCCCTACTCACAATCATTCGCATCGTGACCTCGAAACTCGCGACTCGACGCTTACCACTTGATACTTGCCCCTCTTCGACCCTTACCGCTCCTTGACACTAACCGACCCATGAGGCTCATGTTCTGACGACATTCCAGGCTTAGGCGACGCGCAAGCTCCTCCCGAGGATCATGTTGCGTGCTGGGAAGGCCGACAGGTAGTTTCCAAGAGTTATTTAGCTCATCTCCGAACTACTCAAATGCCTAACCGAGATACAGTGCCTCCTTCGACAGACCAGCCTTCGACGCAGTGGCGTCTCATAAAGCAGCGGTACATATGCTGGCTCAGAAGAAATTCACAATCGTAACGGTAAATAGATTGAGACCCTCGCCACTCGATATCGCAGCGTTGTCAAGCAGTTCACTCTGGCCCACCACGCGATAGACGGCTTGCTGACCGAGCTGAGCGTGCAAAATGTATCGAGCGAAAGTGTCCCGAAGCAGCCCGCCGATTTCGTCTCTACCTCTGGTGACGTCACCTCCTCCGACAACGCCAGCAAGAAGTTGCCAGTCGGGATGCCTGCTGTCCAGCTGGATGGTGATACGGACGTTTTGGGGAGTGGTCAAAACCGGATTCGTAATGTGCTGCGTAACCGACAAGGCCTCGTCGCCCAAATTGTCGATCTGAACTTGAAGCTGCTGGGACAGAGACAAGAAGCCGAGATCATCAGGTGTCGTTCCTGCTGTGGCGATATTTGGAGTTTCAGCAGGCTCCCGCTGCGCAAGAGACCTCATCAACCGAAGGCCAGATGTTGCTATCACTGGCAGGAAGCGGAAACCGATCGGCAGAGCCGGCAACGGTCTGCTATCGCTTGCAAGGGAGGCCAGATTTTCGGTGGTGTTCTGAGCTGCCGTGTCTCGGGCATGGTGCTGAGGTTCGGCCACGGACCTGCGAGTGTTCGGGAGGTCAGTAATGGGAAACTCTTTGCTGCACTAAATGCATCGTAGACGGACCTTTTACCCATGCGGTCATACTTGAAACCTTGTGCTTCACAATAGTGTCCGCCGAGACTGGCGAGCAGGAGCGCCGTATGTAAGAAACTGAACAGCATCTTCCAGACCTTCGAGTTGAATGTAAGTTGTGCTTGAACATTGAACAGCAAGAGCTGCTAACACATCCTTATATCCATTCTGATTGACGCGAACTGTCGAGCAGCCCTTGGAAATGAGGCCTGATCCAGGGGATTCTGGGTCTGCCAATGCGCAGCGGTCAGCTGAGTAGAGCATACGCAGCAATTGCTGATGCACTGTACGAACATGTTCTGCTCGAACGCAGTGAACACAACATGGTATCAGGTCCAGGCGTCGAAATGAGCGGAGGTCCAATGCCACTCTTGTACCGTGGTCAGCTGGATGAAGTGTTGCAGAGTAAGCGCCAAGCAGCCCAAGCTGCACAAGTGCTGATGACCCAGCTCTGCGTTTTATGTTACCAAAGCCCTTCTTGCAGATTCTGCTTTTGATCCACTCGGTAGCGTAAGGTGACAAGGTCCACTCAAGTCTATCGATGTATAGCCTCGAAGAGAAGACGGGGCCTTTCAGTCGGCGAATGTTCAAGGAGGTGATGTGAGACGGTGTGAGCGTCAACCGATGGCTGGATGTGGCCAACGGCCGTTCACAAGACGAGGCCCCGGGGTCACGCCGGAAGACCGCCTTCCAGTATATATACAGAACTTGCGGCGTTCCAGATAAGCATCGTCCCAACATCAGTTTGCGTACACCTTCCCCTTCTTCCTTCGTCTCATCAGCTACGGTACTATATCGTCGACATCCAGGACAGCAAGCTCTACCCACGTCCCAAGATGCAGCTCCGAGCATTGCTTGCAGTTTTTGCAGCGGTCATGGTCGACTTCGCCACGGCCAGTGACAACCTGGCTGACGGAGCGGCTTCTCACCATCTCATCACCAGGAGCGATTGCGGCACCGGAACCCCTGGAGATTGCGACAAGAATGATTGCTCGGGATTCAACGACGCCCATGGGGGCCTCGGGATGTGCACCGCGGGCAACAACATCGTCGGCTGCTCCTGCAAGAGCGTTTGCGGCACCGAACCCCAAGCGTGTAACAAAAACAACTGTAACGGCATCAACGATGCTTCCGGTCCTTTCGGTGTGTGCACCAATGGGGCAGTCAAGGGTTGTTCTTGTTTGTCGATCTGTGGCACAAACCCAGGGCCTTGTAACAACGCTGGCTGTAACGGCCTCAACAACCCCGGAGGCGATCTGGGGGTGTGCACGGCGGGGCAGTACAATGGATGTACTTGCTTATCGATATGCCCAGACGCATCGCCAGCCTGTGATGCCAATAACTGCCAGGGAGTGAACGGCTTTTGCACGAATGGGCCGAGCGCTGGGTGTCCATGTGGTTCAGCCTGTCCCAATTTGTCCGCCACGCCTTGCTCTGAGTGCAATGGTAACTTCTCTGCGCTGGAGGGCTTTGGGGTCTGTCAGGGTGGGACTTTGGATGGGTGTGCGTGCGCACAGTAGGGGGTTGAGAGACCGAAATCAGCATAGTCGTCGTAGTGGTACTGAAAAGCCACACAATGAATCGAATAAGCTTGGAGTTCGTCCATTGAAGATATTTTGTGTTCCTATGGACGGAGAGGACGCCACATGTTCAGTATTGGCAAGACCAATGCCACCATGAATCTTTCCAGGAGCAGCGGGAGTCGGTAGCACCAGGTAGCCTGGGGTATTTGCCGTGGCCTGTCACCGTTGTTAGCTCAGACTGTGGCCCACAACAGCCCCAATGTCATCGTGATCGCGACCTGAGAGAAGACGAATGAGTTCGTCAGTCATCGATGCCCTCAACCCCTTCACCACCCTCACAATCAGTCCGAGACGTACGCTCCCTTCGCGAACAGCTTCATGTACAACTGTACAAGGAAGGGAGTGTTTGACTGGCGCTCAACGGTGGCAAGCTGCTTGGTAGGTGAATTGGGGTGACACCGAAAAGATTTGAAAAAATGGTAGCATCTCGAGCGGTGTGTAGGCATCAACAGTGAAAGCTTCCAGTATCCGTTGCGTGGCAGAGGGTCTTCGTGGCCAACAGAGAGTCTTCTTAGTTTTCGTTGTGCATGAGATAGGCATCGGAACGTGCAGACATATGCGTCGCATCAAGCACTGCATTTAGTCTTCCTCCACAGCCGATCATGTCCGTGCCGATGTTATAGCTACTCGCCTTCACACGAAAGCCCTTGTTTCACAACCTCTGAACCAGTCGCGGTGGTGCTGAGTGCTCAAAGTGCCGGACCGCTCTTTCCCCAGAGCATGCGGTGAAAGTGCGTTCGTCACTTCCTCTATTGTGTCGAGCCGAGCAGGAAAGAGCATGTCTTTCCACCTCCGTCCCTCCATCACGCAACTCGCCTACAACCCTGCAACTTCGCACCACCACCGCCACAATGCTCACCAAGTTCCTTCTTACCGTCTACCTCGCTGGCACCCTCACTACTGCTGCTCTCGTGAAGAAGGTCGAGAAGACAGCCGAGGTTTTTACTGCCACACAACAAGAGCAAGCATTGGCAACGGCTGACCAAGAGACAGTTCGATGACATTCCGGCCACGCAAGCCGCGGTGCAACCTCTCGGAGCCTACGAAGGACTGAAGTACACGGGCTTCGTCGTCGTCAACCAGAAGCTTCCAATCATTGGCGGTCAGGTAGCTGGCATCAACCCAAACAGCGCACCAAACGCCGCAGCCTTCGATCCACGCTCGACGGTTCTCAACGGGCCTCCTTCTATTACCCCCGATGGGAATACGGTGGCCTTCACCGCGAAATCGTTCTACTTCGGCTGCGTCTTGCCGTGAGTTGACAAACCCATTCGTGCAGACAAACAATGCTGACCCTTCATTAGCGAGGCAAACGCCATCACCTCCACACCGACTTCCTGCACTGTGACCGTCACAGGCCGCAGCTACTTCAAAGTTGGCCCCAAGGCCGAAGAGATCCAGCAGTCCTTCGAATTCACACCCAAGCTCGGAGCTCTCAAACAAGAGATGGTTGTTGCGAAGTTGACCAGCTTCGCTCTCGTTGATCAGATCACGTTCGACGTGCAGCCGTCGGGGATTGCGCTGTTGACTGACAACTACAACTACTACCTGCACGGGAAGAATTTGTAGTGGCTGTGAGCGCCGACGACTGGTGGGTGGGCCGGTGAAGGATGGGTTCGGTAGCGAGAATGAAGCGGTGCTGTAGCATTCGTCGGGCGAGGAAGGGGCCACAGACCAGTGCATGGTTATCATGATGGAATAGATAGGTGTGGCATCACCTAGGCAGACCAACAAATGCATCTCTTGATACACTGCTGCCCGTAATCCCTTCACACTCGCATTGCTTCCATACGCCGTGCGGTCTCCCTTCTGCCGAGGAGATTGTGCACTTATACCATCCCTCGGCCACCAGGTTCTGGACGACGTCCTTGAAGCTGCTTCGATCTTCCATCCTGCCGGTGCAATCTCTCACGTATTCAACAGATTGTGGGCAGCAGTATGTCTCCTGACAATCGGCTCCACCGTACCGCTTGAACCCCGGGCTGTCACAACAGCCAACGTAAGAGCGTTTGCAATCAGAGCCGAGTGCAAGTTTCGCTGACTCCAGGATGCAGTTCGACGACATACCCGTCTCCAACGTTGCTGTCGTCCCGGTTGCAGTGTACAATGGCTTGAACTTTCGAGGCTACGTCCTCGCCAACGAGAGCCTTCCCATCGTCCGCGGAGTCCATCGCAGGCTCTGATGTCACTCCACAAGCCACACAAGATCGGACACAGCTGCTCGCGACTGGGGCGATGGCCTCGTCCGACTCATTGGACTTCGTACTACGGATGCATCGTCTTGTTGGTGACGCTCGGCCAGACACAAATTATGCGAGTGCTGGCTGTTCGACAGCGAAGCGAACGCCATCACCAGTACTCCGCTCTCCTGCTCTGTACACTGAAGGGCTTCCGCGGAGGCAGGAAAATCGCCAGCAAGACGCTTCACTTCACGTCCGCAGCTCTGCTTCAGGACCTCGACCACGCGGTACTCACTGGCTTCCACCGGGTCGACGGTGTGGACTTTGTGACCACGCCTGCGCTGACGGTTGCGTTCTTGAGTGATACGTATCAGTACACGCTGCATATCAGCTAAGGTGGAAGCTGAGCGGAACGAACTTCGGTGTAGCAAGAGCTGTGGTCGGTGGACTTCAGGTTTGTGGATAGGGTATGGCGATGACGGGAAGGTCGAGACCTTGGCGTGCTTCAGATCGGTGTACCATTCGGCTCATATCTTCCATTCAATGTGTTCTTCCATTCAACGCGTCTTCGTGGCTTTGAGGCTTCGGAGGGAGCTTCCGACTTGGTTTCACAAAAAGCCGCCACTGAGGAAGGAGCCACTGACTTTGCGCCAATCCAATCAGTCGATGGTCGATGGGGCGGCGAGGCAACATGGTGGTGTGTGGCGCGATCGAGACGTTGTGTTGCCTTCGATGGGTTTGTGTAAGCTCCTGCCGGTACCTATCCTTTTTCTTCATGTTGAGTGGGAACGTCCGGTCGGTTTCGGCGCCCGCTTGGTGCTTCCACAAAGCCACCGTCGCGGTAGGCCGACGTCTGAGGAAGGAGCCATTGGGCGTCCCGGAGCGTGTGCCGAGCACGACCTCCCTCTTGCCTCATATCTTTCTTCACTCCCTCGACTCTTGACTTCTTTCTTCTCTTCCTCACCATCTCCGTTCACTTTCGACGTCTATAGTTGGCAACCTTCTGCCCCGAAGCATCTCTGAGGTCTTCCTCCGACTCTTACACCTGACAACATGCTCGTCACCCTCTTCGTCACCAGTCTGCTGGGCGCAGCTGCCGCTGCCGCCGCCGCCGCCCAGTCCAGCCCACAGGTGGACAAAGATGTCACCGCCAAAGTGAGCCGCGCTCCTCGCACGAAGCAGGTACTCGTTGGCTGACAAGAAGACCAGTTCGACGATCGCACCGGTCTCCCGACACTCGGATCGACGGTGGGCATTTACCAAGGCCTGCAGTTCAAGAACTTCGACGTCGTGCTTGAGTCGCTCCCGGTGGTCAACGGCCAGGTCACTGGAGTAACCCCTCAGAGCAAGGCCAATGCCGCAGGTTTTGGCACCGTGACCAGCACGCTGCAGGGCCCAAGCTCCCTCCTCGCGCAGTACCCTGGCAGCACCACGAACAGTTTCGATCTCAATGCTTTCTTCTTCGGATGCATCCTCAAGTGAGTCATCTTCTGCTGTCTCACTCACAAACAACGCTGACCTCGACCAAGTGGACTCAACACTGAAGCTACCACACCCATCTCATGCGACGTGATCGTGAGAGGGTTTCGAGGAGCCAGGCGTGTTGCCACGTCCAAGTTCGAATTCAAGGCCACTCCTCCAGTGCAACCGATGAAGAAGGTAAGCAACTGGCCGCCCGTAATGCAGGACACAACTGACTCTTCGATCTTCTCATGTCATTCAGGTGACATTGAACTCACGCTTCGAACGCGTGGACCGTGTCACTTTCGAGTTGGATGCCGGCGCCTTGACCGTCTTCCTTGCGGACAACTTCCAGTACACCCTTCATCAGACGTAGGGGCGTTCAGCTGGTGATCTGCTGCGGACAGGTGGCGTTGAGAGCATTCCGTGTCCGTAATCTGATCGGAAGGCAACAGAACAGATTAGGTCTGCATCATGGCAGGGGATGGTGGTGGTGCGTAACGATCATGCTGGCTTCAACTTTTCTTGCCAATCTTAGGTAACGCTGGCATCTTCACTTCTCTGCCGACCTTTTGTACCTGCGCCACTGCATCGCCCAGTAGCACCCGCACAGCACCCTCAAGCCTCCTGTCGTCCTTTCGCCGCATGTAGAGGATCACGATCCAGAGCACTACAGCGTCCGTGACGATCAGCTGGACCGCCCACCAGCTGAGTCGAAGAATCCACCTGAACAGAGTCTTCCTGCTCTTGTTTCTCAGATATCGTGATGACTCTAATTGTTCCCGCAAAGCCGCCACTTCTGTTGTAAGCTTCATCAGGTTATTCTCTATTCTTCTCCGCCACCGAACATCGATTCGACTCGATTGTGGTGCTCTCAGCGCAGGTACAGCTTGGACGCCAGCGTCTGCTCTGCCCTCACTCCCAGCTCCCTCGGACAGATCCTGCATGTCGCCCTCCCCCACCTGCGAGACCGGCGCATCAACAAACTCGTCCCCTTCATCCTCGAGCATCTCCTCCGCCTCCGCCTGCGAGACCGGACTCAACACTCGCATCAGTCGTTCTCCCTCCGCCGCATTTCCCATCCCCTCCATCCCGGCCGCCGAGCTCCCCATCCCAGGGCCAGACGAGCTGCCGTTCTGAATATATCCACTCCTTTCAACCGGTCTCAACGGAGAACTGTGCTCCGATCCACTACTCGGCTGCTGACTGTTGTTCTTCACCTGATCCCATACAAACTCCAACTCCTCCACCAATTCCCTCGCTTCCGCCGTCGTCGAGGCGTATTTATGCATCGTCTCAATCAACTTCTCAATGTACTGCCGTTTCGCTTCCGTCCTCGTCAGGCCCTCGTTCGCTTTCCACGCATCCCATTTCTCCTGCTCCTTGCGCACGCTTTCCGCTGATGCGTCGTTGGAGTTTGGCGCGGGCCGGTCGGCGATGGCGGCGACGTCGCCTTCCATTGATTGTTTGTACAAGCCATAGAGCGCGAGGCGGTCTTCGGAGGGTGGTTTTTCAGAGCCAGGCCGGATTTTGTTGACGGTGTTGAGGGCGTGGCCGAAGACGCGGTCGATGGAGTCGGCCATGGTTGATGGTTGGTGTCGCACTGGAAATGCTGTGGTACGACGAGGCCTAAAAGGGTTGTAGGTTCATTCTCAGGGTCGAATGGATGGGAAGTGAGGAAAAAGGAATGCTAGAAAAAGATACCGATGTGGATGTAGAGAAGTGATGATGTCGCGTGAGGAGTGCATGCATGTGATAGATGCCGGGATCTGGCTATGAATTCCACCTCGGTTTTGATCGTCCGGGGCCAGACCCTCATTACTCGCGCCTTTGTCGTCCTTCGCTTTGCTCACTGGGTCGGCGAGTATGTCGCAAGGCGACATCTGAGCTCATACCGGTTGTCGGCGAACGATTTGAGCATGAAAGGTGCGAAGGAACGTGTTAGATAGACTCATATCCCATCCTTGCTCTTGCCGTGTCCCCCGCCACGAGGCGTAACTGCCCCACAACCACATCGTCATACCATCGAGCACCGGGTCAAGACTCGCGAGTTGTCTGCAAGGTTTGAACTTTGCATTGTCGAATGTATGCTCGTGCCTTAAGACGCGTCCAACAGACAACATCTTTCCTTCGACCATACCAGCCTCGAGTCGTAACAACCCAGCAACGAGCCGCGACAATGGCAAACATCCACACCCCGATTCCAAACCTCAAACTGAATGATGGAAATAGCATGCCCATGGTGACTCCTCTCTGACTTTAAACGCCAGCCTGCTTTGTTCCAAGCTAACACTCCAACAGATCGGCTACGGAACCGGCACAGCATGGTACAAATCCGGCGACGAGTCCAAAGTCGACGAAGCATGCATCGCCGCCACAAAGATGTCGATAGACATGGGCTACTATCACCAAGACGGCGCCGAAGTCTACAAGACCGAAGCAGAACTCGGGACAGCGATCAAGCAGTCTGGCATCTCCCGGGAAAAGCTGTTCTTGACGACGAAGGTCATCTCGAATATTGCGGACATTCCTTCGGCGCTGAAGACGAGTTTGAAGAAGTTGCAGGTGGATCATGTGGATATGTAGGTGCTGAAGTTTGTGTGTATTGAACGAGGCTGATCGTCATCAAGGTACCTGATTCACTCGCCTTTCTTCAGCGAAAAGAAGGATGACCACCAAGAAAAATGGAGGCAGATGGAGGAGCTCAAGTCTCAAGGTCTGGCCAAGTCCATCGGCGTGAGCAACTACCTGCCGGAACAGCTCGATTGGATTCTGGAGACGTGCAAAGTCCAGCCTGCAGTCAACCAGATCGAGTTCCATCCGTACCTCCAGCATGAGGGGCTGATCGAGTATCACAAGAAGAAGGTACGCCCACTTATCCCTTGACAGCCATGCGGCATCGTGCTGATAATTTCTAGGGCATCGCAACATGCGCCTACGGCCCCCTAACCCCCGTGACCAAAGGCGCCGGTGGCCCAGCCGACGACGTCCTGAACGGTCTCGCGAAGAAGTACGCCGTCAGCCCGGGCGAGATCTTGTTGCGATGGTGCATCGATCAGGACATCGTGCCCATTACGACCAGTTCGAAGGAGCAGAGGTTGAGTGACTACCTGCGGGCGATGACGTTCAAGCTGAATCCGGCGGAGATCAAGCAGGTATGTATCTTCCTTAATATCATCTTGGGATTGAAAATGTTGGGGCTGACTGGATAATAGATCAACGAGGCGGGGAAGAAGAAGCATTTGCGAGGGTTCTGGACGCACAAATTTGACGACAACGACAAGAGATGAGCAGAGGATGGGCTCGAATCCTTGTCGGCCTGCTCGCTTCGGCGTCAAGCTCAGTCGATGTACTGACCTCGGCCCGTCGTTCTCATTCTACAGCTGTCTTCCTTCCGGTGACCTGACGCCTGTCAATGTTAAGCCTAAACGCCGTCAAGGTCCGAGAGTAGGTAGATCGGCAAAGCAGTACTATATGTGTCCCTCAGAGCCTCAGTAGCGTCCAGTCTTTGGTGTCTCCTTGCGACAGGGAAGCAAACGAAATGGCGCAACTACTGTATCCGTCATTTACGCCGACCTACCACCATGACCAGTACCCGGCCATTGATCCAACGCAGCCTTCGCTCGACTGCTCTCACTTGACATTTCTGGTGACCGGAGCAGGTCGCGGTATAGGTCAAGCGATTGCTGTGGCTTTTGCACAGGCACATGCTAGGAGAATCGCACTTCTCGGCCGAACGAGATCGACGCTTGAGGAGACGGCAGCTTTGGTAGAGAGGGCCAGTGGCGGAACGACCGATGTGTTCTTGGTCACTGCAGACATCACGATCAAAGAGCAAGTCCAGACAGCGTTCGACTCCACGTTCAACCGCTTCGGTGGCCAGGTGCCGGACGTCCTAGTCAACAACGCAGGCGGGCTCGCGGGAATCGGCAGCCTCACAAATGTCGACATCGACGACTTCATGAGCGCCTTCGACATCAACGTCCGCGGTTCCCTCACCGTCCTACAGACCTACCTTCGCGCGAACCAGAAATACTCCCCAGACACCCCACGTACCGTGATCAACCTCGCGTCCGGCTCAGCACACCTGCCCTACGCTCCCACGGCAGCAGCCTATGCCTGCTCCAAACTCGCCAACGCAAAAATCACCGAGTACTTCCACCATGAAAACCCGTCCTGGAACGTCTTCAACATGCAACCCGGCGTCGTGGCCACAGACTTGGCGCGGCAGGCTGGTCGTAAGGCCCCGGACTCGCCTGAGCTGCCGGCTGGGTTTGCGGTGTGGTTGGCTGCTTCTCCGAAGGCGGTGAAGCTGAATGGGAGGTTTATTTGGGCGAATTGGGACATCGAGGAAGTGCTGGAGAGAGAAGAGGAGATTCGGAGAAGAGATCTGCTTACGCTGACACTGAAGGGGTGGGCGGAGGATGTTAATGCTGAGGAGTTGAAGAGGAGGGCGGTGGGTGTGCATAGGGATGCTGAGCGGAAGGTCGAGTGAGAGATACTCCGTCAGTGACTTAGACTTACAGGCTGTCAGTGTGAAGAGATGACAGCAACGCCCAGCCGTCTTTGCATCTCGGCACCATTTTACTCAGCTGCTTATAGTGCCGCCAATAGAGTTAGTCAGGAAGGATAATCTGAGACTGGGAGCAGCTTTCGAATTTGTAGTATCAACTTCTGTCGCAAGGCCTCCGGATGGTTTCAGATGTTTTCCCAGCCGTTGTATTCATACACCACTCCCCATCTTGCTGTGGTTTGGACTGTGCGGACGTTGTTGTTTCCTTTCCGCCGATCGACATCTGGGATCTTGCGCGCGACTGGAGGCTTGGCCGGGTGGGGCGCTAAAGCTTCGACCCTTCTCGCGGACCAACTTTTTGTGTTTCCTCCTTTAACGCTGCTGGATATCGGCCCACCGCAGCACTTGTTGCACGGCGACGTGACACCATCGCCGCGACATCCACGTGCCTGTGACTTACGTCGTTTGTCTGCGACCTGACGGACGGCGTCGTGCTCAAGGGACTTGGGATAGACGAGGGACTTCCGGATGATCCGGCGCGCTTATCACATACTTACCCAGCTCGCCATCACGCCTCTTCGCTGTTGAGCTTTCAAGCTTGAACACATCATTGGAACCACTTCTCTCCAGTACTACCACCTGCGCAAATCCTTTCTCGACATCTGGCTATCTCTCCAGGTCTGCGGGTGGTGCAACCCAGGGCAACTGGTCCCATCACAAGCACCGAGGAACTGCCCGCCACTATAAGCGACAATGGATTACTTTGACTACAACAGAAGGCGTGGCAACTCTGTCACGCAGGAACGCCTTAATGCCCCCTTACCACAGCCTGCGCAAACTCCGGGCGCTGGCGTCCAAGGGCAGCCGCCACCCGCCCCAGGCCCGCAGAGGAGGCCCTTACCAATGGGGTCATACGAGAGTCTAAGACAGCCTTCCAGTATCCGAATAAGGAGACTTCCGTCGAATAATGCGACTGCGCGGCCAAGCTCTCATCAGGGACCGCCAGGACCACCCGCCACCGCAGAGCACGACTTCGCGGACACCTCTCAGACCGGCCGACGAAGGAGTACGTCGGAACCCCAGCGGTATGGCCATAATCTGGCCCCGCCAGCCACGGATCTGACCCGGCAGAGGACGGCTGAGATGCCTACGATCACTGAGGGCATGACTGCTGGCAGATACACACCTTCGGAATCGGACCAGAGCTTCCACGAAGCGTACGACGGGAGAAGGCCAGTCACACCTGGGGCGCAGTCCATGAATTACAGTGACAATGGCGACCCTATGGAGCGTATTGAGACTGGTGCTTCCGCTGTGACTGGTGCTGGCCACGCTGCACGAGCAAACCGCGGGTTGCGGCGGCTTCGGACAGCGGCCTCGACCGCGCCACGCAACGAACGGCGTTACGAAGACGAATACAACTCGGATATGGTGGATTACTTGGACCTTGTCGGTATGCTGCCCACTTCACTTTCTGCGTTGCCCTCGTCCACCCTGCTAACCACAAGGACAGATCCAGAGGTTAGGACCCTGGGTACTCTTACAAATGTGCAGAACTCTCTTTTCGTCCCAGATCTTGGTCGCTGGGTCAATCGGCGCCCGACGTACAATCTCAGTTCGCAGCGGTCAACAACCTATGGTCCTCTGCCGCCAAAGACCGGACGCTCCCGAGCCGGCACTGCTGCTTCTTCACGGCCCGCATCAGGCATGCCTAACATACCGCAAGGCGCTCAAACTGACGCCGAGTCGAAGCACGGAGACATCGAGATGCAGCCACGCCCGAGCCGGACAATGTCAATTTCATCCGCCCTGAGCGATTCGCGATACGCGGTGCTTCCTCATGGCATAAGTCTCGAGGACTGGAGCGAAGAGGACAAAGCAGATCTTGATGATCACGTCCGGCATCTTCTCCACTCCCGGCGGGAAGGCTTCAGGCGGAGCATGCGAGGCTTCAAACAGTACATCAGCAAGCCGCTGGGCCTCTTCGTCTTTGTCTATGCTGTCCTGATCACTCTCTTCGGAGCGGGCTGGGTTTTCTTTCTAATCGGCTGGATCTACGTTGGCGAGAGACAGCAGTACATTATCAATATCATTGACAACGTCCTGGTGGCTCTGTTCGCATTAATGGGTGATGGTCTTGCCCCGTTCCGCGCGGTGGACACCTACCATATGATCTTCATCGCCAGATACCATCAGCTGACGTGGCACTTGCGGGAGAAGAAGAGGCTTCCGGACCTTGTGGACCACAATGATTTGCCCGAGCGACGATCAAGCACGGCAGATGTAGACGTCGAAGACGCCATCGACAAGGAGGAGACCGCCGAGTTCTCCGTCCTCAAGCCAATTCAGCAGAAGCGCCTGCAGTACCACCAAGCAAAGTTTAGCAAAGCACATACCTTCTATCGACCCCACGAGACTTCTACTCACCACGCCTTCCCACTGCGACTGCTCATCACCGTCGTCGTACTCCTGGACTTCCACAGCATCTTCCAAGTCGCTCTCGGTACATGCACCTGGAGCATCAACTACCACGTGCGACCCGAGGCGCTCACGGCCACCATCCTCTCCTGCTCCATTTGCTGCAACATCGCCGCTGGTGTCGTGATCAGCATCGGAGATCACAGGACCCGCAAGAAGGATGTTCTGGAGCGGATCAAGCGGCAGGAACTTACCCAGGAGGCTATCAGTCGTATGGCCCAGGAAAGACAGGGCGAGGAGCGGATTGCAAGGAAGAGCCTCGAAGTTCGTCGCGCGACGGCGGCGCAGGGAAGGGAGAGGGAGTGGGAGATGGAGGCGCAGCAGATGCCGCCGGCGATTATGGCACCGCAGAGTCAGGGTCAGGGGGAGAAGAAATCGAATTAGCGTGGGTTGGGGTGAGCGTGAGCGCGAGCGTTCTGGGTTTTTGTATACAGTTTAATAGTGCTTTCGTGCGTTTAGCGAGCCGATGCAGTCTTCTAGAGCAGAATGAATTTCTTCGATCGATCCATTATTTTTCGGACTGTCCTTGTACCCAGCGACTGGGGCTGATTAGCGATCGCTTGTTCTTGGAAAGGTATGCCTTGCCTCACCCTCACACTCTTTGAGTAAGGGGGACTGTTACAACCGTGGTTACCTTGCTCTCACGGCAGCGTCACCGGGAGAAGACATGAGCATTTCCGCGCTATTCGGAAACACGGAAAAGACAGCAGGAAAAGCCCCGAATGTCGGCCTCTGATCCCATATATCAAGTTATCTCGCCATTCATCGTCAACATGCACACCTTTAACAATCTACAACGTCATGACGGCAACAGAAACAGAGCGAGAGGCCGCTGCGCCCTCGCAACCAACTGTGTTCAACGACTTCTCACGGCACCCACCGATCGAGAAATTCGTTACTATTGATGGCATGCTCAAGAGCCATGCAGCGGAGACAGAGCAGAGGCCGCTGATATGCTATCCGCACAAGGGTGTCGATGATTTTGAGGAGTACACGGCGAGGGAGATTGATGGGTTTGTGGATGCTGCGTGTCGGTTTTATGTTGAGAATGGGCTTGAGGCTGCTGTACGTTCTTAGATTCAAGATCAACACAGGAGGGTTGACAAGATGCTAATGATAGAGCTTAGGACCCATCCCTCGAGAAGGCGCCTGTTGTAGCTTTTCTGGCGCCTTCAAACTTCGAAATCATCCTCACAATCTTCGCTCTCAACCGTCTAGGCTATGCCGTCTTCTTCCTCTCAACCCGTCTCGGACCCCCGGCCTACGCTCGTCTGCTGGAACTCGCAGATTGCCATACCATCATCACGCCGGACTCTTTCAGTTCGACCTTCAGCGCCATCTCTCAGCACCGACCAGGATGCCGACACATTCCTATCGTCCAACGGCAAGACTACCGTGACCGCCCTACCGTCGAACCATTCCACCGCTCCAACGTCGACATCGCCAAAGAAGGCAAGAAAATAGCCTTCATCCTTCACTCATCCGGCTCCACCGGCTTCCCCAAGGAGATCATGCTAACGAACCTCCAATGCCTCGCCAACTTCCGCAAAAGCTTTGCTCTACGCGGCTTCTGCACATCCCCACTCTTCCACTCTCACGGCCTCATGGAGCTGTTCAGAGCCTTCTACACACAAGCGACGTTTTACCTTGGCAACTACGCTTTCCCTATCACGAGCCAGAATCTCATGGCCGCGTTATCCGTAGCGAAGCCGGAGTTGGTGGCCGCAGTGCCATACGTGTACAAACTCCTCGCCGAAAAACCGGATGGCGTGCGCATGCTCGCGAAGACGAAGATCTGTTTGTACGGCGGGAGCAGCTGTCCGGACGAACTAGGCGATCGACTGATAGCGGAGGGAGTGAATTTGGTCGCCAACTACGGCGCCACGGAGACAGGCCAGATCATGACGTCCTTCCGGCCGAAGGGGGATACGGAGTGGCAGTACATGCGCCTGCACCAGCCGGTAGCGAAGCATACGCTTATGGATGAGATCGCGCCGGGAGTGTTCGAGTGCGTGGCACTGGATGGTTTGCCGTCGAAGGGGCCGAGTAATGCGAAGCCGCCTTTTAGCGAGAAGAATCCTGAGAATAGTTTTAGGACGGCGGATCTGTTTACGAGACATCCTGATCCTGGGAAGGGAAATTTTTACAAGTATTTGAGTCGGCTGGATGATAGAATTGGACTGGTGAATGGGGAGAAAGTGCTACCGATTCCGATGGAGTTGAGGATTAAGCAGGAGAGTTTGGTGCGGGAGGCAGCGGTATTTGGGTTCGAGCGGACTGTGCCGGGGGTTTTGATATTCAGGTCGGGCGAGCATGGGCTGGAGATGAGCGATGTGGAGTTTTTGGACGCTGTGTGGCCGGCTGTGGAGGCGGCGAATGCGGCTGCGGAGACTTTCTCAAGGATACCGAAGGAGTTAGTGGTGGTTAAGGGGGCGGATGTGGTGTATCCGAGGACTGACAAGAACACCTTCATCCGCGCTCAAGTGTATCAGCAGTTTGCGGACGACATTGGGGAGGCTTATAAGAAGTTCGAGGCCGGTAGTGAGAAAGGCGGTGGTCTCAGGTTGGATGTACCGGAGCTTGAGGAGTGGTTGCTTCGCAAATTCCGGGAGGACCTTCGGATTCCGCTTCAAAGTGTTGATACGGACATCTTCTCTGCTGGTGTTGATAGCTTGCTGACGACACGGATCTGGCGGGCCATCAAGAAGGAGCTCGATCTCGGGCCTGAAGGACGAACTTTGAGCCAAAACATTGTGTTCGAGAAGGGAACGATCCGGGCACTGGCTGCTCATCTCCACCAGCTGCGGACTGGCGAAGGCGAAGCGGAAGATGAAGACGAGCTGAGCGTTATGCAAGAGTTGATCGAGAAGTACTCGACCTTCACGCACCACTCCCCGACAAACACACCGCCTCTTCAAGGCGACGTAGTCATCGTCACAGGCGCGACAGGCAATCTCGGCGCCTTCATCGTTGCCTCCCTCCTTGCCCGCCCCTCGGTCTCCGAAGTTTGGGCCCTCGTCCGCGCACCCGGCCAAGCAAGCGCAGGCGCCCGTGTCATGGCCTCTCTCGCCAGTCGCCAAATCACACTCTCTCCCGCTCAGCTCTCCAAGCTGAAAGCCCTGCCCAGCGACCTCAGCCAACCAGACCTAGGTCTCGACCCTCAAGACCTTGATCACTTGCTCTCGACAGCAACCTGCATCATCCACAGCGCTTGGGCGGTGAACTTCAACCTCGGCGTTCGCTCTTTCGAACAACACCATATTCGCGGCACGTACAATCTGCTCAACTTCTGCTTACGCTCGAGACTGGCAGAGCCGGCGAGGTTCTTCTTCTGCAGTAGTGTCAGCACGGCCTCAAACACGCCTAAACCTGCCGTCGTGCCCGAAACAGCGATTGGCGATCTTAGCCATGCTCAAGCGACGGGCTATGGGCGGAGCAAATTGGTCACAGAGCATATCGTCCGCAGCGCTATGCGCAGCGCCGGAATGCACGCACGGGTGTTGAGGATCGGACAATTAAGCGGCGATACCGCGAATGCGATTTGGAACGAGACAGAGGCCGTGGCGCTGATGGTGCGAAGTGCGTCGACCGTCGGTGCCTTGCCGGCTTTGGAGGAGAGAGTGAGTTGGTTGCCTGTGGATAGCTGTGCGAGGGCCGTGATGGAGCTCGCATTGGCTGAACAGAGCTCGGGGAGAGGAGAGGAGGATGCGGAGTTGGTGTATCATCTGGTGAACCCGGCGACTTTCGATTGGAGGAAGGACTTCTTGCCTGTGCTGCAGCAGAAGACGAAGTTGCCCGCCTTTGATGTCGTGAGTCCGTTGGAGTGGTTGAAGAGGCTGGAGGGGAGTGAGCAGGATCCGGAGAGGAACCCTAGTATCAAGCTTGTGGACTTTTGGCGGAAGAAGTACAGCTCCAGCCAAGCATCAGCAAGTGCTGAGGAGCAGCCGAAAGGGTTGACCTTTGACACCACGCGAACAGTCACAGACTGCCCGGCGCTGGGCACAGAGCGGGATCCAGTCACTGCTGGGTTGGTAGAGAGATATGTCGATGTTTGGATGAAGTCGTGGGCTCCCGGAAGGGAATGAGATGAGATTGTTTTTCATTTCAGAAGCATATTAATCATAGAAGAGGCTCGCTCAAGCTCCACCTTCCCATCTTTCTTCTGGCCGAAGCCGCAGCTGTCGTGCCTAGACGCTGCCAATTGGTGATCATCAAATTGCTCAAGATCTCACTACGCCATTAAACTCCCGTTGCTCAATCATTATCATTATTCTCATCAGCTGCCCGGCGTCCGTGGTAGCCTATACCCACACCTGCGCCACCGCTCTAGTGACACCCTCCTTCTGCCCTTCGCTAGGTGGCAACTCCCACATCTTCTCAAACGTCGGTGCATCCTGATGCTTGTGACATGGACCTGGTCATGTCAGCGGCATACTCAGCTTGAGTGAAGAAATTTTGCTTACATTTCTTCACTCCATTGTACGTATTCGCCATCTCCGTACTCCCCTGCGACTGCAACAACCTTTCCAGCGTCTCCTGGTCTGGCTCCTCAGGCGACTCGGGTTCATCATCATAGTCGTCCATGTCGTCAAGATCTGGCATAAGATCCGGAGGCGGCCGAGGTGGTCTGGCCGAACCCGAAGGAAAGCGCTGCAGCCCCAGATCATCGCCCTGGTCGTCCTCCTCACCCTCGTCGCTTCCGCTCCAGTCGTCGTCGTCGTTAATCACGTCCTCGTGGTTTGCAGGCTGTGGTGGCGGACTCTTCCTCCCACCTAGTTGGCCTGTTGATGGCTGTTTTCGGAGTCCGGTCTGCCCTACATGACCTGTGCCTTTAAAAGCGACCGACTTTGCCCGCTGAGATTTGCTGATGTCGTGCTCCATCTCCACGATCCGAAGGCGGAGGTTCTCGTAGTGCATTAGATGGCCGACGACGTATCTGAGATTCCGCTCGGGCCGGTTGGCTTCCATGGCGAGACGGCATTCTGCGCTGTGGGCCAAGCTGTAGGCTTCTTTGAGAGACATCGTGGACCGTCCTCGATCTTTGATATGTGTTATGCTGTTGGTGCTGGTCGTGATGGCAGAACAGCTCGAGCTCACACGGAACGCAGCCAGGTGTTCACACGCAAGGAGAATGTGGAGCGCAGTGTGGTTGATGGAGACGAAAGGCGGATTGGAAGAAGAAGCTTTCTTTGTTTTTCTGGTCAAGTGTCTCTTCCTACAATGGAACGGATATGTAAGCAGACTTGACTCACCGCACGATCACGAGAGGCGGCGATGAGGTCGGCGGGGAGCTACTGCAAAGGGCATAGGTGGAGTTAAGGTTCTCAGCCGCGTTCAGATTAACATGCGGCTTCGGAATGCAATCGCTGTCCAACTCCGACTGGCGATTCGAACGCCGCGGTGGATGTCTGTCCGTCTACGTGCAAGATGCCCGTCGATCGAGCAAAATTGAGGAGGTGACGTTGGTCTGGATTAGTGAGCGTTCGAACGAGGGCTGCTCGGTTGTGGTCCGGAGGCTCGTGCCTTCCTGTGGTCGTGGTGATAGTGGGGGAGGTGTCGATCGGCCACCGAAAAGGGAAAGCGCGAATCTGAAACTCTTGGAGGACGTTGGAGCTTGCGCATACCACAGAACACTGCCATTGCTCGTCGAATGATCACCACGCCCGCACGTGCTATCAAGACGGACACAGCCAACGTTGTACGACTCTGACAGACGATAATCATCCGGGCACTGAAGTCGCAGGGCATCCGAGCCGCAGCAGGCCGAGTCGCGGGCAGGAACGGGGACAACACCGAGTCATATGACTGTCAATTGAGCGGGCAGCATTGAAAGACGCGTACTTCCTCGTCCACCACGGTTCAATGGCTGCACCACAACCTACCGCAAACGGCTCCTCTCGCTCAAGTCTTGAAGAACCAACCTCACCGAGGCATAAACCGGCCGCACTCTCCTCCACCGCCGTTTCCTCCACCACCACGACCCCTCTGCAAACCCCGCGCAAGGAATCGTCACCTTCAGTGTCACACCGCTCGAGCTTTGCCGAGAACCTCAGGGCCCATCCTTCCTCTCCTAGAGCACAGAGACACAACTCCTTCTCAGGCGCAGCATTGACGGAGCTTCTCATGAATCCTCCAGTGAAGACCAACGGCGAGGATGCGGCGAGATTCAAGGGCAGGGACTGGAGGACAGTGCAAGTGCACGAGATCATTGACCCGGCGGAGACGCGCTTTGTGGAGCTGGACTCGAGCATAGAAGAGACTACGAAGCTGCTTATCAAGTCCGGCGCACCGAACGTCGTCCTGATAAGGGAGTCGAGGACGACCAAGACGCCAATAGGCTGGTTTGGCTACGATGAGCTGAATGCATATCTACTGCTTGTGCTGGGACTGACGCAGCCTGACGAGTCGGCAACGCAGTTGAGGGAAAGGGCAAGAAGCGGAGAGACTCTGCAACTGCGAGAAGTCAACGACCACCTTGGATTACAAGACGAGCCGATGATGCTGCCGCATACCGCAAATCTTACGCAAGCAATGGAGATGTTGGGCAGCGGTGTGCACCGCATTGTGGTTACAAAGGAAGGCACGAGCGAAGCATTGGGCATCCTCAGTCAGCTACGGCTGGTGCGATTCTTCTGGGAGAACCACCAGAATTTTGCGGCAACCGAGCGGCTGTATGGCGTAACGCTGAAGGAGCTCGAGATCGGTGCCAAGGACGTTCTTGCGATCAATGGCGACAGGCCGCTCTCGGATGCCCTGCGCTTGATGAACGACGAGAGCGTGTCGTCGCTACCGGTCCTTGACATCCACAGCAACGTCGTTGGCAACATCAGTCATGTCGACACTCGAGTAGGTCCCCACACTTTCTACTAAACTGCGGGTGCAAAGCTAATGTAATTCGCAGCTCCTCACGGACACATCAGCCATACCTCTCCTCTCATCCTCCTGCATCCACTTCATCTCCGTGATCCTCTCTGAACGAGGTGTTCAAGACGGCAAAGACTCCTATCCAGTCTTCCACGTCTCACCTTACAGCACTCTGGCCCACACTGTCGCCAAGCTCTGCGCCACACGCTCCCACCGCATGTGGATCACCGACCCTTCTGCATCACCTTCTGGCAGTATTCCACCTAGCCCTGGAGTGGGGCCTCACACTACCGTACCGCCCTTCAGCATGCAGAATTCAAGCGCCCACACCACGGCGCCAGCTGGCCGACCCGACTCGGCACGTGGCAGCGAGCCGCACGTCGTCTCTGGCCCACCATTCACAAACCCAAACATGGGCGCTTCCGCTGCACATATGCCTGGCGCGAACATGAGTGGTCGGCTGAGCGGCGTGGTGAGTCTCACAGATGTGCTAAACATCCTCGCCCGGGCATCAGGTCTGTCTCCCGGTGACCCGGAGACTACTCGGCGGAGAAGACGACGTAGCAGCTCGAGCAGTCGGTCGAGGAGCTTTGCGGAGGGTGCACGGCCGAGTGCTGAGGTTATCAGAGGGAGTATGGATTCAGGACGGAGGAGTGGGAGTATGGGGGCGAGTGGGAGGCGGTGAATGATGCACCACAAGACTTTTCGATGACGTCTTGGGGCGTATACGATCGGTGGAGCTGCATCAGAGTGACGAAGTTACGAGATAGATGGGTCATGGGCATGCACAGGGCTGAGTTGCAATGTGGGAGGCGCCGTGGATGCGCTTTGGTAGCATCTAGGTAGCGTCGGCGTTGAGACTGCAGCATTTACTCCGTCTTCATCTAGAATCGCTGCTAGGCTACTTTACTTGGCTGCGCACTGACGGGCCATCTTCCCACATCGCAATATCGCAAGCGTCCAACTGGGCAGGCTCGCTTGTTAAACGTTATCACCGGCGCTTGCGAACAGCCCTGCGGACTACCAGCTTACTGTGCAGTAGCTGACCAAGCCAGAAGACTCCAGCCCACATGCAAGGTCGGAGAGCGCATGAATGTTGCAGGGTACTGCTTACCTAATATGGCCATGCCCACCGAATCGGGAAGGACTGAAGATACCACTATTGGAGATACTTAGAGCTACTGAGGTCCGCCCAGCACAATTTTCCCCATCGCGAAAGAGACCTGAACCTTATCGACGGCGAAGGAACGAGCTGGCTCTGCTGCAATGCGGCACATCATTGTGTCCCAGACTCCTACTCGCTTCCAGACCGCCTCGTCGCTACTCATGGCGATGCTGTGCTCAACAGCGAGGGGCGACGATCTGGGTATAAAGGTTTTGTAAGGTAGGTATGGTTCGACTCGAGAGATACCTCCGTAGTCATGGATTACCATAACAGCCGCGAAATTCATGCGAACATGCCGGATCACGACTGTACAACATCTTCTGTTGAACGCTCGGCACAAGGCCGTGGCTGTCAATGCGACAGCTCTGATCACCTCCGAGAATACTGGACCGGCGATGACTGCGGTTTGCGACGTATTAGCGACACGAAAGACTTCTTTACCGACGAGAAGCCCACGATACTGCAGACCTTCCAACCTCCGGCGGTAGCAACAAAAGTCCCATTTGCGGTATCATCGACTATCCTACCCTCGCCAGACAGCCTTTGCCATTCTTCAGCGACAGTGCCATCTCCGAAGTATACCTGGAAAGGCTCACTAATACGTGCGGGTCCTCTGGCAGGAGTCGCAAGCCTCGTGTTCGCAATCCTTCAGATCTTCGCATCTTTTGCTGTCCTGGCGGCGTCCAACAAACAGCCCGTGAGCAGCTGGACTTTCCAGCCAACGGTGTACTTGGCTGTGTTGACTGTGCTCAGCAATAAGCTGCTGGCGTTCGCTGCCGTGCAGGGGACGGTCATCAGCTGGTGGCGGAGTGCCATTCGGGGCACGTCGTACGTCTGGCCTTTCTCTTTCCTCTTCCTCTGCTGAAGTGACTCGAGCTAATGCTTTCTCACAGGCTTGGTCAATTGCATCGTGACTGGGGCATGGGTCTGCACGTGTACAAGGCGCTTGCAGCAGGGCGGCACACCAATATCCTGGCGTTTGCCTGCATCCTCGCCACTTTCGTCGCTATCGACGGACCACTGTTACAGCGTGCTACATCTGTCGTATCTGTAACACCTCAGCAACCGGTCCCGCTTACTGTCGCGCTGGCACCAGAGCTTCCTGGCGCATGGAGCGGGGCGGCCGATTACCGCGAGAAGCAGTCGTGGACCTTCGGTCCCAGTGTGGACTTTGCGAAGGTCTTCGAAGATTACTCTGAGACAACACCCATTACTGGTGTAGTGAAAGGGTGTCCATACCAGAAGTGTGCAATCACTGTCCGCGCGCCGGCGCTTGCACTGGAGTCCTGCGAGTCCCAGTCATATTCCAAGAACTATACCGAGCCTCTCACCGCTTTAGAATGGGAGATATACAACCTCACCAACGCCGTGACCAAAGAGCGAGCCGCGTTCCTTGTCCAGGGAGGCCTTTCAAAGGGGACGCGAGAGAAATTCGAGATCACCACCGGTATAAGTGATGCCGCGGTCGCCGAAAGTTGTGTGGGTTCCTGGAACTACACAACATGCACTTATATCAGCGCTATCGGCGAATACGACCTCGTCGTCGAAGGAGACGAGATCAAACTCTCAACCGACTTGAGCGCCGTCAAAATCTCTGCTCTAGCGAATAACACCGCAGTCACCGGAACGAACCAAAGCCACCCATCCACACTCGCCGGTGCAGCGCTGGCCGGAATCTTACAATTCTCCACCGTAGCCGCCTTGGCCAACATCGACAATGTCAGCGTGTCGATGCATTCTCCGGGTAATAGCTGGTTCGCTTTCCAGCATATTGAAAACTGGGAAGCCCTGAACGATGGCTCAGCCTGCGCACCGATATGGCGTGACCCTACCAAGGAGATTCTCAGCGGCCTCAATGAGGTCCTGTTCCGTGCTGGCGTGTACGTGGCCGCGCACCTGGATGAGGCATGGCTGCGGGAAAGACTGGATCCCGGTCTCGAGACGAGCTACAATACCACTGGCAGTGCTTCCGTGGAGATCAACGTCTTCCACTCTGACTTCCGCTACTTTTCGGCAGCGGCTGTCGTGCAAGCGATTACTGTCGCTGTGGTGGCGTATACGTTTTATGGATATTGGCGACTCGGAAGGAATACCACTTTTAGCCCGCTGGAGATGGCGAATGTAGGTGAACGCCTATGCTGCGCTTTTCCATTGCTGACAATATTGTCTTAGGCTTTCGATGCCCCGCTGCTGCGCCATGAAGATAGCAATATGAGCGCCAATCAACTGGCTAAATCTTGTGGCTCGGTTGAGGTCCAGTACGGCATTGCCCGGGGCAGACCGAAGCAATATCCTGGCGACATGACGATTGCTGGAGATACGTTGATGTTTGGCGAGGAGCGAGAGATTGTTCCGTTGGTGAGTTCAGGACGAATCTCGGCTGCGTTGGCGAGGGTTCGAGGGATTGCGGTAGATAGATGAATTTGAACGTCAATCCACGACACGTGCTTTAGCGTTTCCTGAATCCAGCTGACAACCAGCACCAAAGATTGTTTGACACTGGAGATTGCTACCAAACCCGATATGGCTCAATGTATGACTGTGTGGAACTTGAAACAAGTGCATGAACGATCGAAAGCATTGTACATCGGGTTATCTACCACAGTGTGTCGACCGAACGAGAGGTCTACCACACGAAGGCAATTGCAATCACACCACCACTCCAAGGACCTTCTCGCCCAGTCCCTTTTCCTCGTTCGCCGGATCCGATCCATTATCGCTTCTCGACCCCGAGTAGCCTACAGCAAGTCTCGGGTCATATTCAGGTGTCCCAGGCACCTCACCCGCAAGCTGCTCAAGCGTCTTACGCTTGGTCTCAGGTATCAGCAGCGTAGTGAAGCAACCACACAGCATGAACAGCGCGAAGATCTCCAGTACGTGGTTGAGCCATGGCGAGGGATTGTCCTCAGTAGCGCCCCGAGTGCGGAGGGGACCAATAAGAACTTGTGCGATGATAGCGCCCACCTTGCCGGAGGCTGCGGAGATGCCGTGGCTGGTTGACCGGTAGCGGGTTGGGAAACACTCGCCGGGGACGATGAAGGTGGTGGAGTTGGGCCCGAAGTTGAAGAAGAAGTTGCACAGGACGTAGCAGGCGAACAAGCCTGAGGTGCCGATGACGTTGTAGCCGAATCCCATGACGCAGAAGAGCACTGTGAGGATGGCAAAGCCTCCGAATTGAATGGGTTTGCGGCCGATGGTGTCGCAGAGAGCGACGGTCACCCAGTAGCCCGGGATGGCGCCGGCGCAGACGAGGATGATATTTCCGGTGGCGAGGTTCATGTAGTATTCGTAGACGTTGCTGGCAGAGTCGGAGCCGTAGCCGATGGCTTCGAGGATGGTGCTGTTGTTCAGACCGACGCCGTAGAATGCCTGGAGATGGATTAGCATAGTCATGGACGGAGCAAGGATGGAGAAGTTGACATACCACATCGAGGAAGAACCACGAGCCGGCCGTGCCGAGAAGGATCTTGCCGTACTTCCAACGGCCATAGTGAGCCATGAAATCGCGCATTGAAGCCTTAGGGATCTCCATCTGGGGAGCTGTCTCACGGATCTGCTCAACTCTCAACTGTTCATCTGGATGACCCTCTGCACTATTGTTGAGATATGCCTTGATGTCAGAGCCGGCCTTCACGACATCGCGGGAGACATCGAAGGTGTAGCGAGGAGTCTCGGGGATCGTAAGACGGAAGTAGAGGGCTATGCAGCCAGGAACGGCACCGAAGCCGATGATGGTGCGCCACATCTTGTCGACGGCCAGGCGGCAGTCACCACCGCAAGTGGCAGGAGATGCGGCGAGCGACAGGCTCTCCTTGAAGCCCGCAGTGACGATGAGAGCGATGATGCCGGCGCCGAATTGGCCGAGACCTTGCATGGCGAAGACAGAGCCCATCATAGCACCTCTCCATTTGGTCGTGGCGAATTCGGATGTGATGATGGACGAGAGAGGGTAGTCGCCTCCGATGCCTACAAGGTTCAAATTATGGACGTCAGCATGTTGTTTTTTCTAGCCAGGGGAAGGAGAAAACGCACCAACACCCATTACCACGCGCCAGAAGATGATGACACCGACGATGGAAATAGCTGGCGAGTCCGCGGACAGCGACTGGGCGAGCGTAGCGAAGATGATGATGATGAGTTCCAAGCCGTACATCTTCTTGCGGCCGACCATATCGGCCAGCCACCCGAAGCCCAGTTGACCGAGGACAGTACCACCGGAGGTCGCAACCTTGATAGCAGTATCGGAGGCCTCGGGGATGCTACCACCTTGCTCGGGTGTGTGCCAGAAGACCGTCCCAAGCATGTTGGTCACCATTCCGATAGCGAAGATGTCATATGCGTCCTGTGGGTGTCAGATCGTGCTGTCGACACATTGGTGAATGGGTGTTACATACAGTGAAGAAACCAATACCAGCAACCACAATGGCTCGCACATGGTACCAGCCAAAGGGCGCCTTGTCGATCTCGGCGAGAGCAAGACGGCGCCGCTCGTTCGGGTCCGCAATGTGAGCATAGTCGTTGTGGAAGTTGTGAAAGGCAGCATTGCCTCCCGCAGTGCGCTGAGCCATCGCTGCGTGATGCCTACCAGCAGTAGATGCAATGAGCGACGATCGGCGGTATGCCAAGTGTATTGCAAGAGCTTGAGAAGACTTGGTAGAATGGACAAGCAGGACAAGGCGGGTGGGCGTCTCTTAAGCACTGCGACACAAGGAACGCCAAGCGCGTGGATGATACGCTGACACCCAACGATTTGGTTAGATCGAGGTTGCCCAAAGGAGTCCTTCTAGAACGCAACCCCTAAGGTGTGCCACGACCCACCAACTAGCACACGCGCGGGTCAACCTTTTTCGGATCTGGAGCGATTAGAGATCGGAAGAGGCCAGTCATGGCCAGGGATTTGGCACGCGTCCACTAGCCAAGAGTTCGAGGCAGCCAGGAAGCGGAGGTCGCCTTCGGTATGCACTCTCAGAGGATAACAGACTGGCGGCTCTCAGGCGTGGCTGTTGGGTGGGAAGTGCGAAATGAAATCACCGCTAGTGTCGACATGCCACACGCAGCAAATGCAGCCGAATCCTACAGCGCGCCGATTGGTAGCGCATTCGGGATCACGAGAAGCGACCCGATCTGTTTGAGCAGTCATCTCAAGGACAGCTGCTGCAGGCTCCACTGCCGAAGAAGCAGTGCCGGCGGAGGTGCAAGACGAAGAACCAGAAGAGGTAGAACAGTGCCACGCTATCGCCCGCCACGAGCTCACCCGAACAGAGTTCGCTCCGACATGCAGGGCCTGATGGTGCCATATCTTTGGCTACCGGCCACACGTTTCCGTGCGCACTACGCTGTCACAACAATTGCCAGGTTCGCGCTCCCGTGGGCTGAAGCGCGTACAATAGGCCAGCAGCAGCACCGAGAGCGAGCTGACACCTTTGGCCACTAGCGTGTGACTGCAGCCAAGGCCGTAAAAATGGCCGTAGGGATGTGGACTGGCGTGAAAAAGACGAGGAAGATTGGAGTGCTGCAGTTCTAGTTGGGGATGGAAGAAGTGAGGTTGAATTGAGCCAATCAAATCGATGGTTCAAGCAACGTGCTTCCTGAATTTAAGGCATGCCTCGGCAAAACCTTGTCTGGTTTTGGCTTGTGCCTGGCCTTCGGGTGGGATGACATTGCGTTTGCAGATTTTCATCCCGTCAAACACCAACAACGCTTTTAGGATTCAAAGGATGCCACGCTGGCTGTGTAGCACATGAGAAGCATCTCAGTAAGCGTAATGTAATAACAACAGTCGCCTCATGAAAGTCCAAGCATCGGCAGATCCCATGAGAGAACAATGTCAAGTCCTGCTCTCTTGTGTAACACTGACTGCGCCTACTCCCACATCTCCTCCAACACTATCATCAGTCCCATGATAAGCAGCCTCACAAAAGTCGCGAGGACGGATCTCGATGGTACGGAGGCGAACGCCGGAGGGCGTTGCGATTGACCCATTCGTCGGCATACATGTCCCAATGCATGGCAGTTCGCGCCATGAGAAAGCAGCAACAGCACCACTCTCCTGGAAGATCTCCAATACAACCACAGCAGAACAATGTAGATCGCATGAGCCAGCGGAGCCGCAACTCGGGAGTCCGCTGGAGCCGAAAGGTCGAGATGTTGTTTCTCGAACAGAATCTCCGAAGGCGTGCCGCCTCCGCGACCCGCCACTTGAGCTTATAGCCACCACAAGCTATTGACAAGAGATCTGGACAAGACCACCGATCGCATCGAAGCCTTCGTCAATCAGGACAAGTCGATTGGCCGAATGCTTCGCTTCCCTGGGCTGCTTGGCTATCACTCGTTGATCGATGACGGTTGCCTTTGTGAACATCTGCCCTCGTGGTTAAATGACTGGGTGTTGTGCGTGATTGCTTTTGTCGAAGATGATCGATGCTCTGGTCAATAGCTCGATCAGTGGCAGTGGATGCACACGATCTTCCGCGATGTGATCCTTGTGAAGATCATCCGGCCTTGTACTCAGCTGTGGAGTCTACATTGGTGATTTGGAAGATATGGTTCTAGCCTAACTTTCGCAACAGGTCTTCTCCGAGCAATGGGCGAATGATGCAAAATCAGGCGACATGCTGTTGAACCGACGCAGTCAACGGCAAAGAAGAACATCACGGCATACACGTCGCCTGCGGTGAATACTGCCCTTTGGACGCCACAAGTGTGTCCTGCAGATGCGCAGAGATGAGCAGGTTGACATCAATCAGAACCAGTTGTCTCAATACATACGACAGTCACCGCAACCTACAGTCCAACGCCATAGCTCTTCACCCGACTCCAATAGAACGCCCGATCGTTCTTCAATCCAAACTCTCCCCAATCATCCGTCAGCCGGTTCCAGCTGCCGAACCACTTCCACGCCAACTTATTGTTCCGCGCACCTTTGCCTGCGTGCGCGAGGGTCAATATAAGCTTGTAGGTATATTTCGGCACCGCCCCCTCCGTCTCGATGTGGACATCACCTTCGGTCTCCGGCTCGCCGGTCACTGGGTCGAGTACGGATGAGGCGGGCCCGGTGAGACGCCAACGGCCGCGGAGAGCATCTTTCATGACGGCGCTGGGGAGCATGCTGCCGCTGTGGTGGTTGGAGTGTAGGTTCTCTTTGGTAAGATGGTGAACCACGTCTGCAGGTTCGGAGGTGGTGAGGAGAGAGATGCAAGTGCCGTCGCGGAAGAAGCGGAGGTAGCGGAAGTAGGTTATGACATGGACTGGTGCGCCCCAGGTCAAAGTGTTAGTTGAAGTGGCGCCGGCACGAGTGTAATTAACTGTGCTGATATAGCAGCCATTAAAGCGTAATCGTGGCCGGAGGCGGAACATCTGGCGCCAGGAAGATGCGTAGGTGGTGTGGAGGAGCTGCTCGGTAAGGGTTGCGAATGCCGCCTTCCGTTCCTCGGGTGCTGGTGGCAGAACCACGGAGTCCTCGTCCTCGCTGTTGTGGTCCGACTCGATTGCCAGGTAGCGAGCGATGGAGTCATTAGCCTCAAGAGAGAATCCTTCGACATCGCAGGTGAAGTCGTAAAGCATGGCTGCAAACCCGTTCTCCTGGCCAAGAGCTACTCTCTTCCAGACCGACTCTTCTGTGAGCACCAGATAGGCTAAACGTTTGCATACGAGGGCGAGGCGAGCAAAGGAAGCAACGTCTGTCACTGCCAAGCTGGTCAGGATTTGGGTCAAGATCTCTTCTGGCAGCTCAGCAAGAGGGCTGCGCTCTTGGGGTGAGGCGTCTGTCGCTGGCGGAGCAGGTTCGATCCGCAAGCCAGAGAACTCATCCACAAGCTGTCTAAGCGAGGACGGCAGCCCAGTACTGCCATGCAGGGAGTGGTGGCCGGTTCCAGGAACAGTCACAGCGGCGTTAGATGGATTGGTGTTGACAGGTTTTGGCTTTACGAAAGATGACGGAGGAAAGTGCTTCTTCTTATAGGCTTCGTGAACGCCGTCATCCAGCTGTGACCTACCTCAGCATACAACACCTACTGGTACAGAGGAAGTTGGAACGCACTTTGAAAGCTCTCCGATAATGCCTCATGCTGTCACCCAGGTTGCCCTGGGTCTCCCTCTCGACCGCACGCTCATAATGCTCGAGTGCTGTAGAGGGCTCTTTGTAGGGGTTTCGGTCGTGGTCCTGGCCCTCGACTCCAAGTTTGAGAAGCTCTTCTTTGTCGGGCAGGTCGTGGTAAGCTCGTGGTTCTATTTCCTCGGATAGATCCTGGATATCTTTTCGTCTTGCCGCAGCCGAAGGTCCGGTGGGCAGAGGCACAGTCTCCTGTCTCGTCTGGGCTTTGCTGGCATCTTTACTTGATGATGCTTCTGGCTGCTTGTTCCGGGCGACTTCTGCCCGCCACTGCTCTCTGAATCGTTGAAGCTCGGCCTCTGCGTCTGGCGCTGGTGTTGCTGGATCCATGATGGCTGGTCGTGTTATGCTACGGCTTCCTGAAGAGTGGCCTGGTGATGTATCTTAAGTCGGGGGAGATTGTGAGTCAGTAGGTTGGATGATAGGAGGTGAGGTCGCGGTGAGCCGATCGGGGAGCAAGCGCGTCACGATCTTAGCTCCGATCTCGGCTCGGGTCTAGCCAGAAGTCATCGCATCATCAGACAGAAAGTTCGATTGATAACAATATCACTACACCTCCACCTACCGACCTACTCGCGCATACCACCGTACGCCCCCTATTACAGTACAGTAGAACGCCTACACATACACGAGCACACTGGTTGGCGACTCTCAACAAGGCTCCTTGCCCATTGCGGGCAGCGGAGCAAGGACGAAGGCAGGGGAGATGGCGACGACACAGACCAGAGGACAGCGGCACGATAGAATAGACAGCCAACTCGAAGGCGATGGCCGCCATCACCCACCACCGCCCAACTTCACCCCTCCGGTACGGGTCATGGAAGCGGATACGTCTATCACGCAGAAGATGCTGAGTGCAATCACCGGCAGCCTTCTCACTTCTCTGCTTGGTGAATATGCAATGCTTCAAGTGGTTTATGAGATATTGACGCTGACAGTCGCTTAGTGACTCCTCTAGACGTCGTCCGAGTGCGGCTTCAATCTCAACAGGGTCCGTACCCCTCCACCTCCCGCCTGCCTACCTTCCTACAACTCCCGCCCAACCTCGGCGTAACAGCATGCTGTCGCGAGGTTTTCTGGGTGCAGAACCAATCCCAATTCTGCGTCGCGAACACCACAACTGCTCCATCTGCTTCTGCCGTCATGGACGAGGCCATCATCTCTGACTGCGCAGCAGAAGAGACACAACGCCGGACCTTCAATTCGACGCTCGATGGAATAAGAAAGATCGCGCGAAATGAAGGAATATGGACGCTGTGGAGAGGACTGAGTCCCACTTTGATGATGGCAGTCCCGGGCAATGTGATCTACTTCGCTGGCTACGATTGGCTTCGGACAAGCCAGAGAAGTCCAATGAAGGGGAGGGTGAGCGATGCATACGCACCACTTGCTGCTGGCTCAGTCGCGCGCGTGGCAGCGGCTATCGCTGTCAGCCCGATCGAGATGCTGCGGACCAGGATGCAGGCGACTTCTACAAAGGAAAAGGGCGTGATGCGCGCAACAGTGGTTGGCTTAAGGGATATGGTGTCGACCGACGGATATCGCTCGCTTTGGCGAGGTCTCACACTAACATTCTGGCGAGACGTTCCTTTCTCTGCTTTCTATTGGTGGGGATATGAATATGGTCGGCAGAGACTTGCGACTGCACGACGCAGAGCAGGAGCCATATCCGGCGAGCCTACAAAGGACCTCACGCACTCACAACTGCTCACGGACTCATTTCTTTCTGGTGCGACCTCCGGCGCCATCGCAGCCCTCGTGACAACACCTTTCGACGTTGGCAAAACGCGGCAGCAAACGGTGCTCTATTCCGGAGCGAACGGATCTCATTCATTGAAGGATATCCCGGAAAACCGAACAATGCCGCGCTTCCTGTGGCATATCTACTGCACAGAGGGCATGTCTGGACTCTTCAAGGGCTGGGCAGCGCGGTGTATGAAAGTCGCGCCGGCTTGTGCGATCATGATCTCAAGTTACGAGATTGGCAAGAAAATGGCGAGAAACGTGAACGAGAGGAAGGAGGGCAAGGCGGAAACATGAGCATCTCCGGCTAGGACTTTTGGTGATCGGCCCTTTCAATCAGCAACGACTACCTTGCGGAGTCTGGGCGGCGGCGGTAAGGCCTCTTGGAGCACTTGGAGACACTTTATACCCTGTAACATTAAGGCATGGTAGCTGGCGCATTTTTGCATGAGATACACGAGCACTGCGTTGTCTGGCGAGGCGTTCATGCCGCAGAGGCGATGTTCTACCTCCTCAAATTCAAGTCTCAAGATTCGACCTGAGTCAGAAACTCTTTCTCACATCTTTTCCATTGTCTCACGAACCACGATACTGGTCTTGCTACGCTTCGGTCCAAGGAGGGAGAATCTGCCACGCTCCTCAACGGCACAAAGGCTTTTCCACGGGTTGTCTGGCTTACAATGGCTATTGACGTGAGACCCTTTGTCCTCGACTTGAATATCAGGTGAGCTTGAAAGAGGGCCACTAATACCCATTGTTGACTATATTGTGCTTTGTCGCATACCTCACATCACTTTTTCGTCTCGGTCTGGCCCAGTTTCTTTCGATACCATTTTGAATTCGTTGCTTCTTACGACACCCTGCTGGTGATCAGTACACCCTTTGCACCGCAATCTATCATGCATACCAGCAAAACAGCACTCCTTATTGGCGCTCTGGCCTTGAAGGCTACCGCCGCACCTTTCATCACTATCAACTCCGCCTCCCTCCAACCACGTGGCGCCGACATCTTCAAGCTCCACGTATGGAACAACTGCCCATGATCCAAGTCAGTCGCAATCTACGGCGTTACCAGCGATTTCCACATGGTCGCCTACACCGAACCCACCAACATCAAACCAGGCCACCAAAAGATCATCCACGCCCCTTACTACGGCATTGGCCTCCGCCTCTCCGGTCACGCTGAATGGGGCACTGATGGCCAGTGGGTGAACCAAGCGCTTTTCGAGTTCGGCTACAGCGAGTACGCTGGACAGACTGGCACGGCGTACGATGTCAGCATCATGGAAGGCAGCGAGGGCGACATTGGACTCGGTGCGTATCCGATTCCTAATGGCCGGGGCAGCGAGACTTGTCGTTCGCAAAGCTGTTGGCCGTGGTACTGTCCGCTTGACCAGGGCTGGACGAACCCTAATCAGATTGATGATGGGAGTACAGCCGATACCGTCTGTTATCACGGCAAGACCGATTTCAAGATTGTGTGGTGCCCGTAGGTTTGTATGAAGGTTCCTTTTGCTTTCTCATGTTGTCACTCACGTCTATCTGAGCGGCCCTAGGTGGTAGGTACTTGGAAGGCGTTCCTGATCAAGCGAATTCGTCGTGGGTATCATTTCTATTCTATCCGTAACCGCCCAGGTATGATCCAGTAAATATGTACTCCATAGTAATGCTAAGCAAGCTGATTGCTGTGTCCCAAGTATCCTTCGCTATGCTTCAAGAGATCATGTCATCATACCATCTGTCTCTCGCTCGCCTCTCTGCTCATCGCAGTGCGCAACGTCGATGCCGCAGGCGAGCTGGACCTCCTCTCCGGCGACGATGCTTGAGACAACGCTGCCTCCCTCCGCCTGAAGTAGATGGCAATCGCCATGCACACGGCAGACATGAACATGCAGGCGCCGCTCCAGCACTGGACGGTGAGGAAGTTGTTCCCGTAGGCGCTGATGAGGTGACCTGCGATGACCGGTCCTGTCAGAGCAAAGATCGCTGACGATGAGTACATCATGCCGACCCATTGGCCTAGTCGTGACTGTGCTTCTGGGCTGAGGCCAAGGATGTAGGCGACGGATGCTGGTGGGAGGCCAATGACCGCTCCGGAGAAAATGCCGAAGAGGACCACGAAGGCGATGGCCGCTGGTACGGTCTTTGCTGTTGTCCAGAGGCAGAGGACAAGAAGCGAAGCGATGAACGTGACCACGGCGTGGACGTTCAAGGCTCCGAAATGGTCACAGAGATATGCCGAGCTGATCCTGCCCAGTGTCGATGTGGCGTTCATGATGGCGAGGAGATAGTGTGTAGCAAGGGCGCCTTCGTGAGTTTCGACTTGCTCGGTCTGGCCTCGAATGGGCTCGCGAGCGCCCAGGCCTGTAGATGCTGCCCACTCTTCAAGATTGAAGAACACGGCGTAAAAGCCGAAAAAAAGAAAGCAGATAGCGGCTGTGAGGAACATAAAGGGTGTGTTCCGGAAGGCCTGGGTGTCGATAAAGACTCTGTGGTTTCGCCATCGCTCTGGCTTCCTGACGAGGTGCTCCGGGCTGGGTCGAGCGATGAAGATGGCCAGGGCGGACGTGATTGTCGTCAGGGTAGCGACGTAGCGCTGTGCGTCGTTAAAGCCGACAGATTCACGAAGAAAGCGAATCATGACGGGGTAAACCAAGCCGGCGATGCTTGCACCTGACTGAGGAGAATTAGCACGATCGAGGTAGGTTAAATATCGCTGGACTTACAGCAACGATTCCGATAGCCATGCCTTTCCGTGCTCTGAACCAAGTGGCAACGACCTGGGATGAGGAGACGAAGAAGCACGCCATTCCAAGGCCGCTGATGAGACCCTGGGTCAACCATATCAGGCTGTATCTGCCATCTCTCCAACCCGCATCTCCGTTGACGACGCTCAGGCCGAATGATCCAACACTGACGAAGATTGTTCCAACAATGAGTAGATGGCGAATATAGCCGGCGTCAAGAAAGCGACCGACGACTGCTGAGAAGAACAGCACGACGAAGGATTGAGTCGAGCCGACAAGGTTGAGGAGAAGAATGTCCTGGCGAGGTAGGAGGTGTTGCATATAGTAGCTGGCGTAGGTGCCGTAGGCGTTGACCTTGAAGCCGTCAGCAATCTCTCGTGAAGCGAGTCGTGTCGTCTTACCAAGCCCCAGCTATTGAACATGAGAAGGAAGCCTCCGAAGAGACAGGCGTACGGCCTCCATCCTCTAGGCCAGGTGGGTTCGCCTGAGTAGCGGTTTGGCCCTGCTGCGACGGATAGCGATGCAAGACTGTCTCTGCGTCCAAAGTCTGGTCTGGTGGGAGCGGTGGTGGCGGTGGTGGCGGTTGCAACGCTGTCGTTGCGAGGTTCCTCGAGTGACTCTTTCTCTTTCTCTTCCTCCTTCTCATCAAAAGGGCTGCCGAAGTCGATGGTGCGGACAGGTGCCATGGTGGAGCGTGCTGATAACGGGGATTGGGGAAGACGAGGAGAAACTGGAGTAGAAGATACCGAATATGTATGTACTCAAACCCTACCTTTAGTATTCACGGCCGGCTCTCGAAAGAGGACGCCTCCGTATCTTGGTTGAGGGCACAGCGGTCCAGCGCTCGTCATCTCGGCCCACCACGAGCAACGCAAACATGCCCATGCCAAGGGTATGTTGTTTGAGACTCCCATACCAAGAGCGATAACATGCTCAAGCACCACCAGGAGTAGTCCATGTGAGACAGTGAAGAGCGTATAGAGTTAGACAGCGTGTTACCATCACGCCCAGCAGTGGGCCGTCGACAGGCGCCGAGACGCGCTGTAAAAGCAGATGCCCGGGAAATTGGTGAAGATAGCGCTCGAGGAGTGGTAGTCAATGGTGATCGACGCTCGCCAAGTGATTGCACGACCGTGGGACTTCTTTCACGATACATTCTTGCCAAGGGGTGGGCGTGGGAGGATGATGCGTATCGAGCACCCAAGCATGGCTGAGCAAAGGGTGGTGGACCCGGAGGGTCGATGCGTGAATGATAAGACGCGGAAGGCCGTGATGGTGAGGCTGGGCACGCCGTTGTGCGACGCAGGAGTTGTACGCAAGTTCGACACGAGGCTCTTGTGGCGGGACTTCATTCTTTGTCGGCGCCTCTCAAGCCATAGAGAAGCGGAGGGGAGATGGGGAGGAGGACACGTCGTGCACTCTGGGCAGCGGAGTGCCAATTGCTCCAAGTCTTCTTGGCCGGGCTGGAGACGGGGGACCTTACACTTGGGGAAGATGATCCGAAGATTGCGCAGGCACGATCCGTACCGGCAGTCTTCTTCAAGCGTCCCGGGAGTCTTGTCGGCGCCACAACATCTGCCCGCCGTTCTTGTTAGCACGAAACCCTGCCGCACATCATCACGGCGATGCTTCACAGGCCTCGGGACGGTCTTTGAGACGGCTATTGCTGGCGTCAAATGATGACTCTCATTGAAGGTCAGCTACTTTCTCTGCCAAGGAACCCTACCTGGCGGTGTAGCTGCTGTACCGGATTCCGTGTTCCTCAACGCTTCTCACATCGCGGGAGTGCGAACAACCAACCATATCATCAACCAATGCCCTTGCTTTTCCAATCCGATGCTGGAGAATGCAACACCACCCTCCCGCTATGCACGATGTCCGATATCTCAAGCTGCAGGTTCATCCACCTCATCTAGCTCCAACTTGAAGGCTTGGAGCAGCCCCTCGAGATAGCCCGCACGCTCAGCATCCTCCATCCTAATGATACGGACTGCTGCCCACAGAAGGGGGTTCACGGCTTCCTCGTCGCTTGGCAGTGGAGCTGCGTTCATGTAGGTGGGTAGCTCCTGCTTCCAGAGCGCTTCGCCGATAAGGTCGATGGCAAACTGCCCAAGAGCTTTTGATTTGGAGGCCTTGCCCATTCTGAACAGGATCACGATCGGCGGCAGGAGGTGGCCGGCGATGGAGGGGTCTGTCAGATGTGCCTCTGGGTCTGCTCTCGACGACAACTTGAGATTAGCAAGCATGCTAGCTGGTGCTGCAGGCGGTGGCATCGAGTTGTGTGGCGGAGACGCCGAAGCTGCCGGAGCGGGTGCGGGTGCAGACGCCTGAGCAACCGACTTCTGGGCGGTTGTCGGGCGAGCGCTTGATGGTTGCACTTGGTTTGTCCTCACCGGGACAGCTTGCTGAGGTGTTGGTCTATGTGGTACCGCCGCCTGCGGAGCAGGAGCCGACGGCGCTAGAACTTGCTGTGTTGACTCTGGGCCTTGCTTCGATGGTTCTGCGTGGGTGATTGTGACTTGAGCGGTGACATGGTAGGTGGTACTGATGGGTCCGGTGCTGTCGTTGTTCAGACCTTCCGTCGCTCGCAGGCCCTCTTTGGCGTGTGTCGGCACTACCACACTAGCGAGCACAGCAGCAACCTTGCTAGAGATGTCCACCTCCACATCCTTCAACACGACGTGGATCGACTTGCCATCGACTGCTTCTCCGTTACCACTCGATACTTCCTGCTTGGATGGTGTGAACTGTGAACGGCTGCTGTCGTTGTCTGCGTGGGAGAACGAGCGAGGCTCCGATCCATGGTTTCCAGCCACAGAAGACATAGATGTGCCGAAGAGGTCTCGCTCTGCCTGAGGGTCCAGTCTCGTATTCGGGGACTCTACATTGCCACCTGCACTCTTCGGCTCTGTGAGTGAGTCGCGGTGGATTTGTGCATCCTTAATGCTCTCAGCGACCTCCTGCTCTGTATGAGGCGCGTGTCCGACCTGCTGTTGCTGGAACTTTTGGTCGGCCATGCTGTGGCGGGTTGCGCTGCTGAAGTCAGGTGTGTGTTGTACTCATGCTGTTCTGACGATGTGAAGAATGTGACAACGAAGACGAAAGGTGCTTCTAATATGACAGGTTACTTTGATGCGCAAGTGAAGATTTGAGGTTCGTAAGATCACGGCACGTGAAGGGAAGCCGCGAGTCGTTTCCGCAAGGCTGCTCCTTCCTCTTTTGCTCGAAGGTCTTGGCAAGCATGTGAAGAGAGCTCCTGTCTATTCTGACTTCGCTCGCCTTCCTTACTCAACGACACCAAGCAGACAACGTAGCACCAGCTGACCTTATTGCCCGATGAGTCCCCAAGTCCAAGTTATCTAGCCAGCTACCTAGACTAATTGAGACATTGAACCGCCGCCAGACGTGGCCAGCTCGATCTAAACGCTCAGGCGAATCCCCGAAGCTTCAGTGCTAACCTACTCGGACGGTGAGCAATGCAGACAAGAGCCATGGGAGAGCTTGCGGACGAGTTCATTGTAAGCTGACCGTCGTGGTCTGTGTCATACAATATCTACCTACTGGAAAACGCCTCGCTGAATCAAGGCTTCTACCCATGTATCGTCATTACATTATCCCAAGCAAAAGCTCCGTGTTCCAGTGCCACGAGCCGGCGTCTGCACCCATCACTAGGCGCAACGCAAGGAACGGAAGAATGCCGCCCTGCATATGTCGTATCCCATCAAATCCCCTTGATCGCCTGAGTCCTCTCACTCTCCAGCTTCTCCTTATTCCGATCTTTCTCTTCCTTCTTGCAATCCTCCAGCCCCGTGCAGTTATGCGACTCCAACATCCTGTGCTTCCCGCAGAAGTGTCCCTGGCAGAACCCGCAGTCGCCTACGATCCGCTGCGCCGCGTCCTTGCAGTCCTTGAAGTTGCAGCGGATCTTCTTGGGTGCGCCGCCGCGGATGGGCAGGGCCATGTGCACGGTGCTTTCGCGGGTGATGTTGTAGTGTGTCAAGGGTTCGGTGGAGGTGCTGAGGTGCTTGCCGGCGTAGACGAGGCGGAGTTGGGATTCGGGGAGGTTGGTACGGAGGGCGAGGAGGGAGCGGAGGTTGCCGACGGTGGTGGTTTCGGGAATGGTTACTGGGAAGGCTGGGGCGACGTTAGTGAGGGTGGTTTATGATGACACGCTGCGCAGTACTTACTGTCGCCGGCCACGTCCTTGACGAAGATCTGCATGGTCTCGCCGGCTGCCGCGGAAGAGGCACGCGATGACGTGGAGGAGATGGAGGAGGTGGAGCTAGAGCGCTGCATGGTGTCGGAGGTGGTAGTGATATGTCGTGTTAGTGATTGCGGTGTCGCAGGCTAGCTGATGCACTCAGTGGCGATGGTGGTGATGTCCGTCAGTGGATAGATAAGCGGCTGATCGAGGCGCGGCAACGGGACAGTGAGCGGCGGCGGTGGAGCGTACGGTGTGGCAGTCGTGAGGGTGATGAAGATAGAGAGGCTGTTTGTGGAGAGTGTGGTGAAAGAAAGGGTGTTAAGTGGTGTCAGGAGCGCAGGTCGAGTGAATGGAAGCAACCTTGTTGGAAAGCAAGCTTAGACACTCTTGACTGCTGTCACCTGCGCCGACGCCGGGTCTTCGAGTCGCTTCCATCATCAGCCAGCGTTAGAGTTTAGCAGTCGACTAATCGGAGAGCTGCCATGTGGAATAAAGTGTGGCTTGCAGCGGCTGTCCCTTGGCTAGCCCGGTTAACGTCACTCTGTCGTCCACTTCACTTCCGTTTTACTTCATCGCTCACTTCACCATCGAAGTACATGTCCAGAACCGCCTATGCTGTTTGGAGCGGCGGACGTTCAACAACCATTCGGGCGGGTCCACTAGAATGAGCCTTGCGATGGATCTCTTCTCACGAATAGTGACAGACCACCAAGGAGAGCAACATGGCCACCTGGATGCCATCGGGTCCCGGAGAAGACTTCACCATCGGCATCCCGCCAAACTTCCCCGGCTGACCGTTGTCACTGTCAGTTGCTTGAATCATGAGCCCGCAATGACCTCAGACACCACCCCGAGCGCTGCGGGCTGAGCAGTCTCGGCGCCCCGGTATTGAGGAGGGTCTGTGATCATCTTCCGGACGCCAGGCCATGAGTCTTCTCGATGCAAGCTTAAACACTACGACCATGAGCTGGGATTTAAGAGCATCCTTCAGCGCCGCCGACATCCATCTCGACTACATGGCTCCACGTAGAGAGACGTCAGTGTAAGCCTCAGGAGTCATTGATACCTTCCGTACTTCTTTCTACCTGAAACGCATCCGCTTCTCACCACCACTCTTATCTCGTCCCAAAGAAACAGCTCTCATCTAGCGCTACGCCCTGGCAGAAATGCCTCATCTGCGCGACAGCTCAGGGCTCTTTATCGATCGCAGTGAGTTTTTGGAAGCATGAATATGTGCATTCTGCTGAACTGGGCGCCAAAAATGCACCCCAACACCGGTCACGCCCATCGTATCTAGTCGATGGTCCATTGAGACAATGACAAACGGCTTTAATACGTTTGTCGAGCAAAAGAGGATCCGGTCCTGATGCCACGATGCACCGCCATTTGCCTGTACTAGATGTGGCGGCCATGGAAACAGCTAGCATGTGCAGTAAATTTGAGAAGAGGACGTGCCCTCCCGACAGCATGTCCCCCGCCAACACATTTCACCTCTTCTCCCTTACGATCGCCTCTCCGGTTGCTACCACCAACGTTGTGGCTCTACCAGCACACAATGGCGGCCAAACCAGACCGCCCGCCCAACGAGGACATGAACTCCGCCAGCTCCTTGTCAAGTCTCTCCCTATCGTCCATGGACTCCGACAGGCATTACACCTCTCCATCTCCGCCTCCCGACAGCCGCAGACCGATGATGTTCCACCCGGACTACCGCTACCTTCCTCGTAACCTGGAAGACTGGCTTGTGGCGAAGGTAGAGAAGCTGGAGAATGACGCCACCAGTGTTCCTACTGACGCACGATCGATGGTGGACTTCTTCAGAGATATCCAGCACGTCTACTCGTCTGGTGAAACGCAGAGAAGTTGGCATTCCTTTCTCGTCACATTTATGTGGAGCCATCACTTCGATCGGCAGGTTCGACGGACGGACAAGGAGGATATGCGCATGTTGCTAGTTACCTACATCAGGGGGTTCATCGGTCCGGGCGATGGTGTTCGTGAGCTGTACTTCCTAACGCACTTGGCGTTTGTGCTGAGGAACATGACCAAGTTGATCGCGGAGATCTATTCGGAGATGTACAAGATACTGGAGAAGAACGAGATGACTAGGCCGGAAGCTTGGACAGGTTTGGACGACTACGTTGTGGTTGCGCAGCAGGGTGATCAAGCGCAGACGAACGGTGGAGTTCGGACGGATGCTCATGCACAGTCGGACTCTGAGATGCATGCCGACCACGAGACGCAGCGATATGGACCGACCGACCAAGCTGTTTTTATCCAGCAGTCGTTCCAGGCTCGCCAAGACGTTACAAGTCAACGATCCGTCCAACCGCAGCAACTTCCAGCAGAACAGCGGTACGGAGAAAATTTTGCACTGGCTCAGAAGTACGCACAGCTACAGCGTTTCGAACAAACCCAGCGGCACGCAGCACTCCAACAGCACGTCCAAGGCCAACACTACGCCAGTCCATAGCCGTACGTCCCTGTGCAGCAGAGTCCCCATACACCAAAACAACCCCAGACACCGCAGCAGCTTCGAGCACCGCAGAACCCTCAGACGCCTCAAAATCAACGGTCTCAAAAGCAGCAAGACGTTACGCCTTCGACGCAGCAAGTCGCTTCTCCCAACGGTTTCCACGACGGCGAAGGTGACATCCTCTCCGTCGGCTGTCCCAAGGCTGCTACGGATGCGGAGAAGGCGTGGTGGAGGTGGCAGAGCTTCCAGTTTTCTCTGCAGGCACTGCAAGCGCGCAAGGCTCAGATACAGGCTAGTCTCAGTCCTTAGGCGCAAGTAAGAAGGAAAGTAGATGGTCGTGAGTTGTAAATGAGATCTGTTCGGTTTGGCATGATGGACGAGCGACAGGCGAGCTACGCGGCGTCTGTTCCGGAGGTACGGAATTGCATGCACTGCATGTACTAGAAGGAAACGTGTTGAGTCATTGTACATCGGCAGAGGCCCAGCATCATCGCTACACAAACAAATCAACTGGAAACGTTTACTACGCTCAATTCCACTTCCCTTCTACAGTCCTCTCGACATGGCCTTCACCACGAATTAGCCTGTAGACTTTACTATCCATCCATTCTTTTAAGCACCGCCAGCCCATCATTCGCCCACACCACCATCCACCCCAATCATCGCCCCCCAACCATCCCCTCCCCAATCCTCCCCCTCTCCTCAGCACCAAAACACGCCCTCCCCTGCCTCAACGCCTCAATCAACACCTCGACACTACTCGCCTTGAAATCCGGCGCTGAGCGAAGCTTATCCAGGTCATTGGAGAATTCCTTCGTGGCTTGGCGGAGGTAGAAGTCTTCGAAGGCTTGCTCTGGGCTCAAAGACTTTTGTTGGGGTGGTGGTGGTGGGGGTGAATTCTCTGGGTTTTGGGGAGCTGTGGGAGGAGAGGTGGCATTGGTCGCGGTTTGGTCGGGCTGTTGCTTGGTTGTATCGGTGGGCACCGCTGGGGTTCTGGCTGGGCTTTGGGGTGGCGAGTCGTTGTCGGAGGAGGATGAGTCGGAGGAGACTGCGACTATTAGATTGGGGTCTACAATACTGTGGAAGGACGCTTACCTTCAGTGCGCGCCTTTCTGTTTCGCTTGCGCTTCTTCTCGGCCTTTTGCGCCGCCATTCTGTCGATACGTTCTTAGTGGAAGTGAGCATGTGAAGTCGAAACAGACTTTGAAGCAGGTCTTGGCACAAAATTGAGGCGAATGCAATGGCAGTCAATACATCGCTGCTGCTCGTCTGGCGACGGCAGCTGAATGGCATTCCAACTACCCTACACCCACCCACCGTGTCCAACATACACCCGATCCAGCCTCCCGCACTACTCAACTTCCACTCTCAAAACTCTCACACCCCTACTCTCCACCTTGCCCCTCAAAGCCTCCAACACCTTCCCCCTCGCCTCCCGCTTAACCCTAAACGCCTCAACCTCCTCAACCCCCACATCCATAAAACTCCTCATGCCCGGCGTCCCCCTGCCGGGCGTCCCTCTCCCAGGCGTGCCTCTCCTAGCAGCAGCGGGAGATCCATAAGCCGACGCTCTGAGCTGCGAACTCCTCAGCCCAGCCGACGGAGACCGTGATAGACGAGTCGCTTTCATGCCCGCGATGAGCTCGTCTTCGTAATTCCCAGCTGGCTTGAGCGCACCCGGCCCACCGAGCTTCCGGATCTGCGATTCGAGCACATCAATGTCGCCGCTCTTCTGCATGACCATCTGCGTCATCTTCCTGATCGTCTTCTCCACAGCCTCGACGGTCGGGACGCCGCTGCCGCTGCGGCCGTCAGTGCCTTGAGCAGATGGGATGGAGGCGAGTTCGGCGCGGAGAATGCTGAGTTGTTCTTCGGCTTTGGCGAGCAGTTTCTGTACGGATGAGACTTCTTGTCGCAGCTCTGACTGCATCGTCTGCGCTTCCATTGGTAGAGGCGCGGCGTGCTGTTGCGCGAGCTGCTCGGGGTCTTTGCGGGCCATGACGTGCTTTCTCACGTCGGCGCTTTTCGTGCGGAGCTTGCTTACGCCGCTTTCCTCTTCTCTCAGAGTCCCGATGGCACCGCGGACGTCAGTGAGTCTGCCGTCTTCCAGCTGTCTCTCCACACCATCGACGATGTCAGCCAGCTCGTTGACTTCGCCAAGCACCCAGTCCTCTTCGTTCTCGAGGTCGAGCCTATTCTTAGGCTCGTCGCCTGAGCCGTGAAGGCTACCCTCTATGAACTCCTTCATGCTTCTCGCGTTCAGACCGAGCGTATCGATCATGGAGTTGATGTCTCTGTACACCCGCTCCATCTGTCCTAACAACCCTGTCTTGTCGTCTGCACTAGCGACGTAGTCTTGATGAGCTAGGAACGCTGGAACGTCTTGCGTAGGTTCGAGCGGTGCAGCAAGAATAGCTTTTATGCGATCCGCTTCCTCATCTTCAAGTTCACCAGGCTCCGGCTCCGCGGGCTTTGGGGACGAAGTTGGCCTCTGTTGGCTCTGCGCAAGTTGAGCGGCAGGTACAGCAATGCGCTGAGATGGTTGCGCGGACGCTTGGGATGTCGTACGAGACTGTGAAGGCCGGAACATTTGAGAGGAGGATGATTGCCGACTGCCGGCTGGCTGTGGCGGTGGCCTGCTCTGCTGCTGAGAGCCAAAGCTGGGCATGGGCCTCAGCGGACTGGTAGTCGAACGCTGAGGGCTCGGGCTCCTGGGCGACTCTGGCCCTTTCCTCTGCGGCGGCGCAAACATGATCGGCGCTTGAGGCATCCCAGCAGGCGTGTAGGACTCCTTCCGCTCGGTAGCAGGGGTGTAAGATACCTTCTTCTCCGTAGCAGGCGTAGTCGAGTCAGTAGGCTGAGCATCTTTCCTCTTGGGACTGGCTGGCGTGATTCGAGCTTGGAAGGCGGACAAGCCAGCCTGGTCATCAACCTTCCGCGCCCCCTCTTCACCACCACTCTCCTCGTCCTCTTCATCACCTTCATCCTCCTCGTCTTCGCTCCCTTCCTCGCCTTCGCCATCCTCTTCATCACCCTCATCCTCTTCGTCGCTCCAGTCACCATCATCCGGCGGCCCTTCCGGCTCAGCGTCCGACTTCACACCCTCAGAGAACGTCTCCTTCCCCAGATCGATCGGTGGCGAGCCTGCCAACGACTCATCAGGACCCTGGTCTTCGGGCTTGATGGGATCAGCCTCGCTTGGTTGCTCTTCCTTCGTTTTGGATTTGCCCATGAGTCCTTCGAATCCAGGTGGAACCGGAGCTGGCTGTGCACCAGGCTTGGGCTTCCATGTAGTAGGATCGGGCGGTAGAGGCGCATCATCTGACGGCGGAGGGGAAGCCTTCTTCTCTTCTTGCTTCGGCGCCACAGCCGGGATCTCGCTCAGCTTAGGCTCTTCCTCCGTACCGGGTTCTTTTTTGATCGCGGGCTGAGCTGGGGTCGACCTACCAAACAGCCCACCCGTGCCTTCAGAGTTTGAGGATGTCTTGCTGGCTTCACCAAGAGCATTCCCAAAGTTGCTGCCAAACAAGCCTGCACCAGGATTGCTTGGTTTGGGAAGGTCGTCCTTCGCGCTTCCGTCGCCTTTGAAAGTGCTGCCCAGCTTGAAGCCGCCAGACCCGAGCCCGAACGGACTCTTGTTCTCGTTCTGAGTGGGTGGCTTAGCCGTGGATGCGGTGGCTGATGTGTGGTCATCGCCCATGCTCTCCTCCCTGCTGGCGGGCACGGAAGGCTTGCCGAACGTACCGCTGGCCGCACTTGGCGTTGGCGAGCCAAAGTAAGATGGCTGGCTCTGCACACCAAAGTTCGTGCTGCTTGAGCCGAAGCTGGTATTGTTGCCAAAGGAGACGGTAGATCCCGATGGCTCCGCCGATAGGCTGGGTCTGGCCGCAGAAGCGAACGGCGACGCTGTGTTGTTGCCTCCGCCAAATGCTGCAAATCCAGACGACGACGATGCAGGCTTTCCACCAAGGTTCAGGAACGGGCTTTGGTTGGAAGCATTTCCGCCGAACACGCCACCGCCGCTGGCCGAGGGTGTTTGCTGAGGTGTTGATGATTGCGGTGTGCCCCAAACAGAAGTCTTGCTTCCTCCAGCCCCGCTTGGCTGTCCAAAGCTGCTTGTCTGGCCGAAAGCTGGCTTTCCGAAGGCAGAGCCTCCAGCAGCTCCAGTGGCGATCGAGCTGGCTCCTGCCCATGGTGACTGACGGTTGCCCATTGTAGAAGTCCCACCGAAAGCTGGTGTGCTAGGTGTGCCGAACGAGGACTGCCCAAAGGCGGGTTTCTGAGCTGGAGTCATTGAAGAAGGTTGACCGAAAGCGGGCGTCTGCGAAGATGCGGATGATGGTCGGCCGAACGCAGATGTCTGCGAAGGCGTGGATGTTGGTTGACCGAACGTAGATGTCTGTGAGGGTGTCGATGAAGTCTGTCCGAACGCCGGTGGCTGCGAAGGTGTTTTGGAGGTAGCACCAAACGTACCACCGAACGGCGATGTTGTAGAAGGAGGTGGCATGCTAGACGCCGCTGATTGAGCCTGCGGCTGCTGCGGCTTCTGCTCACCGAGTGATCGCGGCCCACCAGCAACGATCATGTCCGGGTAGGTAATGCTCTGCCGCACCGCCTCGTTGTAGATGATCCACCACATGCTCAACTGGCCTTCGTTGTTGAGCACGTAGAGCGCGGGAAGCGGCACAGGAGATTCATCGATCATGTCATCGTTCGGGATTGGTTGAGTGATTTTCTCCTTGGCGCTCAGATCGATGGCCATACCAATGGGAGTGGTGTCGGCGTTATTGATCATGGGCATTGCGGCGCGTCGCTGGTCGGAGGCCTTCGTCTCGGCCCAGGTGTCGGTCAAGGGGTCGTCGGGATTAAGTGGCACCTTACTACGTGTGAACATGCCAATGTCGGAGCTGGCAGTATTCGACACGACCAGTAGCTCCGTCAGATTGCCCCATTCCCTCAACCGCTGTATGAAGTGATGTGCTGGCTTACGGTCCAGGTAGGAGAAGCAAGGGTCGGTGAGTGTGCTGAAGGTCCATGACTGGTTTTGCTTGTTGCGGTGGGCGAGATGGTACAGCGAGTCGTCGTTGGCGCCAGCATCGGGAGGGTTGATTGGAGTGTGGATGATGAGGAAGTCGTCCGTTTCTAGCCAGAAGATCGAAGTTATCGGCAAGGCGGTCGAAGACGGATCCTTTAGCGTTTCCAGCTGCGGCGGCTGAGGTATCCGTGCCTTGATCGCGCCCTGCCGGTCGATCTGCGCAGCTGTCCCGTCTGCAAGACCTGCAATAATCTGCTTTCCCAAGCGCGACCAGCAGGCGCACGAGACATTGTCGTGGAGAATGCTGCTGCCGTTCGATGCTGCCACCAATTTTCTCTCCTTCAGATCTGCCAGCAACAGCTTGCCGTTCGTCGTCACGACTCCAAAAAATCCGCTCAAATCTGATGCTGGATTGGGGTTTGGTACCAGCTGCCTCACGCTCTCGCCCTCCGTGGCCAATTCAAAGGCCGTGGTGGTGTTTCCATTCGCCAAAGCATTCGTGTCGTACACAGCCAACCCTCCTCCCTGCTCCGCCGCAACCACCAGACAGCTCTCATCGCTAGAGAACGACACCTGCGATGCCCTCTGTAACTGTATCGTCGCTTGCGGGGTGAACGACTTCACTCCCTGTGAGGCCGCCTCATGTAGAAAGGTGTGCCGCAGACTGTCCGTAGTAGCGACAACAACAGCTTCAGGTCCGGCAGCCGCAATGAGTCCTTTTCGCGGGGCGACGCTCAGTAGGGAAGAGGTAGTGGGTGGAAGGTTGTCGGCCGGCCATGCTGAAGGCAGTAGTTGGACTCGGTCCTCGCTAGAAGCTGTCCTGAAGCCGATATGCTCGGTCTCGATGTCGCGTAGTTCAGACCCTGCTTGCGCTCCCCCTCCGCCGCCACCACCGCTCAAGTCCATATTGGTGTCGGTCCTGCGCTCATGCGGTCTTAGAATGTTTCAAAGTTTTAGTCGTGATCCTTGCGCTGCTTTCCTCCGTTGATCAAATTATGATTGGAGCGATGTTGCCGGTGTCGCAGTCGAATCGAATGGTCGGCGTGCGCTTTAAGGAGGTCGAGAAGAGAGATCAGGCAGTGGTAGGCAACTCGAAGAGCTCGTGAAGTTCATTGAAGTTCACGCGCCGAAGGCCCGGTTAAACTTCGGCGATGTGTCGCGTTTCTTTGGAGAGAGCTTGGGGCAAGGCGACGACCTCACTACGTACACCTTCACCACCACAACGTCGACCACTCCTCCATCTCCACCAAGATCACCACCGGACATTCGACACCCCATCTAACACCCCCCTATACTCCTCCCATCACCACCACCATGCCCGGCTTCGACTTCTCCAACCACAATCGCAACCTCGCCCTCCACTCCCGCGGCGTCCCCCTCCCTAAAGCCACATCCACCGGCACCACCATCGTCGGCTGCCTCTACGACGGCGGCGTCGTCATCGCCGCCGACACCCGCGCCACCTCCGGCCCCATCGTCGCCGACAAGAACTGCGAGAAACTGCACTACATCAGCCCGCAGATCTGGTGCGCTGGAGCAGGCACGGCCGCAGACACCGAATTCACCACCGCGCTCATCTCGTCCAACCTCGAGCTCCATGCGTTATCGACGGGCAGGAAGCCGCGGGTGGTGACGGTGATGACGATGCTGAAGCAGCACCTCTTCCGGTACCAAGGGCACATTGGCGCGTACCTCGTCGTAGCGGGCTGTGATCCCACGGGCGCACACCTCTTCACCGTCCACGCGCACGGCAGCACCGACAAGCTGCCCTACGTCACGATGGGATCCGGCTCGCTGGCGGCGATGAGCGTCTTCGAGACGCAATGGAAGAACAGCATGACCCGCGACGAAGCCGTTGCGCTCTGCGCCCAAGCCATCCAAGCCGGTATCTTCAACGACTTGGGGTCTGGAAGCAACGTGGACGTGTGTGTGATTACGAAGGAGAAGACGGAGTTGTTGCGGAACTACATCACACCGAACGTGCGGGAGCAGAAGATGAGGAATTATAAGTTTGCGAAGGGGACGACGGCGGTCTTGGATCAGAAGGTCATTACGAAGGAGGAGATTAGCAAGTACGTGACGGTGCAGGATATCGGGGATGGAGAGACCGGGGTGGGGGAGAAGATGGAGGTGGATAGCTGAGGAGTCAACATCAAGCAAGAAAGAAGGAAGGCGTTTGTGGAGCGTGATCCGGTATGTACCATAGACGCGGCCGATGACATGGCTGCGAGGAGCATAGCGTGGGTGTATCAAGAGCATCAACCATACCCTCACCGAAACAACAGGCAACTCACCGTTCACGCGCAGTAGCTGTTCGCTCGACCTTAGATTAAACCCGACACTTGCAATGCTTCTAGCATGACAGGAAGCCGACATACGATCAAATGCTGTGTTACAGACTCCACTACAGACTCCGTAGCGATTACCACCCGTGCCTCGTACCCGACTCCATGTCCCGTCAAACAGTCTGCAACGCAGTCACCCCTCTCATCCGCTGCTCATCAATACCACCCCGATCCCGTGTCGACCCGAAAGCTTGCGATGAGCCCGGCCTCTCAGCAACCATAGTGTGGTTCCGATCCAGCGCCGTGCCGTTATGAGCACTGATACCGGCATCCGCCGCGTCAGAACTAGCATAGCGCACAATAGCAAGGCTGTGTTCTTTCGTCAAACGTGATTCACCTTCATTTGCGGGAAGAGGCAAGGGTCTGCGTCATACCCTACGGTATGCCCGTTGATATCTACGGGAACGTAGATCTTGGCGTGGTCGTCTGGGTCTTGCGCTTGGAGCTTCTGGAGGAGGAATCTGCTCAGGACGCGCTGTGATTCCTGGGTTGATGCTGTCGGGAGGCCGCTGAGGACTATCAAGGCTTCGTCGCGCTGAGAAGTGTCCATCGTCTCTAAGGGAAGGAAACGGGTCCGTGGTCGCAGAGGCGGTATAGATGGAGATGAGCAGTTTCTGTTGCGTTCGTGTTTCCGTGCTTCTCGACCTGGTCTACCGTCTCTAGTACCGGTGCTAGAGCCTTGAACACAATGCGGATAGTCATGATTCCGTCTAATGGTATGACTCCTCAGATGACTCCAAGCATCTGCCGACCTCTGCCGTAAAGCTTTACTCCTCACGACCCCAGCACCAAAACTATAACAGTTGCTGACAGCCCTGATCCTGGTCGACAATGGTATTAGGGCAGGTATGGCACGATCTACAAGCACTTCTGTCTCGATCTACAAGCTCATGGTTGTTTTGCTTCGTCCTCTGCTCTCTCACTGGATCTGTTCATCACTCTCCTCACTAATTTTCGCCCTAACTGCAGCAAAGCAGCGGCTCCACATGCGAGCTGGTTTGAGTTTACGAAGACCCTCGCATTCGCAGATGCGGTCGCCGATCGTTGTGGGAAGGAGGCAGGAGCAAAGGCCGCAGTAGCAAAGTGTAGTGTTTCCATCCAAAGGCTAACGCTTCGTGCTTGTGTGCCGGCACCAACACCAGACAAGGGTAACGGTAGCAGGCCCGAGACATGAGTATCGAAGGACCATGCAGCTCATCGGAATGGTGGGAGACTCAAGCGGCCGGGCGAGCTGGTTCGTAACTTAGCATATGGGAAGTTACTTGCAGTCCGCATCAAAGGCGAGCGCATTCGCCGTCTGCTTCCTCAACCACCGCGACTACACATCGTCAGCGAGAACCCACAAGCCGTCGTAAGACATTCCTCCGTATACATCGTACCATTCTGACCCCATCCATAGCCCTTCAACATGAAGCTCACCATTCTCACCATCGGACTGGCAGCCTACCTCACAGGCAGCCTACCTCACAGGCGCCGCCAACGCCATCGCAGTCGTGCAATGCAACGACACCCTCGTGGATGGAGAAAACTGCCGTTCGGAGTGTGGATGCGGCTGTACGCAGCCGCCTCTGCCGATTAATCTCAACTGCAATGGTGGCTCCAACTGCAACAATGTGATGGGGTGTTTGACCAATTGTTTCTGTGTTTCGGAGTAAGGGCTGCAATCAATTAGGCTGGTTTGGATGAGGGCTCGAGGGCGACGCTGGGAAGGATGAAGTTGATGGATGATGTGTTGCTGTGGCTAACGGAGAAGCCTGCCTGGCTGACTGCAAATGCTGTCGTTATCTTGGAATGGATGTCAGCAGAAGTGGCGGTGCAAGTTGTTGTTGGACCTTGTCTTCGCTCACCGCGGTTTCGTCACTGACATCCCAGAAAGCAGACGTGGTGTTCGTCAGTCGATTCCACAAACCCTCACCTCCATCACCACGCATCCCCCGACACGCACCCACCACGCCAAAACTCCACCTCCACAAGCCTACACCTCTTCCCACCGGCCTATTCAGCCCTCCCCAATACCCCTCAAGAAGAACTCCCTCCCCACCTGATCGTCCCCGTTCCCAACCCACTCCGCAAAAACCCTCGCCTGCTTCCTCCGGACCTCCTTCTTCTCCACCAACTTCATCCCCTTCTCAGTGGTGGGCAAAGGAATTTTATGCAAGTTCAGCAGATGTCGTACCACGGTCTCTCGCGCGGACGCAGGCGGCACGGTGCAGCTGGGCACCGGGCAGCGATGTTGGTTCTTGTGGGTGTGCTCGCTGTTGACGTGCTTGGTAAGCCCGCCCTTGGTGGCGAAGGTTTTCGGACAGCTTGTCCAGTCGCAGACGTGGCTTTTCTCGGTGGTGCAATCCGGGCGTCGGCGAGGTCGTGGTTTCGGTTTGGCTTTGGTGTTCGCTGAGTCCTTGGTCGAGGATATGGCTTTTCCACGGGTAGCTCGTTTCCGCTGGTTGGTGGGCGGTGGCGAGGCGTACGGTGCGTTGAAGTCATCATCATCATCATCATCATCTTCTTCTTCTTCGTCCTGCTGGTCGGCATCCTCATCGAAATCTTCATCATCTTCGGCCTCATCTTCGTCAAAGCTGTAGTCGTCAATATGTCCATCTTCTCCATCCTCCTCGTCTTCATCGTCCACCGACTCCACAGCATACAACAGCGCTCCAACAACACCTCCGTCAACATCCTCCCGTCCCTTCTTCTCCACCCGCTCAGCAGCCCCAGAAGTAACTGCCGCTCCCCGCCCAAACACCCTATCCCTCCTCAACTCCACCAGCGCCAACAAAGCCTCATACTCATCAGCCGAAACCAGTCTTGACAACACGTTTTGGCTTTGCTCTGCCATTCCTCCTCCAGATTAAGAAAGCAGTAAGCGTACGGTCGGTTGGTGTGGCGATAGAGCAAAAACACCTGGTGCGTATGTGGGTGTAGTGCAAGGAGGATACATGGTAGGTGCAAGCGGCCAGCGGAGCCATCATATAGGACGCCGCGACACATCTTCTAGAGCTGCACAGATAACTCGTGGGTCGTCAGAGGGTTCCAGTGGTGCCTGGGACGTAACAATGTCTTTGTTGCGTAAGACGCCCGGAGAAGGATTCACGGGAAGGTCCTAGAATCAGAATCAGCAGTATGAATCCACCAGTACCAGCAGGCTGTAAGAAAGGAGAGGCATAGTTGAAGGCGAACATATCTTGTCATTCGAGCGGAACATTACATAGTAGCCGGCCATTCGTAATCAACACGCACCACATAATGCCCCTCTCCTTCCCTGTCCGCGCTCCAAAAATGTTTTATACGCTTCCTTTCTTTCTACCAGATCAAGCTCCCTCCCAATGCTCACATTCGACGCTGCAGCTGCGACGATGGACGGTGCTGGTGTCTTGTGTCGTGAATGAAAGTGTCGTGAGGTCGCTGGCCGGACTGATCGTGCACCTTCTGAAGGAGTGAAGAAGGTGTAATCAACGTGTCGTGTTTCGAGCCGTGTTGTTGCGCTCAGGGTTGTTGTAGTTTGGATTGACTCGTCAAGAGGCAGAGGCAAGCACCACGCTTGACGATCATCTTGTTGGGACGGCAAGATGAGAGTCCTGTCGTTCGTCGTATACTGAGATAGGGGATGTGCAAAGTGTCGTGGTAGAACCCACAAGGCTCGGATAAGTTGAGAAGGTAGTGGAAGAGGTCGTTCCAGTATCGGTCGTGAGAGAAGGGTGTTCCGGAGCATAAGAACCGGGGATGGTCGTCACTCGTACACAAACAGCACTCGGCCAGTGGGGCCGGTCCACGAGCGGCGCGCCGGCCAGCCTGCTGTCACAAAACTCCGCCAACGCCTGGTAAAAAGTCATGATGTAGTGAGCCAGGCGCTCACTTTGGCGTGCTATGCCTGAGCAGCAGGTGGGCCTGCAGGCTGCTGCTGAGGCGGCCGCTGCTGATAGCCGCCCTGCCTTGGTGGGCCTTGGAAGCCGTTCTGATTCTGGTCGCGAGGCGGCCCACGGAACCCTCCCCCACCTCTGTGTCCTCCTCTGCCGCGCGGGTAGCCTCCTGTGCGGTTCGCGGGGTTCTGGAGGTCTTGGCCATTGCCTTGCTGACGACCCTGCTGCGACTGCTGTCCGCGCTGTTGCGGTGCAGAGCTGATCGGTCGTGGGATGTTCTCGGGGGTGTCGTACACATACAGCTTCTTGTCGATAGAGGCTGGAATGGGCTGGATTTCGGTACCCAATTCTTGCTCGATCTTGTACAAGTTGAATCGGTCTTCCCAGTTGATCAGATTGATGGCCAGACCCAGATGACCAAAGCGACCAGAGCGGCCGATGCGGTGGAGGTAGGTCTCAGCGTTCTTGGGGAAATCGAAGTTGATCACAACATTGACGGCTTGGATGTCGATACCACGGGTGAGGAGGTCTGAGCATACGAGGTTGCGCATCGCACCGTTGCGGAAGTCGTGGAAGACTCTGTTGCGGTGCTGTTGCAGCATCTTTGCGTGCGAGTAGAAGCAGGAGTAGCCAAGTTCTGTGATCTTCTTGGCGAGAAGCTCCACTCGTGTTGTGCTGTTACAGAAGATGATGGACTGGTTGATCTGCAGTCTGCTGAACAGGGTGTTGAGGCAGTGCACCTTCTGCTTCTCCTCCACGAAGGCGTAGTATTGCGTTATACCTCGAAGCGTGAGCTCGTCCATCAGATTGATCTCATGTGGATCCCGCATGTGCTTGTCCTTGAAAGACTTGACGACAATGGGAAACGTGGCAGAGAACAGCATGACCTGCCGATCCTTCGGGTGGAACTGGAGAAGCTGCTCAATTGTGACAGTGAACTCGGGCGACAGAAGCTTGTCAGCCTCGTCCATGACGAAGGTTTGCGCAGATGAGAGATCGGCCACGCCTTTCGAGGCGAGATCGAGAATGCGACCAGGTGTGCCCACAATGATGTGTACGGTGTCGCTCAGCCGTATGATGTCGTCCTTGAGACCAGTGCCTCCGGTTGTGACCATGACGTTGATGCCGAGGTGCTTGCCGAGTGTCTTACATACTTGAGATGTCTGCAGCGCCAGCTCTCGTGTCGGTACTAACAGAAGTGCTTGGGTTTTCTCCAGCTTGGGGTTGATGCGCTCGAGTGTGGGTATGACGAAGGCAGCAGTCTTGCCAGTGCCGTTCTTCGCTCGCGCCAGCACGTCTCTGCCCGTGAGCGCTACTGGGATGGTCTCTTCCTGGATTGGTGACGGCTTCTCAAACCCTGCTTCGAATATGCCCATCAACAATTCCCTCTTCAAGTAGAAGTCCTCGAACTCCAGGCCTTTCGTCGCTGTGACGTCCTCCGTTTGTTGTCTGCCATCTTTTGCGGGTTGCTTCAGCCCACTCCTCCAGTCGTTGTTTGTGCTGCCATCGGTGAGAGTGGTCCCCTCGAGCTTACTCGCAAGCTCGGAGGCCATGATGTGTGTTTTGCGGGGCTCTGGGCGCCTTCAGGTGTTGCGGTTGGGGAGGTGTTGTAGTAATGGTGCACGCGGTCGTGTGACAGATATCGAGGGTTATAGAAGGTGGTCGAAGCGCAGCTCTCTTATAGGTCTCCAATAATGTGTTGACTCAAGCACGATTCAGCTGACTTCAGCCTCCTGACGCGCTGCGCAAGCGAAAGTCGTGTGCTCGGGCGAGTAGGAATGAGGTGGGAGTGCTTTCGAGATCGAGTGTGCTAAGGAGCAGGTCTGATCAGTGGGTGAGTCTTTGTTCTCTCTTGATATGACGACAGCGACACGGCTTTCAAGAGAACTGGAGGTTCGCTTGTGGCGGTTCTGGCAGACTGCGCGAGGGCAAGAGGTTGTTGTGAAGTGGAGTGAAGTGAAGCTCAGTCTGCCTGTGTTTCTTGAAGCCAATGCCGCATACCAAGGAAACCGTTGGACTGAGGCATCCATGCAGCAGCTTCACGACCTCATCTGCTCATGTCTGTCCTGTTGACGAAGTATTCGGCATTTTGCGTGCACATTACTTAGTCCAACTTATTTCTCATTTAATTTCACAGAGTTTCTGTACATTCACCTGGTCCATCGATCGAACACAACACCAACTGCAGCATAGACGCCGACCAGGGAGGAAACGGTGGACCTTGTGTAACCTCTCCTGCATACAAGAGATATCGACATTCCTTTCTTTCTCCCTCCTTTTGCTCACTCCTCCTTCATCATGCAACGAACTGTGCGACTCCAACGCGCTGTCCAGAACTCCACTCGCTACAGCCGTATCGGATACGCCACACGCAGACCAACAATGGACCTCTACCAGTGGCGAGATACGCCCCTCTTCTCCCGCTTCGGCGGGATGATCGACAAAAGTACCGGACGACAGGTATACTTTGGAGACACGATGTACCGCACGCTCTCTACCGCCACTCGGTTCACAGCCGACAAGTCGCAACGATCAGCCACGGGCGCCATCTGGGCAATCATCGGCCTCAACACTCTTGTCTTCGGAGCATGGCAGTACGCCAAAGCAACTCAAGACGCAGGCCTCGTTCAAAAGCTCCAAGAGAACTTCACGATCAGCCTACAAGGCTGGCGACAAGGCCGCGTCTGGACAGCCCTCACCTCCGCCTTCTCCCACAACTGGCTCCCGCACTTCTTCTTCAACATGTTCGCCTTCTATTCCTTCGGCAGCGCCCTGGCGTTCATCCCGGGCATTGGAGCTGCCCACATAGTACCATTATGTGTGGGTAGTGCGTTGGTGGGCTCGGCCTCTTTCCTCTATGATGCATACCAGAGATCACCACCGCAGAAACAAGGAGGACGCATGTCTTCCTACATGCCGGTAGAGACGTATCGATCTGGCCTCGGAGCATCGGGGATGGTCATGGGGGTCGGTGCAACCGCGGCGTGTCTTATGCCTTTCCTGCCGACGAACATCATGTTCATCCCGATCGCGATTCCGCTGTGGGCTACGACGTTGCTGTTCGTTGGGGTCGACACATATTTCTTGCATTCGAACTCGCCGGTTGGACATTCGGCGCATCTGGGTGGGGCTATCTTCGGAGCGATGTACTACTTCGCGTACCTACGGCGGTTCGGTGGAGTCTGGCAGATGTTGCGAAGGGGAAGGAGGGGATGAAGGATGTTTTCAGGCGATCTGGGTTGCAGACATGGAGAACGAAAAGGCATGTGTCAAAATGATTGAAACCGGGCAAGACTGTTCCTCGAGCAAACTGTGGAGCCCCAGAGGCATCAGCAAGAATCCAGAACGTCTCCGGACCTTTCTCCTTACGTCACTCATCTTCTGTCACATGCACTTTTCGCATGAACTTTCACATGGTCTGACAGCACTCTTTACTACATCCGTCTCGCGATCGTGCGCACGAGCCCTGAGCCTCAAACTACGTGGCCTTCATACCTCCACTATCTCCTTCCTGCCGACTCAACTCAACCAAGGTTGGCACAACGATACCACACCTGCAGTGTCACCTCACCAGTCGTACATCATCACGACATCCACAGCCGTCCGTACGCTCACCACAGAGCTGCTCCAGATCCACGATGGCGACTATCGCGGCGGCGAGCAATATGTCGTCAGCACCGCCAGCGGACACGAGTCGGCTTCCTTCATTGCGAATTCCAGCCAAGCAAACTACTCCCACGACCAACACTCAGAACAGCAGACTCCTTGGGTTGCCGCCTGACATTCGCAACATGATCTACAAGTTCTTGCTTCCAGAGTCGCGAAGGTGCGACATCTTCTGCCATCCCTACCCCCATGAGCCGAGGGAGTTCTGTTACCAGTACAACTACAGCTGGGATGGTCGGTCGCTCAGACCAGCACTCACCTGCCGACAGCTGCACCAGGAGCATGCCAAGGTCTGGTACGGTCATTTCGAATTCGAGCTCGTAATCCCGGCCTCTGCCATGCGATGGCGTAAGGAAATCGGCACCAACAGGCAACATCTCCGCAGGCTCCGCGTACCCTTCACTCCGGTCTCTAACTATCTTTCGCAAGTCATGGTGCCGCTATTGCAGGACGCTGTCGTTTTGCAGTCGCTCGAGCTGAAGAATTCATGGGGCATCGAAAATTCGCCAGTTAAAATGGCGCAGGACCTCTTGCCTCTACTCAAAGTTTTCTTGCAATCGATGCGTCACCGAGGACGCGGCGGATGGGGAGGGTGTGAGGGTCATTGGGCGGAGGGAGCAAGATCGCCTCAGGTCCCCCTGCAGGCACCAGGTATCTCGGTACACACGCCTGACAAGCGATGCGCTTCAAGTTGAGCTGGTGGTTTCGTCTGCATGGCGGGTTCAAACGAAAAAGTTGTTCGGACGGGCATCTAGGAGTTATGGAAGGGCCACGGCACTTTGCTAGTAATTTAAGTGGACTACCATGAATTGAAATTGATCTGAAAGCACTCAGTATCGTCGATTCTCAGATCCTCATATGCATAGTTGCTGACCATGCACATCGAATGTGTGCTCAAGCGGTGGCTTGCCGAGCATAGCAGATTTATCGTCCAACTTGAGCACACCGTCCGTCTCATACGTTCTAAGACTCCTCGCGTTCCCGTGCTCGCCGTCCGTCGCAACGCTCCCCACCCGCATGCTTATGGTAGTCGCACCCACGAAGACCCTCTGGCTCCTGCGACTCGGTGTCTCTAAACCTCCTCGACTTGCGCTCCCCCATCAACTTAGCTGCAAGCTCAACCGGGAACTGTGGAGGCCAGTCGACACCGAACATGTGCTCCGCCTCGGATTCCGCAATGTACATGTCCACCACCAGCTTCCTCAACAGCGAACCCTCGTTTGTGCCGTGGTAGATGACGTTGATGGCGTGAGGGCCGGGCTGATAACACAGGCCTCCGTTGTCCGGGACCAAAGACATCACGACGAAGGTGTCGAGGACCGCATTCTTGAATGCCTCGTTCTGGTACTTGTCGCCTAGGAAGTACGCTTTCGCGAGCGGGACGTAGGCTGGGTATTGACTGTGGTTGAAGGTGTCGATGTCGATTCTGGTGCTCGTCTTCGGCAGCTGGCCCGTGTACGCGAAGTGGAGGAGTAGCTGGAAAGATGGCATGTCTTGCTCCTCAACGTGTATCATCGTCTTGGGTCCGTTGTCGAAGAGGCCATAAGGACGCAGCTTGTTGGCGAGCACTGGGGATGCCTTGATGATTGCTGCGCGGTGCACGATGACTCTCTTATCATCGGGGCTGATGCTGAGGGTGACGATGTCGTCGGAAAGCCTGCAAATGGTTAGACGTGAGGAATAATGCGCGAATTGGCAGTCACTTACTCCAGAAATGGTGCTGGTTGGCCTACCTGCTCCATGACATCGATCCTGTTTGCTGTGTTGTGTATGAGTGGTTCGTCGCAAATAGAGGTTGGTGTTAATTGAGAAGGCAGATGAGGGCGTGGCTTGGCCATCATATGTCAGTGAAGGAGTGAGACGGCTTGGCAATCATGTGAATATGATTCTCACATGTGATGCCTAGAGCTGCAGTGAAGCCTGTCTCTTCCCGACCCACTCGTCCACAATCAACCTCGCCACGTTCTTCCCCATCAACGCATTCGTCTCCATCGTAGAAATAAAGCTGTCCATGCCACTCGTATACCACAGCCCATCACCAAGCTTGATCTTCTCGAAAGTCACTCGTGGAAACTCATAGGGATAGCTATCCCATAGCTTCCTAAACATCCACGAGATGTCTTTCTCGCTGATATCATCGTCGCTGTCACCTTCTGGCTGCTGGAAGCCAAGCATGCCCGACAAGAATTTGCTGTTCGGCGGCTCGGACGAGAAGATCTTGTAAATGTACTCTTGCCCGTTTGTTTCCGGATTGACAGCAGGATCGAGAAGGGAGATGCTGAAGAATCCAGGGCTACCGACGCCATCTGGACCATCCTTGGGCTCTTCGTCGCTCGGTAGGACGGTCAGAATGATTTTCGGCACGGGTTTCTCGGATGAGAGGTTGAAGAATGCTGGGGACAGCAGATGCGGCGACGTCAACAGGGTGACGTGGAGCTGAACGTATGGGATCTCGTCAATGTCAAAGTCGCCTCTCAGGTTTGCGAACTGTAAGGGCGTTGCGATGACGACCTCGTCGAAGGTCCCACCGTGTATCGGATCGTCGCTGTCGGTGCTTTGAGTGTCTACTGTGAGCGAGCCAGACTCGGCAGGTGGATGAATTCCAGTGACTGCGTTATCGAGGTACAGTTTGGCATTTGATGCTTCGATCATGCGGTCAAACATTTGCCAGTTACCACCGTGGACGGCATGCGCGTCTTCTGCCGCCATGCAGACCATTGCTTCGAGGCCGTGGATGTAACGCACGTTCGTGGCGTAGTTGACACGGGTAGAGGCCGATATGATGTCCTTGACGAACGCTCCGGTGATGTCGTTCTCGGCCAGATACTGTTCGCCGGTAGCAGCAGTAACAGCGAGCAGTCCCAAGTCGTGAGCGACCTCCGTAAGCGATTCAAAGGGGAAGACCGGCGCATCGTACATCTCCAGGAATTTGCCAACGACAGTTCGCATCAATCTCATCGTCCGGATTGGAGCGGTTCCATACTTCCACAAGAGCTTTGCCGTGTCCCACCAGCCGTAGTTGCCCTCCTGCACAAAGACAAACTCCTGGCCATCCCAGACAGCTAGGGCAGCGCCTGGAACTCCTGCGCTTGATTCTTGTCGGGTAGATAGGTTGAACGTTTCGACGGCATAGTTCAGGATCTTGTTGACTTTGACGAAGATGCTTCCACCGAGCTCAACAGGTTTCGTCGGGTCGTCCCAGGCATTGACTGTGGTCGTCCGGCCTCCGACATAGGAGTTGCGCTCGAAGATGGAGATGTTTATTGGTATGTTGGCTGCTGTGGCGTATTGGGAGAGATGGTAGGCTGTTGATGCGCCGCCTGCTCCAGCACCTTCGACACAGTGAGCATGCTGTTGCAGTTGTTTGTCTTGGAGCTCTCACCAACGATCGCAACTTGCTTTACATTGCCTGCACGCTCGTTGAAGGCGACGTCATCATCAAAGATGATTTGCTCGCCGAAACCGTTTTGCTCGTCGACAGCTCGCACACCACAGCAGCTGGCGAGCACGACTGGTATGCAATGTATGAGTCTCATACTGATCTAGGAGAACCTACGAAGTGCAACACTGTACAGACGAAGGGTTTGCAGGAACGTGAGATCTTTAACGAGCTGAGACAAGCCAACTACTCGCTAGCAACGGAGCGCCCGGCGTATCTTGGTGTTCATCGGAATGGAAGTGTTTGAGCGCCAATAAGTCTGTCCCGTAGAACTTGACGTACCTGTCAGACGCACATGAAGATTGTTCCGATTGTTCTCAGAGAAGGTCACGCGGTTGCGCGACAAATCGCGACTTCCCCACACAATTTTGGGTTCGCGCTTGCCCAATCGGGAATTTGAATAACAGAAGGCGGAAACAACAGACGAACAACTCATCCCCCAACATCTACCCTCACAACACGATCGCAGAGGAAGATTGTCCCTTCAAACGCGGTCGCAATGTCGTCGGCATCACCGGAAAGACCCTCGCGGCGGGCGGCGGCACGTAAAAAGATCGTGGTCGAGGAGGATGGCAGTTCAGATGTTGAAAACAGTGTTGCCAGCCGGCAGCAGGAAGACGAAGAGGAAGAGTTCACGCCTGCGCCCGCTAGATCCACGCGATCACCCAGACGGAAGACAACGACTACCACCGAAGCGACAACACCGAGACGGAAGACAGCCGCGAAGAGACAGACCAGAGCCAGCGAGTCCGTCGAACCGACACAGATCTTCAGCCCGCCAGAAAGCGTAGCGGATGAGCCTCTGTCACCAACGAAGAAGTCGCCGCCAAAACGAAGAAGCGCGACGGCAGCGCGAGCAGCGCGGAAGAGCCGAGTCTCGGGCATCTCGATAGTATCGGATGCGCCTGACTTGTCGCAAGCATTGCCCACACCGCAGCCATCCGTATCTCCAGCCCCGCAGTCGCGGCAGGGCACGCCGCTTACCGACATCACGGAGTCGACGCTGAACGAGCAAACACCTAAAGCGGCCGAGCGACACTTGACCCCACCTGAAGATGCGACCGAGGTGACCGAGAACCTGCCGACGCCAAAGAAGGAAATCAAGATGGAGGTCAAGAAGGTCGATGCGCAGACAACAAAGCTGGATAGACCAATGGACATTATCGTCAAGACCAGAGCGTTGGGTATACCGCAGACGCAGGAGCCTGCTGAGGCAAAGCCACGCATGACCATTACCTACCTGATCTTGACCAACTTCAAGTCGTACGCTGGGCGGCAGGAAGTTGGGCCATTCCACTCTTCGTTCTCGTCAGTGGTCGGACCGAACGGATCTGGAAAGTCTAACGTTATTGACTCGCTCTTATTCGTCTTTGGCTTCAGAGCGAGCAAGATGCGGCAAGGCAAGATCTCAGCGCTCATCCACAACAGTGCGCAGTTCCCAGACCTGGACTACTGCGAGGTGGAAGTCCACTTTCAGGAGGTCATGGATCAGCCAGGCGGCGGTTCGACTGTTGTTCCGGATTCACAACTCGTGGTCGCGCGAAGGGCTTTCAAGAACAACAGCAGCAAGTATTACATCAACAACAAGACATCCGACTTCACAACGGTGACAACGATGCTGAAGGGCCGGGGTATCGATCTCGACCACAAGCGCTTTCTGATCTTGCAGGGAGAAGTGGAGTCGATTGCTCAGATGAAGCCAAAGGCCGCGGGTGAGCACGATGATGGCTTGCTTGAGTATCTGGAAGACATTATCGGCACTTCGAAGTACAAGAGTCCGATCGATGAAGCAGCAGCCGAGACGGAGACACTCAACGAAGTATGCTTGGAGAAGAGCAACCGCGTGCAGCACGTTGAGAAGGAGAAGAATGGCCTTGAAGACAAGAAGGACAAGGCCCTTGCGTACATCCGGGACGAGAATGATCTGGCTTCAAAGCAGTCTGCGCTGTATCAAATCTACGTTGCGGAATGTGGAGACAACGTACAGGTCACCGACGAAGCCATAGGCCAAATTCAGGAACAGCTGAACGAAGAGCTGCAGAAGCACCAGGGGAGCGAGGGCGACATCGAGCGGATGAAGAAAGAATATAGCAAGGGCGCGAAGGAATGCGAGAAGCGTGAGAAGGCCACCCAAGAGATCTTGAAGGAGATTGCGAAACTCGATAAGGAGACTGTGAAGGTTGACGAGAAGAAGAAGCATCTCGCAACCAAGATCAAGAAGCTGGAGAAGACGTTGGAGACTTCGAACTTCGGCATTTCTGAATCGGAGACATTGGCAAAGAATGCGACGCAGGACGTCGAACGTATTACCAGCGAGATCGAAGAGCTCGAGCAGGAGATGCAGGCTGAGGACCAAGAGCTCGCAAAGATACGTGACACCCTGAAGGGCAAGACGCAGGGTTTGAGCGACGAGATCGCCGCAAAGCAGAAGCAGCTGGAGCCCTGGAATGCCAAAGTCAACGAGAAGCAGTCCGCAATGGCTGTGGCGCAAAGCGAGCTTGACATTCTCCGAGAGCGTGAGACTGCTGGTGCCACGGCCGTTGCTGAGGTCGAGGCGAAGATTGCCAGCTATCAGGAGCAGCGAGAATCGAAGGCCGTTCAACTCGATCAGTGCAAGAAAGAGCGCAAGTCGACCGAGAAACAGGTCCAGCATGTCCAGAAGCAGGTCGACGAGCTTGCTACGAAGGAGCCGGCTATGAATTCCAAACTCTCCGGCTCCAGGCAGAAAGCAGACGAGGCTCGAGCAAGTTTGGCTGCGACTCAGAGCCAAGGCAATGTGCTTAGCAGTCTCACTCGCTTGAAGGAGTCTGGGCGAATTGATGGCTTCCACGGCCGATTAGGCAATCTTGGTGCGATCGATCAGAAGTACGATGTGGCGATCTCGACTGCGTGTCCAGCGCTGGACAATCTTGTGGTCGACACAACTGAGGTCGGACAGCAATGTGTGGAATATCTGCGGAAGAACAACCTTGGACGAGCGCAATTCATCCTGCTCAACCAGCTCGCCCAACGGGACCTCTCACCGATTGAGACACCCGAAAATGTCCCTCGATTGTTCGACCTGGTCAAGAGCAAGCATGAGCGCTTCAGGCCTGCGTTTTACTCTCTGCTGCAAAACACTCTTGTGGCCAAGGACCTTGACCAGGCCAACCGCATCGCATACGGGGCCAAGCGATGGCGAGTCGTTACACTGGACGGCCAGCTCATCGACAAGTCCGGTACCATGAGTGGTGGTGGCACGAAGGTTGCCAAAGGTGGCATGTCCTCGAAGCTTGCTGCGGATACCAGCAAGGAACAAGTGGCCAAGCTTGAAATCGATAGAGATGCACTCGAACAGGAATACTCACAGCTACAGGAGAGCCTGCGGGATCTGGAAACGCAATTGAAAGAGCTTCAGGACCAACTACCGAAGCTCGAGACCCAGGCACAGAAACTTGCACTGGAACTCGACAGCATTGAGCGGAACATCGCTGATGCTCAGAAGCGGATTCAGGAGCTGTCCGAAGAAGCCCAGCCCTCAAAGTCGGACAAGCACAAGGTTGGCGATCTCGAGAAGAGCATCGCTAAGATGCAGAAGGAGATCGAGAAGTTTCAGTCAGAATCTGCCGGCATTGAGGATGATATCAAGGAGCTGCAGGACAAGATCATGGAGATCGGTGGTGTGAAGCTGCGCGGCCAAAAGGCGAAGGTCGACGGGCTCAGGGACCAGATCAACCTGCTGAACGAGTCCTTGAGCACCGCTGAGGTCGCCAAGACCAAGGCAGAGAAGCAGGGCAAGAAGCACGAGAAAGCAAGCACCGACGCCTCCGCCGAGCTTGAGAAGGTCCGGGCAGATCTCGACAAAGTGGACGAGGATGCCAACAACCAGAACACAGACAACTCTGGCTTCCGTAAGCAAGCGGAGGAAGCGCGGCGAGACCTGGAGTACAAGAAGGAGGAGCTTCAAGAACTAAAGGCGCAACTTGACGCTCAGGAAGCCGAACTCAACGAGACCCGAGCAGTCGAGGTCACCATCCGGAACAAGCTCGAAGACAACCAGAAGATCCTCCTCGACAACCAAAAGCGGCTCAAGTACTGGGAAGAGAAGCTCAGCAAGCTTGCCCTCCAAAACGTCACGGAGGAAGGCGAGGAGAAAGAACCCGAACCCATGCCTGAGCTCAGCAGAGACGAGCTCGCGGATCTCGACAAAGAAGATCTCAAAGCCGCCATCGCCACCCTCGAAGAACGCACCTCCACGCACGTCGAGCTCGCCGTCCTCGCCGAGTACCGACGCCGGGCCAACGAACACGCCACCCGTCTCGAAGACCTCACCACCGCCCTCACAGCTCGCGACAGCGCCAAAAAGCGCACCGATGACCTGCGCCGCCTCCGTCTCGAAGGTTTCATGGAAGGTTTCTCAGCCATCTCCATGCGACTGAAGGAGATGTACCAAATGATCACCATGGGCGGGAACGCAGAACTGGAGCTCGTGGACTCGCTGGATCCTTTCTCGGAGGGGATTCTGTTCAGCGTGATGCCACCGAAGAAGAGCTGGAAGAACATCTCGAACTTGTCGGGTGGGGAGAAGACGCTGTCGAGTTTGGCGTTGGTGTTTGCGCTGCATCATTATCGGCCGACGCCGTTGTATGTGATGGATGAGATTGATGCTGCATTGGATTTCCGGAATGTGAGTATTCGTGCTTCCGGATCTGGGCGTTCGGAGGTGTTCTAATGAATTATGGCAGGTATCCATCGTCGCGGCGTACATCAAGGAGCGCACAAAGAATGCGCAGTTCATTGTCATCTCGCTGCGGAACAACATGTTTGAGCTTGCGTCGAGGTTGGTGGGCGTTTATAAGGTGAATCATATGGTATGCTTCTCCTGGATCTTTCGTCTAGGAACCTGCTTGCTGACATTGTCAATTAGACGAAGAGCGTGACAGTCGAGAATCGCGATTATATCACCGCTCGGGCGTGATCTGGTTGAGGGTTTTGATGGTGAAACGTGGCGCACGGCGTTTGGGTGTTATGCCGCTTTATGCTGACGTCCTGGAGCGGCAGGATGATTGTGGGGTTGGACAGGGATGGGATAGAAGTGGCTTTATGCTTCTGAATCAGCTAGCCCACCAGGATATGTACATTTTTATGTCGACCTATGTCACGTCTTTCCGTGTGCGATCCTCTGCCCGCGCACTTAGTCTCTCTGACATGCTGTTCCCGGCCAGGCCGCCGGCAATCGTGCCTTCGTGTAAGCTGACGTGTCCACCCCAGGGCTTAACCTGAGTATGTAGAGAGATGAATCTCGACTACCTCTAGGTATCCCGCGCACTGCTCTTTACCAGCTGGCGCTTGCCGCGCTATGATAGTGAGCCAGGCTCTGGTTGGTGCGGGCCGGATAGCGGCCTCTTTGGCTACCTCGCGCATCTCCCACTGGATATCTCCTCTGCGTCGTAACCTCCGGGGGGGGCGTGTTCGGCGTCTCGAACAGAGCTGTGTTCTGCTCACTTCTCCGCTCCCTTGCCTTTCCCACTTCGCTTCTTTGGCTCAGTAGTACCGGCAGCTTTGCCCTTCTTGGCCGAGTCCTGCGTGAAGTCCGAGATCAAGTCCAAGAGATTCGCGTCATCGTCATCTTCTGCCGCTCGAGTCTGGATCGCGCAATTTCATCAGCGAGATTCTATACATATCGTTAAAGGATACAACCTACCTCCGCAGCGCCTTCCTCGCCTTCTCCCATCAGAGCTTCCACATCAAATCCCCTGCCAAACCTCTTCCTGAATCTCTTCAGACGACCCGCTTCATCCTCCTCGACGTTCAACAGCTTTTGACTGCTCGGGTTCCACATTGCATGATTCTTGGTGTCCTTCGTGCTGCGGTATACAGGTTGTGGAGATGTCGTTCGGTGCAGGAAGGTGCTGCCGTCGCTGAGCGTGATGAGCTGGGTAAAGGTGTATGGGCGTTTGGGACGGCGAAGAAGCGAGGCGTGACGGAGTTGTTGAGTATGTAATTGGCTTTTCGCCAGTTGGGGTCTGGCTGAAGAGAACATCTTGGGCGGTGTATGGCGTTTTGGTGGAAGCGAGATGTATTGATGAGACGGAAGAAGTGAGGTCTCTGCGGATGCTTCCCCTTTGGGATAGAACTACTGCCAAGATATGATATGCGGACGGTCTGGTGGACCACAGTTCAATGCTACGCGCTCGCAACAAGCTCGTCGAGGCAGTCGGCAGCATGCCGTTGCGACCGATGTACGGCGAGGCACCGCCTGTCGTGTCCCGACGGTTCTACAGCAACTTCTTCCAGTGGACCCTGCTGCTATCGCCAACCAAGCCATGTCTCGCTCGCGCGGGTCAACGCTTCTACACTGCTTCAGCTCGACGACTTGCCGACGATAGACAGGAGCGAGCTTCAGAACCCCTTTTCCGGCGGACAACTGGTCATACCACGCGGACAATACGACCACTGCGGCGCGAAAGAGCGGGCGGGCAATCGGGCAGTCCATCCATGCGATCACTGCGGCCTAGCCAGACCGAACATGCCAACAACGACCCGTGGGAAAATGGTGAGACGCAGTCGTCGATCGAGAAACCGTTCGATACGTTTGAGCCCTGGGAAGAGGTCGTGAGGTACAACTCCACTGCGGGTGTGATGCTGGAGGTCGCTGTGCCTCCTGAATCCATAGAATTGCTGCAGAGGGAACATGGGAGCATGGGGGTCATCAGACGAGAATTTGGTGCTACGTTGGAGCTCGGACAGACATTCAGCAAGGCGAGTGCGGACGGCAACTTGATCCGAGTGCGGTCTCTGTTGATCTCGGGTACCCACCAGGAAACACGAGCTATCCTCAGGTTGTTGAGAGGCCTGCAACCGTCAAAGAGAGTCCCAGAGCATGTCCCTGCAGCCACGGCACAGTATTCTCAGAGCTCTGATGTCAAGATCGCTCGCGCGCCCACTAGGGCCATCTCGCAGTATCAGGAGCCGACTTTCCTGCGGGAGCGGGACCGGGAGCCGAAGACCCAAGACAATCGGCCTTCAACGTTGCTGGACGAGTGGGAGTGTGTAGTCCGTCGCAGGGGAACGCCTGACCAAGGCTGGCTTCTTCAACTACTTGCGCCCGCCAAGGAATGGCTTGATGTCTGTGCTCGCATTGACTTCAAAGGTGCATGCGGTGACTTGCGGGCTCATAGCGGTCTCATCGTTGCCGACGACTCTGAGGCGGGCCCTGACATCCGTGATCGTCCCACCGTAATGGTGACTATCGAGGGCACTCGGAATTCGGTCCAATTTCTTCTCACATTAATCAGAGAAGGGCGCTTTTTCTCCAAGATAGAGACAAATGCGAGTAAAAACGATGCGACTTTCCGACTTGGAAGCCCGCTCATTCCCCACCACGAACATGGAGTGCAGGACATGCGTAAATGGGAGTGCGTGCTACGTGAACGCACTGCAGATGGGCATGGAACGGTTCAACTTGCAGCACCAGTACAAACGTGGCGTGCCATGCTGGCACATTCGACCGCTATCGCAACAAAGGTACAACACCTGGACATCAAGCTTCACGTCGAGCCCGTTACTGAGAATGGTGAAATGGTGTCGGTCCTACTCACAGGCGCTTTACGCTCCATCAGAGTTGTGTTGAGTTCCATCAAGAGTAAACGTAATGACCCGGACCACCCCTGGCACGCAAATGCATCATCGAAGACAACGTCTCTGCAAGGAGAGAGACAAGACGATCCCCAGACATCCGTCCAACTGCAGCAAACAAGCACGAAACGCGAAGAATCTACCGAGGAAGCTGCGCAACTTGTTGAAGACACGAAGACGGCCCTTCGCCACCTCACCCACCCGGTGGTGTTGATTACCTCCAGAGCCAAAAGAGGTGAGCGAGGGCGCCACATAGTAGAGGACTATCGAGGGATGACCGTCTCATCGTTCAACTGTGTCGCCCTCGGCCGGGAGCCTATTGTGTCTTTCAATATCAAGACCCCTAGTCGCACATGGGATGCCATTGAGAAGTCACGTCGGTTTTGCGTCCACTTTCTTACCGCTACGCCACCTGGTGCTGCCATTGCCCACGCCTTCACGCAGCCGTACGACTCCCCAGAGACCCCATTTCAACGCCTGACAACGAGGGGAGCTTACATGATAAAAGCACAAGATAGCTTCAAACCACCCATGATCCTCTCTGCAGGCGTCTCGTTTTGGCTCATGGCGGACTTAGTGCCACGAAAATGCGTCAGTGTGGGAGACCACAAAATTGTCGTGGGAAGTGTCAGCTGGGTCAAGCGGTTGGACCCAAAGCACCGCAAAGCAGACGAGACTACTGAAGGCTTAGCATACGCAATGAGGGGTTACCGAGGGATCGGGGTGGAAATCGAGCCGGCAGAGTCGATCAGCACGGTGATGGAAGCTTCTGACGACGCCGACGCGGCTCTAGACCATCCTGAGGAAGGACATGAATCAGATGGCATCAATGATGGCTCATTCGATGCAATACCACAGGCCAGGGAGGACGACGTCTTTCTTGCCAATGAGGCCTCCGAAGAGAGAGAGGCCTCAGATGTTGGCAACACATTCGATGAGCAAGCCCTCCCCCAGCAACGCGTACGGGCGGGCGACGCAGATACCAGTGTGGACGTGACATCCCCCGAAACGACTTCGGCCGATGACACATCTACTGAAGAGGCTGAGGCTGAGGCTGAAGCCGAGGTTTTGGAGACTCGCAACGCTGCAGAGCCCAAGGACAATTCTGAGTTTGAGACTGAGGCTTTCTTTGAAGAGATGTCTCGTGCTCCTGATGGAGTGGAGGAGACTTCAGAGTCCAACTCGTCGGGTTCGACCGCTCTTCCACAGCGACAAGCCGAAGAGCAAGGAGTGAAAGCCCAGCATCCTGAACCCAAGGCACGAGAGCCAGCAATTGATAGCGGCAAGCCGGGTAATGCAGATGGTGCCGCTGCGGAGCAGCACAGACTTCCGGAACACCCTCACTACAACGCAGAGCCCTCAATGTCTCCAGTCAAAGGAGCTTGGCGTGGACCGTCGCAAGCTTGGGGTCTGGGCTCCAGGTCTTCCTTCTCGACCTCAGCAGCTCAACGAACACGCTCTTACAGCTCCATGGCCCAAAATGCGGAGCATCGAGCTGACCTGCAATCCCAAGTGGCCCATCCCAGCCTGCTTTCTACCACCGTGGCCGACTTCCTAGGTGAGACATCTCACCCTCTCCATCAAAAGCCACGGATGCGGAGCATGATGCGCGAGCAAAGAGAAGCGGACAAGGCTTCGCGGCGGCTCGAGCGAGCGCTTGCAGACGGCACCCTTACTCCAGAGGAGAGCACGCGACTGGAGACAGTGGTTGTAAAGAGCGAGCGGCGCATTGCTCGGAAGCTCGCAAAGAGCTCTGCTGTGGATCTGCGTGCTATGCTTGACACTGGTCGCATTGTTGACAACTTCCGAGCGCAATGGTTGGAGAGTAGTATCGAAAAGGGTCTCGCGGTGCTGTTGCAGGAAGCGAAGCGACTACGGGAAGCACTGGATAACAAGTGGATCACTGCTGAGGCGTTCGAAGCGGTAAAGAAGAGGTTGGAGGAGGAGCATATGCTCTTGAATACTGAGGTGATGAGGTTGAGGCAGATGGTCGACGAGGAGTCGGAGGATGGCGGTGGGATGAGCAGGGACGAAGGGCGGGGCTGATGGCTTTCTACACGGTGATGCACACCACTAAGCATGGCCGGCTGGCTCGCAAGCCAGGCCCGAGCCCCCAAGTCTTCGACCGACTTCCTCTAACCACAAACAAATTGTGGTTTGTGGAATGCGGCATTGTCTTCGGCGCAGCCCGACCAGAAACCTAATGGGCAGGGTACATATATGCCGCCTCCACCCACCGCTCTTTGGGTTGACATCGTGCAACCACTCGCTTGACCGGATGGCGAGTATCCATGCTGCTAAAACGAAGACGTGAGGCAAACAGCGAAGCCCAGGTCACCTCCAACCTCGCTCATCTGACGACAAGGGGTTATGGCTGCAAAATCCGTTGTGGCAAGTTAGGCTTGCGTTTTCTTGAGGTGTATAGTGTGAATAGCCCGCAGAAGATATGAACAGTCTTGTCATTCACGGCAATACGCTAGAAGTCTATTTTCTCCAAGAACTTCTTACACAAAGCCGCAATCTCCCACCTCACCGTCTCAAGAGCAAAATGTCCGGCGTCCAGCAAGTGAACCTCCGCATTCTTAGCGTGCTGCTTGTAAACCTCAGCGCCCGGCGCAATGAACGCTGGATCACCTTTGCCCCAGACAGCAAGCACAGCCACTTGGCTCTCCTCGAGATACTTGTGCCATTTCGGATAGGCCGCCTTGTTGTTGCGGTAGTCGTAGAAGAGGTCCAGCTGATGCTCCTGATTCTCCTTTCCGGCAACGTTCTGGAGATAATCCCTGATGGGTTGCTCCGGGTCGACCAAGTGCTTGTCCGCGTCTGGAACTCCCATGTAGTACTGGTACGTGGTAGTGGCCTGCGTAAGGACGCTGTCACGGACGATATCGCGGGCCTCCTGGCTGTTTTCCGTATCCCAGAGGTTGAAGATTGGTGCCCAAAAGTCCTGGCCGAAGCCTTCGTCGTATGCGTTGCCGTTCTGTGTGATGATTGCTTTGACAGCAGACGGCTTCTCCAGAGCAAGACGAAAGCCAATGGGAGAACCGTAGTCGAATATATAGCTCGCATAGCTGGTGACTCCCATCTTCTCCAGCCAGGCCGAGATGACAGTCGCCAGATTATCGAAGCTATATACGAAATCGCCCTGCACTTTCGTCAGGCCAAACCCTGGGAAGTCGGGGGCCAGGACGTGGTATTGATCTGCCATCAGAGGTATGAAGTCCCGGTAATGCGTCGAGGAGCTTGGAAAGCCCATTAGAAGAAGCAACACCGGTTTCGATTTGTCTCCAGCCTCGATATAGTGGACAGTTGCATCACCAAGTTTGGTACTGATCTCAACGTCGTGGTAGGTTGGAGCGAGGGCTTTGGTGGCCATGTTGGTTTATTAAAGGTCCTGGGGAAGCTGCTTATTGAGGCGTTTTAGGTCAGTATTGATCACTTCGTGCTATGTGCAGAAGACGAGAACCATATCGGTCTCATGCCCATTCTTATACTGGACCTTTCAAGCCATTCCGGCTGCTTGCCTACCTGCCACTGAGGCTGTTCGACGTCAGTCACATTACCAATGACAGCGAGCCGCTATATGCTGTTCGACCTTCAAGCTTTGCAATGGCCGACCTACCCAGGAAGCAAACCTGCCCTGATGAGGTAGGAGAGATTCCAGAGAATGGTAGGCAGGCAGGTCAACCACATGCAACTCGGCTTATTCACCTGCTGCTATGTAAGCACGCTTTACCGTTTTGGGTAAGACTTGACCGAGGACTCCAGCTCCTCAAGGTGACGATGCTGCGCTTGGACATCTCGCAATGGTCATTGAGCGTGCTTCAATGTTCCATGGAACTCATCTGGCGGGACATACTAATCACGCTGCTCTCAAGTCTTCCAGCAAAGTGACAGGTAGGACTGATGTCATGACGATGTCATATGCAGCTTCCATCTCGTCTTTTCTATTCAATTGCATACGAACAACTCCCTTTCACAGCTAAAGACACAGATTTCACTCACTATGTCCAGCGACAACCCCACCGTCGCCTCCGCAAATGAGTCCACAGGCGTCGAGCCTCTCAACACCTCGCCCACAGAACCCGTGCCGCTCAAGCAAGATGTCGACCCAGCGAACGACGTCCCCCCTACATTGACGGATCTCCCTGCTGGATGCGAACCAGTCGTCTTCCCACTCGATCTAGGAAGCCGGACGAAGAACAATCAGACTGTCTCCTCGTTACCCAGTGCGCGCGAATTCGAAGATCTGGTAAAAGCCAAGATACGGCCACCGGGACCTGCGAGGGCAGAGGAAGTGCCGATGGAGAGTGCGAAGAGCGAGTATAAGGAGGTTTTGGATAAAGTGGGTGTGGCGATCGGGACGGATGAGGTGAAGGTTTATAAGTTAGAGACTGGGATGGGGAAGGGGGAGGTGTATGTTGTTGGGTTGGATGTGGATGGAGAAAGAATCGTGGGTGTACGAATACCGTAGCGCTGGTTTTAGGATGGACGTCGACTTGATGTTGCCAAGTACCATGGCAGTGCAGATGGGTTTAGACTTTGCTGAGTTGGTTTGCCTGCTGGTCGAACGACGTCTCGATCCATGAGCACGACAGGAGTGTCAATCTTGCACGAGAAGGACACTGTTACCTTGACAGCGCTTGTGCTGGCCTCTGCGAGAGAAAAAGAGATGGACCATTGGTATTCGTAGCATCGTATACAGAGTGTATCCGATTCATCTTCGTACATGCGCGTTGGCTCTGCTGCCCGAGACCAATGGCAGTCTTGCAACCCTCTCAGTACGAAGTATAAGCCGGCGGCGTGTACATAACAGTCGTCGGCTTCTTTGGAGGCGGCGAATATACTGGCGGTGGGTTCGTCGGGTCACCTTCGCCCGCCTCGGCCCTTCTCGCCGCTTCTATGTCCGCCTGCTCGTTCTCGTGAAGGACTCTCATCCGGTTGTCCTCGTCTACGCGGTCCATGTCGGCGCGGATGCCCTTCTTGTACATGCGCGGGAACCACCACCAGATGAAGAGGAACATGCACACGCAAAGTCCGGCGAGGATGCCTACGGGCAGCTGTGCAGGGCATAGAATCAGTGGTGCGTTGATAAGGGCAAAAGTTGCACCCAGAGGACGTACAGCCCATGTTGTGCTGCCCATGACCACGTCTCTAGCAGAGTCTTCGAGTCGTCTGGTTAGATCTCCGCTGGTGAATGCGGAGGGCGGAGTGGAGTGTGGAGCAGGTGGAGGATGGCTTGAGGTTGCTCGTGCTTGGCGTGGTCAAGCTTTGCTCGGCGTGAGGCTGAAGGGACTGGAACGCAAGTTGTAACTCTTCCTTCTGGCACAAAGGTGTTGCGAAGACGCAATGCTCATGAAGTGCCAGGCGTCAGCATAAAGGATTCCGGCGACTGCGCAGTCCATTGCTCAGTGGCGTATCACGATGCCGCGTGTGCCGGTCTCGCTTCTAGGAAGTAACCTCACCTCCACATCCCGCATTCCCCAGGAATCCTTTGCGTTGCTCGTCTGGATGCAACCCGCCGGTAGCCTCAATGGCGAGCTAGATGGTTCGCAATAGACGTGGACGGCCAAAATGGCAGTAGAACGGCTCCGGGGTGTTGATCGATAACAAAAGCCAGAAGAACTCAGGATATGCTTGCAACAACATCGAGACAGGGCGTGGCAGAGCCGACAGCGAGGGGAGTGTCAGTAGCCAGGTCCATAAACGCGATTGGCCGTAGATTTGAGGTGGTAACGATGAACAAAAGACCCAGCAAGGCAGACTCGTTTCGTGTCTAGTACCTCCTGGCGGCTCGATGCTGGTGTACGGTCTCAGTCAAACACTGGACGATGGCTGGAAGCCTGTATACAAGGTCACGCAAGCTCAGATATCAAACAATGTCCGCTGCTGAGGGGGAACAACGAAAGCAGGATGCGCAAACACAAGCTTGGTACCACCCCTATTAGCCTGCGAAGAGGTAATGCCGTAGCGTATTTCGACCTCGCCCATACTTTTCGCAATCTCGCGGCCGGATGAATTCGAATTGCAGGTCGATAGCGCTGGAGCTTCGAAGGCCTGTAACGTATTAGCGGAGGCATGTAAAAGCTTCATGCGCCATCGTTACCTTCGCGAGTTCCAAAGGCGAGAACGACACGGGGCGACCTAGTCTCCAGAAACCCCAGTACGTTGGAAAGATGAGGGCTATGCATGCCATCTCAACCAGTGATGCTGCTATGAACCAGCTCAGGTCTGTTGAGTAGACGTTATGGTCTCCTTGGACAAACCCTGAAGTCGTCCGATTCGCCGTTGTACCAGCATCCATATGTGTCTGCAGGTACGTTGAATCGCGCTGTGCAGCTGCTGCTCCAAGGTAGACCATCGCGCGGTTCACAAACTGCAGCACATCGTCCTGAGGATTCGCATACGTAGCACACGTTGCGTGCGAGTACGATCCAGCGTACATTAGCTCTGCGCCAGCCCCTGCTGACATACTGGTGATACCAGAACCGAACTTATACTGGAGAGCATAACCCTCCCACTTCAACCGGATCAGGAAAGATATTGCGGCAAGTGTAGAAGGCTGGCCACCACTGTGTTGATTCGTTCTGCGGTTGACACGAGTATTGTTTGCCACAGTCAAGATTCGTGGAGAGCCATTGTCGAGTGTCAAGTTGTCGCCCCGGAGCGTTGCATCGTACTCGCCGATAGCGGCACGGAGTGTGCAAGCACTATATTTCATCTCGCCTGTGCACTCTGGGGCATCTGAGTATCCAGTGATGATGTTGATGGCCTCGTAGTCGTCATCCACGAGAAGACTGCCCGAAACCAGGAATGACACCGTGTTCAACGGTGGGCCTCGTAATGCCAAGCTTTCAATCTGCGCTTTACTGAGGCGCTGGGTGTAGTCGACCGGTACTACGTGGGAACTGCACGAAGTGATGGCCAGTGCCGGCGCTCGTAGCTTCAATTTGCATTCTCCCGAGCAGCCACGTACAATACCATGCATTGGTGCCCCAGTCAGAAAATGCTTGTTCGCTTCGAAGCTGATGGAATTGCGACCAGAAGAAGTGAAGATGGTATTTGGGGCGCTGCCGTAACCCGTTGGTATCGTAGCATTGAATGAAAAACTCCAGGTCTGGGCGACGCCTACGCTTTTCTGATCGTACCAGTACCCACTGAAGTCAGTCGGCACTTCTTCAGCCAAGAATACTTGCAGTGGGATCTCCTTATCGATCGGAACACTCACAACACCGCTCGCTCGCTGCAGTAATGGACCATCTATCACAACCAGGGTTGAAGCGATACAAGCGATGCCTAGCAAGCCCATATGGCGGCCTGACATGATGGCGCCCCGGAGAGTAGTTCCAGCATGCCAGTCATAGTGTAGTCGTTTGATTGTCGATCCGCGCAATGCTCGTCGGTACCAAGCGATGACCACTCCATTGATACAAGCATATCGCATGGCCAGATCTGTAAAAATTGGTCAGCTGACTGCGAGCTGTAGTTACGCACTAGGTAGAGCAACGAACTGGCCAGTGCCGTGCAAACAGCGAGGTACGTCGATGGTGGAGTCTTCCAGTCGGCGACAGCCTGTCCTCTCGAACCCAACAGAATTGCAAGCGCTGCAACAATGCTGGTCATCGCCAGGACAAGGCTAAGAATGCCCGACAAAGGGCCAAAGCGAACTATTGTGGTTCGCCACTGCCGAGCAGTTGGTCGTCCTGAACTGTTCTCTATAGCATTACTAGTCCTGTGAGTATCTCTACTCGTGATCGAGTATGCCCTATGAAAGGGAGAGGCCTTGTCATATGGTTTCCCATCGGTCTGGATGTGCGGCAGCGGAGCACCGCAATGTTGATCTTCCCTGTGCTCGGCGTGCCAGATTGTTTCAGTAGGAGACAACTCCATTTGGGGGGCGTCAACCTGGTGAGACATTGTTTTCCAGTAGACACAATTCCGTGCCAGCGAAACAGACAAAGCTGAAGACGAGTCCCGCAGTAGACTTGGACGGGCAGGCTAGGCCATGATCTTATGAATTCGGATCCTGGGCGGATCCTGAGAAGACGGAACCACCGAAACTCATGCCGTCTCTTTGTCATACATACGGCCTGTATCTTGAGTGTGATGAAAGGCACTCCAGCCTTATCAGTTGTACTAAGACGAAAGAACACCCCAATGGTCCAGCAGATGCACGGGGTGCAGCGAGGCGTCGGCTTGGCCGAGCATCGGACGACCTCGTGCAGCGGCAAGCTGCAGGTTGGTCTTGATGACTGCCATGAATGAGATGAAGGTGGTAGACGAGGTTCGTCGGCCATGCGTAGCCATGCGGAGTAATCACTTTTGCTACGTAATCAGCCAAGCAACAAGCGAAGTGTGGCTTGAAGTCTGGAGGCGAGGTAGAGTGTAGGTAGACTGGTACATTGACTTGGTGGGGCTACGATAACAGTGTTGAGCGAGGTAGTGTGTAAACAAAGATTGGTGATGCACGATCTTCGAATGTCCATGCTTTTCTGATCTACACCCAAGATCATACATATGTGCAAGAGACTGCCAGCCTTCCCAGCAGCCTTCCGGGAGAGAGATCACACCATTCAAGCAGGACCGTTCTTGCCACCCCGCAAGATGCCGCGAAGGAAGCCGTAGTACGCTGGCTTCTTCTTGAAGTCCTCATCCCAAAGGTTTGCAGCACCCTCACCAGGAAAGACACCTGGGATCCAAGAGTACTTGTCGGAGATTCCCTTTCAGCAAAGTCAGCACGATCTCATGCCCATAATGTGTCAAGGCGACTTACCCAGATGGTCATGCCAACACACCGCTCAACAGCCAAGCAAGACGCAGCGATGCGCTGGTATGCCTTGGACTGCATGTTAAGCTTCTTCCTGGTCGCCGGCGTGTTCATGCGCACGTCAATCTCAGTGTACACGACGTCGACATCCTGGCTGGTCATCTTGCGGAGCGCAGTAGCGAGAGTGTTCTGGCTCGGGGTTACGCCGCCACCGGACGAAGTGGTCGGCTCAGAGGTCAAGTGGGCCTGGAAGCCAACACCATTGATCTTAACACCCTGGCTCTGGATGAGCTTAACGATGCGCTGAGCAGCGTCGGTCTTCGCGCCGTTGTATTCGAGGTTGTAGTCGTTGTAGTATAGCTGAGCCTTCGGGTCGACCTGGGAGGCGAACTTGAAAGCCAGGGGCAGGAAAGCCTCGCCGATGGTGTTGTACCAGACAGACTTGCGGTACGAGCCATCCTCCTCGAGAGCTGATCATAGATTTTAGTACGCACATTCGGACAGCAGTGAAGCATTAGGCTATGTTTTACCTTCGTTGACAACGTCCCATCTCGTGCAACGGCCCTTGTATCGGCCCGCAAGAGCCTTGATGTGGTCGTGCATGATCTCGATCAACGTCTCGTTGTCGAAGTTGCCAGCAGTCACCCAGTTCGGCAGCTGAGAGTGCCAGACCAAGTTGTGGCAGTGGATCTGGATGCCATGCTCGGTAGCAAAGTCCACATAGCGATCGGAATCGTCGAAGGTGAAGACACCACGCTGTGGCTCAGTAGCATCCCTACGGATGCAGTCAGCCTCGTGTCTGTAGCGTAGATCTAAAGTCACCCACCATTTCTGGGCGTTCTCCGGCGTGATGGAGTTGAAGTCGGCCTTGTTCTCGACAATGGCCAGCTCCTGGGCGTCGCCACGGAGAGTCAACGCAGTGCCGATGAAGCTCCTTCCACGCTGGCGCATAGCCTTGCTGAGGCCAACTGTCGCCCGCTTGTCAGTCGGCGAGGCCAAAGCGCTGCCGGCAAGGGCCAGGGCCGCTGTGAAGGAGTTTGTGAAATGCATCTTCGTTGGTGTTGTCTGAGGATGATGGTTCTCCCATGGTGAGGCTCTGTCGTCGTCTTTATAAATTTTCCAGACGGCTACGCGGTGTTTCCAAGATCCAGCGGTTTAGCCGTGATTGAGGGATGCCGAGTTGTCTCATCGATGTTCTCGCCTCCGCCAAGGAGACGCTATATCGATAGATCGGGGTAGTCGGTGCTTGAACGCTCGACTTTGTGGAGGAAAGCCCAAATAACCGGCTTGGAAATGCTGGGCACCTTTATATCAAAGTCACTTCACTTCCACATCTAGGAGCGGGTAAATCGTCGTCGCCTTACTTGTGCTACTTCCAGGCCCTGTGGCGTTGTCGGGTGAAGTCTCTCGGTTCGTGATAACTTGTATATCAGGCTGGAAGTCATTCTTTCGCCATAGTTGTCCCCAGCTGCCGGGACTAAAACGTGGGTCAATATGGAGATCTGGAGTACTTTCCCCAGGTGGGTCAATATTGTTTGTTTGCCGAGTGGAACTCCTCCTGGGCTAGATCGCCCTCGCCTTTGATGACCGCGCACGCTGTTCTTGTGCGGCTGGTAAAATGCAACTTGTGCAAGGTGACTCTCCGTTCGTGCGGAACATGGGACTGCCGACAGGACTCAAAGGACCGATCCATAAGGTATTGGACATGCTTGCGGATGCGTCCACTCCCTTGCAGATCGACCACGTGGAGCGAAAGTGATCGGTGCCGGGATAGATAGTGCCACCGCTTCGCTCATTAATTGCGTCACGACGGATAAGGAAGGCCAGAACTTCGAAGGATACTTCGATCAGGAGCGGATCGCACATGCCAATCAACATGAGAGCCACATTTCCAGCTCCATGGAATATGGCTAGCCTGTGAGGCGTAGTTGCTGTTGATGTACAGGCGTCACTGATCAGCGTTTCTAGCCCTGCTCCAAGCCATACAATGCTTTTACTCGATGTGAACTTTACGATTAAAGAATATTAGGTCACTTAACTCTGTTGAATGACAGGGAGTGCCTTGAGAAGTGCTCCTGTGTACGTCTTGTTGCGCAAGTGGGATGGCATGAGAAAGTAACTCTGACTGGTTCCAAGGGTACGGCGCATGGGGGGTAAATACTACTGTGTACATGCGGAATGGAAGGCAATACCTTGGTCCAACCATGCTGTATGTGTGATATACAGCAGTTTTCGCGGGACGTACTGCAGAGATAGTGGACGAGGGCCGCCTTACCTCCTATTGAAAACCCCGGAAGCCAGTGCGATTGTTTACGGTATCTCGTGCTTCCTCTTGTCGGCGAATCGTGGCTCTATTGAGTCCTCGGAGAGGGCAGGGTGCCAGCGCCGGTGACGGCCAAAGGGTGACATTGTCACCGCGATCTTCACAGTTCTTGCTAGGATTGCCGTTTCCGGGCGTCTTCATTACGGTCCACGAACGAAGTCGCAGCTGTCGTCTCTTGAGACGAGCTCATGGGCTCATTGAACGTAACGGTGTTCACGGCGTGAGATACGGCAGTCGATTGCGGCGCGTTTGCGTCGTTGCTGCGAGATCGCATCGCGAAGATATGGCCATAAAGCCACTGTTTCGATGACCAGTCCATGGAACCGGGTTCTTCGCAGCCTGAAAGTGTAGGGTCAACCCTGTGAAGGGGATGGTTGTAGATCAGATGGAACCCGGAAGGTGTGGTCGACGGAAGAGGTCGCGCTTGGAAGCTGGCCTTGGTGTCGATCGCGGTGGTTCACGAGCAACTCTTCGTTGTCACCATCACGCCCTTCTCAAAAAGAAAACCTGCCACATTCATCTTCCCCAAGAAGAGTCTGGTACCGGCGAATGTTCGGTCCCATGCTGATCTGCGGCAGTACGCATTAATTAACGTGCAACCACTTCGCCGTCAGATCACGCGCACACCCCCTTCAATTAGCCTAATGCGAAACAACAGCGTGCCCCTGCCCAACCTCAAGATGGCAGGAACCGCAAAACTGTTCTGGCTACGCGATTGCCCTTCTCAAGGACGGGCGGAAAGAATCGAATGCGTCTGTGACGGCGTGCGAATGACGAGGTAAAGATGCCCGAAAAGGTCGCCTACCAGCCGCTCAACGACGAAGCAAGCGAGGAAGCCGGAAAGTCCAGTACGCCACCGTGGGCCCGGCATGACCGCGACCACGAAAAGCAGAAGCACTGGAGTCTGCAATGGCTGAGGCTGGCAAGCGAGATCGTTCTGGTGGCGTTGGTCTTCCTGCTGAGTCTGAAGATCATGATGGACGGCAGCACGCCAAGAGCAGGAAGACCGCCAGGACCGAATGATCCCAAGCAGGACCGTATGTTCTGCCTGTAACTGTAAACGCAGTGGCATCACTCCCTTGCTGATCTGCTATAGTCGGCTATTCCGACAAGGTCTTTATGAACGAGTCCAAGTATGCGAACGAGGGAGCGTTTTTGAGCGAGGATAAGTTGAAAGAAACGCTGGCCAGCTGGGTACCGTTGTCTTCGAGTGAGTTTTGTGCTGTGGTCGCAATCGCTGTTCCATTCGAAGCGTGCTGACCAGCGTTGCAGAGGGGCGAGGTTACGTCGAGATACCAAAAGACGAACGAGACACTCTAGACGGACCGCCCTACCTCATGAACCCCTTGATGCGACCTAACAAGAAGGAAATCTATATGGTCTCAGGTTTTCATCAACTACATTGCCTGGTACGCCTTCTTGCTCGCCAATGCTGCTGATGCTCTGCTAACGTGCCTGACCTATTTCAGAGCACGATCATGGCCTCCTACGCTCGCCTTCGCTTCGGCAAGGACGAGTCGGAGATGGGCTTTCACATTGCGCACTGTTTCGACTATCTCCGCGAAGGCATTTTGTGTGCTGGAGATGCAACATTGGAAGGCAATAACACAGCCAAGTATCCCGGTGTTAAAATTCCATGGGTGGGTAACTCGGCACTTCGCCCTAGTATGCTTTGCGCTGACTGTAACAGGGCACATCACATCGCTGCGCCAACTGGGATGCACTACGAGAATGGGCTGACGAGCGGACGGTCTTCCCTTTCCCACCAGGCCTCGATACCACCATATGATGCACCACGACGAAAGTGAAACAACAAGATTGAAGGGACTGACGCTTCTGGTCATTCGAACCAAAAGTCGTCCAAGGTGGTTGATGAGCTGCACAAATTTCTTTCTCTCTTCAAGCCCAGAAGAACTGCTGCCCTTGTGGATCGGCTGGCGCCTGGCTTCCTTCAAGACAGCTCCGCCTCCTGTTCGATCCGGAACCTTCGAGGACCACCTTTTCGAGGCCCGCAATCGCTACCACACGTACCGCAGACATACAAAGCTCTAGTCAAACGCTCAAGCGCCCCGCCACCACTATGCTCTCATATCTTCGCTCTCGCCCGCAACCACATCCCCTCAGCAAGCGCATGCACCACACCGCCCTCGCTCTCAATCACGCCCTTCGCCCAAGCCTTCCTACCACCCTCTTCGATCTTGGTAATCCAACTTCGAACCATCACAGTCCCCGGCGTGCGAATGGGGTTCTTGTACGTCACATTTAACTGCACGGTAAACTGTGGCGGCAAGTTCTGTTCCGCGAGAGCCATCCCGATCACACCGCCCATCGACGAGTCGAGGATGCAGCTGATGACACCGCCGTGCAGAAGGCCGGGATGGGCGTTGAGGTCGCCGCCGAAGGTGTAGAATCTGCGGGCTTCTGGGCGTTCGGACTCTGACTGTGGGAAGACTAGTGGTGCGTTTGAGTGGCTGGGTCGAGAGAAGACGATGAGTTGTTTGATCGTGTCGTCGGTATTCCAAGTTTTGCCCATTAGCGTATGGCCAATGCCGTCATCGGTGACTGTCCTTGATTGCGAGACGATCTGAAATCTGGGATCATTGAGCGTAGCTTGCGCGTAGGGTATCGCTGAGAAGTGATCTATTGTTGCTTGAGGTACTGGCTTCATTGTGTTGAAGTGGTGTCACACCGACGTCTGGGATGCTTCTGATGCAGTAATTGTGGTCTATCGTTTGCCGCCGCACGTTCTCGAGTACAGACCAATTTTATTCAATCGTGAACGCGAGTTGAGAAGTAGATTTGATCCATTGACTGGCCAGGAATGAGCCGAGGTCCAAGACAAAGTCGCATTGGAGTTCAGAAGTTCATGTTGTCTTGGTCATCGACAATCAGTTGAGCCGCCATCAGGCAGCCTTCGAGTCAAGCAGAGCAACACGTCTTCCTCGACAAAGGCCATGAATCGTGATCAACATTATGTCCGGTAAGTCCACTCTATCAGCGACAACTCACGTGATTGACGAAATAGGAAGTCAATCGACGCCTTAGAATACGAGACGAGGCAACCCATCTCCACCGGAGCATGAGTTCGACCGAGATCCCGACCACTGTACTCGGTGTCGTATACCGAAGGCTGTAGATCGTGAAGGCGCCGGGATGTAGGATTCGAGGGGCTGGCATCACCATGAAAAACCCACGTTGTTGGAAGGCGGGATATAAAGACTGCGTTGTTCTGCTACCGATGCTGATGTTTTGATCATTTCAATTCAAAGAGCATTCATCTCGAGGAAGTTCTCCCCACACTATACCAGCTTGAACAACATCTTTAAGCAGGAGACATTCGTATCACGCCATACAAGAACCTAATATGAAGATCTTCGTTACCGGCGCAGTAGGTCTTCTCGACTCAGCCCATTGATCAGTCTTGAGGCTAACGCGTACTCATCAGTCCGGCTTCATCGGCCGCGCAGTCGTCCCCGAACTCCTCAACCACGGCCACGAAGTTCTCGCCCTCGCACGCAGCGATGCATCCGCCTCCTCACTCACCAAAGCCGGCGCGTCCACCATCCGCGGCGACCTCCAGGACCTCAACGCCCTGAAAGAAGGCGCGAAAGCATCCAACGGCGTCATCCACCTCGCCTTCATGCCCGCCTTCAGCAGCGCCGAAGCTTTCCAGTCAGCCACGGCCGCGGATCGCGCAGCCATCACCGCCATGGCGGAGGCGATGGAAGGGACGAACAACCCTCTTGTCATCTGCTCCGGCACGCTGGGGTATCCGCAGGGTCAGGTGTCGAATGAGGATACCGAGCCGAATATCCAGCCGGGCTTTGATCGGGACTTGTCGTTGGCTCTTACTTACTCCCTCTCGAAGGAGAAGAACATCCGAGGGATGCTGATGCGTCTCGCTCCTGTGGTGCACGGCAGTACCGATGACAAGGGGTTTGTACCGATGATGGCGCAAGCAGCGAAGAAGAATGGTTTCGCTGCTTACCCTGGTGATGGGTCTGCTCGGTGGACAGCGGTTCACGTCGATGATGCGGCGGTTGCGTTCCGTCTCGCGGTTGAAAAGGGGAAGGCCGCGACGACGTATTTGCCGATTGCTGAAGGTGGTGTCTCAGTGAAGGAGATCGCGACAGCCATTGCGAAGAAAGCCGGTGTTCCAGCCGAGAGTAGGCCCGCGGAGGAACTTCAGCCACTGATCGGGTTCCTGGCGATGGTGATGAATTTTGACACTCCCGTCAATTCGGAGAAGACGCAGAAGGAGCTGGGATGGACGCCGAAAGGACCGGCCTTGTTGGACGACGTCGAGGCGAACTATCAACTGGGTTAGACAGTTTTGCACTGTACTGAGCTTTGGAGATTAGCTGTAATATCTGACACGAAGCCATTGCGTTCGTGGTTTGTTTCGGATGTGATGATTGCCTTGATACTTGTGGCCTTCGAATTGGCTGTGATATTACACTCGCTTTGCATGCAGCAAGCATTTGTTATTGTGACAGATACATACATCTCTCGGCCTCGCACTCGTTGCAGCACTTTGACTCAATTACCCACGGTTTCCGCTCGTGTTGGCTGCGCTCCCACCCTTGCTCTGGTTCTTCCCAGCTCCAGGCCCTTCCGTCGGCTGGTCCCCACCTATGCTCTGCGACTCCTTCGCAATGCTCTGGCTGTTCTCCGGACTGTGATGCGAGCCCTGCCTGACGCTGGTATTCTCTGCCTCAGCCGCGTACGCCTTCAAGTCTTTGTAGGACACCGTGTCCAGTGCCGCCCGGTCTGAAGCGTGCAAGTACACCTTCGGGACTGCCTCCTTCGCTAGCTGGCCCTCCTGCGCTGCCTTCATAGCTTCCTGCCACCGGTGCGCGCATAAGCACCATTTCATGCCCGGCTTGATGCCGACGTCCTTGAGGTTGTTGCCTTTTGACACCGTAAAGTCAAGGAACTCCTTGTTCACCTCTGCAGCTATCGAGTGATTGCCCTTGTCCTCCGGTCCGACTCTGCAGAAGGAGTCCCGGTAGAATCCAACTGGGGGCTCCTTTTGGAAGGGTGCGAGTCTGCCTCCAGCAACTACGGTCTGTTAGCATTGCTACCTCGCTGTGGAGCAAGAGGTCTCCATACCATTCCAATGCTGCATGGAGTATCCTTGAGGTCCGCCCGACATGATGAAAAGTTCTGCTTGATGAGGATTGATGGAGAAATGGTCCTGAGTGCAGCGATTGATGCTTGGAACAAACGCGAAAACACGAAAAGTTCAAGCTCACTCGGGATGATCAATTACATCACCGTTACGCTCAGATACATGCCGAGAGAGCATCGACGCTAGCGATTCAGCTAATGCAGGTACGATCGGACAATTCACGTGATGTCAATCCTCACTGCGGCAGGACTGATCAAATATTACATGTGAAAGCATAACTCGCAGCTTCACCTGGAACGAGGTCCATTCGGTAGACAGCACACCCTAATTGAATGATGGGATCCCTGATCAATGCACGTAGGTAACAATACCTTCGGTAAGTTGAAGGCAGCATAATTTTCATTTCCATTTACATACACCAACTCACTATTTGTCAAACATCTCAATTTCAACTCCCCTCTTCCCACCGCCTACCCTCTCGGGCGCTGCTGCGATCGTCTTGGTCACGGAGTTGAATGTATCGGGATGATTCCTCCTCTGCTCCTCCAGCACCCGAAGGTAATCCTCTCGCAGTTTCTTCACATCTTTGTACAGTATAGCTCCACCAGCGCGAACGTCCCAGAAAAGCTCCTCAGCCTCAAACACCACATTTCGCAGACTATTTCTTGTCACTCTCAACCGGTTCGGAAGACCTTGACCCTGCATCAATGCCAGCGCACCGGCTATGACCGTCGAAATAGCGCCCAGCACGGCGATCGCGACATGTGTGTCCAAGTTCCCAAGAGCGCCCAGCACGATGAAGACAGCTGCAATTGCGAGTTGTAGGACGAGCAGGGCGTACACCGCTACCGCGAAGGCGCGGTACTTCTCCTGGGTGTGCTTCAGGCTCCGCAGTATCTTTCCAACCAGGCCATTCTTATAGGCCAGCTTGCTCATCTCTTCATGTGCAGAGCTCGGCTCTCGCAGCCCCATCAACTGGTAGAAGTCTTGCACCCCGAGAGGTGTGAGGTCTTGGGCGAGTCGATCAGCTGCGCCGTCAGGATCCTTGACTGGGTCGGCGTCAAAGATGCTCTGCTTTGCTGGGGTGTTTGCGGTTGCCTTTGATTTGGCTTTCTCGATTTGGGTGTCGACCTCTGGCCGTTTCTGTTTTGTGCGCTGTTCCTGCCTCCCGGACGCTCTTGACTTCCCTCCATCCTGTTCATGCGACTGAGCTTGTCCTTGATCGGACTTGGGCGGATGCTGTACACGCTGGCAGGTCAGCGTTGATCAGACGTAACGGCGTGATGCTAAATTCCAGCGTACCAAGTCGGGGGAATTCTGCGTTGCATTCGCCCGCTCGTCCTGCTCCCCCTCGCTGTCCACTCCGTCGTCCTGCCCTCCCTCACCTTTCTCTAGGTCGACATCGTCCGGTCCGTTTCGATCATTCTTGCGACCTCCGCTATACATACTCCCTCTGTAGCTTCGAAGACTTTGCGCGAGGTCGTTCGGAAGCTCGTGCATTGTGGCCCGAGGGCTTCTTCAAGCGCGCAACATCCGGACACCCTTCTGCTAATGATACTACCCAATATGCGTCTCGAGAACAAGAGCAACAGCCTTTGCTGACACTGTTGTCGCAACAACTCCCAGCCTCATCCTTGGGCTGAGCTGACGCGATGACCTCGCCATCCTTACCATTGGCCAATGGCGTCCGATCAGCGACAACGGCTTTCCGAGGAGCGAAGTTTGTCTTGATCCATTGATCTGCCTACCATGGCGTGAACATAGGAACGAAACGGTCGAGGAACCATCAAGGACAAATCGAACGATGGTGATGATGACTGGAGTCCATCGACTTTGCAGCGAGGGAGAAGGAGCAGAGCTTCGACCGAGTCCCTCGCGTCTTCTGCCGCAACCACGACCAAAGTGCTCGCCCTATCTTCAATTTGACCTGAATCTACTGCAGGTACTCCTCACAAACAAGACCTTTCCGACGCGGAATTTATCCTCATCGCGCGGTTATCTCGCGGGTAGGTTGTACATACTAAAACCCGAGTGTGGATCGCCATGTGCGGAGTTAGAGTGTCTTCCCTCCGAACGTCTCGGTGTGACGACAGAAGTATATATTTCGGATCGTCTCTTAGGAAGTCGATTATACACTCCTTGATCTATTATCTCTCCATTCATCGCGCTCCAACATCAGAAACAACAACCACTCAACATGTTTGCAACAGCACCCAAACCAAAGAGCCTGCTGGGCTATCACAGGATCCTCTCGCCGACCGCAGGCGTGAGAGTCTCGCCGCTATGCCTGGGAGCAATGAGTGAGCAAACCCATTCCAACCGAGTGAGCAGAAGGCTAACATGAAGACCAGACTTCGGCGAAAGCTGGAAGCAAGGAATGGGCGAGTGCACCAAAGAGACAGCTTTTGAAATGCTCGACTACTTCTGGGATCAAGGCGGCAACTTCGTTGACACCGCCAACAACTGTACGTTCTTCCTCAGTACCCCTCGTCCATGACTGCACCAGCTAACTCCACCCAGACCAAGGCGAAGAGTCCGAGCAATGGCTAGGCGAATGGATGACTTCGCGCCAGAACCGCGACGAAATTGTCCTCGCCACCAAATTCACCTCCGGCTACCGCGTCGGCACACACGAGAAGGCCAAGTCCAACTTCCAAGGCAACCACTCCAAGTCCCTGCACGTCTCGCTGGCGGCCAGTCTGAAAAAGCTGCAGACGAGCTACATCGATCTGCTCTACGTGCATTGGTGGGACTTCACGACTTCCATCCCGGAGCTAATGAACAGCCTCCACCACATGGTCGCGAGCGGCAAAGTGCTGTATCTCGGAATCAGCGACACGCCCGCTTGGATCGTGGTGAAGTGCAACTGCTACGCCCGCGAACACGGTCTCACGCAATTCTCCGTCTACCAGGGGCACTGGAGCGCCGCGATGCGGGACTTTGAACGCGAGATTCTGCCCATGTGCGAGTCGGAAGGCATGGGTGTGGCGCCCTGGGGCGCCATCGGCCGCGGCTGGTTCAAGTCGAAGGAGGAGTATAACGCCGCGGACCGGGAGGGACGCAAGATGGGCGAGCAGCCGGAGAAGTACGTCCGGATTGCTGGGAAGCTGGAGGAGATTGCTGGTAGGAAGGAGAAGGGAACTTTGATCACGTCTGTGGCGCTGGCGTATGTGATGGCGAAGGCGCCGTACGCGTTTCCAATTGTGGGCGGGAGGAAGGTGTCGCATCTGAAAGGCAACATTGATGCTTTGGGGGTGAAGCTGACGGACGAAGAGATTGATGAGATCGATGGGGCGGAGCCGTTTGACGTTGGGTTCCCGTTGAACTTCTTGTTTGGTAGGAGTAAGGAGGGGTACAAGCAGGGGAAGAGTACTGCGAGGGATATCCAGCTGGTGGTGACGAACAACAGGATCGAGACCGTGCAGAAGGTGAAGCCGATCGAGCCGAGACAGGGAGAGGAGTTCTACGGGGACTGAAAGGTGCATGAGGAATTGGGCTAGGTAGACAAGATCATCTGAACGGTAGTAATCTCAAGTCAGCAACGAAAGATGTCTCCATGGTTTCATCCCCATAACGTCTATCTGCTGGCCCATCGTCTCCTTTCCAGAACAATCTCACTCTCGCGCGGGGTAAGTAGGAGGTCTACCCTCTCTGACCCAGCTGCAGCAGCCGCTTCCTACGCGTCGAGTTGATCCAAAGCTTCGCGCGCCCGAGCCAGAGGGAAGATATAAACGTCTGTGTAACAGTCAAGAGGCAGGGTCAATCCAGTGCCGACCAGAGGATGGGCAGCGGAGCTCAAGCCTGACAAGTGTGTCTGGCTGGATTCGAGAGGCGCTCCATCTGTGGCATTGCTGAGGTTAGCAGTCGATGGGCCGATGCCAAGTTCTACTAACACAGGTGCAAGGATATCGCCATCCAGAACTTCTTCGGCTTCGCGACCACGACCGCTGATCGACCGAGCACTAGGTCGAAACCATAGGCCGTCATCGTGCACACTCTCCTAGAGTCCAGCCATCTGCCTGATAGCTACCTTCTGTCGCTCTCTGACGTCCAGGTCGACGTCGTTCTCCAGTTTACGCACAGCTTGTTCGAGCCCAAGCTCTCTCAGCTTCCTTGCCCTCTCCCTCGCACCTTCGCGGTCGCTGTCGTCTTCAACCCAGGTAAGGGAGTTCATGGACCAGATGCAGATGATGCGCACCCGGCGGTCAGTGTGCGCAAAGTGGGGAACCCAGGCTCGCAGTAACGGAACCTGAGCGATGAGGAGGGACTTGTGTCGAGGAGAGCTGCCGCAGATGTGCGTGAGGACATGAATGACTGCTATGATGATCGATGTCGCGTGATAGAGTGGTCGATTGCCGAACTCGGCGAGCGGCGACAATTTCTCTGTGAGCAGGCCGAAGAGTTTCTCGGAGCCAATGTGCTGCAAGAGATGATCAATCATTGCTTCGACATGGTCCGGACCGGATATGAGGTTGCGAATGAAGTCGAGCGACTGCTCTTGGACGAAGACGTCCATTCTCTTTGCCCGCAGGTTGGGATCCTGCTCCATCTCCCTCATCGCCGACAGGTGTCGGTCTGCACTTAGTGATGATGAGTCTGCCGGTGGTTGTAGTGTCGATCGAATTCCAGATGTATGGTAGTGCGTGCCGCTGCTCTCGTCGAGCATGACTTCGCCATCTTCTTCTTCGTCGTGAGATGACTCATCCTCTTCGCCGTTGTCGCCACCGTACCCTTCATCGACGTCCATGGAGGTCGTAGGGTTAAGGAGATCGACCTGTTCGCCTGCCGCATTGGGGGCGCTCAAACCACTTCCGGCCGACTGCCACACGCTGACGCCGCCTCCACTCGATGCAGCCAGAGGGTTGTGATCATACTCGCCCTGTATCGCACCAACAAGCCAGCCGGAACCTAGTTCCTCAAAGCACCGAATCCTACATTCCTTCGTATTGTTGAGTGCGAGGTGCTTGATCGCCCATAGGCTGCTCAGCCTCAAATCCATATCGCTGCCCTTGATATTCCTGGCTAGCACTTCTACCACACCCTGGGTCACGAGCTCGTCTCTCATAGGACTGAACTCGAGGAGCAAGTTGCAGATGACATCAGTAGCTCCGATCTGAACGCTACGGTCTGGGTGGTTCTTTGTCAATTCAAAGAGGGGATGAGCAATGGCGGCGTCGACGAGAGTCGTGCGTAGCTTCGAAACCGACCGAGACAATGATTGCGCAGCGCTGCAGGCAGCGAGGAGCACCGGGACAGTGTTGCCATCTTTAGGCGACACTGGACCCTTGCCAGCGAACGCATCTGCTGGAAAAGGCTTCAGCGAGTCCATAATGCATTGTACAATACCGGCCTCGATGATGGCACCCCTATGGGTGTCATGTGTTCCGCCCAAAGCAGCGATTGCGTTCAGGGCACTTTGCCGACAACGCATTGCATGCGCAACCTCGCTGGGTAGGCCTCTAGTACCCATCGTTGTCGAGTCCAAAGAAGTGACGTGGTCGTTCGAGTTACTTTTCGCAGACCACATCGGTTTCGACGGAGAGACGGCATCGAAAGTCTTCTTGAGTAAAGAGCATACTCTTTTGATGGCACCCGCATGGACCGCCGCGGCTTGCAGCTCTTGACTGGGATGAACAAGTTCTGCTAGGACGTCGCAGGCGTGCTCTTGGATCTCGCGGTGCTCGCGGTCGTCTGCCGTTGGCAGATCTGGAGATGGCACTTCGACAGCAGTCTGGATGAGTTGGGCGGCAAGAGGAATAGCAAGCATTGAGATCTGCTTTTCTCGTTCGCGGGCACGCTGTAAGCTTTCACTCCGCGGGCTGACAAGCTCTGAACTCGCGTCAATCGCATTATTAACCAGTGCAACAAGACGCAGAGCTTTCATTCGGTTGGTGCCATGCATCAACCGTGCCATGAAGAGTAGCCAGCCACAGACGGCATTCGCATGCTCGATGTCGGCGCTCTGCTGAGTGAGAGTGATGCCGGCACCAGAATACTGCCCGCGCTCCGGCTGTAGACTTTTCAAAGCGGGGAATGCAGAAGATGAGTTGGTAAATGACACACTCTTGGTTTGAGGCACGTGAAGTGACGGTAGAAGAGCCGCAGCGGAACCTGGACGGGCAGGAAATGCGCGACTCTCCCAGAACTGCGTGGCTGCGTGAGCGAACAGCCCGCGCAGGGCTCGAGACAGGATGAATGATTGTGCGCGGAAGTTCGATCCGCTGATGATGGCAGCGATTGCGGATAGAACCACGGGCAGGGTTGCTTCGGACGGCGGTGGTGGAAAGAGGTCCGTGGAGCCACGATAGTCGAAATGTTGGTTAGCAATAGCATAGGAAGCGAGCAATGCGGCAAGATCGTCGAGTCGGCCAGACTCTGTCAAGTGGGAGCGAGCGCTTTCGGTTGTGGCGGAGACCGCAATTATACTGATGATCAGTCTGAGTTGCACCCCAGCAGCACTCGACTGGTCAATCTGTTGGATGTCCGGAAAGGCAGACTGCATGGACTCACTGCCGAAGAGGTCGATGGAGATCTGCTCGTCATTCTGGCCATCAAGGCTTGCAGAAGTGGCGAGGCTTCGCAGCGCTTGTAGAGTGGCTGTGGTGATCCTAGGCGGGACTGGAGTCGTCAGACATTCGAGTAGGTGTGAGTCTGCATGTGCAGCGAGCAATGGCGGCACGAATGCTCGTCCTCCGTTGGCCAGACTGCCGATGATCTGAATCGCCTGCAGTCTTGCTTCGTTTTCAGGAGACCACCCTCCTTCCGTAGCCGATGTCGAGACGCCATTATCTTCCGACGCGCGCCGCTTGCCCGTAGCCTTGTGCGCTGCCGTGAGGATATCGACCAGTGGCTGAATCACGCCCTGCTTGACGATGAGCTCCTTCCTCTGGTCGTGGCCCACGATGTCGTTCTTCAACTGTCGCAGTGTCGCGATTTGATGCTCGAGCGAAGGGGCATTGCGGATGGCCTCGATCGACTCCGCCGAAGGACCTGCCACCATCTCCGCTGCATGTGAATATCCGTGGCTTGGCTGCAAGATATCGCCACAGTGAGTGGGTGAGGTCGCACGCGAGGTCGGGCTTGGAAGTTGTTGCTTCTTCAGGACGGACTTGCTCCGATCGGCGTACGCGGGAGGGCCCGTGTCGATCGGAACTGCTGCCGAATACTGAGCCCACGTGCTTGGTTGCTGCCACTCTGGTGGGCTGGTGGTTTCACTCTCTCACCTGTCACCGCAAGGCTGATCCCATTCACCTACGAACCTTCGACTCCTTACGCGCCTCTCTGCGGGCGCGATAGAGTCTTTACTACGACATACTACGTCTTCCTAGTCGCTCCTGCCCTACGAGAGCACCCGCTTCGAAGCACAGAAGAGGCAGGCACGAGGCTGTCCTTATAATTATGCGCCACCACCCGTATCAGACTGCGAAGAAAGACTGGGGAACAGCAGTGCGGTTTTCCGAATACATCGGCCATTCTCAATGTCCACCTTGACGTCCTCGCCATCGCCGGCTGCATCACCTCGATCCTCCTTCCACGTCCAGCGAAGCAGCTATTCCAGCCACTCCTTCAGTGCGCCGTCGCCCAAACAGCGAGGCTTCAATGCATCGCCGGTACAGCGCGCATCAGGGTCCACAGGAGGCTCCAAACAGCCACGCGCACACTACTCTGAAAGCCCGGCTATCGAGAAGAAGCCGCACACATACGTAAACCAGGGCACACAATATAGCCCGGACGGATATCCTCCCACCGCTGGAGATCAGCCAGATAGAAAGACAGACCGGGAAGGTGCGCCCTCGTCGGCCACGAAGAAGCGGAAGGAGCCACCTTCTCTCTCGGCGCCTGACCCAATGAGCACATCTGCGGCGTCGTCCGCCTCAAGCATCCCCTCGAGACCTCCCACGGAGCCCGAGCCACGCCTCGACCCTACTCCCGCTCCTTCGTTCTCTACCACGGCCAGCTCGGCTTCAGCACACCCTCCTGCTGGGCAGCATGCCGAAACGCAAGAAGCTCGCTCCACACACGGTCACTCCAGTACACCGAAACGATCGCGTACCGATTCGGCTCCGGCTACAGTGATGCCAGTACTGTACCAAAACTGCAACCCGAAAGCCCTTGGTGTGCTTGTCTCCAACATGCTCATGGAGCTTATACGTCTCAACGACCAAATACCACTCCGCGACGGCCGCCTCACACGCTTCCATTCCCGCGCACCACCTGGCATAAGTGTCTCAAACTACCTGCAACGCCTGATTCATCACGCCACAGTTTCACCCCCGATCTTGCTGAGTATAGTCTACTACATCGACTTATTATGCCAGAAGTATTCCAACTTCACCATCAACTCCCTGACCGTCCATCGCTTTTTGATCACGGCAGCAACGGTGGCGGCGAAAGGGCTCAGTGATTCATTCTGGACCAACCCTACGTACGCCAAAATCGGAGGCATACCGGTATCGGAGCTGGCAACCTTGGAACTGGAGTTTTTGCATAAGGTGGAGTGGAAGATCGTTCCTAAGCCGGAAGTGCTTGAGGAGTATTATCGTAGTCTGATAGAGAGAACGGAAGGCTTTGAGCTGGAGCAGACGGGAAGCAGCAGCAGCAGCTTGCTGGAGGACAGTGAGGAGGACAACACGGATGGTGATGAGATCATGGCTGATGAACCCACGTGATCAGATGAAATGATGCAGGAATGAGAACAGATACTCACAACTCCAGTATGTCTTTCTCTCGTCCCAATCCGACATTCTCATCCTATTTATGCTACGTCGAGAGGATGGGGGTGCTGGACGTCGTCTCCACAGACATGCAGTCGTCTTGCAACTGCCGGGGAAGCTTCTGCCGAGCTACCTGTATCTCCACCTTACCTCACTTGACCTTCCATAACAGGGACCATCTTCATGGTCTCATGACGAATACGAGTCGCTCCAAATTTCTCCAGCAACAACGCAAATCTGCAAAGCATACAAAACTGTCACTATGGGCTCAGCGGAAATGCCCACCATTCAATCCATCTACAGCAAAGGCATTCACCATGGCCTACCAGATCTCTCATACGCACCGAAGGGCATGACAGCTATAGTCACCGGCGCCAATGGCATCTCTGGCTCACACATGGTTAGTATTGCTCTCAACCGCCGACCTCCAACGGGACTGACAACATCCACCAGATTAAGATTTTGGCCGAGAGTCCCGAACGATGGAGCAAGATATATGCTATGTCTCGACGGCCACCGTCCGGTAGCTGGCCGAAGGACGTCGAACACATCCCGGTTGATTTCTTGCAGAGTCCGGATGAGATTGCTAACATACTTAAGGAGAGGAATATCAAACCTGATTACGTTTTCTTCTTTTCTTATGTCCTTGTTGTCGATGAGAGTGGTGCGCTCCAGTGGAGTGATGATAGATTGATCGAGAAAAACAGTGAGTGGCGATACATCTCTTGTCCAGATCAACGCTGACGTGTGCGCAGATTCGTTGCTCTCCAACCTGCTCGAAGCGCTCCCACTAGCCAATGCACTTCCAAAGCGACTCTTCCTCCAGCTCGGACAGAAGTGGCACGGCGTCCATCTCGGCGCCACCGACATACCTGACGAAGAAAGCGACAAACGCATCGATGAGCCGAATCTCTACTACACCCAACACGACATCCTCACCAGCTTCTGCTCCAAACACAACATCGGCTGGAACACCTCCTTCCCCTCCTTCGTCATCGGCTGCACCCCCGACTCAACCCAAACGCTCGCCTACCCGCTCTTCATCTACGCCTGCGTGCAGAAGTACCTTGGCCGGCCTTTGGAGTACCCGAGCGACATCACCGCCTGGTACGCTCCACAATCCCTCTCAAACGCCGTTCTGAACAGCTATCTATACGAATGGTCCGTCCTCGCTCCGAACACCGCGAACCAAGACTTCAACGCTTCGGATGCCTGCGCTTTCACGTGGGGCAAGATGTGGCCCCGGCTGGCCGAGTATTTCGGGATGGACTACACCGGTCCTGTCGACGCTTCCACGACTCAGATGCAGGAGAAGGGCATGCCTTGGGCGACGCCTCCGCATGGCAAAGGGTCGAGAAGTACCATGAGGTTCACGTTTAGCTTTGTTGAGTGGGCGCAGCAACCGAAGAATGTGGCGGCGTGGAAAGAGTTGGTGACGCAGCATGGGTTGACGGATGACGATTGGTCGGATGTTGGATCTGTATTTGGGAGGGCGAACTTTGCGCTGCATCGGCCGTATCCCAGTATTTTGAGGTGAGTTTGGAAGCAATACATTCGAAGGAAAAGTGATGCTGACCACAAGCGCTCCCCAGTACGACTAAGGCAACGAAGCACGGCTGGCATGGTTTTGTCGACTCGTATGAGTCCATCCTGTCGGTCGCGAATGAGTTTATCGCGGCGAAGGTTATACCGGATCCGAAGAACATCACAGCTAAAGCGTAGCGATGAGGAAGACCTGGTTCTTGCGTTCATGGTCGGCATGGTCTCGATCGAGCCTCTGCGACAAGCCTGGAGTGGTAGGAGAGACTGTACTCCCGGGCCAGTAAACACTCGGATCTGCTCAGGGATGCCATCCTGTTGTCACTCGATCTTTCCGGAGCCAATTCCAAATCGATCGTAACGAATCTGCTGATCGTCAGGCTGTCTATCGCTCCGAGTTGGCATTGAGAAGCGTGTGACTGCAGCTCGAGTGGTCTACATGTTTGCTTGCTGAGCATTGTTTGGCTTGATCCAGGGCGGCTGTCAAAGTTCTTCCCGGGTGGCCTTGCGATCCAGCTGTCCGGCACAGACATACCAGACCCTTATATCTACAGGCCTCGCTTGCTCCTGTAACGAAGTATACATACAGGCCATACAGAACTATCCGAACTGCGAAACCCCACTAAAGCACTCGCAAGACGACCATGTCTTCCAGCAAACGTCCGGAAGCTCTGTCACGGCGTTCGAGCCCATTATCAGGTCCGGGTCCGCCGACTCCTCGCCCGAATGATCAGCAGGCTATACGGCATCGCATGTCTATCGATAACGTAAAGGAAGCGCCGCCGCCGCCGCCCGATTCGACCGAAGCTGTGATCAAATTCTACACACCTTTCAACACCTGGGTCGACGCAGATGGTGTTTCTGGCGAGCGGGCAGCCTATCTGGAGATATACAAACTGTCGCAAGCTGCAGATCGAGCCCGATGTCTCGATCACAGCAAAGCGCTCAAGCTCCCCGACAACGACGACGACGGTCTATTCCAGACTCTCTCGCTGTGCTATCCGGATGTCACGAGGATCGAAGTGCACTTCCTTCTCATTCCTGGATATCTGGAGGATGGACGGCGCATAGTCTCTATTCACGAATGCATGGAATCAAGCCTCGACAGTGTCAGTGGTGAGCTCGGAAAGGATACCAGACGAGCGCTGAGTGTCTTATGGCCACTTCGGGCCCTGCGCTATCCCGTTGTCACGGTGAATGGGCGCCGCGAAGGCCCTCTGTACGAGAGTGTCGTGACCATGTTCATGAACGGCCCACCTGTACCGCCTCCGCGCAGCCGGGAAGTGGAATCTGGTCGCAAAAGAGCTTTGAGCCCGTCTAACGAGTCCGACCAAAGCCCCTCATCGGACGAAGAAGAATCACAAGCTGCATTGCAAGTGAAGTTCAAGATACCCAGGAAGAAGGCAGCGGAAGCGTCAGAAGGAGTGACCGTCAAGCTGTCGAGTGTCGAATCTCCGCTTTGGAAGACGAAACGTTTACTACCGTTGGAAATTAACCACGTCGACGGTCTTCAGCTCTACACTAGCCAACACTTCCCTTCGATCCGATGTGTGATAGCCAAGTTCTTGCTCGACAAGGCAGGCATCGAGGCAGCAGGCATGGACGACCTCAGGCATGCGGTGGACATCCTCTGGCGCCTGAAGTATAGGGTCGAGTTCTTCATCTGGGTCGGGTTCCCAAGTAGTATTGATGTTGAGGATACAGATCGTGCGGGCAGTCTGAATCTTGTCAAGGACCTCTTTTTATCAGGCGCTGGTACTGAAGGTAAAGTCAAGGTGGACGAAGATGGGAGCATGGGTTTCGGCGCAGGGACACATTACATCACGTGGAAGACTTGAGCATAGCTTTGCTGCGGCGGGCAAGGCAATTTCAATGCTAGAGGTACGTGTACAGTTCTGATTCGAATTCATTCTACACTATCTCTGTCCTGCGTTCAGATGTCTTAGGTTGCAACCTATTCGTTACCTACGTGATACAACTATGACTCTAGAGGATGGGACAGTATTCACCACGTTCAACCGGCACGGAAGCACAAGCCAAGTCTCACCAAGCACGCTGTACAATCGTTACTTGGGAGAAGCTACGGTAAATACCAATGTCGAAGGCCCGTTTGCTCGCCGGCGAAGCAAACCCGACAAATGCTCTACGTGGCAAGGAATGTCGTCGTGGTCATGGAGTCGTAGCGCTCTGGACTCAAAGTCGACAAGCTTCTACTCCTCCACAGTGGCACGATACTCAAACGGCCCACGATCGAAAGACCCGACAACGTGACCATCTTGATTCCTTCTCCCAAACATGAGTGACCCAGGGTCATCCCAGACGACGTCGACACCCTCAGCTCCTGCTCCGAGCAGTGAAGCCTCGCCACGACCTGGCCCGCCGAACGAAGGTTCCACCCAAGACCGTCATACTTCTATACTGGCACGAGTGACTTTCGATGTTCCTTTCCGGCAGGATACAGAAAGCAGAAACATCCCGGGCAAGCGCACGGCCGAAGTGGCCATTTGCAAAGGAGAACAATGGACCGGGAAGACTCAAACCCTAGGTTCCACCCATACCGTAGAGTTGAACGACGACAACGATCTGTCCTTCTACTTGTTGTCGAACTTCCCAGCCGTCTCACACCTCGACGTCGTCTTCAAGCTTCGCCCAGGCTTCCTGCGAGGCCACATCCTTCTGGATTTGGAGGACGGCCTCCGTAGCGGTGAGATCGGCTCAGACGTAAACCGAGCCGTGATCGCACTGTGGCCGCTACGGACTAACGTCGACTTTATCATCGAAGTGAACGGCCGTCGAGAAGGTAACTTGTACAGGATGGCCGTCTTCATGTTCTTGTTTAATGCTGAGTTGGACCTGCTTCATGGCGCAAGAAGCATTGATACTGAACGCTATTTCGGTCTCGAAGATGTGGAGTACCTCACTTGGAGATGGAGGCCTGGAATCTAGGCGAGCATACTATACCGGACCCCCAGTTGATGAATGAGTACTCGGAGAAGCGGGAGGGGAGGGAGCTGAGGCGGCCGGCGAGTGAGTCGTGAAGGCATGTGATACTGTAGTGTGCCGATCGATCGCTATGCGGAGAAGCTTGAGTGACAGAGTAGGTAGCAGATGTTGAGCTGACGATTGGACGTCGGAGACCAGTCAACGAACAGGCGCGTGGCCAGCACAACAAGGAGTCTTGCCACTATGCAATATCAGTCAGTTGCGTCACCCAGCATTCGACAATGACTGTTCACTTCGAGACAATCGCCGCGTTTTCCTTTGACTCTGAAACACTGCAAAGCAAGGACTCTCTCGACTCTCCTCCTACTTGCAACGTCACATCACCATCGACACTCTTGATCGCAGCCCAAACAGCCAGTCCTTCCTCAGAACACCATTCACAGCGAGACACGACCACTGTCCAAGCGCACATACCCAACAACTCTCTCGTTGAAACCTCGGAAACATGAGCTCCATCACTGAGCCAACTGCTACCCAAGAAGCCTCAGTTTTCCGGGAGGTTCCCGCTGATCGAGCGGCGACTGCTGTTTCAGAGGTGACTGCTGTTCAGGTGGGATACCGGATCCCACGAGAGAACAGAAACTCGATACTAGTCGAGATTGACCCCCTTTGTGGTTTCCCGCTGTGGGTGAGAAGCAGTTTGGGTCATGCTGAAGTGGAGCTTACCAGGACTCACGATCTACTCTCGCATGTCCAAAGTAACTTTCCAAATGCCAATCAGGTTGTGGCGCGTTTGTACAGCAACAGAAATTTCACTGACGCAGAATGCTCAGACGACATTATCAGATTTATCAGGGCTCTCTGGCCCTTGCGACACACCTGCGAATTTGCTCTGGAGATGAGATTTCTTAACTCGATGCCTTGGGGGCCCTACAACCAACAAGGCTTTATAAAGACCTTCAAGGACGTTTTCGCGGCTGGAAAGTGGCCTTCAATCGGGCCTGCTAATGTATACTGGGATGTTCATGGAGACTTTGGGTTTTTCCAGAAAGTGTGGGTCTTCACTTGGTTGCGATGTCGCAACGACGATGGAACCCTGCAGTATCGGCAGCCTTCTGGCCCTGGGGTCACAGGTGGAAGTGATGTCGGGGCGCTGCCCAGCGGGCAACAGTCTTGTGGATAGATCCTTGCAGTTGGCCACCTGGCCAACTGCATATGTATGTAGTTCTGGAGAACCCATTACCGACCCTGAAACACTCATCGATACTCTCGAGTCAAATGTTCCCCAGCCTGCTGCTGCTTCGAGCTTTACGGCGTGGCAGTAGTACGGTCAGACCATCCGCCCTGACAAATCGACAGGAGGCTCCAGTGAAATAGTGAATGCTGGATCGGCTGCGATAGTGGCACAACCAATGAACCGCCCCAGACTGCCAGCTGGCAGCTGCAGAGCGCAATGGGAAAGCAAGTGCCATCGGCCAGGGGGGTTCAAAGTAGGCGGTGCGCATGCAGTCAGCCTGGGATCTCTGTACTCCGCCAGCCTGCAGACACCGACAGCGTCTTGTTCGCTCGGTACAGGCAGGCCTTCGTACGAGGTATGTGAGTCCAGAAGCAGTCATACTCTCGGGCGCAATATTCACCTGCGTAATTATCAATCGACACATCGAATTGGGGTATAAGACAGCGCCTTGTTGCGGCCCCAGACCTCCTCTTTCTTATTCCTGAACATCACTTGAGGTCGAACGAAGTCACCCAGCGACTTTCACAGACTCGAGCACTTACATCTGCAACACTTACTTCAGAGCCATTCAAACATGACCACCAGAGCAAGGAGTGATTCGACGGACGATGGACCATCTGAAGGTTCCAAGAAGCAGAGGGTTGGCGAACATTCACCAGAGCGACCCCAGGCCATGGAGGCAAAGTTCAAATTTCCACTCTACGGCAAGCACAGAGACGAGCCATGCAGCGTCGAGATCAATTTTTTGGACAACGACAGCCGCCCAGAACACCACTCTCGCCTTTTCCTTGAAATCCACGGTGAGCGAGACCTACTGAAGTGGCTCGAACTCAACTGTCCCTCGGTCAAGCGCATCTGGATCCGCTTCCACTTCACGAGTACGGTATACGACAACCAAACCGAATGGGATATCGCGTACGCATCGGAAGTGCTTCAGTGGTTGCGATGGCGTTGCGAGTATACTATGGGAGTGGATGTTAACGGCTGGGCCCCTCGTGACTGGGACCTCCTCTCGAAGTGTAAGAAGGTGTTCTTAAGAGAACCCCTCCGGGGTATTCAGGCGGACGTGCTGATCGATCGGGATGGGTCGACGTGGGGTCGTGATACGGAGTACTACTCCTGGCGGCGGACTCATGGCGAGCTCATGCCGCTGTTGGACTTGCGATGAGGAATAATGGCGTCTGTACGGTTGGCAGCAATGAGACCTTCATGTCTGGGAATTGCACTTCTGTTTGGGGAGCGTTTCCAGGCAGTGTGAGCGACATGGCACGTGTTTGTACGTGTATGTAGCTTGCCAAGCCATACCAAATCACAGCTAGTTCTGAGATCTATCGGGACTCCTCGATACTGGATCATGTAATTCCGTCCTTCAGGAGACGCCAATAATTGAGGTCGTGGAATCTGGACACTCAGGTGGCATAGAAACAGAAACAGAAACAGAAACAGGGAGGTGAGGTGCGCAACCCTGAAAAGAGCAAGCGGAAGCGGAAGCGACGACAACCACATCCCGAACCTTCATCTCTCCTCGTCGACACCCTCACATCCATTGAGCCACCAAGATGTTACCAACATTCGCAAGAAGGGTAAGTGGCTATCGGGCACTCATGTGCGCACTCATTGACCAGCTTGTAGTCGCAATACGGCACCAGGAACGAAGGAGCTCGCGGCGTGCAACCATGGCGGCAGCGGGTTGAGTACGAGACTTTCAGGAGCAAATACGCACCGCAGTAAGCCCCCATCATTTACAGGAGGCCTCACCATGAGCAGCGCTGACAGCAGAGCGTAGATACAAGATCCAGCCCCATTTCCACGGCATCAACCCATCGAACGGCGCAAGATAGTACGATCCTCCCAACGCCTCGCAGTCGCCGACCAAAGACTCTGCTAACACATCCTCAGCGCAATGATCAGCGGCGCATTCGCTGTGGCTGCGGGCACGGGAGTACTGCTATTGTTCGATGCTGTGCCGAAGGTGCAGAGGGATATTCTTCAGAAGGTGCCGATCATTGGGCCATACTTTGTGCACGAGGTGCCGCCGGAGGACAACCCGTTCTAGAGGATGAACGATAAAGGAGAGGAGAGGGAGAAGAAGGCGTACGGCGGTGTATTCTAGATGGAGGTAGGAAGAGCAAGACCTGTACAAAGTCGTGCTGTCTACAAAAGTGTCGGTCGGTGTCGTAGCTCTCAATTGTCGTTTGGATCAAGCGGCGGTACGCTTGTCAGTGGGAGCATGAGTCCAGAATGCAGAAATGGCACAACGGGAGTAAGTACGTTTTATACACATCACGCCCCAAAAGACACGTGCGGTCGCGGGGTGCGTGAAGAGGTTCGCTCCTTCCTCTTGCGATCATTTCGCGAAGCAGGCGCGCCACACTAGCGCGGCAGCACTTAACAACCCTTTTCACCTCTCCCACACTGACTTTCTCTTACACCACACTCGCACCACGCCTTACTCCCAATATAGCGGCCAAACACGCCACCCTCGACGGGCTGCTCGTGCAGATGACGGCGACCAGCAATGTTGACGGCATCTCCCTAAGCGACGTGCACGCGTTCGCCGCTCAACTATCTGCAGCCGCCCAGAAGGAACGTCTCTCCACTGCCGAGACCATCGCCGTGCTTAAGAAGCACATCGATACCATTCGTGAGGGTAACGCCACGCAGGCACTACCTAATGAACAGGTCGGCGAACAGCGCACGCGCGTTGCGAGTTCCGCTCAGGATGCTGTGATGACGGACTCGACGGTCACCCACGGTGCCAACGCCGCAAAAGAGATTCACGAGCTGAATTTGCTGAAGGTGGAGCAGCAGCAACGCGTGACTCTGCTCGAGAGGGAGGTGCAAAGCCTGAAGGCAAAAGAGCCCGGCGAGATCACTGAGCCCAGCGAAGAAATTGTCAATTTGTTGTGGGATCTGAAGTCACAGAACAAATCGTTGCGCGGTGAGAAAACGGCGTTGGGGAACAGGGTTCGGCACCTGGAGCAAGCAAGACAGCCCACTGCAGACGCGGAAGAGATGAGCGAGTTGAAAGCCAAAGTCGGAGTGCTCAAAACAGAGGTTCAAAGAGCTAGTGCGAAGTGCAAGACCTTCAACGAGACTACCAACGAACGCAACAAGCTGTTAGAAAAGGTCATCGAGCTCAGAGCCGACAAGGTGCGCCTCGAATCGGAGATTCACCAACTCAAGTCAAAGTCATGTAACGCCACCGGCATGACCGCAGCTGTTTCAAAGGATTTGAGGCTGCCGCCTACGGATGGGATGGTTCGTGGTCGCGGGCAGTGGCATGAGAAGGAGAATCAGCAGCTTAAAGTGAACACTGCTAGCACATTCGCTCGGACCAATGCGGCCCAGGCAACACGTCCTGCTACTGCATTTGGCCGGTTTGGTGGACTTCCTGTCCCTCTGAAAGCTTCGGCGGATCATGCAATGGAGCCTGCTGTCGCTACCATCCCACCCAGCGCATTGAGGGCTCTCCTGGACAACCGTACGCTCGGGTCGAAACCAACGGTGCGCCTCCCCAAGTCGGAACACTCCTTGCGTACAGGCACGGCATCAGCTGTGGCGCCAAACGACCCTCAGCTTCGCTCGCAATCAGTTGTGGCGACGAATGCTGCCTGGGACCAAAGGTTCCAGGCTCTCTTCAGCCGTGCGCCTGCTCCTTCGTCGCCTGCTGCCTTACCTTTTGGGTCTCGGCCTTCAGTCTTCTCAGACCCACGTTCAGACCAATATGGTGACGTCTCAGCCCGCAAGAGAGGACCAGTGGAGCACGAGCAGGAGAGCAATGTGAAGAGGATGAAAGTGGAAGGTTCATCGGGCGGTGACCGCGTCTGTGGGCACTGTCGTGAACAGGATCTCAAGTGCGACGGGAGGTCTCCGTGCAACAATTGCTTCGGACGTCTCCGCAGTTGCAACTACACGACTGTGTGGGCACACCGCGGGGCGGAGGGTAGTGACTCGTCCTCTAGTCCTCTGCGTGGTCTCGGTGGTGCGGCGGGATCTGCTTCCCAGGCTCACGACCGCACCACCGGAGCTGCGCAGAAGGGCAGTGGTTCGCATCTCCCCAATCCGTTTCTGAGACGGGATTCAGTCCATGTAAGTACGCCTCACCGAGTCTCGGGTCTACAAAGTTAACGCAGAGCAGCAGAACAATTTTGGTGACGCTGTCGACCAGCTCATCCTGGGCGAGAAGGCAAAGACTCAGCAGCTCACGGCTGAGGAGGCCCGTCGCTTCTGGCCGCCGACAACGTTCAAGTACGACCGCAGTTAGAGTGTGACTGGTTTGTAAGTCGAAGCAGCCGGCAGCAGATCATATGTTGCGAGCGAGGAGAACATGTGCTGCGGATGACTCGTCCGTTACGGCGCCCCGTATGGCACAACTATGGCAAGTGGTGGGAAGACAGCATCAGCCACATGTAATCTTCTTGTGGCAACTGGGGCACATCACGCGGATAGTGCGCTTTACGAGTATCCTCTTATGGACTCTTTGCTGGGTGTGATTGTGACCATAGCATGTAGCTTTATCTGGCAAATGACACACGCTTTACAAATCCGCTGCTCTCAGCCACGCCGAAGACGGTCCGATTGATGATACAGCTGCTCATACTACTCAATATTGACGACTGTAGCTCGGCAGGTGGGCGTGCTACTTCTCCATGATGGTGAAGGGTATGGAGGGGGAATCGGGAGGAGTATAACGATATCCATATCGTCTTGGAGAAGAGAAGCATCGGGAAAAACAGGAAGCATCGGAGCGCGCCGCGAGGCCTAAGGTGGGCTGTTCGCTCGGCTCGGCTTCAGGGCCCTTTGGGCCGGTTACGGCCATGAACATGTGTTGTGGTGGTGTTTCTCGCAGCGTATAAGAAGGAATGCTATCGGACTTCATATAGGCCTGCAAAACAACATTTCGAGTGGTCAAGATAGAAGGTAAAGCAAGTTCAAAGGTGTGAGGTCAAGCCCCCACCGTCATTCGTGCGAACGCCTTCAACCCAAGTCAACGAAAATCCGACCCCACCAAGACAGCCTCGCAGTAAACACTGACTCTTCACACCTTACAGCGTTTCAATCTTGGACATACAAGAGACACAGAGTAAGCGGCGAGATTTGGCGAAGATACTTGATCCTCATTGACATCGCGCCAGCTCAATCTTCCACCACACAAGACACCACTACAACATGCCTGTCAAGGTGGGCACCACCAGCTTCACGAACGACCTCGAGGACAACGTACTGATGGTGATCACAGGTCGGAATCAACGGCTTCGGTCGTATTGGCCGCATCGTCTTCCGCAATGCGTGAGTAAGAGAAGTCTGTGAGCATGGGACACAAGCTGAGCATGTGACAGCGTCGAGCACCAAGACATTGAGATTGTTGCTTGCAACGACCCCTTCATTGAGCCACACTACGCCGTAAGTCTGCCTATACAGACTCCACAAGAGCAATGGGAAAGCAGGCGAGAGCTTCACTGATACATGACCCGCAGGCCTACATGTTGAAGTACGACTCCCAGCATGGCGTGTTCAAGGGCGACATCGAGGTCGACGGCAAGGACCTCAAGGTTCAGGGCAAGACTGTGCGATTCTACACCGAGAAAGACCCGGCCAACATCCCATGGAGCGAGACCGGCGCCGAGTACATCGTCGAGTCCACTGGTGTCTTCACCACCACCGACAAGGCCAGCGCACACTTGAAGGGTGGCGCGAAGAAGGTCGTCATCTCCGCCCCATCCGCCGACGCACCAATGTTCGTCATGGGTGTGAACAACAAGGAGTACAAGTCCGACATTCCCGTCGTCTCCAACGCCTCCTGCACCACCAACTGCCTTGCTCCGCTCGCCAAGATCATCAACGACAAGTACGGTCTCGTCGAGGGTCTGATGACTACCATCCACTCCTACACTGCCACCCAGAAGACAGTGGACGGCCCATCTGGCAAGGACTGGCGCGGTGGACGCACGGCGGCACAGAACATTATCCCTTCGTCCACGGGTGCCGCCAAGGCCGTCGGCAAGGTCATCCCAAGCCTGAACGGCAAGCTCACTGGCATGGCCATGCGTGTCCCGACTAGCAACGTCTCTGTCGTCGACTTGACTTGCCGTATCGAGAAGGGTGCGTCGTACGATGACATCAAGAAGACCATGAAGGAGGCTGCCGCTGGAGAGTACAAGGGTGAGTGCAATACCCCAGGTGACTTCGAAGCTCATACTGATGTTCTGTTCCAGGCATCCTCGGCTACACCGAGGACGAAGTCGTCTCAACCGACATGAACGGCAACGTGAACTCCTCCATCTTCGACGCCAAGGCCGGCATCTCGCTCAACGACAACTTCGTCAAGCTCGTCAGCTGGTACGACAACGAGTGGGGCTACTCCCGCCGTGTGCTCGACCTGCTCGCCTACATGGCCAAGGTCGACGGCCACCAGACCAAGGAGGTCTAAACAGGGTTTCGTGCAGCACAGCCGAGACTGTCCTCCCTTTCGTGTGACGAGAACGAGTATGACTGGGCGGGGGTTACGAGCACTTTGAGACAAACGAGTTGATGCTGTGATGAGGATGGTGAAGGCGTCGATTTCGTGGCTTCGTTAGCTCATGTCTAGTTTGAAAATGCTATGTCTTGCATTTCATGCCCATTCATTCATCTCTCCTCCAGCCCGACACGCTCATAGGCCGTTGAACTCGGCCGTGTACTCCCGCTTGAAACCAGCAGGCTTCGGTATCCAATTCCTCTGCCTCTTCCGCAGTTTGCCCGCGCTCCTTGTGCTATTGCCTACCGAATTCGGCTCGTTCGTCGTGGTGTTGAACGTCGCATTTGTCGGCACCACCTCATACTGCACCGTCCCATTGCCTTCGCGGAACGTGCTCTCCGCCGGCCCCTCGGTCATGAACCCAGCTCCTTGTTTGATCTTGGTCTTGCCGGTTGCAACGTCATAGCCGTTGATCACGCGCTGGAACATCTCGAGCGCGACGACGGGCTGGTAGAAGGGCACTTCGTGACCGGCTTCGTAGATGCGGACGAACGCGAAGTTGTCGCTTTGCTTCGAGACGCCGTGCACGATGTCGTCGGAGGTGCTGATGTTGGCGTAGCCGGCGGAGGTGAAGCCGGGGGCGTTGATGTTTTCGGCGACGACTTCGTTGCCGATCCAGTTGCAGACGTAGTCTGGAAAGCACCATTAGCACGCCTCGCTAGTCTCGTAGTAGGAGAGGGTAAGCTAGACTCACCAGCATCACCATTAAACTGCACCATGTAAATGCCCTGGTCCACCAACTTCTTACTATCCTTCACAGCCCCCTGCAGGCGGTCGTCATCTCCGGTGTTGCTAAACCCTCCACCCAAACTTGAGCCCTCAGAGAAATTCACATACGCCCCAATGGCCTGCTGCACCTTCGGGGTGTTCAGATAATCCACGTAGAAAGTCGGCGGGAACGGATCCGGCATCAGCTCCCTCACATCATACTCGTCCCGCCCCAACGCGACATCGAGCACATACTCGACAATCAAATAGCAGAAATTGTCCGCTTTCGCGCAGACATCGTTGCGACCCGATCGACGGCACTGGATCGTCTGGTCGTAGCAATTGCCGCGGCCGTACATGCCGTTGTACATTTGGTTTCGCACGCGGCCGTTGGGGAGCGTAAGGCCGTAGGTGTTGCCCGGGTTGACAGTGTAGTTGTAGAAGGCTTCGTATTGGATGAGGGGGTCGAACCAGCCGTTGCCGATGAGGACCGATTCGAGCTGGATGCGGTGGGCGTTGGGAAGGCAGCCGCTATCTATGAGGGCGTTTTGGGTTTCAATGTATCTGTGTGGGGTCAGTACGGCTTGCAGGAGAGCTGTGTAGTTGAGAGGTTGGACTTACTCGTTGAAGACAGGACCGTAGTGGCCGCCGTAGGACTCAGTAGCAAAGTGAAACCCGTTCCTGGAGTACTGTGGAAAAGCTCCCATGAAGCCTTGCAATGTCTTCCACATCCCAGGTGCCGCATTCTGGGTCGAATTGACTGTGTACAACGGGCTGGGGTAGGAGTAGGTCTGGCAGCCATGAGCGTAGTGCGGACATACGTCCTCCTCGAGAAGCACTAGCTGGGAGCTCAAGCCGATGTAGCCAGGAACCGGGATCGAGTAGGAGAAGCCCGTCTGTGCAGGCTGATCAATGAACTGTGATACATAAAGAAAGCTCCGTCAGCAGATGTCCGCGTTGTCTTGGTTGTAGAGGAGGTTCTGCTCGTACCAGCATGTTGGAAACATTGTTCCAGGCGTACTCCCGGCTGAAGACCTCGCCATTCGAGTCCACACCGCAAGGGCCGAGTTCTTGGAACAGACCGATCATACTGCTTGACCCAGGCCCGCCATTGATCCACACAGTTAACGGAGCAGTTGAGGGATCGACATCGCGGGCTTCGAAGAACCACCAGAAGATGTGCTGGTGCTCTTCAATGTCCACATATCCGCTGTAAGACTTCACGCCTGGCGTAAGCTCACAGATGCCTTCTGGAACTTGCTTGTACCGGACTGTCTGGTTGTAGTAGCCCGTGGTCTCCGTGAGGTCGGTGGGAGCGGGTACGAAGGCAGCTTGGGCGAGTGCCGAGAAAAGAGGGAGCGCGAGGGCGGTCTTGAGTAGGGACGCCATCTTGTTCGAGGAGAAGAGAGTCTTTGACGATTGAAGAGATACAGAAAGCGGCGGCCGCCGTACTTACATTGTTCGGTCCTGCCACGCGAGTCCGACAACTTTCTCTGGAGCTGTGAGTTCAACGGCCATGCCGGCGTCATCGGTTGCATTGACTCTGTTGTGCAGAGCTATCGAGGGTTAGCTCCAGGCACCATGCTACAAGAAGCAGGAGTCAAGGCGACCTGCCTGACGCTACCACGAGTGGAGACAGATGGTAGATAGCGGAATGAGGAGGAGGCGGGAAAAGGTGGGTGGAGAGAAGGTTGCGCCGAGGCCTTCCATTGCTTCGGCGTTGCTTCGACCGCGCCGACAAGCCTTCTGCGGTGCAACATCGGCGACATCTGTTACTCCAGTCAAACTCATTGTCTTGCGTCCCGTTCGGATTGTGGTACAGTCCGATCCTCTGTGACCTTCAAGCACAATCTGCGAACAGTCGAACATCAACGCTCGGTGCGCAAGGAGGGCCATCAGACCATATCGAAAGGAGTGGCTGTCCCGGTAATCCATACAACAATCACAGTGTGCCCAAAGAGGCTTCAGTCTGGTGAGCATAGCATCTTCCGGGACAGCAGGAACAGCATCAGACTGGCGATCGTTTCACGGAGAACTTATTTTCGTCGGGCCTTACTTCGTCACTCGCAGCTCTGAGCGTTCGTCCTTGCCTTGAGCTGGACGGATTTGATCATCATCCCCGGGCCTCCAGTAGCCTCCCTTGATGGGTCTGACAAAGTCCTTATCCTTCTGGGGCATCCGACCTTTCTCGACGATCCACGACTCATCCGTCTCGTCCCACTGGCCCCGGTGCAAGCATGGACAGCGGTCGGACTGGCACCATTCATCCGCACACGGTTTGCGAACACACAGTTCACCCTTGGTTTGGCACCTGAGACACTGTGAGAGGCGGTCGCACCTGGACATTCGTTAGCGTATGTCTTGACAGCTTGTGGGCCTTGTAACCAAGCAATTGACAGTGAGAGCTGCCAACCGGGCACATCTGGTAGTCTTCCCCGAGACCCCATTGCACCCAAAGATGTGTCGCCACCCCCGTCGGAGGGCTGTCCTTCTCTACGAGAAGCTCTTCAGAGGGATACTTACAGCCCAGATTCCTTCCAGCATGTCACGCAGACTGGCTTGCGGGGGAGCCTCCCCGGTCGGTATTCATACCGTGGTCTCTTGGTCTTGGCGAACTCCATGAAGGTCTGGTCGTGATGCGAGCCGCGGCGAGGGTCTGCAAAATCGGATCGCCTACGCTTCAACCTGTCGCGTTGGCTGGGAATGGCGGCGTCCACCGGCAGAGAGTCGTGTCGTTCCGCCTTCGTGGGTTCCGGTGGCGAAGCTTCGAGCTCTGGGGCGGCGTCGAAATCTATCTCTTCGTCTTCATCTCCGGCGACATCGTTCTCCAAACCCGCGACTCGAGTGAGCCTCCAGTGGTGCTCTCGAAGAATTTGTGGCTGCGTTCGTGAAGCTGGGAAGGTCGCCGCCATGCTTCGCAGACTCTTGCCCATGCCAGCTTTTCGTTCTTCTTCATCATCTTTGAGGTCGTATTTCCCGCCGCCCTTGAAGTGAACGAACCCTCCAGCGGCCTGCTTCTTCAACCGATCGATCTTCTGAGAGGCAATGTCAGCATCTACCAGCAGACAAGGGAATATTGACCTACAGCACCCCTGCCTGACTTGAACAGCTTGGCCAGTGCCCATTTCTCCCTACGCTGTGTTTGGACCTACTCGAAATCAGTTGTCACGGAGCTGTAGACCTTCTGCAATGTTCGACTCACGTCGTCCGTCAGACGAAACTTCAGCTCATTGATCTTCTGCTCGTTCCTGCGCTCGTTCTCGAGCAGACTGATCTGCACTGCGTGCAGAGCCACGTTTTCCTCCCTCGCCGCCACCAACTTCACCTTCGCATCCTGAATCTGACATGCGAGAAGCCTCACCGTACCCATGATGTCCGGCACATCTGCGAGGTCGGCCATGGCCAATGATGTGCTGCTGACTGTGCCGCAGGGGTGATCTTGAAAAAGGTCGAGCGAGGCTGACAGCATGTGAAGATGAAAACTTCGTCCTCTTAGCGGCTTTGGTGCGTTTCTCTGGATACCGTTTGTTGTCCGAGGTGCGGTGTGACTTCGTTGCTGGCGTTTGCATGAAGTGAGGTCTTCCCAGATCTTCTCGAGGCACTGATCGATATTGCTTACCAGGGTCCTTGCCCTGTCTACTACACCGAGGATGGACAGAAGAGTTACCACAACTGGAAGCAAGCAGAAGTGAACTGACGCACTGAGGGAGGTCCTCTATAGCTTGACGGCTTCCTGCATATCCGTCAAGAATCTACCCGAGATGAGGCGGAAGCGAGATCTATACCACCAAAGGAGCTCACACATGATAGCTACCACTGCTCTACCCTTCCGTCCTCTCTTTCCAGTCATGCTCAAGCTCCCAAGCGTACGCACAACGATATATAGTCTCCTCATCCCACCACTTCCCAACAATCTGCAGTCCAACCGGCAACTTCACATTCGAATCCCCAGCCGCCGGCCCTTCCTTCGGCGTGAGCCTCCCAATTGGAAGCGTCAAAGCTGGATGTCCCGTCTGGTTGAACTGACACGTATTCGACGTAAGGCCGACCTGCTTTTTGATCTGCTCCAGCGGCGCCGCTCCCGGGTCAGCATGGCTGGTGGCAACGTACGGTAGCGTAGGCGTGATGAGCAGATCGTACTGTTTCAGAGCAGCATCGTAAGCGTCGCGCAGCTGACGAGAGAGGTTGGTTGCTTTGGCCAGTAGGGCAGGATGTCTTTGCTCCGCCCACACGCCGTTGAGGTATATGTTTTTGCTCGCCGAATAAGATTTATCCCAGCTCGACTGCGAGTGCAATGCTTCGAGAAAGAGGCTGTTGAGCTGGTGCATGTTGTGGGTGCGGTGGCCGGGAGCACCGTAGAGTTTGGTGAGGTAGCCACCGGTCTTGGACACGGCTGTCCAGATTGTGGGCCCTTTCTTGTGGATCGGTATGCTGACTTCTGAGACTGTTGCGCCGGCCTTTTCGAGGTCTGTAACTGCTTGTTGGAAGAGCTGCCTTACTCGCTCGTCAAGGACAGGGGTCTCGAGGGCTTCCTTGATAATTCCTACTTTCAGGCCAGAGAGGTCCTGTGGGGTCTTGCTGTTCTTAAGGTTGTTGTAATATTGGGGCAAGTTGGCGGGCACCGGCGCTGGAAAACTTCTGTCATCAATGTTGTCGTTGCCGGCTATGCTTTGCAGAAGCAGTGCATTGTCAAGCACACTCCGTGTCATAGGGCCAAGATGGTCGTTGGTTGGCTCGTTGCTCCCGCACCCAGTATACGGTATTAGCCCAAAAGTCGTCTTGAAGCCAACGATGCCGCAGTTTGTCGCTGGTATCCGGACACTGCCTCCCTGATCTGCACCAATTGACATATGTGCCTCTCCCAAAGCTACTAGGCAGCCACTACCACTTGAGCTGCCTCCAGCACTGTACCCTTTGCAATGCGGGTTATCTACCACTCCTGTTGGCGCAGAGTGAGATGTTCCAGAATGGCAGAGATTCTCGCAGACTGCTTTGCCTAGGACGTGACCGCCTGCCTCCAGTATCCTCGTGACAACGGTGGCGTCCATGTTCGGCGTGTACCCACTGACGAACTCTGTTCCCATCAACATAGGGACGTCCTTAACGCTTATCATGTCCTTCAATACCACAGTCTTGCCCGCTAAAGGCCCACTGTTGGGCTGCGAGTCCTTGATGCTGCATCGCCACGCCCAGGCTCCGTGGGTGTTTTGATCTTTTGGAACCTCATGCACATCGTTTCTCGGAAATCGTTGCAGGTCTACTTCGGGCACGTAGTCCGGCATAGCCATCAGTTCCTGTGCGCTCTCATCGAACACGGCGAGGAGCCTGCGATAGTCTTCTTTCTCTTCATCTTTCAACTTAATGCCGAAGACTTTACAGATCTCGTTCAGAGCTTCTGTAGTCACTGGGCTACCCTCCTTCGGGTCGACTGAGAAGACGGACATGATAATGGTGAGATACCTCGAAGTAGATGGAGCAGAGGGATGAAAGTATACTTCGCTGACTTACAACAATCTCATATCACCGACTCGTAGTCGTATCTCGTGGCATCAGGACCATCAATGCAGGTACCAGAGCTTCTCCTCGGCCATCTGTCGCCTAAAGCTGGTACTGCTCATGAAAGCTGCGAAGTCGCTGTGCCTTCACCACACAATGCTGCTCGGACAAACCCCAGAATGGAAGGACCGAGTTGCTCTGGCAAGCTCACAGCATCCACAGCTCCACGCTTCACGGGCAAGCTGTTCAGGCTATCAAGGCCCGAGATAGAGGGTATCTAGTCCGAGCAACTGCTCTCAGTACGCGGCCTGTCAACAAAGGTAGGAGGGCCATTTTCCGTCTTCTCTTTTACGCCCTTTTACCTCCAGTCCCCGAAGACAGCCACAGCAATGCCTCATCCCGAACCGCAATACCAACTCCCTCGCGACTTCACCGGCTTCGGCGCGGCCTCCCACGACTGCAAATGGCCCAACGGCGCCCGCATCGCCGTATCTTTCGTCCTCAACTACGAGGAAGGCGGCGAGCGCAGTGTCTGGGAAGGCGATCCGCACTCGGAACCCTACCTCTGGGAGAAAGGCAGCTCTGGCGGGTACAAAGAGGGCGCTCGGTACTTGAACGCTGAGCAAGACTTTGAGTATGGCAGTCGGGTGGGAGTGTGGCGGTTGATGAGGATATTCGAAGAGTTCGGATGGAAGATAACGATTTATGCCATAGCTAGGGCGATGGAGTTAAACAAGGAGTTTGGCGAGTATTGCGTGAAGAAGGTCGGGCACGAGATAGCTAACCATGGCCTGAGGTGGCTGGAGTTTTGGGACTACGATATCAAGAAAGACTTCCAGTACGTGAAGGATAGCTGCAACATGCTGCAGAAGGTCACAGGGGAGTTCCCGGTTGGTGTGTACTTCGGACGAGGAACGCCGAACACGCACGGTGCGTTGCCGCAGATATACAAGGAGATGCATAAGGAGCAGGGGACGCCGAAGCTGTTGTACAGCAGTGAGTGCTATAACGATGATGTGCCGTACTGGGTGGATCTCCCTTATGAGAAGGACCTGCCGGATGAACAGAAGGAGGGTCTGTTGCTTGTGCCGTACAACTATGACTGCAATGACGGGAAGTTTCACATGGCGCCTGGATTTATGTCGAGTGCTGGGCAGACCTATGAGCAGTATCTGAAGAGCTCGTTTGATTGCCTGTATCGGGAGGAGGGAAAGGTGCGTCGATGAAGCAGCGACCTTGACAGATTTTATAAGAGACGAGATGTGCTGACGCTTATTCTCCAGATGATGAACATTCCTCTGCACAGCCGCATCACCGGCAAAGCAGGCAGATCCGAGGCGCTGCGTAACTTTTGCAAGTATATCGCCGAGAAGGAGGGCGTGTGGGTGACGACCCGCAGAGACATCGCTAAGCACTATCGGGAAACGTTCCCGTACAAACCTGGCTCGAAGACTGGAGGCCGTTGAAGTCGTCGGGAGATGTGATGCTGAAACCGTGCCATTGGTATGTAGATTTGTACAGTGGCATGCGCTTAGGATACAAGACCGTCCTCCCCCATCCGATTGCACCTCTACTTCGTAGGCTAAGAAACAATGTAGTGATTTCGCGATGTCCAGGGCGATTACGGCTCGGACAGGCTGCGATTTGCTCAGGACTGGCCGTATTGTCCTTTGGGTGGACTTTGGACCATGCCCTTGCCCCGGTAGTTCTCCGTACCCGCGCCAGTGATGGGCTCGATTCTGTTCTCCTACAAGCACGAGCAATATCAGCATACTATTCAATGTCTTGGGCCAAACGAGTCCGAGACGCACCTGGAAGTACTCGTTCGTCTTCTCCTGCCACTCCTTTGTCAAAGTGTCCGGTCGTGGGTTCGCGAAGTGGTGTGTGGTGAAGAATATGACTGCTCCTGCGGCCACGCCGATCATGGTGTACCAGAAGATCTTGCTGCTTTCACCCGGTGGTGCTTCGGCACGAGGGCCATGAGGGCCGAAAGCGATCCAGTATGCTGTGAAAGAGTGCCGTTAGCATTAATCGTCAGATAGAAGCATCTTTATGCAGTGTGTGACATCTTGAAGGGCGCGATAGTGTCGCGTGCCATCACGGCGTTTCTCCGGCCACTTTCTCCTCGTGCCGCCTCAAAGCTACATTGCCGCCCCCAAAGGAATTCGGAACCTACCAGCCCTCTTCTCCTGCAACGTCAACTCGTTCCAGTCCACCTTCATGCGATCTCTCAGAGCCATCCACAGGTCGGCCTGCTCCTGAGGGGGCATAGCTTCCCATCTCTTCTCAATGTTGGCCAAAGTCGGGTTGCTGATCGCGTGTGCCTGGCGTGTCTGCTGGCCGCTCTGCTGAACTGACTGGCATCGCTGCGAGAGTGGTGTGAGGGCGGCAGCGTATGTCTTGCGGGTGCTGGCGGAGCCGACTTGACGGAGGAGGGGAGATGTTCGAAGCATTGTGTCGGCGGTCAGGGAGTGACGCGGACGGAAAGTGGTGTAACTCAGGGAAGAAAGTCTCTTCCAGGTCCTGAGGCCGGTCACGGTGTGCAGCGTTGGGAGTGGTGGTGTCGCAATGGAGTGGTCAGGAGCAAGCACTGCAGAAGTCTTCCGTCGTCGAGGAGCTCAATGCCAAGATGGTCATAGCGCCGCCCTAAATCAACGTCACTTCACCTCAGACATGCAACATTAAACATCCGTGCTGCAGAACATCCCAAAACGTATCTGACCATTGGATGTGCAGCTCGAACAAGTCCACATGGCTTCTACCTCCGGCGCTCGAGCACTGGCAAACGGCCAAAAGTCTGCAAGCCGTGCAGTCGGTCCTTGGTCGAGCGGGAGCCTACATGCTTGTGTCACTTGGGCCGTTCGTTCTGCGGTCAGCGTGGGTACGGGCCCTTCCAAACTCTCGAAATCGGTTCGGCAAGACAACCACTGGTAGGTCGTGTTCCTGGCAATGCAAGATACGTGCAAGCCAAACATTGCATGTGCTATTTCTGGGAGCTCGACTTTTGATTTTGGCCATCGTTTTTCAATCCGTCTGATCAGAGAGGTAGCTGCATTGACCCTCGTCACAGTATCGCCATGAGCTTCTTCTGTCGCGGCCCGCGCTCACCGCATCTCATCGCAGACATCACACCATCGCAGCTTCTGATACAGCTGTGTCAGCCTTAGCGGACTTCCGAACACGTTCCGTTTGCTTCAGCCCCTGTCCCGATCATAGCGACTTCGTATCATTTTACCTCTCGAGCATGGAACTAATACATCACATGTGAACGCAAACCGCCGTCATGAAGCCCTTCGTCATGGCCTCGAACGCCGGTACCAGCCCCACTCGTACAACCAGCCTGTCCGGAAGTGCTCGCTCCCCATCTCAACAAGCCCCCAAAAAGAAGGAAAAGACGCCCAAAGCCCGTGATGGAGGCGAGAAGCTATCAGTGCCGCCCTTCAAGGATAGACGGCAGCTGGTTGCGGAATTGGAGCGTGCTCGTTCCGCACTGAAGGAAGATCGAACCAGGAATGAAGCGTACGACTGCCTGTTGGCAGAAGCGGGGAGAGTCGCCGCAGAAGATTCACAACAATGCCATGACCTACGTGTCAGGCTCATGCAAACGTTGGAAGAGCTCACGCAAACTACGACACAGCTCCATCAGGCTCATACGGAATCCTCGAGAATTGCTGGGGACCACAGGGTCGCCATCGGGAGAGTGGGGGAGTTAGAGAAGGAAGTGGTCGGTTTGCGGAGAGAGATGGATGACAAGGTTCAGCAGAAGACTGAGAAGTGTGCCCGTGTAGCAGATGAGCGGACGCAGATGATCGAGTACAATACGTCACTTCTGCGTCGACTCAGCGTTGCCAAAGCAGACGCCGGGAAGCAACGTCTCAACACCGAAACCATGCGTGAGCGGTCTGACATCGTGCTGCGTACTACAAACCAGACCGAGCAAGCTCTCAAGCATCTGCAGTCACGATTTTCTGAGCTGGAAGACCAAGTCAGCAGCTGCCAGCACAACGAGTATCTCGCCGCCTTCGAGCTGTCGCAGTCTACGGAAGCTCAAGCCCGCCTTCGACATGAATTACGGCGCTTTCAGCATGGTCGATGCGACGTCGTCGCTCATCTTCTATCTGCACAACAGCTGAACGCTCGCACCCAACAGGATCTTTCCGATGCTTTAAGACTGGCTGAAGGCACGCCGCTTCAGACTTACGGTCATGGTGAGGTATCCAAGTATTCAGCAACAACAGCTTGTGCTGCAGCCACCGCTGACACGGCCGCCACATCTTCGAACGATGTTGCTGAAGACCATGTTATTTCACAGCAACATGATCAACTCCTGTCCGGTCATGCCATGTTGGAGAGACCCGAGGGCCACGATGATGAAATGGCTCTCGCGCGCACAACAGCCATGTCATACATACGCTTCAGCATCTCTGGGAGCTCAGCTAGCTCTATCAACTCTTCCGCCGAACAAGCTTCCACTGGTGCCGACAAAGACAACTTCCAGAAATCTGTTGCTCCGCCGGGCATGGACAGTGTGGCAACTGGGTATCCACGGCAGCCGGGCAACGCGCCGCCGCCAAAGCGACCGCGCAAATGGGACGAGATGGATGCGCATTCCCGCAAGAAGCAGCGTCCGTGGAACTCTTACAGGCCTTCTTATCCGAGTTGAAGACTTCCGTGCTTGAAAGAGGTGATTCAGGGAACACGGTGGTCATTCTGGATGGCAAGCGACCAAGTCGCTAGAAGGCGACAGGGTGTATGTGAGCGCAGATCCTTGCACTCGTCAAGAAGGTGACAACACAGATGGTCGGAAGACAGTTTGTGCAATGGCTTCTGCTTCGACTGGAAGGCGGAGACCCTGAGGGTCGAGCATGAGGTGAAGGACAGTTGAGGATCACTACGAACGTTTGTTTCACACGCGAACTTGTCAGTCAAATAGTCATTGGCCGCAAATCAATTCGCTGAGATGGTCTCTGTTTCTGTCTTGGCATGTCACGTGGCTGGGGATAAGCCTAGCTGGATTTGGCTCTAGCGTGAGGTGGTTAACCTCAACCAGCCTCGCAGGAGAACCTCCTCAACCAGGAGAACTTTATCCAAAACCCTTCCAACACCTTACCGTCGCTACGGCACGTCTCATGAGCGATGCATTGACTGCGCACAACCCGTCATTGCTCTGCTGATCGGCGACGCAAATGACATCGCTCGCTCTGTGACACTCGAGCAACGAATGTGACATATCACCACCCAAGCACTCGGTCCTGCTGAACAGTGGGATACGTCTTCGTCGGTTGCTGGGATTTGGCTGATAGCATCTCCGAGTTGGCTCGCCGGGCCTGGCAAGACTGGACCTGTGCTGCTAACACGAATGTCTGGAGTTCAAGAATACTCCGCGTCGTTAACCCGAGCATACTCATCATTCGAACCAGTCACTAGTGCCAATGCAACCTTGCTTCTGGATACAGCACCTTCTGCATGCCCTGTCGCCAACACTGATCTACTCTCCGGTGCCACTGCCCTTGTCACATCGCCTCCCGTGCATGCTGCTACCCGCAGCCTGACCCGGCGCTTTCCATGCATTCTCTCGACGGCCTGATGACCCAAGGATGGAAGGAGGCTTGTTAGGGAACTTTGCCATCCTTTTCTTCATCTCTTTCTTGTCTTGCGATCCGCTTTTCTCGTGTTTTCTCGATTGATCATGGATCCCAGATTAACACGACGCCGATCACGAAGGCACAATCTAGACTCCCCCGTGCCAACAGCCAGTGGTGAACAAGCCGACGCACGGCACGCGGCTACCGGCCATGGAACGGAGAGTGAGCACACCAGTGCGCAAGACACAACTCCTCGCCACGAAGCGGAAGTCGAGAGCAACAAGGCACGAGACACATCCACTGGCCACAAACCAGAGAGCGAGAGTACCAACACGCGAAGTTCAGCTGTGGATCGTGACGCGGGCAGCGACCAGAGGAGATCGAGCAGCGTCCAACTCGAGCAGCTCGGGACGAGTTTCTCGGATCTGATACGACAGGTCGAGGAGCAAGCGGCCCCGTTTCTGATTCAGTCTATCAGAGCACTGGTTTCGAACAGTCGCCGTACCCACGAGTTTTCGCAGTTGTATGAGAAAATGATTGTGGGAGCGGACCAACCAAAACTGGAACTTCAATTCAAGCTTGTGCAGGCTGTACAGGAGGTCAAGAAGCTCAAGGAACAGGCTGCGGTGAAGAGGGCCGAGTCGGAAGAGGTTCGAGTGAGACTTGAGGAGAAGATAAGGGAGCACGAGGAAGCCAAGAAAGAGATTCAGAGAATGCAGAAAGCGCGCTCCACTATGATTGTGTATAGCATCAGGAAGTTGGGATGCAAGCCACGGTCATCCGCCATGGCCGTGGAGATGCCAGCTCCTTTAGATCCCGATCCAAAGCTCTACACTGTCAAACAACCTGCCGGCGTGCGACTGAACGATCGAGCCTGGCTTCCTCCGACGCCGACGCTGCCTTTGGACGATGACATCCGTTGTGAAGATCGCGTAACGCCATTCGTGCCCGGTGTGGACCCTGCACAAGAGGTCCTAGGCTCAGAAATCACCCCACCGGACACGCCTACAACGAGAACGACGACACAAGGCTACTTTCCAGCGAACTCAGCTACGGCTATGGGTGCATCGACCAAACGGACCCCTGCGCAACCGCACAGCGACGATGAAGACGACTACGCGCCCCCAGAGCCTGCTGTGCCAAACGACAAGCCGTCTCACGATCCCAAGTCTCCGCCGAAACACCCTCGATGCTGGGATGAAGTCGAACGGCCCCAGAAGCAGCAGAAGGGGACGAAAGGATCGAAGATCGATTGCTACAGAACTGTTCATCCTTAAGCCGCTGCAAACGCCGGACGTTGGACCACGACTGAGTCTGAGACATTGACTAAGGCGTACGTCCTGTACAGCCGACTTCCACCCCAGGCTGCAACTTTCGCATACATCCAGGTCGGCGACGCGGATGCATTCTGGATTGATTGCTTTGATCGGTCAAGAGGAGAACGAATCTTGTAAGGTTGGCTGATATTCTGAGAGCTTCCCACATTTTGGCATCATACCTTCACGTGTGAGGGGTAGTTTCGCCAGACTCACGTGCAAACTTATATAGTCAGTAAACTTCACGCTACACCATGTGGCTCTCTTCTGCTCTTCCAAAGCAAAACAAATAGACAGAAGCTCCATCGACTGTCATACTTTCGAATTCCAAAGCCCAAATCTCGCAGCAGCTGACCATCAACAGCAACAATGCCGAACACCAAGACGGTCAGTGTGCCTCATCTGGGCGGAATCGACGCGGCGTACCAAATGCCTCATGAGTACGACTCTTCCAAACCAACGCTTGTGCTAGTCAACTCCTTCACCACTTCGAGCGAATTGTACCAAAGCCAGTATGCCAACGCCGAGCTGAATCGAGCAATGAACTTGATCGCAATCGAGCTGCTGGGCCATGGACAAACAAGGACGAAGTCCGAAGAATTCACTTATTGGGATACCGCCATCATGAATCTTCAGTTGTTGGAGAAGCTTGGGATGAGTGGGGATGGCAAGAAAGTTTTTGTTTTGGGAACGAGGTAAGTCCAGCGAACCTCAAACGTTGGACGAAGATTCTGACGCAGTGCCAGTCAAGGCGGGTGGATTACGGTCAGGATGGCCCTCCTGGCGCCGGACAAGGTATGACCATCTGACGCCTTGTCCATGGCCTTGCTTAGGCCACCCAGCGCTGACACTTTCTCGACTGCTTTAGATCTCTGGTATCATTCCTCTTGGCACGTCGATGGACTACGAGTCCGAACGAACTCGCAAGCTCGGCTGCTGGAATGGCCCAGAACTCTTGACGCCGAACATCAAAGCCTGGACGACCAACGACAAGACATCCTCTTTCCAGCCGAAAGAGGAATATTGCAACTTTCTGATCGACATTGGCTTCGGGAAAGACTGTCCAAAGGAGACCCGAGACTTCTGGATTGAGACCATCCAGTCGAATTACCAAGGTGATGATGGTCGTCGTCGCGCTCGCATGGCTGCGATCAACCTGAGAGAGCGGGACGGTCTGCATGGGAGGCTGTTTGATGTTAAGTGCCCAGTCTTGTGGCTCCACGGGACAAGCGATGCAGTGTATGAATCCTTTCCTTGGGTTCTTATGCGATGCTTGCTGACCTTTGCTGCTCATGTGTAACAGATACAGCGTTGAGAACGCCCAGGAGGAAATCAAGCTGTTCGAGAACTCATCTGATGCCCAGCTGGAGATTGTGAAGGATGGACAGCACTTTTTGAGCTTCAGTCATCCGAAAGAGGTCGATGGCGCGCTCATTGAGTTCGTTGGAAAGTATGGAAAGTGATTGAAAGGAAGTCCGTGAGTACAGTCAAGACGGAAACTACTCAAGAGCGTGCGAGTTGGAACTAAGTCGAAGCGTGCGCATCAGGAATCGTCGATCCGCCTTGTGGAAGCTTACTATAGACCTTGAGGAGTTAACTTCGACTACGCACATCACCATCTTGCACCTCCGGCTGGCCGGTACAAGTACCTTGAGCCTTGGTGTAGGTCGTACTATCGTTATGTCGAGCCTGCTTCCCGCCCACGCTTTTCTACTGTAGCACGCACTGCAATCACACTGCGACCTGCACTCTGCAATGATGAGACTCACACCATGCACTGCTCTCGTTGCAGCTCTCCTGACCAATGTTCTCGCTCAGCCCACGATCGAAGAGAGGGCCGGGAAGTTCACCTTCTACGACATGCTCACTCGCGCCGCCGGTCCCTGCGATCTGTGCACTGGACCAGATGGTCAAATCTGGAGCGAAGACATCTTGGTCAATAAGCTGTTCAGCATCAACCCCGAGACTGGCAAGGTCCGCGAACTTGCAATACCCTTCACAACTCCTCTCAGCAATGAGACCATCCCAGGAGTGAGCCAGTCGATACAAGATCGCACTGCTCTTTCCTGCGCCATACGACCTAGATCGGACGAGAACCTCTATGCTTACAACGGCCTTCGTAATCAGCTCGTTCGCATCAACCCAACCACGAAGCAGATCAAGGTCCTCCAGGGTCCTGTCAATCCAGCCGGCGATCTCCAACCCTTCAACGACATCACTGAAGCTCCAGGAGGGATGTACGTCACCCAGACGAGCGGCAACACATTCCAGTACTACGACTTCTCCGACGAGAGCTTCACGACGTACGAGGTCCCAACTCCAGCATCATTCCCGCTTGGCCTCAAAGTCGCCTCAAATGGCAAGTTGTACGTTGCAGAACTCATTGGCAACAGAATCCTCGAGTTCGATCCCGAGACCAAGGCCATGAAAGAGTTTCCTCTGCCTTTGCCTCTCCAAGGCCCTGCGGTTGTCCGTGCCGAACGCAATGGCTACGTCTACTTCTCTCTCTTCACCGGCAACGGGATTGGTCGCATCAACATCGAGACCCACAAGATCGATCTGTATCCCTCCAGTACACAAGGCGGATTGGGAGCCGAGGACACACTGGACAGCAAAGGCGGTGTCTGGCTCTCCTACTTTACTGCCAATGTCCTCGCACGGCTCGACACAAATACGTTCAAGTACAAGTACGTGCCGTTCCCCGATACCTTCGCCAGAGGAGGTCTCTCTGGTATTCTGGGCGACATTCCACCGGTACGTATACCCTTTGTTCCACCTCGTCTTCGACTCTTCGACGATTGAGGCTCGCGGCGGTACCGAATTGCACAAGTCCGTCTCACCGAGAGCTGCCATGCCCTCCGTCGTCTTCAGCTTCCACCTTGAAGCTCGTGCTAACTATAATTTGCCATTCCTAGTACGTCGATGTCGCCGTTCATTATGGCCCTGGTGATGCCGTATGGTTTGCCAGCATCATCGAAAACAAGGTTGGCCGGTATGCACTCTCGTAGGTGAAGCGAAAGTGGTATTGGGAACAACGGCCGCCTTTTCGATGAAAAGCTGCCATGTAATAGACTAATATTACAATCATGAGGCCTTCCTGAACGTCAACTCGTCAGGAACCGGAACCGTTCTGTTGACTGGCTGAACCGCGTCGTGCAGTGCACCAGGCTTGGAAACAGACACACTTGTACTCTGTTTGACCTCAATGTGAAGTCTCGCCTCAAACATCGACAAGTTGCTCTCAGAAGATTCAGCTGGTGAGACCTGACAGGGAAAAGACGCATTCGCAATCTCCCAGGCTCAATCAGGCAGGTGCCGAGCACGCTTTCAGTGATTTTTCCGCCACGAAGACTTTCCAGCTTCTTTCCATATGTTGCACACCAAGCTCGACTTGACCGCATCTGCACCTCGTGCGCTGATGCGCGGGGCCGACGTTGAGATATACAGACCGATACCGGCTGAAGTGTCGGCATGCATCGACGCTGAGCGGCAATGCGGCACACTCACGATGGCGTGTTGCTCACTCGGTGTCATGATGGACTGCCAGAGGAAGCGGCAAGTTTAACAAGTTAAAATACCACGCATTTCCTTCATCGCATGAGAGTCTTCTATTTTGTTTCTGTCGCTTCTGTCGTTGTCTCCTCCACCCGAAGCAAGACTCGATCTTAAGTAACGATGGCGAGGAAGAAACAGGACGAGGCCGAAGCAGCCCTACACGATCAGACCCAACTGTTACCGAAGAAAGAACTCATATTCGTCCTACTTATCATGGACCTGGCCTTGCTTGTCTGCTTCATCGACCAGAACGGAATCGGTGTCCTGCTACCGACTATTGCTCGGGACCTCAATGCTCAATCCTCGATATCGTGGGCAGGAACATCCGCTTTGATTGCCAATACCGTGAGTCGATGGAGCCAGGCTTTCTTTGGAAATAAAAAGAGCATGTTCTGATGAACCATTCATATATTCAAGGTCTTCCAAGTGCTCTATGGCAGGTTATCCGATCTTTTCGGCCGGAAGAACATCCTGCTGTCAGCGCTAGTTATTCTAGCATTGTCCGACCTAGCCTGTGGCCTGTCGGTCAACTCGACGATGCTTTATATTTGTCGGGGCCTGGCCGGGATTGCCAACGGTGGGATAACAACTTTGAGCATGATGATTGTGAGCGATATTGTTACTCTGCAGGAGAGGGGCAAGTGCGTACGGTCTTCTTGAAACCCTGAGACGAAGATACTGACATCTAAATCTTCCACGCAGGTATCAAGGAATTCTTGGAGCCATGGTAGGCTTGGGGAATGCTTTGGGACCATTGATCGTAAGTTCTCGCCTGGAGTCAAGACGTATCTTTCTCTCACATCGTCCCACACACTCGTTAACAGAGTCTAATTGCGGACGGCAGGCATCAGCATTTGCCATCCACTCGGTATGAATCAAATAGAACTCCTCGAAGTGTACCACACTGCCGCAGAAGAACTCAACTGACCTACTGCAAGACCTGGCGCGGCCTTTTCTACCTTCTAGCACCCTTGACTCTGCTGGTCGTCGTCGCCAGCTGGAGATGGCTACCCTCGAACATGCCGAAGCTAAATCTTCGAGAAACGATTGCGAATATCGATGTGCTCGGTCTCGTTACCGGCACGGCAGCGGTGATCTTGATACTCATTCCTACCTCCGAGGGTATGTCAATGGCGGACCAGGAATATTCAACCGGTACGCCGAGATACCTGCTGACCTTCACTTCTCTTCTTCCAGGCGGCCACGCAGGGACACCGTGGAGCTCAGTAATGGTCATTGCCATGTTTGTCGTCGGCGGCGCCTGCTTCATCGCGTTTCTGTTGATCGAGTGGAGGTGGGCTGAGCTGCCGATGATGCCCTTGTCAATGTTCCGCACAGCATCTGTAGCGGCGATGTTAGCTCAAAGTTTTCTGCTTGGGGCCGCCTACTATACCTTGCTGTACTTCCTTCCGTTGTACTTTCAGAATGTAAGCATTGATATTCAGATCCCGAGACATGTGCTAATGCTTTCGTCCCCTTCTCAGGTCCGTGGCTATAGCCCTCTAGTTTCTGCAGGCCTTCAGTTACCGCTGGTGGTATCTCAGTCATCGTTCTCGACGGCTGCAGGCTTCTACATGTCGCGGTACAATCGTTATGCGGAGATCATTTGGTGAGCCGGGCGCCCTCCGTCCAACGTTCTCTAAGACGCTAATTGTTCGTCTTTCTATCTGCAGGGTCGGTTTTGGGACATGGACTGCAGCCGGAGGACTGCTCGTACTGGCCGATGACACCATTCATATTGCCCTCGTCTCATTCTTCCTCGTCATTACCGGCTTCGGCACCGGCTGCGTCTTCCAGCCGACATTAGTTGCACTCCAGGCCCACTGCCCGAAAGCTCAACGAGCTGTCATCACATCGAATCGCAATTTTCTTCGAAGCGCAGGAGCGGCGGTAGGCTTGGCTGTATCCTCCGCCATCCTGGCGAACGTTCTGAAGGGCTCATTGCCATCCCGTTTGGAGCACGTTGCCAGCAGCACCTTTGCTCCACCTAGCTTGTTGGGCTACTCTGACGCGGATGGAGCTGTCATCAGAGCAGCGTATACTGCCGCGAGCAGAGCAGTCTTTATATGGTGTGTGCCGGTCACGGGAGTCTGTTTCTGCCTTACAGCATTCGTCAAAGATCATGGTCTTGTGAGGAAAGAGGAGAAAGAGGCTGCGACGCCGCCAACAGGCGAGACAGAGAAAGATGCTGCCGGGCCAGCACTCGGTGTTGGCAGCAATGATAGTGCTTCGCCAGGAAGCAGAAATGAGAAGGGCGTGCAGCATCAAGATCCCGACGAACACAACATACCACGTTCTAGCAGAAATACATCTGCGGCCAGCGACTGTAGTGCTACCGTCTGAGCAAATAACACTGCGTTGCTGTCGGACTATCCTCACGCCTTCGACCAACTTCCTAGCATCATGCCGATTCTCATTTCTGAACTGATGCAGCCGCGGCTTCACAGGAAGCGCAAACACCCAGCGGCGCGGCATAGTTAAGCTTCGGCCATCTGGTCTCATGGTTGACGTCGAGGCCGCAACCTATATAGCGCATGTAGTCTGGCTGACTTGAACAGAAGGCGTCCAGCTGTGCCAGCCAAGGCGGAAGGCGGCAAATCTGGCCATGAAAAGCAAATGCCGATATCGGGGTTTTCATCTCACCACCTGATTAACCATATCCGTACGGAGGTATCTATTATTGCTACGTTGAAGTCAACCCAATGCAGTGTATAGTTGTCGAGTCATTCTCTTTCATGGTGTCTTTTCTATCTCCTAGCATCCTCATTCTACCCCAATTCGAGGGTCAATGAAACACACTCATTCCAGATCTTTAAGATGACGGAGAAAGAAACAAATCCTTCAGCAGAGGCGATAGAGGAGCCCGAACACCTGCCTACGGCCTCTCAGCACCGACAGCAGTCAACGGATGAGGAGAAAGGTCCAGAGCCGCGTATTGAACCTGCTAAAGCGGATGATGGCTCTCACAGTCTCTACCAGACCCGGTCCCATCTATCTACGCATGATGGCGGCCCCGTGCAGGACCAGTTCCATGAACAAGGTACATCTCCGACCCGCAGAATCGCGCTGTGTCTCATAACATCCGCTAACCTTTGATGCCATCTGTCTGTAGGTGACGAAATCTACAACAAGTTTTCCCACGCGCATAAAGTAGTCATGGTCGTCGTCTTGTCGGTCTGCTCTTTGCTTGCTCCAATCAGTCGGTTCCCCTGAGTGCAGATATCCTTCCCTTCTTGAAATATCGAAGACATGACTGGAAAATTTGCTGACGGTTTACGTTCTTCTCGACAAGGCAGCACCAGCATTTTAGCTGCCTCCACAGAGGTCGTTGAAACCTACAACACGACAGGAGCTGTCTTTGGTGTGTCAAACGCAATGTATATGCTATTCATGGGCGTCAGTGCCTTGATATATGGTCCGCTGGTGAGTCCGATAGTGCTTGAACCTTTTTTGAGCTGGTATTTCTTGGACAAGTGCTCACAAGTAGTACTTAGGGAACCACTTACGGCCGTCGGTACCCCTTGGTCGTCGCCTGCATAACTTTCACGGCATTTAGCGCAGGCAATGCGTTGGCACCAAACCTCGCCGCTTTCTTTGTCTTTCGTATCCTAACCGCTATCCAAGGCACGTGCTTTTTAATAGTAGGCGCTACAGTTTTGGGTGACATCTACCGGCCTGTCGAACGAGGGACCGCATATGGATGGTTCTTGAGTGGTACACTCATCGGCCCGGCTCTGGGACCCTTCTTTGGAGGAGTGATTGTGACATATGCGTCTTGGAGGTGAGTAGTGATGAACACAAGTCTCCCTCCTCACTTCGATGGGTGAAGACGCCACTAACTCCTATTCCAACAGAGGTATTTTCTGGCTTCAGACAGCGCTGGCAGGTGCTAGCGGTCTCGGGGTGTTCTTCTTCGTGCCAGAAACCATCCACAAGAAACGCAGCGATGAGCTGAAAGGTCTGTCCCGGAAAGAAAAAGCAAGGAAGATCTGGCACTGGGTGAACCCTTGGCATGTCGTTGTCCATTTTCGATACCCGAACATCTTGGTCGTTGGCCTGGCGGCCAGCAGTCTGGTCTGGAACATGTATTCGCTGCTCACTCCCATCCGAGCAGTCTTGAACCCTCGCTTCGGGCTTGAGTCGCCGCTGCAAAGCGGGCTCTTTTACATCGCTCCAGGTTTGTGCGAAATCACAAGCGCCGAGATCTTTGCTGACCCTCTGTGCCTTTCGTAGGAGCCGGATATCTCGTCGGAACCTTCGGCGGTGGCCGGTGGGCGGACCACGTGGTAAAGAAGTACATCAGGAAGCGTGGCAGTCGTGTACCCGAGGACCGCTTACGAAGTTGCGTCATCGCAATGGGCGTTGTGATTCCGGGGTGCATGCTCATCTACGGGTGGTCTATCCAGAAGCGTGTGGGCGGCATTCCCTTGCCGGTGATATGCATGTTTGTCCAGGTCAGTCGAGCGAGAGTCCCTAATACAAAACAACCGACTGACCTTTGTGCGTAGGGTGTCGCTCAATTGTTCTGCTTTCCCTCGCTGAACACTTATTGTCTGGACGTGATGCAGAAACGCAGCTCAGAGGTCATGGCTGGTAATTACGTGATTCGGTACAGCGTAAAACTCAACAGCATTTCTGGGAAGTTGCTAACGTTGCTCACAGCTACATATTCGCCGCTGCCGGATCAGCGACTTGTCTTCCAATCATCGAAAGGATCGGAATCGGTTGGTTTAGTACCATTTCCGCATTGTTCCTCGTCGTGATGGCCGTGGCGACCTGGATGACGGCACAGTACGGCAGCTCGTGGCGTGAGCGTATTGATAAGGACTCTTCTGAAGAAGAATGAGAGTAGTAGCAGCATATGGACACCGAGGATGAGCATGAGTACTGGATAATTTAGAGATAGAAGATACCCCGGAATGTAGATGGGCGTTGCATGGTTTGGGTAGAAGTACGTGATAGAAGTACGTTACACTAGAGTTCATCCATGGCACTGCTTGAGTCTCACCTTAAGTCTCAACGAACGAGACGACTAAGTGTCGAGTCTTGAACCAACCTCAACTCCATGCCGCCAGGTATCTCAACAGATCCGACCCTACTTGAGCATATTACTGGCAACAGGACACTTCGCAACCGGACTGCACCCACCAGTCAGCATCCTCTCCAGCAACAACACCAGCTTCAACAAACCTACCTTCCATCCGGTACACTCGGGTGCTTGTGCACCTTGTCCTTATGGTGCTCCAATGTCGCGTTCGTGACCGGACATACCGATCCCGCAGCATCCTGCGTCAATTGGGGGTGGCTCGGCGGCAGCTATCACCTTCATCAACAACACATCCTCCCAGGCTCTGTTATCAGACGTTTGTATCATACCATCGCACTGACCGGCCCAACGACGGGGCATACATCATCAACAATCTTATCCTCCGAGCTGGCGTTGGCTAAGGCGGGACATTTCGTGGCGTCGTTCTTCTTGCTGCCGTCGTTGGGAATGGTGGAGGAGGACGGGTGGTTGTGGATGGTCTTGTTGTGGTGCTCGACTTTCGCGTTGGTCACTGGGCTCGAGGAAGGTCAGTGACAGGCTGTCGTATCAAAGTAGTCTTTCACTCGTTATACTGACCATCTTGCTTCCAGGTCGTCGGCGTTAAAGGCAGGATGGTCTGGAGGCAGCACGGAAGTCGTGGTGCCGACGACGGGACATACTGCTGCTTCGGATGCCATGGTAACTACTGTCGATGATCAAATACTGGTAGAAGTGGTCAAAGAAACAAGCAAGGCTGTCGAGACGAGGTGCTGTATCGCCCAGGCAGCGCGTCCTGACCTCGACCTGCCCCTCTGTGCCCCGCCGGCTTACATCGCATGTGATATGATTGGTTGAAGAGCAACAAGTGAATAAACGTCGTCATATCAGAACCTAAGGCCTAAGTTCACGCCTTGTGGATGTCTCAATAGTCTCAATGAATCTTCATTGATATAGCAAAGCAGAACGCTGTACAGCAGCAATATAAAGTCAAGCATATACACATCAGCAGTCATCCCCCGCCCGCAGCAGCGGCCTCGCTCTTCTCATCCACGGGACTCTCTGCCCTCGGTGTTCTCGACGGTGCACTCCTCGTCCCAGACTCATCAGCGAACTGAATCTTCCGAGCCTGCCTCCCGCCATCCGTTGGTGTCGAGACACCCGAGCCCAGCGGACTCTGCGGCACCGACAGACCGCCTTGCCCTTCCTCCATGCGACCTTGAGCATTGCCCGCAGGAGGCTGCTCTTCGGGCGGCTGGGCGACATTATGGCCGAACGGCCTCGGGTTGGTAGGCATCGAGATCTCTGGGTGCGCGCTCTCATTCGCAGCCATTTCGGTAGACGGGCTTTCATCACTGCTGCCGCCCTTTTCGCCCTTGTCTTGTGCGACGTGGCTGTGTGTATCGCGAGGGCGCCGAATGTCCTCGACGATATGCCTGCCCGCTCGTACGAAGCTCTTCGGCAACCAGGAGATGGAAGCAGGATTCGATGTCACTGGTCCGCGTTCGCTTGTGGTATGTCGACGCCGGAAAGGCAGCAGGTTGAGGTCGTTGTCAGCCCTTCTTGGTCCTTCGGGACGAGGCTCTTCACTTGGACTAGCGGCCCCGCTCTGAGAAACGGAAACTCGCTCGGTCGAGATCGCCGTGCTGATGGTTCGTGGGATGTAGAAGTACAGCTTTCCGAGCGGTACCGATAACCCGTGGACTATGATTGAACAGATGATCAAGAACCAGACCACCACCTCGATGCACTCGGCGAGGTGGAGTGCATCTTCGCGCTCCGTTCCTTCGGCAATGATCTCGGCCAAGAATTCCCGGGAGATGTAGATGTAGTACATGGCTGACACGCCTATTGGCCCGAAAAAGCCAACGAAGCATGCGTGTCTGAGTTCTTGAATCTGGTGAATCAGACCAAAGTGGTGGTACATGAGCACCATTGGAAGTCTCCGGAACAGTAGCACCATGATGCCGAGCGGGACCAGGCGGTAGATCGGGATCACATCGTTCGCAACGAATTTATGCCAGGGGCAGACGGCCCCGTACCACAAGAATACGGAGACATTAAGAAGCATGTCGATGGTAGGCTGCAGCGAGTCGTCCTCGGTCTCCAGGCGGAACCAATCGTCCCAAGTAAAAACATTGCCTGCGATGAAGCATGCGAGGACATCGTCGGAACCGATCATACCGACTGTACCGACGATGAACAGCTGCATTCAAATTAGCGAGTCATCTCATCGGTGTACCGTGTGCAATACTCACCGCCAGCGTAATGGCAAAGACAAGAAATGACTCCCTGTCCACATAGTGCCGCTCCTCTGCCCAGTGTAGAAGTTCTTTAGCGATCCAGCCAACCACTGCTCCGTACACAACTGACAACAAGATCGTGTAGCCCCAGGTTTCACCAAACCAAAGACCTATGGCAGTTCGTGCGCCACCGTTCGAGCCGAGGCCGTGGTGGCGGGTGTGCCTGATCAGATAAAGGGCAAGGAACAGGAAAGGGTAGCCCAAGCCATCGTTGGCCCCTGACTCGGCAATGATGACCCTCTGCAAGGCTCGTGGAATATTCTTGTCCGCGAATTTGCCCTTGACTATGCTGTTGCTGAGAATCGGATCGGTGGGAGTCACGCAAGCTCCAATGGCCAGTGCGAAGAGGAAGCCTATGTTCGGCACCATTGCGAACACCATCAAGCTGGTGCTCATCCACATCAGGCACATCCCAGGCCCTAATAGTAAAGACAGTGTTTTCCTACAACCGTCAGTACGCGTCTCGGAAAAGGTATGGCGAAGAAGGCTGTGACTTACCATTCCTTCTTCAGATACTTGCTCGGCAGCTGCACGCCTGCGAGCACAAGTTGCACCCCGAGCACCAGCCTGGAAAAGTAGAGGGTGATGGTCTCAAGGTCATGCTCGTTCTCGTTCGCATATTGTAATGGCTTGAGAAAATTGGCCCCATGGGGCGAGAATGCCAAGCCAGTTATTGTGCTGATGAGCGCCTCGGACATATAAAACTTTTCTTTGAGCAGGTAGGAGACCAGCCTGCAGAGCGCAAGGGTTAGCATTGTCTTGGGTACCCTTCCAGCCATCATTGCTTACCCAAAAAGCGTGATGAAGCCCCCCAGAAACGCGGTGACAATATTGAAATTGTCTACCGCGAGGTTCGGCATCTTGCAGCAAGCCTTCTACCTCCTCTAGGCAGACTCTTGATAATTCTTGGCCTGCGTTCAAGGCCGAGATGGAACCTGGAAGTCTTGTCGAGATAGAGCTTGGATGCTGCAGGATTGCTTGAACGCTGTAAAGCTCGAAACAAGCCAGGAATGCAAGTGAAAGCACGCTATCGAACTCTTCTGCCGGTTCTTCTGGCTTTTGGTAGATCTGTACAAGTCCCCCGGCGGGATGCGGCTCGTGTTATTGAATCATTAGGGAATGCGACAGAGGCAGATTGATAATAGCAGAAACCTGCCAGAGTGGCAAAGCAGTCGGTACTTAGGTCACGGCTGCGTCGGCGTCCACGGGGAGGTACAGTCGAGCGCGTAGGCAGCGGTGGCGGAGAGGTGTAAGAAGAAAGGTTCCGGCGGCGAAAGATTGGGTTTCTCGGCTCGCATCTCTCTCGAAAAATGACGCGCGACCAAGAGGCTGGGCACCCTCGGCGGAGCGTTGGCATTTTTGCTTGCTCGAGAGCTTTTCTCGTTGCTTCTACATCAAATGTACCTCCAAATCCAGCAAACGACAATGGATGCGCAGACTTTCGACGTATATGCTACGATACAGTGAAGTTCCGTGTGACGACCGGGAACTCGACCAACCCTGAAGAGGACTCTTCGAGGTGCAGACAAGACGGGACACCCGCGCCCTTCCATCGCCCGCCCAGACAAGGCGCAGCGACGCTATCACAACTATCAGGATCCTAATAAGGCCCGGCATTGGCCCCGAGTACCGGGCGGGAGATTGGGCAATCCTTGGAGAGAGATGACTACCAACCTCACGTATCAGTCCTGATGTTTTGCTATACCAGATGTCCTCGATATTACGCAGAAAGTCAGCAATGTTTTCGTGTCTTGCAGGCTGTCATGGCTGTAGAAACAGAGCAAGCACACGGTCAAGTGAGTAGATCCCATTTTCTTGCCACAATGTTGGTGGTTCTACCCGCTTCCGGCCATGGATATGCTCTTCGTTGGTCCTTAGAAGAAAGCCTCCGCAGGAGCGTGAGATCATGCCTCTCGAAGACCACGTGCAGTTCGACGACCACGTGCAGGACGTTGAAGCAGACACACACATGCTCTCATCTTGGTGCTCTACTTCGTCTCTTCACTTCCCCACTTACTTCCTCCTTTCCTCCACCAACTCCACCAAGGCTTCCTTTTCTCCATCCTGCCCACTACTTAGCAACCTTCTACCTTCCATGGTGCACATCTGTACCCTGCAGAGCATCGCCATCTGAGGAGGACCGGACTCACAAGCAGCAACGAACGTGCAACAACACGTGGTTTCGAGCACGGTGCATCGATTGAGCTCCGGTATCGACATCGACCGCGGTCACGAATATACCCATTGGACTGTTCTTGACGTGCAGGCTTGCACCATACACCTGCGAGATTCGACCAATTAGCAAGACTGTGTCCTTCTCTTCCCGTGGCCCACCATCCCGAAAGCTGGTCCTCGTTGATCAGCAGCGGACGACCCGATAATCAGCCAAGGCGTGATCATTACGCTGTGCACAACAGAAACAGCCTGTTGGGCGCAAGTTGACGTGCACGTGCTGCTCTCACTACCTTGAGCACATTGCTATACCGCAGAACCTTCCGGTTTGGCCGACTCTACCCCGAACGTATCTACCGCAGGCGGCTTGCAATCATCGACTACACCTAAGAGCTGTCACGGTTCCAGTATGACCGATTATCAGCCCTGGCGACAGCGCCGTAAACGTCCTGGTTCATTGTTCGTGACCCCAGAGCCCGGTCCGAGCTCCTCTGGATCGGGACCAGGCAAACGGCCAAGGGTGGTCAAGGAGGAGGAAGGGCGCGTGGATTCACCTGCACTCCCTCTAACTCCCGCGACAACGGACATCTCAGCTCAAGTAGCAGCGGCTGGCAGATTTCTGATCTCCCTCAGCCAAGAGCAGCAAGATGCCGTTGACGCTATCTCTGGAGGAAGCAATGTCTTCCTCACCGGATCTGCAGGTTCTGGCAAGACTGTGGTACTAAACAGAGCCATTGCAATTCTTCGGGATTCCGGGAAGAGTGTAAGGGTAGCAGTACCCACTGGAAAAGCAGCTTCCGGAGCGAATGGGGTAACGCTACACAGCCTCTTCGGACTTACGCCCAAGGATATGGGAAAATCCATGGATTGCCTAGAAGGTATGGTACAGCGAGGCGACCACATCCGACAGCGGTTAGCCGATATCGACACCTTTGTGATCGACGAGATATCTATGGTCGAGAATCTGTTCTTTTCGCGCCTCTGTCGTCTGATGCAAGCAGCCAGAGACAACGACGGGCCTTTTGGCGGCGTGCAGGTAGTGGTCTGCGGCGATTTCTGTCAGCTACCTCCAGTGAAGCTGTTTAGCTACTGCTTTACATGTGGCGGAACGACAAAAGAAGATCGGGACCGAGACCGAAAAGTCAAGATCTGGAGGTGCACCAAACACCAAACTTGTCGCACGCAGGATGAGCCGGATCAGTGGGCTTTCTGCTCCAAAGCGTGGGCTGACTGCAATTTCCACTAGCAGGAAACCAACGTCAGAGCGAGCAAAACTTTGTGGAAATTCTCAAAACACTGGCTCGATTCCAAAATTTGAGTACATCACAACTTCGGCTGCTGAGCGACCATCCTTGCGACGTCGAAGGGGCCACGTACCTCTTCGCATGGAACCGGGAGGTGGATGCGATGAATGACAGAGAGTTCGCAAAGCTACAGTCCGAACCGGTAGAGTATCGATGCCTGGATCATTTCCACTGGAACGGAACCGACGATAAGTTTCGAGGTTACAAAACCTGGTCATAAAGTGGGCAGACACTACAGGCTCTCGAAAGCCACCAATATCGGCCTATATTGCAGCTCAAAATTGGTCAACCCGTGGTCCTCACCTTGAATCTGGATGTTGAAGGCGGACTTGTGAACGGCAGCCAAGGGATCGTCGTTGGCTTCAAAGGTTACAATGAAGCGACCATCCCAAGGCCGGGTCCTCGTGTGGATCCCAAGGATCTCGAAGCCGGGACCCTACACGAAGACCAAGGGCACCCCCAGAAAGGCTCTTCAAGGTTCCGTGGTGGAGGAGAATATGCCTATAGGCAGAGCCAGCTGAAGGCCTTCTTTGCTGCCGATGAATTCGCGCAAGTCTTTCCTGAAGTTCGTTTCACCAACGGCAAGACCATCACCATTCTACCCGACTGCTGCGTAATCCAGTTGGGCGAGGAATGGCCATACTCTTTGCTGAGCCGGACCCAGATCCCGCTTGTAGCGGCTTGGGCTATGACCGTACACAAGGCCCAGGGGATGACCCTTGACAAAGTGAAAATAGACCTGAGCAACATGAAGGACCCAGGGCAAGCTTACGTCGCCTTGTCGCGGGTGAGAACGCTCGGCGGGTTGAAGATCATAGGAGGCTTGAAGGGGTTGAACACCTCGTGTGCGAATCCAATAGTCTCGGATTTCATGGCCTCGACGGAGTGGTTCATTGGGTAGTCGATTCGCGACGAAAGAGCGGACATCTGTCTGGTGCTGTTGGCATGCTGAGAGACACGGCCTCCCTGCCGGGAAGGAACCTTTTTACCTTGTGGCGGACATTTCTGACTTGTGATTTCTGCGATCGGAGAGATGAACATATCCAAAACTGCGGTACTTCTCAAAGGATTCGATGATGGCTGAGCGTTCGATATCGGAGAGCAGACGGGATGCTGAGGTCTCAAGCTCGGCATCAGGCTCTCTACTGCGGAGACCACGACTCTCCTCTCGGTTGCTTGATTTTGTTCACATGTTTGTTTGCGGCTATCTACACAATAATGTCATGATCATCAAAACACCCGGACATCACCAGCTCTCTCTTCTCTTCCGAAGTCGGCTCACCCCTCACTTACAACCAACACCACCACTCCAGTGCAACTACTTCCAACGACGAAACAACGTAGCCATGAGCGAATCATTCCAACGACCAATTCGGTCACTCGAGGGCCGCGTTGCCATCGTCTCAGGCGCAGGCGCAGCGGGAGATGGTATTGGCAATGGACGAGCGTGCGCTATATTGTTGGCCGAAGCTGGTTGTTCTGTCGTCTGCACTGACATGAAACTTGAGCTTGCGCAACGGACAGTCGAGTTTATTGAGAAGGATGGGAAAGGGAAGGGTTTTGCTGTGAAAGCTAATGCTACCGTTGCGGACGATTGCCAGGCGGCCGTGCAGACTGCTGTTAAGGAATATGGGCGGTTGGATATACGTACGTCAATCAGACTGGAGGCAAGAGGAAGAGCGACTAACGAAGCAATTAGTTGTCAACGTAGTCGGCATTGGCGGCGCCACAGGTACAGCAACCGACGTCGATATGAGCGACTGGACCAAGTCGATGGAAGTCAACGTGTCCAGGTACCACTTCACCAAACAACGTCCACATTCAAGTTACTGACGACCACCTTAGCATGGTCCTTATGGCCAAATACGCCATCCCAGCAATGGAGAAAAACCAAGGACAATGGCGCGGCTCCATCGTCAACATCGCCAGCGTTGCAGGCCTTCGTGGCGGCAACCCTCATCTCTTCTACCCAACATCCAAAGGCGCCATAGTGGTTCGTTCAGCGCCATATCTCAGTCCACTCGCTTGCTAATCTCCTTCTTCGCAGAACATGACCAGAGCAATGGCCGTACACCATGCGCCCATCGGCATCAGGGTGAACTGTGTCTGCCCGGTATCAAACCCCCTTGGACAAAGACCTACCATGTCTGCGATATTCGCTGACCCCTTCGCTCTCACTGTTCGCAGGGAATGGTCTATACGCCGATGATGTACGCGCCTGGCATGACCGATGAAGCACGAGAGGCGAGAAAAGGCAGGAGCATGCTCAAGACCGAAGGCACAGGTTGGGATGTCGCGGCTGCTGTCAGGTTCTTGGCTGGAGATGAGGCACGATGGATGGTAAGTTGAGATGGTGCATGTTGTCAATTGAGTCGTTGCTGATGAACTGCAGACGGCGGTGATACTCCCTGTAGACGCCGGCGCAACTGCTGAGGTGGGAAGTATGCTGCCGAAAGAGGCGATGACGAACCCGGGTGGGAGGACAGATGTGCCTTCTTCATCGTAACGGGCATTGTTAGGTGTACAGTTGGTATAACATCGGTACGACTTCTGTATATCTGGCTGGTTGTAATAGATACACAGTCAATGCAGAGAAACGCCATCAACACCTATGTACATACCCGTGCCTGCTCCACAGCCTCTCCATACCACTCTATGCACTGGCCGCTTGCATCTCACCCGGGCCATAGTTGACCTGTGGGTTTGGCATGCCAGGCGCAAGGAAATTGGTCTGAGGGTTCTTCGCCGCCTTGGCTGCGCTGGCCCTCGCCATGGTAGGACTCGACCGTGAAATCGCGTCTGTAAAGAAGAAGTTCTCAATCACCTTCCTGAAAGGCTCGCCCGTCGCCTTAGCGCCCTTGTTCTGGTCAATGAGCTGCACCTTGCTCAGTGCAGGCAGACCAGCGGGTTCGATCAGGTCGTATCGTCGCAGAGCCGGGCTGACCTCTTCCATGCGGTCGCGGAGGGCTTCCAGGTCATCGTAGGGCAGTGGCACACCAAGAGCTTCTGATGCCGCACGAATGATCTTCCAGTCATCACGAGCGGCGCCGTAGACAGAGGTAGCTGGCCGAGACATCTGCACACGACCTTCGGTGTTGATCCAGGTGCCACTCTTCTCGGTGTATGCCGCTGCCGGAAGAACGACGTCAGCAAGACCCGCACCCTTGTCACCATGATGACCCTGATAGATCACGAAAGCGTCCTTGGGGATCTCTGCAGCATCGATCTCGTCTGCTCCGAGCAGCCAGACGACCTTTGGCGTAGTCTTGGCAGTCTCCGGGCCCGGTACTGCGAATCCGACCTCGTAAGCTCCGTTGCGAGAGGCAGCACGTTGGAGGACGTTGTAGCCTTGCCAGTCGGGTGTCTGGAAGTTGGCCTTGTTCTTCTCAACGAAGCTGCCGACAGTCTCGTATATGGATTTGGCGTCTTGGTGCTCTACAGCGCCGGACCCAACGATGATCATCGGCCGCTCGGCAGCAGCGAGCCTCTTGCCAAAGTCGCCGCTGAGCGCGCTCTTGAGGTCGTTGGCGTTGGTGCCAAGCTTCTCGTACTCGAATGTCGACTCGAAGTCCTCACCAACAAGCCCGACCTCGAGGTCTGATCGCAGCCACTGTTTCCGTATCCGTGCATTGAGCACCGCGGCTTCGTGGCGTGGGTTGGTACCGACGAGCAGAATCAAGTCTGCCTCTTCAACACCGGTAATCTTCGAATTGAAGTTGTAGTTTGACCGCACGTCAAGACCGTGCGCAAGTGGCGCTGAGCCTTGCGGGAAGTCGAGTGCAAGATTCTCCGAGCCAAGTCTGTTCGCAAGGTCCTTCGCGGCCACTAGAACTTCGGTCTCGACGAGCTGACCAGCGATGAACTTGAATTCATCACCCTTCGGTTGCAGCTCCTTGTACTTCTCGCTGATCTCAACCAGCACCTGCTCCCAAGTTGCGGGCTGGAACTCGTCGTTTCGCCGGATGAGGGGCGTGGTAAGTCGTTGTGTGCTCAGACCATCGCATGCGAAGCGGCTCTTGTCGTCGATCCACTCTTCGTTGATATCATCGTTCAGCCGTGGCAGTATCCTCATCACCTGCAGTCCTCTTGCGTCCGCCCTGATGTTGCTGCCCAAACCATTCATGACATCGATGGTTTCGGTGTGGTAGAGTTCCCACGGCCTGGCGCGGAAGGCGTACGGCTTCGATGTGAGTGCACCAACGGGGCAGAGATCGATGACATTGCCAGAGAGTTCGGTGTCGAGAGCGGTTTCGAGGTATGTGCCGATTTCCAGAGCGTTGCCGCGACCTGTGCTTCCGAGCTCAGGCGCGCCAGCAACATCATTAGCGAAACGAATACATCGTGTGCAGTGAATGCAGCGGTTCATCGAGGTCTGTCGTAGCTCGTTAGCCCGTGTGCCTCCGTGTGTTCCAGCATTGTTGTCCTACCTTCACCAAAGGCCCAATGTTCTTGTCTTCAACCGCGCGCTTGCCCGTGATCTCGTGGAACCGTCCTCTGTCGCCACCATATCGCATGCTCTGGTCTTGAAGATCACACTCGCCACCCTGGTCGCAGATTGGGCAGTCCAAGGGATGGTTTGCCAGGAGGAACTCCATCACACCTTCTCTTGCCTTGTGCGTGAGCGGGCTATCCGTCTTGACGTTCATTCCTGGCTGCACCGGCCACGCGCACGACGCCACAGGCTTAGGCGCCTTCTCGACCTCGACCAGACACATTCTGCAGTTGCCGGCGATCATGAGTTTCTCGTGGTAGCAGTATCGGGGGATCGTGACGCCTGCTTTCTCGCATGCTTGGATGAGTGCTGAGCCGGCTGTCCACGTGTGTTAGTCTTCCGAACCGCCTCGCCGTCTGTGTTATGTGAGACGTACCCTCTATCGACACCTTCTTGCCATCGACTGTAAGCTCCACCTCGGCCTGCCGTCTTCTGCTGGTGGAGAAGGCATTGGTCTGCTGCGGCTTCACAGCATTGGCCTGAGCAAGCCGACGAGTCGACCGCAACAGCTGTCGGCGCATCATCTTGTCTCAACCGCCGAATACCAAAGTCAAGGGAAGAGGAGAGAATGAAGAGCGTACATGCAAGGTGGGTGGTGGCAATCGTTGATGTCGTCTAGGAGCCTCTCTCGGGTCGGCGGTGGAATAAGCTAGTTCCGATTCGTCCGTGCGACGTCCCCCATAAAGCTCTTCTCTCGACCGACTTCGTGTCTTGGTTCTGCACTCATCTCGACCTGTTATTGTGGTGTCGCTCGCAGGCTTTCATGCCACTATATATGCGAGTGATACTCTACTATGTGTCGTAGAGCACGCAAGCGGGCGCTGTAGCTGGATACGTGGAGGCTTCGGCCCGTGAACTCGACTCCTTACCAACGGTGCTACATACTTCTATGCGCGATTTCGCCGGGGTTAAGGGCTCATGCAAGATCTGGCAGTGATCGAGTCTTCGATGTCAGGCGAACAGGGATTGGCCTTCGAGGCATTGAAGGGCAGAGAAGCGAGATATAGCAGGAGCACGAGGGAACTTGGAAATCAGGTACTTTTACTCCATATACTCTCGCATATATCACTGTATTTCATCTACAGTCCTTTTATCCCCCCGCATTACTTGTGCACCCCCTTGTAAATACTATCCACAAGCACCTTTGTCTTCTTCTCCACCTCACAACTCTAATCACGACTGCTCGCCGCTCTCACGATATCCAGCGCTGAAGGCCTCATGCTCGGGTCCTCGCGTGTGAGCGCCGCCACTAAGCTATTCAGCCATCTGCTATACCCCCGACCGACCGGCATATCAGTCTCGAGCCTGGTGCGATCAGGTGCACTCAGATCCCTCGCCAAGCACTGGATGATCCCCCCCAACTTCCACATATCGCTCCAAGGTCCGTACCCGACTAGATTTCGCTCGAAGGCACGGCCCATCTGCTCGGGTGGATACCATTCTGGGTCGCCATGATGCAGATTTCTTGGATCTCGCCTACCTTCTCGAAGGTCGCGTGCGGTGACCGCGCAGCCGAAGTCTCCGATCACGACTCGCGGATAGCTTCCGTTATGACCAGTCGTGGAGAGGAAAATGTCCTGGCTTCAGGTCTAGGTGATAAGTCTTGTTCCACGGCTCACGGAACGGAATGCCTGTCGAGTCTGCGATGCCTCGATGGATGAACACCAGCCCTTTCGCAATGTCTTTGAGGATGTGCCATAGGTAATCTTCGGGTAGTGGAATGCCGTCCGTGTCCTCCATCAAGTCGTTACACGAACCCAAATCGCAGTACTCCGGTATCAACACGATGTGCCCACGCTCCCGATAGTCGTCGACGAGATAAGTGGTATGGCGCGACGCCCGGCCGAACCGCACGAGTTCTTCCAGCTTGGCCCGAGCGTACTTCTTCATTTCCCCGCTGGCCGGGATACGCTTCTCGACGTATAGAGTGCCGGAGCGGCGAGATCTGACGAGGTTGACACTACACGACATACCGCCGTGCCCGAGACGCCGAACGAACTCGAACGGTCTTCGCTCGAGTGGATCTATGCTGCCTATCCCTGGTGTATACTGGGGCGCCGGTGGTGGTCCGAAAGGATCGAAAGGATCATGACGCCGTCGTCTTCTGCCGGAAGGAGAGCTCCTGCGTCTGAACGAGTCGAAAGGATCGTGACGCCGTCGCATTATGCCTGGAGGAAGCCTTCTAGGAGGGAGTGGCCCGTGACTGGAAGCGACCGCCGGTGGCGCTGGTGATGCGCCGCCCGTGAATACGTATCGACAGAGAGTGCCAAAGATTTCCAAGTCCAAAGCTGGCTATGCTTGCTGGAAAGACTCGGCGAGATGTTCAGCAGTGGACAAGAGCTCGGAAATGACTGCTGGTGAGCACAATTCTCTACGGAAGTAAAGAAGCAGGTGTGGTGAATGAGGTTTTGCAACCTGAACGGCGTGAACATCAGAAATTTCGACCTTCGTCTCAGGTCTTGCCTCTTTGAGAGCCCCCAAGTGAATGCGCAGCCCATGTGCTCTCAACTCCACGCAAAAGCGCACATGCAGGAACAAACAGCGTCTGGAGCGACCTAGACGATCAAGCCGCACTGCCAGAATGATACGCAGCCTGCTTTGCACGAATGCCTTGGTGCAGGAGCACCGCCTCTACCCCATGCTTATCCCGCCGCTCCTACTCCTGCCAAGCGGCCTTGGGATTTTCGGAGCTGCTCTGCAGTACCAACTCCACTACATGGTCGTCGCCTTCGCAGTATGCCTCATCAACATTACGGAGACCGCTCCTGTTCCGGTCATGGTCAACTACTTATGCGAGTGCTTCAGCGGGTATGCGCAGGAAGTCACAACAGCGATGAACTTCTACCGGACCATTCTGGGCTTGACTGTGCCTTTTTATATCGATTCGTGGTTGGCGGCGGTCGGAGACGGATGGACGTTCGGCATGAGTAGGTCCAGTGACTGCATAGGTGTGAGCGCTTCTTGTGCTGACGGCGACGCAGTGGCGTTCTTCTCCCTGATCGGTTTTTCGTGCACGCTCTTGCTGGCTTGGAGAGGGGGCGCTGTGCGGAAGTACACGGCGGAGAGGTTTCGGCAGGTGGAGGATGGCGAGCCTTTGTTCTAGACGTGAAAACAAGAGCGGTCATGTTCAAATTCAGCTCAAACGGTCAAACCGTACAATGAGGCGGTCGGTGGACGAGAAAATATCCGCACGCTGGCAGTGGCGGGCGCAGTGAGGGTGCTTGATGGCCGAGCGGTGCTCATGCGGCAAGGGCGCATCAACAAATATAACACGTCTGTCAAAGGCACGGCAAGCACAAGGGGGGAAGGACTGAGGTGGGGCTGCTTGACACGGAGAACACGAAGGACGAATGAAGAATGCTGTCATTGCTATAGAAGATGCTACATAGTCATGAATGTGAAGGCTCCAGGCCCCAGCAAGGTCGAAACCTGCCAAAGACACTGATGCCCTCCTCTTTAAACGCAAACACCCTTTGTTGAAGTCGCGCAAGTTTCTGCAATCCCCTGCTTCGGGCCGTGCAGTCAGAGTCAAAAATCCAGGAGGTGTGAGTGATGGGCGAAATGGGGAGACGATTGCCATCTAAGGGCGCGGTTTCACCGAAGTGTTGGACTTCGGATCACTCTAGTCTTCGCGTGAAGACTCCCACTGTATCTCTTGTCTGTTGACGTTGAACCCATTGTGTCACTCAGTCCAGAGCCTAGGTGTGAAAGGCGTCGTGTCCAGAACCCAGGTGTGTAAGGCGTGCAGAGCCGCCCAGGCGAGGAGGGCGGCGTGGCAGAAAAGAGGGGGAAAAAGGTGAAGAAGAAAATGCTGGGTCGGTGGGGGCAGGAGGTGCTTCTTATAGTGGGGGATCCACGGGTTGTTGATACGGGTTGATACGGGCCCTTGGTTCGTGATTAGAAAAGCGCTAGGCCGCTTCTGTCGAGGTGGCACAGGGCACTGAGCGCCATTGTCGAATCGGGCAGGAGTGGGCTTCGTGCATGCGCGGCATTGCGCTGGCTTCCCTGATCTCGACGTGCTGCAATATGGAATGATAGTTTCCTGGAGCCGTGAAGGTTTGCGCGCTTTGTCTCTTTGTGCAGAGTACTACAAATCCTGAAATTCGAAATCAGCATGTGAAAGTCACGTGATGTGGTCTCGGAGGGGTCGATGCTTCCTTGGACGTCCAGAAGGGTTTGAAACAGTTGAGCTCCAAGGTACCGCCTGTGGAGCGACAGTGAATACTTTTGATATCGAAAGACACTCTGTGAACATGTCTGCAAGCTTCTTTCAAGGTTGAGCTTGATCTGCGCTGACGCCGTTGGGCCGGTTTCCTTTCCCTTCGGATGTTCGATACCTCCGACCGCCCTCACCTGATGTAGCTGTTATCCCGACTGGCGCCAACGCATGCTGTTGAAGCAAAAGGGTATCACAAGAACTCTTTTTACGGCTGGCCTGCCCAAACCTCGTCTGCAATGGCCCTCACCAACTGCAGCTTCTTCCTCATGTCTTCGTATCCTAGAGCGTTGCCTTCGCTGATGCACGCATAGATGGGTCAGTAACCACTCAGGTTGCAGATCAGATCAGGCCACTTACGCATGGGACGCAAAACCGCACTGAGGCGAGACCGACAACCTCTGCAGTGCCTCCTCCCGGCTGCACTTGGAACCCTCCGCAATATAGTCTGCTGCTTTGTAGACTCGGTCGACCATCTCCTTCTTGTCCTCCAGTTCCGGGAACTTTGAAGTAACCACACCGACCACAACATTCTTGTCCTTGGGCAGATACTTGAGTGGTTCGAAGCCTCCCGCGCGAGGTGTGTCGTACTCTAAGTAGTAGGTCGAGACGTTGAGGTTGTTGAACATCTTAGAGGCGATGCGATCATACGCTCCCTCGCTGAAATGTTTGGAGCCGACGTAGTTGCCTCTGCACAGGTGGATGCCCATGTGAAAGTCCGAAGGCCGTTCGATGCAGGCGTTATAGAACTTCAGGTACGCATCAAACTGCTCGTCAGCGGTCTGGAAATTCTCCGGGTCGTTCTTCCAGCCCTCCAACATAGCGTCGGAACAGAAGTCTGGATATCACTTTTAGCATAGGGCTGGTGGATGGGGCAGGAAGACGTACAAGCAAGGTTTGGGTCATCAATCTGGCCGTTGCGCAGGCCGGCGTCGTACAAGATCTTGAGCTCCGTCTGGTATGCCTTGGCTACATCTGCGAAGTACTCATCGTCGTTGGCGTAGACGCCCTTAGTGTAGGCTTTGTTTGGCGCATACCGGAAGTGGTACCTGCGTGCATCAGTAAGCATGCTCAACGTATCGACTGGTCTCTGCTCACCATGATGGGCTGGTCAAGGTAAGCTTGATGTTCTGGGATCTGTCAGTATCGGCACATGACTCCACACAGAGAAGAACACACCTTCCACTGGTCCTTCGGCAGAACGCTCTTCATGTACTCCAGTTCCGGGAGGAAAGACGACTTCCCCGTATGCGAGATCTTGCCATTGGCCACGGTCACACTGTTGGGAATCGTCTTTGCGTGCATGAAGGATTTCACGTCTGGTGCATAGGCACGGAAGATGGACTGATCGTACCCAGACTCTCGCAGGTTGATCTCTTCCATACCATTTAATGTCTCGAAGAAGGTGCCCCAGAACTGGTGTCGGCTGTATTCGCCATTGGTGATGGACTGTATGCCGCAGTCCTGCTGCAGCTTCACGACATCTTTAATGGCTTTCTGTTCTACCGGCACCAGCGACTCCGGAGTGGCAGACTTGTCGGCGACGGCGTATCGGTGCTTGACCAGCTCCTCTGGTCTCAGAAGTGAGCCGATGTGCTCTGCTCGGAAGGGCGGGTTTCGTGGTGAGGAAGACATCTTTCAAGCAGCTTCTCGACCTTGGTGTCCAGACGAAAGTTCAACTTACAATTTCCTCGAGCTCAGTGCCTACATATGCCCCTCATCTGGTGTACGGTGCCGGCTGATTAGATGGCACGCAGGTACCGAACCTTCAACTTCTTGGCCGATGTGACGGCATTTCTGTCTGAGCCGACCACTCTCCGCAACAGATCCGCCTTGAGCCCTTTGACCTTTGTAGGACACATTTTGGATCATTGAGGTGCGAAAAAATGGTGATGGTCGCAGCGATGGGATTGTGGCTCTTGCTTGGCGTCACCCTCTCCATTCTCTGGCGGTCGGCACTTCCTAAGGTATCCTGCCGCGAGCGACAGAATCGAGCTTGAGAAGGATGCAATGTGTAATGTAGGTATGTTGATAGTAGCATATCATACATACTTGGACAGCCAAATGGCGAGATTGCCTCAGTACAGAAGACGACGGTATAAGCCCACCTTCGAGCTGTCCGCCTCCCCATCTCGCGGTGGTACGGAAAGTTGATCAGGACCTCAGTCCAGAGGGTTGGCCACTCGAGAACGAGTGCGTGCCTGCTCAGATCTTGCCCACACCAGCATTGTCCGGCACACTAGACTGCGCACTCGCAGCATCAAGCGCATCCGCAACCTCCAAGCTCCCAAACTGATCCAACACGCTGGTGTCGCTCTCGCTCAGGCTGCCAGAGTTCCCAAAGATGTTGGCCGGGCAGTCACGTCCGAGAGCACTCGCGCAACTGCTCGAATCACTGGTGGGAGCAAACATGGCACCCGCCCAACCGTTCTCCGGCTCGACGACATCCTGGAACACACTGCCCTCCACCAGAGCGTAGCCATCGGCGCCTTCGAATGCGTGACCGGAATTTGCATACCAGTAGTTGTTTGGGAGATGCACGAAAGAACCCTCGTCAATCTTAGGCGAGCGACCGGAGGTATGGTGGACGTAGTTTCCTTTAAAGGTGATCTGATCGCCTTCGCCGGTGAAGTAGAGGGCCCAGTAGTGGTGTCCGTCGCAGCTCGCCGACCAGTCCGTCACACCGTCGATCTCGCAGTTGCTGATGGTGACGGCAGTGTTGGCGTTGTAGCCACTGACGATGTGTTGGCGGCCGATCAGAGAGGTCTGCAAGTCGGTCAGCGCATCATTCATAACTATCTCTTGGGGTTCATACGTGGACATGGTCAATCCAGATGTTCGAGCTGCCGTCCAGCGTGATGGCGTCTCCACCCCACACGTATTGCGGGTTCAACTCAGTGATGGCGATGTTCTGGATGATGATGTTGCTGACACCATTGGCAAGCCTCAAGCCCTTGCCCTTGATGACACCGCTGCTTCCCACGCCGATCACAGTCTTGTCCGATGCAACGTCAATTGGCGTGGTGCCGGCGTTGTCATAGCTGACAGAAACGGAAGGCGCATCAGACTCGTAGTTGGTGCACCAGTCGTTCGCGTTGATGGCAAGCTGGCATCCGCTGCCGGTACCCCACGGGGCGCAACCGGTCTCGCTGGTGGTGCCCTCGGTGCCGGTGAAGTCGAAGGTGGTGGAAAGCACAATCGTCAATGGGTCAGACGACGTAAGGTACGAGACGAGCTCATCCGTAGAGCTGGGAGTGACCGTCGAGCCCGCAGCCCCGCCGGTCGTGCCAGCAGCGAAGCCTTCTGGAGTTCCAGAGACAGTCTGCGCCCGCGCAAGACTGGTGATGGTGGCCAGCACCGAGACGAAGTAGGCAGAATGATGCATTTGGAAGCGAATGTGGTGAAAACGAGTGACGGGTATGAGAATGATGAGATGAGAGTGATGAACGCCCAGAGCCTACCTTTTAAGTGCGTGGCGCGCTACATACATGTGCTGTCGGCATCCAGCTGGAGGAGCCGGTACAATGTCGCGTATACGGAGAATATTTATTCGAGACGTTTGGTTGTGCGATAGGATGTTTTGCATTGGGCATGGACCCGTCTCGAATAAGGGCCGACAGGGATGCGCACGCACTGTCTCACTGTCGTCCTCGGTGCTTCGGACTGAAGTCCTGCGAGGGCCGTCGCATGAAGATGCCTTTCCAATGACCAAGCCGCTGCTGTGCTATATAAGTAATATAGGCTCGTTGTTCCCGCGGTTGTAGGTGGTGAAGCGGAGGTGAGGAAGATGGAAGAAGCAAGAGCAAGCTCAGGGTGAGCGCGTCTTATTTGCGGACTTCACGCGTTTAATGTAAAGATAGGCACCATAATGAGAACAGGCACGCAGACGTATGGGGAGGAGTCTCTGGTCACAGATAATAACGTACAAAGTGCTCTGCTTTCTGTTCCTATCATTACACTACATGCCGTTCATCGTACATCTTCCCCATGTTTCTCAGGCCGTTAGCTAATCATACATGCCGATCGTAAAATACATGTCCAAACGTGGTGTTACAAAAATACAAATGCTTTTTTCTCGTCCGTCGATGTGTGCGTGTGTGTGTGTGTGTGTGTGCGCGCGTGCTTGTATGTGAATGCTTGGTGATCGTGTCGTGCACATTTCTTCGCAGCATCATATCGTTCGTCGCTTCGGCAATCCCCTTCTCTCCTCCGTATTCTTTTCCAGAAGAATTATCGTTGTGCTACGTTGAGCGAGTGTGTTCTGGTGCGGACCCTGCTGGTGATTGTGTCGTGGCTGGTGTTGCGGTCATACTTTGCCCTGGACCGCTCGGCGGAAGCTCTTCTCGATGCCGCATTACTGCTGCCCTAGCTGGCGATGGATCTGCCGCCGCCACCGCATATGGTGATTCATACTCTCGAGTCTCAGTCTGCCTTGCTCCTAACGTGCCTGCTACCGGGAAGCTTTCAGGCTCAGATCTTGTTGACCTCCCCCGCCTTCTCTTGCCCGAAGATGAGCTTGACTGGCTCGTGGTGGTCGGCGCAGTAGGCGTGATGATGGAAGAGATCGGCATCCGCGATACGGGTGGCGCTGTTTGTCTCATCTCTTCTGCAGCAGGGCCCGAAGCTGTCATTGCAGGGTCAAGGGCCTCGGGAGCTGTTGCGGCTGGCGAGAATGGAGGAAAGCCGCCAGCAGGCAATCGAGTCGCAGAGCTGGGCTCACCTGCCATTCCCTGGGCTTCAGCTCTTGCAGCAGCTTCTGCCTTCGTAGGTCTGCCACGCTTCTTCCTGGGATGCTGCTCCAGCGGCGCAGGTTGACCGTACATATGACCCGTGGAGGATGGCTTCGGCTGGATTGCACGTCCAGCTGGGACCTCGAAAGGGAAACCGCGCTTTAGTGCTCCAGGTGCCGATAGAGGTGAGGGTGTCTGTGGACCAAGACCGCTCGGCATGTTCATCGACATCGGTGGTTGCGTCCCAGCACGCTGCCTGATGCTTTCGAATGCCTGCTTACATTCGTTCAAGGTCCTCCCTGCGCTGCGTTAGACTGCTCGATACGGGTCCTCGCCGTGCCTTCCGCAAGCAGACTACGGACTCACTATGTGGCAATGACACGTCCGCCCAGCCGATCTGAGGACGGTTGAGAGAGAACCAAACATTAAAAAGTTGGGTCGGTGAAGGTGCAGCTTGCTTGATCAACTCCGCCAGGAGGAAGTTCTAGACATGTCAGCTCTTGGTGGTGGCACAGAGGTCTTGGTCGTGTGATCCCACCTTTTCAGCATCGCTCCAAGCAGGTGGTCCATATGGACTCGGAGCGGCCATAACGAATGTGACTTGAACGGAAGGAAATCATCGAAGTGCGTCAGTCGTACATAAAACGAATGGAAATGATTAGGTAGGCGCGTAAGGCTCGTGGGGTCGTCGTCGCTGCCGTGCGGTTACAAGGGAGAACAAAGAAATCGCTGGTGTAGAATGGAAGCCGCCCAAAACGATCGCAGTAAACACAATTCCAAACGAGTGAGGTCGGAGAACGCAATGCTAACGAAGACGAACCAAAGCGAGACGCTGCATGTCGTGCATGGAAGAAGCAGAGAAGGGAAGGCGAACTGTTGGGCTGGGGTGGAGGAGAAAGAGCATGCCGACCTGCCATTTGAGATCCTTTTCGACGCAAAACACCGCGAAGGGGCTGCATATGCACAGTCTAGCGCACGTATCCTGCATGATCCCGGAGATTGTCTGCTCAAGGCCATGCTGTCGCCAGGATAGCAGGACTTTGTACAAGAAAGAGCGGTGCTGCGTCCGAGGCCAGCTACACAACAGATGCCAGAACTGGGGCGATAGCAGCAGCAGATGTTGTTAATGTTCGTCCTCGAGCAAGTGGTGTAGTTGTTTTCGTCTCGACTCGCGCTCAGTCTCCGAGATTTCGCGCCATCATCCCGGCCCGTGCATCCAACGTCACACTCCAGCTTCTCAACTTTGCTAAACTCTCCTGACGGTTTCCATCCGGTCCCTGCTCAACCCGAAACGTCTTGCTCGTACGACGTGGTATTGTATGGCTATGGCGCAGCGCCAGCGATTACTGATGTCTTCTGACGCCGCCTGCGGGGTCATACTGTACCTGGCCGAGCGCTTCGCTCCGCTCCAAAGCAACCCGCCGTAAAAGGACACACATATGCACGTCCTTCCTGCTTCTGGCGCCGACGAGAGTCAGAAAAGCCGCTCCTAAGAAGTTTCAGAAGTACTTGCAAGGGCAGGCGAAATTTAGGAGCGCCCATTCGTCGTCCGTATCTGACTCTACAGACCACATGTGTCCCACCCACAACAGAGAGGCCAGCTGGCCAGCTTTCGCTTGCTCCCTGGTCGGTCTTCATGGGGGCTCTTCTCCGGAACATGAAATACTCTACTCAAAGACATGCTGTCGCCGCTTCTCACTTTGGCACGAGCACGATAAATTTGGCAAAGCAAATTGAGCAGCATCTATCATAAACACGCTGGGCTGACCGTTGATAGACCAGAAGGCACCGCACGAACAGCATCATCTTGCTCAATGGGATAATACCATGGAACGAACGGCAACGCTTCACGCCTGCAATGCCACAGTTGGCTCGGCTCGCGACGAGGTACGACAATATGGCACCTTCTGAGCTCCTGGACTCTCTTCTCTACTATTGCTCTGGTCTAGCCCGTCCATGCCAAGGTATTTGAAAGCTTTCGTATCGTCAGGCTGGAAGGTGCCTTTTGAATGTTCGTCGTGGTGGCCAACGGGCGGGCCAAGCCGAAGGGAGCTTAGTCAGGCAGTCCTTCGATCCCGTGCATAGAGAAGCAGTTGTTTAAGGATCTGCCCTTACGCCTCTCTACTTTCACATCTCCATTTTTTTTTATCTCCTCAAACCTCGGCGAGTGAAGTCAAGTTCGGCCTGGCATCCAGCGCGACGAGTTTTTGCGGCGCCTAAAGAGTACGCGGTAGGATAGCAGATAGCGCCTTCACATGTAGACCAGTCACTTATCCATTTGAAGTTCAGGTGCACCAGATCTTTGCCCTCGACCCCGAGAGCTCTATACATCCCTCCGCCGATAAGTCCCACGAGCGTCTTTGGTTGCGTGAACCCGCCTGCTGCGGGTGTGAAGAGGTGCTGAACCCACCTCGACTCCGGCCCTTCGACTCGATTTGGGCTCTTTCCAGGCGGGTCAGGTTGATTGTGAATCGCTGCCGGTTGGACGGATGCAGCCGTAGACTCACTGAGAGCGCCCGTTTGGCGTGTGCTTGGTGCCAGGCACCTACCGATAAATCGCGGCTTTCTACCTTTCACCTCCGCATTCACCACCGGCGTTGGTCCGACACGACACAAACATGGCAGACACCGTGGGCGCGGACAAATTGAAACAGGAGGACCTTGAGGCAGAAGTACACGATATGCATCTCAAAGAAGAGCAGGGTGAAGATGTGGACATGGACACAATACAGGTGGCGGAGGCCATACCAAAGGAGCGCTCAGCCTCGAGAGAGCAGCCTGGGACCGCCACGCCCAAGGTCAAGAGCCAGTCGCGGTCTCCTGTAAAAGGAGAACCTCCTCCGCCAGGTGCAACACCGCGCTCTGCGGGTATCAAGGATGAAGAGACGGAGACTGTAGGAGGTGAGGTCGAGTTGAAGCTGGAGGGTGGTGACAGACCCAAGTTGGTGCGCAAGCAGAGTCAAAAGGTCAAGGCGCGGCCACCACAGTTATTCGACGACTATGAGGACAAGACTGGTGAGGCGACGTCTGCTTTCACCGTCATCAAGGATTGCACCTATGCAAACAAATATATGGGTGCGACCGACCCCGCGCTGGAGTGCGAATGTCAGGAGGAATGGGGTGAGTATTGGCCACCACAGAACATCACCCACTGCAATTCCATCTGACATATTTACCAGACCCATCGACGAAAAGCAACCATGCCTGCGGCGAAGACTCGGACTGCATCAACCGCGCCACCAAGATGGAGTGTGGTGATGACTGCGGATGCGGCTCTGCATGTCAGAATCAACGCTTCCAGCAGAAACAATACGCAACAGTCTCTGTCATCAAGACAGAGAAGAAAGGGTATGGACTACGTGCTGATGTCGATCTGCATCCGAACGACTTCATTTTCGAGTACATTGGCGAAGTTATTGGCGAGCAAGCCTTCCGGAGGCGCATGCGCGACTACGATGACCAAGGCATCAAGCACTTCTATTTCATGTCCCTCACGAAAGGCGAGTTCGTCGACGCAACAAAGAAAGGCAACCTCGGCAGGTTTTGCAACCACTCGTGCAACCCGAACTGCTACGTCGACAAGTGGGTGGTGGGTGACAAGCTGCGCATGGGCATTTTCGCCGAACGCAGAATCCAGGCTGGCGAAGAATTGGTCTTCAACTACAATGTCGATCGATACGGAGCTGAGCCTCAACCATGCTACTGCGGCGAGCCGAACTGCACAGGCTACATTGGTGGCAAGACGCAGACGGAGCGTGGTACGAAGCTCTCGAATACGATCATTGAAGCGCTTGGAATCGACGATGCCGATGCATGGGACACGGCCGTAGCGAAAAAACCTCGGAAGAAGAAGACTGGTGAAGATGACGAGGAGTACGTCAACAACGTCGAGCCTAGGGGTCTCGATGAAGAAGGCGTCAACAAAGTCATGTCTTCGCTCATGCAGTGCAAGGAGAAGTGGATCGCGGTCAAGCTGCTCAGCCGTATCCAGCGCGCTGACGACGAGCGGGTGCGCAACCGAGTCGTCCGCTTTCACGGTTACCGGATACTCAAGACTGCGCTATCCAACTTCATCGACGACGTCAACGTCTGCCTGCAGATATTGGACGTGCTGGATAAGATGCCACGCCTGACTCGCAACAAGATCCAAGACTCGAAGATTGAAGAGACAGTGCAGCAGTTGACCACAAACGAAGACGAGAGGGTCGCTAACCAGTCGAAAGGGCTGCTGGAGGCATGGGCAAAGCTGACGGTGGGCTACCGGATACCTCGCATGAAGAGAGACCCCAACGCACCTACCGAGCGCAAGAATGAGCGCGCCGGCAGACGCGAGGAGACTAGGCGAAGGTCGAGATCGCGATCGAGATCAAAGTCGCCTGAGCGGATACAAGCACCGACCGGCCCTCGCAGTAACGCCCCCCAAAGAGCAGCCTTTCGCCCGCCGCCACCTCGCTTTCGTGCACCACCTCCAAGCGGTGCCCTTCCGGATGGTTGGTTTGAAGCGACTGCAGGCAATGGAACAGTGTACTACTACAACAACGGCGGAGTCACAACGTGGCAAAGGCCGACAGTGCCAGCAGCTCCAGCGCCTCCACCACCTCCGCCGAAGGCTGTTACCGACCAACAGATTTTGTCAGACCTCATCGCGAGCATTGTGTCCAAGAAGGACACCACAAAGGCACCGTCGGAGACACCTACCCCAGCCGAGACGCCAAAGAAGGAGCGTAAGGAGGAAAAGTGGCGGTCATGGCCTGAAGAGAAGCAACGGAGAACGTACGAGAACACTCTACACCCTCACATCAAGCACGTCATGGATAAGTACAAGCACAAGCTCGAGAAGGAGACGCTGAAGAGTTACACCAAGGAGTTCGCCAAGATGATCGTTGCGTCGCACTTCAAGAAGGGTAGTGTGGAGGATCCGTCTCGGATCAGCGACAAACAGGTGAAGAGTGTGAAGAGGCATGCAGTCGAGTTCTTCGACAAGGCTGTCAAGAAGCAGGGAATTGCGGACAAGAAAAGGGCGGAGAAGAAAGCTAGCAAAAAGGATGCTGGAAGCACCACTCCTGCCGGCTCTCCGCCTGCTGCTACCGCTGCCAGTCCGATGGAGAAGGACGGTGGAGACGTCGAGCTGACCGACGACGAAGCAGACCCGCCAGATGCCACGCCAGCCGAGTCGTCCAGTAGTGCCAATGCTGCCAAGCGAAGAATCGAAGAGCTGACTGATGGAGAAGACTTAGAATCAGTGCTCAAGAGACAGCGTACGGAGGATCCCGACACTGTTGCTACTGCTGCACCCCCTCCACCTCCACCGCCTCCTCCCCCACCCGCGGGATCTGCCAATGGCGAACCCATGCAGCTGGACCAGGATGCGCTTACGCCGAACGAGGACGTCTCTGAGTCTTTCACGCACGAAGCGCTTGTCTCAGTACATGACGCTGCAGTCGACGATGATCAGGCAGTTGCTGGCAGCGAAGATGGTTCGCATACCAACGGCACGGCTGCTGCGAAATCGACGAATGGCGTTCCAGATGAAGTTTCCCAGACGGCCACGCCTCCGACCACGAACTCGCCCGATGATGAGGAGGCTCAGAAGATTGCGAAGAGGGCGCAGTTTAGTGGTATGAACCCGGCCCGGATGCGACAGCTTGGGTTGTTTAATGGTGCGAGCGATTGAGCTCTGCATAGGTTGAAGGATAAGACCCAGGCACCGATTGTTGGAATCCGATGGATGGGTTGGTGCTTTGGCGATAGCAGAACTTTTGGCGGTGTCTTGCTTCGAGCGTTTCTGCTCCGGGCGACCTTCGAGCATGTTTTGCTCCCAGCCCCGAGCACATGGAGCCCCGATGCTACCTTTGCGAGCATCCCAGCGTCCCCACCGGCGCAGCTCTACGATAGCTCCAGCCTCAGCAGCTACCATAAATCCTAATTCTCAAAACAAATCCCGTCCCCCCTCCCTCCCCACCACCCCAGCATCCCACGCACTCCACCCCTTCACCCTCCAGCCCTCCCCGTTCCTACCCACCCACCCTCCCACCGCCGCGATCAGCGCCTGCCGATCCTCAGCCGCGATCCGGATCCAGACGTCTTGGCCCTCGAGTTTAAGGATGTCGAATGCGATTGCTGAGCCGTGCAGGCCGAGGAACTGGGTTAGCGCGGCTGTGAGGTGGAGGTGTGCTGTTACTGCGTCGAGATCTCCTGGGGTGGGTTTTGGTGGGGCGAGGTGTTGGAGGTGGAGGTAGGTGTGTTGGGGGTTGCGGAGGGTGATTTGGGTGAGGATATGTGGTTTTGGGTGGCGCTTTTTGCGCTTTTTGGCGGAGGTTGAGGTTTGGGTTGAGGGTGGTTGATTCTCCGGTATCTCTTTGTTGTTTGCCTCTGGAGGCTCCTCCATGGTTGTGTCGTCTGCATTGACCATAGTGTATTGCTCGAAGCCGCTACAGTCTGTCTAACCAACACTGCGTTCGAGGAGGTCGTTGTAGTTCGAGGTGCATTCCAACTTATCCCCGAATATGACCGAAGCAACCCCGACTTCTCAACTTCCAAACTCCCCAACTTCCAAAACATCCCCATGTCCTTCCGACGCCAGCAATGGCCCACCAACCCCCCGACCCACGCACCCTCACCAACTGGGAAGATGCCTTCCAACACCCTCTCCCCGCCGTCCGGCACCTCGAACACCAGCTCCGCACCACAATCTCCTCGAACCGCGAGAAACTGCGCTCCCTGGTCGGCGCCAGCTACCGCGACCTCCTCGGCACCGCCGAGCGCATCGTCGAGATGGATCAGCAGATGCAAGTCGTAGAGAACACGCTCGGTGGGATCGGACGGAAGTGTAACGCGAGGGCTTTGGAGCGGACGGGGGAGAATCGGGCGAGGATGCGGGGGTCCTTGGTGGGGGAGCGGGAGGAGAGGTTGGGGGTGGTGGGGATGACGAGGGTGTTGCAGAATGCGGTTACGATGGTGGTGAGGGTTGTGAGGGGCAAGGGGGATGTGTTGGTGGCGGCGAAGTTGTTGGTGTTGGGGCGGTTGTTATATAGGCAGGTTGCGGGGAGTAGGCAGAAGCCGGCGGTGGTGGAGGAGTTGAGGGGGAGGCTGGGGACCACGAGGAAGAGGTTGCTGGGGTATTTGGAGAGGGTTGTTGCGGGGACGGAGGGGGATAAGATGGTGCTGGCGAGGAGTTTGTGTGGGTATGCTTTGATCACGAGCTCGACGCCGAAGGAGGTGCTGCGGTATTTTCTCCAGACGAGATATCAGCGGCTGGAGAGTAAGCTGGAAACGCCTACGACGGAGAGTATGCTGCAGATGCTTGAACTCTACAGCCAGACGTTACTTGACTGCCGCGACCTGTTCCCTCGACGGTTTGCGGATGGTCTAGAACAGCTTGCAAAGGTCCCGCTGGTGCAGGATGAGCAGGTGCGGTCTGTGGCTGAGCTCAACCTGGATGTCTACGGAACATTCATTGCTCCCGATATTCGAACATTCACGCCGTGGGTGCGGCACGAGCAAGTCACTGCCGCAGAAGTTGGTGACGCGCTTACGTCTTGGACCAGCCAGGCACAAGAGTGCGTGCTGGAAGGGCTACGGGAGTACCTGAAGGCTCAACCTGACGCGAGAGTCGTCTTCGACACGCGACAGAAGATTATCTCAAAGTACCTGTCGCTTGGTGGCAAGTTGAGGGGCCAGTCACATTCCGAAGCGATTGAAAGCATACGTGCAGCCTTCTTGGAGAGGCTGCAGCAGCTTGCCAGTGATGCCGGGGGCCTGAGAGGGTTGACCTTGAACGCGGCGGATGTGTCGAGCCAGAATGACGATGTCGAGAGGGCCGGCAGTCTCTGGGGTCTGGCCACGGAAGACTTCGACCTCAGCCATGGAGCGGCGAAGTTCCGGTCGGCTGTTTTGAACACTCGCCACGGTCGAGGTCCGCTTCTACAGGCAGAAACCCGCAAGCTCGATGACTGGGTTGCGCGGATACACTCAGTTCTGGACCTCGTAGAGGAGATGCGGACGAGTAGATGGGACACTGATATCGATTTTGATCTCGAGGATCTGGATGACCACGACGCTTTGCTCCGCCAGCTCAACAAAGGCGACGTCGAAGCTGTCATAGCTCATCTTCGAGAAGCATGTGTTGGCAGTGTCGAGCAGACTACGCAAGAGATCACATCTTCGGGAGCGGAGACTAAGCACGCGACGTACTATATCCGACTATGGAGGGAGATCGATCGACGGCAGCGCGCTTTGCAGCAACGACTTGACTTGCCTTTGACGAGACTGTCGCTGACTGAGCTCTACCGCAATATCGCCAAATCGTTTGGGACGGAGCCACTCGAAAATTACGCGGAAGCTGCGAAGAAGCACTCCCACGTCGCGGTGACGCTGTTCGATGGAACACCAGCACTACCCCTTCAGCCCTCCCCAGCTACCTTTCGGTTTTTAGTCGCGCTGCAGAAGGCTCTAGCTGCTGTGGGGAGCGACGTATGGAGCGGACAAGCGGTTGGTGAGCTGAAGGCTGTGCTGGCCGAAGAGCTTGGGGGAAGGCTGGCTGACGACGTTTTCACGAAGCCGATGAAGACCGGTCTGACGAATGGACATGCTGAGAACCATGATGACAACGATGGAGATGACGAGAATACGGCCGATGGTGAGGACGAGCAGAAGATCACCAACGGAGCGTCCGCATGTAAAGACGAAGGACGAGATCGTCTGCTGCAGAACTTTTACGATGTGCAGTACTTACATCGAGTCCTACGTCGTTCGCAGGAGGACGAGGAGAATGGCCTCGCACGTCTCGCTAGCAGCTTACGGACGACTCTGGAGCTGGACGATGCTGCCACGGAGCGTATGGAGAAGAGCGCGAATGAATACTGGAAGCGGACGCATTTGCTGTTTGGTCTGCTGGCTCCTGGTAGGGAAGGGAAGAAGTATTGAATACTCTCAATCTTAAAGTAGAGATGTGAATGAAAACATCGTACTGGACGAGTAGACCAGAGGAACTCGAAGATGAGGTTCATACACCATCGCACCTTCCCAACTCGCCCGCCAAACCCAATCTCAACCTCACCTCTTCCACTTTGGGCTTCTGTTATACACTCCCCCGGCTATAGTTGATCTGTGATTGATCTATAGTTCGCATAAACACCGAGGAACATTTACAAGGATGGTGCTTCTTGCATACCTTAAGCGCTGGCGGCGGCGTGGCTGGAGAATGTTCTATACATTGGTACATGCAGGTGGTGAACCTAGAACTTCTACTTTCTCAACAGCGCCCGCTGTCGTGGTCGAGACGTGAAAGCGTGGACAGGCTGACATCCTACAATAGAAGCCCTTCCCCGAATGCAGAAGTGATGCAGCGTGCTGTCGTCCTCGTGATGATGAGCTAGAATGGCGTGGGGTTTCGTGGGGACACAGCATTTTCTGCTCTCGGCCCAGCACAGCACGATCTGCAGGGCGGAAGTTGAGGATTCCGGGCGAGGATGTCTCCGTCCAGCGTCTCGCAACTGCGCTGCTGCGAGGAGTGCCAAAGTGCGTCGGGAGGAATGCAGGAGCTCGATCTTTCCATCCTTTCGTCTCGTCTACAGTGAAATCGAGGATTTCCAGGCGCACAAACAACGTCTCGTAATTTCCAACCTCGGCCCTTCAGGGAGTCCAGGCTATCATCATCACCAGCTATCGCGCAATCGCCTGGCCCTGTCGCTTGTCTCTTGTCTCTACCCGAACAGTCGGGGAGTGGGTTTATTGGAAGGTTGCTGATCGGCAGCTAGTGCGACGGCTGCCGTCGCTGCTTCCGTTTCACGACTGCCGCGTCTTGATTGGTTGGGGGGAAGCGAGATCGTCGTTTTATCGTTTTCTTGTTCTGTGTTGTTGGGAACGAGCGTGGTATAATAGGCGTACATAGATAGGGGCAGGAGAAGGGGAACGTGTGGGCTATGACGGGGTGGGTCTGTAGTGGTTGTTCGAGTAGATCTCTGGAGAAACCCATGAATGGTCAAAGAAGCTCCGCTCTTCCGCCGCGGCGGGTGGGTGGTGTTGAGAGAAGCGAGCACGCTGACAGGGCTTGGGTGGGTGGATTGTGAAACACGCCTTCGGCACGCCCGTCCTCTCTGTGTCTCTCCCGCCTGCGCAAAGTGAAACGGCCAGCAGTATCGATTTTGCCCCGATCGGGATGCGAAGTGTTACACACACACGCCGCCCGCTGAGAAGAAGTAACTCCCCCTTCCTCCACACACCACCATCACCACCCCGTCTGTCTGTCTGCCTCCCTTCTTCCCAAGGTCTGCCGTCCGGTTTCTGTAGACGCGCGCGACTGCGACTGTCGTGGGAACGACGTGCTCGAGCGTGAAAGTCTGATCTTGATCCGGCGTGGTGGGACCGAGCGAGACTACTGACTCCATCCGCCCTCGTGCAGCGGCCGTTCGCTGCCGACGTGCTGCACCTCCAACGCCCAGACGAGACGACTTCCTTCCTTCCACTCCTGCACCATGTCGACCGCTGTCGCTGCAGCGCCCGCTGCCACCACCACCACCACCCCTCTCGCCCCGCTGTCCTCGCCGCATCGCCCGCCCTCCTACACCAGCCTGCCCTCGGCAGCTCCGAGCGCTGAGCCTGCCGCCAAACGCCAGAGGAACAACGCTTCGCCGCTTGGTGCGTCCGAGAACAACGCTTCTGTCGAAAGGTCGGGCTCGCATGGCAAGAGTTCGCCTACGTCGTGAGTAGAGCACATTGTCTGAAACTTGCGGTAATGTGGAATGCGACTGACGTCGCTCGCAGCGGCCGCAACATTGTCCCTCCCAAGATTCAGGTGAAGAAGGAACCGCTGGACGCTTCGCCCTCCATGTCGTCCTCACGCCCCAGGCCGAAGCGCCTCGATCTGTCGACGAGTATGGCGAATAGTCGTGGCCCGAATACTGCGAGAGGATCCGGACCATTGACTTCGAGAGAGTCGGCTGGACTACATGTTCAAGATGTTGGACTCGCATGTCTATCTCCAGGCTTCCAAACACATGACCCGGCGATGCGGGAACAACTACAGCGGAGCTTGGATGTACGAGATCAACAACGACAGATCATTGAGGCTAGACAAAAGGGCACGAAACCAGGCAGCTCGCACGAAAACGACAGCGCACAGAGGTCACAGGACACCACGCTCTTCGGCGTACAGACTCGCACACCCACCACATCTCGACGAAAAGGCCCACCACCGGGCCTCTCGATCGCCGCACCCTCCGCACAAGAATTCGCCAACGACCGGGTAATCCAATCCGCGCCCCTCCACCAAACCTTCACCGGCCTCCGCCCTGGCGACCAACCATATTCCCGCCAGCTCCAACACGGTCCCAGCGGTTTGAGCCAAACCAGCCACATCCACCACGTCCCCGCGACGCAAACCAACAACCGTCTCCCCCCCATCGCCGACGTCTTCGCCAACGACCGCCTCGACGCACCGCGGGGCATCCCTCCCGTCCCATCCCCCAGCTTCCCCCCTCAACACCAAAACCCACCCCTCTCCGCCCGCGCCCGCGAGTTCCGCTCCGCAGAAGAAGCCGTCGCCGGTCTATCAGGCGGCCGCGAAGACCTCATGCCGAAAGTCGTCCACTACGGCGGCGTCCAACCGCCCACTCCACCTTCCCCCATGCCACCAGGCAGCGCCGCACACCAGCATTCCGTAGCAGGCACGCAACAACCCTGCCCCCACGCCGGAAGCGGCCATTACCCTCACGACGGACGACCGGACATCCTGGCGCGCACTTCGTCAATGAACGGACGCAGGCGGGGCAGGGATGAGTATGAGCGCGACAACGGCAGTCCGCCTTCCGGGTCCGGATATCGGGCGCAGGAGGCGAAGCGCACGGCTTTTGCGGTTCGAGGGGAGGAAGGGAGGGGTGATGAGGAGGATTGGAGGCGGGGGATGGGGGGACGGGAGAAGAGGGAGGAGTTTTTGAGGCTTTGTGAGAGGGCTTGGGATTTGTTTCATTCGTGATGGAAGCAGTACCAGTATTGGGGGTTGGGGTGTGGGTGATGAGGCGGATGATGTGGATGACGACGGGGTGGGATTAATGTATGGGATGGATGTTCACGCCACATGATTGATGGGGAGGATATTCTGCAAGATCTCAGCCTTTTCGAAGGTCATCATTGTTCACTTTCTCCAGGCGACTGACTGGATGGCGCAGCAGGAGTGAGAGTACGCGAGGAAACAGCTTCTTTTCAAACACCCTTACCACGAGGGAATATGCGATGAAGCTATTGTATGGCACCGGGGCTAATCACGGCGCGGCTACTTCAATCTAAGGCGAGATGGCCACTTACAAGGGCGTTTAGACAATTTTCTCATCTAGCTACTGTAGCGTTCACATTTCCACATCCTACAGTAGTTCTCCAATCCCCACCATCCTCCACTGACAGGCATTCCTACCCCTCCGCCCACCCAAACACCCCAGCCACACTCTGCACACTCCACCGCACCCCTCCCACCGCCACCACCGCCCCTATCACCTCCACCACCAACACCACCACACCCGCCATCAGCATCCTTGGCATGAAGACGCGATACAACATCAGATGCCTTCGCAACCACGCCGCTTCCACTACCGTGGCTACGGTGATGGCGGCGTAGAACAGGAGATGCGTCGCCATAGCCCCCGCGATCCTTCCCAGTAACCCGGGGGACTTGGGCGGGACCTTCCACATCGCGACCGCGGGCACGGCGATGGCGCAGAGGATCTGCGGACCGAAGGTGTTCAACGTGATTAAGATGGGTGACCAAGGGTAGCGGATCGTTTTCAACGGGATAAACGCAGTCTCCCACTGGATGGTGGAAAGAGCGGCTTGATGCCCCGTTTTGAAAAAGTAGAAACACCCCATTATTCCCAGCAGGACTGGTCCCAAGGGCGAGCGACGCAGGTTGCAGGCGTCGAGAACTTCGAGCACGTTGAGAATGGAGATGGTGCAGAGGGCAAGGGCGCCTTGGCCCATGGGTTTTTGCACGAGGAGGAGCGCGGGCAGGTAGATGAGGGGGAGCAGGAGGTAGCGTGTGCCGTGCGTGTTGGCGTAGCCGAGGATGAGGAGTTTGGGGCGTGGAGTCGAGGGGGTGGGGTTGATGGTTGTGAGGATCGCGCCGCCGGTGGGGTGGTTGGGGGTGATGGGTTTGCTTGTCGAAGTGGTGGATGGGGTGGAGGAGGAGGAGGGTTCTTCGGTGCGCACGAGCAGGAGTGGCGGGGACCAGATGTATGTCGAGTAGCCTGCCGCGGCGGCGATGGCGAGGACGATCTGTGCGAGGACCGTGCGGGAGGATTTGAGCGTTGCTTTGGGGATGGAGGGGTACCAGTCCCCGTCGTCCGCGGCGTTGAGGACCCAGAAGGCGGCTGTGAGGACCAGCGCGATGCGGAGGGCGAGGGCGATCCAGATGACGGCTGAGCCTTGGAAGTTTTTCGTTCGGACGTAGTGGTAGCGTAGAATGGAGGGGAGGGCGAGAGCGACGACGAATGGAATCAAGGTCTGCCAGCCTGCGGAGGTGGACGAGAGGGCCGAGGCGTAGTAGGTCGAGACGCAGTACGGCATCTGCTCTTCGCGACAGAGGCGAGAAAGAGAGCTGAGGCGGGTAGCGGCGAGGAAAGAGAGGGAGTTCGCAGCGCCGAAGTTCCGGTCTGTCGAGTCAGCCTGTCCCAGCGAGGATGCCAGCATTGCCACGCCAAAGGTCGTCAGGAGGAACAGAAGTATCTCATCTTCCCAAATCGTAAACGAATTCGCCGCAAAGCCAATGCAGAGCAGCAACGTCGAAAGAAAGCACAACCCGCCCCAGAACGTCCTCGGATAAGGCACCCTGAGACCTTCACGAGCCCGGAAGAATGCGATGGACATCGTGACAACAGGTCCAGCAACAGCGCCAAACGCCGCCAGTTGCATGGTGTTTCCAGCACCACCCTTACCGAGCATAGCGCCCACCACACCGCAGCTCATCCCGACAAGACCGTGCAACAGCAGCGCAGGCGTGAGGCCTGCTCGATCGCCTTGTATACTTTGGGCATACATGACGATCACCGCAAATGTACCCACGAGCGCGATGATGCCCATCATCATGCTGTTCAGATCAAACCGTGCCCATAGGTTCTTGCAAAGCCTTAGATTCTCATCCTCGTACGCTTTGTACACCTGATAGGCCTTCTTCCACGCTCCGTCCGCGGAGTTTCTGCTCTGGACGGCCTCGTCCCAAGTCTGTCCGGCCATTCGCCATAGCTGCTGTGTAGACGAAGTAGCAGACTCATCCAGATTCCGCGCCTTCGCATATTCGCCCTGATACCCATGAATTTGATGCGCAGTCAAACGGCTCACTTCCGCCATATTCTTGTAATCCGCTCCTTTCTTCCCAATAAACGCCTCCTCAATCGGCTGTCCAAGATTATTAAACGGAATCGGAATCCCCAGCAGCAGAGCCAGCGTCGGCACCAGATCGATCTGCCCAACCGGCCGCACCTTCGCAGTAGCAGGAGGTTCCGCAAACGCAGGATCGCTGCGCCCAAAGACGCCTTTCTTCGAGTACATCCACAGCGCCGCCTCGACCTCATCATCCGATTCCCCGCCATGGTCGCCTTTCGCATCCATCCCATGATCGCCCATCACGACCAACAACGTCGAGTCATCCAGCCTTTCGATCATACTCCTGAACACCCTATCCATCTGCTGCAGCTTATCCGTCATAGCAGGGTGATCAGGCCCATACCGATGTCCCGCATGGTCCACCCCCAGATAATGTCCGATCAACACATCCCACCTCCCCGCCATCTCAGGCTCCAGTAGAGGGAACATGTGCTCGTTCACCCCGTTGTCCAACGTATGCAAGTCCCAGACATTGAAGGAGTCGTAAGGTCGCGTGAGGTTGGGCTCGAAGTAGCCCGGGAAGAGGGAGTGCCATGTGTCGTCGCCTAGGTGAACCACTTTTTTGCCTGCGAGGTAGAGTTGCTCGATCAGGTTGTCCTCGTCTATTGCCGTGCCGGCGAAGTTGGAGCCGGCGTCTATGAGTGTTGGTAATGAGCCCGTCGTCAACCCCTTCAATCGCTGTAGTGTTGTAGTCGGCGGATCCGCAATGAACGGCCGCAGAAAGGCATTCCCCGGCGACTGCACAGCCGTCTCATACAGCACCGGCAGCGCGTTATGGAAATGGTGCGGTTGTTCATCGCCTGGCTGGGGTTGGAAAGGGACCGTGAAGTCGTAGCGCAGGGCGTCGACGAGGATGATGACGGCTTTGTCGAAGGTCTTGGGATGCCAGCATCCGCGGTCATGGGAGCCAGGAGTGTGGCCGTTGAGGAGTTCGACGGGGGGAAGGGCGCATTGCGAGCGGTTGGGGAGGACAAGGCGGGAGAGGAGGAAGCCGCTGCAGAAGAGGTAGAGGGCGAGGGCGTTGAGAGTACTGTATACCGTTAGTGCTGAGAAGCGTATGGGATACGTCGAGCCTACAGGATGAGTAGAAAGAAAGCTACAACAATCGCATGTTGCGCCTTGAACTGGACAGACAGCTGCTTCTCGTTGTCTGCGCGCTCCTCTGAACTCGCGCCGGATCGCGAGATGCCCCCGTCATTCGCCATGACTGTCTACGGTATCAATCATCTGAACAAGCATATACACAGAAACGAAGGCGTAAAGAGCGTGGATGGAAGAAGCAGTTGTGAAAAGTGAAGTTGTTGATATTCGAATCCTCGGATTCACATGCAAGCTTAGAATGGCAATGATCGACAGGTACCAATATGAGCACCCGCATGCCCACCATCTGCACTGTGGTATGAGGGCCATCTTATTTCAGTGGTCTCATCGGCTCGATGTTCGGTGCTATTCTCCCTATTACAACAACACATCACTGCTCCATCATCCCCATCCCCATCATTCCCTCGGCACATCCGGCTTCAAATACTCCCCATTAACCACACAAGTCCTCGGCAAATCCTCCGGATACTCCTCCCTACACCCCCTACTATCCTTCGGCCCCGTCGACGCATACCCCTCCCCAGCCTTCACCTTCCCACCCACCACGTCAACCCCACCGAACGTCCGGTCAAAGATCGCCGCCACGCTCGCGGGGGCATAATTCCCCGTATCATGACCCGCCCGCAACACCCTCGCAAAACTCAGCAGCCCGGCTTGCTTGATCAGCGCCCCGTGATCCGTGCCTTGCTCTTCGACTCCCTGCAGCCGCTCATAGCCTGCGTTGGCGAAAGACGACTTTCCAGGCCATTGCGCCGTGAGCGCAGTGTTCTCCGCCCCGGTCCATGGACACTGGAAATCGATGTCCCCGTAGATCAACGCCACTTTCACCCCATTCCGGAGTAAGTACTCGAACCTCGCGAGCCCGTCTTGCCGGACAAAGTCCCCGGTCAGCTTCGCCAGGGGCCTGTCGTACGGTGGGGGCAGGTCGGGCACCCAGCCGAAGTTCGACAGGACAACTAAACTTGAGACGGAAATGTTCAGCGGGACGCCGAGCGACTGCTGACGTCCGCGTCGCTGAGGTAGGTTTGCACGGGTGTCCAGCCGCCGCTGCATTTCTGGTCGAAGAACTTGAAGGCGAAGTTGAAGGGGAAGCGCTGGGCGGACTTTGTTAGATTGCGGGAGAGGTGGATGGGAAGGGGAGGGAGTTTTACTGACCTTGTTCATCTTGGGGAACGAGCCCTTGACGCTGAATAGAAAGTATGAGTGCGCATCCATGCAGGCTTTGTTGACCGTGGCGTTGCGGCCGTTGAACTCTGGATCGCCTGCCTTGCCGAGGGTGCGGCAGTGTTCAATCTTATCCAACAGGCCGTCGGGTTTGGTGATGTTGTTGATGGAGGCCTCGTACAGTTTCTCGGGCCCGAAGGGGTGGTCATAAGTGTTGTTGTACGCCAGCTCCGGCCATCCCTGTGCCTGCGTTGGAGCGTCAATGCAACCGTTGGTTATCCCAATGTTGTCGATCCTGAGCTTCTTGCAGGCGAGTGGGTGCTCCTTCGACAGAGCGCCCAGGTTCTTGCTGAGCTGCGTGGCGAATTCAGGCGCCCAGTATCCGCCATAGGAGCTGCCCTATGCGGAGCGTTAACATCTGGAGACTTGCGCTCGCCAACGTTGTTACTTACCCATATGCCAATGTCCTTCGAGCAGGTTCTGTACCCGGGGAAAGACGAGAGCCAATTCTCAGCAAAATGCCAGATCGTCCTGCCCGCTTGAACAGTAGTCGTCGCCGTCTCGGAATACTTCTGTGTGGGAAATGTCCCTAGCAGATCGGCATTGGATCCGGTGGGTAAAGGCTTGCCTTCTTTGACCGGCTTGAATAAGAAGCCGTCAGACGTCGCGTTCATGAGCGCGTTGTACGAGAAGCCTACAGCACCGCGGTCAGCTGCTTGCTGCAAGAGTGGATGCGCTTGCGGTACTCACCAACCTGTGCCGGTTGATCGATGTACAGCACATTCACATTCTCGTTGAAAGAGTATTTGCTTTTGACCGTCCCATTGCCTTGAGGATTGACATAGCATGGAGTATTGCTCCCGTCCAGCGCGGTGAAGGTGGACGAACTGCCAGGTCCACCTGCAAACCACATCGCCAGAGGTGCGGTAGCAGGACTATTTTGCGCCTCGAAGTAGAGGAAGTAAGTGTTGACATCGTACCCTCCGACGTCTTCAAGCGAGCTGCCGGGGAGATGCACGTAGCCGCTGTACGCCTTCGAGCCAGGGCATATGTCTGTCTACCTTGCTGTCAGTCGAAATCCACCATCCGCGGTCACGACTCTCAACTCACCTCCTTCCACGAAAGTGTAACCCTAGAATCAACCTTGGACTTCACAACCGTCAAGTCCGTAGGCGTAGGCGGGAACTGAGCCTCGCCCAATGCCGACAGAAGACCCAGCAACGCTGAGATCAATGTCGCTCGCATGGTCGCCTTTGCCGCCTCTGCTGTCGGCCCTGGCCAGCAACCAGCGCACGCGCGAGGTCGGCTGCATTATATGTACAGTACAGTAAACCAGCCACGAGTGTGTCTTCCCGTGAACCCGGGTCTTCAAGCGAATACGGTTGGACACGGCTCGTAGAATACTTGCAGCAGCACAAGGTCAATGGCGCAGGCGGCAGGCCGTCATGCTCAGGCGGTCACACGGACACGGCCCGCCTCGCCTTGTATAGCCTGAACAGTCGGCTGTCGAAGCAGTGGCTCGAATAAGAAGAATTTACGAAAGATTTTGGGCGTTTCCCCGAGGGCTGGGCGAAAGCCTCAAACCGGTCTCAATGGACGAGCTGTTGGGTTGGCCCAGGTTACAACAAGGCGCAGTCCGGAGAAGCGGCAAGTCTGGGGATCGGATTCTGGGGATGTTTTGGTTGGAGCCATGTCATTTCAACAGCCGCACGCAGAGCATCTTCCCATATCTATCCTATCCCAGCATCACTACATACAGTTACACACTAGAAGGGGGGGATCAAGTAATTCATAATCAGAAGCAGAATTCCCATCCCACCAACCCAGCCAGACATCCTTCAGACTTGAGATCTTGAAGCAGATTTTGCTCGTGGAATCGTCGAAGATGAAAAGCCGGCTGCCGTAAAACTCCTGAACCACCCGGAAAGACATTATCAAATAATCCCATCCGCAGGAGCGATGGAACGGTGGCCGAAAAACCGAGCCGGATGGGAAAAGGCGTATGTATGGGCGGACGGGTGGCGTCCACAACAGCCGTTCGAATATTTTGAGGAAGAAGTAGAGTCGTTTCAGTCATCAGGCTTCTCTGCCGTCGTTCTCCCACCTCATGAATCACTCCCAGCCGCGCGTCGGACGTGTCTCCTTCTCCATCTCAGTCAAGCCGCCGACCTTCTCCAAATCGACCGACTGGAAACTGCTGTCGCTGTGTTCGTACGCCGGCAGCTTCTCATCCACAGGCTGGAGTCCAACACCCGTGTCGCCGACATGCACGACGACCACGCGGCCGGACTGGCGCTTGCCCGACCCATCGACCTCTTCGGGGAAGGTGATGCGGATCTCAGGTACCGAACCGGTGGGCGATGACGGGCGGGAGGATTCTGATACGCGGATCTCCTTGTCGTGGTAGATGTGGATGGATTGCGAAGGTCGAGCTGTTATGCGACGGTGGTGTGAGTGGATCGATGAGGATGAGAAGCGCTTGTCGCTGTACACGGGTAGCTCGTCGATCTGGCGGGCCTTTCTGCGCTGGCGGAGGAAGAGGAGCGCGCCGGCGAGGAGGAGGGTGATTGATAGAAGGACGACGAGGACGATTGTGAGGGTGGTTGTGGTGCCGTTGAGGAGGCCATTGTCGCGGCGGGCGAGAGAGGACAGAGTTCGTGCCATGTCGTTTCACCGGGAGTTGTTGTTATGATGTATCGAGGTTTCGTTGCGCTTCGTGGTGGTGCTCCGAGAAAGTAGTGGGTATGTGTTTAAAAGACTGCAACATCTGATCAGCACCGTCTTCCATTGCGCGGTTGACATCGAATCTTGCCTACCTGTGTTGTTGTTTACTGCGGCAAATCAATGCAGATCAAGGATCGTCGTCGAAAGAGCGGACAGCGGCCGGCCAGCTGAAAGAATGAAGCTGATCGTCGCCTGTAGCAAAGGAGGGAGGGAATGAATGGAGGAGTCGGAAGCACAGCGCGCGTGGTCAGTCGGTCGTGGACGTTGAAGAACAACGACGAAGGCGGCCGTTGCGCTCTCCTTCTCTCGCTGCCTCAATAATCCAATCTCGGTTGGCGCTTAAGCTCCAGCCCAAGAGGGGAACGCTCGACCCCCAAAACGGTCGTTCGCAGCTGACTCGCGCCGCTGATTGGTGCTGACACCTGCGGGAGTCGGAGATTTGATGGCTGGCTGCTTCCTTCGGCGGTTGTTGGAGGTCAACGACGCGTTGTGCACGCGATGAGATGGAGAACAACACCTTCACATGTTGAGCTTGTGTATTGCCACATAGAGCTCGATCGTCGAGCCGCATTCAAAACACTACCTACGAGTCTCCCTGTTATTCGAGATGCATGTGTCTGCTGTTCCTGTCGGCGAAAGGTTTCTCCATACCGCGATGACACAACATTTTTCTGATGAGGCAGGAGCGAGAAGCTGTTGAAGTCACATGTAAATGGTGTGAGAACAGCAGATGAAGCTGACCACTGCCTCCGTCCATCCACGAGCAGACAGTAAGCAAACCACCCATAAGTCTTCCCAAGACACACCTTCCGAGGTTGTTGAGTCCTGCAGGCTGCTGTTACTGCTGCGCAAACCATCCCGTTGCTTGCCTCCATCTCGCTCCTTCCCTTTGTGAAGAGTTGACGTCGACGCTCAGCAGCGACCATGGATCATGTGCATCCCAACTCCCTCTCTGCCTTCTTCACCCGCCTCTTCACCTCCTTGTCAGAGCATGTTCACCACCTCCTCCACCACCTGTCCACCACCATCATGGCCTCTCGCAAGGACTCTCTCTCGCCTGAGGGCTGGAAGGGCGGCCGCCCGGTGTCCCATCGCATGGCTCACCTGAAGACTAAGGAGGAGTGCCGTCTCGGCAACGAGACCATCCAAGTCTGGACCGTCGAGCTGCCTAGTAAGCACGCTGAATGGGTCCTGAAGTGAGTCCACGACCAGCTCCCATCACCACCACCGCCTCACTGATCCCCGCCCGCAGAATCGTGAAGGACCAGGTCAGAGAACAGGACTCCATCGACCTCCAGCACCTCCGTCGCTTCGCCAAGCCCAAGTTCCTCCCCCAGCATGTCGTCGGCAAGCGCAGCAAGGTGAAGGAGATGTATAGTGTACCGCGGGCATGGGAGTCAACGCCGTTTTCTGTCATGCAAGCGCCCTCCACCACCACCTGGGACTACAGCCACCCGAAGAACAGCAACAAGGTCAACCGCCCGCAGACGCTTCACCTGCTCATTTGCCCGACAAAGTTCATCGAGCTGCCCGACTTGTACAATCTACTTATGCAGCATACACCCTTCTGCTCATCGGCGGACTCCTGGGCGTACCCACTGGACATCAAGGAGGTCACTGTTCCGCTGCTTGCCCCCACCAGCCCCGAGCAAGCAGACATGTGGTCGAGGGACTACTGGCCAACCTTCTACCGCAAGACGAACCCCTTCGGCGCACATCCAGCTACCATCTGGAGGGCGGAAGATGAGCTACAGAATATGCCTGCACCTGGCAACGTGGATGTCAAGGAGGCCATGGCTCTCGCCAAAGCCGCCGGACGCGAAACGGAGACTCGTGGTTACGGTATTGGACCTGGCTGCGTCATCATGGAGCGTGTCGATAACGTCACTGAGATCGTTGCTGTTGCTGGCGATGCCCGGTCCAAGCCTGTGAAAGCCGGATCCATGGTCGAGGACACCAATACCCAAAGCGGCTGCAACGGAAACATCATGGCTCACGCAGTCATGCGAGCAATCGGCATGGTCGGCCGGAAGCGTCTACGAGCTGCCTCCTCCACCATCTCCAGGCGTGCCGCCAAAGCCGAGCAGAATTTCGAGACCTGCGGGCTGAACCACGACGAAGCAGCACGCGACGCTTTCTTCCTCGATCTCCCCATTACCCCGATGGAAGAGCAGTACTTCAAGGAAGACAACCTCGTCCCAGACGGCTACCTCTGTCTTCGTCTCGAGATCTACCTCACCCACGAACCGTGCATGATGTGCTCTATGGCACTCGTGCACAGCCGCGTCGGCCGCGTCATCTTCGCGAACCGGATGCCGCAGACGGGTGGCCTGACCGCGGAGGTCGCTAGCAACGACACCGGACCCGTCGGGCTCGGGTATGGATTGTGCTGGCGCAAGGAGCTCAACTGGCAGTTCATGTGCTGGGAGTGGGTGGAGGAGAAGGAGGAGGAGCAGTCACAGCAGCAGCAGCCTAATGGCAAGAAGGAGGCTATCGGAGGTGTTGGCATGAATGGTAATGTTGAGCACTCTGACCCTGAGCACCAACACCAAGACACCCACACCACCCATGCCTCTGCCGTCACCTCCGCCCGCGCCACCAAGAGCAAGAAGGGCAAGGGGCTCAAGGAGAGGAAGAAGGAGAAGAAGGGCCTTGTCGCCGCCGCCGCCACCACTGCGAAGGAGGGCAAGGACGGGATGATTAGTGACGATTATGCTAATGTGAGCAGCTTTGTCGAGGGCACGCATGCGTAGCACGCATTCGATGCCGAAGAGGGCTGGCGGTGCATGAATAATGACGGCATGATCATGGCGAGTACGAAGGGTATGAAGGCATTGCAGGGCGCTTGGGTGTGCATGACTAGGAAGGGTGGGCGAGTGTGTGATGGGTTAATGGGGATGAAGAGGCGCTGCCGCGAGGCTACTATCCCGCATGTGGTTGGACGTGTATCATACGAGAGAACTGTAGCATATGCGAGCTCGATGGATAGGAAGCAGATGTCTATCACCGTTACATCTCTCTCACTCCGAATCCAATCTCCCTCACCCAACCGTCCCCCTCCTCCCCTCCCTCCCCTCCCCCTCATCCTTCCCCTTTCCCCTGCTCCTCCTCCCCTTCCTCGCCCTCCATTTCTCCCGCAACCCCAGACCCACCCCCAACTCCACTTTCGGCCTACTAGCGTAATCCCCCGCCGTCGTCGTGCCGTAGAAACCCTCTAGCGTCTCGGGGCCTTGTTGGACGTACTTCTTCTCTTCGGCCCAGGCGTGGAGGGCGGCGAGGTAGTGGGCTTTGCTAGGGAAGCCGCGGTAGGGTTGTGGAAATGTAGAGGGTGTGGCGAGGGTGTCACGCCGTGGAGCCGGAGAGCGGGCACGGGGGGTATTGGAAGGAGAATGGTTTCGCGGTGTTGTTGAGGGGGAGTAGGCGCGGGGTGTGAGGGTGCCTGTTATGGTTGAGGCGGCGGAGGAGGGGGGGAGGGAGTCGGAGAGGAGGTGGCGGCGGTCTGTTTCTTGGGATGATCGGGGTTTGATGGTGTAGGTGGAGAAGTCTTTCGGTATGGTTGTAGTCATGATTGTGGTGGTGGAGCTTGCGAGCTCATCTAATGGGTCTGAAGTTGGATGTCCTCTTGTTGTGCGTTGAATCTTGAATTGTGCGAGAGATGAGATGGGAAAGAAGATTGCAGATATCCTACCTTTGACTCACGATGGCGACCATGATACTGCGGCCTGCGCGCTGCCGTCTGCCGTCCTCTGTGCCAATGAGATGGCATGACGCTGCACATGCTCGACAGCTGAGGTGGAGTGCTGATCATCCTCTCCCGCCAAGACATGTGGTTGGTCGACTTCACTTCGACTTCTCTGCTGTTTTCCCACATTCTTGAGTCCTAAATCTTCTCCCACAGAGAGGCATCGGCAGAACCACCTCGATGCTTCCTTTTTCATTCTATGGCCTTGAGCAGGAGTCGGCGAGATAGGATACGGCCATTCTTGTCGGGCATGCCTTCTTCGGCTTCCTGCTGCCCTCTCCTCTCCGTGCAACTTCGATTCTGCGGGCACCCGCGCATTGTCAGCACGGTGAGTCGACAAGGCGTTGATCAGGACGTGTCATGTAGCATAATACGACAACAGCGCTCACGCACCGTGAACAAGCAAGGCTATAAGTTGCGATACGCTCCTCGTTTCCAAGAGTCTTCTATTTCCTTTTAGTCTTCAAGCACTTTCTCGTCTGAACCACTCTCTCAAATCAGACTTCATTTCCCCAGCCGCCTTGTTCCTACGCCACCATGGAGCGCCTCCGCGAGAAGCCGTGGGATCTGCCTGAAGTCTTCTACAGAGTGCAATACCCCGGCTGCGGCACCATCCTGAACGACGGCGGCTCGCTTCAAGCCTCCGATACCACGACTACCTATGGCGAGAACGACTTGGTCTCTTTCGGCCAATCGCTGATCAACCAGTTCATTTGGGGCCACCGCGGGTCACCCTACATCTCCGTCTTCTCCGACATCGAGCACGCGGCGAAATGGGCAGTCAAGTACTCTCGCGACCACAATGTCAAGACTGTCGTGTACAAGATCTACAGGCACGCGTTGCAAGACACTCTTGTGTTCTCAGTCCGCAACCTGGAGTTGCGGCGGGGTGTCCGGATCCCTGAGGTTTCCAGTCAGCACCGGCAGAACGGCTACCTCTGCTTGCATCGCATCCCTGCCGGTGCTGTCAAGCGGTGTCTCGACAACAACGAGGTCGAAGGTAAGTTCAGTTGGGAGCTTTGATGCTTGAGAGAGGTTACTGACACGTGGAGAAGAAAGCAAGCAGGACATGCGTGAAGCCGACAGATGGGAGCGATACCAGAGGATGTATGGGCCGTACACCTTCGGTGACAAGGAGTAGGATTTGGAACTTCGGCTGGAAGGGGTTGACGTGATTGAGCATGATGATGGTGCTTTTTGGAGGTGGATGTGAAGGTCTTAAGTTGTCGGTCTCATGGTTTCCTTCTCCCGTGCTTATTCCGTACAACTTGTAATGTTCGTCTACCTCAACCACTCAGGCACGAAGATCTCCTCTTGCTCCAAGGTGCGATCACTTCTTGACAGGACATCATTTCCACCTCCCGCATGCCCCGTCAGACCATTTCAATGAAATCCAAATGCCCCTAGGAGATTGCCACTCGTCTCCCATCAACACATACGGCATCTCGAAGCTTCCACAAGAATCCACCTTGTTGTTCCATCAAAGCTCTTCTGCGACTCACCTGCAAGCTTTTCACACAACGGAACCACCAACGACTGGGCCGCAACCGCCTGCACTTTGTTAGCTATATAATTCCGTCAAGAAGCTCCACAACCGACGCCTTCCGGGTTCAGCAGCGCCCACAATGCCAGACGATCCGGCTTCAATTCACCACCACGAAGGACGGGCGCATGACAATATGGAGCAAGGCGCAGCGGCTCGTACGCTTTTGATACCTGAGCTGTTGGAGATGATTCTCACCAATCTGGAAACGAGGGACCTCATGCTGCTCCAGCGTGTGGCTCGTCTCTGGAAAGACACCATAGAAAGCTCAAAACCCCTCCGTCAGCTCCTCTTCCTAGATCCCATCCGGCCTACGGCAACATGGCACCTTGATCCCCACGGTGCAAAATATCTCGTAAAAGGTCCGCCACCATGCGCTGCCAGCCCTCCAGGAAGCCCTGACGACACACCACGCCCGATCCTCACATCGTACGGGAGCATAGTACTGCATTCACCTCGCAGCACTCCTCGGACTCCTTCAGAGACTTTCGGCAGGCCACGGCCGACCTATCCGACCTATGCTGTACAAGCCCATCTCAACCCCCTAATACTGAAACACGGCTACTGGTCCCCCATATCGTCTGACTTCCGTGTGCGCGTCGGCCAAGAAGTAACCGCCATACGCTCTCGATCTTGCCGGTCCGTGCCTTCCAATACAGGACTTCGAAAACGGATGTTTCTCACGAACCCGCCTTGCACGCGACTCACCATACGAGGCATCCTCGGTCAGGATGTAGAAGTCATCAACTCGGAAGGATTGAAAATGGAAGATGTGTCGGATGTGTTGGATGCTCGAAGCGTAACAACGGAACGATCGCTACCTGCACCCGACATGAGGTTAGAAGGTGTCATCTGTCTGAGCGAGAAGGAGGAGAAGAGAATAGAGGACGGGAGGCTGGGATATCCTAGGTCTCTGTAAGTCTCCTTGCAAAGGCGGGTAGCGCAGCTGGGCATCTGGGCAAGTCCACGCAGCTCCAAGGTTCATTTTCTCGTGGACAAGTCGGGTCTGTCTCGTCTGTGATCGGAGCATAACGTGGGTCTGGAGTAGCCTTATGCAGTGATCTGCTTTGGCTCCCTTGTCTAAGAATCAGCCGGCATGGTAGTCATCTTATGTCAGCTCACGGTCGTGTCGCAGACAATCTCGTTTCACCCAATACATTTCTCTCCTCGTAAGGCGGCTTGCATGCGGCATGTGATTACTGCGCAGCGTCAAAATGGTACGTATAGGTAGGAACCAGTCTGCGATCTCTCTTTCGAAATCAAACTTCTTTTAAATTCTGCTTTCATGGACGACACCGCTATGGCTCAAGTTCTCACGATTCCCGAACTCTTCGAAATGGTCCTAAGCTATCTAGGCCCGCGAGATCTTCTCCTCCTCCAACGAGTAGCCAGGTCGTGGCAAGATATCATCCTCAGCTCTCGCACCCTTCGCCAGATCCTGTTCTTAGAGCCCGAACAGCCCACGGCGACCTGGCACTCGTCCTCCATCAGCGCAAACCGCCTCTTCCGAAGTCCGCCACCGTCCAAGCCTTCTGGACATAGAAGTAGCAGTGTTGATCCCGACCAAGACACGCAATCGCCTCAGGGAAGCATGCTCCCGTCCTCATGTCCCGATGATGCCGCATCGACTTCGCAACTCTCCTCCGCCATCCAAGCCCGTCTCAACCCCCTCATCGCAACCCACGGACACTCCCATCCCGTCACGCCCCAATGGCGCGTACGCAACGGCGAAGCAGTGCAAGTCCCGCGGTGCACGCCGCATCGGCCCCTACCATCAACCACTGGCCTCCGCAAGGACATGTTCCTTACGAATCCCCCTTGCACCCGGGTCACGGTTTGGCCCAACTTCGGCCAGGGCGTTGAGGTGTGCGATCCTGAGGGTGTACGGGTTGGAGATGTAGCGGCTTTTCTGGATGATCCGCTGGAGGTACCGTATCTGCCGGTGATTTATATGAGATTGGAAGGCGTGGTTTGTTCGGGTGAGGAGGAATTGGAGAGGGTCGAGGGTGGTTGTTTGGAAGAGGCAGCGTTTGAGAGGGCGTCTGTTCTTGGATGTAGCAAGGTGTCGAGTGTTGGAGGCTGAGGCAGCTCGTCATGGTTTCGTGTCTGCCTTCACCTTGACCGAAGGCACGACCCACCACTCCGCCCATCTCCGCTCAATCTTACACTCAAGCCGCTTCGCCAAATGGTCTTCGCCATACTTCTTCCCAGCACTCCGAACCTGGCTACACGCAACCGTCACAGCGATGCAAGTCGCCTCTAGCCCTTTGACCTCCCTTTTCCACTCCTCGTCTGTACCGACGAATTTCGCTTGCTCTGGTGTCAATTTCCTCGCCTTCACCAGCAGCTCTTTGGCCGATTTGATGCAGTCGTCGATGTCGGTGCAAGTCTGTTCTAGGCTAGCGTTCTGTGTCGTAGCAAGGGCGAAGTCGTCCGCAGATGGGACTGTGTCGTTAGTGAGGCAGAGGTATGGTTTCATCCTTGCTTCGTAGAGTAGTTGCTGGGTAGTGAAGTCTTGCTTGGGCTTCTTTACCACCCCTGTTGAGGTGAGAAGGGTGAAGAGCTTCCACAATGCTTCGGCAAGTAGTCTTGTGATCTCGTACATAGCGTGTAAGCTTTGCAGATACTGTTCGCTCAGAAGGCAATCTGCCAGAGCGTTCCTGTCTTTACCAAGACGTTTTGCCCTCCCAACTGTGAATAGCAGCACCTGTTGTATCAGATCGTTTCGTTGCTCGCTAAGGCGAGACAGAAACCAGTACATCCCGGCGAGCTCATACGGAAGGTATATCTCCGTCTCAAAGCCAAGCTGGATCGTCCAGGCCAGGATTCGCAGTCTGTAGAACTTCGCCCAACTCGATAGAGGACTCAACGAAACAGCTCTCCCACTCTTCGGATCGTTCAGCTTGAGCCCTGGCGACGACTTGATTAGCTCCCGATCAACCTTCATCGCCTCCATCTCCATCGCATCTAAGATCGCGATTGACTGCGTGAACAGCCTCCGTATCCGGCATCTGTTCTGACAGACCATGCGGTAGAAGTTCAGGTACTCTTCGATAGCCTTGTCCATGAAGCCCTCCATAAGCCTGCTGCAGATATGTCGTGGATCTGTCGTGACCTCGACCTGGAAGCTTGCTGGGTCTGCAATGGGATCACCGGCAAGGACAAGATCTCGGATATCGGCCAGCAGAAGGTCGTACTGTGGTATCTGGCCGCGGATGGCTTGGTCGCCGAAGAGGCAGTCTTGTATGATGGCTCGTGGAAGGGCGAACGGCTCGCCGCGGTATGAGAACGCCCACATCGCTCGTTGTAGAGATGCTGGGCTCTGTACGATGTTGATGTCTGTCAAACGATTAACAGCGACAACGTCTTCAATCATCTTCGTCCACTTCTTGCAAGCCTCGTCCCAAGATGTAGTCAGCATAGGCCGTGGCGGCGTAGATGTAGCCAGTTGACGTTGGACTTTCTCCGAAAATGCTTCCGGTAGAGGCTTTGCAATCTCATGGGAAGTCTTGATCCTACCCAAGAGTCCCACCATCCGCTCCCACCGACTCTCATCGCCACCATCTGCAAGCGCGCACAAGAACGTCGTCCGAAAGATCATCCGCTGCTGCAGCGCCTCTTTCATCTCGGCGTCAACAGTCTTCGACTTCCGGAGCCTCGACGTCGCAGCGTCCACAAGTTCTAGTGCCTCTTCGAGGCTCACTCGGGGCAGCAACTCGCGGCCGAACATGTGTGTGACGAAATCCTCTTCCTCGTAGTAATTCTGGCTCTGGACGAGCTCAACAACGAGAGCGCAGCACTTCGCTACCGCCACGCAGTAAGCGGTAAGCAGCGCATGCCCAAGCGACTGCTCTTCTGTCAGTGCCGCGTTTACTTCCTTGTCGGCTGCGTGAAGATATAGGGATGGCATCCGCGGTTGCTGCGGATCCAGTATTCGATCCATGTGTAAGGATGTGAAGACGGTCTGAGAGAGCGGATAGCCGGCGTGCCACAGGATCTCCAGGCTGTGGATCTGGTCTATGACCCAGAGGACTTCCGGAAGATCTAAGGGTCTGACTGGGTCGAAGTCGGCCTCGAATGTATCGTCTGGCGGGACGTAGCCAGAGTCCATCTTCGGGTCCATGATCTGTCTCTGATCAGTCGACGAGGCTCTGCCATCGCACACAGGTTCGTACCTACCTCGAGAGCCCCAACCGACTCAAACAGGGTAAACCACTCATCCTTGACGAGTTGGCCGCCTTCGAGCTTGTTCGATGCGGTCGTAAAATCCTGGGTGATGTCTTTTACGCGAGGAGTCCAGACACGCTTGGCTTCTTCTGCCTCCTGATGGAGGCGACTGACGGTGTCGGACATTGCAATATCATGGCTATGGTGCCCCGGTGTGTGCTATCTTCGTTTGCCTTCGTCGTTGAGTTGTTCGACGTCTGCAAGACAATTCAAAATGGCAGAATTTTTGGGGTAAGGACACATCGGGCGCGATTACTTCGTGGTGCCAAAGGTCAAAATCATGTGGCAGTTTCCATGTTACGGGAACCCCCCTAGATGAATACTGTTGAAGGCAAAGCAGAAGGTCAAACGCGAAGTCACAAAAGTTGAGCTTGGCAGGTAATAGTAGGCCAGATGAAGGTTTTCTTATATACACAGTGATACAGCCCATTCGCACCTCATCTCCGCCATTGCTCGCCCACAGATTTCTGCTTGAGACATCTGTACCTTCCTCGCTCCACCATAAGCCCTCCCATTTGCTCCAACCGCTTGCCGCATCTACTGGCTCTGCCCAGCACCCTCACTCATAGCCTTCTGGTTCGCCGTCTCCAAACTCTTCTGCTCGCCCTGCTTGCCATTCTGCACAAATCCGTTAGCACTGATCCTCATTGCCAACACGCATATCTCCATCCGCCATTATCCTCCCGTATCCGTCCCCTTCTCCGCCGATCTTTTGGGAAGAGCAGGTCAAAACGTACCTCCCACCGCGCAAACCTCAACTCCATCTCCCCCCTCCTCTCCGCCTGCACTCTCTTGTCCTCCTTCAAGCTGCGACGCACGACGCGCGCGGAGACGGCGAGGTAGCGGTTGTATCTGCATTGCCGCGGGAGTGGTTAGATTCATGCTCTTGAGCTCGGCTGGAATGCGCAGACCGGGCGGATGAGACGTACGTGAGGCCGGCGGCTTTCCACGCGAATGCCATTGTGTCGGTGTTGAAGAGGTGTGTGGTTTTGTTGTGGAAGTTGTGGTTTGGGTCGCTTGAGATGGACAGCAACAGCTTCGGAGGTTTGAGGAGCTTCGATAGAGCTGGTCGGGATGCTTGGCGTCACGTGCCGTTCTCCTCACCGTCCGTCGCTTCGACATCTGCCTCCTCGAAAAAAGTACGGATGTCTTGTCTCAATTTAATGAATGAGCAACGAGATAGTGAGATGACACAAGACATGATTTTAACGGTGCAAGCGGTTATTGTTACACGACCTTCTTCCACGCCAGACAACTAAATCTATGAGCATGCCTTTCGACTCCCGGATATTTACACCTTCAACCCAATCTCCTCCGCATAAGGCAGCATGTACAGATCGCCGACAGCGCTCACACTGGCCTTGTCTTCCAGCGCGTCCTTCGCAGCTTGCTTCACCTTCTCTTCTGTCACGCCGTCCACGCTCTTGGCCACCTCGTCAATCTGGTAGGCCTTGCCGCCATGCACAAGCCCGGCACCAGTCAGCTCCATAGCGGCGCTGGTCTCCTGTCCGTACTCGAGCTCCTTGAATTTTGCAAGAGCCTTGGCCTTTGCGAAAGCCTCCTTGTCGATGTTCTGGGAGACACCCTTGAGCGCCTCCACCACCTTTGGAGCAGAGCTCTTAATGTCGGATGCGGAGCCGGACATGGTGATGGTGACGAGGCCGGCGTCGGAGTAGATGGTGGACTTGGTGTCGATGAACATGTTTGGTGTGTCCTGGCAGGCCTTTGAGAGGAGAGAGAAGCCGGGAGACCACTTGATCGTGGATTGCCCGCCCAGCAGTGCGGCAAGCACGGCCACCTCAGGCTTGTAGAATCCTCCTGTAGGCGAGCTGGAGCCAGGGAGAGCAATGACGAAAGAGTTGCCAGAGCTGTGAGCGATACGCTCCTCGCCACCAAAGTACTTGGTCTGCTCTGGCTTGAACTGGTACGACGCCTGAGAAGGAACGTCTGTGAACATCTCGCCGACCCATTTGCTCAGCTCGGACTGACTGACGCCATTGCCAACGAGAGCAAAGTTCGGCTTGGCATAAGCGGCAGAGGCGTAGTCGGCAAGATTGTCGGCGTCGAGGTATTTCTTGTAAGGGAGATTCGAGGGCGGTTGGAGTGGGACACCGAGGCCGCGGTGGAAGGCGACGCCGTATGCGCTGTTCAGTGCCATCTCCTGAGTGTTGCCGAGGTACTTCTTGTGCAGCAGATCCATCAATGGGTAGACCTCTTCGTGAAGGACGTGTGCTAAGCGGCATTAGCTGCAGCTTGCTAAAGAAGATTGCTTGCCGAACTCACGCTTGTACTCCGTCATTGCTGCGACTTCCGCGAGTAGCTCCACAAAGTATGGCAGATCATTTTGGAAAAACTTTGCGCCAATGACGACGTTCTCGCGAGAGTGATGGGTTTGCAGGGCGGAGCCCAGAAGTTCAGATTCGCGCTGTATCCGTAGTGTCGACCGTCGGGCGGTACTCTATACAGTTCGCACATCAGTATATGCGCTGTATTGCCCCTTTGTAGTATATGCTCTTCTCACCTTGAACGCGTATCGCTCCAGCCCTTCCGCGAGACCAGGAACTGGCTGGTAACGGGTACCAGCGGAGGAGACGAGCGCCAGAGTCGCTACCGGCCCAGGAATTTCCCTACTCGCAATCTTGACCCCTTGCGCATCGCCGACTTGGTATTGGAAGGAGCCTGGGCAGAGTCAATGGCTGCCCACGGCAGTGTACGGCATTGTTATCCTACTCACCAGACGCTGGCTCAGCGAGACCCCTTCGTTGATGCTGCCACGACCGGGAGGCGGCTCGTTGCGCCTGACGGCCGATGGCTGCACGCGAGAACATGGTAAAGGAGTGGCGCGGGTGGTGTGAGTGGTTCCAATGGGCTCGTGGGAGGAAGTGAGGTTCTTCAAGCCCTGCTGCTCTTTCTCCCAAGCTCTGAGAGGCTCTCCCGAGCGGAAGCTCGATTTGGAAATTGGCATCGGAAGAACGTGTCTCCGGAAACTTTACGTGGGTCCTCCACCTTGAAGTGATTTTCTTCGACGGTGACTTGAGCAACAATGCGACAGCCAAGAATAGCCACAATGAGCGAACAATAGGGCCACGCCTCTATTGTCCATCTCTGATATATCTCACAGTCGCCCCCATGCGACGCAAACGCCGAAGACAACTTTCTACACTGGCAGGTGAGAGCTGACCAGTGTTCTACTCGATCGATCCACGATTCCACCAACGATATAGCGATTCACCAAAGACCACTACTTCACATCCGCCACCATGTCCAAGGCAAGCGGCGACCAGCAGTCTACCCTCCGAGTCAACGGCGCACTAACCTTTCGCACAGCACCTGAAAGAGCTTTGCTTAATCCTCGTCGACAAGGCATTCGGCCAGATCGGAGCTGTATGGTTATGACTCGACACCCAGCGAACAGCGCTGGACTAGGCTAACAAGATCAAGCAAATCTTCTCCTACCTCGCCGACCATGGCCGTCAGCCTCTCGCTGTTATTAAGCAGTACACTCGCATCCCACTGCGCCGACTCAAGCTCGCCCTCGGCATCTTGATCCAGCATCACCTCATCCGCCACTACTGTCAATCAGAAGAATACGGCTACCCGACTCAGTTTCAAGTGGACTGGAAGTCTGCCTACTCCATCGTCCGCGCTCCCAAGTTCCTGAAGCTCGTCAAAGACAGAGAAGGTGAAGTCGCAGGTGATGTCCTTGCCAAGGTTCTGCATGCCGGCCATGCAACTGTCGATCATCTTGCAGACGAGTACGTTCCGGAGAGGATTGCGAAGGCGAAACAGCTCAAGAAGCAAGCTGCGAAGGAGAAGGCTGCTAAGGACAAAGCTGCGAAGCGGGACAGCGGTATCTCGAACGGCAAGCCGAATGGAGATCAAGCTGGCGCGAGCAAGGAGGGTGTGAACGGCAAGCCGAAACTGAAGCTGAAGACCACGACGGCCGACGACGAGTCCATGGACAAGTCTGAAGACGAAGAAGAGGTTGATGGCTCTCAGAATGGCCTTGATGACAACGAGGATGACAGTGATGAGTCTCCTAATGGTGACGATGAAGACGGGGTTGCCAATGATCAGTCTCCGAAGGGCAATGGTGAAGACAAGGAAGACGCTGGCCCATCCTTGAGAGAGGAGCTCAACTTCGGCAAAGCTGGTGACGACGCAGAGTACGACGACTTCGACTACGAGTCTGATGATGAGTCTCGCCTGACCATGTCAGAGCCAGAACTTCACATACTTCTGCGCAAGCTGTTGAAGGAAGGCTACCTCAACAAAGTCGGGCCTCGCTCGTTCATCCCTGAAGCTGACCTCGATGAAGAGATCAAGGAGACGATCATCAAGGAGCGTTTTCCAGACGGAAGGATCACCGGCCCGAAGACAGGTCCACAGTATCAGGAAGCTTTCAACAGCCTCAAGCGCAAGTACGAGGAAGAAGATGCGTACAATGAAGTCACCGATGCATCTCATGGCGAGATCAAGAGGCCGAGACTGAATGGCAGTCTGACCAACGGAGATCATTCCGAGGCCAGCTCAACCGCGGCGAATGATCCTCCGTTCATGAAGCTTTCGGTATGAGCACTCATTTGCTGCTCCTACAGTAACCTCGCTAACACTTTCCGTCAGGAGGACTTGGTTGTAGGTGTGAACTACGACAAGAGCGCTTTGATGCTGCGCAGCATCAAGCTCGAGGCCCTAGCAGAACGCTCCGTCGGCTCTGAGACGGGTGCTGTCTACGGCATCATCTTGCGACAGCTTGAGAACTCGGTCAAGTTCAAGAAGGAGCTCGACAAGGTCAAGAAGGAAGAATTTGAAGATGAGGGCCAGAACGGGGGTGAGGGCCAGAACGCCGGCGAGCGTGAGAACCAGAATGAGGGCGAGAATGACGGTGAAGGCGAGAACGAAGGTGCGAACGAGGGTGCGAACGAGGGTGAGGGTGAGAACATCGTTGGTGTCAACGGCGACGACGACGACGACGACGACGAAGAACCGTTGCCTTCTATCACCGACGGTGCGGTCCTCGAACATCTCGACGAATTGACAGACCTCGAGTCAACTCTCAAGCGTGGCGGGCCCCTTAGTCCGGAGATCAAAATGGAAGGCAATGACGGCGACGCACCTCAGGCTGCCTCCAACGGCGAACCGGCGACCAATGGCCAGCAAGCATCCGACGTGCCCATCAAGGCCGAACCGGACGCCGACCCGGACGCCGACAACGAAGGGGCGGCTGAAGATCCATTCATGGCATCTCTCAAAGCCCGCAACCGCCGCCTCACCCACCTCGAAGAGCACCTCGAAGTTCTCGCCGAACAGCCTGGTGACTTCCTCAGCCATTCTTCCACCACGCACGAATCCTTCCTCAACATCACGCAGCTCACAAAGAACGTGATCGCCTCCGAACTCGACAGCGCCATCAAAGCGCGCTTCGGCAAGAACGCTCACCGCATCGTCCGCCTGCTGCGCGAGAAAGGCAAGCTCACCGACCTGCAGGTCGCTGTCACTGGTTTGGTTGACATTAACGATGTCCGAACCATCTTGACGAACCTGCAGTTCAAGGGCTTCCTCGACATCTCCGAGTTGCCAAAGGACAACACGCGCCAGCCGGCCAAGACGCTGTACCTGTACTCGTGGCTCCCGAAGCAAGCGAGGCGTCTGGTAATGGAGAGCACGTACAAGACCATGAGTCGGCTGCTGCAGCGCATCGAAGTTGAGCGCAAGGGCAAGTACAAGAACATCATCGAGAAGGGCGAGAGGGCCAAGACGTGGGAGGTTCAGACGCTGTCCGACCAAGAGAAGACGCTGCTCAAGGAATGGAACGATGTCGAAGAGAAGATGATGGTGCAGGTACAGAGGTGTGACGATCTGGTTGCCGTGCTGCGCGATTTTGCGGGCGATGGGCCGGAGTTGAAGTACTGATTCTGTGCTTTCTGGGTGGTTGATGCAATGATTCAATGCATAGCGCGGTGGGCATCAACGGCGTTGGCGGTCATCTGGGTGCCGCTTTGACGGTTCATGATACCCGGGCATCGCTGCTGCGATGGGGATTGCGCTGGGGCTCTGCGCTGGGCTATGTGACTTGGCACGATATGCTACGGCAGATATGCAGCCTTGAACTTGATTTAACCATGTTGCATCACCCAAAGTACACTACAAATGTGGCAAGAGATCACTCCATTGCACAGTCTGATAAGCTCCTTCAGGCAGAGAAGCCAAACTGCTCATCGTCACCACTAGCAAGCCAACTCGTGCCATGAAGTACAGCGTCGCAGGTACAAAGAATAGGAGACAATGCGGCCAGCGCATCTTGTACCCTTTGCCCGACTCTAGACCAGGCACTTCATAGTTCTCCCGGTAGCACACCGCCATCTCCGTCGAGCCATACAAGCAAAGAAGAACCCATACTCCAATGCAACCTCCGCGCCAGAGTGCCTGCTCCCATCTCGTAGCGAACTCGAAGGGCCAGCCAGCCAAATGCACGCTCGCGAACGTCGCTGTGCCGATGCCGAGGAGGCAGTGTTGCCTCAAGTTGGCTTGCGGGTCACGGTCGTTTGGGATGCGATCGAGTGGTCGCTTTTGCAGCCTAACTGCGCGAATCCAGCGGAGTACGTGGCGGCTCCACTTGCTGGACATGTAGACTCGACCTTCGATGAAATCCAGCGGCGTATCTAAGAATGGTTCTTTCGCAGCTTCGCCGCCTTCGCGGAGGATGTCGACCACTGAAGCGGTCGTGTCCAGCACTGTCGCCGTACGGACGTCTAGAGGCTTGTGCCACCAGAACCACAGAGTGGTCATTGAAGAGCAGATGAGCGCCAGGCTTGAGATCTCAAAGGGCGTGATGGGGAGACGTTGGACTCCTCGTCCAATGGTCTGTGCAATGAGCCAACCACTCTGGGAGAAGGCCATGGTCTTCGCGACGCCGTCTGCTTTGCTCTTGTCCCAGATCTCGTCCCGGCTCATCGCTGGTAGCGAAACGTAGCGATGGTTGACAAGGTAGTGCAGTTGTTTGGCAGTGATTGGGAAGGCCTGGAAGTCCTCTGTTTGCAGCTTGAAGCCTCCGCTGTCGGCGTAGAAGGCATGGCATAAGGTCCACTGCTCTTCCGAGTAGCCCAGGCTTCGGAAGTCCTCAACGGAGCGTTTGGCAGAGGCGTACTGCCCGCAAGCGAACAGCATGGGTAATTCTGGCGCAAGGATACCTAGTATCAGCCATCGCATTTTCCGCCAGAAGATGGTTATGTAGGTGTCGTTCTCGGTAGGGACGTTCAGATGCAGCATAGTCCAGAGGCACAGCAGGATCGAGAAGACGCAGCTCCATACTATGTCGAGAGTGCCGCGTCTGTCCGGCGAATCTTGCCATCCCAGCCTGGCCGAGGGAGCGGGTATAGTTGAGCTCGAGTTGAAGGCATCGCTGATCTCGTTCATCGTTCAGTCGAGCATTTCACAAACAGCACACAGCCCAGTGTAGCCTGCTTGAGAGCAGATGATATCTTGCGCATCCCTCGCGCCGAGCTGGCCATGCTCACCTGTAGTACAGCCGCCTTCTCCTTCGTACTGAAACTGGACTGCAGTCTGCAGCGCGCGAATAGCTTCGGCTCCATCTCCTGGGGTACAAGAAAAGAATAACGTGCATTCTGCTCCTTGTACTCACAGCAAGGCGCATGAGAGGTCTTTCTCGTTCGTCAAAGTACGTACCAGGCCGGCGGCAACACAGCGCCACAGCGACAGCTGAAGGGGGCGACGAGAAATGAGATGAACGGCGCGACCTGTTGTCTCACTCAGAGTCTACCTACCTTGATGAGAAGCTGCTGTGCCACAGGCTGTTCAAGTCAGCGTTCTGTGCAGGTGTCGCTCCGATGTGAATCATGGTTTGATGATGAGTTGCGACCCGAGAGTGAGCATACTTGCAGTGTTGGCTGAAATTGCGGTCGTCCCCTGCTTCTCGAAGCCATTGCCGACCAAGTACCGTTCCATCGCGATAAACCCCTCGCGAGGCCGTAAGCAATGGTGTTGTGTACAGATACATGTACGTACCTATTGATGGTATGAAGCATGCAGGTGCGGTTGTGGTTGTGAACAAGCACTTCTGAGCGCTCGGACCACCACTATTTGAAACCTTCGTCCGGCCTCTAAGCGCTCGCTTCTACAACCGCCTGCTATCCTGCATCCCGCGCAGGTGACTTCGAAGACATGCGGTCGGGGAGAACACTGCCTCGTGGCCTGCGACCTCTCCCTGCCGTGGCCAAGTCTGCCGTGGTCTCATAAGCATGCCTTGCACTCAACCTATGTCGAGGTAGCGGAATATTTCTTCGAATCGACCATGTTGCTAAACGGCCTTTGGGCGTACCTCGTTCCGGCGACCTTACTCTACCTTGTCCTCGTACGGAGCCTTCGATACCGCAGAAGCAGTGCGGTCTGTCAGCGGTATCCCACGCGAGCCTCGTATGACTCCATGACCCTCGAGGAAGCATTCGAGATCCAGAATCGCCTGGCTGTGCTGGAGTTTCCGATCGTGTTCTCGGTGTCAGTGTTCTTCGCACTCTTCAAGGTTCGTCCGTTCATCAGCCCTGTAAGTCTTGTGCTCACGCTATCGCCAGACTTATGGTATCCCTTCCATCTCCAAGCTTCTCGTTCAAACTGGCCAACTTGCGGATGAGGCCACGGCTTCCAAACGAGCTGCGGATACTGGGGTAGTGTTGACAGAAGTGATACTCCACCATCCTTCTTCTCCTCGAGCTATAGATGGCATCGCCCGGATGAATTATCTCCACAGCACGTATCGCAAGGCTGGCAAGATCAGCGATGCGGACATGCTCTACACTCTCAGTCTCTTCGCGCTAGAGCCAATACGCTGGACGGACCAGTACGAGTGGCGAAAGGTGAATGAAGTCGAGCGGTGCGCCATGGGAACTTACTGGCGGTATATGGCTGATGCAATGGAGATCCCTCTTACCTTGCTGCATTCTCACAAGTCTGGCTGGACAGACGGCCTTCACTTCCTCGACGAGCTGGAGGAGTGGAGTATTGCCTACGAAGCCGGGGCAATGGTACCTGCTAAGTCCAACTACACAGTGGCCCGGGGCACGGTCGAAGTAGGCCTGTTCAATGTGCCTCGACGGTTGCGGCCGATGTGTATGCCGTTCGTCTCGGCACTCCTAAGCCCCCATCTGCGGAAGGCAATGATGTGAGTGCAAACCACAATGCATTCTGATGCTACGCTGACAATCACTCAAGGTTTCCAGATCCGCCACAGTGGACTACAGCTACGCTTGACGTGCTGGTGTGCATTCGCAAAGTCGTACTACGCTACCTGTGTCTCCCGCGGCCCTACTTCCTGCGTGAGCGGTGGTGGAGCGAGAGGGCCAGTGCAACTGGACGTTACCACGCGAAGCAGTTCATCTCCCTCCCTTGGTATGTCAAGCCGACGCTGTGGGCCAGATGGAGTCCTAAAGCGTGGCTCTTGCGCCTCGTCAGAAGCAAGGTCCCTGGCGATGATGGGGGGAAGTACCATCCGGAGGGATACATCATCAGCGAGCTTGGCCCGGAGAGCCACAAAGGCAAAGGTTTGGCGGAGATGAAGGCAACACAGGTGAGGTTGAAGGATAACAAAACGGTTGGCTGTCCCTTTGCCCGTTGGTAGGACCAGAATGGCATTTGGATACTCAATCAACTTCGAAGACCTGTCCTTCACCGTCACACTCAAAGCGTCCCTTGCACAAGCAAAAGCGAATGACTAGAAGGAAAAGAATGGAGAGGTGAGCACAACACCTCTGGACGAAGCAGAAAACAGCAAAAGAGAAAACCCCGGAGGGAGAAGAGAAACCTCGAGGTTTGCTCTTGATTTGACTACAACCTTTCACGAATGGGCGCCGGCCTACAACGTGTCACAGATAACGACTACCTCTCCAGGTATGGTATGTATTAACCCTAGCTCTTTCTTGGATTGACTTCTCGAGGTGTCTCGAACGCTCGACTGCGTTGGCGGCGGCTTGGGGACGAGGGCGTGGTATAACCATTGACCTGAAGCCACTCGAGTGGCTACGCTTGGTTATAGTGGTGGGACTGCTGATAATTGGATACATAGGTTGGTGGAAAGGCCGAGATTGGGCCGGCTGTTGTGTGGTTGTCACATGCATTCGCGGAGGTCGTGTTATGACTTCATCTGCGGCCGGGCGGCGAGGCTAGGAATGAGAGCATGGTACGATTGGTATGAGAGGATGGAGGTCTGATCCCTCATAGTATCATGGAATATCTGCCGTCCTTCTGCCCATGCCGCTCATTTAGCGTCGTAGTATACGGTCTTTGGCAACTGTTGCTTACGCGAAAGGTGCTCACGATTTTACGACCTGTGCTGCGAGTTTGCGGCCTCACTTCACAAGCGGAGTGGCAACGGATTATCACGAGCACAAAGTCACAATCCCATTCGAATCTGCCAGTCTCGTGACAACAGCAGGCCTGTGAACTCACGCACCTACCTGGACTTCGCCGGATTACCGCATTAGGAAGTACCACACAGCATGTGAAAATCTGACCTCGACTTCACTTCTTGAATCGAGCGCATTTAACCAGCATCATCACCATATCACACCCGTTTAAATCCTTACAGCGCCGGACGGAGTGATCTCAAGGTTTAGCCGGCCGCTTGTATGCTTGCCCACAGCCGCACTGTAATTAACGACGTTGGGGTTTTCGGAGGCCACGATTTGACTCCCTGTCCCTCTGGACCTCGAGACAGCTTCCATATGGCGTCGACGATACAACTGGCCACAGCAGCTCAAAAGGCCACGCCAAGAAGGCTGAGGGCGTCCGCATCGGGCCGATAGGTTCAGCTGCGTCCAGCAACATCGAGATGCGAAGGAGTCCCGGCGATGGTTACCCCCATGCTGCCACAGGCCTTCGAAAAAAGAGCGGCCAAGAACTGTGGAAGTGGAAGAGGCAAATGGACTGACAGGAAGGAACCCCACCGCTAAAGCCGAGAGCATCTCATACATTAGAGCATTACTTCCCATGTTCTCAGGCCCGCGGAAGAGTAAAGAGGCGGCACCGTGATGCAGCATATTGGCCCCGTGCTGAAAATGTAGGTGCCATGAGACGGTAACTTTGGTCGAAAGACCGTGCTCCACGTCGTAAGGAGTACACGAAAGCCAAAAAGAAAATGACATTAAAACGATACTGACATAGATTTACCGTCCAATCCCAGGACAAAAGAGTTCACCACTGCGTGGTTAATCTCCGCCTGGCTGCCACAGGACTTCCAGCCAGCTTGGTCAGTCACATCCGCGCGCTTTGCAGCACTGCAGAAGGTTAGGCGCAAGCCCTACTAGCAGCAACCGAATTTGAGGTGGCGGTCATCATCATTCTGCGAACAGAATGGCTGTCCAGCTCACCGTCCATTCGCCAGGATATCCCGCAACCATTGAACCGCGCTGCTCAGCGTCGAAACGAGCTTGCACCCTGCGGACAATGTGTCACGACGATGAAAACATCAAGATATACATTCACTTGCACCACCGCCTGGCCAAAAAGGGTGCGATGTTTCCTGAGAACCCGCCAAAAGAGTTCACCACCAAGTGGCTACTTCTCTGTTCTGTCCACTGGACTGTCTGTCCGGCTTAAACTGCCCTGGACTTTCTGCCTCTTTACGGCCTTGGGACTTCAGCTGTGCTGGACCTGCCCGAAATGTGCAAACTATTCAACCATTGGGACGAGCGTCGAAACGAGCCCGCCCCGCCGGAGAATACAGTCCGCCAATGCGAAATGCATTATATACGTGCATTTGCATCCTGCCAGATTGGCAATTGCATGGTTTGAAAAAGACCGTCTGAGTTCACGTTGACCATACTCCGTCCAGACAAACAGATGGAACAACGATGCAGCATTCTCGACGTCACTCGCATCATTGCCCACATCATCCTTCCAAGGCAAAAAAATTCACCCTCCTCGTCGAACAAAAGAGTTCGCCAACGGCTACATCTCTGCCTCAACCGTTGCAACGGACAAGGACTTACAGCTATGCCGACTCTGAGCACGATGGAGTGCCGTGAAAGCTGGCGTGTCTAGCACAATGCGGCACACTTTGGTGCTGGTTCATCAACCTGAGCTCTGAGGCGCTTTCAGGAAGGCGCATTGAAACCGGGGTAGCCCCAGAAGCATTGCCATTGTTGGAAGCGTCGAAACGAGCTTCTTCCGTCGGACAATACAGCGCGGTGGTTTGCAATGCAATATATTCAAAGCGTTTGTTTACAGCAGCAGAGTTACTTCACCGCACGTCGATGATCAATATTCGGCTGGAGTTGCATCTCTCGTACTTCCTCTCTCGAACAAGCATACAAATCCAACTTCCAAGATGTCAAGGAGCGGCCACCTGCGTCTCGTGCACCCCTCTTAACATGTCGCCCGAGGAGCATCAGACACCGTAAAGCAACAGTAGGTATGGGGGAGTGCGGTCATTCGCAACCATTCTTCCAACACCACAAGCAACTGTTCAGTCCCGTTTTCCACGGTACAATACCTCACTGCCAGCTGTCCAAGCACAGAGTACGATATGACAAACGGTTATACCACCAAACAGCTCGTGACAAACGTAAATCTATTCAGTTGCTCAAGCTGTGAAGTCCTCCCCATCTCCGCCACCTCACTCCTCATTGGCCGCTTGGTCAACAACGCTAGCCCACGTCCAAAAATTCCCGGGGTCGCGCCTTCCTCACTTTCACAGGCGCGCTAACTTTCACAACTCCAATTGGCTGCAGAGCAGACCACGCTAGCGGGCGTTCAGAAATCTTCTCCTTCGCGCCTTCCTCATCCTCGCTGGGGTCAGGTTTTTGAGTTGTGGTGTTGGAGAAGGGGCGGATTTGCGATCGCGGACACCCGCCTGGCTGGGTTGAGGCTCTCAGGGCCGTCAGGAATGGGACTTAGGGCTGAAGTGAGATGTGTTCAAGTTTTGAATTCCCTCTGTGCATTATTATGTCCTCTGTCTGTCGATACGGGTATGAGTATGTCCATATCAACAATTCCAGCCCGCTCGACCAAGCACGCTGTTCGAGCCCAGCAGTTCCAGTCCAATCCAGTGCTGTCCCAGCACCATCGCTTGCTCGCTCGCTCGTTCAATCTCAATAATCATGTCATCCATCGCTTCTCAAGCATTACCATGTCCGCATATCGCTCCCCTCACAACCCGAGAGAGCACATTCCAACCATCCTCTGTGAAGCACTCTCACACCCCCTCACGCACCCTTTTAAAAGTTCGAGAGCTCAGAACACATCCTCCGGCCACTCGAAACTCGCCCTCTTCCTCGTCACCACCTCCGTCCCCACAATCACCTTCTCCGTCTGCGTCTCCGTCTCCTCCTCCCTAACCCCCGGCAGCGTCTCAAAACTCCCAATCGCGCCCTTCGGCAGCTTCGGCACGCCCCCAACACCCGGCTTCACCTTGACTACCTCGTCAACCGCCACGGTCTTGGAGAAGCGCGCATTCGGCGGCGGACTCAGGCTCTTCACAGCGCCGTTGCGGGCGGGGTGGGCTTTGGCGGCGTCGGCGGCGCGGGTGAAGAGCGTCTCTTCTGGCCCGGGGGCTTCTTCTTCTTCGTAGACGACGTCAAGGGCTTCGGCTTGGGTGTCGTCTTCGAGGGCGGCACCTTCGTCGGCGCTGGACTCTTCTTGCTGTGCTGCTGCGTTGCCGTTCGTCGGTGCGTCGGCTTCGGGCTCTGCTGGCGCAGCCTTGTCACTGCTGTCGGTCTGCTTGCTGTCCTTGCGCTTCCCCTCGGGTGAAGTACCGAACCACTCTCCGCTGCCACCCAGAGCAGTAGTCTTCTTGTTCTTCGGCGAAGACGCCTTCACTTTGCCGTCGCCTGAACGCTTCGTCTGCGGGCTGCTGCCGTGAGCGGACTTGCGCTTCTTCTTCGGCGTAGCCTCCTCCCACTCGGCATCATCGTCTGAATCGTTCCGCCCGGGCTTGAATGGCTTGTCCTCATCGTTGGCGGCTGACTTGCGCTTCTTCGGCTGAGCAGCTTTACGCGCGCTCTTCACGTTCGCATCGAGAGCCTTCAGCTTCGCGTCCAGGGAGGCATAGGTCTTCTTCACTGGTGCAGAAGTGGTGTCGTCGGTCGTCGTGTCGGCCGTCTCATTGTTGTCCATCTTAGCGGTTTCGACGACCTCAGTCGTGGTAGGCTTCACTTGCTCTTCGGTGCCAGTCATCTCGATGTCGTTGCTTGTGCTGTTCTTGGTGGTAGTCTTATCTGAAGGTTTCTCGAGCTCACTGTTGTGGTTGATCTCGTCAAGATTGAAAAGACTCGAAGCACGTCTTGGATACTTCTGAAGCCCACGCGATGCTTTGATAGTGTCGTCCTTCGCACCTTCCTCAGCCGCCTCATCAAGAGCCTCCTTCAAAGTGAGCTGCCGCCCTTCACCTTCAGTGCTGCCTCTTGCCTCTTTCTCGGCAGCTGCCTCTTGAGCCATCAAGATCCGCTCACTAGGCAGACTTGGTAGCTTGCCGGGCATGAACTTTGGTCTCTTAATCGTTGCCGAAGGTGTGAATCTCTCGTACCTGCCGGTCAATTTGGGCGCGGGAGACGCCTCCACGAGCGCGTCGTCGAGTTCAGATCTAGCACGTGCGAGCTTCACTTCCAGATCACTGACGCGCTTGGAGAGCTTCTGTTGCTTGCGGAGGTCGAACTTGGATTCTGATCGCTTCAGACTTGCGGAGCCAAAGTCTTGCTTGACTGGTGAAATTGAAGAGGAGGATTCGCGGTTGCGGAGTGTGGCTGTAAGGTTGATGTCGGATGTCACCCGCTTGAGGTCGCTCTTGATGTTGTGAAGAGACGGCTTCTTGAAGTGGCCAAAGCGACCACGGACGGTCTTCGTCTTGCTCGTGGTATCCGGTGCTTCGCTTTCAGAGTCGCCTGCCTGAAGGAAGGTCGACGCCCGGAGGTTGCTACGAGTGGTGTCCAGGCTATCGATCTCGACGCCAGAATCGCGAGGTGTCTCCAGCCCGTCGCCAATGTTGTCAGATGCAAGCCTGCCGACTGGCTGCAACTTCAGCTGCCCCGACTTCTTCATCTTAGCATATTTGGCCTCGGCATCCAACTTTTGCTGCGCCTTGCGCCCATCTTCGGTGTGCTGTGCTACGTCCTCTTTCGGCTCATGCCACAGCCTGCGCCAGAGGGTCGTCGGGTGGAAGGTAGCTGCGAGCTGGCGGCCGAAGTGGAAGAAGCCGGGTGCCTCCTCTTTCTTGTCGGCCATCAAAGCACTCTGCAACTGGTACTCCGCGCCAGAGCGTCCAGCGACCATACCAGCTCCGTCGATCGAAGCTCTGGGCGTTGGCCTGCCGTCATGGTAGTCTTCCATGAGCTGATCATCATCGCGGTAGTTCGAGCTGGCACTGCGAATAAAGATGCTGGGCGGCCTGTCGCTCGGCTTGTCTGTGAGGCTGCCTTCTTGAAACTTCGACTCTTTGCTCAGCGTCCTCTGCGAAGCTTGCTGCTTGGCGGCATGCCTCAGATTCATGTAGGACAGATTATTCGGACCCTTCTTGCGCCGGATGTTACGCGGCTTCCCTGCCGCATCTTCGGAGGCAGAGTTGTCGCTCTGGCGGACAGATCTGCTGCGCTTATTCGGGGTAGGCTGGTCGGCGTAGGCTGGGTCGTCGGAGAGGTCATTGTCGGTGTACGTCTCCAGATGCACTTCTCGCTTGCGCTTCGAGCCGCTCGTGGGCGCAGTGGGCGGTCGATCGAGCTCCATGCGTGAGGACACCGAGGCGTATTTGGGGTCTTTGGGCGGGACTGGAGGCGGTGATTCTTCCATCAGCGTGAACAATTCTGTCGGGTAGAAGATCGTGGACTGAGGGGTTAGCTTCCGCGGTGTGTGCATGCTGGGGATGTGATCATAACGAGGGGATACACAATAGGAGTGATCGTTGATATGAGGAGAGAAACAACCCACCTTCAAACGGTGATCCCAAGGGTTCAGTGTGTTGCTCCGTGCTGTCGTCGGGTGGAGATTGGCGTCTGCGTCAATGCGCCTGGAACTAACAGCCAAAAGTGCGGTCGTGTACGATGTTGTCTCCGGAACAATAACAGAACGCTCAAATGTCGGCCGGCAAGGTCGTGTCGTGTGCAAAGGAAGAAGGAAGAAGAGGGGATGTTTTCGTGGAAGTTTGGCATGCGGGAGGTGGGAGGTGACGCGGTTCGAGCTGGCGTCAAACAATTCGTCCCTGGAGAGGTTCTCGTTAAATTGCGCTATGACAGAATAGTAGTAGTCTGACTGCGCGGTATCACGTGCTTCAAGACCATTTCGTCAAAAGGTGGCATTCACTGCTGCTGGTCTGACTACGGCTTACACGACACAGCCATTGGACAATGCCATAGTAGCCCCCTCCAGCACTGGCCCGCACAATGGATTATGCGGTCTCGAACAAAGAAACACCATAATCCCATAGCCCAGGCATCTGGCTGCTCGAGTGTCGTGAGAAGCCATGATAGCATGTAAATGTTGCGTGCATCTGCACTACTATTGCGTTCTCCAGATCCTGATCCAAACCCAAGCCTTCTCATCGAAGACTCACCAACCCGCAGGTAAACCCCTCAACAACCACAGCCCAAAGCTAAACAGCCAGACCAAAACCCAATCCACAAGCAGACAGCAGCAGACCGCAGCCATGCCCTGCATCCTCAAGACCGTCCACGGCTCGAACTACTACAGCAGCAAGAAGGTGGCCTTCTGCGTCCGCTCCGCATCCAACATGCCTCCGCAAGCAGCAACTCCCCCAGCCCCGATCATCCGTCGCAACGAAGGCGGCGACAGCGACAATTCCACGGTCATGGTCGTCGCAATCATCATGGTCGTCTTCGCCGTCGTCTCCTTCGCGCTAGTCTGGGGCTGCGTCCGACGTCTGCACGCCAAAGCCTACGCTAAGTCGGAGAAGAAGGCGCACGCCGTCCGTCGACCAGGTCTCTGCGCGTATCGCGACGGACAGACCAGGATCGAGATGCCGGCCTACCCGCCGCCAGCGTACGCCTACGCGCCGCGCCGTTCAAAGGTGGGTGAGGCGAGGAACGAGAGGTGGCATCCGTTCCAGACCATCGGTGAATTCGCCGTGAGTGGAGGCAGGCGTGGGAAGAAAAGTGGTTCGAAGCGTGGACGGACTCTGCACGCGTCAGGGAGGCCGGAGCAGGTAGGTTCGCGTCCTTTGGGGAGGCAGGCCGTTTCCACTAGTCATGCCGACGATTGGGTGAGTAGTTCGGCTGAGGGCGGGCCCCGGGGGGCGCCGAGGGCGAGTGAGTACTTTGAGGGGAGGTAAGGGGTAGGAAAGAGGGAGAGGGAGAAGAAAGCAGAAAAGCAAAAAATATAAAGGGGCGCTGGTCGCCCCGACCACAAATCAAATCGATCCTACCGTTTCAATATCATCCTCAAGTGACTGTGTTTCGTGACATACTTCTCTAGTAGATCATATATCCTCAAGCAACTCGTAGGTTGTTGGTCTTCAGCGTAGTAGTCTGTGCCTCAAGTGAGCGTAATAATACCGTGCTCTTCCGTGGCAATCATCGTCACAAGCCTGACAGCACCGGCAGATCATGTTCCTGGGGGACGTCCTGTCTCTCCAGTCCAGTCCAGAGAAGGTCAGCAACCGAATCACCACATCGATGGCGTACATGTGCGCTCAACAAGGAAAAGTACAGCAGCATGTAGCGCCGCAGTCCCGCCGAGCATGTGAAAGACGTTCTTCGCGGGGCATGCAGCATCAGAATCAAAAACGTCCGGCTGCTGATGAGCTCCGCTGAGCTGTGATGCATAAACGCAGTCATAGCGAGTAGCCGAGCCATCACCCCTCGCACGTCGTAAGAGTCACCAAGACCACATTCTTCCTCCTCACGACTCGGCGTGTTCGTGACAAGGACCTTGGCTCTTGGGTTGTGTTGTGAAGAACCTGGAAGCAGGAATCTGGAGAAGCGTGGTGGGGAGACACCTAGACACCCTCGGCGGAGATCGGCAAGTGCAGCGGAGCGTTTCGGAAGGGCGGGCGGAAGTTTAGGTGGGCGAGTAGGAGGAGGGGCATTACCACACTTCTTTAAGCTGCTGGAACGACTTCACCTGTCGACGATAGCATACTCGTGGACCTTCTTCCACCCTCTGGATCTTCTGGCGGTTCACGACATACTCACTTCGACAGGACAGCAGCGGTGACGTCGAATTCGCACCTGAAAGCCGACCAAAAGATATAGCCGAGCGCGACGACGTCTTTGTTCTATACCGCACCATTGAGGCAGCAAGACAACCTACACCACCGAACCGAGAGACAAACCACCCTTCCAGCTGCCTAGCAGCACCCCACCACGACAATGCCCACCCAACGCTCCTTCTTCAGCAACTTCCTCCTCGCCTTCCGCGCCCACTCGCACCAACAAATCCCCAAACCCCAACCCTCCCGCTCCTCCAACGGCGTCTCCACCCAATCTCAAACCCTTTGGACATCCGCGCAACCCCAACAACCCAGCAAAACGCCCTCGAGCGAGAACGTCACCAGCCCGCGCCCCATCAACCCGAAAGCTCCACACCAATACAGCACCTCGCACCAGCAACAACCCAACCTCTCCACATCCCCTGGCTCAGCGGACCTCCGGCCCGCGCTGCAACACAACGTCAGCCCGTCCACGCACCTTCCCCGCTCGAGTCCGTCGCCCGGCTTACCGGTCTACGGACCGCCGAATAAACCGCAGCCCTCCTACCCCACAGCAGCGGAGTCACGAAGCAGACGGCGAGGAAGCGATAGCAGTTCCGACTCCGGAGCTTTCAGGGACAGAGGGGAGAAGTGGTTTGTCGGCGGCAGGACGGCGGCGGGGGAGGAGAAGTATTATAAGTTGAGTATGGTGAAGAGGGAGAGGAGCGCGGATCGCATTAGTGCTGATCAGTTGAGTTTGTGAGAACATCACTATGGGATGCAATTATGAGATTTGGTATTGGCGCGGCGTCTGGCGAAACTATTATGAGGCTGGGGACGGAGCTGTATGTTGTTACGGCCGAAGGGAAGCATACAGATGATCGAAAGCAAAGCCAAAGGCTGCTTGGACGATGGGATGGAACGATTTTCTAGCTTCCTGTAAGAGGCCTTTTCGAGTAGCTGTATACTCCGTACAACCGTTGCAATTCCATCTATTCGTCTACATCGGTGTATTCCGACTTCCGATCATGCAGTTCAAGCTCGTGGTCGACAACATTGTAGCTCTAGCATCTATCTCTATTGCTCTATAACACTTCCCATATCACGGCTCCGCCTTCTTCGTCTGCTTCGTCCTCAACTTCATCAACAAAAACACCAACCCATAAATCCCCACGGTAAACACCACCACCAACCCTGCATTCCTCCATCCAAAATACTTCTCCTCCAAATTCAACGTCCGCAGGTAATCCGCTCCGGTGGTGTACTGGCACACCTGACACCCCGAGCTGGCGTTTGGGTTTAGCAAGTTCGTTGCTGCGCCCATGCCGTTCTGGTAGGCTTGCAGGTAGGAGGCGCAGGTTTGGCCTGCGGGTGGGTCGAAGAGGGCGAGTTCGTTCGGGCGGCAGCGCACGGGTTTCGACCAGGTGGTGAAGACCATGAGGCTGGACATGAGGTAGTTGAAGGGGTCGATGTAGTAGAGCCTGTTTGCGAGGAAAGGATGTTAGATTGGTGTTGGCTCTGGTTGATCTGAGGGTGATGGGGGTTGGGACGTACCAGTATCGCCAAAACGGCTGGATCTGACTATACGGCACGGTGACGCCGCAGAAGGAGACGAGGGTCACGATGACCAGTGGATTTACTAGCGAGGCGAATACAGCGTTGGGAGTGTAGGCGGCGATGGCTTGACCGATGGCTGTGTAGAGGAATTCGTAGACCACCTGCGAGTCGTTAGCTGGAGTCCAATTTCCGTACGTTGAAGGGGTTGAGGGTTGAGGGCTTACAATGACGAAGAAGACGCTGCCCGCAGAGTACGGCGACGTGTTGAGACCAGGCGCGAAGTACCAGCAGACGTAGTACAGTAGGGCGCAGATGATGAGGTATGGGAACTCCGAAACGATCAGGCCGGTGACGAACGGGGCCCAGTGATACTGCGGTAAAACGTTAGTTGAGATTCTCTGCTGCAGATCGAAAATACGCTTCGCACTTACCATCTTGCTCTTCTTCTCCCGTGTCTCGAAGATGTTTCTCCGTTCGATGAACAGCGGCTGAAGCTGCGAAATGACGCCCGGCGATACAAAGATAACAGAGAAGACAGTGAACAGGTTCTGTTGCAGATCGTTGAGAGAGTCTCCAATCATCCAGAACGTAAACCCGTTGAGCAGAGCCAGGAGCACGTGCAGCGCGAACTTGTTCATGACATACTCGGTGTTCCGGAACAACGAAATGTTCATCCGTTTTGTCACCAGCTTGTTCTGCGTCCAGATCGACGTCGCGAACTCGTTGCCGTCGTCGTTGACCGTCGAGGGTTCGGCCGCTGCTTTTTCCACCATGCCGTCGATTTCGCTCGTGAGTTTGGCTTGTTCTGGAGACTCAAGCCATATCTCGCTCCAATCTTTGATCTCGCCGTCTCCTGCGCCGGTGACGACCTCGATCATGTGCTCGGCGGGGTTTGCGCCAGATGGACATGGCGCACCGTGGCGGGCCAGGTAGTCTTTGATCGTGCTTGCGTTCTCGCCGATGTCTCCGAAGTAGACGGTCTTGCCGCCTTTGGCGAGCAGAAGCAGGTTGTCGAACTGCGCAAAGAGTTGAGCTGAGGGCTGGTGGATGGTGACCAACACAGCCTGGCCGGCTGCTGCGAGTTTGCGGAGGAACCTCACGGTGTTGAAAGCAGCCTGGCCGTCCAGCCCTGATGTAGGCTCGTCGAGGAAGATCAGGATGCTGGGCTTGGCGACCAGTTCCACGCCAATGGTCAATCGCTTGCGCTGTTCAACCGACAACCCTGAGCCTGGGAAGCCGACTAGGGTGTGCTCGAGGTCATTCAACTCCAGGAGGTCGATGATGGTGTCGACGTATCGCAGTTTCTCCTCGTCGGTGATATCGGAGGACTGACGTAGCAGAGCCGAAAACTCGAGAGCTTCGCGAACAGTCGTCAGCGGTTCGTGGACGTCCAGCTGTTCTACGTATCCGGCCGAGCGTTGGAACGAGACGGGGATGGGTCTTCCGTCGACAAGGACAGAGCCATTGATGGTACCCTGGGTCTTGCGCCGTGCCAGAACGTCCAAAAGCGTCGTCTTGCCGGCGCCTGAAGAGCCCATGAGAGCACCAAGCATGCCAGGCTTCACATACCCTTGAACGTTGTCCAACAGGACCCTGTCGCCGTCGGGGGTTTTGACGGTGTAGCTCAAGCTTTTCCAAGTGAAGACGCTCTTGTTGCGGAGAAGGTCACTTTCGACATTGCCATCGGACTGAGAGCCAGAGTCCAGCTTCTTCTCCTCCGAGACGGGTGTTTCCTCGTCTTCAGCACGCAGTAGATGTCTCGCCTGGCGCTGCTTTTCGCGAGGTATGAGCAGGCCACGGCCGCCTTCCCCAGCCAACTTCCACCTAGAGGTGAAGAAGATGGTGACTGCGACAAAGAAGACCCACCAGGCGCAGATGATGCCGAAATTGCGCCATAGATGTGAGTGAGAGTAGGACAAGGCAGAGAGGTATGAATCGCCGGATAGGCCGGTGTCTCCTGGCAGAGCGCCAGTGACACCGACACAAGACTGTCCGCCGGGGCCGAAGTCGTAGCCTGGCCCACTTGGAACGAGGTTAGGGCCGACGCAGGGGATGAAGGTGTTGTGGAATTCGTTCGATGTCAGAGCCTCGAAAGAGTAGGCCATCGGATTGGTCCAGTAGATCCAGACGAACCACGGATGCATCGAGGGTTTGATAATGAAGTAGCCCATATACATGAAGAAGGCCACAAACGACAGACCAGAGGCTTTGGTAGCCGCGTCGAATGTTGGAAAAGCAGCGCCAATTGCGCGGAAGTATTGTGTCATAGTCAGGGCGTTCATGTAGCCGATGAGCAGGAAGATGAAGAAAGCTGAAGCGGTGGCCTTCAGACCGACCAGCCAGTAGAGAACGATGCTGAACTGTCCGACTTGGAACAGCAAGATAGGAATGTCCGCGACCACCTGAGCGATTACAAAGGCAGCTGGGTGGTACAGAGCGAAAGAGCGATGCTTTGCTAGGACCGGCCGGCCTGTGAAAGAGTCTGTGACCTCGCCGAGAGCCATCAGAGCGTGGTACAAGGTCGAGAAGAATATGGCTCCGCTTTTGATGAAGAGGCCGAGATTGTTGGCGGGAGCGTTGTAGAAGAGGGATCCACCGATGAGAGCTTGGACGAGGGTGGATATTTGTTTGATGGCCATTGTAGACTTGTCTCCCCATATGAGCTGGTACTGCCTGACGGTAGCAATCCGTACCTGACTGAAGAAGTTTGCGGTGACAGGAGATTTCCTTATGCCTTGGTGTTTATCTGCGGCAACTCGCTCCTGGAAGGCGGTGGTATAGTCTCTTGCTGCTTCGCTTGTGGGATAGCTTTGAGCTTCTTCAAGCATTCTTGCCTTGAGTTCCGATCGGTCGTAGGTTGCAGCAATCTCGTCGCCCGTCCGAGGGAACGAATTTTCACATCCAGGGGCGATCCGTCGCTCGGTAGGAACAGTCACGCCTGTCAAAAAGTCGCCTTGATTGGAGCCATCCTCACATACGAAGCCAAGGCGTTCCATGAACGGTACCGCGTGCTGTCGGGGTCCGTAGTAAAGTTGCTTGCCTTCGTCGAGGACGAGCACCTTGTCGAACTGTTCGTAGATGGCGTTGCCCGCCTGGTACAGAGTGACGATTGTCGAGAGTCCAAGAATGTCGGTCATGGTCCGGATCGCTTTGATATACCCAAGGGCGGTGCTGGCATCGAGGCCTCTGGTTGAGTTGTCCCAGCAGTAAATGCTCGCACGTGTGGCAAGGCACTCGATAATGGACACACGCTTTCTCTCTCCACCGGAGACGCCGCGAGTAAAGGCATCTCCTACCCTCGTCTTCGCCGTGTGGGAGATGCCGACCGACTCCATGAGAAATTTTGTGTACTCCTCAGCGTACTCCTCCTGGGTTTTGATCCCGGCAGGGAGATTGCGAGGAGACTTCATGCGAGTAGCAAAGTCGGTGGTGTCTTTGACAGTCAATGTCGGGAAGAAGACCTCTTCCTCGGTGTTCATCACGATCTGGCCGCTGTATGCTTTTGCCTCTTTGGGGGACATGGTTCCGAAGGTGACGTCTCCCGTAACTTCTTTAAAGCCAAGCCGATTGTTGGCGAGGACACTGAGTAGAGTCGTGCATCCAGCTCCGGGACGCCCAAGAACCAGCAACATCTCCCCAGGCTTGACGCATCCATGGGAACTGTCGATGATTGTCTTCAGCTCGCCCTTGGTACTCTTCTGGAAGGGGTTGAATTGAGATACCACGTTCTCGTTGAATGTGGCATTGCTGTCGACACCTTTCACAGTAAGTTCGCTCCAGGACACGCCGAGTTTCTTAGGCTGTCTCTCCGTGTCTGTGTCGACGCCTGCCAACCGCCGCACTCCATCTGCAATGTGCCATCCACCCTGGTTGGAGGGGACGGGTTTGACGTTCGAGGTCGATGAGGCGGCGCTCTCGCTATCGGCGGAAGGAAAGGGGGCCGCCATAGCGAAGCGAATAACTGAGTTGAAGGCATGTTCGCAGACACGTGCCGGGTCCCTATATATACAAACATCCAGGGGCGTTCCAGACGCGGATCCCTGAGACAGCTCAACCGCCGCCCCAATAGCAGAATATGGGTCAACCAAACATTGCAAGCGTCGATGCTAGGTAATCATTCGACGATGCCTAGACAAAGTCGTGGATGAAAGTTCATCGAGTAGCGTGCATTCCAAGCGTCAGTGTCGACTCGCCAGATTTCGCAAGCGCATGAGTGATCACTAAACGTGCTTGATAGCGAAACATTGTGGCAGTCGTCTGAAGTCGGGAGGTAGACCCCCCGCCCGGATTGCTAATTTTGATCTGCGGCTGGCGAAACGTTACGCCGTCAAGACGGTGTACGGCCGTACATCAGCTGGCAAGTTTTCCACCACACCACACGTTCACTAATCACGTATTGTAGTGCTCTCTCCTATGTCAGTCGTCAGTACCGCGCTCTAGATCGTGCTCCTGCCAAGCTGAGATCTATGACGCTGCGTAGCCAGACAGCTGGCAGTCAGTCAGAAGTTGTTACACTGTTAGATGGATCCGACAAGTCGGTAGCACTCAGCCAGAGTTCGAAGGTTCCCCAAGACACCCCCACCAGATACATCACACTTCACAGCACAGAGAGGATGTCAGTCAATGACGTGCCGTTGTAGCCATTCCGCTACCCAAAAGCTCTGGACCAAAGAGTACATATACTTCGTGAGAGGTCCCCGTAAAGATCAAGCCAGAAGCAAGTTGCAGCCATCTCCTTTCCCTCTCTTACGGTAGCATTACTTCTTATACTTACTGTCCTTTCGATCTGTTCATACCGCTCAATTCTCTTCCGTGAAACGCAAACTCTCCTCTGATAAGAACGCCATGGCCCTTCCCAACATCGATTTCCCCGACTCGACCGCTCTGGTGACCGGGGGTACGTCAGGTATCGGCCGGACCATCGCAGAAGAACTCGTAGCACGAGGAGTCCGTCAACTGGTCCTGGTCGCCCGCAATGATGATAAACTTTCAGAGACAGCTAGCGCTATGAAAGATGCTACACCAGGGCTGTCCGTGGGCACGATCAAAGCCGACTTGAGTAAACGGGAGGCCCCTGCTGAGATCCAGAAGAAAGTCCAGGAATGGGGCTGGACGGTCGACTTGCTCGTCAATAACGCCGGTCTTGCAAGGAAAGAAAAGTTCGCGGAGAACCTCGAGACGGACAGCTCTTTGGCCACGATCGACGTCATGGTCCGCGCCGTCGTCGAGCTGAGCCTCCTGTTCCTGCCTGAGATGTTGAAGAGACAAAAGGGTGGGATTCTGAACATTGCATCGACCGCAGGGTATCAACCGGTCCCGTATACGGCAATGTACGCGGCCAGCAAAGCCTTCGTCATCTCCTTCTCTCAAGCCATCCGCGAGGAGAACCGTGGCACCGGCGTCCGCGTGGCCTGTATCGTCCCGGGCGTCACCGAGACCAATCTTGATGGTCAGGGACATGGCGAGACGCGAGGACCTATTGATAAGGTCGGCATCGATCAGCCGGCAGATGTGGCGAAGGCTGCCGTGGACGCTCTTGAGGAAAACGCCGCTGCTAAGATCGTCGGTTGGAACAACACAGCATTCCAGGCGGGCTTCAACCTGCTTCCGGCGTCTTTGAATGCTCGCCTCATTGCCGCTGCCCGCGGAGCTCCAGGGGAGAAATAGATTCCTCTTATTAATGTCTACCTGTGTGCCGCCAGTGACGAACATGGTGGGAGGAGAATGTTGGAGGTGCTATGTGGGCAGCGGAACTAAGAGCACTGTGGCGCTGATGCAGAGAGTACATGTCAATGGTCAGCATTGCTGCAACGCGACGCATTTACATACCTTCTAAGCACTCGGCTCAAAAGCACTCTGCACACTCCCATACCCCTGCGCACACTGCCTACCCAACGCCACACTCCCACTCCTCATATAACAAATCTTCGCCTCTACACACTCCACGCTCGTACAATTCGGCGTCTTCACGCTCATCTTGCCCTCGTACGTATTAAACAAACTCACCAAACTATGATCCTCCTCCATGGCTTCAGTGGCCGCGTGCCAGAAAGTCGCGTTCAGCGGTGCATCGGTCGGCCAATTTGCCGCTGTGCCGTAGGCTTCGCGGGTACTGTATTCGAATTGGAACGTTGGGCCATGGGCGCTGCCGTTGAGGAATGGGAAGGACGAGACGTCGGCGTACCATGTATACGCTTCGTAGACATCGAACGTTGCGGTGTCGACTTCATACATTCTGAATCCGCTATTCAGGTTTGTAAGCGGGGTGACGGAAGGTCCGATCCAACCCGGTGTCAGAGCAGTGTCGCGGGACTGCATGGTGCCGTTGTGGGAGTAGTAGATCATCTGTTCGTCTTCGTGGGTGTGGCCGAAGAAGACGTTGGCGATGACGTGGGGGGAGTAGCGGTCCACGATCTGGTAGAAGAGGTTGGTAGGATTGGGGAGGGGGTTGGTGCCGTCCCAACCGGAGAGTACGTGGCCGAAGAGCCAGACGCGCTCGCCGGCGTCTTCAGCGGCTTGGAGCTCGGAGATGACGAATTTGAAGGTTCCACTGACGTCGGGATCGGAGGTGTTGATAAAGTTCAGGAAGTTGGCTGAGATGTGTTAGAGGGCAGTTCTACGCTATCAGGAACGTGGGGGATGATCGGGACTTACAGTGGTACCAAAAGTCGGTATTGAAAGTTATCATCCTTAGCCCGTAATGGTTCTTGATACTGTAAGCACCGTAATGCACTCTTGACTCAGCAGCGGCGGCATCATCAATCCAGCCATTGTGCTTCCACAGTCCAGAGACATGCTCAAAGTTCCAGGACATCTGCTGACTCAAGTTGCCTGGCATCGAATGAGGGGCGTCAATGGCTTCTGGGTTAGTGTCGTGGTTGCCAAGGACCGGGAAAACGGGAGTGTGGAGGTACTTCTTGAACATATGATAAATTGAGTCTTCGGCATATTCCACGTAAAGCCTTGATAGCTCCTCTTGAGATTCATGGCTGACCAGGTCACCGGTGTAGATGGTCCAAGCAAGTGGGTCGTCTTTGCTGGTCCCGGTCAGAGGTGCAACTGCCTGGAGGGCCGCCAGGCCGAGATCGTAAGGTGTGTCACATTCAAAAGCACCGTACAACGGAGCTGGATATGACAGAGCGCCAGACTTCAGATCCTCGTTCTCTGCGTTGCTTCGGCAGCAGAGACCGTTCGTACAGTTTCCCTCAGATCCAACCTTGTAGCGGGGATCAAGATGAAAGTCAGACATATGCAGCACTTTCACCCGCTTGCCGCTGGGCTTAGGAACCCTGGCCTCACAGTCCGCAGGCTTAGGTTTCGGAAACCATCCAGTCATGTCAAGGGGCGATGTTGTGGGTGCGTCGCAAAAGTCCGAGCTCAGATGGTTGCAGATGTAATCACCATCCAGTCCCGAGACATCAGCCAGAGCAAGTATCTGCGTCCATATTGCTCCGAAGGTAGTCGCCTCGAAGTCCTCCTTGCATGCGTCCGCAGAGTCGTAGCCTGTTCTCTTGCAAAGCCGAACCATAGCTGCCGGTACGAGTTCTGGGGCGAGTTGAGCTGCATGCTTGGCCTTAGAGAGAGCGTGCTTGCATTTTGTGCAGTTGGAGGCTGAACCATCGTCAAGAATGATGCTCTCGACCTCGCCAATGGTGTCCGAGATGACCTTCTTCTGCTGGTGAAGCGAGAGTCTGGCAATTGGGCGAGGGTAATACACAGGATCTGGATCGTTGTCTGGCAGCGTATCCGGGTTCGTCAAGTTCAGTGGATAGGTGATGTTCAAGACCGGATCATGTAGAGCCGGCTGAGGCTCTTGTCCGGACGGAACGGGATAATAGCTGGAAAAGGCTGTTGTTGGATAGCCTGCTGGAGGTTGGTAGGATGATAATCCTGGAAGAGATGCCCCAGCCTGTGCAAGGGCATACTGAGCCATCACTGGCACAATGGCCATCATGGTAGTCTTTGAGGATACCATTGCGAAGAGACAAGGACTAGACAGACACCAAGGTCCACGCAGAAGGAACCGGCGGTCTGAGGTCTTATGGAAGGCTTGAACTTACTCCGTCGTATCAGTGGGACACCATGCTTCGCCCACGTTGCTCTGCGTGCCTGTCAATGACGAACAAGCTCGATGAGAGATGCTTTGTAGAAGCTTGCATGTCTGCAGGAACGGCAGCTGACCGCCCAATGGGTGGGATGAAGTCGAGCACGTTGGAGAGAGGAGTAAGATTGTCCTTAACTCCGACGTCTCGGTGTCCGAAGGCCTGCGAGTCATGCTTCAACATGACGTTCGTGCTGTCGCGTGCTCCTTTATTAATGACTGCGACAAAATGCAGTTCTTCTTGCCCATCATCTCAGAGCCGTCCGCGTGATGTTCATCTTCAGACATGGCGGCAGACGTGCGATAGCCCAAAGCTGGCAGCAGCGCCCTCAAGCGCTTCAACGAAGCTACGCCTCGAAGATAGACATACCATATCCGCGTGGATCGACCATCCCGACCATCGAGGCCTGCCCCATACCAACATGTCAGTGCCAGGAGACGCCATCTGGCCTCGACATCGAGCGCGAGCAGAATATCAATGGCTCTATGGCCGCGTATGCCGAGCAGGTGCTCATCTCGACTGGGAAGAGTGACTGGACGAGCAAGATCGAGGATGAGGAGGATGGAGTGCTCGTCAAGCGGCTTAAGAGCTTTCTCGGACCCAAAGGCAAATACAGCGATCCGTATCACAATGTCATGCTCACGAACTCCTCCTTTGCGCCCACGAACTTACCAACGGCGCAACGAGAGACACCTCGCGAACCGCCTGCGGACAACCGCTCAGTACCGGCTGCGAAGTCTGGCAGCAATGATCCATCAGACGTCCACGATGCGGAACCTGCTTCGGCGTTCCTACTGCCCTCTTTCCAATACGTCCCGACAATACCTACGGACCCAGCCAGCGTAGAAGCGCTGATCAAGGGCTACATCCAACCGTCCCAGCTCCACCAGTCGCACGACCGATTATCACGAGCAGACAAGAACGTGCTGCTGCGACAGTCGGAGATGCAGCGAAGATTCGTAGGCTCAAGAAAGATCGACGAAATACTGGTCCTTATCTGCGGTCATGGCGGTCGGGACGTGCGATGCGGCACCCTGGGCCCCATCCTACAGCGGGAGTTTGAAGAGAAGATAGAACGGCAGAACATCCCTCTCCTCCGCGAGGCACCAGTCGCAGAGGCTGAAACAGTGGACACTGATGCCGAGGGCTACTCGCCATCTGCACGTGTTGGGTTAATCAGCCATATTGGAGGGCACAAATGGGCTGGGAATGTGATTATATACATCCCGCCTTCGTTCAGTGGGAACGCTTTAGCGGGGAAGGGGATATGGTATGGGAGGGTAGCGCCGGAGCATGTGGAGGGCATTGTTGCAAAGACGATACTGGATGGGAAGGTCATTAAGGAGCTGTTTCGAGGTGGGGTTGGTCAGGACAGAGAGATTGTGCGGCTTTGATGGCAGCCAGTCCTCCGGCCATCGTAAGATAGAAGGTGTCTGTGGATCGATAGAAGATGGTTCTCGCTCTCCGATGCACAATCTGGTGGCAGCGGCAAGGCATACAGGTCTATCGATGAGTCCGTAGTATTTATCGGCTTCGAGCCCGGCATCCCGACCAAGGCATCGACTTTGCCTTGATGCCAATGCAACGGGTGGCCTGATACTAAAGTAGGCCTTCTTCGAGCGGCACTCAACCAACCCTCCGCCCTATGGATTGTTTCCCACACAGCGTCAAAGTATCCTATAGTAGTATCCATTGCGCGCATGGTGGCGCTGTTCCCAAGCAAAATACCCCCTAAGCGAGAGTCCCGCGGCCGCGGCATCGAAGTCGGAAGCCGTCCCTTCCGCAAAGTCAAAGTCGTCGACGTAACAATCGCGTGAACCTCAAGACTTCATCTCGTGGCGATGCGCTTGGCCTGAGAGCAAACGGCGAGCATTTCTTCTACACGGACGGATCTGAAGGCCCCTTTGCCGCAGTCTTTGCATCTTGGCGATGCTGGCATTACGCAGTCGTTCCTTTCACGCTCTTCTTCGTTAATACTCCTTCTTGGCGGCCTGCTGCGACTTCATCTTTCGATCTCGCCACTGTTTCAGTGACTCTTTAACTAATAACGCGCCTGCTTCTGTCGCGTGTCTATACCAGTCCAGGTCAGCTCACAGGACCCGACAGCCATGATAGCCGCGAGATAACTCCTCACATATCGATTCAAGGACCGCGCGACCGACGGCGAGTATGGCATTCCTCCGGCAAACATGGACGCTTTGCGAGAAGACGCTCACCATAGTCTTCCTGCGACACTGGCTGGGAACACTCATTCGGGCTTTCCTGGCGCCCATAATCTTTTTCTTCATCATCTCTTACTCGAAGAACTTCTTCGTGCCTCCATCAAATGTATGCAGCACCCCGGTCATCTCAAAACATGTGGCCATGCTAATCTTGATATAGTTCGGCATTGGACAACCCAGTGAGCTTCGCTCATTCCCAGAAGCCCTCGGACTTTCAGCTGGCGGCCGCGATATCGTCGCTTTCGTGAACCATGGGCTTACTGGCGGTGCTATATCCGATGTCATCGACGAGGTCGCAAGACCCGCTCGAAACCAGGGCATGGATGTTAGGATCCTTGAGACTGACGACGAGCTTCTGACAACATGCCCAAGTACGGTGCGAGGAGTCTCGCCCTGCTTTGCTGCGGTGGTGTTCGAATCATCGCCGAACGAAGGATCGAGCCCTGTCTGGAACTATACCATCCGCACGGATGGCACCTTCGGAAGTCGCATATATGTCGACAGCAACACCAACGATGCCGAAATCTACGCCTTGCCTCTACAGCACGCTGTGGACAGTGCCATTGCATCGCGAGATGGTAACAGCTTGCCCGATCGTGTGCTTCAGTATCCCTACACCAGCAAGACGGCCGAACAGCGCACCAGGAATATCAATCGTCTCTACATGGGCACCCTCATTGATATCCTTGGTGTCGCCTACTTCGTCGGCATCGTGGGCATTTGCTACCAGCTCACAGGAGAGATAGCCAAGGAGCGTGAGCTCGGTATGTCTCAGCTCATCGAAGCGATGATGCCAAATCGCAAGCGCTGGCAGCCTCAAGCTGCAAGAATCCTCGCGATGCACGCTTCATTCGACATACTTTACATTCCTTCCTGGATCATTGGCGCTGCAATTGTTGGGTCGTTGAACTATCCACTCTCCAACCTTGGGATCGTGATAGGATACTTCATCTTGTCGGGTCTCGCGCTGTCCAGTTGGTCGATTGCCTTCGCCAGTCTTTTCCGTAAGGCTCAACTGTCCGGGATTACAGTCGTGATGACTTCAATCGTGCTGGCCATTATCATCCAAGTGGCTCCTGCACCGTCCACCGGAGCGGCTACCATCGTCACTCTGCTGTTTCCGCCAATGAATTTTGTCCTCTTCATCATCTACATGGCATACTGGCAACAGCAAAACCTTGGAGCCGATCTATCGCAGGGTCCTCCCACGGCACCTTGGTCCACGCCTGGCTACCTGTTCTTCATTTTCACCATTCTTCAGATTGTGATCTATCCTATCGTCGGCGCTTTTATCGAGCGATCTCTCTACGGCACGGCTTCGAAGGCGCGGCAGTTACGGTACAACAACGATGGAGCTGAGGAGACTGTCAAAATCACAGGTCTCACCAAGGCTTACCGTCCTAGCTGGTTCCAGCGCACTATTGCGTCCAAATTCACAAAGAACCCCAAGCAGACGGTGCATGCGGTCAACGATCTCAGCATTTCAGTGCTGCGGGGCCAGGTGATGGTGCTTCTCGGCGCAAATGGGTCGGGCAAAAGCACGACGCTGGATATGTTAGCAGGTCTCCAGGTTCCGTCAAGCGGAGAGATTGAAATGGACGCGACCGGAGGCATCGGTCTTTGTCCGCAGAAGAACGTGCTTTGGGATGAACTTACTGTTTACGAGCATGTCCGCATCATGAACCGACTGAAGGCAACGAATGTCGACTCGAAAGACATAATGAAGGAGCTCGTAAAAGATTGCGATCTCGCACAAAAGGTCAACGCACCATGCCGGACTCTGTCGGGTGGGCAGAAACGGAAGTGCCAGTTGGCGATGATGTTGACTGGCGGGTCTAAGCTATGCATGCTCGATGAGGTGTCCTCTGGTCTCGATCCTCTGTCTAGGCGCAAGATCTGGGACATCCTGTTGGCAGAAAGAGGCAAGCGAAGTCTTGTGCTCACCACTCACTTCCTGGACGAAGCTGATCTCCTTTCGGATGACATCGCGATCTTGTCGAAGGGTAACCTCGTCGCCAATGGATCCGCAGTCAAGCTGAAGCATCAGCGCGGCGGAGGTTACAGAGTCCGGATCTACACTGAAGACCACAAGCCTCTCCCTGAGGCGCTTGAGCAGACGTCTAAGCAGGTTTACCACGATCAGACCGTGTACCGGCTCGACGACTCGGCTGCAGCGGCTACTTTCATCGCAGAGATCGAGCGGGCAGATATCCACAACTACCAGGTAGCGGGCCCAACGATCGAAGATGTCTTTCTTCGGCTGGCAGACGAGGTCAAAGAGGAGCTGGAGAAGGACCGAGCAGCAAGTCCAGTTTCTGGCGAAGTTGATCCCAACGAGAAGGGCCTACAACTCGTCAAAGGCAAGGAGCTGTCGTTCTTGGGCCAGACATGGGTGCTGTTCCGCAAGCGTCTTACAATTCTGCAGCGCAACACCTGGCCATACGCCGCAGCACTTCTGATCCCAATCGCCACAGCAGGACTCGTCACGCTCTTCTTGAAAGGCTTTTCGGCCCTGTCTTGCAACCCCTCAGACCAAGTCTCTACAGCACAGAGGGTGGGTTTGGACTTCATCTTAGCGCAAGATGCTGAGATACCGAACGGGCCTGATAGCGCAGTCCCTTCGAATGTCTTGACTCGCATTTATCCATTGCTTGAGGGAGCCTTCCGCAGTGTTGGATCTGTGGACGCTCTCAACAACTACATCAACGCAAACTTCAGCTCAGCAACTCCTGGTGGCTTCTTCGCCGGCAACACTCCGCTGTTCGCCTGGAGAGGAAACTACGATATGAGCTATGCCATTGCCACCCACAATCTGCTCGATGTCAGCTTGCTGCAAACTCCCATCACCACAGCGTACCAGCCGTTCGACTACCCGTTCATACCCACAGCAGGCGACAGTCTCCAGTTCATTCTGTACTTCGGACTGGCCATGAGCGCGTATCCCGGCTTCTTCGCGCTCTACACGACTTCGGAGCGTCTGAAGAACGTCCGCGCACTGCACTACAGCAACGGCGTGCGCGCTGGTCCGCTCTGGACAGCGTACATCCTCTTCGACTCGATCATCGTCCTGCTCGTGAGCGCGCTCGCAGTCATCATCTTCACAGCCGTGACCTCCATCTGGTACGGTCCTGGCTACCTCTGGCTCATCTTCACGCTCTACGGACTCTCAGCGACGCTTATGGCATACGTGGTCTCTCTGTTTGCAACTAGCCAGCTGGCGGCGTTTGCGTTCGCAGCAGGAGCGCAGTGCTCGATGTTCTTGCTGTATTTCATCGCGTATATGTGCATCATCACGTATGCGCCTACCTCAGAGATCGACCGGGACGTCAACATCGCCAACTACACCATCGCTTTGTTCTTCCCGTCTGGAAACCTGTTGCGGGCGCTGCTTTTGACATTCAACCAGTTCTCGCTTCTGTGTCGGGGGAACGAGATCGCAGGCTACCCCGGCGCTTTCGACGTTTACGGGAGTGCGATTCTGTACCTCATCTTACAGTCGGTTGCGCTGTTGGTCGTTCTGATCTGGTTCGACAGCGGGTACAAACCGGCTTTCCTGCAAAGGAAGAAGCATCGGGTTCAAGATGCCGAGGAGACAGAGGACGTGGATGAGGAAGTTTTCGCAGAAGCCAAGCGAGTCGACGCCAGTCAGGATGAGCTGCGGGTGCTGCATGCTACCAAGGCCTTTGGCTCAAACATCGCCGTGCAGGATGTCACTTTTGGGGTGCCGAAGGGCGAAGTGTTTTCTTTGCTTGGGCCTAATGGTGAGTTTTGGTGAGCAAAAGCATTGATCTAGGGCACTGCTGACTTTTGTGCTCCAGGTGCCGGCAAGTCCACCACCATAGGCTTGATCCGCGGCGACAGCAGACCGAGCGAGAACTCGAGCGACATTCTGATCGAGGATACTTCCATCCTTCGACACCGAGCCGCAGCGAGATCCCATCTCGGTGTCTGTCCCCAGTTCGACGCGATGGACCAAATGTCCTGTACTGAGCACCTGCGGTTCTACGCCCGTGTCAGAGGCGTTCCTGACATCGAACACAACGTCGAGCAGGTCCTGCATGCAGTAGGCTTGATGCAATTCCGGCACCGCATGGCTGGTAAGCTCTCTGGTGGCAACAAGCGGAAGCTTTCGCTAGGCATTGCGCTCATTGGTAACCCTTCGGTTTTGTTGTTGGACGAGCCAAGCAGTGGTATGGATGCGGCTTCTAAGCGGGTGATGTGGCGGACTCTGCGCTCTGTGTCGTCAGGGCGGAGTTTGGTGCTCACTACTCACTCCATGGAAGAAGCAGACGCCCTCGCAGACCGAGCAGGCATCATGGCACGACGAATGCTGGCTCTTGGCACAGCCGACCAGCTCCGCAAGAAGCACGGTGACGCTTACCATGTCCACCTCGTCCACAAGAACGCGCCCTACACCTCCGAAGCCGAAATGGACGAGATCAAATTCTTCATCCGCAACACCTTCGAAGGCGCCACGACCGAAGACCGCGTATTCCACGGCCAGCTTCGCTTCAGTGTGCCCAACGACCGCACCGCTGTGCGCGACGTTCCCGAAGACCAAGCCAAAGAAGCCGGGACGACTGCCGTCCAGCCACTGGATAGCGGCGGTCAAGGCATCAGTTCGCTCTTCGCCATCTTGGAAGCGAACAAAGAGCGGTTGGGCTTTGAGTACTATTCCGTCAGTCAGGCGACGTTGGATCAGGTTTTCCTTTCGATTGTGGGGAAGCATAATGTTATGGAGGAGAACTACGCCCGGGAGCATCAGCAGAAGGAGACTGCTTTGACGAAGTTCAAGGTCGCACTTGGTGGGCAGAGTTCGTGGAGAGCGTTGCTGTGTGGGTTTTAGGTTGTTGCATTTTTATGAGCGTTTCGTTGCATAAGATTGTATATGGTGTATATACCCATGGAATGTTGGTCGTCTAGAAATATGCCAAGGCCTTTCAAAGCTTCTCCGGTTCCGGTCGACTTGCTTTCATCTTGCCTTCAACACTTCCCATCGACCCCCTTTCTGTTGGTCCGAGAGACGGCATCTCGCGACGACTGAGAATCAGAACGCCATTTCAGGTCAGTGCCATGAGCCTCAAGCGGCAGGGCTGCCCACTGAGCAGGAGGAGGATTCAGCCCGCTCATCCCGCAGTCGTCCATCGCTTGCAATGTCCTGGCCATTGACAATCAATCACGGTATTCAGATGTTCCCCGCGGTCTATACGAGACACTTCAGTGACACGACCCAAAAGGTGCATTGCGTTCAAGTGCTTATGCACGCACGGCGAATTTCTAGGGAAAGAGCTACTGTGCCATTGGCCAGCATACGATATCGAACGCGGAGTATGAGGCTGGTCGAGCTTCTACAGAGATCCCACGGAGAAACCCGACCTGCTTCAGTCATGGGCTACATAGCTCGCCGTACGGAGAAGGACCAGGTTACCATCATAGCAAGATTTCTGGTGTCTGGTTGCAGCACTACTCTCGCACACTCCCGTCCTGCCCTACCGGCTTGGTGTAACCGTACCGGCACCATGACCAGCCGCACTCGCTTCGACTTGTGGCGTTCCATACTGGCCGTCATACGTTCTATACGATGTCGAAACATATAAAGGTTACCTCTCAGGCTTCTGCTGTTTCGCGAGCTTCGGTCGTCCTAAACAGTCGCCATCCAACGTCCGTATCATGAGACCAATGACGCGGGGTCTGCTATTCGCAGCATGTCTCGATGTGGCCGCGGCTCTACAAACTGCATGCCCAGTACGGGGACAGCAATACCTCCCGCCGACAGGCCTTTCCAATGAGCCCAAGTTCAAGTCAGTTGCTGAGGAACTGGCCGACACACTCGAGAGGAAGGTCGAGGCCAAGCTATACGACGGTTTGACCTTCTCTGCTTCCATCTTCAGCACATGCTCAGATGATCTGCTCTGGCAATACCACCACTCTAGCAAGGGCCTCAAGAATAGCACCCAAGGAGCGAAGAAGGTTGACGCCGATTCCATCTACAGGATTGGCAGCATCTCGAAGCTGTTGACCATCTATCTTTGGCTTCTCGAAGATGGAGACCGTCATTTCAACGTTCCAATCACCGATTACCTGCCTACTCTCACAGAGTATGCTGCTGAATCGTCTGGCTTGACTTCTACATGGACAGACATCACTATTGGAGACCTCGCTGGGCAGATGGCTGGCTTGTCTCGTGATTGTAAGCTTTGAGGCTCCGTTCGTTTGGATCGTACTGATACGTTAGGTAGACGGACTCGCTGATCTTGCGATCCCGAACAACTCGCTGCTTCCAGTCGCACCAGCTATCGCTAAGGCGTTTTCGGATGTTCCTGGTGGCGAGATACCTACTTGTGGTTTCGTGTACAAAAACGGTACCCTTGCCGTGTGTACTCCAGATGGTATGCCAAATGCGAGCTCGATGTTGTACCATGTCAGCTACTGACATGTGACTCGAAGAGTATTTGAAAGGCGTCGCAATGGAAGCTCCAATCTTCTCGACGGCCTACACGCCGGTGTACAGTAACGAAGCATATGCTCTCATCGGTCTCGCTCTGGAGAAGATCACGGGGGTCCCATTTGAAGCATCCTTCAACAAGAGCCTAGTCGATGCGCTCGGTCTTTCCAGCACTTATTACACAACGCCATCTGCTGTCTCAGACCAGGATGTAATACCAGGTCGGTCCGACCTGGTGGGTTGGGATGGCGAGTTTGGAGCCTTCGCACCGTGAGTCCCTCTTTCCATGAAGCTGACGCCACTGAGCTGACCTTTCAAGTGCTGGTGGGTTCTACTCCTCAAGCAATGACTTTGCGACGATGGGCAAGGCTATCCTCAGCAACAAGCTGTTGACCAAAGCCGTGACCGATCGATGGTTCAAGCCAACCAGCTTTGTTGAAGACTACGCTCAAGGCGTTGGCCGACCGTGGGAGATCTTCCGACGCAAGGTCAACGGAGCCTCAGTCGAGGTTTACGTAAAGGGTGGCGATTGTCAGTTGTCCTTCGCAAATGGTATTGTAGATGCGTTGAAGCTGACTGCCTTCAGGGGGTGTTTACCACACCTTCTTCGCTCTGGTGCCGACTTATGACATCGGCTTCACAGTGCTGACAGCGGACGACGTCGGTGCAGCTGTCGATGGTCTGCATGACCCTTCAACTGGCATACCGAACATCGTTATCGACAAAGTACTGGCGGCCGTGGACGACATCGCAAAGGAGCAAGCACTTCGCAACTTCGGCGGTCACTATGCTGATACAAGCTCCAACTCGTCCTTGACTCTCGACACGGATGCTACTGACACCGGTCTACTGGTCACTTCGTGGATCAGCAATGGAGCTGATCTGTATGAGTGGCTGGGCAAACTGCAACCGAAGCTTGTTTACCGGATCATGCCAAATCAGCTACCCGCTGGCAATGACAAGGTCGCATTCACTTCCTTTTACTGGTCTCGAGCACCGCCGGTCAATGGCACATGGTACTGGGAATGTCCTACTTGGATTGACGTGAGTCTCGTTCCTGGTATCAATAGCCGTCGGCGCTTGCTGACCGCTGATCGTTATCACAGGTCGATGAGGTCACTTTGGGCAATGTCCCGTTAGGGCAGATGGTCTTCAACGTTGGAGACGACGGTAAAGCGACTTCGGTGGAGATGCGGGCTCTGAGGGAAACGCTGAAGAGACAATCGTGATCTCCGTGCAATGCAAAAGCCCGTGGACCTTGCATCACCTTGCCCGCATGGAGGCTGGTCATGAATGATGAGACAAATCACACTTCTCCTACAAGCTCTATTTCGTTTCTCTTCCCGCCTCTTCAGCAGCAACATCGTCCCCGTCTGACCGTCGGCACCAGCTAGCAACGTACGAGCCCTTCGCCAAGCTGCTAGCCGACGTCTGCCCCTCCTCATCAACATCATCGACATCCTTCTTGATATCGACATTACCCAAGAATGCCATCGCCACCACTCCAAGCCACATGAAGGCGCTGATGCCATAGAACGCCACCACAATCGCCGCTTGTGCTCTGGCTCGGACAAACTCCTGCTCTTTCGGCGGCAGTTGGTCGATCTGATTGAAGCTGGATGCCCCCGAGGTTCCGTGGACAAGACTGATGCCCAGCTTGTTGTTGAAGATGTTCAACATAATTGTCGAAGCCATGGTGCCGCCGAAGGAGTTGGCGAAGTTCATGATCGAGACGACTGAGGCGATTTGTGTGCGGTAGTAGCCGACTCCGTGGAGGGTGCCAGGCATGAGGCGGATTCCGGTGCCGACGCCTGTCAGGGCGATCATGCCGTAGATAGTGGGTAGATCGCCAATGTGGATTGCGGCGGCGATGCAGGTTATACCGGTGGCTTCCACCACGGTGCCGAAAGCGAGCGGGGGCCAGGTTTTTCGAGGCCAGCGGTTGCAAGCGAAGATGGCGAGGTAGGCGCCGACTTTATCAGAGCGTTAGCTGGCGTGGAGAAGAATTTGGGGGGTGGAGATTTACCGCCTAGACCGGGAAGGTAGTAGAGGAGGCTGGTGCCGGCTTTGTCGGACTCGAAACCCCTGGCGATGGTGAAGTAGAGGCCTGTGTACAGAAGGGCGAGATCGTCAGCAGTGTCATGTAAATTGGCAGGCCGTTCCACGGCAGCAACGTACCTGCGAAATAGAACACAGCGTACATCGCCATGCCCGTGATGAAGTTGATATAAGTCAACACGCCACCGTTGCGTGCCCAGAGAAGCCGAATAGGTATCATTGCCCTTTGGTGCGGCAGGCGGATTGAAAGAGCTTTGCCGGGAACCAGCAGGTATTCCCAGAATACGAAAGCAATCGTCAATACGGCTCCGCTCACCAATGGACCGATCACCTGTGCATCTGACCAAGGATAGTAAGATCCACCCCAAGTCAAAGCCAGTACCAGAAGGCCGATCCCGAAGAGGAACAGGACTTGGCCGCCGAAGTCGATCGTCGATAGACGTTTCGTGAAGTTGGCCGAACGAGAGACTTGTTCAGATGTTTCACGCTCGTCCTTCTTGATCGCCTGCGGTCCAAGTAGTAATGGCCGCGTGACAAAGTGCAGGAGCACGATGCCCACAACACTCAGCGGTATGTTTATTATGAATACCCAGCGCCAAGTCACTGCTGTCAAATATCCTCCAACAACGGGCCCGATGGAGTAGGCGACCCCAATGACCACCGTGAAGACGGTGTTGTTTTTCGCATTCTGCTGCAGAGACACTTTGTCCGCCAGTATGACTTTCGAAAGGATGAGGAAGCCGGCCGATCCGACGCCTTCAAGTCCGCGACCAGCAAGAAACATAGCAAAGTTGTTGGTTGGTGCTCCTGCGCAAAGGGCACTTCCCAAGATCATGACAACCGCTGCCGCTTGTAGAGTGATGTAGCGGCCGGCAACGTCGGCCATTTGGCCCCAGAATGGAATGAAAGCAGCGGCGGTAAGGTTATAGGCAGAGACGATCCAGTTGAGTTGGGAGAGTTGATCTGCTGCTGTTAGACATCGTCGTCGGCACCGGAGAGAAGCTCTCTGACTTACTGAAGTCGGAAGCGATGAACGGGAGAGCTCCTGCCAACATTGTCGTATTCAAGGCTTGGATCGAGGCTGGTATGAACAGGCCTGCAATGAGCCGCCACCGGTATCTTCTCATTGCGCTCTTCTCCTGCTTGGCCGCCGCCGTTTGTTCTTCGTGCAGCATTTGCTCGGTAGATGAGCGGTCGTTGGAAGGCCGGTGGAGCTCTCCCATGAAGTCATCGAGCTCATTTGATTTCTGTGCGTCCGTCCAAGGCTGAGGTGGTTGCTGCTGCCTTTTGTCCCGAATCTTCCGGTACAGGTAGAGCGCCATAGGTGAAGGAAATGCAGCAGAAATCGTCAAGATTCTATGATCCAGACGCAAGCAAGGAAAGAATGATTTACGAAGAACACCGAAGGAAATGAGACGAGAGATATATCATATCATGCCGCGCGTGTTGCTCCCTTGGGAGAGCCAGATGCTTGCTCTACTCCTGTTGCACAGCCATGCCTCACCTGCTGTTCCGGTATACATGAAGTTCACACAGATCCGCTCGGTGGAGTAATCGGAGACCAACACGTGCGCTTAGGGTGTTGATGAACAAGGGTGAGTGCCATCTCAGCCAGAGGACTTGACTTGTGGGTCGGCTGAAGACGAGATGATTGGTCCAACATCCAGCATGCCCGATACGGAAGCAGTTGCGACGACTTTGCCAGCTCCGTCTTTAGCTCCCTGCGACGACAACTCCTCCATATAACTTCCTGGTCTCCCGACTGGGTAAACAAGATGTCGAGACACAGTGAGCATCCCGCGACACCGCCAACAGGCAGACACCGCGATCGCCTTACGCTACGACTAGATTCTCACATCGGGACGGTTCGAGACGGGAGGGCTGGCTACTGCGTAGGGCTGCAGGAGGTGGTTACGTGAAATAATTGATTAAAGCACTGCGATGGTGTAGTAAGTTTGGGTCCCCCGGTTGAATCCTCGTGTTGCCGCGAGGGGGCAGAGTTCCTGTTATTCAAGCGCTTGCTAACGTCCTGTTGTCCAGCTGCGGTAAGCCGTCGAAGGCATGCCATGCGTGTCGGTCTCGGAAGACCCGCTGCGATGCGCTCCCCGGGGGCTGCACGCAGTGTGCGAAGGCGAAGAGAACTTGTCCTGGCTATCGCTCGCAGGTAGACGTCCTCTTCCGCGATGAGAGCGAGAACATCATACGGAAGGCGAAAGCTTCGGAGGCGAAGAAGACTACTGCTTCCAATCGCTTTTCAGACAGGCGAAAGTTGCCACATGATGAGCCTGTGCAAAAGGTTTCAGAGCGGGAGCCTGGCCTACTTGATATCACTGCTTGGCAAGGTCTGGTCGACGGAGGGCTGACTATGCGGCCAACTCTCGAAGAGAGCGCGACATGCCATTTCTTCTTCAACTACATTGTCGGCGTCAATGCCCCTACGAGGATGGAAATGGACAATTTGACATGGATGTACAAGCATAGCAATACTGACGGAACCCTCACCACCGCTGTCCGGGCCGTGAGCTTCGCCAGTTATGCCCACCACAGGCGTAGTACAGAGCTCGAGAACGCCTCTATGCTCCAATATACCAAAGCCTGTGGCCTTACCAACGAGGCACTCCAATCTTCCGACAGGGCGGTCAAGGACACGACCCTTCTCTCCATACTCATCCTCGGCATGTACGAAGTCATGACTGGTGTCAATCAGCGATCTATCAAAGCTTGGATAGCGCATGTCAATGGCTCGGCCGCTTTGTTGAAGCTGAGAGGAACCGAACAACTTGCGAATCCCATCGGTCGCCGCTTGTTCGTCCAGGCAATGACGGGCATCTTGACCACCTCGATCCAGCTGTGTATGCCGATTCCAGACAACATTATGGAGATGGCCGAGAAACTGCCAGACCTGATACATCCTGCCGACGACTTCGCACGCCGAGCGTATAACATCCACCTGGCGCTCATTAACGCTAATCAGTATCGCTGTGTCGTGGAATCAAAGGAGCTGACTGACCCATTCGACATTGTCTCGAAAGGCCTGGAATTAGATGCGCCGCTTGCGGCAGTTCACGATTCATCCGTGCCGGAGTGGAAGTACGATGTTCGTACCTCGTCTGAGCATCACATCGCCTTCAAGGGAACCTACCACGTCTATGCCGATCTTCTGACCGCGAACCTGTGGAGCGCAACCCGTGTCATGCGAAGCCTTCTCCACGAGACGATCCGGTCGACATTACTCCAAGGCTTCGCTGCTCGCCCACCAGTCTTCACCAAGGTGGAGCATACTAAGCAATTTCAACGCACGACGGATCTCTTGCATCAACTAGCAGCCGACATCCTTGCTTCGGTCCCTCAACATCTAGGCTACGTCAAAGCCAGCCCAGTGGCTCAGACCCAAGAGACGGCTCAGGAAGAGCCATCGCAACGCCCACAAGATTCGATCAAAGCCTTCATGCCATCAAACGACATCCCCTTCCGCGACGTCATCGCAGACATGCGTCACGCCGTCGCTCCCAAGAGCTCCATGCAATTTGTCCAGGCGCGGTCGAGTGGTGGCATGAATCTGATGTGGCCTTTGTTCTACGCGGCTACACGGGACATCTCGACACCGGAGCAGCAGGCTTATTGTACGAAAGTCTTGCGTGTCATTGGAGATGAGATGGGGATACGGCAGGCGCTTGTGTTGGCTGGTGCTTTGGAGTCGAAGACCGGCATTGATGCTTGGGACGGGGACGAGAATAGGGTGGAGCTGGAGGATGATTGAGGTCGGACTCCACTGGCCATGCCAGCAACACCATTCGACGGAACAGACATCCTTCGGATCTTCTACGACGGAGTTCGACGCCATCAAGGAGAGCAAAACCGGTCAAGGAACGACAGTGCCTTCTTCGAGATTCAACAACCACGATGCATCCTCATCACCGCCCAAGAGTGCCACGACAATCAACATCCCGAGCACGGCGTGAATGACACCGTGCAATCACGACTTGGAGCTTCACCAGAGCAGCATGTGGTAATCAGAGATGCTGTCATTGGCTGCACCGCACGCGTGACCACGAAATTGCTATGTATAGGCAGAGGCAGGAGGGGTTTGTAGGGAGCATCGTAGGCTGAAACACGAGAGGAACTTGAGGGTGTACAAAATAGCCAACCATTTCTGCTGGTATGCATGTTCGGCGGAGGTGAAGGATAAGGTGGGATGGAGGATGGAGGACGCAGAATCCTTGCTGATAGCACTTTTGTAATAACAATGTCAAGTAGTCGACTCCAGCGCAGAGTGTCTAAAACCAATGTCGTCTTCCGAGTCTCGAGTCATCTTTCACTATTCGGCAACCGGAAGTGTTTGAGGCTTGGACCAAATCTTAAAATCTACATCGGATCAACATCAGGGGTCAGGAGCACACTAACACCTCTGCTATCCCACGTGCAGCATCCTTCCATATAACTATCTCAAGCCACAGCCACCGTCCGCTCGGCGCTATATTCGATTCCCTGATCTTCTCGATCCTACTTCCATGGCATCAAGGCCAAGGCGACGACATCCCACGGTCACCCCTCCTATTGTGGACTAAAGGCCACGCGAAATGAGCCAGAAATTGCGCTAAAGTTCCTTCAAGTCTATAACGACCTAGATGAGTGCGAGGGGTCAGTCGTTGCCGCGTTTTATGACTTATCATACTTTGCATCCTTCAATTCCCATCCGGTCTCTTGGGTGAGAAGACTAGAACAGAGATGGCGAGCCGGATACGCAATGTCACGACTCGAAGTACGGTTGGTTCCTGCGTGAAGATATGCAATACAACCCCCCCTCCCCCTCTCCTTCCTTTCCACCCCTGCGAAATGTCGAACTGTTCTTCCTTGCCCCTTGTCTCTTTGATCGTCTCATCTCATATCATCATAAGCATTCCGGAGAGTGTGAAGTACTGTCCAACCGAAAGACAACACGCTGTCCACCATGCGACCCTCAAGACCTGAAGAGGAACTGCCGGAGCGAAGGTTCTCGGGGAGAAAGTACAACTCGATACTCAAACGATGGAAGACCAGGAAGTCAGAGGCCAAGAACCCTCTTCAGCATGCGCGGCAAAACGACAACAATGTATCAGAGCATCGGCCTCGCGGTGGCTGCTACGCATCTCGAAGCCCACGAAACTTGATCCGACGAGAGATTCAATTCCACATACCAGATTGGATCGACGACGTTGTGCACGCGCAGTTGGTAGAGATTGCGGAACGGCTTGCGGCGGAAGCTGGCAGTCCTGGTTGGGAGGGTCCTTGGGCTCCAGCCATGCCCGGGGTGGGTGATGCGGATCAGGTGGAAGGTCACATTTGCTCGGGGGAAGAGCAGTCGCACGAACGCGAGCGGCCTGGATCGGCTCCGTTGCTGGACAGAATGGAGCCACATAGGGATACCAACGACCCAGCGGTGCCTTGCCGCAGCAGCGTGTCCGTACCCAGCGTCAGATCACTCCCACTCGCGCCGGGCGTCCGATCCCTTGCTCCACTCCTCGATCTTCGTGAGACTCTGCCTATGGATGCGCAAAGAGAGGCACAGGCGATCCAGCATTCAAGAAACGCGAGCTCATCCTCCGTGAGCTCCTCCAGCCACGGCTCCGGCACCTCAGTCTACAGCAAGCACACCTCCGTAACCAGTCCAGGCATCGGCGCGGAGAAGCGAATCTCAGACGCTCTAAGCACTCGGATGACGTGGAAGGACATCGCAGCGAAAACAGGCCCGATTAAGAAACCGGTCCAAGCAGGCCTCCTGAAGCACATCAACACGCACGCAGCCAAACCGAGCACGACTTATTCGATCATGTCTCCTGTTCAGGCTGGAGTGTTCGACGATTCGAACTCGCACCTCTCAAAACCGAGCATCAGCACTTCCAGCCTGCCGCCCGTACAGGCTCGAGTGTTCGGCAACGTGAAAGCCGATGTCAACAAACCGCTACCGCCTGCTCCGCCACAAAGGCGGTCGGCGGTCTTCGCGGTGGCAGAACCGGTGCATAGTCCAACGGTCGGAAGCGTGCCGGCGACGCTGTCAGTGAGAGACGCTCGGCACAGCCCATTGCGAGAGGTTGCACGTGCCCCTTCGCCGATGGCGGGAATCATACACAAGGCTTCGAGCGAATACCTGCCGGCTGCAACGCCCACAGCCGCTGTATTCGAAGAGCCTCTGGAGCCCAAGACGAGTTTGCAGCCAAGCTCGGAAGGGCCGTTAATGAAAGTTGGGCGGCTGAGCAGACCGTTCATGGAGCTGGGTTTGGGTTGCGAGTTTGAAGACGACGAGCCGGTATTTGATTGCGAGTTTGACGAAGATGGGCCACCAGACGATGAGCTGCAGCGCGACAGAGCTTGCTTGCCTACAGACCTTACGGAAAAAGTTGTCGTTGTCCCGGAAAGGGCTATAGGCGGAGCAGTGCGTTGCATCACTGGCCCTGTGCTGGGTGAGGCTAATCCTGATGCTGTCAAGTACCTGGTCAGCATTTTCGAGAATAAGAGTCGGCGAGAGGACAAACGAGTTCAAGGCAAAGCAGTGCAACAAGCCCGCAGAGAAGATGAAAGCCTGGTTCAAGAAGATAGTAGTGCCTCTCCTGCGCTTATAAAGCCCGAGTCCCATGAGATTGTTGTCGATAGCACGGATCCGAAGGCACAGGAGGACGCGCACAGCACTCCCACGCCACCCGCCACCAGCGAGAAAGCGAAAGAAGGAGGGGGAGGGGGAGAAGGAGCAGAGGACTCCGCCAGCGTCACCTTCAGCCAAGCCGAAGACGACCTCATGGCCCAGCTGACCTTGGACACATCTCATAAATTCCGGCGGCCAGGCTCTTGGCTACCTGACTCGCCCACACTAGGCTCGCCGATAAATACCTCTCCATGCATCCCTTTCCTGCGGATCGACAGTCCCGAGGACGGATCCGGCACGAGCGAAGAGAACGTGCCGGTGAGGACGAAGACGCTGTCACATTACGAGTTCATTTGGAGTCCGGATGGGTGGTACGTTGCATGAATGATTTCACGGCCGGACAGAGCGCTCTGCAGAATATGTAACTTGCGAAGCACACACAGAACCCGTTTTCGCAATGAAAGATGTTGGCACTGAGCCATCTGTTGAAGAGAATCTCATGCCGGGGGTAGATTTGCTCATCTAGGACTCGAAGGATCAGCAGTAATCGTTATGTACACGTCTCGTCATCACGCCTTGACTCGTTGAAAACGCCGTGTTGCTGCTTGCTGCGGTGGAGGTGACTCAACAGCGCCATGCCATCCGCTTGTTGCACTCTTGCCGCCGCCTCACTTAAACATCTGTCCGTACTCGGAAGGTATCTCCAAGTCCCACTGGTTCTTGTGCATGCCGTCCATCGCCGCCTTGCCTGTGTCGTTCAGGAAAGGCTTGCCGTCATTCTCTGTCGCGTTGGTGAAGTAGATCGGAGCCCACTCCTTCAGGTCGCCTTTCCGTTGCGCTGCCCGTTGTCGCTGGGTCTCTTCGAGCTCCTGTTTGCGGTTCGTCGCCGTGGAGTACTGCTTGTTCTGAATCGCTACTGTGACGTCGTTCCAGAACCTCCGGCTCTCGTTGGGCAGCTGCTTCTCCATCGGCGGACAGATCTTTGCAATTTGCTCAAGAGGGTTAAGATCAATCAGAAGAGTCTTATCGGAGTCTGACACCTTCTTGAAGGCCTTGGATCCGTAGGAAAAGTAGACCTTATCTCGCCAGTTGCCGTCGATCCTGCCAAGAACGTCCGCGTCTGGAACGTCGCTGATCTTGGACCGCTTGTCCTTCTCCACGTCACACTTGTAGACGACACCTTCGACTTTGTTCTGCGTCTTGCCGAAGTAGCCCTCTTCTAGGTAGTGAAGGATGACTTTGATGCCGCTCTTTTTGCAGGTGATATAGCAGGTGTCAGACACTGTGACGTGCAGGTTGCCTCGCAGGAAGCCGCCCAGGAATGCAGCTGGGTGCGTCATCTGGTACTCCTCGCCGTCGCGGTTGTGTAATTGGACGAAGATGCCTTGGTTGTACTGTCCTGGAATCACTCGCACGCTGGTTCCGGTGAACTTGGCCGACAGCTGATCATAGCCTCTTGCACTGATTGCCTTGTCCGGACAGTCGATGTAGAAGGCCGATACTGGCGGATGGTGTGAGGTCTGCTCCGTAAGGTACGACACCTTCACGGGCTTGCCCTTCGTCGTCTCGCCCTCCGGAGCTGCTGCCGTCTCGTGTTGGTTGGTCTTCTTCTCTTCACCTCGAAGTGACTGTGCAGTGTCCTCCACCTCCCACTGACACCGGAAGAACTCGCCGAGTGTGCTGTTGTATGGCTTGCAGGGTTTTCCCTTTACATATTTCAGATCCTTCGTGAACCAGAACCGTAGACAGCCCAGCATCCGTCCCAAGGCATCTTCACTGTCCCCAATGGCGACGAACGTCTCCGGCCGGTCGAGGTACCCCCAGTACTCCAGATTCGGTATCGGCTCGAGGAGTTGTGCTGGCAGACTGAACCTCACTGCCGCAATGTCTGACACGCCAATGAACCTTCTCAGGATGGAAAGAAACGTCTTCAGCTTGCTGGTGTCGCTCTCGACCTTGCCGTCGGCCGCGGGCTTGGCTTCCAGACTGCCATTCATGTTCGGGGTGGTGGGCTCGGGGGTGGAAGTGCCAGACTTGGAGGGGGGCGTCTGTGGTGCTGGTGCCGCTGGGGGTACGGGCGTGGATGTACCCGAGGCGGGCGGAGTTTTCATGGGGACGTCAGGCATGTTGGGCCCACGCAGCGCAGCTAACTGCCGCCCTAAGAGTTCGCGCTATGCAAGGCGCACCGCAGAAGCTCAGTTGTATGGCCTGCCTCGAGTGTCTGCGAGGATCGGCTAAAAGCTTCGCCGGCGACTGTGGGTTTCTCTGCTGCCGAATGCGCACAAGATCGTCCTGGCTGTGGATGAGAGGGAAATGCCGACCTCACGTGTTGAAACTGCGAGTTCGGAGGAAGGGAAGGGAGGGCTGAGGAAACGGAAAACTTTGCAGGGTGCTGGGGAGTGTTTTGACGTGGTGGTGTATGCAGCCTTGCACAAGTCTGGTTGACGCACGTCAAAGATAGTGACGTGCATCCTTGGCCAATCGAGCCCGCACGAAGGGTCCCCTTCAACCATCCTGCGCCACTTTCGTCGACGCATGCAAAACACAGCGAGGTACAGATAAGATGCTGCGAAGGATCGAGGGGATGCGTGCAGACGAGCGCCGAGCTGATTCTGTACATGTAGTCGAGACACTGCATCGGCTGTTCACCGTCATGCTCACTCTCACATGCCAAGGTGGCTTCTATCTAGTCTCATGATCCCAACACCTCCTCCAGCCATCTAAGCTGTATCGCACTCACCCCTCTCGCATACGCCTTGCTCGTGTACACAAACTCATTATACATAATCGCCTCCACCTTCCGCCCGAATAGCACACTGCTCGGATGTATCGCCACCGTCTGATTGCCGATGAACGTCTTGTAGCTGCCATCCGGACACAACCTAGCAACATTATTCATGAAGCCGCGCACAAACGCCTTGAGTATATCGTCGGACTTCGCCTCGGATGGTGGCTCGTTGTCAGACTCCGGGCCGGAGTCATCAGGAAACAGATTGGCCATCTTGCACTGCGCACGAAGCTGCTTCCTCACGTCCATTGCACCCTTCATCGCACGGTGCGAGATGAGGTGGTCGTCTGCCCATCTGCGTCGGTCTGATGACTCCGAAGCGTACGCCTGCACAGCAGCTAGCAGAGTCAAGTGGTCGCCTTGTCTGCGGAACAGTCTTTGTCTAGCTTCCTGCGCCTTCTCCTTCGCCTCCTCGGTATCGACATTGAGAAAGACACTCTCTACACTCAAGCAGGCGACGATGTCGATGACCTCGGCAAGGCACTCGAGGGTTGCTGCTTCTACAATCACCCGCCCAAGAGACGGCGTAAGAGGCAAGCGAGCGACTTGTTGACCAATCTTGCTGATCTTGCCGTCCTCCTCCAGTGCTCCCAGCTGTAGCAGCTGCATCAATGCTTTCTCCATAGCCTCTCGAGGTGGCGGTGTCAGGAAAGGAAAGTTGAGGACATCGTCAACACCTCTTGCCTTCATCTTCAGCAGCGCCTCGCTTAAGTCACACCTCAAGATCTCTGGCGTGTTATCTTTCTCGAAAGCCTGGAAGCCGTCTTCAGTGTACAGTCGGTGACACTGCCCAGCGGTCTCACGCCCTGCACGACCCCTTCGCTGATCTGCCGATGACTGTGAGATCGGCTTGACAAGCAGCGAGTCCAACCCAATTTGATTCCGGAACTTCTTGATCTTTGCCTTGCCAGTATCGACCACGAAGCGGACTCCAGGAACTGTGACTGAGGTCTCAGCAATGTTGGTGGAGAGAATGACCTTCCGGGTGTTTGGCGGAGCAGGCTCGAATATGCGCTGCTGAGCCGGCTGAGATAATGCTGCGAACAGTGGCAATACAAGCAGCTTTGGATAGTCGCGAGTGAGGTTCTCCGCGAGCTCCTCAAGAAGTTTCTGCAGACTTTGAATGGTTTCCTGTCCTGTCATGAAGACGAGGATGTCTCCTGGCATGGGCTCACCGCAATGGATCTTGAAGATGCGTTGAAGTGCTGTGTCGATGACATCTTCTGTCGGCTGTGCTAGATAGGTAGTCTTGACTGGATACTGCCGGCCTTCTACATGGCATATGGAGACTTTGTTGTCGGGACTAACAGCACCGTCCGCCTCATCGTCTGAAAAGCCCTGCCATGATGCTTCAGAGCTCACCTCGTCCGCGTCAGTGTCAGCACTCGTATGACCTCTGGAAATTGGATGTGCTTTCGAGAAGAAATTTGAGATCATTTCAATGTCCGCAGTAGCACTCATGACGATAAGCTTAAGAGGATTCTTGCTCTGTCTTCGTTCTGCCAGTAGCTGTTTGAGAAAGCCAAGTAGGAGGTCAACATTGACGGACCTTTCGTGAACCTCATCAACAATGACACAGCTGTACTGGGACATCTGAGGATCTCGCAGCATTTCTTGCAGAAGCATGCCCTCTGTAAGGAACTTGATGCGAGTGCTGGGCGACGTTGACTGGTCGAAACGCACGCTATAGCCAACCTTTGATGCTGGGGAGGAAGAGCCACATGGCGTGCCCATCTCGTCGGCTACACGCCTTGCCTTCAGAGCCAACGTCAGCATACTCCTTGCGATCGGCATGGATTGGTGCAGCATACCAGACTAATCGCAGCTACTCGTCGCGGCTGCGTGACGGCAATCTTCCCATTCTTAAACATGTCCAGGAGGAATTGCGGTACCTGGGTCGATTTACCGGATCCAGTCTCGCCAGAAAGTACAAGCACATCGTGCTCTCGCACGGCGGCTCGGATGTCTTTCTGTCGACTCCATATTGGGAGCTGTCGTCTAGTTTCAAGCAGTTTCTTTCGCTTGGTGTTGAGATCTGGGCGATGTGCTTCGTCTTCTCGCTTTCGTTTGGTAGCGGTCGACATTTCGCCGTTCATCCTGGTGTTTTCGGACTGCAGCAGGCCCATTGTTTGCCTGAGCCTAGATGTCACGGGACAGATCTCGAGCGACACTGCTCTTCATGGCACAAGCATGCATATGAAAATGAAGAGAGAAGATGGAAATTGTGCTCGGAGAAAGCCCCGAGCCACTTCCGAGCCACGTGAATAGGCAGCGTTAGCGTGTTTTCTGCGCGTTCTCAGATCTGTGGCAATTTCACCTGCTCATTTCTACTGCACACTGTCGTGGATGCGGTCAAAGTTAACGTCACAAGTTTTCTTGTAAGCTGCTAAGTAGGAGCCGGCCGCTCGATACAGCTGCTCTCCAACACAGCACCACGATGCCGCTGGGTTTCGAGCGCCTCAACGAGCGCACTCAGCGCCCAAACGCATGTGTTAACTTCATCAAACCGCTGACCACGTCCTCCCCGGAAGACCAGAAGATAGCAAAGAATTTCCTGGAGAGAATCGCAGCGCAATGCTACCCCGTGATGAAGAGAGATTACTTGTCTGTCATGGCTCTGGAAGAATATGAGCCCAATCCAGAGTTTCTAGGGCGAAACTTCAATGCTGGTGAGGTTATTCAGTTGGTCCTGAAGGACAAGTCTGAACGCTGGCTCAGCTTCAAGTTCGTGCAGATGGTGAGTCGTCGGATGAAGCCGTCTATCAGGCAAGGTATTGATTTCATTGATCTAGGTCATGATGCATGAGCTTGCGCATTGTAAGCAGATGAACCACTCGCGTTTCTTCTGGAAGGAGAGGAATCGCTTCGCAGCTCATATGGAAGAACTCTGGGCCGCCGGCTACAAAGGCGAAGGCTTGTGGGGACGTGGGCATGATCTCACCAGCGGTACCCTCGTACCGGACCGCATGCCAGACGATGTCGACGTTCCGGAGCATCTCTGTGGCGGAACGTACCGAAGGGGACGGCGTGGGAAGAAAAAGGGTGCTCAGGCTGGAGGCGAGAAGTCGAAACTGACGTACGCCGAGCGGCAACAGAAGCGCATCGCGAAGAAATTCGGCGTGCACGGCGACGGTCAGAATCTGGGCGAAGACGAGCTGGTTCGCGGAGCGCTGGAGCATGGTGGTAAACGTCATCAGGGCAAGCCTCGTGTAGCCAAAAGCAAGCGTGGAAGGGAGCTGCGTGCGAGTGCAGCATTGGCGAGGTTCGAAGCACTCAAGCAGCAGACGCCAGAGAAGACGCCTGAGCTCGAGGATGATGACGGCAGTGAGACTGAGTCTGGAGAGGACGACGATGAGTACGCAGACGGCATGAACATATTCTCGACTTTCGAGAAGATTAAAGATCAGCGAGGCCGGGAGCTGTTCAAGGTCTGCGGTGATGAAGGCGAGCAAGACGAGGGTGGTGAGGACGAGGTGGACGAGCTGCGTCGCATACGCATGGATCAGAGCAGCAAGGCTGGCGGCGAGAAGCAGAAGCAGCCCGAAAAGCTCGAAGGGCGCCCTGGAAGGGCTCCTGCGAAGAGGCAGTACGAAGACTCCGAAACGGAAAGCGAGCCGGATGAATCTGGACTGTCGAACCCTGCGAAGAGACCGCGCGAGGACTCTGAGACGGAGAGCGAAGCAGAAGAGGGTGAAGATCCGAAGCGTCCTGTGGCAGCAAACGGATTTCAGGAGTCCTCCATGCCGGGAAGAAAGCCTCTCGACGATGTAGCCCGTTCAGAACCTCTCAAGCCGAGCGACAACCCGACAGTGCCTGGTGTCGGTCATAGAACGGAGAGGACCACGACTGTCTTGGACAACATCCGTCTGGCTGAGCGCGAACCGGAAGTCTCTCCCGCTCCGGATCCTACGTCTGCTGGCAACCCATTAGCATGTTCCATCTGCTCTCTGGAGAACGACCCGGCCTCTCCAACCTGCATGGCTTGCTCAAATGTGCTCAAGCCTTCGCTCATGCGCAACGTCTGGCGCTGCAAGAGTGCAGCGTGCAAAGGGAGTAAATACATCAACGCTGGAGATGCTGGTCGGTGTGGCCTCTGCGGCGGTCCAAAACCGGCCCCGGTGACGGCTCCTATCGGTATCACCAACGGCGACGTTTTGAGGTGGGACTAAGGCCGGGCTATAGCAAGGGAAAGCTGTGAATGAAGTGTATGAGTTACGATTGCTTTAGCATGAAAGAAATACCCCCTATGGTTATAGCAGCAGCATGACGAAGGAAGAAAGGTCCATGACAGGATGCATATAGCAGAACTACTACGTACGGCTACCAGTCGTGTACCAGAGCATTCATCTGACCACTGCTACCTCGCTTCATCGCTCGCGCTGCTTCTGCGCCAACTATCGGCAAGCTCTTCACGCCCTGCTTCTTCATAGTCTCCGGTAACATTTTCAGATCTATCAATCCGACCTGCGCAAGGACACTGGCTTGATCCCAGTATATGTGCTCGCTCTCCAGTGAGTTGCCCCTCGCACACATGATACTAACCACCACGACCTCAACCTTCCTGTTCGTTGGAGGTATGTCCGGCAGCATCCAAGGTATATCCTGGCCATGCGTGAACGAAACAAACAGCTCATCCACAACCCGATCGGTGCCAATAGTCCTGCTAAGAAGTTGCGAAGAGAACGACGGTGGTAGCGGGAAGAAGAAACTCCTGTAGAAGTAGCCAATGTCCTTTGAACCAATGCCCCCCGTCAATGTTGGCCCATTGATGACGTGCGCAAAAGGGCTTATCTTCTTAGACGTCTTCTCTGCGATGCCGGCCTTGGTTGAGTCGACCAGCTCGTCCCTGGTAGCTTCTATATTGGGCTCGAGGCGGAAGCCTTTGTGCAGCGTAGCCAGAGAGCGTGTGAATGCTACTGCTTCTGCGACTGGATCGTACTCTTCAAGGTCAGACTCCGCGAAACCAGGCTCCGAGGAGGCATATGTATAGGCTTGATATCCAAGCTTCAGACTCTGGCCGTAACCCTCGCCCGCATCGATTCGTTTCCGGATCGTTTTCCGCTTTCCTTGGATCCCGAGAGCCTGGGAAGTCTGCCGTACGCCAACTTCGCCTCCGGCGAGATGTACGAGCACTTTGACGCTGGCCGGGAACTTGGTGTTGACAGATGGGATGGCTGAAGGGTAGTAAGCCACGATAGCACAGAGTTTAGGAGTGTTCGGTGAGCGGTGGTTCTCCAGAATCACGTTCCCTGCGTCTCCGTAGGCTACGATTCATATCAGCATTGCTGCCAGTTGCAACACTTCGACAAGCTCATTTACCTACGATGCCGTAGTACTCTCCCGCCCCGAAGTTATCTCCCGCGCTATGAACTCGCTTCAAATACTGGTCACCACCGTCCATCAGAGGGACGTAGACGGTATCAAACCCTTCTTCTCGCCATTGCTTCGTCACTTCCGGGTCAAAGTCCTCGGTTTCCGCCGTCAAGATGAGATGCGGGATTTTTGTCTTGTTCAGTGAGTTGAAGAAATCATTGGGCTGCGAGTTAAACCAAGGCGTGTCGAATGCAGACTTTTGTTCGGGCATTGTCAGTCTCTCCCTCGCAGCGATATCACCACGGAAGACAGTGAGCTGAGCAAGCTGCGGACGAACGTGGTGGAGCAGTTGTCAACGTTTAAGCTCCAAACTTGGTCGACCAGATCGGACGAAATTCGGACCCTTGTCCTACGTCATTTCATGTGAACGTTTGAATAAGTCCTCCAGCACACTGCCAGACAGTGCAGTAATAGATTTACACAACGCCTCATCTCCTCCTTCCAGCAGCCCCTTCTCCTCCTCTCTGGTCAAGAGCAACGACCTCACTGATCCCAGCTGCTTCCTGCTCGTCTTCCAACGCTTGAATCTCTTCACGGCAGTCCCACCATTTCTGCTCCGCATTGCTGAATGCACGCTTGCGAATCTCCTTCACAGACTGATCGCCAGAATCTCGCTCGTATTTCATCTTCTCTAACACGATGTTTTGCCATTCGAGGGATGTCCGCGTGAAGAAGTCCCGCAGCGCCTCGAAGGGTCGCGGATGAGGCAAGTCGTCTTTGGCCGCGGGCGTCTCCGGCTCGTTTGCATCTCCCTGCTGGTTTTCCGCTTCCGCAGGTCTCTCTTCCATCAGGTCGTCAGCAGCCACAGAAGTACCACGTGTGCTGGGCTCTGGTTCATCTTCATCGCCCTCACTATCCTCCGAGCTGCCTTCTTCGTCTTCCTCGTCTTCGCTCTCTCCGTCTTCCGTGCCTTCCCAATCCTCCAGCTCTCGTCTGAACATCTCCTTGACCCCGTCCAGCTTGCCTAGGTCGATGGCCCACATTTCATCGAAGGTGAACTCGCGATCTCCCTTTTCGAGAGTGCCTCCGTAGATGTACAGAACGTCATCTTGAACTGCAAGTTGAGCACCATGTCGAGGGAGCGGCATCTCCCACAGGACCGGCTTTTCGACCTTCGCCTCTTCTTCGTCCTCGGCTTTGGTCTCTTCAGGAGTTTCAGCGACTTCACCGGCCTCACCAAGTGAACCTTTGTTCTCGATAAGAGCCAAGTTTCGCAGCAGCTCTTCTTCGTCTGCTTTGCCTCTTCCTCGCCTACGTTCACTGACTGGGATTGCTTTCTTCGCAGAAGTTCGCGGTCGCCGCAGTGAAAGTTGGAAAAACCGGTTTCGGTCGATATTGTATGCAAAGAGCTGATTGAAGAACTCGCTTTCAATACCTTCATCACTGTCCTCGACATCGTGCACGCCACCAAAGCAGATGCCACGGCCTTTGTGGTGCGCTTGAGTTGCTCCAGCTCTCGGAGGATTGGGAGCATTTGCAGGCCGCTTCCTCCGTTCCCAGCGGACTGTGGGAGCTGCATTCGCCGGAGCATCTGCCGCTGGTGGCGTTATGCGGAGGAACCACGTGTCTTGGTGGATGACTGGCTTCATGGTGACCTTCGTACCAGGCCTGCTGCCTTTCGTTGCCTTCGCAGCATTAGTTGTAGCTTTGACGCGAGAGTAGCCACCGTAGATGACAGCTCCCGACTCATGCGGCAAAAGGGAGAACGAAGACCGAGCGTCCGGTTTCTGCGAGGCTGGTGGGAAGCTGGGCGAGTGCCAAACAAAGCGTTGGGTGTCGTAAAGCCAGACATCCTGGAGATACTTCGTCTGCTGGCTCGTATCCTGGAAGCCTCCGTACAGAATGATATACTGCTTAAAGTATGTCATACTATACCGAATCGTTAGCATGTAGCACAAGCCATGTCCGGCAAACGGTGTCTCCTACCGATGCCCACTACGCGCGGGTGGTCCACCCTTGCCTTCCACCTTCGTCCATTCTCTTGTGCTTGGCTCCAATCTCCAGAGGTCGTTGTAGTGGTAGAATGTGCCCTGCTTGGGGCTAGAGAACTCCCCACCGAAGAGGTATATGCCGCCCGCGTTGCCGCCTTGTGTTGCAGCACTATATCCAAGTTAGCAGCCCATACGCCCATGTGAGGCTGTTCAGGAGAACTCACTAGAAACGTGGTCAGTTTAGAGAGCTCGAGTGTAGTAGTTTGAATACTTACCTGTCCTGATCTAGGCAAGGGAGAATTCGGGCTCGTAACCTTCCGCCATGTGTCGTTGTTGATCTTGTACACCAGCAGGTCGTTGAAGAATGTGGCAAGGCCACCATTGTAGTACTCGCCCCCGAACAAGAACAGCTCGGAGTCATTGCTTGGTGATGCAACGAGCGTAGCGAACGAACCTATGTATCACTGCGTTAGCGGAGTTCTCTCATCGTGAGACATGGCACGTACGTGGTGATGGAGGATCACAAATCTCCTCTGTCACCTTGAGGAACGACTCCTGCTTCTTCTGATACTCGGCCAGTATCGCATCTAAGTCTGCATCATCGGCATCGCTGTCGTCGTCGCCTTTGGGCTTTTTGCTCTGCTTCTTCTCTTTCGATTTGGTCTTTTTCTCCTGTTTTTGCGCCACCCGAATCTTCTTTTCGGCTTTCTTCTTCTTCGTGTCTTTCGCCATTACTCTTCAAAGATCGCTCCTGCCACTGGCCTTCCTAGCTTGGGGCAGTCAGAATCGCAATTGCACAGATTTCAGGCGTCTAGCTGGTTGTGAAGTGAGGTTGAAGCTCTCGACCACACGGGGCGAAGTTGATGAACGAGCGGCGTGACTGAAGACGACCACAACACTTCGCAGCCGTCCAAAGCCCCGAAGTCATGCAGAAAATAGCACCAGCTAAAATCGTCAGCCAGAAGTCATATGTCGTCGCAGGCAAGGACCATTTGACATCAAACAGAGGCGAAGCTAACACTCTCCAAGGCAGATTGAAGATCACGGAACACTTCTTCGACGTGCCCAAAGACCATGCAAACCAGAATGGATCTACGATTCGCGTCTTCGCGCGAAGCGTCAAAAAGAATGAAACTCCGATAGTCCCAGATAACCACAAGGAGAAGCAGCAACTCCCATGGATGTGTTATCTTCAGGGAGGGCCAGGCTTCAGATGCCAGCCGCCCCAAAACTATTCATTCACTCACCCGGTCCTCGATAAGGGCTACCAGTTACTGTTCCTCGACCAGCGCGGCACTGGCATGTCTTCGCCCATCACAGCGTCTACACTCCAGATGCGTGGCACCAACGACGTCCAGGCAAAGTACCTCAAGCTCTACCGTGCGGACAGCATTGTACGAGACTGCGAAGCGATCCGGCAGGCGCTCACCGCAGACTATCCAGCAGAGAAAAAGAAGTGGTCTATCATGGGCCAGAGTTTCGGGGGGTTCTGCAGCCTGACTTACCTGTCATTCTATCCTGAAGGACTGCGGGAGAGCTTCTTGTGAGTCTGCTGAGGACTTGGGTATCTTTAGTATGTGCTGACTATAAGCGCAGATTTGGCGGACTGGCACCCATCACTGCCGGCCCAGATGAAGTCTATCGCCGCCTCTACAAAAAGCTCATCCAACGCAACGAAGCCTACTACAACAAATACCCCGAGGACATCACCCGAGTCAAGACCATCCACAACTACCTCAAACGCTTCGGCGACGGGAAAATCAAACTCCCCTCCGAAGGCAACCTCACACGCCGCCGCTTCCGAATGTTGGGTCTCATGTTCGGCTTCCACGGCGGGCTGGATAGTGTCCACGACATCGTGCTGAGAGCGAGCTACGACATCGAATCCTTTGGCCACCTGACGCGAGGCTCTCTGTCAGCAATCGATCGTGCGATGCCGTTCGATGAAGCTGTTATCTATGCCATCCTTCACGAGCCCATATACTGCCAAGCCGTGGCACCGAAGTGGTCTGCACATCGCATGATCGAGGAGTATCCGGCATTCGATCTCGACAAGACGGACGACAGTCCCATCTACTTCACCGGCGAGATGGTGTACCCATGGATGTTTGAGGACTACAGCGAGCTACGCAAGCTGGACGACGTAGCGAAGCGGATCGCCAACGACAGCGACTGGTCGGAGCTGTACAACGAGGAGCAACTGGCGAGAAATGAAGTACCAGTCTATGCAGCTTCGTACGTGGAGGACATGTACGTCGACTTCGACCTGGCGATGGAGACGGCGCGCAAGGTCAAGGGGTGTAAGGTCTTCACGACGAATGTGATGTTCCACGATGCAATTCGCAGCAGGATGGATGAGGTTGTGCGGCAGGCATTCACTTTGCGGGACGATGTCCTCGATTGAGCTTGAAGAACAGGACCAGCAGTTGAGGTCTTCTCTAGATCCTTGCCGTTACAAAGGCTTTCGAGTATCGATAACGATGCTCATCCCATTATGTCGGAGCACAGCCAGGACAGGAGAAGGCGATATCCCTTTTAATCAACTCCATTCGTCCTCATAATCTCGCCGTCTCCTCTCTGAATACTCTCTCGGCCTCCCGAACGTCTGCCTCAAGATCGTGGTCCCACACCCACTTCTGCTTAGTCTGCAACAACTCCTTGATCTTCTCCCAGTCGTCCATATATCCTGGCAATTGCAGATCGTACAGCCAACCACTGTCTCTAGCGATCTGTACCTGCCGCTGCGACCGTGGTCTCCGGATCTGATCAAAGGCTGCATAGGCCCTCGAGATATCTGCAGCATCGTAGACAAGGCGCATGACCCGACTCATGCAAAGGGCGTCCTCAATAGCTTGGCCAGCACCAGCGCCGTTGTGGGGCGTTGAAGCATGTGCAGCGTCTCCAAGTATGCATATCCGGGCTTTAGTGTATGTTGGTGCCGGCGGGTGATCAAACAGCGCCCAAATGTCGGGCTTCTGCATCATGCTCAATATCTGCTGCGTTGCTTCCGTCCATCCGCTATAGTCTTCGAACATGGCCTCTCTATTCATTGGCTTGACCCATTCAGGATCCTCCCACTGTCCATCTTCTTTGGTTCCGAAGGCCACAACATTCATGGTCTGTCCACGCTCGATCGGGAACGTGAGAATGTGGCCACCTTGGCCCATGAACATTTGAGAGTTTCGCGCCAGCTCGTCGCCCATGAGGGCTGCCGCATCCTCCATTGGGATAAGCCCACGATATGCGTATTTGCCCGAGAACGATGGCTTGGTTGCCGGATGCTCTTTGCCGAGAAGGACCTCTCTCGTCCGGCTCTTGACGCCATCACACCCAATGACTGCACTATGTTTCGCGGTTGTTCCATCAGCAAAGTGTAGTATGACGTGGTCACCCTTGTCCTCGATGTCTTGAAGTGCTTTGCCGAAGTGTGCGATCTCTTTCGGCACGAGCGCTACCAGCTCGTCCAGAAACCTCGCGCGATGTACGCTGCTCTGCCCAGTCTCACACCACAAGTCGAGTATCTTCGTACCAAACTTTGACGTGTTATCTTGCCCCTTTCGAAACGTGAACCACGAGTGCTGTTGCTCCGGCCATGCATTGTTCGTTGCACACTTTAGGAAGCCTTCGTAGATGGCTGGATCGATCAGCTGCATAGCTCGCGCGGCATTGGGTCCTAGTGATACGCCTGCTCCGATCTCTGCGAAGGCTGGCGCAGCTGCAGGGGCTAATGTCAGTATCTAGTGAGAACGCAGAGTCGAGAAAGGCCGTACCTTCGTAGATCTCCACTGGTACGCCTTGATGGAGCAAGCCTATGGTTGTGCACAATCCACCAATACCTCCTCCTACGCAAGCGATGCTATACCGCCGATCCGCATTGATCTGATACTGCGGCGCCATTGCAAGTGAGTGTCCTCTAGCGCTCTAACGACTCTTTCTGGTACTGAAGATAGGGAGATTCGAGATTGAAGGAAGATGTGAGAGAACTTGGAAGGAGATATATGCAGCCACTTTACCATCCGCTCGCTCGAGAAGCTCGTCGATATCTCGGATGCTTGACTCGGGAGCTCATACAGTGACAGGACAATGGAGCCAAGTGATGATCAAGGTGGAGTGATCAGAATGTCGTCGGGGGATCGGCAGTGAATGTTGCCGTGTCGTTTCGTCTGGTCCCGGAGGCCGACCTCGCGAGAAGTGCTCTCCTCAGAGACAGGACGACACTCTCTTCTCGTCGTGACACCTCATCGAGAACAGCCAGCAGTGATTGTGACACAGGACTCCATTTTGCACACCGTTGGGAGAGGGTTGCAGAGCTACCGGAGTTCCACCACTGAAGCCGGCGCCGATTGCAGTACCTCAGCCTCAACACCATCGGAACCCGAAATAGGTTTGTGACGTTACATTTCGATATCTTCATATCTCTCTTCCACTTTCTCCAGCACATGCACAGCCAGAGCAACATACCGCACAGCACATCCCGGACTAAGCAGCAGAAGCGATCATGACAAGCGCTCCCGTCTCCCGTGGCCACACCCCCCTCCCCGAGTCCCAAACCCTCCACCTCCCTCGCATCCTGTGCCTCCACGGTGGCGGCGTGACCGGCGACGTCTTCCGCGCCCAAGCCCGCTCTCTCATCAAATACCTCCCCGACTTCCGGCTCGTCTTCGCCGACGGGCCCTTCTTCTGTGATCCCGGTCCAGGCATTGTGCCGGTGTACCAGGACTGTGGACCCTTCAGACGCTGGCTGCGATGGTTACCCGAGCATCCGGAGATCGACAACGAGGCGGCGACAGAGGAGGTCATGTATGCCATCGAGACGTGCAAGCGGGAAGACGAAGGGGATGGGCCGTGGGTGGGACTGATGGGCTTTAGTCAAGGTGCGAAGTTGTCGAGCAGTTTGCTGTATGACCAGCAAATCCGGGTAGAGAAAGAGGGAAAGGCGGATACGGATTATAAGTTTGCGGTGTTGCTTGCCGGGAGGAGCCCATTGGTGAGCTTTTGCGAGCACAGCAAGAGTCCGGCATGTGTGGATGCTGGGGCGATCAGCGAGGGCTTCAAGTTTGACGGCGAGAGTCCGCATATCCTGAAAATACCGACGATCCATGTGCATGGCTTGGCCGACCAGGGTTTGCATCTGCACCGGAAGATGATGAACCAGTACCACGATCCGAAGTCGACGACATTGATCGAGTGGGATGGAACACATAGAGTCCCGATCAAGAAGACGGATGTGGAGAAGATTACAACTGAGATATATCGCGTGGCCAGAGAGCAGGGAGTGAAGGTATGAAATGATGGAAGACGACGCAAATATGAAGAAAGAGAGGCATGAGGGAGACACTGATTGACTTACGCTTGGGTGCCTACCTATGGCTTCGGCGTTATTCTGCTATGCGCTGCAAATAATGGCCTAATACAGCGTTCTCGAGAGGATGAGAAAGCGGCTCTGACCGCACCCCAGGCAAGGACGAGATCAATACCATCGGCATCAGAGGGTCCCTCGGGAGAGACGGAACATCTGAGAGATCTGTTACGGCGACGATCTTCGTGAGGCGGTGTTGTCCGAGAACGTATGGGAACCGGAGCACCCGCTATTACACTGACGCAGGACGGACGGGTCATGCAGCGAAGCATGTGAAGATCGCCCGGCCTAACCCCGGCACCGAATAAAGAAGGTACTTAATTCCATTCAACAATTCAGCATTCCAACACAAGACACAAACCAAAGCAATAGCTCGAGTTATGTTCTACCCCACAAAATCTCGCTAGACATCTCGTTAAGCAGAGTGCGAGTTGATTAGCGATGATCTGCCCCTGTAGTATTATGGGTGGTGAGTTAGTCACGTGACATGTAAACGTAAACACCAAACTTGGGGATTCTTTTTTGCTTTTGCGAAGGGTCGTGGATGTGAAGGTCGGTGTTTCGAGTGTTGGAGATTGTCCTTTGTGCACATGGTAACGTGACAATACAAGGTAAATGCTACAAATGCTAAAGACAATCGTATTTCATTCGTCTACCCTCCTCGCTCTCCAAATTCCCTCGCCCAATCCTCGAACTCCTTGAGGCCCTTGCCACTCACACTGGGTCTGATGTTCACCAGACTTGCTTCAAAGTCGCTCATCTTAATACCCCTGATATCCTCTGGTTTCATGTGCAAGAGCTTTTCACCCAAACTGCGCAAAGGCCCCATCGCTGCATCTTTCGCTAGAGCAGTGATATCAGAGCCAGAGTAATTGTCTGTCAGTTGAACGAGACACTGAAGGTCTTTGTCATTCAAGCTGTGCTTCTGGGCCGCCAATAAGGTCCTCAGCTGTTGCTCCCGCACCCACGCTTCCGGCAATGGGATGTACTGTCTTCGCACAAAGCGACGGCGAGCGGCTTCATCGATCGCCCACGGCAGGTTGGTCGCTGCGAGTACCAGCACCCGGGTGGCGTCACCTTCGCCATTCTTGGCTTCGCGGCCAGCGGCAGCCTTCTGCAAATCGGACCACTGGATCAGAAACTCCGTCTTGATGCGGCGAGTGGCCTCATGCTCGGACGTTCCGCCACGCGAGCCAAGCAGTGAGTCGATTTCGTCGACGAAGATGATACTGGGCGCCAATGCTTTCGCGATGGCGAAGAGTGCTCGGACGAGCTTCTCGCTCTCACCCAGAAACTTACTCGTGAGGCTCGAGGCGGAGATGGCGAAGAAGACGCTCTTGCTCTCAGTAGCCACAGCTCTTGCAAGCATGGTTTTGCCAGTTCCGGGAGGACCAAACAGGAGCATGCCTCGCGCCGGTTCACGCAGTCCCATGAATAAGTCTGGTCGCAAGAAGGGGTACACCACCGTCTCTTTGAGTGCCGACTTCGCAATGTCCAGACCTGCCACATCGTCCCAGTGGACTTCATCTCCTTGGATGACAACTTCGTTGAAGATCTGTTTTGCCGCGGCTTCATCCACACCCTTGGGCAGGTTCTTCATGAGCCTCTTAACCTTGTCATCCCACTCTTGTTGCTCGTTGGTCTGCGATGCTGCACCTTCACCAAGCCGATCTGGCGACTCATCACTGGATGGAGGTGTCACTGCTCGCTCCGTCACGGGCCGCTTATCTGTTCTCCGTTTTGGCGCCTTTCGCACAGCAGGTTCAGGGCTGCTGGGCGCATCGTTGTTGATTTTGAGGCGGTTGTTGAGCTGAGACTGAGCACTATCTAGCTTCTGTCGTTCGTTGATGGCGCTCACGACGCCCACTGCTCTGCCAGCCACAGCCTTTCGTGGTACGGCTGGTGCCGTCTTTGCTTGCACGGTCTTAGGAGATGCAGTCCTCTGCTGGTTGTCGGAATCAGAGCTTCGGTCTGCTTGTGATTCGGCGAAGGCAGATGGCTTCCTTGGCTTCGCGGGTGGGTGGTTCGGAAATTCCTTCATGTACGATATCGAGCTCGGCCCGAGTTGCGATATACTTGGAAGCGGCGGTTTAGATTGTTCATTGGGTGATGAGGGCTGCTGCAGTTGGGTCCTGTGCGGTGGCGGAGGAGGTGGAGTTGGTGGAGGTTTGGCAGTGTTCACAGAGTCATCGCTGTGAGAGAAGGCCTGCCTGGCATACGGATCAGAGACGGGATACTCGGGGTATGGTGGTGGGTGAGTCCTCGATTGACTGAGCCTCTCCAACTCGCTGCTGTGTCGTTGTGGTGGCATGTAATCTGCCGGGCTCGGCGGTCGTAGTACATTATCCGAGGTCCGCCTGTCAGGCTGTGTCGCTGGTTTATCTACTAGCGATCGAGTATAAGGGTCCCACGTGGAGGCTGCGGTTGTGTTCACACTGACGCTGCTGGCCGATCGTGCATCCTGGCCGCCCAAGCTTGGCCGCTGCGGTCCTGACCATACTTGCGCCGCGGCTTTTGATGCTGCCTGGGGAGGTCTCGGGCGAAGCGTTGTTGGTATTTTAGCAGCCGACTTGTCCTTTGGACCGTTTGTCCGCAATGTCTTCAGCATGCCGCCCTGCTTCTTCTCCTTCTCCGGGCTTGGCGTCCTAGAGCGAGTCCGGTTAGAAGTAGGGGGCGCGAGGTTTGTTGAGGAGGTGTCCTGCAGACTGTAAGTCCGCGGTGATTCGGGCCTTGAGCTTTTCCTGGTGTACGAAGGTCGCGGTGGTGGTGCTGGCCGTCTTTCCGGTGTCGGAGACGGTCGAGGTATATCAGCGTAGCTCGCCTGCGGTACGGTATTGCCTCCCAGCCACTGTGTGCTCTCGGTGTTTGAAGCGGTCTTCAACAGCGACGCCAGTGATTCCCTGCTCGTTTTGGCCGTATCTCCGCCCGGGTTCTTTGCTTCCTCCTCAGCCTCTATCCTGCTCTTCCTGAGAGCTTCCAGCAGGTCGACTCGTTCCTTGCACTGCAGTTCCATAGACCGCAGTGAGTCCTGCAGCGCCTTTTCGGTCTCGGTGCGCGGCTGGTAGGACGAAGGCAGCTTGTAGGCATTGTGGTAGTAGATCTGGTCCAGCGCATTCCGCCACGCCCGGAGTGCTTCGGGCTCATTGTTCTGCAGGCGCAAGTCATCGTTAGCAACGGTCTTCTTGCACGACAGGTAATGCTACTCAAACGTACCTGCCCTTCAAAGTAGATGGCCGTGGAGCAGATCAGATAGCATTCGTCGTACGTCTTCTGCATCGATGATGCCGGTGCCGATTTGCGTAACATCTTGGTCCTTCGCGCATGCTATTCTAGCAGTCGGATTTGTTGTTCACGTCGTGAATGATGGTGTAGCTGGACAAGACTTGAACTCTGTGGTCGCCCAAGCCTTCTTGCGTGACGTAGTGGGAGGCTCGCTGGAAACCGCGGGCTGTGCGCGTTCAGCTTTCGATTGGCGGAGTTGGTCTCGCGACAACAACTTCACTTTACGATCCTGCTGACACCTGAAAGGAAGTCGTTGGAAAGCGTGCTGTTAAGACGCATGTGTGTCGAAGTCACGGGCGATGCGAGCATGGCGGACCGCGTCACGAAGCTGGTTACACGGTAGGCAGGTCAACAGTCGCCCCTTTTCGGGCTCGTCTATCTACAACCAACGACGAGACGTCGCGGACATCTTAAAGAATGGCAAGAATGGGGACACGGTGTCGGCGACGGGTTGGGTGAGGTCGGTACGAAAGCAGAAACGCATCGCCTTTGCTGCTGTTGGCGATGGCTCAACCACAGAAGCACTGCAGGCAGTACTAAAACCAGAAGACGCAGCTGAGTGAGTAATATCACCGATGGAAATCAACCCCTGCTGACGGAAAAAAGGCTCTCACATGGTACAGCGGTAGAGCTGAAGGGAGAATGGAAGGCGTCAGTTGGCTCGAAACAAAGCCATGAACTGCAGGTCTCTTCGCTCGATGTACTCGGAAAGAACGACGCAGAAAGCAATCCTTTACAACCAAAGTATCAGACGCCGGAGTACTTGCGAAGCATTCCTCACCTACGGCCACGAATCGCCACAAACGCTCTGCTACTGCGACTGAGATCGAAACTCATTGCCAGTCTGACCAACTTCTTCGACAAGCAGAACTTTGTGCAATGCCATACTCCAATCATCACCTCGTCGGATTGCGAAGGGGCTGGAGAAGTTTTCACCGTCTCAGCGAACGCATCAAAGGACCAGCCTGTATCGAAGCTGGACTCTCCCGTTGAGCACTTCTTTCGAACGCCCAAGTATCTTACAGTGTCCGCTCAGCTGCATCTTGAAGCACTTGCCCAAGCCGTCAGCAAAGTCTGGACACTTTCTCCAACTTTCCGCGCAGAGCAAAGCGACACCCCTCGGCATCTAAGCGAGTTCTACATGCTTGAGGCTGAGATCTGCTTCACATCCGACCTGAGCGACATCATGGACGTGGTCGAGAACATGCTGCGATCTAGTGTCACATCTTTGCAGAGCGCGGCGGTATGGACAGAGCTTCTCAACGTGAAGCAAACGGCACCCGATGACGACAATGAGGATGGCAAGTTTGTCACGGCAGACGTACTTCAGCAGCGCTGGGATGGTATGGCGGCACTGAATTGGCCGCGGATTACGTACGCAGAAGCGATCGATATGCTGGAAGATGCAAAGACGACCGCCAACGGAAGCTTCACTTTCGAGCCATCATATAGGAACGGACTTCAAGCCGAGCACGAGCGCTACATCGCCACCAGCGTCGGCAAAGGCAGGCCAGTCTTCGTGACCGACTACCCTCGCGTGCAGAAGCCATTCTACATGCCACCATCAGTATCGACAAGCAACAGCAAAGGTTCGCCAGATACGGTCGCGTGCTTCGATCTGCTCGTACCAGATCTATGCGAGTTAGCTGGTGGATCAATACGTGAGCATGGCTCGAAAGAGCTGCTCGAGGCGATGCGACAGAAGGGCGTCGTAGGCAAGGATCTGGAATGGTATCAAGATCTGCGGAAGTATAGCAGCGTGCCCCATGGTGGCTTTGGGCTGGGGTTCGATAGGTTGATCTGCTATCTTGCCGGCGTCGCGAACGTGAGAGACGTTGTGGCGTTTCCGAGGTGGTTTGGCAGGGCGGATTGCTAGCATGTGCTTTCAAAAATGACATGTCTTCCACCCACTGTCACACGAGATCTCCTCAACACCGAGCCATGAAAAAGTACCTTCCATCTTTGGCTAGATCGGCGGCAGATCTGCAAGCGCCCTGCAGCGCATCCCGCACCTGCAGCTTCGACACGCTTCGAGAGGGGCAAGTGTCGTTGAGACAACAGCAGAAGTGCAGTTCGCGAGCATCTTCAGAGAACTACGATATCGCATCAATCGATCCCAGAACATCGTGCTTCATCAGAGCTCAGAAGCATAAGGAAGCCGTCCGCAGCCTGGCGATCATAGCTCCGCTGGATTCGACGGGATTTCTACGGTCACACAAGCAAGCCTCCTTCTGCTGGCTGCACGTTCACAACACCTTTTGCGATAGATCAGGACGACTCAGCTCACTGCATTTGGTACTCATTGGACCCAGACTTCGTGTCTGGTTCTACCAGGACCAAGGCAATTTGCAAGCCAAAACCCAGCCATCTGCACGACGATAACCTCATCTCGATCGATCCCACTGGGTCACATTATAAGTTCTGTTGACACCTCTTATATTACCATCTTCTACCACCATCACCACAACCACAATGGAAACCGCAAACATGACCAATCGGCAACCCAAAGCCATGCACCCCAACGAGAAGTTTTTCCAATACTTCACACATGAAGTCACAGGTAAGACATGTGCGTGTGAACCTGTGCCCCCGACCTAACACATCACAGACATCCGAGAACAAATGGAACGACTCGAACAACGAAGTGTGTCCGGCGGCGAACGAGCAGACGCTGTGGACCACTGCCTCGCCAGCATCGCCCGCCTGTCCAACGAAGTCAAGGACGCCTCATCACACCTCCCGGCGTACGACCAGCGGACGTATGGCACAGCAGTCAAAGCGCTGTCCGACCAGCTGCAGAACATCCGATCGACCTTCGCCCCGCGCCCGAAGTTCTCCTTCAAGTCTGGGTCAATGTTCACGGCGAGAAAGAACGAATCTGCCATCAGCTTGACTGACGCTGCCGAGCCTACGAACGAGAGACAAGGACCGGCCGAAATGTCTACCGACTCGAGCTACGTAAATTCGCCTGCTGAGCCCAGATCACCTACAATTGAGGCGGAGGGGGAGAGGCCTATTGCGGATGCTGTCGATCTGGCGCGGATACGGCAGCCGTCGTTCTCGCAAGCAACAACCATCAACATGGGCGATCATGACGGCGTCCACATCATCCTACCGTCCTCAGCAGCTCATGCGACCAGCTCTGGCACCCTGTCCATGCTCCGCCGTTGCATCGTAGACATGAGCAGGCCAACGACAACCGGCCAACCTTTGGCCGGACTCACAGTCAAGAACGTCAAGCAGTCTCTGGTCGTCTGCGGACACGTCAACGGCGCTGCTCACCTGACCAACATCTCCAATTCAGTCATCGTGGTCGCCAGTCGCCAATTCCGGATGCACGAGAGCCGCAACTGCGACATCTACCTCTTCACCAGCAGCCGCCCGATCATCGAGGACTGCCAGAACATCCGCTTTGCGCCGCTGCCCGAAACGTACAAGGCGCATGAGCATGAAGGGGTGGAGAACCAGTGGCAGAACGTGGACGACTTCAAGTGGTTGAAGAACGAGCACAGTCCGCATTGGAATATCCTAGACGAGGCTGAGCGCATTCCAGAGAGCGTGTGGACGGGTGTGGTGCCTGGTGGACCGCAACATGGGACGGAGGACATCCTGCGTGCGGTGGGCGTGGCTCAGTGAGACAGTAAACGAAGGGAAGAGACATCGACTGAAGCATGGATTAGCGGACTTTCGGACAGCGTGAGACCTGCATGGATAGGTAGCAGAGCATATGATGATCCTCCATAATGAAATGCAAGACAACTGATAGTAGTGTCTCGTACGAAGCCGTTCGGTCTCTCCATCCTACCTCCGGCGAGAGCGCGTTTGGCCGCCCAAAATGGCAGTAACCAGCGAGATCAGTTATCTGCCTCTTGCCTCCGCGACGCCGGCGGTGTGATCAACTTGAAGTCTTGACTGATGCCAAATTGACAGCAGCGTTGTTCATCTTCATCCGCTCATGCTCGTGCTTTTTCCGATCAGATACAACGATATCAAAATCTGATAGCGCAGCTCGCAAAGTGAAGTCGCAGTGACGCCCGCGGAGCTCTGGAAGTCCAGAAAGCAGAAACTAGCGCGAGACCCATTACACCTCCATGTCTCTGAAAGTTTAGATAGATCTCAGACACCTCGGCGCGGCCATTCGTTTGCTTTTCCACCTCCATCCGACACACGCCCGCCACCCCCTATATCTCCAGCGCAGTTGGTTCTCTCGGGTCGAAGAAGAATCATTACATGTCCGGAGCCAGGCCTACGACAGTGGATTCGATACTGGCCCCGTCGGGCGCTGGAATGGCAGCGCACGACAGAGTCATCCCTCAGGTCGAACAAGAAGAATACGAGTACGTCGCCGATGTAGCGGGAATGGGGAAGGACAGGTGCTGACGATGCGCGCAGTTATGAGTCCCTTCCACCGAACTTCTCGCTCGCGGCGAATATGGCCGCTGGCGCATTCGCGGGCATTGCTGTGAGTTGCGGCTAAGAGCTGGATGGGATAAAAGACGAAATGGCTGACGCTATGGCAGGAACACTCGGTGATGTACCCAATCGATCTGCTGAAGGTATGGAAGAGCTCTGCCGAGACACGGGAGGCCAAGGGGATGCTGACGGTGTGAGATAGACACGGATGCAAATGGTGAATCCTACACCCGCCGCGATCTACACTGGCATCGGCAACGCAATCACAACCATCTCGAGAGCAGAGGGCTATTTGTCATTATGGAGAGGCTTGTCGAGTGTAATAGTGGGAGCAGGTATGTGAACACGGGACAAGCGGAAGATCGCGGAGGTTCAGGCGGCTGACATCTTGTACAGGTCCAGCACATGCGGTTTACTTCGCTACCTACGAGGCCGTGAAGCAAGCCATGGGCGGTAATGCCTCTGGCCATCATCCGTTGGCAGCAGGTGAGTTGCTTCGCCTTACCACTCACTCCCAGCAGTATACTTACTCTCCCCAGCATCCAGCGGCGCATGCGCGACAATAGCGAGCGACGCCTTCATGAACCCCTTCGACGTCGTCAAGCAGCGAATGCAGGTCCACGGCTCCACCTACCGATCGATCGTCGAGTGCGCAACCACAGTCTTCCGGAACGAAGGACTGCGAGCTTTCTACGTTTCCTACCCCACGACACTCATGATGACCGTGCCATACACCGCTTTACAGTTCACCGCCTACGAATCTCTGACGAAGGTCATGCAGCGGCATCGAAGAGTAGGATACGATCCGTTGACGCATTGCACGGCGGGAGGTTTGGCGGGTGGTGTTGCGGCAGCGGCAACTACGCCGTTGGATGTGGTCAAGACGCTGCTTCAGACACGGGGTACTTCATCAGATCCAGAGATCAGGCATGCGCGAGGGTTGTTCGGCGCAGCGGGCATCATCTGGAGAAGAGAAGGCGCGAGAGGTTTCTTCAAGGGCACAAATGCGCGAATTGTCACTTCAGCACCCAGCACGGCGATCTGCTGGTCGGCATATGAGGTTGCAAAGGCGTACTTCATCCGGGTGCAGAATGAGACGACTTGAGATGGATGAACGGGGATGCGTACACGATTTTCGCTTCGTTGAGTCAAGCTGCGCTGGACATGCCTGGTTGCGGCCGCTTTCTGATGCCCTCGCCTCGGCCTTCAGGGGGCTTTACGGCTTGTCAAGAAGCTCCTGTCCCGGCTGTGCGACTCGCTCGAGAGGAGGAGAATTGACGGGCGGAGACAGCTGCCCGCAGACTGCGAGCGGCTTCGATTGTTTGTATCTGTGGACACCGTTTGCATAAGCACAGCACTGGCGCTGGTGGTCGCGACGCGCAGCATGCGCCGATTGAGATACCTGGTATGGGCGGCGTACATCATCACGGATGGGGACGTAGAAGGCGGCCATGCGTTGGCCCAGATGTATTCATAGACCGTCAGCTACCCATAGGTCGGATGAATCGATCTACTTGAGCCATGTGTGCGCCCTCGATCCACTGAAAATTATTTGCATCCCCAATATGTTCTTTGACTCTGTAGCAGACTTCCGCGCTCACATTGAACATGAGCCAGCGCGGTCTGGTCTGCGTCCAATCACAATGAGGCTTACCCCAACCCTAATTGTTCCGCTCTGCATACCCTCCCCGGTCCCGGCGGCGGCGAAAACGATGATTAGAGAATCGAGGTCTTATTTTCTTGCTGTCTGGGTATCTCTGGCAATATTGGTGCAATTTTTGCCGCTTTCCAGGGGCTCTGGGACGTTTTGGTCGTGATTTATCTTTCAAAATGGACGATTTAGAGGAAGAGTTGCAAGTCACGTGTAGATTGGAGGTCATCTTTCGGAACGAACAAACATCTTGATCGCAAAACTACAACGTGAAGATAAGGAGGTCAAGGAAGGCGTCGTCCAATACCAGCAAGAAAATAAAACCACACGGGACGGTTCAATAGCGCTGTCAAGTGATGCTCTACCGACATTGGATATGGAGACGCGGTGGCTTCTGCGCCAGCGTGTGTCGAGTCACGGAAGCGTGCGATCGCACTGGAGCACCTACAATGGGACTCGGCCAGCCAATTGTCCACGGAGGAACTTCAGCAAGGCGACACAGTGCCCAAAACAACAGTACGCAGCAGAGCAACGAGCTGGGCTCAGCAGAGCACCTCCGCCATCAAAAGACCCTCGTCTGACGCACCGTAGGCATTCGGTTCATGAAGGGAGTGGGAGAGAAGCATGGCGGAGATTGGGTTTGACCAGTTTTGCTTCGCCTGTATTTGTTTGTATATACACAATGCGGCCCCGAGACTCCAGAGCTCCCGTATCTATACATGCATTTCCTTGTGGGTCATAGGAGGAGCTACACACATCGTCAGTTGCCATTCAAATGCGCATATCGGAACCCAGGTACATACCTTCCGCCGAAGGAGGGGGGAGGTTCCGCTGGTACTTGCTTCCACCAGGCGCGGTGGGTGGCCGGTAGGGGTCGGGGTGTTTGTATGAGTCCAGCAGTTGTTCCGTCTGCTCGATGATTTCCTGCGCAGTTTCATGTCAGCTCCCATGCACACCTGAGAGTTCTTCCTGCAATGCGCCTACTCTTTGCTGCCGCGGCTGTGTGACGTGCTTGTTCGCTTCGAAGAGGGATCGGATGTACATTGCCTGGCCGCGCCAGATATTTCGGTGGATGGCCCAGTCGAGGGAGAGTTTGAGGGACTGTCGGTAGAGGGATCTGGCTTGCGTATTAGTTCCAGTTGTTGGACCTCACGGGCATCGGAGGAGCTGCTCACAGGACGTGTGTTCGGGAGGCCATGCTGGCAGGTGAGCGGGCCGCGAAGGCCTTGGGTGTTCGACTATGCCTCCTCAAATACGACTGCTCTCCGAGTAACGCCCAGTCGTGTGCAGTAGCCGGTAGTATCGAGGTGGTGATATGGAGGAGGTGGTGGTTGGAAGACGGCGGGACTTCGGATGAAGCTGCCGGCGCCAATGGAAGCCAACGGGAGCAAGCAAGCTCGGCTTGGTTACAAACATCCAACTCATCAAGCTGCTATACCTCACACCAGACCTCGAAACCGCTTCTTGAATTGTTCTTCGAAGTTTTGACGTGGTACTGGGAGCTCCTCAAAGGCAGTCTGCCGTCTCTCGGACCATGTCGTCGTCACAGTGTCTCCGCCGGCTCGCGACCAACCCCCGATCGACCTCCCTCGTCCGCTGCTCTCCTAATGCGTCGCGATGCCTCCTACGCTCCCCTACCGCCTCGAGAACGGTCGCGAGTAGCTACTCCAGCTTATCACGACCTTCATACGTCTCACAACCACGGTCAGCATTCTCAAGACCCACAATTGACAAGCCAAGTCTTACAAACAGCAGGAAACCAACGTACATCACGCAGTCACGACAGTTCAGCCTGTCAAGTCGCTACAATGGTGAGCTTCCTAGGATGAATCCGGTAGCTTGTCGTCTCTAACCCGCGTTTGCAGAGGAACAGATCGTCAAGACGCCAGAAATGGCAGAATCAATCACCGAAGGCACGCTGAAGGGATGGACGGTAAAGGAGGGTGACTACGTCGAGCAGGATCAGGAGGTCGGCTCCATCGAGACCGACAAGATCGACGTCGCCATCAACTCGCCAGCAGCAGGAACCATCAAGAAGTTCCTGGCGAACGAGGAGGACACCGTGCAGGTTGGGCAGGATCTGATCGTGCTGGAGCTTGGTGGAGAGCCAGGACAGTCGGCTCAGAAGGGCGATGCGGAGACAAAAGACTCCGCAGACTCTTCGCAACAAACTTCATCCGACAAGGGAGGCGAGCAGAAGGGAGGTGAGGAGAAGCAGCCTGAGCCTGAGCCCGAGAAGGAGCAGACAGGCGCTGGCCGACCCAAGGAAAAGGAGCAGAAAGAGCAGGCTCCTCCAGCGCCCCAGCAGAAGTCGGAGGAGGTCAGCAAGCCCCAGCAGCAGGAACAGAAGCCCTCGCAACCCAAGCAAGAGCAGAAACCATCCCAGCCCAAGCAACAAGAATCCTCCTCGAAATCAGAATCACCCTACGGCAGCCGCTCGGAGAACAGAGTCAAGATGAACCGCATGCGCCTCCGCATCGCCGAGCGCCTCAAGCAATCGCAGAACACCGCCGCCTCCCTCACCACCTTCAACGAAGTCGACATGTCGAACCTCATGGACATGCGCAAGCAGTACAAGGACGAGATCTTGAAGAAGACGGGCATCAAATTCGGCTTCATGGGCGCGTTCGCGAAGGCTTCCATTCTGGCAATGCAGTCTGTGCCGACGGTCAATGCTAGCATTGAAGGACCCGGTGGCGGCGACACGATCGTGTACCGCGACTATGTGGACGTGAGCGTGGCTGTGGCGACGGAGAAGGGGTTGGTGACGCCTGTGGTGAGAAACGCAGAGAGTCTCGATATGGTCGGGATTGAGCGGTCGATCTCAGAGTTGGGCAAGAAGGTACGTCTCCTTCACTCTTCCCGGCAGCACTGCTTCCGCTAACTTGAGCAGGCCCGCGACAACAAACTCACCATCGAAGACATGGCCGGTGGCACCTTCACCATCTCCAACGGCGGCGTCTTCGGCTCCCTCATGGGCACACCCATCATCAACCTCCCGCAGACCGCCGTGCTCGGCTTGCACGCCATCAAGGACAAGCCGGTCGCGATCAACGGGAAGGTGGAGATTCGTCCGATGATGTATCTGGCGTTGACGTACGACCACAGGTTGTTGGACGGGAGAGAGGTGTGTTCATCCTGAATACTGAGAGATCCGAATGATGCTAATGTTGTCTCGCAGGCTGTCACGTTCTTGGTGAAGATCAAGGAGTACATTGAGGATCCGAGGAAGATGCTTGTGCCGGTGTAGTCGGGGCTGTTAGAGAGTAGAAGGGGAGGAGGGGAGGGGGGGAGTGGAGAGCAATGCGAACTTGTAGCGATGATTGTTCCTGTGTATAAAAGTACGACCTACCATCCCTTGCGCATTTCTGTTTCCGCCTGAGCCGTCTGAAAGCCGTATCGTCGCTGGTTTTGAGGTCATCATGCTTACCTTTGCGAACGGCGCCCATCTCTATTTCAACTTCGATTTTCATCTCGTCAATTTGCAAACCGCTCATCCTCCTTCCTCTTCACCCCGAACATCAAGAGCCATCGCTCATGTGTACCTTGAAGATAACGAAATCGCAGCAAACGTCGAAGTCAAGCATTGCAGAAGATGAAGAAGGAAGATAGGAAGTCGAATGTTCAGATCAGAAATGCTCTCCATTCACGGTGGTATCATCATAAGCTGCTTCTCTCTGGTGCCCGTGGCCACCTCGTCGCTGCCACCATCACAGGGCCCTATGTTACACATCCCTGAGCTGCAGCATCATCGCAGCAAGCAATAAAAAGGAAAACACCCCATGACCGAATAGTGCTCATGCCCGCCCTGTGCTTGAGCCCCATTATTCATTCAAATCAACCCCGCCCATCGTACGCCTTGTTGGAACCCATCTTTGCAATCACGAACCGAGCATCTACAGCTCTTGGCTGGGGCCCTTGCCCTTTGCGCCGGAAGTCTTCTTGGGCAGCAGGTCTGAAAGAGAAGATGAGTCAGTGGATGTGGATGGGATGTGGGTGGAAGGTGTAGCTTACTCTGGTGGATGTTGGGGAGGACACCGCCCTGGGCGATTGTGACGTGGCCGAGCAGCTTGTTGAGTTCCTCGTCGTTGCGGATGGCGAGCTTAAGATGACGGGGGATGATAC